ACTGGTACGGCGGGCGGTCTGGCGGTGACGCTGGGCAGCGCGTCGACGGCGGCGGCTGGCGGCATTGTCGTGGGCGCGGGCAGCGCTACGGTGGGTACGGGCGGCGGGCTGACGGTGACGCTTGGCGGCGTGAGCACTGGCCTGGCTGGTGCGTACGTGCTGGGCGGCGGCAAGGCCAGCACGGGCACTGCGGGCGGGCTTGCGGTGACGCTGGGTACGGTGTCGACTGGCACGGCCGGAGGCTTCGTGCTGTCCGGCGGCGACGCGAGCACGGGCACTGGTGGTGACATGGCGGTCACGCTGGGCGCTGCTTCCACGGGGCTGGGCGGGGCTCTGTCTGTGGTTGGCGGCAGCGCGTCGACCGGTACGGGCGGGAGCCTGACGGTGACGCTGGGCGGCGCGTCGACTGGGTACGGCGGCGTGTACACGCTGGCGGCAGGGTCTGCTAGCAAGGGCACTGCGGGCGGCATGGCCGTGACGCTGGGCGATGCGTCGACGGGCAGCAGCGGTGCGTTTGTGCTGGCGGGCGGCGCGGCGACGGCCGGTACGGCGGGCGGTCTGTCGGTGACGCTGGGAGGCGTGTCGACGGGTCTGGCTGGCGCGGTTGTGGTTGGCACGGGTGCGGCGAGCACGGGCACTGGAGGCAGTGCGTCGGTGACGCTGGGCGGCGTGTCGACTGGCGTGGCTGGCGCGTTTGTGCTGGCGGGCGGCGCGGCGAGCACTGGTACGGCGGGCGGTTTGTCTGCGACGCTGGGCGGTGCGTCCACCGGGTCGGGCGGCAAGGTGGTGGTGGTTGCCGGCGGGGCGTCTGTGGGCACGGGCGGCGGGCTGACGGCCACGCTGGGCGGTGTGTCGACGGGCGAGTCCGGGAACTTCATCTTTGCTGCGGGCGGTGCCAGCTACGGCACGGCGGGCGGCATGGCCGTGACGCTGGGCGGTGCGTCGACCGGGTACGGCGGGTCGCTGACGATGTTTGCCGGGTCGGTGTCGTCTGGCACGGGCGGCAAGGTGCACATCGAGAGCGGTCAGGGCACGGGAGCGAATGGCGCTGTGGAGATCCTGGCCTACGGGGCGCTGACGGCCACTGGTGCGGGCGTGAACCTGTTTAGCTCGGCGGCGCTGGCGATGACGGGCTCGAGCGTGTCGGTGACGGGGTCGTCGATCAGCATGACTGTGGATGCACAATCGAGTGGCACGGTTGGCACGTACACCATCGGGACGGGCGCGGTCAGCACGGGGACTGCCGGGACGATGTCGGTGTCGCTGGGCGGCGCGTCGACGGGCAGCGGCGCTGCGTTTGTGCTGGGCACGGGCGCGGCGAGCCACGGCACGGCGGGCGGCATGTCTGCGACGCTGGGCGGTGCCTCGACCGGGTCTGCTGGCGGGTACGTGCTGGGCAGCGGCGGCGCGAGCACGGGCACTGCGGGCAGTCTGAGCGCGACGCTGGGCGGCGTGTCGACGGGCACGGCGGGCTCGTACGTGCTGGTTGGCGGTGCGGCAAGCGCAGGTACGGCGGGCGGTCTGGCGGTGACGCTGGGCAGCGCGTCGACGGCGGCGGCTGGCGGCATTGTCGTGGGCGCGGGCAGCGCTACGGTGGGCACGGGCGGCGGGCTGACGGTGACGCTTGGCGGCGTGAGCACTGGCGTGGCTGGTGCGTACGTGCTGGGCGGCGGCAAGGCCAGCACGGGCACTGCGGGCGGGCTTGCGGTGACGCTGGGTACGGTGTCGACTGGCACGGCCGGAGGCTTCGTGCTGGCCGGCGGCGACGCGAGCACGGGCACTGGTGGTGACATGGCGGTCACGCTGGGCGCTGCTTCCACGGGGCTGGGCGGGGCTCTGTCTGTGGTTGGCGGCAGCGCGTCGACCGGTACGGGCGGGAGCCTGACGGTGACGCTGGGCGGCGCGTCGACTGGGTACGGCGGCGTGTACACGCTGGCGGCAGGGTCTGCTAGCAAGGGCACTGCGGGCGGCATGGCCGTGACGCTGGGCGATGCGTCGACGGGCAGCAGCGGTGCGTTTGTGCTGGCGGGCGGCGCGGCGACGGCCGGTACGGCGGGCGGTCTGTCGGTGACGCTGGGAGGCGTGTCGACGGGTCTGGCTGGCGCGGTTGTGGTTGGCACGGGTGCGGCGAGCACGGGCACTGGAGGCAGTGCGTCGGTGACGCTGGGCGGCGTGTCGACTGGCGTGGCTGGTGCGTTTGTGCTGGCGGGCGGCGCGGCGAGCACTGGTACGGCGGGCGGGTTGTCTGCTACGCTGGGCGGTGCGTCCACCGGGTCGGGCGGCAAGGTGGTGGTGGTTGCCGGCGGGGCGTCTGTGGGCACGGGCGGCGGGCTGACGGCCACGCTGGGCGGTGTGTCGACGGGCGAGTCCGGGAACTTCATCTTTGCTGCGGGCGGTGCCAGCTACGGCACGGCGGGCGGCATGGCCGTGACGCTGGGCGGTGCGTCGACCGGGTACGGCGGGTCGCTGACGATGTTTGCCGGGTCGGTGTCGTCTGGCACGGGCGGCAAGGTGCACATCGAGAGCGGTCAGGGCACGGGTGCGAATGGCGCTGTGGAGATCCTGGCCTACGGGGCGCTGACGGCCACTGGTGCGGGCGTGAACCTGTTTAGCTCGGCGGCGCTGGCGATGACGGGCTCGAGCGTGTCGGTGACGGGGTCGTCGATCAGCATGACTGTGGATGCACAGTCGAGTGGCACGGTTGGCACGTACACCATCGGGACGGGCGCGGTCAGCACGGGGACTGCCGGGACGATGTCGGTGTCGCTGGGCGGCGCGTCGACGGGCAGCGGCGCTGCGTTTGTGCTGGGCACGGGCGCGGCGAGCCACGGCACAGCGGGCGGCATGTCTGCGACGCTGGGCGGTGCCTCGACCGGGTCTGCTGGCGGGTACGTGCTGGGCAGCGGCGGCGCGAGCACGGGCACTGCGGGCAGTCTGAGCGCGACGCTGGGCGGCGTGTCGACGGGCACGGCGGGCTCGTACGTGCTGGTTGGCGGTGCGGCAAGCACTGGTACGGCGGGCGGTCTGGCGGTGACGCTGGGCAGCGCGTCGACGGCGGCGGCTGGCGGCATTGTCGTGGGCGCGGGCAGCGCTACGGTGGGCACGGGCGGCGGGCTGACGGTGACGCTTGGCGGCGTGAGCACTGGCCTGGCTGGTGCGTACGTGCTGGGCGGCGGCAAGGCCAGCACAGGCACTGCGGGCGGGCTTGCGGTGACGCTGGGTACGGTGTCGACTGGCACGGCCGGAGGCTTCGTGCTGTCCGGCGGCGACGCGAGCACGGGCACTGGTGGTGACATGGCGGTCACGCTGGGCGCTGCTTCCACGGGGCTGGGCGGGGCTCTGGCTGTGGTTGGCGGCAGCGCGTCGACCGGTACGGGCGGGAGCCTGACGGTGACGCTGGGCGGCGCGTCGACTGGGTACGGCGGCGTGTACACGCTGGCGGCAGGGTCTGCTAGCAAGGGCACTGCGGGCGGCATGGCCGTGACGCTGGGCGATGCGTCGACGGGCAGCAGCGGTGCGTTTGTGCTGGCGGGCGGCGCGGCGACGGCCGGTACGGCGGGCGGTCTGTCGGTGACGCTGGGAGGCGTGTCGACGGGTCTGGCTGGCGCGGTTGTGGTTGGCACGGGTGCGGCGAGCACGGGCACTGGAGGCAGTGCGTCGGTGACGCTGGGCGGCGTGTCGACTGGCGTGGCTGGCGCGTTTGTGCTGGCGGGCGGCGCGGCGAGCACTGGTACGGCGGGCGGGTTGTCTGCGACGCTGGGCGGTGCGTCCACTGGGTCGGGCGGCAAGATGGTGGTGGTTGCCGGCGGGGCGTCTGTGGGCACGGGCGGCGGGCTGACGGCCACGCTGGGCGGTGTGTCGACGGGCGAGTCCGGGAACTTCATCTTTGCTGCGGGCGGTGCCAGCTACGGCACGGCGGGCGGCATGGCCGTGACGCTGGGCGGTGCGTCGACCGGGTACGGCGGGTCGCTGACGATCTTCGGAGGGGATGTGTCACATGGCACCGCCGGTTCAATCAGCGTCATCGCTGGGCAAGCGTCCACAGGCACTGTCGGGGCCATCAAGTTCGGCACCGCAACGGCTGCGGCCGACGTCGTCGGAAGCGCGCTTGCAGGTGCCACGATCGGCAGCCTGACGCGTGTCTCAGCCTTCACGCTCACGCTTTCCGTGTCCGGCACGTGTGGTACCAACAACTACTGCAACTTCCAGACAGCCTGGACAAACAACAACGGGCAGGGAGGCGGCGCGAACAGTGTTGTTCTGTGCAACTACAAGCCAACCACTACGCCGGCTGATTCGAGCGTGCAAGAGCTGGTCATGGCGAACTGCTATGTGGACGGGGCAACCCTCTACGTGCAACTGCACTTGGCTGATGGTACGGTGCCGCCGTCTGGTGGTGCCGCAGACGGCGTCCTGCAGGTTGTGTCGTTCGAGATGTCAACGGCGGTGTCAGCTGGTACGTGCGACCACAACACGAACAACGCTGCCAAGACGTGTTCCCTGTAGAGTGCGGGCAGGGTGTAGGCGTTGTTCAGGCGTTTCGACGCTGCGTTGGAAGGCGGAGGGCAGGAGCAGTCCGCAAATTAGACAGTGAGATGGAGAGCATGGGATGAGGTGGCGCGGGGCCGAGAGAAGAGCGGAGCTGAAGCGTTCTGTGAATTCGGCCCCCAAATGAGCAGCGCTTTCATTTCATTTCACCCGAACGAGGTTCTCCTCTGAGAAACAACAGCGAGCACGGGCGTTCACAAGCTGCCTGCATACGTGTTGGACGGGCAAAGTATGCCCTCTGCTTCGCTGGCGCGCAGTGCGAGGGCGTCCATCCGCCTCGGTCGTGCCCCTTGCCTTAGCCTCCACCATGGCAGTTGATGCACCCGCGCTGAGCAGGCACCGCACTGAGAACCCTGATCGTGCGTTTCAGCCGCAACCCAGGTCGATCGTCACAACTGTTCTGTACGTTCTTGAAACTGTGTCGCGTGGTCGCACTCGTTCCATCACACTGATCACGAACTACGCTCAGCCTCCGGAGACTGCTCAACAACAACAGCGGTGGACGCAGTGTCCAGCGAGGGCGGTATTACCTCTGGCGCAATCCTCCCGCGGATCTTCCGGCTCGCCATGGGCATTTGCGACACGCGCCTCCTGTGCACCCGCACAGGCCACATGCACCAGAGCACTCGCCTGCAATCTCAACGCCGGGATTAGACAGCTTGCAAGCGCCCCCCCTCGAAGCGTGCAAGTTGCTGCCCGACATGCCACCGCCGAACGCTCTCGACGCAGCACAGCGACAATCGTGTTCGCCGCAAGGCACGAGGGCTCTGTACGTGGATGCGGGGCGAGGGTCTGATGCAAGCGGTAGCTCCCGCACCTGGTCTGCCATCCTGCTCCGGACCGGCCGCGCTCGCCGCCCGCGCCGTCGTGACGGGCATGCTCCCAGGGCGCGAGGCCCACCTCCAGCGTGGCCACCACGGGCCTGTGATCCGACGACTTGAGCGCAGAAACGCACGTGTAGCGCTGCGAGGCGGATCGACAACGGCACGCACGCGTCAGTCGATGTTCGACGCGCCAGGCGGCGACACGGTGCCGCGGGGCCGAGTCGGGCGTACCTTGACCACGGGCTCGTGTCCGCGCAGGCGGTGCTCGGTCTTGAACAGGATCCGGTCGGTCCAGCTCGGCACGCGCGCTTTCTTGCTCGTGTCGTACTTGTCCGTCCCCGGGTCGTATTTATACGTCGGCGGGAACTCAATACCCCCCTCCTGGAAATGGACAAAAGCCCGCCGGTGCCGCTGCTCGCGCCGCAGCTGGTCGTTGCCGAGGAGCACCTCCGGCAGCCCGAGGCTCAGCGCGCGGTCCGCGGCGTCGCGGTTCGCCATGATGCGGTAGTTGAGGTCCCCCAGCCAGATGGTGAGGTCGTGGCCCTTGGTGGCGTCGCGCGGCCGGTGCCAGTGGTGCCCCGCGGAGCCGCCCGCGGCCTCCGTGGCCGTCTTGAAGTTGCTGAGAGCGCGCCGCAGCAGCCCGCGCTTGATCGTGTGGTAGTCGTCGTTGCGCTGCTGCACGTTGCGCACCTGCGCCGTCAAGTGCGAGTTGACGAACAGCAGCCGCGGGCCCCCGCGGAGGGCGACCGAGATCCCCACGCCGCCCTTCGTCGCCGTGAAGTTCACCGTCTGCTTCGCGCCCGCCAGGACGGAGTCCGCCGCCACCGTGCCCACACGCCCGTGCAGCTCAGCCGACGTGAACACCATCAGCCCCAGCGCACCAAGCGTCTGCCTCCCGACCAAGTGGTAGCCGTCGCCGAGCCGCTCGAGCACCATCTGCTCCCACGCCGGCAGCGCACCGGACTCCTGACTGCACGCCAACACACACGCAGCACACGTCTCGCCAGCGACGCGCGCGACGCGCCCAGTTCCGGCACGCTGCGACACACCGCGACCTGCACCTTCCGCCCGGAACCGCGGCCCTCACGTGCGGGCGAGGCGGGGGCTGACGTCGAACACTGTCGTCGACTCACCTGCCCACAGCGATAATGTCTGGCACGTCTTCGAGCCCGAGGAGTTCGCCCAGCGCGTCGTCCAGCGCGGCGCTATCCTTGTCGCCTCCCGCGGTGGGCAGCTTGGCGCCCATGTTCCACGTTGCGACGTGGACCCGCAGCTGGCCGTGGGGCAGCTTGCCCGAACCCAGACCAGGCTTGCCTGGATGCAGGGACGACTCGCGTCGCAAGACGGCGAGGTGGGGCGCCTGCTTGAACACAGCATGCCCTTGCGCGACGTCGTCCGCGGCGACGGCGCCGTTGCTCGCGTCGCGCGAGTGCCGCGATGGCTTGGCCACGCTCGAGGACGAGCCGCGCTCGGAGTCGCCGCACAGCGAAGCCCCGCCCCCAATCCCCCGCGTAGTGGCTGTATCCGGGGCCGCTTGGGCTGGGAGCGGGTCCGGCGTCGCGTCCTCCGAAGCGCGCTCGCGCCGCGACGGCACCCTGCAGCGCCATGCACTCCGTTCGTGAAAAGCCGCGCGATGCCGGGCGGCGCGCACGGAGCTCTGCAGCGCGAGCCGTCCGGTCTGTCGAACACGCGGCCGCGCCCAGCATTGCAGGAGCCTACTTGCGCCCCCGCAGCAGGGCGTGCAAGGCAGGTGGCACCACGAAGCGCGGGCACACAGGCCAAAGAGGCCCAGGTGCGCGACGTGAGCCGCAGGTGTGGCGCGAGCAGGCAAGCGAGCGAGCTGGGGGGTGTCGGGGGCGGGCAACACTCGCCTGCCGCTGCCGCTGTTGCGCGACGAGGGCGCGTGGCTCTGTGACAACGGTGGCAGCCTCGGCACCGCGCAAGGCAGCGAGTCCAGGTCTATTCTGCTTCCCTCTCCACTCTGAGGGTCTGGCGGAAGGTGCTCGGCGCTAGGTTGAGCTATTGGCCCCTCTGGGGCGGGCGCGACAGCTGCCATGCCCTGCGTGCTGAATGCCGCGCACTCGCGGTGCTGCCGCGGACCTATCGCACGCGCATGCTGCCTCCGGCCAGAGAATGAGGTCTCGTCTCGCCTGCCGGAGTCCTACGCGGTGGATTGCGCTAGGGGGCTGTGCTGCGCGATCGACCTGTCTTGGTCATGCAAGGAGGCGTCCGCACGCCTCGAACACGCGCGCGTTGCTGCGTCGACCTCGCGAGTGGATAGTGCCGTCGACGCAGCGCCCTGATTGCGCCGCGCGAAGCTCGCCGGCCGCCGCGGCCGGACGGTGTGTCAGGAGGGGTCGTGACGGGCAGTCCGGCATGGAATCATCCCCGCGGAAAAAACGCACTGCAGTCGAGGATTCCACGACTGCGTCGTCCACCTTCGTCCCATGTCACAACCGCGCCTGTCGCGGCGCCAGCCGGCCGTCCCGCTTCCGCACGGACGCCCAGGCAGCGTCCGTCGCACGCGCCCCTCCGCTCCGCCGCCCGTCGCGCGAGACGCCGTCGACAGCATGCTGCGACCCGACGAGCCGCTGCGTCATTGCAGGCGGCCTGCATCGCCCCGCGGCCGGACCACGTCACGCCGCGGGCGCCCGCCGAGCAGGGTGGTCGGCCCGCGGGCGTCCGTGCCGCCCGCGCGGACCGAGAGGCCCTGATGCTTTCGGGGGGGGGGGTTCTGGCTGCCAGCCGTGGGACAACTTGAAACAAGGCGGGCGGAACACAAGCGGCCACGCAAGTGTGCGCAGCGGTCTCCGGTTCCGCGGGATTTCGCGCGTGGGGGCCATCCACGGTTGACGCCGCTCGAGACCGCAAGCGCTGGCCGCGTGCACTGGCTGTGTGCAGCACGCGCCGCTGCGTTGCACCTGCCGCTGCGCAGCGCGAAGCCGCCGTAAAGTCCGCTTTGACCTTGTTTCCGTAGTCTGGTCGCGCAAGACCTCGTGCCGCGGCACCTGCGGGCTGCGTGGTCGCCGAAACCCTCTAGGATGGCGGTGCCAGGCTTCGGCCTCCAGCGGGGGTGCCACGCGCGGCACGCGGTGTCTACGCCGCTCAGCAGCGCGAGATCGAGACGCTCTTGCATCTGCATGCGCGCGGGCCTCTCGCCGCGGGCGTCGGCCGCCGCGCGAGGCACCCGGCGTGGGGACAGCGGCACTGCCCGGCCCGACACGGAAACGCGGGGCGCGCCCGACGAGCGCGGGTTCCCCACCGTGCGCTCCGTCTTCATCGAGAAGCAGGAGGGCGCCGACGCGGACGCCGGCGCACCGCGTGGCAGGGACGGCACGGATGGCGGTGCTTTGGTCTCGCGTGAGAGGAAGCGCCCGCTCGCGATCAACATCGACCTCCTGCTGTACAACGCCCGCCTGGCGAACAGGTCAGTCCCTTCCTGTCGAAGTGCGCGCACGCGCGTCATCGGCCAGCCCGCAACGCGCTCGCGCGCCGGCATTTCAGGCTGCTGTGCAACGGATGGCATCCCGCGGCCAGCCGCCCGACCGCGCTGCCGAGAGAGCGGTCCGCGACGCGCGCAGGAAAGCCCACACGACGCTGAACCCCGAGACCCGAGCGCGTCTGCTCGCGGAGGCCGAGGAGACCTTCCGGGCCGCAGTGCGCAAGGATCCTGAGGACCCCCGACCGTACGTGGGCCTCGGGAAGCTGCTGGGGCGCGCGGGGCGGTGGGAGGAGGCCAGGAGGCTGTACGAGGACGGTTCCCAGGCGACGAACGGCACGTCTGCGCACCTGTGGCAGGCGTGGGCCACGATGGAGTCGCTCAGGGGGAGGGAGGGCGAGGCGCGCAAGCTGTTCGACGCGGCGACGGTGGCGGACGCGTCGCACGCTGCGGCGTGGCACGGCTGGGGCATGCTGGAGATGCGTGGCGGCAACCTCGCGCGCGCGCGCGACCTGTTTCTGCGCGGACTCAAACACGCACGCCCGGTACGCGGCCCCGCCCCGGCACCGCTCGCACGCCGCGTGCACGACGCAGCCTCGCGCATCACGCCGACACCGGGCCTGCGCACCGCACTGGACGCATGTTGGTTGCTTGCGAACCAGCAACCATGGCGCGAGGTGTTGCGTTGCGACTTGCTTGCAGGGCAATGAGAGCCCGTTCCTGTACCACTCGCTGTCGCGCGTGTGCCGCCGCATGGGCGACATCGAGGGCGCGGACATCTGGCTGGAGCGCGGCGTCGACTCCCGCCGCGGGCGCGGCAGCTTCGTGCTGTGGAAGGACTGGGCGCTCCTGGCCGCGGAGACGGGCGACATGGACGCGGCGCGCATGCGCTTCCGGCGCGCGCTGCAGATCAATCCGCGCGCGCGGTACGTGTACTCGGACTGGGCGCGCGTCGAGCGCGAGGCCGGGTCGCGGGAGGCGGCGCGCCAGCTGCTGCAGACGGGGCTGGAGCTCAACCGGACCGACACGGTGCTGATTCAGGCGCTGGCGAGGATGGAGGCGGAGGATGGGGACCTCGCGGCGGCGCGGCGGCTGTTTTTCAAGGGCACGAAGCTCGCGCCGGACCACCTGTACGTGTGGCAGGCGTGGGCGGTGGCCGAGTACGAGGGCGGTGACGTGGCGACGGCGCGGGCGCTGTTCCGGCGGGCGCTGTGGTGCCAGCCGGGCTCCCCCGACGCCGCGAAGGTCCTGCACGCCTGGGCGACGCACGAGGCCACGGCAGGGCACGAGACGCTGGCCCGCGAACTCTTCCGATGTGCCATCCTGGTGCGCGGCCCTCGCTCCCACATCGTCCACGCCTGCTCGCACCCCGCATCCACCGCACGTGATACGTCTGGAATGCAGCTGTAGCTGCGCTCGCGACCCCAGGGTGCCTCTCAGCCCGCGGTCTGCATCTGTGCCAACTGCGTATTTGTGTGCTGCGATCTCGCAGGCCGATCCGGAGAACGAGCGGTGCTGGCAGACGTTCGCGGCGTGGGAGGAGCGGTGTGGCTACGACAGGCGCGCGATGGAGCTACGGCTTGCTGCCGCCGGCGCGGGGCCGGTGCCGCCGATGCTGCCGCTGCTCCCGGCGGACGAGGCGCTCAGGGGCACGGGGATGTCCCCGAAGATCTACGCGTCGGTGGTGAAGTGGACGCAGGAGCAGGGGGAGTGGCGCGCTAAGTGGAAGGCGACGCCGCGGCAGGTGCGGCGGAGGGCGCGGGGGCCCGCGGGCGGCGACGAGGAGGAGCGAGCCGAACGGGACGACATGGACAAGCGCGGGTTCGTGTAACGCCGTTAACGCACTGCCGCGCGCCGCTTTCAGGCCAAGGGAGGTTGTTGCGCGAGCGAGTCGTGGCGAACTCGGCCCGTGTGTGCGCGCGCGAGCTACCGCGCGTTGCAACTGAGGCGTCGACGACGTCGAGAGCCGCATGTCCGACTGCGTTGTCCACCGCAACAGTGCTGCTTGTACAATGCTGCAGCATGGTTCAGTGATTGTTCTACCCCGCAGGAGCGATTCATTCATTCGCTCCGCGACACGCGAGCCGGCGGTCCGGGCACGGCGCCGCTCTCCCCTGCGCTCTACTCGAGCCCGGCTTGCGTGCCCGCCGTTGCCACATGCGGGGTCGCAGACGCGGCACGGCGTCGGCACGCATCACAGAACGCCCCCTGGTCGCCGCCGTCCGCCGTGCCCCGTCGCCGTCGACGGCCGCGCCGCCTCCCCGCCAGCACCGCGCAGCCCCAACCCCTCCGCAGCCCGACACCCCTGCATCATTGCCGCCGCCGCGCCGCTCCCTGGCCGCGGGTCCCCGCCCGGCCGCCGCTCTCCGCCGCTGCTACGCGCCCCACTCGACGGCGCCCGCGGCAGGCCCGGCCCGCTCGCCGCCTGTGCGTCCAGCGGCGCCAGTTGCTTCCGCGGTCCCGCAGGCATCATGGAAAGGTCGATTTCGGCCCGCGCTGGGCCCGCCGTCGACTGCTTCGCTCCAGCGCCGCCGGCCTGGGGTTAGAGATGCGGCGGCGGGGTGCGGGTGAGGTCGCAGCTGTGGCGCAGGCGTGGGTGGGGCGGCAGGGCGGGGGGCGCACGTGGTCGCCGAGGCGCTGCCGGAGCATGAAGAGCTCGCGGTCGCGGTCCGCAATCTTCGCGTGCAGTCGGTCGATTTCCTGGCGCTGCTGCAGCATCTGCACTGTGCGCAGTGCCAGCTCCTCCTGTAGAGCCTGCGGCGCACGCACCCGGACAGACCTCGCGCGTTCGTGTGCCAGGGATCGATCCCACGAGGAATCTTGTGCGCGTCAGCGCCCCAGGACGAGTTCCAAAGCGCGTGCGGGTCACGGAACGGAAGCCTGGTGAGCGCGCTCGCCTCGAGTTTCATGTCCCTCTCGCGCAGCATCCTCTTGTACCGCTCGTCTGCGCCCGACGCAGCTGTACTCGGCCTCTCCAGCGCGCGCATGGCCGGCACGCGCGCCCCGAACGCCGCACCGTCGCGTTGCGCGTCAGCACCTACACCTGCAACACTGCCCGGCCGCGCCTGGTCCATGGTGCGCGTTTCCCGGTCCACGAGGTGCGCCGCTTTGTTGAGTCCTCCTAGCTTCTCCGTATCAGACACTAGCCACGCTCGCTGCCTGACACGCGCCAGCGCTGGCCGCCGATCGGAGGAGGGCGCCTCCGTCACCTGCCGCGGCCCTCCCACGCCCCGCCGCTCCACTGACACCGAAGGGAAACCGTCCCGGGCCTCAAATCGCGGTCCAACGGGAACAGACGCGCGCTGCACGCCACGCAACTCTGCCCCCGCCCCGCGCCACCGCCACCCAAAGCACTGGCCTCCCCCCGTCAACACCTCGTCTCCCAACTCCCCCCCCGCGGCAACTGCCCGTCGCAGCACCACGCCCGCCCCCGCGCCGCGACGCGGACCGCCGGCCCGCCCTCCGCCCGCGGCTCACAGCGTCGCAATGAAGTTTTCCACTATCTTCATCCCACCATCAGTAATTATGCTCTCCGGGTGGAACTGCACGCCCTGGATCCACGGATACTCCTTGTGCCGCACCGCCATGATCGTGCCGTCCTCCGTCCACGCCGTCACCTCGAGGTCCTCCGGCAGCGTCTCGTCGCGCGCGATGACGAGGGAGTGGTACCGGCACGCGCCAAACGGCGACGGGAGGCCCTCGAGCAGCCCGACGTTCGTGTGCGTCACGGGCGACACCTTCCCGTGCATCACGCCGCACGGCGCGCGCACCACCTTGCCCCCGAACGCCTGCCCGATGCACTGGTGGCCCATGCACACGCCAAACACCGGGAATCCGAGGGGGCCCATCTTGCCGACGACCTCGAGCGAGATGCCCGAGTCCTCCGGCGCGCCGGGGCCCGGCGACACGAGCACGCCGCGGGGCTTCATCTGCGGGCGGCGCGGGCGCGGGCGCGGCGTGAGCGGGCGCCGCGCGGCGCGGGGACGGGCGGGCAGGCGGCGGGCGCGGGCGCGGCGTGAGCGGAGCCGCGCGGCGCGGGACGGGCGGGCAGGCGGGCGCGGGCGCGGCGTGAGCGACGGGCGGGCAGGCGCGGCGCAGGCGCGGCGTGAGCGGGCGCCGCGCGGCGCGGGGACGGGCGGGCAGGCGCGGGGCGGGCGCGGACCGCGATGAGCTCGTCGACGGTCTTCTCGTCGTTCTTGAAGACGACGTGCTCGCAGCCGAGCGTGCCGAGGTACTGGCTCAGGTTGTACGTGAAGGAGTCGTAGTTGTCGACGATGACCACCGGGCCTGTCCTGCCCTCCATCTTCGCGGCGCGCAGGGGGCGCACGGCGGCCCCTCTTCGCCGGATGCGCAGGAGCGGACCGTTTGCTGCGACGCAGCGGAGCGGTGCGCGGAGATGGGGACGCGCACGGCGTCAGGATGCGCAGAAGCCGTGATGGATCGCGCACAGGCGTGTTGCCGTGGTGGGGCGGTGCGAGGGGCGGGGGGCGCATCGACCGCGACGGGTTATGGGGGGAGCGGATGACCGGGGATCTGTTGCGCGCGTCAGATGGCAGCGTGCGAGCTCGGTGCGCGCGCGGGCGCTGTGAGGCGCACCTGGGACGGCCCTGACGTTTGCGGCCGTCGTGGGCGCAGCCGCGGGCGGCGCGCCGGCCCGCAGGAATGGCATGAGCTGGAGCTTCGTGTGGCCGGGTTTCCAGAGGCTGGTCGTCGCTGGAACAGATCGAAATGTCTACTAGTCGAGGAGCGCAGGTGCTTCTGGTGCAGCAGCGCGACCTTTCGGCGAAGTGACGCGGTGGCTGCGGCCGCGGCGGGTGGCGCTCGCTCGCAGTGTGCCGCGGCGCTCTGCCTGCGGGCGGAAACGAGCTGGCTGCGGCGCAACGTCAGGTAGAATGAACAGCAAGTACAACCGGCCGAGGCGGGTGGCCCTCAGCCGCCCGTGCGGGCTACGACGGGCGCTCCTTCGCCCCGCGGGCCGCAGAGCGTATTTCCAGGACTGCCCTCTCGTGCTCGACGGAGGTCTGGGAAGGCGGAACCAGCACCTGCGCGAGCCGAGGCACTAGCAGCTGCTCGGCCCCGCGCGGCATCCGGGCGCGATGGCGGCGGTCAGCAGCGCGTCGGGGCTCATTGCTCTTTTGCAGGAGCCGGATACGACGCTGCGCACGCACGCACTCAAGTCCCTGACGTCCGTTTGCGATGAGTTCTGGTTCCAGATCTCAGGCTCCATTTCCGTCGTAGAGAACCTATTCGAGGACGATGCCTTCCCAGAGAAGGAGCTCGCGGCCCTCCTGGCCTCCAAGGTACCGCCCACTCCCGCTCGTCGCCCACACATCCCCCCCTCGCCCTCCCCCTCCTCCAAAGACTCTGACAGTCGTCCGCGGACCCCGCGCCGCGGGCTGCTTCAGAGCGCGACCTCGCGACGCGGAACCCAGCTCCTGCGCCCTCTGCGTGCGGATCTGCCGCCAGCGCGCCCAGCTGGCCGGCAGGCGCCCCGTCGTCGCCCTCACAAGGCGCCCCGCTCCGTCTCCAGGTCTTTTACCACCTCGGGGAGCTCGAGGACGCCCTGACGTACGCCCTCGGCGCCGGCGCGAAGTTCGACGTGACGGACAACAGCGAATACGTCCAAACGCTCATCGGTGCGGACCCCCCCGGCGCCGCGCGGCCGCCTGGTCTCTCGAGCCCCGCCGCTCCACGCACCCGCGGCCAGCGCTCGCTGGGGCGCGGACCCGCCGCGTTGGCGCGCCCGCCCGCAGCCCCAGCTCCGATCCACGCGTGGCCCGCAGCCGCCCGCCCGCTTCGTTCTCCCTGCGCGACGCCACGCCCGCCTCTTTCCTCCAGAGCGGCTTCCACGCCCCGTTCGTGCGCGCCGCGGCCGCGCGGCTCCCCTCCCAGCGCCCAACGAGCGCCCTTGCAGCTCACGCGGCCCCCGCCCGCCCCCTTGCAGCGCAATGCATCGACAAGTACGTGGCGCAGCGGGTGCGCATCGACGACGGGCTGGCCGAGGCCGGGGAGGAGATCGACCCGCGCCTCGAGGACATCGTGGAGCGCATGCTCGACCGCTGCATGATCGAGGGGCAGCTCGAGCACGCCATCGGCGTCGCGGTCGAGGCCCGGCGGCCGGACCGCGTCGAGGCCGCTGTCTGCGCTGCGGGCTCCGCCGGCGAGCCGCGCCTGCTCGCGTACATGCTGGGCATCACCCGTGACCTCGTCATCAGCCAGAAGTTCCGCGAGACGCTGCTCCGGCTCGCCGTGCGCCTGTATCGCAAGCACGCGGAGGTAGGTTGCCACGCGCCGCCGACGCGACACTCGCCCGCGCGCCTCGCCGCCGCCGACGCCCTCACCGCGCCGCCCGCCCCGCGCCACGCAGCCGGACTGGGTCCGCATGTGCGACTGCCTGATGGTCCTGGGGGAGTCGAAGGAGGTCGCGGAGGTGCTTGCGAGCCTGGTGCGGTCGGGCGACGCGGCCAAGGTGGGCCTCGCGCTGCAGGTCGCGTTCGACCTCGTCGCCGCCGAGCAGCCGGGCTTCACTGGGGACGTCGCGCACCAGCTCGCGGACCTCGCGCCGAAGCCCGAGCCCGCGCCGGCGCCGCAGCAGCCCGAGGGCGCGGTCACGGACGCCGGCGCCCCCTCGGACGGCAAGCCCGCGGGCGACGCGGGCGAGGAGGAGACGCCCGAGGCCGCGAACTTCCGGCGCCTCCAGGCGATCATGTCGGGCGAGGAGCCGATCAAGCTGCAGCTGCACTTTCTGTCGACCAAGCGCAAGACCGACCTGCACATCGTCAAGGTCATCAAGAAGTACATCGACTCGCGCTCGAGCATCCTCCACTCCGCGACGGTGCTCGCGAACGCGTACATGACGTGCGGGACCATGGAGGACACGTTCCTCCGCGACAACCTCGACTGGCTGTCGCGCTCCACCAACTGGGCCAAGTTCTCGGCCACGGCGGGCCTGGGGCAGATCCACCGCGGACAGATCCCGCGCGCGCGCAACCTCCTCGCGCCGTACCTCCCGCGCACCGCCGGAGGCACGCCGGGCGCCGCCACGACGGCCGAGCGCGGCGACGGTGGGTTCGCCATGCCGACGGGCGGCGGCGGCAGCGCGTCGCCGCCGTACTCCGAGGGCGGCGCGCTGTACGCGATGGGCCTGATCCACTCGCGGCACGGCGAGCCCGCGCGCGAGTACCTGCTTGGGCAGCTCCGCGCGGCGACGCACGAGGTCGTCCAGCACGGCGCGTGTCTGGGCACGGGGCTGGCGTTCATGGGCTCGAACGACGCGGGGGCGCTGGAGGACGTGAAGCAGGTGGTGTACAACGACAACGCCGTGGCGGGCGAGGCCGCGGGGCTCGCGATGGGGCTCGTGCAGATCGGGGCGCCTGCGGGGGAGGCCGCGGACGAGGCGGCGGCGGAGATGCTGGCCTACGCGCTCGACACGCAGCACGAGAAGATCACGCGCGGGCTCGGAATGGGCATCGCGCTGCTGATGTACGGCCGCGAGGCGCGCGCCGAGGTGATGGTGGAGCAGATGGCGGGCGCGCAGGACCCCATCGTGCGCTACTCGGCGATGATGGTCGTGGGGCTGGCGTACCGCGGGACGTCGAACAACCACGCGATCCAGCGGCTGCTGCACTTCGGCGTGTCGGACGTGTCGCACGACGTGCGGCGCGCGGCGCTCATGGCGCTCGGGCTGGTCATGTGCGACCGCCCCGAGAAGTGCCCGCGCCTCGTGGCGCTCCTGAGCCAGTCCTACAACCCGCACGTCCGGTACGGCGCCGCGATGGCCGTGGGGCTGTCGTGCGTGGGCACGGGCCTGCGCGAGGCCGAGGCGCTCCTGAAGCCGCTGCTCACCGACCACACCGACTTCGTGCGGCAGGGCGCGCTCATCGCGATGGCGCTCGTCATGGTCCAGCAGCCGGAGCCGCGCCTGAAGGACTTCCGCGCGCACCTCGACAAGACGATCACCGCGCGGCACGAGGAGGTCATGAGCAAGATGGGCGCCATCATGGCAGCGGGCATCGTCGACGCCGGCGGGCGGAACTGCACCATCCAGCTGCGCACCGCCGCGGGGCAGATCCGGCAGCAGAGCGTCGTCGGGCTCGCGGTGTTCACCCAGTACTGGTACTGGTACCCGCTGGCGCACTTCCTCTCCCTCGCCTTCACGCCGACGTGCGTGGTCGGCGTCGACGAGAAGCTGCGCGTCCCCGAGGTCGCGCTGGACTGCATGTGCAAGGCGTCGACGTTCGCGCCCGCCCCGCCGCTGCCGGCGGACGCCGGCCGGCAGGCCTCGCGCGCGCAGCGCGCCGTGCTGTCGTACACGCGCAAGAAGAAGGGCGACCCGGCGGACAAGGCTGGCGGCGCCGCGAAGGCCGCGGACGCCGGCAAGGCCGCGGACGCCGGCAAGGCTGGCGCGGGTGCCATGGAGGTCGATGGCGCAGGGCCGAGCAAGGCCGGCGCGATGGAGGTCGATGGCGCGGCGGGCAAGGGCGGCGGCGAGAAGAAGGCTTCGGGCGGCGACGGGGACGCTGAGATGGCGGGGGAGGGCGAGGCGAAGGACGCCAAGGCGCCGGAGCCCACGCAGCACAAGCTGGAGAACCCTGCGCGCGTGGTGCCGGCGCAGGTGCAGTTCGTGCGCGTGCCGGAGAGCTCCCGGTGCGTACTCGCGGCGCCGGACCGCGCGCCGTCAGGCATCGTCGTCCTGCGCGACACGGCCGCGGACCCGGAGGCCGACCCCCCCAAAATCGTCTTCCCGGAGCCCCCCGCGCCCGCGCCGGCCGCCGGGGACGCCGCGGCGGCCGAGGGCGACAAGGCCGCGGGCGACGGTGCGCGCAACGACGGCACGGAGCGCGAGGGCGCGCCTGCGCGCACGGGGGGCCTCTTTGACCAGGATGCGGGGGAGGGCACGCCGACGTTCGAGGCTGGGCGCCGGGACAGCGAGGAGGACGGCGGCAACGACGACGACGACGAGGACGACGACGAGGAGGAGGACGACGACGACGACGAGCCGGCGCCGCCCGAGGATTTTGAATACGACGGCCAGCCGCACAACAACGCGTGAGGGGTGCCCGGGGAGCGAGGCACGCGGCGGGCGTCGCGGGACGAGCGAGGGCGGGCGGAGACGGCGGCGAGTAACTGCGTTGGGTGGCCGAGCAACCGTGCAGCGCCGGGTCCAGGGGCGACTCGCGGGTCGTGTAACTCGACCCATGAAATTCAAGCTCGCGAAGCCTCATGGCCGACATCGTGAAGCACGCATGACAGCTCATCTGACACTCTCGAGCGTGCCGCGACGTCCTGCGCGATCTCCGCTCCGTCGCCGGGACCCACGTGCTGTGCCTCTGTGCTATGTAGCGGCGCCGTGCGGTGACGCAATGCGCCTGCGCTGAAATTCACACGCACGCATACACCCCGCGAACGCTTTATGCGCACACCCCTGCCTGCCCGTGGTTCTCCGCGTCGCGCTGCGCAGTGAGGCAACGCGGGCCCTTGCGCGGTCCTCCGTGGGACTGACGGCGTCCTGCCTCGACTCGTTCGGGCGGCCAATCACACTGCAAGACGACCCGCCTCGCCGTCTCAACGCCTAGTAGTGCGACCCGACCTTGCGGTGGTGCACGGCCGTCAGCGCCGAGTCACTCAGCACCTTGCCGTCCGTGACCATCGCGTACACCACCCAGTGGTCCCCGGCGTCCATCCGCGACTCGACCCGCGCGTCCACGTACGACGCAGCGTCCGCCAGGATCGAGCACTTGGTCATCTCCGACTGCTTGGTCGCCAGCGCCGACAGCCGGTCCTCGCCGGCCTTGAACGGCTTGGTCAGGTGCCGCATCGCCTGCTTCTCCTTGCCCTCGGCGAGGATCGACAGCGAGAAGGGCGCGCCCGTCGTCAGGAGGGGCTCGATCGCGCGGTCCTTCTTGACGGCGACCGTGATGCCGGGGGGGTCGAAAGACGCCTGACTGACCCACGAGGCGAGCATGGCTGTCTCCTTGCCCTCGCCGCCGTCGTCTTGCGAGCGGGCCGTCACCACGCACAACGCGCCGACGATGCGGCCCATCGCGAGCGTAAGCGCGTTGGCGTTCGCGGTGGCCGGCGCCATGCCTGCCACCTTCTGCTCCTTCCGACGCTGCCGCTTGCGGACCTCCTGCGCCAGGTCCGTGCCGCACTCCTCGCAGACTTGCAGCTTCTGCACGCGCACGCGAACGAAACACGAGACGGCGATGAGCGGCAACGCCACGAACACGACGCGGTGCTGAGTGGTGACCGCAACGCTGCAGACGACGTCACGGCGCCGCCCCGGGCCACAGCCCGAACGCCGATGCCTCTGCACGTCGACCTCAGTCAGGGCCGCCGCGCACCGTCGGGTCGGGCTTGAACTTGATGCGCACGGGGTCGAAGGCAAAGGTGTAGCCTGCGTCCTTCAGCTTCCCATACATCTCGTCAACGGCCTCCCCGCTCCACCCGAACGACCCGAACACGCCGGCAGGCAGTGTCCCGGCGTTGGGCTGCTGCAGGAGCGTCCCGAGCGCGGCCTGCACCTGCGTGGGCATGTGCCCGCCCAGCGTGGGCGATCCAATGGCAAACCCGCTGGAACGGCGCACGGCCTCCGCGACCTCGTCCGCCGTGGCCGACTCGAGGTTCACCATCTCGACGCCGACGCCCGCCTTGGTGATCCCGCGCGAGATCGCCTGCGCGATCGCCGTGGTGTTGCCGTACGCCGACGCGTACAGCACCGCGACGGTGCACTTGTCCGCCGCCTCGAGCTGCTCCTGCAGCCACGCGTCGTAGCTCGACAGCAGCTCGGCCACCGACGAGCACACCGCGGGCCCGTGCAGCGGGCACAGCAGCGCCGCGGGCCGCTCCTCGGCCGCCACGTCCGACGACGACAGCCCCGTCCAGCGCATCAGCGCGGACTTCGTCCCGCGCCACAGGTCCGAGCCGCCGGCGCCCGCGGGCACGATTGCGAGCTTCTCGCGCGCCGAGAGCGCCTGGCGCGCCACGGGCGCGAGCATGCACTCGAAATAGTGTCGCCACAGCGGGCCGTACTTGTCCCAGCCGCCCGACGGCGGGGGGTCGGTCGCCTCGGAGCCCGGCGCCGGCGCGGCGTGGCACGAGAAGAGCTTCGAGGAGAAGAGGATCTTCGTGCTGCCCTGGTACACGCTCACGAGGTCGGGCCAGCGGGGTGTGGGCACGTGCGTCAGGTCGAGCGACGACCCGCCGATGTCCACGCGGTTGTCCACGCCGGCCTGCGTCTGCCCGCGGACGCGCTCCGTGCTCACGTGCGACGCGAGGTCCCCCTCCGCCGCGAGCGCCGCCTTGAGGATCTGCTCTGCGGGGTTGGACAGGTACACGCGAAGCGGCTTGCCGCCCGCGTCGCGGTGGGCCCGGAGGAACGCCTTCAGCGACGGGACGCGGAACGGCGAGATGTGCGTGACGATCAGGTCCGTGACCGCCGCGAGCGAGCCGCCGCGCACAGCGCCGGGGAGCGCCGCCATCCACTGCGCGCAGTACGCCTCGTCGGGCGCGTCGACCAGGACGACGCGCTTGGTGCCGTGGACGACGTAGGTGTTGTCGCACGAGCCGCGGTTGAGGCCGTACTCGATCTCGGGCTTCAAGCGCTTCTTGCACACGCAGCGCAACATGGTCACGCCCTTCACGACCTGCAGGACGTCCACGCGGTCGATCTCGACGAGCGCCTCCTTCGGCGGGGGCTGCGGGGTGGGGGGAGGGCGGGCGTCGTGTGAGGTCGGGGGCGCGCGGGAGCGGGGCGCGCGGATGCTAGGGCGGTTGAGGGAGAGAGAAAGAAAGAGAGAGAGAGGGCAACGGGTGGTTTGGACGCACCTTGACCTCCTTGCCCTCGCTGTCGACGTACTTGGTGTCGTTGACCGCGGACTTGGAGTCGACGCCGATGCCGTCGGCCGCGGTTGCAGTGACAGAGACAGCGGAGCGCCCCGCGCGGCGCGAGGAGCTCGGCTGGGCCGTCAGCCGCGCGCGTGCGTGGCGGTGGACATCTTTCTGACGCAGCGCGGCCGCGCCCGCGCGCCGCGCGCCCTGCAGGAGAGCATACGGGGACGGTGGTTGATCACTCGCGGACGTGTTTCGTGCCCGCTGAGGCCCGCCGCGGCCCCCCAGCGCGAGGCCGCTGCGCGACCTGAGGCTCCGAGGCAGAGACGGCCAGAAGGGAGAGTGCGCGTCGCTCAACGGGCCGTTCCGACCGCGCGCGCGCAGTCAATGGGCTGGAGGGTAGGTGGCACGGCAACGCCCGCCGCACAGCGTACAGGAAGCCTGCGAGTGCTTCTCGGGTAGCCAGTTGCCTCCGCTCGATATAGCACGTGCTGCTCGGGCGCACTCGTCCGCCCGGCCCCCCGGGCCGCAGCGAACACGCGGCTTCCCCCACCGGCGCAACAACTCGCGGCGCGGCCGCAGCGAGCACACACCATCGAAGATACGTGCGCTGAGGCGGATCAGGGCGATACGCGAGCCGCACAGCGCGCACGAGCGGTCCGGGGCGCGTCGTGCGGCGCGGAGCGGGGCGACCCACCTGGAGTGCTGGCACAATCCCCATACCTGCGCCCTGTCACGCGTCCTCCGCGCGCGCGAGATGGATCAGGAGCGCCCCCTCGAGCAGCGGTGAAGGAATGCAGTCGCCGGCACGCCCCGCCGCCAATGCGTCGTCGCCGGCGCGCCCTGAGGCGGCCGGGAGATCTCAGCCAACTGCTGATCGTTTCCAGTGGGCCAACCGCGGGGCGTTCCCGGGGCCTAGACGGCCGTGCGACGCGAGATGCCGGCCAGTCACAATCCAGGTGGTTCCGCCTGAGTGTTGCAACGACTTCGCGATGCCTGTCGCAGCGGCTGGACGCGTAGTCACCAAGACGGCAGGGGCGCCCGCGCTCCGCGCGCAGCGCAGGGCGGCTCCCAGCGCCGCGCCCGCGCACCCGCGCAGAGGCGATGTCGTCTGCGGCGCGGTGCCGGGCCGCGGGCCCCAGAACGTGAACGCAGCGGCGGTGCGCGCCTGCCCCGCCTCCTCCACAAGCCCTCACCAACCGCACGCAGCGCCCGCGCGCACGCACACATAGGGCCGACACTTCCGCCGCCGCCTGCGCGCCGCTGCCCGGCGCCCCACCGCGCCGCGCTCGACGGCCCGTTTCCGCCCACGTCGAGGCCGGCGGCCGCGCCTCCAGACGGCCGGGGGCCGCAGGCTTGTGCTGACCGCTCCGTGCGTCGCCCCGGGCGCGCTCGCAGGTCTCCTTCGGCGCGGGGAAGCTCTCGGACATCACGGAGTCGGCTGAGTACCCCGGCAAGCGCCTCCAGGTCCAGGTCGTGGAGGTTGCGGAGAACACCCTGGCGATTCGCTGCCTCGACTGGGACCGCGACCGCTTCGACATCGAGTTCGCGCTGCAGGTGCCCCCCCCACGCGCCGCGCCGCCCCCTTCTCGCTCCATCGCCTCGAGGCCGCACCCGCGCGGTCCGCGCCAGCGACCCTCCAGCCCGCGAGCCAGCCCCCACGTGCTTCCCACGCCGCGCCGCGCCGCAGGAGGGCACCACGTACAACTCGTACCTCATCTTCGGCGAGGAGAAGACCTGCCTCGTCGACGCCTCGCACGAGAAGTTCCGCGGCGCGTACCTCCCGGCGCTCCAGGCCGAGGTCGTGGCGCGCGGCCGCGCTGGCATCGACTACCTGGTGTGCTCGCACACCGAGCCGGACCACTCCGGCCTCGTCGCGGACGTGACCGAGCTGTTCCCGAGCGGCCCGCAGACGACGGTGGTGGGCTCGAAGGTGTGTCTCCAGTTTTTGGCCGGGCTCAACCCTGGGAAGGAGCTGACGACGATGGAGGTCAAGGGCGGGTCGGTGGTGGACCTGGGCGGGGGCCACGAGCTGGAGTTCACGGTCGCGCCGAACCTGCACTGGCCGGACACGATGTTCTCGTACGACCGCAAGACGGGCGTGATGTACACGTGCGACGCGTTTGGCAGCCACCTGTGCACGGAGGCGCCGTTCGACGTGGGGCTGCACCAGCTGCTCCCGCACTACCGGTTCTACTACGACTGCCTGATGAAGCCGAACGCGCGGTCCGTGCTGACGGCGCTGCGCAAGATCAAGTCGGCCGGCTGGGAGCCGACGACGGTGGCCAACGGGCACGGGCCGATGCTGCACTACAACCTGACGGAGCTGATGGACAAGTACAAGTCGTGGTCCGAGGAGGCCGGGAGCGCGACCGCGAGCGTGTGCGTCCTGTACGCCGCGGAGTACGGCCACGGCGACCGCCTGTCGCAGACGCTGGCGCGCGGCATCACCAAGGCCGGCTGCGCGGTCGAGATGGCCGACGTGCTCAGCGTCGACCCGCAGGAGCTCGTCGCGATGGTCTCCCGCAGCGGCGCGGTCGTCATGATGGCGCCCCCGGCCTCGAGCAAGGAGGCGCGCAACACCATGGCCGTGCTCCTCTCGTGCATCAAGAGCAAGCAGAAGGCCATCATCGCCGAGTCCTTTGGCGGCGAGGACGAGCCCGTCGACACCATGGCCGCGCAGTTCACCAACGTCGGCGTCGAGCTCGCGGCCAAGCCCCTGCGCGTCAAGGCCACGCCCGACGCCGCCATGTACCAGCTGTACGAGGAGACGGGCACCGACCTGGCGCAGCAGCTCACGTCCAAGGAGGCGATCGCGGCGAAGAAGGCCGCCATGTCCGCCGACGGTGCGCACCCGGGCGTTGCCGCACCGCCGCCGCCGCCGCTGTTTTCGAGCGCTGCGTGCGCCTGCTCGCTCGCTGCGGAAGACTGACGTGTTTCTACGCGTGTGGCGGTGCTTTGCAGTCGCGAAGGCGCTGGCGCGCGTGTCCGGCGGGCTGTACGTCGTGACGGCGAGCAACGGGTCTGCTCGCTCTGCGATGATCGCCTCCTGGGTGAGCCAGGCGTCGTTCGAGCCGCCGGGCCTCACCGTCGCCGTCGCGCACGACCGCGCCATCGAGTCCCTGATGCAGGTCGGCGACTCTTTCGTCCTCAACTGCCTCGGCGACAAGTCCGTGCAGCCCATCATGAAGCACTTCCTGACGCGGTTCCCGGCCGGTGCGGACCGCTTCAAGGGCGTGGACCACTTCGAGGGCTCGAACGGCGTGCCCGTGCTGTCGGACGCGGTGGCGCACATGGAGTGCCGCGTGGTGAGCCGGATGGAGGCGTCGGACCACTGGGTGGTGTATGCCGAGGTGACGGCGGGCGGCGTCGCGGACCCCGACGCGCAGACGTCCGTGCACCGGCGCAAGGTGGCCACTTACTACTAGGCGGCGCGGGCGCGCACAGAACCGCCCGCTGGAACCAACACCACCGTGGCAGCAGCAGCCAGTACGCCACCGAGAGGAAGACGTCTTTTTGTCCCGACGCTTGTGAGCACGTGTTGCTTTGCACGACTTCGAAGAAGCACACATGTTTCCTGAGGAGGGGGCGATATGCGGCGGCCTGTTCGGGCGCGAGCGCTGTTGTGGCCAGAGGCAGCAGATGGGCGCACGACGCGCCCGATATGTCAGCGATAGCGGCACTGCATTGTTGCGACTCATTCGATGTTCCGTGCGCAGGGTTGTCTATGCTCGGTCGCAAAGCCCTCTGAGGACGGCCTGAGCGGCGTTGCACTGCACGGAACCAGCCATGGTGGGACTAGACGCTTGACAGCGCGACACGCGGCGAGTCTGAGTTCTAGCTTTCACAATCCTACTCGGGCTGGCCACCGCCCCTCACCGCCGCAGCCCCGGGGCGCCCTCCGCGCCGCTCTCCACCACGTAGCGCGCTTAGAGCTTGTCCTCGTACTCCGACAGCGGCTGCGGCTCGGGCTTGAGGCCCTTGCGCTTCCTGACGTCGAGCATGATGACGCCGGCCTGGGACTCGAGCTTGAGCGGGTCCTGCGGGATGGTCTCCCAGTGGTCGAACACCATTTGCGGGAAGGCCTGGCCCGAGGTGGCGGCGCGGAGGTCGCCGGTGAACCCGAACGAGTTGACGACGGGGAGGTAGGCCTTGATGTTGTACATGGGCGTCCCCGGGCGCTGGACCTCCTCGAACACCTGCCCGCGCTTGGTGTTGATGCACGAGTAGATGCCGCCGAGCGCGGGCTCGGGCGCCTGGATCTCGACGAGGAAGACGGGCTCCTGCAGGCGCGGCTGGGCCGTGAGCTCCGAGGCGAAGAGGACGCGGCGCGTGGTGGGGATGAGCTGGCCGCCGCCGCGGTGGATGGCGTCGGCGTGCAGCGTCACGTCGTGCAGCTGGAACAGGATGCCGCGCATGGGCTCGTCGCAGAGCACGCCCTTGGCCGTGGCGTCCTGGAACCCGGCGACGACCGAGTCCTTGATCTCGTTGAGGAACTGCACACCCTTGGTCACGTCGACGACCAGGTTGGGGCCCGTGGTGTCGGGGCCAAAGCACCAAATCTTCTTGGCCTCGTCCTTGTCCCAGCCAAAGGTGTCGACGAGCTTCTTCGAGCGGTCCTTGGGGTCGTCGCGCGGCGTGATGTCGCCCTCCTCGATCGCGTGCGCGAGCTCCTCGTCCATGGGCGTGGCCTTGAAGTACAGGCGGTTGTGCTTGTTGGGCGACTTGGACATCACCACGCGCTCCGACTCGACCGTCACCGTCTCGCGGAACGGCACGACCGGGTCCGACACCACCAGCTGCGCGCCGCCCATGAAGTCGTCCTGCAGGTCCTTGAGGCAGATCTCCAGGTGCAGCTCGCCGGCGCCAGCGATGATGCACTGCTTCGTCTCGTCGTCCGTCGAGCACTGGACCATGGGGTCCGAGCGCGAGAGGCGCTTCAGGCCCTCGACGAGCTTGGGCAGCAGCGAGGGGTCCTTCGTCGTGACCGCCACGCGCACCACGGGCGACACGGAGAACTTCATGGGCTTCATCGGGTGCGCGTCCACGGCGTCCGAGTCCACGATGGTGGCCGTCTTCGCGATGTACTGGTCCAGGCCGACCAGCGCGCACGTGTTGCCGCACGGCACGTCCTCCACGGCGTCCTGGCGGCGGCCCATGCACAGCACCGTGCGCTGGATGGCCTTGGTGTACAGGTCCTTCTTCTCGCCGACGACGAAGTTCGAGCCCATGATGCGCGCCTTCATGCCGCCCGAGACCTTGCCCGCGAACACGCGCCCGAACGCGAGGAAGCGCCCGGTGTCGCCGATGGGGATCATCTTGGACACGTACATCATCAGCGGGCCGTTGGGGTCGCAGTTCTTGAAGGCCGTGGCCCACTTGTCGTCCTGCGGGCCCTCGTACAGCGTCTCCACGCGGTACTTCTGCGCCACGAAGGGCGAGGGGAGGTGGTGCACCATCATGTCGAGCAGCGCCGTCGAGGCGGGCAGCCAGGCCTGCAGCGTGCGCTTCATGAGCGCCTTGCCCACGAGCTCCTTGTCCTCGGCCTTGAGCTTGATGTTGAGCTTCTCGAGCATGCCGAACAGCTCGTCCTTCTTGTCGTTCATCGCCAGCTGGATGATCTTGTTGATGGGCTCGTAGATGAACTGCACGAAGCCGCGCTTGGCGCCGTCGCGCTCCTCCTTGTACCACTTCTTCGCCTTCGCGTCGAAGAAGTTGTCGCCCCACAGGCGGTCCATCATCTTCTCCTCGGCCACGCCGAACTTGGCGGCGTACATGCGCGCAAAGGTCAGCAGCGTAAAGGCCCAGCCGTGCAGGCCCGCGGAGAAGCACACCGTGCCCTGCTCGGGGTACACCTGCTGGTCGCCCAGCTTCTTGTCCGACGAGTACGTCGCCAGGATCACGTTGACGTTCTCGATCACCTTGCGGAAGGTGTTGAAGGCCTCCTCGGGGTCCATCTGGAGCTCCAGGAAGCACCGGTCGAGCTTGTTGACCGTCAGGACCGGCTTGATGCGCTCGCCCAGGGCCTGGCGCAGCACCGTCTCCGTCTGCACGCACACGCCCTCGATGCAGTCGACCACCACGAGGGCGCCGTCCGTGATGCGCAGGGCAGCCGTCACCTCCGAGGAGAAGTCGACGTGGCCGGGCGAGTCGATCAGGTTGATCAGGAAGTCGTTGCCGTCGCGGGGGTGCTGCGGGGGCGCGGGAGGGGGGGCGGGGGCGGCTCGGACGGGGGCGCGGGCGGAGGCTGGGCAGGAGCCGTGGCAGTTTGGTCCGGGGCGCCGCGCAGGGGGCGCCTCCGGCCACGCGCCGCGGCGCTGGATCGCGGGCGTGATAAAGTGGTTCGGGCGGGCGAGGGAGGCGGCGCGCGCGGGTCCGGGCGACGCACCTTGAGGCCCTTGAGCTCCTCGTCCGTCATCTTGTAGTACAGCGAGATACCGGTGGACTTGATGGTGATGCCACGCTCCTGCTCGTCAGCGCGGGTGTCCATGACGCGGGCGTCGCCGGCCGTGGCCTCGGCGATAATCCCCGCGGCGGCCACCAGCGAGTCGGTGAGGGTCGACTTGCCTGCGATTGCGACGCGGGGGGCGCGCGGGGTCAGGCGGCTTCGACGGAGCGGATAAGCGTGCGGCGCCTGGGGCGACCGGATCCGCGGTCGGCTCACGGGACGGCGCGCGGCCGGGCAGGTTGGATCTGCCTGCTCGCCCGCCAGCTGGAATGACGCGTTCGTGGGCCGCCAGATCCGCGCTCGCGGCGTCCAAAAGACAGACCGCAATGTGTGCCGACATAATTTGCGGGTATCATTCGCGGCAAACGCCCAGCGAACGCAGCAGGGCGGGAAACGCTGCGCCGGTTGTGCCAGCGCCCGCGCGCCGCCTGCGCGGCCGCCGGGCCGACGCGGACGCGCGGGTTCGGTCGACCGGAATCAGTGGAGCGGCCGCGGGGCACGAGCCGCCGCAGGTGCTGGCTGGGCGGGCGCGGCGACCGCAACCGGCTGCGCCCATCCCGGGCCGAGGGCTCCTCACCGTGGTCGACGTGCGCAATCACCGACATGTTGCGGATGTTCTGGTTCTTGTCCATCAGCTTGCGCATCTCATCCACCGTGAACTTCGGCATGGTGGCTCCTGATTCGCGACGAGTCGCGCTGCAACACCCGGGGCTCGGGAGCTGGAGAGAGGTCGTGCGGAGCGGGTGCGTCCGACGGAGAGGGCGTGCACGAGCGGCCCGCGGCGCAATGGCCTGCCTCGGGCGCCCGCGCGTCGCACAGCGCGTTTCTTCTCTTTCACTCCACCCCTTACAGCTGGAGCCCGAGCAAGGCCACAACCGCGCCCGAGCGGCGCAGCACCCCCGCACTCTATCGTTCGTGCCCACCTCCGGGTCGCTAGCTCGCCAGCGGCATGTCGTTCCGCGTGCGTGGCGTGCACTCTCTGCCTGCGCGGCGCCAGCTCCACCACGGGTGCCCGCGCAGCGCACCAGCGACGCCAGCGGGCGCACACGGGAGCCGGAGGCAACGTGTTGCCGCCGACGCAGTCGAGCACGCCGAACTCCGGCCCCGATGCCGGCATCTTCGCCGTGTAGCCTGTGCTGCCAAGCCAGGAGGGGAGCGCGAGGCGAAGGATCCCGCGGCGTTCGAGAGCATGGATGAGCTCAGGGAATATCTGCATAAGTCGGACGGGCAAGGATGGATCGCCGGAGCGCTCAACGGGCTGTCACAAGCCGCGTTTGGGAAAGATGCCAGAGGGGTGCTGGGCGGGTTCTACAGGTCCGCCCTGCGCGTCTCATCGCCCGAACTGATCCGTCGCGCACGAGCACCCATCGCAGTGCTCAAATTCAGTGCGGCCGTGCCCGTCCGATGACGTCAGGGCCCCGCCCAGCGCCTCGACCTACCACCAGTGAGCCTCGACGCCCGTCTCGCGGTTCCACAAACGCGACGCCCCGTTGCGCACCGCAGGAACGCGGTCAAGCTGTTCAGCTCGACCGACTCCGGCGTCGCGAGCCGCCCGGGCTACGTCCCGACCCCCGGCCAGGCTGCCGCAGCGCGCGGCGAATCGCACCCGGCCGCGCGCGTGGACGTCACGCACGACGTGGCCTCCGCGAGCGACGCGGACCTGGACAAGCTCGCGGGCGTCCTCATGTGCGGCCGGACCCGGGCCCGGTCCGTCGCGGCTCGCTACCCGCCCGTGTTGAGCACCGACGCCGACGACCTGCTCACGCGAGTGGTGGCGATCAAGCAGGCAGTGCCCATGTGCGACGTCAGCCTGATCATCGAGCGAGCACCCCGGGCGTTCCTCGAGCCGCGCACCGACGACGTGGCCCAGGCTGCCGCCCAGAGGTGCGACACCTGCGCACACGTGCCATGCCCGCGACGTGCAGCCGCATCGGCCCCTCCCGGCGGACACCGCAACACGCTGCGAGTGCGCGCGCGACGCACGCGTCGAGACCCCACGGACTCCCCCCGCCCCCCTGACGCAGAGTTCTGGAGCTGACACAAGCCCTGCCCGGCGTGGACCTGTCGATGCTGATTCACGAGGACCCGATGCTGCTGTTCGATGACATCATGGACGGCGTGCAGGCCATGCGGGACATGTGGCCCGGGATCGACGACGGCGGCGAGGGCGGCTGGGAGGACGCAACGGCGGCCGCGGTGGCCTCCGAGGGGGGCGCGTCGGTCGCGGGAATGTGCCTCGCGATCAGGGCCCTGTCGAAGGTCGGTCCACCGAATCGCGTGTGACGCAGTGGCCGAGACACCCCCAGGCGCTCGGGGTCTGGTCTCTCCTGACAGCATGTGTGTTGTGTTGCCGCCAGACCGTGCGCGGGGCCGCCACGCGGCGACTCGAGCGTGTGGAGGCTCGCGTCGCCGCCGGGGCGCTGCATGCGAGCCTCAAGGTCTGCGCCGGGTGGGGGGAGTATCTTTGTGTAATGGTTCTACTGCGCGGTCGAACTGCGGGCAGCCTGAAGGGCGCGGGGCTCTGCCGCGACCAGTCATTTCGTGCTGCGACGTTCAGAGCCTGGAGCATCGCAAAGGTCGTTGATAGGGCGGCTGCAGCAGGCGCGTCAGAGTCCACCCTCCCGAGAGACAGGTCGCTGTCCCACAAACGGGTTTCCCACCCGTCTTCGTGTGCGCTATAGAATTCGTTTTCAGTGAGCGGAGGAAGGCGTCCAGATCGTCTCGAAGCAGGCGCAACAAGGCATGAGTAGTTGCACCAGGCAACAGCACTGAGCTCCGCGGCAATCCGCCGTGCTTCTTCGCCGGCCTGAGGCCTGGCCCGCGAGCTACCGCATAGGAGAACCACTCGATGTCGTCCGTTGTTCTAGCCACCGCCGGTTACGACCACACCATCCGCTTCTGGGAAGCCACCAGCGGCATCTGCTACAGAACGCTCCAGTACGCTGACTCGGTGCGATCTGCTTCCGCGACATGACAACGCTGCTTGGAGCCCGCGCATGAGCCCGGCCACGATGTTTGCGCCCCGGGCGCGTCGCGGCGGAGCGGCGGAGTGCAGACACTCTGCGGTGGCCGTCCCCTCGCCGCTCGCAGCAAGTCAATCGCCTGGAGATCACCGCGGACAAGGAGTACCTCGCAGCAGCAGGCAACCCGCACATCCGCGTGTTCGAAGTCAACTCGAACAACCCGCAGCCGCTGTCCAGCTACGACGGGCACACGGGCAACGTCACAGGCGTGGGATTCCAGAAGGCAGGCCTCCCGCCACCTGCACGCACCTCGTACCCAACCACGAGCATCCGGGCCGCGTGCCCAGCGCCGCGCACCTGACACCCCCACCCCCGCAGGATGGAAAGTGGATGTTCTCGGGCTCCGAGGACGGCACGGTGCGGATCTGGGACCTCCGCGCTCCGGGCTGCCAGCGCGTGTACGAGAGCCGCGCGAGCGTGAACAGCGTCGTGCTGCACCCCAACCAGGGCGAGCTGCTGTCCGCGGACCAGAACGGCAACATCCGCGTGTGGGACCTCTCGCAGAACGCATGCAGCTGCGAGCTCGTGCCCGAGGTCGGCGTCGCAGGTCCGCTCTCCGCCCGCGCTCCCGCCGCCGCGCCCGCTGCCGCCCGGCCCCCGCAGGCCCGCGCAGACGGCCTCTGCGCGCGTCGCGTTGTGTTGCGTGCAGTGCGCTCGCTGTCCGTGGCGATGGACGGCTCGATCGTGGTCGCGGCGAACAACCACGGCACGTGCTACGTGTGGCGCATGCTCGGCGGGCAGTCGCACGCCACGCAGTTCGAGCCGCTGCACAAGCTCAAGGCCCACAAGGGCCACATCCTGCACTGCCTGCTGTCGCCGGACGTCCGGCAGCTCGCCACCACGTCGAGCGACAAGACGGTCAAGCTGTGGAACCTCGAGGACTTCTCGCTCGACAAGACGCTCGTGGGGCACTCGCGCTGGGTGTGGGACTGCGTCTTCTCGGTGGACGCGGCCTACCTGGTCTCCGCGTCGTCGGACGCCACCGCGCGCCTGTGGGACCTCTCCACGGGGGAGGCCATCCGCGTGTATTCGGGCCACCACAAGGCCTGCGTGTGCTGCGCCCTGAACGACAGCGCCGTCGAGGAGGCCCCGTGACGCCCGGCGGGAAAAACCTGTCGTGGGCACCCTCGTGCGTCCGGCCAGACGATCTGCCATGGGGCGCGGTTTGGGCTGGAGCGCGGGTGCACGCCAGGAGAGGACGCTTCCGCGGCGGATGGGACTGTCCGAAGCGGTTGAGGTGACACGAGTTGTGAGACCGTGACGAGGATGTGCAGCGGGGCTCGGGCACCGTGTAGGTCACGCGCACCGTAGCGTCGCCGAGCTGGCCGACGATGGGCGCTGACGCAGCTGAGTCCCCCTGTTGGTAGGAAAACCGTGATGCGCCTGTGGGCTTCGCAGCCGCGGAGGGGCACGGCAGGGTCGCAGTTGCGGAGACGCGCGGACGTTCGTGTTGGAGCACGCAGCCGTGCGTAGGACAAGCGGGAAGATCGACACGAACCAGCAGCCAGCCGCAGCGCAGTGCATCGAGCTCCCTGCCGCGCCACGTAGGTTCCTTTCACAGCGCAGAGGTCCACGCTGAGAGCTAGCATACAGAGTGGTCCGCGGTCTATTGTACAGGAGCTCCCGGGCCGTGCTGGATGACCAGCGGCCTCAAGGAGCAGCAGACCCTCCTGGGCCACCAGGGCCGCGTCTGGTCGGCGGCATGGTCACCGGACGGGAAGTATCTCGCGACGTGCGGAGAGGATAAGACGATAAGAATATGGTGAGGCACCAAAAAGGCAGTTCAATGATCGAACGCGGCCTCCAGCCCCGCACTGAGTTCCCAGTGCTTGCCGCGGGATCGCGAGTCGGCACTCTGCAGCACGCCGCTGTTCGACATCCCTCGCGGCACCCACCAGAGCGGGCCGCTGTCGAAACCCGCCCCCCCCGCTGCCCGACGCCTGACACGTGGCTGCTGCTCCTGCATGCTGCGTCACCGCCACCCGACGACAGCCCGACATGACCCTAAACGGCGGTCCCCGGGCGCGCAGGAAGTTCGACGACCAGCTTCAGCGGTGGGTGTGCTCCGCGATCCTAGAGGAGGCCCACCATCGCACCATCAGATGTGTGGCCTGGTCCCCGCGACATCCGTACCTGGCCGCCTCGAGCTTCGACGCGACAACGTCCATCTGGGAGCACCAGGTACGCGCTCTGTCCCCGGCGCCAGATACCGGCTCCGGCGCACGCCCGACGCGCGACGGAACGCCGCGTACGGAGGTGGCACAACCTCCCTCCCTCAAGCCCGCACACCGCGCGGCGAAATTCGTCGCCCGCGGCGTCGTGAGTTTGCGGGCCGCAGCTCATCCGCGCCGCGCTGCTCCCGAGGGCGCGGGCGCAGGCGGGGTCGTGGGAGCAGGTGGCAACGCTGGAGGGCCACGAGAACGAGGTGAAGTGCGTGTCGTGGGCGCCGCACGGGCAGATGCTGGCGACGTGCGGGCGTGACAGGAGCGTGTGGATCTGGGAGGCGCTCCCGGGCCACGAGTTCGAGTGCGTCGACGTGAAGCAGGTGGGCGCAAGTCATACACACACACTCACCTGTTGGGTCGGCCGGGAACGCCTCGCGCATGCGACGGTCCTCTGGCGGTGTCGCTGATGACACGGTGGATGCGTTGTGCACGGCCGCAGGTTCACGACCAGGACGTGAAGTGCGTGGCGTGGCACCCGAGGGCAGAAGTGCTCGCGTCCGCGAGCTACGACAACTCGATTCGACTGTGGCAGGACGACGGCACCGACACGTGGAAGGTGAGCGTCGAGCGCACTGTGCCAAGGTGCAGCCTGCGAGACGCGTCGTGCGGAAGAGACCACGATGGCCTGATTGCATACTGAGAGGACACCTCCCCGCTGGCCTTCCGCAGTGCCTTCAAGTCGTGAAGACCGCGAACCTCGGGCACACGTCGACGGTGTGGTCGTTCGCGTTTGACCGCACCGGCGCGCTGTGCGCCAGCGGCTCTGACGACTTGACGGTGAAGATCTGGGGCGTTGTCGACGAGGACGGGTGTGGCTGGCGCCTCCAGCACAAGTGCACCCTTTCGGGCTACCACACGCGGCCCGTGTTCTCCGTGGACTGGTCGGCGACGGGCGCGCTCGCCACTGGCTGTGGCGACAACGCCGTCCGCGTGTTTGCGTTGTCAGAGGACGGGTCCGACGCCACGCTGGTGCACTGCAGCGACAGCGCGCACCAGGCGGACGTGAACTGCGTGCAGTGGCATCCGAGCGACCCGAATCTGCTGGTCTCGTGCTCGGATGACTGCACGGCGAAGCTCTGGAGGGTTGGCACAACGGAAGGCCACTAACATCGTCGTCTCATTCAACGCGGCAAAGCTCTGCCGAGGAACGATCGCGCAAAGCTCAAGACGTTCATCGGTCTCTGTTACACGGGTCGCAAAATTTCGGGCAATCGAATCTCAGCGGGCAGCTGACAATCTAGCGAAGCGAGGTGTGTTGGTTCCATCGCGGCACGGTCACCCGAACCCCGCCCCCGCGCGGAAGATGCGGTTCCCGGGCTGCTTGTTGGCGGCAGACGCGTTCCACGCCTCGACGCTCCCGGGCTGCTCCTGCTCGTACTTCTTCAGCACCGACACGAGGCGCCTCCGCGTGTTGTTGCGCCGGCTGCCGTCGGACAGCCCCAGGTCCTTGGTGATCCTCAGCAGCCTCTTGTAAGACATGTCGTCAAGAATGTCGTTCAACTCAGTCTCCTGGTGCCGCGCCGGCGAGACGCTCCGCGCCCGGTGCGGGCGCGGGCTGCCGGGCCTCGCCGCCGTGGCGACGGAGCCCTCGCTGGGGGACGCGTCGGAGAACGCGCCGTTGCCGTTCTCCCCCCGAGCCCCCGCGGGGGAGCGGCTCCTGCGGGGCGACCCGAGGCCGTCGTCGTCCTCGGCGTGGTCGTGGCCGTTGCTGTTCCCGTTGAACTCGCTCCAGGGGTACGCCGCGAGCTGCGAGCCCTGCGATCCGATCGCAAGGGACGGCTGTCCCGCACCGGGCCACTGCTGGCCGGCCTGCCCGTTCCCGTTGAGCGGGACGGGACGCGCCGGGGAGCCAGGCCGCGCCGGGCTGCGCCCAGGGCTGCTCGGCCGGGTCGTTCCGCGGCCGGGGCTGGAGTTGCGGTCCGGGCTCCCGGAGCGGCTGTTGCGCCAGTTCCTGCCAACGCCGTGGTCCTGGATCCGCTGGAACTTGAACTTCGGGCTCGGGCTGCGGCTCGACTCGAAGCCCCGCGCCGCGGCGGCGGCCGCGGCGGAGGCCGCGGGGGCCTCGCGGACGACGTCAATGCGCCCGGAAATCCGGCGGCCTGGCAGGGGGCTGCGGCCCCGCCCCGGCGACGACGGCCGCGTCGGTGCGACCACCTCCTCCATCGCGTTGGCTTCAGCGGCAACCTCCTCCTCCTCCTCCTCCTCCTCGTCCTCGAGATCGTAGTGGTCTTCGTCGTCGTACGTTGCAAACACCGGCACGTCCTCGTAGTCGTCCTGCCGGACCATCTGCTCCTCGCGCCTGGCGTCCGCGTCCGCGAGCGCCCGCATCGACTCCTGCAGCTGCACCAGGAGCTCGTCCTTGGACGACAGCAGGCGCATTTCCTCGGCAAAGGCCTCGTGCGCCTCCCGCCTGGCCAGCTCCCGGGCCTTGATCCTGATCTCGCGGATCTCGTCCGCGTCCGCGATGTCGTTCGACTTCTGCCGCAGAATCGCCATCAGGTCCGCCGTGCTCTTCGCCAGGCGCTCCTCCTCCACCGCCCGCTCCTCGCTGCGCCGCTGCTCCAGCTCCGCGACCGCCTGCTCCCACTGCTCCGCCATCTCGCGCTCCCGCGCCGCGTCCGCCTGCGCCAGCGCGCGCGACGCGTCCTTGAAGTGCGTCAGCAGCCCCGCAGTGTACTCGGACAGGCGCTTCTGCTCCGTGCTGATCTCCAGCTCCCGCTGCGCCACCAGCAGCGCCGCCTCCAGCGCCAGCTTCTTCTTGAGCTCGAGCCCGCGCGCCGCGTCCGCCTCCGCCAGCTCCTTCGACGCGCGCATGTACATGTCGAGCATGTCTGCCGTCGCCGCCGTCAGGCGCTCCTGCTCCTCCGCAGCCTCCTGCTCGCGCCGCGCAGCCGCCTCGGCCACAGCGCGCGCCAGCTGCTCCTCGCGCTCGCGCAGCCGCGTCGCGTCCGCTTGCGCCAGCGCCCCCGCCGCGCGTTTGTACTGCACCAGCATCACCAGCGTCTCTCTCTCGAGCCGCTTCTTCTCGGACGCCTTGTCCGCCGCGACCCGCGCGGCCCGCTTCATGGCCACCAGCGCCTCGCGCTCCCGCTCCGCGTCGCGCAGCGCGTCGGCCTTCGCCAGCTCCGCCGCAGCGTGCTCGAAGTGCGCCAGCAGGATGGACGTCGACAGCGACAGGCGCTCGCCCTCGAGCGCGGCCTCCTGCTCGCGCAGCGCGGCCAGCTCCGCGGCTTCGCGCGCCAGGCGCTCCTCGAGCGCGCGCTCGCGCGTGATGTCCGCCTTGGACAGCGCGGCCGCCGTGCGCTGGTAGTGCTCGATCAGCATCGCCGCCGACAGCGACAGGCGGTCCGCCTCCGCGGCCGCCTCGACGGCCTTCGCGTACGCGATCGCCTGCTCCCTGGCCTCCTGCTCCCGCGTCGCGTCCGCGTTCGCGAGCGCCGCGGACGCCTCGCGCAGCTGCTGGAGCAGCGCCGCCGTCGACGCCCCGAGGCGCTCCTTCTCCGCAGCAGCCTCGCGCTCCCGCAGCAGCGCGAGCGCAACGTCGCGCTCGCGCTGCTCGTCCTTGACCTTGATCGCCGCCGACGTCACCTCGAGCAGCTTGAGCATGCGGTCGGTCGACGCCGCCAGACGCTCGCGCTCCAGCCTGGCCGCGCGCGACGCCCGGCGCTCGGCCTCGCGGACGAGCGTGTAGCGCTTGCGGAACTCGCGCGTGTCGTCCTCCTCCGCGAGCGCCGTCGCGGTCTGCTTGAGCAGCGCCAACAGCTCGTTGGTGTGCCACAGCAGCCGTTGCCGCTCCGCCGCGATCTCGCGCTGCCGCTGCGCGGACAGCTCCACCACCTGCGCGACGTCCTCGTCCACGCCGTCCGCGCGCAGGGGCTCCAGCACCTCCTCCACCTCGTGCACCTCGACCGCCTCTTGCACTTCGAGAGCCGAGCTCTCCAGCACATCAACAGACGGCGCTTCGTATTGGTCCTCGCCTCCCAAGTCAACGGACGCGACCGGAGAGGCGAACTCGAGCGGCGCGTACGCCTCGAGCGCCACCGGCGCGTCCACCTCGATCGGATCGACGAACGGGCTGGTGTCCGGGGCCGTCGCGGCCGGCTCCGGCGCTGGCGCGGCCTCTGGGCGGAAGTGCAGCTCCACCGTGGTGGGAGCCGGCGCCGGCGCCGGCGCGGTCGACGCCTCCTCGCGCACCGGGGGCGACCGCTGCGCTGCCTTGCGAGCAGCTGCGATGGAGTTCGCGGTCAGGGGGTCGAACGGCGTCGCTCCGTGGGCCGGCTGCAACGACTGGCGCACCGCAGGTGTGCTAGGCGTGGCCGGGGCCTCCTCGCGCTCGGTTCCCTCCGACTCGTCGGTTTCCGGGGCGAGCGTGACCGGTTCGGCCCTCCGGACGGGCGTGTGGGCGATGGCACGCTTGCGGCGGCCGAATATCGCGAGGACGTTGCGCAGGATGCCCTCGCAACCGCCCAAGGCCGAGCGGGCGGCCGGGAGGAGGGAGATGGCGACGAGCGCGATGGAGACCCAGGGGCTGGCGAGCATCGTGGATATCGCGGCCACGGCGCAGATCACCGCGAGCATGGCCGCGGTGTCGACCACGGCCTCGGCGACAGGGCGGTCCGGTCCGCGGTAGAGGCTGGGGAGCCCCGCGCCGAACGCTTCGAGCTCTATTTGGTTACGGTACGACTGCAGAGGAACGGCGCGACGTCGGGGGGCGTGTTCGGTGCGGCGTCGACCGCAGCGGGGGCGATGCGGGCTGCGGCAGATGACCTGGAGCAGGCGTGGACGGCGCCCGCTCGCGCGCAATAAGCGGCAAACGGCGGCGCAGTCTCGCCGACAGAGCCAGGTGAAGATCGGAATGGCGCTCGAACGGCGACTTCAGGGCACTGCGGTGCCGGAAACGCCCTGGTCAAGCCTCCAGGCATGACCTCCGAAAGTGGCTCCATACCGGATCAAAGCGCTCGAACATGTGCGCGTTGAGGCACATTAGGCTCGCTCAGTGCGCTTAGTGTGTAAAAATAGTCGTCACGCGTTCGAGCGCGGCGCATACCTGTAGGTGATCCTGGGCACTCAGCTCGTGGACGTGCTGGCGGTGGAAGCGGAACATGTGCGCAGACCGCCTCCCGGGCGTCGCGCGTGCAAGCCATGACGACGAAGCGTGATTTCCGCGGGCGTGGCCCCTCACTGCGCGCCCCGCCGGCGCGGTGAGCTGCTTTACTAGGCCCGTCCTCATCTCTCGCTGCGGCAGAGGCTGGCTGCGCCACGTCCGAGGCAAGAGACAGCGAAACTCAGGACCTTGCTTCAGGGAACGCAGACTCTGGCCGGCGGCCGCGCGCTGCCGCGCCCCTGTGCCCCGGTGCGACCCTGAGCTCACCTGCCCCCAGCCGGCTTTTACCTAGTCGCATCCCCGCGCGCGGGCCCCCGTGTTTCGCTGCGCGGCGCCCGAGTTCGCATGAGGGGCCACAATGTGTCAAGAGCGTCCACCTGCGGGCGTTTTCGGGCCCGCAGTGCGCCGTCCCGGCTGCGCCCGCAGGCCATGCCAATCAGAGCAGGAGCAGCCCGCGGCCACGTGTGCGGTCCCTTCCGCAGCGTCACAGCAAGAAGATCCTACGACCCCCCGAGCATCTTGAGGGACCCCGAGGCCACGGCCGTCGGCGTCGGCTCCCCCTGCGCCACCTTGCGCACTGCAGACATGAGCACGCACAGCCCCGCGGGGCCCAGGTTGCCCTGCTGCACCCGCGCGCCCCGCCCCGCCGCTCCGGCCTCCGCATCCAACTCAACGACCGCGTCCGACGTCGCGAGCTGCCAGAGCGCCGCGAAGGAGTCCAGACGGACGCCGCGCCTCTGCACGAGCGACCGCGCAGTGCGCAGCGACACGCCGCCGGGGCCCTCGCTGCTCTGGTAGTCCTCGTACGTCTCCCACGCGCTCGCGATGTCCGCGGGCGACAGCCGCAGCTCCACGCGCCTCTCGGACCGCGGCGGAACGCCCTCCCCGCTCCCCGCCGACGGCAGCATCGTCGCCTCCATGCTGTGGAACCGCCCGATGCCCCGGGCGCGCGCGGGGGGCGTGCGCATCGCGGGGAGCGACGCCATGGTCGCGATCTCGCCCCGCGGCGACCGCTGCGGCGACGAGGGCCGCGCCGCGCCCACCTTGACGCGCGCCATGTCCAGGTTCGCGCCGGACGCAGCGAGCTCCGCCGCCACGTCCGCCTTGAGCTCGCCCGTCCTGCGCGACACCGACGAGGCCTCGTCGTCGCTCCCGGTCCCCGCGAGCGACCGCCGCACCCTCTCCAGGCTCTGTGCGACGCTTGCCTCGTTCGCGGAGCGGTACTGGACGCTCTCCGGGCGGTAGTCCGAGGCCCGCCCGCCCGTGCCGTGGCTGCCGCCTGACGCGCGGTTGCGCGCGCGCCGGAGCATGCTGCGGCTCGCGCCGACGTCGTGCTCGTAGTCGCGGGGCGTGGCGCCCGTCAGCGCCCCGCTCGTCTCCGCGACGCTCGTATTCGGCTTCGCGAGCGACAGCGGGGTGCTATCGACCGTGCCACGGCTCCCATCCCCACCGAAATGCCTCGCGACCCGCCCGCTCGGCGTCAGCGACTGCTGCGACCGGGATCCACCCACGGCAGGGTCGCCCGGGTAGTCCTCCAGACGCAGGACCGGCTCCGGGACCGCGACGTGCTCCCCAGGCGGTCGTCGTACACCACCGTGCACGTCCCGCCGCCACCCGGCCGCGCCATCCCCCTCGAAGTAGTCATCGTCATCATGCATGGCCTCCTGCGGCCCCCGCGCCTCCGCGGGGACGTCTTCTCCATCTCTGTGCACGCTGTCGGCGAGGTGGCCGGAGCCGGCAGCGGGGGCGTTCTGGTGCGAGGCGCCCTGCAGGTGCACGTGCGCGTCTGTCCCTGAGAGCGACACCATGGTGTGAATGCCCGCGGAGTCGAGCATCGCGTTGTCTGCGTCCGTTGACTGCCTGGACGCGAACGGATCCACGCCGCTGGAGCGCTTGCTGAGGACCCGCAACGGCGCGGCCTGGTCGGGGCTGCCGACGCCGAAAATGTCCTGCGGCGGCTCGTCGAGTGGCCGGTGCGGCGACAAGTCGACGGAGGAGTCCAGCGGGGGCGCGGCCTTGCGCGCCGAAGAGCCCCTCGCCGACACGCTGCCCTCTTGCCCCGCGGCGGGCACGGTTGCTGCGACGGGCGACCCGACGCCAGACAGCTGGGCAGAGAAGCTGTGGTCGTGCGCCTCGTGCAGAGCCCTCGACGGCGAGGAGTTGAGCGACCCAGTCGCCTGAAGGGTGTGGACGCGCTGCAACGGCGGCGTGGCGCCAAGCGGCCCGCCGTCCTGTTGCACGTGCGCAATTGGCGCGTGATGCTTCCCAACGACGACCAGCTGCGCGTCCGGCCCTCCCACGAACCCGTCCGTCGATAGCTTGCTGTTCGGGGTCTCGACGCTCCCTGCCACGTCAGCATCCACCACCGGCGCCCCAGACGCCGTCAAAGTAGAACACGACGCAATGACCCTAGCCCCCGCGCCGACGGTCCGCACAACGGGAGCCTTGATGGACGCAGCGGAGCCTCCGTCGATGGCCACGTGCGCGCCATCCCTCGCCACGAGCGCGGGCACGCGGTTCCCGACCAGATGACAGTCGTCAGCACAGATCGTGCTCTCATCGCCCTCGGCAAGCAGGGCGCCGACGCCGCGAGCAGCTGCCACGACGCGGCACCGCGCAAGCACGCCACGCCCGCCGCCCGTCGCTGTGACGCAAGCATCGCCGGCGCCGGACTCCCCTGCCGGGGTGGCGCTGCTCCCGGGCAGGTTGGGCTCGCCGTCGGGGGAGAACGTCACCCCAACGTAGGACCGCGCCCTGGACTTGGGCCCGTTCTTCGTCGGGGAGGCAGCGGGGGAGTCCATGGCCGCGATCACGTCCTGTTCGTCGCCCGCAGGAGTGCCCAGCACGCAGTCCTCCGCAACAACCTGCGCGGCCACCCCGCTCGCGACGCAGGTGGAAACGGTCGCTCCGGGGCGTGCGTTGATCGCGGTACGCTGCAGCATCGCGACGCCGCCTGCACCTGCGACGACGATCGGGGAAACGCCGTCGTCCTCGCGCTGGTGGCCGATGCTGTCGCCGAGGAAGATCTTGCTCCCCAGGCCGTCCGTGAACACCGCCGGCGCGGAGCCTGCTGCCTCGATGATGCAGTTGTGCGCCTCGACGCAGCTGCCGTCCGTCGCGACGACAACGGGGCTGCCGTCGCTGCCGGTGAGCTTGCTGTGCGCAAGCGTGGCCTTGCAGTCCACGCCCTGCGCGATGACGAGGACGTTGTCGGCGTGCCCTGATCGGCCGTCGATCTGACACCGCTGCACGTTCGCACTGCACGTCCCCGCGGCAAGCGACAGCGCAGTGCCGTACCCCTCGACTCGGCAGTCCTCCAGCGCGAGGGTGCTGCCGTGGCCACGAACGCGGTAGACAGGACCCACTTGGAACTGCGAGCGCTCCGTGCCGGACGCCTGCTCGTCCCCAACGGCCGCGGGACTGCCAGCTCCCCTGGAGTCGTCAGCGGCCGGAGTCGCGCTCGGAGCAGCCGCGGCGTGCTTGTAGCCGTTCATGGCCGCAAGCATCCCGCGCAGTCGTCCCGGCGCCACGCGCGCTTCGGTCGCCACCGGGATCTCGCGCAGCGACACCGTCACCGTGCGCAGTGTCAACCTTCCGTGATCAAGCACGTTCGCGACGCCGCTTCCGCGGAAACCCGTCCAGGACCCGCCGTTCCAAGACACCAGCGATCCGTCGTCCCGCACCGACACGACGCTGCCCGTTCCGTCCTTGGAAGCAGCCCGGCAGTCGGTCACGGACACCACGCCGGTCTGCGTTGCCGCCACACACGGCGCACCGTGCCGCTGCAGCGGCTCGTTCCCCATCGAGCGCACGAACGTCGACGTCTTCACGTCTACCTCCGCCTTGATGCCCCGAGCACACGCCAGCGGCCCCGCAGAGGACCCGCCCGAGAACGTGCACTGGCTGGCACGCACCGTCGACCAGTGCCGCCCGACCACGCCTCCGCCGCGGTTCCCCGCCACCTGCGTCCGCGTCATCGATATCGCCCCAGCGTCCTTCGCGACCGCCCCCACTCCCCTCGACCCGCAGATGTCGCACCCGTCCGCGACCACCTCCGCACCGTCGCAGCTCTCCACTGCGTTGCCGCCCGTGCCGCGCAGCACGCACGAGTCCAGCCGCAGGGAGCTCCCGGCGCCCTCGCACCTCGCCGCGTAGCCCGACATGCCCTCCGCGTGCCACGCGAACGCCGTCGCCGACGCCCCGGAGGACACCAACACACCCCCGCGATGGCCCGCCCCGGCGCCCCCGCCTCCGCTCGCGGCGTCTCGTGCCCTCGGCGGCGCCGGCATGCGCGGCGTCTCCATCGTGGCTGCGTCGGCGCTTCCTGGCCCCGCCGCCGCCGTGCCGGCCCCGCTGTCCACGGATGCGCGGAGGGCAACCGAGCGCAGTCGCAGCACGGTGCCGCGGCCGCTGCCGGAGATGACGGGTCCGAAGCGGTCGTCCCGCACGGACTCGCGCTCGTCGTCGTCGTCGTCTTCCACCGCGCTGATCGCGGTCTCGGTCACGGAGACCATCGGGGTGGACTCTGGCACAGTCAGGGGGGGGGACTCCACGGGCTGCTCGGCGGGTTGCGCGTCCGCGTCGGCCGACAGGGAGCGCTGCTGCCAAATCTGCTTCGCGGCGACGAAAGCCGGCGTGCTCGGGGTCTCGGCAGCGGCGGGGGAGTCTGCGCTTTTGTCCTCCCCATCACCATCACCGTCACCGACAGCCTTCACCGCATCAGCGGCCTTCGCGGTCCTTGCCGCGCTGCTCTTCGCCGTGTCGACACGGATCTCGCACAGCTCCAGCGCCAGCGTCGCCCCGCCCGTCGCCGACGCCACCGGGACCCCGCCCCACCGCGACGCATGCAGCCGGCACTTCTCCGCCACCACGGAAGAGCCTCTCCCCGCCGCACGCAGCGTGGACGGCCACAGCTTCGAGGCCTCGGTAGTCACCGCGCTGTGCGGCCGGGCCCACACGCGCCGGCCCCGCAGGCTGGCGCCTGACTCAGCGAAGAGCCCCCCCAGCGGCCCGTTGATCGTGCAGCCGTCGACCCGCCCCGCGGACCCCTCGCCGACGGCGTGGAGGACCGCAGAGGGCTGCGGACCTTCGTACAGCTCGGTGGCTTCGACCTGACAGCCCGCAACCAAGCACGTCGCCTTCTCCTGAATCAGCGCGCCCGACAGCAGTCCCCGGATGACGCAGCGCTCGAACGTGACGGCGGAGCCCCTGCCCGCCACGCGCGCGCCGCGCCACAGCTGGTCGCGCGTCTCCGAGAACAACGTCGACTCCTGCAGCCGCAGCGCCGCCCCGCTGTCCACCATGCACAGATCCAGCACCGTCAACACCCCGGGGGAGTCCTGCAGCGACACGTGCGCGCTGTCCGGCTGCGGAGGATCGCCCCGCAGCTGCAGCTGCACGCCGCGCGCTATCGTTCCGGCGCCCTGGAGGAGCAGGCACGGCCCCGAGGATGCGTTCGCTGACATTGCAACGTTGCACAGCTCAACCGCCGCGCCGCCCGTGTCCTCGGCGCGGCCGTGGACGCAGGGCCCCGCGCAGTCCCGCACGGCGCCGCCGCTGAGCGAGAGCGACGCCCCGCCGCCGACGAAGATCCCAGTTGCGGCGGACCCGCAGAACACCGAGTCGCTCGCCGAGACGGTGCTGCCGTCGCCGTCCAAGCGGAGGCAGTGGCCCTCGGCGTCGAGCCCGCTCGCAGCCACCTCGCACGCCGCGAGCGACGCGTGCGCTCCGGAGACGACTTCGAGGCCGTGCGCGCGGTTCCCGGCCAGCTTGCAGCCGGCCAGAAGCGCAACCGACGTCCCCTGCCCCTCCGCCACCGCGCCGCTGGCCCGCTCCGACTCCGCGAACCGCGACGCCTCCGCCATCGCCTCCGCGCCGTCGTGGACGTGCATCCCGGCCAGGACGGACCCGACAGTCTCGCAGGACCGCAGCTCGAGGGTCGTTCCGGATCCCGCAGCCTCGAAGCCCACCGACCCACTGTGCGTCGCGGCGGCGCGCTCGAGCCGGAGCGTCGCGCCCGCGGCCGCGCGGAACGCGGCCACGTCCGCGCTGTCGACGGCCGCGTCGAGGCACCCGGCGTCCGAGCCGTTTCCGGAGGACACGATGCCGCACTGCAGGCCCGGGCCCTGAACGCGGACGCTTGCGCAGGTGGCGCGCGCGCCAGCCTGCGCGACGATGCCCTGAGCGAAGCCGACGATGACGGCCCCCGACAGCCGCAGGGACGCGCCGAGGCCGGACACGAGGGCGCCGGAGGACCCCTTAGCTTTGCCGTCGCACAGAAGTCGCACGTCCGCGAGCTCCGCCGTGGCGCCGTCGTGCACGTGGATGCACGGCACGGCGCCCGGCGTTCCGTGGAACGTGCTCCCGCGCACCTGCAGCATCGAGCGCTGCCCCGTCGCGCTTGCCGCTGCGTGCAGCGTTGTTTTGGACCCGGGGGGGTGTACCTCGCTGCTCTCGATCGAAATCAGCCCCCCCGCGCGCGCGAGCGCCGCGGACGCGACGGAGGCGTGCAGCTCGACATTTGCGAGGAACAGCCGCGACCCCAGCCCGTCCGACGTCACGCCGTGCGCCGAGTTCACCGCGCTCTCCGCCAGCCTCTGCTCTACCGACCGCGCCGCCATTCCGCCAGCGACGAGCTCCCGCTCCAGCGCAGCGGCCGCGACGTCCGGCGGCGTCCGGAAGAGCAAGAGGTCCGGGATTCCGCCCTCGTCGGGCCGCCAGTGGAAGGGCGACTGCGCGGCGAGCTTCTCCCACTCGTCGTTGTTCCCCGCCGTCAGCAGCGTCGGGTCGTCGAAGGCGTCGGACAGCGACACGGAGCGGCGGTGCCAGTTCTCCCCCGCGCGCAGCGACGCCTTGCTGGGCCGCAGCCGCCCCTCTATGCGCGGCGCAGCGCCTGCCTCCATCCCCGGAGTGCCCAGGACGCTCCGGCGGTCCAAGTCGTGCGGGAACCTGAACGTTCCGTCGCTGTCTAGCGTCGTGAGCGTCTGTGGCGGCCGGCTGAGCGACGCTGCCGCGCCGCTCGTCGCCTGCGCGCCAAACCACGACGGCAGCGCGACCGTGCCAGAGACCGCCGGGTCGGCCGTCGGGAGGCGCAGGAGCGACGTCGGAAGCAGCTGCGTGCCGGACACCTCGACGTGGCCGCCGTCAAGGGCGGCGGCGGCGCTGTGCGCGACGTGCATGACCCAGCACGACCGCAGGCGCGCCGAAGACGGCCTGCCCTCCGCGCTGCCTTCCGCCAGCGCGCCGTCGCCGCTCGAGCGCGCGAGGAGGCTCTTCGCGACGTCGATCACCGCCCCATTCGTCGCATGCGCGACGCTCCCCTCGGAGCCGACCAGCACGGTGGCCGTCACCTCCGCGCGCGCGCCAGGGCCGTCCGCCCGGATGACGCTGCCGTGCAGCGACCCTCCCACGCGGCAGCCGTCCAGATACATGGTCGCGGAGTTCGACAGCACGACGGCGTGGTCGGAGCTCGCCCACAGGTCGCAGGCGCGCAGGCAGGCTTTCGCGGAGTCGTCAACGTGCAACAGGGAGCCGTGCCTGGCGTGGCTGACGAGCAGCCCCGTCGCGTCGAAGCTCGCGCCCTCCTGCACGACGACGACCGCGGCCGCGCCGCTGCCGGCGAACGCGCACGCGCCTGAGACGCACGTCGTGTGCCGGCCCCGCACCACGACGGCAGCGCTGTGCGAGCCCGAGACCTCGCAGCCGGCGAGCTCCGCCGTCGCGCCGGCCATCACCAGGCAGCCCGTCGCGCACCGGGCGAGGTGCACCGAGCGCAGCGAGAGCCGCGTGCCCTCTCCGTCAGCGACCGCGCCCGCTGCCATGCTGCCGGCGACGTGCCCGCCCTCCACGCCCACCGTCGCCCCGCCCGCCGCGCGCAGCCCCGCGTGCGTGCAGCGATCCACGACCGTATCCTCGAGCGTCGCGATCGACCCGCTGCCCTCCGCGCTCACCGCCGCGCCACTGCGGGGCCCGTGAACCCTGCAGTCCTGCAGATGCACGCACCCGCCGCTGCGGGCGACGACGCCGCACTCGCCGCACGGCGCCACCTCGCAGCTGCGCGCGGCGATGTCCGCGCCGGAGCCGACGCACGCCAGCCCCGGCCCGCCCGAGGCCACGAGAGAGCACCGCATAATAGTCGCCGCGCCGCGCCCGCGCACGGTCACCGCCGCGGCGCCCGCGACCGTCGCCTCGATCTCCAGGTCTTCGAGGATCACGCCGGACGCGGCCACGAACACGCCGTGCGGGACGTGGAGCTGCCCGTTGCGGAGGATGACGGGCCCCGACAGCACCAGGGGCCCCTCGAGCTCGCCGTTCGGGTCGCCGAAACGCAGGCCCTCGAGGTCGATGACGGTCGAGGTCGCGCCTTGCTCGTGCTCCGACACCATGGAGGAAATCGACCGCTGCGACCTGCACGTGGGCGAAAGGCACCAACAGCAAACTGGACTGTGAGTGCGGCTAGGCACCCGGCGCGGCGTGTTGTGCGTCTGGAGCGGGCCCGGAGCATGTCTGCAGGCACTGCATGGCGGCGATCTGCCGTTCGGCGGCAGCAGGCCCAGGGTCCGGCCTGGGAGCGCGCAGCTCACCCGGAAAGTTGGCTCCGCGATGTGAAGCGGCGCGAGGCCTCGGGACTTGGCTCGACCGAGCCCTGGACGAGGCCCTCGACCATTGCCTGCATGTGAGCGGTAGAAAGGCGTTATCCACCCACGGTTCGATGCGCGACCCCGGCCCTAGAGCATGGTGAAACAGAGCGCAGCGCTCCACCGACGCAGCTGGGGCCCGATACGCCCTGGCTGTCCACGCCCCCGGATTCCTCACGTAGTAGAGGCGCAGATGGTGCGCTGCTCTCACCTGGAGGTCGGCGATGGTCGACACAGTGGCCTCGATGTCGCTGTGGTTGCCATGGAGCGAGTCGCTCATGGCGCCCGCACCCCGCGCCGCCGCCCCAGCCGCCTCCCCAGCGCCAGTGTCTCCCTGCCTCTTCGTACCAGGGCCGCTTCGGGCCCCAGTCCCCCCCTTCATGCCTGCTCTTTCCAACCCATTCCACAAAGAGCGTCGTCAGCGGCAACTCAGGCGTCGGCGTCGCACACCGCGTCACGCGGACGTAGTCCCCAACTGACCTCAGCGAATGCCGAGGAGTCCCGGGCCCCGGAGGCAGTGAGCGCAGCAGCGGGGCGGGGCACTTGCGAGGGATGTTGGACTACCGGGGGTCCCAAACGGCACCCGAGCAGCCGCTCACGAGCGCGCGCGGCTCGGCGGGCACGTCAGTATCAGTACTATATTCAGTACCACATGCACATGACATATCCTAGGAGGTCTCTCGTTGAGTGCAATTGAGAGCAGGATGGGCGGGAGGCGTCCTGGGGCTGCATGAACGCGGCGGACCTATTCACCGCACGAACCCAGACGTTCGTGCACGGACAGCTGTGCGCGCTCGGGAATCTCGCGCGCTCGGGCCCGCCGCGCGTGCTCCTCGCAGGACCCGATGGAAGGTACGGGGTCGCGCGCCCAGCCCCGCAGCGACCGCCGTGGCAACGCAGACGCGCGCCGACCACTGCTCGACTCCCACGTCCCTCAGCGAGCCCGCGTAGGCGCGGATCACGCGCGGCGTCGCGTCGCGGGCCCCATCCCTGCCCTTTCAACCACCGCACCCGCAGCTCGATCAAGAGCATCGCGTTCAACTACGCGTACGCGCTGGCCGCGAGGGGGCAGCGCTGCCTGTTCGTGTGCCTCCGCGACGACGTCGAAGCGGACCCCCCCCTCCTTCCAGTAGGCGTCAAACCCTCCGACCCTGCTCTCGACAAAATACGCATCAAGTACCTCGGCTCCGCGCCGCACGACGCGAGCAAGGCGCGGCCCGGCGAGCAGGGCAGCGTGTCGCGGGACTTCAGCGCCTTCTGCGCCGCAGTACACCTCCTGCCGAGTGAGGACCTCCCCGCGTGCATCATTGTCGATCCCCTGCCGGAGCTCGCGCGCGGGAGGGTGGCGCCGGCGAACGGGAGCTCGTACGCGCCGGACGCGCAGCTGATGCGCTCCCTGGCGTACCTCACGGACGCGGCGGACGCGGTCAGGTGCGATGGCGCTTGCGCGCGCACTGCCGCCCTCCCCGGCCGTCCTAGGGCTCGCGCTGCGTGGCCAGGGCGTCGCCGTGATGCGCGAAACGCTCTCCGTGCCGTCGGTTGTCTGTGCTGCAGTGCTCGGCTACCGAAAGGGGTCTCTTGCGGGATCGTCGCCACTGCGCATTGCGGGCCCGACGGGCCGCAGCCGCTGGCGCTGATTCGCCGGTGGCTGCCGGACGTCCTGATGGCGGCGTCTCTGCCGTCCGGCAGCTTCGCGCTGGCTCCGCTGGAGTCGCTGTCGAACTTTGTTGCGTCGCGGCGCTCGAGCGGCGGGTTCCAGGACACCGCGGGAGTGAACGGCCCCGCCGTCCTGTACACGGTCAACAAGGACCACATAGCCGCGTCGGGGGTCATACGTAGATAGCCGGACGCGACGCCGCCGAACGTGGAGCCCCCTGACGGACTCAAAACACATCGAACAAGAGGCCGATTCACGGGCGGCGTGCCCACGCAACGCGCAGGGGTTTCTGTAACGGCTCGCTCACACGCTCTCGCGCACTGCGGCCGCCTCGCAGGCCCCACGCGGCCACCGAGAGGCGACCACCGCTACCGTGCGCTGTCGCCGATGGTCTGCGTCACCCCGTACTCGCTGGTGCACTCCTTCGCGGTGTGGCCTTTTGCCAGGCAGCGGTGGCAGTGCTCGTGGTCCCGCGGACACCCTCCGTCCTCCGGCGGCTTGTCCTTCTTGAAACACGTGTCATAGTTGTGGAATCTACATATCAAGACGCCGGCTCGAGACGTCCGCTGCGGCGCCTTCAGTGGGTGGACGAGGGCGCGCCGCGACAACACGTTCATCTTGCCGGCGCCCTCCGCTTTGCACACCCCGTCCCACCATGCATTGCTGCCAGGAACAACCAGCTCCCGGAACACACCGTCCAGCCCGTCAGCTCGCGGCGCAGCGTCACGCGGGCGAGCATGCTGGTCAAGCGCCGCCCTGTGCAGCTCGCGGCTCTTCACGACGATAAGGCGCGGTTTCAGGACCGACTGGACGAATGGTATAACGTCTGTCAGGGCTGGGAGAGCCCTGTCGCCGCCCACGTCGATGAACGCCACCGTGCAGCCGCGCGCTGCGTCCGCGACGGCGGGCTTGTCGCCGATGGCGTCGAGGCGGCGGAAGTCTATTTGTGGATACTGTTTTTGGCTCTCTTCGATCAGGTCCTTTGATATCTCGATTCCGATCGCTCTGGCGCACTTCCGGTGCAGCAGCACCGTCGTGCGCCCGTAGCTGCTACCGATGTCGACGGCGAAGTCGGCGGGCGTCACCTGCGTCGCGCAGCGACGTATTGAGATGACAAGTTGGAAAGGGATTGAATTGAAAGAGGCGCCGCCACGTGGAACAGTGCGGCGTAGTGCGCGAGCAGCGCGGCGAGGGGCGCTGCGCACCTGAGTCCGAGCCAGCAGGCGGAAGTGCTCCGTCTCGGGGCAGGAGACGAGCAGCCCTGCGACGGCGCCGTCAGCGTCGTCAGCCGCTGTTGGCGCGCAGGCGCGCTTCGCCAGCTTTGGGAGGCAGGGCGTGATCCGCGCCGGACGCACGTGCGCGGTGGGGTTGTTTTGCGCGTGGAACTGCACGCGAATGCGACCGCTGTACCGGTGCGCTTCGTCCTCTGCAAAACGCAGCAAAAAGATCGCAGCGTTTGGGGCGCCGACCCGTCGTCACGCGACACCAGTGTCGGGTATTCGGCAGCACGGCAAGCGGCATGGCGTGATCCGGCGTGAGACCCGCACCGATGACGGGCTGCGTGACGGTCGCCCAGCCGTCGTCCGTTGCGGAACGTGTGTGCACGAAGACTTCGTCGCCAGGGCGGTAGACAGAGGGATCAATGTCTCGATCAGGCGGCCAGAGCGCCCAGACGTAGCCGTGGCGGTCCAGCGCAGCTTCCGGAAGACCTACGTCCGCTGTTCTCGCTGCCTTGCCGTCCCTGTCCATGGCAGAGACACATCCATCAATTGGCTGTGACCAGGGCACGCATGATCAGTACTGCACCCGGGGGTCGCACGCATGTGCCTGAGGCCCCGCTGGCAGCTGCGGACTCGCGTCCGGACCCCCCCAACTCCTCGGGGGAGAAAAGGCGCGCCTGTCGCCCCTTCGAGTCGTTCGCGCGGCGTTCTACGTCATCAGTCGACGCTCGTGCACCCCCCACATTCCCCCGTCGGAGCTGTAGAGGACAGTTGAACGCACGAAAGCGGTAGTACGGCGGGAAAGCTGCGCACGCAGAGCAGGGCGGGAGTGACCGGGCTCGCCCACAAGCGTGGTTTGTTGCGCACAATGGGACCGTACTGCATGTCATAGCTCGTCAGCTACTCGGAGCAGACTCCAACGGCCTCCTGCCGGCGCGGCGGCGATGCAAGAGGGTACCGGGGCTCCCTCTGGGGCGAAGCTCGGTCGCGCGGCTTCTCTCTCCGGCACATCTGCGCTCGAGGAGCTCGTGATCGATCGTATCTTCAACCGCAACGTCGACACGGCCCGTCTGTGGTGCGACGACGTCGGGCGCGCGGCTCTTCCGTTCCGTCCTCACCATTCGGGACTGCTGCGATGCCGGGGGTCGCCGTCGGTGATCGACGGAGAGGCCGTGCACGAGCACACGTGTGTCGGCACCACGGTCGAGGGCGCCGTCGCCATGCTGGTGGCTTCCTGGGCGTTGGCATTCACACTGGGCTTCAGTGTATGTCTTTTCTGGTCGCGCCTCCGCAAACCGCCGCAGCGCTCCATCGGCACGACCGTATCGGAGTCTGCGCGCTCGGGCAGCGCCGCGAAGGTGCCGGGTCATGATCTGGACCACGTGCAAGGCACAGGGCTGCAGGAGGGCAGCCCAGCCTCCGAGACGCTCACTTCACGGTCGATCGCAACCGTCGCCGCCGCGGCCGCGGAATCGACGGCGACAGACGCGCAGAGAGCTGCGGAGAACGCGCAGGCAGCGGCCGGCGCGGCGCTGGACGTCGCCGGCGCGGCAGGCATGACGGACGGTGATGTGCAGCGCGCCCTCGACGATCCCTCAGCGTGGCCGCGGCTGGCGCAGCGCATCGCGCAGCTGCACCTCGAGGAGCGGAACGAGCTGATGTTCCAGGCGAAGTCGCGGCTGACGCCCGCGGAGCTCAGCGGGGAGAAGGGACAGTGGGTGTGCATGCAGTACGAGCTGGTCCACAGCGAGCTGCGGCGGAGGGCCGAGCAGCGCGCCGCGAACGCGCACGCGGACATCGCGCACGCGGAGGCCCGGAAAGCCGAGGCCCAGGAGAGCCACGTGGACTTCAAGAGGTGCGCGACGCCAACACCCCGTGCAGTCCCCCGGAGGTGTCGCGGCGCGCCGGGGGGGTTTTGGTCGCACACGCTCGGGTCGGTCGCGGGACCGTCTGGCTACGTCGCGTGTCTCGAGACGGGATGTTGCTTCGCTTCATTTCTTTTCATCACAGGAGGGGCATGCAACAGATGGAGTCGCAGCGGGTGCGGGAGGGGCTCGTGGAGGCGATCATGGCGGGGATGGTCGTGTTGGCGCTCACCATGGCCGTCGCGAGCGGGGGGTACAGGGCGTTGACGCGCCCTGCGGAGAGCCTGAGTCAGTGCTGGTCTGACGCGGCGTTCTTGGTGGGAGAGGGGCCGGAAGGGTTTGTGGCGACGGTGTTGTTGGCCGTCCGCGGCGCGGCAGGGACGGTGAGGTCGCTGGCGTGCCAGGCGGCGTTGGTGCGGGACACGGTCGGCGCGGCGGTGCCGACGGTCGTCATGGGATTTGTTGCGGTGTGGTTCGTTCTGAAGCACTCGCAGTCGGGGCGGCTGAACGCCGCGCTCATGATTCTTCTGTTCACTGGCGGGGGCTTCGGCGGAGGTGCGCCGCGCGAACACGACCGCGTGGGAACGAGCGTCGTGCTGGGTGGTGCTTGACGCCGGCGTGTTCCTCGTGTGCCGCGCAGATATGTTCGTTGGCGTGGTTGGCGGCGAGAAGAGGTATTGGTGGGCCGCGTGGACGGTCTGGATGGTGAGCTCGGGGCTGAGTTTGACCAGAATGGGGGAGGACGTGCTGCTTTCTCGGACAGAGCCTGAGCACGAGGCAGGAGCCTCGCGCCGCGGGGCACTGGGCCACGACAAAGAATACGTGAGGGTCCTTTTCGCGAAAGTGTGGCTCGGGGTCGTCGCGCCGGTGCTGTGCGGCATGGCTCCGTTTCGACTTGGAAGCGTCTTTCGATACCTGCCGTGAGCGCGGTGCTCACCACACTACACCCGCTCTGTGATATCATTGACTTGTGTCTGCGTTACAATCGGGCGGGCTCGACCCGGCATCCCAACTCAAGGCCCGGAGCTGTTTGCCCATCATGGATTCTCCTTTATCCGCTCAGGCTTTCTCCTCGTCCTCGCGCTCGGCCCACTCGATCTCAGTCCCGCCCGCCTCGAACTCGGTGAACCGCGCCCCGGCTTCCTCGGCCATCGCGGCCGCCGCCTCAGCACGCTCCGCCCTCTCCTTCACGCGCCTCCGAGCCGCCGCCAGAATGTCCTCCCCGGCGGCCTCGAGCACCTGCGGGGAGCCGAGCTCGTCATCCGAGGGGATGTCCTCGAGCTTCGGACCGTCTCCTGTGCACACGGACCCGGAAACGTCGCGAGTTTGGTTCGAAACGATTCAGAGCGAATCCGTGGTTTTGCGGGCGCACCGGGCCGCCGATCGTCTCACCTTGCTGCGCGTTCAGCCGAACGAGGTTGAGCGACCAGGGACGCTGGCGCAGACCAAGAACGGGCCCCGTGCGGGCTCGCGCCAGGCCCGACTTGTTGCTGCGAGCACCAGCCACGCGCGTCTGCGAGACCGACATCATGTTGACGTTGGTCGCTCCCAGCACGTCGTCGGGGTGATGTGCGCGCGACCTGCCAACGGCGGTGCCAACATCGGCATCTGCAAGGCGCTGAAGGGGACAAAAGACCCCCCTCAAGGTATGACTTATTTGATTCGCTGACCTACAACAACAGGCCGCCCCGGCATCGTCCACGTCGACCGGGAATCCGGCCTGAGTCTGCGCACTGGCGCGAGAGATACTTGCAAGGCTCACATGGCAGCGGTGGTGATTCGGAGGCGGCGTTGCTATCAATTAGGCAATGTTCAAGTCCAGGGAATATGTACGGTCCTCGACTGATGTTCTGGCGGGCGACGCGGAGGCGCCTCACCCGCAGACCTCGCCGGCCGCGAGGTCCTGGCAGCGGCGATCCTGCTCGCCCCCGGACGGCAGGCGCCCGGGGGGGCACTCGCAGTCCAGCTCCGCGGACTCCGAGCCGGTCTCGGACGCAGTCGCCTCGTCGGACATCGACTTGAGCGCCTCCGCCTGCTCCTCCTCGTGATGGACCTTCTCCCTGATGTTGTGCGCGGCGCCCTCGATCTGCGGCGCCAAACGCCCGCGCGGGGTGGTCAGGAAGTTGATGTCAGTTCCCACCGCCGCGCACGAACAGCGAGGACGGTCTCTCGCGGGGGGCGCGGGCGGGCGTGCGCCCGGAACCCGGCGCGCCTCCGCGGCGCCCCGTCGAGGCCGACCGCATCTCATCGCGGGGACACATAGCAGGTTTTGCGCGCGTCGCGCGGCAGAGTCGCCCGCGCACGGCGACGGACGCACCAGCTCGGCCTCCTTCTCGACGAACTTGCGCACGTTCTCCTTGGCCTTGGCCTCCATCTCCTTCTCCGCCTCACTGAGCATGTAGTACCGGATCTTGAGGGCCTTCTTCGCGACCTTGGCGACCGCGTGGAACTGCACGCAGAAGTTTGATCGTTCGCGATCGGTGGCGCGGGCACTCGGCTCACGTTCGAGCCGGCGTTCGCCGCGCCTGGTGTAACCACCGCAATGCTGCTCCATGAGGGTCGCAGATATCGCACCGCATCGAGTTTCTCCTCCGCCGCCTTGAAGTCTTTCTCTGCGACAAAAGGTGGCGAGTCGTTGCGGGGGGACCGTGTCGTTCTGCGCGTCGCCAGCCCCGGCCAGAGTTGCGGTCGACGGACCCCTAGCTTGCGGCATCGAGGCTCCAAATTGTCATACGTGGCCAAGTTCGTGCATAACACTTGCTGAACACACATAGAGCATTCCGAATACACACAAGGCGGAGTACTTGGGCGATGATGGTGGACGCCCGGCGCAATGCGAAGAGCACGCAAGCCAAGGCGTTGGGCCCGCTCGAGGGGTGGCCGCGGTGCTCGCACCTTCGTAGCTGGCACGGCGAACGACCAGCGCGCGAGGCCGCCCCGTCGTCACCGGCCCACGCTTGCCGGTGTGCCCGCAGACGGCCCGGATGTGCACTTTGGTGGCAATCATGATTCGTTGGACGCGATGCGGCTGTTTCTCGACCCCGGAGTACTTCAATTCGGTACTGAGAGCGACAAAGTGAAGCAGACGTCGCGTCGCAAAGGCCGAAAATCCCGCCTATCCGCGGCAATCCCCGCGACGCGGGTGCAACACACTCCACCAACCACCCCAGTGCCATGACATCGCATGTTCGACTCCGCCACAACCGCGGCGGACAGCGCACCGCAGCGCCCCTGACATCCGTTTGCCGCCAGCGGCATGCAGCGGCTCACACCCCCCCCCGGCGACGCGTTTCTTTGCTTGCAGCGACAACTTCAACCGACCGACCAGGCCGCGCACCACGCCGCGGAACGGCGCTCTCAGCGCTCCGCGTCCTCGCTGCGGGGGTCGTCGTAGCGCTCGGACAGGTGCACCTTCCCGGCCTGCCGCGCGGCCTCCTTGCTCGGCGTCGGCTTGCCGCGCTCCTTCAAGGTCTCCGCAGCCTCCTCCGCGACGGCCTCCGCGGCCCCCTGGACGGCCTCGGGGACGTGCTCCTCGGCGGCCTTCTGCGCCGCGGCTTTCGTCGCGGCTGCCGTCTCCTTGCCTGCGTCGACGAGATCCTCCTTTGCATCTTTTGCAGCGGCCGCCGCGGCGCTGGCCTTCTCCCTCGCCTTCTCCTTCGCCTCCTCCATGTGGGCTTCCATCTCGGCGCGGCGCACCATTTCGTCTTGCGCGGAAATCAGCTTCTCCTTCTGCGAGATCGCCATGGCCTTGAGCTGCAGGGACGACGCACATCTCGGGATCGAGTCATGTTCTCGTGAGGTAGTCCGGTTGCGTCCGTCAGAGGGCAAGGACGCTGCCCTCACCTGCTCGGTCTCATTCATGGCGAAGACCCGGGCCTCCTCGGCGGCCTCCGCGGCCTTGCGAGCCAGATCCTTGGCGGAACCACCGAGGCTTTCCAGGCGCTCCTTGGTCTGCCTCTTGGCCTCTTTGGCGCTCGCCTTGGCCTGCGAAAATATTCATAGGCACAATCGAGATGGGTCGGCCCCGGGCGAGACAGGTCGGGCGCGGGCAAACGACGATTCCACGAACGAGCATGGTGCCTTGCCTGCTCCTTTGCCGGCTCGATTCCGCTCTCCCCCTTGTCTGCACGAGCAATCAAGGGCACGTCCAGGACGAGAGAGAGCTGTGTGGGGGGGGGCACCGCGAGGCTTGTACGGGGCTCGTACTTCAGTCGTGAAGCACACGTCGCAGCCGCCGCATGCTTCCCGCGTCGTCACGACGCGGGCACGCCATCGACCGTTGAACATGAGATCGAGCTCGTCCGCGGCGCGACGCCCGCCGGAGCCGCACGGCGGCCATGTTTCCGCGACACGACTAATGCATGCAGTTGCAACGTTCCGTCATCGCACCTTCCGGGGCAGCGCGCCGGGCAGTCGACAGCCTCGCACCCATCCTGGCGTGCGCGTCGTGGGTGATCGGCTCGCGCCTCACCGGGCGCCTCCCGAGCCCAAAGAAGGGCGTCGTGGTCTTCAAACGCAGCATGGAGCGACGTGCTGTGGCCCTCGGATGCTTCGTTGCCAGGCAGACTGGCCAGTGCGTGTAGGTGGGCAGGACGAGGGAATTCGTGCGCGGTGCCGCGACGAGCCGTGTGGGGGGGATGAACGTGCACATACCCCTGAGTCAGCGACGCTGTGGGGGCACACGCAGCTGCCGTCAGCGCACACGCAGATGCGCCTTGATGCAAGCGGCCACGGGTCTGCGGCACCTGACGTCCACCAAGGGAGATCTCGCCGCTCGCGTCACGCGCCTACGTGCTGCATTCGATCATCCGACGCGGCCGTGCCCTGAGGCTGCGTCCGTCCTTCCATCGGCGTGATGCGGCAGGCGAGCTACCGGGCGACGTGGTCGCTCGCCCGCGCGTGCTGTACTGCCTTAGGCATCGCGTTGCGGCACGTGGGCAAGTTGTGGCGCACGCGTCCGATGCGATCGATGCGCCCACGGCTGGGGGCCCGGGTCACATCGCGAGGGCCTCGCAACGAGAGTCGCCCGCGGGGTGTTGGGCGCAGGGCGTCGACGCGCCGCCCATGGCCAGGTCATGGCGAGGAGGAGCCGAGCGGATACACGCCGCCGGCTACAACGAGTCCGATCGGTGCGTCATCTTCTCCTTGATGTATTCGGCCGTGTCGATGTATCTCAATGCGCAGTTCTTCAGGCACGCCTCCTCCTTCGACGACAACACCTTGCCTGCAGCGCCAACGCCACGGCAGCGCTCGTGACCGACCGGGTGGCGGGGAGACGACGCGCTGCCACGCTCGAGCCAAAGGCGGCCCGGAAGGTTCCCGAAGCGGTGCGCGAGCGGATGCATCGGCGGCGTGGCACCGCCGAACCAGGTGCTTATACAACAGGGGCACCGTGCGCGGGTGGACAGGTGGACGGGGTCGACATGACCCAAGCTGGTCGCACGTGAGACATCGGAGGTGGTCGCCGGGAGCGTCATCAGGCTTGGGCTGCCGCAAGGCAGCGGGGACCGTCGCTGTGGCAGCGAGGCCTTGTGGTGGCTGCGCCCTGGCCCGGCGAGGATGCGGATCTCTCGAGGTGATGGCGGTGCGAGGCGCGCAGGGGACGATGCGCTGGTGGGTCTCACCAGGGTATATTTGGCATTTGTCCCAGCAGATCTTGGTCAGCGAGCTGACCAGCTCCCGCGTCTGTGCCACCATCTGCTCCCTCTGGATGAACTGCTGCAGCTCCGGGGACACATGCTGGTCTCCCATGGTTTCCACCTCTGGCACGAGACCACGTCGCTCAGCGGCCGTCGGCGCGTCCTAGCCGAAGCGGTGCGGGTGCAAGGTCCAGTGAGCTACAGGCCAGGCCGGTGCGAGCGCGTCGTCTTTTGCTCTAGCCCGTCGCCACGCACGCTCTGTCTCGCGCCCGCGCGCCGTCGCCTCCCAACCAGCCGCCGCGGGCCGCGGGCGGGGACAAGCTCGGAGTCCCCCGGCACGTGTCAACGACACCGAACCGCTGCGGCCGACCGCGGGCACAACACCGCAGGCCCATCGGCGCGCGCGGCCATCGCGCCCGCCGTGCAGCGCGCTCTCACCGCGTCCGCAGTCTCAACGGCCCGGGTCGTCCTCTTCGCGCTGCGACGCGCTGGCGTGAGGTCTTCTCTCATAGCGACGTGTGCGGCCGAGTCCAGGTCTGGGAGCTCGCGCCCGGAACGAGCTGCTCGGTCGCTCGCGATGGCGGATGGCGGCGATGAGGACCCGTTCCAGCTGCCCGCGCCGCTCGTCCCTCTTGCCACGGTGGTGCCAGCGCGCTGCCCGGGCCCGAGCGCACGGGCAGATTGCCACCAGAAGCGCATCTTCGATCTGAGATTCCGGCAGGGGAACGAAGCCACGCTAGCTTCGTGCGGGTGAGCCACTGCGCAGCGCGGCGCGGGCTGCGTCCACCTGCGCTTTGCCCGGGAAGCTTGATTCCGCACAGGATCCCGCTGATACCAATGCGAAATACGCCCCCAAGCATCCCCTGTGGCGCAAGCGTAGCGTTGACGAATCGAAACTGTCGGTCGACCTTGCAGGGAGGACGAAACCGCCCGCGTCTGGACCTGCGACACATCGGGCGGCTCCGACCAGCCGGCGTGGACTCTCGCCGCGCTGGCGAAGGGACACGAAGACCCCGTCCTGCGCGTCGCGTGGTCCGAAGACGGCGCTGTCCTCGCGACCGCCTCCGGCGACACAACCATCCGCCTTTGGGATGTCTCGTTGCCAGCACTGGAAACCCGCGGACAGCACGATGCTGCCCCGGACCTGAGGTGCAACGCCGTCCTCGCGGACCACCCGGAGGAAGTGTACGCGTGCGACTTCGTTCCCGGAGCCGGCGGGTCGCGGATTGTGTCCGCCAGTGGAGACGAGGCGTTTCTATGGGATGCGGAGGGCTGCGCGATCCTCGCGCGCGACAAGGGCGTGCGCGACGGACAGACGTCAGGCGACCAGATGCCGGACCGGTGGCGCCCCGGGTACCTGTTCTGCCTCGCGCCTGACGCGCGGGGGGAGTTGGTTGCTGCGTCGTGCAGCGACGGCGTCGTCCGCGCGTGGGGCGGGGCGGCGCGAGGGACGCTCGAGCACGTCGCGCAGGTGGACGCGCACAGGTACGCGGAGGCCGGCGCGCTCCACGTTGCTCCGCACCGACCGTCTGATTCGCAACGGCCCTGCTTTGATCACCAAACACCCCCTCGTTGTTCCCACCGGGACGTGCAGCGGGATGGGGGTGTCGTGCTGCTTCCTGCCCGACACGTCGCAGCTGATCTCCGCCGGCAGCGACGGCACGGTCTGCCTGATCGACACGCGCACGTGGCGGACGGTCGACTGCATCCAGATGCCAGCGCCACTGGGCCAGCTGGCCGCGTGCCCCGGGTGCCGCGGATGGGCCGTGGGCGCGGGCCGCGACGGCAACGTCTGGGTGCTCGACGTGTCCACCGCCCAGACCTGCCCGATCGGCTCCGTCACGGACGCAAACGGCGACGTTCTGCCGCAGCGCGCGCTGCTGTCTGTCGCTGTGTCGGACGGCTGCGGGCACATCGCGGCGGCGGGCGAGCCGCTCGACGTGGCAGGAGAGGACGCGTGCGCGCACGCCGAAGGGCATCAGCACCACAACCATGCCTGTGCGCACGGGCATGATGATCACGGGCACGAGCACCACGAGTGCGACCACGGGCACCACGAGGGTGCGGCTTTGTCGCCGATCGACATCTTCAGCGCGCAGACCACCTGCAGCGTCGACCACTAGCACCTACGCGAGCACGGCGATCGTTGCACACCAGGGAATCACAAGACGCCGCGCTCGTCGCTCATGTGACGCGTTTGACCCGGTCCATGACGCCCCAGAACGCCACGAAGTCGTAGCTCGTCCGCACCCTTCGCGAAAACTCCCCCCACAACTCCGGCTCCCGCGCTCTGACGCCAATCAGTGCGCGCACGTGCCCCAGCAACGTCGCGAGCGCCAGCACCCACACCGTGCACTCCAGCTCGTCGAACGAGTCCAGCAGCAGCTCCGTTCCCAGCCGCACGTCCTCCTCCCGGTCGCCCTCCAGCCCCGTGCCGCCCACACTCGCAGCGCCGCCCCCCGAAAACGCCCCCTCTTCCAGGTCCCACCCGAACTCGTCGCGGGCCACGGACAGCGCGTACGTCGCCATCGCGCCTCGCACGAGCTCGCGCGCAGCCCCCGGAGGCACGTTCGCGGGCGCGAGCGCCGCCTCCCACGGGGAGAAGGTGAACAGAGGTTTGACGAAGCTGCCGCCGGGGCTCTGCAGGTCCGTGACGTCGTCGTCCTGCGCCTGCCGCTCGATCTCCGCGACCATCTCGGCCAGGCGCAGGACGGACGCCGGGCGGATGCCCAGCGGGATGAGGGACCGCGTCAGGGACACTAGCTGACTCAGCCTGCCCTCGCGGAGGAGGCCGCCGGCGTGCGAGGCCAGCAGGACCATGAGCTCGAACTCCACGGGCGGCTCCGGCAGATTCAGAACCTCGGGGTGCGCCAGAATCTGCACACACGGCGCGCGTGCGGACATTGCATGAAAAGGCAATGGATACGCAACGATCAACGAGCGCGCAAAACGATCGCCCTCGCACAGCCACCAGGGCGATCCTGCAAGCTGCGCGCGCCGCACCTCCTCGAGCACCTCCCTCGGAGACAGCGGTGGCGCGTCTGGGTGCGCCAGCCGCCTCGTGGGCCCCGTCACCCCCGGCTCCCTCGCGGCGTCCGACCGCGGCGGGCTCCCGACCATCGTCGAGCCGAACGCAGACCCGCGCCCTGCCGACGCCAGGCTCGCCGCGAGCGAAGCGGACCGCCCATGCCTGTTGCGTGCCGCGCCCTCCATGTCCGCGACGCCCCCGGGCGCGCCCGATGCCGCCTCGTCCGCCTCCTGCGCCACAGGCGTCCGCGGCGCAATCGGCGGCCGCGGCGCAACCCACTCCATCAGCTGCGACAGCCACCCGCCGTCACCTTCCCCCTGGCCAGCGCCGCCCTGCGCCGGCCCCTCTGGGTCCCTGCCGTGGAACCGGGGTACGTGCGCTCCGGCGCTCGCGCGCCGCTGCACGGGCTGCGCCATCGCCGCCGTGCGCGGCGCCGCGCCGTTGCGCGACCGTCCCGCGACCGCGCGGTCTGCGCCCGCCACGCTGTCCCCCCCTGCCATTCCCTCCACGAGACTGACAACGCGGTGCTCCGCGCTGTTCCGCAGCTGCTTGCTCGACGAGCGCAGCACGGGGTGCGCGTTCGGCAGCCCGCTGCTCTCGTCGTCGGAGGCCACGTCTTTGCTCGCGTAGCTGATTCGAGAGGACTGAGCGGACGCGGATCCCTTGCCGTTGCTTGCGCGCTGCGAGGCGGCGTCCTTGGACGACTCCGCGAGCGCGGAGCCCGTGAACTTGGCGATCTCGACGCTGCTGCTGTCGATGCTCGGCGGCGGGCGAGGGGCCTGCGACGGCGGCACGGGCGTCGACGCGTGTGCGGGGGGGGAGAAATGGAACGCTTCGTCCTCTGGGGGGACCAGGCCGTCCAGGAACGACGGCACGTGCGAGTGCCTGTGCCCTGGCCGCGTCCGGGGCGGCGACGCCAGCTCGAGCACCTCGGCCTGCGAAAAAGAGAACCAGCCATGGCAGTTTGTGAGAGCCTGGAGTGTGATCGTTCCTCGCACGCACGCGCTGTCTGGCTCGCGTAGTGGAGTGAGCGACGTGCGTTCGATCGGCGACGGGGAAGAGGCGCACCGTCAGCCGGAGGGACGCCGACTTCTTCGCTTGACTAGCATGGGGGGAGTCGAAGCTGTGCTTCACTGCAGGCCTCTCAGACTCCGAAGGCACGTCCAGCGACACCTTCTGCGGGCTCGTCCTGCCGTCGCTCGGCGTCTGCGCCCCCTTGGCGCGCAGGATGCCCCGCAGCCGCTCAGTGGGGGACTGCGGTGGCGTGGCCGACCTCTGCTTCCCAGAGGAGTCGTTGCGCTCCAGCGACCGGTTCGAGGTCACGGGCGACACGATGTCCAGCCCCTTGAGCGCGCGCTGCACCAGCGCACGCGTGCCCCCGGCGTTGTCGCGGCCGGGCGCGAGAAACCGGATCAGTTCCGCAGCAACGTCGTATTCTCCGAATTCGAGGACTTGGTCCGCGATGCGGAGCGCGAGGCCGCACGCCACGTTCGCGCCCTCCAGCCGGTCGACGACCAGCAGCCCGCACGACGCCAGCCGGCGCTCCCCGTGCGACAGGAGGTCCTCGACGATGCCCGACGGCGGTCCGACTGCGTCGAAGAGCCGCACCCAGCGCGACGGATCCGTCTTCCGCGCGACGCAGACCACGGCTGCGCCGAAGCATTCGGTCTGGCGCAGCAGCCGCACCGCACCGCGCAGCAGTGCGTCGCCCGTGCAGAGCTCCGACTCGGTTTTGCCGTCGAACCACCCCCTGACGCGGTCCTCCTCGGTCTGCTGCGGCGCGCTCGACTCGCTGTGCAGGACGGTCAGCAAAAGCAGCTCTGCGGCGCCCGGGAGCCCGGGCGACGCCGCGTGCGCCGCCGCGAGGTCGCACGCCGCCTGCTCCGCGCCGCTTGCGAGGAGCCTCCTGAACAGGCACGGCAGCAGAGTCCGCACCGACGGCTCTGCGACCATCGCGGGCAGCATGAGGGCAGCCGGGGCCTGTGCGCCGGCGGAGGCGCCCCAGGCCAGCACACGCGCCTCCGCTGCAATGTCAGTCGCGATCGCCGCGGGCGATGCCCAGCCGCCCCCCGCCGCACCGGTGCCCGTCGCAAACACGGTGCGCAGGCTCATCAGCACTGCGGCCATGTGCGTGCCGGACACCCCCACGGGGTACCCCTCCCGGTCAGACTCCAGCTCTGGATGCTCCGGCTCGTCCGACCCGTCGTTGGCCTCGCCCGCCTCGCGCAGCGCGTGCATGAGCCGCGCGTTCCGCGAGCTCGCCGCCCGGAAGGGCCCCATCGAGTCTCGCAGCGAGTCGCTGCCCTGCAGAAAGGCCAGCCGCCGGTCCTCCAGGGCCGACAGCGGCGCCGCCTCGTTCGCGGTGCTGCTGTGCGACCCCTCCGCGCGAAGGGACCGCCGCACGAGCGAGTCGACGCGGACGGACTTCCCTTTCGGCGTCCCGCCGGGCGTCGGGAGCGAGGTGTCCACCGTAGACAAAGACAGCGCGGCGTCGTCATTGACGGGCGGGGCCTCGGCCGGGGACCGCAGCGGCGCCCTGGGCTGGAGCGACCGCAGCTCGATGCCGCGCGGCGTCGACAGCCACACCGGGAACGGCTCCTGCGTCGGGTTGTCTTCGGGCGCCTTCTCTGTGGTGGTTGCAGACGCTGTCGTGCCGCAGATCCCCGCATGCGACTTCGACGGCGCGGTCCTGCGCGAAGGCGCGGTCTGCTGCGTCGCCCACGACAGCAGGCCGGAGCTGGCGCTCGGCCGCTGGTCCGCGTTCGCCCCGCCATGGCTTGCGCCGCCCTGCCACGCCGGTGGCCAGGGCTCGTCCGGGGCCTGCAGCAGCGCGAGGAGCCGCGACATAGCGACGGGGTCCTGCGCACGTCCGCGCGCGCTGCCTGGCGCGCCGCCGCCGCCGTGCCCGCCGCTCCCGCCCCCCGAGTGCACACCGAAAGACATTCCCCCCCCGTGACTCCCCCCCAGCCCCGAGAAAGGCCCCGCGCTGCCTGCGCGCGGGTTCTTGTACGCGATCTCCTCGCGCAGGGTGTGGAGCGCTGTCGCCGAGGCGTCCCCCGGGGCCCCGAGAGCCCCCCCGAGGTACTTGGTCGCGGATCGAAAACTCCCCCCCCTGGCGGCGGCGGCGCGGCTCTGGTGGCTCGAGCGCCGGGACCGTGGGACCTGGCTGAGCGGGGTGGACAGGAGGTTGAGGGGGCCGAGGGTCGAGGAGGTCGTCTGGGCCGCGGGGGTGCCCGTAGCCTTGGCTGATGCGATCCAAAACACCTCCACCCCGCTGCCGACGTGGCGTTCGGCGCCCGACACCATCGAGAGGACCTGCAGCTCGCCCGACGCGCTCAGCAGGAGGCAGTGCGACGGGAGCGTGTCGACCTGCGCCCGCGCCCCCGCGCCGCCGTTCTCGGGCGCGCAGGGGGGTGTTGGCACAGGGTCCGACTCGTGGAGCATCCAGGCGGGCACGAGGCAGGCGTCGGTGAGCGGATCGAGCGCGGTGGTCACGAGCGACAGCGAGCGCAGCACCTCGATGCGCCCGCGCTGGCCCGAGCCCCCCGGCTGCACCCTGGCAACGGTGATGTCCAGGGGGGGGTATAGCAGCATGACGTCGGCGCCGAGGACGTCGACGCAGGACGGGTGCGCCTCGAGGTCGAGCGTCGCGATCGTAGCGGCGTTGCTCAGGTCGCGCGCGGGAACGATGCGCAGCGTCGCGGCGTGCTGCTGTTCCTTGCGGCTTCCAGAGCGCGAGAGATACCCTCGCCCCGACTGCGGGCCCCAGTGCGGCATCGAGTTCGGCTTGACGGCGCCGAGCCCGTCGAGGTACGCGAACTCCGGGCGCGGCTTCGTCGTGACCGCCGCGACGAACTGCGCGCCGCGCGCGGCGCCGAAACACACCCCCGTGCACGAGAAGGAGGACTCCTCGCTCAAGTCCCCCCACAGGTGCCACTTGCCGGCCTGCCGGTCGTGCACGGCGAGCCCGTGCAGCCCGGCCACGACGAACAGCATCGTCGACGCGCTCGCCGCGGCCACGCGCACCGGCCAGTTCGGTCGCAGGTACTGCTCCGGGACGCACACCTCCGACACCCACGCGTGCTGCCCAGCGGGCCCCGCCGCGGCCCCGCGCGGCTCCCCGCCGCGCCCCATCCCGCCGAGACCCCCGCGCTGCCCCTCCGCGCCCTCCCTCGCCGCCCCCGGCACGCCAGGGTCGACACACAGCATTGCGATGCGGTCGGCGCCCACCAGCAAGTGGCCCTCGCTGCGGCCGCCCCACGCCGCCGCGGAGCCGCCGGGGCCGAGGACGCCGGCGCCCGGGGGCTCCGGCACGCGGTGGCTCCCCACGGGGAGCTTCAGGAGCCGGCACTCGACGAGGACTGCTGGCGTCGCAGGCGCGTCGCTGGGGGAGTGGCCGAGGGGCGCCGTGAGGCCGAACAGCGCGAACCCGTGCGGCCCCCACGCGACGCTCGGCACGCGGCCTGCGAGCAGCGCCGGCACCGGGCCCGTCGCGCCGCGGCCCGGCACCGAGCTGGTGCTAGTGCGCGCCAGCTGGTGGTGTTCCGTCTCCGCGGCGCCCGCGGCCTTCGCGTCCACTTCTCGGAAGGTCGAGAGCAGCCGGTACCCCGACATCGTCCAAAGCGAGAGGCCTCCGCGCGAGGAGCCGACGCAGAGCGCGCGCGCGTCCGGCGACCACGACAACGCCAGCACGCGGCCGGTCTGGTCAGGGGTGATGCCCCACGTGGCCATGGAGAGCACGCACGCGGGCTGGTGCAGCGGCCGGGAGCGCACTGCGGGCGACATGATCATCTCGTCGGAGTGCTGCAGCGCGCCCACGAACCCCTGGCGCTCCACGTGCGTGCTCAGTCGCCGCGCCGCGCTGTCGCCCGCGCTGCCCGCGGACTGCATCGCGGCCGACGCCGCGGACGCCGAGTCCTGCGCGCGGAGCACAGCGTTCGCGCCGTCGTCCTGGTCGTCGTCGTCGCCCTCGCGCCCGGCGCTCGACGCCACCACGAAGTCGCGCCCGCTTGGCGCGGCGCTGGGCGCGGCGCTGCTCGTCGCGCCGGAGCTCTGCGTGATCGCGGTGCCGACGCGGCTGAGGCCGTCCGGGACGTCGATCGTGTGCAGCGCGACGGTGCCGTCGTCGAACCCGACGGCCGCGACAGGCCCCCGGGGGGACACCGCAACCGACACCGCCCCCGACAGGGGGGAGTACAGCTCGACGAGGAGGCGCAGGACCGACAGCTGCACGGACCCGTTCCGCCCGACGGTGAACGCGCACGCGCGGCCGTCGGCGAAGCACGCGACGAGCAGCGAGCGCGTCGACAGCAAGGCGAGGGAGCTGACAGCAGAACGGTGCTTCGCGAGCTTCACGGGTCCCTGGAACGCGCCGCGCCATGACGCTGCGGAGACAGCGCCGTCGAGAGTGCCGACGACGACCGCCGTGGGCCCCGCGGCCAGGCAGCACGCGCCGCGCAGGCGTGGAGACCCCGGGGGGGACATAAAGCCCAGTCCGACACGCAGCCCGCCCGCGAACGGCGCGCTGTCGACCTCGGCGGCTGCCTCGCTGACGCTGCCAGCCTGCGGCGTCCGCTCCAGCACGAGCCCCAGCAGCCTGCGCGCGAGCGCACGGAACACGTTGGAACTCGCTTTTGATCGTCGTGAGCAGCGGGCGGTCGCGCCGGCGGGCCGCGGGGCGCACGGACCTGTGCGTCGAGGTCAGGACGGCCACGTGGCGGCCCGTGCCGCACACGGCCACATCGAGGATGGTCACCGCGGGGCACGGCGCCAGCACTGAGGTGCCGAACTCGGCTCCCGGGGCGCTGTCCGCGGCGGAATCGTCCTGTGCGACCTCGTCGCGGATGTCCTCGACGTCATCGAGGGCCCAGACCGCGAGCCGAGCGCGCACGCGCCCAGCGCTCCACAGCTGGATGCCCCGCTGGCAGACCACCACCAGCACAGGACCTGCGCAGGAGCCCGGACGGTCGGCGCGGCGTCGCGTCGGTCACGGCTCGCGAGCGGGGCCTGTCGTCCTCGCGCAGGAAGCCGCCTGGGAGCCTCGGGGCGCCCGTGAGGAAGCCGGGCAATGTGAAAAGGACGGCCGCGCACCGGACGTGACAATCTGCTTGGCCTCCCCGATGTCCGCGTCGCACACAAGACTCACTGCCTGCGGCCAGTCCTTAGTGAAGTACATTTTTGCCGCGTAGCCCGCGTAGCCGCCCTCCCAGGCTCAAAGAGAGATCGCCGGCCTCGCGGCGCCCGTGCCGGGCCGGAGGCACGCCCGCAACGCCCGACACGGGCCGTCTGTATGCTCAACGGCACATGGTAGCGAGGCGGGGGGAAAACAGCGCCTGCACGTGCGGCCGCGCGAAGCAACTCCTGCTTCGAGGAAACACCAGGGACTTCGAGGAACACAGCCCGACAACAGGTCCTGCGACGGAGCTCGGCGCGGAACCCGCGAGTGCAGCACCTGGGCGGCGACCAGCCGTTAAGCGCGCCCGCCAGCGCGCCACGTGTCGGTCGGGAGGCCTCGGGGGATCTCTCGGGAGCTCCGTCGAGCTCGCCGCGCCAGGCGGACTCAAGGGGCTCGTTCGGGGCTAGCGCGCGGCACTGCCCGCGAGCGAGTCCCTTCCTGTACCCGTTGCGATTGCGCCACTCCGCGTACCTCCTCCACGGCTCCACGCGACCCCCGAGCGCTCAAGGCAGCGCACTCGTGCGTGCGTGCGCCTCCGGCGCGTTCCGAGGCCCGCGAGCGGGCCGGCAGTAGGACTAGGTCACGATGGACGACATCCACCCCGAGAAGCAGATCATGTTCGAGAACACGTACATTCTCGAGCCAGAAGGCTACGGCGAGGGACAAAAGTTCCTCCGGCACGAAGTCCTCGCCATCCTGCAGGTCCGGCCCCTTCCCGGCGCTCCCTCACATCGTGGCCGTTCCCGGCAGCGCGCGGCTCGCCGCGCGTGGGCTCCTGCGCAGCCGGGGCGACGAGGACGTGGTGCTGTTGGCATGCCTTGTGTCGCCTGCCTGGTCCAGCGCGGGCGGTCACGCGGCCAGCACGTGACGTGGGCGGATCCAGACGACGGTAGCGCGTCCTGCCCGCCCCGAGCCAGCGGCTTGCGCCCCCGCGCCCCCGCGCGACCGTGCGTGCCGCCCGCGGCCATGCAGCTGCCTCCGCGGGCACGCGAGGCGTCGCGCGCGGCACTTGCACGCACGAGCCGGATCGCCACCGAAGATACCGCGTCCCGGCCAGGCCTCCCGCGCCCGTTCGCGCTCCCTAGTGCGCGGGCGTGCTGGTGGACCTGGCATGTCCCTTGCCGCGCCGACCCGCGCGGCCCGGCGTCTCCGGCGCGCAGGACGTGATCGACTCGAACGTCAAGGGACAGGTGTACGACGCGAGGAAGGCGCCGAACTTCAGCAAGATGCTCGCTGACACGGTGTTGGCCCGCGTGAAGGATCTGGGCTACACCAGGTGCGGTCCCCCCGGGTCACACGCGGCCTCAGCGACCCGCTCCGCTCGTCCCGGCCGTCTCCGAGCCGCCCTCGCAGCGCTGGCCCCCTCAGTCCGACGCGGCCCGCCCGGGACCGCGTCGATCCCGTGTGCAGCACCCGGCGCATGCGCTGTTGCGGCTTTCGCGGCGATCCGACGCCCGGCGCACCTCCGTGGTCCGCAGGTACAAGACGGTGTGTCAGGTGACGGTCGGGGAGCGGATCGGGCAGGCCATGCGCGTCGTGTCGCGGTGCTTGTGGGACACGAAAACGGACAACAGCGCGTCGCTGTCGTACGAGTCCCAGAACCTGTACGTAGTGCTGCAAGTGTTCGGCGTGTACCTCGAGTGAAGCCGCGCGTTCGCGCAGCCCCGCGATGCTGCTGCGGACGCCGCATGTGACTTGCGAGTGCACAACAGCGCCATGCGCATGTTGCGGCCGCTTGTTCTGACGCGACAGCACGGCAGACGCTGCGGCGTTCAGCGCGCGTGCGAGCCGCGCTGGCGAGCCGTCGTAAGGAGCCGCACCGCGCCCCGCTGCAACGCGATGGGAGCGTCACGACATCGTGCTCCCTCTCTCTGTCAACGCACCCCGCGAACGGCGGGCAGATTCGGCGGCGAGCAGGGTGGCGGGAGCTGTGGCGCCTCGACTGGCGGTCACGGGGGTGGTTTCTTCGTAACTCCCCCCTGCGTCGTGTTGGTGTCACTTCTACCACCCAGGGCGCCGGCCTCGAGGCTGTCGCGCGACCCGACCGGGCCACACTGTCCCTGCCACTCACAGTCCCACGGCTGCCCGCCTGCCACGGACGCACGTCGCGGTTCCCGCACTCGGCGGCGAAACACACACCTGTGCACCACAGCAGCGCCCCTGTGGCCGCGTCGTGACGCGGCCTACGTGGCATTCGTTGCGCCAGATAGTTCTTAGGTGTAGCTGGCGTTGCGGGGTGCGGAGCCGCGATGTCAGCGCTTGGTGCGGCCGCACCGCGCACCTGCCTGAGGCTACCGGGTCCGGTGGCACGCAGAGCGGCGCCAGCGTCGACCCGGCCGTTCCTGCGCGGCTGCTTGCCGGTTCTCCCGCCGAGGAACGCGAAGAAGCATGTCGCTCCGCCGCGTGCGCGCGGAGTGCGGACGTACGCGATGGTGAACGTGGACTTGGGGCCAGCGACGGTGCTAGGGGCCTCGCTCGTGGGGCTGGGGGTGGTGCTGTACCAGGTCCGACTCGGGCGGCCGGCGATATCCCGGGACTACGACGTGGTCTTCTCGTCCATGTCGGTCCTCGTCGGCGGCATCCTCATTTTCCAGGTGAGGCGCTCCTACGTCGCTGCGGCACCTGCAGCCCCGCCGCGCGCCGAAGCGCCGCGTGGCGGCCCCAGGCGCGCGGATGCTCTTCTATGCAGCGGACCTGACCGTGCTTCGCCACTTTACAGCACAGCTCGCGACCACGTTGGCGGAGCTGCGCGAGCTGCTGTGGGCCGTGGGCACCATCCCTCGCCCTGACGCACCTCCGTTCCCCGCCACGTCACGCAGGGCTGGCGCTTGGATCCCCTGCTCATGTTCGGGGAGCTGCTGACCGCCGGAGTCGCGGTTGCGTTCGCGGTCGAGGCGCTCAGCTTGCGCTCGGAGCTCACCGAGGCTCTGCAGGAGCAGCAGCAGTCCCAGGACGCCTTGCCACAGGGCGGCGAGTTCGACCAGAACGTGTTCCGCCCGGACGCGCAGTACGACGCGCAGTACGACGAGTACGGCGCCTGGCGGGAGCAAAGCGCGAGTGAGTTTCGCACGCCTCGCCTGCCCCGCGCCGGGACCCGCCTCGCCGTTTCTGCCGCGCACGCGTGCGCCTGCGAGCTGTGCATACCCATGCCTGGGCCGGTATCGCCTCCGTCCGCCGCGGCCGCGCATGAGCCGCAAAAACCCCTGTGCATGTCTCACGCGCGCGCCCGCCCGGGACAGCGCGCAGCGCGGTCCGCTCACCTCACAGCTGGCGTCCGTCGTGTCCGCAGGCTCCCGGCTCCCGCCGGGCGAGCCGGCGCCGAGCTACGACGACTACTTCGGCGACAGTCGGAGTGCGCGCAACGGCGGGGGCGGCGCGGGGCGCTGGGACGGCGGCGGGGGCTTCGGAGCGGGCGGCGGGGGCGGCGGTGGGGCACCTGTGCGCGGTGACGACCCGTACGGCGGCAGCGGCGGCGGGCAGGCGCTTCCTGAGGGCCGCGGAGCTGGGCGGCCATGGCGGTCGAGCGCGCCGGCTCCGGCGCCGCGGGTCGCGGACTACGAGGACGCCGGGGACTGGGAGTGACTGCGCGCCGCTGTGAGAGCCGTGCAGCGCCGTCTCGGCGGGCGCGACCAGCGCACGCACGTGGGAGATTGCGCGTTGAGGTGTTTCAGTGCCGAGGGCGGTTCGGGGAGCCTTGAGGCGCCGCCGAGGTGCGCGGGGCCTGGGGCGAGGCAGCAGGACGTGGGGGCGGGGGCGCGCTGAGACGTGGCACGCCCCCGGTGGCACGTGCGTGCGAGTTGTCAGTGGCTGGGGCGGTGAGAGCCGGGCTGCGGGCGGAGCGAGGCCCGCGGTTCGGGCCGCTGGTGCGTCTAATCGGACGGAATTCATGTGCCGTCGGAGAGGAGTTGCGAGCGCGCAGTGGCGGAGGATGAGCCCTTTTTCCGCAGTCAGTCGGGCCGTGCGTGCCGCTCGTGGGGCATCAAGGCGCCGCGACGCCGCGGGTGTGCGGGCATTCTCGATAAGAGTCGACTGAGGGCCACCCGAACAGTTCGAACGGCTTCCGCAGGTGCGCACAGGGAGCGGGCCACCTGCTTCGAACGCCGTTTTCCCGCGTGCCGGCGACCCGCGCGCGTTCGTACGCCAGGGTCGACCGCAGTCAGCATTTCCACCGAGCATGTCCGGTCGTCGCTCGCGCTGCGGCCTCTCGCTGCGCTCGGCGCGCGCGACAACTTCTCGGGGCCAACCGAGACGCGACGAGGCGCTCGCGAGCCTTGGCGCCCCCCAGCGCCGCGACCTCCGTTTTCACGGACCCGCTTGTCCGCAAAACCGGCCCGCACGACGCCGCGCTGCCCCCAGCTGCCCGCACGCGCGAGGCGCTCCGCGCGACGCTCAAGAGCAGCTTCCCGCCTCCGCGTTCGCCGCACAGCGCCGCGCGTCGCATGCGCGGACAACTCTCAGCAGCTTGGGCCGCACGAACCGCGCTCCTGTCCCCGAGCGCGCCGCTCCAGGCGCATCTCCGAATCCTACCCGCCATGCCCACCTGCGCGCTTCCCGCACACTCCGTACCCCCGCGCGGCTCTCTACCCTCGCGGGCCGCCCTCCGCGCACTGATCCTCGCAGCGCACGCCCCCAAGCCGCGGCCAGCCCCCAGGCGCGACGCACTGCGCGCCAGCTCCCTCCAGCTGCCACCGAATCCCCCCCGCGCTCCCCCGGCCGCCCCCGCAGATCAAGCAAGTCATGATGTACAGGACCCTGCTGGTGGTGCTGTCTCTGGCGCTCCTGGCGTTCGCCAGGGCCAGCTTCGAGCCAGTCTATGACGACGACGTGAGCTGCCCCCTTGACGAACGTCGCCACCTGCCTGCCTCCTCCGGGGCGCACGCCGCCGCCACGCGCACCCACCGCTGCCCACGACGCATCCCCACTCGGCTTGCGGGGCTCTGCCGCGCCCGTGCGGAGCCAGCGTCGCCCCGCCCGCCGCGCGCGGCCTCGAGCTGACATCGCACGCGCCGCCCGCCCCGCTCGCAGGTCTACGTCCGCCCGGACGTCGGCGACCTCGGCCGCGGCCTCGAGCGCAACCTGCTCGAGGAGAAGGCGCACCCGGTGCGCCGTCACGCGCTGGTGAGCACCCGCGCGGGCCTCGACTCCCTCGCCGCCGCCGAGAAGGCCGGCGCGGAGACGCAGGCCACCGCCGCGGCCACCGCGGCCAGTGAGGCCGCCACGAAGGCCACGGCTGCCCGCACGGCTGCCGAAACCGTCAAGACCGCCGCTCAGGCCAAGAAGACGGTGCGACCTCCCTTTCCAGCCCGCACATCACCTGGCACGCGAATGCACCAGCACAGCGATTGCTGCGGTGTTGCGGGACGCGTCCGACCCGCTTCCTCCCCCCCCCGCGCCCCCCGCAGGCCGTGGAGTCGAGCGTCGCTGCTGCTGCGACCTTCCTCGCCACCGCCCGCACGACGGCCGCCGCCCAGGTCGCCGCCGCCCAGAGCGCGCTGAGCTCGGCCTTCAACTCGACCAACTCGACCAACTCGTCCCGCCGCGCCTACTAAGGCGGCCACGCGGGCGGCGGCCGCGTGCTCATGGGGCGCCGGGCGCCAGGCGCCGCGCTGCACGCCCCGGTCGATCTCGGCCGTAGGGCGTCGCAGCGTGTGCGGCTGGCGGCTGGCGACTCCCGCGCCCGCCGGCGCGCTGCGTCCTGCCCCTGCAGCGCAATGACGCGCCAGCGCACCTGCCTCGCGGCGGGGGTGGCTGCGTTGCGTACGCGTTGCAGGGGCAGCGTCGCAGGGCGTCGGCGGGCCGCGGCGTGAGCGCGCGGCCGCCGCCTCGACCTCGGCCCGTGGGCCGCGGAGTGGCAGGGCGGGGTGCGGAGTGCGGTGTGTGGCAGACGACGATGAGAGCGTGGAGACGCGCACAGCGCGTTTTTCGGCTCTCGAGGCAACGCGCGAGAAGCGGAGGGCACGGGCAAGCTCGCGGCGCGGCCCTGGGGCCGCCGGGGCCTGGCTTGGCTCACTCGCAGACGTCTGGTTGTACCCCCTGAGCAAGGGGCACGGGATTCGCCCGGCGCGGACGCGGTGCGCCGCCCGCCCGGGTGGGGAGACGTCTGCGATGTGGGGATTTCAGGCGGTTGATCGCCAAGCCAGGCCGCCAAGCCGCCAGCATGCTGCGTGCGCCTTGGTCCAACGTGAGGGTCCGGCGCCGAGCGCGGGCCGTCCCACACACCTGCATAAAGTGCCTCTGAATGCCCTGCCGCGACGCGGCCTGCGAGCGTCGGAGTTCCCCAGTCTTTACTCCCCCTCCCCGTTTCCGGGGATGATACCCACATGCTGCGGGTGGCGTGCGACACGCACGACACCGGGGGCCTCGGCGCCCCACACGACACCGTCAGCGCCCAGGCGCCTGACTCTTGAACGACGAAACATCCCGGGGGGGTATATGGGGAGCTCTGGCCTTGCAGTCATCGGCAATGTGACACTGAGCTAACGACACGTGGCCTGCCCGCGAATTCCAAACGCATGGCGCGACGCCGCAACTCAAGACGAAGCGCACCCGCATTTCGTATCGTGCGCGGGTGGTCACTTACTACTTTGAGTGTTCCTGCGTCTCAAGTCTGTCGCGGACCATGTGCCGCGCTGTCAACGCCGTCGCGCCTGCTGCTCGACTTGCCGCGCCAGCGAGGCTTCTGAGAACCCTCAGGGATCGTGATGCGAACCACGCGCAATACGGCGATCTCACAGTGCCCCGACCGCTTGCCTGAGCCTGCCCACAACGCCGGGGCTGGGTGAGTGAGAGTCAGCCCGCCCTGTCGAACGACCTCGCTCGTGCGCCCCATCCAGTCACGGGCCGACGCAGCCAGGTCTTGTAACTCGCTTACTCACTGCTGCGCGACGCGTGGCTGTGCTGCATGTCTGTGCTCCCCTGCGCCTTCGAATTCAGGATATGCTGGGCTGCTGCGGCGGCGCCGTCTGTCGCCGGACCCCGAGCCCGCTCATCGGCTCCCGGTGCTCGATCTCCCGCGCCTCCTGGCACAGCGCGCAGGTGTAGCAACACAGGTGCAGCAGCAGCGGCGGAACCGGGTCCTGCACGTGCACGCGGGCGAGGGACCGTCGCTCATGCGCTGTTCCGTGGCTAGACGTGGCCGAGTGCATCGCCGCAGGGGCAGCACGGTGCGAGCGCGGGTCTGGGTCGGACTGACCGGCTCGATGTTGTACTTCCGCATTAGCTGCTTGCGCGTGCGGTGAGTCACGAAGCCCGGCCACCACATGAAGTTGACGACGAACAGGCAGGGGTTCTGAGCGATGATCTGCCTCACGAGGCCCGAGCCGCACCACTGCGTGCCCCACACGACGAAGGAGGGAATCGATGCCTCAAGCGCTGACACCGAGCCTCCCGACAGACGAGACTGCGGGGGGGAGGAAGGGGGGCCGCGTTCGAGGCGTCGGCGGAGGCGGATCCTGGTCACCGCGGTGTTGCCGCGGGGGCTGGTGGGGGTTGTGCTGGGCGGGAGCGCACCGTGATCCGGCCGTGCAGATAGCAGGGCAGACAGCATCCCAGCACGCACGTGTCGCAACGAGTCGAGAAACAGTCGAACAGCGACGTGTGCCACTGGTTCCGCTGCGACGTTGCTGCGCCCTGTCGTTGGGTGCTCATTCCGGCTCAGCGCAGGTCAACAGCAGCGGAACGCGTTGCTTTTGCGGCGATCGGCACGCGCGGCAAGATGCTCTCGTGCCCGGCGAGCCAGCGGGCTTGGTTGCCAACCGCAGATAGGGATCCTCGAGTCCAGAGGCAAGTCTGCCACCTACGATACCACTGCGGCCCGCGACGCGCCAACGCTGCGTGGGCCTTCGCAACCTCCGCGGATACGCCTCCTCTGCGCACCGATCTTCCGGATCCGCCGCCAATGCCACGGCAGCGATGGCTCCCGAGCCGCCGAGCCCTCAACAGCGTGGGTGCACCTCAACAGCTTGGAGTGCGGCCGTGTTCCCTGCGCGTCGTATCGCGGGGAATTCGCTCGAACAGGCATGTGTACGACCCAGGGAAGGCGCTCGGCCAATCAAGCCCAGCGGCGCGCAGGCACCAGGCCGTGCAGCGCCATGACAGACTGCTGAGCTGATTCGGGTGAGCAGCAGGCCGCGACCCGCATGACGGCAGACCCGCACGCGACTCCGCAGCGGTGCCAAGCCACGCACATGGGACGCTCTGCGCGTCATTACCCGGGCGCGCCACAGCCGGCTCTCGCAACGGAAACGGCAATTTTCTGCAATTTTCTCACATCAGTCCAGCAATACCCCCCGAGCCGTCCCCGACGATCCGTCCGAGCGTCTCGATCACCACGGGCAGTCGCGTCTCCAGCTCTGCCGCCATCCGCGCCCGCAGGTCCGCCCGCACGGCCCGCATCTCGGCACTGGCACGCTTCCGGAGCTCGGCCGCCGCCTCCGCGAGCTCCGCCGCGATGCGCGTCGCTTCCTCGCGCTCCTCCTGCTCGAACCGGTCGCGCACCGCCTTGAGGTGCTCGCCCACCACCCCGCGCACGAGGCCCGCCATCTCGTCGCGGTGCGCGGCCGCGACGTTCTCCAGCGCCTGCGCGACGGCCCGCTCCACGACGTCGACGTCCCCGGACGGCCCAGCGGCCTCGCTCTGGATGCCCTCGGGACTCGCGCCGGACCACGGCCGTGGGGGGGTCCGGGGGGGTGTGTTCGAAGGTCCCCCTCCTTCCGAGGTGGCGCGGACGGTCGCGGCGGCCCAGTCTTCGATGGACGCACGCACGGACCCCGGCGGGGACCGTGGCACCTCGCGCGGCCGCGGCGGCGACATCGACAGCAGCCAAGACGCCGCCGCCTCGCTGTCAGGGTCGTCGGCCCGCTCCAACGCGTCCCCGACATTCCAAACGCGCCACTGTCCGCCGTGGCCGTCATGCTCGCCATGCTCCGGCGTCGCCGGCGCTGGCTGTTCCTGCGTCGGCGCGGAATCCTGCTGCGCCGGCGCGGGCTCCTCCCGGGGGGGACTCGAGTGTGGTGTGCGCTGACTCGTCCGGCTAGACCCCCCCCAAACGGTGTGATACGCCGTCCCAGACGACCCGCCCTGCTCCTGCGAGCTCCGGTCTGCTTGCTCCACGCCTGCCAAGTCCTCCACGTCGCTGGCAAGGAACGCCACGGGGCGGTTCGACGGCACATGCTCGAACACCACCTCGTCCTCGTGCGACGGGCCGTCCGACGCTGCGTGCTCCGAGACGCTGCGCCGCTGCCCCGCGCCCGCCCCGCCCTCGGACGGCGAGTCGATTCCCCACCGGGCCACGGGTGCCGCGGCTGCATGCGGTGCGCTCCCTCCGTCCGCGGATCCGTCGCCGTCGCCCGACGCCCGGCCGCGCTGGGTCGCCGCAGTCGATCGCGCCGCGTCGCCGTCCGCGCCCTCCTCCTCCGCGCCACTCCCGCCCGAGCGCACGCTGTCGCCGTCCGCCACATTCACGGGGAGCTGCAGCGCTGAGATCTGCTCCTGAACGACCCACACGGGGCGCATGCGGCTCTTCGACCGCGAGTCCCGCGCGTCGCCCGTCGCGAGCGCCCTCCTCGAATCGTACACGCGCGCACCGACCTCCAAATCCATGTCGTCCCGCGACTCGAAAAACCACGTCTGGACGCGCACGCCCGACGGTCCGCGCCCCGCAGCCTCGTGAACCAGGACGTCCTCGACCTCGCGGCGCGGCCGCGGCGCCGGCGGCGCCGTCAGGATCCCGCCGCCGTCGCCCATGTCGCACGACTCGTCCAGGAACCATGTTCGGCTGCCCGGGCGCGGCTGCCGGCGGCCGCTCGCGGCGGAGCGCGAGCGGTGCGCGCTGCTGAGCGCGCTGGAGCGCCTGCCCCGCGACCGCGCCCGTTCGCTGCGCGCGCGACTCCCCGTTGACTCGGACACACTGTCCGGGAGACTCCCCCGCACCGAGCGGTCGGTGCGTCCGGCGCGGCTCCCCCGGCGGCTGCGGCTCACGGACGCGCCCATTCCGCGACGCAGCATCGCCGCCGAGAGCTCCTGCGAGTCCACGGCCCACTGCGCGGACCGCAGCGCCCCCTGGGGTCCCTCGCCCTCGTCGTCGCCGTCGTCGCTCCGGCCCGACCCGAACCGCACGCGCCGCGGGCGCCCCCGCGCCTCCTCCGCCGCGACAACGGCGAGCTGCTTGTGCACCGGCGCCCGCGACGGCGTCTGCGTACCCCTTTCGACGCCCCCGGGGGCGTCCCGCACCTCGGCGTCGTCGTCTCGCCGCGGCGAGGCCGGGCCCGCAGACCCCGCCCCGTCGCCCGCACGAGCGTGATCGAGCGCTGCGGGCGGACGCGTCGCTCCGGGGGCCTCCGGCTTCGCCTCGGGCGCGTCACCCACCTTCCCATCCCGCCCCATCGAAAGCAGCACTTGCGCCTCCTCCGGGGTGAACCTCGTGCCCCCGGGGGAGTACACCTCCACGCGCCACCCCGCCGCATCCCCCGCCGGCGCGTCGCCGCCGGACGGCCCGCCCTCCGCGGCCCTCTGCGGCAGGCGAATGATCAGCTCCGCTCCCAAGAGCTCCTCGTCCTCCGCGGGCGCTCCCGCCGCGGGACGCGCCGGCGACGGCCCCGCGGAGCGCAGCGCCTGCGCCCGACCGCCCGCGGCGCTCGGCGCTGCCGCGGCTGGCTCCGGTGCTGGCTCGCCCGGCACTGGCGGGGGTTGCTGTGTGACGAAGATCTGCACCGGCACGTCCGTGCTCGACGACCACAGGCGGCGCCGCCGGGCGGGGCCGAAGCAGCCCTCTGCTGGCCCGCCACCAGCGGCGTGCGGGCGGCGCTTCGCGGGCGTCCGCGCGGCCTTGCCGGCGCGGCGGTGCGAGGCAGGGCGCGAGCGGCGCCCCCCGCGTGCCTTCCGCGTGGGCGCAGGCGCCGTCGGGACGACGGCGGGCGCGGTGACCGTCGCGTCCTCGATGTGCGGGCGCCCGGCGGCCGCCGCGACGCCGGCCCCGCCGTCGTCGGGGATCGCGTCGGGTGACCACGCCCCGACACTCCCCCCCGCGGCGCCGGGGCTCAGCGTCCCCGCGACCACGGGCCGGGCCGGCAGCGGCGTCTGGGCCTCGCGGATCGTCGCCTCGACGTCGTCAGGGCCCTCGGCCGGCGCCCCTGGGTACGCGATGATGCGGGAGAGCGCGTACATGTCGCCCGACAGGCCCTTGGCAGCGCGGCGCACGTCCTGCACGCGGTCGCCCTCGAGCGCGCTCCGCACCTTGCCCGCCGCGCACGCCGCGTCCTCCGCGCCGGGCGGGGCCTCCGCGTCCCCGCGGGCGGCCCCCGTCGCCAGCGCGCGCAGCAGCGCTGCGATGGTGTCCGCCGCCGCGGCCCGCACGCGCCAGTCCGTGCTGTCGGCGCAGGACACGCACAGCGTTGCGAGTCGCCGCGTGGTGTCGCCGCCGGGCACGCCGACGACGCGCACGGCGCTGCTGACCGGTAGAAGTGCGTCAGCACTCAACACCCCCCCTCCGGCTTTTCCCCGGCCTGCCGCGGAGCGCGTGCTCGCCGCGACGGACGCCTGCGAGATGCGCTGCGAGAGCGCGTTCACGACCATCGTCAGGCAGTCCGACACCGCGGCGCGCGCCGTCGGACAGCCCTCCACCGCAGCCGCAGATGCCGCACGGACCCCGGCGGCCAAACACGACCCCGCACGGCCCACCGCGTCGCGGTCGGGGCTCTGCAGGTGCGTGACGAGCGGCCGCAGCATGGTCCGCGACACCCACGCCTTCGAGCGCGCCTGCGGCGGCGCCCACTGCTCGCCGTCCCCTGGCGGGCCTGCGGCGGCGACGCCCGCGGAGACGAGGGCGCCGGCGAGGTCCGCGAGCGGCTGCGTGTTCGCGGACATGCGCTCGGCCGCGATGGAGTCGGCCAGGGCCTTGACCACCGCGGGAACGGCCGGCCAGAAGTAGTGCAGGCCACGGATCGACACAGCGTACGCAGCGGCCTGCGCCCGCACGCGGCGCGCCTGCGGAGACGGGACAGAGCTGCGCCTGAGCCCCGGCGCGGTGCGGCTGCCGCAGCGGCCGGCGCGGCTGCGTCAACGTCGCGTGCGCTGTCGCGTGCGTTTGCGCTGTTGTGGCGGCTGGAGCGCGGATGGCTGGACTCGATGCTTGGTGGAACGGGAGAGCATGTGGCTGGCAGGGCAGCAGCTGCGCGCGTTCGCAGCTGCGGCGGGTGCGGCGGGAGGGACGTGCCTGTGGGGAGCATGTAGCCATGCCGCTGACGAGGCCCTTCATGAGGTCGCTGGCGAGGTGCGAGTCCGCGGAAGCTGTCAGGCAGGACTTGGCGCAGATGAGGGCGTGCTCGCGCATCGCCTTGTCCTCCATCATTTGCAGCGCCATCGCGAGCTGCGCCCGGCAGCGCGACTCGGTGGCGCCCGGGCGGTGCGGGGGCGCTCCGGCGGCCTGGAGCTGCCGCACCGTCGAGCGGGGAATGTCCATCCTCGGCTACTGTTGCGACGTGGCGCGGGAAACGCCGACGGCGTCGCTGGAGCACCTCCGGAAAGGGCGCGACACCTGCAACCGAACCGAGCGAAACGTGCCGCACCTGTCGTGCGCGTCGCGACGCGAGCCCGGGACGGAAAAGAGAGGATCATGGTGCGACGCTGGCTCGTCTGAGACGGCACGACACGGCACAGCCGCTCCGCAAGCGCGCAGCAAAGGGCTCACCTCCTCAGTCGGCCGCGCAGGGGCTCGCGTCGTTACAGGACGAGCGCGCGCCGCGATTACGGAATGAACGTCCAGCGAAACCGCGATCACGCTCGCGAGGCCATGCTTAGAGACGCCCCCCAAGCGTGCCAGACCCCTGAACGACGCTCCTTGCGCTACCGTCCTTCTTTGAATTCCCCGACACCCCCCGGACCTCTCAGCGCATCTACTGGTCGGACATGCCCCCAGCAAAGTGCCCGGAACGCTCCCCGCGCGATCAAACGTCGCGCTGGCCCGCTGTCGCGCGCAGAGCCCTCTGGTAGGAGCCCGACACACTGACCAACGCCACTCCCGCGTCCGGCGTGGCGACTCGGCCTCGCTGGTGCGCGCGACGCCCAGCACCGAGCACTGCTGAGCGGCGTAGGGCCACGCGGACTCACGGCGGTGGCGGCGACACTCCTGCGTGCACGAGTTTGCTGTGTCGCGAGAGACTCGCTGTCTCCGGGGAGCTCCGCGGCCCGGTTCGAGCGGCGCGGCCCGCGGCGCGCGGTGCTGGATGGACGGTTCAATGAGGACGTGGAACGTCGAGATGAGCGGGCCGCAGGACGCTCGCAGGGACGAGGCGGTTGATGGGGCGGCGTCCGCGGCGGGTCGACCCCTCGAGAACGGGAATTCGGGCCCGCCGACGCCGCGGGGATCGCTGCTGCACATCCGCGACGGCACGAACGGGCTCAATTGCAGGCGAGCGCACAACGCCCGCCGCGCAGTGTCGTCGAGTCGCCACGCGCAATGGCCGGCACTGCTCGCCTCGCTGCGGCCGCGGCGGTCCACGGCGCGATCGGACCACACGAAGTCCCGGATCATGTCGCATCTTCGATGAGCATGAGCGCAGACACGCGCGCCCGCACTCCCGGTGCTCGCCAGAAACGCCCTCCCGCCACTCCGCCCTGCTAGCGAGGTCACGCCGCGATGCCGCCCCCAGCCGGAACCCCTTCCCGCCCCGCACGCAACGACCGCGCTGCACACGCACCGCACCGCCCACCCGGTCGCGCGCCCCGCCGCTCGGTGCAGTCTGGAGTGTCCCTCCTGCGGAGGCCCGCCCCGAGACCTGGCCTTAGCCAAGCCGCCGAAACCGGACCCGAGGAAGCCCACGGCCCGCGAGGGCTACCTCAAGTGGGACGACTACTTCATGGCCGTCGCGTCGCTCTCGGCGCAGCGCTCGAAAGACCCGAACAAGCAGGTGTCGCGGCCACACACCCCCTGCCTGCCTCGCACGTCGTGTTTGCGCCCAGCACGAGCATGCCCGCGCAGGAGGCTAGCCTCGCGGCCGCGGCCACCCCGGTGCGCATCCGTGAGCGAGTTCGGCGCTCGTCGCCTCGACGCGTCCGCAGGTCGGCGCTTGTATTGTGTCTGCGGAGAACGTCATCCTGGGCATCGGGTACAACGGGTTCCCGCGGGGCTGCCACGACGACGACCTGCCGTGGGCGAAGGAGAGCGAGAACGGGGACCCGCTGGACACCAAGTACCCGTTCGTGTGTCACGCGGAGATGAACGCGATCATGAACAAGAACAGCGCCTCCCTCCAGGGCGCCCGCATCTTCGTGACGCTCTTCCCGTGCAACGAGTGCGCGAAGCTCATCATCCAGGCCGGCATCCGCGAGGTGCGAGCGCGCACGCAGCGCCCCGACCCGAGGAAACACCGCAGGAAACGAACAACAGTAGGTTTGGCGACTTGCAAACGCCTGCTTCGGTCCCGAGCGGCGGCGGAGAAGGTGTCGCTCGGTGCGGCGCGCGTGCCGCTGCAGGTGGTGTACTACGAGGACAAGAACGTGCGGGACCTCGCGGCGGAGGGGGTGTCTCCCACCAAGGGGGGCCTGCGGAAAGACCCCGCGTTCGCGGCGTCGAAGAAACTCCTCGCGATGGCCGGCGTGGCGCTGCGCCAGCACCGGCCACGGCAGCCCGTTGTGCTGGCGCTGATGCCGTGACGCAGTCGGCCTTGCGATGACGCCGAGGGGCAGCGAGCGATGTTGCGGTGGGGGTCGCCCCCGAGTGGCGCGGCGTGCACCTGTGACACGGACGGAAGGACGCGGAGCGGAGCGGCGGGTTGCTCGCACTGCCGCTCCCGCCGCTGCGGGGCGCAGGCATGCGGTGCCACCGTGTCGCATTGCGCAACAAGTGACACCTCGCCGCACCGCAGGCTCACGTCAGCAGTGCTCTCACTCACATGCAGGCAGCCTAGCGCAGACACGGCTGCGACGGCAGCCCCGCTTCATTGATGGACTCATCAACCCTGTGCATGTTCCACGTGGCGCTTGTGCCGCACCTGTCGTTGAGCTCTCACCGGTGGGTGCCCGTCGGCCGCCCCTGCCATGCAACCTGCAAGCCAGCATGGCCGAGTGGGTCGTTGAGACAAGAGCTGACGGCGCAACGAGTGATATAAGCAAGATTCGTTTCTCACGTGCGGGAGCGGGGGCTGCCTGCGAGACGTTGACCACCGGAAGCTGAGCCCCTCGTCGCCGACGCACGGCCGCGACGCGCGTCCTGCCGCAGTCGTCTATTTCATGTTCCACGTGCACAGTGAAACAAACAACATAGTTGCAAGACACCCAGGCATGTCAAATCAGGTGGCTGGAGCGCTCGGTTGGAAACGCCGTGCGCGCGCACGAGACGCTGGGCTCCACACACCGGTCCGTCCGTGAAGCCTCCCATCGCGGAGATCCGTCCAGACCCCAGAAAGCGACGAGTGAAATGCTCCACGCCGAGCAACGAGGCGCCAAGTGTGTCTCGCTCGGGATCGGCCGCGTACCTTTCGAGCCCACCGCGAGACACCAAGGCCCGACCAACCTGCCAGCTCCACTCCGAGCGTGCGCACACCGCGCCTGACTCAGTGTGCCGAGCAACACACCCCCCGCCTCTCACGCGGCAGCCTTCGGATTGTACTTCGGATCCATCGCGCGCACCTCCTCCACGCTCAGCTCGTTGTCGCACCACACGTAGAGCTCCCCCGGCGCCGCGAACGGCGGCTGCTGCACGCTCGCTGCCGGCCGCGGCGGGGCGCGGACCGCCGTCCCCGTCGTGGTCGGCGGCGCGGAGATCTGGCCCGCTGCGAACGCCGGCCGCGACACCTGCGGCCGGCTGCCCGGCGGCGGCGCGTAGCCGGGCCGTGGCGGACCCCCCGGGGGGGGCGCGAATCCGGGTACCGGTGGGGCCCCGAAGCCGGGCACAGGCGGCCGTGGCATGCCCCCGAACGGCGGCGGGAACCCAGGGGGGCCTGCAGGAGCATAAACGGCCGGACGGGGCGCGTTCGGCGGGACGGCGCGGCCTTGCAAGCAGGGGGGGAGTCTAGAAACATGGCGCGTGGCGACGGTGCAGCGGAGGCCGTGTCTGATACCTGATACGGGCGGAAGCTGGATGGAGGCGACCACGGGGGCTTGTTCGGGCTGCTTGGGTGGCAGGCCGGCAGCTTCGCGTCGCTCATTGATGGCCTCGAGGGGGACGCCCGCCATGCCGTAGACCTCGAGGGACACGTCGTCCTTGCCTGGCTTCGCACCGGGGATCCTGCGACGGCGAGGGGCGCGCGAAAGGGCGACCGTGAGCGCGCGGGGTCGGGCGGGAAGTGGCTGAAGACAGAGGTCTGGCGGGAGGGGCGGTGGGGCCGCGACGGGTCGACGAGGCGGCGGCAGGACGTGAGCACGTGGTGTGGGGTGTTGGCACGGGAGCGCACTGTCGGATCTCCATCTTGTGGACGTTTCTGCAGTGAATTCGCAGCCCGCTGGCTGAGTTGACCTTCTTTTGGCAATTCTCGCATTTCCAGTGCTTGCTCTTCTGGTGCAGGATCACGGTCTGCTCGTCAGGAAACTCTCTGTCGCAATAATAACAGAAAAATATCTCCTTGTTCTCCTCCTTGTCGCTCTTCTTCCTCCTGCGCACCATCTCGTCCCGTACCGACCCTGGCGGCGACCCTCGCTGCCCTCACGCAGATCTACCTACCGCTGTCTCCGAGCACTCAAAGCCTGCCGACGCAGAAAACGCCCTCAGGGGCTCGGCCAGGGAGGAGCCTCGACACCGGTGCCAGCACAGGCGCGTACGCACAGTGAGGACGCAACGGAACGGCTCGCGCGCTGCGGGCTGAAGCTGGCGCCCTCTCCGCCGCATCAAGCGCCAATGTCGGCGCGCACAGCCCGCGAAGGCGGCACAGTCGTCGACTCCACCACCCCCTGTGTCAACACGCCGCAGTGCGGCGCACGGCCCCGAAACACCGCCAGTGATGTCCTCGCCAGCACGCCCCCCGCGCACATTCCGCCCCGCGATCCCACGGCCGATCGCTCCCAGCCACCGCCTTCCCTCACAAGCGCAGAGCTCGCGGCCGCCGGCCACACAGTAGCATCTCGTCGCGCCGTACACGGCAGACCGAAGAGTCGCACATCATTCAGTCGAACACGATCCGGACTTCGCGTTCTATTCGTTCCGTCGGCTTTGGGGTCATGCGGTCGCTCCACCGCGCCGCTACCGGCACCGTCCAACTGACCGCCCTGCAGCCCCGGCTTCGGCCGGAGCGCTCCATCGTCCCGCACGGCGCCGTCAGCCGCCTGCTCCACTCAGGAGCACGGCGCGCTATCCGCGGCGCCGCGGCGTCCGGCGATGACCGACGTGACGCCCTCCTGGCCCGAGCGTCGCAGCGGCCGCAGACCAGCGTCTCTGCCGCGCAAGTAGGGGACGCGGCCGCCGCTCCGCCGGAGCCGAGCTTCGTTCCGCGTAAAGAAGGTGCGAAATCCGCCCTCGCTCGCGCCGCAACACCGCGCCATCGTCCGCGGGAGCGACTCGGATGTCAAAGAGCACGGGCTGCTGCTGGTTTCTGCACCGCAGGTGTCACGGACGGGGCGTGGGACAAGCACGACCGCCTGGCCGTCCTGGAGGCCCTGCAGGACGCGGAGGCCGCGGCGCAGCACCGCGAGCCGTCCGCAGCGCCCGCCCCGTCAGACGCGACACCGCCCTCGTCGTTCCGCGAGTACATGCGCCTCCCGCCGCTGGAGCGCAAGATCCTGCTCGGGCTCAGCGACGCGGAGTACGCCGAGCTCGCGAAGAGCCTCGGCGAGAAGGCCTTCCGTGGCAAGCAGATGCGCACGGCGGTGGTGGGCGGGGCGCGCAGCATCGGCGACATCACGACGCTCAGCAAGGCGCTGCGGCAGCGGCTCGAGGAGGAGGGCTGGCGCACGGGGCGCAGCGCCGTGCACCACCGCGTGGAGAGCCACGACGGCGTGCACAAGTTCTTGCTGCGCCTTGCCGACGGCCGCGTCGTGGAGACCGTCGGCATCCCGTCGCTGGACAACGACGGTGAGCCGGCGCCGCCCGTGCTGCGTGCGCACTGGTTTGCGAACGCGTGGCTGGAGATGTCGGGCTCCACAGACTGCGCTCACGCCGCGACTGTTCCATCGTCACGTAGCGACGTCCCGGTCGCGCGTGCGCGCGAGGAATCCTTCCGCATGCCGTTACTCGTGCGTCTGCGCGCCTCGGACCGGACGGGCCACGTCGGCAGACCCATCGAGCCGCCCCCGCGCCTGACTCCTTTCCTTGACCTTCCGTCCCCCGCAGGCAAGCGTCTGACCGCGTGCGTGTCCAGCCAGGTGGGCTGCCCCATGCGCTGCACGTTCTGCGCCACGGGCAAGGGCGGCTACGCGCGCAACCTCCTCGTGCACGAGATCGTGGACCAGGTTCTGACCATCCAGGAGGAGCTGGGGCGGCGCGTGTCCAACGTGGTGTTCATGGTGCGCCATCGCTGCTGCTCACCCGCGTCGATTCACGCTGATTCTGCGCCATCTGAGCGCGGGAGCGCCCCCGCGTGCACCGGGCAAGGCATGCGCTGCACATTCAGTGACGATGCGTCCGCGCCGCGCTGCCGCAGGGCATGGGGGAGCCGCTGCTGAACCTACCGTCGGTGCTCGAGGCGGTGACGTTCCTGAACGAAGACCTCGGCATCAGCATGCGCAAGATCACCATTTCTACCGTCGGCGTGCCAAACGCCATCCCGAGGCTGGCCGCCGCGCATCTCCAGGCGACGCTCGCGGTGTCGATCCACGCGCCCACGCAGCAGCTGCGCGAACAGATCGTCCCGTCGGCGAAAGCCTACCCGATCGAGGCGCTCATGAAGGACTGCGCCGAGTACTTCAAAGCGACGGGCCGACGCGTCAGTTTCGAGTAAGTCTCGAAATCCCCCCCTATCCATGCACCCATACCGTGGAGTAACCGTCTGGGCGCACTGGCCTGGTGCGATGAGCGAAACAAGGAGTATTCTGCGCCGTTTGATTGTGTTTTCATGTCTTGTGTGTCGTCGCGCAGGTACACGCTTCTGTCCGGCGTCAACGACGGCCCCGAGCACGCCGCGGAGCTCGCGAGGTTGCTGCGTCGCCACGGGCTCGGCGGCCCATCGAACCCGGCCCTGATGGGCTCGTCACGGCGCGGCAACCGCGGCGGCGCGCAGGAGGACAACTCCGCCCCGCCGTCGTCATCGTGGCACGTCAACCTGATTCCCTGGAACCCCGTGGACGAGAGCGAGTTCAAGAGGCCCTCGAGGGACACGGTGCGGCGCTTCAAGGAGGCCCTGGAGTCGAAGGGCATCCCGTGCAGCGTGCGACAGACGCGCGGGCTGGAGGCCGCTGCGGCGTGCGGGCAGCTGCGGAACCGGTACCAGAAGGAGCCCGTGGAGGGCTTCGCGGGGATCGAGGCACAGGTGTAGGTCGCGGCCTCGCAGGGGGTGTGTCCGTGTTGTACTTGCGGGGTGTAAATGAGCTTGGTCGAGACTACGGCGTGGTTGGGGCGCGGGGCGCCGCGGTGCACACACTGCTCTGTCGTGGCTGATTGTAGCTCGCACGAAAAGCGTCGAGACCTGGCGTCCCGCTCGCCGACCGCCCTTTGTGCAGAAACCCTGCGGTGTCTTTGGATCCCAGGGGCCGAATCACGTTTGCTTGACTCTTGGCCGCGCCTGTAGAACCAGAATGAGCAACGTTGTGATCGAGGACATCACGGACGACGCGCCCGCCAAGGGTGTGTCGGACTCCGCGTGCAAGGAGCTCGCAAGCTTGCTCGACAAGGCCTTCGGCGGCGACGGCGAAGCTCTGATCGACGCCGCCTTCAAGGTGCGTCGCACCCAACCCCGGAAGCCCGCAGGCATCGCGAAACGTGCTCGCGGGCGCCGCAGTGCCGGCTCAGAGACGCTTCTCTCGAGAAAGCCCGGAAATAGGCTCGCGTCCTCCGCGTCGTCGTCTGAGGCGCGGCCCGACCCATCAGAGCACCTAGCCCGCCTGACCTTGCCGTGTACCGTCCTGTCCGCGCACCAGGCCTACGGAAGCGCGCGTTGCTGCGCTGTACGCGCGGCCCGCGCCCCCGTGGTTCAGCGCGCTTCCCCGCCGCCTCCGACCTGCTCGCCCGCGAGCCGGAAGCGTTTCGATTCGATGCCCGCTCGACAACACGTGCAGGTTCTGGACGAGCGCGGGTTCTTCGCGGACCGGCCGGACGCCAAGGAGCGCGCCGTCGTGCAGAAGCTCAAGGCCTGCACGCGGGCCCACACCAAGGCTGGTGGCAGCCTGCAGAAGGGCTTCCTTTCCAGCGGTGCCGGTGCGTCTCCCTACCACGCGCCTTCGAGCAGCGACGCGGACACGAACGCACCCGGCGGCCCAAGCAGCGGCTGCACGCAACAAGACGTGGAATGTTGGATGCGCGCGCCTCCTGCACCGGGTCCGCCCACCGAGCTCCGTCCCCGTGACCCCTCCGCGTCCCGCTGTCCCTCCTCTCTCGCAGGTCCCAGCGCGCCGCCGGCCCCGAAGCCCGCTCCCGCCCCCGCCGCACCGCCCGCGCCCCCGGCCGACGCCCCGGCCGCGCCCGCGGAGCCCGACGCCGGCGAGGACGCGCAGGAGAGCAAGGGCATCGCGCCGAACCGCGGCAACGGCGCCGACCTCGACAAGTACTCCTGGACGCAGACCCTCCACGACGTCACCGTTGCCGTGCCGCTTCCCAAGGGGCTGCGGGCGCGGGATCTCGACGTGCGCATCACGCGCTCGCAGCTGCGCGTGGCCGTCAAGGGCGGGGACGTGGTCGTGGACGGCGAGTTCACCGAGCCCGTCAAGGCCGAGGACAGCAGCTGGAGCATCGAAGGTGCGCGTTGTTGGGGGGGTGGGGTAACGCGTTGCTGCTGGTCGGTCGCGTTGCCGGGCTTGGTGTGGCTTGCCCAGGTCGCCGGAGGTGCGTGCTGCGTGGTGGCGGCGTGCTGAGGGCGGGTGCGTTCGTGCGGGGCGTGTGCAGGGGGGACTTTGTCGGTAGAACTGGACAAGGTGTCAGGGATGCACTGGTGGACGGCGCTGCTGAAGGGGGACCCGGAGCTGGACGTGCAGAAGGTGGAGCCGGAGAACTCCAAGCTGAGCGACCTGGACAGCGAGACGCGCGCCACGGTGGAGAAGATGATGTACGATCAGCGGCAGAAGCAGATGGGGCTGCCGACGAGCGAGGAGGAGCAGCGGCAGCGGATGCTGCAGGACTTCATGAAGGCACACCCCGAGATGGACTTCTCGCAGGCCAAGATCATGTGAGGCGTTGCGGCGAAGCGTCGCGAGGGTGGGTGCGGTCATGCTGCTTGCTATGGCGTGCGCGCCGGCAGGTCGGTTGGGCCGGGCGAGTCGGGCGCGTGGCTGCGTGCGGCAGCTTGGTCGCCAGTGGGGCGGTGGGGGCAGCGCTGCCGTTAGAAACTCATTCACATGCGTGGCTTGACGCACACGGTCGCGTACTGTACTAGGCGGGGTGGGGGACGGAATGCGTGCGGGGGGAAGGTGCGCCGCGCAGCTCGTGCTGGCGTGGGGGCAGGTGCGCGTCCAGATCGATCTGGAACGCTGGCAGGGGCTCTATTTCCAGAGTTTATACGTTTCGAACGTGCATCCATGTCTAGTGCACAACATTGCTGGTATTTGCTACGTGGGCGACAAGGGCCGCGTGGGCGTTGAGGAGGTGGGGGGGAGGGGAAAGGGGGGGGGCGGGGGGAATGTATCAGGGGGGTCGTTTTCGTGCAACGACGCGGTTGGTCGTGCAGTCAGGAAGGGTTCGTGCCGTCACGTGCGCGGAGACGGACACGTCGCAAGAAGGATGTTCCGCCCGCACGTGTACGACCGCGGGAAATTGAGGTCGCGGGGTCGCACGCACAGTAGAGACATGCGTATGTTTGCGGCAACTATTGGTGTCCTCTGCGGGCGAGGACGGGGATGTGGTGGTGGAAACGAGAGAGCGTGAGGAGGATCACGGTAGGTAGCGCCCCCGGGCGGCATCGCGGGCATTGCGGGGGGACGCGGGCTGCGTCGCGGCATACAACGGAAGCGCGGCGCTTCACGTCTGGTTCTTCTTCTTCGGCGGGTCGTCCCGCAGCTGCTTGAGAACCTTGCGAGCCGCGCCCTCAGAGAGTGGCATGTCGCGCGTTGCGCCCTTGCGCTGAGTGAAGTACATGCAGAGCTTGATCTTGAGATCCTCCGTCATGGCGCTCGGGTCCAGGCCCGGCCACGTCTCGCCGTGCGCCTCCATGCACTTCAGGACGTCATCGTGGGGACCTTTCCAGGCGTTGCGGCCGTCGCGCTTGAACCACTTCTTCTTGGCAGCCTCCGTCCAGCGAACCTCGCCGTTGCGCAGCTGCACGAAGAAGCCCAGGCCGCGCCGCTTCAGCTCCGCGTCGTCGGCCTTCCGCAGCCCATGGCAAAGACGGGCGCCGAGGAACTCCTCGTGGCCGATCCTCCACTTCTGGTCGTACAGCTCCTTGGGGTTGAACGGCGTGCCCTCTTCCGTCTCGATGCCGAACAACGCGTAGTGCCCCTTCATGAAGCTGTTCGCGGACAGCGTCTCGGCGTGACCACCGACAAGCACAGGCATGTTGCGGTGCCCGATCTTCACCGGCCCGTCCTTCCTCTTCCCGGCCTTCTTCGCAGGTGCGCGCTTCTTCGTCGGAGCTCGCTTCAACGCGGGCGTCGCTGGCTTGAGCGCGGGCGCCGCGGGCCCAGCCTTGCCGCCCTCCGGCTTCGCGCCGCCGCCGCGCGCCTCGGCCGCGCACGCGCGAGCCCCGCGCCCGGGCTTGCCCTTGGGCTTCGCCTTGAGCTCCGCGGCCGGCGCGGGCGCGGGCGCGGGCAGTAGGACCCTGGGCCCGACCGGCCCGTCTCCGTCCGGCTTGGCCGCTGTGCGGAGTGCCGCGGCCTGCCCGTCGTTGCCCGTCGCGGGCGCAAGGGGGTTGTCTGTGATGTCAGACAGCTTGTTGCAGCCGGGCGTGCCCAGTCCGATGCCGTTTCCTGAGCACGCGATGTACTCGGCCTGCGCATCCGGGCTCATCGCGCCGACGACCGCGTCGAAGCAGCTGGCGTCGGGGTGGAGGTTTTGGAACGCAGGGTGGTCAGGGTCGACTTCGGCCTGCATCGCCCACGACGCGACCTTCGCCTGGCGGTCGGCGCCGCTGTAGGTCCCCTCCTCCGCGCTGTCGGTTCGGAACGGGTCGAAAAGGTGCTCGTCAAGGTCGTAGGCCCACCAGGCAGCCTGGGTTGCAGCACAGCCGTCCTCGACAAGATCCCAGTCGATCCCGCCTTCTTCGAGGTCCATGAGCTCCTGGTTGCCACCTCCAGCCACGGCCAGCTGCGCTTGGTGTCCGTACAGCTCAGCGCACGCGTCGGGCTGGTGGAAGCCGCCCGCCGCGCTCTGGTGGACGGAGTGCAAGTACGCGGTCGAGGAATCGTGCCAGAACACGCCTTCGGCGGCCGTGACTGCGTGCGCGGGCTGCAGCCGTGCGACCCCCGTGCGGCTCGCATCGTAGACGAGAGCGGGCTCCCAGTACATGTGCGGCAGTCCCACGCTAGGAACGCCACGGCGCTCCATCGTCGCGCGACGGGGCCCTGCACACGCACCGGGAACGGCACCGAAGCGGTTGGCACAGCGTGGGCGTAGCACGGCCGTCGCCGGCGCTAATGCGCTCCGTGGCGAGGTTTTTCTGGCGCGAGCGCGCGACATCAAGCATACTGCGCGCGGCGCCGCATCGGAACGCGGGAGATCGTGCGCATGTACGCGCAGCGGAGCGACGGACATCACGGAGACAGTCAGCCCGTCCCGCACATGCGCGGTAGCGCAGCGGCGGCGACTACCAGGCCGCGGGGCTCTGCATCACTGACAGACGGCGCACGCGATGCGGGAAGCACATGGCGTACGGCTTGTGCGCCGGGGCGGGGCGCGAGTGATAGTGCGGTGGCGTGGGGGCGCTCGCGGCGGGTCGGCGCGGGCGTGGACACGCGCAAACGCATTCCCGGCGCGATGAGTCAACATGAAACAGGCGACCAAAGCGCGCAACGGGAGGACTCTGCTCTCGGGCGGTGCGCTGGGGGCCACCGGGCCAGGGCTCGGCTCCCCCGTGACTTGTAATGGGCGTGAAAGCGGCCAGTGGTGCCATGTCCCAGCGGATAGCCCCAGATCCGCGCGGTTTGTGATGCTTACCTGCGGGGACGTGCACCTGGGGCGCCGCGCGCCGACCTCGCGGAGGCTGTATGCCGAGCGGTGGGTGCTCGGCGTGAGGGTCGGCGTTTCGCGTCGCGGCGCGTGCGGCACGCTGGAGGCCGTCGACGAAAGCGATTTCGCGCGGGGTGTGGGCGAGAAGCGGCTCGAGCGCGTCGCGGCGATGAAAACAATTGTCCACCACTCACGTACGCAGGTAGAAACCTGCAGGTCTGCCTGGCCCACCTACCAGGTAGGTCGTCTAACTGCCGGTAGGTCGCGCCGCGACTTCTCAGCTGCGCCCCGCGGCCCCGGCAGCCAAGGGCTGCGTCTACGTGCGGAGGTTGCGCTCCCTCCGCCCCGTCATGGTCCCCAACGGCTCTCTAGTAGGTACGGCACGCACCGCTGCACCGTGTGTTCGGCCCCTTGACACCCCCGCGCGGCCGCTGCACGCGCGCCCCCGCACGCACGACGACGAGATCGGGCCGCGGGGCGCGCGGATGGGCTCCGAAGCCCGCGCTCCGGGACGTCGCAGCGAACGTGCAGCCACATGAGCAAGCAGGCGGGCCGTCGGCGTGGTTTTGGACGGTTTTCGTCGAAAGTGGAACGTCGCCCGCGCCACGTCGACCGCGCGCGCTCGAGCCGCAGAATCGCCCCGCCTGCGCCGCCCCTCCCCCGGAGCTACCCCGACCGCCGCCAAACGCGGGCGTCCGGTCTCCTCCGGATCGTTGCGGCCGCCCTGAACATGATGTGTTTGTCACCTGCAGCAACCGGCCCGCCGGGCCCCAGGGAACGGCCGCGGCGCGCGGCGGGCGACGTGGGCGGCCCGGGCATGCGCAGCGCGCGGCGCGGGCGGCGCGTTCGGGGTCACGACGGGTCGGCGGCCCCCGCCACGCGCGCAGCGACGCAGCGCGACACGCAGACGCGTCACAGGGGCGCTTGGCCGCCGCGGACCGAGCACAGCGCGACGCGCGGGCATCGCGCCAGTATGTCCGTCGCCGAGAGCGCCCTCCTCGGCGCGTTCGAGCTTCGCAGCCACGACGGCGCACGCACGTGGTGCCCGCCGCTCGCCTGCGCACGAAACTCCGGCGGGGTGCGCCGCTCCGGCCCGCGCGCTCCGTGACTCGTGAGACAGCAGCAGCACACGTGCGGGGTGTTCGTAGTTCACATCGGTTGGCACGTACCGTCCCGCGCGACCGCAGAGCTGGCCGCGCCTTGCTATTGCACTTTACCCTTAAGATTAGCGGGTGGCGGGGCGCCGTGGCAACGAGTGGGGTAGGGGGGGAGGGGAATTTTGTTTTGTTTTAGGTCTGAGCGTTGGGAGGGGGGCGGGAAGGGTTTCGGTAGTGCGCTGAAATCAACTATGGCGGCGTAGCAGCTGCAGCGTACTGCGGTCGCTGCGGAGCGTGCGGGTACGCCCCGCGTGCGGGGCGGTAGGCCATCAAAGGGTAGGGAAGGGGCGGGGGGGGAGGAGTAGCAAGACAGGGGGGTGGGGGGGGCACTGAAAGGTCCGAGCGGTGGTCGCCTCCTTCGTAAAGAGTCTGGAGCGCAGCATCGCGAGATTCACGACGCGTGCGGGCGCAGCCGTCATCTGTCGGCAATCAGGCACCGGGGCGCGAGGTTCGGGCCCGCGAGTGGGGGGCAACGGAGTAGGGGAGGGGGGGTGTTGTCGCGGCGCTGACTCGACACGTCAGGTCACCGGCGGCGGCCAAGGTACGGGGTGCGTCCCTTGTGGTTGCCCTTGCTGTCGTAGTTGCGCTTGAGGTACTCGAGCGTGCCGGCGGGGACCACCAGCCCCGGCCACGGCAGCTGCCACTCGGCAAACAGCCGCCGCAGCCCGTCGCACATGTAGTACTTCGTCGTGCCGTTCTTCTCGCGCGGGAACAGCCGGTCCGCCATGTCCTGCGTCATCTTCGCGCCGGGCGCGCGCAGGCGCACCACGTCCGCCAGGCCGTACCGCCCCACCAGCTCCTCCTCGGGCACGTCCTTGCACAGCGCCACGAGCACCGCCGCGACGAGGAGCTCCTTCGGGTGGCCGAGCTTGTACCCGGCGTCGCGCACGGCCGCCGGGAAGAGCGCCTCGATGAGCTGGTTGTCGGCCTGCTTGAGCGAGTTGACCGAGAGCTTCTTGTCCTCGCACCCGATGAGCAGGATGGTCGCGCACTGCGACGCCTTGCCCTGGTACGCCTTCGGGAGCCGCCGCGCCGCGAGGGGCGCGACGGGGGCCTGCGCCAGGGCCGGGGCCGCTCGCTCCGGGGTGTTGACGGGCGTCAGGAGCGCCAGCGGAGTCAGGTCCGGTGCGCAGTCGCCGAAGAGGACGGCGGGGTGCGGGACGGCGTCGAGCACGGGGGTGCTGGTGCGGTCCGCGTAGACGTTCGCGGCGGGCACGTCGGGCGAGACGTGCGGCGTGCGGTCCGGCGCGGGCAGCTTGGGCGTGCGTGGCGTCTCCGGGGGACGCGGCGCGACGCACGGGGTGCGCGGAGGGACGCCGCTCGGGGCGTCCGCGAGGTCCTCGGTGGCGACGCTCGCGTGGGAGAGCAGCGGGCCGCGGAAGGAGTCGGCGCCGAGGCCGTGTCCGTGCGCGGGCACCAGCGCCGGGTCGTCCAGGTAGCTCCAGTCGACGGGGAGCCGGGCCATGAGGTCGTCGACGTCGAAGTCGAAGGGGTCCTCCGTGAGGTCGGCGGGCCGGCGCGCGCCCGCGCTCTGAGTCGCGGGCGCCGCTGCGGTGACGCAGTCCTGGACGTACGTCACCGCGCCCTGCAGGGCCGGCGGGCAGTCGATGGGGTGCTCCGGGAGCATCGCGACCGTGTTGCTGGAGACGGCGGTCGGGTTGATGAGCATGGAGAGCGCCGCGGGGCGGTCCGTTGCTTGCTGAGACTGGAAGACTCCTTGGGAGAAGGTGTCCGGGTGTTTCTCGGTGAAGAAGCCATACTGGCTGAGGTTGGGTGCTTGCGCAGATGCGCAGTCGACCGTGTCGCCGCTTACATGGCGAGTGGGGTCCCTGCGGGCAGCCGGGAGGGGGCGAGGGGCATGAGCAACCAGCACCATGGGCTTAGCCGAGGACGCGCAAAGGTCCGCGAGGTGGGCCGCGAGGGAAATGGGCCAGCGTATTCGGGATCGCGGAGCGAAACTGGCGAAGCGACGGTTGCGCGCTGTCGCGGGCGCGCGCGGGCGAGCCGGGCCGGAGGCCGCGGTTCGGCGAGCTAGAGCCGGCTCGCGTCGCGCCGTGGAGCGCCTAAGCGGGGCAGATCGCGCGTCAATTCGAACAGTGTGGCGGAATCGGGCGTCGCGGGGGCGCCTTGGCGGTGGTTATACGCGGAGGGCGGCAGACTCCGGCGACGTGCCTCTAAGCGAGGTGCTGAGGGGAAAACGCACGCAGGTTCCTATATGCGGGGAGAACTCGAGACATGTGCGCCGCGCACGGACGGGTTCATGCCATACCTACGAGCTCAGGGGTCAGCGACCGCGCGGGAGGCGCCGAGCACGCGGCACAAGCCACAGCTCTGTGGCCAGGTACACTTCGCGCTCGTGCGCGCGCGTGGGCGCCGTGCCGGCGGCCGCTCCGCCGCAAATCGGTCGAGCATGCTACGAGGGGGGGACGACGTACCTCGAGACGAGCTCAAGGGTGTGGTGAGCGAAGAGCACAGGCTCTTTAGTACCTCCTGAACCAAGCCATCCCTTCTCTTTTGTTTGGTTTGATACGTAGGCCTTGGAAGGGTTGTTCGCGAGCATACACTTTTGTCAATCGTCGCAGTTCTGGCCACCTCGCGCCGCGCGGCGAGCCCCTGAGGCCGCGGCAGCGCGTTCGGCGTGAGCCGGGGTGTCCGCGGTCTGGTCCGACCGAGGTTTCTGGCACCCGCGGCCCGCGTCCCGTGGCCCGCGGCGCCCCCACGCGGCCCGAGCCTCGCTGCGATGACATGGTGCGTCAAAGGGCATGTCGCGCGCGGGTCGTGACGGCGCGGGTAGGGCGTGCGCGGGCCGCGAGCTTGCGGCCCGCCAGGATCCAACGCCGAACGCACGTTTCCACGCGTGGAAAAATCGTGAAACTGGGAAATATGATTCGTGAGTGATCATGGCCGCAGGATCCGCCCAAGAATCGCGGAGTCTGCGTGCGACCCGCTGCGGATCGGCCCCCCCGTGCCCCTGACACCAGCTGCGTTCGCGCGTGAGTCACGTCAGCAGGCCGCGCCGCGACCTCCACGGCCCCGCCCCCCACGCTCGCTCCCTCGAGCACAGCCGAACGCGTCCGCCCCTGCGGCCCAAAGCACGACCGCATCGCGGCAGGCGTCGCCGCAAGCTGCTTGCGCCCTCACGGTCCGCCGGACGCGGTCTCTGGGTCCGCGCCCGCCGCGCAGGGCACGCACGCGATCCAGCGCGGCGTCAAGGCGCATCGTTGCGAGCAGGCAAGCGACCGCGAGGCCCTTGCAACATGTTGAAGTGGTTTTGAATTACAGGCCTCCCGTGGCGGCGGAGCAGGGCGCCCCTGCGGAACGGGCAGCCCTCCAGCTGCTTGATCCGCGGTTATCCGCTTGGTAGTGAACGGGAGCAGTAAGTCTCCCTGGCCGGCCTCTGAATGTGCCAGCAAGAGCTGCCGTTGGTAGCGTGGGTGCAATCTAGCCTGCCAGTGGCTCGTCTCTGGCGCCGCAGCAGCTCCTTGGCCGAAGTGATCGTGAGAAGAAATATGAATAACGGGGATCCACGCGGGTTGCGCGGCGCGACGGGAGCCGGGGGGGAATCGATCGATCAGCGTGCGGGCGTTGCGTCGGTCCAGGCGGCGAGCGGCCCGCCTACGCGAGCTTGGGCTTCAGCTCCATCTCAGGCGCCTTCGCGGGCACGCCCCCGCCGCTCGTCGGCAGCCCGATCGCCACCTGCACACAGCACGCATCAACACCAGCACTCCTGAGCCTGACAGGGCCACAGCGATGCCAACGCCCCCCCGCAAGCGCTCCCGCTGCGCGCGCGCGTCTCCAGCCACGCAGGAACCCGTTCGGCCGCGCGAACTCACCTTGAACGTGTCATACACGCCCCACTGCAGCCCCGTGAGGGTGCCGACCATGGCGATGCGCATGCCGAGGCCGCGCAGGAAGAGCTGTTTGATCCCGATCTGCGCGACGACGTCCAGCGGCCGCACGCCCTTCCCGGCGCTCGACATGATCGAGATCATGTTGTCGGCGGGCTGCGACACCGCCGCGCAAAACACCCCCGCGATGTACCCCGCGACGAACGTGACGCCGAGCTGCTCGGCCTTCGTGCACTGCGACTTGGGCTTGGGCACCACGCGCTTGTACAGCTGGTCCACCGTCGCCTCGAACACCCCGAACTTGACCATCGTGTACGGGATCTGCCGGCCCCACAGCGGACCCAGGCCCTGCGCAGCACGAGCCCGCACCGCGCGCATCAGCCGCTGCGCCTTCGCCGCGACGCCCTGCGGCACTGTCCCGCCGCGGACGCCCCGTCTCGCGCGCCGGCGCGTGTGCGACGCTTGCGGCGCAAGAACGCAGCGCGAAGCGCGCTCGGCGCGGCGCAGCACTCCGCGGCGAGGGGCGCGTGTCAGCGCGTGTCGCGTGCGCGTGCGTGGCGTGCGGGGGGCGCGGCGCCGCACCTTGTAGAGCCCGCCGACGCCCTCCTGCGCAATGGCCTTGGGCAGGCCGTCGAAGAGGCCCTTGGCGTAGCCCGGGATGGTTTGGATGCGGACCTTGACGGCCTCGAAGGGGCAGAGCGCGATGTCCGCGAAGAACTCGGCGGAGGCGGAGGCCACGAGGAAGAGGATGGGCTTGTGCTTCTCCGCCGCCTCGGGGCCCACGGCGTCGGCGAATTTCTTCTTGAAGACCTCGTACAGGCCGAACTTGCACGCGCCCTGGGCCGCGTACCCCGTGAGGGCGGCGCTGGCGCTGCGGGGCGGGGTGGGGGCGCGTTGCGTGGCGGGTGAGAGAGGCGGGGGAAGGGGGGATCGGCAGTCGAGGATCAGCGAGTGCCGGCGCACGTGGCGGGCCCGAATGGAGCCCCCGAGATTCGCTGCCAGCCCGATTGGCTGCCTGCACTGCGCTGCCCCGCCGCCGGTGCGGCCCCCGCCCACGCGCGCCGTCGCGCACAGCGCACGAGTGCGAAGTAACGAGCCTCGCAGCGGCCTCGAGCCGCGCATACCAGCCCCGAGCGCGCGCGCGGGAGGCGGCCGTGGCGGCACCGTCGCACACCGAGAGCGCGCCGGCACGTCGCGGCGCGGCGGAATGCGGCGCCGTGGACTCACCCCTTGAAGAGCCCCTCGACGCCGGAGTCGCGGACGATCTTCCTGAAGCCCTGCCCGATGCTGCGGTACTTGTCCGGGCTCACCTGCAGCGACGGTGGGCGGTTGCCTCGTCCCTGGGCGCGTCGCGGGGGGCGGCGTGACCGCGCGGGCAAGAATTTCGCGCGTGGGTAATTCAGCGCCGCGGTTTCCGGGGCCCGGGACCGCGGCAGGGCCCGCGCGGCGCCGCGCGGCCCGTGCGAGTGCACCTCTGAGGCTGTTGGGCGAATACCGCCGTGACGCCCTCGCGCGCTGGTTTCCGCGACGCGTTCGGGCGGGTACGGCATGCGGTGGGTCGAGACGCGCGCACAAGAGCCCGTGCGAGCGCGGAGCGGGGCGCGCGGCGTCGGCGTTCGGGGATTCACTGTGCCCGCAGCTGTCCAGGTCACCGACGCGGGTTTCTGCGCCGCCGGGCGCCGAGATCGGTGCGGAGGTCACTCGCCTGCATGTTGCACTTCACGACGTCCAGGGGCGTGACCGCCATGTGCGTCAGCCCGCACGCCAGCATCCCGCCCACGCTGCACGCGCCATAGTACTTGGGACTGTACAGCGCGATGCCAGCCTGCGCCATTCCCATTGACCTGCGACGGAACAAACGGCGCGTCGGCGTGGAGAGACCGTCGGCGCGGCGACCTGGAGGCGCGAGCGCGCGGGGGGTGCCGGCGCGCGGGACAGGAGGCTTGCTGTGGGAGGGGCGCTGGTCTGCGCGGGAGGGTGGTGCGTCCAGGCAGCGACGCGCGGCGGGCGATGGCACGGCGGAAGCAGGGCCAGCGCTGCGGTGGCCGCGGGGTGGGCCGCCGGCGCGCGAGCCGGGCTTCTCGGCTCAGCTGCTGCAGCGCGGCTCCAAAGCGCTCAATTGGCCCCGTTCAGGGGCCATACGCAGATAAAATCGACTATTCAGGGACCCACAGGGCCGTGGGATGCGCAAACGCGGCACGAGCGCCCTTGGTGGCGCCTGAAACGGCGCGAGGCGCCCCAGAAAGTTTCATGGCGAGGGCTCGAGGCAAGCCGGCTAGGAGCCCTTGGCGGGCCACCGCGGCCGCTGCTGCGCCGGATGCCGCGCGACTTCATATGCACTACGACTCTGGGCAGCCGGGACGGCACTTCGAATGACGGGCGGGCGAGATTCTCGGACAAGTCTCAACCGTCCGCGCCGGAACGGGCCGCGGCGCACCTGGAGAGGTTGACGTGTGCGCCCCTCTGGTGCGATCCAAACAGCATCTCCGTGCCCGCCTTCGCTACCCGCCCCAACCCAGCGGCAAACTCCTGGACGTGCCGTACGGGCTCCAGGGCCCGAGTGCCGTCCAGGTCCATCTTGACCGCGGTAGTCAGGTTGTCTATCGCTGATGTGTACTAGGAAAAAAGGACCAACGATGTGCGCTCGTGCTTTGGCCCGGCTACCGCTCACCGGTCGCCCTCGAGCCCCCGAACCCAATTTCACCCCCTTCATGCTCCTACTTGGACCCCCCCCGCAGCTTGGGGGGGGCGCACACCGCCGGCGCGCCCGGACGACCTCGCGCCCGCTCCTCGCACCACACAGCGACACTTTTCCAGGGGTCACAGCTCCGCCCGCACACCCCCCGCGAGCCCCACTCGCCGTTGCACCTCCCCCCGCCGTCCCCACCACGCGTCGCCCCAAGCTCAGTACACGGCCTCGAGGATCCTCACGCCCATCGCCGGGATGTCCGCGCGCATGCGTCCGTTCGGCCCGACGGTGAAGTGCTCGCCGTGGTTCTCCATCCAGCAGTCGCGCCACGTGTGCCCGGCCTCCCCGAGCCCCTTGGCCGACACGTTGAGCTCCACCTCGACCGAGCGCTCGCCGCAGTTGAGCAGCACGATCACCGAGTCCTTCCCGAGGCCCCCGCGCCCGAACGCCAGCCACTGGTTGCTGTTGCTGATGATCACCATGCGGTTGTGCGGGTTCAGCGCCGCGTCCGGCCCGCTGTGCCGCCGGCGGATGTGGCACAGCGCCTTCGTGATGCGGTACGTGTCCGCGCCGCCCGCGGGCCACTCCCCGGGCCCGTTGCCCTCCCCGTTCCACGGCTGCACCATGGGGCGCCGCAGAGGGGCGTCGTAGCCGACCTCGGGGCCGCCGGCCTCGCCCTGCATGCCGGCCTCGTCGCCGTAGTAAATGCACGGCATGCCGTTGCAGAGCAGCATGAACGCCATCGCGAGCTTGTAGCGGGCCACGCCGCGCCCGAGCGGGTCGCCGACGCCCAGGATCGACGCGATCCGCTTCACGTCGTGGTTCCCTGCACGGACGCGCACAGCGGCGGGGCGGGCGTGAGCGGGCGCGGCGTGCGTGCCGGGCAGGCGACTGGTCGCGGTGCGTCGAAGACCACGACGTCGCTGTTGCGCGCGAGCGCGCGGCTGTACACGGGAAGCGCACCGACGAAGTTGAGGAGGGTGAGGCCGGGGTTGTGGTCCTCGCAGCGCTCCCAGCAGTGCACGAGCTCGAAGTAGTTCTTGTCCATGATCGAGCTCCAGATCGCCTTGTAGAGCTGGTAGTTGGTGCACGAGTGCAGGCACCGCCCGTTGACGCGCTCCCTGCGCTCCGACGACGCGAAACACGCAGCGCGTCAGGGCCGCCGAGCCAGCCAGCGCGCGCGCTGCACGAGCGCCGCCGCAACGCCAGCGGAGCCACGCTGCACGCACATGCGCGGGGGGGGCGGCGTCACCTGTAGTCGCCGTGGATGATCTCGCCGATGAGGATCGCGTCCGGCTTCGCCTCGAGGCACACGTTGCGGAACTCCTGCCAGAAGGCCGGCGAGATCTCGTACGCCACGTCCAGCCGCCAGCCGTCCACCCCAATGTGGCCCAGCCAGAAGCGCGCGATGTCGTGGATGTACTCCTTCGCCGCCTCGTTCCCCTCGATGTTCAGCTCCGGCAGGTGCCCGTGGCCCTCCCACCCCTTGTACGCGAACCCGTCGCCGTGGTCCATCACGCCGTGCCCCTGCGTGATGTACCACCCGTCGTAGTGCCCGCCGCCGCCGCCGCGGCGCTCCAGCAGCTCCTTGAACGCCACGTGGTTCCGCGACGTGTGGTTGAACACGCCGTCGAGCACCACGCGGATGCCCCGGTCGTGGCACGCGTCGACCAGGGCCTTGAAGTCGTCCAGGGAGCCCAGACGCGGGTCGATGCGGTAGTAGTCGATGGTGTCGTAGCCGTGCGAGTCGGAGAAGAAGAGCGGGTTGAACAGGACCGCGCCCACGCCCAGACTCTGCAGGTGGTCGAAGTAGCTGTGCAGGCGCGCCAGCCGCGGCGGGTCGCCCGCGTGCGCGTTGGGGTCGCCGCCGTGCATCGGCGCGTCCAGGAACCCGAGCGGGTAGATCTGCACCGCGACGCACGCACGTACCGATCAGATCCACACGCAACGCTCGCACGTGCGCCTCGGCGGACCGCACAACTGGCATGTCATCAACGTGGGCGGTGTGTGCGCACGCGCGCGGGCGAGGGCCGCACCTGGTACCACACGGCGTCGAGGGCCCACTGCGGCGGGCTCTTGTCGCCCTCCGGCCCGACGAGCCCCGACAGGTCGGGCTCCGGCAGCCCCCCGTGCCCGTTCCCGCCCACGTGGTGCTCCTCGTGATGGTGGTGGTGATCCTCGTGCTCGTGCTTGCGGTCCTTCTTGCTCTTCTTCTTCCCCACGGGGTGCGGGGTCTCGAACCCGACCCAGCCGTCCTCGAGCGTGATCACGTGGTGCCCTTGCCCCGTGTGAATGACCTTGTTGAAGCCCTGCTGCCAGGCCACCTCCTGGTCCGACGTGGTGTACAGGTACTTGTACTCGACCTTGCGGTTCAGCGGGAGCTGCACCTCGACGCGGAACGTGCTGTCGCCGACCTTCTGCATCGGCGCGCCGCGGAACGGGTCCCAGTCGCCCAGCCAGAGGTCCCCGCCGGTGACCTTGACATCTTCCGCCACGACCACGCCCTCCTCGTTGGGCACCACCGTGACCTCGAAGCGCACGATGACGTGGCCCTCCTGCGCCTGGGCGGACGCCGCGCGGGTCGCGACGCTGCGGGAGCGCGCGGGCAGCTGGCACAGCCCACGTGTGGAGGGGCGGAGAGGGGCATCCCGGGTCGGTCCGATGCCCGAGACACCGCTCTGATGGGACGCACGCATCGACGCCGAAGAGCGGCTGCCGTAACCACGGCCCCGGGGCGCACGCGCGCCGGCGCGCGGCCCGGAGAGGCCTACGGGCTTTGCGAGCATCGACTTTTCCGCTCGAGGGCTCGGACGCGCTCCCGGGAGAACGATTCTCCGTTCCTGGGGGTCCCCAGATCCGAACTACGCAGCAGCTGCAGCCGCGGGCCGTTCAAGACGGGCAGGACGGGCACAGCTGCGCGTACCAGGCGGCCAGGGCAGCTAGTGGTACTAGGCCCTGCTCCGGTTCGATGGGGGGTGTTGGGAGGAAGTGTTCGCTCCAATGAAGGGTCTACGATGTACTCCACGCCGTCAAGTGGCTCGCAGCGTCGCGGTGCGCGCCAGATGTGCGGGGGGGGCCTCGGAGCATCTTGGTGGGAGGATCCCTCCGCTGGACTGACGGGCCGCCTGAGTCAGACCGCCCGCCGTGAACCGGCTCGCGAGGTTGCCCACATCACGTAGACGCCGCACGCCCGGCGCGCGACGCTTCATCACGCACCCACGCGAACGCAAATCTCCAAGGAGCTCACAACTGCTGCGCGTCACCCTAGCTCCGGTCGACCTCCGCGATGCCGCGCTAACTGCGCCGAACTGGGCGCGGGCCGCCCCGATCAGGCTCACCTGCGCCCCGCAGCGCCCGCCCACGACGCTTCGCGGCGCCTCCGGGCGCCCTCGGGGCGCCCTGCAGGGCATGCGGCGCGCCCCCAGCGCGACCGCGCCTCCCTGGGACCCGAGCCGCGCTACTCCTTGAGCACGAGGACCTCCTCCCTGCTCCACGCCCACCCGCCGCGGCTCTCCGTCCCCGCGCAGAACCCTGCGCTGCACGTCGCCACGACGACGCAGGCCCAGTCCCACGACCCCGGCGGCCGGACGACTAGCGACGACGGCCGCCCCTCGCTCACGTGCCAGTCGGCCGCGTCCGACAGCGCGACGATCAGCGGGCTCACGATCTGCAGCTCGAACGTCCGCGGCGCGCTACACGCAGCACAGTGCCCCGGATGCCGCGTCTCGTCGCTCGGCCACAACACCTGCGGCGGAGAGCAGCCGAGGGAGGGGTGGGGGCGCGGCGGGGGTATGTGCTCCGCTCGCCGGGCGCGCCGGCAGTCTGACACGGGGGGGGCAGTGTTGCACACCTGCAGGCCTCGAGCGTAGCGGGCGACCTGCTCGGGGCGCCGCGCGAGGCGCCGCTGCATCTTCAGCCACTCGTGCGACGCCCCCACGGCCGCGTCTTTCTCGTACTGCTCCCCCTGCCACGATGCGCCCGCGCCGCCCGGTGCCGCGCCTCCAGTCGCCTTTCGCGCCGCGTCCGTCGCGGCCGGCGCGGCCTCCGCCGCAGCATCTCGTCCCTCGGCCTCCTGCGAACGACGCGTCGGGATGAAGCGGCGCGTGGAAACACGCGTGTGGCAATCAATCGGGAATTCATATATGTCGATGTGTGCTGTTGACTCGGAGCAGCCGAGTCTCCGTGCGCGGGCGCCACGCCACGCCAGCGAGCGAGGCGCGCGCAAACGCCTCACCTCGGCCCGCCGCTCAAGCCGCTTGCGTTCCTCCGCTGTCAGGGCGCGCTCCGCCGGCTCATCTTCAGCCAAGATGTAAAACTCCCCCAACGCCCTGTCGCCCTGCGTCACCATCGCGCCAGGACGCTTCTGCCTGGCCTGCTTCGGCTCCTGCTCGTGCTTGCGCTTGCCGGCCTGCATCGCGCCGCGTGTGGCCAGTGAGTCGGGTGCCCGCGGCATGCCGGGCTGTTCCCGCGGGTGCGGCGGGTGTGCCGTCGCAGGAGCGCTCTCGCACCTCTGAGAGCATGTTGCGGAACGCGTGAGACATCTCTTCGATGGAGTCGTCGTCATCGTCGTCGTCCCCGAGGCCCCAGTCCGCCGCCGCTGTACTGGCCGCCTGTTGCGCCCCGCCCGTCCCCGATGTGCTCGCCGGAGGAGCTGCAGCTGCCGCAGCCTCGCCGGGGGCATCGCTATGTGCATGTGAGCCGTTTCGGGTCGCCAAAGTCGCGGCATTTGGACAGCGCTGGGCGCGCAGGGCCGTCCAAGCGCCTGCGCCACCATGACAGCCATCCTCCGCGCAGGCGAAAACAAACAAGAACCTGTCCCGCGTAGAGACTGTGTCTGAATGGTCGAGCGGGGCGTGGGCCTGCAGGACGAGATGCATCGCCGCTCCGCAGCTCGCGCACGCGCCTGGTGCAACAGACGCGGGCGGGCCGGCTTCCGCGCCTGGAACGCTGGAGCCAGGCCACACCGGCGCGCCGCCGACCTTGCTCACGTACTCATCAATGGCATCTCCGGGCCGGATGAGGTCCCCGGGAAGGCCAAGGACTGGGGCAGGGGCGGCCATCTACGGCGGCATCGACACAGTGCCCGGCAAAACGACGACCGCGTGGTTCTATCGCTCGCAGGTGAACCACGGCGCCCGGGCTCGATCTCGACGCGCGCTGCGCGACACAGCGCACTTCGCGCCGCATCCGACGGCCGACATGGTCGGACCACGCGAAAGCAGAGTCCCCCCCAGAAGACTCCCCCCAGCTGGTGGCGCGAAGTAGCAAGACAGGCCTACCTCGCACGGTCGCCCGCATGTACAGGCACGGCGTTTCGCCCTCCGCGCACGCAGCACTGTGATTACAGACACCCTGTGGCGCCGCGCGGCCTAGAGCTCGAACGGCGAGAAGGCCACGTTGGGCGTCATGAGCTTTTCCGTGTCGACGGCGGCGAGGATCTTCCCGACGCTCTTGTCGCTGAAGGTGGCCTTGCAGACCAGCTTCGCCACGTCCTGCCGCGTGATCGCCCCGCACACCTCCGCGCTCTCCGTCAGCACCCCGCCGCCCGTAGCCATCTCCGACTGCAGCCCGCCGGGCCGCACGATGCACCAGTCCATCCCGGACTTCTCCAGCGCCTCCTCCGCCTTGGCCTTCTCGAGCAGCACGGGCCCGAGCACCTCCGCCGCGCGCTCCGACAGCGCGCCGTACGACTCCCGCACGCCTGCGCGCCACGCTCGCCCGGGGTGTGAGGCACGCGCGAGGTGCGGCGCGGCGCGGCGCGGCGCGGGGCCACTGCAACGTGCGACAAACAAACGCACCGATCGAAGTGACGAGGATGAACTTCTTGACGCCGCGCTTCTTGGCCTCGTTGATGACGTTGATGTTGCCGTCGCTGTCCGCCTTCTGGTCCGTCGTCACGCCGCCACCTGCGAGGGAACAACGCACCCGCGCAGCGTCCCCCAGTGCTCCGAGCGCGCGTGCGCGCCAAGTTCGCGTTCGAAGCGCGGCTCAACGGCACTTCCACCACTGGCAGCGTGCGTCACGGGCATTCATGCGCCGCGACCGGGGCTCTATCGGGCGCACCGATGGTCGAAATAACTACGTCGGGGCCCTCGATTTGGTCGAACACCTTCGACACCGCGGCCGTGTCCATCGCATCGCCCTTGACCCACACGGCGAACATCTTCTCGATCGCCGGCTTGCGCTCCTGCGGCAGGCCACGCCTCGACGGGGGCGTCAGGTGCGCCTGCCCACGCGGCCGACAGCGCGCTGCCTGGACCGGGCAACGAGGCCGCGATCTCGGCGCGCGATGGGACGCGTAGCACGTGCAAGGACGGCTCGTGACAGCGGACGCGCTCCTCGGTGCGTCGGCTGCACGTGCGGATGCCGGCAACACCCAACCAGGGCCGGGGAGGCCGAGCGCCCCAAGGCTGGTACCCCGCGCATCTCGCATGCGCGCTTGCCGGCGGCAGTGAGCACTGGGATCGTGCAAGCAGTTCTATGCAAGATTCGCGCCATTTACGGCCGCGCATCGCCTCGCACAGCCCATGCCCCTCGCAGCGCTGCTGCTGTCAAATCGGCTCGGCACAGGCCGCCGACGGGCCGAACGCGCACGTCGATTGACCGCTCTTGTTCAACCAAGTCGCCGCGGCCCTGCCGTGCACCGGGAGCGCGTCGCGGCGTTCCCCCGGGGCCGCACCTCGGTGCGCTGCATCATCCAGACCCAGGCGCCCATGTCCTTCAGTAGCTTCGCAGTCTCGAACGCGACGCCGCCTCCGCCGCACACGAGAATGTTCGTGTTGTCAGGGTCCAGGCTGGCCATCGCGCGGACCGTCAGGCGCCGGCTGCGCACGGACAGCGACGGCACTGGACGGGCCCGCACGGCGCGGGCAGGGGCGCAGGTGGCGCGCGCCGGCAGCGGCCGGGAAACGGACAGCATCGCCACGGATATAGAAGTTCTATAATAGAACGGTAGAACCAACGGCTCTGCGCACCGGCCAACTCGCCGCGTGCCGCGCCCTCTCGCGCGCAAGAGCCACAGCAAAGAGGGGGGGGTTGTCTCCGGTGACAACAGTGATGTCAGGGCCCCGCCCGGACGCTGCACAACCGCGGCCCAGGCCCGGGCCCTCATCCGCGCGGCACCCGCGGCACTTGCAACGCCAGCGGGCCTGACAGGGTCGCTGCCCGAACGCCCCAGGCGCGCCTGCTCGCTGCCTGCAGCGCGCACCCGTGCCACCGAACGCGGGGCGCGCAAAGAACATCCATCGAGCACTTGCGGCTGCCCCGCGCCTCCGCCGGCCGCCGTTTCGACGCGCAGGCTCGCCTCGGCGGCAGGCATTGCTCAACGCGCCGTCACACGTACATGTCCGCATCGCTGCTCTTCTACCCACTCCCTCCCTCCGCAGGTGGCGGCGCGGCCGCGCGCGCCTGCCCCGGCTCGTGCGAGTGGAACGCCGCCCACACCGAGTCGTTCGGGTCCACGCACGGAGGCTCACCAGTCAGCCGCTTTCCTGCAAGGACCCCGGGGGCACAACAGCCGCACAAGGCTCAGACGAGGTGCCCGTAGCCCACGCATGGCCTGTGTCGTCTTCGCCTGGTGTGGCGCGGTGCGCGGGGGTGTTTTAGGGGGTGTGAGCGCACCGTGGTGCCATATTGTTTCCAGGAACGAGTCCCCCATGGAGCACCGGTCGTCGTAGGGGTTCCGCACGCCCGGGCGCTGCGGCTGGATGATCGGGAACAGCCCCCGCCGGAGGTCCTTGACCTCCGGCCCGTCGACGGCGCGGCGCCCCTTGCGGTCGCACCACAGGTCGCGGCGCTGCGTCGGGCGCACCGGCGGCGGCTGCCCGCGCTCCGCGGCGCGCTTCTCCGCGAGGTTCTGCGCCACGGGCGTGTGCGACGGCGCGATGACCGGGAAGAGGCTCCCCGCCGTGGCCTCCGTCCCGGTGATGTTGCGCTTGCCCTTGGACTCGAGCCACTGGTCGCCGCCGCCGTGGCCGCGGTCGCGGATCTGGTCGTGCGTGAACTTCGCGTCGCGCTGCTGCATCACGTCGAAGAACGTCGTGTCGCGCATGCGCGTCGGGACCGCCACCGGCCGCTTCATGGCACCTGTGTCGTACTCCTTGCGCATCAGCGCGAGCCCCTCCTCGCCCGTGGGGACGTCGAAGTGGTCGACCTTGACCCGGGACCGCGTGATGCGCGAGTTCGCCGGGTCCGACTCCGGCAGCTCGTACCCGTACGGCGTCGCGTGGACCTTGTCCCACCACGATGTGTCCAGCATGTCCTTCACGCCGATGTGCGCGAACAACGCTGCGGACGCGACGCGCACGCAGAGGGGGTGAGAGCGAGCTGCGCCGCACGCGCGAGCAAGCAGCCAGCGCCGCACACGCGGCCAGGGCAAGACTCGAAAGACGACAGCAGGGCGCGCAGGTGGCACAGTGGCGGGGGCGTGGCAAGGGGGCGGAACCCGTCGCTGCACCCCGTGGACGGGTGCGCATGCGCGGCGGGGGCGCGTCGCACCTGCGGCGGTGACGTCGTCCATCCGCGAGCTCACGATGCCGTTCACGAGCGCCTGCTTCAGCGACGTCTCGCGCATCGCGCGCGCAATCGACTTCTTCGTGGGGTCCTGGAGCCGCACGGGCACGCGCAGGCCCTTCGTGAGCTCCCCCGTGAACAGCGACCCGTCGAGGTGCTCCTGCTTGGTGAAGGCTGCGTTCGACGTCCCCCCCATGCTGCGCCCCTTCTGCATCGCGCCCATGCTGACCCTGCGCGCCGGCGCGATGCCCTTGGGCAGCACGGAGCTGAGCTGCTCCTTGCTCAGCGTGCCCGCGAGCTTCCCGAGCAGGACCGGATCCATGGTCTTCCACAGCGGCATGTCGATCTCCGCGCGCTGCCTCCAGCGCTCGTTCACGGCCTTCGTGACCGCGCTCTGCACCCTGCTGTGCACGCCCTCCTCCCACTCCTGGTGCAGCTGCTCCCGCCGCGTCTGCAGCGACTTGTCCGTGAACTCCAGCACCCGCTGCGTCTCCTTGATCAGGCCCATCTTCCCCGTCATGCCGTCCAGCACGCTGCGAGCAAACCGGGGCGATCGGGGTGAGCGAGCGAGGCGGGGCGCGCCTCCGCCGACCGCCCAACGCGTGCCTGCGCCTGCGTGCGGCGCCGTCGCCGCGGGGCCGGCCGCACCTCCGCAGCCGCTGGTTGAAGGCCTCTTCCTGCCGCCGCGTCCGCGCCATCCTGAGCCGCTCGCCCTCGAGCTCCTTGGCCTCGTTGATGCGCTGGTACTCCTCCTGCTTCGCTGTGTAGCGCGCCAGCTTCCGGCGGTCCCCGACCTTCCTCCGCACGGTCGCGTGGTGCGCCATCTGCCGCGCCATCGGAGACAGCGTCTCCGCCTGCCGCTGCCCCCACGCCACGAAGCGCTTGTTGCTGGGCCCTGCGCCGGGCTCCCTGCCGTGCCCCGAGCCGTCCGCCTCCGCGCCACTCTTGCGCGACTTGCCCGACTTCGAACGCAAAGCGCCTTGCGATCTCGGCCGCAACGGCTCCCTGCGGAGCACGGACGCGAGCGGCGCCCATTCGCACCGCACATGCACAGAGCGTGTGCGGCGCGACCGGCGCCCCGGTGCGGCCGCGCGCGATTGCGTGGGACTGCGTCCTCTCTCGATACGGTGTGCTGCAGGCGCCGCGGTCTCAAGCCCGGAAAGCGACCCGGTGCGCAGGGCGAGCGACGTGCATGCAGGCAGCAATGCCACCCTACCGCGCGGTCGCGCGGCCGCGCAGGCGTCCCTCGCTGCGCTGGCCCGCCCCGGCTGGTCAGGGACTTCGTGCCCTGTCGATGCGGAGTCTCACGAGAAGCATGCACGGCGGGCCACGGCACGTAGACCCGGGCATGTGGCGGGCTGGCGACCAACCACCCTGCGGCCGCCCTGGGGGCTTGCGGAGCGCCATCGGCGCTCGGGGCGAGCGATCTACGGCCTCTGATGTCGCTCTGGGAGACTGGGAAGGAGAAATTGCGTGGGAGGGAGTCTGCGGGCCAGACGCCGCGCTGGTTGCCAGGGAGCAACTCACCCGGCCGCTGTGACGGAGACCGTGCTGTGGAGGGGCTTGGCCTTGGGCGCGGCGTCCCGGCGGCTTCGCTGCAGCGAGAGCTCCGAGCGCTCGCCCTCGTCGGTGCCGAACACGCTGCTTTTCGCCCCTTCCATAAGCTCGGATATCTCCGCATCGTTCACGGGGGCGAGCAGCTGGTTGATTTCGTTCTTGCGCTCCTCGTTGACGCGCACATCTGGCCGCAGGTGCGCGGGCGGCGTGACAGGGGGCGAAATGCTCGACGGCCGCATCCTGCCACCCGCCGCTCCCGGCGCCTCTCTACCCGTCCTCGCCTGCGCCGTACCCGCCTCGCACTCGCGATCCAACCACTCCGGCGGCCACGCCTACTCCCAGACTGCCATCCTGCCGCTCGCCGGCCGCCCCGTGCCCCGGCAGGCACCGGCCCCGTTCACACACCCCCGGGCCCCTCAACCGACAACAGCGACGAACATTGTACCGCGCCACGCCCGCCGGTCCGCAGGCGCCGGGTTGCTCTGCCCGCGACCCGCCGCTCGACACTCGCCATTCGCCCCGCAACAGTCACGATTTCCCGTCTCCCAGCGTCTCGATTGTTTGCGAAGGTCACCAACCTCGGGGACAACGATGGCTGGCCGGTCCGCGAGCCCCGACGCAGCCGCCCGCGCCGAGGGCGCGCACACGGTCCCTTCCGCGACGACGAAGCAGTCCGTGCTCGTCGTGTACTCGGATGAGCGGTCCGTCGCCGCTGTGACGTGGAAATCGTTGATGGTCGTGCTCGAGGAAGGCTTCTCGTGCGTCGCGCTCGCGAGCCCACGCGGCCGTGCGCCGCGTCTGACGCCTGGAACAAACGTGGAGGACGAGGCCGTGGGCCCCGGTCGGTCCCCCGCGGCCCCGATCGCCATGGATCGCGCAGCGCTGATGTCGTCGTGTTCGTTCGACTGCTTGCTGGTGGTGGGCGCGGGCGAGGGCGCGTGCGACGAGCTCCCGAGTGACCTGGTGGCGAGCGAAAGGTGCGGGCGGACGCGCTGACTGCGGCGCGGTCGGCTGCCACGCGTGCGCCGCGGTGGACTTGTTGTTTTGTCGGTGTTGTAGGTGTTTGGTCGTGCGATGCGATCGTACGCATCTGCCGGCGTTCCCACAGGCTGCGAAGCTGGATCCGGACACAGCTGGACTGCCGCCACGTGCTGGCCGCGCTCGGCGCCGACGCGGCGGCGGTGCTGGTGCAACACGTGCGCCAGGCGGCGGGCAGCGCTCTGCTTGGGACGCCGGCGCGAATCTGCCGGCTGGGCCCGCGGGGCGCGGGCAGCGACCTCGCGAACATCGGCCTCGTCGTTGATGAGACTGACGGCGTCGTCGTCGCGAACCAGCGGGGCAGGGCAGGCCTCGTAACTTGCAGCGCGGCAACACCGGAAGCTGCCGCGGCCCTGGCGGCGCAAGCAGCTGAGATATCTCTCGTTGCACGAGGCTCACACGTGCCGCCGTATTTGGTCTCGCTCGTGCGCACCATCAGGCAGGAAAGAGGGCTCGCGGCCATCTAGGGAGCGACGATGTGCAGGTGTTCGGCACGCGCCAGCGGCCTGACGGCAAGGAATCATCTTGCGGTCGCTCATGGCATGTGAGTTGGGGAGGGCGCCCTGTGCTTGCGCGATTGCCCGCCGCGGGGAGGCGTGCGCGGACGCCCCCTCGCGAGATCCCGCACCCCCCCTGGAGTTGGCCGGGCCCCGCTCTGCCGCCTGACGCGCTCAAGGGCTGCGGCAGCTCGGCCTGGAGTGCACTCGGGTAGAGTGGCACATGAAGACGTCCACTTGAGGGACCGTCTACCTTGTCGTCTGCTAGACCTAGATCCTACGCACCTAGATCCAGAGCACCCTGCGCTGCGAGTGCCCAGGCGCTCACGGCCCGTGCTCTGCAGTATTGGGGCTGGAGACAACTAAAAAACTGCGAGCGACAGGCTCTCGCACGAAGACGGCCCCGCCTTCAGGTCCGAAGCGCCTCCGATGCAGATTCAGCGTCGCGCTGCACGCGCACACGTCCGCGGTGTGCTCTCCCTTCCCAGCTCTTCCTCGATCACGCAAAAAAGGCTCCAAAAATGACCGACATATACGTGCTCGCCGACGGCCTGCGCGTGAGCCGCTGCCCAACCTCCCGACTGGGGAATGCCGCGCTTGTCACCGCTGTGCGGAGGATACTGCCAGACATGGCATGTCCGCAATGTCATCATATCCCTGAGCCGGCCCGTCCCATCGGGTTCATAATAGCCAGCACCGCGAGGTAGGGCCACGTCCCAGCAGGCCCCAGACCACCAGCACCTCTCATCCCGCCCCTCGAGTGCCAGGCGTGCCCAGGCTAGACTAAGACGCTTTGGAGCAGAGATTCGCGGCACGGCGTTCGCGCGCATTCGCCCGTGACGCGCGGCCAGGGGCGCGCATGGACATGATGGACCCCAAGGTGCACGCCGCGCCGTCTGAGCGGCGTTCCACCGACGAAGGCGACGGCTCACCCTCAGGGCGCACTCTGAACAACGCGGAGCGGTCTGCCGAGGGCGATTCGAGGCCGGTCATGGTCACAACTCAGGCGGCCAAGCAACCACCTCTAGGAGCGGTGCCCGAGGGCGTCGCGAGCACGCCTGCGGCGCCGCCGCGCAGCATCTCCGAGATGGTGAGTTCGATTCGGCGCATTCGGTGCAAACGGCCTGCATTCTACGGGATCTCGCGCACAGGGTACGCGGGTGCCCTGTCCGCAGGGTCCCACGCCCTTGCGGCGCCCGCCCCGCGTGTCCCTGCAGGTGACGTCTGTGTGGCGTGGAAAGGTGTGGGCCGGCTTCATCATCCTCACTGCTCTGCTGAGCTTGGTTCTGGACGTCGTCGCGCACAGCGCGCGCAAGGCGGCGGGGAACGACACCTTCGGCATCGTCGTGGCGTGCGCGCTCGCGGCCGTCTGGATCTTCGACAGCGGCGTTGGCATCTATGTAGGCAGGCGCAACAGGGGCGGGACCGCCCGCGAGGTGCGTCCATCTTCTCGGCTTGTTGCTGCCCCAGCAGGGCAACCAGCCTGCTGTCATGCGCTCCGTCCCCCCCGTGCGCCATCACGGCCTCCGTCGCCCACCCGCTCCACCCGCGCCCCCGTCGCCGCCGCGCAGCGCACGAAGATGTTTTTCGCGCCGGGCAGCTCCCTGGCGCTGGGAATCGAGACGATCCCGGCGCTGCTCCTCCTCGCGTTCGCGGCCGTGGCGATCGCGAACATCGGGGTCAGCCACGCGGATCCGGGCTCCGACGCCCACCTGTGTCGGTCGCGCGGCATCGGCGGGCTCATCTGCGACGGGGAGGCCGTGTTCGAAAAGGACCTGGGCCCGCAACTGCTCAGCAGCGTGCGCTGGTTCCACGCCATGTCCCTCGCCGTGCTCGTGCTGCCCAGCATGAAGATCCCCAGCGTCCTGGCGCGAGTGTGGTGCGCGAGCCCCTCCCAGATGCCCGCGGGGTTTGTGTGCGATTGCCGTTGACGCGCGAGACGCAAGTGTCACTTCTGTGCCGCGGCCACCGACGTGCGCGCAGGGTGCGGGGCATGGACGAGGCTGGCAACTACAAGGGCATGCGCAAGGCGCTCCTGACCCGCATGTACCAGGCGTCCCTGCTGCTGCTGCTCTGGGCAGTCTCCCTGATGCAGATCGTCGCGCAGCTGTACCTGGCGCGCCCGCAGGACAGGCACGTCCAGTACGCCATCCAGGCGGCGCAAACGTGCCTCAACGTGCGACAGACGTTCAACATCGACTCCGCGACCTGCGCGCGGATCGCCACCGACATCGTGCGCGCCGCGCAGCTGTCCTCGTCCCTCGACATCATCTCGCCGATCGAGGTGGTTGCCATCACCGCCAACGGCGCTACGGTGGTCGTCGACCAGGACGCCCTCCCGGAGGCAGCTCTGCGCGGGACGCTCGGCGCGGTGCGCGTGTCGGATGACGTGATCACGGCGCACCTCGACGCCAACACCTTCTTCGGCGGCACGGAGCTGTTCAACATGGCGCTCAAGCTCGTGGTGCTGGGCATGTGCCTGGCGATCGTCATGGCGTCCACGTGGCTCTTCCACACGCAGCTGCTGCGGCCCGTCGTGCGCCTGGTCGACGGCGTGGCGGCGGCGGCGTCGTACATCGACGACGACGGCTACGTCGTGTCGCAGGCCACGCGCGAGGACGACGATCTGACGTCGGTCGTCAAGCGCGTGCTGGTGCTCGTGGACGGCCTGGTCGAGGTCGCGAAGAACTCGGACCGCGCCGACGCCAACGTCAAGTCGATCCTATCGACGGCGCGGCGCGCTGGCCGCGAGCGGGACTTCGTGCAGTGGGCGCGCACGTACGGCGGTGTCGCCGAGAGGTTCGTCGGGGACGGCGAAGCGCGCACCTCGTTCTTAGGCAAGGCCGTCACGCCCGCGAACTCCAACGGCGTCAGGTTGTCGCACGGCAGGGCGCCGACGCACACCATTCTGCCCGGAAGCGCGGCTGGTGTTGTTCGGGCGCCCATGGCGCTCCCGCCCGTCCAGGAGTTCGAGGCCCTCGGTACGTTCGACTTCGACGTCCTCTCGCTGCCCACTGACCGCCTCGCCGGCGCGCTGGCGTCGCTGTTCCGGCTGGCGAGCATCCCCCCGAGCGCCGTGCCGGACGACAAACTCCAGGTCTTCTGCGACCTGATCGTGGCGAACTACCTCGACAACCCCTACCACTCTGCGTGGCACGCCATTGACGTGTGCAACTCGGTCGTGACCCTGCTGACCTCGTCGCGGTCCCTGTCGACCCTCGGTCTCGAACATCGTCTGGTGCTGCTCGTGGCCGCGGCGGGGCACGACCTCGCGCACCGCGGCGTGTCGAACAAGTTCCTGGTCGACAGCCGCGACTCCCTGGCGCTCATCTACAACGAGCAGGCTGTGCAGGAGCAGATGCACGCCTCGATGCTCTTCACGCTGCTGCTCGAGCACCCCGAGGCGGACGTGCTGGCCAACATGAGCTCGAGCTCGGTCAAGAACATCCGCCGCATGGTCATCCAGGTGATCCTGCACACCGACATGGCCCAGCACTTCGAGGTCATCGCGAAGCTGGACAAGCTGCTGCAGCAGCACCCCGACGGCCTCGAGAAGCACGGCGGCACGTTCGACGAACTCACGGGCCTGGGATCAGACCGCATCCAGGACCTCCTGAACGCCATCATGCACTTCGCCGACGTGGGGTCGACGCTGAAGCCCTGGCCGCTGGCGCACGCCTGGGGGCGCCGCGTGCTGCAGGAGTTCTTCATGCAGGGCGACGCCGAGCGGGAGCTGGGCCGCACGCCGCTCCCGATGATGGACCGCGACTCCGCCATCGCCGAGGACGTGCAGCTCGGCTTCATCGAGATCTTCATCCAGCCCTTCTCGGAGAAGGTTGCAAACCTCTTCCCGGACCTCGCGTGGGTGTGCGTCAACGCGGCGACCAACGTGCTGCGCTGGTCCGAGCTGCTCGCCGAAGTCCACAACGAGCGGGGCGACGTCGTTGCGGCGAACCAGGCAGTCCAGCGCGGCCGCGAAGGGAGCGCCCACCTAACGGACGTTGCTAGGCGGCTGAACCCCTCGCAAGGACACTGGAGCGACGAGGGCACGACCATCGGAAAAGGACAGCGGCGGTGCACTGAAATGGGCGGGGCTTTGCGTGGCGACACTGTCGACTCAGGTTCGAGTGGCAGCAAGCGCCAGTCCGAAAGCATGATCGGTGGGCCCCCGAGTGCACTCCTGCCAGTCGGTGCTCGCGCACGGAACTCCACGTGGCTGAACAAGGCGTCGTCTGCCATCGGGTTATCCCCAGGGAACGCGGTCCCTGCACTGGACAGAAACGGCACCTGCCCGCGGTAGTTCTGCGGTCGGCGCGACGGGGCCGCACCTCGCCGACGGCAGCGACGGCGACTTGGCGCAAGGACCGCGCCCTGGAAGGGTCTCTGCGGCTGTTGCCACAACAAGCAATTCTGATGCCGACATGTTGAGTTTCCGCATTTGCTTGATGCGTGGCGACCCTTATTTCTTGAGTCCATGTGGCGAGCAAGTTTCGGGGCCATGGTTAACCTGGCACGATCCCCCAGAACAGCAGACCACATCTGTTGCCGACGCTCCACGGCCGGCGAGCGTGCGCACGTGCTGAATCGTCTATGAACCAGAACTCTTCATCCCCGCGCCCCTTTCCCCCTTGCAACCGAACACACCAACCTGCCACTGAGAGCACCTTTCAGGGCTGGCCAAGCTCATTCCTCCCCATTTGTTCCCCCTTCCCCCCTCCTTGCTCTCCTGAAACGTCATCCGCCCTCAAGACGAGGTCTCTAGGTCTGGCCTGGCAGTACTGTCGCGCTCAGTACCAGGGATGCATGCCTGCGCAACTGCAACAACATTGGCGCTAGGATGACATGGACAAGGACATGCTCCTACCCCGCCAACAGAGGAAGGTTCCGATGGAGCTTGCGACTGAGCTCCGGACAGCCTCCGCCCACCTCGGCCCTCTCGATCGTGATTGTCAGGGCCCGGGGCGTTGCGTTGTACCGCTACTCTTCACCTAGTTGCTTCAACATTGGCCAGACGCGTACTTGCGCCTGCGAGCATTGTTGTGAGCCGCCGTCGTTTGCACTACGACGCAGGGCGTCGTTTGCACTCCGCGAATGACATGTACCTCAGAGGGTCGGGGCGATCCGACTCGTCGCGCGTGAGGCAGAAGTTTGCAAGCCATGCCTGCGCGGCACATGGCTTCAGGCGGCGAGAGCTGTCCGGAGAGTCGACCCGCGCGTGCGCAGGGCCCAGTCTCGTCAGCGCCGAGCGAACGCGCCTCCACGAGATTTGCGGGCGCGTTGCACCGTTCGCGCCGATCGCAGTGCTGAATGATCCACTCTGAGTGGATCTGCGAATCGCACAAATGGAACATGAGATCACCTCACAATCTTACGCCGCGATGCGCGGAGGATCAAGGGATCAGATCGACGGCCGACGGCCGCACCGCCTCCACCAACTCGCGCACACGTCTCCGCTTCACTCCGGTCGCGTCCGCGGCGAGCAACGCCAGCGCAACGACTTGTCCGGGGGTGAACTCCGGCCGCGTGTCCAGCCAGCCAACTATCTCTTCCAGGGGGAGGTAGAAACCACGGACGTAGTCCCCTGCAGCTTCCAGAGCGGAGGCTGCCACCGCCGGATGGTCTGGGCCTGCGAGCCCTGCCAGGCCGGCAGACAGGGCCTGGATGTCGAGGCCCATGCGCGCACGCCCTTCAATCGTACACCGTCGGACCAGCGCCAGACCGTCAAGGACCGCGCGGGAGAGCGAGTCGGCCAGCCCCGACCACAACACCGAGAGAGCCCCGCCAGCGATCTCGTCCGCGACGGAGAGCAGGCCCTGGAACTGCCGAACCTCGCCCAGAACTTCGTCGACCCACGGGCTGTGGTCCGCCGGCCCCGGCGCGGCCCCGCCGCCCGGTGCTGGCGCCAGCGCCGCCCCGCTCTGCGCACCAGCACCACCCGCCGCGTACGCCGCCGCGCCCGCGATGCGGTTCGGGAGCCACGTCAGCGGCGCGAGCAGGTGCGCGACCAGGCGGAGCATGTGGTCGCTGAGGTCGCCCGTCGCCGCCAGCGCGTCGTGGAGGTTCTGGAGCTGACTGTGGCCCCCGGGGGACTCCTGGATGGCGAGCCGCGCGAGCCAGGGCAGCGCTGCCCGCACCTGCGCGCTCGTGCTGCGGAGCACCTTGGTGGCCACGAGCCGCTCGTTGAGCCCCGCGAGGTTCCCGGAGGCGAGCAGCGTGCTGGCCTGCGTGTCCGACAGACCCATGTGCACGCCGCCCCCGGACGGCCGCGACAGCGCGGGTCCCTGCTGGTGGTCCTGCGTCGATGCAGCGGTCGGCGCTCGCGGCGCTGCCTCGTGCGGGGCGGTGCCGCCTTCGCTCGGGGCGCCTGGCCGCGGCGCAGGGGCCGGTTGCTGCTCCACGGTCGCGGCGGAACCGAGCGACGAGCGTCGCTCCATCTCCCGGGCATCCTGCACTCCAGACGACCGCCTCGCAGTGACGACGCCGCCGTCGGATGGGTGCGGCGGCGCGGCGGGGTCTTTGCTGCTGCGGTTCCCCACCCAACCCCGCGACTGCTTCCACTGCCGCCATCGGTCCGTCAGCGTCGACTTCTGTTGGCCCTCGGTACTGGCCGCCGGGTGCGCCGCGGTATCGCGTTTCAGCCAGCTGACACCCACGGCGGGAGCGGCGGCCTGTCCGGTGGACGTGCGCGGGGGCGCTTGCCCGCTCGCGGGCGGCGGGGCGTGCGCGGGAGCTCTGGCGGCGCCCGCTGAAGCGGCGGCTCCTGCGGGGTGGTGCAGCGGGTTGTGGAGCGGCAGCACGACGGGCGCCGGCCTCCGCGTGATCGAAGCATTCATGCTCGTCAGGTCGCCGTGCACGCGCGAGAGCACCAGCCGGAGCCGCGTCGTCAGCGCGGCTGGGCCACGGTACGACTCGTGCAGCGCGCCGAGGTCCCCGAATGTGCGGAACGTGCAGTATAGGAGCACTTCGAACGCCTGAGTCAGGCTGGACAGGATCTCGTTGCGGGGAGCCATCGCGAGCGCGACGAGCTCCGTGTACGTGCCCATGAGCCCCAGCGCCTGCATCGACGACCCCGTGAATGCATCGCTGTCGCGCTCGCCGTCGCCCTCCGCAGACACAGCGCCGCCGTCCGCGACGTTGCTGGCAGCGGTCCCGTTTTCAGGGCTTTCCGCACTTCTTTCAGGCCCCTCTTGCGCATCGCCAGCAGCCGCATCGTCGTCACTCGGCTGCGCGCCGTCGTTTGCGATCGCGCGGTCAGGGTCCTCCGGTGCAGGAGGGGGGGTGTGCCGTGCCACCTCGGCCGCAGCGCTGTCCGGCAGCGAGCCGGCCTCCAGGAGGCAGTCCTTCGCCGCTGCGGGCAGCTCGCCGTCCTTGAACGGGTTGCGCGGGCACAGCACGCGCATCGCGACCCCCGCCCCGCCGCGCGCAGCCCGCACCTGCGCCCACCAGGTCGCCGCCAGCGCCTTCGCCGCCGCCGCCCTCTCCGCGGGCACGCGCCCCGCGCCGTACCCCCGAGCCACCGCATACGGCTCCAGATGCGACAGCGATGCCACGACCAGCGACGCGCGCCCCGGCAAGTCGCACGACCCCACCAAGTCGTCCTTGCGACACAAGGCCTGCCACGTATCTGCCTCCACCGCTCGACACAACCGCTCGATCTGCGCGGCGCGGAACCCCGCCAGCGCGCGGCTGTGGATCCCGACCAGGTGCCCCCGCAGCGCCGCCGCCTCTCCCCCGAGGAAGGACTCGCCAGCCACCACCAACACATGGGACCACTGCAGCAGCTGCAGAAGGGAGCCGTCGCGGGCGTGCGTCGCCGTCGAAAGCAGCACGAGCGCCCGCCGCACGAACTGGTCCCACACCGCGCGCCGGCCGTCCTTGAGCCGCCGCCGCACCGCGCCGGCGAGCGCCCGGCCGTGCAGCGCCCGCGACAACTCCGTGGCGCCCCCCGCGCCGCCGTCGCCCGCCCAGGCAGCCTCCCACCCCTCGAGAGGCGCCGCGAGCCCGTCGGCGTCCCCTCGTATCGCCGCTTCGCGCGCCTGCAGCCTCCTGTCCTCCTCGTCGTGCCAAGACAGCATCGCATGATGCGCCAACAGAATGTCGAACCCGACTTCCAGACACCGCGCCACGCACTCTCCCGCGCGCTCCGCCGGCAGCGTCCGGCACAGATCCTCCAGCGCCTGCACCGGCGGCCCGACCTCCGCCGCGGACCCGACCGAGGGCGCCGTGGCAAGGTCAGCGGAGCCGCGGCGGTCCCCCTCCGGCGCCTGCGCCTCCTGCGCCTCGCGGTACCGCTCAAGCGCGGACGACGCCGTCTTTGCCGGGCCGGCGCCGCCCTGCACGGGGTCCTGGCCGCCGACGACGCGGAACGCGGGGCCGGGGCTCGTGGGTCCCCCTGCGGAGCCCGCAGGGCCGGCCATCGCGAACGCGCGGCACGCGGAGAGCATGCGGTCCGCGATCGCGCGTACGAACGCGTCGTGGACGCGGTCGCCGAGCTCCTGGAGGTCCGTGCGCGCCGCGAGGCACGCCTGGAGGACGCGTGCGTACGGCGCCGCGTCGAAGCGGCTGCAGAGGGCGTACAGGGAAGCGCCGACGTCCTCGACAACGTGCTGCGCCTCGGCCTCGATCTCCTCCTGCAGCGCGCTCGCGACCTGCACCCCGTGCAGCTCCGAGAGTTGCGCCGCACACAGCGCGGCACGGGACGCGGCCTCGGCGTACGAGCCGGCCTCGCGGGCGCGCTGCGCTTCGGAGGAGAGCTCGACGGCGGCGCGGAGATCCGTGAGGAGGCGCAGCAGGTCGAGCAGGCGGCCCTTCTGGACGCATCGCGCGGAAACCCGGAGGTCGCGCGACACGGATTGCTCTGCGGCCGCGAGGGTGCGCCGGCAGTTGCGCGCGATCACCTGGGCCACCTGCAGGTGCGCACGACGCGTGGCGCGGCCGTGGGCGGTCGCGCCGGCGCGTGCGCAGCGCCTGGGCCGCCGCGAGCGCGCATCGACTGGCCAGAAGACACACCGCATGTTGAGGGCGGGCGAGGCAGACGGAGCGCACGCGGTCACCTGGAGGATGCTGTTGACGTCGGAGACTTCCTGGACGCCCTCGACGAAGCCGTGGTAGTTGGCCATGACCTCCTGGGCGAGCTTTTCCCCCACGGAGTCCAGGACAGCCCCCAGCGTGGCCGTCTCGCTGTCGACGGCGCTGACCAGGGAGCCGGACTTTGGGAGGTGGGAGAGCACATGGCCTGCTGCGTCGAAATCTTCGTCGAAAAAACCCGGATCCAGCACGGCAGCGGGGTCCGCGGCCGTGCCCCCTGTCGCCTGACCTGAAGGCGACTTGCCACTGCAGACGTAGGGGGATGCTCGAGTGTCGTTGGGTCGGGAAGGCGATGGAGTAGTGACACGTGATGGTCGCGTACGAAACGAGGCGGCTCGGGCCCCGATCGCAGGGAACGGGGCGCTTGCAGGGGCCTGGTCAAGCAGCACCAAGAAGGTGCGTGTCCTGACCAGGTGGGGCGTCGGGAGATGATGGCACTGATACAACACGATGTCGAGCTGTGACTCATCACGACCATCGTGTCCGTGATGTACGAAGATCGCACAAGTGGTCACGGGACGTGCCTTGCTGCCTGATCAGCGTGTTCGGGCCTCCGGCGCCGGAATAGAGCCGCAATCGCGTTCTTCGGCGCCATGGTAAGAAAGAGTTTTCTGAACTCCCTCCGTCGGTGGGCGTCTCAGGCCTTGCGATCGCCGCAGAGCCTCGCGAGCCCACGCGCCTTGTGCGCTCTATCTCATGGCGCCCCTGCCACCTCCATGCGCATGAAATCGACGAGCTTGGTGCCCCAGCCTTGCCACATATGTGTACTCTCAATCAAACTCGTGCGATCATCGTCTGAAAGCACCACAAACGACCAGACAAGACCTTGAGGACCCAACAGCTGCCTGATTGCGCCCTTGCGATGCCGAAACAAAGGTTCACTACGGCGCTTTCTAACCCAGGACTACAGCGTGCGCATGCGAGTGGCGCCGTGAGCCTTCGCATCGCGCACAAAATGACGCTCTCACATGTACAGTGTCACACCACCCGGGGGACTGAAACAGCGCCATGCACCTTGGTTCCCCCTCCCCCTCATGCACATCCCGGCGTCACCTCGAGCACGCGAGGGGGCGGCGAAAGCGGCGCGCAGGGGCCTCCTTCGCCGCGCCACGCACGTACGCGCTGAACGCCGTCGTCGCCGCGCACGTTGCCCCTGCTGCAAGCACAGCCCAGGGCAACGATCACCGTGCCAGCGGTGCGTGCAACCCCGGCGGCCACATTGTCCGCTGGCCCTCGCCGAGACAGAACCGGAGCGCGTTCGGGAGCCGCCGCGCCCAGGCGTTTTCCCTGCACAGCAACGCGCGCGTCCAAGTGGTGGTGTGTCCGACATGCACATCCGCACTCCAACTCCATCCTTTGTCTCCTTCCCAGCTCGCGGCTAGCAGGCGCTTCTTGTCGCTCTCAGGGAGGGGCTGCGCCCCGCACCACACCGGGCGTCTTTCATAGTGCGCGCTCAAACACACAGGGCGGGGATCGCACGTGTGTGCAGCGTTCTGCTCGAGCACCGCCAGCAGCCTGTCCCTGCCCAGCCCCTGCAGCCCAACGCCGTCCACGAGCCTCTGGAAGGTCTGCACAAGGTATCTGTCGAGCACGCCGTCGCCGCCGTACTCCCTCGCGCCCATCCCGACGTACACCCTGTCCGGCCACGCCCCGTCGTGCCGCACGACGTCCTCCAGGAACCGTCCACGTGCGATCCACAGGGAGGGGGACTCGACCAAAATGGCGTCAAACGCATCCGGGTGCTGCATGCCCATCACCAACGCGCAGATGCCGCCGAAGGAGGAGCCCCCGAAGACGCGCGTCGCCGGGGCGACGCCGAGGCGGGTCTCCGCGAAGGGGAGTATTTCGTGCCGGACGCGGTGGCAGTAGGACACCGCCTCGCCGCCAGGGTAGCCGCGGGCGTCGGGGCGCATGGGCGCCCCGGCGGGATCGCCGAGGTCCCCGACGCCGGGCTCGTAGGGGCAGTAAAACAGCGACCGGTCCGCGCCGGCGTGGTCGATGCCCACGATCGCGGGCGTGGCCAGACGCCCGCCCGCGACGGACAGGGCGGCGCGGGCGGCCTCCCAGCTGTCGCCGGAGAAGGAGGCCGCCCCGTCAAAGAGGTTCTGGCCGTCGTTCAGATACACCACTGCGGGCTCCGCGGTGTCGGCGAACGCGGGTGGCGCCCACACCCGCACCGTGATGGTCCGCTCGTAGGCCGCAGACTCTGGGTTGGCTGACTTTGATAGCTCGTATACTTGCAGCCTGCCTCCGCAGTGATCGCTTTCGCCTATCAAAGTGGCAGCTGCGCGCCGGAACACGTGGAGTAGAACACGAGCGCGAGTCAGCTGTGGTGGTGGTGCGGTCGCCTGGTTTCGGCGCCGGCCTGGGAGAGGCCCTTCGCAGACGAGTGCACTCGACACTGGGTGCGCAGTCAAGCAAAGAAACAATGTGTTGGCGACGCGAGCGGCGCAATCACCTGTGCGCGCGGTATCTCGGCCGGCTCGCCTGCAGCCCAACCGCCTCCCGCTTGCCGCGCGCCCCCGCGCCGCGCGTCCGACGAAACGCGACCTCTGACTGGCGTGTATCATACTGATGCCCATGATTCAACGCTGATCCCCCCGCCAGCACGCCCCAGCACCGCCCAGGGTGCACAGGGGGGCACTACGCGTCACCAAAATCGCCGCCCGACTGACAGAATTCGATTCGAGCGGTCGGACGAGCCGGCCACGCACAGCCCCGAAGCGACGCCTACGGTTCCCGGCCGGTCGCATCGACCCGACCGGCGACGTCGCACCTCGGTCGGACTGAGTCAGGCCCCGGAGGACTCACACCACAGGGTCCCCGCCGGCGCTCTCTTTGCCCGCCACGCGCTCGTCCACGAGCGCTCGGCCCCGCTGCGCCGCGCGCTCCGTCGTGGTCGCCCCGGACAGCGCGCCCGCCACCGGCAGCCCCTGCATTCGGACCTGCAGTCATCGTCACCACGGAGGTCAACACCCCCCTCTCAGCTCCGCACCATGCACGCCGTCGCATCGCGGACCAGCGGTCGCCGCGAGCACGGCAGGAAGCCCGCCGACGCACAATCGAACAGGACGACACACACCAACGTTCAACATGCGGGCGTGACTAGCGACCACCACGCGAGGGCGGCTCACCTCGGCGCGGCTGTCGCGCCCGGCCCCCGCCGGCAGCCCCTCCTCGGGCAGGTACTTTGCGCAGATCTGCCGCAGTTTCGCCAGGTGCGGCTCGAGCGCCGGCCGCACCTGCCCGGGCAGAAACACCGCGAAGCGGAACTCGTGGCTCGGGTCGCCGCGGCCGGCGCCGGGCGCCGCCACGCGCACGAAGCGCAGGTAGAACCACGCGGTGTAGGCGCCTGCAGCGGCGTACAGCGCGTGGTGTCCCCCCGCGAACCCCAGCGCGCCAACGACCGCGAGGTACGCGACCAGGAGGCCCGGCAGCATCGCGACGTCGAGGACGTGGCGCCCGCCCATGACGTGGAGCTTCTCGTTCGGGGCCGTGTAGCGCAGCGCGACTAGCAGGGCGGCGAGGAGGCCTTGCGACGATGCGACGGGCGCGGAGAGGATCGCGGGGGCGGCGCCGAACAGGCACCGCACGACTTGCGTGGTCCACACGGAGATGGTCACCCAGGGGAGCGTGGTGGCGAGGAGCCAGACGAGGCCGCTCGTGCCCAGGACGGGCTCGATGATGCGCGTCGCCATCGTCCCTGCGAGACATGGAACGCCGAGAACGCGCGTCGGCTCGGCGCACCTGACGTCGGCGATGTGCCTCGGCTGCGTGTCGACCGCTGCGGGCGTGCGGGCGCTCTGATGTCGAGCTTCGGGCCGCACCTGTGCAGACTGACGTGATGAGGAGGGACGCGTTCGGCTCGCTCGCGGCCCCCGTGATGAGCGTCCAGGGTCTGAAGAGCAGCGCGGAGGCTTCGAAGGCGATGATCGGTCGCGTCCACGGAATGAGCAGGAGGAAAAAGCTCGCGGTGAGCCATGCGGCAAGACCCTGCAGGCACATGGGCGGTGTTGCTGACGCCCGGTGGTGAATGAGCAGCCCCGCCGCGGCCTGGGGATGCACCTTCAAGGCCGCAAAGGCGTACAAGCTGACTCCACGCCAGCCGCTGCGATGGGGGGCGCACGCGCGGGCCAGGGCAGGCACAGGTCGCGGTCGCTCGCCTTGCCGACGGTGGAGACGGCGGCTCCCGATTCATGCTGGCTGGAGAAGGACATTAGCCAGTCCAGCTTCTCGAGGGCCGCCTTGGCCGCCGGCGGCAGCTGAGAGGCCATCCCAGCGCCCTTTGTTCCCAACACCTATGACTCCTTCTGTCCGCTTCCGAAGGAATCAACTACCGTTTCCGAGCTCCCGATTCTCATGCATCTGCTCTGAACGATCGTTGTCTTCGGAAATTCCTGCCCTGGACGTGCAGCGGGCGCCTGCAAGCCACCACTTCAGGTGGCACGGCGAATGCTCGCCGCGCGGGAGCACCACTTCGGGGCCTTGGTGAATCCGAAGCGACTGCCAGACGCGTGCTGGCGCCGCCCTCCCCTGTCGCGCGTCCGCTGGCCCAGCGCAGCTGCGGGCAGTGTCAGGTCCCACGCTAATACTTTGACTGTCAACGACATGATGAGTCCCCCGCGGGATGACGAGGGCGCGGCGTCCAGGACTAGGCTGCGCCGGCGCGGAGCTCGAGGCCACACCTTGCTCCCCCGTTGTCTCGAAGGGGAATGAAACGCGGCACGTCGCGGAGCGAGTGGTGAAGCACTTGGCACCTTCTTTCTGCCGCGCACGTCCGGCCCCGCGCTCCGCCGCCATGGCGTATTATGGCAAGGTTTACGGGCCTGGCATCTACGTACACCCCGACTACAACGACGTGCGCCGGAAGGGGGAAAAGGGAGAGTACTACACAGCTACTGCAGCCGTGCCGTCGGGATTCGGCAAACAAGTCCTCGGGCCCAAAGCGACGTCGCCCGCCGCTTCGTTCCAGCACTCCTGCGCCAAGTAAGCCGCCCGCTGCCGCCCATCGTCCCCCACCCGCGCCCAGGGCAACGTACACGTTGCTACAGCTCGCCAACGTGTGCGGCTCGCCAGTGGCCACCCCCGCCGGGAACGGCCCGTGCGAACGAAGCAGCGCGGTCCTCACATCGAAGCCATGAGGGCCGAGTGCCCCGAGCGGGCCGTGGCACCGCGACAAGGCCGCAGCGCCCGTCGCTCGTCCGGTGCATGGCAACACCTCTCCGCGCCGCGAACAAAGCGTGCGACCACCTGTCACGCCGAACGTTGTACGCAGAGATGACTACTGGAAGCGCGTGGTGCCCCGTGGCGCGGCGAACGCCTACAAGGGGCGAGAAACGGAGGCTGGCTACACGACGGAGATCAACCTGAAGCGACGTGGCCTGGCGAAGTCGTTCGGCATCAGCAAGTCCCCGAGGATGGGCCTTCCGCACAGAACTGGCGCCGGCGAGCTCGGACCGGGCTGGTACGAGCAGGTCGGCACCGTGGGCAGCCGGTCCATGGATGCCAGGCTTGCCTCCGCACCGCGCGTGAACTTCGCGGGCGGCGCGGACCGTGGGTTCGATTCCCAGCAGGTGTGCACCTTGTTGTCGCGCACTACCGCGTCGGCGCAGAAAGCTCGAGGGCCTGGCGCGGACACAACGCGCGGTTGCCAACAAGCAACTCGTGAGCGTGGATCACCCAACGCGCCCACGGGCTCGAGTACGCCGAACGTTCGATGAACCGGCCTCGCGTCGCAGCACGCTGGTAGCGGCGTTCGCTAGAATCCAGTGCCATCCTCCCCTGTTCCGATTCCGCGCAGTTTTATGGGAGGAAATACGAAGAGGGGAAGAAGGGCAACGGGCCGGACGCAGACTACGAGGTGCCCAGCGCGTTCGGGCGCCCCATGCCGCACGCGCACCGCCCCGCTCGCACCTCTTTCGGGAACTCTATGTCTCCGCGCTTCCCAGGGGGCGAACTGACGCACGCTCGCGGCGTCGGGCCGTCCACGCTGTGGCGGTCGCAGGCGTCGGTGTCGCCCGGGCGCAGCCGCCCGAGGTCGGCGCTGGCGACGTCCCACGCCAGGTCGGCGGGGGACGGTGAGGTCGTCGCTGTGCCGCCAGCGACAACGCCGGCGAAGGGCAAAAAGCTGCGGTTCGCCACGCCCGAGGGGGTGGACCCTTTCGCGGACGAAGGAGCGTCGCCGCGCACGGGGCTCGTCGCTGGTGCTGGAGCGGAGCCGTCTGCGGAGGGGCAGGGGGGGAGTGAAGCTGAGACCCCGGGGAGTCGTCCGTCGCTGGCGAAGGTGGACCCCGGCGTCACGAGCTCGCCGCTGTTCCGCTTCGGGACGGTGGCGAACCGGACGATGCGCCGGCCAGGCGGGGGCAGCATGGCCTCCCCCATGAGCTGGGGGTCTTGATTCGGTATCATCCTTCAGGCTACTTTTAGTATAAGTATTTGGCATGTGCTGGGCGCGCGAGCACCTGCAAGGATAACCCATGTCCTACACGGCCAGAACGGAGCGCGGCAAAGCGATTTTACAATTCATATTTGGCGCTCAGCGAGGCCTCAATGCAACAGCAACACTGTAAAGCAAGGGAGGTCACGCCGCCGTCCCCGTCCGGTCGCACCGGCACCGCGCCAGCTCGGCCCGGCACGCGGCCAGCTGCCCCGACGCCTCCTCCATCGCTGCACGAAACGCCTCCCTCATGTCCGCGCACTGGTCCTCCAGCTCCTCCGCACGCGCCGCGCGCTCGCCAAGCAGCTCGAACGCCGCTTCCGCTTCCCTCGCTGCACCAGCCGCAGCCGTCTGCTGCGCCGAAAGGCTCGCCTCGAGCGTCGCGACGCGGGCCAGCGCCGCGGACAGCTCCGCCACCGCCGCGTCGCGCTCCTCCGCCGCCGTCGCCGCGCGCCGCTCGGCCGCCAGCGAACGCTGCCGATCTAGACCGCCGCCACCTGCCTGCTCTGGCGCCGTGGCTCCATCGCCCCCGCCATCCCGGCCAACGACCGACGCAGACAGGCGGTGGAAGTAATCGTCGTCGCCGTCCACGCCCGCGACCCCCTCCGCCGCCCCGCTGCTTCCACGTAGCTCCCGATCGAATCCCCCGTTCGCGTCCCTTCTCCCCTCAAGCTCCGCAACACGCTCCGCGAGCCCCGCCGCCCGCGCCTGCGCCGCCTCCAGCTCTGCCTCCAGCTCCCGCGCCGTCCTGTCCGCCTCCGCCGCCGCCGCCTGCGCCCGCGCCCAGCCGCTCTCCGCCTGCGCCGCCAGCCGCCCCCGCTCCACCTCCAGCGCAGCATGCTGCTGCGACAGCGCCGCGTGCGCCTCCCGCACCGCCGCCAGCTGCTGCTGCAGCCGCGTCTGCGCCTCCCGCGACCCCGCGAGCGCCGACTCCAGCGCCTGCCCGCGCGCCCGCAGCTTCGCCGTCGCCTCCGCCGCGGCTGACGCCTGCGTCTCGAGCTCCGCGCACCGCGCCCGCAGGTCCCTCTCGACCGCCGCGGACGCCTCCTGCTGCGCGCGCGCCTCCGCGGACAGCGACTCGACCTGCCGCATCAGCGGCGCGACCGCCTGCAGGACGCTGTTCTCGCCGCCGTCGCCGCCGTCACCCCCCCGGAGGACTTGCAGCTCCTCCTCCAGGGCCCGCGTCGTGCTGCGGAGCCCCGTGACCTGCGCGGTCAGAGCCGCCTCCCGCGCGTCCGCCTCCGCGGCCCGGGCCTCCAGCGCCGCGCGCGCGCCGTCCAGCTGCCTCTGCGTCGCACGCAGACGGAGGATGCGTGCGGTTCAGTTCGGAGCGCGTCTCAGAAACGCCCTTTCTTGTGAAGCCAGAGACAGCCATCTGTGGTGCGGTGGGTCCAGCGCACCTGCAGCGCCTCGCACGTGATCCGCGCGGCGTCCCTGTCCTGCTGGCACTCCTCCAACTCCCCCCGGAGCGTCGCCACGACACCCCCCGGCTCGCCCTTCGCGTCCCCGCGCAGCCGCGCCGCGTCCGCCTCCGCCGCGTCCGCACGCCGCCGCTGCGCGTCCGCCTCGGCCTGCGCCGCCGCCAGGCGGTCCATCAGCGACCGCCGCGCGTCCGCGGCGCGATCGCTCTCCGCCGACTGGTTGACTGCTGCGGCCTGCGCGCGGGCGAGGGCACGGTCGCGCTCGCCCTCGCACGTGCGCAGCTGCTCCTTCAGGCGACGCGCCGTGGCGTCCAGCTCGCCGACGCGCCGCGAAAGCCGCCCCGATTCCGCCCGCACCGCCGACAGCTCGGATTCAAGCGACTCCGCGCGGCCGCTGGCGCCGCCCGCGCCCTGCCCGCGAACGCGCAGCTCGATCTTCAGGCGCTTGCGCTCGTTTTCGAGCTCGTGGACCTGCGGGGAGATGCGGACGTGTGTGCAGTGTGGGGCACCCACGAGGGATGCGTGTCGCGCCGCTCCTGCCCGATTCAAGGTGCCCGATCGAGCAACCTGCTGGCGGAGTTGCGCGCGTGGTTGCTGGATATTCGGACACCTGCCTATCGGATGGGCTGAGGCTGGTGCCCCTCTCAAGACTGGCTTGCTCCCCGCGGAGCAGCCCTGAACGTGTCGCAGGGACGTGCGGCTCCGTACCTGTGCCTGAAGGTCGGCTATACGAGCCTCGAATTCTTTTCGCGCGTCCTGGGCGCTCTCCCTGCCCCCGGCCTTCCCGCCATCCTCCCCACGCAGCCTCGCAACCTCCCTCTGCAGCGCGTCGTTCTCGCTCTGCAGCGTCGAGTTGATCGCCGACATGGTCGCGAGTTTGCCCTCATACTGGCGGATCTTCTTGGGCAGGGCGTCGCCCTCGTTGGCGCCAGCCATCGCCCTGAACTTGCGCACCAATGTGCCAGTCACGCCCGCATATTCGAGGCCGTTCGGCCTGAAAGGGACGCGCTAGATACTCGTCCGGCTCTTTCCTCCGCGGCCCGCGCGCTTGCCATTATGACCACGCTCTTTTCCCTGTCGGTCATGTGGCACTTGACACAAGGCCGGTGTGTCTGTCGCCCGGTGATCGCCGGACGAGATCTGACGCGGACGGCCCCGGTCGCACGCACTCTCGGCACGCGTGCGGGACTGCCCGCCTCGCGCGAGCCGTTCAACATTGCGGCCCCCGAGTCAAGATCGCATTGCGAGCACACGGGAAGCTTGCGGGGCCGAATGTCGTGGAATGCGACCGTGCTGACCGACCCCGCGGACGGAATCGGGCCATCCATCATTCTGACCGTGCAGGGAACGGGTCAGCAGGCAAGTAAAACACCTTGAATGCCAGCTCCGGGCCCTGGTAGAGAGCTGCACCCGCCCGTCTCTCGAGCGCGCGCCTGACCTGGTCGAAGCACCGCCTGTCCGCGCAGAAGTCGTTTCCGGCTGAGTACTTGATCCGTGTGCCAGAGGGTCTGTCGCGGCTGGCGCTCGAGCACCGCGTCAGGCCCAGCGGGGCGCTTCGAGCCGTGCTTCTGCCGGCAGCACAGCCTGACGCCGCTGGAGGCGTCCCTGGACTCCTGCTTCGCCTCTCGCGCGACGGTCACGAGGAGGTGGAGATCATCGGGCCCGCTGGCACGTTGGCGACCGTACACTCGCTGCGGCACTCCTTCGGTTGGCGCTTTCCACGGTGCGCTTTTTCACCACACCGTGCGTCGCGTGTGGCGGCGCAGAGAGCCGCGTCCTTATCGCCGCGCACTGCTCTGCACCTGGCTCGATCGTCGGTCGGCAGGCACTACGCGGCGGGTTGAGGTTGATCGAGCTGCTCCAATTGTTTGTTTGTTGCAGAGTTTTAGTGTCGGAGAGCGACGGCACGGCGTCGCTGGTGTACCGCGACGAGCGCGTTGAAGTGGCCGCAGCGAGCCTGCAGCGCGCCTGGCGGGACGTGCCCGCGTGGCTCGTCCAGGACCAAACAACAACAACAACCACACCTGGAAGTTCATCCTCCCCTTCAACGACCAGTACCTCGAGCAGCGACGAAGGCGATCGTTCGGACGCCCCGACGAGCGCTGCGCCCTCGCACGAGGCAGCGACGGGCCACACGCGCGCGCAAGCCGCAGATGACGCCACGCCAGCCGCGCAGGGTGACGGTACCGTGAACGGCACGGCGGTTGCGGCATCGAACGCCTGTTGTCCCTGGTCGGACGGTGCGACCATGGGGCTGCCGATCGCGGAGATGTCCGAAAAGGCCGACTTCGTTCGCGCGCGGGGCGACAACGTCGTCCTGTACCACGGCGAGGAACGAGCGCGAAGCGACTATGTCGCTCCCAGGCAGCATGTGCGCGGGGGCCGTGGGCGCGGCGCGCTCGCGGACGCGCCGCCGCGGCTGGGCGTGATCTTCGTGCACGTTCGCCGCGCGCGCGAGACCCTGGCGTTCGTGGACGACCCGGCCGTGCTGTCGTCGTCGGCACCACATCCAGAGATCGTGCGGGTGCTGCGGCGGTGCACAGCGGTCTTCGTTCTGTGCAACAGCGCCCTGTCCGGGCCCGGGATCTTCGCGCCCGCCGCTGTCATCAGGCCAGGGAACCTCGGCGGGCCGCAGGTGCCCGGGCTTCGAGCTTCGTTGCGTCTGTGGCAACGCCTGCGAGTGCTCGCGCCGGACGTGTTGGCCGCAGGGGACCGGCAGTCGCCGGTGGTCTGCCCGTTCGGGGACCGGGAGGGTCACCGCCGGATCGTTGACGCCGCGATCGAAGAATTCGCGCGACAGGGAGCGGAGCAGGACAACGGTGACGCTGCGGGCGCGCAGGACGAAGGGCGGCGCTGGGACGTGGCGGACGGAGCGGCTGCCGAAGCATGGACGGCGTTGGACACTGCGGACGTCGTGCACGCGCCGCTGCTCTCTCGGATCCGTCGGTCAGACGCAACTGAGTCTGCTTCGGCGGCTGCGCACCTCGAGATGGACTCGTCGCGTGCGATCGGGGGTGCGCGTCTGGAAGCGGCATGGGAGAGCATGCTGCGCACTGCTGTTCGGGACGGCAATGATCAACCACAGTGCCTAGCGCGTCGAATCAAGGACACTGCGGCGAGGATGGCGTCCCTCCTCGCCTCCGTCGACGATCTTCCACAGCGGGCCAAGTCCACGACTGGCCCGCCCACAGCGAAGCGGAGACGCGTTGCCAACGAGGAGGAGATTGCGATCGCGACGAGCTCGCAGAGCGAAGAAGGAGCGAACGATGGGAGTCATTGCGCAGCGACTGCCGAGTCTGGCCGAGTCGCGGATGGCAACGAACTGGCACGTCACGACATCGCAGCTTGCGAGCTGGCGGTGTCGGTCCCGGAGTGCCTCCGATCCGGGCGTGCGCGTGACGTTGAGGTGATGTTCCTTGGCACCGGAAGCGCGGAGCCAAGCCGTTACCGCGGCCCGAGTGCGGTCCTGCTGCGGCAGCCGGGCGGCGCGAGCGTGCTGATGGACTGCGGCGAGGGCACCTGGGGACAGCTCGTGCGGTGGTTCGGCGAAGAGGGTGCCCGGCGCGAAGCGGAGAAAATCAGTCTTATTTGGATATCTCACAAGCACGCTGATCACATGTTGGGGGTGACGGGCCTGTTGGCGCACGCGAAGAACGCCGTCGTGGTCGGCCCGAAGCAGTGCTGTGCGTGGCTGGCCCAGGCCGTGCCGGCGCAAGGGCTGCTTCGTTCCGCGCGGAACAACAACCACAAAACCTCGACTTGGGTTCATTTTGATCAAGCTGCCGCGCAAGCACAGGTGCCGTCGTCGCCGGTCGGCAGGTCCCTCGCGCACGCCGGCGTGGCGCGCATGCTGCAGGTGCCCGTGGCGCACTGCCACGACGCGCACGCGCTAGTTCTCGAGGTGCAACGCCCCTTCCACTTCACACCTGTACTGCGTTGCCGGACACTGCGTTTCGCTTCAGCGCTCTCAGCAGCGGTCGAGCCTCTTGGAGCCTCACGCTGCGGCCCCTCTCCTGCTCGACCGACCGTATCCTCGTCTTGTTTGACTTCTTGCAGCACAATGATGGATGGAAGTTGGTGTACTCTGGCGACACGCAGCCCTGCGCAAGGCTCGCCGCGGCGGCGTCCGGGGCCACGCTGCTCATCCATGAGGCCACGTTCGAGCCGGACCTCGTCGACCAGGCCCGCAAGAAGCGACACTCCACCTCCGCGGAAGCACTGGAGACGTCCCGGGCGAGCGGCGCGTTTCGAACCGTTCTGACGCACTTCTCGCAGCGCTACCCCGGCGTCCCCGGCGGGCTTCCCACGACCGGGGGGCTCCACGAGGTCCCCATCGTGGCGTTCGACGGCACGCGCGTGCGCTTCGGTGACCTGCCGGCGCTGCCGCTCACCACGCCGCTGATCGCAGCGGCGCTCGATTCAACCGCGGCGCGAGAGAAAGCGGTCGATGGTGTGGAGGCGTAATGCAAGAGTCTTCTGGCTCCACGCGCGGGGGGTCGCGGTCAGCAGGCACGCGTCCCGGGCGGTGATGTGTCCTTGGAAATACAAACTGGGACCTCGGGCAATCCGGAAACCTCGAATACCAGCCCGCAGGACTCATAGGTGTCTCTGCGAGCACAGCACGCGAACATTCTTCCTCGACAGGAACAGAAATAGTATTTTTGCACGAGATTCGGAGGGTCACGATGAGGATCACGTCTCTAGCGCAGGTCTCTCTGGCACTTGGGCTGCTCCTCGCGGCAGCGACTGGAGCGTTCGCGCAGGCAACGGCCCCGCCGTCTGCGTCTCTGGCTTGCTCTACGCGCCGCGGCTAGCTCCATGCGTCCCCCGAACGAACACCTAGAGTGCCTCGAATGCTTCAAGTGGGCAGCAGGAGCTCCAGGCGCTGCGCTGACGAGGGCGCTGTGCTCGTCGCCCTCGACGTCACGCTGCGCGCTGTGCGATGTGTTCCGCAGGAATGGGGACGGAGCGACGTGATGGCGAACCGCGACGCTGCTGCGCGCGTGATGCGGCTGTTCTGGTCCGCGTGCGACACCCCTGAGGTGAACCCCGCGCGCGTCCAGGGCCTTGTTCGCTCCGACGACATCCAATCCGATGCGAGATGCTTGGCGCCGTCAGAGACGCGGATCGTATCATGATTGCAACAAGGAAACATGCAAGATCTTTGGTGATTGTGCACGCGCAGAAGTGCAAGAGGCTCTGCAGGCGCAACCGCGCCGAATACGCCCTGCCCTCGCACCCGTGCGCGATGTTCCTGGACGACGCGGACGGCGAGGACCCCTTCCCGTTCCCGGCCGGCTGTCCGCGCATGGTCGGCGGGGCCGACGGCATGTGCCCGTCCCTGCGGTGCATGGTCGCTCCGTACTGGCCAACGTGGCACCCGTGCAGCCGCATCGTCGGCGAGGACGGCTTCGCCGAGGGCTTCGACCCCGTGGCTTTCGCTGCTCGGGCGGAGATTGACGGCGACGTGCGCAGCACCGCGAACGCCGCTGTCGCGGGCGAAGTGCTCCAGGTGCGTCGTCCGCAGCCGCAGAGCTTGATGTTCTTGCGAAGCAACGATTCCTGTCCATCATGCATGTTGCGCGGCAAGCATGGCAGGCTTTGCATCTATCCTGATGTTTGTTTTGGTCTTTCAGCGTGCTTTGTCTCTACCTTGGCTGCTATGCAGGCTTGGAGGAGGGTCGCCGATGCTCTCGGGGTGGACGGATCGAACGGCGGCGCGCGCCGGCTCCAGCAGGACGGCGCCGGCTCGCTGCCGGGCACGCCAATCGACACCACCCTGCCAGGGCTGACGAGCGAGCAGTCCGAGCGCGTAATCGCCAACGTCGCGCAGGCCATCATCGCGAACTTCATCCCCGTTGCCTTCGGCGGCCGCGGCGGCATTCTCGGCCTCCTCGGCATCGGCAGGTCCCTTGACAATGGCAGTGGCCTGTTCGGTCAGGTACGTGACGTCGGGTATCGACATCGCGACGGCGGATATGATATGGCACAGGGTGGTCGCTGTTGTGGGCCCTGTTGACGTGCGCCATGCCTGAAAGCCAGTGTCCTGCCGAGGATTGTCTGCAGCTTGGTGTCCGGGAGCCCACGGAGGAAGAGCGCGCGAACATCGAGCTGTGTGGTCAGCCCACGTGCCCCGACGGCTACACGCCGGCACCGACCCCCGAGGGCGGCGCTCCTACCACGCCGCCGGCAGCTTCGCGCACCCCGCCGCGGCCGTTCGGCGGCTTCTTCGCGAACCTGTTGTCCGGGGGTACCGCGGCAGGTGCTGAGTCAGGGGAGCCTTCTACTGCCCCGATCTTCTCGGGGGGTCTGTTGGGCCTGCTGACGGGCACTCGGCCGCTCGTCCGGCCGGACAGCATCCCGCGGTTCGGCGGCAATGCCCCGGGCGCGAGCAGCACGGGCCGGCGGAGCCTGCTGCAGGCAGAGGCGGTGTCTTCGGAGACCAAGCCGGCCGCCGGCAGCGCAGCTCCGATCGACGTCATCGTGCTCACGCCGTCCGTCGTCAGCAGCGAGACCAAGCCGCCCGTGCTCGACGAGGACGGCCTCCCCGTCCCGCCCCCTGACGGCGAAATCCGCGAACCGTTGCCCATGCCGCGGCCGATGCCCATCCTCGTCGCCGAGGACCCCGTCGACCCCGAGCTCAAGGAGACCGAGCCGGCGGACCTGCCGACGAAGCCCCCCCCGATCGATGACAGCGACGGCGAAGTCATCCTGGTTCTCCCGACTGAGGAAACGGAGCCCGAGGTCTTCGTTCGCCGCGACCCCGACGAGCTCGCCGTGACGACCACTGCGGTCGAGGCGACGTCTGATGGCGCGGGCAGCGGCCAGGCACCCCTCCCGGGGGTCCTTTCCGAGGTTGAGCAGAACTTCGACGCTGCGATGAATGACGGGGCGTTGCCGGAGCCCACGCCGCTCGCCACGCCGCTGCCTCCGCTCGGCCAGCGCGGCGGACCTTTCGGGTTCGGCATTCTACCCTTCTTCCAGTCGCGCACCCCGGCGGCGACGGCTCCGCCTGATGGCTCTGGTGGCACGCCCACGGACCCCCCGGTGGCGCCGCGGCCGTTCCGCGACTTCTTCGCGCGCCTGTTCGACCGCTTCCGCGGCCGTTTGGGCGGCGCGTCCGTCGCGGCCACGGACGAGGGCGATGTGGTGTCCGCGTCGTCGAGCACTGTTTCCGGCGACGTGACGAGGCCGGTCGGGGGCCTGTTCGGGCTGCTCGGGAGGGCGGCGAACGGCGGCGGCGCGCGCATGCACAGGCGCTTGCAGAACAACTGACGATGCAGGGCGGCGCCGGTCGACTAGCAGCAGGTGGACGGGGGCGCACGATGCGCACCTGCAGCGTGGAGCCGCCACCCGGCCTGCCCAGCGACACCTCAGCCCTCACATGTGACCCTCATGATCCTCTGCCGCCGCCAGCAGCGCAAGCGGCCCCGAAGCAGCGCCCGCTATCAACAGCAGCATCCCAGCGCGCACGCGCGCGCCCAGCGAGAAATGCCCGCACCGCCGACGTGTCTGAGACTCACATGTCCCGCCGCACCCCGCCCTCACGGCTCGGTCAGGCGCTTCACCATCAGGTGCCGCCGGTCCATGCCGATGATGGGCACCAGGATGTTGTCCGTGGACTGCACCTCGTAGCCCTCCGTGCGGTACAGCGCCTCCGCGGGGCCGTCCTTGAGCCGCAGGTGCAAGTACATCTCCTCCTCCCCCGCCTCCCTGCGCGCGACCAAACACGGACAGGAGAGCACCATCATAGCTGTTCGGACGTTGCCGCAGCGTCCACGCGGAACCCTCCGACCACGCCGCGGTCGCGCGCGCCACCGCACGCGTGCATGTGGCTCGGCTGGTGGACGGGTGCGGAGCGGCACGGCGCCGCCGCGTTCAAGCCGGGTCGGACACGCACCTTGCAAGATCCTCCGCAGCGCGCAGCAGGGCCGCTCCGATGCCCTTCCTCCGCCACGACGGATGCACCGCCATGTTACAGAGGTACGCGCACCGGTCCGGCGGGTTCAGCGTCACGTACTTCGTGCGCGTGTCCACGTGGAAGCTCACCTCCGTCGTACCCACCAGGCGCCACCGCCGCAGACCCGCCGCGGCGCTGGGCGGGCTCTCGCCGAGCGGGAAGGCCCGGCCGTCGTGGGTGTCGACAGGCAGCGCGGGCGCCCCGCCAGCGGCGGCCTGGCGGTTGCGATAGGCTGGCGTGAAGGCGGTGGGCAGAAAGGTCGCGAGGGGGTCCGGGTTCGCGGCCGCGGCCCCGGATCTGACGCCGGCGTTGGCGGGGACCTGCAGCGCGGGGTCGCTGCCGCCGGGCGTGAGCAGGATCGCGCCGTCGTCGTCGTCGGCCAGCCGGCTCTTGTCAGGTTGTTCCGTCCATGTCATGTGGGGGTCCTCTGCGGGGGGGTTCGGGGCGGCGGAGCGACGGTCTGGCGCCGCGGGGCAGGGGAGCGTGCCGCGGCATCGGGGCGAGGGAACCGCGGTCGCGGGGGCGCGCACCGCTGCCATCGCTGCCGACTGCGTGGGTCTCGACGACGAGCGCGACCAGTATGAGCGCCTTCGGAACCATCTTCATGTGGTCCTTCAGGTACCCGGTGATCTGTCGCCGGAGGTACCGCTGGTAAGCCGGCAGGATCGCGAGGCTGTCCATGAAGGCGTCGCAGAGCAGGGACGTCATTGGCCCCACCCACGGCTCCGTCATGGGTCGGATCAGCAGCTCCGTGCGCGGCTCATCGTCGAGCCTGGCGTCCCCTCTGCGCGGCAGGGCGAGCGCGAGGGCGGTGCGTGTGCGTCGACGGAGGAATTGCGGAGAAGCTGGCAGGGCCGCACGAGCAGAGGGCGTCCGCCGCTCGAGCGCGCGCTCCTCACATGAAGTTCAAAAGCGCCTCGTCCGCCGGACTCGACGCGCTCTGGTCCTCGGCGATCGCAGAGCACGCGAGCGTGGCCCGGGCGTCGCGTGCACCGATCCTCCGCACAGGACAGGCCGCAAAGCCACAACGCCTCCCACCGGCTCCATGTCTGACAGGCGCGGGCTTGGCCCGCTGCGACGCGCTTCTGCGGATGTCAGGATGCAAGCGCGCCGCGTGGCCCGCCGCACAGTGCGTCATCGTGCCGCCAGCGCGCTACCACCAAGTTGCCGTCACCGCCTCGGTTTTCGCGTCGCCCCCGACCCCCGCTACACGCAGGGGTGTCCGACAGAGGCACGCAGGCGAAACTGCCGCGACCCCGCGCCTTCGAAAGCGCTCCTCCCCCCGACGCCATCGCCACCGCGCGACCACGTTGCGTCGACAGCGTCGGTGCGACTCGCGCGGCGGACATCAAGTGCGGCGGGCCACGGCCCGGCCCGGCACACTGCGGGCCACCTGCAGCGAGGGTCGCACGTGGAAGGTGCCTGGCCGAGTTTCGGCGTGGTTTGACGGGCGTTGGACCTCTGCGAGCTCGACGCCTCAAACAGGGGCAGGAATGCTGGCGAGGCGCGCCGCAGGGCTGCTGCCCGGGCTGGGCCGCTGCGTGGATGCGACGGTTGTAGGTGGCGCCGCGTGTCTGTTGCGCGAGATGCCGGCGGCGTCCGCGGGAGCCGCGGAGGAGGGCCGGGAACTGGGGAGGTTGCACACACGGCGCTTCTGCGCGAGTCCCCCGGGGGCGTCTGTGGCGGGGTCTGTGTTCCACCGGAGACCGTTCGCTTCTTACATGCCGCTGGGCGCCCGAACGGCGAGCTCTGGCGGTCCGTGCCCGCCTCCGTCGCCAACAGCACCGCTGTCAATCGAGGACCTGTACCAGAAAGTGTACGTCGAGAGCGGAGAGGACTGCTCGCTATCCGTCGAGGACTTCTACTCCCTGTGCCGGTACCACCACGTGGAGAATCCGACCGCGGCCCTGCACGCCCTGGAGAGGGAGGCCAAGGTCTTCCGCTACAGCGGGACGCTCTATACGAGCCCGCGCGCCGTCGCCGACCTCGTGTACCAGGTTCGCCCCGCCCTCGCGAGCACATCGGGCTGCCTCCTACGGGCCTTGCGCCCGCTTGCGCGGCCGCCGCCCTGTCGCTGGCGCAACCCTTGTGCATGCACCGCCTCCCACGTCCCGTCGCGAGCGTCGTCGTCGCAGGTGATGCCGGAGCCGCGCGTCACAGAGGACCAACTGCGCCAAGAAATAGCGCACATCCGCGAGCAGCTCGACCCCCTGGAGGCCACGGTGCGTCTGCGCGGCCCAACCTCGCCACACGCAGCATCACGGAACGCGCACGCGCCGTGCCTTGCGGCCCTCACGGCGCCCCACCGCCTCCATCTCCCCCGCAGCTCCAACAGGCGAACCGCTCGGCCGCCGTCAAGTCCCAGTTCGCGATGTACGGCACATTGGGGTTCCTTGTCTTCCAGCTCGTCGCTTTCATTCGACTGACGTACTACGAGCTGTCCTGGGACATCATGGAGCCGACGGCGTACTTCGTGCAGATCGCCGGGTCCGTCGCCGCCGCCGTGTACTTCATGGCCGCGGGCCACGACCACGGTTACGAGAGCATGGAGCGCGTGCTGACGCGACGATTCACGCGCAAGGCGCTCGAACGGTGCGCCCTGACCGCCGCCGAACACGAACACGGCTTCGACTGCGCGACGTGCGTGTGCGTGTGTCTGCGCGAGGCAGCGCGGCCCTGGGGGTTGTTTTAAGAAACACCCCCCTGTGGCCTTCGGGGGCTCCGCGGACGTGGGCGGTGCACGTGCGCGGAAGGCGCATCGACTCCGTGCGTGCTCGCAGCCTGCACCGCGCTCCGGGCCGCGTTGCGCGCCCAGGGAGCGGTGCCGTGTCGCACTGCGAGACAGGCTGTGTGCGTGTGCGGCGCCGCCGCTGTGCAGGGCGAAGTTCGACGAGGAGCTGCACCAGGAGCTGGTCGATCGCCTCGACCGCGCCGAGGACCGCCTGCGCCTCGTCCGCAGCCTCGCACAGTCCGCGAAGGCTGCCGGTGCTGCTGGGTGACCGCGCGTGTCCGCGAGTGCCGACACCGTCACGTCGTATTTCCCCTGCCTGAACTGTAACACCGAAGACGCATCGACCAGCTCCGGCGCCGGCAAGACGGCTCGCGTGCGTGGAACGGCCGTTGCAGAGGGGGGGGGGTTACGCGTGTGCTGGTTGGCGATCGCATGAGGGGGCGGCGAAAACGCTGAGAGGTCCGGCCCGGACCTGCACGTTTGTCGCTTTGTGCGCTCCGAAGGTTCAGCGCGGCGAACGTCGTGTCGCAAGTTGGGGCGCGCGAGACCTGTTCCGGGGATGCCCGCCCCGCGACGATGGCACGATGCGCGGGGCTGTGAGCAGGGGGGGCGCTGTCTGCGGGCTGTGGCGCCGGCAACAGGTTCCGGGCGCGGGTGGCGTGGGGCCGCGGAAGACGGGTGGGGGGGGTCAATTCAGGGTGGGAGAATCTCCCGCGCATATTGGGGGTCTGGGAGAGCGCGACGACGCAGAGGGTTGGAGAGATGCATGCCATGCAGCGGGGGCTGATCGGCGGCTGATCAGCGAGGAGCGCAGCGGACAGTTGACGTGCGCGCTGGTGCGATGCCCTGTGCAGTGTGGAATCGAGCGCTGCGGTTCGAACTCTCCCTATCCTCGCATTACGGAAGAATGTCACAGATATGACGCGATCTCTTTGCGGAACCTTAGGCCCGGATAGCAGCCATGCGTGCCCTGTGCGCAAGATGCTCACTGCATGGCACGAGACACCATCGCAGGTCCATGCAAGCGAATGTGGGGCGATGTTCCACGTGAGACGCCCCGCAGTATCCAGACCGAGTCACAGGAACAAGACACGGGTCAAGAGGACGCCCCCATCCGGGACACCGGGACGCCGCCTCGCGCGCCCACTTCTGACCACTTCCGCGCTGGCCCCGGCGCAGAATCCCATCCGCAAAGCACCAGCGGCGTGATGCCGACACCGCAGGCTGTCGGCTTGATCCGCACCGGCACTTCCCTCGGCCTCGGTGACGACCTCCATGTGCCATCCACTGCGCCCCCTGCGTGGGTTCCCGGCGCCTGCGGGGCCCAGACGACGGCGCGGCAGCCACGTCAAGACCAAACCGCCGGCGAGCGGCGCGCGGCCGGGGGCGTCGATCATGTGCGCGTCCTCGTCTACAAGACCCTGACGAACAGCGATGCCGCAGGCCGGGTGATTCTCCCCCGGGCTGGACTCGAGAGCGCGGTGCCGCTCCTGCAGTCCCTGCGCACGTGCCCGTGCCCCGTCGTGGACGACCTAGGCCGGACGTGGTCGCTCGTCCTCAAGGCCTGGGCCAACGGTGCGCCGCACGCCAACCAGGCATCGCTGCGGGGAATCCCGATGTTTCAGCGAGAATCGCCCACAAAGCCGGCATGATTCGGTCCAGAGCACTCGTTTCTGGTCCTCGAACCGCGGACGATTGTGGACGATTCCGCTGTGCGCTTCGAACATTCCATAGATGTCGACATCGCACGCAGGCAACGAGACCCGTCGAGTGTACATCATCGAGCCCCTGACGGAACTGATGAAGGCGTTCAACATCGGCGCCGGCGCCACCATCGCGCTCGCGGCTCCTGAGAGCGTGTTCAGCGACTGCGGGACCCCGCAGAGGAACTGCCGCCTGCGCTTGCTCGTCAACCCTCCGGAGGCCTCCCTGCCGAGCCGCGGCGCAGTACCGACCCCTGTATCACTCAATCAACAGCAAGCGGCCGCCCTCGGGCTCCTGGGCGAGGGCGCTCGCACCACAGGCAGCATCCCGCGCACGCAAAACATGCGCTGCACGCGCAGCCCGCACTGTAGCAAGCCCATGGGACATCCCGGCTTCTGCCGCAAGGGCGCACGCAAGGCGCAGACCGCGCCCGCCCACGCCGAGCCGGCTTCCAGGGGCGTCAACCCTGCAGATGACACACAGGCCGCTGCGGTTCAGCCGGCGCCGCTCGAGTCGCGGGCAGCGCCTTCGGGTTCCGACGGGGACGCCGCACCGCCGCCGCCGCCGCTGCCGCCGGACAGCATCCCTGACTCAGTCGTGGTGGCGAAGCGTCTGACTAACTACGACGTCGACAGCGGGCGGATGATCCTGCCGCGCGCGGCGGTGGAGACGCAGATGCCGTGCGTTCTGCGAGAACGCGCATGGTCGGTCGTGGCGACGTGGGACCCGCCGGCGGCGCCAGAGGGGCCGAGCAACGGTGTGGGTAGTACGAGGGGTGGTGCGGACGGCGGGAGACGATACAGTTTGATCCTCAAGTCCTGGTCGAACGGGGTGAACAAGGTACGGGCAGTGCGCGTGCGCCTACGTTGCGCGACGGGGCATGCTGTGTGGTCACGCATGAGTGCTGCAGATATTATCTGACAATATGGCAGGACGTTGTCGATGCCGGCTCAATCCAGGACGCGTTTCGTTGGATGTGCAGAAGATGTTCATTCTCGAGGGCACCGAGCAGCTCACGCGCGACCTCGGGCTCGGCGTCGGCACCGTGCTGGCCCTGCGACACTGCCGCACAGCCGGGCCGCTTTCGAGAGACGTCGCGGCAGCCTTCGCCGTCGAGGTGGACACGGATGCAGCACGCAGTGCGCTGGCAACACAGGCTACACTCAAGGCGGCGATTTCGCGGCAGCAGACCGCCCGTCGCGGGGCACAGCAGGGAGCAGGAAGCGGCCTGGGCGCGGTGGCGCCGCAGACGGACGCCGGTGACGCCAGCGTGCACCGCAGCAGCCTCGCAGGCTCGTTGCAGACGGGCACGACGCGGACGACCAAGTCCGGCCGGCGCGTGCGCAGGCCTGCGACGCACGACGGTGCCGCGTCGTCCAGCGACGAGGGCTGCCCGTCGGCGAAGCGCCGGGCCGTCGACGGGAGCGGCGCTGACTCGCCAGCGGCCGTTGGGAGCGAGTTCACGTGGGGGGGCATCAGCGAGCACCGGCCGCCGCGCGGACGGTCGCCGGTGCCATCCGGGGATGGCTCCATGTTTCTCGAGCGCCCCCGCAGCCGAGGGGTGTCTCCCGAGGCTGACGCGGCAGAGATTCTCCTGGACATCGTGCGCGGGCAGACGCCCCCTGCGGAGACGGGCGCCCGGGACCGCCACGCAGTCCCGCCACATATGATGCGCGCCGCCGTGCTGCCCGACCCGGCCGAGCACGACGTCGCCGCGACAGACAAGCCCCTTGGAGCCGGCAAGCCGCCCGACGCAGTGGTGCAGTCTAGCGTCGCCGCGCTCCGTAGCGATGCTCCAGCGGCAATGACGGCGGTGGCCGCCGCGCTGCGGGGCCACGAGCCCGTTTCCACGCCGCGGTCGACGCCGCAAGGAACTGGGACCGCAGATGGCATGCGCGCGCCCGCAGCGCACCCGGGCCTCGACCCCTCCACGGGCTCAATCTGCCAGCTGTTCAGCTGGTACTGTCGCCCTCTGCCGGACGACGCAGCGCCGCGGCAGCCTTGCGCTTCGAAGCCGCGCGCGGGGGCATCCGAGGGGGCCGTCCTGCGGGGCATCTCTCCGCGGGGGGACTCCGGGCAGTCGCTTGGGTCGGTCCTCCCAGGACTCAGGGGGTTCTCTGCCCCTGACGTGGGGTCGATGTTCAACGGTCCGTTCGGCGGCGAGGACGGGCGCGCTGGCAGTCCGCTGCACGGTCCGACGCCTGAGCTGTTCGCGGACGCACGTGGCGGACACCCCCAGGCGTCTGCGTCAGGTCGTGGCGCTGGAGCGGCGGACGGCGACGAGGCTGCGCGGCGCGGCGGTGCAGCACGCGGGGTCACAGCGCCGCCCCGTCGCGGCGGCGGCGGCGCGCGCTGACCACACGCTCTCCCTACATAAATAAATACATGTAACAGTTTCTTTGGAAGTCCTCACCTGTGCCTTACGAAGTTACCGGGCTGCCTGCTGTCTGCCGACACCGTGCATGGGCCGGAGGCTGAGCCGGGGCTCGCGTGTTGGATCGCAGCGGGAGCGCGCCGCTGCCAACCCCCGAGGCAGGGGCGGCGCGGTGCGCTCCACGTGCACACTTGATGGCACACTTCGCTGGAATCGGCCCAACCATCAGTGTGACATGCTTTGACCGGCACGAGAAACGGAACATCGGACGCCACGGCCCGGCTCGAACGCTCTGCTGTCGAGAAGCGACGACGACGCGCAGGAAGCCAGACCTGCCCGGGCGGCCGCCCGTCGTCCAGCGCGTGCACGAGTCGTATCCAGCCATTCCGGGAGCCTGCTCGGGCGCCCGCCGCGCGCTTCGACAACGACGCACAGCGAAGAGCTACATCGAGCGGGAAGTTGCTCGCGGACGCGACGCTCCCGGTCAGTCAACCCGTCTTTTCGCGATCGAACCAGCGATGATGCGATAATGAGACAGCTCAGGCGCAGGATTCGAGCGCCGACGCCCCCGGACCGCGCACCGTCAGCCTGACAGCTGCACCTGTTTTTCGCCAAGGCCGTCGCGGCTCCGTTGCCGGGCGGCCGCGCGCGCCGCCCGCAGTGCGCAGCTTGCCGGGCGCCCCCTCCTCCCCAGCGACCCCCCAACGAGCCCCATGCGCGGCCACCCTCGGACGCCCGCGCGCGCCAACGGGTGGCGCGGCAGAGTGGCCTAGCTGGACCTCGCCAGGCGTCGAGGGGCGAGGGGGGGGCGTCCCGCGCAGCGCACGATCACTGCGACTCTACAGCAACCGCTGCCGGCGAACGAACACGCGCTGCAGCGCCGCCACGCGGCGGCGCGCCACGGGAGCTGCAGACGACAGGTGCGGCACAGCTCCGCGCGGGCGCGACGCTCGCATTGCCTTTCGCGACCGCCGGGGTGCGCACGTGCGAGCTGCACGGACCGAAGCACGGCGCGCGTCCAGTCGCGGACTTCGGGCGCGCATTTATCCACGAATGGCCGAATCGATGCAGACAGTTGCAGTCGTGCTTTACCCGTCCTGGTCGCGCGGCTCGGACGACGTCGCCTGCCGATCGCTCCCTGCGCGTTCCCCGAGCGCGGGCATCTCGGTTCCGCAGCGGGCGCGCGCGACCACCCCTCGCCGGTGCGCGGGCGGGCCGCGACGTTGATTGCGGGGCACCTTGACCTCACCGCGACCTCGCATGCGACTGGTTGCAGGGAACGACGCAGCGACCTGCGTCCTGGTGATGTGCAGCTCGCGGAAAGCCAGCGCGGCGCAGGGTTGCGGGCCCACACGCGCGTGTCGGCCCGCAACAGTAGCTAGGCAAAGAGCGCTCACGTAACCTTGCGATCCTGCCGTGATGGCGGCCGATTCGTGCGAGGAGCGCCTTCTTGTCGGACGAAATACGGCCGGGCGCTCGTTGTGCGCGCATTTCGCGCCTCCACGGGGCGTCCTCGGGCAAGATGCCCGCTCGCAAGCAGGTGCGCGTCGGGCGTCCCGGCCTGCCCCCCTACTGTGCTAGCGTCGCGGACAACCTGTTCCTTGATGTCGACTTTCAGACTTCGCGGGGTCGCCAATGAACAAGATAGTCGCGTTCCGCCGTGCTCGCAGCTCGGCCGTCTGGCCTCGACCGATCCCACGTCGCGGAGAAGAGACGCGCACACGGGCTGGAACGCTCCGCGCGCCTCCAACCGGGTGCGTGGAACTGAGCGCGCGCGCCGGAGCCTCGCACAGAGCCTCGGCGGACGCGACGTGGCAGGGCGCTCACGGCCATCAACCACCTGGCCTAGCAGGCCATCCGCGTGAGGGAGCGTCGCAGCGGATTCGATCCGCTCGACGCACAGGCTCGACCCCATTTCGGCGGCACGACCAGCACGCGCCAACCACCAGCGAGCAGGCTCTCCTGCCCGCCCCAGTGGTTGTGCCCAACGAAACAACCCCAGTCGGGCCCGTCAACCTCACCCCCCTTCCCTCCCCTACGCACCACCCCTTCGTCCGGAAATCGCGCGCCGACGTTTCGCGCCCGTTCCCGGACGAGGGCGGATGCGCTTTTTACTTAGTTGTTGGACAAACCACCCCTTTCCGAATTCCAATGTACCGCCACTCGCAACTCTGTTACCGCGCCGTTCCCACGGCGCGTGATGCGAGTGCAACCCCGCCCCTCCCCTCACACACGAGCGCCAAGCCGCAACTGTTTTAATTCGCTAGAGCGTGTACACGCCAGCGAGTGGTTGACGCTGCTGCTGCTGCTGCTGCTCCTCGCCCGCCTTTCCCAATCCCCCCGGCGATTTGCGACAGAACAACAAGCGAGACACCCCCCATCCGGCACGGCGCGACCGGGGAGCAAGGTCACGCGGCCACCGCGGCATGCCCCTCGTTCCCGTCGGTCACGCCCAAGGCCAGGAGGAGGACGTGTCTCTCTATTCGACCCCCCACCCCCGACCATGGGCCGTTGCGCTCACACCCCGACGAGAAGCCGACCACCGGACTCTGCCTCTCGCGGCCGACCCCCGCAACCACACGCCATGGCCTGCACCCAGTCTACGTCACCCCGTGAACCCCCCGACGACCCCTTCCTCCGTCCGAGCCGGGCCAGACTCGAGGGCCTCTGTCACAGGTCGTCGAAAAACGACTCGAGACCCTGCCCGAGCTCCCAGACAGCAACGCCCGCACCCACCCGGGTCGCCGCGGCGAGGCGGGCCCGCAGCGACGCCCGCGTGGGGAACCACGCGCGGCGCCCGCCCCCGCTTCGCCCCGCGCCGCGTTCCGACTCCACTGTGTGCTCCTGCGTGAGCACGCGACGGAACGCGGCGCGGTTGGCAACGCACAGTTTCTATCGCAGCTCCAGCTGCGCCCTGCCCGCTTCGCCACGCCGCCCGAGGCCGCGCCGATTGTGGCCGGCCGGGCGTCGCGTGGGCAGGGGGCGGCGCTTCTCGCAGCAACGGACACGTGCGGTCACGGCCGGAGCGGCACGCTGGCAACGCTCCCTCCCGGCCGGACACGCTGTCGCTACATTCATCCCCCCTCTTCCACCTCGCCCCTACTCACCCCCCCTCCCAGCAGGCCGGGCCAGTTTGCATTGCTTCTCGGCCGCTGCGTCATGCAGCGGCCTGCATGCTCAAAGGACGGAGCTGCAGCACAGCGCATCCTTCAGCTGCATCCCGTCTGTCTTTCGGAAAGCGCCCCCACGCTCATCACCGCGGGGGCCGAACGCAACACCCCGGCCACGAAGATGCCGTGAAGAACGGTGCTATAGTATGAAATATGTGTAAAAAGTATTTATGCAATCTGTTCGAACTTCACGCGGGACCGCGTCGCCGCGTCACGTCTGTTGCGGTCTCTCTAGCACTCTTGCGGTGAGGATGGGGGCTCGTGGGTCGGCGAACAATCGAAGGACACTGAAGGCCTAAGCGCAACTGCAGCAACTCTCGTTGTGGCGGGCCGCGCACCATGAACTCGTCGCTCCACGACAGCGGCGACTCGGCCTCCTCGCCCTCGCACGCTTCGCGCACCCGCTCCAGGAAGTCGTTGCCCAGGATCGGCCCGCCTCTCCCCGCTGCGTCGTACTCCGCCCCGTAGAAGTTCAGCCCGACGAGCAGGTGCGCCGCGAGCCCCGCACCCGGCCGCTCCTGGCACTCCCCGGGCGCGGTGTCGGCCGCGCACGATCGCGTTTGGCCACCGGACGCCAGCGTCGGCGGGTACTGGTCTGCCGCAACGCGCGGCGTCTCCAGCGCGGCCAGCGCTGCGCGCTCCGACCCCTTGCCCCTAGGCACCAGCCGTGCGATATTCTGCAGTTGCGTCCATACATCCGGAATTCGACAACTCACGCGGGGAGACCTGATTCCACGCGACGCGGTACAACCATGCTGTGTGCACACAGCACGTGCACGTCGTGGACGAGGCCGGCGGCATCGGTGGCGACGAAGGCCCGGGCGGCAGCGACGCACCTTGATCACCCAGTCGATGGGCGCGTTCGGTCCGCCCGGCCCATGGTCGTACGTCATGACAGACAGCAAGTCGACGTAGGCGGAAACATCCCGCCAGTCGAACCTGGTGAACTTCGGGGCGCCCTTCGCGGACGGGGCCGCCGGCGGAACTGCGAGGACGAGCACGCCGTGGCGCCGCTCGCCCGCCGCGGCCCCCTCGCGCCCCCCGCGCAGCTCGTTTGACAGGCCCTTGACAAAGGAGAGGAAAGCAGATCGCAGTTCAGTGTTTCGGAACACGCCAGCGCCCTGCAGAGCCGACCAGCCCTCGAGGACGACGCCGTCGTACCCGCGCTCCGCGACCTCGCCGGCGATCGCCCGCACCGCGGCCGCACGCGACGCAGCGCCCACGTCGCCCGGGGCGAAGAACGCCTGCCACCCCGCCTGGTCGAGCTCCAGTATCACGCGCGGCACGATCAGCGGCGGCGTCCAGGTATCTGCGACCGAGCCGGCCGGCGCGAATCCCGTCAGACACGAAGCGCTAAGAACATTGGCAGCTGCCTCTCGACTCGAACCGCATTCGCGGGAACGACACCGGCGGCGTGACGCTCGACGCATCTTCGCCGCACGTGCATCAGCTTCGCGGGCGTGACGGCGCACCGACTCCAGAGGGTTGGCTACGGAGCCGCGACACCCAGTCCAGGTCGGCGTCGTGCCCCCCCGTCACTGCGTACGGGTCCTGCGCTCCCGCGCGGGCCCCCTCGCGCGTGCGGAGCTGGTACCACACGGGCGAGATGTGCGTCAGTTTCGCGCGGTACTTTTCCGCCATCACGTACCCCTTGGCATTCCACGGCGTCACGTAGCCCAGCACGGGCCTGCAGGGCACGGCCGGGCCGCTAGCCCCGGAGGTTGATCACGTGTGCGTCCGCGGCTGACGCAATGGCCGTCGACACGTGGCCAGGGGCGTCGCGCGGGTGGCAAGCTGTGCTGGCGGTTGCAAGGCAGCAGCCTCACCCTGGGAAGACTTTGGTGGTCGGCGGCAGCAGCGCCTTATCTAGATGAGCTAGGAGGTCGCCGCACGTGGGACGGAGGAGCTGCTCGACGTCTGCCGCGACTACAGCCAATGCAGCAAGTGCAGCGAGCACCGCTCCGAGGCTCACGATTCGTGGCCGCGATCGCAGCATCATCGCTCCGTCATCGGTATGATGAACGGACCCGCGGCGGCGGATCGCTGGGCCTAAGTGGAGCTCGCGGACGCGGCAAGTGCCCCATTTCACCCCTCCGGGAGGAGCAGCTCCCATGCGCGTTGGGGCCTGACAAAGCCACGAACCGAAACGCAGCCATAGCGCTTCGCTGTGGCGTGATCTCGGCCACTCGTTCCGCTGCCGGCACCACTGCCTGAGTCAGGGACCACCGCGCACCAGCGTTCCACCAGCAATGGTTGCTTCGTTGCGTCAGCCTGCGGCGTCGGGCGCGGCGTTCACGGCAGTGCGCCCGCTCCGACGCAGCACACCGCGCTGCACCGCCTCGCCGAAGCCGCCGGCCCTCCAACGCGCCAGGGTGCGGGCGGGAGGCTCGAGTGAGGCTGCAGTACCTGCGCTGAAGGAGTGGAACGTCGCCGTGGAGGCCCTGAGCGACCCGGAAATCGCACAGACGGTCCTCATGCGCAAAGGAGGCATCAGGGAGCCGAGCTTCGTGCCAGTTTCACGCCGGTTCGCGCTCGTACCAACCACCTTCCACACAGACGATGGCCTCCTGCAGCCGAGGGCGCGCGGCAGGTGCGGCCCGACGTCTGCGCCCGACGTCCTGCTTCTCCTGGTATCGCGACGAACTCCACAGGTGTCACACCGCGCCCACGCGCGCGGCCGCGTCCTGGCGGTTGATCTCCCTCTCAACTGTCGGCCCTGCCTCCTCCGCTCAGGTACCCCGGCGCGGGTGACACGCCCGCGGACGGCGGGCGCCCAGAGAGCTTCCGTCTGCGCTGCATCGCTGCGCTCACCGGCGCGTGGACCACCACCGACCCGCGCGTACTGTCTGCCACAAACAACTTCCACGTGTGGTCCGACGCGTTCCTCGACACGCGGCTCAAGTGGCGGCCCGGCAAGCCCATCACGGTCCTCGAGCTCCGCGCGATGCTCCTGGACCCCGAGATCGTCGTGCCGGCACGCGAGGAGCACTTTGGATGTTTCAGCTGGGTGGACTTCGCAGACACCGCGCCGTCGCTGGACGACCTGTTCGCGCTGGGGAAGCCCGTGCTGTCGGACGAGGCGTTCGCGGCGCGGCAAGCGGAGCTGCGAGAGGAGCTCGGGCGCCTCGAGGGCGTCACGGACGTGCTGGCAAGCGTCCCCGACACGTGCGACGGGGTCGCGGGGGCCGGGGCCGGGCCGTGAATCGGCGGCAGCGGCGCGCTCAGGAGATGCTGCGCGCTTGTGCGGCGTCGAAGTCGCAGCGCGAGGGCGCGTGTCGGCCTACGGCATGGCTTGCTTGCCAGGGGGAAGGTCGTCGTTTTGTCCTATTGGTAGAATGCGGAGGGAGGTGTGTACATAGGAGGGTGTGAGTTCGGCCACGCCCGCTCTGTGCCGCGGCGCCGCGGTGCGACGTCGCCTCCGCTGCTTGCCTGTCGGACCTGTGTCAGTTGCTGACTGACATCAGCGACGCCGTGCAGCGCCGACATGGGCCGCGGGCTGCACACGGGCTGCGCAGTGCGGGCGTGCTTGCCCGGGCTGCGGCGCGCGCCGGCTTGCAGGCGCCGCTCCGCCCATTCGCGTTGGTTGCCCCGTGCTCTGGGGGTGACGTAAGCGGGAGGATGGCAGTCGTCCGCCTGCCTGCCGCGGCGCGCCTGGCGCTGACTGTCGCGCTTCTGGCCGTCTTCTGGCGGGGCGCGGGGGCGTTGCAGACGGTGGAAACGACCGCGACGTTCGCGGATGGCGAAGTTGTGCTCAGGCGCGCCCCCGTCGCGCGAGTGCGTCTCGTGGGGCGCCCATTCGCCGCTGCTCGTAGCGCCGTCGACCTTGACAGGCACTGCTGATGATGCTGCGGGCGACACGCGCCGAGTCCCTGGCTTCGCTGTCGCGCAGTGGGACCGCGGCTAGCTGGACCAGGAGGGACTGGGGGGAGGAGGTCATTGTGGGGACGTCTTGCGACGGGGATCAGCTCTCGGACAGTAGCACGCACTCGGACTCGGCTGTACTGCTGAGATTCAACGTAACTGGCGCAACATTCGACCAAGCGGCCCCACAGGTGCCTCTCTGCACTTGTGTTGAGGCCGCTGCCACCAACTTGCTCGCGCACTCCCATCTGCCTGCGCGGAAATCAACTAATACATACATCAGGGCTCCCAATTGCTCTGTCCTGGTGCGATTCCGTGCGGGCGCGCGGCCTGCAGGAACAGACACACTATGCTAATGTCTCTCACCGCAGAGCGCGCGACTGACCGTCTCGGTACGGCGGCTATCCGAGGCCGCGGATCACCTTGACGTCTACGCGCCTGAGCCGGACTGGGACACCAGCGCCCCGCCGGTGACATGCTGCGACGCCCACAAGCACATCACCACGCACTCCCTCGCGAGGCTCCCGGCCGGCGGCGACGCAGAGCGCATCGACGTGGACGTGACTCCGGCGCTGCAGGCGTGGCGGGCAGCCGGCGCGGGCGCGCCGCGCATCGACCTGTTCGTCGTCTCGAGCGGAAGGGACTGCGGGTCCCTTGCAGGGCTTGGCACCTTCGCGGCACGGACCCGCGCCACGCGGCCCGCCCTGGCCGTCAAGCAGCACCTCGTGGCCGAGCCACCGGACGTAGCCTCGCTGATTGTCCTCGGGCCCAGGTGGCGCAGCGCCGCACATGATGGCCAGAGCGTCGAGGTGTCTGTCGGGCTGGAGCGGGAGCACGTGGGGCGCGTTGGACTCGAGTGCTCCCTCGACGGTGTCCGCTTCGACGCCTGCACCGTCTCTGCCAGGTCAGACTGCCCTTCGCCTGAATGCGGTCCGTTTGTTTGTTTGTTGTACGGCGTGTCTTCGCAACCCCGCCGCCCTGGCCTTTCATCCTTCGTGCGAGGGAGCCCGGTGCCTCAAAGTATCGCGGGCCATCGCCACTTCGTCCGCAGGGCTGCGAACGTCATCGAGCTTCCGCCCCTGCCCGAGGGCGCACACACAGTTCACGTCCGCACTGTTGCTTCCAACGGGCGAGGTTTCGTGCGGCGGTCAGACGGGCCGCCTGCGCGGGCAGCCATCCTCGTAGATCGCACGCCGCCCGTGCTGTCGATTGAGCCACGTGGCACCAGTGCACGCCCAGGCAGCCACACGTTCGCCTTCATCGCGGACGACGCTGGCGGCCACGGCGCATCGGGCGTGCTGCGCGTCCGCTGCGCGCTCGACCAGGAGCCCATGCGGCCCTGTCCTCCCGTCGTGTCGCTCGAGCGGCTCAAGCAAGGCACCCACGTCGTGCGGGCCCAGGCAGAGGACGCCGCGGGCAACGCAGGGCCCGAAATCCGCCACGAGTTTGCGGTCGACGCTGCGCCGGAGATGACGTGCTCGTTTCCTTCGCACCCCGAAGGTGAGCCACTGCCCGGCGCTACCCCCCGCGGCTCGTGCGCCTCCAGCGACACTGCGTCCGAACCCCCCGGCGGGAGTGTCGTGCTTGTCCTGCGCAGGGCGGAGCAACGGCGCGGTACGCGTCCGTCTCACGCGGCCAGGGCGCACCGATGCTTTCTCGCGGGACGCAGTGGCGGCGTCGCTCTTCCCACCGGGCCGCGCCGCCCATGCGCTCGCCGTGGCGAACTTCACGGGCCCGCTTCCCGGATCGGTCTTCGAGTTCCACATCAACCCGCCGGACGGCCTGCCGGCCGGCACCATCACCGTCAGCGCAGCCACCACCACCGCCGGCGACTCTTTCGCCGAAGTCTGCTCCGTGGACTACAACCCCTTTCCGCCCGAGTGCACGATCCAGCGCTGGCCCGCGGCGGCCCAGGTCGGCGCGGCCGTGCCCTTCGAAGTGCAGTTCGCAAGGGTGCAGCCGCACTTTCACCCCTCGCACCTCCGCGCGTACGTCGACAGCGGACGATCCGCCGCGCCGGGCGGGCGGGCGCGCGTGGAGCCCGCCGGATGGCCGTCCAGGGCGACAGCTGGACGATCCGTGTCCTACAGCGCGCTGGTGCACCTCGACGTCATGGGGGAGGTGTTTGTTGAGGTCCCGGAGGGGGTGTTTATGGATGAGTACGGCAACGCGAACCGGCGGTGCCGGAGTCCGGTGCTGCGGGTCTGGGAGCCCGTCGCCGCGCTGGCGTTCGCTGGCGGGGACGTCAGGGTGTTTGCAGGGGAGGGCTACTCCCGCGAGCTGAGTGCTGGGGCTGACTCAGGGCGCGGGGAGGACGGTCGAGGCGCGGCGGAGCACGTTGCGGTCGGTCCTGGTGGGCGGATCGCGAGGGCCTTGCCCGGCAGCGGCCTCGTCGTGGTGTCGCCGCTGGGCGAGCCCATCACCGCCGCGACGGGCGTCGAGCGCGCGCTGGCGTTCAGGGCCGACGGCCACGTCATCGGTGCTGCCAGCGACCCCGGGGGAGACGGATACACGATCATGGTGCTGGACGGCGCGACCGGCGCAATGGTGCACCGCGCTGGGCCGGACCTGCATCGCATGACACCTCCCGGGGGGTCTGCCAGCGAGGCCGCAGCGCCTGCGCCACGGTGGGCGTGCGGCGAGCGCACGCACGTGATTCGTCTGGGCCCGCCGTGCGGCGTCGAGGAGGATGACGACGCGCTCGGCGAGCTTGCGTCCGGCCGCGCTGACGACGATGCCGACGACGCGCGGCTATGCGGGCCGCGGGCCGCGACCGTGGACGGCCGCGACCAGGTGTTTGTCGTCGACGCATGTTTGCGCGGCGTCTTGGTGCTCGGCGCGCAGCTGGAGCCGCGCGCGCTGCTCACGGGATGGAACACAACAGGGCAGTTCAGCAAGGCCGAGGGTGTCGCCGTCGACGGGGCCGGCCGGCTCTACGTCCTCGACGAAGCCCTCGTGCGTGTGCTGGACATCGTGTCGGACGAGTTGTCGTTCCTCGGTACGATAGGACGCGACGACGCGAGTCCTGGCACGAGGATCGGCCACGCGCGGGCGCTGGCGGTGGACCACGCGGGGTCGCTGCTCGTGCTTGCCGGCGCCGAGGTCCTGCGATTCGACCCGCAGCCCGGGCCGCGCGACGCGGCGCGATGGGTCCCGGCCGGGCGCGCGATGGCCGTTCGAACGGACCTGGGGAACGCCGTAGGTCTCGCAGTGTTCCGCGACGCAGCCGTGCCGCGGGTGACGATCACGCTGGCGGATGGCGACGCGGACCGCAGCGCGCCGTTCGGCATCGTCATTGACTGGGAGGGGCCGCTGGTTTCGGGGTTCGGCGCGGACGGCGTTGTTGTGGGTGGCGTTGGAGGGACCGTCACGGATCTGCGCTCGTCGGACGGGAGGCGCTACACGGCGACAGTGCGACCGAGCAGCGTCGGAGGCGCCGTCGTGTTCGTCAAGGCGCGCGCCGCGTGGGCAGCGAACGGCGCCGCCAACGCCGCGCCGTCCAACGTGCTGCGCGTGCGCTACCACGGGGGCTCGTGCGTCGCGGAGAACGTGTGCGAGTGGTCCCTCGCGCTCTACCAGCATGAGCTCGCCCTGGACCGCGACCGCCGCGCCGCGCGTCTGCGGCAGGAGGCGGCTGCGAGGGCGGAGGCGCTGAACGCCGCTGGCCGTCTCGAGGCGGAGCGTGCCGCGGTGCAGGTGCGGGTCGAGGCGGAGCGCGAGCTCGAGCGGGTGCGGCTCGAGGGCGAGACGGCGCGGCTCGCTGCGGCGGCTGCTGCTGCGGGGGAGAGGGCGCGTGCAGAGGCGCTGGCGACGGAGGATGTGCGGCTCCGTCTGGCGCAGGAGGAGGGGCGGCAGCGCGCGCTGGCGATGCGGGGCGCGGTCGTGTCGGTCGTGCAGGAGGCGACGCGCGTGGTCAGGGAGCTCGCAGACTCCCCGCGGGACCTCGCGGGCCTGACTGGATTCCTGGGTGTGTGTTTGGGGGTGTTCTTCGTGCTGCGCGAGGCCACCCGGGTCGTCGGACACGTCGTGCAGGTGCGATTATCACGCGGCATGTCTCCGCCGACACGCGCCTCTCCCTACCTGTCCTTCGCGGTGAGGCTGCAACCCGCCCCTTCCCTGCCCGCAGCTGCACCTGACTCAGCCGCCTCTGGTCCGCGAGACGACTATGACGTGGTCTGCGTGGCTGCTGGGGCCCCTGCGTCGCGCCCTGGACGCCGTTGGGTCCGCGGCGCCGGCGAACAAGGCACTCAGCGACGTGGTGCTGGAGGGGGCGCTGCACGAACGCATGGAGCAGCTGGCGTTGTCCATCGCCAACGCGCGCGCGCGCCGCGCTCCGTTCCGGCACGTGCTGCTGTGGGGACCTCCAGGTGCGCGGCGACGGCAGACAACAAGAGAGCACTGGTCGCAACATGCGCGCTCATGGCAAGTACGTGTTCGTGCATGTGGTAATGGTGGCTCGACGCGGGGCGGTGCGCATCTTCCGTGCCGCGCAGGGACGGGGAAGACCATGGCTGCGACGCGCCTCGCGCGGGGCTGCGGGCTCGACTACGCCATCCTGTCGGGGGGGGATGTATTGCCCCTGGGCTCGGCTGCAGCTGCCGAGCTGAACCGCGTGTTCGACTGGGCCTCGCGGTCGTCGCGCGGGCTGCTGCTCTTCGTCGACGAAGCCGACGCCTTCCTGCGCCGACGCGGGGCCGCGCACACCGCGGATCACGGCCCCAGGTGCGCCGTCGCGCCTGCCTGCACGCGCCCTGCGACACGCGCGCGCGTCCTGTTCGCACAGTTCCCACCACTGCGCGCCTTCGCTCTGTTCGCCGCAGCGAGTCCCTGCGGGCGGCGATCAACGTGGTGCTGTCGCGCACCGGCGGCCAGCAGGGCAGCTTTCTCCTCGTTCTGGCCTCGAACCGCCCCGGCGACCTCGACGACGCAGTGCTCGACCGCATGGACGACACCGTCGAGTTCCCGAAGCCCGGCCTCGAGCAGCGCGTGCAGATGTTGAAGATGTACTTCGCCGAGTATATCGGGGCGTTCTGCGAGGGTCCCAAGCCCGGGACCGTGCGTCGCGGGCCCCTGGGCATGTGGTCGACGTCGGTCGAGCCGTGGTCGCTCGCGTTCCCGCCCGGGCGCAGCGACGTCGTGCGGCTGTCCGGGTTCAGCGCAGAGGCCTTCCGGGCCGCCGCGCGGCTGACGGAGGGCTTCTCCGGGCGCGAGATGGTCAAGGTGATGGCCGCGGTGCAGGCCGAGGTGTACGCCGGGCGCGGCGGGAGCGCTGCGCGTGCCAAGGACGCGGCTGCCGCGGAGGCAGCAGGGGCCCTCTTCCTGGACGCCGACACGATGCTGCGGGTCGTCAAGGCCAAGGTCGGCGAGCACGTGACGCGGGAGGCCTTCCTCGAGGCGGCAGCGACGGAGGCAGCGGCGCCGCTGTCGTCCCCGCGCGCCGGCGATGACGCACAGCCTCGTGCGCATCCTAACGGCGGCGCGCAGCGGTGATCCGCGCCGAGCTGTAACTCACGCTCACACCACCGCGTCGCCAGGGCCCGTCACTGCCGCGGCACCGCGTCCACGACCCGCCCGACCACCACCACACACGGCGACAGCGCCCCGGAGGCAATTTCCACCGCCAGGTCCGCTGCCACGGCGCCGAGCGTCGACCTCCACTCCCCGCGCTCCGCCCCCTCGACGCCGGCGCTGCGCACGACCAGCACGGGGTCGTCCCGCGGCCGCCCCTGCCCCAGGAGCGCGTCGGCGGCCTCCGCGAGCTTTCTCCCCGCCATGAGCAGCACTACGGTGTCGATCCCGGCGAGGGCGGCCCAGTTGAGCGCCGCGGGGCTGTGGGCGCTGGCGACCGCGAACGCGCGCCCGACGTCGCGGTCGGTGAGCGGGACGCCCGCGAGGAGGGGCGCTGCGAGCGCGGAGGAGACGCCCGGGGTGATGTCGAAGGGAATGTCGTGCGCCGCGAGCGCGCGGAGCTCCGAGGAGGCCCGGGAGAACACGGACGGACAGCCGCCTTTCAGCCGGACCACGCACGCTCCTGCGGGGCACAGCGCCGGGCCAGGGACGCGTCCGCATGGCTCGCGACCGTCGTGTTGCGCGTCACCACATCGCGCAACCGAGCCGGGGTTGTCCCGTGGGGGCCGCACCAGGCTCGCAGCTGTCGACGAGCAGCCGGTTGATCTCTTCCTGCTTCCAGCTCCGCGCATTTCCTCCCCGCTTGCCCACGTCTACCAGCCTGGCGCCCCGCTTCGCGAGGTCCAGGACCGTGGATCCGCCGAGGTCGTCGTATATGATGACGTCCGCCTTCGACAGCAGTTTCGCGGCCTGCGAACGAACGGCACAGCAGTCGCCTGGGAGCCGCGCGGCAGCGAGACAGCTACGTGAGCGAGGGCGAGCCCCGACGCGGGATGCAGCCAAATGCGGTTGCGACCACCGCGGAGCGTACTTGCAGCGTGAGGTACTCCTGTGATCCGAGGCCGGCCCCAACCAAGTGACAGAAACGGCCTCGAGCGGCAGTGCTACAAGCAACAACTCCCGGCCGTCTCGAGCCGCTGCATCTCGCCCTTCCCACTGCCTGCCTCGCATGTACTACCCGTCCCCGCGCCGCACATGGCGCATTCATCGCGGACTGCGCCCGCCGGGCGCGCGTTCATGCGCCGGCACAGCGCGCAGCTCGCACGCCCCCGAGCGAGCGGCGCAGGAACCCTCGGGAGCACTCAGCGATCCCCCAACCCTCTGGCCAGCGAGTGCCTGGGCGCGCGCACGCGCGGCTCCAAGGGGCCCGTGCGCGGAGGCCCCTGCTGCGCTGGGTGCGTCAACGGACACGTGACAGTCGCACTTTTCGGCGCGGTGCGGAAGGAATCGCTGGGCTCCCGTCACGCTCCTCGCCCGCCCTCGCACCGCACTTCACTTCGCGGTGTCGCCAGCCTTTGGGGTCGTCCGCGGCGCCCCCGAGCTGCGTGTTGCCATCAGGTAAGCACCCCGGACAGCAGCGACAAATTTGGATGAGACGCGGCAGGAGGCCCTGTCATTGCGCGAAGTGTCCCGGAACGTCGCGCCTGCATCGATTTCGCGCCTCCCCCGCTCGCGGGCGTGCCAGCTGCCCCCCCACGGCTGCCTAGCCCCCGCAGTGCGCGCACCCTCGAGGCTGAGACACCTGAGGGCGCCCGGCGAAGGTACAGGACTGTCTCGCCGGCGCCAGGGGGCGCCAACCGGGCCGAGTCAGCAGGCGCAGTGCGCCAAGTGGCTTGTCAGACTGGGTGGTGGCACTCTTGGCCCCCGTCTATTTGGCCCGCTCAGCGCGTCTGTGCAGCACATTCGCAGCGTTTGACACGTCGGAAAGGCTGTCCGTACCCAACTCTCATCGGTTCTCTTGCGTTTCGGCAGAGAATCCTCGTCTGAACGCCGCTTCCCGGCTCTGGAAAACAGCTGCAGGAGCAAGAGCCCGCGCGGTTCGCTCGCTGCCTACCAGTACGTCGTCTCATCGCAGTTGAGACCTTCGCGAATAATCCGATCCCCGCGAGCGCTTCGCGTCCCGGAGAACGGCCCAGTTGCGCCCCGAACGGACCCTACCATCTGCAAGGCCGGCCGACCTGCTTGCGACGTCGCCCCGCGGACCCGTGAGATCTAGCGCCGAGATGTACTCGAACTTCGACACCATCTTCTCGAACAACGCGCCCGAGGGCGCGTTCGACGCCCTGTTCGACCCGCCCGGCAAGGCCATGCTGACGCGTGACGCGAAGCCCAAGGCCCAGGACGCGTTCGATGAGTTCCTCGACGGCTTCGACATTCCCGAGGAGAAGTTCCTGTCGGTGCGTCCCGCCCCCGCGGCGCCCCCCGGGAGGCCACCGCTGCTCGAGCGCCCCTTCCCAGGGTTTCCCCGCGCGCGCGTCCCCGCTGCGCCTCCGGCGGCGCCGGGCGCGCGCATCGTCCCGCCTCGTGTGGCTGCTCGCGGCGACCGCTTGCGGCCGCGCGCGCCGCCGCCCCCGGCCCGCGCCGCACCACGCTGGCTCCCGAGTCACGATGCCCGCAAACCCACCCTCGTACGGGCCGCACATTCAATCGCGCCGCGCTGATCGTCCATTCGAACATCGTCCAACCCCTCTCGCTGCGTCGCGCATCCATCGCAGGACATGGACTTCGCGGTGCCGGAATGGACTGGCCTGAACGACAGTTTCGGCGCCCCCGAGGCGTTCCAGGCGCAGCAGCCCGCGCCCGCGCAGCAGCCCCAGGCTCCCCTCGCCAAGGCCGCCTCCCGCGGGTCGCTCCCGGACTTCGCGCGCGCGTTCATGGGCGACGTCGAGGACTACAAGCCCGCGGGACCGTCGGACTTCCTCGTCCCGCAGGCGCCGTCGAGCAGCGCCGACGAGGCGTCGGACGCGTTCGACGTGGTCCCCGAGGCCGAGGTGCCCGTCGCGGCCCCGGCCCCGCGCGTCGCGCCCGCCCCGCAGGCCCCGCGTGCCGCCTCGTTCGCGCAGCACGCGGCGCCCCTCCCGACGGGCGCCGACGCGCCGTCGGTGCCGCTCTCGATGGGCCAGCTGCCCATGCGCCTCGACTTCATGAGCGACGACCAGATCGAGGCCCGCACGTCCGCGCTCGAGCGGTACCGCGCCAAGAAGGCCAACCGCTGCTTCAACAAGAAGATCCGGTACCAGTCGCGCAAGGCGTACGCCGACGTGCGGCCGCGCTACAAGGGGCGCTTCGTGAGCAAGGAGGAGTACGACCAGCTCGTCGCGCAGGACGCCGCGCGCGCCGCGCTCGCCGCGCGCAACGGCGGGGCCAAGAACGGCGTGGCCAAGGGCGCGCGGCGCAGCAAGCGCGCGGAGTAGGCGCGCGCCGCGGGCTCCGCGACACGAACGCGCTCCGCAGCCTCCGCGGGGCAGGTCCCAGCGACGGTCGCGCCTCGCAGCCGCCCACGACGCGCACGAGCACGGCGTTGCTTGCGCAGGACCTCCAAACGATCGACCCCCGCATCCCTCACCCCCTGTTCGCCCCCCACCCCCTTTCAATCACTCCCATACCGACCAAAGCCTCCATCCCCACCGCATCCCCTTCGTCGACCCACTACGCGTGTGCGAGCCCGTGCACGGCCTAGCCACGGTGGCGCTGCCGGCGCGCCGTGGCAGCCAGGCTGCAGGGCCGTGCGTTGTCCAGATCGCACGTGTTCGCGCACGACTCAGTGTACCGTGTTTGCGCGCGCCGTTGCCCACCTCCCAGTCCCCACTGGGGTGTTTTTGCCGCCCGCGCGGCCGTCCCAACGCACGCCACGCGTGCGTAGCGGTCGGGCCGCGCGTTTTTGCGCTCGCTTCCCTGAAGCTCGAGCATCTCGCACACCGTCCCCAGCACGCCTCTCGTCCGTAAACTTTTCCCTCGACGATGCGCGCGAGCCACCTGACGCGACAGAAAGGCAGGGGCCGCCGATCACACTGGAGTAGTAACAGTAGTACGATTTGCGAACCATTCATGAAAGGCGGACGCGCTCATCGCCGCCGTGGATCCTTCCCAGAGCAAGATGTGTGTGACGCGCTGCGGCTTGGACGCTGCGGCGCCGGGGCGCGCCCAGACGCGAGAGCGCCGCGCGTGCGATCAGTAGCACCAAACTGTGAGAGACTCTCTGCACTTTCGAGGGCCGGGTCGTCATGTCGTGCCGCCTGCGCTGATCACTGCTGCGCCGGCACACCAGGGACCACCGCAGCGTCGATGGGGCCGCGACGCGTGCTTGGCCGCGTTCCGCCAACCTGGTCGCTAGACCACGGCGTGCGTGAGGGGGAGCCACGTTCGCGCTGCGCTCTTCGCGAGCCGCACACACCGCGCAGCGGTGCGCATGGCTAGCTGCACCCTAATGCCAGGCACGCAGGAGCCGTGCGATCCTCGCCGACGCAGTCGAACGGGCGCAGTGCGTCATCGGCGGCCCCTCCCTCCCGCGCCCGCGTCGCGCCCCAGTGCGTACGTCACAATTCCCCACGCCGTCACTTGGCCTTCTTCTTCCGCTTCTTCGCCGACGCCGTTTGGTCCCCCGGCGACTGGACCTGCTCCTTCCCCGCCCCCTCCGGCGCCTCCTTCCCCTTGACTCCCCCCTGCCCGCCCGACACCCCCTTCAGGAACTTCTGCACAACCCCCCTGGCGAACTTGCGCGCCTTCTCCTCGGCGCACCTCCCGTTCACGTCGAAGAACTCGTTCACGCCCTTCGCGCGCCACACCTGCGGTCAACCCAGCGACGCCCTCGCCGTCGACACAGCGCGCATGCGCGCAGCAACCAGCGACGGAACAGCGGGCCGCCCACGCGCCGCGCACCTGGAACCGGCCGTTGCGACACTGCTTCGCGCCGCCGGGGACCTCGAGGGATCCGAGGCCGAGCTTGTACGTTCCGTCGTTGCGGTCGAACGTCGACGCCACGTAGCAAGCAGGGAGCTGCACGGCTGGGTCCGCGCGCCCGGTGAGGATCCGGTTGTTCTCGATCCAGGAGAGCACGGTCATGCCGATGGCGCAGGCGGCGAACACCGCGACGCAGCTGCGAGCAGGGGCGCGCGCGGCGGGTGTGGGTGCGGCGCGGCGGGGGCGACGAGGCTCCGCGAGGTGGGGACGCGGGGGGTCGCGGGCGCGCCTGAAGATCGTCCAGTAGTTGGACGGGAACTTGTGGTTCTGGAAGTGGCCCCAGACCGAGGTGACCACCCCCACGGTGCCAAACACCATGCGCAGCCACAGCGTCCGCGAATCCTCCGCTATACCGCACTTGTGAGCTTCCTGCACAATCACAACCGCATCGAGACAAGTATATGGATCCGGAGCGAACAGAACAAGCGTTTTCGTCCGCCCAGCTCACCGTCGGAGTCGACGAGGCTGTCCACCGGAGCGCTCGCTGCCTGCCGCGCGTCGCGAGCGGGGTCCGCGGCGGAAGCGGGCCCGCGAGCACAGGCTTCAGGCTTCCATGCGCGCGCACCTCGGCCGCGACGTGGTCGATGCCCATTTTCAGCGTCATGAAATCGTCGAGGTCGTATTTCCCACCCTCCGCAGCCTTCGCGCCGCCCTCCCCTCCTCCGCCGCCCTTGCTGCCGCCCATCTCGCTAGCACTCGAGCCGGGCTCCCCGCCGCGGGGCCCAGGGACGCAGCGACTCCGAGACGGCGGCCCCCTCGCGCGTCCTCGGGCTCCGAGACCTTCCCAGCAAGAGCAGCCGCACCGTGAGCGGCTGAGCGCGACTCAGTGGTCAGCACCGCGACTGCTGGCCTGCGCACACCCCGAACGCCGCGCCACGACGCTGTACGCGCCCAGTGAGGCCGCGACACCGCGTCCAGACAGACCCTTGGGTACAAGTCTTGGCGAGAGAGCCGCCCTTCGTTGCCAGGCGGCGCCGTCGGCGCGCCGCACGACTGCACCGCGATCACGACATCGTTCCGGAGCCCAGCAGATCTGTTTTCAGTTCCGAGGGAGGCGCGTAGGACGCGCCAGGAGCGCTTGGGAGGATGGCGCGGTACGATAGGGCCATCACGGTCTTCAGTCCGGACGGCCACTTGTTCCAGGTAGAATATGCGCTCGAGGCGGTGAAGAAGGGCACGCTCGCGATCGGTGTGAAGGGCAGGGACGCGGTGGTGCTGGGGGTGGAGAAGAAGAGCACCGCGCAGCTGCAGGACGCGCGCACGGTCCGGAAGATCCTCATGCTCGACGACCACATCGTCCTGACGTTCGCCGGGCTCACGGCCGACGCGCGAGTCCTCATCAACAAGGCGCGAATCGAGGCGCAAAGCTTCAGGTGCGCGCAGCCGGCCCATGCCCGCTGTCGCGCGCTGCGTGGGCCATCTGCGCCAAGCGGCGACCGGAGTGCGATGTTTGAGCTGTCGTCAACCCGGCGACCCCTGAGATCTGCCATGTTTGCGCGTCACGCGGCCGCCTGCAACCGAAAGAAGGGTGTGGGAGTGAGACGCCTGGTACGGCCTCGTTCCGGCGGCATCGCGCTGCAGGCTGACGCTCGACGAGAAGATGGACATCGAGAACATGACGAAGTACATCGCGGGCATCCAGCAGCGGTACACGCAGTCGGGAGGCCGAAGACCGTTTGGCATATCAACGCTGCTCGCGGGCTTCGACCCGAGCGGGCGGCCCTGCTTGTTCCAGGTGCGCGTCATCCCCGTCCCCACCTCGCGGCTCTACGTCCGCCCCGCTTTGGCGGCGCAGCTTCGCGCAGCCGCGGTTTCAGAGCGTCCCTGTGCTCAGGCGACGGTTCCGCGGCGCTGGACGCCCCGACGCGCCGCGAGAATACACGGCCGCGCTGCTGACTTCACGATCTCCTCGGGCCTGATCGAGCGCAGACCGATCCCTCGGGGAACTACGCGGAGTGGAAGGCAGTGGCGATCGGGCGGAACAGCAAGACCACGCGGGAGTTCCTGGAGAAGAACTACGAAGAATCAGAGGTAGCCCACCCTCCTGTGCACCGTCCTCGGCTCACGGGCCCCGCCCGGACCTACGTTTCGGCCCGCGTGCCAGCCCGGGCCCCACCTGGGCTGCAGCCTGCTCCCACGCCGGCCGCTCCTCGCGCACCCACGGGTCTGCGTGCCGGCCACGGTCCGCGCAGGGAGAGGGCACGATCAAGCTGGTGGTCAAGACGCTGATGGAGACGCTGGAGGCGTCGGGGAAGACGGTGGAGGTGGCCATCGTGGGCCGGGAGGGCAAGCTGCAGATGCTGCCGGAGGAGGAGGTCGACCGCTTCGTGAAGATGATTGAGGAGGAGAAGGCCGCGGCGGAGGCCGCGAAGAAGCGCGGCGGCAGCTCCGCCGCCCAGGGCGGGGCCTCCTGACCGCGTACAGCGCCACGGTGCCGCCCGCCGGGGCCGCGCGCCGCCACAGGACACTGCTGTGACGCGGCACGACACTGCGCACACGCGCGCGCGCTGCGACGAGCGATCACGGCGCCCACGTGCGATGGCGGTCTTCGCCCTGCATGCTCCCTGCGACGTCCCGCACGCTGATCGCCGCGACGGACCACGACGGCGCGGTCCCGCTTGTGGCCCGACGCGCGCCCGCTGCCGAACCGCAAGCAGCGTCGCACGCGCCCACCCACGTGCCTTTGACATCCCCCCCCCCTTCCGCGCCGCACAGCCACTACGGCGCGCCGCGGCGCTCCTGCGCACCCCTCGAGCGCCCCTCACACGGCCGGCCGCGCTAGTCCGCGCACGGCAGCCCCCCAGGGCGCCCCGGCAACCCCCCCCCGAACGGCGGCGCCTGCGGCAGCCTGCGCTTGAGCCCCACGGCCGAGAGCGCGGTGGCGGCGTCCGCGCCCGCGCCCGCCGGCTCCTTGTACGCCACGGTGATGCAGTAGTGCTCCTGAATCAGGCTCCACTCCTCCAGTTCGTCGAAGATCTCCAATCTCTCGGCACGCAGGCGGTCCGCGGGGTCCGTGCAGCCGACGTACGCGGCGCGCATGTCCGTGGCGCGGGCCTTCGTCCAGCCGCCGCGCAGGAAGCGCTCCTCGTGCGCCGCGAGCGTCGGCGTGCCGAAGATTCCCCGCAGCGGACACCCGCGCGCCTCGAGGTTGAGCAGCATCTGCTTCCCGAAGCTGTCGTGCGGGTTGACCTGCGGCGCGCGGTCGCGGGGCCGGGCGCGGTGGGCGAGGGGCGCGCGGTCTCGCGGCGCACGTGCGCGGTGGGGCAGGAATAGGGTCAGGGCCCCGCGGCACAGGCGTGGGGCCGCGAGTGCGACGCCGGTGTTTTCAGGCCGAGGAGGGGAGGCCCGGGGGCGGGCGGCGGGGGCGCTGTGGTGCGGCGAGGGGCGGCGCGGTGGTTGGCGGGTGTGACGGACAGGTTGGGTGGGGTGGCCGCGCCTGCTCGTACACGACGCAGCAGGCCTCGCCCGCGAGGAAGCTGCCGGCCCAGCGCGCGACCGCGTCGCCTTCCTCCGGCTCCAGGTACACGAGCACGCACTCCAGGACGACCAGCGTAGGCAGCGCGGGGTCGAACCCGGCAGCGAGCAGCGCCTGCGAGACCTGCTCGAGCCGCCTGAGGTCGCCCGGGACGAGCCTGTAGTGCGGGGCGGTGATTTTCCCCGCGTCGACGTCCACGGCGACCTGCACGCGCGCCGCACGTCGCCAGGTGTGCGCCCAAGGTCAACCAACAGCGGGCGGCGCGCTGCGGGATCGATACCGCGGTGCGCTCCGCCGGCGCGGCGAACATCGCTCTGTGGCGCGGGGAAGGGGCCGCGACGCGGGATCGGGGCGCTGTGTCGACGGGGGCGGCGCGGTTACCTGCCCGTCGTCCCCCACCGCGCGCTTCAGCTCCGGGTGCTTCTCAAACGCCATGCATTTTCGGCTGCAGACCGCGTGGAACTCCACCTCGAACCACTCGCACGTTTCCGGGACCCCGCCCTCCGCCTGCAGCGGACCGCGGCACGGTGCGCACAGTTTCACTCCATGGTGTCCCTCCCGGCACTCAGGAAACAGCTCGCGCGGCACCGGCGCGGACGCCGGCGCAGTCGGCGGCCCGCATCACGGCCTGGGCTCTGGCGCGCGCGAACCTTGCTTTGCAGATATGCGGTGTCGAACCCGGCGCCCAAGCAGAGCACCTGGCACTTCCGGCCCTTGCACGCGTCGAAGAACTGCTCGCGGAGGTCCCTGATGCAGCTGTACCGCGCGTAGTATCCTGCGCGAGTCAAAAAGCATCGCCTCGGTCAGAGAACGAGCGCAGCGGCGCCCAGTCGCCTGGCCGGGCTCTCGCCGGGCTACGTGGGGAGCGCGTCGCGCCGTTGGCCGTCGAACGCGCGCCGCCGTGCGGTCCCGGCCGCGGCGCCGCGTCCGCACGCGGGGCAGCGGCTCACGAGGTCCCCGTCGGCGCTGCGGGAGGCGCGGGGGGCGCGAACGGCGCCGGGCGGGGCACGCAGGAGCGCGTCCCACCTCGGTTGATGAGCGGTGGCCTGCGCTGCGCTCGCCGCACGAAAAAGTGAACGAAGTCGTCCTTGAAGTACCCCTTCTTCACGCACGACCTGCAGGGACCGCCGCACGCGCGCGCGCCGGTCGGAGGCGCCCCCCACGCAGCATGTCCAGCTGCCGCGCCCACCGCGCGCGGCGCTGCTGGGCCAGGCTGCGGGCGCAGGGGCGCTGGGGCGAGCAGCACGCCCGGCAGGGGGCGGGAGGCCGCGGAACGACGCGGGGACCGTCGCGCGCCGCGGGCGGTGGTTGCGCGGGGCGGGGACGCACAGCTTCGACACTTGAGCGTCGTCATTGGTGAGCTGCACGGCTGCGTCGCTGCCGGCCATGGCTGCTCCGCGGGTCTGCGCGGCGTCGCGGCGCGCGCGGGCCAAGGGGCGCGGTGCGAATCAGGCCCCGCCGCACCAGTAGGGCCGCGAGCGGCGGTTCCGGGGCTCGTGGGGGCGATTCTGCGGCAAACGTGCGACGAATCCGTGAAATCAAAATGAAAGTCACCGCGCGCTCGGCGCGATCGCCCCAAATCTCCGCCCCTCGCGCGCACACGCGACCCGGCGCGAGCTGTCACTTCGGAAAAAAGCGCGCGCGATCGCCGACGAAGGCCCGTCCGAGCAAGAACCGATCCACGTCCGCCCGTTCCCGCAGCAATCAAATCAAAATTTCGGATTCCGATTGCCTCGGGGCGGTTTCCCCCGCGCACGGCGCGCGTCGCGCTGGCCAGCTGCACATGTTTTTTCCGCCCGCCCTGGGGGGGCCCAGCGGCCCCTGAGGGCGCCGCCCGGCGCCGCGCGGCCCCACTTGCCCGCGGGCAGGCACCCCTGGAGCGCGAACTCGACCTGCGGAGCCTCGCGGAGGCGCGGGACACCCCGGGCAGGCACTTGCGCGCCGCAGTAGTTGCCAGCCCCTTTGGACGCGCACGCATCGCTTGGGATGTCCGGGAGGGGCAAGGAGTACGACGAGGAGGTCGCAGCCCTCGGGCTGGACCCGAATCACATCGCGACGCTGCCGGAGGTGGAGGGAGAATGGTGCGCGAGCGCCCAGGGCAGGGCCGTGTGCCGCTGGGGGCAGGCCCAGGGGCGGGCGTCGCGGGCAGTGGGGGCGCTGCGGGGCGGTGCGTGACCGCGCAGCGTGTTGTCCGGACTGCGTGCAGGCTGCGGGGCGGGCCGAGGAGGCGGTCGAGCAAGGCGCAGTGGTCTCCGATCGAGGTGGGTGCCAACCTGCTGGCCCAAGTGGCTTCCAGCGCCCTTGGCGGCTCGCGCCGCCGAATTCGTCGGCCTCTGTGCGGCGGAATCGACCGTACACTTCCATATGTAGGGAAGCGCCGGCGTTTCTCGGCGCGGCAATGCGCCAGCAGGCGCGCAGGGCGGCCCCAAGGCCGTTCAAGCGCGGCCGGGCCGTCGCGTCGTCGCGCACAGCGGGTCCGCGCGGGCGCCGCGCGCCCCGGCCGCGAGCAACCGTCCAATTTCGCGCTCCCGCGCAACAAAACCGCCGTACGGCCGCCCCAGACAGCCCGCAGAGGGCTACGGAAGCTGCATCGCTTCGACCCGCTCCCGCGCCTCCGCCCGGGCCGGGACGCGCCCGCGCGCGCGGCAACTCGCCCATCTGTACGCGAACCGCGAGAATATCCACCGCCGTCGCTTGCCTCTGCCTGGCTGCGCCCCCCGGCGGCCCCTGCCTGGCCCCCTCCGCCAAGGCTGCCCTGCCCATCTCCCCAGCCACTGACGGCCCCCGCGTCCCTCCCGCGCGCCCTCGCAGGACGACATCCTCCGCAGAGCCGTGAAGAAGTTCAACCAGAAGTCCTGGAAGAGCATCGGTGCGCGCCCTCGCCGCCGCGCCCGCCTGCAGCTCCCCTCTCCCACCGCGCCTCCCCTCCCGCCCGCTCCCAGCGCCCCCGCGCGCGCCCACGCCCGCATTCCCCGGCTGCCGGCCCACCACGCCAACGGACGGCCCACGCGCCGCTCCGTCCGCGCCACGCCGCCCGCCAGCCCCCTCGCTGCTCCACAAACGACCTTCCCCTCTCCCACACCATCCCTCCATGTCACGCGGCACCGCCGCCCCACAACCCCCGCGCCCGCCCCGCCCCCGCCCTCCAGCTCGCCCCGGCTCCTCGCCGCCGCCACCCCCGCCGAGCCGCGCCCTGCTCCCGCGCCGAGCGCCCCCTGGCGCAGTGCGCCGCGTCGCCACACGCGCACGCGCGCGCGCAGCGTCCCGCCGCCCCGCGCCGACGCCCTCCCCGCGCGCCACGTGTCTGCAGCCGCGTACCTCCCGCACCGCACGGACGTCCAGTGCCTGCACCGGTGGCAGAAGGTCCTGAACCCCGAGCTGGTCAAGCGCACGTGGACCGCGGACGAGGACGCGAAGATCGTCGCGCTGGTGGAGGAGCACGGGCACCGGTGGGCGCAGATCGCGGAGCACCTCCCCGGGCGCATCGGGAAGCAGTGCCGCGAGCGCTGGCACAACCACCTCAACCCCGACATCAACCGCACCCCGTGGACCGACGAGGAGGACGCGCGGCTGATCGAGCTGCACCGCCAGCACGGCAACCGCTGGGCCGAGATCGCGCGGCTCATGCCCGGCCGGACCGACAACGCGATCAAGAACCACTGGAATGCGACGCTCAAGAAGCGGCCGGGGGTCAAGGCCGCGCGGCGGGCCAAGCCGCCCGGACCGCCTGCGAAGCGCGCGCCGGCGTCGGAGCCGTCGACGGGCGTCGTGTCCGCGGTCGCGGAGGATGAGCGGGACGCCGGGGCGCGCGAGGCGGCGCCGGGGGCGCGCGTGCCGCGCCTGGAGCTGATGCCGCTCCTGAACGCGCTCCAGGCCGAGGCGATGCCGCCGCCGCCGCCCGCGCAGCAGTTCGGCGCCGCGGGGTCGTCGTCGGGGGGCACGGTCGTCGAGGCCGGGCCGGGCGGCGCCGTCGCGGCGGGGGGAGCGGGGGCGCACCCGCTGGGCGCCCGCCGCCGCCGCCCGCCGACGCGGCCGGTCAGCAGCGCGCGCGCGGCGCGCGAGGCGGCGGCGGTGTGGCAGCAGGCGTGCGGCGCCAGCCCGACGGGTGCGCCGCCGGAGCAGCCGCCGCGGTGGGGAGTCAGACGCGCGGCAGCGAGGGGCGGGCAGGCGGCGCAGCAGGCCGTGACGCCGTCCGACACGCCGCGCAGCCGCGAGGGCGACTCGAACGCGCACCCGTCGGCGTCCGGGGGCGACGTATATCTGCACTCGTACGCGTCGTCGCCGTACGCCACGCCGGCGCGCGCCGGGACGACCGGCGCGGCGGGCGGCGCCGCAGCAGCGGGCCTGGACGGCGCGCTCTTCTCGCACGGGACGCTCGACGGCCTCCAGGGCCTCGGGACCGTCCAGCGCGGCCCTCACCTCGGCAGCAGCGAGCAGCTTCTACTGCCGGGGTCAGGCCTGGGGGGGGTCGCGGCGATGCTGCTCGGCGCGACGGGCCTGTCCCCCCTGCCGCACTCGCCCGCGATGCCGCTGTGCACGGCGTCGCCGCAGGTGCTGTACGTCCCACAGGCCCTCACGGGCGCCGCCCGCGGGCTCCTGCAGTCCCCACGACGGGTCTTCGCCGGCGACACCCCGCAGGCGCGCCTGCGCGCCGCGGCACAGGCCTTTGCCGGCTCGCCGTCGATCATGCGGCAGCGCTGGACCCCCGAGCGCGCGGGCGTCCCGTGCGAGCTCGGCCTGACAGGCGGTCTCGCAAACACCCCCCCGCCCGCGGCGACGCCGGCGCGCGGCGAGGCGTCCTCGCACACGGCGGAGGCGGCGGAGGACCGCACGGGCAAGGCGGCGGGCCAGCGGACCGGCGACGGCACCGTCGAGGTGGCGGAGGTCCACAAGGGTTCCATGGCGTCCGTCGCGGTGCTGCACGGGCACCGTCTGTCTGGGCTGTTCGCGGGCGCCGCGGAGAGCGAGGTGGTGGAGGAGTGCGCGGGGCACACGGCGAAGAGGCACCGCGTGGCGTAGGCTGCGCTGCAGAAGAGAGAAGAAGAGAGGCCAGGGCACGAGATGTGGCCGGGCGAGGCCCTGGTCGGTTCCGAGAAGCGGCGCTGCAGGGAGTTAGATTGCATGGTCATCGGCGCAGGCACGCGCGCGGCGCGTGGAATTGTGCAGCACCCCCACCCCCCCGACTCGGTTACGACGAAGAGGTCGGCGACCTCTTGAGGGGGGGGTGTCGGGCGAGGAGCACGTAGCAAGCCTTTGTGAGACGCTTGCCGAGTTCAACTTCACAATCATGCGGCTGCCGGCTCTGTGGGGCCGCCGGTGCCCTGCCACGGTGAGGGTGCTTGTAGGTCGGCGAAGTACAAGCCACTTGCTACGCTATGTCCGCCTCCTGGGGGGCGCGGTTGCCTGCACGGAGCTGCGCAATCACCTCCAGCACGCACCGGGCGCGCTCCTGCACAGCAGCGGAGCTCGACGATACGGACCGGCTCATCAGACGACCGGTGCAACACACATCCCTGAGTCAGCAACCGTCAGTCAGTCAGACGCGGCGTTCGCGCGGCAGTCCGCCGCAGCGTCGCACAAGGGCCCGGGACTCACGTGAACCTCTTGCGGTCGCGTGGCAGCGGTCACGAGCGGCCGCGCGACCTCCTCCAGCCCGAGAGAGCACAGGTGGTCTACGCGCTCCTTCGCCGCGTCAACGTCGCTTTGTGGCGACCCTGGTAGCACGTACAGCATGTTGTAAAGGGCCCTGCAAGCACGCAGAGGAGCGCCCGCGGGTTCTGTGGACCGGGCCACGCGACTGGTGCCCAGCGCGATGAGCCGCGGGCCGCCACGCGCACGTGGGCGTGGGGTTGCGGGCGCACCAGAGGCACGTCTTGACGGTGGGCGCGGGGGTCAGGGGGGTCTTGATCAGGTCCAACAGGTGCTCGGGGATCTTCGACTCTCTGATCACCCAGCTGCAGTGCAGCTTGCTTGCCGCGCACAGGTTGGCCACAACGCCCGCCGCACGCTCCACGACCTGCTCCGACCCCGCCGTGGCTGGCTCGGACACCATTCTCTGCGGGGACACATACGTGAAGAACGACCTCAGAGGCCGTCTCTCGCTTGCAACGGCTTTGAATCACCGCGCGGCACCACCACATAGCGTCGCACAGCCTCTGCCAACCGCGCGCCGGCCTCGCTCTCACCTGGATCTTCGCGAGGATGCCGTGCTCCGGCCCGAACGCGTCCAGGACGGCCTTGATGTCCTCCTCTTTGCCCACCAGCATGTTGCGCACCACTGCGGCCGCCTCGCACCGCACGCCCACGCTGTCGTCGCCGAGCAGGGCCTCGATGGTGGCGCCCCCGACCGTCCGCGCCACCTGCACGATGACGCTGTTCTCTGCGTCGTACAGGAGGTTCTTCAACACCCCCAGGGCCATGATCCGCAGGGGGGTGTCGCTGCACTTGGCGAGGTTGACCAGCATCGGGATCCCGCCCTGCCGCACCGCCTCCTCCTTCATGCGATCGTGCTGCAACGCCCCGCGAAACGCTCCGGTTGAGCTCCCGCAAGCAGCAATGGCGACGCGCACATGGTCGAGCGCTGTCAGGCACGAGCGCGGCCGCGCGGGGCCGAAAGACGCACCTGCAGGACGAGGTTCGACAGCGCGGCCGCGGCCTCGACGCACGCCTCGCCCTCCTTCGGGTGCGCGGACAGAATCGCCAGCAGCGGCCGCACCATGGCGGGCTCCTTCACGGCGGCGAGGATGACCCGCACCGACCGCGTGAGCGCCCGCAGACACGCGCACGCCGCGGCGCGTACGCCCGGGGAGCTCGACTCGAGCGCGGCGAGCAGCGGCGGGAGCACGCGGGCGTCAAGTGCCATCAGCCGCGGCTCCTCGTGCGCGACCATCGACGCCCCCAGCGCCCGCAGCGCGCCCTCGAGAATCCTGCAGATACACGGGCCGGGGCTGCTGGCGTGGGACACCCGGCCGGAAGACGCGTGCATCGCGCGGGGTAGGGAAGGGCAGGCGGTGTGTATGTATGTGCATGTATGTGCACGTACCCGTCTCTGGCGGTCGGCGATGCGTTCCCGGGCGACTTGATCAGCGCTGTGAGTCTTGCGACCGTGCACGTGTCCATCGTGGCGCCCTCGGATCCCGAGCACGACGCCGCCAGCTCCGCCAGTGCATGCAGCACAGTCTCGAGGCGCTTCGCGCCCCCCGGGTCCGCCACGCCGGCCTCCGCGGCCCCGTGCGCGCCCGCCCGCAGCCCGCCGCAGGACATGCACGCCGCGTCGCCCGCCGAGACCGCAGCCGTCGAGCGCACGAGCAGGCGCGACAGCGCAACGCGGGCCGCCAAACACACCGCCTCCGTCTCCGGGCTGTGCTGCGCCACCGGCGCGATGTTCGCGAGGATGCGGCACGCCGGCAGCTGCACGTCGCGCTCCCCCGCGCGCGCCAGCCGCTCCAGCTCCTTCAGCGCCCGCGGCGACGACAACAGCGTGCGCGCAGCCTGGCTGTCGCCCCGCGTCATCGCGCCCAGCGCGTCCAGCGCCGCCTCGAGCGCGCGCCCGCGCGAGCCATCCATCGCGCCCACTGTGGCCTCCAGCGCGCCCGCCGCGATCGCGTACTTCCGCACGTGCGGGCCTGCGGCGCAAACAGCCGCCAGGATCACGCAAGCGTCCTCCGCGGCCACGGCGCGGCGCGCCTCGGTGCCGTCGGGGTACGCGCAGCCCTCGGCTCCGCTGGACGGGCCCGCGGCGGACGCGGAGCGCCGCGCGGCCGCGCGGAGGACGTCGACGATGCGCGCGACGTGCTGCGCGTCGAGGTGGTCGGCCGCGAGGTGGCGCGCGGCGGGCTGGCGGAGAACCATCTTGAGCGCGCGGGTGGCCGCGAGGAAGAGCGTGGGGTCCGGGGAGTGGAGGAGGGAGAGGAGGGCCGGGGTCGCCGCAGACGCCGCCACGGCGTTGAGGCCTGCGCGGCGCCGGGCGGTGGGGGGGCGGTCGGCACGGAGAGCGCGGGCGCCGGAACGCAACTGTGACGAGAAATCGAGCGACGGCGACGGGGCTCGCTGATAGGGCCCGGAAGCGACAACTCCGGCCGGGCTTGACTCCAGGCTTGCGCTGGAGACTGTGTGCGAGGCTGCGCCTTCCGACGGCCAGTGCACCGGCCGCGCACAGCTCACGGTGTCACTGCAGCGCCGCGAAGGCACGCACGCGGTTCGCACCTTCTTCGCTGTCGAACGCGAGGGATCCAAGAGCCGACGCCGCGAGTGCGACCTCGGCCCTGACCAGATCGCTAGGGGACTGCCCGGGCGCTTGCCCGGCGTTGATGATGCCGACCAGGGCTTCTGCGGCGCCCAGATTCGCGAGGGCTCTCTTCTTCGTGCGGTTCCCGACCGCCAAGTTCCGGACCGCCCGCAGCGCTTCAAGTCGCTCCGCCCCCTGCGTCGCCGACGCCAGACGCGCCGCCACGTCCTCCGCCTTCGCGACCATTATGGTCTAGGGGAGCGGCAGGCAACGGCCGCCCGGCCGCCTGCCCCCCTGGCAGGCTGCTGCTCCGCTATGTAGCGCGCAAGTGCAGGCACGCCCGTCCTTCGCGCGCCTCGACGCCGCCTCGTGGCTTCTGTCTCCAGCCACAAGCTACGCTTGCTGCCTCGCAGCGGCGGCGACGTGAGCCGCTGTCGCGCGGGCACGCGGGCAGCATTGCTGACAGGAGGGGGACAGTTCCACCAGGCGCACACAACGTGACGGGCCGCGTGCAGCCCTCGTGAGCCCCCGGCGCCGACGTCCGGCGCTACAGCCGAGCCGCAGCCCTGCCCGCGAGCAACCACGCCCGCGGCTCCCTGGCGCGCTCTTGCTGTTGATGCGCCAACATTGTTTGGCCCTCCGGCTCCGCCCCCGTCGCCTCTTCCGCCCGGACGGGCCGCCGGGCCGTGGGCGGACCGCATGCTGTGCGCTCGGGCGACGGCGCGCGGCGAACCTGCCGTCGTGCGTCGCTAGGGACGTGCCTCTGGCCAGGTACGGAACATGGGGTGTGGGCGGGCCGGCAGACCTGCTCGCGGTGGTCCAGACGCGGGACGAGCTGCAGGAGGTGCTTTCGTACGCGCACGCCCATAGTATACGGTACGTGCGAGCGACCCACCGCCCTCAGGCGCAACAGCGCACGCTCTGACCTTGCGCAAGCAATGCGGGCCCGCAACGACGTGGTGCGCGACGGCCACGGTCGCAGAACGGCACACGTTGGACGGGGATCGAACATGCTGTTCGACGACGCCGGCTTCCGCGGCATCGTGATCGTCAACGCCATCGGCGGGGCTCGGGTGGAGCCCTCAGGACGCGTCGCCGCCGGGGCCGGCCACCTGATCGCGACTCTCGCGACGCGCACCGCGCGTATGGGACTCACCGGGCTGGAGTTCGCAGCGGGCATTCCCGGCACCGTCGGCGGCGCCGTCGCCACCAACGCCGGCGCGCACGGCAGCGAGACGTGCGACGTAGTCGCCTCCGTGCTCGTCGCCTGCCCCCCGGGCCGCGGGCCCCCAGGCGGAGCCGGAGGCGGCGGCATACGGTGGGTCGAGGTCGGCGTGGAGGACTTGCGACCGAGTTACCGCAGCACGGTGCTGAAGGACAACGCGGTGTGGTCGGGGTGCGTTGTGGCGGAGGCAAGGCTGCAGCTGCGGCGGGAGGCCGCGCGAGGAGAGGCCGCGGAGAGGACTGCGCAGTGGCTGCAGAGACGGTGCGCCGCCCTCCCGCGAGCGCATCGTCGCGACGTGCCGCGTGCTGTCTGCTGAGTAGTACAACCCATTGGGTTCGTGCCGCGTGCAGGAGCGCGACGCAGCCGGTGTCGGAGCGCACGGCGGGGTGCGTGTTCCGGAACCCAGGCGACGGCGCGGCGCCTGCGGGGGCGCTGATCGAGGCGGCGGGGTTGAAGGGGATGCGCGTGGGGGGCGCGGTGGTGTCGGACAAACACGCCAACTTCATCGTGAACGCGGACGGGCGGGCGACCGCGCGCGACGTGATCGAGCTGCGCGAGCGCGTGCGCAGCGCGGTGCGCGAGGCGGCCGGCGTCGACCTCGTCGGAGAGACGGAGTATTTGTTGCCAGAGGGAGACACCATGTTGCAAATGTAACAAATCATCAGACGGGTGTGAATGCAACGAGCTATCAGTATGACGGAACGTGTCAAGTGGAGATCAAGCATTGACCGAGCGCAACGACGTGGTGGAGCACCCGCACGTCAGATGAGCACGCTGCAGTGCAGATGTGAAAGAATGCGAATGTTCGAGAACACAAGCGTGCCGTACGACATCGCGGACAAGGAGAATCGACTCAGACCGCGGAGCGCGGCAAACAGGGCGCCTTGCGTGAGCAGAGTCACAGATTGCGAGCGCGCAGTCCACGCACTGGCTTGGCCGCAATAGGAAGACCAGACGGCTCCGGCTACTGTAGCAGTCTCTTCAGCGTTTCCGAACCGCCATTACGCGTGCAACTGCATCGAAAGCATGTCTTGAGTTGTAGAGCCAAGGTGCGGGAAGCAAGACGCATCCGACGCTGCCGGAGACGGCCTGCCAATTCCGCATCAATGTACACCGCGGCGTGCGCGAGAGGCACGCTTGTGCGGCATGTGTAGGTGACGGGGACCTCGGTGCTCGGGCCGCAAAGAATCTCGTGCGCGGCAAGGGGTGCCCGCGGCCCCGGATTTCTCCGTTTGGGCTGCCTCCACGGGGATGTTTGATGGGAGGAAGGGAGGGGGGCCGGGCTGCCAGTCTGTGTGCAACAACTGGAACGACCCGAGGGGGGTTGGGGAATCAGTTGAAGGGGGGGGTGGGGGTTTGCAGGGGCGAGAACGAACGAATGACGCGCAACTCGCCGTTTGCCATGGAGGCCATGCCCCGAGATCCGGGACCGGTGTTGCGAGGACACACAAGGTGCCGTCATGGCTGAGACTGACGTTTGGTATGATAACGTGGTTCCAGGGGAAAGGGGGGGGGTTATGTGGCGTTGGAGCTAATCTATCTGTCTGTCACTGAGCAGGTGCGTGAGGGTAAATAGCGCGCGGGCGGCTACTTCTACTGCTGCTTCGCCTGTGGGATTGCGCGCTGACGTCCTCAGAGCGACAGGTCCGCCTCGTCGATGGCGGACGCCAGTTGCTCGACGACGGGCCGCATCGCGGGGTGCGGCTCCAAGCACTGGTCGAGGATCTCCCAAAGCGTCCTGGGGATGCGCGACGCCGCGCGGCGCAGCGGCGGCGCTCCCCGGACGTCGTCCAGGCGGCCCGCCAGCAGCAGCCGCCCGATCGCGCCCAGCGAGTACGCGTCGGACGCGGGCGTCGGCAGCTCCCCGGCGATCACTTCCGGCGCCAGATACGGCATCTCGTCTGCAGGGAACAACCAAAAAAGCCACAAAGTGCGAACTTGAGACTTGACCGACTTCATGTTCACGGCCAGTCATGGCGCGGCGGAGGGACGGCCCGCACGCAGACTGGGCGGGGCGCGCGACAGGGCAGCTAGGCGGGCGCACCTTCGTGCACGTTGCTGGGCGGAGAGTTGGCGGCCGGAAGGTCGCCGATTTTGGGCACGAGCTCGTCGCCCGTGGGCGACAACGACATGCGGATGGCGCCCGGCGTGAGGCGGCCGTGAGCGAGGCCGCGCGCGTGCAGGTACGACGCGCCGCGCGCGATGCCGCGCAGGACCGCTGCTGCGTGCGCCGCCGACGGCAGCGACTGGAGCGAGTCCCAGAGGGCGCCCCCCTGGCACCGCTCCTGCAGCGCCCAGATCTCGACGCCCTCGCGCGGCGGCAGGTTCTCGTCGTCCGTCGTCAGGGTCGTCGCAACTACGCTGTTGCGGCCCCGCGGTCCGAGGGGGCTCTCCCGTAGCGAGGCCGCCTTCTGCGGTATGTACGTCGCGTTGGGGAGCGAGCGGCGCGCGGCCTCGGGGTCGCGCAGGCTCTCGTTGATGCGCTGCTCCATGGACGGCTCGGTGTCCGCGTTCATCGACGACACCACGCGCGGCGAGAGCCCGAGCCCCACCGAGCTCTCCAGGGCGCCCGCCACCAGCCGGTTGCTGAACCCGACCTGCGGCCTGCGCTTCTTGACCTTGAACGTGTGCACGACGTTCGGGTGCGCGATGCGCGAGCTCAGCGCCACCTCCATCCGCCGGTCGTACTCGCCGTTGCTCGCCCCCGCACCGCACGTGTAGCACACCACGGCCACCGGGGCACCGGCCCACAGGCCCCTGCACCCAAAGCCGCGCAAGGCGCGCAGAGGGTCAGCGCGGAAACGAACGTATGACCGCGCACACAACGGACCGGCACGTCGAGCGCGAACGCGGGTGCCAAGCAGAGGGTACGCACGCATAGTAGCTCGCCCAGGGCGCCCCGTCCTCCGCAGCTTGGATCTGCACGTCCAGGAACGGCGGCAGCGGCAGAGTGTCGCGCTCCGCGCCGCTCGGCCCCGGCATGTCCGTCAGCCCCAGGCCCAGGCTCCCGATGCGCTCGCCGAGGCCTCCCGCCGTGGTGTCCGAGACGGTGAACGGCACGCTCATCGCCATGCTGCGGTTGCCCATGCCGCCCGCGCCGCTCGTGCGCCCGCCGCCCGTCAGCGCCCAGTCGCTGCTCTGCGCGTCGTGCCCGCCGCCGCCCGCCGCCGCCCCCATCTCGCTGAACGCCGTCCCCAGCACGTCCTCCTGCGCCTCCCGCACGATCGTCACCATGTACAGCCCCACCAGGTCCGCACGCCGCGCCGCCACCACCTGATTCGACCGGCCGAAGCTAGACTGCTTCTTCGCTCTGCCAAAACTCGACGATTTCTTCGCCCTGGCCCTCGGTTCGCTGGCCGCGGGCGCCGCGTCCGGCACGCCGCGCGGCTCCGCGGAGAGCAGCGCGTTCAGGTCCATGAACTCCTGCGCGGGCTTGAACCGGCACTGCACGACCGTGCCGTGCACGGCGCCCAGCGCGTGGAACGTCGTGCCGCTCGCCACCGCGGCGGAGAAGCGCTCGGCGGGCGGCTTCCCGGCGTCGCTCGGCGCGACGGCCGGGGCTAGCTTGAGCGCGTCCCACAGGTCCGACTCCGCCCCGGCGCCCTGCACGCACACAGCCTGGCACAACCACGTTGCTGCGAAAGCAGCGCGGACAGCGCGGTGCGAGAGCGGGCGCGAGCGGCGGCGAGCTGCGCACCTCCCCGGCGAGGGCGATCCACTCGCGGTTGCCAAACAAGACGGGCCACTCCTCCCCCGCGCGGCTGGCGTCGACCATGACGACGGCCTCGCGGAGCGCGTCGATCGCGCGCTTCTGCCGCGCGAGCTCCGGCGGCCGCGCGGTGCCGTGCGAGGACGCCGCGGGCGACCGTCCAAAGGTGACGGTGCGCTTGGCGCTGTGGCTGGAGCCGGCGAGCTCCCGATTGGAGTGCAGCGACCCCGAGGACGCGCGGCGGTGGCGGGCCTGCACCGCGGCGCGCAGAGCGGACCGCAGGGGGTTGCTCGTGACGGACGCGGCCTCCCCGACGCTCATGGCGTCGTCGCGCGAGGGCCGGTGGGCGCGGAGCGCGCGGGCCTCGAGCTCGCGGCGCTCGATGTCGCGCACGGCGATCTCCGCGAAGTTCTTGAGGAGCATGATGTGGCTTTTGTTGAAGTCCGGGCGCGGGACGGTGTCCATGATGCACAGGGTGCCGAGCCGGACGTGGTCCGAGGTGATGAGCGGCGCGCCGGCGTAGAAGCGCAGGTGCAGGGGTCCTCGGACGAAGGGGTGGTCGCGCAGGCGGTCGTCCTGCGGGGGCGGCGCCGCCAGGCAGCGCGTGTGAGTGCGAGCAGGGGTTGCCACGGGAGGGCGACGCGGCGCGGCAGGGGGGTGCCCGGCGCTTGGGGCGGGCGCGACGCGCGGGAAAAATCCTGAGGAAGCGAAAGCGGCGTCTGGATTGTACTTCGTCGCCGCTCAGCGCGCGCGACGACGACGGATTCACTCGGACCGCAGGCGCGCCGCATGCGCGCACCTTGCAGGCGTCCGGCACGACCAGCACCTCGGGCTGCCTGTCCTCCCCGAGCAGCGTCCACGCACATATCGAGAGGCTGCGGTCCACCTCCGCCACCTCCTCGAAACCGACAGAGGCCTTATGCCACTGTCGATCTAAGTCGACGAGCGATACGAGTGCGATTTTGACCTGCGAGAAGCCCGACGGGTGCCTGGCGAGTGACACGAGCGCAGGGCCGGTTGTCGCTCGCCCAGGTCCGCCCGCCGGCCCGCCGCGCGCCGGGCTAGGCCCGGCTGGTGGGCACCAACGGGGGGGCCGGTGCGGCGTGGCGCGGGCCCCCGCGCACCTGGCAGATCTCCTGGACGGTCCGAACGATGCCGCAGAAGACCGGGTCGTCGCGCGGGGTGTCCAGGATGCCGAGCTGGCGCAGGCGCTGCACGCGGGCAGCCTCGTTCGCCGGGCGAGGTGCACCGCCGTAGCATTGCCTGTCGTCCTCGTGGCTGAGCACCGCGCACGGCACGTCGCCACTATGCGCCTTGCTGGACAGGCTGAGCTTCTTCGCGGAGCTCGGCGAGTCGTTCTCGACCGTCCGCACGCCCTGGACGTTGGCCTTCACCTTCAGGGGCTCGTCGCTGGGCGCCACCTGCAGGAAACCCCGATTTCCGGGAGCAAAGGCATTGTGTTCCATACAGCGACCTCCGAGGAGGCGGACGCACGCGCGGACGGGGGCGCGGGCACGCGTGCGAGGCTGCGGCACAGGCACCCACCCTCACGGGGCGCGCTAGCGGAGGACCCGCAGCGTCCCGCGACGGCGCACAGCCCATACTGGCGCCGTATCGTCCTGGCCCGCAACGAGGGTCACGTGTTCGACGTTCTCATCCTCCCACAACGCACGCGGGGACGGGCAGGCTCCCGCTGAGAGACTCAAGCAGACTCTAGCGCCCCGGGCGCTCAATCCCTCGCGAGTGCGTCCTCGCCATTCGTCGAGGCTGCGCCAATGCGAGCAAGTGCGCCGCAGCGCGCCCCGCGCGCCCCCTCGAGCCGCCTCCGCCCGTCGCGCGGGATCTATTACCTGATGGCCCTGACTGATGGAACCACGTTGTGCCACGTGGCACACAGACACACGCTCCGGGCGCGCACGCGCCGCCCGCCCCCGCGCGACCGCCGCGGCCCCGCGCTGCTGCGCCCCCGCACCAGCTCCCGGCGCACCGCCCGCGAGCGGCGCGGCGATCGTCGCCTCCAGCACGCCAAGGCACCTACGGCAGGTGGAGTGCAGTTCCAGCAGCGCGCGTCGGCTGCGGGACGTCGCCCGGGGCCGCCTCACATCGCTCAGTTGTCTTTCAGTATCTCCTTGATCGTCTCGAGCAGCGACGAGACCTTCTCCTCGTACGTGGCCTCGTCGACGTGCGTGGCGAGCTGCATCATCAGCGCCGCCACGACGTCGACCGCCGCCGGCTCGTCCTCCGCGGGCTCCGCCGCGAGGACCGCGTGCGGGCCCGCCCGGCACGCCTCCACCGCCGCGTCCGTCGCCTCGGACGAGAAACACGCCTCCAGCACCTCGGTCACGTCCGCCAGCGTGACCGCCCGCCCGTCGCCCCCGCCCTCGCTGTCGATCAGGTGCGCGAACGCGCGCGTGGCGCGCTCCGCGGCCTCCGCGGCGCGCTCCGACAGCTTCGGCGTGCGCCCCAGCGTCTTGAGCTCCCCCGTGATGGTTGTGACAGGGCTCTGGTGGGGCTCCGGCAGATGCAGCGTCTGCCGGACGAGGTGGAGCTCCTCCATGCGCTGCGCCTCGCGCTCCGCGTCCTGCGCGGACGGCGTGGCCAGGCACGGCGGGTCAGCGCGGCGGACAGCGCGGATGCAGAGCAGCGCCCGCGACCGCTGCGGGCGACGCGGCCCGGGGCGCGGCGCGTGTGCGGAGAGGGCGCGTGGGTGGCGGCTCGCCTGGACGGTTTGCGTCGTGAAGCGCTGGCCCAGGTGCGCGAGAGGGTTGAAGTGTTTGAAGTTGAGGGGGAGGTAACCGTGGTCGAGGTTGGTGCCCGCCGCGGTGTCGAGGTGGAAGTTTTCGAGCTCGCGGAACATGTGCATCAGCTCCTCGCGCAGCGTCGGCACCAGGCGCGCCTGAATGACCTGCGACGCATCGTTGAGGGTCCCGGCGCGCGATGAGCACGCGGCGGACGGGAGCGTGGTGCAACCAGGAACGAAGGTGTGGGCACGAGAGGACGGGCGAAGGCGGAGGTGTGGTGATTGCGGCGCGGCACACGGTGGCAGGGCTGCATGGAGGTGCGGGGGCCATGCGGGGGGCGCAGCGGCGCGGGCGCGGTCGGACACGCCGGGAGCTCGCGCGCACCTGCTTCTTCTTATCCATGGCCGCGTGGGACTGCGCGAGAATCTTCCTCACGAGCTCGATGACCTGCCCGTCGGTCAGGTCCTTGGTCGCCACCTCGCAAAACCCCATGAAATGCGGCCGCCCGATGTATCCGTCCACCGGCGCCGGCTCCCGGCCGTCCGCTATCGCCTCCTCGTCCGCCTCGTGCGCTGCGCTGCGCGCGTACTCCAGCGCCGCGACGTGCGGGCACGGAATGTCTGGCACCATGGCCTTCAGAGAGCGGTTCATTTCGAGCAGCTGGTCGGCCGAGATGCGCCCCGTGAAGTGCAGATCGAAGTGGTCGAACAGGTCCGACAGCGCGTCCTCTCTCGTCGGCCACCGCGGCACCTCGCGCCCCGCCTCCGTCCGCGTCACTCGCGCCCCGTCCGCATCCCCGTACCGCAAATTACCCGACGATTCCTGAAAGGGTGGCTCCGCGTCCATCCTACCTGCACGCGCCGACGGGGCTCGCACCGCCATGCGGGCCCCAGAGGCCCCGCGTCGAGCGCCCTGCCAGCTCTCAGCACTGCACACAAGCGCTCAACAGCGGCCCAGAACGTCACTCGCGCGACCAAGTGGCGCAGCTTGCGTGTACCCGTGCGAAGCTCTGGAGCCGTGCGCGCCGCGCGCGTTCAATGTCGGCCGAGCTGGCCTGACGCCTGCAGACTGTCATAGACGATTTGCCCCGCGTCAGCACCGTGCTGGTCTCCTGCGCACCCATGACCGGCCCGAACGCGACCCCTGCGCCACTCCCTGCTATTCAGCGCACCCACATTGCCCCGCGGAGCCCTGGGCCGGCGGCGGCGGCCACCTTGCCCACTACGCTGCACCGCGATGCTAGCTCTGACGGTCGCAGCGGGGCCGCACGAGGCCAGCGGCGCCTCCCGTCCGCGCTCCTCGATCCGGCCTCCTCCCGGACGCAAGCTCCACGCCCGCAGTCCCCACTTACGCGGCGCGCAGGGCCCGCCGACGGCACGCGCCACACCTGAGGTCGCAGACAGCGCGGCGCCCGCGCGGCCCGGGCCTGCATGGGACTCGCGGACGGAGCTCCTCGTCGGGTCCGACGGCATCGAAGCGCTGCGCAGCGCCCGCGTCCTCCTGGTCGGTCTGGGGGGGGTCGGGTCCGCAGTGGCGGAGTACCTCGCGCGTGCGGGCGTCGGAACGCTCACGATCGTGGACGGCGACGTGGTCGACGCAAGCAACCGCAACCGCCAGCTGCCGGCGCTCGTGTCGACCGAGGGCGCCGCCAAGGTCGACGTTGTGGCGCAGCGCATTTCAGACATCAATCCAGGAGTGAAATTAACCGCGAAGCAGGTCTTCCTGGGCCCCGACGACGACGACGGCTCGCCGGGCGACGCAGAGCAGCTCGTGGCCCCCGGAGGCTCCCCGGCGTACGACTACGTCGTGGACTGCATCGACTCCGTCGCGCCAAAGGTGGCGCTGCTCGCAGCAGGCGTCCGCGCGGGCTGCACGGTCGTGTCGGCGATGGGCGCCGGCGGGCGGTACGACCCGGCGCGGCTGCACATCTCGGACATCTCGCAGACGTGGAACGACCGCTTCGCCAAGGTGCGCGCCGACACAGAGACGAGCGCGACGCAAACCGTCCTGCCGGTGCGTGACGCGTCCGTCTGCGTCGCGGTGCTCCCGTCCGCAGGTCGTACGCAAGGGTCTGCGGCGCAAGGGCATCAGCACCGGCGTTGTCTGCATCTTCTCCGACGAGCCGCTCGACCGCTCCGCCCTCGAGGAGACCGCGAAGACCTCCCGGTCCTTCAAGCGCAGCTTCTACGGCACCATCAGCTACATGCCCGCCGCCGTGGGGCTCGCGGCGTCCGCGTACGTCATCAGGCACGCCCTCGGGAGTCCTCCGCAGCTCGAGATGGGCCCGGACGTCCCGAACCGCATGCCCATTTCCCGCGCGAGCCGGCGGGAGCGCCAGCGACGGCAGAAGGCAAAACGTGGCCAGAAGTCGAGCGACGCACAGCGAGCGAGCGCCGCGCTGGAAGTCAAGAGCGTCGAGGAGACGGGTGCTGGCGAGCTGCTCTTCTCCTTCTCCGACGCCACGTCGGCGGCGGTCGAGGAGCTCGTGTCTGACGCGCGTGCACGCCGCGCGACGCCTGCCAGCGCCGCCGGTGCAGGAGCGGCCCAGGAGCCAGCGAGCGTCGGCGCGGGCGCCTGCAGCGACGTGGCGGCGACGGTCGCGAGGATGCGGGCGGTGGCGCGGGCCGCGGTGGAGGCGAGGGTTGTCGGCGGGGCCGTTGCGCCCGCGGGCGGGGACGTGCTGCCGCTGGACGGGACGGGGGCTGCTGAACCCGAGGCGGCGCGGGCGAGCGCGACGCAGGACGCCGAGGGTCTGATGCCCGAGGGCGTGAGGTCGGGTCTGTCTGGTGCGACTACGAAACCACAGCAAGCCGGGGGCAGGCGCTCCGTGGTCGGCGTTTTCGTTTCGGGCCCTGCGCAGAAGAAGGATAAAAAGCAGAGCTAGGTGCGGAGGCCGCCTTCTCTGCGATTTCGTCGCCAGACATGGCAGACAGCACTTGATCACTTATCCGCTTTCCATACGCCGTTGTGGGCCGCAGAAGCAACCGTCCGGGGCGCACCGTCGCGCACCTGGGTATGATCTGCGTCCTGTTCGTCTGCACGGTCGTCCGGGACGGTTGTGCGGTCCTCAGGCTGACTCAAGGGGGGGATGGCTGTTCGTCTTCCTGCTTGGCAGGCGGGGCTGGCTCACGTCGCACCGCCGGGGAGGCACGCGGTCAGTCGGCTGACACGAGTCGTAACGCCAACATGGCGAGAGGGAAAGCAGAAACGGCGACCCGCCGCCATGCGGCCGGTGATCAGGTGAGCCGTGCAAGTTGCACGTCGTGGGGCGCCGGTGCCGTGCGTCAAGGCGGTTCGTGCACGGCAACGGTGTACTTGCGATGATACCTCGCGATATTTTCCGACATGGCGCGCCTAGAGGCGTCGAAGAGCGCGCTGTGCGGCTCCATTGATTTCTCGAATCTGAACCCCTCGACACGCTTCGCGCCGTGCCGCATCGTCGCACGCCCTCCCACGGCCATTTTTTCGAGGTGTTGTGCCCGCGCTTGGGCAGTGGAGACCCCCGGGGCTAGCAAACGCGTCGATCTCCGTAGCTGTTCAGATGATCTCTCTCCTGCAACCCCTCGCTTCGCAGCGGCAGGAACAGCCCCTGTTCAAGGTGTTGCGGGAGGTCCCTGCCATCCTGGACTTCGTCCCCGAAGACGACCTCGCCGATGCGGCTGCGTCGTGCTGGCCGATGCTCCTAGCCGTGCTTCGCTTCGGCGTCCGGACGCGGGATGTCGTTGACCGGCCGCACCCTGAGACTTACCATCCGCACTTCTCGATGGACCGCAAGGCTCCCGTCCTGATGACCCTCGGCAGAGCGCTGCTGGAGGGCCTCGCGCAGCGCATCGACCCCTCGGAGCCGTACGTCGCACGCATCTCTTTCGCCGGCGCGGCGTTCCCGGTCAGCAACGCGCGCACGCTGCACGAGGCGGCGCGCGGCACGGACGCGTTCGCGGAGGAGTACGGGGACTCACTTGAGCAGCTTGAGCACATGCTACAGGCCGCGAGCGCGGCGACGGGACCTGCAGCGCTCCGCGTGCTGGAGCTAAGGATGGGTCTGGTCCTGCGGGACGCGGCGCCTGCCGCGCCGCCCTTCGCGTTCCCTCCCAAGTTCGGCTCCGAAGCCGCAGCTAATGGCGCACTTGACCGCATGTGCTCGCTCCTCGAGACTCCGGCTGTGCTGCGAAACATCGAGTTCATCGCATTCAATTGGGCACCGTTCTGGTCTGCGGCCATGCCTCGTATTCTGGACGTCCTGTGCGCTGCACCGGCCCTCCGCGTGGTCGATGCCTGGGGGATCGACCTGGGCTCCACTGGCGGCGCTGCGGTGGCGAAGCTGCTGCGCGAGTGCGAGACTCTGCAGTCGCTCAACGTGTCGCACACCAAGCTCCCGGGGGACGCCGCCGTGGCCGTGGCGCAAGCCTGCGCGGCCCGCAACCTCAGGGAGATGATCTTCTCCTTCCAGCCGGCGGCCGACGACGTGGCGGCGGCGCTGACGCAGTGCGGCGACACTATGCCGAAGGCGCTCAGCATCGGCGGGACGGACATGACCGCGGTGGGCGTGTCGCATGTCGCAAGGCACATGGCGAAGGGCAACAACGTCGTCAAGCTGTGGCTGCACAGCGCCGGGGCGGGCGCACTGGCCGAGGGCCTGGCGAGCAACACGTCGCTGCGCGTGCTCTGCCTCGGTCGCACCAAGCTGGGCTCGGACGACGCGGTCAGGCTGTGCGGGGCCATCGCTGGCAACACGGCAATGAAGCTGGAGTACGTCGACCTGTCGAACAACCCGCTCGGCGACGTGGGGACGCAGGCGGTGGCGCAGATGCTGGAGGCGAGCAGGTCGCTGGCCACGCTCAAGCTGCAGGAGGTCCAAGTGGGCGATGCCGGATTGGTGCGGCTGGGCGAGGCGCTGGCGGTGAACGCCAGCCTGAAGACGCTGATCCTGTCGCACCCCGGCGGGTCTGCGAGCGGCATGTGTGCGTTCCTGCGCGGGCTGGCGTCGAACGCGACGCTTAGGGCGCTCAACCTGGACTTTGTGTGGCTGCACGACAAGGCGACGCGACAGGCGCTCGGCGAGCTGCTGGCGCGCAACTCTGCGCTGCACAGTCTCAGCCTCATCCAGATGGTCATCGACGAGGAGAGGCTGGACATGGAGGAGCTCGCGGAGGGTCTGAAGACGAACACAGCGCTGAAGACTCTCGACCTCTCGGGGCGCGTGATCCGCGGCGCTGGGGCAAAGAAGCTCGCCGCAGCACTGCGTGAGAACACGACTGTGCAGTCGCTCGTCCTCGACAGCTGCAGGATCGGCTCGAAGGGCGCCGTTGCTCTCGCGGACGCCCTGAAGCGCAACGCAGCGAGCAACTTGCGCTACCTCACGCTGGACGAGAACGAGCTCGACGACGACTGCGCGAGGGTGTTTGCGGAGCTCCTGCGCACCAACCGGCGTCTGAAGGAGCTCGGTCTCGGAGGCAACTCGATCACTGACGCCGGCGCGAAGGCCATCATCCAGGCGTACGAGGCGCGGACGAACCCCGCGAAGACGGAGGTGTTCCTGTGGGGCAACAAGATTTCGGAGCACGTGTACGGCTACATCATGTGCAAGCTGGGCTGGATGATCGACCAACCGGGCAGCTGAGATTGCGCCAGCATCGACAGGGCTGGCAGGACAGCTGGTGCGCGCCGGCGGGTCGCCGCACGTAGCAGACACAGTGCAGGGAGGGGGAATGAGAGGGGGAGCTGACAATTCAACGCGGGGCACGTCGGGGATGGGAGCGCCAGCAGCATTTGGCGTTGGCCGTCTGGCTGGCTGTTCTCGGCATGTGAGTGCCTGGCTGACGTCCGCCGGCGCAAAGCGCGTCACGGGCCTTGTCCTTGGAGACGGCAGGGAGGTCTGCGGAGGGAATTTATTACTGCGGTCTTGGTAGTCGAGCCACTTACATGCACCTAATTTTTTCGACGTGGATCTGCGTGCTTTCGCGTTCATGAGCCCGAGCACGTCCCTTAAGCTGTCCCGCTGAGAGAGCGCTCTGCTGCCGGGTGGCTGCCGATGGCTCGGCCCAGACGCTCGCTTCGCTGCCGCAGTCAGGGCCTGACGCAAGGGTTGAGGGGTGTCAAGGTTGGCAGTCTCAGACTGCCGCAGTCCCCCTCAGACACACGCTTGTTCGCGGCTCGCTGCGCGAGGAGCGCAGCAAGTATTTGGTTCGTCCAAGAGCCAGGATCAGCGGCCCTCAGGCTGACTCAAGGGGGCCCTTGTTCCTGCTTGGGAGGCGGCCTCAGGCGGGGCTGGCTCACGTCGCACCTTCGGGGAGGCGCGCGGTCAGTCGACTGACACGAATCGTCGCGTCAACATGGTGAAAGGGGAAGCAGGAACGGCGACCTGCGGCAATGCCGCCGGTGATCAGGTGGGTAGGAGCGCAAGTTGCACGTCTCCGGGGCGCCGGTGCCTTGCGCCACGGCGGTTCGTGCACGACAACGGTGTGTTTACGATGACATCTCGCGATATTTGCTGACATGGCGCGCGAAGAGGCGTCGAAGAGCGCGCTGCGCGACCTCTGCCGTCAGGCGCCCGCGGCACGCGGCACATGCGCCGTCTTTCGCAGCGACGCGGCACTTGGACCGCTACCCACATCCGGGCGACCAGAAGACCATTCTCGGATGGTGCCGTTCGACACGCCTTCCCAAGGCGCTTCCCATGGCGCTTCCCTTCGCGCCGTGCCGCATCGTCGCACGCCTTCCCATGGCTTCGTTTTCGAGGTGTTGTGCCCGCGACTGGGCAGTGGAGACGCCTGGGCTTGCGAACGCGTCGATCTCACAATGGCTCATCATTTCCCTCGCTTCGCAGGAACAGCCCCTGTTCAAGGTGCTGCGGGAGGTCCCTGCCATCCTGGACTTCATCCCCGAAGCAGACCTCGCCGAGGCGGCTGCGTCGTGCTGGGCGATGCTCCTCGCCGTGCTACGCTTCGGCGTCCGGACGCGGGGTGTTGAAACTTGCTTACACCCCTTGACGTGTTTTCATCTGCACCTCTCGATGGACCGCAAGGCTCCCGTCCTGAAGCGCCTCGGCAGAGCGCTGCTGGAGGGCCTCGCGCAGCGCATCGACCCCTCCGAGCCATACGTCGCGCGGATCTGCTTCGCCGGCGCGCAGCTCCCTGTCAGCAACGCGCGCACGCTGCACGAGGCGGCGCGCGGCACGGGCGCGTTCGCGGACGAGAACTACCACGACCTCCACCACCTGGAACAAATGCTGGCGGCGGCGAGCGCGGCGACGGGACCTGCGGCGCTGCGCGTGCTTCAGTGGAGGATGCCCGTGATCAATTATGATGCGGCGCAGCCCACGTTCCCGCGCAACTTCCGCTCCAAAGCCATAACCAAGCGCGCGATTGAGCACATTTGCTCGCTCCTCGAGACTCCGGCAGTGCTGCGAAACATCGAGTTCATCGCATTCAATGCGGGACCGTTCTGGTCTGCGGCCATGCCTCGTATTCTGGACGTCCTGTGCGCTGCACCGGCCCTCCGCGTGGTCGATGTCTCGGAGATCGACCTTGGCTCAACTGGCGGCGCTGCGGTGGCGAAGCTGCTGCGCGAGTGCGAGACTCTGCAGTCGCTCAACGTGTCGCACACCAAGCTCCCGGGGAACGCCGCCGTGGCCGTGGCGCAAGCCTGCGCGGCCCGCAACCTCGGGGAGATGCTCTTCGACTTCCAGCCGGCGGCCGACGACGTGGCGGCGGCGCTGACGCAGTGCGGCGACACTATGCCGAAGACGCTGAGCATTGGCGGGACGGACATGACCGCGGTGGGCGTGTCGCATGTCGCAAGGCACATGGCGAAGGGCAACAACGTCGTCAACCTGTGGCTACACAGCCCCGGGATGGGCGCGCTGGCCGAGGGCCTGGCGAGCAACACGTCGCTGCGCGTGCTCTGCCTCGGTGACACCAAGCTGGGCCCGGACGACGCGGTCAGGCTGTGCAGGGCCATCGCCGGCAACACGGCTATGAAGCTGGAGGTGCTGGACCTGTGCCTCAACCCGCTCGGCGCCGTGGGGACGCAGGCGGTGGCGCAGATGCTGGAGGCGAGCAGGTCGCTGGCCAAGCTCAACCTGAAGGAGGTCAAAGTGGGCAACGCCGGGCTGCAGCGGCTGGGCGAGGCGCTGACGGTGAACGCCAGCCTCCAGACGCTGAAAATGTCTCGGCCTGGCGGGTCTGCGAGCGGCCTGTGTGCGTTCCTGCGCGGGCTGGCGTCGAACGCGACGCTCAGGGCGCTCGACCTGGACTTTGTGTGGCTGCGCGACAAGGCGACGCGACAGGCGCTCGGCGAGCTGCTGGCGCGCAACTCTGCGCTGCACAGTCTCAGCCTCGTCCAGCATTACAATAAAAAGGAGAGCCTGTACACGGATGAGCTCGCGGAGGGTCTGAAGACGAACACAGCGCTGAGGAATCTCGACCTCTCGGGGCGCGTGATCGGCATCGCCGGTGCAAAGAAGCTCGCCGCAGCACTGCGTGAGAACACGACTTTGCAGTCGCTCATTCTCGACGTCTGCGGGATCCGCTCGAAGGGCGGCGTCGCTCTCGCAGACGCCCTGAAGCGCAACGCGGCGAGCAACTTGTGCTACCTCTCGCTGGGCGCGAACGTGCTCGGCGACGACTGCGCGAGGGCGTTTGCGGAGCTCCTGCGCACCAACCGGCGTCTGATGGAGCTCGGTCTCGGAGGCAACTCGATCACTGACGCCGGCGCCAGGGTCATCGTCGAGGCGTACCTGGCGCGAGAGTTCCCCGAGCAGGCGGAGGTGCTTCTGTGGGGCAACGAGATCTCGGCGGAGGGGTACGACTACATGTGCAAGCTGGGCTGGAATGTCGAACCACCGTGCGGCTGGAATGTCCAACCACCGGACAGCTGAGGTGGGATGGTCTCTTGCCAGGGGCGGCGTTTCCAAAGTCGATCGAAACGATCGAGGATTGCGCGCAAGCACAGAGAGACCTGACAGCCTGTGGCTGCACGGCAGCCTGCACGCGCCTCATGTGGCCGGTCTCGGCGGCTCCCCGGAAGTGATCTCGACCTCGCAGCGGCGACGAAACAGCGACGTGCGCCGGCGGCAGTTGGTCGCTCAACCCTACATACATTGCATGCGTACCACATGCGTCGCACAGCTGTGACATGCGCGCGCAGTCTCGCCGCCCGCCCAGCACCAAGGTCCGCCTCACCAGAGTCCCGGTCGCCCACGTGCCGCCAGCGAGGGACTCCCAGCACCACTGACGGGACGTCACCCATGGGGACTGCAACAGCGTAGTCACTGCTGTCAGGCCTTGGCCGAGCTGCGGGCTCATGCCGGGGGCGTGACCGCCCAGGGCTAGGCTAACTCTACCGGCTTCTCGCACAGGCTCTGCATCATCTGCGGAGCTCAGGAGTCACCGTGCTTACAACCTGCCTCTACGCGAGCGCCCCGCCGACCGCCGTCGCCGTCAGCTGCGCGTCTTCCTGCTCCCTCTTCGCCGTCCCGTAGCACTGGAGCAGCAGCGTCAGGTTCAACACCCCCTGCGTCGCCGCCGCCACCAGCATCAGTCGGTCCTGAGTCAGCACCGCCGTCGTGAACACCCGCGCGACGTTCCCCGCGAGGTTCAGCGCGCACGTCGCCCCCGAGAGCTCCCCGGAGTTGCCCCGCCGGAAGTTCAGCACGATCTGAGGCACGCGCCCGCCCAGGGCCAGCATCGGGATGGTGCAGGCCTGGAGCGCCGACAGGACCTCCGGGGGGCACGCGCCGGACGCCAGCCACCACGCGGCGGCGGCGAGCGAGCACGTCGCGACCGCCGCGCGCCGGCCGTTCAGCCCGCCGTACAGCACAAACAGCCCGATGAGCACCAGGTCCTGCGGGGGAGTGAACGCGGGTATAACGTGAGGCGGGAACGCTCGCCGCAAGCTCTCAGAGGCACGACTAGTTCGGAGCGAGTGCGCGTAAGTCCGAAAGATGTGCGCTCGCGGCGTGCTAGAGGGCGAAGGTGGAGAGCATGGTGAGGTGGCATCCCTTGCCTGCAGCCCCGCGAACGTGGCGTCTCCGTACGTGGTGAAGTTGTAGCCCTTCGAGGCGTTGTAGCACGTCGTGATGGTGTACGCCATGAGCTCGAACGCCACCGCGGCCACCGAGATTCCCTCGACACTCTTGCTCCGGATGATCTTGACGATCTGGGGGACGCTCCGGACGCAGGAACCCACCAACACCGCGCACCCCTGCAGCCCGAACACGCAATAGGCGGGACGGGGTCGGACAGGCCCAGACGACGGCGAGCCGTCACGCCTGCGCGGTGACTTCTAGGAGCGACCAACCGGCACCCGGGGACGCAGAAGCAGCCGGCCTCGGGCGCTGGCCGGCCACCGAGCGTCGCTCGCGATGTAGCGGGGCAGCCTGGTGCGGGGAACGCTTCGAGAACGGGAAGCGCCGACCAGAAAACCCGGGAAAGCAACATCAGAAAGAAGGGCTCGCGCACACGCGGTGGGGGGGTCGCTCACCACGGCCATGGCCCCGAGCTCGCTGATTGTATGTGACGCGACCTCCACCAGCTCCGAGGTGCCCAGCTCCGGCCCAGCGATCCCCGCGGGGTCCACCGCGGCTGCTCCGCTCACTCGCACGACGTGGCGCGCCTCCCTGCGCCGGCGACGCGCGCGACAGGACGTCTCCGCTGGACTCCTCGCCGCCTCGAACCGCGAGCGCGGCGCCGCGCGCCATCGCAGCGTCGGTCGGCCGGTGTAGCCGACGGCTCCTGTGCACAGCGCGGTTGGCGACATGGCGTTCCTGGCTTATGTACGCGAGCGCAACGATTTCTTGCAGTCGCAAAAGGACCTCGTCACGCGTCCATGGAGTCTGCGGGGCGCAGGCAGCGTCGCGGCCCGTTCAGATCCCGGAACGAAGCCACCTAAGGTGTTGGAGAGCTCTCCCTGGACTGTTCGGCTAGGGGCCGCCAGACTCGGGGCGCCTTGGCCAGCGCGCCCCGCGCTGCACCGGCACGACTCGACCGCTTGAACGCGCCTCGGCGGCACGGCTCGCGACTGGATCGTCGCGGAGAAGCCGGACGGACGGCTCCTTGGTCGAGTGAGAGCAGCATGGCGTTCGCTCAGGCGTCCGTGCTGCGCCACGTCGGTGATGTCTGCGCGCTGGTGTCGCGAGGGAGGTCCTCGCGGGCCCAGCGGCCCGCGGCGCCTCCTCGAGGCCGCACGACGCGCAGCGGGCGGGCGCACCGTCGTGCTGCAGGAGCGCTCGCGCCGTCCACGGGCGGGGGCGCGGGGGTGCCCGAGGTCGACTTCACGGAGCCAGCTCCCCATCTGACCGACGGCGCCGGGCGCAGGCTGCTCAAGGGGCTGCAGAGGGAGGAACTGGTGCGGTGGTGCGCGCAGGCGGGCGAAGCCGACCCGGCCCGCAGGGCGGCGCAGCTGTGGCGCTGGATGTACGCGGACGGCCGCTGGGCACGGAGCTTCGAGGAGACCGCCGGGAAGCAGGCACGTCGCGCCTGGCGCCCGCGCCACGCTCCAACGGCAACATCAGTCACCTTGTGGTGATGTCCTCCGACTCCGGAGCCAGCGGCACGTTGGCTCCGTTGGGGAACAAGCCCGCCGACACGTCCAAAGTGAAGACCTTTATGCCGTGGAGGCGGTCGATGCACTCCTGTCCCGAGACCATCACGACACAGGCTTTGGTCTCGGGACAGGAGTGCATGGACCGCCTGCACGGCATGAAGGTCTTCATTTTGGACTTGTCGGCGGGCTTGTTCAACGTGCCGCTGGCTCCGGAGTCGGAGGACATCACCACAAGGTGACTGATGTTGCCGCGTTGGACTTGTCGGCGGGCTGTTACGAACTCGTTGCAGGCAACGCGCCACCCCCGGGCGCTGGCCCCGCGAGAAGCTCCTCTGCGCAGATCTCGGCGCTCCCGCTCTTTGCGGCATCGACGACCCGCTCGGCCCGGAAGCACCGGCTCCGCTTGCCCCCCGCTGGCACGCAGGACGGGTTCTCCGCACAGTTCCGCGAGGCCGTGTCGAGCACGGCGACGCTCGACGGCGGTCTGCAGCTCCTCGAGGCCGTGCGCGCGTCCGACGGCACCACGAAGCTCGTGTTCGCCATCCCCGACGGCCCGGCGGCAGGCGGCCGCGTCGAGACCGTGCTCATCCCCGTGACGCGCGAGGCCGGGAAGAAGCGCCGCGTGACGCTGTGCGTGTCCAGCCAGATCGGGTGCGCGATGGGCTGCAAGTTCTGCTACACAGGGAAGATGGGTTTGCGGGGCAACCTGTCGGCGGCGCAGATCGTCGAGCAAGTGGTGGCCGCGCGGCGGTACCTGGCGGAGCAGCCGGACGGAGACCCGCGGTCGCTGACGAACGTCGTGTTCATGGTGCGCCGCCGCCCCGAATCCGCGGAGTGCGGCCGCACACAGAAGAACAGCACACCGCGCGCGTGCTGGTCCGAGCGGCTGTCCCCGCTCGGTGAGTGATCACGGACCGCTCGCTGGTCGACTTGCAAGCGGCGGCCCGCCCAGGCGCTTGCTTGCGATGGTGTTGTGCCGTGCAGGGCATGGGTGAGCCTCTGCACAACCTTGGGAGCGTCATGTCGTCGATCGAGGTGATGTGCGACCCGTCCGGGCTGCACATCTCCCGCGGCAGGGTGACCGTGTCGACCGTCGGGCTGATCGAGGGCATCCGGGCCTTCTGCCAGGACGCTCGCGGCGCGCAGCTCGCCGTGTCGCTGCACGCCACCACGGACGACGGCCGCTCCTCCATCGTGCCCGCGAACAACCGGCACCGGCTCCCGGACCTCATCGCGACGCTCGAGGAGCTCTTTCCGCGCGGAGGCCGACGCTTCGTTCTCATCGAGTGAGTCCCCCACAAAACCTCCCCCCCCTCTGCAGCCCCAGCTGCTGCTTTTCGCCCTCTCGGACCACGACGTCGCTGCTTCGCTGCGTCCTGCCTCCAGGTACACGATGCTCGCGGGCGTCAACGACGACGTCGCGCCCGGCGGCGACGCGGACCGACTGGCGGAGCTGCTGCGCCGCGTGGAGTGCAAGGTGAATCTGATCGTGTTCAACACGCACGAGGGGGCGGAGTTCGCGGCGTCGCCCGCCGACCGCGTGGCCGAGTTCCGCGGCCAGATGATCCGCGCGGGCTACGTCTGCACCGTCCGCGACTCGCGCGGGGAAGACGGCATGTCCGCGTGCGGGCAGCTAGGGGCCAGCCTGGCGCAGAGCCCGTCGTGAGGAAGCAAGGAGGGGGCGATGTATGACGTAGTCCGAGCACAGCACGCCGGCCGGCCCGCCTGCGTGGCGCAGTGAAGCGCAGCACACGTGCGTTGTTGCACCTGACTCATCACACGGCCCGCGCGTCACGCGCCGTACCCGAACACCGCCTTGATCCGCGAGAACACCATCCCGCGCCAGCCCTCTTCCACCATGCGCACGGTGTCGCCGTTCCCGTACCGGTCGCCCTCCGGAATCCCAGTCTGCCTGAGCGCCACCTTGGTCGACCCCGGCTCGCTCTCCGTGATCCGGATCTCCACGTCGCTGAACACCCCGTCCGCCCAGCTGCTGAACCGCCACTTCTGCCGCACCAGCTCCCCCGGCACCAGCTCCACGAACTCCCCCTGCACACTCCCCCCAAACATCTCGAACCGGCCCCCCGGCCGCCCCTCGAGCTGCGCCGGCGCGCGCGTGAACGCGCACACGCGCGGCGTCTCCGTCAGGCACTCGAAGATGTCGCGCGCCGAACAGTAGAACGACTCCTCCAGGGTGATGGACCGCACCCCGGCCCTCTCCTCCGCCTTCGCGCGCTGCTCCGCCTCCCTGGCCTTCCTCGCCGCTTCGGCCTTCCTCGCCTCCTCCTCCCGCTGCACCTTGGCAGCCTGCGCCGCCGCGGCCCGTGCTTCGGCATCCGCGCCGCCGCCGCCGTTCGCAGCCGCGGCTTCTGCCTTGAGCGACAGCTTCACGGGCGCGCCGTCGTGGATCTCCTTGACGAACGTCGCGATCGCATCGAGCGCAGCCTTCTTGCCTGGGCCCAAGATCGCCTGCACGTGTGTGGATGACACAACGCAGCACAGGCGTCTTCTCAAGTGCCCGGAGACGCGGCCGCAGCAGCGGCGCCGGGCTCGCATGTCTGTCTGTCGAGCACACACGAACACGAGGGCGTCGTACCCGCTTCGCTTGCTGCGCCGCGGGGTCCTCTTTCGGCAGCACGACGCGCATCTCCGGCTCCTCGTCGTGGTTCTCCTCGGCCACGTACGGGAACTCGAGCGACCCCGTCGCCTCCCCGACCGCGGCACCGCTGCCGTCCTTGATCTGCGGGCGGCGCGTGGACGAGCGCGATGAGGCTCGGCGGGGACAGGGGAGCCGCACACGGTGCGAACGCTGAGGACGCCGGGCGGGCTGCGGCGCACCTGAGCCTTCCAGCCCACGCTGAAGTCAATTTCATAACTAGGGATCAATTTGTTCTTCCTACTGTTGATGATGGCGTCGCCGCCGACCTTGGTGACGCCCGTACACTCGACCTCGATCGGACCGTCCTTGACGAGCTGCGGGGAGTGGCAAGGCAGTGCTGTGTCGCAACGACACAAGACAGCGAGCTTCTCTGACGCACTGCAATGGCGTGAATATGATGGGGATCCGTGCCCAGCAGATTGCGCTACATCGGGAGGTTGCCGCGAGCGAGAACTCGGGAGCCTAGCGGCGCCAAGGATCGCGCCCGTGCGGGAGCGGGTGACTATTTGCGATGACCGGAGCCGGCAAGGCCGCGTGCGGCGCGTGAACGGAAACGGGGTCACGGAGCAGCGCGTGCCGTCGACGGCCTGCGCCGCGCGCGTCTGAGAGCGGGCAAAACGTCGACGGTTACGCGGCGCGGCTCAGGCGGGACCACAGAAGCTTCCTGGCAGCGCACGGGCCCGTGGGCTTGCCTGGAGGCCCGAGAACAGCTCGCCGAGGCGCACTCGGCACCATGGCGCGATGTCCTTCTCCTTCCAGTGCCAGTTGTTCACGTTCGTCCCGTCAGCCCGCTCCTCGACGATCCAGCGTGCATCTCCTTCCCCATACTTCGCCATCGTGCGTGGCGGCCTGCGATATAGAGACCCGCGACCACGCTCTGGGTGACCTGAGACCAAGGACTGTGCAGCGCGCACCCCGTCCGGGGCCGAGGACCCCGCAGCGCTGAGCGCGAGGCCCCCGCTTGTGTAGCGGCCTGACCACAGGGGTGTCGTCTCGCACGAGACACCCCCTGCGTCGCGAGGATGGATGAGGGCGGCGCTGCAGTCCTGGTGCAGAGTTCTTCGACACCAGCGGTAGTTGACGTCGAGATAGCCCCTCGCGCTTTCTGCCGGGCGTGCGCAGCCCAAGTGCATCAGAGAACTGCCAACTGCGCGAGAAGAGATCGCTCCGTGAAGACGAGGCAGGACGCTGCGGCATCTCGCCGGACCTATGGAGGCGTAGGTCGCACCTGACATCCGCGCGGGTGTCTCTTCGACGACAGTTGCAGGGAGCAACAGTGTGCGACTTGGGCGGGCTGGTCCTCCGCCCACAACGCCTGCGGGGATGTTTCGGAAGCGCGAACGGAAGGGAAACGTCCGTCAGAAGCGCGAGCTCCTCGCGGACGATGACGAGGGGGACGCTCCCAGCGGTTCGGAGGGCGCGGAGGTGCAGGGGGGCAGCGTGGAGGTCGTCGAGAGGCTCGCAGACCGCAAAGCAATGCAGGCACGGCCACCGCGTCCATCTGGCCGCCCCTCGTCCACCCGCCGCGGCCCTGTCAGCCCCTCAAGGCCCAACACTGACGCAACCTTCCTCCGCGTGCGGCGCAGGAGCTTCGGAAGCGGGGTGCGGGGCTCGACGCGAAGTCGCTGCTGAAGCGCAAGGGGCAGATACCGGGAGCGGCTGCCGCGGAGGAGCCGTCTGAGGACCCCGCGGGCCCCGAGGGCGCCCCCAACGACGGCAAGACCCCGCCCGTCAAGTACGGGCTGCAGCACCGGAAACGCGTGCACCTGGGGGACGACGCGGGGCCGCGGGAGGACCCGAACATGGAGAAGTTCGTGCAGCAGGAGCTGGCGCGGCGGCGCGGGGAGGACGTCGGGGACGATGCGGAGGCGCGCAACGGTCAGGAGGGGGAGTATTGCATCCCCGAGGAGCTGCGGGGGCAGCAGGCCAAGGACGTGGTCATTCCGGGACAGTGGCTGACGGGCATCCAGGTGCGTGCACGCCTCGGCCTCGCGGGTGCGTCAGACTGTGCCCTGACGCGGGAGGGGGGTGTAGACGAATTCACGTGCGGTGGTGTGCTGGGCGCAGGAGGTGGCGACGTCCGCGGACGCGAAGCTCAGGATGATTGAGCGCACGGAGGCGGCGAAGAACGCCCTTCTCAACAAGGCCAAGGGCGGGGGGGGTGTTGACGCAGACGAGGACCAGGGCGGGCCGCCGGCGAAGATCGCGCGTCGCGAGCTGCCAAAGGGCTTCGGACGCGCGTTCGGCCGACGGAGCAAGTCGTAGCGGGGCCCAGGAGGAGGGCTCGGCGCGACGCACGCCGCCGGGTGAGCGAACGGCGGCGAAGAGCGACACGACGCGGTAGGCGGCCCTGGGCCGCGTTGCACCAACTCAGGTCACATGCTTGACTATGTTGAGCAGTAGATCCGCTCATGAGCGAGGGGCGCCATCTTGTGGATAGACGTGTGATGGGGGTTGCACAACAACTGCAAGCTGCGGCGAAGTCCTTTGGTCCAAGTCCTTTGGTCCGGCTGTCATGGTTACCAGCGGACAATGCGACCGGCTCGTGCAGGACGGGGACGAGCCGGTCTCTTGAGCAGCCTCGCGTCGTGATGTCAAGCATGACAGTTGTATCACGCTACTTTGGGGCGGAGGAGCTAAGAGCATCTCTCGAACGGCTGCTCCTGCAGCAGGGCGCGTACGGGAGGCCGCGGAAGCTGCGGCCGGGTTGGTTTATCTTCCGGGTGTGTGGTGAGGGCAGATTGAAAGATAATATGTGTAGTTGCTCTGCGGCAAATGCTCGCGGGAGGGGGGGGGCGGCGGGGGGTGGGGGAGGAGAGAGAAAACTCCGCGTCGAACAAGCGCGGCGCGCATTCTTCCCGCGAACGGGTTCAGGAGGCCCGCGTGCTTGCCCTGGAGAACGCCACACATGTGAGGCTGGTCGCGGTCCGCAGGTGGACCACCGGGGCGGCGGCGTAACTGGTGCGCAGCTATCATTGACAGGGAGGCTTGGATGCGGGGGGGAGGGGGGTTTAGTCAGGTTCAGGCCATCCTGCCGAGCCCCCCCTGTCAGGCGCGGGGCGCAGTGTTTGTCGAGTCGGTGCGACGCCGCCGGAGGCGGACGCGCGGGAGCGGGGACGCCGAAGGCAGCCGCGGCTTCGTCCGGGTCCCCGGTGCATGCCGAGGGTCGGCAGGGGCGTGCTCTGAATGGAGCTGGTCCCAGGTTGGTGAGTGGTGTGCATGAGCCTACAAGCGGGTGTACAGGGTGCGGGGGGGGGAGGCGGGCGCGCTGGGCGAAGCCGCTGGGACGTACGACGTCCTCGCCGGTCGCTGCGCGGGGGGCCGCGGCTGGGCTGACGAAATAGGTTCTGCCTCCCTCCGTGCGGGGTGTCGGCTTCAGGGGACTCCGCGATGGGTCGCGGCGTACGTCGGATCCCACAGCTGCTGGGGGCGGTGCGCCTGGTTCTTGGCGAGGTACAGCCCGCACGCGTTGCACAGAGGCATGTTGTCCAACTTGTCCTTGCGCCAGAAGGGCGTGGTGGTCGTGCCGCAGTTCTTGCACACCTGCGCGAAACGGACGCGGCGGTCGGCGTGGCGCGACGGACGGTAGTTGCCTCACGCGGCCCGCGCAGGCGCATTGTGTTTTCGGGCCCGGAACGCCCGGTTCATATGGCCGAGGAAATCAGTAGTTGTAAGCTCGCCGCCGGCTCCGCGAGCGGGGCGTGATGAGAAGATGTTCTCGGATCATTGCGCATCGTGGGATATGAGTTTGGCGTTCGTGGCGCTCGCGGGGCGTGATCGTTGCCCGTCGCGAAGCTATGGCGACGATCAAAGCTCGGGTCCACGCTCCGTCGTGTTGCGTAGCACGGCATGAAAAAGCCTGTGTTTTGCAACGAGCGTGGTCCCCAATCTAGCGTCGTTCGACCCGCGCGAGCAAACCGCGCGCGAGGGTCGGGAGCGAGCGCGGCCGGGGTCTCCCCCGCCTAACGGACCTTCTCGGCAGGGGCCGTCGCCGGCGCCGGATGCGCGGCTACACCCATCGTCGGGCTCGTCTCCGTCGAACACCGTCGGTCCTCCACCTTTGGGTGCACCGCCGGCGCCCCGAAACTCACGTGCGGTGCCGCGGGCGCGGTGTTGACCATCGGCCCTGATGGCCCACCCCATCCCTGCCTCGGGACCGCCCGCTCGCCGTAGATCATCCTCATGCACGACCAAAACTGGTACCACGTACTCTCGAGGCTCTGTTGCTGATCCGCGAAGGCCGCATCCGCCCCGCCCGCGCCCACCATCGCCCCCACTTGGGCTGGGTGGCCGGCGGGTGGCACTTTCGACGCCAGGAGCTCCGCCAGCGACATGAGCTGCTGGCCGCTGACCATCTGGGGCTCGATCTTGCTAGCTACTGCGTCCACCGCGTCGCCGTACGGCAGCGTCGGGCGCGGCTGCGGCACCTCGGGCGCCCCCTGCTCGGCGCGCCCCTCTGCTGCCTGGCTGCACGCCACCGCGGCCAGCGTGTCCATCGGCGACAGGCCCGTCATCTCGGAAACTTCCTCACTTCACGACGCCGTCATCGGCCGTCTCATCTGCGCAACTGCCGCGCGCCCCGCGCCTATTGGGCCCCCGCAGGCCCACGTGCCGTCGGACACAGCTCCGCTATAGATCCCAGGTCAACGTGCGCGAATTCGCACGACCCGGGCCGACATTTCGAGATTCAACACAATAAGAACATTCTACAGATCTTGTAGCCGCCTCGAGATGCACTTTGCGGCGCAACAAGCCTTGGCCTAGGCGGACGCGCCGTGTCTTGCAGCGCGGCCTGTCGCTGCCCTGACGTTGCAAATGCGGCCGCTGCCGGCCACCGCTTTGCGCGACGACGCCCACGGACCCCTCTCCAGAGCCCCAAGGCCCCGGGGCGCCCGCAGCGATCCCCGTCCCCCCTTCGCGCCTTGCACGGCAGGGCAACAGACGCACACACCAAGTAGTTACACTCCGGGGCCTCTCGCGGCCTCGCAACGGCGCCCGACACGCCCCGCCCTCGCGAGTGGCGAGTCCGCGCGAGCAGCGACGCTGCAACTCGCTCAAACCTCGACCGCACGCCGCGCGCGCGGTCAGCGCACCCCGCGCAGCTCTGCAGCCATGAGGGCGTCCACCGCCTCCGCAGTCAGCTCGTCGACGTTGCGCGCCGTCGACTCGATCACCTCGTCGAGCAGCTCCTCCGCCACCGCTTCGACCGCCTGTCCGACGTCGAATTTAGGCCCCCCCGCATGTAGAAGAGAATCCAGCAGCTGCTGCCGGCGCAGAAACGCCCGACGCCCCGCCGCCACGCGCTTCGCCATGTCCTGCGTCACCGGCCCCTCCCCGCCCCCGACCTCCTCCCGCACGTCGCCCCACGCCACCCGCCCACTCGCCACAGCACCTCCCGGCGTGCGCGGTGCTGCCGTGGGCCCGGGCGCGCTCTCCGGGACCGGAGCCGCGCTCTGCTCGCGCTGGGGCTCGAGCCAGCGGTCCCGTATGCGCTGTTCGGCCGCCTCCATCGCGCGGAGCCGCTGAATCAGGCCGTCGAGTTCAGCGCTCTCCATGACCGACACGCCGCCCTCCGTGGCGTCTGCGGACGCCTCTGCGGCCCGCGCACCGCCGCCGCCGAGGTAGCCCCGCGTGGCGTCCTCGGCGTCGTCGCTTCCCATGGCGTTCGGGGTCGCTGGCAGTCTTTGTTGGATGATTCCCATCAGCGCGTCCAGCCTGTCCTCCGTCCGGCGCAGCGCCGCCCGCGCCCACTGATCCATCGGGTCGCCGGCCAGCGTGGCCGAGTCCTCGCGTCCCGCCCCTGCGGCGCCGTGCGTGGCCGGTGTCGCGACGTGCGGAGGGGAACCCCACGACGCGCCCGCTCGCCGCCGCTCGCCGGGCGAGGCGTCGAGCGTATCCGTCGGTCGCGGCCGCAGCATGCCGTGGCGTTCAGGCATCCGCGGCGCAGGCGCGGGGGGACGCGTCGCGCCGGGTGTGCGCGGGCTCGCCGTCGCAGGGCGCGCCGGCGGCCACGGCCTCTCCTGGCGGCGCAGGACGCCCTGGTACGCGTGCGGGGCCGCGCGTCGACCTATCGGAGCCGCCTTGGTCGTCCGGGCGCGCGTCGGCGGCACAGGACGTTTCGCTTTCAGACGCAACACCGGCTGTTGCGGCACGGGGTCGTCGAGCCGCGGCGCCCGGCGCTTGCCCGTCGCGGCGACCTCCGCGGGCGCGGCGAAGCGGTCGTTCCACGGCGGACGCTCGCCCGCCGCCTCGGCGGGCGCGCGGGCCGTCCGTGGTCGGACCGGGGACGGTACAATGTCTACACCCCCCCCTGCCCCGCTCGAGGCGGTCTCGACGGCCCCAGTGGACACGGCGGCGCGCAGCTGCCGCAGCGCATCCTCGAAGCTTCCAGTGCTCGGCTCCGGCGCGGTCGTCGCAGCGGCGGCACCTGCAGCATCAGGCGCAGGCGCAGGCTCAGCTGGTCCCCCGCGCAGCGCCGCCTCGATCGCAGTCTTCGCGCCCATGATCTTCTCCGGCGTCGCGTCCGGCGCCAGCGCGTCCAGCGCCAGCGCCACCAGCCCCTGCAGCCGCACGTCCCCGGGAACAACCCCCCCTGACTCCGTCGCCGCGCTGGCCGTTGCCGTCGCGGTCGTGGGCCTCGCAGGCGGCCGTGGCGCCGGCGGCGGCTTCGATGCGTACGGCCACGCGCGGGGCTGCGTCCGCGGCTCGAACCCGAGCGCCGCCTGCGCCTGCGCCCTCAAATAGTCTTCGGTGTCTGGCGGCCTGTCCTTCGGCAAATAGTCGCGCACGGCGGTCGGCCGCTGCGTCGTCGTCTCGCGCTTCCCGACCGACCACGTCCCGCCCGACCCTCCGCCCGTCACCGCGGACCCTGACGCGACCTCAACGACCCCCCCCCTCGCCACGGGGGCTGCGGGCTTGTGCCCGCCGCCACCAAGCTGCCGGAACTCCGCCTCGACCGTGCGCGCCGGGCTCTCGCTCGGCGCCTCCGACGCCGCCGCCCTCGCCGGCGCGGCAGGCTCGGGCGCCGCCTCGGCCACCCTCTCTCGCTCCACATGCGCCTGCGGGTGCGCCTGCGCTTGCCCGGCCATGTCCGCGACGAGCAGCGCGAGGGACTCGGCTCCGCGCTGGAGCTCCTCGCGCCGCACGCGCTCAGCGTCCCGCTCCGCCGCGACGCGCCGCACGTGCGTCTCCAGCACGTCGAACAGCGGCTGCGGCGACACGCGCGACCCGACATCCCTCGGCGGCGCCCCAGAGGCTTTCCGAGCTTGCCCCGGCTGACCACGGTGCGCGCCGGTCCTCGCAGGGACCGCCGCGGCCACGTCCTGCCGCAGCGCGTCCATTCGCTGCGCGAGCGAGGCGACGCGCGTCGCAGTGGCCTCGTCGTCGTTGCGGGCGGCCGGCGCGACCCGGAGGCCCTGGGCGACGCGGAGGAAGTTCCTCTCGCCGCTCTCGGCCGTGCCCGTCGCGCCCAGCGTCCCCGCGGGCCGCCGCCAGGCCCGGGGCGCCGCGCCGAACAGCGGGGCGTCGTCCAGGGCGAGCGCAGGAAACGGGCCGGCGTCCCCGCGGCGAGCGGCGCGCTCGGCGGCCGGTCCGAGGTCGGAGAAGTGCAGCTGTTCCTGCGGCACGACCGCGGCGTCCAGGACGGCGGAGTCAGACAGCTGGGCGCGCTGGACGTCTTGCGCGGGGGACGGGGCGAGGAGGGCGTCGCTCGTGGAGGAGTGCTCGCCGACGAGCTCCATCCGCTCGTGGCTCGCCTGGACGTCATCGACCTCTGCACGGCGCCTCAACGCGGGACGTGGTCTGGAACGCGCTCAGGCACGACGCACCCAACAGCATGTTGAAGGGAGGTGCGCAGGCCGCGGGCCCGCACGCAAGCTCGTCGCCACGAGGCTAGCAAGGTGTATTGGGGCCGCAACATCACAGCCGCACCTGTGTAAGTCGCGTTGCGGTACCGCGGGGCCCGCTGGCTCGAACTTGCACCGTCCACGGCCCCTGCCGTCCGTTGCCGCATCACGCGCCCCGAGGCCGGCCCTGGGCAGCGCACAGGGAGCAGATGAGCGGAGTTTACCGCCTGCCAGGCCGCAGGGCGATCACGAGCGTGCACGAGCGCGAAGCGGCGCCCTGCGTCGAGCCAAGCAGTCCCACTGGCGGGACGGCGTCCCGGCGACGCACCTGCCGTCATTTGGCGCGACATGGTCGACCCGGCGCACGACACGGGCCGCTGGTTACGCGCCGGGCGACGGCGAGCGAGAGCGGCGGCTCGTTAGCCCCATGCGACCGTGTGGAATCAGCGGCAGAGGCCCCGCCGAGCCTTCGCGGCGAGGGCCGTGACTCGGTCTGACGGAGCGAGAGCAGCGTTTGCACGCCTGGCATGTCGTCGTGGCAGCTTGTGCCCGCGCGGGCTCCGTGCCGGCCGTGTCTGACGAGCGCTGGGCTGCCGCGACTGACCACCGCTGGCGGGCCAGCGCGGTGCCCGAGGCAAGGGCCCGCGGGCACGTGCTGCACAGCATACACGCGCCTGCGCGCTAGAGGCAGGCCAAGGTCCTCCAGTCTCGCTTCTACGTGCTCGCTGGCGGGCGCGCCCTCGTGCAAGGCAGCCGTTACGGCCGATTCCGCTTCAGACGCGCTCGCTCTCGCGACAGGGATCGCCGCAGAAATGTGGAGCAGGCCAGGCAGCTGCTAGCGCGGAGCCGGCCCTCCGAAGATGGTGTCGGGGCCCAAGCTGGGGGCCGTGGTGGTAGGGGGCTTCCACAAGGGCTCTGGTAAAACAACAGTATGCCTCTCGATCATATCCGCACTCAGGTGAGCATGATGCCGCGCCCGCGCACGTTGCGCGCGCCGCCTCGCCCCGCCTGTACGCAGCGCGACGCCCTGCCGCGCCCGGCCAGCCTGTCCGGTGCCACGCGCCCCCTCCGCGCGCGATTCGAAGTTCTCGCGCGCGCATCGCCGCATATCGGCGCGAGCTTGGCGCTCGTGGCTCCCCCGCGCGCTCCTCCGCGCACGTCCTCGCGGCAGGCAGCATCTCGCTTTTGCTCCGACGCGCCATGAGCAATCGGCGCCAGCAGCGCCCGCTGGCCCTCGCACGGACGTTGCGTTGCGCCAGCAGCGTCGAGCCGCGGGAGATTCCATCCCTCTGAGGCGCCCCCTGCTCCGGAAAGGCGTGTCCGGCGCGTACATCCGTCCCGGGGAGATTGTCACCCCATGTGCCCCGCGGTTTCGTGCTCCGTCTGCAGGGCACGCGGACTCATCGTCCAGCCGTTCACGCTCTCCACTGCCGTCTCGGACGCCCTGGCGATGACGGAGGCCGCTGGACGCGACGCCGTCTTGCTGGACGGGTACGTCCTGGAGGACGCCCAGCTCGTCGCGACCTTCCTCCGGTGCTGCGACGGCGTGGACGTGGCCGTCATCGACGGCACGCCCGACCTCTTCGAAGGCTTCGACCCCCACTCCGAGCGCGGGAGCACCGCGCACGTCGCCCGCACCCTCGGAACTCCCGTGGTGCTGGCTGCGGCCCGCTGGTCGCGCACGCAGGCCATGGCCGCAAAGGTGACCGCACGACCGCAGCGCCGCGGCCGCGCCTGCTCCCGCGCGTGACACGCGATCCCGCGCGCCGCGCACGCGCCACGCGCCCGCGCCTGGCGGTGCTGGGCCTGCGTGGCCGCCAACCGCACCCGTCCTCCCTCCTCGCGAATCCGCAGGGCTTCCTCGACAACGGACAGGTCCAGCTCTCTGGAATCGTTCTCTCCAGCCCCGCGCTGGACGAAGAAGCCGAGGCTCGCCGCATGCACGCCGCATCGGGGACCGCACTGCCCCTCCTGGGGATTCTACGGCCCGCGCACCCCACGAGCCCGGGACGGCCGGCGCCCCCCGCGCCGCTCGCGAGCACGCCGCAGCGCACCGCCTCCGCCGCGTCCTCGAACGCCACGGAGCCAGTGCCGGCTTACCGGCTCGTCTCTGCCACGCGCAACGCGCCGCTGCCAGTGCCGCCGGCCGCGCTCGCGTCCGGCGGACTCGAGGCCGACCTGCTCCTCGGCGTCGCGGCGACGAGCAGCGTGCCGGAGTACCCCGCGGACGCGCCGGTGCCGCTGCGCCCGCAGGCGCCGCAGAAGAGGGCGCGCGTGGCCGTCGCCGCTGGCGCCGCGTTCGGGGCGCCGTGCGGCGAGAACCTGCGGCTGCTCGAGGCCGCGGGGGCGGACCTGGTGCCGTTCTGGCCGGCGTCGGGCGACGGGCTGCCGCGGGGCGCGACCGCGGTGTATTTCGGGGCGGGGGACCTGGAGTCGGTGGCCTCGCTGGCAGTTGTGTCGCGGCTGGGGCGCCGGTCGCTCGCCGGGGTCGCCGCGCTGGCGCGTGCGGGCGGCGTGGTGTACGCGGAGGGCACGGGGCTGCTCGCGCTGACGCGGGGCGTCGAGGAGGCTGAGAGCGGGGGGGTGTATAGGATGGCGGGGCTGTTTGGGTTCCGGGGGAGGGTGTCGCAGCGGCACAGGAGCGGGTACGCGGACGTGACGGTGCAGGAGGGCTGCGCGCTGCTGCCCGCGGGGAAGCGTGCGCGCGGCCTGGTGTCGCACCACGCCTCGCTGGTGTCCGAGAGCGTGGTCGGGGGGGAGGGGTCGGACGAGGACAGCGACGTGGGGGATGCGGAGGATGCGGGCGCGGAGGGCGTGCAGGCGAACGGCGGGGGTGCGAGGGGCGGGCAGGGGAGTGCGTTCAGTCGGGCGGACGTCACGTGGCGACATGGGTTCGCGGCAGTGATCGGCGCGGGCACCTCCAAGGCGCGGAACGTGGAGGAGGGGTTCAGCCGCGGGCGCGTGCTCGGCACGTTCGTGCAGCTGTCGTTCAGCAGGTGAGCTCATGCCCTTCCCGCGCGATGCCTCTGTGGGAGGGCCAGGGACGATCTGGCGCACACGCGGTGGCCATGTCGCGCGGATGCGATAGACCTGGGCCAGCGCTCGGCACGCAGCGCATCGCGACGGTCGATCGTGTGCCGGGAGGTCATGTGCTCCTGACGACACAACGCGGGTACAACTCGTTTCCCTCGCTCGCCCGTTTCCTCTGCAGTTGTCCGGCGCTGGCGGGCGTAATCGTCGCCGAGGCTGCGAGCGTTGACGCCGCGGCGGTCACCGCGGCCGTCGCGCGCGCCGAGGCCGCTGTGCCCGTCACAGCAACGCCGTCGCCGTCGGTCGCCGGCGGCCCGCGCACGCTCAGCGGGGGCAGCCAGCTCTCCGCGATGACCCCCGCGGGGTCCATCGCCACCGCATTCTCCGGCCCCACGAGCCCAGTCGGCCCCCACGCCCCAACGGCCCGGCCACGCCGCCCCCTGGACCTCCCAGAGTCGCTCGCCACCCCGGACCAGACCGACCCCGCGACGCTGCGCCACGGCATGGCCGAGGTCCTTGCCGCGGAGGAGCGCCGGCGCTCGTCGACGATGCCGCACGTGTCCGCGGGCGAGGAGGGTGCGCCAAGCCAGGCCGTTCCGTCCCTGCGCGGCAACGTGTCGAGCGAGCTGCCGCGGCACACCGAGACGCTCACGGACTCGCGCACGCGGAGCACGAGCCTCGGGCCGCGCGGCACCCGCGGGACGCGCGACTCGTTCCCGCCGCTGCATGCGCCGGACTTTGCCGTCACGGCCGTGCCCCCGGCGACCCCCGTGCGCGACCCGTCGCCGGAGCTGGCGACGAGCCCCGTGCTCAGTCCCCGCGCTTCGCCGGTGCCGCCCGAGGGGCGGCCCGTGCGGCACTCTGGCGGGCACTGGCGATTCGGGTCCATGGACGCAACACACCCCCCCCAGTACGGCGCCAACCCGAACGCGGCGTGGGTCACGCAGGGGTCGCGGTTCGTTCCGTCCGCGGCGCATCTGGCCAGCCAGCAGGGCGCGGCGGCCGCCGGGCGGAGGCAGGAGGGGCGCCGGAGCCACCATGTGCGGGCACACAGCAACGCCGAGTGGGGCGGGCCGAGTGGGATGCAGCGGTCGGGGCTGAGCTCCGCGAACCAGTCGTCGGCGCACCTCTCGCGGAGCATGGCGCACCGCGCGTCCGGTGCGGACGCCGGGCGCGTCAACGCCAGCCCGAAGATCAGCAACGCGGACAGCGCCACGGCCGACGCGGGGTCGCCGTTCACGTGGCAGCGCGCCGGGCTCTCGTTCATCCGGAAATCCTTCCCGGACCTGCGCGCCGCGGAGACGCAGGGGCAGCGCTCGGCGCGCCCCAGCGGCACGACGAACCCGCCGGCCACAGCGCCGAGTCAGGGCGACCCGCGCCCGCCGAGCCCCGGGCAGGCGCGCGAGCCGTCGCCGCCGCCGTACGCGCACGGGCGCCCCTCTGGCGGGAGCCACTGGCACCCGCCCTCGCACCCGCACGGCCCCAGCACCGTCCCGGCGTCCCCGCTCCCATCGTGCCCGCGCGGCACGGGCCTGGCCAGCCTCTGCCCGACCGCGACGGACATCGTGTTCGCGCTCGGCGCTGGGGACGCGCTCACGGGCGTCTCGGACCGCTGCGTGCAGCCGCGGGAGACGCACCACCCGCGCGCCATCGTGTGCCGCTTCGGTTCCGGCCCGCACGCCACGCACGCCGCCGCGCACCATCTCGGCGCCCCCAGCTCGACGACGTCGAGCAACTACGAGGCCGGCACGCACATCTCCGCGGGAACGGCCCGCAGCGGCCCCGGCTCGCTCGCCGGCACCGACACCGTCGTGACGTCGCCCCCGCGGGCGGGCAGCCTGCGTCGCGCCGCGGAGGGGTCGGCGATGACCGCGTCCGTCGCTGGGCATGGCCCCGACGACGCGCCGGAGCTGGCCGACGCGTCGGTGGAGTCGGCCGCGGAGGTGGTGGAGTGGGCGGACGTGGCGTGGCTCGCGACGTCGCTCCCGGAGGTGCTGCTGCTGCCCGACCTCAGCCGGAGTCCCTGGCTGAAGTTCGCGCTGCAGGACGCCGGGCTGCTCGCGCCGTCCCCGGGCGCGGGCGCGGCGGGCATTTCGCAGGCGGGCCGGTGGCCGAGCGGCGCTACGGACCTGACGGTGTCGTCGGCGGCCAGCGCCAGCATCGCGGAGGGCGACGGCGCGCCGCAGCGGCCCAAGGTCGTCGAGGTCAAGATCCACAGCCTGCCGAGCATCCTCGAGGCCATCCTGGACGTCGGAGACGCGGTCGGCGCCGCACAGGCAGCGTCGGCGCTCGTCGAGAGCCTCCAGAGGCGGCTGCGCAAGGTACGCACCGCCACGAATCCCATTCCGCGGTCTCTCCCTGCGTCCGGCGGGCACGTTCGCTCCGCTGACTGCTCTCTGCGTCCATCACGCCAGGACCTGCGCCGCAGTCGCTCCCCTCCCCCACCCCGCCGTGCTGCGCGCTCCCGCCCCCGCAGGCCGCCATGGACGCGTTCAAGGCCACCGAGGGGTCCCTGGGGCGCCCGCACCGCGTGCTGCTCCTCGAGTCGGTCCAGCCGCTGGTGCCGGGGAGCCTGTGGCGCAGCGACGTCCTCGAGATGGCGGGCGGCGCGGACGTCGCGGCCACGGCGGGCGCGACGCGCGCCGCCGCGACCTGGGACGATGTTCGCCGCTGGGCCCCCGAGGTGCTCATCGTGGCGCTCCCGGGCGGAGCGCCGCCGGAGGAGGCGCTGCAGGGCCTGTCGGAGCTCGCGGCGCTGCCCGGGTGGTGGAAGGTGCCGGCGGTGTTCCACGGGCGCGTGTTCGTGCTGTCGGGCAGGGCGGCGGACCTCGTGAACCTGCCGGGTCCGCGCCTGCTGGAGGGGGTGGAGCTGCTGACGCAGCTGGTCAACCGCGGGCAGATGACGCGGCGCGGGCGGCGCGAGAAGAAGGGCGGCGCGGTGCACAAGCTGCTCCTGGCGAGCGGGGGCCGGTGCCGCCCCAAGAACCTGCCGAATTACTTTATGAAGATATATTCGTGAAACACATATCTGTGACGAATTCCCGTCAGAGGGCGGTCGCGCGCGGCTCGTGTGAGCTCGGGGTGCCGCTCAGAGGTTGGCTGGAGGAGAGCGGCATCGAGGTCGTGGCGTGCCGCGCGGCCCGGCCGAACGTGGGTTCGGGAGGGTAGAATCTTGAGGACAGTCCTGTACTCGATACCGGCGTGTGGGAGAAGGGGCCGGGGCGGGCGGCAGCGCGCAACAGTTCCTGGTAACTTAACGTAGTCGTGGCGCCGCTCAGCGGCGTGTTGGAATCGCGTGTCGCCGGTGCAGCGGGCCGTCGGGGAGGTAGGCTCGACCTAGTCGGCACAATGCCGGGCGGGGACGCTGCGAGCCGTCTGCAGAGTCATCCCGTCGGGTCGATAAATGAAGGTGCGCAGGCCGCGCGCGCGTGCCTGGGGACGGCGCCTCGCGGAGTCGGCACCGCTCCGTTGACCTCCTTTTGCCCTTGGGTCGTTGGGCCAGAGCTAGGATGTCTCCCGCAGGGCCAGAAGCAGCTGCTTTCTCGGCACTATGTGCTCCTGGCGGTTTCGCGCGCGGCACCGGCGGGTCCGCCCGCGAGCGCCGAGCGCTGCGCGTCACCTGGTGGGCTGCGCTGGTTCACAAGCCGTTAGGCGCCACACCGCCGACCCCACCATGCAATTCATCGCGCACCGAGAACATGCATGACCGAAAGCCACTGCTCGCAGCGGCCTACGACGAATTCGACGACGGAGAATACGCGGACGCCGACTTCCAGGATGGTGCCCCCAGTCCCGGCCGTCGCGCCCTGCAAGGTGAGCCGAGGCCCTTCTGTCGCGTTCATCTCAATCCCACGACATGTGCGCTTCGAGGTAGCTGGAGACCGGGCCTTGGGGGCCCCAGCACGCCTCGCTGTTGGGCGATGCACCCAGCGATGTACCTTGCGGCGCGCGCCCGCGCGTGGTCGGAAGCTCGGCCCTTGAGGGGTGCGAGAGCCTCGTCACGCAGCGCCCGGAAGTGCTCAGAAGGTCGCCAGGGCCAATGAGCCGCCCCCCGCGGCGCCGCGCGGCCGGCACCGCTACCACGCAGACCCAACGAAATCGACCCGCGTCGCCTCACAGGGCCCCTTGGCGACGTCGTCCACCACCTCGGGGCGGCGGCTGCCGGAGTCAAGGGCGGAATCGAGCGCTTCAAATCCTCCAAGGCCGGCCAGGCGCTCGCGCCGGCGGGGCGGGCCCTGAGGCCGCTGGGGGCACCGCTGCTGAACACCGCCGTCGTCGGCGCGTCCGTCGCCCTCTGCTTCGTCGCGCCGGGCAAGGCGAAGGTCCTCGGACTCTTCAGCGTCGCCGCAGACCAGGTGCGATCTCCCGCCGCCCGACGCACCCCCTCCGGAGGTCGCGCGCATGCATGTTCGCCTGGCGCTGGTCCGGCCGCCGGCTCACGCACGCTGTCGCGCGCGCCCGACCCGCAGGCCCTGCGGCGCGCCCCGCTCGGGGGGTTGCCGCCGCTCGGGATCCGCATGATGAAGGTCCTGCGGAGGTTCTCAGCGCCGATGCTGACGCTGCTGGCGCTGCGGGTCACCATGCCCTGGGCGACGCCGTCGCTGTGGCGCAACGTCAAGTACTGGCAGCGGGCTGTCCCCATCGCCTTCCGCTACGCCCGCGTCGGGCGCGAGGCGCGCGCTCTCCGCGAGGCTGGCGACGAGGACGCCGCGAGGCAGCTCTGGCTCGACGAACACGAGCTGCTGGCCGAGGAAATCTCCCTGACGCTGCGCGATATCAGGGGCTTCTACCTCAAGCTCGGACAGGTCCGGACGCCGCCGCGCACACCCAATATTTGGCGTGACTCCCCAACCGCACGTGCCAGTGCTGGTGGCTCCCGCGGGGCGCGCGGCCCGGTCCGCCCGCCCTCACGGCTGCGCGACACCGTCCCCCGTGCGCGCAGATGATCGCGTCGAAGGGCGACATCCTGCCCGAGGCCTACCCGCGCAACCTGGGCAAGCTGTTCGACCAGATGCCGTACGAGCCCCTGAAGAAGGTCGAGAAGACGCTGCGGGAGGAGCTCAAGCTGCGGCGCGTGTCGCAGGTCTTCGAGGAGATCGAGGAGAGCCCTCTCGCCTCGGCCACCGTCGGCCAGGTGCACTGTGCGTGGCTCAGCGACAACATCATCGAGGACGAAGACGTCCCGAAGCTCTCCTCCGGACGCGAAGTCGTCGTCAAGGTGCGCGCGTCGGCCGTGCGCACGCGCCCCCCCGCGCGTCCCAATCGCCCCGTGCCAGCCCCGGCGGCCCTGGCCCCCACATGGCGTCGGGTCCCCGGCTCCGCCGCGCAGGTCCAGCACCGCGGCGCCGAGAAGCAGATGCGCACGGACCTGCGCAACATGCGCGTCTTCCTGGAGCTCGCGAACGCGTTCGGGCTCGACTTTGGCTTCGACGGTCTGACGGTGATCAAGGAGTATCAGGACGTGGTGCCGGGGGAGTTCGACTTCGAGCGGGAGGCGGACAACATGCATTACCTGCGCGAGGAGCTCGCGAAGGACCCGCGCACCGCCGGGCGCGTCGTCGTGCCGCAGCCGGTGATGCAGCTGTGCACGCGGCGCGTGCTGGTGATGGAGCGGCTGCACGGGACGCCCGTGCTGGACATCGCGCCGGGCGGGGTGAAGTCGGCGCCGAAGGGCGTGCGCGAGACGGTGATGGTGAACGTGATGCAGGCGTGGGGCGTGATGATGTTCAGCGCGGGGGTGTTTTCGACAGACCCCCACCCGGGCAACATCCTGGTCCTGCCCAACGGCGTCGCGGGCCTGCTCGACTTCGGCCAGGTGAAGGAGCTCAGCGCAGACGACCAGGTCCTCATCGCGCTCCTCGTCCTCGCCCTCGCGTCGCGCGACGAGGACGCCGTGCTCGACGCCATTGACATGGTGGGCCTCGAGCTGTCCAACTGCACGGACGAGTTCCGCGTGGCGAGCGCGTACATCTTCTTCGACACGCGCATGGACATCCCCGAGGCCTTCATGTCGCCGCACCACGAGGAGGCGGTCGAGTTCCGCGAGACCAAGGTCGACAACCTCCCGCCCGACATCTTCATGCTCGTGCGCGTCACGACGATGCTGCGCGGCATCCTCGGCTCCCTCGACGTCGACGTGTCGGCCGCCAAGGTGTGGGAGCCCCAGGCGCGCAAGTGCCTCGAGGCGCTCGGCGTGGAGGACGTTCCCCCCTGGGCGGAGCAGCTGCTCGCGGAGCCGGCGAGGCCGCCGCCGCGGTCGCCGAAGAAGGCGGACAGCGGCGAAGTGACGGCGTCGAGCTCGCGCGAGGGCGCGCCGACCGCGGTCAACGACGACGCCGTCCCGACGCCCGAGGAGGTCCGCGCTGCAACGATTGCGGCGACGGGCCCAAAGGGGGTCCTCGCGGACAACGACAACGAAGACGAGGACCTGAAGGCTCTCCAGGCGATCCGCGCGGGATCCGGCGAGGAAGAGAACGAGAGACGGGGCTCGGAGCAGCGGCCAAGTTCGGAAATTACATTTGCAGCCGGGCGATCGCAGGCCAGCTCGCAGGTCGGGACACCGCGCACGGGTTCGCGCGGCGAGGGCCTCGCGGACGCGAGGTCGTCCCCGCCAGCCCCCGCGCCGCCAGCCCCCGCGCCGCCGCCGCCGCCGCCGCCGCCGCCGCCGCCGCCCGCGGGCCGTCGAGAGCCCGCGCGCACCTCCTGCGGCGCCCTCGCCGCTCGTGGTGACCGGCGGCGACGTGGTCAAGTCCCGCTTCTCCGTGTCGTCGACCGGCAAGTGGAGCTCCCCTGGAGCCGGCCCCTCGACCCCGCCTGCGGCCGCGGCGCCCCCCGCTGCCACGTGGAAACCTGCGGAGCGCAGGATGGAAACGACGCAGACGTGGGCCGCCGGCGGCGCCGCGCAGGTCTGGCGCGCGCCCTCGCCGGCCGGCTCGATGGCGTCCTCGGGCGGCTGGAAGGCCCCTGAAGCGTCCCCGAACGGCAGCGCGAACCTGGCTTTCTCTCCGCCAATGTCGCCCGGGCGGCCGGCGTCGCCCCCGCCGCAAATGTCGCGGTGGAAGACCGGCGCCGCGCAGCCGACCGCTCCGTCGGCCGCGGGGGGCTGGAAGCGCTCTGCCGGAGCGGCCGGGGCGCTCCAGCACGCCCAGACCACGCCGGCCCGCCCGTCGACGGCCAGCAGCGCAGCCGGGTGGGCTCCCGGGCGCGCGTCGGGCAGCAGGGCCGTGCTGTCTGCTGAGTCGAGCGGCGCGTCGCTCGTGCCGCCGCCGGGCGTCGTCCAGGGCGGCGTCGGCACGGGGGGCATCCTGCAGTCGGCGTTTGGCGCTGACCGGCGCCTGTCGTCCCAGTTCGCAACACCCTCCGCTGGCAAGGCGCCGCCGGCGCCGCCACCGCCTGGTGCGCCCGCGCTGCCTCCCCCGCCGCCGCCGGCGGCGTTCAAACAGCCGTCGACGGTGGTCGCGCCGCGCCGCCGCAGCATCGAGAGGCCGGACATTCCGCCCGCGGGGCTGCGGCCAGGCGAGAAGGCTGGTGGCGCGAGCGCGGGCAGCAGCGGGCACGCGGGCGGCAGCGGGCACGCGGGCGACTCGGCGGGCGGGCGCAGGAGGAGCGTGGACAGGGCAGGCGACTCCGCCGGTGGCGGGCGCCGGAAGAGCCTTGAGCGCGATTCCGCGCACGGTGCGGAGCGCAGAGGGAGCATGGAGCGCAGGGAGAGCACGGACAAGCGCAAGAGCACGGACGGGAAGGGCGGCGGCATTTGGGCGAGGATGAAGGTGAGTGGGAGCCCGCAGCTGGAGGGCCGCGAGCTGGCCAGGCTCTGATTCGGTCTGTCTCGATTTGACACGCTGCGGGGTTCGCTGTAGGAACTGTGGCACGACAACAGCGAGATGGAATGCCTCGTCTATGACATGTGTGCAGGCCGAGCGCGAGAAGAATCTGGCGATGCAGCAGGCGGCGCACTAGCCTGCCAGTGCCACGTCGCTGATCTCGCGCACGATGCCAAATGTGCCGCCCGCGCGACGTCCCCGCCACGGTGACCGCGCACAGCGGCGCGTGACGACCTGCAAGCTCAGCCCGCGGACAGCAGGACGAGACTCCCAGATTTTCAACACGTCCATTCGAGTACGGATGTAGTGACCCTACGGCATCGTAGCCCGCTGAGACGTCAGCGCACAGATTTTGCCCGCCACATTGTCCCCATGGTTTGTGAATCCACCACCACCTCCGCGGGTCAAGAACAGCCGAGCAGCGCGCTCGGCAGGCGTCCCGTGTCCTCGGAACAGCTGTGCGCTGCCTGGCGTCGTCTCTGCTGCGCGAACGTGCTGTGGGATACAGGCCCAACCCCCAACAGTGCAATCGAAGTCGCCAGCGGAACGTGGCGTGTGTAGTGCGGAACAGAGCGCCGGAGCGTTGCCGCCAGAATCTGCGCGCGGCCGCCGGCAGCCCCCGCTGCCGCGGTTCCTCCCCCTGACAGAGGGTGAGGACCTGTGATCGTCTCGAGCGGTCGGGCTGATGGACAGGCGGCGGGCTCATGACCTCGGGGTTCAGAGGTCCCCGCGAAACAAGGTCACGCCATAGACACCCGAAGAGGGAGACCGGAAAGACTCGAGCGGGTGTTTGATCGCTGCTGGGAGGTAGTTGATCATGCCGCTCCCGTGCGTCGCAGGGCGGGTCGTTCACGCCGCTGCTGATCGCGTGCAGCTTGTACCCAGGTGCCGCCGCCTGCCCCGGGCTGCGGCCCGGCTTCGTGCAGACGGTGCGCCTCACGGCCGACGAGAGCTGGCCGCACGTACCAGCGGCGCTTGCGCTGCGCTTGTCCGTCGGCATGCCTCCTGAATTTTTGTCGAGGCGGGTCACACGACATCGGAAGCAGATCGCTGCCTGGATCCCCGGCCACCTCCGCGTCGACGGAGCGCGAGATTCCATAGCGCGCCGAGGGGACTACGTACCTCTGGAAGGCTTGTTGTTCGCTCCTGGGTCCTTGCGAGCCCGCTCAGGAGGAGCTGCTCGATGATGCATACACAGAAGGTTGCGGCGGGCGGCGGCTCGTGCGTGTTCTGACGCGTGCGCGCTCATGGGGCCCGTGCGCTTTTGGCTGGGGACGAATGCAGGCGGCGCGGAGGACGCGAGCCCCGAGGCGCTAAGGAAGCAGTACACCGGGAAGATTCGCCGCCTGGGGCGAGAGCGCAAGCCCAAGCAGGCCCTCGACGCTCTTTCGGAGATGGTGGGGCTCGGCATTGCGCCGGACACTGTCGCGGCAACAGCCGTGGTGGATGCATGCGTCCAGGCGCGTGCCCCCGCCTTCCTGGGCGACCGTCGGTCTCCGTCTCGCATGATACGATCATGAGCTCTGTGTGCGCTGCTTGCTTCGCCACGCAATACGCCGAGACGTGCGCGCAGCGGTCCTGAAAGCAGCGCGGTGCACGTCGTGCGACAGCGCGGCACGGGCCTTGCTCAGCCGTCTGCGCCGCCCCTGTCCGAGCAGAGTGGCGAGACGGCCATGGCGCGGGAGATCTTCGACAACATGTTCGGGAGCCCCGACGACGTGGACGACACGCTGCTCTACCCCGACGAAGTAGCCTTCAACGTGCTGATCCGCGGCATGGGGTGCGCGCCCCGCGCCTGCGACGTCGAGCACCAGGATGCGCCCGACCGCCGTCTCGCGAATCGCCCGCGCGACGACCCGTGAACGCACAGCGTCTCACACACATGCGCTCAAGCATAGCACGCAGCTGCGTCGGCCACGTGCACCGCCAGCTCCCGCGCACCGCCTCGGTCCGCCGGTGCCGACCCCTGCGCGGTCCTCGCTCGCTCTGGCTCGCAGGGCGGAGGATCCGGTGCCGTGGGATGAGATCGGGGCCACCCTGCGGCGCATGGAGCGAGATTACGGCATCGCGCCGGGGATCACGAGCTACAACGCGCTGCTCTCGGTGTGCTGCCGGGTGAACGACGTCGAGCGCGCGCAGCAGCTGGTCGAGCGGATGGAGCTGCTGGGCATCCAGGCGGATGGGTTCACGTGGGACGCTGTCAAGTCGAGACGGTCCATGAGGAGCCTGCTCAAACGCCTGCAGGGCTGACGTCGCCTTCTGCAGGTGACCTAGGTGCGCGCTGCGTGGCTGCGCCATGCCGTGAGCTTGCTTCGCCGCCCCCTCTTTGTTTGTTGCACAACACCCGTCCACCGAGATTTCCTTGCGCACCGCAGGGCACGTGAGTCGCCGGATCATTTGATACATCGATTCCTGGCAGTGTGAGCTTTTCCAGGTCTCGGCGGCCCGACACGCCGCCAGGACCGGGGGAAGCAATCGCAGCGCGTCTGTGCGCGACACCCGTGCGTGCGTGCATCGCTGACCATGTTCTGGCGCTCCATGCAGGTTCTCTCGCAGCGAAGTGTCGCGGGTGCCCGCTCGCTGAGCGCGCGTGCGCAGGTTCGACGATCCGAGGCACGTGGAGGGTGACGTGGCCCGTGTGTGCAACGTCACCGGCGTCGGCGCGCGTCGGACGCGTTCGGGAGCATTGCGGACCGGACGCACATCGCCTCGCACTTCATCCGAGGTGAGCCAGACGTGCGATCCGACGCTCTCGACGCAAGCAAGCTCCAACGACCTCTGGCACAAGGTGAGCGGCCCTCCTCGCGTGCGCGCCTGGCGTTTCGACACCCAAGATGTCGGCCGCGCTGATTGCGGTTAATTCGCTCTATTCGTCTTGCGCGTTGTCTCGCCGGCTTGCGACCCCTCGCGCACCGTAGCATGAATGCAACTTCGAGGCGTGCCAAGACCAGCACGCGCTCCACTCCGCTCATCGTCTTCGTTCCTGACTGCCCTGATTCTCCTCGACCCTGATGGCGCCGTGAATGTCGTCTCCTTGCGTGTATTGCAGCCGTTTCGCTCGCCCCTATGACATCCGACCACTGCCCCTCGTTCCGCCGTTCCGGGGCCGATTTGACCCTCGGGCGTGACACGTCACGTTGATATCACGACGCAACTAGGACCGCGCGCGGATCAACAATTGTTGGGCGCCCAGCGTCTCTGCTCCGCAAGCACACTACGCAGGGCTTCTCTACCTTGTTCCGCTCCATCGGCCGCGGCGTTCTCGAAGATGATGACCTCATCCCCCCCTGTCGATGCCGCGCTGGGCGTGAGCAACGCTGACGACATGTGGCTCTGGCTCAAGTCCGCTGCTGGTGCGAGCCTGCTGACCACATAATATCCCGTGCCATGTGCCTCGGCGGGCCCGTATGCATGGCTGCGCCGAACGCCTGCAAGCAGCTGCAACAAGACGTCCTTGCCGACGGTCACGCCGCACAAACACATCTCTGCGCGACCCTGCTGACCGGCTCACTGCAGACAGGTTCGGCGATCGCCTGGCCGTCGTCGACGGCGACGCCCTCGTCACGTACCGCGAGCTGTACATGCGAACGAGCACCCTCGTGTCCTGGCTCGCGAGCGCCGGCGTCGCGCGCGGCGCGCGCATCGCGGTGTCCCTGCGCAACTGCACTGCCGTCATGGAGCTCCACTTCGCGGCAGGTGACTGCTCTGCTCTGAAGCGCAGAGAGCCCCTCACGCTGCCAGATCTCTCGACCGAGCGCCGCGCGGTCGCTGATCGTTCGCACTTCCCGGGATCGATTCGTGCAGCTGCCCTGCGTGCGATGGTGGTCAACGTCAACCCAAGCCTCAAGGCGGACGAGATCGCGTACATCTTGACGGAGGCGACGCCCAGCGTCGTCGTCGCGGAAAGGAGCGCCGCGGAGAGGCTCAGAGAGGTGAGGCCCACATGTCAGCTGCGACCCTCAGATGCAAACCCAGACTTGCCATGCCGGCGCACCGGGCCGTTCTCCGCTGCGTCTTGACTGCTCGACGAGAGATCCATATGTTTCTCGCAGGCGTGCGAGACCGCTGGCCAGGCGTGCACCGTCTCCATGGTGCTGTGGTGCGACCCCGACGGCGCGAACATCGTGCCTCGCAGCGATCCCGAGCGCGGTTTCGCCCACGGCATCCACCACGCCTGTTTCGAGGACATCGTGGCGTCGGAGACACCTGACGTTGCTCAGGCGGCCGACCTGCTCGCGAGTGTCCGCGCGTCGCTGTCGACGTCGCCTGGCGGCGCGGGCGAGGACGGGCTGCACGTGTACTTCACGTCGGGGACGACTGGCCGCCCGAAGCAGGTGGTGCTGTCCCAGAGGATCGTCGCACAGCATGCCCTTGGCGCCATGCAAGGTAGGCATCTCTCCACTCGGAACACTCCCCCCCTTTCGCCCAATGACAACGTGTCGCATCACGACTGCGTGCACCGCTTGCTTACTTCCCCACTCGCCTCCCTCATCACGAGTGGCTCGTGCGCCGCTGCGCGTGCAGCGATGCGGCTCAACGCGAGCGACGTCTGGGGCCATATTGCGCCGCTGTTTCACTTGGTGGACGTGTTCGCGGTTTACGCGGTCACCCTCGTCGGCGGACGGCACGTCATCCTCCGGAGCTTCGATGCCGGCCGCGCATTCGCGATGCTCGAGCGAGAGCGCGTCTCGTGCGCGAACATCGCGTCGACGATGCTGGCCCTCATGGTGCGCAGCCCGGCGTGCCGCGCCTGGGACCTGTCGGCGCTGCGCGTCCTCTCCTGCGGCGGATCCGCGCAGTCTCCGGACGTGTTGCGCCGCGCGCTGGCCGTCTTCGGCTGCGAGATATTCCAGTCGTACGGGTAAGAAGACCCCCCCATGCTATAGTGCCTCTTGAGGTCCGCACCACATCACTCGTGGCCGGAGCGCGATTCAAACACCCACGCGGCGCTCTGCGCTTCTTCTGCAGGATGACCGAGTGCTGCGGCAAGATCTCGATGTCCATTCTCCCCCAGTGGGCGGAGAGCGGCATCCCGCCCGGCATCTCCGACCTGGACGAAATCGGGAGCTGCGGGCGGCCGTTCAGCCTCACTGACGTCCGCGTGATCGACCCCGCGACGCGCACCGACGTCGAGCCGAACGGCTGCGCGGTCGGCGAGGTGCACATTCGGGGCACCTGCCTGTTCGCTGGCTACGCTAGGACCTTCTCGCACCAGGGCGGGTTCTCGGCCTCGAACGAGGGGACGTGGTTCGCGACGGGTGACCTGGCGACCGTGAGCGACGGCGTGGTGTCCGTGGTGGACAGGGCCAAAGACATGATCAACCCCGGCGGGGAGAATGTGTACGGCCCCGAAGTCGAGAGAGTGCTCGCGATGCACCCGGACGTCTCAGGTGCGTCGTCTGCGCGAGGACGCTGCGATGGCTATGTTGTACCCGCACAACGCACGTGTCAGCGACGACCGTCCCTGAAACAACATCTTTGCCCTCGAATTGATTTTGTTTGCAGAGGCGGCGGTTTTCGGCGTGCCCGCTCCCATCGTCGGCGAGATGGTCGTCGCCGCTGTCTGCCTCCGGGCGGCAGGGTCCGGCCGCGGCGCGTCGGAGGACGACCAGCGTCGCGTTCGACTGGAGCTGCTGGCACTCTGCCGCGACCGCCTGGCGGACTTCAAGAGCCCCACGGCCGTCTTCTTCGTCGAGCAGCTGCCGAAGACCGCGACCGGGAAGGTTCGCAAACGGGCGCTCCGAGGTGCGTATCGAGACACGCAGGCCCGCCCCCTCGACACAGCAGCCAGTGCACCGGGCCCTCGAGACGCCATCTCCTCGCACCCGCTCGGCTTCGGCAGCGTCTCCATGCGCTCCAGCACTTTCAGCGATGTCTCGGTGTCCGTGTCTGGCTCCAGCACGTCCGGCCTGCCCCTGCGGACGACCCAGGAAATCTGCGCAAGCCTGTGCGGGCCCGGGCGCCCTCCGACCTCCGTCTCCTACGCATGCAGCATGCTGCGTGCGCTCGGACGAGAGGGCACGGTCGTTCTGGCGCCTGGGTCGCTGGCGAGCGCGCGTGAAGCTGCGACGGCGCTCCTGCACGCAGGGGCGTCGGCGGTGTGCGTTGTCGGGCCCCATACGTGGGAGGGCATCGCGGCGCTCGAGGGCCTCGCCACTGTCCACGGACAGCTCTCGGTCGTACTCGTGTCGTCCGGCGCGGAAGTCGTCCCGGCGGTCGTTGCCGTGCTCGCGGACATGCCACCTTTGGCGCCTGGCGTTCCCCTCGTCGTTGCGCCCGCTCAAGTCAGCGAGCCACCCGACGTCCGCGACGAGCGCGTGCTGCTGCGGGTCGCGGAGGTGACGCCGTCGCCGGAGTCGTTTGCGCCGATCGGCACTGCGACGGGGGGGCAACAGCGTACCGCTCCCGGTGTTGCGGCATCGGCGGAGCGCGCCGAGCAGCTCGTGGGCGCCGCCGTGAACACGTACATACCAGGGCCGCTGGATGGTTCGACGGGGCTTCTGGAGGCCGGCCTGTCGTCCGCCGCCGCAGTTGCAGTGGCTGGCGACTTGGAGCGTGACACGGGCCTCTCGCTGCCGCCGACCCTGCTCTTCGACCACCCCACGGTCGACGACCTCGTGACGTTCCTGGTCGAGGCCGCAGGCGAGACGCCGCCAGCGCACGTTGCGGCACCTGCGGACGGCAGGATCCGCGATGCCGTGTCTGCAGCTGTCTCCGACCTGATCGGCGCGGCCGCTCCGCTGGGTGACGCGCCCCTGATGGAGGCCGGGCTGAGCAGTATGGGGGCCGTCGCGCTGGCTGGACGGCTGGAGCAAGTCGTCGGCGAAGCGCTGCCGCCAACGCTGGTGTTCGACTGTCCAACCATCAACGCTATCGTCGAGCACATTCTCGAGAGTGCGCCCCAGATCGTCGAGGCGACGCCGGCTGCACTTCCGATGACGCAGGCTCGCGAGGCGCCCGCCAGGGTGCCCGTCGGCGTGGTTGCGTCTTGCTACATGCTGCCGGGCGCGACTACCACTGCCGTTCGCGGATGGGGAGGCATCCCGGAGGACGCGATCGCGCATGTGCCTCTGAGCGACCGGTGGGATGCCGACTGCACGTGGCCCGCCCCCCGCTTCGGCGGCTGGCTGCGGAACGCGTTGTGCTTCGACTCGGCAGCCTTCAACATCAGCGACAGCGAGGCGCGGTTCATGGACCCACAGCAGCGCCTGGTGCTCGAGGTCGCGTCATCGACCCTCTTCGAGGCTACACGCCTGTGGCCGACCGACCGCGGCGCGGAAGGCGGGAGCGAGCGTGCCCTGCGTCGGGACGTTGGTGTATGGGTTGGCAACAGTCAGCTGGACTACGCGGCGCTGGGCCGGGCCGCGGGTGCGTACAACGACACGCCGTACTTCGCTACGGGGGCGCATCTGTCGGTGACGGCAGGTCGCGTCTCGTACATCTGGGGCTGCGAGGGGCCGTCAATGACCGTCGACACAGCATGCTCCTCCTCTGGCGTGACGTCTGTGCTCGCGCTGGAGGCGATTCGGGGTCGCCAGTGCGCTGCTGGTATCTCCGGAGGGGTCAACCTGTGCCTCGTCCCGTCCTGGACGCTTGCCTGCACTCGGGCGGGGATGCTCGCCGACGACGGTCGCTGCAAAACGCTGGACGCCACCGCGGACGGATACGTGCGCAGCGAGTCCTCGGCGGCAGCGTACCTCGCGGCGCTGACGGCCGACATCGACGTCAGCACAGTGGCGATCGTGTTGGCCGGCGCGGCCGCGAACCAGGACGGCCGATCATCATCTCTCACGGCGCCAAACGGGCCGTCGCAGCAGGCGGTCATGCGCGCAGCGATGGAGTCGGCGTCCGCGAGCCCCTCTGTCATCAAATTCGTGTCCATGCACGGCACCGGCACGGCTCTGGGCGACCCGATCGAAGTCGGAGCAGAGGTGTCCGTTCTGGCCAGCTCGGACGGTGACGCGGGGGGGGTCCTGGCGCTGGGGGCGAGCAAGGCGCTTCTCGGCCACGCGGAGCCGGCGGCCGGGGCGCTAGCCACGCTAGTCGCGGTCGCAGCGCTCGGAAGGGACGCATTGCCGCCTCTGCCACACCTCAGAGAGCTCAACCCTCATCTGACGCGCATCGTCGGCGAGAGCTGGGGCGGGCCGAAACGAGCTGTGTCGCTACCGCGGCAGCAGGCCGTCTTGCTGTCGCAGACGGGCCATTCGTGGGCGCTGACGATGAACGAGGGCTTCAGTGGAACCAACGCAGCGCTGTGCTTCCAGCGCGTCTCGGCTGGCGGCGAAGCGAGCGCCGCTGGCGCGGACCCGAGCCACTGCGCGTGCGCGTTCGCCGGCACTCGTGCGTCCATCTTCCCGGAGCTCTGCCCGCTCCTCTGGCGCGTGGGCCCACGTGCCCGCCCCGACACCATCGGCACGGCGGTGTTCGAGGCCATGCCGGACGACAACGCCGCGGTAGCCCTCCTCAGGGATCACACTGTCCTTGGGCGACACGTTCTGCCGGGAATGGCGTCGCTGGAGGCGGGCATTTCCGCGATGCAGGCGATGGGATGCCAAGGAGCATTGCGGGATCTCGTCCTGATGCGCCCGATTCTGATCGGGGATGAGGGCCGCGTCTTGCTCGAGCTCCACATCGACCTGATCGCCGGGGGCCTAGCCCTGCTCGAGCCAGGGACCAGCCAGGCACCGTTCGCGACGGCGACGTGCGCATCGATGACGCTGCGGCACGATGCCGACGCCGCGGCCGTCAGCAGCTGCTGCCTCTGGGCGTCGAGGAGCCAAGATCCGTGGGTCGGCGCAGGCAGCCACACTTCTGCTCGGATCGACGTCGAGGTGTCTGGCGCAGGGCGTTTCTTGGCCCAGGACTTGGATGCTGGTCTGCAGGCCGGCGTGGTGGTGACGCGAGCTCGCCAGGACGTGCGGTGCCTCGTTCCTGTGGCAGTCGGCTGCGTGCGCGCTGAGGTTGAAGCGGGAGCTCGGCAAGCTTCGTCGGAGCACTCAACGTTCTCGTCATTGCATCGCTCGACTGCTGACGGTGGGCAGCGGCGGGGAGTGCACCTCTCGGGTCGCGGAGCGGTGACGCTCTCCGACGTGCAGACGAAGCCGCTGTCTGCGGGGCAGGCGTCGGATGCCGCGCGGACTGTCCAGCCAGTTCCAACACCGCGTGCGCTGTTCCTCCTGTCGAACGACGTGGCTGTGCAGCCGCTCCCCGCACCATCGGCCCCTTGCGTCGATGCCCGTCTGCGCTTCGGCCACGGCACTTCCTCTGGCACCGTCACCGCTGCGCAGCTGAGCGCTCGACGGCACGCAACGCATCCTGCGGCCACAACTCTGGCGGCCATGCAGGCTTTCCGGGCGGTGCTAGACGACCCCGCGGCGTCCGCTGACGTAGTGCTACCGCGAGCCGACGACGCATCCGGAGCTCTCGTCCAGGGCGTCACCAGGAGTGCCAACTCAGAGCACTCTGGAGGTGTCTTCCGTCATGCATCTCTCCGTCAGCCTGACGCCAGCTGCCACCCCCTCGACGTCCAAAGCAGCAGTGCGCAGTGCGGTTACGACAGCCGGATCGCAGCATGGCCACAATTGGTGGAAGGCCCTGTGCAGCTGGTGCCGGAGCCGCGCGGGTCGCTGAGCAGCCTGGTGGCGCGGCCGGTGGAGGGCGGCGGGCGCGCGCTGCGGCGCGGCGAGGTGGAGGTGGAGGTGCGCGCGGTGGGCATCAACTTCCGCGACGTGCTGAACGTGCTGGGGATGTACCCGGGCGACCCGGGGCTGCCGGGGGCGGACATGGCGGGCGTGGTGGTGGGGGTCGGGGAGGGGGTGCGGGCGGGCGTGGCGGCGGGGTCGCGGGTGGTGGGGCTGGCGGTGGGGTCGCTGGGGCCGCGGGTGCGGGTGGCGGGGGAGTGTGTGGCGGCGCTGGGGCCGAGCCTGACGTTTGCGGAGGGGGCGGCGTGTCCGACGGTGATGATGACGGTGGACATGGCGGTGGGGCGGGGCGCGGGCGTGCGGCGCGGGGAGCGGGTGCTGGTGCACGCGGGGGCGGGGGGCGTGGGGCTGACGGCGGTGGCGGTGCTGGCGGCGATGGGGGCGCGCGTGGCGTCGACGGCGGGGAGTGCGGGGAAGCGCGGGGTGGTGCGCGGGTGCGGGGCTGGGGCGGTGGCGGGGTCGCGGGACGTGGGGTACGCGGAGGCGGCGGTGGCGGCGCTGGGGGGTGTGGACGTGGTGGTGAACAGCCTGACGTCGGCGGGCTTTGTGGCGGGGAGCGTGGCGGCGCTGGCGGCGGGGGGGCGCGTGGTGGAGATCGGGAAGCGCGATGTGTGGAGCGCGGGGCGCGTGGCGCAGGAGCGGGCGGACGTGCGGTACGGGCTGGTGGCGGTGGACTTTTTGACGGGCGGGGTGCTGCGGGGGTGCGTGGAGCGGGTGTCGGGGTGGCTGGGGGCGGGGGCGGCGGTGCCGCTGCGGCAGGTGGGGCACGCGATGGGGGCGGTGGCGGCGGCGCTGCGGCAGATGTCGCAGGCGCGGCACGTGGGGAAGGTGGTGGTGGTGCGCTCTGTTCCCTACGACGCACGGCCGCTGGCGATCACAGGCGGCTCCGGAGCCCTGGCCGGCGCCATCACCGCGCGCTTCGCGACCAGCGCGCCGTCGATCGTCCTGCTATCGAGGTTCGGGGCCCTGCCTCGATCGTTCGGGGGCGATGCACTGCGGGGGGTTGTGTCGGCCCACAGCTGCGACTGCTCGTCGGCGGAGAGCCTGGCGCACCTACGTCTACCTCGGTCAGCGGTCTTGCTGCACGCCAGCGGTTCGCTCCACGACGCGATGCTTGCGAATCAGACGCCGGGCCATGTCAGGGCGACGCTGGCTTCCAAGCCTGGTCTCGGTCGATTGGGCGGGCTCTTCGCGGGGCAGCCCACGCCCATGGTCGTGGCCTTCAGCTCCGTCGCAGCAATCCTGGGCAACGCCGGGCAGGCCGGATACGCCGCTGCCAACGCCGCGCTCGACGCAGGGGCGCTTGCGTCACGGCGGCGCGGCCTGCCGGCTGTCGCGGTCGAGTGGGGCGCCTGGAGCCTGGCAGGAAGCATGGCAGACAGCGAGCAACTGCGTCGACTGCTTGAGCGGCGAGGTCAGGGCATGCTGCGCCCGGAGACCGCCCTGGCGGCGCTTGAGGCCGTGTTTGACTCGTTGTCGGGGAGTCTGACGTCGCTTTTGGAGGGTTCCGTCTTCATCGCGAACCCCTTCGACTTCCCGCGGTTCCTCCAAGCCGAGCAGCACCAGGCCGGGATGTTCGTCGAGTTCGCTGCGGGCGAGGGCATCGACATTCCCGACAGAGAGGCCCCAAGGCAACGTCAGGCACCGCTTCGCTCGTCCCCGGAAGCGCGCGGGCTGGACATGTCGGTCGAGACGATCAGCATGAAGCTGCGGGACATCTTCTCGCGCGTCACGGGCGGCGACGTCGGCGAGGATGAGCCGATGATGAGCGCCGGTCTTGATTCTCTGTCTTCTGTCGAGTTTGCCGCTACTGTCGGGTCCGAGCTGGGCGTCAGTCTGTCTTCGACCGTCACCTTCGACTACCCGACCATCTCGGCGCTCGCATCGTTCATCGGCGACGCGTTTGGCAGGACACCCCCACCTGCTGCGCCGCTGGTCACCAAGGCAGCCGGAGCGGTCAACGCGCTGTACATCACCGCCATGTCGGCCGACGTGCCCGGTCAGGAGTGCTCGAGCGCTCCAGCGATTTGCACCAAGGACACCGTGGAGCCGCTCCAGTGCCTGCGGTGGGACCCTGACAACCTCGCCGTCTCTCTCCCGCTTCCTGCGGATGGCGTTCGACGTCGCTTTGGCTCGTTCCTGAGCGGCTTGATGGACGTCGATCGCTCGATTGTCGGACTGGGACGCGCGGAGGCTGCAGCGATGGACCCGCAGCATCGGCGGCTGCTGATGCACGCAGCAGCGGTGCACAGTGGCCTCTGCGGGGATCGCTACGCCGCCGTCCATGTCGGTATTTCCTGGATGGAGTGGGGCGCTCTGGCTTCGAGGATTCGTGAGCCAACGAGCCCGTACTCGTCGCAGGGGCACCTCACGTGCCTGGCATCCGGGCGCATCGCTTTCGTGCTGGGGCTGACGGGGGCGTGCGCGTCGGTCGACGCTGCCTGCGCGTCGTCCCTCGTCGCAGCGCGCGGAGCGCACCTGGAGGTTGCTTCGGGATCTGCGAGCGCGGCGATCATCGGCGGGGCGTCGGCGATGCTGTCGCCGGAGTCAACCAACATGTTCGAAGTGTCCGGCATGCTCAGCCCTGACGGCCGGTGCAAAGCGCTCGACCAGGATGCGGACGGCTACGTGCGGGCGGAAGCGATCTCCGTGATCGCGGCCGCTGCGCCCACAATCTGGACCGACCAGCATCCCCAACCTCTGGCTCTCCTGCGAGGCTCGGCGGCGGCACAGGACGGCACCTCGTCGTCCCTGACTGCGCCGAACGGCCGCGCTCAGACGGAGCTGCTGTCGAATGCCTTGACGCAGGGAGGTGTAGCGGCCGGCGAGGTCTCAGGCTGCCACCTGCATGGGACCGGGACTTCGCTTGGCGACCCGATCGAGATGGGAGGCGTTGCGGGGGCGCTCCTTGCGGGGAGAGAGGCCGGGGACGGCCAGGGTCCGCTGGCGGTCGCGGCCACCAAGTCCTGGATCGGGCATGCGGAGGCGGCGAGCGGACAGGTGTCGTTGATGCAGGCATGCTGCGATGCAGCATCGCGTGGCCTGTCGCCCCTGCTGCACCTCCGGGTCGTCAACCAGTACGTCGCAGCTACGGTCGAGAACGCCAAGGCTGATGCGGTCGTCGCGATTTCTCGCACGCATGGCCCGAAGCCGTCCCTGACGTCGACCAACATCTGGGGCGTCTCGGCGTTCGGGTACCAAGGGTCGCTGGCGCACGTCCTTGTCGACAGCCCGGGCGACTCGGCGCCAGCTGTCGACCCGGCGTCTGTCCCCTGGCAGGAGGAGCGTGCTTCGATGTTGCCCCCTCTCTCACCTCTGCTGTCTGGCCTGCACGTCACGGCCGGCACCGCGGTGTTCGACGTCTCGGTCGACAGCCGCACCTTCGCTGGGCTGAGGGAGCACCACGTCTTCGGTCGGACCGTGGTCCCAGGAGCAGCGTTTCTGCGCGCCGCGTCGGCAGCCGTAGCGATGCTCAAGGCGTCAGAGATCTCCGCTGGGCGTTTCGACTGCGTCGAGCTATCGCACGTGGCGATAGTCGCGCCGATGTTCCTGTCGCACGCTGAGGCGAGCTCGTCTGAGCGCATGCGCACCGCCGTCGACGTCTCAACAGGCTCCGTAGAGATTTCTTCAGCCCGGGACGACGCTCGTGTCCACCAGCACTTCGAAGCCCGAGTTCAGAACGTCGGCGTGCCGGTCGAGTTCCTGCGGCCTCGAGACCAGCTGTCCCGCGGCGGCGCACCCCAGGGGCTCCTCGCAGGGACAAATTACAGCAGCGCGCGACACAGTATCGTTTGCGGTCAAGTCGCAATGCGGCAGGCCGGGAAGGCAGACCACAACGACAACGGCGCGCTGCTTGACGGAACTCTTCAGCTCGGGCTGCTGACGACCGGCAGGGAGGTCGTTGCGATGGTACCAGTCAGCATTGGTTGCGTGACCCTGCGTCAACCTGCCGACTCGCCATGGACCGTCGCAAAAGGGATCGCACGGGGCGAGCACTCGATGCGGTGCTCGTACGGTCAGGTGGCGGCGGAGTCGGGCGCAACAGCTATCGTCAACCTAGAGGCGAGACAACCAAGAAGGAAGTCGGACATCGGGCTACCTGACGCAACTGAGGGATCTCGTCTTTCGATGCACCTCCTGCACGAGATCGAGCGCACGGTCGTGGCGCCGGCTCGTGACGAAGCGCAGGCCGGGCGCGCTGCTGCGGAGGGAGTCAGGCTTGCGTGTCGGGGTGCAGAGCCGATGCTGCAGGTGGTGCAAGGGGCCGTGACGACAACAGGCTCCGTCGTGCTCTCGTGCGACTCCGCGGATCCCACGAGCGAGGCTCAGTGGGGCATGATGCGCTCGGTTGCAGCAGAGAGTCGCGGTCTCTCAATCAGTGGGGCTTTCAACCTTTCTTCTGCAACAACTCCTCACGAGTCTCGAACTACCATTTCACTCGGTCAGGAGAAGTCTGTGCAGCTCACACACGGGCTGATGTGCTCTGGCGGTGCCGCCCTGGAGGCCCGCCTGGTCGAGTGTGTTGCGCCTGAGGCTGCTGGGCCTGTGCAGCTGGTGCCGGAGCCGCGCGGGTCGCTGAGCAGCCTGGTGGCGCGGCCGGTGGAGGGCGGCGGGCGCGCGCTGCGGCGCGGCGAGGTGGAGGTGGAGGTGCGCGCGGTGGGCATCAACTTCCGCGACGTGCTGAACGTGCTGGGGATGTACCCGGGCGACCCGGGGCTGCCGGGGGCGGACATGGCGGGCGTGGTGGTGGGGGTCGGGGAGGGGGTGCGGGGGGGCGGCGGGGTCGCGGGTGGTGGGGCTGGCGGTGGGGTCGCTGGGGCCGCGGGTGCGGGTGGCGGGGGAGTGTGTGGCGGCGCTGGGGCCGAGCCTGACGTTTGCGGAGGGGGCGGCGTGTCCGACGGTGATGATGACGGTGGACATGGCGGTGGGGCGGGGCGCGGGCGTGCGGCGCGGGGAGCGGGTGCTGGTGCACGCGGGGGCGGGGGGCGTGGGGCTGACGGCGGTGGCGGTGCTGGCGGCGATGGGGGCGCGCGTGGCGTCGACGGCGGGGAGTGCGGGGAAGCGCGGGGTGGTGCGCGGGTGCGGGGCTGGGGCGGTGGCGGGGTCGCGGGACGTGGGGTACGCGGAGGCGGCGGTGGCGGCGCTGGGGGGTGTGGACGTGGTGGTGAACAGCCTGACGTCGGCGGGCTTTGTGGCGGGGAGCGTGGCGGCGCTGGCGGCGGGGGGCCGCGTGGTGGAGATCGGGAAGCGCGATGTGTGGAGCGCGGGGCGCGTGGCGCAGGAGCGGGCGGACGTGCGGTACGGGCTGGTGGCGGTGGACTTTTTGACGGGCGGGGTGCTGCGGGGGTGCGTGGAGCGGGTGTCGGGGTGGCTGGGGGCGGGGGCGGCGGTGCCGCTGCGGCAGGTGGGGCACGCGATGGGGGCGGTGGCGGCGGCGCTGCGGCAGATGTCGCAGGCGCGGCACGTGGGGAAGGTGGTGGTGGTGCGGGGGGGCGCGGAGGAGGCGGGGGCGATGCGGGGGGGCAGCATGGTGGTGAGCGGGGGCGCGGGGTATTTGGGGTCGGTGGTGGGGGCGTGGGCGTGTGCGGGGGGCTGTCGCGAGGTGGTGCTGGTGGCGCGGACGGCGCACGAGGTGCCGGGGCGCGTGGCGGAGGCGGCGCGGGGCGGTGCGGGCGTGGTGCGTGTGGTGCGGTGCGACATGGGGTGCGGCGAGGAGGCGCGGGCGGTGGTGGGGCGCGGGCGGGTGTCGGCGGGGCGGAGGCGTGCCGTGGGCGGTGTGGTGCACGCGGCGGGCGTGCTGGCGGACGCGACGGTGGCGCGGCAGAGCGCGGGGGCGGTGCGGCGTGTGGCGGCGCCGAAGGGCGGGGCGGTGCGGGCGTGGGGCGCGCACGGGGAGGTGGCGGGGATGCCGTGTGGGGCGCGGGTGGTGTTTAGCAGCGTGGCGGCGCTGCTGGGGTCGGCGGGGCAGGCGAACTACGCGGCGGCGAACGCGGCGCTGGACGCGTGGGCGGAGGGGCAGCGGCGGGCGGGGGTGTGTGCGGGGAGCGTGCAGTGGGGGGCGTGGGCGGGGGAGGGCATGGCGATGGAGAGCACGGCGCGGCGCGTGGAGGCGCTGGGGATGGGGATGGTGGGGGCGGAGGCGGGGCTGGCGGCGCTGGAGGGGGCGATGAGGGGGGCGGCGGGGGTGGTGGCGGCGGTGCCGTTCGACTGGACGAAGGTCGCCATGTCGGGGTTGGCCCGACAGGCACCGGTGCTGGCGGAGCGAATCGAGGGCCTCCCTACGACGGCTGCTGTTGTCGAGGCAGTCGGCACTGCAGATGCACCCCACGATGCGGTGACGTCATCGGTCACGCGGGGCCTGAGCGAGGTGACTGACATCATTCGAGGTGAGCTTGAGGGCATCCTCGGCGTCGCGGTCGATCCGGACGAGCCGCTGATGCAGGCCGGGCTCGACTCCCTCAGCGCCATGGAGTTTCAGAACAACCTGGAGGCTCGACTGGATACTTCGTTGCCGCCGACGGTGGTGTTCAACTATCCAACCACGAGCGCACTCGCAGCCTACATCGTCTCGCTGCTGCGGCCGTCGATCACCCCGCACCCTGGCGAGCGACGTGGCCTCGCCAGGGCGCTGGGCCCCAAGGCCCTGCCAGCAGCAGTGATCGTCAGCTCTTCTGGATCTGTGCCAGGTGGCAGCAGCGGTCTCTTCGACGCCCCCGACGGGGTCACGACGATTCCGCTCGCCCGGTACAACGTCGAGACCGCGCAGATTGCGGGGCCGCTACCTGTGCCGGCGAGGTTCGCGGGCCTGCTGCAGAGCATCACGGAATTCGACTGTCCAGCGTTCAGCATCTCGCCCGCCGAGGCGACTGTCATGGACCCGCACCACCGGCTCCTGTTGATGCACGCGGGGTCCGTCATTCTCGACAGCTGCCGGGGCGCTCAGGCGGCCGCTGCGTTCAAGCAGGCGGGCGTCTTCGTCGCGACAGCCTCGACGGATTTCGCAAACATCGTGGGTGATGTGGGCTCCTGTGCGAGCGCTTACGCCGGCACGGGCAGCACTCTGAGTCCGGCTGCCGGCCGAATCTCGTTCAAGTTCGACCTGGCGGGGCCCGCGCTCGTCACTGACGTGGCATGTTCGTCAGCGCTGGTCGCACTCGAGCTCGCTCTGGCCGACATGGCCTCGGGCCGTCCCAGCGAGCTCGTCGGCGCAACTCACGTCTTCACCTTCCCGCGAGTCTTCACGATGTTCTCCGCCGCGGGGATGCTCGCCGTCGATGGGCGTTGCAAGGCTCTCGACGCTGACGCTGCGGGCTACGTTCGTGCAGAGGCAGTTGTCATGCTCTCGCTGCTCGCCGAGGGCCACTTGGGACCCGAGGAGGATGCACGGACATCTACAGTAGCGGTGCGCTCAGCAGCGATCAACCAGGACGGGCGTTCGTCGTCCCTGACCGCCCCAAGCGGCCCTGCGCAAGAAGCTGTCATTCGCGCTGCTCTGGCGCGGGCAGACATCAGACCCGAGGCGGTGACGGCGATGCAGATGCACGGCACGGGGACGCCACTCGGGGATCCGATCGAGCTCGGTGCGATCCACCAGGTCGCGGGCGGCATCGGTGAGGATGCACACCCCTTGGTGTTGCAGGCGACCAAGGCACGCTGCGGGCACAGCGAGCCCGCCGCGGGTGTGCTCAGCATACTAGAGGTGCTGCGTGTCTCGCCGATGCAGTTGTCGGCGCCGATCCTTCATCTGCGCCACCTCAACCCTTACATTGCAACTGCGATGTCGAATCGGGGGACGTACAGCGCCCCGCGCACGGCTGCCCCGCTGCCCTCCATGCCCGACTTCTCTCCGCTCTCGGCCACGAGCTGCGAGGTCGGCTTGGTCGGCGTGAACGCTTTCGCGTACATGGGCACCAACGCTTTCTGTCTCCTGGGCAACCCAACGAACGTCGAGAATCGCGTGAAGCGGCCCGAGCGTCTGCTCGACTGGGAGACTGCGCCGTGGCTGTACCCTCTGCTGCGACCCTCGGCTCTCGCAACGACGTTCGCGTCTCATTCGAAGCGTGGCGAGGTGTCCTTCGTTGCCATTTTGGACTCGCCGGCATCGGTGGATCTATGGGACCACCGTGTGCGCGGCCGACCGCTGCTTCCGGCCGCAGCGATGTTCGAAGCCATGGCACAGGCGACCTGGTGCCTGTCGGGAAGCCTCAACGGCGGAGGGTCGGTCCTCGGCCTGGCAGACGTTGCCATCATGACCCCAGTGGTTCTTGGTGCTTTGCGTGAGCAGCCCGAGCGTCTGCAAGTCCGGGTGGACCCGCGCAGCGGCAGCTGCAAGATCGGCAGGGAGAGTGCGAAACGCTCCAAGCGCACTTTCGCGGCGAGTGCGGAAGCGTGGGTGCAGAAGTTCGACGACAGATCTCAGCCGACTCACGGGCACCAGGCGCTGCGTTCCGCGCGGTCGCTCCAGGCTCCGGCGGACGCGGACAATGCGGACATGCGCCTGTCGGCGGTCGGCTTCGCGGCCTTCGCTTCGTCGACGGAAGGTATGCTGGTAGGCCCAGCAACCATTGACGCTTGCCTCCAGCTTTCGGCCTGCGCGCCCTTCCCTGGCGCGGAGGCGGAGCTCCGGGTCCCCGGCGGCTCCAGGGCGGTCGTGCTGCCAGAGCCCTCTCTTTTCAGAAGGGGACCTGCTGGCCTCGCGGCCTTCCCTTCTGACGACGAGAGGGTTGCCGGTGACGCGAAGCCGAGCGGGGATGTGTCGAGCTCTTTTTCGATCGGCGCGACGCAAGGCGAGTCGGGACCTTTGGCGCGCCTGTCGGGCGTCGTTGGTCGAGCGGTACAGGCAGTCGCGGAGCCGAGAAGGACGGTGGTTTCTGCAGGGAAGGCAGTCGGTGCTGGTGCGCCGAAACCTCAACTGACAGTCGACTGGCTGGTGTCACGGACGGTCGATACAGCCACGCGCGCTGCTCGCGAAGGCATGCTTGCCTGCGAGGTGGCGTTGGGAACCCACGACGCAACAACCGCCTCCATGATTGAGGTTTTGCACGACGTGTTCGACAAGGAGGTACCAGGCCTGGCGCTTGACACCGTCCTTCGCCGCAACGACGAGCTCTGGGGGGCACTGCGTTCCGCGAGCGGGGAACGGCGAAGCCTGAGCGCCGCAGGCACTGTTCACCAACCTGAGGCGGTTCGGGGCGCTCACCCGCGGATGCTGGTAGAACGACGCGCTGAGGCTGGAGCTGCAAGCGGATACGGCCTGCAGATGCATGGCGGTGCCGCCCTGGAGGCCCGCCTCGTCGAGTGTGTTGCGCCTGAGGCTGCTGGGCCTGTGCAGCTGGTGCCGGAGCCGCGCGGGTCGCTGAGCAGCCTGGTGGCGCGGCCGGTGGAGGGCGGCGGGCGCGCGCTGCGGCGCGGCGAGGTGGAGGTGGAGGTGCGTGCAGTGGGCATCAACTTCCGCGATGTGCTGAACGTGCTGGGGATGTACCCCGGCGACCCGGGGCTGCCGGGGGCGGACATGGCGGGCGTGGTGGTGGGGGTCGGGGAGGGGGTGCGGGCGGGCGTGGCGGCGGGGTCGCGGGTGGTGGGGCTGGCGGTGGGGTCGCTGGGGCCGCGGGTGCGGGTGGCGGGGGAGTGTGTGGCGGCGCTGGGGCCGAGCCTGACGTTTGCGGAGGGGGCGGCGTGTCCGACGGTGATGATGACGGTGGACATGGCGGTGGGGCGGGGCGCGGGCGTGCGGCGCGGGGAGCGGGTGCTGGTGCACGCGGGGGCGGGGGGCGTGGGGCTGACGGCGGTGGCGGTGCTGGCGGCGATGGGGGCGCGCGTGGCGTCGACGGCGGGGAGTGCGGGGAAGCGCGGGGTGGTGCGCGGGTGCGGGGCTGGGGCGGTGGCGGGGTCGCGGGACGTGGGGTACGCGGAGGCGGCGGTGGCGGCGCTGGGGGGTGTGGACGTGGTGGTGAACAGCCTGACGTCGGCGGGCTTTGTGGCGGGGAGCGTGGCGGCGCTGGCGGCGGGGGGCCGCGTGGTGGAGATCGGGAAGCGCGATGTGTGGAGCGCGGGGCGCGTGGCGCAGGAGCGGGCGGACGTGCGGTACGGGCTGGTGGCGGTGGACTTTTTGACGGGCGGGGTGCTGCGGGGGTGCGTGGAGCGGGTGTCGGGGTGGCTGGGGGCGGGGGCGGCGGTGCCGCTGCGGCAGGTGGGGCACGCGATGGGGGCGGTGGCGGCGGCGCTGCGGCAGATGTCGCAGGCGCGGCACGTGGGGAAGGTGGTGGTGGTGCGGGGGGGCGCGGAGGAGGCGGGGGCGATGCGGGGGGGCAGCATGGTGGTGAGCGGGGGCGCGGGGTATTTGGGGTCGGTGGTGGGGGCGTGGGCGTGTGCGGGGGGCTGTCGCGAGGTGGTGCTGGTGGCGCGGACGGCGCACGAGGTGCCGGGGCGCGTGGCGGAGGCGGCGCGGGGCGGTGCGGGCGTGGTGCGTGTGGTGCGGTGCGACATGGGGTGCGGCGAGGAGGCGCGGGCGGTGGTGGGGCGCGGGCGGGTGTCGGCGGGGCGGAGGCGTGCCGTGGGCGGTGTGGTGCACGCGGCGGGCGTGCTGGCGGACGCGACGGTGGCGCGGCAGAGCGCGGGGGCGGTGCGGCGTGTGGCGGCGCCGAAGGGCGGGGCGGTGCGGGCGTGGGGCGCGCACGGGGAGGTGGCGGGGATGCCGTGTGGGGCGCGGGTGGTGTTTAGCAGCGTGGCGGCGCTGCTGGGGTCGGCGGGGCAGGCGAACTACGCGGCGGCGAACGCGGCGCTGGACGCGTGGGCGGAGGGGCAGCGGCGGGCGGGGGTGTGTGCGGGGAGCGTGCAGTGGGGGGCGTGGGCGGGGGAGGGCATGGCGATGGAGAGCACGGCGCGGCGCGTGGAGGCGCTGGGGATGGGGATGGTGGGGGCGGAGGCGGGGCTGGCGGCGCTGGAGGGGGCGATGAGGGGGGCGGCGGGGGTGGTGGCGGCGGTGCCGTTCGACTGGGGGAAGGTCGCTGCGGGACAGCTCCGGTCCGTGCCACTCTTCGAGTCGATGCTGAGCGACGTTCAGCCCGCGCGGGCGCCCAAGCGCGTCGCCGCACCTGTGCAGCCAAAGCGGAAGACGCGGAGGGCCGCTCGGCGCGAGCAGGCTGCACAGGCCGCAGCCTCAGAGTCGGAAATCGAGGATATCATCAGGAGCGTGGTGCGGGACATCAGCGGCACGGACATCGGGGCGCAGGATCCGTTCATGCAGGCGGGTGCGGACTCCCTGGCGATCGCAGAAATGCTGAGCTCGCTCGAGAATCAGTTCGGAGTCAGCATTCCTCAATCGGCGCCGTTCGACCACCCGACTCCGGCCCAGCTCGCCGAGTTCATCGCGTCACTTGGGCCTCGGGGCGCTGGGCAAAGGTCAGCTCCTGCGTCAGAGGCGTCTGAGAGCGACCTTGGGAGCAGCGAGGACGAGGGAGAGACGCTGGTGTCAATGCGAGAGGAAAACGCGGTGGAGGACGTTGTGCAGCAGATCATCGACGCAGCGCACGTCGTCTCGGGCGTCGAGCTCGGGCCCGAGGACCCGTTCATGCAGACCGGGCTGGACTCCCTGTCTGTGGTCGAGCTGAAATCGGACCTCGAGGGACGTCTTGGAGTCGAATTGCCGACCACGGCGTTGCTCGACCACCCGAACGCACGTCGGCTGGCCGAGGCGATCGTCGACATGCAGGCTCCAGCTCCCCGCCGGGAAAGTCGCCGCGCGCGCCGCGTCGTGCGAGAGAAGCGCGACGTTCGGAGCCGCATTGCCAGCGCAGTCGAATCCTCGATCGAAGCGGTGCTCGGGGGGGACGACGTCGACATGACTGCGCCCCTGATGCAGTCAGGTCTGGACTCGCTCGGCGCGGTCGAGCTCGCGAACAGTCTCGAGACACAGCTCGGGGTGTCCCTGCCCGCTACGACGTTCTTCGACTACCCGACGCCCACCGCGCTGGTGGAGTACCTGGTCGGCGAGGTCGCGGAGGAAGAGGGCGAGGAGGAGGAGGAGCCGGTGCTGCTTATCGGGAGAGAGCTACAGCCCCGAAGGGGTTCTGAGCTGACCATCTTCATGTCGAATGCGTCTGTCAGGACTCCCCGTGACGCCCTGGCGTCCCTCAGGGAGGCAGACGGCGTGTCCAGCATCGGGTTGCCGAAGTGGACCGCCGACGCGGACTGGACTCCGGCTGGTTCGCGGGCGTCGCGCTTCGCAGGACTCCTCGGTTCAGGCGTTGATGACTTCGACACTGCCGCTTTCCTCACGACGGAAAACGAGGCGCAGTGGATGGATCCCTCCCACCGGCTGCTGTTGTTCGGGGCGTCGGAGTGCATCCTCGAGGCTACGGCGGACCGGAGCGTGTCCCTGCCGCTCCGCAACAAGAGCGTTGGCATCTACATTGGTATCTCCGCAGTCGACTTTGCCATGGAGAACGTGCGCCGCGACGAAAGCGGACCATACACGATCCTCGGCTCCGCGATGAGCCCGGCGGCGGGTCGGATCGCCTTCATGTTCGGGTTCAAGGGCCCCGCGATCGTCATCGACACGGCTTGTTCCTCCTCGCTGGTGGCTCTGCATCTCGCTTCGGCGGAGTTGCGCTCCGGTCGCACAGAAGCATCGCTGTACGGTGGCGTGAACGTCATCATCAACCTCGGTCTGCACGCCGGTTTTTCGCAAGCCGGCATGCTGGCGGCGGACGGCCGGTGCAAGACCTTGGACGCTGGTGCCGATGGCTACGTGCGGTCGGAGGCGTGCGTTGTTGCGGTGCTGCGGGCGGGGCGCGCGGGCGATGGCGGCGAGACGGGGGCCGCGGGCGTGGTGGTGCGGGGGTCGGCGGTGAACCAGGACGGGCGGTCGTCGTCGCTGACGGCGCCCAACGGGCCGTCGCAGCAGGCGGTGATGACGACGGCGCTGGAGGGGTGCGGGGTGCGCGGGAGCGAGGTGGGGGGCCTGCAGATGCACGGGACGGGGACGGCGCTGGGCGACCCGATCGAGATGGGCGCGGTTGAGGCGGTGCTGGTGAGGGGCGGGGGCAAGGGCGGTGCGGAGGGGCGGCGCGCGGCGCTGTGGGTGATGGCGAGCAAGTCGTGGATGGGGCACAGCGAGCCGGCGGCGGGGTCGGCGGGCATACACCAGGCGGCGTCGGCGCTGTCGCGGTGGGGCGTGGCGGCGGTGCTGCACCTGCGGGAGATGAACGGGCACTGCGTGCAGGCGATGAGCGCGGGGCAGTACGGGGCGATGCGGGGCGCGGCGCCGGCGGCGAGCGCGGATGGCGGGGGCGCGATGGTGATGGGGGTGAGCGGGTTTGCGTTCATGGGGACGAACGCACACGTGGTGATGGGGCGGGGCGACGGGGCGCCCGCGGAGGGCGGGGAGGGAGAGGTGGCGGTGTGGGAGACGGGGCGGATGTCGGTGGCGTGCGTGGCGTGCGGGCTGGCGGAGCGCGTGTCGGCAGCGGGGCGCGAGCGCGTGGTGCTGGAGGTGGGGGTGGCGCGGGCGCGGCTGGCGACGCTGTGGGAGCACAGGGTGCGTGGGCGAGCGGTGATGCCGGCGGCGGGGTACATGGAGATGATTGCGGAGGCGGGGCGCGTGCTCACAGGGGACGGGCCGCAGCGTGCGATGGCGACAGGTGCTGTTTTCGAGTCGGCTCTGATCTTGGACGGTATCATGTCCAAGGGCGGCGAGCTGATACTTCGTTGCGAAGTCGCTGTCCCCACGGGCGACACGCTCGTGTCCACAGCGACGTCCGTTGCGCGCCACGAGCACGCGCGGGCAACGTTCGCGACATCGGACACGCGCACAGCGGTTGACATCACGAAGCACCACCGCGCTGCGCTGGGGACGATCTGTGCCGACAGCGGCCTGGCGTTGGGCGCATTAGGTAGCATACGCGACGATACTGGACAGCGCGAGCGGGCGGCTGCGGTTCTCGGGGCAGCAGAGCTCGACACCTCGATGCAAGTGTGCGCGGTGGCAAGGCCGAGCGACCTGCTGATGGTCCCGGCGTCAGTCGAGGCTGTGGCCCTGCAAGTGCTGCGCGACAGGCAGCTGCATACTGCCGTGGTTCTCGGTGCGGCGACTCGGGAATCCGCAGTGCAGGACGTGAAAGCATCAGGCCAGGGCGGCGTTGCAGGGCGCCTCGTCGGCTTCGAGGCCCGGGCGGTCAGGGGGGGCGAGACGGCCGACCGCGGAGCGTTGCCGAGACATCGTCTGATGTACGAGGTTCAGCGGGCGGTGTCGACGGTGGGCGCGGGATGCGTCGTCGCAAAGCTGCAAGAAGGCATTTGTGTGTCTGGCGGCGACGCGCCGGCCTTGCTTGCAGCGATGCAGGCATCGCTGGCGTCTCACGCGGGAGCGCTCGGGCTTGTCGCGGGCGCAGACACTCCCGGCGGGGCGGCCTGGGGGATGTTGCGGGCAGTTGGTGCGGAAGCGCCGGCCGTGACACTTGGGGGCGAGATAATCGATCCTGGGGCTGGTCACTGGAACCTGAAGGCGCTCAAAGACTCTACAGGCATGGACGGAGACGGATACGGCCTGCAGATGCATGGCGGTGCCGCCCTGGAGGCCCGCCTCGTCGAGTGTGTAGCGCCTGAGGCTGCTGGGCCTGTGCAGCTGGTGCCGGAGCCGCGCGGGTCGCTGAGCAGCCTGGTGGCGCGGCCGGTGGAGGGCGGCGGGCGCGCGCTGCGGCGCGGCGAGGTGGAGGTGGAGGTGCGCGCGGTGGGCATCAACTTCCGCGACGTGCTGAACGTGCTGGGGATGTACCCGGGCGACCCGGGGCTGCCGGGGGCGGACATGGCGGGCGTGGTGGTGGGGGTCGGGGAGGGGGTGCGGGCGGGCGTGGCGGCGGGGTCGCGGGTGGTGGGGCTGGCGGTGGGGTCGCTGGGGCCGCGGGTGCGGGTGGCGGGGGAGTGTGTGGCGGCGCTGGGGCCGAGCCTGACGTTTGCGGAGGGGGCGGCGTGTCCGACGGTGATGATGACGGTGGACATGGCGGTGGGGCGGGGCGCGGGCGTGCGGCGCGGGGAGCGGGTGCTGGTGCACGCGGGGGCGGGGGGCGTGGGGCTGACGGCGGTGGCGGTGCTGGCGGCGATGGGGGCGCGCGTGGCGTCGACGGCGGGGAGTGCGGGGAAGCGCGGGGTGGTGCGCGGGTGCGGGGCTGGGGCGGTGGCGGGGTCGCGGGACGTGGGGTACGCGGAGGCGGCGGTGGCGGCGCTGGGGGGTGTGGACGTGGTGGTGAACAGCCTGACGTCGGCGGGCTTTGTGGCGGGGAGCGTGGCGGCGCTGGCGGCGGGGGGCCGCGTGGTGGAGATCGGGAAGCGCGATGTGTGGAGCGCGGGGCGCGTGGCGCAGGAGCGGGCGGACGTGCGGTACGGGCTGGTGGCGGTGGACTTTTTGACGGGCGGGGTGCTGCGGGGGTGCGTGGAGCGGGTGTCGGGGTGGCTGGGGGCGGGGGCGGCGGTGCCGCTGCGGCAGGTGGGGCACGCGATGGGGGCGGTGGCGGCGGCGCTGCGGCAGATGTCGCAGGCGCGGCACGTGGGGAAGGTGGTGGTGGTGCGGGGGGGCGCGGAGGAGGCGGGGGCGATGCGGGGGGGCAGCATGGTGGTGAGCGGGGGCGCGGGGGTATTTGGGGTCGGTGGTGGGGGCGTGGGCGTGTGCGGGGGGCTGTCGCGAGGTGGTGCTGGTGGCGCGGACGGCGCACGAGGTGCCGGGGCGCGTGGCGGAGGCGGCGCGGGGCGGTGCGGGCGTGGTGCGTGTGGTGCGGTGCGACATGGGGTGCGGCGAGGAGGCGCGGGCGGTGGTGGGGCGCGGGCGGGTGTCGGCGGGGCGGAGGCGTGCCGTGGGCGGTGTGGTGCACGCGGCGGGCGTGCTGGCGGACGCGACGGTGGCGCGGCAGAGCGCGGGGGCGGTGCGACGTGTGGCGGCGCCGAAGGGCGGGGCGGTGCGGGCGTGGGGCGCGCACGGGGAGGTGGCGGGGATGCCGTGTGGGGCGCGGGTGGTGTTTAGCAGCGTGGCGGCGCTGCTGGGGTCGGCGGGGCAGGCGAACTACGCGGCGGCGAACGCGGCGCTGGACGCGTGGGCGGAGGGGCAGCGGCGAGCGGGGGTGTGTGCGGGGAGCGTGCAGTGGGGGGCGTGGGCGGGGGAGGGCATGGCGATGGAGAGCACGGCGCGGCGCGTGGAGGCGCTGGGGATGGGGATGGTGGGGGCGGAGGCGGGGCTGGCGGCGCTGGAGGGGGCGATGAGGGGGGCGGCGGGGGTGGTGGCGGCGGTGCCGTTCGACTGGGCGAAGGTCGCCATGTCGGGCTTGGCCCGACAGGCACCGGTGCTGGCGGAGCAAGTGCACGGGCTTCAAGGGCCAGAGCCACGCCTGCAAACTATCGCCGGCACTGGTGCACCCCGGGACTCATCGGCGAAGCGCCACGGCCTTGCGAGGGAGACCATCGAGGCAACCGTCATGGCAGAGCTCGGCAGCGTTCTGGGCGGTGAAGTCTCGCCAGATGAGCCGCTGATGCAGGCTGGACTGGACTCTCTCGGAGCGGTCGAGCTGGCAAACAATTTGGAGGCACGTCTCGGCGTCGCGTTGCCCGCGACGGCACTGTTTGACTACCCAACACCTCGCGCTCTTGTCGACTTCTTGACGTCTGAGACGGGGGTCGACGAGGACGTGCTGGAAGTCGCTCGCGTCGCCGCGGCACCTGGCGCGGCACCGACGGAGACAGTGGGTGTGTTGCAGGCAGTGAGGGCCATGTCCCCTGCTGGGGCTCTTGACTCCTTGGTGGAGGTCGACGCTGTGGTGCCAGTGCCGCTGGAGCGATGGAACGTCGATCGGCAGGCAACTGGTGGGATGTTGGGTGTGCAACAGCGATTCTCGGCAATGCTGAGCGGCGTGGATGCGTTCGATGCAATGCCGTTTGGATTGAGCCGCGAGGAGGCCGCCATGATGGACCCGCAGCACAGGCTGCTGCTGATGGCGTCGGCTGAGACGGTGATGGACGCGGGCGGCGCCGAAAGCATGCGAGGATACGGGGTTTTCGTCGGAATCTCGACCACAGATTACAGTTCTGTCCTGGACCGGTCTGGACAGAGCATTTCCGCGTACTCGGCGATCGGAAACGCGCTGTCTGCGGCTGCGGGGCGCGTGGCGTTCTCGCTGAACATGAAGGGGCCAACGGTCTCGGTGGACACGGCGTGCTCGTCTTCGCTCGTTGGTCTGCACATTGGGATGGAAAGCATGGCGCGGGGGCGGTGCGACGGACTGCTTGCGGGCGGCGTCAACCTCATGCTCATGCCCGACGTCACGTCGATGTTCTTGCGGTCGGGCATGCTGTCGGCGGACGGCCGATGCAAGACCTTGGACGCCGGTGCCGATGGCTACGTGCGGTCGGAGGCGTGCGTTGTTGCGGTGCGGCGGGCGGGGCGCGCGGGCGACGGCGGCGAGGCGGGGGCCGCGGGCGTGGTGGTGCGGGGGTCGGCGGTGAACCAGGACGGGCGGTCGTCGTCGCTGACGGCGCCCAACGGGCCGTCGCAGCAGGCGGTGATGACGACGGCGCTGGAGGGGTGCGGGGTGCGCGGGAGCGAGGTGGGGGGCCTGCAGATGCACGGGACGGGGACGGCGCTGGGCGACCCGATCGAGATGGGCGCGGTTGAGGCGGTGCTGGTGAGGGGCGGGGGCAAGGGCGGTGCGGAGGGGCGGCGCGCGGCGCTGTGGGTGATGGCGAGCAAGTCGTGGATGGGGCACAGCGAGCCGGCGGCGGGGTCGGCGGGCATACACCAGGCGGCGTCGGCGCTGTCGCGGTGGGGCGTGGCGGCGGTGCTGCACCTGCGGGAGATGAACGGGCACTGCGTGCAGGCGATGAGCGCGGGGCAGTACGGGGCGATGCGGGGCGCGGCGCCGGCGGCGAGCGCGGATGGCGGGGGCGCGATGGTGATGGGGGTGAGCGGGTTTGCGTTCATGGGGACGAACGCACACGTGGTGATGGGGCGGGGCGACGGGGCGCCCGCGGAGGGCGGGGAGGGAGAGGTGGCGGTGTGGGAGACGGGGCGGATGTCGGTGGCGTGCGTGGCGTGCGGGCTGGCGGAGCGCGTGTCGGCGGCGGGGCGCGAGCGCGTGGTGCTGGAGGTGGGGGTGGCGCGGGCGCGGCTGGCGACGCTGTGGGAGCACAGGGTGCGTGGGCGAGCGGTGATGCCGGCGGCGGGGTACATGGAGATGATTGCGGAGGCGGGGCGCGTGCTCATGGGACAGGCCACCAACCGCAAGCTCTGTTCGTCGAACGCTGCATTCCCTTCTGTGCTCAGTCTTGACGAGGCGCCACCGCTCTGCGTCGTTCTCGACACCTCGACCTGGCAGACCTCCATTTCTGCGGCAGGACACACTGTTGCGGTCTGCAGCTACGCCTCGGTCGGTGAGGTAGCAGGAAAGGACTGCAACGTGGCGTCTCGTGCTCTGGTGGCGAACGCAGGGCGGTCTTGCCACCAGGCGCATGGTCTTGCCATTCGCATGGGCCACGTCAGTGGCCGCAGTACCGATGGCGCTTTCTGCATGGATGTCGGAGAGGCCGCTGCAGGTGGGCAGCTTCTTGTGCTAGACAACTCTGAGCTGTCGCTGCTCGCCTCTGCGTCGTGCGTGCTGGCTGACGAAGCACAGCCGTCAGCTCGGAGCAGCGGCGGCCATCTGCTGGCTGATGCGGACGACGGGGATGCGACGTTACACGCCAGCTCCTTCATCGTACAAGGCGCATGCTTCCGGCCCCTCGACGCTCTGACGTTCGTCGCGGGAGAGGTGACGCCAGGACTTGCGTCGGCGGCGCGGACAAGCGCCGCGCCCCCGGCCGTCTCAGCAGAGGCACCCAGCAGGACGGGGATGTTGTACAAACTGAGACGACTCGTTTCCGAGACGAGCAGGGACTCAGCCGTCGCGACGGACGAGGCCGCGCGGAGCGCGCGGCACGAACGCTGCATCGATGTCGCCGTCGCGTCCAAGCAAGGCGGAACAACCGTCCAGACGTCCGCTGCAATCCTTGCGGTGACAAATTCCGTCCATGACGCTGCACGTGGCGTTCGCGACTCGGATAGAGAGAGTGCCGTTCCGGTTCGATCGTCTGTTTCCGGGCGGCGTACGCAGACTGAGCGCGCGTCCGGCACCGGAGTCGTCGCTCAACTGGCGGTGAAGGTTACCGCAAAACGTGGAAGCGGCCGCGCCGCTGCGGCAGTGGCGATCGAGCGCTGCGCCCGCGAGGAGATTTCCAGCATTGCGTTCGGGGCATCTGTGCTCAACGAGTCCGCGGCCCACGTGACAGACCTGCCGGCCGCTGCTGTGTGGCCGGTGGCTGATGCAATTCACTCCGGGCCCCCGGACGTCAAGCACGTGCAGTCTGGTGCCACGGAGGTTGAACGCTTGCATTACCTCGGAGGCGCGGCTGACAGATCGGAGAGTCTCGAGCGCAAGAGAGCTCTGGAAGGCAGCTTCCTTATCACGGGGGGCTCCGGGTACCTGGGGTCGGTGGTGGGGGCGTGGGCGTGTGCGGGGGGCTGTCGCGAGGTGGTGCTGGTGGCGCGGACGGCGCACGAGGTGCCGGGGCGCGTGGCGGAGGCGGCGCGGGGCGGTGCGGGCGTGGTGCGTGTGGTGCGGTGCGACATGGGGTGCGGCGAGGAGGCGCGGGCGGTGGTGGGGCGCGGGCGGGTGTCGGCGGGGCGGAGGCGTGCCGTGGGCGGTGTGGTGCACGCGGCGGGCGTGCTGGCGGACGCGACGGTGGCGCGGCAGAGCGCGGGGGCGGTGCGGCGTGTGGCGGCGCCGAAGGGCGGGGCGGTGCGGGCGTGGGGCGCGCACGGGGAGGTGGCGGGGATGCCGTGTGGGGCGCGGGTGGTGTTTAGCAGCGTGGCGGCGCTGCTGGGGTCGGCGGGGCAGGCGAACTACGCGGCGGCGAACGCGGCGCTGGACGCGTGGGCGGAGGGGCAGCGGCGGGCGGGGGTGTGTGCGGGGAGCGTGCAGTGGGGGGCGTGGGCGGGGGAGGGCATGGCGATGGAGAGCACGGCGCGGCGCGTGGAGGCGCTGGGGATGGGGATGGTGGGGGCGGAGGCGGGGCTGGCGGCGCTGGAGGGGGCGATGAGGGGGGCGGCGGGGGTGGTGGCGGCGGTGCCGTTCGACTGGACGAAGGCCGCGACCAGCGCACTTGCGAGAGTACCGATGCTGGAGGACGAGATCGCCGGCGCTCGGGCGTCCATCGAGCACGCCGGCGCCCTCTCTGCGGTCTCGCGTGGTGCCCAAAGGGGCGTCGAAGGGGCTCTCACGCCGCAGGGCATTGCGGAGGAGCTGTCTGAAATGATCGAGGACGCGCTTGGCGCCTCAATTGGGCCAGACATGCCCTTGATGGAGTCGGGTCTCGATTCGCTGATGGCAGTTGAGCTGCAAGCGAAGATGGACCGTCGATTCGGGATGGCGCTGCCGCCCACGCTGGTGTTCGACTACCCGACGATCAACGCGATGTCGCAGCACATCGCCGAGCAGCTCGGCTGGAGGCCTGGTGTGTCGGACACGACATCGATCGTCCGAGGGGGGTCTCTGTTTGTGTCAGCTGGTCAAGGCGGGCTCCTCGCACGTGCTCCTGAACCTGTGCTCGTCTGCTCCGCCACGAACGCGTCCTTCGATGGCCGAGCAATCGTCTGTGCCGCAGCCAAGGAGCAAACCGCCCACGTCCCGATGGCACGGTTCGACCCTGACTCCGCATCGGCCATGGCAGCTGCGGACGGCGCCCGGCTCGCAGGACCGATCCGGTTCGGGGCCTGGATGGACGGGGTTGAGCTCTTCGACACCAGCTTGTACAGGATCCCTCGCGTAGAGGCGGAAATGATGGACCCGCACCACCGGCTCCTGCTAAGTCGTGCAACAGTGGTGGTTGCCGACTCTCGGCCGCCCGTCCAGATCGTGGGCGGCGCGGGCGTGTACGTCGGCATCTCGACGGAGCCAGGTTACAGCGCCATCTCACGCGAGGCTTTGAAGCTCGGCGGAGAAACGGCATCGCCGTTTGCTGCAACGTCCTCCCCGATCGGAGCTGCTTGCGGGCGGATCGGCTTCCTGCTCGGCATGGGCGGGCCGACGATGAGCGTGGACACAGCGTGCTCGGCTGGCCTGGTCGCGGCGTCAACGGCGGCATCCGCCATCATGTCCGGAAGCATCGGCGCGGCAGTTGCGTGTTCCGTCAAGCTGAATTTGACGATAGAGCCGTATTTCGCGTTGGCGGCCATGAGCGTGCTGAGTGCGGACGGCCGCTGCAAGGTCTTCGACGCATCGGCGGACGGGTACGGGCGGGCGGAGGACTGCGAGGCCATGTGGCTGCAGAGCGCGCACTCGACTCATCAGGACGTGGCGCCACTCGCTCTCCTCGTGTCGTGCGCGGTCAACCAGAACGCTAGCGGGACGTCGCTCACCGCACCGCATGGGCCATCGCAGCAGGCGCTCGTCAAGTCCGCGCTGGTGTCGGCGCGGGCGACTGCCGCGAGCGTCGCAGGCGTGTTCCTGGCAGCCAACGGAACCCCCCTGGGGGACCCGATCGAGACCAACGCGCTGGCGGAGGTCTTTGCGCCAACGGGCGGAGACGAACGCGTCAGTCTGATGTCGTCCAAGGGATTCTTCGGACATGGCGAGCAGTCATCTGGGACCAGGAGCATGCTCGAGGCACTCCACATGCTGCAAGCCAACGCCCTGCCGCCGGTGCTGCACTTGCGAGACCCCAGTCCGGCGATCAAGAGCATCCTCGAGACGCCGTGGACGCCCGCGATCAGCCGGTGCGAGGGCCCGAACGTACAGGCTTCGGCAGACGCGCTGTTCGGAGTGTCTTCGTTCGGGTACGCAGGAACCAATGCGCACGTGCTGCTGCGCCGCACCGCTGACGTCGAGGCCAGCGCACATGGCACACTGGGTCCGTCGGCCGTCGAGGCGATCGCGTGCTTCGCTCCGGAGCGGTGCTGGGTGCTGCCAACGGAACCGCTGTGGTCCAGGTGTATGTCCGTGCGCTTCGCGGGCGCTCAGTCCAGCTTCACCGAGGCGGCGTTCGAGGTGGGGATCGACAGCACTCGCCTCGCTTCGGCGCTGGCTGGCGGACCGACGCGCAGCGCACTGCCAGGCAGCGTGCTGCTTGACGTCGCCAGTACCGTTTTGAGCACGATGACGCCGCGTCCGCAGGGTCTCGGCCTCGGACTGCTCGCAGTCTCGCTGGTCGCGAGCGGCTTCAACATCTTGGGCCCGCGGAGGGGAGCGCAGGGCTCCGCGGCACGCGTTCTCCACGTGAAGGTGAATGCATCCAATGCGCGTCTGATCGTCCTTGGCCTGCCGGCCTCCGGGGGCAAGCGCTTCGTGGAGCTGCTGACCTGCCGCAGCGGTGCGGTCCGGGGTGCTGCAGCCGGGCCGGATCGTCGCCGCACGTCGCAGGTGGTGCCGATTGCCTCCGTGCATTTGGTCTCCAAGCTAGTGGTTGCTGCGATGTCGGTCCCGGACGCAGCCACCAGGGGGATCGGCGCCTTGGAAGCGGCCACTCAGACACTCGCTCTCGGACCGGACGTGCGACAGGGGGCGGTGATTCAGGGAGTCGGCGCGCTCGTGGCGTCGCAGTGTCGTAGCAGCGCTGGACCTGTGGCGACTGCTGGCCACGGATGCGGTGCTGCCCGATGCTCGGACGCCGCTGTCAGTCTGACGGGCGTCGCGTTCGCGGCGGAGGAAGCGGCGGTTCCGAGCCGTGTGGGCGCCAGCCGCGGCCTCGTCAGGCAGACGTCGATCCCCAGCCACCGCCTCGCAGCAGAGGGGACGGTGGGCGTCCCGAGCGCAGTGAGCATTGCTTCTGCGCGGGGCGCGGAGTCGCTCAGGCAGCTGATTGTCATGTCGAAGCAGGAGCGCAGCGAGCACCTCGAGGGCCTCATTCTGAGCACTATCTCCCGGGTCGTTGGGGCCGACTTGGACCCGGAGGACAAGATCGCCGACGCGGGTGTCGACTCCCGTGCTGCGTTGCTCATCCACACCGACCTCCGCACCCGCACCGGCATCGACGTGCCGCTCATGGACGTCTTTGAATGTCAGACGGCGGCGGAGCTGAGCGACGTCCTCAGCCGGTTCGCAGATCGAGCGGCCGCGGAGATGGCGGACGATGGCGCGGGGCCATCGGGTCAGCCAGGGGAGGGAGGCGAGGTCGAGGTCAGCACGACCGCGACGTACAAGTGGCTGTCAACGCACACGCCGCCAAAGACGCTCTTCCTGGCGACGCCGATCATCATCGAGGGCCCTGCCGCGTACCGCACCTTCTCATCGTGGGTGTCTTGGGCCGGCGCCGACATCGTGGTCCTGCCCAAGGATGATACGCTCTCCATCATGCAGCTCGCGGAGTGGGGCGTGCGCGACATCCTCTCCGTGCAGCCGAAGGGCCCGTACCTCGTGGGCGGGTACAGCCACGGCGGGATCATCGCGATGGAGATCGCGATGCAGCTCGAGTCGGCGGGGCACGAGGTGGGCCTTGTGGTGCTGTTCGACCCCCCGACCAAGGAGATGATGAGTCCGTTCAGCCCGCACGAGACGTCCGCGTCGGACAAGGATGTTCAGGACCTCATGGAGATGGTCCTGTGTGCCCTGGGCCCCATGGCGACGGGCAGCAGTCTCAAACCATGGGACAACCCCGAGTGGACAGGCCTGTCGTTCCAGGACAAACTCGCATTCTTCTGCACAATTTACGACGGCTTCGGATATCACTTCACACCGGATACCCTTCTGGCGGATCTGCGGAAGCGTGCACTGGACCACAAGCTCGGCCGCGCAGCGAACGACCCGCGGCTGCACACGTTCTCCAGCCGAGTGCTGCACTCGCTGGTGCTGTACTACCGCTGCACGGAGAAGGCCTCACACTTCCTGATCGACGACGTCTGGACAGGGCCGCACGCGCACGGGCCGGCATGGAGCCAGCACGCTGCAAACGTGGAGATCTTCCAGGTTCCAGGTTCGTGCACTTTTCCTTGCAAATGGTGCGATATGACATGATGCGACTCCGACGCCGCCTGCTCTCACGTGGCGTCCGCTACCAACCTGACACTTTCCGCAGGGGACCACTACACCGTGCTCCGTCAGCGGGACGAGGACGTGCGCATCCTGGTCGACGTCCTGCGCGCCAGGCTCCACAAATACGGTTGGCTGGATGTTGTGCCCGCCACCGTGCAGCAGGCGGTGCGCGACGAGGAGGAGCTTGCGGTGCGCATGGACAGCCTCATCTCGTACCTCCAGGCGACGGGCAAGTTCAGCGGCACGGAGACGCAGGCCATTCGCCGCTTCGTGAGCGACTTGGAGGGCCTCTCCGTGGCTGCGTGCGGCGCGACGCAGCTGTCGACGATGACGTCGCTCTCGCCCCCCCGCCTGCTCGAGTACCTGAACGAGGTCGGGCTGGCGTCGACGCAGAACGAGATCTACGTCATCCACGGGCTGTCTGGGGACTGCATGGCCTTCCGGGACGCGATCTGCAACGGAGGCATTGCCAGGCACTCGGCGGAGCGCTTCGTCGGGATCCAGCTTCCGCCGATCAAGGCCCTGAGGACCGCCGGCCTGCACCGCAGCATCGCAAAGCTGGCCGCGTTCTACGCAGGGTTGATCACCGCGGTGCAGCCCGCCGGGCCGTACTACATCGCGGGCCACGGGCACGGCTGCGCCATCGCGCACGAGGTCGCGCGGGGCATGCAGGAGCAGGGCCTCGACGTCCGCAGCGTCATCTTATACGAGGACCGCGTGTTTGCGGAAGTCAGCGACGCATCGGCGAAGATGTGGCTCCACCTTTGGCCCCTCCTGAGTCAGTATGCGTCGGTTTCGATGGACACGTTCCTGCGCGTGACGCGTGCGCATGAGGCGCGAGGGGACGGAAGCTCCGAGGCGCTGTATCACGAGTTACTGGAAGCAGTGATGCATGGCAGCAGCGTGCAGGGCTCCGACGATGGCGAGGGTTCGGGGCGTGCAGTTTCAGTTCATGGCGCTCCTTCGCCCGACCATGCCGAGCTCGTGCAGCGGGTGGACTTCCCAACCGCAGTAGAGTGGCACCAGCTGGTTCGCGACGCCGCCCGCGCGTTGAGGGAGGCTGCGACGCGCGAGGCGAGCGCCGGGGACTGCATCGCGCGCGCAGTGATGACGCTGACGGCCCGCGACCTCGCTGGGGCGGCGGAGACCGCAGCGCCGTCGACCGACACGGTCCTACTCAGGTCGCTGGGGCTGCGGCAGCTCGAGGACGTCGCAAACATGCTGGCGACCCTGGTGCCCGGCGCGTCATATGATCTCGCCGACAACTGCTTCGCGTGGCGTGTGCGGGCCGCTTCGACCCTGCATGACGCCATGAGCGGATCCGCAGTGATCAAGGGACCGGTGTCGGGCGCGTCGGTGCTGTTCCATCGCGACGCGAGGTGCAACGCGCAGCAGTTGGTGTCGAGCAGTGCTGGGGTGTTGGGCAGCGTTGCGCGGGCCCTCCAGCCTCTTCTCGTCGTCCAGCTGCCTGAGCTGGCGGGCGAGGACGACGAAACGTCCGCGCTGGTGCACAACTCCGCCCTCAGGGACGTGCACGACGCTGCCAACCTGTTTGCGGAGGGCGTGCAGGAGGTCCACAGCCCCTGGCGCTGCCGGGCGTGGATCCTGGAGAAGGCGGACCGGGCGCACGCTCTCGCAGCCCTGGATCGCGCGCGAGAGGGTTCGCGGAACGTCTGCCGCGACAACAGCAACAGCGTTCGCGTGGCACGGAACCGCTTCTGCCCCGAGGATCCGACGGGCGCGAAGAAGAACGCCCCGCCGCCGCCTGCGGGCATCACCGCGCCCCCGACGCTGCGCGTGCCGCTGTGGATCCTCGCGGACGAGCGCGGCCAGTGCATCGGAGGCGCGGCATGCTTCCTGCACAGTCTGCCGTGCCCGGCCTACTTCCTGTCCTGCGCGGACTACGGGGAGTTCCGGCACCTCGACAGCGTCGCCGAGGCGTACGCCAACGTCATCGTGCGCGAGCAGCCCGGCGGGCCGTATGTCGTTGTCGGGCTGTCGTTGATCGGGTCGCAGCTCGCTGGGCGCGTTGTCGACGTGCTCACGGGGCGCGGGGCGCGTGCGGCGGGGGTCTTCGTCGACGGCACGCCCGCGCCGAGCGCGATGCGGCGCGAGAAGTTCGACGTGTACGCGCTCTTCCACTCCCTTGTCGACCTCCTGCCCAGGGAGCAGCAGTTCGAAATGCTCGGGGCAGCCATTGCCGCCGAAGACAAGGACATCGAGGAGTCCGGAGCGCCGTCTCCGGCGGCCTCGGGCGCTGGACCGAGCCAGCCTCGACAGACAAACTACCCAGAGATGCGCAGATTCCTCGACGCGGTCCACGCGGGGGACGCGAGTGGCGCAGGGAGCGAGGCGAACCCGCAGACGTACAAGGTGCCGCTGGCCGTGTTCGCTGAGGTGAGTCGTGCCAGTTTGCGGGTTTGCGGCCCCTGGAGCGCGGCGCTTTCTCTGTTGATGCTTATTCTGTCTGCCGACCTCCTTTGCACGTTTTGCGCGCAGGTTCTGAGCGGAGCCGAGACGTTGCACGACCAGCTAGTGTGGCTCCACCGCTTCAAGCCCGAGGGCTTGGGCATGGACACGTTTAACACGCTCCTGCTGAGCAGTTTGAAGCGCGGCGAGGTGCTGGAGAAGATGTCGAGCCTGAGCGAGATCTCTCACAGGGCGGACCCTCCGCTGCGCAGTGCAGCCACCGCGCTGCTTGCGCCGTGCGGCTCGCAGGGCCCTGCGCTCACTCGCTCGGCGCGGGCGGTGTGCCAGGCGGAGGTTGTGGTGGACATGCCTTGGGCGCACGGTGCTGCCGTGTCCGGGGAACAGAACCGGTCCCGCACCAGCGCAGCGATCATGTCGTTCGCGGAGAGCTTCGTCGCGGCCGGAACGGAGCTTCGGGGGTCGCCGCAGGAGCAGGATGGGGCACCCAAGTGGTGGTCGGTTGCAGGCGCGTTGCTCGACTCGGCTTCGGCGACTCAGTCGGGCGGGAGCCAGGTCGCGACGCCCAGAATCTACGGGGCGGGCGGGCAGTACGGCGGTACGCGCCACGCACAGCGCGGGGCGCACGCAGGGCCAGGGACGCAGGGCCGACCTGGGTTCTTCTCGCGCCTGTTTGGCCGCATGCAGCGCTGAGACGCGACGTCAACCCACTGCTCGTAGTTCGTACGGAGCGCAACCGTTGAGTGCGGAGACGTCCGATAGAGCATTGATGTTAGTCTGTCCGTCATAGTGGGGGGGTGTCATCCGATGCTGTGCACGTCGCTTTCCTCAGAGTGCCCTGAACGGAATCACACGCCAGAGCGACGTACACACCACCCGTCAGGGCCCGCTCATCAGCAGCACGATCTGAAGAAAGCGGGCACCACTTGTCTTGGTCCACAGGGCCTGTCATGACATCAGACTTCAGACTACCATCGCGCCCTTGACCCCACAGCTCTATATGGCCGTGTACGTGCGCACCAAAATCAGCAGCTGTGCTGGCCCGCAAGCAGCGTCCTGCCACGTCCTGTCGCAGCGCCGTGCCGTCCCCGCCGTCTCGCTGCCTACATCGGCAGCAGCTTGTCCTTGAGGAGGATCTTCAGGAGCGCCATGCGGATGTACATGCCGTTCTTCGCCTGCCGGAAGTACGCCGCGCGGGGGTCCTTGTCGACGTCGACGGTGATCTCGTCCACACGCGGCAGCGGGTGCATCACGATCGACTTCTCCGGCAGCACGCGCATGATCTTCTCGTCGATGATGAACTTCCCCTTGGCATCCTCGTAGTCCTGCGGACGGTCCACGAAGCGCTCCTTCTGGATGCGCGTCTGGTACAGCACGTCGCAACGCGCCGCCACCTCCGCGAGGTCCCCGGCCTCCTCCCACGCCACGCCCTTCTCGTTCAAATAGTCCTTGATGTCGTCGCGCATCTTCACGACCTTGGGCGCCACGAACACCATCTTCACGTCCTTCGAGCACCGCGCCATGAGGTAGGCCAGCGAGCGCACGGTACGCCCGTTCGCGAGGTCGCCCACGAGGCCCAGCCGGCAGCCGTCGAGGGTTCCGAGCTCCTTCTTGATCGTGTAGACGTCCAGGAGGGCCTGCGTCGGGTGCTGCCCGGGGCCGTCGCCGGCGTTGATGATGGGCACGGACGACACTGACGCTGCCTCCTGCGACGCCCCGGTCTGGAAGTGCCGGAGCACGATGACGTCGGCGTACCCCTCCACAGTACGGATGGTGTCCGCGAGCGTCTCACCCTGCAGACACGCGAGGTGGCGCGGCGCTTGCAACACCTTTGCCGCATTTGCCCGGCAGGTGTGCACCGCACAACAACTGTGCCACTCCGGGCTCGCACCTTGGCCCCGGAGGAGAAGTCGCGGGCGTTCTCGGTGGAGATCAGCTCGCCGCCCAGGCGCGACATGGCCGCCTCGAACGACAGGCGTGTTCGCGTGGAGGGCTCGTAGAACAGGGTCGCCATCACGGACCCGGACAGCATCTTGCCGCGCGGGTCGTGCGGATCGCGACAGATCTCCTCCATCTCGTCCGCCGTGTCGAAGATGTGCTGCAGCATCTCACTGCGGACACAACAACAACAGGGGCCCCGGGGGTGGGTGTTCAGGACACTGGTCTGACGGGGAAAGCGCGCGTGCGAGGCCAAGTTGAAGCCGAGCTCGCAGCCTCGTTTGGAGTGCGGAGCGCGCCGGAGACCGCTCGGGGCGCAATGAGCAAGCGAGTGCTCACTTGTTAAATTGCTGCGCCTCAATGCAGTGCTTGAGGGGCCATCCTGGCTGCACGGCCGACTCCGCGCGAGCCTGCGAGCACAGCGACGGCGCGCGCGGGACAGGGGTTGAGCGCAGCGATCTCTGGATGCCGGCTCGGCAAACAGAAGTCTTGTCTGTCATGCGGGAGAAGCGAGCGGGGTCGAGCTGGTGGTGCGCGAGGCTGCCGCGACGAGACGCGTCGTCATCGAATACGGCGTCTGCGATCAGGTTGAGCGCTGCGGACCGCGCGGCCCGCGCGTCACGCGGGGCAACAGATTCGTGGCGTGCGAGCACAGCGCGCGCGTCGATGGCCTGATGTTCCGCGCGCGCGCAGGATCGATGCGAGCAGCGAGGGCCTCAAGAATCGTCCATGCGCCGTCAGGGGACGCCATCTCCGCGGACGGCGCGTGCACGGACCTTGACCGAGACCCTCTGGCGGCTGCCCCGCCGGAGCGCGGCGCCCTGTGCTGCGACGGGCGCGGACGATGCGACGCTCGACAGCATTGCGACGTTTGAGACGAGCGCGACGGGAAGGACGCGCCGCTGTTCCTCAGCTGCTGTGCCTGCTGCTGATGGGCTTTTTGGCGGGCAGTGCTACTACTCGACCAGCGCGGCGGCCGCGGCCCGACAATACGACGGTTCGCGCGCGAGATGATTCCTCGCCCGGGCGAGAACTCCCACTGCGCGCGACGCCACCGCGCGCTGCCAATTTCGCGCTCGGCGGCCGGTACAACGTCTCTGCGGCGTCCTACCTTGGAGGGTCCGCATTGGCCGCCCGCACGCGTTCGCCACGTCGCTCGACGCCAGGATGGAGCAGGGCCACTTGTACGAGCTGTTCGCGGTGTCCATCAAGCCGGCGCCTCGATAGTTCCGCCGAGAGAGTCGCTTGCCTTGAGGTGGGAGGGGACCTCGCGGAGCTGGTAGGTAGCGCGCCGACGCCGAGGCTGTCGGGCCCGGCAGGGCACTAGCAAGATGGCGAGCTCTTCGACGGAGTGGCACACCAGGCCGGTGAACGAGAAGAACCCGGTGGTGTTCTTCGGTGCGTCCTGAGCACCGCGCAGCGTCAGTGCGGCGCTGGCCGCGTTGAACAGCGCGACAGACCGCGTCGGCGCCGCGCGCACTTCGGACAGAGCACGACGCGGGCCGTTGAGCGGCGGGCCGTCACCTCGTGCGTCGCTTGCTGGCCTTGCAGACATCACGATTGGGGACGTTCCAGCCGGGAGGATCAAGATGGAGCTGTGGGCGGACGTTGCGCCGAAAACGGCCGAGAACTTCCGGCAGTTCTGCACGGGCGAGCACCGCAAGGCCAACGGGCAGCCAGTGGGTGAGCGACCCCCCGAGAGCTGGCAGCACCATCCTTCTGGCCACGGCCGCTCGCACGCGCAGAAACACAACGGTCACTCACGTTGGAAATCGCGCAGGATACAAGAACTGCCCGTTCCACCGGATCATCAAGGACTTCATGCTCCAGGCACGTGCTCCCGCCCCAGAAGCCCACTCCGCTGCACTGGCACGTCCACGCCGTGACACAGCGGCGTCGGCCGCGCGTGACCGCAGGGAGGCGACTTCGTCAAGGGCGACGGCACGGGCGCGATGTCGATCTACGGGACGCGGTTCGCGGACGAGAACTTCACGGCGCGACACACGGGGCCAGGGCTGCTGTCCATGGCCAACTCGGGGCCCGGGACGAACGGGTGCCAGTTCTTCATCACGTGCGCCAAGACGGACTGGCTGGACGGCAAGCACGTGGTGTTCGGGCGCGTCGTGGGCGACGGCATGCTGGTGGTGCGCAAGATGGAGAACGTGGCATGCGGGCAGAACAACAAGCCCCTCATGACGGTCAAGATCGTCGAGTGCGGCGAAATGTGACTGCGCGGTCGCCAGCCAGGGGCCCGGGCCGCCCGCGCGGCCGGCGCGCGCGCACGCATCGCACGCGGGCGGACCAGCGACCCGCACGGCAGCCTCGATTGATAGTGCGGCGACTGCGGTTCGGACAGGGTCACTCCTTGCCCTCAGGCTCCTCCGCTTCCGGCTCTGGTCCGCCCGTGAAGACCCCGACCTCCGAGGGCCGCACTATCCGCCCGTTGAGGCTGTACCCGGCCTTGATGACCTGACCCACCGTCTTGTTCGGCTTCGAGGGGTCCGGGATCTCAAACAGCGCGTTCATCGTGTTCGGATCGAAAACGCCCCCCGGACCGATCTCCGCACGCTGCACCCCGTGCGCCGACAGCGCCTGCAATGTACAACGCGGCCCGCACGTACAACGTCACCGCACAAACCCGCAGGCACCGGCCCCTCCGCGCCGACAGCAGCGCAGCACACCCAGCAACGCACGGGGCCCCAGCTGCCAACGGACCCCAGCGCGTCGCGCCGCGCACCTTGAGCAGGACCGCGTCCACCATCTTGACGCCGTCGTACAGGCTCTTGATCTGCGCGAAGTAGTCCACGCCGTCCTTCGCGGCGCCCCCGGTCTTGACCTCCTCCGGCACCGCGTCCATCGCGCGCGTCAGGTTGTCCGGCACCTCCAGGATGTCCCGCACGAAGCTCTGCAGCGCGAAGGCCTTGGCCTGGTCGACCTCGCGCCGCGTGCGCGCCCGCAGGTTCTCCATGTCCGCCGCGAGCCGCAGCGCGGTCTCCCGCGCGTCCTTCGCCGTCGCCTGAGCCTCCTCGAGGTCCTTTTCCAGTCGGGCCAGGTCCGCCTTGGTCTGACTGGTCTCCTCGTCCGACGAGGACTCGCTCGAGCTGCTGCTGCTCGCCTGGGCCTCCGCCGCGCCGGCCTCGTCCTCGGCCTTCTTCGCCTCCTTCTCGGCGTCGTCCTGCACGTCGAACACGCGCACGCCTGGGTTTGAACGCTGCGACACGTGCGGCGCAGACTCCTAGGACGACGACGCATCGTCGTGACAGCCGAACCGCGCCGACTGGGATGCGGGGTCGCAGGCCGGGCACGGCGCGGTCGCGACGTGCGGAGGGGCGGCGGGGGCTTGCCTTGCCGCCATCGGAGAAGACCCGCGCTCCGCTCCATCCCTGAGACCCAACAGACCCGAGGGGCCGCATCGCCTGCAGCAACAGCGATGAATGCTCCGCATGGTGGGGCGCATCGCGGTTGGTCGGCCCTGAATTGCCTCCCTGCCTCGTGTCACTCAGGAGCTGGGCAACATGGGTGGCGCGTGCGAGAATGACAGGAAGCATTGGCTTTATTCGGACAGAACAAAGTTCCAACGAACAAGGGGGTGGGAATGGACGTCGATGTTGGGGCTGCACGCGCTTTCGCAGGACGCACACGGCTGCTAATCTCTCCCGCCACCCACCACAGAGCAAGGCCGGCTACCTGACGCAAACAGCGCCCACGAGGCCTCACCGAGGGACAGCTGAGAGGTCAAGCACGTAGAATACATGTGCGCCGGGAGCGGGGACACGCGGATGTCCGAGAAGGGCGCACCTGGGCGAGAGCCGCACGGCCCCATAGGGTTCTTCCAGAGGGCGCCGCTGCTTCCGCTGCGGAGATCAGGGACCCCGCGTGCGGGCGCAGGGCTGCCAGGCCGCGAGCGAGCCGCCCGCCGACGTGACGCGACGCCATCGCTGCGGCGGTACCGGAAGCCAGTGCGAGGTGCGCAGCTGCGGGGTGCTTCTGTGGGATGTGTGGCCGCAGCGGGTCAGACAATGACGGACACGTCGCTCGTGGACGTGCGGGAGTGCCGCGGAGGCGCCGCGGCGGGAGGCAGAGTGCGCGGCGTGTGCCGGTCGGACGCGCAACGCCTGGACGGACCACGGCGCCCTGCTGTCAGCGCGGGTGCCCTCCGGCGGCTGGTCGGGCGCCGAGAAGGGCGGGCGCGGCGCGGAGGCGTTGCCACTGTTGGTGGCAACGTCGTCGCAGGCGCGGGTGCTTCGGAGCCCTGCCACAGACGCGTCGCGGGCCGGGCGCGGTTTGGCGGCTTGCGGGCAGGAACTGGGGCAGCGTGCGCCGCTGGGGGCTCCGCGGGGAGCCCGGTCGCCCGTCGTGGCGCTGAGGTGATCGTACGTCGGGGAAAGCGGCGATGGTCTTCCTCTACAACCTGACGCTCGCCCGGGCGACGGGCGTTCAGGTGCGGACCGGTTCGATGCGGGCCTGCACGGCGATCTGCGCGGCCTCCGCGCTCGATCCCCGCGAGACAGGCGGGCTGGAAGGTCTCTGCAGTCGTGCCGCGCAGCGAAATCGCGTCGCGACGGCGCGGGCCGCACCCCGGCGCGCTGAGAGCCGTCTGCTTCGTGGAAACCAGTGCGCGCTGTCGTGGCGTGCGCTCGTTCGACCTTTATACACGCGGACGAGGGCTCGCTAGAGACCTGACATGCTGGTGGTGGTGCAATCGCATGAGGGCACGCCGCTGCTCTAGTGCGGCTCTCGTCTGAGGGCCAGCTCACCCCTGCTCGCCCCCTGGCCGCCGCAGTCGGCCGTTGCGGGCTCTTTCTCGGCTCCCAAGGCGTACGAAGTCGCGGTGTCCCGCGGGCGCGTGCTGGACCTGCTCCGCCTGGAGATGAACGAGATCAAGAACGAGCAGGGCAAAGTCACGGGCCACGAGCTCAGAAACGTCGCGGTGCGCGCCCAACCCTCTACACGGCGCGCCACTCGAACAGCACATGCCACACAGAGCACCGCGGCGCGCGGCTGTCGCGGCACGCCGCGGCAGACGGCCCTTGGCATCACAGCAACGCGCCAGGCGTCTGGCCGTGCTCTCGACGGGCGCGACCCCTCATCGGCACGCCCCAGCCCCCATCCCGACCCCTCCGTCCCTCCCGCCCGCAGATCGTCTCCTCGACGGAGATATTCGGCCAGATTCGATCCCTGTCCGCGTTCCGCCTCCCGGGCACCAAGACCGACTACCTGATCGTCGGGTCCGACAGCGGGCGCATCGTCATCCTCGAGTACGTCCGCGGGCGCAGCAGCTGGAAGCGCGTCCACGCCGAGACGTTCGGCCGCTCGGGCTGCCGCCGCATCATTCCGGGGCAGATGGTTGCCGTGGACCCGCGCGGGCGCGCGTGCATGATCGCGGCGTGCGAGAAGCAGAAGTTCGTCTACGTTCTCAACCGCGACTCCTCCAGCAACCTCCTCACCATCTCCTCCCCGCTCGAGGCCCACAAAAAGGACCACCTGTGTTTCGGGATCGTCGGACTCGACTGCGGGTTCGAGAACCCCGTGTTCGCGGCGCTCGAGGCCGACTACGGCGACGTCGACGCGGACCCGACCGGCGAGGCCGCCGCGGCCGCGCAGAAGGTCGTCGTCATGTACGAGCTGGACCTGGGCCTCAACCACGTGCAGCGCAAGTCGGCCACGCCGGTCGACAACGGCGCGAACATGCTCGTGTACGTCCAGGGCGGGGACGACGGCCCCGGCGGCGTGCTCGTGTGCTGCGACAACTTCGTGCAGTACCTCGCGGAGGACGGCTCGGAGGCCTCGCGGCTGCAGGCGGTCCTGCCGCGCCGCGCGGGGCTCCCGGAGGACCGCGGGACGCTCATCGTGGCCGCCGCGAAGCCGATGAAGGGCGTGAAGGGCGAGCCGCTCTACCTGCTGCAGGTGCGCGCCATGGCGGCGTCAGCCAGCTACCCCGCCGGCCTTGCCGCTATCACTTTGTGCGTGCAGCTCGCACGGCCGACTGGCCCGGTGCATGTCGACGCGCCGGCACGGCGCTCGGTGTCTGGTCTGACTGTGTCAGAAAGACGACGACCATCGACGGTTCGGGGGACTTGTTTTCGTGATGCACAGTGGACTGTTCGCCGGCTGATGTTGATATTGTTCAGCAGCGCCGTGCGACGCCCCGCGCGCCCCGCCGCCTCCCCCCGCAGTCCGAGTACGGCGACATCTACGTCTGCACGCTGCTGCTGTCCGCCGAGGGCACGGTCAACGAGATCAAGGTGACGTACTTTGACACGATACCACCCTCCGCGTCCCTGTGCGCGTGGAGGTCCGGGTACATCGTCGCGGCCGCGGAGTCCGGCAACCACGGCGTGTACCTCGCCTTGCGCGGCCTCGGCAGCGACGACGACCCCACCACGTCGAGCAACGACAAGTACGACCTGGACGAACACGGGCTGCCGATGTTCCAGCCCAAGGTGTTCGAGCCGCGGGCCCTGCGGCTCCTCGACTTCGTGGACGAGGTCCAGTCGCTCTGTCCGATGACGGACATGCAGGTCGCGAAGCCCGCCGGCGACGACATCCCCAACATTTACGCCGCGTGCGGGCGCGGCTCCACGGCGACGCTGCGCGCGCTGCAGCCCGGGCTGTCCGTCGCGCCCATCACGGACCCCTTCCCGATGCCCGGCGTCCCCAAGGCGCTGTGGACGCTCAAGCGCTCCCTCACGGACGACCGCACCGGATACATCGTGGTGTCGTTCGCCAACGACACGCTCGTGCTGGGCATCGCCGGGGAGATGGTCGAGGAGGTGAAGGACTCGGGGCTGCTGGACCGCGTGTCGACGATGCACGTGCAGCTCATGGCGGACAACTCCCTGCTGCAGGTGCACCCCGGCGGGCTGCAGATGGTGAAGCAGGACGGCCGGACCTTCGACTGGCCGTGCCCCGCGCGGCAGGCGGTGAACAAGTGCGCCGTGAACTCGCGGCAGGCCGTCCTGGCGCTCACCAACGGCCGCATCATGTACTTCGAGGTGACGGACTTCGGGGTGCAGCAGGTGGAGGAGATGGAGGAGCCCCTCAGCGACGCGGTCGGGGGCGCCGAGGTGGCGAGCCTCGCGCTGCCGCCCGTGCCGGAGGGCCTCAAGCGCGCGCAGTTCCTCGCGGTCGGGCTCTTCGACGGCACGGTGCGCAACTTCTCCGTCGACCCGGAGGCCAACACAGTGGAGCAGATGGGCCTGAAGAAGTTCCAGCGGCCGCCGTCGTCGATGCTCTTCCTGGCCTCGGCCGGTCTGGGCGACCAGGAGGAGGCCACGATGGCGCTGGGCGCGTCGAGCCTGTTCCTGCAGGTGGCCGAGCAGCACGGCGTCCTGACGCGCATTGCCGTCGACAGGACGACGGGCGCCCTCGGCGACCCGCGGCAGCGGTTCCTCGGCGTCGTGGAGCCGCAGCTGGTGCCCATGATGGCGCGCGGGCAGCCCGCGATGCTCGCGCTGACGTCGCGCACGTGGCTAGGGTACAACGACCATGGCCGGTACCGCCTCGAGCCGCTCGCGATCCCGCCGCTCGACCACGCCGCGAGCCTCGAGATGGAGGGCGTCCCCGACGCCATCGTGGGGGTGTCCCAGGCGGGCCTGATGTTCCTCACCATCACGCAGCTCAACGACCCCTTCCACCAGACGACGTCGCAGCTGCGGTACACGCCCCGGCGCGTCCTCGCGGACCCGGAGAGCGGGAAGCTCATCGTGTGCGAGGCCGAGCACGGCGCCGTGCCGGTCGCGCAGCGCCAGGACGCGGGCGGCGGCGCGGAGGAGATGGACATGGAGGTGGAGGGGGAGGGCGGCGAAGACGCCAAGGCGCAGAAGGCCGTGGCCGCGCTGGTCGGGGCGCCACGCGCGGGCCCGGGGCAGTGGGCGTCGTGCATTCGCGTGGTGGGCATGACGCCCGAGCTGCCGACGCTGGCGCTGGAGGAGCTGTCGGGCAACGAGGCTGCCCTGTGCTGCACGATGATGACGTTCGCGAGCCGGCCGGAGCTCGGGCGGTGCCTCGTGGTGGGGACGGCGACGGAGGTGACGTTCCGGCCGCGCGCAGCGGCGGCGGGGCACATCCGCGTGTACACGATGGACGCTGCGTCAGGCGCGCTGGCGCTGGTGCACTCGACGGAGGTGGCGGGGATCCCGGGGGCGCTGTGCGAGATGCACGGGCGGCTGGTCGCGGGCATCGGCAACGTGCTGCGCATGTACGACTGCGGGAAGAAGCGGCTGCTGCGCAAGTGCGAGACGACCGGCAAGGTGCCCACGCACATTGTGTCTCTGGCCGCGCTCGGGGACCGGATCTACGCCGCGGACGCGATGGAGAGCGTCTTCTTCCTCAAGTACAAGCCAGAGGACAACATCATGTACCTGTTCGCGGACGACGTGTCCCCGCGGTACTGCACGACGATGCTCCTGCTCGACTACGACACCGTGTGCGTGGCCGACAAGTTCGGCAACGTGGGCGTCCTGCGCCTGCCCGCGGACGCCAGCGCGCGCGTGGAGAACGACCCGTCCGCGGGCAAGGCGTTCGACACCCCGGGGGCGACGTCGGCGCCCTTCAAGCTCGAAGCAGTCTGCAACTTCCACGTCGGCGAGGTCGTGACGAGCCTGCGCAAGACGGTGCTGCAGAGCGGCGGGACCCCGCTGATCTGCTACGGCACCATCGGCGGCGCAGTCGGCGTGCTCTACCCCTTCGCAAACGAGGTGCGCAGAGTGCTGTCGTTGCCGATGCAGGATGTCATACCTGGGTAGCTGACCACTTGCGTGCTAGCTGGCTGCGTGACGAGCGCTCAGGCGGCCGAGGCGCGAGCTCGATGGTGTTTGCGTGGTGAATCGTGCAGGAGGATCGCGACTTTTTCCAGGACCTGGAGCTGCACATGCGGCAAGAGCACCCCCCCCTGTGCGGCCGCGACCACATGGCGTACCGCTCGTACTACTTCCCGGTGAAAGGCACCATCGACGGCGACCTCTGCGAACAGTTCGGCAGCCTGGCGTCGGCGGTGCAGGCGGACATTACATCCGGGCTGGACAGGCCGGCGAGCGAGGTGCTGAAGAAGCTCGAGGACATACGCAACAAGGTGTTGTAGCCGGGGGGCGGACGGGCACGAATGCGTGCTGTTGGATGCATTCACACGCTGTGTAACTTCCGCAAAACGACCCGCGGGGGGGTGTCAATGGGTGGCGGAGTGTTGGCTCGCAGGTTGTGGAGCGAGACCCTCGCTGTGTCAGCCGAAGCCGCGAGCGCCCTCCGCGTAGCTGTGTGCGATTCGGCGGAACTCCTCGCCGCGGTGCGCGTACCCGCGAAACTCATCGAAGCTCGCTGCGGCCGGCGACAGCACCACCGCATCCGCCCCCAGCTCCCTCGCCATGTTGCGCCCCGCCTCGCACGCCCCGCGAAGCTTGTCCGCCCGCCAGACCTCCAGAGCAGCCCCGGCTGCCTTGAGCTCCCTCGCCATCTCGCCCCCGTCACGGCCGAACACGACCACCCCAGCGTGCTGCTTCAGCGCATGCAGGAGGCGCGCCATGCCGAGGCCGCCGCCGGGCTCTCGTTTCGCGCAGCCTCCGAGCAGGACTATGGCGTTGTACGTGCCTTCGAGACCGCGGAGCCCCGCCAGAGTCGACTCGACGTTCGTTGCTTTGCTGTCATTGATCCACGTGAGATCACGTCCCGTACGCGCGCCCTCTTTCAGCACGACTTCGCAACGGTGGGGCGGCGTCGCGAGCTTCGCAACAGCTCGCCCCAGCACAGCGGGATCTTCCGCGATTTCGGGCCTCGCCGCGACCGCGAGAGCTAGCGCCATGGCAGCATTTGCAAAATTGTGGTTCCCGGTGACCGGCATGAGCTTGTGAGACACGTCCACCCTGGCTGCGGCCGTAGAAATGTGCGGCAGCCGGAGCCGCGCCGCGCCTTCAGCGGTGTCCGTCCACACCATGCTCTTCGAAGCGGCAATGTCCGGGGCGTCCTGCGCTCGGGCTTGCGCCTCATGCAGGACGTCGAAGAACTCCACGACGGTCGCAGCCGATCCGCTGTGTTTGAAAGCGTCAGCGACGAGCGCGTCGCCGCTTGGAAGCACGGCCGTGCTGCCAGGGCACATGCGCGCAAAGAGCGCTGCCTTGGTGCGTGCGTAGCTCTCCATCGACCCGTGGCGCTCGAGGTGGTCGGGGGTCAGGTTCGTCAGCGCTGCCACGTCAGGCGCGATGGGTCCTGCGCAGGCACACGTGCAGAAACCGTTGCCTGATGCACAGAAACGCCAGCAACGCATGGTTTCGGCCGTCGCCGGAGGCGCGCCTTGGAAGTCGGGGCAGTCCCGGGCACGGGGCGCACCTGGCAGCTCGAGTTGAAAGCTAGAGAGCTCGAGCACGACCGCCGTCGGCGCCCCCGCAGCCGTGCCACCCTCCTCTGCCTGCAAAAGCTGCAGTGCAAGGTCCGACAGCGGGCTGCCGAGGTTCCCGCCAGCCCACGTCGAGATGCCGCACGCCTCGAGCAGCTGGGCTGTGTAGGACGTCACCGTGCTCTTGCCATTCGTGCCCGTGATGGCGACAGCAGTGGTGCCACGGTGAGCCCGCCAGCCAAGTCCGCCAGGGAAGTGCGCCCATGCGAAACCGACCTCGCTGTACACAGACTCGATACAAGGAAGGGCTTCATCGAGGCCTGGAGCCGTCAGCGGCACTCCAGGCGACACCACGAGGACATCGGCCTGGCGCAGCAGCGCGGCCTCGTGGCGCCCCAGCTGCGTCGAAACGCGTCCACGAAGTGCCGGCTCAATGCGCAACGACGGGTCTTGTTCAAGTGGCACCAGAGACTCGTTCGAGTCGAACGCCAGCACCCGTGTCGCACCGAGCTGCGTGTGGCAAGAGCACCAAGGTTAGTTTTGCAGCAAACTCGACGACTGCATCGTTAGACCAAGCCCTCTCGAGGCAGGTCTCGTGTGGAACATGTTCAGCCAGCGTGCGGCCGTGCACCACCTGCAGGGCAAGCTGCACGGCGGAACGGCCGCTCGCTCCGCACCCCACGACGCCCACAGTAGCGCCCGCGAGGTTCCCGCTGGATCGCGCGCACGCTTTGACAGCACGCGCTGCACGCGCTGGAGCGAGGCGAGGCCTGCGAGGTGCCCAGGTGCGCGTCGGGCGGCGTCCACTCAGCTGCATGCACTCGCGCGTCATTTACCAGCGCAGGCATGTGCGACGGCGACCGCGCTGCGAACGTGCGGTCGCGCCGTCCGGCGTCTCCCCTCGCGAGAGCGCGGCGGCTCTCCCGTCGCTGCCCTCAATAGGGCGCTCGGCGGCTGTCAGCAGTGGGGTCCTCAGGTTGGCACCCCCCTGAAGTAGGCGACTTCAGGCCCCTCCAGCGCTCTTCGCATCGCACGAGCGCGCGAATCAAACACGTGTGACGAATCTCTTGCACCTCCTCTGTCGATTCGCGGAAGTTCGTATCGTTTCGTGACGTGAGCAGGTCAGCGCAGCCGCTTCAATTAGGTAGCGATCGCCTACCAAAAATCTTGCACGCCGCGGTGCAGTCCGTGGGATATATTCCCGCCGCGTTCCACAGCACCACGAGGCGTTACCGAGCGTCACCGTTGCCAAGCGTACTGTCCATTTTGCTGTATCTCGCGCATGTGGACGAAATGCGCCTCTAACTGAGCGTACCCCCCTTTCTGGAGCTCCTGCGCCTCTGGCGTACAGTTGAGGACAAGACACGCCAATGGCAAGCAACCGGGGAGAGTTCCCCATCTATGGAAGCGAGACGCACGACCATCATGAGAAACGGCCGCGATTCCATACTGCACGCCGGCTCAGAGTCACATATTTCACCCTTGCTCTCAAGCACATGTTTTCTCGCCACGGAAGCCACCAAACATGCAACCCGCCTGTTAGAGTGTACATGTGTGTGGGGGCGCTGGGTCGATTCATGGAGAGCGACGTGCTCTGAGCCCGTGAGCGGCCGATGCTTTGTGCGAGCACTGTGCTCCGGCGCACAGGGATGTGACGGCGAAGCGTGGCCACAAAGCTGCCAATAGCACGATACCGACCATCCAAAGCAGCGAGTAGCAGACATCCCGAGAACAATGTCTACATGTGGCGAGCGGGGCGCCACGGATGTCCGTACATGAAGGTCTTGGCTCCTGGAGGGCGAGAACTGGGTCTCATGCAGAAGTGAGTCCGCGGCATCCGCATGCGTGATCGAGACGAGGGACACGTCAGATTGTTGGCCGCTCTTCTGCCTCAAGTGAAGAGGACGACGCATGTCTGAAGAGCCATTGATTTCATGCGAGCCTGCGCGACGACCGCTGTGCCTTGTCGTGCGCCTCTGCGCGAAAACAGCGTCTCTCAGGAATCGTATGTACAGGAGCGGCCCGTGGACGCCCCCGCATCTCTGAATCGTGATGTGGGCCTGGGGGGCCCGTTGCCTCGGCACATGCACATCTTTGCCGCCCTCTGGAGCCACCAATTGGGGCACGCCGTGTGCGAGTCGCCTTGCACGGCCTAGCCCGACGCATGCGCAAGCGTCTCAACGCATGCTCGCGAGCATGTCGCGGAGGATGCAGTGACCAACGAGACATGAAAGTTTGCAACAAGGCACTGCGTCACACAGCATGTTTGGCCCCGCGCACCCTCGCTGTGGCCTGCCGCACGACCCCCTGCGACGTGGCAGCCCGGCGGAGGCATGCGCGCCCGCGCGAGGCGCAGCGGCACTGGCACGCAGTGACGGCGAAGTTTCGCGCTGCCCGTTTCAGCCATGCCCCGGAACGGCCCTCGCCGTCTCGCAGAGCAGGGCCCCGCATCAGGACCAGGCTTCGGACATGATACAGGTGTGCGACGGCATCCCACTCCGCTTCCGCAGGCCTCCCAGGCCTCAACAGGGGCGCAGAGCCTCTCAGGCTGTCCCGGTGGTTCTCCCCGCTGACTGCGAAGAACACCGATGTCAAACCGCAAACAGAACAAGGAATCTTGAAAGTTTCCAAGGGGCCGCGCGAAACCCGCTCCAAACGCGATTTGCGAAAGGAGCAACGTCGCGCCAACATGGATTGGGTCACCTCTGTAAGCGGCCCCCCGGGGAGCGCGCTGGGGGAGAAAATCGGCACGAATCGTTCTGCAAACTGCACTGGTTGCAGCGGCGCGCCCCCAAACGGTCCCGAGGGGCTCGTCGGGCCCTGACAGCGGTTTCGGCCTGAAGCCTCGTGCGGCGCTCTCGACGCGCAAGCGTCGATTTTCTGCCGCGCGACTTGGAGATTGGTTCACGAAAATCGACCGTGTCGCCCCAGACCACGTGACAAAGCGGCGACAGGACCGCTACGGGCCTTGGTGTGTGGACTTGATGGTGCGCCCGAAACGCGCGATAAAACCCCCTCCGCGCGCAAGGCAACACCGCGGCGATGCAGCCAAGCGTTGAGCATCACCGTTCCCGCGGCGCAAAGCGCCGGACTCGATACCCCCCAATATAGAGGACCCCACCTGCTGGTGGAACACCCCTGGGGGAGTTTTTCGTCCGCACCATCGCATCGCCGGGATCGCCGTGTCCAGCCTGGAGCGTGCCACACTTCGCCGGGCTCCGGCGATCGACGTGCAGCTCCTTGGTGCGCCGGGCGGCTGTTCACTACTTCAGTCGAGCGTGAAGTTACCACGCTGCAGTTTGCAGCCGCACGTGTTTCGAAAGTGACGATGCTGCAGGAAGCGACGAACCGGCGTGGCCAGCGCAAGGCCGCGAAGGGCGTCGCTGAGGTCACGCGTCGACTTGCGCCGCGCGACGCACCCCAGAAGAAGAGCCGCACCCTCCAGGCCACGCGCGGCGCCTCTCCGGGCCGCGGGAGCCCCGAACGTCCGGCAAGAGGGTTCAACTCGGCTCCGTACATCGAGAAATACGGCCTTCAGTGCGTTAGGGCCACCACCACCTGGCAGACGCCGGCTGGGCAGTGGGCATTCCGCGCTCCAGGGGAGAAGCCCCGCATGGACACGCCCGACCGGAAGCTCATGTGTGCTGCCCGGGTCGCGAAGCGCTGCGACGCGCAGCTGAGCAGCGACGCGCCCCCCGACGTAGACGGGTCATGGCGCTTCAAGCTCTGGGCGGAGCCGGACGCTGAAGCTCTGGCCATTGCAAAGAAGCGCCTTCCGGAGCAGGTGCGACGGTCTCTCGCTCTCGAACAGCGTGATTTCGACCGGCGCCGGTTTCGCTTCATGAGGAAGTCGGTTCGGCGCGTGTTTGTTCCGCACAGCCACCCTGGGGGTCTCCCGCGCAGCCCCAGTTTGGTTTGGTCTCAAACAGAGGGTGCTTCCAAACCATATTTGCAAGCGCGGGTGCTCCCGAACCATATTTTCGGAACACGCGTAGCGCCAACGGGAAGCAGCGATGCACGGTGTTGCAACGCAGGATCCTGGCGCCCCCAAGTACGTTCACAAGCCGTCGCTGTCGGAGCTCGTGGGCACCGCGCAGCTCAACCTCAAGGCGCGCTACGAGGACCTGCCCGCGCAAGCGTCGAAGCAGGCCTTCGCCGCGCTGGACGCCCACTTCTCCGAGGAGGACGCGTCGCGTCGCGCGAAGAAGAAGCTCGAGTTCGTCCTGAACCCGTACGGCACGCTCAACGCTGGGAGCGAGGCCGCCGCCGTCGACATCGGGACCATGTACGGGTGCACCCCGCAGGAAATCATCGAGCGCGCCGCAGACGAGACGCAGGTCTACAAGATGCTGCAGGAGTTCGCGGCCAAGGCAGGACAGTCCCTCACGACGGTGTGCAAAAAGCTGGTGGCTCCCGGCAGCCCCCTCATGACCGCGATCGGCTTGAAGGTCCGCCTCCTGAAGGCGGTTGTTCGCGAGGGCAGCGCCCTGGCCCCGCGCGGCGGCGGGTCGCCAGAGGGGCTACCACGAGAGGGCGGCGCGGGCACACCGGAGGCGGGGCAGGCCCTGGTCGCTCAGCCACGGCAGGGGGCTGCTCGGCTGGCCATGAAGGAGACGCTCGAGGCGCTGCGCTGCGCGGCGACGGAGATCGATTCTGCGCGCGCAGTGCGGGCGCACGTGTTTCACGCCAAGGTCGCAGCGCTGACGACCGAGATTCAGGCACTCAACGCCGCCATGGATCGGTTCCATCACGCCAAGCTCACGGCCGTGAAGCTCTCCACCGTGGAGGACCTCGACCACACGCAGCTGTCGTCGTTCGAGCGCATGGAGCGGATGGCAATCGGCAGCATCAGGGACGCGCGGATGCGGGCCGACGACGTCCGCGAATCTCTCCTCGCGCTGGAGAAGAAGTTCCACGAGCAGGACGTCGCCGACGAGCGCAAGGGCAAGGAGATCGCCGCGCGCATGGCCGACCTGCGCAAGGCGCTGTTTGGCGTCTGACCAGACGTGGGCACGAATCACACGGCGCCACGCCGCGCAGCCTTGTCTACAGCTCCCAGTGTCCGGGGAAGCGGTCCTCGCCACCCTCGTCCGCGTCCCGATGTGAAAACAACCCCCCCTGCTCCTGAACCCCCCCCTCCGACTCATCCACCGCGTTCGTCTCCGGGCCGTGGCACGCGTCCTTCTCGTGTATGCTCCTGCGTGGCAGGATCATCGAGCGCCGGGCGCTCAGCCGCGACAGACGCGCTGCGAGTGAAACCATCCCAGCTGGTGGACACCACACCACGTTTGGAGGTGCATCTTGCGGTCTAGGAGGTCTCGGGGCCAGCGGGTCGCCATGCAGGGCACCGACAGGCAGCGCCAGTCCGTCGCGCACCTCTCCCAGCCCTGTTGCTCCTCTTGCAACAAAAAGGTGGCCTCGTCATCAATGTGGTGGCTGTCCAGCTTGTAGCGGTGGTCGTACTCCTCGGGACTCCGTATCGCATCCTTGGGATCCTGGAAGCGGAAGCCGTGGGACTGCGAGGGCGGCAGCCAGGATTTCATTGTTCGCTGAATGTTCAGCAGATACAACTGATTACGAAACATGCTCGTCGTGTTTTCCAGGTCCATGACCGGGCTCAAGCCCGGCGCAGGCATGCTCGTGCTGTGCAAGTGCATCGTGCACGGCGTCAGAGCGCGCGCAGTGAGCCCCCGGACGTCGGCAGAGGCTTCTGCAACACCTCGCCTCTGCTGCGCATGGGCTCGTCCCACTGCGCCTGAGCGGCCCGGGGCCGCACCTTTAGAATCTCTCGCGCTTCGTGCACGGAAATCGCCCGCAAGTCCTCGTCGACAAGCAGGCGGCCGTGCCCCTTGTGCTCAATCCGAAGCCGGACGTGCCGGTCGTCCATTCCCGCCTCCCACTCCTCCTCCTCCTCGCTATCGCCCAGGTAGTGCAGGTCCACGCCAGGCCAGAAACCTTCGCCAACCTGCGCGGACTCGAAACGGCGGAAGTATTTCATTTCACCGGCACACGAGTGAGGCAGAGGGCACCGGCGAGCACAAGGTCTCCTGTCGCGGGGCATGTGTTCGCGAAACCTCTGAAACGCACGTTGTGGGTTCGTATGTGAACGTTCTGGACGTACCTCGAAGCGCGCCCACCGGTAGAGCCGCGTCATGGACCGGAAGCGGCATCCCTGGGAGGCCACTACGCGTGCTATCGGGGCCCCGTCCCTGGCCTCCAGAGTCCTCCTGATTCGGTCGGTCGGCTTTGGAATCGACTGGAGGCCGCTGCAAGAGCCCAGCAGCGCCGCTATGACGAGGGCTGCAATCACGAGCAGCCCCGCTCGACTCATGCCTGCATCGGCGCCCCCGTTTCGCGCACTTCGACGGTCTGGCTGCGCTGGAATCACGACCGCAACGGCGTCGCAGGTCCGGCGCGGGTGCGCCCGGCTGTGCCGCAGCACTGCTCATGACAGCGGGCACGCCCTGTGTCAGTGTCAGACAGCCAACACCCCCCCACGCAGCAACTCAGTCATCACGTGGCTCGGCTGGGCAGACAGCACGCAACAGAGCCCCGCAACGCCGCCCTGCGTCTCAGCACGCCCCGCCCGTCAACGCACCGCACCTTCGCATGTCACGCCGTTGGACAGTTCACCCCTATTCTACGCACACGCACCCCCCCGGGCATTCCCGCGTCACATATGGCGCGACGGCGATCCTGGCGGCGTCACGCGCACGATCGGCCGCGCGAAGCGCCTCGTCGGAATCGCGGATTGCGGCATGGGCACTGCTTGGATTGTGCGCGCCCTCCGCGGCTCCGTGTGGCTCGGACCCGCAGGCGGCGGCGCCGGACGGTGCGGCGCGGGGGGCGGCCGCGTCGGCGTCGCGACGCTGGGCGCACGCGTGCTCGCCGGGGAGCTGATGGTGCTGGTGCGCACGCGAGTGACGCAGCCGGGAGCCATCGACAGCGCCTGCGCGACGATATGCGGGGGCGTGGGGTCCCCGCCGAGATCACGCGGGTCGAGGGGCTCCCAGCTGGTCGACAGCGGGGGCTCCGGGTCGCGTCCGAAGTTGAGTCGAGGGAGCTTGATGTTAGTGAGGTCTTCTTGCATCTGCTTCAACTTCATAAACGCCTCCTCGGTCGCCTTGTCCCTGCAGAGCAGAGGCACGTGCGAGAGCCACCGTGTTCGCCACCGACACGCGCCTGCGCCTTGACGCGCGACAACTGGCTGGGGCTATCGCAGGACAGCGCACCTCTTGGCGTGGATTGCGTCGAAGGCCTCCGGCACGAGATCGAACGGCTTCTCAGGGGCCTCGGCCGGCTCCTCCGCCGGCGCCGCAGCGGGCTCGTCCGCCGTGGAAGGTCCCCCCGGGGTCTGTGGCGCAGAGACCTCCGTGGGCCCCTCTGTGCGTGCCGCGGGCGTCGGGGGCGCCGTGCTGCCTCGGATGCCCTCGATCGCGCTGCGGAGCGCACGGAGCTCCTCCAGCAGCGCGTCGTTCGGCGGCGCGGCGTGGGGGGTAGTCGCGGGAGGGGTCATTGGCACGTGCGGCGTTTGTGGCGCCTGCGGCGTGAGCGGAGCCGGCGGCTGCGCGTACAGTGGGCCCTGCGCGGGCATCCAGATGGGACCCACGAGCGCGGCGCCGCCCGGGCCTCCCCAGGCCCGCACGTCGATCGCGGCCGGCACCACTGGCGGCGTGGGTGTTGCTGCCTGCGGCTCCGGCTCCGGCGCGGGCTCCCGGAGCGACACGCGGAGCGGCGTGGCCGTCACCGACGCCTGCCTGCTGTGGACGGACGCCTCCGGAATGGTCACGAGGACCGGCGGGTCGCGGCGCGGGGACTGCGGGGCCTCCGTCGACTTGTCGATCAACGCGCCGATCCCCGACGGCTGCTCGCGGAGGGGCGTGTCGTCGGGGACCGGCGTATCGTTCGGCTCCCCGAGTGTGGGCTCGTCTTCCTGCGGCGCGAGCGAGCAACTACGCAGCTGCGTGGGCGTGGGAGCGCGGTTGGCAGTTGCAGAGGTGTCGTGCCCACCGAGGCGGCGCTGCGCGATTCTCACCTGCGCGGTAGTGACAGGCGTGCTCTGGGCGCGCGCGTCGCGCTCGGCGTCCGCGGGGGGTGTCTCGGGCGGCCTGACAGACGCCGGCGTGGCTGCCGGCGAAGGGGCAGGCGTGGGCTCCGGCCGGGCAGCGGTCGCTGGCGCCGCCGGCTGCTCCTGCGTCTGCGGCGTCGGCGCTGCCTGCGCGGCGCCGGTCGGCGGGGGCGCCCCTGCCCACCACGGGGGCCACGGCGGCGGCGCCATCCAGGCCGCCCACGGCGGTGGCGGCGGCCACCCGGCCCAGGGCGGGGGGCTGTACTGCTGGTGCTGCCGCGGGTCGAACGGCGGCTGCGGCGGCGCTGCCTGGAACTGCTGCTGTGCTTCGTCCCGGCCATACACCTTGTTTGGGTTGTGGATCGCCACGCGGGGAATTTGCCCGGCTGCGTGGTCCCTGGCGGCACCTCCGCGCGCAATGAAGGCTTGCCGCGCTGCCTCGTACATCTGGGGGGAAAAGAAGCGGCTCTCGCGCTCTCGGCGCGCCGCAGAGCCGGGCTGTTCGCGCCGCAGACCAGCAGGAGCGGGCTCCGCGCCCCGTGGCGGGTCGCGCTCCAGTCCCATGCCCCGCTGCGCATCGACCGTGATCCGAGTCTGCCGCGGGGCGCTCGCACGCCGCTCCTTGTCGCCCGACGGCGCCGGCGCGCGAGCAGCCTCTCGAACAGGAACGCGCGTACCGGACGCTGCCCTGTCGCGCGCCCCTGTGCCGCCGAGAAGGCGCACGCCGCTATTGTACGCCCTACCGCTTCCCCCCTGCCTGACCGAGCTCGACGGCCGGTCCGCGCGCGGCTGCGTGCGACTCGCGCGGCGCCTGTGCGGAGGGGGGAGCGGGCTGGGCTCCGGACTCGACGCGGGGGCCTCCGTGGACGCGGGACCGGCCGCGCTCTGCGGCGAGAGAACCACGGCGTAGCGGTCCATCTCGACAGGCCCGGGCGGCGCTGCAGCCACCGCCCTGGGTCCCGCCTGGGCTCGCAAGCTGTTCAGCCCAGGTTCGAACCAAGCCGCGAGGCGGCCGGCGCCAGGCGGTCGCGAATCCGCTCGGAAATGCACGTGACTGGTCGTCTGGGTGCTGAAATCGCAGCTGGGCCCCGCAGACACGCGCTAAATCGCCATGGACGTTCGGGGCCCGAGTCGGACTGACTGGGCTCGCCATGTGCTGCTGTGGCGAGCGGGCGGCTAGGATGTGGCCGGGCGGCGCCAGCACGTCGCGGAAGCGACAGGAACACGCGGCATGCCGGGGAGTGGGTGTCGCCGCGGCCCGACGGCCCTGGCACAGCTTGCAAGACAACTGCATGGATGCAACAGGCCTAGGGGGCCGCAGGTTCCGGAAACAGTTGACGCTCGATGCCGCGCACGGCGACGCATAGGCGCGGCGTGCGCCGCGTGGCGGGGCCTCAGGCGATCGCATGTTTTCACGGGCACTGACATTGCCGTGTTGCGCCCCCCGTGAACGTCCTAGGTCTCCGGGGGCGCGCAGCACTCGTATGCGAATGGTTCCTCGGTCGCCCACCGCGGCACCTCGATGCCCGCGCCCTCCGGTCTGTCCTGCCACTCCCACTCCCCCACGAACCCCCGCCACAGCTTGGGCTCCAACTGCGGCACCGCGACCAGCGGCCGAACGTCCTCCTTGTCGTAGTTCTGGCACTTCTCGCCCTGGAGCTTGCATCGTAGCACGGTGTTCCGCAGCTCCGCGGACAGCAGCATGTGCCCGTTGCGCGCCACCAGCTGCAGCCTGCGCCCGCACATGTCCGCCATTTCCCGCGCCCAGTGCACCGGCGCGTACCCGAGCTTCGCGGCCACGCTCCGCCAGATCTCCTTGCCGAAGCCCGGCCCGTGCACGGCGACGGGGTGGTTGCCCAGGGCGCGGGAGCGGCAGCGCAGTTCTGGCCACGGAGTGGCTTCGTGCGGGGAGTGCGGCGGCTCCTTGCGCCAGCAGTCCATGTCTGCGGAGGCACGCGGCGCTGGCGCTCTGCCGATGAGGCGACACTCGAGGGAGAGAGAGAGCTGCAGAAACGCGCAACAAGGGAAATGAAATGAAATTCGGCGCACCTGAGAATCTTGGGAACAGGCAGCCGCCGCGCGAGTTCGGGGGGTTCCGGCCCATGTTGTCGTTCGTTGGGTCCATGTTGGCGGCGAGCTCTGCCCACGCATCGACGCGAATCAGCCGCCGATACCCCTGTGCCAACCCGCCTCCCCGGCGCGCCGCGTCTCGCCCCTCCCGCGCCCGCTCCTCCGACCACGCGTCCCCCGGCGCGCCCTTCCCGATCCAGTCATAGTGCAGGAGCCAGAAGTTCCGGATCCCGCGCTGGTCGTCGATCGCGGTGGGGTCGCTGCGCACCGTCCTGACGCCGTCCACGACCTGGCCGCGCATGAGGAACTCGTCGTCGGCGACGAGGCGCTCCCACATGAACTCCATCGCGCGCGCATACCCAACGATGACGCCCGTGTTGAGGAACTTGAACGGCGCCTTCGTCGGCGTGGCCCGCGGCATGCTGTGCACCGGCATGCCTGGCGCGCCGCCGTTCGCGAAGAGCTTCTGCGTTTGCTCGTACAGGGCTGTGTCGTTGTCGGGCCACTGCGTGTTCTGCGACCCGACGACGATGTCCGCCTGCGGAGCATCAGAGACCTAGGAGTGGTTCAGAGCGCGGCTGTCGATGCGGCGTTCGCAGGAATGGGCGATCGGCGGGACGGGAACGCTCACATCGAAGTCGTGGAATCGCTTGAGCGTCTCGGTTGCGTTCCGGATGAACGTGACGTCCCCGCAGTCCACCACGGCGGCGAGGGTGTTGCTTGGGAGTCGTTTCAGGAACCACAGGGTGTGGTGGGCCGCGGTGTGCAGCATCACCGAGAACAGCGGCTGATCGTGGTGCCGCGGGTCGTACACGAACGCAGACGGCACGTCAACGTACACACCTGCAGCGCAGGCGTCACGCAAAAGGCACCTGCCGTTTCAAGCCGGTTTCGCGCGACGTCGCTCAAGTGCAGCGGACACAGCGTCCGCAGCTCGCCCGCGGCGGAGCTCCGGTTTTTGCAACGGAGCCCGGAGCGACCGACGCGTTCGCGTGCCATGATCAGCGCGCATGTGCTGCATGCATACATCCAGTGCTCGCCTATTCCCTGCTCCACGCTGTTGCGCGCCCGCTGCATGATCCCGTTCGCCTCCTCCCGTTCGCCGCGTGTCGCACTGATCCTCGAAAACCAGCAGTAAATAACCAAGTTCTCCTTCCCACTTCTGTCGTCTCCTTCTGCAACAGCACGGTCACCCCGGACGGGCCTCTCGGTTCCTGCGGCAGCGTTGCCAAGCTGCAAGTAGCCCGGACGGGCGCCTGTCGACGAAAGACGGAGCGCGAGCACCTTTCTTTGCAGAAGGATGGTGACGTGCGTCACGACAGGAAATGGATCTCACCTCGAGCGCCGGCGTCCTCGACCGGGTGCGGAGCGTACAGGAATCGATGGCCGCGCATCGGGCGGTGATCGCGGACGCTGGCGTCCATGTCCCTCGCCGTGTACGCCGTCGCTGTGCCAGGCAGCCCAAAGAGCAGCGCGCACCATGCCAACACGCACGCAAAGGCCTGCCTCGCGGCCGACAGGCGCAGAGAGCGGCGTAACTCCTTCACCGGCGGCGCTCCAGCGTGTGCGGCGCTCGGGGCTGGCGCATGGCTGGGCATGCGGCCCTCGGCGGTCAGCGCCGCTCACTTCGCCGCGCACACCCGGCACAGGGCTCGACGGACGTGTGGCGGCGCGGGATAAGCATGAACTGGTGTGAATGCCGTGTCTTTGCTGTGCTGTGCTGGCAGAAGTGGGCGCGCAAGTACGTGGGCGCGAAAAAGTCGTTGCTGAGACACTATTTCGCAGTCATCCACAGTCTATTGAGGATAATTATCATTTATCGCTCACTGGAGGGAAGTCTAGAGCTGCGGCAGTCCGCCCGTGCCCCGTCAAGGCCGCCAGGAGGACGCTCGGGGGCTGTCACCGCCGATTCCCCCCCGGCAGTGTTGTGTCGATCGCGTCGGCCGGCGCTGGTTAGCGCCCCCGAACATGGCCGTCAGCGACTCCTTCACCATCACACGATCCAGCTCGTCACATGAGCAATCTCGAAACGCTTCGGGTCTCTCGAGAGACCACTGTTCTCTCTTGTTGCATCCAACAGCCCCCGCAACTGCGTTGAAGCTACGTCCACACTGACGCTCTGTCACGCGCGAAAGAATATCCCTGTACGAGAGCGTCGTCGACGACTGGTGGTCCCTCGCTGCAATATCCCGCGATGCGGGAAGAGGTTCCATGAGCACCAACCATGGGCCGTAGCGACCAGAAGCCGGGCGCGGCCGGCGTTCGCGATGGCGCACCGTCGAAGTTGGATGGTCTCGAACTCCGTGATTCGAACGCATCTCCGCCTCGGGACGCGTGGGACACGGAATCGCGCTTGCCCCTGATGGAGCACAGTGCGCTGTCCCCGAGGTGAGAGCTCCTCGCCGTCGAGGCAGCCCGAGCGGTTCCGCACATGGACTTCCGGGCACCGCCTCCGAGTTGCGCTGCGGACGAAACCACCGCGTGCGGGATATCGGCGCCCCCGCGTCGTTTGTGTCGTCCACGGCTTTGACCTGTTTCAGGAGACGGTCATCGCTCCGTCGGCCATCCTCGAGCGTGTACGACCGTGGGGCGCATCCCAGCCGCGCTCTCGTACCGGGCTTGGACTCCGGGGGCGCCACCAAGGTGCATGCAGAGGCCAGCTCTCTGTCGTGCGCAGCCCAACGTCTACCTGCCGAACGGCCTGCCTGCCGGTGCCGCCTTCGCGCAGGCAGGAAGCGGACGTCAGCGGCGACGTCCGGCGGCAGCTGCGCGTGCCCCTGCCGTCGTGGGCGTCTCCGATGTGCGTGTGGTTGATCATGCACACGGCCTTCATCCTCCTGTCGGGGCTCGTCATCGGCATGCACTGGGCGGACACGCGGATGGCACGCGCACGCCCGAGGTCGCCGCGACCGTGGGTCGTCGCGCACCGCGGCGCGTCGGGCATTTACCCCGAGCACACCGTCGAGGCATACTGGTGAGCGCAACGCACTCGAACGACATGCAGGCCGCCTCCGTTGCAAGAGGCGCTTGCCGGTACCCGCAGGGCGTGTGTGTCGGGAGCGGACGGCAGCTGATCGTGCCGCCAATGCTGCGGCGCTAGGAGGCAGACGTCGCGAGAGATCTTGAGCCCGAGGAGCATCGTCACCATCTCCACCTCGGTGACAATCTGCACACTGAGGTAAAGATGGTGACGATCTGCTCCTTTGCTCCAGCTCTGTCGCGACGTCCGCCTTCAAACGCCGCGGCATCGGCGGCACGATCAGCGTGGCGCCAATCGCAACACATGCGCCCAGCGGGCGCGTGTGTGTGTTCATGTGCAGGGCCGCAGCGAGGCAGGGCGCGGATTTCATCGAGTGCGACGTGGTGGTGACGGCAGACCTGACGTTGATATGTCGCCACGAGCCAGTGCTCGACTTCACCTCGAACGCAGCGGACGTCCCGCACATCGCAGCGCGGGCCCGCGATGCCGAGATTGACGGGGAGCGAGTGCACGGAGTCCTCGCGTCCGACCTCACGAGCGAGGACATCAGGGCCCTGCGCGCCCGGCAAAGGTTTGCGTTCCGGCCCTTGCGCTGGGACGATCAGTTCCGCGTGGCGACGTTCGCGGAGTACCTCGAGGTGGCGAGGAACGCGACCCGCGAGCTGGGGCGCCCCGTCGGCGTGGCGCCGGAGCTGAAGCACCCCGCGTGGCACAACGCGCTGCCGGCGTTGCAGGATGCCGGCGCGACGATTGAGGGACTGTTCCTGGACGCGCTGCGCAAGGGTGGCTTCGGGGAGCACGCCTACGGGACGGAGGGGTGGCGGCGACGACCGGCGCTGGTCCAGTGCACCGAACCAGAGTCCCTGCGGCGACTGAAAGCAATGAGCCAGGTTCCTGGTGTGCAGCTGGCGGATCGAGGCAACGCTTCTGCGAAGGTGCGCTCGCGCCCCCCACAGCTCGGCGGTGTCACGTATGAGCGACACAAAGGCACGTGGCTCACCGTCGTCCTTCCGGGCGTTGCGGCGCAGATGTTAACGGACGCGGGGCTGCGAGACGTGGCCAAGTACGCGATCGTGCTCTCCCCGGACAAGACGCTGCTCGTGGAGTCCGACGGGGGCGGGCGCGGCGCGGACGACCTCGGACACGAACACGTCACGGGCATCAGTGACCTGACCCAGCGCGCACACGCGGCGGGGCTGCTGGTCGTTCCCTGGACGTTCCGCAACGAGAGGGAGTTCACGCCGATCACATGGCAGCACGATCCGTGGATGGAGTTGGCGATGTTCTACGAGGTGCTGGGCGTCGACGGAGCGTTCACGGACTTCCCCGGGACACACACGCGCTTCGTCGACAGGACCTGGGGCGAGGCGCTGGGGCCCAGGGCCCAGCGCATGCCCTCGAACCGCCTGGCAGCGTGGCTCCCGTGGGCGGATGCCGGAGCTGCGCACGACCCCACTTGATCCGCAGGGGAGCCGTGGACCCCTCTTTGTAACCAGGCCAGGACATGCTCACACGGCGTTTCGCGCGAGTATTCCTAGCACGTTGCCGCCTTGATCGGGACGATAGCACACCCGCAGTTCATTTCTTGCGCGGGCGATCAATTACTTCGTTTGCACCAGTCAAAGCACGCGGGCGCGCAGCAGCAGCCCGAGCGCAGCCCCCACCGCGGCGCCACCGATGTGTGCCGAGTGGGCAACGTTGCTGCCCTTGCCGTCGTACATCCCCCACAGGTCCCGCGACATGATGAGCGCGGTGGCGACGAAGAGCGGCATCGGGACGGGGAGGGGGAACAACAGGATCTGACTCATCGGCGCCAGCACGGCGACGGCAGTCGAGATGCCGTTCACCGCGCCGCTCGCGCCCAGCGCAGAGCTGCCGTACGGCCGGGTGTACATCTCCCACAAGCCGCGCCGCTGCATGCGCTGGTGGACCAGGAACACGAGGGAGCCGCCCACGCCGCAGGCGAAGTACGTCATCAGGAGGACTTGCGGCGAATAGCTGGCCAGGAAGCGCCCCATGAAGAACAGGGCAAACATGTTGGCGCCGAGGTGCGAGAGGTCGTTGTGGCTGAAGGCCGACGTGATCACCGTGTGGTACCGCTTCGCCTTGATGTTCTGCTCCGACAGCAAGAAGTGCTTTCTCATGAAACTCTGCGCAGAATCGGAAACAGTTGCACTCGGTGCGCACGTGGCCGGCGGGACGCTCCTGGGGCGCTGCGGGCTGCTGCGCGACCGTGCCCCGCTGCCGAGCGCATGGCTCCGTGGGCGCGCGACTCGGTGCCTTCGACGAAACGATGAAGATCATATTCGTTCATGACAGACATTCAACCATTGCAGCATGTACATGTCAAGCAAGTAGATGAAACTCAAGCGGCGCACGGTGCACGCGCCGGGCCTTCGTGCGCACCGGGTGGAGGACGTGCCAGCAGCCGAAGACGGCCACGTTCGCCCCCATCAGCCACATCAACGGATCTCCCATGAAGGGCCCCACCATCCGCCGTACCGCCGACGTCTGGAACCCGTTGGCGTGGATTCTCGTACCGAGCCGCTCGCGGTCGAATCTCAGTCCGAAGGGCCTGGTACTCGACCCCCATCGCGAGAGTGTGCTTGCGCAGCGGCCCGAATCCCGCAGAGCATTCCTTGTGACGTGACTCCAGCCCGCGTGGGGACTTGCAGCGCCGCACGCGCCCGCCGTCTCGACCCCCGTGAGCGTGGACGAGGCGCTCTCGCAGGCGCGCAGAAGCGCGCCGCAGCGAGCGCGTCGCATGACGCGAGTTTGGTTGGCGCTGCGCTCCCAGGAATGCCCCCGCTGTGCCTCCGGCAGGCCCGGACAATACCGATAGCTGCGACGGCGCAGAGCTCTGCAAGCCACGAGGCCGCCGCGCTAAGCCGGGCAACGAGCAGCGCGCCGGGCCGGCGCCTCGAGGGCCCTGATACCAGGGGTCGTTTTCCCGCTTTTACTTTCATGGCCAGTCTATCAAGTGGCCGGCGACTCGTGGGTCGCGGATGACTTGCAGCGATCGTGCGAGACGTCCGTGATTCCATGATGCCGCTTTGGCACCGAACAAGTCCCTGAGCGAGGGCCGCGAGGCGGCAACACGACTCAGCGGAGTGCACTGAAGCCCGAAATGGCGCGCCCGGTGCAGCCGGGGTCTGCGGCGCCGAGCCGGTACCTCCTCTACGTCGAGTATCTGGGTTCGAACTTGTGCGGCTGGCAGAGACAGCGAGGGCCGGTGCCCACAGTGGCTGGCATGATCGAGGTGGGCTGCCGATTGCACCTCGACTCCGACGCGGTCCACGCGCTTCTACCACGCGTCACGACGAATTCCACGGACCTGCATGCCGCTGACACGCCAGAAACAGCTCTTGAGTCGCATGCGTGAGCGCTCGCCCCTGAGTGTGTGCAAACACACACTCGTCCTTGCGCCGCACCTGCCCTGCGCAGGAGGCGCTGAAGAAGTTCTCTGGCCAGGACATCGAGGTCGTCGGCTCGAGCCGCACGGACGCCGGCGTCCACGCGACCGGCAACTCGTGCCACATTGACATCCTGCGCGTAGGCACCAAGCCGAAGAACCGCGGTCAGACTCTGGAGCCGCACTCCCCCGCGACCGTCCGGCGCGCGCTCAACCACTTCCTCGTCCGCGTATCCGCGCTCAACAAGCGGCCGAAGATCCCGACCTCGGAGTTGTGCCCGCAAGTCGCAATTGTCGCCGTCAAGGCCGTGCCGCAGACCTTCCACGCGCGATACTCGGCGACCGGTAGGACATACTGCTACCGGATGGTCGCCTACCCTCCGGTCGGGGAGGGCTTCAGCGCCGAGGCGCCGTTCAGCGGCGCGCCCGGCAGCAGCTTCGAGCTGGGCAGGGCATGGCGCGTCGACGGCCCCCTGGACGCGGCGCGCATGGGCGAGGCCGCGGCGCACTTCGAGGGCGAGCACGACTTCACGTCGTTCCGAGGGAAGGGCTGTCAGGCGCAGGGCCCCGTGCGCGAGATCTTCAGCTGCAAGGTCGAGGAGGAGCCGCCACTCGGGGCGCGCACCACGTGCGCAGCGGCGGCGCCGTGGGCGCGCCCGGCGCTGGACGGCGCGGCGCCGCAGGAGCTGGTCGTCAGGATCCACGGCAACGGGTTCCTGTACCACCAGGTCCGGCTCATGGTCGGGCTCCTGAAGGAGGTGGGGTCTGGGCGGGTGTCCCCCGGGGAGGTGAAGCGCATCCTCGACGCGAGGAGCGCCGCGGAGCTGCACAAGGTCGTGCCGGACCTCGCGCCGGCGTGCGGGCTGTACCTCACCAAGGTGCACTACGCGGAGGCGGGGCCGGGCGGGCGGGAGACGACCGAGGGGGACTGGGCGGGGAGCGGGTGGGACGGGTGGCCGCCGTGACCGCGGCGCCGCGCCCGCTGGCGACGCCGAGGCGAGGTGGGGCGTCACGTGTTTCGCGTCGTCGGCCATGAGGCGTCGGGACCTGAAAAGATCATACGACGAGGCGGCGAGTCGCGTCAGCCCCCCACCGCTATAGTTAGGGAGCGACAGGTGCGGCGGCTGTGACATTCAGTCGAGGTGTCACATCGCTGTCGTCATTTGCCACCACGGGCCAGACGTATGGGGATGTTTGTCGCTTGATTAGGAACGGGTGTTTCTGCAGCGGTGCGTCGGCAGGCCCGGGCCCCGTGCTGCGGTCGCGGCACGAGACGCCAGTGCGGTGCGGTGGGAGGGTGGCGTGCGAATGTACAGTGTCAGTAGCGCCAGAGCTTGAGGACTTTGTCGCGCCCGCCAGAGGCCACGGTGCGGCCGTCGGGCGCCCAGTCGACGCTGAACACTTCGTCCGCGTGGCCCGGCAGCTCGCTCTTCACCTTGCGCGTCCGCAGCTCCCAGACCTTGAGCGTGGAGTCCTTGCTGCCCGACACCAGCAACCTCGAGTCGGCAGACCATGCCAGCTGGTACACCGCGCCCACGTGGCCGCGCAGCGTGGCCACGAACGCCCCCGTCCGCGCGTTCCACAGCCGCACGGACTTGTCGAACGACGCCGACGCGATCCAGTTGCCGTCGGGCGAGAAGGCCACGTGGTTGATCAGCTGCTGGTGCCCGGTGAGCCGCGCGAGGGGCTTCTTCGACGTCGACGGCTCCCACAAGAACATCGTGAAGTCGTCCGACCCCGACACGAGCCGCTCGGGCTTCCCGCCCGTCGCGGCCTCCCAGCGCTCGCGCGCCTGCGTCTGACATGCGGCGTCAGACTCGGGCCGCTGCCCGAGGTGGTCGTGCGGCCCCGTGCGCAGCGCGTAGTCCGAGGACAGCGCGAGCGTGTTGACCCAGTGCCCGTGCCCCTGCAGGTTCCGGCACAGCTTCCCGTCCTTGCCGTCCCAGGCTTTTATACTCCCGTCGCGACTGGCGCTGTAGATCAGCCCGTCACCCCCCCACCTGACGCAGGACACGGCGCGCGTGTGCTGCGACATCACGAACTCGCTCTGCCGCCGCACCGCGTTCCACACCCGCACGCTCCCGTCCTGCCCGGCCGTCGCCAGCCGCCGACACGGCCACGCCAGGTGCGCGGGCTCCCACGCCATGCCCATGATCGCCTTCTTGTGGCCCCGCATCCGCCCCTTGAGCTCCCCCGTCTTCGGGTCCCACAAACACACCTCGCCGTCGACCGACCCGGACGCGAGCATCGCCCCGTCGGGCGACCAACTCACGCACTGCACCCACCCCTTGTGTCCCTTGCCCTCCCTCATCGGGAGCTGCGTGTTGAGGTCCCACAGCCGCACCGTGTGGTCGCCGCTGCCGCTCGCGAGCCGCTTGCCGTCGGGGCTGAACTGCACGGCCAGGACCGACTCTGCGTGCCCGGGCATGGAGGCCGTGCAGCGCGTGACCGAGCGGACGTGGAACACGGCCTGGGGCTGGTACACGACGGTGAGCGTGGACTCCACGGAGATCTTGTGGGCCTTGAGGTGCTTCTCCAGGTCCTCGGCGATCTGGTTCCCGTCCGTGAAGAAGCTGCGCACAGCACGGGGCTGGGCGCGGAGATTACGCGCCGTGGGTCGCGACGCCGCAACGAGCGAGCCTCGCAGCTGCAGGGCGAGTTCTCGTTGCAACGACGCATCGTCGCCGCCGCACGGAGCAGCCATGTGCGCCCTGCACGCGCGCTGCGCCCCCACGGCGCCCAGACTGCCGACACACCTATAGCTCATCTTCTCCTCGTTCTTGAGCAGCGTGTTGAGAAGGTGGTCGAGCTGCTGCGTCGTGGTCGACTGCGGCAAGTCAATGGCGTCGACGCCCGGCAACGTCTCCCCGTCCGCGGACTCGAACCGCACGATTACTCCGCTGGCCGCCGGACCAGTGTCGTCCTCGCGGGGGGCGGCTGCGCCCCCCGCGAGACGCTGCTTCTTCGCCGGCGCCTCCATGGATCCGTTGCAGGTGCAGGCAGCCGGGCGGGCGCCGGTCTGAAGCAGCCCGGAGAGCGCTGGGCCCCCGTCGGGCCCTGGACAGCTGACCGGAGTGTTTCATACCGCGGCGGGCCCGCAAGGCCGCGCACGGCCCCGTTGGGGCCCGGGCCCGCCGTGGAGGACAGCGACTCGGAGCCGGACCGCGTTAGAGCGGCAACGTCGGCCACCTGCAGGACGTAGGCCCGTTCGTGCTGCACGTCTAGGTGTCTGCGAAGGACGGCGCCTGCGCCGCCGCAGCCGTCTCGCGGCGAGGTGGCGTGCTCGAGCAGGTAGTGGACTGCGCGCCGGGCGGATGTTCGTTGGGTGTTTCGCAATGAGCGCTCCTACGTACCAAATCATCAACCAGCAGGGCTGCGTGGAGCAGGAGGCGCTGCAGACGTTCGTCGACCGCGAGGGCCTGGCGCGCGCGGGCAATGACTACGGCATCGTCGCAATCATGGGGCCACAGAGCTCAGGCAAGCAACGCATTCCCGCTGCGCGTGTGATGCGACGCTTGGCGCGGCAGTTGCCCCGTCCGCTTCCGTGCGTGCGGAAGCCCGCGCGCGCGCCCCGAGCTGGACCAGCGGCATCCTTGCCACAGTCTCCGTCCAGGGCGCTGGCGCCAGGTGGCCTGGGGGCGGCCCGTCAGTCCGCGGCTTCCTAGCGCATCGTCAACGCCTTACGCGTGTCGCGTGCTGGCGCGCAGCTCACCCGCGCGTGCGCTGCGACGCTCCGCTGCAGGCAAGTCGACGTTGCTGAACCACGTCTTCGGCACCTCGTTCCGGGAAATGAACGCGGAGCTCGGGCGGTCTCAGACCACGCAGGGCGTGTGGCTGGCTCGCTCGCAGCAACACAGCGACTGCCTGGTACTCATGGACCTGGAGGGGTCCGACTCGAGGTGCGCACGCGAGCCAGCCGGCTCGGGTTCACCGACATTCGCAAAAACACGTTTCCGTGTGCACACATAGCCTCAAGTGGCCGTCGCTGCCGCCACCGCCCGCCAACGGAGCCCGGCACGCGTCCTGGGCGTGCAGGGAGCGCGGGGAGGAGGACACGGCGTTCGAGAAGAAGACCGCGCTGCTCGCCCTGGCGTCCGCCGACGTGGTGGTGGTCAACATGTGGTGCCACGACGTGGGGCGCGAGGCCGGCGCGGGGAAGCCGCTGCTGCGCACAGTCCTCGAGGTCAACCTGCGGCTGTTCCGTCCCGAGGCCGGCCGCACGAAGACGCGCCTGCTGTTCGTCATCAGGTGAGCTCTCCCTCTTTTCCATTGTCTCTGCGCCACACTCGGCTGCGCGTCGGCGAAGCGCGTCGGCGATCGCTGGACGCGCCACGAAAGCTGCGAGAGGCTGGGCGCACGCAGGGCGGCCTCTGCGCGCCACGACCAGTCTCCCTGCGCCCGCGCAGGCAGCACCTGCTAATCCGCTGCACGTCTCTCCGCCTCGCAGGGACATGTCCCGGAAGACCCCGCTCGAGTCGATCTCGTCCACGCTCGAGGAGGACCTGTCGAAGATCTGGGAGGGCGTCGCGAAGCCCCCCGAGTACGACGGCACCACTATCCAGCAGTTCTTCGACGTCGACTTCCATGCAATGCCGAACTACGAGGACCGCCCGGAGGACTTCGCGGAGGACGCCCGGCACCTCCGCGCGAAGTTCACGCCCGGCGGACCCTTCGCGCCGGCCGGCGGCGCGGGCGCCAGGCTCCCTGGGGGCGCGCTGCCGGTCTCGATCGAGAAAATGTGGGAGCTGATCGACTCGAACAAGGACGTCAACCTCCCCGCGCACAGGTGCGAAAGACGCGCGTCTCGCGGCGACCCGTGCGCGCGGCCACTGCGGCGGACGATCCCCAGACCCGGGACGGCCCGGGGGGAAAGCGGGGGCTCTGAAGGTCGTGACAGACGCACGGCGTTGTGCGGGTGCTGTGCTGCTTTCGCGGCGTGATGATGCGTGCGGATCGGGTGCGCGGTGCAGGATCCTCGTCGCGAACATCCGGTGCAAGGAGATCGCGGACACGCAGCTCGCCGCGGCGGCCGAGGCGGAGGCGTGGGGCGCCCTGAAGCAGCAGGCGGGGGACCAACACATCCCGGAGTTCGGCCTGCGCGTGCAGCGCTTCCTCGCGCCGCACCTGACGCAGTACGACGAGGAGGCCGCGCTGTTCGACGCGGCCGTGCGGCAGGAGCGCCGCGCGGAGCTGCTGCGGGCGCTGCTCGCCATGGTGCAGCCTGTGTTTCGCGGGCAGGTGCGGCGGGTCGTGGCGCGGGCACTCGAGCTCGCGAGCAACAAGCTCGACGCGCTCAACGCGGAGTCGTTCGCGCGCGAGGCCCGGGCGGCGCGCGAGAACTGCGTCGCGTCGCTGCAGAAGTCGATTGACGCGCTGCTGCCGCCTGACGCGGACTGGGACACCTCCGAGGACGCCGGGGAGGCGCTCGAGCGCATCGAGGACGTCATCGCGGCCAGGCGTTCCGCGCTGATGCGCCAGTGCGTCGACTCCGCGTCGGCGGCCTCCCGCAGGGAGCTGCTGCCGACGCTCGCTGCGCTGTCCGAGGCGCCGGCGGACGACTACTGGGACCAGATCGACGCGCAGACGCGCCGGCACGTGAAGGACGCGGTCGCCGCGCTGCAGGCCCAGCTGGCGGGGCTGGGGCTCCCGGAGGGGGAGCTGAGCGGTGCGTTGGCGTCGCTGGAGTCGTCGCTGGAGGCCATCGCGATGGACCACGTGCGGGAGGTGGCGGTGGGAGTGCAGTCGCGGATGCGCGATGCGTTCAGCTCGGCGTTCAACGTCGACGAGGACGGCGTGCCGCGGACGTGGCAGCCGTCGGACGACATTGCTGCGGCGACGGCAGCGGCGCGGGCGCGGGCGGCCTCGGTGCTGGCGCTGCTGGCCGTCGACCGCTCACGCGCGCCCGCGGACAAGATCAGGGCCGTCGAGGAGTCGATCGTCGCGATGTCGGAGCGGCAGACGCAGCCCGCCGGCCTCGCGACGCCCGTCAAGAGCCGCCCCGGCGCAGCCAAGGGCGAGGGCGCGTTCCGGGCGGAGGTCGACGGCGAGTGGGTCGGGATCGCGGGGGACCACGTGCTGCTCGGGCCCCTGGAGTGCCGGCGCGCGTGGCGGCGGCACCTCGAGGAGACGGGCATGCTGGTGGCGCAGGCAGTCAACACGCAGAACGCGAACCGGAACGCGATGAACCGCATGCCCCCGGCGTGGGCACTGTTCGCGATGGTCGTCCTCGGCTTCAACGAGGTCGTCTCGGTGCTCTCGAACCCCGTGCTGCTCGTCATCGTGGTATGTTCCATCCTGTTCCTACGTACGCTATACGTCGAGCTCTCCGTCGACCAGGAGCTGTCGGAGAAGGGCCTGCTGCCCGGGCTGATCTCAATCGGCATGCGGGCGAGGCCCGCGGCGAAGAAGGTGGCGTCGAACTTGCTCGCGGAGGTGCTGGGCATGTTTGCGGGTGGCGAGGAGGAGGAGGCGGGGCGCGGGCCGCGGCGGCGCAGGGGGAGCGGTGCTGCGCGAACAGAGCCGCGCGAGAGCAAGAAGGATAGCTAGATGCGGTCGGCGGACTCATTGCTGCCGGTCTGCCACCCCACTAGACAGATACCTGTGAAGGCGTGGCTGACGTCGGTTCGAGAGCGCTCCGTGTCACGCTGATGCAGGTGTCTCCGCCCGATTGACGCCCTCGCTGCACGGCACCAGGCGCCGCGTTTGCGACAGAATCACACGCGATCGGTGCGCATCGGGCTGCGCGCGTTCGCTCAGGCGGGCGTGAGGCCCGAGTGACGCAGCAGAGCGTCGGTCGAGGGCTCGCGGCCACGGAAGTCCACAAACACCGCCAGCGGGTCCCGCCCGCCGCCCAGCGCGAGCACCGTGTCGCGGAAGCGCCGGCCGGTGTCGCGCACCGCGTCCTCGTTCTCGAGCCCGACGTCCTCGAACGCAGAGTACGCGTCCGCGGACAGCACCTCGGCCCACTTGTACGAGTAGTACCCCGCGGAGTACCCGCCCGCGAAGATGTGCGCGAACGAGCACAGGAAGCGGTCCTCCGGCAGCGGCGCCAGGACCGTCGTCCTCTCCGCCACCTTGCGCTCGCAGTCGTAGATGGACTCGCCCTGGCCCGGGACGAAGCGGGCGTGCAGCTCCAGGTCCACGCAGGAGAAGTGCAGCTGGCGGAGCATCATGGAGCCCGCGCGGTAGTTCTTCGCGAGCTTGAGCTTCTCAAACTGCTCCTCCGGGAGGGGCTCGCCCGTCTCGAAGTGCTTCGCGAACGAGTACAGCGTCTGGCGGTCGTAGCAGAAGTTCTGCGCGCCAGCCAACACCGGAGCGCGGGGGTGAGGTTCGCTGCAGGCTGGTGTTGAAAGACGAAGCATATCATAGGAGTTGTGAGGACCGAGGTGGACGCACCTCCATGAACTGGCTGGGCAGCTCGACGGCGTCCCACTCGACGCCGCGGATGCCCGCGACGAGGCCCTCGCCCTGCTGCGTCAGCATGTGCTGCAGCGCGTGCCCGAACTCGTGGAAGAGAGTCTCCACCTCGCGGAACGTCATCAGCGAGGGCTTCCCGTCCACCGGCGGCGACTGGTTGCACACCATGTGCGCCACGGGCAGCCGCATCTCCTCGCCGTCCGCCGCGAACAGACGCGACTGCGAGCACACCTGCACGCGAACACGACAGACGCACACCATGTGCGTCAGCAGAACACGACACGAACGCACCGAGCGGCCCGCGTGGCAGCGCATCGAGCGCTCACGCGTCGCGGGCACACGCGAGGCCCTTACCTCGTCCATCCAGGCCCCGCCGCGCTTCTCGGCGGGGCGCGAGTACGGGTCGAGGTAGAAGTAGGCCTTGGGCTTCCCGGCCTGGTCCACGCGGAACATGCGCACGTCCTTGTCCCAGACGGGCGCCATGCCGTCCACGGCGGTCACCGTCACGTCGAACAGGCGGTTGGCGAGCGCGAACATGCCCTCCAGCACGTTGGGCAGCGCAAAGTAGGGCCGCAGCTCCTCCTCGTTGAGCGCGTACCGCTCCTCCTTCAGGCGCTCCGCCCAGAAGTTCAGGTCCCAGTGCGCGAGCTCGTAGTCGGCACCCTGCGCAGCGCACGAAAAGCGGTCAGCGGACATGACGGAAACCACAACGAGTGCAGCTCGGGGCCGAACCGCAAGGGTTCGAGCCCGTTCCCACCGCTGCCGCGTCCGGACGGCCCTGACGGGAGCTCGCCCGCACTCAGCAGCGGGGCCGCGAGTCCCCGCAGGCTCCGGACCGCCCCCGTCGGAGGTGCGCAGTGCGCGCACCTTCTCCTTGGCGAACGTGCGGATCTCCTCGAGGTCCTGCTTCGCGGCCTCGAAAGACGACGCGCGCAGCTGCTCCATGAGCGCCTCGGCCTTGTCGAGGTCGGCCATCTTGCTGGCCATGGACAGCTCGGCGAAGTTGGAGAACCCGAGCAGCGCCGCCTTCTCCTTGCGCAGCGTGAGGATCTTCTCGATGATCGGCGTGTTGTCCTGCTCGCCCGAGGACGCCCGCGTGAGGAACGCGCGGTAGCACTCCTCGCGCAGCGCGCGGTTGGTCGCGTGCGTCATCACCGGGAAGTAGGACGGGAAGTCCAGCGTGATCACCCACGGACCGTCCTCCGCCGTCGCGCCCTCGTGGCCCTGCAGCGAGCGCGGCCGGCCGGGGCAGCGTCGTCACGTGGCCGCCGTCGCGCGGCGCCGTGGAATCGAGTGAGTGATGGCGGGGCGCCCACCTCGGTGCGCGCGGTCTGGGCGGCGAGCCCCAGGGCGCTGGCGGGGAGCCCGTCGACCTCGGCCTTGTCGGTGCACACGCGCTTGAACGCCTTGGTGGCGTCGAGCACGTTGTTCGAGAAGGTCGTGCTGAGCTTGGCCAGCTCCTTCTGGATCTCGTTGAACCGCTCCTTGTCCGCGCCCTCCAGCGCGACGCCGCCCAGCACGAAGTCGCGGAGCTCGCCGTCGACGATGCGCTGCTGCGCCTCCGTGAGCTTGTCCCACTGCACGCGGCACGGCGGGCGGCGCAGTGGGCACCGCGGCGCATCCAATGGCACAGCGCATCTCATGTCTTGGTCTGGGCTCTGCCAGCGCTCCCCGCGTCGAAGACAGCGGGCGCCGCGGCCAGCGCTGCTGCGCGCCCTCGCCATCCTCGGGCTCAGCTCCGCCAGCGCCTTCCGCGTGCACACGCACCAGGGCGAGTTGCCCACACAAGGGATCGGGAGACTCACCTCGGCGCCGTCCTTGATGGCCTTGAACGCCTCGTACAGCGGCCGGCTCTGCGACACGCGCAGCGCGAACTCGACGCGCTCCGGCTGGACGGTCTCGACGGCCTCGCGGAACTCCTTGGTGTCCTTGACGGCCTTGAGGTGACCCACCGCACCCCAGGCACGGCCCAGGCGGTCCATCAGCTTCTCGATCGGCACGACCAGGCCGTCCCAGGTGGGCGTGCACGACTTCTCGAGCTCATCGAGCTCCGCGCCGAGCTCCGCCAGCATCGCGCGGACGCCTGCGATCGATCTTTGTGTGTGTCGCGCTGGTGAGGTCGCTTTGGCGAGGCGCTTGCGAGCACGGCGGGCCGCCGACGCCACGGCCGGTGAGGTGGGGTGGACGTGAGGCATGGAGCGTGGGCGCGCGTGCGAGGTGACCGCGGCGGGGGGCGCTGGCTTGCCTCGAGGGCAGAGGGATGCCTCTGGGGCAGGGCCGCACCTGGCACGACGTGCTCCGCCTTGATCTCATCGAACTTGGGGAAGGGGGAGTCGGTGAAGAGCGGGTTCGAGGTCTCCATCTCGGTCGCGGCGGCGGCGGCGCGCGTGGTGCGCTTGAAGGCGAAGTGCGCGGCGTGGGAGGAAGGGACGAGCGCCCGGCGCGCAGCGGACGCGGCCGACGCGACGGTGCGGCGGGCGGCGGCGCGCGAGGAGCGGGACGCCAGGTGCCGGGGGAGGTTGGCGCGACTCGGGAGAGCCGTGGCGGACTGCACGACGCGACGGAAGGCACGCGAGCAGGTTAGTGGCCCTCAACGGTCCGCGCACGGGTACGTGCACGACACGCAGCGTGGAGACGCGACAGACGGACCGCCGCGTGGAGCAGGTAGCGGGGCACGGGGTCCGATCGAGATCGCGCGCGCGGAGTCGCTGGAGCCGCCGTGAAGCCGCGCGTTGCGTCGTGGACAAGGCCCGCGCGTTCACGGTCCCCGAGCGCCCGTCGATTGATCCGTCCGTGCGCGTGCAGCGGTGCGTTCGCGTAGCACGCGGCGCGGCGGGGAACGCAGCGAGAGACGGGCGCGGTGCTGCGGAGACGGACCTGCATCAGAGTTGGTGTGTCCAGGATCGTTCTCGCCAGGTTGGACAATCTGCGGCGCATACAACGCTGTTCGATACGAGGGAGCAGCCGGCCGTAGTTGCGCACTTCCCCGGCGGCTGCGCGCCTTGAGGTTCCGGCCCGTCTGGGACCCAGTCTGACAGACAGGCAGTCAGCCGTGTCTGGGACGGCACAACAGCGACGCAGCACGCGGGCGCCCAGCGCGGCCCCCGTCGCCGAGCGACACACCCAGCCGCGCGCTCTGGACGCGACTCGCGCCGCGCGGGAGGGTGCACGACGTCGGGACACGCCACAAACACAAGGCGTCGCGAAGGACGCAACGCATCGGTCGCGACGTGGGGATCGTGACGCATCGCGCGCGCATAGTGCGGCCTCGCAGCTGCGCGTCTCGCCGACTCCCGGGCTGTGCGGGGAGGCGACCGGGGCCGAGTGGCGCGAGCGCGTGCCTTGCGGGCCGCAATGCGCTCGTGTCTCAGGTAAAGAGCAGGCTTTTCCTCACACCCTTGACCCCGTCTCTGCGCTCGCGGGCTGCGGGTTCGCCGGGGCGCGTCGTCGGCGACAAGCGTGTTGCAAGCACCGGCGACCGACGCCAACAACAAGGAGGGACGACAGGGAGCGCGAACGAAGGCGCGCGGTGTCGGGCGGCGGAGTGATGCGGGCTCCGCGAGGGGGGCCTGAAGAGGCCGAGGGTCGGAGACAGCTTCGGGGGCTTGTCTGCAGCCTCGGGGCGGCTCTATCCTGTTCCGGGGGCCGGGAGCTGGCGTGCAAGGGACGGCTGTTGTGATCGGGAGGCCTCTTGGTTGATGTGAATGTTTTTTACATCATGCAACGGCGCTGCCGTCACGTCCCAAGCCCGTCCGGAGCAACTGGTGCTTCACCAGCAGCCCCAAGTGAGCCCCCCACAGCCCCAGAGCCCCATCCGCCCGCCTCGTGCGCACATCATGGCCCGTATATCTCCATCGCATCCGGGAACCAGCCATCCTTGCGCCCACCCGCCACCCCCCAGCACGCTGATGCCAAGGCCGCACGCCTGGTCGCCCGCCGCGCCGCCACCAGCGCCCGCACTCGCCAGCGAGCCTGATCGGGACAGTCTGCAGTCGCGACGGGCCGGAATGCGGCTGGTGAGGGCACGGAAGGGGGTCCGCAGAGCCGCCTGGGAGGTGGCTGGCCATCTGTGGCTAGAGCAAAGGAGGCGCCGGCTGCGCGCGCTGGAGCCCGTGCGCCGTTTGCGCCGCGCCTCTGTGCTGAGAGAGACTGTGTGAATGCAGGCGGCAGCTCGCACGGCGCGTTTGCCGCCCTGGTACGTCCCGCGGGCGAGATGAGGGCGCTGGCACTGCTGGGCCCCGGCCACGCGGCGTCTCGGGTCTGCAACGGGCGGCAACATCGCGAAACGACGAGCGGGAATTCGCACCTTAGCCCAGCAGGTCCGCAGCTGGGAGGCCCCGCTCCTCGGCCACCATCTTTAGAGTTCGCAGCTCCGACAGCCCCTGCACGGTCGCCCGCGCATTGTTGAGCGGCGAGTCCGAGCCGAGCTGCTTGCCGAAGACGTTCTGGATGCCGGCCAGCTCGAGCACCACGCGCGTCGCGCCACCGGCAATCACTCCCGTACCGGCCGACGCCGGGCGCAGCATGACCTTCGCGGCGCCCGCGCGACCGTCGATGCGGTGAGGAATGGATCCCTGCTTCGTGACGGGCAGCTTCACGAGCGCGCGCTTCGCGTCGGCGACGGCCTTCTGCACCGACGTGACGACCTCGCGAGCCGACGCCGTGCCCACGCCGACGGTGCCCTTCTGGTCGCCGATGATCACCACCGCCCGGAACGACAGCTGCTTGCCGCCCTTCACCACCTTCGTCACCCGCCGAACCTGCACCACGCGCTCCTCGAACTTGGGCTCCCTATCCTCGTCGCGACCCCGCCTGCCGCGGCCCCCGCGACCCCTGCCGCCCGCGCGCGCCTCCACGGTCACGGCATTCCGAACCTCGCGGACGCCCTCCGCGCGGCGCGCCGCCAGGGGAGTCCCCGCGACGGCGGCGCGAGCCGAGAGAGGCCGAGCGGTCGGCCTCTGGACCGAGAGGGCCCGGAGACCGGTCGTAATCTGCGCCACGGACATGCCGGCGGTATGTGCGCTCTGGGACGGTGCCGTGCTGCCCCGCGCGCCCCCTCCCCGCGGGCAATGACGGCCAGGAGGGGCCGGGCCACCAGGACGCCTCCGCTGGCTGACATGACGCCGCGGTGGGGGCCGGGCAGTCATCGGGGGGCGCGCGCGCGCACGGTGCGCCACACGCGCGCGTTGGTAGTCCCTAGTGATTCGCTCGGGGGTCGAGACTCACCAGGGTGCGGTCAGGGGCTGAGTCTTTCCAGGCGGGACGCGGTGAGTGGCCAGCCGTGTTGTCCACCTCACGTCACCGGCCCTCTGGGCCCGGTTGTCGGGCGAACAGCTTGGGGAGCTCCTCGTTGTGGAGGTAAGTCGCGCGCACGACCCGCGAGGGACCGCAGGAGCGCGCGTGCAGGACCGCCGTGTGCCCAGAGGCCCGCCGGGGCGCAGGCCTCGGAGCGCCTTTGGCCAGCCACGGCCGAGATCCGAGATCTCTCTGCTGCGTGCGCCGCCCACTGCACGGGGCTGCCCGCCGGTCGCGGCGACCGCGACGGAATCGCGCCGTGAGCTCGCTGCCGCCCCAGGGCGCCCTCACAAGCGCCTTGGCGGGGCCGCGCCCAGAGCGGGCGCAGCGTGCCCCCGTGGCCCGCACCCTCAGTCCACGAGCCAGCGTCGCGGGGCCCAACGGCTGCCGGCCAGCGCGGCGCGAAACCTTGTTGCACTGCCCAGGCGTTCGCGCGGCCCTGCGCGCGAGACGGCCCCGTCGAGCCCGGTTCGCTCCGCAGGGCGTGACAAGCTATGTTGAACAGCAACACGTCGGCACCTTTGGATCCAAACGGCCTGCGCGGCCCTCCAGGCCCGGGGTATGCCTCGGCCTCGCTGCAGGGCCCGGCCGGCGCCAACATGCGGGTGAGCCGCCCCGGACCGACCACCGCGGCGGAGAGCGACGCTCCTGCCCGGCGGCTTCTGCGGACGCGATGCGGGTGGTTCGCGCGCACGTCCCGCCGCGTTCGCGCTGCGTGTGGGCCCGCCACTTGCCCCCCTCGCGCCGCGCGAGACGCCCCGATGACGCCCGTCCGCCGCGCTGCAGGCCATCCAGAATATGCAAGGAGCGGGTTTCTTGCAGGGCGGCGGCCCTGGCGGCCGCCCCCACGCGGGAAGCATGCCTCCCTCCTCTGGCCCCTTGAATCCCATGTGGGGCTACGGGCGGGGCGCTCCGGGCGGGTTCAACCCAGCAATGAACCCCCTGGCGAACGTCAACAGCGCACCGGGCAGCGGGGGCGCCGCGGGGCTCTCGTCCGCGTCGCGCGGGCCCCCAATGGGCCACCTGAATGCAGTCCCGCCGAGCCTGGGCGGCCCCGGCGGCGCGGCGACGGGGGCCGGGCCGCGCGGCGGCATGGGGATGACTCCTCTCGGCCAGGCGAGCTTGCTCGGGGGGCTCGGAGGCCGCGGACCAGGCGCAACGGGCCCCCTTCCGGGCGGACCCCCTGCAGTGGCCCGCCCGGGCACGGGCGGCAACGCGCTCGCCCAGATGGGCGGCGTCTCCGCAGGACTCGCGATGCTGCCGGGGGCGCGCGGCGGCGGCGGCACGGGAGCGGCCGGGGGAGCTCTCGGGGGCTTCAGTGCCGTGGGTGGGCAGGGCGGAGAGGGTCTGCTTGGCGCGATGGGCGCCGCGGCCGGGCAGGGCGCGCCCGGGACGCGAGAGATCCTCTCCATGCTGAAGCGCACGGGCCCAGGCGGGCCGCAGCCCGGGGGCATGCCCGGGCTGTCGAGCGTAGGCGTCATGGGCGGAGTCGGGGGCGCGCCGGCGGGCAGCCGGCCGGCGTTCGACGCCACGGACTTCCCCTCCCTCGGCATCCTCGCGCAGCAGCAGCAGCAGCAGCAGCAGCAGAGCCAGGCCGCGCTGCAACAGGCCGGTGCGCCGGTGCGGCAAGCAGCAGGGACGCCCCCGACGGTCAACGAGAACTACGCGGCGATGGCGTCGCAGGCGAAGCCGCAGTCCGTGCCGGACCTGCGTTCCGAGGACTTCCCCGCGCTCCCGGGCGCGATGGGCGGCGGCGGCGGCGCCAGCAACGCCGCGACCACGTCGCCGGCGACCAACGCGGGGGCGACCGCCGGCGCGGGCCTCGTTCCGCCCCCGCAGGCCCTGACGCAGTCCCCGCCGAACAGCGCGGGGCGGTCCTGGGCGGCGGCGGGCGCGGCCGGCACGGCGAGCACGTCCACCGCGCCCTCGGCCCTCAAGGGCCCCGGGTCCGACCCGGACGGCGCGGTCGCGGGCCAGGAGCGCTTCGGCATGCTCGGGCTGCTGAGCCTCATCCAGATGACGGACCCGGACCTGACGACGCTCGCCCTCGGCATGGACCTCACCACCCTGGGCCTCAACCTCAACTCGCACGACACGCTGCACTCGACGTTCGCGTCGCCGTGGGCCGACGCGCCGCTGCGGCCGGACCAGGACTTCAAGATCCCGCGCTGCTACGCCGCGATCGAGCCCCCGCGGCTCGCCGCCGGGTGCCTCTCGCGGCTGCGCGGGGAGACGCTCTTCTTCCTGTTCTACGCGACGCCGGGCGAGGAGGCGCAGCTGCTCGCTGCGGACGAGCTGTGCGTGCGCGGGTGGGCGTTCCACAAGCAGCTGAAGCTGTGGTTCCGGCGGCCATCGCCGGCGGGGGACGGCGAGGGTGCCGCGCAGCCGCTGTCGGCCGAGTCGGGGCCCGAGGAAGAGCGGGGGACGTTCGTGCTGTTCGACCCGGATACGTGGCGGGAGGTGACGCGCGCGGACTTCGTGCTGCAGAAGGCGATGCTGGAGCGGGCGCCGCGCCTGCAGCGGTGAGGGGGGGGCTCTGCAGCTCACTGTCAGACTGGCTCGGCGAGCTTGGGACCATAGGCGGACGGGCTGACCTCGGCTCAGCGCATGTGAAAAACCGCTTCGGGAGAGAGCTTCCGCGGTAGTCGTCCAGGGGGGTGTTGGAACTGAGCACACCCGCATTTCGTTTCGTGCGCGGGTGGTCAATTACTACTCTGGGTGTTGGAACTGAGTCAGGAGAAACTGATGGCATGGATGGGGCGCCGGATGCGAGAGGAGGCTTCAAAGCGTTGCGGCCAGCAGTGGGGTTGTCGCACGCGGTGCGAGCTGGCACGTTATAGGACATCAACGCCGATCGCGCTGCATGGCGGAGGCCCGCACCGTAGTGTTGCTATTGCACGCTCCGGCGACGGTGCGCGACGACGATGCTGAGTTCATCGAGCTACGCGGTACATCATGCCATACTGCGTCGGATACGATAGAAGCGGTGCTGGATGGCGACGCGGGGCCCCCGCAAGATGCGGTGGAGGGGATCTGTGCCAGGACCGCACGTGCGACGGATGCGTGGTCGCCGGGGAGACCCGACGCACAGCCAGCGGTCGTCTTCATCGCTCGCGGACATGCGCGGCCGCGCGTTGCGGCCACGAGAGTGGGGCTGCGCGTGGTTCTGGCGCGCATCGAGGACACCAGGTCGGGAACCGTCGCGTACGTGGTCACGGAGGCCGCGTACGGCGGACAACCTATTAGTATCCTGCATGTTCAGTTGATTTTCTACTCCGGAGCCACCATATCACGTTTTATCGGTGAGCTCCCGCGCTGCTGGCGAGCATCAAGGAGCTCAGTTGCACCAACAGCCGCCCGAACCCAGTGATGGACGTTACACCACCCTTGCAGGCGCTCGTGAGCGGCCCTTGATGCCGCTCGGCTCGTCGTTGACGGAGCTGACCCGCTCTCACTCACTGCAAGAAACGAAACAACATCTCCCAATTGCCACATCAACGTTGTCGTCCCTCGTCACAACGGCCCTCGCCCTGGCCTGCCACGAGCTGCCCTCGCGAGGGGCTCGCTCCCAGCAGCACAGCCTCCGCGCCAGCGCGCTCATGTCGCGAGTGCTTGCCATCGTGGCGGCCGCCGCACTGGTGGCCTCCGCACCGTCGCTGGCCCCACTCATAGAGAACTGCCTCGATCTGCTCTACGGGGAACCCATGATCAGGTGAGCTGCATTCATTCTGCTCGCTCGGGCGCAGGCCGAGCAACCGTTTTTTTCGTCGCCTGGTTTGGTTCTGTCAACTCACACAACGTCAACACCAGATCGGTTTCCTGGTTGCCTTCGCAGCACGATCCGGTGGCTGTCCGGTGCGCCGGGTGGCCTGAAGCTCCACTACGACCTCGCACACACCCTTGCGGGCGCCCTCACGTCCATGGTCCAGGCGGCGCAACGCCTCGCCCAAGCAGCCACGTCCGCCGCCTTCCATGTGGACTTGACTGCGCCCGACGCCGTCCTTCGGGCAACAACCACCGCGTGCTGGACGATCGCGGCCGCGGCGGTCTACTCGGGCTTCCCGGGCCTCGCAGGCGCGACGAGCGACGCAGTGTTGTGCGTTGTCGCACCCTACGCAATCGTCCTGGCCGTGTTCTGGCGGGTCCTGCGCTTCCACTTGCTGGCGTCGAACTTCGCGCTGCAGCTGCTCCGCGGTCGCACGCCACCGTCGCTGCGCGCGGGCCGCCGGGCGCTGCGAACCTGGCTCCGCCAAGATGCACACACCCCCTTGGGAGATGCGGCGGTCGTGCGGGGGTCTGGCAACGACCTGGACCCGCAGGCACTCGAGGCAGTCATCGTGGGGGTTCTCACGCTCACGCCGCTCGTGCTGCTGCTCCCAACGCTGCTCGTGTTCCTGGTGAGCGCCCTGACCTAGGGCGCGCCCCTCACAACGCAGCTCGTCGCCGACCCAAGCGTTGGCTTGCCGTGCAGAGACACAGCGGGCTCGCACTTTGCAGCTTCGGTGCAAGTGCCACTCGTGATTTGATTAGTCCTGAGGGCTGAGGTATACCTTTCCTTTCCTGGTCGTGCAGGCACTGCTGATCGTGGTTGTCGCGCCCGCGATGGCCTTCCGCGAGGTCGCGTGGGCCATCGGCGCGTGGCTCCACTCCGGCTGGCCCCTCGCCGCCCTCGCCCACGCGGTCCGCCCCGTGCCCCGCCTCGGCTTCACGCCCAGTCTGTCTCTCAGCGACCAGCACAAGGGGGGCAGCGGGGCGGCGCCGTGCGAGGTTCGCTGGACAGATGGCGGCGACGGCAGCTTGCGCAGCTCGCCAGTCGTGCTGTGCACGGCCCGACCGGTCGCGGTGGCGGCGGTGGCGCTGGGCCAGTGTGTCCCACATAGCACTGGGCGTTCCGATCCTTGACGTCCTGGAGGGCCGCACGGATGTGAGGACCTCTGGATCGGTCACGCTTCTGGGCGTGGGTCGGCGCAGTAATAGTGATGGTGCGACGAAACCTGAAACCTGAACAGGTCCCGCCGTTCGCGAACCCGTTGTAGACAGACTTCCCCTCAGGACCGCCCTCGGTGACAGGCAGCGGCGACCAGCAGTTGCGCCCTCGCTGCTACGCGACGCCGTCGCTGTCATCTGCGCCCGTCCGCCGCGGGCCCCGCACCGACAGCCCCGCCAGTGAGAGAAACGACATCACATCGGAACCGTCCGCAACGTCGCCTTGCGACTCCGGTGCCCCGCTCCCGACGGACCCGAGGGTGTGCCCTGCGCCTGTCCGTCGGAACCAGCCACGAGGTTGTCCCAGCCCGTGACAGACTCCTCGCGCAACTGGTGACTGGGCGGGAGCTTGTTCAACGCCTGGACGGCCTCGTCGACGCTCGAGTACAGGTAGTCGTTCTGCCGGCCGCGCCCCTCGCTACCGTTGGCGCGCCCCTGCGATGTCATCCACGCGCGTCGGGCTCGTCAAAGGCGCGGTCGCCACATGGACGCAAAAGAGAGAGGCGCAGTTCGTGAAGAGTCTACGAGGGCACGTGGGGATGGAGCCTGCGTACCTTGCTGGAGAACAGGACGCGGAACTTCTTGGACCCGACGCCGAGCGCCGCCAGCCCGTCGAAGCCGTTCCTGGCGCGCTCCCGCACAATGCGTTTGGAGCGGTAGTGGCGGAACACAAACCACCCTACGACGAGCGCAAACACGAGACCTACGAAGCCAGCACTCACCCCGACGCCGATGCGCAGCTCCACCGAGCCGTCGTCTGCGCACAAACAAAAGGAAACCCTTGACATGTGAGAGACGCCAAAAACCTCGAACAAACTGCCGACGAGAAGAAAAGCAAACATCTGCAGTGGCGCCGCGTGCTGCGCCGAACCCACCTTGCACGACCACCGGAGCCGCGGTGGCCTGCGGTGCCTCCGTGGGCTGCGGCGCCGGCGTCGGCGGAGCAGTCGCCTCCTGCCACGGAAGAGGCTTGTCACCCGGGAGCGGCTCCCAGCCCTGCGGCACCGGAACAGCGATGCCGTGGGCGCGCGATTCTTGCAGGTACGCTTCCTCGAACTCCCGCGTCGTCACGGCGCCGCGCCCCAGCGCCTCCGCAGGCCCGACAATGCCGCCCTGTGCGACAGTCCACACGTCCGTCGCCGCCAGCGCCGTTGCTGCGCTCGACTGTGCTGAGCTGATGTGCTGGTCCGCCGCTGCGGCGAGGGACGCCGCCGCTTGGGCGATGCGCTGCGCACTGGAGCTGCCTTGCAGCTGCCCCGCCGCGCCGCCCGCGCCCGCGAACGCGCTGTCCACGACGCTCCGTGCGACGCTGGCGTCCGTGAGATCGAAGAAACCCTGCTCGACGGGACCTTGCTGGAGCCAGCGAGAGAAACCCCGCCAGCCCCCCAACCAACCATCGCCGTCCCGTCGGCGCGGCGTGGCGCCGTCGGAGTCGCTTCGGAGCACCCTGCCCGCCTGCCCTTGCGATTCCCCGCCCGCTCCGCCGCCGACACCGCCCACCGCGGGATGATCCTCCACCAACTCGCGAGCTCTCGACCCGCCAGCGCACCGCCCGCTGCTCGCCAGGCCCTCCGCGATGGTGCGCATCGCTGCCTGTGCGGCGCGGTCGCCGTCCTGCGCCCCGCCCGCGCCGCTCGTCGCCGCCGCCGTGGCCGCCGCGTACGTGTAGAGCGCCACCTCCCGCGCTGTAGATGCACGTGATGGTTCCGTCCTCGCTGGCCACGTGGACCCCAGCCCGAGGCCCTCACGGACGCAGGATATCGCCGCGGATCGCGGCATGCCCGCGCGGATGAGCCACGACAGCACCGTCGTCGACGGCGACGTCAGGCCAAACCCGTGCGGGGCCATGACGGTCATGCGGAGCGGTGCGTTCAGGTCCGCCTCGGCGCACTGGGCCTGCTGCGTCACAACCTTGCCTGCAGGGGGCGCGGAGGTTCGTGCAGCGCAGCATCAGCACGAGAAACCTGCCTGATTCGCGCGCGCGGAAGATACCAGTCCTCGAGTGGTCGTGGCTCGGTAGAACGCAGGTGCGTGGAGCAGTGGGGTCGCCCGTGCGGGCACAAGGCTGATGAGGGCCGCCCGACCGGCGTCGTGGACGCGTTCGATGATGATGCGAAAGCAAGCAGGCGAGAGACTTTGGAACAGGTCTGGTGGTGCATGCGTCTCGCCTGATCTCGGGTCGAGGGGCTCCACGACGCCCACCGCGGGCGCGGGAGGGCCTGAGGACGGCGAGGGCTGCACGACCAGCCACCCCAGCCCCTCGGTGTGGTACGAATACTCCCCCCTCGAGTCAGTGATGCCCTCGACGCCAGTATACTCCCCGTCCTGGCCCTGCGCGAACGGCCGCTCTACCTCCGGGACCGCGGCCACGAGCTCCTGCGCCGTGTACGGCTGCACGCCGACGTAGCAGTTGGACAGCGGCAGCGCGGCCTGCGTCCTGGCATCCCCCGAGGACAGCACGCGGTAGAAAGCGTTCGCCGTGGCGGGCTCGCCGCTGCTCGTGCCGGCCTCGGCGCTGATGCGGTGCGCCCCGACGCCGCGCACGATGAGCTCCGCGGGGGACGACATCTGCGGGCGCAACAGCAACGTGCAGTGTGTGTGTGTCGAGGTGCGCGCGGGGCCCGCGACGCGCCGGACTGCGCGAAGTCTGGCATCGTGGCATCCCGTTGGAGTCTGAGGTTTCAGGTGACGCGTGAGACGGGCCGTCTCGCCCCGCACCTTCTTCCAGGCGCTCTTCTCAGGTGCGGGCTCCGAGGACGGGTTGTCCGTGAAGCGGACCTCCGTGGCCATGGGGGCCCCCGAGAAATCCACGACCTCGATCCTGATCTTCTCGCCGTCTGCGCGTGGTCGTTTCAAACAGGGCGGCCTCCTTCCGCGCAGCGTTCGTTGGTTCGTTCGGTGCGCAACGCACAACAGGAGCGACCTCGGCTTGACGCGTGTGCGCAGCATTTTCCCGGGCCGTGCGCTGCCGCGGTGCCCGGCTCTATCGAGATGGTGTCCTGCAAGTTGCGCTGAAAGTGGCGCTCACCTGACACGCGCGCAGGGTTCGCTGCAGTTCCAGGGGCAGGCAGCAAGCGCAGGTTCAGCGAAGCTTGAGCGGCCCCGACTCTGGCTCCTGCGAGCAGCAGCACGGCTGCGAGCTGCAGCGCAGCGTCCGCCATCCCAGCTCGCCGCCGGCCCGGCGCCGGCACGGCCACACACTACACGGGAAGCAAAAAGCGTGCGATCCGACGCTCCGAACGCAACCAATCGTCAGCGGTCTGACCGCAGCGCGCGGCGACGAACTCGACAGGCGCAGCGACGTGGCCGAACCCATCAGCTCGTGCCCGCACGGCCGCCTACGTCAGCCTCGTTCTACTGCGTTGCGACACCTTGTGCGGCCTCGGCGACTTCCCCGCGGCCGCGCGGCTACACGGACAACTTCCGCGCGATCGGCGGCTGCTCACAAGCTGGCATCATCATTCTTCGGAGCGACGCGTGCAGCACGGCGATGTCTTGCCATTTTGCGCCTCCGGGCGCGGCGGTGCCCGTGGCCTCCAGGAGCACGGCGCGGGCTACGGCGCCCGCTCAGGGCCCCGCACGCGTGCTTGCGACGTCGGGACCCAGCCGTCGGCACGCTGCGCTGCGGTGCCGCGCCTCTGCGGCCGACCCGCAGCAAGCACCGGAGCCCGCTGCTGCTGCTGAGCCCGCTGCGGCCACCCCCGCGCCCCGCCTGGTTTGCCCGATCTGCCTGAACGAGGAGTTCGACATCACGGACCTCAAAACCTCCGGGTGAGCCCCACACCCCTGCCTGCACCGCCTCCCGTGGGCCTGCGACCAATGCAGGCCACAAACAATCAGGGCTTGCCCGCACGCCGCGCGAGCGGCGGTTCCAGCGTCCTCAAGCCACACGCTCTCGCCCCTGCGTCCACGAACGCCGACGCAGGCTGAACTGCGGGCGCTGTTCCCGCACGTTTGAGTCGGCGGACGCTTATGCAGACCTGACGATCACGTCGGGCCGGATGCCGAAGCTGTACGAGGAGAACCGCGCGGTCGGCACGGAGCTGTTCCGCTCCCCGCTGATCTCCTTCGTCTACGAACGCGGCTGGCGCCAGGGCTTCTCCTGGGCAGGTGAGCTCACAAGTGTTGCGTCGCGCGACCGCTGTGCCCCTCTCGTTGCCTCCGCGCGCCGGCGACGGAGCTCGCTGCCGGGCGAGGTCGCGTGCAGGGTTCCCGGGGCTGGAGAAGGAGACGCGGATGGCGCTGAAGCGGCTGGAGCCGGCCAGCGGAGGTCTGTTGCTGGACGTCAGCTGCGGGTCGGGCCTCTTCACGCGCGAGTTCCTGCGCAGCGGGCAGTTCGGAGAGGTCATCGCGTCGGACTTCAGCGAGTCCATGCTCCGTCAGACCCGCCAGGTCCGTTCCCTCACAGCCCCCACGTCACCGACGACAACCCCCCCCCCTGACAGCAGTCCATCCGGTGCCGTTCTGGCTGCGGGCGTCATGCTGAGCACAGCCCTCGCCGCGCTGCGCTGGTGCAGTTCCTTGAGGAGGACCCGAAGCTGAAGGGCGTCGCGAAGAACGTCCGCCTCATCCGTGCCGATGTTGCGCGCCTGCCGTTTGCGACTGGCAGCCTGGACGGCGTCCACGCCGGCGCAGCAATCCACTGCTGGCCGGAGCCGGTCTCCGCCGCCGCCGAGATCTCCCGCGTGCTCAAGGTGCGCCGCGCAACACCGTGGCAACGCAACCGCGAAATCTCCCCCATGCACATGGGAAGTCTGACATATGAAATTATCCATCACTCGGACAAGGACATGCAGTGCTGTTGCGCTAGCGTCTGGTCAGAATATGCGCGCACCCCGCTGACTCCGTGCCACGCGCTGCGACCTAACCCTGCGCGTGCCGTCGCCCACCACATGCAGCCGGGCGGCGTCTTCGTCGGGTCGACGTTCCTGTCGTTCACGGCGCCCATCGGGCAGATCGTGGGGGACGAGGCGATGCGGCCGTTCGAGCGCGCGGCGGCGATGTACAAGAGCACGGGCGCGCCGTCCATGCCGTACCGCTGGTGGATGCAGGACGAGCTGGAGGAGGTGTTCTCCGCGGCGGGCCTCGAGAAGTTCGAGTGCGTGCGCGACAACCGCTTCATCATGTGGAGCGTCCGCAAGCCCGAGTGAGCGCCAGCGAGCGAGCGAACGCGAGCGCGGAGGCACGCAGTGACTGTGCAGGTGCGGAGGCGAGCAGCGACCAAGGCAGGCTCGCGGGGCGGCCGCGACGGGCGACCCGGTCGCGCGCTAGCTCTAGGGGCCGACGAGGCGGCGGGCGGCGGGCGGCTGTGAGGCAGCGACCGTGAGAGCTGCGCGTCATGCGTGTTTCACTCAGTGCTGTGGAGAGAAGCGAGGAGCTGCCCGCGCGGCTCCGGCCTGTCTCTGAGCAGACGTGCGACTTCTGGCGACCGGTGGCTGAACGTCTGGGCCCGCCGTGGAGCTGCGTTGGCGTTGGAAGTCACGCCTCGTCCTTGCGCTCGGGCGGGATCCCGCACGGGATCAGCATGCGCTGCTGCAGGTTGTACGCAACGCGCCCGACGGACTCGTTCTCCGCAACTGCACGGGCGCGAAGAAAGGTCTGCTGTGAGCCGGCTGGGCTGCTCCACACAGCTCGTTGGACAGCATCGCCCCCGACGCGTGCCCGAGGCTCAGCGGCACGTCTCCGAGCTCCGTTGAGGGACAGCAGCACGGGATCTCAGCGTCTGGAGCCATGCCTCAGAGCGGTCGGATCCTCGAGCCCGCCCAGAGCGCGAACGCGCGTGGCGGAGGCCAAGCGCGGGCGGGCTCTGGACGTGCGTGGCGGGCCTGCCTTGTCTGTTGAGGCGGATCCCCGGGATGCGAATGTCGCTCCCCGGGGCTGCGCGCCTCGGTGAGGCACGGCGGGGACCGCGGGCCGGCGCAGATTTCTGGAGGGCTAGAGGGCGCTGTCCGGCGAGCTGGTGTCCAGACGACGCACCTGAGAAATACTGCAGCATCGCATGATGCCCGAGGTAGCTCGCGTAGCTGTCGCGGTGGATGTTGACGCCCCACTCGCTGCGAGTGCGCACAAAGAAGCTCCCAACGTTCAGGGCGTCGTCGCGCAGTCACGGGCGAGCTGCCAGGTCAGCCGCCATGCAAGACAAGGGAGAGATATCTGCGTGACGATCAGCCACGCCGCGTGGCGCGCCGCGTCCACATGCGGCTGTCCCGCCAAGACAGCACGCTGGAGGGGCGCACGCGTCGTCAAGGGCTCCGTTCCCGTGAGCCGCTCGTCGATCCGGAAAGGCACGTTGATCAGGCGAGCGGGGCGCACAATTTCGTGATGTCGGGGTGGCCCGTGCCGACGTGCTTCGCCTGCTGGTGCTCTAGCTGGGCTGCGATCGAAAAGCGGTCGTTGAACGTCGCCATCGTGCTCTCTGTCGCCGCCGCAGCTCACTCACGCCCCTCGTCAGTCAGCCCGCGCCGATCCTCCTGCGCAGCCTCCTCAACACGGCGCACTGTCGCCCTGTATGGCTGTTTCTCGAGCAACGCCAAGCACAGGGAACGGTCGCGAACGGTCCCACGTCAAGCGAGTCGTATCTGCGAGCGTCGTCGGCCCGCGCCCCCCATTATGCCCGTTTCCCTGCTCCGCTCGTACGGCTGGACTCTCCACACGACGCGGGCAGCAGACCGTCCGGTCGCTCTCGTCTGCCACCGGCTTCAAGGCTTCCCTCGCCCCCGCGTGTCGCTCATCGACGCAGTGTCTGACGCGGGGCGATACGCCATCGGTGCTGGTATCCTCTTGAATCAGAAACCCGCGACTGCCTTGCCACCGTTGCAGGCAGCCACACGTCTCCGCGTTGATGTTCGCCACAGCCCGGGTCAAGACGGGGATCAGTACGGCGCGTACGGTAGGGGTAGGTACAACGCGACCAAATGCGTCGCGGCCAGCGGCCCACGTGTCGCTCAGGACCCATGACGCGCTGCGGCCACTTGCGTAGCCTGGCCGCGCGCGGCTCCCGCTGAGGCGGCATTGTCGACCACCCTGGCGCACCGCGCTGCAGACATATGCTGTTTAGCTCGTTCTGAGATGAAATCGTGATGTCACGTCGCGAGTCCGACGTAACACACCTGCACACAGCAGGCGCCCCGGCATCCCGCGATCAGGCTGGCACGCCCTGGCGGGAGCGACGGCTGATCTCACTCGCACTCCGCGCCCTTGCCCTGCAGTCTGCCTTCGCCGCGCCTCCGCTCTCTCAGTCGCCGGCCGCCAAGCGCCGCTGCCTCGCCCTCCACGCCATGGCGCCGCCTTCCGTCCGCCGCGCGGTCGTGTGGTTCCGCAACGACCTCCGCGTCCACGACAACTACGCCCTCCACGAGGCCGCCAAGCTCGCCTCCGCCGGCCGCGTCGGCGAGGTGCTGCCGCTGTACGTGTTCGACCCGCACTACTTCTCGGAGACGGAGTGGGGGAGCGTGAAGACGGGGGCGCGGCGCGCGGCGTTTGTGCTCGGGAGCGTGCTGGACCTGAAGCGGCGGCTGCGCGACGTGGGGTCGGACCTGGTGGTGGCGGTGGGGAGGCCCGAGGAGGTGGTGGCGCGGGCGGCGGGGGAGGCGGCGACGGTGGTGGTGCAGGACGAGACGACGAGCGAGGAGCGGCGCGCGGTGGGGCGGGTGCGGGAGGCGGTGGGGCGGTCGGGCGGGAAGGTGGTGTCGGTGTGGGGGTCGACGCTGTACCACCGGGACGACGTGCCCTTCCGCGGCGACATGCAGGACATGCCCGACATCTTCACGCCGTTCAAGCAGAAGTGCGAGAACAAGAGCGAGGCGCGCTCCCAGACCTGCAGCCTGCGCTGCGGGGTCCTCGGGGCCCGCGGAAGCGACGAAACGTCGGTGTGTTTTTGGCCGCTCGTGTGCAGGTCCGCAAGCTGCTGCCCGACCCGGTGAAGGGCTCGCTGCCGCTCCCTGCCGCGCTGCCGGAGGGCCTGTCGTTCGAGTACGCCCCGTCCTTTGCGGACATTCCCTTCTCCAGCCCCGCCGGGGAGGAGCCCAAGCACGACGCCCGCGGCGTACTGGACTTCAAGGGTGCGCCTGTCCCGCGACGTGGCGTGCAGTTCTGTCGCTCGCGAGCACGCGTGCGTGGCGTGGGCTGGATGGGGCCGTCGCTCGGAAGCACAGGGTTCGCGGTTTTGGCTGCCTTTGTTGCAGGGGGGGAGACTGCCGCCCTGGAGCGCCTCAAGTACTACCTGTGGGACTCCGAGCTCCTGTCGACGTACTTTGACACGCGCAACGGCATGCTCGGCGGGGACTACTCGACGAAGTTCGCGCCGTGGCTCGCGCACGGGTGTCTGTCGCCGCGCAAGATCTACTGGGAGATCCAGAAGTACGAGGAGCAGATCATGGCCAACAAGTCGACGTACTGGGTGATCTTCGAGCTGATCTGGCGCGACTACTGGAAGTTCTTCGCCATCAAGCACGGGAACGGGATCTTCCTCGAGGAGGGCGTCATCGGCAAGCGCAACCCGTGGACGTCCGACGAGACGCGCTTCAAGCGCTGGTGCGCCCCCCGCGAGCAGCGACCGCTGCATCTGGCTGCACGCGTACGGTGTTCGCGAGGCCTGCGCGCCTGGCGCGCTCTCGCCGGGTCCCTGACGGGGCTGTGCTTTCCTGACGTCGCGCAGGGTGGAGGGCAAGACCGGCATGCCCCTCGTCGACGCCAACATGCGCGAGCTCGCCGCCACGGGCTTCATGTCCAACCGCGGCCGCCAGAACGTGGCCTCGTACCTGTGCCTGGACCTGGAGGTGGACTGGCGGCGCGGGGCGGACCACTTCGAGCACCACCTGCTGGACTACGACGTGGCGTCCAACTGGGGCAACTGGGTCGCCGCCGCGGGCCTCACGCCCGGGCGCGTCAACCGCTTCAACATCACCAAGCAGAGCAAGGACTACGACGCGCAGGGGGACTACATCCGGCACTGGGTGCCGGAGCTGAAGGACGTGCCGGCGAGCAGGATCCACGAGCCGTGGACGATGAGCCGCGCGGACATGGAACGGTACAACGTGGACGTCGGGGTGGATTACCCGCAGCCGATCCCTGCTGGTCAGCGCGGCGGCAGTGGTGGGGGCGGAGGGCGCGGGGGCGGGCGCGGCGGGCGCGGCCGCGGCGGGGGCCGGCGCGGCAAGGGCCGTGCGAGGTCGGAATTTGACCGCTACGGGTGAGCGCGTGCCACTGCGTGTCTGTCGGACATTTTGGTGACATCAGGGGGGTGTGACACTGCTTGTTCGAGCCCGCGCGGCGTTGTGGGGCCATCGGCTCTGCCGGACTGGCAGTGTGAGCGTTGTCGGTGCCGGACGCGACGAGAGGGGCGTGCTGGTGAAACCGCGCCGTTGACACCGCGTTGCCAGAGGAGGCACAACGTTTGGAGAGCAGCACGGACGCACATGGATGAAATCGCGAGGATTCCTACACGGAAGATGTGCACATGAGGTGTGTGCTTCGTATCTGCTGCGTGACGGCTCGCATGGAGCGCGACATCTCCGACGCGGGACTCGAGAGCACAGCACTGTGCCGAGACTCTAGCCGAGCGGCACCGCAGGACTTCCAGGCCCCATGGTCGCGGATCTGGCTGGAAATCGTTGCGTGAACGTTTTTGCGACAGGTTCGCTGAAATGAGTTGCGTCCCCGACCCGTCAGGACCGTCTCGGCTGTGCTGCAGGCAGTGCGCGTGGCCCTCACACGTCGGGCCCGCTGCATGGCGACCATGGCGGAGGCCCCCGTCCGCCGCGCGGTCGTGTGGTTCCGCAACGACCTCCGCGTCCACGACAACTACGCCCTCCACGAGGCCGCCAAGCTCGCCTCCGCCGGCCGCGTCGGCGAGGTGCTGCCGCTGTACGTGTTCGACCCGCACTACTTCTCGGAGACGGAGTGGGGGAGCGTGAAGACGGGGGCGCGGCGCGCGGCGTTTGTGCTCGGGAGCGTGCTGGACCTGAAGCGGCGGCTGCGCGACGTGGGGTCGGACCTGGTGGTGGCGGTGGGGAGGCCCGAGGAGGTGGTGGCGCGGGCGGCGGGGGAGGCGGCGACGGTGGTGGTGCAGGACGAGACGACGAGCGAGGAGCGGCGCGCGGTGGGGCGGGTGCGGGAGGCGGTGGGGCGGTCGGGCGGGAAGGTGGTGTCGGTGTGGGGGTCGACGCTGTACCACCGGGACGACGTGCCCTTCCGCGGCGACATGCAGGACATGCCCGACAGCTTCAGCAAATACCGGCAGGCCGTCGAGGGCGTCGCGCCCGTCAGGCCGCTGCTCGAGGGCAGCTCCGTTTGCGCAGGGCCCCTGCCCAAGCAGCTACCGGAGGGGCTGTCTTACGAATTCGAGCCAGGCTGGCGCGACATTCCATTCACAAGCGAGACCGACGAGCCGACGTTCGATCGGCGCGGCGTGCTTGACTTTCAAGGTGGGACGAAACAACACATCACATGACTGATCCATGTTTGTCTTGCCTGCTGAATCTGTTGTTCGTGCGCAAAGCGCGAGCGTCCTCGCTAGCCAAAGCATCGGCCCGTTCGGCGAGCGCGCTTGCCTTGACGAGCGTCCTTCTCCTTCCCTGAGCCCGTCAGGTGGGGAGACTGCCGCCCTGGAGCGCCTCAAGTACTACCTGTGGGACTCCAAGCTCCTGTCGACGTACTTTGACACGCGCAACGGCATGCTCGGCGGGGACTACTCGACGAAGTTCGCGCCGTGGCTCGCGCACGGGTGTCTGTCGCCGCGCAGGGTGTTTTGGGAGATCAAGGAGTATGAGAAGCAGTTCGGGGACAACAAATCAACCTACTTCGCAGGGTTCCACCTCATCGTCCGCGACTACTGGAAGTTCTTCGCCGTGAGGCACGGGAACGGCATATTCAGAGGCCGTGGCGTGGCAGGCAACAACGTTGTGTGGGCTGCCCAGGACGAACAGCAGGAGCGGTTCCAGCGTTGGTGCGCGCCCTCTGGCAAATATGCCTCGGTGTAGCCAGGTCACCGTGCGTGCTCTCTGCGCGTGAACCACCCGGGAATCTCCGCGGAGCCGGCAACCAGCATTTCAAGAACCCGCCGCAGTCCTTCCAGGGGCCTTCTGGCTCGGTCTGAGGGTCACACTTCCGCGCGTGTCTCGCAGGGTGGAGGGCAAGACCGGCATGCCCCTCGTCGACGCCAACATGCGCGAGCTCGCCGCCACGGGCTTCATGTCCAACCGCGGCCGCCAGAACGTGGCCTCGTACCTGTGCCTGGACCTGGAGGTGGACTGGCGGCGCGGGGCGGACCACTTCGAGCACCACCTGCTGGACTACGACGTGGCGTCCAACTGGGGCAACTGGGTCGCCGCCGCGGGCCTCACGCCCGGGCGCGTCAACCGCTTCAACATCACCAAGCAGAGCAAGGACTACGACGCGCAGGGGGACTACATCCGGCACTGGGTGCCAGAGCTGAAGGACGTGCCGGCGAGCAGGATCCACGAGCCGTGGAGTGCGACGGTGGAGGAGAGGGCGGCGATGGAGGGCCTGGACATATATCCCCGGCCGATGGTAGAGCCTCCGGTGCACGTCCCGAGGAAGAAGCGATGAGGTCGGAGCTTGGGATGGCGCGCACGGCCCTGTGTCGCCTGGTGACTTAGGTCGACCGGCGGCGCAACGTGTGCGAGAGTTGCTCGGAGTCCGTCTGCGCTCGTCTCGCACGGCGCGAGCCTTTTCGGAGATGTGAAGCGGCGTTCGCAGCAGTGCAACTCGGGCTGTCGGACTGTGCGTCGCGAGGATCGAACCAGCGCCGTGCTTCCGGGGAGGGGGGCGTGCACGAGCGCGGCCGACACAGGGCTGTGCCACCGCTGGGATAATTGGACCATTGAGCGCGTGCCATGACACGGTTTCGCGTTCACATCGTGTCGAGCTTGCGATTGAGATAGAGCAGCGCAGCCGCGCACGTCACCTGCCTGTGGATACAACCTCGAGCCAACTGGAGATTCGATGGCCGATTTGTGCCTGTGTGCAGCCGCAGGACGCGGCGCCGCAGTGCGAGAGGGCGCTTCGATGCGATTTCACCGCACGCCGGTCATCACATGCAGGCGGCGGCCTGCGTGCGAGCGTCCCGGCCAGGTCCGTGCTATGCCAAGCACTACCACGGCGACGAGGGCGCCATCCGAGACGCAGCCTCGCCCAGGGCCCGGCAACGGGGATCAGAGGTATCCGTACATCGACCAGTCCTATCCGGGCCTGCAAGTCCTGAATGAAGAGCCGCCGGTGTACCTCATCAGGAACTTCCTTTCCGAGGCCCACTGCGACGCGCTGCGAGCCGCGGCCGTGGAGGGCGTGCTGCCTGAGATTCAGTACGATAACAGCGTACACCTCGACGCGGCGAAGCTGCGCCTTTTGGCTCCAATCGCCGTCCTAGGAGCGGTGCCACCGGCGTTGCACGCTGCCGAGGCAGGCGCAAGCACGGCACAGATTCTCGCAGCCGGCGGCCAGGCCCTGGGGATCGCCGCAGCAGGCATGTTCGTCCTCACGCGTGTCGTGGTCCTCGCCGTGCAAGCGTCCATTGGGGGAAAGGTGCGAGGACATCAGCGCACAAGTTGTTGCGCGCCGCGCACTGCTGGTTGATCCGTCGCTAGGAGTGCCCGACGCCGGTGCCCACGGCCCTGCACGCCGGCCTAGTCCCCTGCAGATCTTCAGCGGCTCCAAGTGGACCACACGAGAGCTGCGCGCTGCGACGCCCGAGGCCGGCAGCGACGAGGCCGGCGTGCAGCGGAACGCGCTGCGGGCGAACGCCATTGCTGCACGGGCGGCGTTTGTCGACGCGTACACGCGGCTGATCGACACACCAGAGTCGCACCTCGAAGAGCCGATGGTCACGAGATATCAGGAGGGAGACTATCAGGCGCGTGCCCAAGCGTTTGCAGGCCATGCAGCCGGTCGCAGAGGTGCACACAGTAGGATCGCTCCTGCTGCGAGGTTTGTGCCCTGAGCTTCCGCATTTCTCCCGCCTCACGCCGACCGCAGCTGACGCACATTGATGCACGCACGGCGGGCGACATGGGCGAGGACATGGAGGCGTTCATGGCGCGCGGAGGTCAGCGGCTTGTGCAGTGTGTGTGTTACCTGTCGGGGGATGACGAGGGCACGGGCGGGGCGACGTCGTTCGACCATCCCTGCATGGAGGGCCTCAAGGTCGCGCCGACGCGTGGCAGCGCTCTCGTTTTCTTTCCTGCGTTCCGGGACGGCCGGAGCGATGACCGCATGACTCACAGTGGGCAAAGGGTGGACAGCGGGGAGAAATGGATCGTCAACTCGTGGGCGTGCGAGAAGGCAGTCGAGGTGCTGCCACAGCATGCGCCCCGGTCTGCCTAGTTCTTGAGCGCTCCCGCCGTCCGTGTGACGAGAATCAGTGAGACACCACTGGCACGCCTGCAACTGGAGGTAGTGGGATGACCCACCACGTAAGAACCACTCCGCCCGCAAGAGAGATCCGACTCAGGGCTTAGACCACGTCGGCGGAGGCGAGATGCTTTGATTGTCTTGATTGTTGGGATAAGTTTCAGCGAAGCAAAACGAGCCCACTCAGGGCCGCAGGAAACGAGCGAGATGAGGTGGCTTTTGTACTTCGCTGACCTATAGGCCTACGAGCACCCTCGCCGGGAGGATGCCGGAGCGACCGGAATGGTACGGCAGACGAGACGTCCCACCCAGCAGGCACATTCGTCGTACCAATCGGTTGTTACACAGCCTGTTCCGAAAACACGGGGCACCAGCGAGGTCAACAGGTCACTCGCGCTCTGTCATGTCTCGTAGCGTCAAGAAGGTCTCGCGGGCATCGTCGCCCAGACAGGGTGACGAATTCTGTAACGCGCAAACAGTTCATGCTGCTTCAGGCCCAGATCAGTCGTGTCGGCATAAATTCTACATGGTCAGACAGCTGGCCTCCGAGGGAGCATAGAGAGGTGAGAGCGGCGGGCTGTGAGAGCAGTTGCGCCGAAAGGCTACACCCAACATGGGTATGGGGAGGGGTTCGGAATGGCACACAAAGCGCCTGTGCGAGTACAGCTGACAGCTGGTCATGGCCGGAGCTTGGAGGGCTCCGCCAAGCAGGGGTCAGGGGTTCGAGGGGGTGAAAGGGTCGCACGACGCGGTCGTACGGGGGCGGGGGGCTGGGGATGTGCTGCAGATTGTGCAAAACGCAGCGGCGCTGCGTCCGAGTGGTGTCAGGAGCTGATCTTGCTGCGCAAAGCGTTGCCTCTTCTGGGTCGTTGCGTGCACCGAACCACATCGAAGAGTCTTCGTCGATGCCTTTGAGAGAGGTGGATGGGGAAGGGAGGGGGGGGCTGGCGGGAGAGGGGGGGGAGGGGCTGGCGGGAGGGCGTGGAGTGGGACAGGCGGCGAGTTGTGGGGGGGGAGGGGGTGTCGGTAGCCTGCTCCTTGAGCGTCCCACATTGAGAGCTGAGGGTTCTCCAACGCGGAGGAAAGCGGGGTGCGAGTACTGCAGGAGCAGCGCGGGATGCCAGCCGCACTGGCGTCCGCCGCAGACTCTCTAGTGTTGGTATTCGGCCTCGCTGGGCTGGCGGCTACTGCGGTGGCCGCTCGAGCCAGCGCCAATATAGTGCGGCGAGTTGCGCGACACGTGCTTCAAGGGGGAGCCGCCCAGGTGCCGGGGAACCCCCAAGCCTTCGCCCCCGGACAGGCAAACCTGCGCATGCGCGCCCTCATGCACCTCCAGGGGCACTTCCCCGACGTTGTGGTGCATCAGCAGCGCGTTGACGCCCACCGACATCCCGCCGGCGAGCGGCGCCAGCATGCTGGCTTCCCGCACCCCAGACTGAGCGTGGGGGCGCGGCCGGGGGCGGTGCCCGGACCCGCCCGGTGCACCGCTGCCTTGCGCGGCGCTGCTGGCCCCGCCGAGGCCATGGCGCAGCCGGCTGCTGCTCTGGCGCGAGCTGTCCGTCAGGCGCCCCTTGCGGCCGAACCGCGTGACGCCCACGGGGCCGCCCGACTGCCGGCTCTTCGGGTGGCTGCCGCCCGACGGCGGCGCCGTCCCGCGCATCGCCGTCAGCCGCGACACCATCTCCGCCGTGGCGGCGTGCGGCAGGCGCTGGACCTCCATCATCCCCGAGCTCAGCATCACTGGGGCTTCGACCTTGTCCTTGATGCCACGCGCGGCGCGCGCGGCGGCGATGCCCCTGCCCTTCTTCGAGATCTTCGTGATGTAGGAGCGTGCGTCGAGCATCGGCGTCGACAGGTAGCACACGTCGACCGGCACCGAGATCCCCTTGAACTGGAAGCGCCCCGCGTTGTACGCGCTCACCTCGAACGGGCGGCGCGCCGCGGCGTGGGCGCCGTGGAAGGGCTGGAAGGCCGAGTTGCCCGAGCTGCTGACCGTGCACCCGGTGTGCAGCGGGGGGGCGCCGATGTACCCAGGCCGCACTGGGGCCTCCGGGGCGGCCGCGCAGCCCTCGGACGGGGTCTGGTGCGAGTACGGGCGGCCCGCCGAGCGCGCGCTCTCCGTGCCCGACCGCCGCGCGAGCGTGGCGCGGCCGAGCGCGATCAGGACCAGGAGTGACCCGAAGTTGTTGGCGAAGGCTTCGGACGACTGGCGCGCGGGCAGCGGGGGCTTAACGGGCCCCAGGTTCGACTTGCGGTGCGGAACGCTGCCGTGGCGCTCGATGCCGGACTCGCCCCGGCCGCTCCCGCTCGCCGAGGACCCGCCGTCGGTCGCGCGGCGCTTGCGCTGCGAGTCGGCGTGGGCCGCGGCCTTGTCGTGCTCGGGGCCCGCACGCGCCGACCGCGACGACGCCCGCGCCATCTCGGCCGAGGAGTCGACGCGGCGGCTCGGCGTGTTGCGGCCCTCCCCGCGCTCGGAGCCGCGGTTCCCGGCCGGGCCGCGCGGGGCGTGCTTGGCGCTGCCCAGGCACGACAGTGCCTGTGCCTTGGTCAGGATGACCTGCCCGCCCTGGGCCGCGACGAAGCACAGCCGAGCGGCCTGGTTGACGACGGGGCCGAAGTAGTCCACGCGGGCCGTCGCCGGGTTCGGCGCGATGCGTGTCGGGCGCCCCGCAAAGAGCCCGATGCGCACGCGCACGCCGCGGAACGCGAGGACGCCCGTCGACGGGTTGCTCTCCGGGCCGCACCCGGGGCGGCTGAGGAACTCCGGCGGCCACGCCATGCTGAGGAGCTGTTCCTGGAGCGTGAGCGCCCAGCCGATCCCGTCGGCCACCGACGGCAGTGCCGCCATGACCACGCCCTGCTGCTCCTTGCACTCGTAGCCGTTGAACACCGGCAGCGTGGCGCGCACGAGCGACAGGTAGAGCTCCATGGCGAGCTCGACGTCCTTGGGCGTCCGCGCTGCCATCGCGCCGGAGGAGCCCTCGTTGATGCGGCTTTGGCTCTTCTCGCCCTTCTCGTCGACGACGTCCACGTGGCCGGTGAGGTTCGTCGCGGCGCAGAACACGATCGCCACGCGCGGCAGCGTGCCCGTGGAGCCCAGATTGGCCTCGGTGTCCGCGACGCCCGTGTGCGCGTGGTCCTTCCCTGCCGTGAAGGACGTCATCGGGCCCAGGGACGCCGACCGCGCGCCGGGGGCGTCGAAGAAGCCCAGCGACAGCTTCGTGGCGCCGCGGGGCTGCGGGAAGTGCAGCCCGCGGGCCTCGAGGCCCGGGACCAGCACCTGGTACAGACTCTGGGCCTCTTCGCGGAAGCCCGCCACCTGGTACTCCCCCATGTGGATGACCGGGATGAGGTCGAGCTTCACGGAGCTCGAGCGGTCGACGCCGAAGTCCATCGAGCCCTCGGAGGTGGCCTTCTGGAACCAGCGCTTCGCCCGCTTCCGCTGGAGCAGCTTGGCAAACATGTTGGGGCCCGAGTCGTTGGCGTCGTCGTCGCTGCTGCCCTCGTTCACGACGTCCACTTCCTCCCCGTTCGCGTTCTTGCGGGGGAACCCCCCGGCGTCCACGGAGGCGCGGACGCCCGGGGGGGCGGGCGTGGCGTCCATCGAGGCGCGGTAGCCCGTTGTGGTTCCGCCGCCGTCCCGCGGCGGCACGATGCCCTCCCGGTCGGCCTCGCCCAGCTCCGCGCTCTGCTTGATGGTCAGGAGCGGGCCCTCGTCCAGCGAGGTGATGTTCAGCTCTGTGCGGTCCGCGAAGCTCCGCTCCTCGAGGCGCACCATGGCGCGCACGGCCTGCGTGCTCGGACTGGCGTACGCCGTCAGGGACATCGCGGCCAGCTTGGGCATCGTGGACTGGAAGGTGTTGGCGTCCATGAGGATCTGGCCCCCCGCGGGGAGGCCCTGGAGAGCGGCGAGCTCGTCGACGACGGGGCCCGCGTAGAGCAGCTTGCCGCGCGTGGAGCACACGGCGTCGCCCGTGGCGATGGTCATGCGCACGCGCAAGCCCCGCGAGAGCAGCGTGCCCGGCTGCGAGTCCGCGCACATGGGCGCGCCACTGCGGAAGTTGTAGTGCTCGTCCGGGATGGGCCGGATGTCCTTGGGCCAGTCGGCGGTGGACAGGGCCTGCTGCGTGGCGATGCACCACATCACCGCGTCCTCCGTGTCGTGGAACGCGATCGTGAACGAGTCCCCCTCGGTCTGGATCTCGTACCCGTAGTGCGGCAGCAGCGCGCGCCGCAGCACGGCGTTGTGCACGTTGAGCGCCGCGAGCATGGCCACGGGGTCCAGCTCCCACAGCAGCGTCGAGCCGACGATGTCCGTGTTGACCAGCGTGACGGGGCCGTCGTTCCCCATCGGCGGCCCGCGCCGCTTCCGCCGCTGGTGGTAGTGCTGCTGGATGCGCCGCCGGTAGAAGACGAGCACGCCCGCGACGATCACGAGCGCGAGCACCACCGCGCACACGGGCGGGATGACCGTGAGGAGGATGCTGACCGACTCCGGCACGATGCACTCCAGCTGCGGGAACCCCTCGGCGTCCTCCGACCACTCCTCGTCCATGCCCTCGGGGCACGTGCAGCCCTGGTAGTGGTGGTACGCCGGCTCCAGGACGACCTCCTTCCAGTTGATGCAGCGCAGCTGGTCCCCGCTCAGGCAGGTGTTCCCGACCGTGAGCCCCCCGATCGGCTTGCACTCCACGCGCGTCCCGGCGAACACGCGGATCTGCCCCTGAGGAATGTACCGCAGGAACTCCGGGAGCTGCTCGCCGCGCGAGTTCGGGACGCCCAGGTGCCGCAGGCCCGTGCCCTGCGCGTTGAACACGCGCACGTTGCGCAGGTTGGCGTACGCCGCCGGGATGGAGCCCACGAGGCCGGGGTTCTGGCTCAGGTTGATGACCTCCAGGTTGGACGCCAGCGCGAGCTGCTCGGGCAGCGTCCCGGAGAGCTGGTTGTAGGAGAGGTCCAGCACGGTGAGGTCCGCGCCGGCGATGTGCGGCGGGATGGTGCCTGCGGGGGGCGCGCGGCGGGGGCGCGCGGCGTGGGCGCGCGGCGTGGGCGGCGGACGCGGGCGTCGCGGGGGCAGGTGTCGCGGGGTCGCCGGGCGAAAGAGAGTCGTCGCTGCGGACAAACGCGCGCGAGGCGGGTCGCGGGGCGGGAGGAGGTCGCCGTGCCTGAGAAGAGGTTGCCGTCGAGCATGAGCTCGCGCAGCTCGGGGATGGACCCGAAGTCGTTCGGGATGGACCCCGAGAGTCCGTTGTCGCCGAGGTCGAGGCTGGTCACGGGGGTGTCGGTGACCCACTTCGGGATCGACCCCGAGATGCTGGTGCCGCGGATGTTGATGTTGTTCATGGCGCGGACGCCGAACTGCGTGACGAGCGACCGCAGCTGCGCGCCGTTCTGCACCTCGCCGCGCAGGCCGCGGTTGTGCGAAATGTCAATGGTGGTGATCGACGGTGCGGAGAAGAGGCCCAGCGGGACGCTCCCGGTGAAGTCGTTGTAGCTCAGACTGACGTACCGGAGCTGCAGCGGCTCCGCCAGCGTCGACGGAATGCTACCTGCGGGGCACGGGCGTGAGCGGGCATGAGCACGGCGCAACCGCACCGGGCGACAACAGCGGGTCGCGGAGACGGCGCGAAGCACGCGGCCGCACGCCCGGGTCCCCGGGGACACAGGCGGGGCGGCGCGCGGGGGCGGGGCACGCACCCTCGAGGCGGTTGGTGTGAATGGAGAGGTCGCGCAGGAACACGGGCCAGGGGGTGCTGGGGAGGGTCCCCGTGAAGTCGTTCCCGCCCAGCGACAGCGTCGTGAGGAGCGGCATGGTGGTCAGCATGGCCGGGAAGGTGCCGCCCATGCCCGCGCTGGCCAGGAGCAGCACTTCGAGCGAGTCCTGCACGGCAGCGATGGCGGCCTCCGGGAACACGACGCCGTTGCTGGAGCGGTCCGCGCGGCGCGATATCTTGTCGAGGTTGATGCCCGCGACTCCGCCCGGCCGCGTGCACACCACGCCCTGCTGTTTGGACGACTCCCACGTGATCTGGTCCGTGTTGGCGCCGCTGAGCTTCCCGATGAGGAGCTGCGCGTCCGCCCCGCAGCACTCGACGCCCTTCCAGCAGCAGTGGTGCAGGCTGTTGCCCGCGCCCCCGGGCAGCCAGTAGTCGCGCAGCTCCTCGTCGATCCAGTCGGCAGCGGCCAGCTGCGCGCCCATGTCCAGCAGCGCCTGCCGCTGCCGCGCCTGGCACGCGGCGTCGCAGCCGCCCGCGGACTGCGTGAGCTGCGTGGCGAACATGCGGAGCCGCTCGATGGCCTCCGCGGGCGACAGAACGTTGGGCTCGGGCGCGTGGGAGCCCGCCACCACGGCCGTGATCTCCGCGGCGAAGGCCGCCCGGTAATTCGCGATCGCGATGTCCAGGTCGAAGCTGCACCGAACGGGGCACATCGGGCCGGGGTCTCGCCCGAAGCGCGCGGGTGGAGCGCCCGGGGCGGCGCCTGTGCTGACCGCCCAACTGCTGGCATCGGACAGCGCGTCCCGCGCCCTCCGGCCCGGCGCGCGGCGCGCGAGCCCGGCAACGGACAGGACCGCGGTCGCAACGGCGGGGGGCGGCCCGGAGGGCGAATTTCGCGGCCCGGGGGAGCCGCCGCGCGCGCTTCGGCGCTCAGCGGCCGGAAGGGCCAACGGTGGCTGCGCGCGTCTCGCCCGGGGACGCAAACGGTCCCTGGCGCGGCGGACGCGGACCTTCAAACCACGATCGACCCGGGAAGGCTGCGAGCGGGGCCGCGCGGGCGGGGTCGAGCGGGCGGGACGGACCTGTTGACGTTGGCAGGGATGTTGTTGAGACCGAGGATATTGAGCGTCGTCGCGCACTGCACCTGCAGCCGGCGCCTCTTAGCTTCAAGCTCCGGGTTAGAGGAGTCCGCGTGCGCGCAGCGGGCCGCCGCGACGCACGCCAGCGCGAGCAGCGCCCCCAGGAGGGGACGCAGCAAGCCATTCAACCGCCCCCATCCGCCGCGCCTGACGGCCCCGTGGGGCCGCCCGCGACCGCCCATCGGCTCACCGCCTACTCGGGGGCCCTACACAGCCCGCCAAGTGGACGGAGCCGGCGTTCGCCCGCGCGATACTGGTGCGAGCAGTCTCTAACTACAAAGTGGACATAACGAACCTGTCTCGCGGCCAGTGGCGCTAAAGAAGGACATCTGAGGTCCTCAGCTGTGGGTGTTTGGCCGACCGCACGCGCTCGCGGGGCCATGGCGCCGGAGCCGCGCCGGAGCCTCCGCGCGGCAAGGGTCGAACCCCCTCTATGGTTGACTCAGCCGCGCCGCGTCGCCAAGCGCCCGCATCGGCGCCGCGCCCTGCCTCAAACAACGGCGGTCGAGCCGCCCTCGTCGGCGAGCGCTCGTCGCGAGCACTTTCCGCGCGTCAGAGCCACGAGCTCTGCGGAGAGCAGCCTGTTGCCCGCGAGGCGGCCAGGTGACCGTTTCGGCGCTTTCCGTCACACACTCTGCGCTCACAAGTTGTTTTCGCGCACGTGGATTGCGTAAAATCCGCCAGCGCAGTCCGCGGTCGCCCTGGCGAGCCGTCTGCGGTACAGCGGCCGCGACGGAGCCGGTCGCTGCGCGTTTTGGTCCGCCCGGTGAGGTGCCCGCCCCCAGTTCTCATCGCCTCGTGTCGTCTTTGCGGTCCGCGCATCATCCAGGCCAGGACATGCTTGCGTTCGGTCACCGCCACTCAGATGGGGATTGTTCGCTCTCGTCGCCGCTCTGGAGGTCTCAGCGCGCACGCAAACGGCGACCCGCGAGATCCTGAAATCTGACCGCCGCGGTTCAAGCGTCGGACCTCGCTCCGGTGCGATGTGTGCGGCCCGCAGGTCCACTGAAAGCCAGCAGGTCCTCCCGGTCGCTGCCGCGGCGTACGGGCTGCGGGGGCGCGCGTTGTGTTGCGGCGTCCATGCCGGGTTGCACCGGGTGTCAGCGCCTCGAGCACAGCACGGATGTCATCGCTTGAGACCCACGGTGGCATCCGGACCCTAAACAGCATCTCCGTGTGTCTGTCTGGGCAGCGCGCGGCGTCGCTGGGCGCAATGCGACGCCGTGGCGCCTCGAAGGGCGATGCACTACTGCTCGTCGCTCACCGCGGGTCCAGCGAAGGCTGAGCTCTCGCGGCGCCGGCGCTGTGTGTGCCGCAGGACTCCTGTCGTCCGCAGGGCCTCACACACTCGCAGACGAGGGGCGTCAGACGGACGACCGGACGTGCACCGCATGTGAATCGCATTCTTGCGACTGAACACTCTCCTTCCGTCCTCCTCGGCCCGCCTGAGCTGTTGCGCACGACCGTCAGACGGTCTCAGACGGTCTGAGACCGCGTTGCCAGCGGCGGCGCTATGCCCGGGGCGCATACCGCCCCGGGTAACTTTCCCGGCACGCCACCACGTGTCGCGGGATCACGCGTCCTGAACTAGCCACCCCACTCTGAGTGCCGTATCACCCTGTCTGTTCACTGGGGCCTCTTCAGCCGCGATGAGCGCTCCCATGACTACGCGCGCGCTGCCTGGCGCCCGGTCTGGCGCTGCTCCCCGTCCGGCGGCCCGCGAGAGGCCCGCCCCGCAGCCACGACGTCGCGCAGCGGCCCGGAGTCCGCCTGCAAGGCGAGGCTGCCACCTCACGTATGCGCTGGGACAGCCCAGGACGCGAAGGGAGGACAACAAGATGTGTGGCCCCGAAGTGGTGCCCAGGGCGCTCGCGGGGACAATTGCTGCGCCCCTCGTCGAGCAGGACCGCCAAGGTGCCCCCTTAACTGCACCTGCGACGGCGGGGGCTGTCTCGCCGCCTGTCGTCGATTCGCGGGCCCTGACTGCATTTTCCTAGGACGTCGACACCGTCCAAGACAAGCCGCACCTTTCCTAAGGCCTCAACGGCCCGCGCCACGCGAGCGGCCTGCACGCAGCCAACTGCAGGCGCCAGGGCCCGGCCGCGCGCTCCTCATGCCTCGAGGTCGACGGGCTTGCCGTCCTTGCGCATCGCCGTGTCCAACAGCGCGCCCCCACGTCCTCTGCGTCTCGCAGGCCTCGAGCGCCTCCCCTTCTCCGGCGAGGGCCCCCTCGGCACCTTCTGGGACTGGAACTGCGGCCTGAGCTGCCGGACCGAGGCCCTCCCGCCGCCTAGCTGGGTGCCCGCGCACCTCCGCACGCACAGCCGCACCGTCCGCGTGCACTACGTGGCCCATGGGCCGGTGGACGCGCCCCCCCTCGTCCTGGTGCACGGGTTCGGCTCCAGCGCCTACCACTGGCGGTACAACATCCCGGAGCTGGCGCGCGAGTACCGCGTGTACGCCCTGGACCTCGTGGGGTTCGGCTGGAGCGACAAGCCCCTCGGAGACTTCCGGTACGGCGCGGAGACGTGGGCGGAGCAGCTGCGGGCCTTCATCAGCGACGTGGTGGACCCGACGGGGGCGCGGCCGCCCGTGCTGGTGGGCAACTCGCTCGGTGGGTTCGCCTGCCTGCACCTGGCGCGGACGGTCCCGGCCGCGGTGCGCGGGCTGGTGCTGATCAACAGCGTGGGGCACTACTCCACGCGCGAAGAGGACCTCGCCAAGGCGAGGACCGCGCGCGGCAGGCTCCGCAACGCCGTCGGGCCCGTCCTGGGCGCCTTCCGCGGCGTCGCGCTGGCGCTGGCCTTCATGCGGACCAAGCGCCCGGAGACCATCAAGAGGGTGCTGCAGGCGGTGTACACGAACCCGCGGAACGTCGACGACGAGCTCGTCGCGTCCATCGTGCAGCCCGCGGAGCACCCGCACGCCGAGCAGGTCTTCCAGCGCATCATCAACGCTGCTGCCGAGGACGCGCGCAGCGGGACGATGGAGGAGGCGCTCGCGAGCGTGACGTGCCCGATGCTGCTCCTCTGGGGCCTCAACGACCCCTGGATCTCCCGTGACAAGCTCGCGTACATCCAGCAGCGCGTGCCGGACTGCGCGGTGGCCGGAATCGACGCCGGGCACTGTGTCCACGACGAGGCGCCGCGGGAGGCCAACGCGTCGATGCTGACGTGGCTGGCGGCCCTCGACGGCGCGTCGCGGTGAAGCAGACCCGCCGCGAGGGACCTCGCCACCTCTCTGCGGTTTTTCCCGTTCCAGAATCCCTAATACACGAGCTGCTTTACATGACTCCGCCCCTCGCTGCCGCGTCCACGGTCCGCCCCGGAGCCGGCGGACGCGACCGCTCGCCCTAGTGCGGGGTGCGCAGGCGCGAAGACAGCCATAGCGTTCGCCTGGGCGCGCGGTGGCGGCCACAACTGACCAGCGCCATTCGGCGAGACACTTCCCCCCCCCCTCCACCCCAAGATGATCCCCAGCCTCGCTCACTCGAACGTGTCGACCGCAGTCCACTGCCCTGACCGGCGCCAGCCGCTGCACGCTTCTTTTCCAGGGCGCCATACGACGAGTCGTGCCTGCCCGAATCTGCCGCGCGTGATAGTAGTAGTCCTCTCACGTTGATTTCCTGCCCAGGTGGCTAATTACGTGACGCACGCATGATTCCAGCAGCTTTTCCCTTTTTCCGTGCGACTGGAAGTGCAGTGCAGACCTTGCACGCCTTCCGTCGCCCGTGGCCCGCTGCGCACACCAGCGGCCCACGATGCATGTGCTCGCCCCGCGTCGACAGAATGATGCGCGTGTGAAGCAGAAAGAACCGAGCCAGCGTACCCGGTATTGCGTCACAATCCCGGCACAGAAGATCGCAAGTATCGACTTCTACTGTTGCAATCGGGCGTAGCGCTGCAGGCCGGCGTGGACGGCTCCACGCGGCACGCGCGCCACCCGTTCACGATGCACGAAGGCTGCCTCGTCCGAGCATGTACCAGCGCTACAGGAAGACGTTGAGTTTCTGGTCGTACCCCGCAACGTTGACAAGCTGGGCCATGTCATCCCGCAGGGTCGCGCGCTTCCGCCCGACCGCCGCCTTGCCCCGCTCCTTCAGCCGCGTCACCGCCCAGTCCGCGCCCGCCACGTACGTCAGCACGTCCCTCGCCTCCGCCACGTCCCTCTCCTCCCCCAACCCAAACAGCGCCTCCGCCATCCACGCCGCGAGCTTCTCCCGCGCGCCCTCCGCGGCCTGCACGTCCCGCACCGTCGACGACAGCTCCCCGAGCAGCGACGCAAGCTCCGCGAGCAGCCGCGCGCGCGGCGCGTCCAGGTTGCGCACCAGCCCCATCACCTTTGCCTGCATGCCCGACGACGCCCTCGCCTGCTGCGCGTCGTCCTCGCTCTCGTCCTCGAGCAAGCAGTCCGCCGCTCCGTTCGAGCGCAGGAGGTTGACGAAGCTCGGAGTCCCGACCGGGTTTTCAAACCCTCGAAAGAGCTGCTCCACGAGGGAGAGCAGGCCGAGGACGGGGCCGCCGCGCAGGAACGACCAGCGCCCGTCGTTGACGGCGTCGCGCGCGTCCGCCAGCCACTGCGCGTTCGCGTCGCCCGCGTCGAGCACGTACCGGACGAGCGGCGGCTGCGCGGCGCGGACCGCCGCACCTGCGCGCAGCAACACCCCGCCCGCGTCGCCGCCATCGCCCTCGTTCTGGCTCAGCAGCTCCTCCTTGACCGCGTACACGAGGTGCGGGAGGTCGTACAGGAGCCGCAGCCCCTCGCCGTGGATGAGCTGCCTCTGGCGGTGCAGGGCGTCCCAGAGAGACACGGGCGGGGCTTGCACGTACGCCGCCGCGAGCGCGATGGCCTTCTGCGGAGCCGCGCCGACGCTCAGCGTGGTCGTCCACGGCTGGTGCTTCATGAGCGCCTGCGCCCGCTTCTTGCGCTCCAGGCGGCGCGCCGAAGCGCTCTTCGAAGGCACCGCCGCCACGTCGACGTCCGCGTACCGCCCGGACGTCTCTCGCACTACATTCCGCACGTCAGTGCCGCACTCGGGCATCGACAGCATGGGCGCCAGCTCCCCCCCGCTCGTGTCCCTGGCCAGGTCGCCATCAAACTTCCGTGATGTGCCCGTCTGCGCGCTCACCTCCCCGTCCCCGTCCCCCGCCGTCTCTGCGACGGACGACGACACGACCGGCGGCAGCGTCTTGCGCCGCGCCAGGTCGTCGGGCCTCTCCGGCGGGGTCGCCGCCGAGGACCTCTGCCGCAGCGGTGGCGCCGCAAGTGCTGCCGACTCGCCCCCCGCCCGCGCCGTGCTCGGCACGGGGCCGCTGTCGCTCGGGCGCACGGGGAAGTGGCAGCGGAGGTGCTTGAGCCACGCCTCGAACACGTCGACGAAGGCCTCCTGCGCCTGCGTCTGCAGCGCGCCCGGGCGGTTGCGGCGGACCATCGCGACGGCCTCCTCGGCGGTGGCCGCGTCGTGGCGGTAGACCATGCAGCACGCGATGGCCAGGCCCGTGCGCCCGAGCCCCGCGTGGCAGTGCACGGCCACCTTCCCCCCCGCGCGCATCACGCCGTCCATGATCTGCACAATGTCCATCATGCGCCCCATGTTCGGCGTGCCCATGTCCTTCCACGACAGGTTCTGGTGCTGGATGCCCACGCGCATGAGCGTCTCCGGGAGGTATGAGAACCCCGACTCGGCCAGGATGCCCGGCCCGCAGCCCGCGTGTTCGCCCACCTCCTGCAGGTTGAGCACCATCGCCACGCCCTTGTCCCGGAGCTCCTCGGCCGCGCCGTCGCGGAGGGCGGCCTCCCACGGCCGCGCCATGGCCAGGATGGCGGGCGTCACCCAGTTCGAGTGCAGTCCCGTGATCTCGTTCACTTTCTGCGACGTGGGGGGGCACGTGCGGAGCGTCTCCGTCGGCCCAGGCCGCCCTCCGCACTCCCGTGAAGCGTGCCAAGGTCGCTGCGCTACCGCTGGGCACGCAACCCTTGGGCGAGGAACCCTCATCCTCGCCGAAGGCGCCGGCGCTGGTCGCCAGAGGAAGGGGCGGTCGCGAGCTGCCACTGCGCGTCTCGTGTGTGAACCGCTGTAGCGGCAGGAGGCGGCAGGCGGGAACCACCACCGCATGACAGGCATGACTCGCTCGCGAGGGGCTTCAGCCCTCACTAGCGATCACGCGGCCTTGAAAGCTTTCGACCGACGTAAGCAACGTGGATGGTAGGCGGCCGAGCACGGGGCACCATGCGTTCGCGCTGGTCGCTGGAAGAGCACGGCGCACCTGTCTCGCTGGGTCTTCGCATCTGCAATTCCGCCCCCCCTCAAACTTGCACTGTATGGTCTCCTTGAATATATACACCAAAGGCGCGTCCCAGCTGTTGTCCACGACGAACTTGCTGGCCCCGCTAGTATTCTTCCTGCTCTGTCTGCGGCTCCGAGCAGACCCCGACGTCTTCCGCGCGCCCCGTCCGTGATCGACCCCCTTCGCATCGGGCGCAACAGCACCGTCGCGTCTGTCCTGCGGCGCCAGCGCGCCCCCCGTCCCAGCGCCCCCGCGGCCCGACGAGGCGCTGCATCCAGCCCCCATGCAGCTCTACCGCCGGGGCGCGCCAGGCCCCGGCCTGAACCCCGACCGACCCCACAGGGCACCTTGACAAATCGACTCCACCCTGCCCTCTTATTCCCACACGAGCAGTGCAGCTCAGTGCGTGCTGGGAGCCCAGAGGCGTGGAGGTTGGTGCCGGTATGTGTCGCGACCGCGCAGTGAGGCGAACTCCACAAGCAACCGCTGGCCGCGCGGCGAGCCGCCGCTCACTACACACGCCCGCCGCGCAGCGGGCCCAACGACCCCGCAGGCCCACCGCGTTCCCGGACGCCTGCGCGACGTTGACACCCCCCAGGGTCATAGTTCTTCGCTTAGGGCCGCACGATGCGATGGTCAGGGCCGAGCTGCTCCAAACACAGAGTAGTAATTGATCACCCAAACACAATCGAGCGCCTGCATCGCAGGATCCCGCTCGCTCCTCCCACAGCGCCTTGCCGCAGCGTTCCGGCGCCGCGTCCGGCACGTCGCGCATCACAGAAACAGGTCCACCTCGTCCTCGCCGTCGCTCCCGCCCCTCTGCGGCGCCGCCCCCGCCTCAGCGTCACGCGCGTCTTCCTTCTCCTTGTCCTGGTCCCTCTTCGGCGACTCCCCCCCGTCCTGCTCCGGCGCCGGCCGCTTCGACCAGTCGAACGGCACGATCTTCCCCGCGGCGTTGGTCGCGGCTTTCGCAGTCTCCGGGATCATGTCGGGTCCGACGTGGAACTCCACGTCCAGATGCGTGGCCTGCACCCACCGCTCAATGTCCTGCACAGGGACGCAGGCACGTGCACGCGCGGCGCTCAGGGCGGCCCGCGCCACCGACGGAGCGCGTCGGGGGAGGCACGCAGCGGGGCACCATGTGGCCACAACAGCGGATAAGGGCGCATCCAAAGTCACGATGAATTGGTTTGATGTCAAGTGCTTGTTCGTGGTTACCTTGAGGGCGCGGAGATCCTCGTGCTGCGAGGCCCACACAAACTGCGCGTGTGCCTCCCGCTTGTGCGCCTTGACGTCGTACATCCCCCCTCCGACCGGGTGGCACGCCACCAATAAGTCCCCCCTTGCAAATGCGGGCGTCTCCGTGAAGATGCGCATGACGTGCGACGCGTCGCGCGTTGGCAGCCGCCAGCTCATGTGCTCGATGTGCGCGCCGCGCAGCGCCCCGCTCACCGCCTCGCACGTGCCGCACGTGCACTCGAACCCCTCCAGGACCCCCCCCGGGACCCCCCCCCCTCCGTTGCTGCGACGCGCCTGAAACGCGCCCGCCGCGGACCCGTTCGCGTGCGGCCCATCCGCGCCCTTCTCTCCCAGCTCCGCCGCCGCGGCGGGGTCCATGCACGCGCGCACGGCACGGTCGAGGGGCACCGGGCTCCGCACGCGCCCCGCCAGCGCTTCGTACAGCGCGATGGCGACGGGCGCGAGCGCGGCGTCGGCGCCCGGCGTGACGGCACGGCTCTGCGTGGGCTCCGTGAGCGCCTTCACGAGCGGCCGGGCGTCCATTGCACCCACGCGGACCAGCAGCGCTGCGGTGGCGGCTAGGCTGTGGATCGAGGACCGGCCGTGCCTGGCCACGGCGAGCATCAGCACCTCCCAGCCCATCGGCGAGAAGCATGACAGGAGGCGGCAGTGCGGCGAGTTCGGCCCCGCGAGCGCCGCCATGGTGCGCCCGAGAAGCGACTCCACGCTCTGCTCGAAGTCGCGCAGCACGCGCGAGTCGCCGTGGTCGCTGAGGCCGCAGTTGACGTTCAGGAGGTCGTTGAACTGCGTCGCGCCCTCGCGGATGCGCATCAGCACCGCGACGCAGACGGCGAGCGCCATTGGCGCTGGGCGCCCAGCCGGCAACGGGCGCGCCATCCCCGCCTGCACAGCGCAGCGCGCGGAGCAACGTGAGCGCCGGGGCAACAAGACCGGCGTCGCTACGCCGAGCAGTGGCGCACACGTCGCGTTTTCGGCCGCGCGTACCTCGGTGTCGTCGGTGCTGGTGACGCACAGCGTCGGCTCCTTCGCGAGCGCCATGACCGTGTCGAGCGCCGCGCGCCCCTCCCCCGCGCCCTGCTGGATCGCCGCCAGCCACGCGGCCATGTTCCCCATGGTCTCCACCACGTTGCATGCGCGCTCGACCGGCGCCCGCGGCCGGCTGTCCGCGCGCGCCCCCGCGGCCGCGCCCTTCGCCGGCGCCTGCCGCCACGCCCGCAGCGACGCCCGCGCGTTCATCGGCGTCGGCAGGAAGTCCGCGTCCGCGCCCACCATCATGTCCTCGGGCGTGAGCGGCCACTGCTTCAGCGTGACGCGCATCGTCTTCGCCGCGAACGGTATCCAGTTCGCGTGCTGCTGGAGCAGCGTCCGCATGCAGAAGTTGACCTGGTTGCGCACCTGCGCCCCGACCACGCCGGAGAACAAGTCGTCCTTGAACTTCGACTCCCAGCGCGCCACGACGGACGAGATCGGGACCGTGAACCCCCCGGCGAGGCACAGCACCCACGTCGCGCGCCACATCGCCAGCGCGCTCCCGTCCACCCCGCCGCCCCACGCGTCGCTCTTCCCGCGCCCCTCGCCCTCCACCGTGCCCAGCACGCGCCCCGCGATCGCCAGCGCGCTCTCCCGGTCCAGCGACGACGCCGCCATGTCCGTCGTGCCCGTCGGCTGCGTCTCCTTCCCGCCCGCGATGTCCCGCGCGTTCTCCTCGATCTCGATCGCCGGCACCAGGTGGTCCTTGATGCCGCGCCACAGGTCCGACCGCTCGCACGCGTCGAACGCCGCCTGGCCCGTGCACGGCCACCCCGGCGGCTCCAGCTTGTTCGAGTTCCGCCGCCGCGTCGTCGCCGCCGGGAGCACGTTCGCGGCGCCCAGCAGCGCCGCCAGCAGCTTGGCAAGGCAAATCATCACCTCCGACGCCAGCGACGACACCGCCGTGCCGGTCGAGCACACGCACGGCTGCGCCGGCGGCGCGGCGCTCGCGAGCGCGGCCTCGCGGATCCCCGTCACGCCGCACACCGCCGCCGCGAACGCAACGCCCACCTTCCACGGCATCACCTTGGCCGCGTCCGGCTTGAACGTCGACGACCGGATCGACGCGAGGCTCGCGTCCGAGGACTCCAGGCCCGCGGCCTCGGAGATGCACGCGAACACCAGGTCCGCGGTGCTCTCGGGGCTCGCCAGGCCCTCCGCCAGGTACTGGCACACGTCGCGGAACCGCGACGCCTGCGCGACGGGGAGCGGGCGCGGGGCGGCGCGTGAGCATCACGCGGGGCGGCCTGCCGTCTGCCCGGCCCGCGCGCGGGGGGTGGTTTCGTTTCGGCCGCCGTGCTCGGCTGGTTGTCTCGTCGCGGCGCACCTGGAACTCGGACGCGCTGTTCCGGATGCCGAAGAGCATCTTCGCGACGAACCACGCGCAGCCCTGCTCGCACGCGATCCGCACTGCGTCCCGCAGCCGCCCGGGCCACGTCGACAGCACCTGGTACCGCGCCATGCACACCGTCTCGGGCTCCGGCGACAGCGGGAGCGTGGCGGCGTTGTTCGTCGTCCCGCACAGCACCAGCAGCCGCGGGTCCTGCGCGGCAAGGAAGCGAGCGTTCGCCGCTCGAGCTCCGTTGCGCGAGGCGGACTGCGGCATGGTGTGTGTGTGTGTGTGCGGCGGGGAGCGCACCTCGAGGGCCATCGACGGCAGTCCGAGGTGCAGCTCGCCGACGAACGACTTCGGTGCGAGCACGCTGTCGGCGGCTTCGCGCCACGCCGCGAGTTGCTGCGGGTCGGCGATCCCCACGGACGCCACCGCCAGCGCAACCTGCAAGTTGGACACAGCCTTGCGCATGTCCGCGGCGACGAGCGCGCCCGCCTGCCCCTGCACGTCGCTGTACATCATCGCGGAGCTGTGCATCGGCGACCTGGCGCCGGCCACGCCCGCGCCGTCCTGGACCCAGCCCTTGATGAAGCCTGCCCAGGCAGCACAGGCCATCTCCGGGACCATGTCGACCGCCGACGCGTTCCACACATCTCTGCAGCGATGCAGACGATCTGGTACGTGAAGTGCGCTGCAGGGTGGAGTAATTTGGGCGGGGACAAGCGCGGGGCACCGCTGGGAGCAGGGTGCAGCAGTTTTGCGCGGGCGCAGCGACGCGGAAGAAATTTGCGGAGCTGGGGCCGCGCGAGCGAAGTCGTGGATGTCACGGACCTCTGCAGGTCGATCGCGAGGGCGACGAGCTTCGCAGAGAACGTCACCGTGTCCAGTGTTAGGAGGGCATTGCCAAGCTCCTGCCCGCTCTTAATCCACGCGAGAATCCATTGAGCCTCCGGCTCGTCGATCTCTTCGTCGCCTGTCACCGGCAGAGGCAGCGCTGGCTCAGGAATCCCCGTGTACAGGCCAAGCGACCGCACTTTCTTTCTCCGAGGCAGTGAGTTGCCCCGCGCTGCCTCCGCTGGCGAGGCCGCTTCAGCGTCCTGGCGCTGACGCTTCATTGCCTAGCGCTGCCGCCGGCCCCGCTTAGGCCACGCCGTTGCGCGCCGCCGCGAAGCACGCAGCTTCTGCCCCGCAGCAGCTGCACGCGGGACCCCGAGGCGCACGCGTCGACTCAGCTCAGATTCGCACGTCGAGTGCGAGCTTTCGCGACTGCTGATGACTGTCAGCACGTGTGTCTCGCAGCGCGCCGCGCGCAGGCGCTCAGGCGCCCCTCCTGGAGCCCACCGCTGGTGTGCTGGAGCTGCCCCTGCTCGTGCGACCGCGTTCGATCGTCAACAAGGCACTGAACGCGTGGAGAACGAACTGTCCATTCGCGGAAGGTGCACGCCGCCCAGTTGTCGGGGCCTCCACGCCGGCAAGCCCCGCCTAACAGACCAGCGCCAACAACGACCACGGATGGCGCGAATCCACCGGGCCTGGCACCTACGCACTGCCAGCGAGGTGCGCCGGATGTGCTGACGCGCGTCGCGGCGCCGAGCTCTTGCCTCTCCCAGCGCGACGTGTCGCCTGGGCGCTGTGTATGACTCGCGGTACAACACAAACGAACGGCTGACGTCAGGCGCGGCACATGGGTCGCCGTGCCCTGAGGCGAGCGCTCCAGCCCACGCGAGCAGTCACACGGAGTCGGCTGCGACATCTGCGGGCCTCGTGTAGCGAAACACGACGGACGTTGCACTTCGACTGAACGTTTCTTCTTCGGAACTGACGGGAAACGGCGCATCGACGGGCTGCGGTCGTCTGCGAGACACTCTGAACTAGGACTTCGCGGGGGAGCCGCATCGGAGGCCACTTCACGATCGCACGCGGCGCTGGGCGGTCGTCTCCGCCTGAACGGTTCATCGTTGCATGAATCTCTCGACACCGACTGACTTGCTCGTTTGACGAGCACGAAAACCGAAGGACACTGAAGTGCGTCAGGAAACACACCTTGTCCGGCGGAACGTGGCCGCGGATCGCGCGCCGCTGGGCCGCGCGGGCTCCTTCTCTGTCCTCCACGGCACACAGATCATGCGCGCGAGTCAGCTCGCCCATGTGCCGAGGGTTTCGTGTCGCTCGAACGGCTCGTCACTTCGGTGTCGCTCAAGAAGGCGAGGGGAGACCTGCCGCGTGGGCTCGAGTTTAAATGCGCGAGGGACGAGACGCTATCACAGGGGAACGAGATGCGCGGCGCGCGTCCACGGGGCCTGGCCAACGCCCAAGGAGATTGCCGACAGACGGTGGTGGGATGAGGTGGACCCCAAGGACGAGGACGAGCAGACGAGCATGCCCGCGTCGCAGGCCCTGCGGTGCCTGTGGCACATTGCCAAGCCGGACACGCCCCTGCTGTGCGTCGGCGGCGTGTTCCTCGTCGGCGCGGCCCTGGCCGAGCTCGCCATACCGCACTTCGTGTCCGCGGCGCTCGCGTCCGTCGCGGGGCTCCCGGGCCCCGCCTCGCCGACCGGCCCCGCGGGGTTCAACGTCTTCGCATCCGCGCTCCACGGGGTCGCCGTCGGGGACTCGGCGAGGCACGCGGCGCTCCGAGCGGCCCTCGCGGGGCTCGCGGTGTGCTCCGCGGGGTACGCGGTCTTCGCGTCGGGGCGCGGGATGTGCTTTTCCATGCTGGGGGGGCGCATGTCGCTGCGGCTGCGCGACGGCCTCTACCGCGCCATCCTGAGCCGCAGGGTGTCGTTCTTCGACAACGAGGAGGCGGGCGGGCTCTCCTCGCGCCTCGCCGCCGACGCGCAGGTGGTCTGCAAGTCGCTCTCGACGACCCTCAACATCGCGTTGCGCAACGCCATCCAGGCGGTGCTCGGGAGCGCGTACCTCGTCGTGCTGTCGCCGCCGCTGTTCGCGCTGACGTCCGCCATCACGGGCGCCATGATCTGGTGCACGTGGGTGTACGGCAGCTACTCGCGGCGGGCGCAGAAGGCGCAGCAGGACACGCTGGCCGACTCGACGCAGGTGGCGGAGGAGACGTTCCGGCACGCGCGGCTGGTGAAGGCCACGGGGAACGAGGCGCAGGAGGCCGAGCGGTACCACTTGCGGCTGCAGCGCATGCTGGCGGTGACGCTGCGTCAGACGGTGGCGTACGGGGTGTATTTGGTGGGTCAGACCACGCTGATCCGCATGGCCAAGGTGGCGGCGCTGATGGGCGGGGGCGCGCTGGCGCTCGCGGGGCACATCTCCTACAACGACGCGGCCACGTTTGCGTTCTACGTGGACTTCACGCTCTGGTCCTTCCTCGCCGTCGCCGACCAGACCGCGTACCTCATGGAGTCGCTCGGGGCCAGCGAGCGCGTGTTCTCGCTGCTGCAGGGCGAGGAGCGCAAGGGCTACGTCGACGACGGCAGTGCAGTCAAGGGCGGCACGAAACAGGTGCGCAACAGCGTGCTCATCAGTCCTCACCTGCTGCGCACCCTCCACGCTGGCAGCGCACCGAGCCGCGCCGCGATCGGCCCGCCGCGCAGGTGCCGGGCTGGGAGGGCGGAGCGAGGTTGGAGGACGTGGTGTTTCGGTATCCCAGCAGGCCGCAGAATGTTGCCCTGGACCACGTGAGCCTCGACATCCCCGCCGGGAAGATGACGGCGCTGGTCGGGCCGAGCGGCAGCGGGAAGAGCACCGTAGTCGCGCTCATGCAGGCGCTGTACGGGCACGCGCAGGGCCATGTGCGTCTCGGGCCGCCGGGGCGCGGGTGCGGTGGGGACTGGATCGAACTCAGCGACGCGGATCCGACGTGGTATCGGTCTCAGGTGGCGGCGGTTGTGCAGGACAACCCGATCGTGTCTGGGACGATCGAGCACAACATCACCTACGGGATGTCGCGTGAGGCGCGCGCGCAGGTGACGCGCGCAGACGTGGTGGAGGCGGCCGAACTCGCCAACGCGCACGAGTTCATCGCGAAACTCTCGCACGGGTGCGCCGTTCATCCCTCCCACCTGCGGTGTACGTCGTGGAGGCCGCCGTTGATGCAGTTTTGAAGACCGAACGGGTCCAAGCCCCAACGTTGCGTTTGTTGTCTCTATTCACTACCGCTGCTGCTGCTCGCAGGTACGACACCGAGGTGAGCGAGCGGCTCCTCTCCGGCGGCCAGAAGCAGCGCCTGGCCCTGGCCCGCGCGCTCGTGCGGCGCCCCAAGCTCCTGATCCTCGACGAAGCCACGTCGGCGCTCGACTCAGAGTCCGAGGCGCTGGTCCTCGCCGCGCTGGACCGCGTGATGGAGCGCGGGGGCCGCACCCTGCTGGTGATCGCGCACCGGCTCGGCACGGTGCGCAAGGCGCACCAGATCGCGGTGATGGAGGAGGGCAAGGTGCGGGAGCTGGGGTCGCATGCGCAGCTGTTGAAGAAGCGCGGGACGTACTACCAGCTGGTGGTGCGGCAGTCGCAGGATGCGCTCGACGCCCTCGACCTCTCGACCATGACCATCGACGAGGTGCGCCCCGCAACCAGGCTTCCCCCATGCAGTTGGCCGCGCAAGTTCGTTTGTTCGTTTGCCAGGACCTTGGCCGTTCCGGTTGGTCTGTCGCAACAGCGACGCGGGCGGCTCACTCTGGCTGTGGTGTGCGGTGCGTGCAGGAGGGTCTCCCGGACTCCCCCGTGCGCGTGGCCAGCTATGCGCGGGCGGCGGTTGAGGGCGGCCCGCTGTCGCCCGCAGACGGAGGCCCGTCGGGCGAGGGCGGCAGCCCCATGCCCGACATCCCCGTGGACCTGCCTGTGTCGGTGTCGACCCAGGAGGCGCGTAGGTCCCTCAGCGACTCCCTTGACAGCGTGGACGACAGCTCCGACGAGGAGGAGAACGGCGCGGGGTGCGACTGACGCAGTGCCGGTCCGACCGATTGAATTGCGAAACGCTGCACGCCGTCCGTGACTCACAGCAGCCTTGCGCCTCGCGCAAAGCAGTCAGTATGGGTGTCGGGAATGCGTTACCGCTCCCAGTCGACGTCGCGCCGTGGTCCGTGTCAGACAGCCGTCGCGCCGATCGCGTCCACCGGCGCCTGGGCGGCTTCTGACTGCACCTGCGCAGACCTGCCCTGCCGACTCTGCCGCGCGGCTCGCCGGCGCCTCAGCATGCCTGGCCCTACGCCCGGCACCCCCTCGCCCATCATGGGTCTAGGTCCGCTCGCCCCGTCCGTGTCCGTTCGCCCCTCGATGCGCCGCCGCCGACGCATGGCAAACACCCCCGCCCTGATCCGCGTCGCCCGGTCCGCCACGGACGCCTCGGCAGCGTCAGGGTCCGGCCAGTCCTTCTCCGGCCACGTCTCCGCGGCCAGCGCGAGCGCCTCGCGCCCCACGGCCCGCAAGAACCCCGCCGCGTCGCGTCCGGTCTCCTCCTCCAGGCGCCCCCCGGGGCCAAACAGGTGCCTGCGCGGCACCAGCTGCGGCGCGAAGAAGCTCGCCCAGAACACCACGTCGGGGTCGAAGTCCGTCAGGAGGAACATGAGGTCCGGGTCGGATCCGTCGGACGCCCGGCGCGCCACCAGCGACAGCGCGGCAATGCGCCATGGCTGGTTGAGCATGCGGCGGAACTGCGCGCCGTTCCGCTCGGCGCGGAGCCACATCAGCCAGCGGCTGCTGCGGTCGCACGCCTCGACCAGCATCCGCATCTCCGGGCGCACCCGCCGCCGCCCCACGGCCCACGGGACGCTGCGCAGCGCGCCAAAGACCACCGCCGAGGCCGGCGTGAGCGGCGTCGGGTCGCCGTCGGACTCGTCGCCAGACTGCTCCGCCTGCAGCCCCCACTGCTCCATCGAGCGCCGCAGCACGCGCGCCTTCGCGTCCACTGTCTCCTGCTTCGCCAACAGCACGTCGGGGCTCTTCCGGATCGCTCGCGCGAGCTCCGCGTCGCCCGCGTCGTCCCACGGCGTCCCCAGGAGCGCCCTGATCTTGACCAGGCGGTTCGCGACCTCCTCCGGCCCCAGCGAGAGCAGTTCTGGGAACGCGTCCACCAGCTTGCTGCGATTGACGCCGTGCGGGAGGACGAGGGCGAGGCCGCGCCAGCTGTAGTCGAACGTGTCGGGCGAGCGGTAGATCGCGAACGGATCGCGCCGGAGCACCCGCTGCAGCCGGTCCTCGGTCATCCACGGGAGCTTCAAGAGCGCCTGCACGCACGCAGAGCAGGAGCACGTCGCACGGCCCGGAGACGCGACGAGGCGCGTGCTCGGCCAGCACGGCGCGAGCTTGGACGTGAGACCATGCGGGCGGTCGACCGCCACCGGGGGAGCTATCGCTGGGGCCGCGGATGGCGCGCGCGTGATGTTGCAGAGAGCGGCGTGTTCAGGTGCTGGGGGCCTGCCTGCTTGCGCGGCTCGAGAGAAGCGCCAACCTTCCACATCTTCAACTGCTTGATCCCGCCACGCCAGCGGAAGGCCGCGCGGACCTCGCGGGCGCTCCGAAAGCCCACCCAGTCGCACCAGAACTGCTTTGCTCCCTCGTCCCAAACAACCTGCTGCCCGGGCCTCGCTTGGCCCTCCCCCGGGCCCGCTGCGTTGCTAGCATCGTGGTCGCCGCGGGCGCATGCAGTTGCGGAAGCCATGCCTCGCGAGCCCCCGCACGGGCCGCACGCCAGCGGGCTTGCCAGAGGTCCGCAGAGCACGGCCTGGGGCAGATGACGTCCCCTCGGCCCACCAGACGGACCAATCAGTCTATCCCGTACACGAGGTACAGAGGCTTCCGCCTGTGCGTCCCCCGACGGCCCCAAGCGCCCGCATCCCTGCCTGATTGGGGCGGGCGCGCCCGCCGCGTTGTGCGCGCCAAGCGAATCCAGGGACGCCCCCGCTGATGTCCACCGGGTTTCGACATGCAAGCAGCGCGACGCAGCGCTCACCACCTCGCGCAGTCGCGGCGCTGCCGCAGCAAGGCGCCCCGCTGCCATCCCACGAGTGCGCCACCGACGCCGCGAAACCACTTCGAGTCTGAAGCGAAGCGACCCTTCGTGCCACGCGGCACTCAGCCGCCCGCAGAGATCCTCGGTGGTCTGACCGACCCCCGCTGGCGGACTCAGTGCCATCACACCCCCGCCGTCACGCGCGGACCGGGTCTGACAGGCGCACGCGCGCGGCTCCAGTTCATGCCTGTTGCACGGCGCACGTCTCATGGCCGCACAGCAAGGGCACTCAGAAGCACACCTCTCATCAGGGGTGAGAACGGAGGTCTCCACTGCCTCTGGCGTGTCCTGGAGGCCAGGAACGATTCGACGCCGGCGCTCGTGGGCGCCGGTGCACGTGCCGGCCAGCCCCCCAGCCACAGGCCGTCGTCAGTGCCGTGCGTGCCCAGGGAGATCCGGCACAAGCACGAGAGTCATGGATGCTGACGACGGGTTCGGCGGGATGACACCCGCTGCACGCCCAGAGGCGGGAGGCTCACACTTTCGAGCACCGCCGCAGGTCGAAGTCCCAGGCGGCCGAAGCGGGTCGCGTCGAGCTGACGTCAACAGGAGAGCGAGTCGGTCTGGCGCCCACGAGCGATGCACCGGCGCAACTTGCAAAGGTAGGGTTCAGAGGAGGAAACTGTCTCATTGAAAGGACACGGCTGTGTTCGTGCGCCGGGGTCGGCCCGGGCCTCCCTGCCCCGTAGCATGCCTGCACATCGCACAGGTCCTGCCTGGAATCGCAGGGCCCCCGCCCCCGCTCGCGCGCGCACGAGCAGGGTGGGCGAGCGGAGTCGAACCGCTGCGGGCGCGATGCGACGCGACAGGGCGTGGCGGATGCGTGCGAAACGCGGCAGGGCAAGTCGCACCGCGCCCCTGACCCCGCTGGCCACGCCCAGAGTGGTCGCTCCGGTGCGTGGCGCGGCGGGGGCGAGGACGGGGCGCCTCGAAGCGAGGACGCAGCTGCGACGCGCAGTGCAGCGCCGGGGCAGGGCGGGCGGGCCCACCGGACACGTGTGAAAGTGGCAGCACGGAGCGAGCGAGCAGTGCGGCGAAACCGAAGAAACGAGAAAAGGATAGAGAAAGCCCCCCGCCGGTCCCTGTCCTTGCTCCGCCCGTGTCGCTCGTCGCCGTCGTCGTGTCGATGATCCCCCCTGGATCCCCGTGATGGATGATGGCCCGTGACGGATCCCGCGGGACGGAAATGGCATGGTGGCTGGTCCGCGCGGGCAGGAAAGGGAGAAAGGGAGGAGCAAGGCGCGCGAGCGGATGTGCAACAGCGTGACGGAAACGAAAATGCCGGTGGTGAAATCGCTCGTGGACGCCGTCGCCTCTCCGCTCGCCCGCCGCCCGCGCTCCCGCCGCGTACGTGCCTTCGAGGGTGTTCCCGTGCGCTGCCCGCGCGCACGCCGCTCACTGCTCCTCCGCGGCGTCCGCGGCGTCCGCGTCCTCCGGCTGCCCGCCCGCGAAGGGGTCCTCGAACTGCAACTGCTCCTCCCCCTCCCCACCCTCCTCCTCCCCCTCCTCGTACTCGACACCCGCCTCCTCCCCGCCGTCGCCCTCCTCATACTCGCCCCCCTCCTCCTGGTACTCCCCCCCCTCCTCGTACTCCTCCCCCTCCTCGCCCGCCTCGCCCTCGTCGTACTCCTCCCCCTCCTCGCCCTCCTCGCCCTCCTCGCCCTCCTCCTCGCCCTCGTCGTCCTCGTCGCCCCCGAACACCGCCTGCTGGTAGATCTGCAACGGGTTCTGGTAAATGTACCGCAGGTGCTCCCCCAGCGGGTCCTCCGGCGCCTGCTCCCGGTCCCCCTCGAACACCTCGCTCGTCACCATCCACCGCAGCAGCGCCGCGCCGGCCTCCTGCGTGTCCCGCGGCCGCTTCGACCCCACCGCGGCGTCCTCCCCGTTGGCGTCCGCGCCCGTCCCCGCCAGGTGCGCCTCCATCGCGCTGTCCGCGTACGCCGGCACCGTCGACTGGATGTTCATCTGCTGCGTGCCGCCCTCGCGGTCCTCGATCACCACCGTCTTCTCCAGCTTCTCGTTCGAGAAGAAGGGGTTGTTCTGAAAGGTCATCGATATCTTGTACCCCTGCGTCAGACAGACCGGACGCGGCCGGGTCGGCGGCCGGCGGGGCGCGCGGGAGGGCGCGGGCGCGGCCCGGGCCGCCTCTGCGCGGCCTGCGGGGCCGGGGGGCGACGGGGATCGGGGGGAGGGGGGGCGCGCCTGCATGGCGTGTAGCTCTTCGACGTCGAGGTCGACGAGGTACTGGAAGACTTCGTGGTCGCGGTCCGTCATGACGGTGGAGATGACCTCGTGGTTGCTGAGGACGGTGTACCAGAAGTCTTGCAGCCGGGCGAACACGTCGCGCCGCCCCATCAGGACGGGCCGTTTCTTCTGGTAGTACTTCCGCTCGACCTCGAGGATCTCGGCAGACTCTTCCTTTTCCAACTGCGCAACACCTCGGCGTGGCGCGCGGGCCGGTCCGGGGGTGAGGCGGGGGCGGCGCGCGCCAAACCACGCTCTGAATCGAGCGAGCAGGTGGTTTGCGGGCGGGAGCGGGGCTGGGGGCTCGGGATACCCCCGCGCGACCATGGTACGCATGGTCGAAAGCAACAGCCGCGTAACTGCCCGGTTCGGCCCGTCGGGCGGGCAAGCGCGCGCGCGCGAGGGCCAGACGAACCTTGTCGACCTCCGCGTCAATGTCCCGAAGCTCGTTGAAGGCCGCCTCGAGCTGCGCCTCGTCCAACTCGACGGCCTGCTCCTCTCCTTCCTCATTTTCGATGCGGGGCCGCTTCTCTGCCATCTCTCCCGCGCGCTGCCGAGCCGCCTTGGGACCCTGAGACGCCCACTTCCGACCCTCCGCCCCTAAACGGGAGAATCTGCTGCGGTGGCTGCCTAGGGATAACACAAGCGCGACGCCAGAGCTGGGAACGGCGCCGATCCGTCGTCCAGCGAGAGGTCTCGGGGCGCGACTGCGCGGGGGGAAGCGTTGCTCGGCAGCCGCTGGCTCAGCTCGGCGGCACGTGCAGTGATTCCGCTCCAAGCAAATGCTGGCGGCGATAGCGAACGGGCGCCGCGCGCGCGGGCCCAAGAGCGCGCGCGGCGCGCCGCACGCGAACACGTCCCCCCCTGCTGTCTTGGAGCCGTCCGACGCGCCTGTGCGCCGCACCCCGCGCGGCCCGTGGCCCGAGGGCCGCTCTGACCCTCGCGCAGACACACAGCAGTGCGGTGCGGCAGGGCGTGCGCTGGAAGGCCGTGACTTGTAGCGGTACGCGGCGGCAACTCGACGCGACGCAAGTGCAGCGCTCCGGCCCCGGGCCCGGACGGATACCACTGCGCCGGCGCGCCGTCCCGCTGGGGGAGCAACTGGACCTGCAGCTGGGGTCGTCGGATCGCAGCATGGACCGCTCGAGCTAGCAGTTCGCGCGATGCCTGGGCGCGTGCAATGCGGCGTCCTGCTGCGCGAATTCATCTCCCACTCGCTCTACCACCCCACGAAGGGGTTCTTCAACCGACGGGCCACCCCGGTCGGGCGCCTGCCCGCGCCCATCGACTTCCCTGCGCTCCCGGGCGCGGGGGCCTACAAGGCGATCGTAGCGCACGTCTTCAGGTGCGGGGCGCCGCAGGGCGCGCCTGAGGCCTGGAGCACGTGCCCCCGTGCGCGGGCCGCCCACGTGCGCGACTCCGCGGACGCGCGGCGACACGTGGCGGCACCGCATCGCCGTGTGTCGCAGGGAGCTTGGTGTGTCGTTCCTGACGCCTGGAGAGATCTTCCGGCCGTACTACGGCCACGCAGTTGCCCGCTGGATCCTGGAGGAGCACCGCCGCGCGGCGCGGCGCGCTGCCCCGCAGCGCCTCAACCTGCAGGTGTACGAGCTTGGTGCGGGTCGCGCCTCCCTGGCGTGCGACATCCTAGACTACTTCCGTGACCACGCGGCGGAGGTGTACGGGCGCATGCGGTACGCCACGGTGGAGGCGAGCAGGGAGCTGGCGGGCCGGCAGCGGCAGGCGTTCGATGAGAGGGGGCACGGGCGCGTGGCGTCCGTGCAGCAGCGGGACGCGTCGACTGCGGCCGGGTGGGGGAGGCGGGACGCCAGGTGCGCTGAGCGCGCGGCTGCGGTGTTCGCGCGTGCCTCGTCCGTCCGCATTCGCACCTGCGTCTACTTCTGGCTGTCAAGATAATGTCAGCGCCAAAGTCTCGACGCCGATGGGTCGACGGCCCGCCGTCTGCAGACACTGCGTCGTGATCGCCACGGAGGTGCTGGACAACATGCCGCACGACCGCGTGGTCGCGCGGGCGCACGGAGGGGTCTCGGAGCTGCACGAGACATGGGTGGTCCCACGGGCCGATGCGGCCCCGCAAGACTGGATGGACAACGCAGACGGGAGCTCAGTTATCGAGGAGCTGCGTCCGCTGTCGGACGTGCTGATCCGGCGCACACTGGCCGCCTACCAGTCCAGCCGCGAGTCGCCCGACGCATGGCCTGCGCTGCAGGCGGAGGCACGCGTGTCGGCGGGGTCGCGCCTCGGAAGCTTCGTCGACTGGCTGGCCGGGGGCTCCGCGAGCTCGGCTGCAAGCGTGCGCGGCAGCGACGAGGGCGACGCGATCCTGCACCTGCCCACGACGGCAACGCGCTTCTTCGATGCCTTGCACGCAGCGCGACCGAACCACTCGCTACTGATGGCCGACTTCGACGCGCTCCCGGGCGTGCAGATTCCAGGTGCGACTGATCATACGACAAGCAGCAAGCTCGCCTCGATCCCACGCATGTCTTTGTTCGAGGGCACGAAGAGGTCTCATAGCCGGGCGGGTGGCCGCGCGATAGTTCTCTCATCCACGACGCTCGCGCGCCAAAGTGGTGTCACGCCGCCGGCCTGAATTTCGACCCAGTTCCCAGCAACACCCCCCCCCAACGTGTCGGGTGTTTGTAGGTGTCAACGCGCCCCTGGTGTCGGAACTCATCGCGGGCGAAGGCCACCGCGACCACCCAAGCTACCTGATTCCGGCAGGCCGAGCCGACATTTTCTACCCGTCGGACTTCCCGGCCCTCTGTGCTTCGTACCTCAGCTCGGCGCAGCACTCCAAGCGCGCCGAAGAACGCGCGCCGCGGCCCAGTCACGCCGATTCGACGGCGCAGTGTTCGCACGAGCAGAGCCGCTCCTTCTTGCAGCGGTGGGCGCCGTGGGAGCGCGCGACCACGGGCTCGGGCTACAACCCCATGCTCGAGGAGTTCCCCAACACCAGGTTCCTGACGGCGCGGAGTCTCTAGCAGTGCGACGCAACGAGAAGTCGGCGGGCCGCCAACCACGTCGCAAGGCCGAGCCGCTGCGCACGCGGACGACACGCCGTCGACGACGGCCTGCTGTACAGGCGCACAGAAACGTGCGACGACACGAGTGAGCGAGTGCAGGCAGCGGAGCTGTCAGTTGCACCCGCGCGGCTCACACGTCCGCGGCTCCGCTGCCCTGCTTCTCCCTGCGCTCCCTGTTGACGGGGTTGACGCTCTTCTTCCGAATCTGCACCTTGAGCCTCTCCTGCACGTCGTCCTCGTCCGTCGCCTTCCACACGCGCAGCAGGACGTCGTGCGTCCCGAACGCCCGCAGCCCGCCCTTCTTGTCCCCGCCGCTGCCGCCCAGCACCACCAGCCGCTGATCGATCTGCACCCCCAGCTGCCGCATCGCCTCGCGCGCCACATCCTCCGCCCTGCGATCGCCACAGCCGCGCACACGCGCGCCCGTCCACGTCAGCCGTCGCACGGGGCGGGCGGGTCCGCATGAGACTGTTGGGGGGGGTCGGGCAACGGGCGGCGAGGGCCGTTCTCACCCAACAGCGTGCTGTGCGTACGTCACCGAGCCGCTGGGGTCGTTCCGGTCCGGATGCCGCACGAACGTCAGGTGCCGGTTCCTGCGCGCCGAGCCGAGCGGAGTGGTGAGGTGCCGCGCACGCATGCACCAGGCGAGAGCGCTGTGCTGCGCAGTGCGCTCAAGCGTCGGAACCAGCGCGGTCGCGTCGCGCGCTGCGCCGCGCGGGCAGGGGGGCGCTCACCCGAGCAGCGAGAACGCCGTCTCGATCCGCCGCGCCTTCTCCGCGTCGGCGATGTCCGTCGCGCCGGCCTCCGACTCCTCCTTCGCCGCCAACGCAGCCTCGATGTCCTGCCGGTACTTCTCGCGGTTGTCGACCGTGGCGTACTTCGCGAGCTTGCCTGCGGGCCGCCGGGGGCGCGGGCGCGGGAGCGCGCGATCGGCGTGTGCGAGTGCTTGCACGCGCTGCGCTTTGTTCGGCCGGGGGCTGCGGGTGCGGGCGGTCAGCCGGGCTGCGAGGTGCAGGTTCGAGGTAGCTGTAGCTGGATTGCGGCGTGCGCACCTGGGACGAGGTGGTTCCTTGCCGTGCCTGGGCGCACGCGGGCAATTGTTCCTTTGGGCCCAATGTGGGGCACGTCCTGCGCAGCACCGGGGGAGCCGAGCCAGATTCGAAGGCGTAGGCTGCCACAGCGTGGCAGGGCATTTCTCAAGCGAGGAAATCAGCAGATCTGGGCCATTGGCCCAGCGCAGGAGAGGAGAGCTCGTGGCTCGACAGGGATTGCGGGCTGCGGGCCAAGGAGGTGGCGCGTGGTCGCGGATCGCAATCCTACCTCTATGAGAATGATCTCCACCATCCGCTTCGACCGCGCCATGCCCCTGGATCCATCGCAGCTCGCCGGTTCCAGCCACGACCGCGCAGAGTGCTCGCCCAGCAGCACGCCGCGTCGCGCCGCGTCGGCAGCGCGGCGCGCTGCGCGCCACATCACGGCGGGAGCCTATACGTGCGCCGAGGCGCTAGCTCGTTCGCGGCTGCGCAGCCGAAAGGCCTTGATGGGAGCTTTTGGTGAGGCAGCTAGAACCACGGGTGCCGGGGCCACAGAGAGCTAACTGATGCACCGTCACGTCGTTCTCCCGACTATCACGCGGACCGTCCCTTCTCGACCCCATGAAGACGCGAGATGAGCGGCCGCTGGGGGTCCTGCCTGGGCATGGCCCCGTGGTGTGTCGCCACCCCGAGGCATCCACCGGGGGGCACAAGAGGCCCGGGGCATTTTACGGTGTGACATGCTGCAGTAGATGTATGCGACGAGCGAAACAGACCTCGACGTGATAGGCCCGGGAGACCACGGCGCGCGAAGCCGTCCACTTTCACCTTGCGAGCACCTCTCTTGGAGCCGTGACGGGAATTTGCCAACGCGCACTGCGCCACAGCCGTCAGGCACATCAGCGGAAGCACGATATGGCGGGTGATGACGAGGCGCGCGGGTGAGTCCGTCACAGGGCCGAGGCGCCCACCCGCGTGGCTGCAGCATCGGCGCTCGCGCGCGCGCGCCACCCTCGCACACCTGGTCCGCGACGCCATGTAGTGGGACGGGTCAGCGAAGGCGGCGGCTGCATCGAACCTCCATCGCGCGCTCGCCGACATCGGGGGGCGGCGCCAGCTACTGCGTCACCAGCGGCTGAGCTTCGCCTGAGCGAGTCATGCGCGTGCGCAGGAATCTGGTGCCGCCAGGATATAGCAAGCTCAAGAAGATGAAGCCGGCCTTGGATGCGAGCATCGCCGAGGGCAAGGAGGTATGGCTCGTGCAGTTGCCCCCCGGCTGCTCCGTCAACGACCTCCGGGGCGCGCAGGTGGCGCTCAGGTGCGAGCCCGCGGCCCCCTGCGGACACGGCGCAGGACGGCCGTCAAGCTAGCGATTGAGCAACATGCCGCTTCCTGCAGACCTGGTCTGTATGTCAGTGCTGCATTTGACATGCGTAGCTGGCTGCATTAGCTGCCGCAGCGCACGGAGCCTCCGGGAGCTGTCGACGACGCACACCGCGAACTCCTCCTGGGCGATCAGGAAGCGATCAAAGGACGCCTCCTCGCGGGCGACCTTGCAGCAGTGCTTGCTGCTGTGGCAATAATACCTCCGCACGGTGTTGCCGTCCTGGTCCTTGTGCGTGATGTAACCCACTCGCCGGATGCACCGCGGGTGGTGCGGACAGTTGGACCACGGCGCCGACCCCGCCACCCGGAAGCGCCGCGCGCTTCCCCTGCGCGTGGCGCTGGGCGACGCGTGGTCCAACTGTCCGCACCACCCGCGGTGCATCCGGCGAGTGGGTTACATCACGCACAAGGACCAGGACGGCAACACCGTGCGGAGGTATTATTGCCACAGCAGCAAGCACTGCTGCAAGGTCGCCCGCGAGGAGGCGTCCTTTGATCGCTTCCTGATCGCCCAGGAGGAGTTCGCGGTGTGCGTCGTCGACAGCTCCCATTGGTCGTGGTGTCCGTCGAGGGCTGGACAGGCGTTCGCCGCACGATTCCCGATCGTTCCGCGAGGATGTACAGTATTCATCCAGGAGCATCCCGGCGTCCGCTGCATCGTTCTTCCCGCGACACCATCCTTGTTGCAGGGACGAGCAGGGCGGCGCGGCGGAGCCCGCGGAGTGGGCGCTGTCGAAGGAGCACCCCGCGCTGGCGCGTCACCTCGCAGCCGCGCTACCGCACAAGCGCGGCGTGAAGGTCCTGCCGGTCGCGCAGCGCGTCACCGTCATGCACGGGGCGGTGGCGACCCTCGCGGAGGAAGCGCGCGCGGGGAACGGCGCCGGTGCGCCCGTGCAGTCCCCATCGAAGGAGAAGAAGGTGAGCACGCGCCGGCGACGGGCGAAGGCCTTCGGGCCGGGAACGGACGCTGTGTTGTTGTGCGGCAGTGCGTCGCAGCTGGCTACCGCGTTCGCGCATCCCGGGGACCGGCGCGCTGAGGCTGTGGCGCCGTCTCCGCTCGCAGGCCAAGAAGGAGAAGCGGAAATCGTCCGGCGACGCGAAGGAGGAGAAGAAGAGCAAGAAGAAGAAGAAGGACAAAGGCAGCTGACTGTCTAGCGACGCGTGGCTGCGGCAGTCTGGCGCCACGAAGCGCGGCGCGGTCGCACGATACATGGATGGAATATCCGCGCCACCTTGGCGATCGCTTGCGCCGTCGAGGGGCGGCCGAGAGCGAGGGCATGCCGCTGGAGAGATCGATGCTTCACTGGACACGCGAGCAGCTCGAGCATGTGACGCGTGGCTGCAAAATTGCGCCGCGAACACGGCCTTCGCGGCCCGCCGTGTCCTCCGCTCGAGCTCGCAGGACGCGACTGGCCTGTCGCGCTGCAAATCGCGTCAACCTCAGAGCGCCGTCACAGACTGCAGCACCGGCCCCGCTAGGTCGCCTGCGTCTGCGCCTTGCTGCTCGGGGGGTTGCCGCCGGCCGCCAGCACGTAGATCAGGAACGCGCACAGCGCTATGCTGAGGTACGCAAAGAGCCCAGACGTGGTGGGCGAGATGCCGGCGCGCGACCGGCCGTGCATCCAGAACGCGACGACGCCGGAGAGCAGCGCGGTCATTGCGGTGTACGGGCGGCTGGCGAGGTGGTCGCGCTTCCAGGCGGAGAGACTCAGAATGGCCAGTGTCGCCGCGCCAGCCCCGGAGAGGGCCGTCAGCGCTGCGCCGGCGCCCCCGCCCGCAATGAGCCATGCGAGGCCGCCGAGGAGCAGCACACCACCGTACGGGATCGCCATGCAGAAGTCGTGCAGGACCGCGTGCCTGCCGCCGCGCGGCGAGGGAGCTTCAGCTTCAGCGTCAGGCTGCACGAGTTGGGGCGCGCGGGAACGTTCAGGAGGGGGCGCCGCGCAACAATCCGGGACGGTCCGACGCACTGGGCGGTGTTCCTGAACGCATCATGCGCGGGTCGCGGGCTGCCAGAACGAACGTGGTGGAGAGGCTACGTGTTGGTTATAGGGTTGCTCCGAACGCGAAAGGTGAGGCCCTCCCGCCGTGAGAAAACCATGCTCCTTGGACGTTCAGTCCACTGTCGTGGATCCCACCTGGCTTGCCGAGGCGTCGGTCCGCACGCAGCGTCGGAAACGCGGCGAAGCTTCCATGCAGCGTATACTCCGCGTGCAGCCCCCACGGCACGGAAGAGCGACGACAGGCTGGATCGTACTCGGCCTGGTGTGCATACGGGACGCAGCGACAGGCCGCAACGCCGGCCGTTGCGCTGCGAGGGCGCACAGCGCGCCAGGCATTGCTGCGGTTCCCGCCACGACTCCCCGGGTCTACGGGTGGCAGTCTCGGCGTGGTTTCCTTGTTCTGAGCTTGCGACGACTTCGAACGCCGCGACTGCGAGGAGCACGCGCGGCGCGGCGTATCGGCAGCAGGCTCCAGGCCCTGCCCCCCCCCCCTCAAGCTTCCACCCTGCAACACGGAGCGCTCTGCGGCGCGCCCGAGCGGCGTGCGCGTCGCCGTCCGCACGCTCCCGGCAGTCTGGCGGAAGCGTCGTTGACGGCGCTCCAGGCCAGAGCATCACGGCGGAACCATGACCAGCGACGACGACGTTTAGTTGCGGTTCGCTTCGCGTCCCACACGACGACGGCGGCGACTGCCAGGACCGGGCGGTGCGGCGGTGTAACGCTGGTCTCGGCGGTGTGGATGCGAACCCGCGAAGGGCCAGCGGGGGCCGACAACGCCGTATGCTGCGTGGTGTTGATGATGATGGCAGAAGAGTGGGCTTGAAGGGGCGGCGTGAGGGTTTTCAGTGCTAACGTACGGGCGCCGCGAGGAGACGGCCGACGCCAGCCGCTGGCTTGACCAGGCGTGAGGATCAGCCGGGTGGTACGACTCCATGCATGTTCTACCTCAATGCAGGGGAGGGTAAGCTGCGCCCCTGCGCGGGCAGCGCGCCGTTGCATGCGCGCGCCCCCCGGATGCCTTCGAACTTCACGTACTTCGCCGATCTCTGATGGATGACCGCCTCGAGTAGGGCGCAGATGGAGCGCGTGTGCCACAGCAGCGTTCCTGTGGCACTGTGCGGGGCGCTCGCGGCGTCCACGTAGCGCAGACACAGCGCTACAGCCGTCGTTGCTTCATCAGTCCGCGACAGACGCGTTCAGTGCGTCACCAGCGCGCTTTCAGCCCCTGCACGGCTGTCTAGGAAGGAGTGGTGCGCTGGTGGTGCTCCCAAGTCCCGCGACGCGTCCTCTGCGCCGACATGGCCACGATGACGCAAGGCGACGCCTCTCCGAGTCAGGGCGCTGAGCAAGCGCAGCGGCAGGGATCGTCAGACAAATACGCGCACGTGCCACGCGACGGCAGCGTCGTCGAGCCGCCTTGGGGCCCCCTCGGCCGTTCCTTCACGCTCGGGATCGTCTCCCTGGCGGCGAGGCTGACGTTGCGCGTCGCGAACTCATGGCACATCACAAACGACGAGGAGCTCCGACGAGCCGCCGAGGCACGGTGGGTGCCTGGAACCACCCTGAGCGACAGCACGCACCGCTCGTGGGCCGCCTCGAGCCAGCCGAGGCCGCGCACCTGATCCGACGCCGGTTGCTCTTATCAGAGTGGTAGCTGCCTTGTCGGACACCGCGCCCGGTGCGACGTCTGTGCCCTGTTCGCCCCCGATGCCGCAGGGAGCCTGGCAGAGGGCTGGTCACGGTGAGCAACCACACGAGCACCCTGGACGACCCCTTCGTGCTGTCGAACCTCATGCCCTGGCGCTTCTTCTACACGGAGCACCTCCACGGCCTCAACCGGTGGACGATGTGCGCAAAGGAGATATGTTTCAAGTCGAGTGTTCTTTCAACGTTCTTCCGCAACGGGAAGACGCTGCCGGTGGAGCGGGGCGGGGGCATCATGCAGCCGGTCATCCGCATCGCCACCGAGCGCCTCGCAGCCGGCGACTGGGTCCACGTGTTCCCCGAGGGCAAGATCCAGTACGACGGCAGACTGGCGCGGCCGCTGCGCTGGGGCGTGGGCAAGGTCCTGTGCGACGCGGTGCACATGCAGGTGCGGCGCGGCCGATGCGCGGCACGCCCTGTAGGCAGACCCTCGTCGCCAGCCAGGCCGCAGCGACCCTCGAAAAACGCAGGTCATGTGTGTTGTGCCGTCACGTGCGGGGACCAGACTGCCTCTGACGTCGCTCCGCGGTGCCCGGTGAGCGCAGCACGCGGGCCCCGAGGGGATCATCTCCGACGCGGAGGCGCTCAGCAAGTACGCCGGCTTCCTACCAACGGGGGAGGTGTCTGCCGCGCGCGCCTTCTCCGCCGCGGAAGCCAAGTCGCGCTGGTGGTGGCCGTTCCGTCGCGGCGCACAGCGCGCGGCCGAGGACGCCCCGTGCCACGGCGCGGCGTCGCCTGCAGAGCAGGTCGGCGGAAGCGACGTCAGCGACGGCGCTGCGTATGCCACCGAGGGAGGCAGCGGGGCGCCCAAGTTCCCGCTGGTGGTGCCGTTCTACCACAGCGGGATGGGCGACGTGATGCCGCTGTGGTCGAAGTTCCCGTCCGTCGGACACGACGTCCGCGTGGCCGTGGGGGCCCCGATCGAGATGGACGACGTGCTATGCAAGTGCGCGAGGAAGGGCGGGTCGACGCCCGACGTGTGGATGGAGATCGCATCGCGGATCGAGCAGCGCCTGTCGCAGCTGGCGCAGGAGGTCCCCGACAACACAGGTGCGGCGCATGCAGCGCCGCGTCTTGCCGCAGCGGAGTACGTGGCAGCTCGAGCCGATGCTAGCCCCGCGGTACTGGCGAGTTCCGTGGTCTTTGTTTTGCGCACCACCGTTCGCGAGTTTGCGTCGGTATCGACCGCCTTGGTCGCCCATCCCCCTGCCGCACGCAGACCAGCTGGCCAAGCTGGGCATCACGCACGACGATATCCGCCCGCGGCGCAAGCGCGCGGCGTACGCGAATCTAGCGCAGCGGTGGCGCGAGGCCAAGGAGCGCGGGAGGGAGCGGCTGGCAGCGCGGGTGGAGCAGGTCAAGGAGAAGGGGGACGGGGGGGTCGGACGGTGGTGGGGGGCGGTGCGGCGGAAACGAGAAGGGGGCGAGGAGGGCCGCGGAGGGGGTGCTGGGGCCGAGGGCGCTGCGTGAGGCGCGGCGTGGTGCATGTGTGTCACTGCAGTCGTATTTGTAACATCGCTCGCTGCGAGCGGTTTCAAACACGTCTGCAGCGGTACCGGAAGGCGCGGTGCGAAGGGCGCTGTTCCGATCCGGGCGAGGCGCGAGGGGCGCAGGGGGCGAGGCGGCAGATTGTGTCGGACTGGTTCTACTCGGCAGTCGGGCAGGTGGGTCCAGGTACGTCCGGTCTGATGTGGCTGGCGGTGCGCGCCAGTGGGTACTTCGCCGTGACGCGGCCGAAATTGCAAAGGCTGGCACAGTGACGGCTGATTGTTCTGTTCAACGCTGCGTTGTCAACTGTACATCAAGATGAAGGCTGTCGTCGTTCTGGACCACGTCGTGGCGGGCGTGAATGCAGTCGTTGCACTGTCAGGAGCGGTCTGCGTGTACTGCGCGTCGTGGATGGTCGCTTCGCGAGGAGTGCGTGACGCTGAAGGAGGAATCGCTGCAGGCTTTTCCTCTCCCACGCTCAGCGCCGTAAGTGCCGATTCCCCAGACGAAAAATCCGGCGTGTACTCCGGTCCTTCGTTCACTCGCTCTTTTTCGCTTTGATCATGCGCGGGCAATCGAGCGCCACGATGGTCACATAGAGTCATAGATGGGCTTGGCGCGGGTCCCCGACTGCGCTCTTGCCTGCAGCCCGCCCCGCCGACGCTTCCTCAAATTAACCTGACGCAGCCTCCAACGCGTCTGAAGCAGCCGCTGACGCGCCTCCCCTGGAACACGCTGCTGTGCAGGCTCTCAGCAGCTCTGCTGCGAGCTGGAGGGCCGAGTACTCGAGCTACGTCTCTTCGCTGGTCCTGACATTCGCGGGTCTCCTGTGGGTCGCGCTGGGCACACATCCCGCCGTCCTACGTCGCAACCGCTTCACGGCTCTTCTGATCTCGGGGATCGTCGCGGTCACCGCCGCCGACCTCGCGTCAGAACCGTTCGGCTGCTTCTTCGAGCAGACCTGCAGCAGCGCTGGGTACACCTGGGCGGCCGGCGCGCTGATGCTGGCCATCTCGGGCGCGCTCTCGATCATTCTCGTTCTGGACTACCACACCTTCTTCACTCCCAGGGCGCCCATCGACGAGGGCAAGGAGGAAGGCGCGGCCCAGGGCACGGCCTTCGGCCTCGGCGTGCGCGAGAACTTCTTCCTCGAGGTGTTCTTCTGGTTCATGGGCTTCGTGTTCGCGCTCGTAGGGCTCGTCGTCGGCATGTCTCAGGTCCGGACGCGCAGCCGCGCTGACCGCGTTCGCCCGCTCGTTCCCCTGACGTCTTGATCACATCCGCACGCAACGTCACGGTCTGCGGGCCCCTCGCGGAGAGATTCCCCAGCGAACCGTCAGACACCGACACCGTTCCCAGTGCCGACGCAGGTCTACAACACGTGCGAGAAGGTCTTCAGCGGCTCGGACACGTGCACGCAGACGTACCGAGGCATCGTGTACTACTCGAGCCTGGGCGTCCTCACCTTGGCACTCGTAGGCACGTGGTCCCTTATGACCATCGTGGTCGAAGACCCCTCCCGCCTCCCCGGGTGGAACCACGGCAGGGTGAACGCGACGCTGCTCGTCATGAACACGATGATGGCCGCGGGCTCCACGTGGGTCGCCATGCAGCTCCGGTCCCTGCTCGACGAGGTGCCGTACCCCTCCAGCGCCCTGCGCATCGTCTCCGGGGTGCGCGAGGGCGAGGACTCGGGCGTCGTCATCCAGCAGCTGCGCTCGAAGGCCTTCGCGTCCGTCGAGGCCGCGCACGCGTTCTGGATCCTGGCCGCGATCGGGTTTGGCTTCATGGCCGTGGCCTTTGCCCGCTCGCTGCGCCCCGAGATCATGCGTGCGCGGGGCAACTGCTGCCCAGGCTCCACCGTGCGCGTGCTGTTCGCGACCCTCGCGGTGGTGTTCTGCGCCGGGTCCATCCTCGTCGACGTGGCGCAGCGCCAGGGCAACTCGGACAGCTGCCACGGCGCCCTGGGAGCGCGCGTGTGCCACACGTCGGCCACGGCGGGGATGTCTGCGATGGGGTACATCCTCACGGGGCTCGCCGTATTCGGCGCCGCGCTTCCGAAGCTCTGGGGATTCGAAATGTACGTCAACACCCCCCCCAGGCTCGCACACGCTCGTTGCCCGCTGTACCTGTTGTTGCTCCGGGTCACCGGCTCCGTGGGTGTCCGAGCGGCTTGGCAACACCATGAGAAGCGTCCTTCACCGCTGTGTGTTTCTTGCTCTCAGGCTGCAAGGAGCAGCAGCGATCGCCGCGTTCATGGTCCTGCCGATCGGACAGGAGGTCCGCTGGTGGGTCGCTCGCTCCAACTTCTACAAGGCAGTCCAGCTCTTCGGCATGGAAGACCAGATGGACGACCTCGACCTGGACGCCCTGAAGAAAGGCGCCGAGCTGCAGGTCGCCGGCATGGCGCTCCTCGCGGTCGCCTTCGGCCTTTTCGCCGTGCTGGCCGCGAACTGCTGCTCGGCGGCCTACCTCGAAGTCCGCGACGGGTACGAGCCCGAGCCCGCGCCCAAGGACGTGGGCCAAGCACAGGGGCGGCAGGAGGGGGAGCAGCAGCGCGCGGGGGTTCAAGCTCAGGCTGGTGTCCCCGAGAGCGGGGAGGTGGAGTCCCCCGCCTAGCCGTCTATCCGAGGGGGTCCAGCGTACCGGCAAGAAGACGCCCGGCTGCAGGACGTCACGTTGGTGGCTGGGCGCGCAGGTCGGCGCTGGTGGCGTTGCATGAAGTGGACGTGGACGTGGACGTGGACGCGCCCGGGTGAGGGCGCAACCCGCGTGTGAGGTCACGGTGAGCGCGCAGCGCGGCGGGCGAAGTCTGAAGACGTGCTGAAATTGATCACAGTCTTGTTTCCTCGATGGTGGAACTGCGGCTTTAGCGGCAGGACCAGACCAGCGACCCGATGCAGCGTGCGCGCAGTCCTGCGCGTCAGCTCGCACTCCCAGCATCCCCGCCCGCCCCCTCCTGCGCCGAGGCCGCGGCAGCCACGGAGCCCCCGTCTCCCCCGCCCGCCCCCGGGAGCTTCCCCGTCTTCACGAGCTCCCGGATCTGCTTCCCCGTGAGCGTCTCGTTCTCGATGAGCGCCGTCGCGAGCAGGTGCAGCTCCTTCTGGTGCTGAGTCAGGATTTGCTTCGCGCGCTCGTACGCGGTGGTCAGCAGCTTGCGCGTGTCCTTCTCGATCTTCTCCCGCGCCTCGGGGCTCAGCCCGACCGCCTCCCGCTCCCAGTCCACCACCAGCTGCCCGACTCCGTCCGCGGACCCGAACCCGTACCGCGTCACCATCTGCCGGGCCAGCGCCGTGGCGCGCTGCAGGTCGTTCGACGCGCCCGTCGTCACCTCCGAGTCCCCGTAGATCAGCTCCTCCGCCACGCGCCCGCCCATGAGCACGTCCAGCTCCGCCAGCAGCTCCCGCCGCGAGATGGACGTCTGGTCCGCCTCGGGCAGCTGCATCACCATGCCCAGGGCCATGCCGCGCGGGACGATCGTCGCCTTGTGGATGGCCTTCGACCCCTCCGTGAAGAGCGCGACCAGCGCGTGCCCGCCCTCGTGGTACGCCGTCAGCCGCCGGTTCTTCTCGGAGATGACGGCGGACTTGCGCTCCGCGCCCATCATCACCCGGTCCTTGGCGTACTCGATGTCCTCCATCGACACCATGGACTTGTTCTCGCGCGCGGCCTTGAGCGCCCCGATGTTGACCACGTTCGCCAGCTCCGCGCCGGAGAAGCCCGGCGTGCCCCGCGCGATCACGTGCCAGTCCACGTCCGGCGCCAGGTTGATGTTCGCGCCGTGCACCTCCAGGATCTGCCGCCGGCCCTCCACGTCCGGGTTCGGCACCACGACGTGCCGGTCGAACCGCCCCGGCCGCACCAGCGCCTTGTCCAGCGCGTCCGGCACGTTGGTGGCCGCGATGCAAATGATGCCCTCCGTGGCCTTGAACCCGTCCAGCTCGACGAGCAGCTGGTTCAGCGTCATCTTCGCGAACCGCTCGTCGCGCGAGGAGCGCTTCCCGCCGATCGCGTCGATCTCGTCCAGGAAGACGATGCACGGCGAGTGCTTGCGCGCCGCCTCGAACAGCTCGCGCACGCGCCGCGAGCCGACGCCGACGAACATCTCGTCGAACTCGGAGCCCGACGCGTAGAAGAAGGGCACGCCGGCCTCGCCCGCGATCGCGCGCGCCAGCATCGTCTTGCCCGTCCCCGGGGGACCGACCAGCAACACCCCCTTGGGGAGTTTCCCGCCGAGCTTGGTGAAGCGCTTGGGGTCCTTGAGGTACTCGACGATCTCCTCGAGCTCGTTCTTCGCCTCGTCGACGCCCTTGACGTCCTTGAAGGTCGTCGACGTCTCCACTTGCGGCGTGACCGACTTCTGCTGCAACACCCCCTTCAGACCGCCGCGGCTACTGCACACACGCCGCGCGACTCCAGGACCACGTGAGCGACGTGTAGCGGCCGCGGACTGCCAGGTGGAAACGCTGTCAGTCAGGTTCGCGGCAGCTCATGACAGTACGTGCAACATGGGGGCGCCGTGCCGCGCGGTTCGATCGGCGCCGCGCGTGCGCGCGGGGGCGGGCGCGCGCGTGCTCCCGGCGGCGTCGCACCTCTGTTCGAACACCACCCCAAGGAAGGACAGGAACAAGAGCCACCCAATCGCAGTCTGCACGGTCTTCCAGAACCACGGCCAGAACCGCGTCTCCTGCGCGACGGACACCACGACGGGGTTCTCGCGCGTCCCCGCCGTGCCGGACCCGCCGCCCCCCGCGCCGGCGCGCGCGCCCGCCCCGCTGCTTGCCAGCGTGCCGTCAGCGAGCAGCTCCCGGAGCAGCGCCTGCGCCCCGCCAGACGCGCGCGGCCCTGCGCGCCCGTAGTCCTCGTCGTGCGCCGCGCCGAAGTCCGCCTCGGAGCTCAGCGGCGCGCGCGGACGCCGCGGGGCCGCGCTGGAGAGCTGCTCGGCGACGCCGTCCCCGCCGTGCCGCGCGAGGACGCGCGCGACGCGGCTCCCGTCGAGGCGCCCCGTGAACACCAGCGCCTTGATGTACTCGGTCACCGCCGCGTCGTCGGCCTCCACCAGGCCCTCCTCGTACTGCCTGATGACCTTCCTGTGCTCCCCCGCGGCGTTCAGGCGCCGCAGGCGCTCGGCGCCGCGAGGCTCCGCGTACGAGGTCGCGCTGGCGAACTCATGAGTCCGACTCGCGTGCGCCGGGTGCGTGTTGCCGCTCCCAGCGCCGACTTTCGCGCGCAACGCGAGGGCAGGCAAGCCGAGGGGTTGCGCGCCCGCCGCGTGGAGATGCCGCGCTAGATGCGCCGATTCCGGGGGTACCCAGGGAGCTGTGCGAATGAGCCGCTGGAGCGCCGCGCCCAGGGTCGCCTCTGGCCCACTGGGCGCCGAGCACGGCGCCCGTGGCCGAGCACACGATGCCCCGAGGCGTGCCGCGGTCTTGAGGAGGCTCGCGCTGCCAGCGCGCGAGCTCGTTGCCGAGGAGAGCAAGCGCGCGCTGGCGGGGCAGGCTGCGAGGATCTCGGCGGGCACGCGGCTCAGCGCGGGTGCGAGCCCCTGCAAACACACACGCGGGCGCGTCGCGTCACGCGGCGCGGAACAGCTACATATCCGGCACTGCATGGTTGGTGATATGCGGGGTCATCTTTCTGCACGGTGTGTGGTCCCGAAACGGACACACAAGCCGCGGTGGAGACACGGGGCGTTGTGTGGCGCTTGTCTCGACGCGACAGGCCGCCCGTTCGCCGCGTGCAGGGGCGACAGCGGCCGTGAGCGGCACGCTGCGACAGCATCGCAGCTGTGTGCAGTCGTTCCAGGGCTGCAGGGCGCAGGGCGCGACGAGCGAGCGCACCTGGGCTGCCCGCGAGCCTTGCACCATTGCCGGCGACAGTCGTGCGTCTGGCGCGTGATGTCGACGGCCCACCGACGCGCCCTGCTCGGAAGTCGCCCGAGCGAGCGCCCTTGCGCCCCTTGGATCCCGGCAGCCCCACATCGCGGCGAACCACGTCAATAGGTGCCCGGGTCAGCTGGCCCCGTCGGTCAGCGCGCCTGACGCCGCCAGCAGTCGCGTCCACGGCGCGAGGAGGCTCCGCTGCTGCGCGCTCCGGCCACTCCTGAATCGCAAGGCCACGAAGCCCGGAACGATGCGGTAGGAGGTGCGACAACATGAGCGCAGAGCAGTGCAGGCGCGGGGCCGCGGCGCTGGTAGGCCGGTGCGCGCTTCGATGTTGCCGCGTGATTCCGGACGGAGTGAAGTCGCCAGGGAGGCAACGTTCCGCGCGGGGGAGCCCAGAGGCGGGAGAGGCGCAGCGCGCATCGCCTGGAGGCAGTGCAGGGCGGGGGGAGGCGTTCTCTGCGCTGATGAGGGAAATCCGGAGCCTTCCAGCGCATGTGTGTGTCCTAAGCAAGCCGGACGGATCGTTACGTGGAGATCTCTGGCGGTGGTCTGCACGTGTGCCGTCGGGGGGAGCAGGGCCCTTTCCTGGCGCCGGCGCGCGGCATGCGGGCTGGATTCCGTCCCACGTGCCCGGAAGACGGACATCCACGAGCAGGACAGCAACCCAGGCGAGGGACGACGGTGGCGGCAGGACGGGCAGGCCACGCAAGCAGCACGACGGTCCACGGCACTTCAGCGAGGACGCGAGCGTCATCGTTGCTGTGGCGGGGTCGCCCGGCGCCACGTGGGCGAAGATACGAGACGCCATCGACGCGCTGGAGGCCGGCAGCGCGATGAGGGAGAACGGGATGTACAATTATGGGAAGGCCTTCAGGGGCGCAATCAGGCACGTGTGTGTGTCGTCGTCTTCAGCCCGCGCCTCGACGACGGGCGCCACCGCACGTCGCGCGCTGAGATGCGAGCGCCGGTGCGAGTGTGTCGTGCAGGGCGGCGGCGTCGAACGAGGACTTGTCCGCCAACTCTGAGAGGCTGCTGATAGTCTCGCAGCTGGTGAACTACATGCGGGACGCGGGGATGCGGGTCGGCATGGACGAGGCGGGCTACCTGGCGCGTGCTGCGGCGGACTTCAACCAGCTGAACACGTGAGTCGGGCACACAGCATCCACTGCACGCGTAGAGCGCGCGCCTTGCACGACGACGCAGGACACACAGGGCCACGTGCATCGGAAACGGCTCTCATCGCCACTGCGCGCCCGACGCGTGCACGCTCGGTGCTTCCGCGGCGCAGGGCGGTGCGGTGGATCGACTTGATGTTGCTGGGCACGTACGGCGCTGTTACCACGCGCGAGACCGACAGCATGCTTCGCGCGGTGGTGAACCAAGTGGTCGGCAGGCTCGCACGGCAGGGCACGGTGAGCGGGCTGCGCGAGGCGGCGCGCGTGGCGGCGTTCGCGGCGTCGCGGGGCGTGTGCGTGCGCCCAGACACCATCCAGGCGCTGCTGGTGGGCGCCTGCGACCTGCTGCAGCACGACGTGGCGCGAGACGCGATGCTGGCGCTGCTGGCATCGAGGGTGCTTCTTTTGGACCCGGAGCGCGACGACCTGCTGCTGCCCCCCGTGCGCCCTGACGTCGGAACCGCACTGTGGGCGTTGAACGTCGCGGCAGGGCCGGGCGAGGTGCCGGACCGCGCGCGGCTGGCGAAGCTGGCGTGGACGCTCGTGCGACGCTGTGCGGAGCTTCCGCCGGCATTGCCGGGCTTCAGACGCTTCGGGTGCGCCCGCTACACAATGAGATATCGAAACGCGACTTTCTGTTCACGCGGGATCCTTACCTGTGTCCGCACAGCCGCGCCACAACCGTGCTCCTCCTCCATGCACGCAGCACCATCTCTCCGTCTATCCCGTCGCCTGCACCGATCTTTGCGCAGGCTGAGACATCAATACGAGTCATCTCTAGGTGGCAAGGAAAAGGACCCGCCGCCGTGGCCCAAGCTCGGCGACGTCGTCAAGCTCGCAGCAGGAGGCGGCAACGTCGACGTCGGTCCGCTGACGTGCAGGACCAGGCTGGTACCCAGCCTCCCCGAGGAGCAAGCGGGCATGGAAGCATGGATGTGCAAGCAGCGTCCCCTGGGCCGAACAGCGTCAATTCAGCGGCTTCAAGAGGCTCAGCCAGACCACGAGCAGCACTGCACGGTTCCAGCTGCCGCGTACGTGACGTTCGCAGTGGCGCTGGCCCGCGCGGGCGACGTTGCGGGAGCACTGGGTGCGCTTGCAAGCCTGCCGTCTGCGCGGAGTGCAACTCCCCCGCAATCGGACGACGGACTGGACTGCAAGGCGAGCGAGATCACTCTGGCCAGCCTGATGCCGGTGATAGAGGCGCTTGGCTCGACAAGTGACGAGATCCACGACAACGAAGTGCTGGTGTGGCGCGCCATCACGGCCGCGGACCCGGACGCGGCGTGCGACGTGCCGCTCGCGGTGCTGGTTGCGGCGTACGCGTTCTGCGGGGACCTGGACCGCGCGGTGCTCGCGATGGAGTCGGCGGGGACGCACACGGGGCGAGCTCATGGGGGGAGTGTGGCGCTGTGTTACGCCGCGCTCATCCGCGGATGCGGGATGCACATGGAGGCCGAGTCGGCGATGGAGATCGCGCGGGAGATGGAGGAGCGCGGCATCAAGCACACAAGGGAGACCACGGCGGAGCTCGTGCACGTGTGCGTGGCGTCGGGGCGCCTCGACGACGCAGCTGCCGTCGTCGAGGCCGGTCTGGCGTCGGACGAACCGGTGCGCTACCCTGCTACCTCGCCGCGACCGCGAGAGACCGACGCTGCGCATCCACCGAGCCCACCGTTTGTTCTGCCATGCAACGCCAAAGCGTCCTGCCACTCATGCTGCATTGCGTCGCGTGCTCTGCAGCCGCCCCTGTCCGTCGTGGAGAAGACGCTGGCGACGCTGGCCCGGAACAACCGCCCGGACTTGCTCGAGCAGCTTTCTCCAGCAGTCGTTGCAGCTCGCCCCCGGTTCTCCGGCCTGTTCGGGGCGGTGATGAAGTCGGTGGCCCAAGGCGACGGCGAGCTCGTAGCCCTCGTGCCGCTGATGAAGAAGCTCGGGCTCACGCGCTTCGTTCAGGACAGCGGCGCCGGGCGCGAGTGAGGAATTGCACATCTGTAGCAGGCAGCTCCAGCGACGCGCCGGAGCCGCCGACGGCGCCCGCAGCCGCGCAAGATGCGGAGCCGTCCTCGCTTGCGCACGGATACGCAGAGCCAGCGGCCAGCGCCCCCTCGCTGGACGTTTGATTTGATCTTCACTTACGAATAGCATCACATGTTACGCGCCGGTTATCACGCGGTCCGACGACAACTGCGCCTGCGCTGTGGCGTGGACTCTGTGCCCGGCGTGCGACGCTGCTCGGAGGCGCGTCAGCCCTCCCGGAGCAGCGCCTCCACTTCCGCACGGCTCGGCATGCTGGACATGGCCCCCATTCTCCGCACGCACAGCGACGCCGCCGCGGCCGCAAATCGCATGCACTCCGCGGGCGCCTTGCCCTCGAGGAACGCCACCGCGAAGGCTGCGGTGAAGCAGTCGCCCGCCCCCGTCGTGTCAACCACCTCCGGGGCCGGGATCGCCGGCTGACGGATCGGCTCCTCCCCCGATCGAACAAGCACCGAACCCTTGCTCCCGAGCTTGACCAGGACCTGCCGCTTCCCGTCGGACAGCATCGACTCCGCCGCTGCGAGCACCTCGGCGTCTGTTGCCGTCGGAAGGCCCGTCATCCGCGCGAGCTCCTGCACGCGCAGCGATTGGGTGTCGGGCGAGATCAGCCGCACAGGCGAGCACGACGCGGGCCGACTCGTGTTGGGAGACATGCGAGCACGTGGTGGCTGCACGTCCGTGGCGAGGGAGGGGATTCCTCACCGTTTCGTTGGGCGAAATCGTGTCGCACGCCTCGAGCAGCCCGTCCTCGAGCGGCCCCTCCTGCCCGCCGCAGTCCAGCACGACGTGCACGCCCGCAGCGCGCGCGGCCTGCGCGGCAGCCACGTTGACCTCAGTGCCCGGCACCTCGCGCTGCAGCAGCAGCGCCCCGGCGCCCGCGATGAGCGCGCCAGCGGAGCCAGCGCCTTCGCGCTGCGGGAGGTGGTCCCAGGGCAGGTGTGTGTTCGCGCCGCCGACGATGATGATCCGGTTTTCGCCCGTCTGGTCGAGCATGATGACGGCAGTGCCCGTCGGCACGCCGGGAACGGAGCGGAGGGCCGCGAGGTCGACGCCGCGAGCGGCCAATTCGTGACGCATGTAGGTGCCGCTGGAGTCGTCGCCGACCTGGCCGACGAAGCACGTGCGCTGGCCCAGGCAAGCTGCTGCCGCGGCCTGGTTCGCGCCCTTGCCCCCCGGGTGCGTCTCGAGGGACCGCGCAGCGAGGGTCTCGCCTGCGTCTGGGACGCGGTCGAGCGACAGGACCAGGTCGCAGTTCGCGGAGCCGACTACGACGAGAGGAGCGTCCTTGGATGGCTGGGCTGCAGCCGCGACGGGGCCCCGCCTGCGCCCCCGACAAGGCCTGCAGATGACGTGGCGGTCGAGAACAACTGCACCGTGTGGTGCTTATCGCGTGGGATAACGTGCACGTGATTGACCGTGCGACGTTCTTCCGAGGCGGGTGAAATCCACGAGACGTGCGCCTAATGACGCCAGGCGGGGCAACTATGCGGTGGTTGCGACAGCTCTCTGACGCGCCCATCTACCATGTGTTTCACGGCGCGGCATGAACTGATTGAATGTTGGCTCCAGGCGCCTTGGCACGGCTGGTCTTTGTAGCTACCTGCTCACGGACGATCGCCCGCTCCCACGGCCCGAGGCGGCATGCTCGCGCGCCCACCGGTTCGCACGGGGGCGACATGCGACAGACCGCATGGCGTTTCCCCTCAGGATGCTGCCCGTCGCGTGCACTCCCATGTTGCGCTGCTTACACACAACCACCAGCGCCACAGAACGCGATGAAGAGCTCTGCGTGCTCCGTGTTACACTGGCGCTGTCCGGCCTCTGGCGCCTCAATGTCCCGCACACCCGCGGGACCGGGCCCGACTGAGCCCGGCTCGCGACCCCTCACGAGTGTCTCCAATCGCGAGCGTCAGCGGTGTGTGGCGGATCCTGGCACCTCGCGCGCCCTCGCAAATGTCGTGAGCGTGCACCGGGCCGTGTGTCGCGCCGACAGCGCGGCAGCGCGACACGTCGAGCGCAACCCTGGGCGGAAGCACCAGCCCGCATCATGCGCGCGCGGGCAACAGCGAATCTGGCGACACGCGCATTTCATCCGGTGGACACCCAACGAGACAGCGACTGAGCGAGGAGCTCCGAGGGCGCACCGCGCCGCACGAGGGGGCACCTCGCGCGCGCCTCACGCGGAAACCGCCGTTCGAGCACGCAACGCACGGGAGTCACGCAGTACCGCGATCAAGATTACCGCAACGAGCGTCTTGTCGGGCGCGCGCGCGCCAACATTACGGCATCGGCCCTGGGGACCTGGGGGAACCCCCAGCAGCCTCAGGGAGCAGGGGGGGCCAGCGCGGCGCTGAGCCCTCCCTCCCACGACGGCCTGTTTGGGCCGCCGATGCAGACAGCACGGCACAGACCCACCTTGCCAGCCATCTGCGGCTGCGAGTCACCTCACGCCAACGGAGGTGGCCGCTACTGGCCTGAGGTTGGGGCCCTTGGGCACGCAGAGCGCGCCTTGAGCACGGTCTGCGGCCCCCGCGAGAGACCCACCGACCTGACACTCCCAGTCGCTGACAGCAGGTGCGCAGCGCGGCGCCCCGGCCCCCCTGTGCGCGCGACGGGCGCCCCCGCACGTTTTGCGGTGCGTGGCCCGTTGGCCTCCCACGCGCCCACCGGTGTTTTCCGCGTCGCAGAATGAGCTCTTGGATTCTCACGGAGCGCGACCTCGAAGTCAGCGCGGGCGAGGACCTCGTTCCGCGCCACGACGTGCAGCGCGCGCCGCTCCAGTGCTGCTTGGCCGCTGGGCGCGCGGCACGCACGGCACGCGTCCTCGACACCGCCAGCGACGCTGCACCCATGCAGCGCACCCGCAAGCGGAAGCGGGGGGCGGCTGACGGCGCGGGCGCGACGGGGCACGACGCCGCGGACGCCGGGGCCTCGAGGCCAGCCCCAGCGCTGCATCCGGCCGTCTCGGCCGCATCGACGCGGGCGACGCACGATCCGGTGCCCGCAGACCGCTTCACTCCCACAATGCATCCCCTGCAAGAGGCGTGCGAGGACCCGGGGGAGGTGTCCGGGCCGGTCCTGCTCGTCACTGGGGGCATGAGCCCATCAGCGGCGCGCGCTCTCCTGGCGCCCTGCGGCGCGGACACGGGCGTCCACGGCATGCAACCGTGGTCGGGAAGCGGCGCGCTCGACGACGCGCCCGCTATCTTCGCGCCGGCGCTGACGTGTCCTGGCAGCGCTGGGGCGGGCCTCGCTCCCGGCCCCGCGCACGACGACCTCCTGGAGCCCTTCGACGAGTCCAGCGTCGGGAGCGCGCGCCACACCGGCGCAGGGAGCGACTCGCAGGCCTCTGCGCCCGGGAGCTGCGCGTCGAAGGGCGTCGTGCACGGCTCCCGGCGCGAGGCAGCGGGGGAGACGGCATGCTCGACCGACTTCGCGCACGCTGCGACCGCGCGGACCTTCATGCGGTCGGACTTCGACCGCGAGGTCGAGATCGCGGTCCTGCAGCGCCGGGTGCTCGACCTCCAGGCGCACAACGAGATGCTGGTGGGCACCGTCGTCGCTGCCGTGGTCAACCACGAGAACGAGCGCGAGGAGAACGAGGCGCTGCGCGCGGACAACCAGCGCTACCAGAAGGCGCTCGACGACCTCATCCTGCGCCACAACGAGACCCTCAAGCAGAACTACCGCCTGCAGAGCTCGCTCGCGCGCACACGCGAGCCTGCCCCGACGGCGCCGTGATCGCCCGGATCCGCGCGATCCCGCGGACGTGCGCGCGCTCCACCAGCACGAGGAGCCCAGCAAGTTGATTTTTTCCACGCTCACACGTATTTCGAAGGCCTGATCCTCCGCAACCAGCACCGAGGTGTACATGCCTCCGAGGCGACCGAAGGCCCCAGCCGGAACATGCTGGGCCAGCTCCTGCAACGCGAGAGCCTTCATGTGTCAGCCTGACAGCTGTGTTGCACCACAGCACAGCACCATGCTGCCAACAGCAACAGCGTTGCTCCCGCCGCTCCCCCCGCACCCCCCTCTAGTCCACCCGCAGAGTCAGAAGGCAGTCCACCTGCACCCCCCTCCCGTCCCTATTTTGCGAACACGCTCTCTGCGGCAGCGCACGCGACGCGTGCCCCCCCAAGGGGACAGTCTGAATGGCCGAGCGACGATGAGTGTGCAGCGTCGTCGCTCGACGCGATGTGTGAACACCCCCACGCGACGCACCGAGGCGATCGTCACGTCCCGCCGCCTCAAATGTGCCGCCTCGCTGGCCTTTCACCCCGTCGCGGCCCCGGCGCTTCTCGCTGTCACCCGACGCAGGCCTGTGAGGCGACGCCTCTTGACTCCCCCCCGAGGCAACGCTGGCCGGTCGGCCTGCGTCCGACGCAGTCGCCGCCCGGCGGCGCCGGCCCCGCGCGTGACGTGGCTGGAGCCGCGGCTCGCGTGGACAGTTTCGGGCTCGAGGAGCCGCCTGGGTCGCACACGTTTGTCGTGCAAGAAGCAGAGGGTGTAGGCACAGCGGCCGTTGCGTGCTGCGAGGCCGACGCAGGGGACGCGGGTGGCGCGCTGGAAAGGACACGGGCCCGCGGCCCTCGGAGCCGGGCGATGAGCTCGCACAAGCGACACACGATCGAGGACCTCCCGCTGGACCTTGCAGGTGGGTCCGCCACCGTCCGGTTATGGCCTGTCCTTGGCGCGGACTGCATGTGTCTGCGTCATCAGTCAACGAATGCGTCCATCGGACCGTTGGCGGGTGTCGGTCATGCGCGTGCGGGCCCGACATCCGCCAGCAGGCAAGGTCCGTCGCCGCGTGCTTCCTCGCCCGCAGGCAGCATACTTGGAGGGTTCTCGGTGCATGAGCTATCGCAGCTGGCGCTGGTGAACCGGTACTTTCGCGCACTGAGTGAGCACGACACAGTATGGAGCGGAGCGGGTGCTAGGCTGCTTGGCCTGAGCGCGACGCCTCTGCTCGCGACACACAGGTGCTCACCTGCACGACCTGCTCACATTCTCCCTGCCGCACCGCGCACGTTCTCCGCTTCCGTTGTCGGGGTCCGACCCCGAGCCGAGGGCAACCACCTCTCTCCTGCCACTCTGTAGAGGGGCCAAGGGGGAATTCAGGCGCATCGTGCGAGAATCCAAGGTCCAGATCCTCGGCGAGTGGCCCAGGGATCCCGCGAGGAAGGGCGCCGGAGCCAACCACCACGGTCGCCGGCAAAGCATCCGCGAGCTCAACGGCAGGGGCATCTGGTGCGCCTGCAGCACGACGCGTCGACGCCGCGCTGCGAGACATGCCCGCACGCGCGCCGCGGCTCATCGGTCCCGCGCGCCACGTTCCTTGCAGCCAGCTTGCGTTGAGCGACAACCACGCGGCCGCCACGTCCATCGGCGGCAACGTCTACTTCTTCGGCATTCCGGGCGACCACCTGGGAGGCGGCGGCGATCGGGGCCAGCCTGAGGGGCCCGCACAGCAGGGGAGCAGCGATGACGCTGCCTGGACGCTGCCGCGACTTGCGCCCGAGCTGCGTGCTGTCCGTGCCGCGGCGGTGGTGCTCGGGGCCCGGCACTCCCTGGTGCTCTCAGAGGACGGCATCATCTTCGCCGCGGGCAGCAACCGCAACGGCGAGCTGGGCAACGGCACGACGGAGCCGGACGCGACGTTCAAGCCCATCACCACCGTGCGCGTGCTTGCTGGCGACGCGGTTTCCACCCCGGGGTCCGTCACGTGGGAGGAGAAGGCGGCGCCGCGCTTCGCGGCCGTCGCGTCTGGCCCGGACCACTGCTGCGCCATCGCCGAGGGGGGTGTCCTGTACACGTGGGGCGCCCATGCGTCAGGCGCCCTGGGCCACGTCATGCTTGAACCGCCCCCGCGGAGCGCAAGTGCACAGCCGCCGCGCGAGATCCCCGTCCCGAGCGTCCTCGCGCCCACGCGCGTCGAGGGGCTCAAGGGCGAGAGAATCGTGTCCGTCGCTGCCGGGATGGCGCACACGGTGGCCCTGAGCGAGAAGGGCGAGGCGTTCGTGTGGGGCTCGGGCAACGGCGCTCGTCTCGGCCTCGGGGACTGTCGCAGCAGGCTCAGCCCGTGCCGCGTGGACGCCCTGTCGGGGCCGTGCAGGGAGGTGATCGCGGGAGCGTCCTCGACGATGTTTCTACTCGAGCCTGACTCAGGGGCGCTGCCGGCCGTGCACGCGTGCGGCTGGGGTCGGCACGGACAGCTTGGAACGGGGGACAGGCGGAACAGGTCGCTGCCGACGCCGATCGATGGACTCGCGGGCGTCGAAGTGTCTCAGGTGTCTCTCGGCGTCATTCATGGCACAGCGCTCGGAGCGGACGGAGCGCTGTACGGCTGGGGTTTCGCCGGCTGCGGGGGCCTCGGCGTCGACAGGGAGCGGCTGTCGGCGCTTGGCGCGGACGTGACGTCGCTGCTGCAGCCCACGCTGCTGTCTGACAGCGCGCAGGCGCTCGTGCTGTCGGCGGCGTGCTGGAGGAACGCCACGGGAGTCTTGTTCTGTCCGCACGATGCGACCGACGGCGCGGAACGCGGGGGCTTCCTCAGGCCGGACCTCCTGGCTGGCGTCGAGGAGCCAGGCCTGGCAGTGGTGCCTCCGGAGGGCGGCGGCGCTGGCGGAACCGCTTCGCGCGCGAAGAAGCGGCGCTCGTACAACCCCGACACGGGCGACCGCGCGTTCAGCGTCAAGCGGTTCCGGAAGGACTTGCAGCGGCGCAAGAAGCTGCGGCAGGAGCGCAGCCTGCGCGCGAGGGAGCTCGCGATCGCTCGGAAGGCGGCCGCCGCCGCGGCGGCAAGCTCGTCACATGGACCGTCCTGAGCGGGCTGTGCGTCGTCGCTGGATGCGTCGGAAGGGCTCGGCAGTTCGGGAGGCAGATCACAATCGAGGGGGGTTGTTGTTGTCTCTTCATACCCGTTTGAATCTGTACATGGCCCCGCGGAGCTTGAGGACGTCGTCGATCATGATCTGCTGCTGCTTCGATGCGTACCACACCGCCCACGCCAGCCCCGGCGGTCCCACCGCAACCCACGCGCTGGAAGCCTTGTGCCGCGGTGACGCCTCAGAAAGCGCCAGCGCGAGCAAGCACAGCGCCCCGGCGGCTGCATCGCATCAGACACGGGCTCGACGCAGTGGTCGGGGGAACCTGGGGGGTTAGGTGCAGCTCCAGTGTTGCCAAGCCAGTGCGTGCTATCTCAGTCCGAGGGCGGCCAGCTGCTGCGACTCGCGCCATACCACGTGCACGCTCATCGTCACGACGCTCTCTGCGAGCGCCCCGCGTGAGCGTTGCGCTGCGTCGCCGCGGCTGGCCACCCACCTGAGCTGGCTGCAAGGAGCATCCGAAGGAGCCGCGGGGCGAGCAGCGTGGCGTCTGGCGGACGCCGATTGTCGGCCGCTCCGCGCGACCGCCGCCGCCGTCTCGCGCCGAGCGCCGCTCCGACGAGCCCGCCCGAAAGAAGCAAACTCGCGACCCCTGACGCCGCAATGAACACTGCAAGCACACGCACCGCACGGGACGCCATGGTCGCGCGGCCGCTTGCTGGCGACGGGCGCACCCATGATGGCGCGGGGAGGCCGCAGGACGGGTGTTGCGTTCGTACGTGCGATCACGGGAGCTGGGAATCGACGACCAAGGAACGCCGCTGCTGTTTTCGTCGACCACGGTGCCGCGACCTGCCGCGCTGCGAGGTAGAATAGGAGGACCGCGAGGGGGCCGGAGAAGCAGGCCAGGACGTAGCGCCAGAGCGCGGCGGTGTCAGCGCACTCGTCGAGCAAGGACTGCACCACCTGCACCGCGGGGGACGTGAAACACGAATGAACGTGTCTCACGCACAACGGAACAGATCCGCACATGGCCGGACGATGATTTCGCATGGCCGTGCCGGTCCCGTGTCTGCGTCGAGCGCCGGAGGCGCGGGCTCAATTGCAGGGCGAAGAGCTGGCAGCTCGCGCGAACCTCTTGCTGTTCTTGGGAGTCTAGGGGGCCGTCTGTGGAGTTGAGTATCTCATCAACGCGACTACGCTTCGGCCTACTGCGCAGCGACGCCATGGGCCGAGCCGAGGCCGCTGCTAGCCCAGAGGTCGCGCCCTCCTGTGCGTGCACCTCGGGCTCAATGAGCAACCCTGACGAGCGACGACAAGCTTCGACTGATCAGGACTGCGCAGGGAGAACAAGAGCTCTCTCGCTTGAGGCCCGCTCTGCCACCCGCGGCCTGACCCCTGGATCACAGCCTGACGTAGGCCCCGGACACAACGAGTCAGTCTCGCATGCACACCGCCGTCTCCGCAGACGTAGCGGCGTCCCGCGCCGCCACGAGCTTCACTTCTCGCCCCCGGTCTTGGTTACCAGAGCGTCCTCGAGCTTCTGCGCGCGCCAGAGCGATGCCGCAGCCACGGCGAGGGCGCCCGCCGTGGTGACCGCCATGACCATGAAGGGCACCTGGCGCGGGTGCCTGCCGACGTACGAGTCGCCCCCGGCCCCGACGGTGTGCGAGACGAGTCGCTTCAGGGAACGCATGGAGGTGCCTTCCAGGACGTGCGCCGGGGCGACGCTCCCGGACGTGGCGAACGAGAAGGGCCCGAAGCGAGCGAATGACGGCAGGGACGTCCAGTTGGCGTGGCGGCGGTGCATCTGCGGGGACTTCGGAGTTCGTTGAGATGCTGTTTGTGACCCCGCGCCGCGCACACGGCAAGCGAGCATCCGGGAAGGGCACGAAACGGGCGCAGAAAATACCGTCAACTGGAATAGCTGCGCGCCTGCGCCCGCGAGGCGGCGGTGGCCGGGAAACGGCAAACTAGGAACAAGAAACGATTTCCGTCGCCATGCGCGGCGTCTTTCGCGAACCTTGACTTCTCAACGACTTTGCGCTCTCTGAATTCCGCGTCCTCAGGGACTGCCCAGCTCGATGCGCACCACTGCCGCTTGAGCAGGGTCACTGGCGAGTGAGCAACACTCCACTCCTGCGTCAGCGTGGTCGGTCTGGGACAATGCATGTTCGTTCGCGGTGTTTCAACCCCCGATGTCGCGCGCGAGAGACGACCCGATCCACCGGTGACCCGAATTTTCACGAGGATCGTCGCCGGTCGCCGCGCGTTGACGCTGTCCAAGGGTGCCCCCGCGCGGGCTGACTGCATCGCTAATCGTACGTCCTCGGCCATCCACTCGCTGTCCCAGAGCCTCGCTGGCGCGTGGAAGCAGGAACGGCTCCGGTCGACCCAGGTGATCGCGGCGGACTGACTCCCAGGAGGTGTCGTTATACCGTCGCGCAGAACGCGCCCCACCGGCGCTCGGGGCTCATGGGAATCGCGCGAGCGGCACGCGGGCTACATGTACAGCGCCATCGTAGCTCGTCGCTGCGCCCGTCTCGCAGCTGCACCCCGCGACGTGGTCGGAGGCTTCACCTCCCTGTTGCCCGGGCAGAGTGATCCCGGGCCGAGTCGCGCGAACCCTCCACCAGGCGCCTGAACGACCTGTGCGCCTAGCCGCGCACACATTACGCGTCGAACCTCAGTGCTCGAGCGCGCGTCCCCGCGGCCCCAGTTCCTGGCACAGTAGGCCCTGCCTGGGCTCCTCGTTGCATAGTACGACAAAATGTTCGGTTCGAGGTCCCAGGACAAGCTCATGGACCAGGTACGAGGCAGTCTGACCGGCGTCGCGCGTCTGATGGCGCCCGCGGGCCCCAAGCGTCACAGTGCTCAGGGCGCGCCCGATTCGCACGCCAAGCGGGCGGCGTCCGGCGTGAGACGCCGCCAACGGCATACAATGTGGATGGAAGGCCATCTGCAGCGCAGAAACGCAGCTCTGAGCAAAGCAGTGCGTGGTGCCGCTGCCGAATACCCCTGGAAAGACAGTCCCCGCTCCGCCCGCCGTTCCCACGTTGCACTGATTTCCCGGCCCCGCAGATCTTCAACCTGAAGTTCATGTCCAAGCAGATGACCAAGGCTGCTACCAAGTGCGAGAAGGAGCAGAAGTCGGAGCGCAACAAGGTGGGCGCGCCGGGCGATGCACGCGCTCCCCGAACAGCCCCCCACGCGCGCCACGCGGCACGCCGTACTCCCTTTGTCTCAGGCTCTCGTCGGAACGCTGTTGCGCGCGCGTCCGACCGCCCCTCTGGTGTCGCCACGGGCACAGAGCAGTTTCTGCCACGGGGCCTGGGCCCTCGGCGCCCGTGAAAGACCCGCCGGCGGAGTGCCGCTGTCGACCGGGCACCGCGCCGTGCCCTGGGCGCCGGCATTCGGGTGCCGCGATCGCGAGCAAGGACGCACTGGTGCGTCGTGTGTGGCGCAATGCATTGAACGGCGTTGCCGCCGCGGCGCCGCGCTGCAGGTGAAGAAGGCGATCGAGAAGGGCAACCTGGAGGGCGCGCGCATCTACGGCCAGAACGCGATCCGGAAGAAGGAGGAGCAGCTCAACTGGCTGCGTCTAGGGTCGCAGCTGGATGCGGTGTCGAGCCAGCTCGAGTCGCAGGCCAAGATGAGCCAGGTCACGTCGTCGATGAGGGTGCGCCCGACCGCCCACGCCGCGGCCCGTGTCGTCGCCGCCCCCTGCGCCCCCGCGACGCGGTCGCGACGCCTCTGCAACTGCCAGTCGTGCGGCGCAGAACGTGGTGAGCAACCTGGACAAGATCCTCAAGGCCACGCCGATCGAGAAGGTCCAGATGAACATGGACAAGTTCGAGAACATCTTCGAGACCCTGAACGTCCAGACCAACGTACGTCAACACCCCCCATGCGTCTGTGCCCGACCCTCCAGGCCCGCGCATCACCCCGAGACCGCCCCCTTCGCCCCGGGTCGCCCGCAGGCTGTCTCCGGCGCGTTCAAGAACCAGATGGCGCTGTCGACGCCCGCCGACGAGGTGGACCAGCTGGTCCAGGAGGTGGCCACGGAGCACCAGCTGGAGCTCAACCTGTCGATGCCCGACGCGCCGGCGAAGCAGGCCGAGGCCGCTCCCGCGCAGCGCAACGACGACCTGACGTCGCGCCTCGCCGCGCTGACCGGCCGCTGAGCGCATGGCGCCGCGTCGCTGCATGTGGTGCTGTGAAGAGGCACTCTGTGTGCTGAGGTCGCGCAGTCGCCTGTCCGTGGCCGCGACGGGCTGTTTCACCGCTGTGCTGCTGTCGCGTCGCGAACGTCCACGTAGGGGGGGGAGTTCATTGGAGAGGTCCACAGGACTACCCCCACGCACGGTGTTCGGCGGCACGCGCGCGGCTACCGGTCGACTGCCATGTGCGGGGCGCGCATATCGTGTTGTTCTCGCGTGGGCGTACACTTCGCTCTTCCGCGAGGCCGCGGCCAGCTTGTTTGCACCGCGAGGCGAACGTTCCCGCGCCCGTCGGCGACTGCGGTCCCCGAACAAGGGCGGGGCGGGGCGCCGACGAAGATGGATGCCAGCGTGGACCCCGAGTTCATGAAGATGGCGCAGGAGCAGATGGCCAAGCTACGCCCGGAGCAGATGCGTGCCATGCAGGAGCAAATGGCGCGGATGTCGCCCGCACACATGGCACAGGCACAGGCGCAGCTCAAGGTACGACGGAGACGTACAAAGTCTTGTTGCTGGTGATGCTGGACGAGCCGAAAGCGCGTGGAACCGGCGAACGGGCGAGCAGCGCTCAAGAAGCAGGGTTCGCAGCCGCGCACGCCGTCCTCGGTCGATGACCTCGAGATGCCTAGCGAATCCGCAAGCTGACGGATTCCCATGTGCCTAGCATGTCGCAGCAGCCCGGAAAAGAGGCCGTGTGCCGCTGCGGGGACCCATGGTGTGACGCCTTCCCTTCTCACGCCCTGCAGAACATGACGCCGGAGCAGAGGAGGCAGGCCGCGGAAGCGATGAAGAACATGAACGAGGACGACATCACGAAGGCCACGGCCCAGGCCCAGCAGTACATCTCCTCGCAGTCGCAGCATTTGCTTGACGGCGCCGAGCAGCTCAAGGTGCGCCTGTCGCGGAGCTGCCCACACGTCGCTGCCCCGCGCATCGACTGACGGAGCCCCGCCGCGCCACCGCGCACACGCCCTCGTCCTCGTCCTCGTCGCCGCGCGCAGAGGGACGGCAACAGCCTGTTCCAGCAAGGCAGGTACGACGACGCCATGTCCAAGTACAGGCGGGCGCGGCAGAACTGCGACGGCGACAAGAGCGACCGCGCGCGGACCATCGAGACCGCGTGCCTGGGCAACATCGCCAACTGCCAGCTCAAGCTCAACCGCCACGCTGATGCCGCCAGCACGTGCACAACCCTCCTGAGCAAGCACGGCGACAACGCCAAGGGCTACTACCGCCGCGGTATCGCGCGGCTGGCCCTGAACCAGCGGCAGGCCGCGGTCGAGGACCTGGAGCAGGCCAAGCGGCTGTCCCCCGGCGACGAGACGGTCAGTGCCAAGTTGGAGGAGGCACGGGCGGCGCTGGAGCGCGAGGGCGCGGGGGCGGCGCCCGCGGCTACGGAGGAGGCAGAGGGGAGCGTGGCGGACGCGGGCACGCAGGGCGCCGAGGCTGCGGCGGCGGCGAGCGCGGGCCTCGGGAACAGCCAGGCGCGCAACATTGCCGAGCAGCTGAAACGCGACCCCGCGATGGCGCGGAAGGCAGCGGAGTCGCTCAAGAACATGTCGGACGAACAGATCGAGGCGCTCCTGAAGCAGGGAACCCTGGTGCGTCGCCTGCCGTCGCAGAGACGGGTTTTGGATGCCCCTGAGATGCCGCGTTCCGTGATGATGTCGGGGGTGTTGCTCGCGCACGTGTGCAGGGCCCGGGTATGACGGAGGGCATGTCGCCGGACCAGGTCCGCATGGCTGCGACGATGATGTCGTCGATGTCGCCAGAGGAGCTCGCGTCGTACGCGTCGATGGCGGAGGCGATGCGCGACGGCGGAGCGCCGGCCGCGAGCGGCGGCGCGTCGGGAGCGGTTCCGCCGCAGAGCACGTGCGCCCTCCGCGCCCCCGCCTGCTGTTTTGTTGCATGCCGCTGCACATCTCCTGCCGCGGGGTGCACCAGCGGGACAACCACGGGCATCCACGTCGCTCTGTCTGTGCAGGGCTCGGATGGCGGAGGAGGCGATGAAGAACCCGAAGATGGCGGAGGCTGCGGTGAAGATGATGTCGAGCATGCAGCCGGAGCAGCTCAAGCAGATGCTGCGCAGTCAGGGCCTGGACGCCTCCGACGCACAGGTGGATGCGCTGCGGAAGGTGTTCTCATACGTCAAACCCCACCACCTGCAGTGGCTGACGCGGGCCGCGGGCGTGGCGCGCAAGACGGCCCGCGTGGCCACGCACCGCGTCACGCTGGCGCTCCTGGCGCTGCTGGCGGCGTACGTCCTCTACTCGTGGTACATGCGGTCGGTGAGTGCGAGCTACGCGGCGGCCACGGCCATGCAGGACCGGCTGCGGAAGGCCGGGGAGAAGCTGATGAAGGTCGACCCCAGCGGGTGGGTGCACGACGACTTTTGACCTGTGACACAGTGGACCGCAAACGTCGGCGTCGACAGCGACGCGCGGCATTCACCGAGGCACTCCGCAACGGCGGCCCGCGCTGCGTCGTGCCCCGCAACCAGCAACAGCACCAGCCCGCGCGGCACAGGCAAGCGAGGACGCACATGCACGACGCATCGACCGCCCGGCCCCGACTCGCACGACCACGCGCGCGCACGCTCACAGCCGCGCGCCGCCCCGCACCTACTCCTTCTTCCCGCCGTCCCCGAAGGTCGAGTCGTACGCCAGGTGCGTCTCGAGCTTCTTCGCGTCGAGCAGTTTCCGCACTGCCTTCATAAAGTCCTCCTGGATGACGTAGTCCCGCTCGTCGCGGATGGCGTGCATCCCGGCCTCCGTGCAGATGTTCCGCAGGTCCGCGCCGTTGAAGTTCTCCGCCAGCTTCACCACCGCCTCGTAGTCGATGTCGCCGTGCTTGGCCAGCGGCGCCGCGTGGATCTTCACGATCTCCATCCGGCTCTGCTCGTTCGGGAGCGGGATCTCGACCTTCCGGTCCAGCCGCCCCGGGCGCAGCAGCGCGGGGTCGAGCACGTCCGGCCGGTTCGTGGCCATGATCATCTTGACCTTGCCCAGCTGGTCGAACCCGTCGAGCTGCGAGAGGAGCTCCATGAGCGTGCGCTGGATCTCGCGGTCCGCGGACGTTCCCTCGGAGAACCGCCGCCCGCCGATCGCGTCGATCTCGTCCATGAAGATGATGCACGGCTGGTGCTCCCGCGCGTAGCCAAACATCTCGCGCACGATGCGCGCCGACTCCCCGATGTACTTGTCCACGATCGCCGACGCCACCACCTTCAGGAAGTTCGCGTCCATGTTGTACGCGATCGCGCGCGCCAGCAGCGTCTTTCCGGTACCTGCACGACACCCCCAAACACACACTCTTGTCAGCCCCACACACGCACACGCACGCGTCAACGCACAGGCGGCGCAGGCCCGGCGCGGCCGCGCCAGGCCAGAGCGCCTGCCCCGCGCCCGCGCGGCACGTCGCGGCCGGGCGCGCTCGCTCACCCGGGGGCCCGTACAGCAGCACCCCCTTGGGCGCCTGGATGCCGACGCGCAGGAAGATCTCCGGGTTCATGAGCGGGAGCTCGATGGCCTCGCGGATGGCGCGGATCTGCTCGCTCAGCCCCCCGATGGAGGAGTAGTCCACCTTCCCCGGGTCCTCTTGCAGCATGTTGAACACGACGGGGTCGACCTCGCGCGGGAGGGCGCGCATGATGGTGAGCGTGACCGTGTCGAGCGACACGCGCGTGCCGGGCTTGAGGCCCGCCTTGTTGACCTTGTTGCGGCACCCGACCACGTACCGCGGCCCGCTGCTCGCCTTGACGATGACTGCGGGGGGCGGGTAGGCGGGTGGGGGGCTCGGGCGCTCGCGGGGGCGCGCGGTGCGTGGCGGGGCGCGGGATCTGGCGGAGTGGATCGGGAGGAGACGGCGGGGGGCGGGGATCGGGGGAGCCGCGGCGGCGCGAGGGGCGCGGGGCGCGTAGTGGTGGGGCGCTGTGAGCGGGCGGGGGGCGGGGCGGGCACGCACATCGCTCCTCGTCGAGCTGCCTGAGGACCTCTCCGATGATCTGGCCGACGCTCTGAAGGGACTGCAGGTCGTCCTCCGTCTTGTCGTGCTCCTTGTGCAGCGACTCTAGCTGCTCCCTCAACTTCTTGACCTGAACGCGCGGCACACCGGGCGGGCGAGCGCGTTCCCGAGCGCCCCCGATGCGAACTGAAAGGTTCCAGCCCCCGGGCGCAGCGCGGATCCGCGAGGGCGGCGCTACACGTCGCGGTCAGTGGACGGACACGGCACGCTGCTGAAGAGGACGCGCGCGGACGGGGTACGCGGCCCGACGATCCGCCGTGCGCGCGGGCAGAGAGCTGGTGTCATCGGTCGTGCGCCGCGCACCTTTGATTCGAGCTCCTTGTGCCGCAGGAGCTTCCCGCGGTACTCTTGGATGGCCTTCTCCCGGAGCTGCCTCTCCACCTCGGCAGGGTCGGGCTCCTGCCGCTCGGGAGTGGTGGCCGGCTCCGGCTCCATCTCGACAAAGACCTACACGCCCCAGACAGGGCCCTGAACAGCCGCCTCGGGCCCGCCACGCGGTGTCGTCGCCGCTACAGTGCGCCCTGAACGACTGGTCCTCTGCGTGGCAGCCTACGAGTGCCCTGGTGCGAGACCTGCCGCTCAGACGTGCTGGAAGTGATGTATCTGACGCGTGCCGTGCGTCGGGCACGCCAACGGATCCAAGCTCGACGGGGGGGTGTCGGGGCGCCAGCGTTCAACCTGCCCGAGCGGTGCAGTCCCCTGAGGCCCTCCTCCGCAGCCCGTCGACAATGGGCTGCGCGGCGGGCACCGCGCGCGCCGTTGCTCGTAGATCGTCCGCTGGGAGCGTTGCAGAAGCCCGCATTGAAGCCTTCGACGGGGGACGGGGCGAGCCAGGCTTCGCAGGAGCACGCACTCGAAGTGCGCGGGTGCTGCGCCCAGACGAAGCGTCGCCTGCGCACGTGCGAGGGGGGATCGGCTGCGTGCGCGCTTCGGGTCCGGCGTGCCGCGGGGCGAGCGGGGAGCGCTTAGGCGTGGGAGGAGCGGTGGGGGGCGTCGCGATGGCGCGTCCGGCCGGGCGAAGGCGGGCGCCGCATGTGGTTGGACTGATTCTAGGCATTTTGCTGCTGGCGTGCGGCCCGTCGCATGCGCACGAGGCAGACCACAAGTACGAGGAGGGGGAAGCGGTCACCCTCTGGGTGAACAAGGTGCGCCGTGCACGCGTTGCATGGCATGCCCGCCATGCACTCGTCGCCTCTTGCACGCACCGGCGCGGAGGAGGCGCTCCTGACGCCGCGAGCGCCACGGCAGGCTGCACTTGCCACCGTGGCACAACCAACCAATACTTCTCCGTCGCCTCGTGCGGCCCTACTGGTTGCCCGTCAGCCTCGCACGTACCGTTACCTTCCAGCACGTGGCGGCGCCGTCGTCAGCGGCATCGTGCCTCTCTCTTGCCGCGGGGCCGCACCGCTTGCCAGGGCAGCGCCGAGGCCGCTGTCGCCGCGATCGCCGAGTGAGTCCGCACCGTCCGTCGCGCGCGTTCGCAGGTCGGTCCGTTCAACAACCCCCAGGAGACGTACAACTACTACTCTCTCCCCTTCTGCCACAACTGGAGCGAGAAGAAGCTGCGCCGCAAGTGGGCCGGCATCGGCGAGGCCGTGCAGGGCAACGAGCTGATCGACTCCGGGTTCGCGATCAAGTTCAACGACGACGTCGCCAAGACCAGCCTGTGCGAGGTGGACCTCGACGAGGCGTCCGTGCAGTCCTTCGTCCACGCCATCCGCTCGCAGTACTGGTACGAGCTCTACATCGACGACCTGCCCATGTGGGGGTTCGTCGGCGAGGCCGTCATGGGCGGCCTGGAGGACGCGGCGCCCCCCGCGGCGGGCGGCGAGGGCGGACACCCCCCGGAGGAGTTGGTGTTTTACGTCTACACGCACCAGTCGTTCGCGGTGGGCGTCAACGGGGAGCGCATCGTGGAGGTGAACCTGACGGCGAGCGACCCGCAGGAGCTGCGCGTCGGCGGGAAGCTCGCGTTCCACTACTCCGTGGAGTGGCACCCGTCGGAGGTGCCGTTTGACATGCGGTACGACAGGTACCTCGACAACCGGTTCTTCGAACACAACATCCACTGGTTCTCGCTGTTCAACTCCTTCATGATGGTCATCTTCCTCATCGGCATCGTCGCGCTCATCCTCCTCCGGACCCTCCGCAAGTACGCCCCCCCCCACACAGCACACACACGCGCGCGCCGCCCCGCGCCGCCGCCGAACGCCCCCGCACCGCCGCGTCTGCAGGGACATCTCCCGGTACGCCGCGAGCATGGACGTGGAGGCCGTGGAGCGCGACCTCGCGGACGAGTTCGGCTGGAAGATGGTGCACGGCGACGTGTTCCGCCCGGCGCACAGCCAGGAGCTGCTGTGCGCGCTGGTCGGCACGGGCATCCAGCTCGCGGCGCTGGTGCTCGTGGTGGTCGCCATCGCCATCATGCGCGACCTGCACGAGAGCCGCGGCGCGATTCTGTCGACCTTCATCGCGCTGTACTCGTTCTCGTCGCTGGTGGGCGGGTACGTGTCGGGCTCGCTGTACGCGCGGCGGGAGGGGCAGCGGTGGATCCGGACGATGGTTCTGACCTCGGTGTTCTTCCCCGGGGTCGTGTTCGGCGTCGCGTTCTGCATCAACGTGGTCGCGCTCTTCTACGGGTCGCTCGCGGCCGCGTCGCCGGGCACCGTGGCGCTGATCGTGGCGATGTGGGCGTTGATCAGCTTCCCGATGACGCTGATCGGGACGGTCACCGGCCGGCACTGGAACGGCGCGCCGGACAACCCCTGCCGCGTCAAGCGCATCCCCTCCCCCGTCCCCATGCGCGCGTGGTACCTCCGGCCGCTCCCGCTCGCGCTCGCGGGCGGCGTCCTCCCGTTCGGGTCGATCTTCATCGAGATGTACTTCGTGTTCACGTCGTTCTGGAACTACAAGGTCTACTACGTCTACGGCTTCATGCTCGTGGTGCTGCTGATCCTGATCGTCGTGCAGGCGTGCTGCTCGGTCGTCGGCACGTACCTCCTGCTCAACGCGGAGGACCACCGCTGGCAGTGGGCGTCGTTCGGAACCGGGTTCTCCACCTCGCTGTACGTGTTCCTGTACAGCGTGCACTACTTCATGCACAAAACGGCCATGTCCGGGCTCTTCCAGACGACCTTCTACTTCGGGACGCAGCTCATGCTCTGCCTCGGCCTCGGGCTGACCTGCGGCGCCGTCGGCCACATCGCGGCCAACGCGTTTGTGCGCCGCATCTACCGGTCAGTCAAGTGCGACTGACCCCCCCCGACACCTCTACCTAGACTAGCTCGTTCGAGGGCGCGGCGAGCCATAGCTGTAACCCTCCCATCACTCGAAACGCACGCCGCAGCGCAGTCGCCGACAAACTCGCACAGAGATGAGTTGATCACAGCCGCGCCCCGTCCGGCGCGCCCGCCCCCCGCGCCGGTCACTGCTGCGGCCCGGCGGCGAGCGCGGCGAGCCTCGGGTCCGCGCGGAGCTTCTGGTCGAGTTCGTAGAACTTGAGGAGCGCCTCCTCCTGGTGGCGCTTGAGGCGCTGCTCGAGGATGTGCAGCCGGAACATGCTCTCCTCGACGTTGTGCTCGTACTCCTCCTCCTCCTCGCGCGTCATCTGGTCGCGGTCGCGCTGGAAGTTGGCCTGCTTCTTCTGCAGTGCGGCCTTCTCCTCCTCGATGCGGCTCTTGATGATGGCCTCGCGCGCCAGGAGCCGCTCCGTGAGCGCCTTCATCACCTTGCTGCGCACGTCCTTGGCCTCGTCGACCGACAGCGGCCTCCGCGGCCCGATGACCGCGGGCAGGTAGGGCGCCAGGTAGTCGTACAGGGCCTGCTCCTCGTCGACCACCTCCGAGTCCGAGTCCTCGCGGAGCTCCCGGATGATGTCGAAGTAGGGAGTGACGAGCACCATGACCTGCTCCTCGCGCACGCGGTTGAGCAGCAGCTCGCGCACGTCGGCCTCCATGTCGCGGATGGACTGCACCGTCTCGCGCTCGGCCTGCACGAGCGCCTGGTACTCCTCGAGGAGCTCGCTGTCCGTCGGCGTGCGCACGAGCGGGTCCACCTGCGTCACGTGCGACGTGTCGCGCGTGAACAGCTTGGCGCCGCGCGTGATGCGCCCCTCGCCGTAGTGGTACTGCAGCGTGATCTCGTCCTCGGTGAGGCGGAAGCGCCGCTTGGCCACGTCCTCGTCGGCGTCGCGCGCGGGGTTCCGGCGGAAGCGCTCCGTGACCTTGGCGATGGGCTGCATGTACTCCGTCTTGATGAGCCCGCTGGCCGACTGCTTCTCGTTCTCCATGCGGTGGATGACCTGCTGCGGCGTGACGCGCACGTACGTCACGGACCGGAACTCCAGGAAGTCGTCGCGCCCCGTGAACCACTCCGTCGTCTTGATGCGCGGGATCATCGCCGTGGGCTCGAGCCAGTTCTTGAACGCGTAGTCCGTCTCGGAGAACTCCTCCAGCCGGCGGCACAGGCCGTCGAGGCGCGCGGCGGGGTAGAACAGCGTCTCGCGCATCTTCCCGCGCACGCTGCAGATCGACTTGACGCCAAACGCCGACCCCTCGTCAAAGTGCTCGACCGTCTTGTGCTCGCTCGGGTATAGCCGGCGCTCGCGCAGGGCGTCCTTGCGGCGCCGGAAGAGCTCCCACTGCTCGTCGACGGTCGTCGCGGCCTCGTTCTCGTACACCGTCACGCGCTCCACCATGCCGTCCCACCGCGCACACTCGCCGAAGTACGCGAAGATCTCCTGCTTGCACTCCTTGTACATCATCGTCTTCACGCCGCGCGGGCACCGCGTGTCGAACGCCTCGCGCGGGATCCGCAGCCGCGGCACCCAGCTGGGGGGCATGTCGGCCGCGCCTCGCTGCACAGGCTTGTCGCCCGCCGCCGCCTGCCCGCCCTTCTCCTTCTCGGCCGTGTTCGGGGCGCCCGGACGCGACACCGCCGCGCTGTCGGGCCGCGGGGTCGCCGTGGGCTCCGCCGCCGCCGCGGGCTGCGCATCCGCCCACTGCGCCGGGTCCAGCACGGGCGCCTGCTGGTCCGCGGGCTGGAAGAGGCGCTCCCACTGCGCGGGGTTGCTCAGGTCGAGGCGCAGCGTGCGCGGGTCGGCGCGCGAGTCCGAGTGCGGCTGCGGCATCTGCATGCACACCCAGAAGTTGCGGTGGTTGAACACCGCCTCCACGCCCGTGTACGGCGCCCGGCGCAGCGGGTACATCTCGCCCGTGGACGGCTCGACGTACAGCGGCGTCGTGACGTCGCGGCTGCCCGGGAGCACCAGCACCCACGCGTGCACGCGGCGCCCGCAGTGCGGGTCGTCCAGGTCCGTGATGTCGCCTATGCGCGCGGAGAAGAACCCGGCGCGCATCCCGTGGATCTTCACCGTGCCCTTCAGCGCGCCCGTGTCCCCCAGCTGCCGCGTCGGGCTGTCGGGCTGCTGCGCCTCGTCCTCGCCGTCCTCCTCCCCCTCCTCCCCGGCCGCCTCCTCCGCCGCGGGCGGGGGGGGCGCCTGCGCCGCCGCCAGCACGTCGTTCTGCCGCTGCGTCGCCGTCTGCTTCCTGTCCGCCTGCGCCTGCTGCTGCAGGTACTTCTGGTACTTGGACGTCAGGTCGGCGGCCTCGCGCAGCTTGTACTTCTCCTTGGTCCCGGGGGCGTCCAGCGTGTCGCCCGCCGCGATGTCCATGTCCTCCTCCGCGCCCTCCTCGCCCGCATCCGCGCCGCCCTCGCCGCCCTCGCCCTCGTCGCCCTGCTGCGCGCCGCCGTCGGCGCTCTCCTCCTCGTCGCCGTCCTCCTCCTCGCCCCCGCTGCCGCTCTCCTCGCCGCCGGCGCCCTCGCGCGCCGCGTCCTCCTTCGCGGGCGCGGGTGCCTCCGGCGCGGCCGCCTGCAGGCCCTCGGCCTCGCTCTTCGCGGGGGCCGGCGGCACGTCCGTGGACGGCATCTCGCGGATGGCGCCCTTCCGCCCGCTGCGGTCGGCCTCGACGAGCGGGCACTCCGTCTCGGTGAGGTCGTACAGGCAGACCTTGCGCGGGGCGTACCCGACGACGACGTACGCGTCGTACCCCACGCCCAGGAGGAGGGAGGCGAGCAGCATCGACATGTCGAACGAGTCCCCCGCCTGCCAGTTGATGACCGAGGTGGGCGAGGGGAGGTACGCGGGGTACTGCACGGGGTTCTCGAGCGGCTCGTACTTGATGAACTCCGACACGAAGTGCGCGCAGCTGGGCAGGTTGTACAGCTCCGAGTAGGCCAGCTTCGAGGGGCGCAGCGTGGTGCACACGAGCTTGTGCACGCCGAGCTCGTTGCGCGGCGTGAGGAAGAGCGGGCGGCGCCGCGGGTAGATCTCCCCGAAGAGCCGCTGGAAGGACCCGCAGTAGTCGAGCATCTTGAGCTCCTTGACCGTGTGGCTGCTGAACGACTGCGGGAGCGTGCTCCGGAGCGCCTGCTTGGTGTGCGTGACGCGCGAGGTCTTCTGGTTCTCGTCGGGGGCGTCCGAGCCCACCTCGCGCTCGGGCAGGTTCCCGAGCGCGGTCAGCTTGAAGCAGTTGTACCACGACTCCTCCTCGACGCCCTCGTCCTCGCCGCGGCCGCCGACCTGGAGCATCGCGAGGTGGCCGTCGCCGAAGAAGGCCATGCGGTGCATCCGCGGGCTCACGTCCGGGTCCATCTCGACCCACACGGGCGGGTACTTGACCAGGTGCTCCTGGCTGATGTCCTCGGGCACCAGCATCTTGAACATCTGCGCGCACTGCCCGCCCAGGGCGTCGTACCCGCCGAACGTCAGGATGTGCCCCTCGTGGAAGAAGACCTCGTGGCGGTACCGCGGCGGGTGCGGCTTCCCCGCCGTCTCCACCATGGTCCACGACAGCGTGGCAAAGTCAAACACGTACAGGTCGTCGAGGACGAAGTTCGACTTCCCGCCGTGCACCCAGAGGCGGTTGTTCGCGACGCAGATCCCCGCGGACTGCCGCGGCGAGGGCACGGACCCGGACGTGGCCGGCTGCGACCACGTCAGCGTGGCCAGGTCCAGGAGGTGCAGGTCGTTGTAGCGCACGCCCGTGCCGCGCCCGCCGAACACGACGATGCTGTTCGTCTCCGGCACGAAGCGCGCGGACGCGTTCTCGCGCGCGCCCGGGTAGTTGCCCTCGCACTGCTGCTTCTCCCACACGAAGGTGCTCAGGTCAATCCACGACACGTCGTTCACCTTGCGCCCCTTGTCGTTGCGGCCCCCGAAGATCACCAGCCGGTTCGCGATCGAGTCGTACACCATCGAGTGCCCGTCGCGCGGCGCGGGCGGGTCCCCCTGCGTCACGATGCGGTTGAAGCTCAGCGTCTCCATGTTGAGGTGGAACAGGTGGCTCGTCTTCAGGCCCGACTTGAGCTCCTGCCCGCCAAACACCATCAGCGCCGACCCCGTGTGCACGTGCGCCGCGCCCGACATCACGAAGCACCGGTTCTCCGTCGCCCCGAACGGGTCCTGCCGCGCGGCCTCCTCCAGCGCCAGGCGCTCCCGCCGCGTGTAGGCCCGCCCGCGCCGCGCCGTCGACTGCTCGTTGATCTTGAGCATGTACTCGAGGTACACGCCGACCTGCTTCGCGACGGGCTTCATGCGCGTGACCTCCTCCTGCCGCTCGCGCTCCTCCTCGGACCGCAGGAAGGCGAGGAAGCGCGTGACGCCCTGCAGGTGGGCCTCCAGGGCGCGCTCGGGCAGGTTGTTGAACTTGACCTCGAAGTCCTGGATGCTCGTGATGTGGCCCATGCCCGGGGGGATGCGCGTGATGTGGTTGTTCGCGAGGTCGACCTTGGTCAGCCGCGTGAGCGCGGCCATCGACTCGGGGAGCTGCGAGAGGTTGTTCGTGGAGAGGATCAGGCGCTCCAGGTTCACCAGCTCGCCGAAGTCCGTCGGGAGGGACTCCAGGCGGTTGTCGCCCGCATTGAGGAACTGCAGGTTGATCAGGTCGCAGAAGGACTGCGGGAGCGACTGCAGCTGGTTGCCAGACAGGTCCAGCTCCTTGAGCGCCCGCAACTGGCCGATGTTCTCGTTCAGGTCCGTCAGCTGGTTGCCCGTCAGGCTCAGCACCTGCGCGGGGCAGCGGGGCGGGCGACCGGCGGTCGCGCGCCGCACCGCCGGCGCGGGTGCGGGGCGGCGAGGCGCTGCGAGCATGCGGGCGGGGCGGTGCTGCCGGGGCGCCGCGGGGGCGCGGACGGACCTGCAGGCGCCCGAGCTGGCAGACTACATCTGGCAGCTTCGGCAGGGAGTTGAAGTTGATGCGCAGGACGCGCAGGGTGCGCAGTTCGGTGAGGTTCTCAGGCAGCGAGACCAGGCGATTGCTCGACAGGTCGAACTCCTGCAGCTGCAGCACCGAGCGCTTGATCTTCTCGATGGCATACGCCGGGAGCTCCAGCAGGGCCGCACCGCTGCGCACGACGGGGACGGGGGCGCCGAGCGTGAGCGCGACAGCAGCTGGCGGAGCACACAGGGGCGCCGGGCGCGCGGTGCGCGCAGCAACGCCTCGGCAGGCGCGTCCGCGACCGTCTCCCTGCCCGCGCGGTCCGCGCGCGCGGGTCCGCAGCGCGCGCTGGCGCTGGCGCAGCCGCGCAGGGGGCATGCAGGCGCGGCGCTGCTCCGAAGCATGCAGGGCGGCTCCGTGCCGTGCTCCGGGGCGCGACCGCGCGGCCGGACGCAGCGCGGGGCGACGCATGGTAGGAGGTGGCGGGGCGGGTCGATTGGCGGCCTGGCACGCGGCGCCCGGGCCGTGCGGGCGCTGGCGAGGCGCAGGGGGAGCTGTGCGGGCTGGGGTGCGCTCGGGACGGCCCCGCGCGGCCCGCGAGCAGGCGCGCGGGGAGGGGCGGGGCCTCCGTTGCTGCGGGGACCGAGCGAGGTCCGTCCGCGCGCAAGGCGCGCATGGTTCGCGCGCCGGCAGCTCCGCCATGAGGGGCCGAGCGCTCAGGAACGGACGTGGCGGCGCGTCTGGTCGCGCGACGTCGCTGGTCGATGCGTTGCGGCGCGAGTTCGATATGTTCCGTCGAGTTCCGCCGGCTGCGGGCGCACCTCAGGGAGAACTGAGCCTTGCCGAACCCCTTTGCTGTGTCCAGCTTCCCTGCGAGGATCTCGTGGAAGTTCGCCATGGTTATTCCATCCTCATCCCCCCCCGCGCCATCTCTCAGCGCCCGTGCATGCCCTGGGCGCCCGCAATGGCGCCGGAGACGCGCCCGCGGCCGCGCGTGGGGTGTGTGCAGTGGACCGGACGTCAGGCCCAGCGCGCGACGCCGGACGCCCCCGTGCCGCGGTGCCCTGTAGCGGCGCTCGCGGCCGTGCCCAGCACTTGCTTTCCGCGCTGAAAGAGCTTCGAATAGGTTCGCGAACGGCCAGCGCAGAGGCCCACATCTTCCCGCGACCGGACGAATTCCAGCGGCGCAGCGCTCCCCCGGCCGATCGAAATCGATAGTTTCGGATCTCTGCGACCAGCTGGCGTGTCTCCGCCGTCAGATCAGCCCCGCACGCACCCGCAACGTCCCGCGAGAGAGGCCCAGCCTTCATGTGCCCCCCCTGCGAGTTGACGCCGCCGCGATGAGGGCCGCCGGCTCCAAATAGGCCTCCCCGCAGAACCCCTGGCAACTGGCCGTCCTGCTGCGGCGCGCACGAGCGGCCAGCGCCGCGCGCGGCCCCGCAGCGATGGCGCGCCCGCCTGCCCTGGCGTGGGCCTCGGCGCTCCTGGCGCTGGTGGCGCTCGCGGCCGGCGCCCCCGTGTTCATGGTGCCTGCGCCGTGCACGAACGGCGTGCTGGACGCGGGCGAGAGCGGGGTGGACTGCGGGGGCGGCTGTCCGCGGTGCAGGCCATATGTCACGGCCGATGCGGTCTTGACCGGCGTGGAGCCGCTGGAGCTCGCGAGGGACGCCGCGCGGCGGAGCGCGGTGGAGGAGGCGTTCGCGGCGGCGATAGGGAGCACGCCCGGGTGCAGCGCGACGGCGGTGCTGCTGCGCGCGGAGCCGGGACCCTCTGCGGGACCTGGGGGCAGCTCGCTGGTGCGGGTGCGGGCCTTGTGCGCCGACATGGATAGCGCGCAGGCCGTGCATATGGCGCTGCAGGGCGCCGCCGATGAGGAGGCGCGTTTTTCGGCGGAGCTGGCGCCCTCGGGGCTGGGCATCAGCACTGGCTCGCTGGCAGTGGTTGGAGAGGGCGCGACGGACCCGGGACCGGGCCTGGTGGTCGTTGCGAGGCAGGGCGAGAGCTTCTTCAAGACCACGAACGGTACGCATTGCACACCCGCGCCCAGCAAGCACCCTCTACGCTGGTTTACTCGCGGACTCCCTCACAGGAGAATGCCGCTCTTGCGTCGTAACGGCGCACCGTTCGCCAGGCCGCGCCGTGACTTGGTGGAGACGCTATCGTGCGCGATACCTGACTCGTCCGCGTCGGCCTGCGACGCGCTCCCTGCAGAGATAATCGTGCTCGTTCTGTGCACCGTCGGCGGGGGCTTGTCGCTGCCGATGATCAGCCTGGCGCTGATCATGTGGAACTTCACGCACCGCCTGAGGAAAGCCTCGCGCCTCAATGCGCGCCGCATGGGCGTGCACATCCGGGAGAGCCAGGTGCAGGACGAGGCCCGCCGGCAGGTCAGCCTGCTCCGCGAAAAGTCCATGGCGCGCAAGAAGGACCTGAAGGCGATGCGGACGCTCCACAGGAAGAAGCCGTCGCACGAGCGGATCCGGTGCGCCGCGCGCCCCGCGCGCCCGCGTGGAGCGAGGGGTGCCTACGCTCGCGCCCCGCCTCGCTCACCGCGCTGTCTTGTGCCCGCCCGCGTCGGTGCAGGGAAGTGCCGAGCAAGACGGACACGGGCGTGGGGAGCCGGGAGGCGTCTCGCCGCCCCGACCGGCGGGTGCAAAGCGGGCGCGTGTCGTTCGAGGACCTGGAGGTCGGGCCGCACGTGCGCGCCGCGGACTTCCCGTCGCCGGTCCCGGAGGACAGCCCGGAGGGGCGGCTGGGGAGGGGTTTCGGGGCTCCCAACAGCTCGCACCGACGCCCGCCGCTGCTGCGGCGCAGCACGGTGCGTCCTCCGCCCACGTGGACGTGGCGTCGCTGCGCTGCGCCGGCGCAGGCCGCGGACGCAGTCTGCTTGCGTGCGGCACGATCGAGCCGGGGCCCGAGCTGCACGCGTGCTCGCGGCGTGCTTGCAGGCGGGGGGAGAGGGGGCAATGCGCGCCGGGCTGTCAGGGCATCGGCAGCTGAGGGCCGCCGCGACGATGGCTGTGGGAAGGGCATCGCTGGAGCGGTCCCTAGGTGGGCGGCCGAGGAGCGCCCACGGCATCTTCCCGGTCACGAGCGGTACGCGCCAGCGACGTGTTCAGCACGCACCCCCCTGGTCGCACCGCGTCCGTCCTGCCTGCGAACCCACTTCGCGGCGCACCGTGGACGAGACAACGACGACGTGCGAACCCACGGGGGCTTTTTCTGTATTCGTACGCGCGTGCAGGCCAGAGCAAGCGCGACGGGAGCTTTCCGCACGAGGACCCCGCAGGCGATGTTGGCGGCGGCCAGGGCGACAGCGGCGAGGGCGGCGAGGTCGAGGGGTCGTTGCCGAAAAGGGGCCGCCGTCAGAACAAGATTGCGCCAGCGATGTATTGAACATGCAGTGTGACAAACGTGTCACACCGGAGGTCACGATAACCAAGGAAGGGGTGGCCGAGCAACGACGCGGTGTAGCATAACATGTTATTCGATGCATCGCGGCGGCGCGACGACCGCGGAACCGGACAATGACGGAGTGCGTCGTAAGAAACGTGCGTGGAGTGTCGCCGATAATGCCAGGAGTGCCGAGAGATTCCTGAATCAGTGCCCCCTTGACCAGGCTGGTAGAACACATGCCACAGAAGACGTCCGCGCCGCTCCTAGGCCACTTCTGCCGGCGGCGGCGCGGCCGCATGCCTCGACGAGCTCAAGTCGCTCACATACTGCTGCTTCAGGAAGTTCAGGCACGATGAGGTCGTCGTGTATGGCTGTCTTCGTTGGCCTGCTGTTGGTCTTCGCCCTGCTGCTCGGCGATGCCGGTGAGCGCGTCACGACGCAATCTCCAATCATTCACGATTTTTTCCTTCCAGGTCGTCGGGCGTGCGGGATCGAAACGGTCGCCGAGCGCTGTCAATGATCCTCAACTACTTTTTTTTTGCAGTCGAGGCTCGTCACCTGCACCAGACCAGCGCTGTCGCGACTGGCACTTCCACGGCCGAAGGACGTGGCAGCACGGCCAGCACGGGAGCGAGGGCGACCGGCCGTTCCGGAGGCACAGCTGGTGAGGCTGTTGAGCTGGCACCAGCAGTGCCACGTCCCCGCGCACTTCCCACGCCGTTTCCGCGCTCGCGTCACGATCACACGCAAGCACTCACTTATGGCATGCAAGCTGCACCCCCACCGCCCTCCCACCGCCCACGTCGCGCCACCGCGAGCTCCGTGTGACCGCAACGCGCCCGAGCGCTCGCAGTCGCGATCGGTGACAGCGCGGCGAGGGACGGGGGCACCGCCGTCTCCGACGCCGACGCACTCGCGGAAACCGGAGGTACCGCCGTCGCGGACGTCCTCAGTGAGGCCGAGGGGGAGGGCGCCACGGCCATTGGCACCGGCGAGGCCACCGCCACCGAAGGAGGGACCGCCGTCACCACGGTGACGGCCATCGCCCTCAAGGTCAGTCCCGCCCGGATGTCCGCCGACGCGCGCGGCGGAACCACCGAGGCGGTGGCCCCTTCTCAAGCCCCCGCCAGCGTGTCTGTGTGCCGCAGGAGGTCACGCCGTTCGTCCGCCGGGTCTGCCCGCGCCGCGCAGCCTCTCACGCCGTCACGGCCATCGCCACTGGCGCCGCGACCGCCTCCGAGGGCGGCGTCGCCACCACCGACTCCACCGCCATCGCCGAGGTGCGATTCGAACGCCGTGACTGCGTCGCGCGCCCGTCCAGCGCCGCGCGCATGCCGTGCAGACAGTCCTCGCCATCGCCGCCGTTGAGCGCAGGAGCTCGTCGACACGTGCGGCCTCCCGCGGTGCGACTGCTGCCCGTGCGCTGGCATTCCGCTGGTGCCGGGTGCGCTCGACCTCGGACTGGCGTGCTTCGCGCCGCAGCCCAGGGTCTTCTGCCACTGCTTCTGAGCTCGTTGGTGGGCGGGGCCAAAGTTGCATGATGAAGCGGCCACAGCGCAGGCTGTGCGTGCACGCGGATGCCGGGCCGAAGCGCCCCGGCGGCGTGTGACCGCCAGCGCTGGACTCGGCTCCAGCGATGCGCCCACGCGCACGCGTCCGCCATGACGCTCCTGCTCACGCCGCCACACCTCCCCCTCGGTTGGGTGCTGTGTGCTCTAGGTCTCTCCAGCGGGCGCTCCCTCCGTGCCCAGCGACGACGCGTCCGGTGAGTGGCCGAGCACCTCGAGCCGGCAGCTCTGCTCGGACTCCCCGAACGCCGTCATGAAGGGCGCGGCGACGAGGAGCTTCTGTAGGTCGCTCTTGTGCACTTTGATGATCCCTGCGACGTCGGAACGCGGGCACGCAGGGCGCCGGCACGGTGGGCCGGCTGCGTGCGGAGCGTGCGCCGTCGTGCAGGGCGGGCGTGCGGCGGGTGCGTGCCTTCGGGGCTGCCAGGTTGCGTGCTGTGGAGCTCGAAGGGCACCGCGCCGCCGACGACGCCGTAGACGGACTGCAGGGCGCTCGCTATCATCTCGTAGAGCGTTTCGTCCCCGACGGCGGCGTCCGGGCTGTCTGCGTCGCGGGGAGCCACGCGCAACGATGTCGGTGTGGCTGTGCCATGAGGCGCTGGCGGCTCTGGAGGGGGCGACATCTGCGTGCGCTCGCGCATCAGCCGGTGCTGAGCGTATGCACTTGCGCGCACCGTTGAAGTACGCCCGTATCCTCACGCACACATCGTGCGGGGCCAAGGAGCGTTTCAGTGCTCCGCTCCCCGCCCGCTCCATGCCCTCAGACGCGCAAGTCTGTTGCAGTTCGATGGACGGAGGCGCGTGGAAGAGTGCAATCTGCACGCGGGGATCGCTTCGCGGCGCGACTGCACCCGCTGGCGCCAGCAGGGGCCCTCACTGCGCCCACCAAGGGCACGGCCGCACGAGGCACGGGCGTGCGCGCTGTGGCGACGCGCCGATCGGTCCAGCACGTGACAGAGCGACCGAGTGCAGCTGCAACTCTGCAGCGGCGGATACAAGACACCGTTGAGGCGTTCCCTTTCCCCCGCTTCTACCACCAACGGCTGCGTCGCTGACGGGCGGGGACTCCGTCGCGGTCGCCGAAGGATGCCGCGTCGAGCACGAGGCGCGATGCAACTCCCTTCGCCGCGCACTGTGAGATCCACATGTCAGCAGCGTCGTCGGCCAGACCATGGCCCTGCGACCTTTCGGTCGCGGCAGGCTCGCGCCGCTGGGCTCTCGCGGCCACCACGAGGGCCTCGTCGCAGCGGCGCCCTGCTGCGCCAACGGAGGACGGAGACGCGTCCTCAGGCGGGCGCTTTTCTTCTTGCTGGTCGCGACGGCCTGCGTTGCGGCAGTTGCCGCGCTGCGTGGGTTGACCGGCGCGCCTCGAGGGAGCGCGGGATGCCGGACTAGCCTGTTCGGACTCGAAGCGAGATGTGACGAGCCGGAGATCGTCACGCCGCAGTGGCGGCGATCGGTCGCCCTGCTGACGGGCGGCCCGAGCAGGTGTGCAACTGTCCCCAGCCGATGCGCCGTCACGGCGCGGGACCGCCGCCTGGATCGATGCGCTCGAGCCAGGGCTGTTCACGCTCGACGCGTGCCTGCAGGGTCGCTCCGGAGCTGAGTTCGCAGGAGTTCTGGAAGCACATAGCCAAGCCCCTGCTGGCGGACAACAGCTTCGTGGGCGTGTTCACGTCGACCAAGGTCGCGGACCTGCAGCGCTGGCTGGCCTGGAGGACGATGATGCTGGACCGAATGCGTTTGGACGCGTCGGGGGGCGAGTGGGCCGGCAAGTTGATACACCAGATCAACGCCACGGCGTTTCCGGACGTGCTGCCGCTGGCGAGACCAGGGTGCAACTTCGCGTACGACGCCAAGGGCGGCGGCGTCTCGATATCGCAGCAGTACTTTCACATTCGGCGCGCCCACGACGCCGTCCTGGACTACGAGCGCCGCAACAACTTCAGGTGCGCTGCGCTCCCGCCACATCGTGCGCACGGCCGCGCGCACCCGTGAGACCGCGATCGCGGCCCCGGTGCAGGTCGTCCTTCCGCGCAGCCTCAAGCCCTCCCTCACGACAGCCCCGTGGTTCACGTCGCAGGTTCGACTTCTTCATGAGAACTCGGAATGAGTGGTTTTACTTCCAACCGTTCAACCCCCAGTGGCTCGATCGGCTCGAACCCAACCAGATAGCGCACCCGGCGTTCGAGTACCAGTCCCCGTCCAAGTCCTGGGTGTACGGGTGGGGCCCCGCGGAGGGGCGCATGCACACGCTCGTGGCCGAACAGGTGCGCCCGACGCCCACCACCGCGCGACCCGCACCGCTCACTCTCCATCGCCCGCGGTCCTGTCGGGGACTTCACGACCGCCTCGGCCCTCGCGCCGCCCGCTCCGCAGATCCTCATCTCTCGCCGCGACCCGATGGAGCACTTTGTGCGGATGTTCGACTCGTGGTTCGACGAGTGCCCGTACAACGCGACGGACCTGCACGCCTCGGACGGCATCGTGTTCATCGAGCACTTCGTCGCCATCCACTTGTACCGCGGGAACTTCCAGGCATGCGCCTTCCCGTTTGCGTTCGACAAGATCGGCGACCCGCACCACCTCGGGGTGCTGCCGTTCGACTGTGCGCAAGCCCGCAACTACGGCGCGTGCTGCTGGCATCCCGACGGCGAGGGCGACGGTGTCGTGGACTTCGCCGGCAGCGTGCAATCTACAGGGTTTTCAAGCTCGCGATTTTCGGCGCTCGACGTGCCGTTCGACGAAGAATCACTCAGACAGTGACCGCTCCGCCCGCCGCTAGTCCAACCAACCGAACCAAACCAGTGGCAACCAACGCACCGCCAACCATCTGATGACTGATCAGATGCCAAGACGTGTCGAGCCCGCCCTCGGGCTCCACTGCATTGTAATACCGAGATGCGGAGATCAAGCTGCCCGGGATCGACGTCCGCAATGCGTTCCGGCTGCGCTCGTGCGTCGATTTTGCTTCCGTCGGACTGACGTGGCAGGACTGCGATGCGCGCTCACGTCGCTGCCGTCGCGAAGGGCGCCGACGCGCGCGGGATCACGGCACACAGCTGGGGCGCCTGATCCTGAGCAGTGCCGTTTCGGCAGCCTCTGACGTCGACCATCCTCGATAGCGTCCAGGAGACCGCATGAAGCGTGGTTGTTGAGAACCAGCACTCTCGCGCGACGCGACGCCGCGCGGCCTCCTGCTCCGGGTCCGAAGCGCCCGGACCTCGTTGTCTCGGTCAGTTGTGCAGAGAGCGGGCTCAGATGGACCTCGCATCCGCCGCAGCAGGCCCGTCCGGGGTCGAGCAGCTTCCGAGCGCAGCTGGTCAGGCTCTCCCTTTCGCGGCGGACGAAGGCGACCAGGATCACTATTTCGTACTCGAGCAACTTGCCAACTACCTTGAGGATGAGGACGCGCGCAGCAAGTCGGCACGGGTCGAGCGTGCTCTCAACACGGACGCGACGACCAGTCCGCCCTCTACTCCTGGCGCGAGGCCGGCGCGCCCCAGCCCGCGCAGGCGCCGGCGCTGCAAGCGCTGCACGGACACGAAGATATGCATCCACTGCGCGTGCTCCTCACGCTCCCGCGACCCCTCCAAGGACCTCGGAATCCTGGCCCGGGCAGCGCTGCAACGCCGCCAGGGATGGTCCGAGAAGGAGGCTTCCGCCGTCAGGGGCGTCCTGCAGCTCGAGAGGCAGCACCTTTCAGACGCTCGTATCGCTCAGGACGAGGCTGCGCGAGCACTGCGGGCCGCAGAGCGTCGCATTCAGGAGCTGGAGCTCACTCTGCAACATCGAACAGGTGAGTTCGCACATGGCCGCGTCCTGGCCCGCGTCTCTCCCGCGCTGTCCGGAGAAGTCGCTGGCGCAGGCAGGCACTCCCCGCTGCCCGCGCTCGCCGTCACTGCGGCCCGTTGCCCCGTCGCCTGCAGCGCAACTCGGCGAGGCGAACGCGAGGATCGACGTCCTCGAGACCCAGGTCCGCGCGTCCTCGAAGCAGTCCCGCGAGGAGGCCGCGATCGGTTTGTCGACCGCGGGCGCGCTGCAGCAGGAGGTGGCGGTGCTGCACAAGCGCCTCCGCAGCGCGCAGGAGGACGCGGAGCGCGAGCACGAGGCCACGAAGGAGGCCGCGCTGCGCGAGCGCGCGGCGCTGGCCCGCGTCGCGAAGATGGAGGCGGCGGTGGCGGAGGCCAAGGGCCGCGCCAGCCGCGCAACGGAGGAGGCACGGCAGAGCCGGCAGGACGCGGACAGGTGCGCGTGGAACGCGGCGGACGCTGCGTGCCCTCGTACATCGTGCCGTGCGGTGTCGTCGGGCTGGAGATCTAACGGAACCACCCGGGAGGGGTTTTGTTGCCTGTGGAGTCTCTTGTTCGCGAGGATTTTGTAAGACTGTGGATCGGGCGCGTGCTCCCGGCCCACGTCCGGCTTGTCTTCGATGTGGTGCAGCTGGAAGCGGGCGGCGGAGAAGGCGGCGTCGGTGGCGGAGCGCGCGGAGGCGTCTCTGTCGGCGCGCGACTCCCAGGTGGCGTGCAGCGAGCGCGGGGCGTACGAGCTACGCCGGCAGCTCGACGCCGCGCTGGAGGTCGCGGAACGGTGCCGCGGGGAGCGCGACGACGCCCGCGCGCGCCTGGCGCGTGCAGAGGCGGAGCTGAGTGACGTACAGGCTGCGCTGGACGCTCGGGGGGGAGGGGGGTGTTGCGGCGAGCGCGGGGTCGCTGCGCAGGTCGCGGACGTCGACCCTGAGGCCGCTGCGCTGCTCGCGCGGCACGAGACCGCCGTCCAGTCGGCGGAACGGATGTGCGCACAGGTCAACGCCCCCGGGGGCGTCGCAGGATTCCACCCGGGCGCGCCGGCCGCCCCCCGACGCGAGCAGCCGCCGTACGGGGTCGCTGCAGCCCCGCTGTCCGACGCCGCGAGGGGGTTCTCCGCGGGGGGGGGGGGTGGCCCTGAGACTTGCGTGCTGGAGCTGGCCAAGCTGACGGACTCGGAGCGCGCGGAGGTGATGCAGGCGCAGCTGGACAGCCTGCGGCGGCAGAACGCAGTGCTGCGCAGGAAGCTCGCGTTCGCGCGGGACGACGCGCAGGTGTTCTCGGCCGAGGCGGACGGGCTGCGGCAGCAGGTGGTGGGCCTCGAGCAGGCGTTCGGCGAGGTCGCGGGGGTCGCGCAGGCGCGGGCGGGCGCGGGGAGCACCTCGGCGCCGTCCGCGTCGCTCACGTCGAGCGAGGGCGAGCGGGCGGAGCAGGAGGAGCCGTCAGCGGAGGCGGAGCTGCGGGCGCAGCTCGCGCAGCTGCGGCAGCAGCAGGGCATGCTCGCGCGGCTGCTTGCAACGCAGCCCGGAGCAGCAGCGTTCGAGCAGCCCGACTTGTGACGGCGACGACGCGACGGGGGGGAGTGTACACACATGTCAGCGCCGCCAGCCCAGGGGGTTGAGCGCCCCAGCGACGCTCCCGACCGTGCCGCCGACCCACCCCGCTGCTGCCGTCGCACTCCCCACCCAGCCCCCTCCGCCGCTGTTGCCCGCGCCCTCTTGCGCACCCGCGTCGCCCCCGCTCAGCGCCTTGACCTGCCACGCCAGCTCCCTCTCGCGCCGCTCCGCGTCCGCGGCCCGCGCCTCCGCGGCCGCCAGCGCCTGCGCACTGCTGTGCGTGGCATGCCCGGCCCCGCCCGGCTCCGCCCCGTCGTCGTGTCCGGGGCCTCCTTCTGGGACGTGCACCCCCTCGGGGCCCACGTCGACGCCGCGCCGGTCCGCCAGCTCCGCCATCCGCATCGTCAGCGCTATCTTCGCCTCCTCGGCTGCGGCGCACCGCGCGCGGAGCTCCTCGACCTCCGCCTGCAGGCTGCTCTGCGCCGCCTCTGCCGCACTCACGCGTTCTGCAACACGACACGCAACGGCCCGCGCTCGTCAGACATGCGCTCCCGCACGGCAATGCAGCACACCTGCGACGTGGAACCCTGGGAGGCATCGCACCGCTCCACTGCGTTGCGTCGTCGCGCAAGGCCGACGCCACGGCATCCCGCGCGTTGGCCGCGTGCTGCTCCGCCGCCGCCTCCGCCGCGGCCCGCGCGTCCCGCTCCGCCTCGAGGTCCGCCTTCATCGCCGCGACGGCCCCCTCCAGCGCCCCTTCCCTCTCCTGCAGCGCCGCCACGCGGCCCTGCAGCTCCTTGCACGCAGCGTTGGCCTGCTCCAGCCGCTGCGCGAGCGCGTCGCGCTCCTGCATCGCGTCGTCGATGCTCGCCTGCAGCGCCGCGGTGCGGCGCTTCGCCGCCGTCGCGCCGTCGCGCGCCTCGCGCAGCTCCGCCTCCAGCTCGTCCACGCGCGCCGTCAGTGCCGCCACGCGCTCCTGGAACGTGGCCTGCACGTGCGCGAACTTCTTCTGCTTGTCCGCGCCCTGCCGCTCCAGCTCCTTCTCGCGCCGCTGGTGCTGCGACGCCTCCCACTCCAGCTCCTCCTTGGCCGCCCGGAGCGTCGCGGCCTCCTCCAGCGCCGCCGTCAACCGCCCCTGCAGGACCGACGCGCCCGCCGTGCTGGCCCGCGCCTCCGCCAGCGCGTCCTCCGCCTCCCGCCGCGCCGCCTCCGCCTCCTCCGCCCGCGCCGTCGCGCCCGTCAGCTCCTCGCGCAGCCGCCGCACTGTCGCCTCCGCCACCTGCTGACCCTCCGCGTACCCCGAACGCCGCTCCTCGCGCCCCACCTCCGCCGCGACCTCAGCGCGCGTGCGCTCGAGCTGCGCGTGCAGCTCGTCCGCGCCGGCCGCCAGCCGCGCCTCCAGCCCGCGGACCACGCCCTCCAGGTCGCGCACGCGCGTCGCCTCCGCCTCCGCGGTGCGCTCCGCGGCCGCGCGGGCCTCCGCGGCGTCCTGGGCCTGCGTCCTGAGACGCGCACACTCGCTCCGGAGCTCGTCCGCGTCGCGCCGGTGCGCCGCGGCCTCCGCCTCGAGGTCTGCCGCGCGCTCCTGCGCCTCTGCGCACACGCGGCGGGGAGAGCCGCACGCGTCGGGACTCGATCGCCGCGACAGAGCAACACAGACGAGCCTGTTCTGTTGGCAAGCTGCGGAACAGGTCTAACACCAGCGCGAGGGCAACAGGGCGCGTTCAAACCGCGACCTGATGACTGTCATATCGCCATGTCGAGTCAGGACGCTCTCTGCCGCCTTGGTGCGGCGCAGGACCGTGGCCGCGCGCTCGGGCGACTGCGCCGGCTCCGTGGCGGGCAGCCTCACCTTTCAGTCGCCGCGACACCATCGCCCCCTGCGCCTGCTGGCCCTCCCGCAGTGCAAGCACCTCGCCGCGCCTGCGCTCCGCCTCCGCGCGCGCCTCCTCCAGCTCCCCGCGCAGTGCCTCGAACTCCGCGGCGCTCCGCCCCGGGCCGGCCCCCTCGGCGCCAGACCCCCCCCCGGACCCTTGCCTCAACTCCCCCTGCAACTCCTCCACCTTGGCACGCAGCCGCGCGGTCGTCGCCTGCTCCGCCGCGAGCCGCTCCTCCGCGCCGGCCGCCATCGTCGCCTGCAGCTCCAGCGTATCGACGCGCCGCTGCAGCTCGTTCCCGCGCGCCCGCGCCGCGTCCGCCGCATCCCGCGCCTCGCGCACCTGCGCCTCCGCGGCAGCGCGCTGCGTCGTCGCGGTGCGGAGGTCCGCGCGGACGCGGTCGAGCGCGGCCCACGCACCGGAGAGCTCCTGGCGCAGCGCCGCGGCCTCGCCGTCGTCGTCGCTGCTGCTGCGGCGCGCAGGCTCAGGCGGGGTTGCGGACAGGGCGCGAATCGCGCTGCGGGCCGCGCCGGGGGCCACCGCGCTCGACGCCGTGGGGCTGATGCTGTCGGGCTCGCGCGAGCCGGCTTTGCCGGTGCGCACCGCCTCGATGACGCCCATGATGGGCGCGCCTGTGCTGTCAGTGCGCGCCGGTGCCGCGCCGGTGCTGCGACGCGCGTTGGCGCCGGTGCGGTCAGCGGCGACAGGGGTGGTGGCCGCGGGGGCATCGGCACAGCGGGCGGGGCCCGCAGAGCCGTTTTCCCGACTGGTGGGGGCCTGGGAGGCACTGGTAGCCTGCTGCGGGGCGCTCGTCTCAGGAACGCCCCATCCGTCATCGCTCCAGCCGTCGTCATGTTGCGCAGGCTTCTGCTCGGCGGGTTTCTCCGCCTGCTTGGCCCCCTGCAGAACGTGGAGCGGCGAACGCGAGCCTGGAGGTTTCAACGCGCCCCGCGCGAGAGCTCGCTACGCACCGCATGCGCGCGCACAGGCTGCCCGACGCGGGCCCTGTAGGCGGAGACGTCTCACCCCGAACCAGCCGGACACCGCGGCGACGGCCTCCGCGCCGATGCCAGCGAGGTCCTCTTCAGACTCGCTGCCGTCCTCCGAGGCCACGTCTTCAAACAGGACGTTGTCCGCGGCCTTGGCGAACTTGCTGAGCCCCGTCTGCGCCTTGTCGAGCTGCTCCTTGAACCCAGCGCTCTCCATGCGCCCCTTGAGCTGCGCAGTGAGGTCTGCAAACCCTCCCTGCCCGCCCACCCAGTTCGAGCCCCACATTGCGGCAGGTGGCGCAACGAAGCTCTGACTATCCCCTCCGTCGCTTCGGAGTTCGACGCGGCGCTCTCACGGGCCGTGATGACACCGCCGGGCACGCTCGTTGCACGCTGAGCCCAGCGCAGCGATCGTCCGCGCACGATGCACTCCTCACGCCGGCAGCGACGCACGCGCGAGGTCGGGGGATGCGTCGCCACGTCTGCAGAGCGCCCCCGGGGGCTCGAGCCGAACTAGCGCCGGCCAGCTGCGGTAAAACACGCGTGCGCGCTGCTGGGGGGCGTTTTGCATCCAAGCGCGCGCTCGAGAGCCCGAGTCAGCGCGTCCGCACTGCCAATTAGGCGACAACGCGTGCTGGAACACTGCGCTCCCGCGGTCTTGGCTGCACCATCGCTGCCGGCGGCGTAGCACCGACACCTGCGCCCGAGTGCTCCCGAGGGTCTCGCACCGCCGCTGTCGAGTCAGACCGAGTTGCGCTGCGTTGGACCTCGCGTACAGGTCAAGTGGCACACAGATAGTCGGCCAGGCGGCCTTGGTGGGCCCGCTGGGCATTGCAGCGGGCGGTTGGCGCGAATGTGCAGCCCGTGAGCGGGGCGTCAGAGAGCACGTCGACTCTGGCCCTCAGTCCAGGCGACATGCAGCGGCAGGAGGCTGACGTCGATGACTGGCAGGTGGATGAGGCCGCATTCGACCAAATTGACCAGCTCATTGCGCAGCGGTTCGGGGACAAGGTCCAGGTAGGCTTCCCTGCCGCGACGCGGACACAGCCGCCGAAGTCCGGACCGCGGTGCACGACGCGTGCCTCGACGTGCTCTGCTCGAGGCGGAGAGAAACCGGCTGCGGAGCGCCCCGTTCGTGCGCGGCACCGATCTGCGCCTCCCAGCTTCGTGCACGCTCCCGTGCCGTCGCGCGGGCCACGCATCGCAGCCGCTCGGACTGCTCCGCGCGGATGTTCCCCTGTATTCGGTCCGCCCGACGCGACAATCGAAGGCGTTCGTGCGCGATTGCAGGCTCCGCAGACGTCGGCAGCGCAACCGCAGGCTCGCCCCACGCCGGGCGCGCGGCCGCAGACGGGCGCGCTGTCCTTCACGCCGTCCCACCTCGTCAACGGCGGCCACGCGCGGCCGCCCGCCCCTCGTCCGGCCCAGTACCACACGCCGCCACCTCGAATACCAAGCCATCCCCCACACAGCAGCGGGTTCCGAACCGCAGCGGCGCTCGACATGTACGACGCCCCACCCGACAGTGCGCAGCCTGCGGCGCCCCTCGGCTCCAGCCTCGACCACCCGGCTGCGCCGTGATGCTGTCGTCGAAGCTCTTGTTCCCGCACGTGCTCAAAGTCCGCTGCTTCCGCGCTCGCAGGCGTCCGGTGGCGCGGCCTCCCGCGGCGCAAGCCAGCGCCCCGCCGGCTCTTCCGATGGGCCGCGTGACGCAGATGGCGGCGGCGGCGATGCGGGCCAACGGTGCCCAGGGTCCTCCGCATGAGGTCACGCAGCTCCGGCAGACGCTGCAACAGCACGAGGGCGCGAGCCGCATGCTCAAAGATAAGGCACGGGTCGCACTGCCAGGAGGACGCTCTCCGCAGTCATCTGCGGCGTCAGAGCTCTGCGTGCGGCCATCTCTGGCGATGATGATGATGATGTCAGGGCCGCCCCCTCGCAGTGCCGGTACGTCTCGCGCGCGACAGGCGCTCAGGGCTCTCCTTTCTGTGCGCCGCGCAGGTTGCGTCGCTTGAGCGCGAGAACCACAGGCTGTTGCAACAGCTGGCGACGGCAAACGCGGCGGCCAACACCTCCGGGGGGCTGGGCCAGTCCAGCCAGGGATATGCGGGGAGCGGTTCGCAGAGCACGGTGATGGCGCTGCAGAAGCAGATAGAGCTGCTGCAGAAGCAGATCGCGTTCAAAGCCGAGGAGCAGGCGCAGGCAGCCATGGCCCACCAAGAGGTCGGAGCGCGGCTCGCGGCCGCCGAGGCGGAGACGCAGCGGCTGCGGGAGGCTCGTGACGCGGTAGAGCTGCAGAGGAAAGCCGCAGAGGTGCGTGCGCGTTCCGCGCAGAAACGCCAGGCCTTGCTGCATGCCCGCGGCCTGGGATGCGCGAAACGACGTTCGATGACCGAGCTGCTCGCGCGGCCTGCTCCTTGTGGTGCGCAGGAACAGCTGCACGTCGTGCGTCAGCAGGCCGCGCACGCCAGCGCCGCGCCCCGCAGGCAGTCGGACACTGCAAATGGGAGCCAAAGCGCGGGGTTGCAGCCGGGCGTGAGCCCGGCGCGGGCGCCTGCTGACGAGGTGCGCGCGTTCGCGGCGCCACTCGCGACGCTGCGGGCCGCGGTGGTCGCGGAAGACCCCCCCGCAGCTCTGGCAGTCGTGCGCGCAAAACACCCCGGCCTCCTCGAGGCGACGACGCCACGACGTCCACGGGCAGCGGACGACGATGTGTCGCTCGGGTCGGCGAGGACGTGGACGAGCTTTGCGGCGGTGACAGCGTTGGAGGAGAAGAATCAGGTGGTCGATGGCGCCGTGGTTGTATCTGCACGCAGCCACGCAGGGGCGCTGCTGCGATCCGTCGAGGTGCGCTGGCAGAGACTGCGATTGACTAACGCGTGCCGAGCACGTACCTGCCTGCTGGGGTCCAGCGTCTGTCAGCAAAAGTCCACTCGCGTCGTCGCCTGCCCGTGTTTTCTCCGCAGGAAGGTCGCGCACCGCTCTCCGAGGTGATGTGGCACCTCTGCCGCTGTGCAACGAATCTCGGTCGAGCGGTCCTCGCCGCGGCGCCCCCGGGCTCCGCGGAGACGCCCCTGCCGCCATCGTTGAAGGGGGCGCAGGAATTCGTCGACGCCGCCGTAGACGCGATCGCCGCGCTGCTGACGTGCTCTTCGGAGGCCGCATCAGCGATGGGCGACGCCGTGTGCGCGGGCCCCAGCGCGGCGTCGCGCAGGCGGCGTCCGCGCATGCTGGTGGATGGCGAGGCAATTCCGCGGGGTGGCGCGTCGGTGCCGAACACGCAGGCCGCGAGCTCCGCAAAGGACTTCATCCAGCTGCTCTGCGACATGATCGTCATGCCAGCTGGGCCCGTGCCTTCGCCGTCGGCGCACGCGAGCCAGCACAGCGCGCACGGTGCTGCGCAGCGCTTGGCAGACAGTCGCGTGGACGCCGTTGGGTCCGCGTTGTGCGCAGTGGCGGCGAGCGTGCCGGGCGACGAGCGCCAGCCGCTCGAGCACGTGATGACCTCGGGCGCCGCCGCGACGGTCGCGCTCCGGGCGCCACGCACGGGCTTGCGTCTCTGCACCCTCTTGCTCGGCTGCGCGGAGGTGACGGAGCGGCTTGCGAGTGGGCTGGAGCCCGCGATGGGCGACACGAGCGAGGCGTGGGCTGCTCAGGTCCCCGAGGCACTCGCGAGGGCGATCAGAGGCGCTCAGAGCTGGGACGCTGAAGCAAACATTGCACTCGGAGGCTTCTTCGCGGCTCGGCACGCGGACGCGGTGTCGCCGTCGCACGCGCACGTCCTCGGTGGCGTCCAGGAGCAGGCGCTCGCGATGGTCTCTTCCTGGCTGCTCGCGCCCGACGGCCACACGGCGTTGTTGACTGCCGCCATCGACCATCCGAACGGGATGCTGGACGCCGTGGTGACGGCGTGCGCGGCGCTGTCGTCATGCGCCTACACTCAGTACGTCGTAGACTGGCCGCTCCTGCCTGTTCCCACGCCCGCGGAGGCGGCGGCAGGCATGAGCGGCCCGGAGCTGCAAGCAGCCGCGTGTGCAGTCGGGCTGCAGGGTCTCAAGCTGCTCGTCCACGCGCTCCTCATCCTTTGGGCTGTCGTTTCCGGGCCCCGGACGGGCGAGCTCGCGACGGAGCTCCTCGGCGGCGGCTGTGCGAACGCGTCGCGGACCTTGTGTGCGCATCTCGAGCAGTTCGCGCAGTCCTTCTCGGCGAAGGGAGAACAGCGGATCAGCAGCCAGACCCCCGAGCTCGGTCGCTGGATCGGGCTGCGCACGGTCGTCGCGCCCTTTTCGGGGGCGTTGGCGAGGAGCGGGCTGGGTGCGGCGTGCCGCGGAGTGACCATGGCATCACGCGAGAGCTCCGACGGAGTGGCTGTTTGCCTGCCGATCGAGATGGAGGCCTGGGGCGGCGTACTGCAGCGCGCGTTTCTGTCGGCGACGGGGCAGGCTATGCACCCCGGCGAGGCGTGTCCAGGTCGCCTCACTGCACATGATGCCTCTGCACTGGCGCGGTGGTTGCGCGGGTGTCTCGCCGACCACCTCGACGAGTAGCGTCGGCCGCGGCGTAGTGAGACGCTTCCCGGAGACCTTGTTTGAGGATCCAGTAGCGGGCGCTATGTCACACTCCTGCGTGACTTGCAAGGAACTCACTGGAAGGCATGAGAGGGCGGGGGAGGGGGGGGAAATAAGTCGCCGTGTTCAACTGACAGAACGCGAGGGCAGGGTGCGAGGATCATGTGGTGGGCAGTGCTACGTGGCGCCCCTGTTGGGTGGGCGCTTCGCTGTCCGCATGCGCGCCCTCGTTTGTTATCATGCGCAGGACTGCGCGCGCCCTCGTGGCATGCGAGAGCCGCGCCGTCTGGGGGGGCAGTTTGCCTAGGGTCGACCTCGACAAAAGCAGGTCGACCTCGACAAAAGCAGGTTACTACACTGTGTGAACTCGGCGCAGTGAGCGCGTCTTGCAGTGCATCGCGAAGCCAGTGCCGGGAAGGGGAGGCAGCCACTGCTCGTCGGGCAGAGCGAAAATGCGACATTGCCAGAGAGGAGCATGCTCGAAAAATCATCGCAATGCTGCGGGCGTGCTCGCGTGGGCCGAAACAAAGCCGGAGCAACGTCAGACGACTAAGCAGGCAGGATGGAATACGGAAAGAGTAGGGGCGGGGAAGGGTGTCGTTGGGGTGCAGGCTAGCAGAATCACGTGCCAGTCTACGCTCTGGCTCGAAGGCGTTGACGGCGCGGACTGTGCTCGTAAGAATCAGGGAGGGGGATGCAGGGGGGGGGGGGAAGGGGGTTCAGGGTTGCGTCGAACAGGCTGGCCAGGCGCCTAGACGGGAACTTCCAGTGGCGGTCAAGCATCTTCGGTTTGGTCGTCGACAAGGTGGTCCTATGGATCTTGAGAAGATTGCGGCTTGATGTGGCGGCGCTGTTGCTGCGCCGTCGCGTACACCTCATCTTGGCGGGCAGGGGGTGAGGACAAACGCGGCGCGGTTCGAGGCGGCCCTCCGGTTCTGTTGGCCAGTCCCTCAAAGACCATTCATGACGCCGTCGTCGGCCAAGGAGCTTCGTAGCACTTGGTTGGCCGCCGGGAAGGCATCTTGTCTGCTGCATCGCAGGTTGGCAGTTGACCCCCCATCATCCGTCTTCGCATTGAACGACTTCTCGCTCTTGCATCCGTTCAGCTGCAAGCAGCTGCCCGAGACTCGGCTTTGGCCCAGGCGACTCGGTGCAGGCAAACCGGGCGACTCCGCGCGCCCAGGCCTGGAGATGCGTCCTGACGGCATCTCTGTCTGCAACGCCTTCCCTGGGGTCTTCGGCAGTTCGTAGGCCCAGCGGTGCACAGAGTCACTGAAGTTGCTGCCGAAATGGGCGCGCCTCACGCGCTGGTCGGGGTGCGCCGAAGTCCGCGGCGGCTGCATTGCTGCCCCTGACAGCGGCGTGTTGACCAGCCGCAGATCCAACGACCTCTCCCACTTCGCCTTGCTCGCCGCGCGCCGCGCAGCGAGCTCGCTGTGACCGATGGCGTCAGCGGGTGCCTTCGCCCCCGGCCTCGACATGCAAAAGACGCTGAAGAGCTTCTGCAGCAGCCCGCGCCGCGGCTGCGCGCGGTCCGGGGCCTGGGGCGCGCGGATGATGGCAGAGGGAACGCGGACGGTGGCGGCCGGCGCGGGAGCCACGGGTCGGACGGCGCCGCTGAACGTGACGCGGGTAACTTTGCCAAGTGGGAGCGGCGCACTCGAGGCGCCCTGGATCGCGGTCTCGGCCAGCACGCCGCTGTCGACCGTCTTCCGAACCATGTGCTGCGTGCGGCTGGCGGCGGTAGACCGAGTCGGCCGAGGCGCTCCGTGGACGCTGCGTGCTGCGACAGACCACGCTACAGACAGCAACGGTCCGCTGCTGGGCGGTACGAGGAAGGGGTGCTTCAGGAGCGTCGCTGCGCTCGGCCTCGCGGCCGGATCTGCTTGCAGGCACGACGAGATGATGCACCTGGCTTCGGGCGGGAGAGTGCCGGAGGCCACAACGCGCTCCGCGGTCAACACCGCCATCTGCAGCGCCTGGGGGTCGTCGTCCTGCCTGCGCAACAACCGCGGTGGTGGGCGCCTGCTCGTGAGGCGCGATTCCCTGTCGCGGCGAGGCGGTCGTCGAGAGGCGGGCTGGCAACAACGTGTCTGGCGCGCGGCGCTGGACTCACCCCGTGAAGGGCCCGTGGCCGTGCAGCGCCTCGAAGATCAGGACCCCGAAGCTCCAGATGTCGCACTTGACGTCGTACCCCGTCCGCTCGCTGCGGTCCTTGGTCCGCAGGGTGTTCATGTCCAGCCCCGAGCCCAGCACCTCCGGGGCCATGTACTGCAGCGTTCCGAGCCGCGTCACCGGACGCCGCTGCTTCGTGCGAACCGCGTAGCCGAAGTCCGTCACCTTGAGCCTGCCGTCCCGCCCGACGAGGATGTTTCCCGGTTTGATGTCCTGCAAGAACACGGACGCCGCACGGCGCGCGCTGTGCAGTCCAGATGCAGCGCGAGGGGGTTCGACGCGCATGCGCGCGTTGTCTGGGCTGTGCTGGCGGACGCACCCGGTGAGCGATGCCTTGAGAGTGGAGGTGCTCGAGGACGGCAGCGAGCGGCGCCGCGACCTGCCTGGCGAACGCTGCTGGTTTGCGGGCGAAGGTGTCCATATCCTCGGTCAGCGGGTGGCTCGCGGGCTCCATAAGGAAGATATAATGGTGGCGAGACAGGATGGCGCCGTACATAGTGACGATACCCGGGTGCTGCAGCGACGCGTGGATCTCGAACTCGTCGCGGAGCTGCTGCAGCTCGTGCTCGTCCATCGACTGCAGGCTCACCGCCTTCATCGCGACGTCGAGCCCAGTGGCCTTGTGCGTCCCGAGAAACGTCCGGGTCTTCGACCCTACAGCGAACGGTGGTATCGAGCGAAAGTGGACGCACTGCGGCCCTGGTACTAGGCTGAGTACAGGCACAGATTCGCACTCGGATCCCCGAAGAAGCGTCCCGCGACGATGCGCCGCGTGGCAGTCAGCACAGGTACGCCTCAGAGCGCGGCGGCTGGACCTCGGAGTGCCACCGCGAGGTGGAGAAGCATCTGAGGATGCCGGAGACTGGGAAAGGGTGACAATGTGCGTTGCATGGCGCGGGGATGCGGCCGGACAGTAGCACACGGCATCGCACGCGCATCCGCGGTGGCCTCACCTCTTCCGAGTTCAAACTTGCAGAGAAAATCATCAGTGGTGTGGTACGCGTCGCCTATGAAAAGCTCTTTGGGCGCGTGCTCCGTTAGACCGCAGGGAAGCTGGTAGGCTTGCCCGCAGCAGGTTGTTCCCGGCATTGCGCCTGCCACGACGGCGTCCCGTCCTTCGTTCGCCCAGGAAGGGGGGGGTGCTGAACTTCCTCAGTCCCTCGGGGTGTTGCCTGCCCACGTCACGGGCTGAATTCGAGTTGCGCGGCTGCGAGTTGCCACCTGTATGGGTGTGCCTGCAACGTGGAGAAAGAGCACTCAGGATTTGCGCTCGGGCTCGAGCTCCCGCCCATGCACCGGCGCGCAAAGTGGCTTCCTGGTCAGCGCAAGCGTCGCCAAGACGATGGCCCGTGCGTGCGGCCAGGCGGCGGTCACGGTCCAGCAAGCGGGTTGGCCGTTCGCGCCCGCACGGACGCCCAGACGGCAAGTCCGGAAAATGACCTTGTACGCGTGAGTCGTCGGCTTCTTGCCGCGCCCAGCGAGCGAGCAGTCGGGGCGAGAGAGGCAGCGACAGCGCTGCTGTCTCCGCACGTGCCGGCCAGTACGTGCTAAAGCCGTGCTCTCAGGTGTGTCGGATCCATCTCTCGACCGGAGCGTAGATATCGAACTTGCCTGCGGCGCTCTCGCCCGGGCGATTGCGCGTGACTGCGAGGAGGAGGAGGAGGAGCTTCGCGACCAGGACGGCTCCGCGTCGTGGTGGCCAGGGACGTTGGCGGCTGCTGCTTGAGAGCTCGCGATGCTCCGAAATTTAGTGCCGTCGCGCCGCGCTGCGCTCAAGGCGGCCTCCGGACAGCGCGGAGCTGTCCAGCCAACCTCTGAGACACCTCTTCCTCCTGCGCAGCCCATCGATCGCGGCCGACGTTCGAAATCGCGCCCAGAACATCACATCGGTGCCTGTGAGCCCATCAGGACGGTCACCTGGGGCTCTGCGGCAGCGCGTCAACTGTGCGCCTGCAACGTGAGAGAGCTCCAGCATCCACTGGGAGTTGCGGCGCCTTCCGGACTCACGCACGTGGCGTCCCTCTCTCCATATCGCACTCGCCGAGCTAGTGTGTGCGGCGACACAGGCTGCAGCAGCACCGCCCAGCCCCAGCCCTCGCCTCTAGCCCTCCAACTCTGGACTGGATTTCACCGTCAACCACCCCGAGCTCCTTGCGCGTCGTCGTGGCAGCACTTCTCGGCGAACTGCCTCTGCCCAGGCCTGTCCGCACACGCCCGACACTGACATCACGGAAGTCGAAGTCGCGACACCCACGCAAAACAAAAACAGAAGCACTGCGGCTGTGCCCTCGTCCTGGTCGATGACACAGACGACGTCGCCCGCGCACCGCGGACGCCCCCCTCCCCGGCACGCACGGCCGCGCCGCAGCAGTTGTCTACACGTCACACGCAGGTTGCAAGTCCACCCACCGCGCCGCGCCACGCGGCCGCGCGCCCACCGCGGTCAGGGTTTCTCCACGCCCGCCTAGGCCTCCGGCACCTTGACCTCGTCGAGGCCCCAGATCTCCGTGGCGTACTGCCGGATGGTGCGGTCGCTGGAGAACTTGCCCGACGTCGCCGTCTGGATGATCGACTTGGTGACCCACGAGTCCTGGTCCCTGCGGCGGTGGGGGGCGGGGGCGGGGGCGCGGCGGGCGCGTGAGGGTCGGGCGGGGGCGGGGGCGCGGCGCTGCACGGGCGGGGGGGGACGGTGGTGCTGCCATTGGCGGGCGCGAGGTCGCACCTGTAGGCGGCGTCGGCGGCGTCGAGGGCCTCGAGGTAGGAGGGGAAGTCGAAGCCGACGCAGAAGTAGTCGGCGCGTCCGAAGCCCTCGTTGCCCTCGAGGGAGCCCATGAGCTGGTCGAACTCGCCCATGGTCTCGCCGTCGTCGCCGAAGACGCCCGACCTGACGTAGGCCTTGACCTCCTCGAAGCGCGGGTCGGGCTCGAACTTGCCCTCCTTGCGGTCCTCGCGGATGCCGTCGATCATGTCGGCGGTGGCCCCGAACAGGAAGAAGTTCTCCTCGCCGACGCACTCGCGGATCTCCACGTTGGCGCCGTCGAGCGTGCCGACGGTCAGCGCGCCGTTCATCATGAACTTCATGTTGGACGTGCCCGAGGCCTCCATGCCCGCGGTCGAGATCTGCTGGCACAGCTCCGTGGCGGGGATGAGGTGCTCGGCGACCTTGACCGAGTAGTTGGGCACGAAGACCACCTTGAGGAGGTCCTGCACGTCCGGGTCGTTGTTCACCGTGCGCGCGACGTTGTTGATCAGGCGCACGATGCGCTTGGCCTGGATGTAGGTCGCGAAGGCCTTGCCGCCAATCATCACCACCTTGGGCACGAAGGCCTTCTTGCGCTCCTCGGGCGACATCTCCTTCATCTTCTTGTAGCGGTAGATCACCGCGAGGATGTTGAGCAGCTGCCGCTTGTACTCGTGGATGCGCTTCACCTGCACGTCGTACATGAAGCCCTCGCTGGGGATGTCGAAGCCCGTCTCGACCTTGAGCCACTTGGCGAGGTCCTTCTTCTGCTCGAGCTTGGCCTCGGCCCACTCCTTCTTCAGCTTCGGGTCGTCCTTGAACTTGAGCAGCCCCTCGAGCTGGTCGAGGTGCGTGACCCACTCGTCGTTGCCCAGCCACTTGGTGATCACCGCCGACAGGCGCGGGTTGCACCACGCGAGCCAGCGGCGCGGCGTCACGCCGTTGGTCTTGTTCTGGAACTTCTCCGGGTACATGCGCGCGAAGTTCTTGAACACCTGCACCTTCATGAGGTCGGTGTGCAGCTGCGCCACGCCGTTGACGTACTTGGCGGCCACCACGCACAGGTTGGCCATGGCGACCGCGGGCTTCGGCGGGTCGACCTCGACGACCTTCTTCACCGTCTTGGTCTCCAGCGTCCCGCCCTCCTCGTCCGAGTCGGCCTCCTCCACCTCGACCTCCTTGAGCATCTTCTCCAGCGGCTTGCCCGTCTCCGGGTCGCACCCGACCAGGATGCTCACGTCGTTCACGCGCGCGAGGAACTCCGCCTCGGTCTCGTCGTCGAACGGCTTGAGCGTCGCCACGAACTCGCGGTTGATGCGCGTGATGATCTCCATGTGCCGCGGCAGCAGCTTCACCATCAGGTCCAGCGGCCACTTCTCCAGCGCCTCGGGCAGCAGCGTGTGGTTCGTGTAGTTCACCACGCCCTGCGTCACCTTCCACGCGTGGTCCCAGTCCAGGCCCTCCTCGTCCAGCAGGATGCGCATCAGCTCCGGCGCCGCCAGCGTGGGGTGCGTGTCGTTCATCTGCACCGTGGCCTTCGACCCCAGCTGGTCCCAGTCGATCTTGCCGGTCAGGGCCATCTGGCGGCGCTTGAACGTCGCCACGATGTCCTGCACGGACGCCGAACACAGGAAGTACTGCTGCCGGATGCGCAGCTCCTTGCCCTGCGTGGTGCCGTCCGCCGGGTACAGCACCGCGTTGATCTGGTCCGCGCGCGCCTGGCGCTCGATCGCGTGCAGGTGGTCGCCGTTGTTGAACGCCTCCAGGTTGAACTGCGCCGACACCGGCTCCGCGTTCCACATGCGCAGCGAGATGGTGTTGACCGTGTTGTACCCGGGGATGGGCGAGTCGTACGCCACCGCCTCGATCACCTCGCCGCCCTCCCAGCCGCTGCCCGTCGAGTGCCCGTAGAACCGCACCGGGTAGCGGATCGAGTCGCGCCGCATCTCCCACGGGTTGCCGCCGTCCAGCCAGTTCTCCGGCACCTCCTTCTGCCCGGACGCGTCCACGAGCTGCTTGAACAGACCGTACTTGTACCGCAGACCGTACCCCCACGCGGGGTAGTTGCACGACGCGATCGAGTCCAGGAAGCACGACGCCAGCCGCCCCAGCCCGCCGTTGCCCAGGGCCGGGTCCGTCTCAAACTCCTCGATCTCCTCCAGGTCCTGCCCGAGCTTGTCCAGGGCCTTGCTGTACTCGTCCTGCGGCGAGCGGGGCGGCGCGAGGGGTTCGCGGCCCGCACGCGAACGGGGGGCGCGCGCACGGCGGTTGGCGCTGGCGGTGGGCGCGCCTTGAGGCCGATGTTGCGGATGGCGTTCTGCAGGTAGCGGCCCTGCAGGTACTCCATGGAGATGTAGTAGGCCATCTTCGGGTCCTTCTGCTCGAAGTGCGAGAAGGTGGCATCCCAGCGCTCGATGAGGCGCTCCTCCACCGACGCCGCGGTGGCCCTGCGCGTGAGCGGGGGCGGCGCGGGGTCGCGGCGGAGCACGATGAGTCGTGGGGGCGTCGGGCGGGGCGGGATCGCGATGGGCGGCCGCGGCTGGGGCGGCGACGGCGCGAGTGGGCGCTGCGGGAGCACGAGGCGCGTGCGGGGCGCGGGGAGGTGCGGGGGCGGGAGCGGGGCGGGGGCGGGGCGGGAGCGGTACCTGTAGGCCGCCGGGACCTCGAACGAGAGCGGCTTGGACGCCGACGTGTACTTGGAGTGGTAACTGCAGGGCGGGCAGGGAAGTGGTTACTCAGCGGTGAGGGGCGGCGTGGGCGCGGGAGGCGGCGCGAGCGGGCGCGCGAGGAGGCGAGTCCGTGCGACCTCGAGAGGATCGTGGGCAGCGGTGCATCTAATACGGCGCGGTGCGGCGCTGCGGGAGGCAGCCAGGGGGGCGCGGAGCTGCCATTGGCCGCGCTGCGAGCGCCTCGCGCGACGGGCAGGCCGCAATGCGCCCGCGGGCCCGCCGCGAGGACCAGGGTTGTCGCCGGAAACGGATGGGCGCGACTGGAACGGAGCCCCGCCGGCGCGGAGGCAGCAGTCAACCGACTGTGGCAGGGCGAGGGGCGCGCACGCAGCGCCGTCGGCCGTCCGCGGCGCTCGAGGGACGAAATACGCGTGCATTGCGAGCGGACATGTCGCTACGGCGGTTCCCGCCGCTGGGTCGCCCGCCCCGCGGCGTGCTGGCGGCCGCCGTCCGCCGCCGCAACAGCTACCTCAACAAGGCTCCGTCTCTGCGTCCTGGCAGCGAGCCGCCACAGATCCCTGCCCGCGCGGCGACCACGGTGCGCGGCAGAACCGCGGACGGCGGTCGAGCGGCTGCCATTGCGCGCCGAAACGCCGGGCCGCGGGCAGGTCAGCATGGGTGGATCACCACGCGCGGAGCGCAGCGAGAGCGCTGTCGGGCAGGGCCCGCGGCGGGGGCTGGACGGGGCTGCGCGGTGCGGTGCTGTTCGCGGTGTGCGACCGGGGTGGCGCGGGACGATGAGGCCCGGTCGTCGAGGACAGCGCATTGGCAAGGATAGGGGCGATGCGTCCCGCTGGGGGCTTGGAACGCCATCCCGCGCCGTGCGCTGGGCCGATAAAAAGCAGAGAGCCCCGGGAATGGCGGAATATCGCGGACATCGCCGCCAGCGACGCCCTGCGGGAGCTTGCTTCGGGACGCAGCGCGCACCTGATGTTCGCGACCAGCTCGTCCGCCGTCTTCGGGGAGACGGTCGGCGGGAGAGGCATGAGCGAACTGGACTTCTCGGCGGGCATCGAAACGGCGTTCACGCTGGCCTTCTTCGGCGAGGCGCCGGCCTTGACAGCCACTCGCCCCGGCACTCCCGGGCGCATGGGCGTCCTCGGGGCGCGAGGAGGCCGGGCACAGGAGGCGCGCACGGTTGACTGGAAGGTGGTGGCCAGATCCATAACGGCTGGTTCCCGCGTTGGGTCGCAGCGAGCGGCCAGGGATTCCCTGTGTGCAGCGGGACCCCGTCTGTCGATCGGAGCGGCCGTGCGCGCGTGTCAGACGGCTGAGGTGCGCCTGAGGAAGTGGCTGACGCAATGTGCCCGCGCGCGCCGCGGCTGCCCCGCCTAGGAGCCCGCGGGAGCCGCCTGCCTCGAGGACCCGGTCGGGCCATCAATGCAATAGACCCTCGGCCTTCGCTCCCGACCGCACCAAGGGGCGCGGGAGGCAGGGCGGCGGGCGAAAAAGGTCAGGATATCGTAGGGTTCTCCTCGCTGTTCGCCGGGCCGCACGTCGCGCGCTCCGTGACGCGACGTAGGCCCGAACCCTAACATATGCGGCATCCTTCTTTTCGGGGCGAATAAGGCGCGACGACCGGGCGTCCGGGCAGCCAGCGACGAAGTGCGCGATCAGAGCGGCCCTGAACGCGGCGCGCGGGCGGGCGGTGGCGCGGGGCGCTTCGGCGCGACACGGGGTCAGTCGCTTGGTAGGTTTAGGCCGCCGCAGCAGCCGCGTGGACGTGATGTAACGCACCGAACCACGTGTTCCACCCCACTGTGCCACGAGAGGCGTATGCGGCGGACGGAGCTGCTGATTCGTGAATACAGGCGTCACGCGATCCCCTGGGCACGCCAGCGCCGCAGCTCGAGCCGCGACTCCGGCACCTGAGGCCGTGCATTGATTCACGGCCGCCCGGCAGAACAGTGTGTGTAGCGAACGACGGAGGCGCACCGATGCGCGCCGCACACTCGCGTCCGCCGCCACGTGACCTGCGACTGTCACGAGTGTCGTGGAGCCACGGCGGCGACAGCAGCGCCCCTGCTCGCGCGCTCCACGCGGCGCGCGTGTGTCAGCTGATAGCGCGTGTGCGAGCGAACCGAGCGGCGCGACGTGGTCTGTTTGGCCGCACGTGGGGTGTATTTCGCGCTGGCGGGTATGTCCCAGTGGCACCGTTGCCGGGTCGATACCAGACGTCGCGGTACACCTCCGATAGCTCCCCGCGGTGTCGACTGAGGCTGTGCTGTGCTGTCCTGGCAGTGCAAGGCGTCCGACCAGCTGGGACGCGAGAGAGGAGGAGGTGCTCTCAACTGCCGCGGGGGACCGCGCGCCCCATAGTCCGCGATGGCCACCAGGGGCTGTGCGAATGGAGTCGAGAACTTGCTCTGATGACTGCGTCGCGCGGCTCATTCCGCTTCCTGCGTAGTGCGGAAGTATCAGCGCCCGTGAAGGTAGCGCCGCTGCACCTCCTCCGCGTCTCGGCGAATTCCCCCTCGCACGATCTCCTGGCATGCCACGACTTGGAGATACGGAGTCAGGTGATTCGCCTCGACCCGCTCGCCCCGACCTGCGAGCACCACCGACGCACACTCCCCCGCAAGTACAGCCCTCGTTTCCACCGTCCCGCACACGCTTCGCGGTGCGCGCTTCGCACGTTGAATCACCGAAATTCATCCCAGCAGCATCACGCAACACAATGCCACGATCGAAGGCGCCGCGGCCCCCGCAGCACGCCGCACGGCCCGCTAGACTAACTAGCTCTGCTTTGATCCCTCGGCCGAATGCCAGCGGAGCGCCCCTCGTCACTGCTCGTAGCCACCGTATCATCGTCCCCTGTGTTGATCCGGTCCCTACGGTCGCAGGGAAGGTCGATTTGGGTGGAGTGCCGGCTCAGCCTCGATGGCCAGCCCGTTGCGGTGCCCTTCTCCACACCGCCCTCCGAGCCGGCCCCGCGGCTGGTCGGAGAGACCAAGCCCGAGCCGACGGCCAGCAGCGCCGGGGCGAGCAAGCCGCGCGGCGCCCGCAGCGCCACCGCGGAGTATTCGGCCCCCGTGCACGTGTGCTCGTGGGAGCAGAGCGATGCGGTCATGGACATGTGCTGGAACGTGTGCGACCTCACGGAGACCTCGCAGCTGTGCTGCACCGTCTACACGTCGGGCGGGTGCGCCACTCCGACCCACACGCGTCGCGTGCAACACCCCAGCACGCGCAGACGTCCCCCGCGCCCCGCTCACCGTGCGGCGCACGCGAGAGGCAGGCGCCGCGTCGGCCGGTCGACCGTAGCTCAGGCTTCGCCGTGCGTGCAGGGAGGGGGTGTCCGAGGTGCTTGGGAGCAGCACGATCCCCTTGTTTGGCAAGAAGGGGGGGTTAAAGACTGGCAGACGGGCTGTCGGACTGCACTGGGGCGTCGCCGCGGACCCAGGCTGCCCCACAGGGACTCCGCACAAGCCAGAGGCACGGGGCGGAGGCGTGGAACAGCCCGCGGACGGTCCCGTGGAGAGTTGGGGCACACTGGGAGGTCGCAAGCTCGTCCAGGTGCGCGCCCGCACGCCCGGTGCAGAACCCCGCCTGGCTCGCGCCTGTGCCAGCCGTCACGTCAACAGCACGCCACGTCTCTGGTCGCAGGCACTGAAGCGGCTGTCGATGGATGAGCACCCAGATCTGCCGTGGTTGAACAATGCCTCGATGGATGCGGTGTCGCCGGCTCTGGCGTCCGCGCTCTGGCCCTGGGGCTTCCCGCGCGGCGAGGACCGCGAGACGTCTCCCCTCGCGCCGTTCCTGGACCCGCAGGGTGCGGTGTGGGTGCTGTGCCTGGAGCTGCCGACGTTCGCCGCGCCCGTGGTGTACCACCACGGGTACATCGCGCCGCCGCGGCTCATGGGCGCCACGGGGCGGCTCGCGCCCGCCAGCACCGCCGCCGCCGCGGCGCAGTCCGGCCTGGGCGTCCCGCTCATCACCGACCCCGAGCTGGAGCTGCCCAACCTCGCCGAGGCCAAGCACCGCAAGCTGATCAAGCTGCGGTCCGCGCAGGACCCCGCGGCGGCGCGCTCGGCCAAGCCGGACGTCGCGGAGAAGCTGGCGCTGCAGGAGATCCTGTGCAAGCCCTGCACGCAGCAGCCTGGGGAGGAGGACAGGGAGCTGCTGTGGCGGTTCCGGTACCGCTTGCTGGTGAGAGGCGCGCCGTCGCGGGCCGGGGGGCGGCGCGTGCGTGCGTGCGACGCTGCGACGGCGGGGCTGCGTTGAAGTGCCCTGATGGTGGTTGCGTGGGCCCTCGTGCGCGCAGGAGAGCCCGGGCGCGCTGACGAAGTTCATGCGGTGCGTGGACTGGTCCGACCAGTCCGAGGTGAAGGAGGCGCTGACGCTTCTGAGCCAGTGGGCGGCCATCGGCGCCGCGGACGCGCTCGAGCTGCTCACGTCGGACTTCTGGCACCGCGCGCTGCGGCGGCACGCGGTGGACGCGCTGAAGCGCGCGCCGAACGCCGAGCTGGAGATATACCTGCCGCAGCTCGTCCAGGCGCTCCGGTGGGAGCAGGAGTTCGCCGAGGGGCGGCTCCCGGAGAGCTACTTGGCCAAGTTCCTCATCAGTCGAGCGAAGAAGTCCTTCGTCATCACGAACAGCCTGCACTGGTACCTCACCACGGAGGAGGAGGACCCGGACAAGGGCACGGCGTACAAGGCCGTCCACCGCCGCTTCATGGAGGAGCTGGGCTCGGCGGGCCCCGAGGGCGTGGACATGGTGAAGCAGTTGGTCAACCAGAAGATGCTGCTCACCACGCTCGAGGGCATCGCGCGCGAGGTCTCCAAGGCGCGGGGCCGGCAGCGGCTCGCGCTCCTGCAGGACCTCCTCGCGGAGTCCGTGGCCGTGGAGCTGAAGAGCGCGCCGGTGCCGCTGCCGCTCGACCCGACGTGCGTGGTCAACGGGCTGGTGCTCGAGGACTGCTTCGTGTTCAAGTCGGCGATGTGCCCGATCAAGCTGACGTTCCGCGTCCAGCAGGACAGCGGGCACGCGGACCAGCGCTGCGACTCGCAGGGCGCGGCCGAGCAGGCGCCGGAGCCGCCCGCGACCCGCTCGGTGATCTTCAAGGTGGGCGACGACATGCGTCAGGACCAGCTGGTGATGCAGATGTTTGCGCTGATGGACACATTGCTGCGGAGGGAGAACCTGGACCTGAACTTGACCGTGTACCGCGTGCTGGCCACGTCGCGGGCGACGGGGATGGTGGAGTTCGTGCCCTCGCTGACGATCGAAGATATCATCAAGAAGGTGCGGCGTGGCGACGGAAACAGCCGCACGGCGTGCTGCGCACGCGGTGTATCACACGACTGCTCGGCGTGCTCGCTCAGGGGCGTGGCTCCGCAACGATTTGTCCAGCACGTGTGTGCGTTCCGCAGCCTCACGGGTCCGCTTCGGATCGAGGTGTGTGCAGGAATACAAGACGGTGCTGCGATTCCTGGCCGCGCAGTTCCCGGACGTGCGTTCGCCGTCCGGGGTGCGACCCTCCGCGCTGACGGGCTTCATCAAGTCGTGCGCCGGGTACTGCGTCATGACGTACCTCCTGGGCGTCGGCGACCGGCACCCCGAGAACCTGCTGCTGACCCCGGAGGGGTATCTCTTCCACATCGACTTTGCATATATTCTGGGTCGTGACCCCAAGCCCCTGCCCCCGCCGATCCGCATCTCGCCACAGATGGTCGAGGCGATCGGGGGGTTCGACTCGGAGGGCTGGGGACGTTTCAAGACGTACTGCTTCGAGGCGTTCAACATCCTGCGGAAGGGAAGCAATCTGATCCTGTCCCTGGTGCACCTGATGGCGGGATCGTCGCTGCCGGACGTCGCGGCGGATCCACAGGGGCGGTCGGCGGCGCTCAAGGTCCAGGAGAATCTCCGGCTGGACCTGGACGACGAGAAGGCGATGGAGTACATGTCCAAGGTCATCCGGGACTCAGCGACGGCGGTGCTCCCGCAGTTCATGGACAGCGCGCACCGGTGGGCGCAGTTCCTGCGGTGACGCGCCGCTGTGGACGGAGTGTGACGGTGTTGCGATCGAGCATCCGTCCGCAGTGCCAGTGAAATGGACTCCCAGCAGTGTGTGGACGCCTCGCGTCTGTCTGACTCGCCATGTCCGTCCGGAGCGCCCTGCCTTTCGTCCCCCAGCGATTGGATTGGAGCCCGGGGCGTCGGTAGGCGGGCTCTGGCGGCAACGCACGTGACCCGGACCACGGACGTCATATAAAAAGCTTGTCACACCTGAAAGCGTTGCAAGAGAGCGAGGAAAAGCGCTACTCGCCGGTTACACTGGCACGGGCGAGCCTGGCCCGACAAAAATGATACTGCTGTATCCTAAGTGATTCGTCAAACATGGCCGCACTTTGGACGATGGGTTCTGTCGTAGACAAACGTGGTTCGGCAGCATCTCGCCTGAACGTTGCGTGTTGCGCTCGTGGGCGAACAGCAAAGCCATAGACTGCGAATGGGTGCGTTGACGCCCAGCTCTGGTTGTTCGGCGCCGGCCGGCAGCGGAGACAAGTGGCCCGCATCGAGCCAGCACACGCCCACATCGGCGGCGCCAGCGCGATTGCGAAGTTGGGCATCTCTGGGCACCACTGCGTGCCTTATTGCAGGTAGATGGCCCTAGAGGGCGCGACCTCGATCTTCACGAACAAGGCCCCCGACACGCGCGACGCACGGCAGCCAGGCGGCGCGTCCTGCGGCGCAGCGGGAATTCCGCGAGCACCTGGGCTCTGTTGCATTCTTCGACAAGGGGGGCGGCTTGCCCGGCCGCAGCAGAGGTGGAATCAGTAGACGACGCCATCTGCGACCATGTGCGCGTTGATGTTCATGCCCGTGAGCATCGGTTCGCCCGTCGTGGCCACGCGCACGATCGACACGCCGCCGTTGTTGATGTCGATCGCACGGAACCCCGTCGGCGGCAGCCCGAGGGACACGCCGATGAGCGCCCTGAGCACGCTCTTGTGCGCCACGACCAGCACGGTGTCCCCCGGCCCCCGCAGAATCTCCTCCCACGCCTCCCCCGCCTGCACGCACACACAGCCGCCGCGCCCGCTCGTCACGCAACCTCCGACCGCCCCGACGCGCGCCCCGCGCGCCAGCGCTACAGAGCAAGCGGTGCGAGCGGCAGGACCGTGCGCCGCCCCGGCGCGTCGGGGCCTCACCCGCCCCCACAGCTCCTGAATGGGAGCGCGCCCGTCGATGACGAAATTCGCGGGGTCGTCGCGCCACGTGCTGTACACCTCGTTGTGGTGCTCCTTCGCGTACTTGTTCTCCATGCCCTGGATCCACCCCAGGTTGGCTTCCCGGAGGTTGTCGACGAAGATCAGCGGGCCCTCCCGGTCCCGCCACACGATCTCGCCCGTGTGCCGCGCGCGCGTGAGCGGCGAGCAGTAGCACGCGTCGATGATCTGGTTCGCCATGGCTTCCCTGCGCAACGGGTCGCGGGCACAACCCGCCCCAGTGTGCGGGCGCCGCGGAAAGGGCACCAACCACCCAGCATGCCCTCATGCGTTGCGACGACGGACGCCGTCGCCGGGCGCGGGCGCGCGCGTGATGCACGCGACTGGCAGCGCGCGGGGCCGCGTTCGCGACCGCGACCGGGCGCGGCGGGCCACGGCGCGCGCGGTGGGGTCGAGGGCGCACCGGAGCCTGTGGGCCTGCTCAATGCCGACGTCCGTGAGATCGCTTTCGTTCGTGTCGCCCTGGATACGTCCCTCGAGGTTCCACTCCGACATGCCGTGCCGGACGAGGAACACGCGCTTCTCCCGCGGCAGCCCCTCGGGCACTAGCAGCGTGCGCCCACTCCGCGCGAGCTTCTTCGCCTTCGACGAGCCACCCCCGTCCAGCAGCGCGGAGCCTGCGCCGTCACACCAACAACGACCGCTCTTCTCACGCAAGAAACGACCGATTCACCGCCGCGCGCGCGCTGCCGACGCGATCCCGTCCCCGGGTGCCCTGAGGCTTCTCACCGGAATAGTACGGGCTGAAGGGGGCCGCCGGCTCCTGCGTGGCGGCGCTGTTGCCGTTCGCGGCCTGGTGCGCAACGCGCTCCCCGCCCGAGCCCCCGTTGCGCGACGCCGCGGTGCGGGAGGCCGCGGTCCGTTGACCACCACGGCGCGGCAGGGCCCCGCGGCAGGTGGCCGTGAAGCCCGCTGCCTGCCCGTCGCTCCGGCGCGTGATCGAGGCGAGCGTCGTGGACCGCATCGCGCCGCAGTGCAGAGCCATGTCGTCAGGTACGGAGAGGCGTCTCTCTCGAGGAGCCTTTAGGGCAGAAAACGGCCAGTGTGGCGTCGAAGCAGCTGGGTCTCACGCGGACCGCGGACGAGGCTGCCTCTCGTGGACCAGGCGCGTGTGTCGACCGCGTCCGGGGCCCGCCGGCAATGGACGCGCGCGCGTTGGGGAGGAGAGATGCTGGACACTCCGAGGTGACTCACGCGCCCGCGGCTCCTCTCTCCGGGAGGAAAAGCGCTGATTTTGCAGCAGTTGTGTGGTACTGGTGACGTCAAACTTTTTCGACAGCGTCGACCGGCCGGTGGGCAAGCCGTCGCGCGCCACGACCGCCCCCTGACTGCAAGCACATGCGCCTCTCTGGCAGCGCCCGGATGTGCGGCCACTTCGCCGCGAGCACCCCAGACGCGCATGGCACGGCACAGTTTACACGCACTCAGCTACGTCTCCCCGGCGATCTCGCACAGGCGTTTGAACGCGAGGTTGATCTTCACGAACCGCGCCGTGTCCTCGGACGCCCCCCCGCGCTTGTCCGGGTGGTGCTCCAGGGCCAGTCGCCGGTACGCCTGCCGAACGACGCGCATGTGCGTCCCGCTCGTCGCTTGGCCCTGCACGCAATCGTGACATGCTGGGTTGAGTGCGGGCGAACCAGCTAGCATGCGACGAGCGATATTGCGTCGGTCTCGGCGCGGAACGGGGAGCCACTGACCTCGGGGAGCCCGAGAGTGCGAAGCAGGCCCGCCATCTCGTCAGCGGCACTCCCCCCCGGCCCCGTCCTGGCTGCCCGCCGCGCCGCCGCCTCCCGCTGCATCCTCTCTGCCTGCTCGCGGCTCCTGCGCTCGCGCTCGCGCCACTCGGGGTCGACCGCGTGGCTTGCGGCGGGGCAGCCGCAGCCAGAGCAGAACAGGACCGTTTCAGGGTCGTTGGCGTCCTGGTGGCGGTACAGCACGCAGAACCGCGCGCACGGACAGTCGCTGCAGGCACCGGCGAACAGAAAGTGCGGTCGCGCCGCACACGTGTGCCGCATGCGAGTGCAGGGGGGGGTATTTGGTTGTTCGCGCGAGGCGTACAAATACAAACACAAGCATGTGGTAGAAGCGTCGCACGGATGAGCGCGTGGCCGACCGCAGCAGAACAAGCCCGTCAGCCAGCCTGGTCTGTTCCGTGCGCACCTGCACCCGACCCGCTCGGCGCCCTCGAGGCCGTCAGCGTGCGTCGTGTGCAGAATGTCGCCGTCCCTCTCAGCGTCCCTTGCACGTTGCCGTGCGGCCGCAACGCGAGCCAGGCGTCGCTCGAGCTCCGTCGTGTTGCTGTCCTCGGCGCTGGAGTCATTTGAGGGAGCCTTGCGGGAGTGTGACGCTCCTTGGGAGTGGGCGGCGTGCGCTGCCCGCGGGCACCCACACGCCCCGCAGCAGTCCCCCGGGCCGTCTCTGGCCCAGCGGATCACCTGCTCAACAATGCCCTCGTCCCTCGACGCTCGCTCGATCAGCGGTACGGGCACCGGCTGGTTCGTCGCAGCTCGAACATAGCCTGCACACGTACACTGCGAGCACGCAACCCCCGGCGCGCTGCCGCACGAGTCCGACTCAGAAAGCACTGCTGAGAGTTTGCGGGCGCCGATGCCGAACACCTGCGGATCCGCGGTGTTCGCGTCCGTCCGCGGATGTGTCCGCGGCGGCCGCCGCCCTCGCACCCCCGGAGGAACGAGGCCCCCCCGTTTCTGCTGCAGATCGAGCCGCTCCTGCTGCGCCTCGACCCAGTCAAACTCGTCAGCGGGCGACGCGGAGCCGCTCGGCGCCCCCGCGGTGCTCCCAGGCGAGCGGCCTGCGGCGCCCATGACCGCTGGCTCCGAGACGAGCGAGCCGTAGGCTGAACTCTCGCTGCACGTTGCGCCCACTCCGACACGCGCGAAGAGCTGCGGATGCGGAGGGTGGCGGGTCTCGCGTCGGGTGCGCCGCGGGCTGGGCGCTCGAGGACCTCGCTTTTGAATGTGATGCTGTTCAAGGACCTCGCTCGTCTGTCTGTGGGGCGCTCTTACCTTCCTGCAGTATCCCCAGCTCAGCGCCACTCTCTGTGGCGGCGCGAGATCCTCGACGCGGTCGCTGTCGTCCCCTGACCCGCCGCTGCTGTCCACGCAGGCGAGCTGTTCCTTCCTCGCTGGAGATCGAGGAATGTCGATTGGCGACGCACTGGCGCGGCTGCTGCACACCGTCACCTTGTCCACGTCGGCGAATCGAGCCAGCGACTCCCTCACCTCGGCGATGTGCGCGCCACCTGTCCCAATCACGCAAGCTGTCAGCCGAAACCAGCTCGGAAGGCTCATGCGGCGCTTGCAACGATGCGCAGCCGTCGGACACCCGCCGTCGAACGCTCGCGGTTCTTCTATCACCGAAGCCCCAACCGACGCCCCGGCCACACGCTGGCGCACGTGTGGCACAAGACCTGCTGTCTGCCATCGGGGCCCAGCGAGGGCATTCGTCTCCAGCAGCTCGCTCTGCATCCAGGCCAGCAGCTCCAGGCTCTCCTCCGTCGACATTCGGGAGCGCTGCGAGTCGTCCGGCGCCGTCGCAGCCAGCGCTGGGACGGGCGCCCCCACCACGCACGCTAAAGCACCTGCGGCCTGCTTGAGCGCGGCACGGAAGCTCCGCATGGCCTCGGCCCGAGGCGCCGGTGCGCCCTCATCGCCGGCCACCATCGGAGAGATGCGGTCATCGCGGGGCGATGCTCTCCCTGCTACGCTGCCAGTGACGCTGCGGCTCCCCTCGTGTTGCTTGTGCAGCGCGTGCGCCGCGTGCACGTCGTCGGGCCCGCCCCACGTGAAGCATGGGACCTCGCACGGTGCCTCGGACCACGCCCCGCCCTCAGAGTCGCCCGCACGCGACTCGAACTCCTCCGGGGCACTGTCAAACGCCTCCCGCACGGTGGCGCACAGCGAAACCATCGGCCCGACGATCGGCACGCGCGGCGCTGATGAGGCTGATCCGAGCGACCTCGACGGCTGCAGCACGTCGCCGAGCTGTTCCGGCTCCGCGAGGTCCCTGCCCAGAGCACCCCCGGTTGGCAGCGTTGCCAGGAGCTGGTCCCACCCGTGCGTGTGCCGCGGGACGGACTCCGCCACGTCACTGAATGCACGCCTGAGAAGCTGCGCGTCGTCGGAAGCGAACGTCAAGTCCCCGCGCAGGGGCCTCGGGAGCGACGCGGGCGCCTTTGAAGACGACGAGGGGCCGGAATCGGCCGGTCGGTCCGTGAGCGTCGCCGTCTGGAACGACATCCAGGCACTCGTCTGCTCGGTCTGCCGGCAGACTTCGCGCGTCGCTGAGACAGTCGCGCGCGACCCACGACCGTCGCCCCCAGACGCACTGGCGAGGTCGAACAGCGACACCGACCGCCTCAGGTACGTGCCAGGCGCCCTCGGTCCCTGCCTCGGCACCGACATCCCGTCCCCGCCCTCCAGGCTGTCGGAATCCGGCGTCGGGTCCGCGACGTCGTCCGAGAGCTCGCTCGGTGTGAGAGCGCTCTCGCTGCCACAGCAGTCCGCGCCCGCCCCGTCGTCACTCGCGAGCGAATGGGAGGATCCAGCTAGTCTCGGGGGAGGTGCATCACTGGGCTCCCTGCGCGTCCAGTCCGCGACTGACACGTCAGTCCCCCCCTGACTCGGGGCGGCGCTGCACATCGACCCACCGTCGCTCCCGCCCGCCGATGGTGCGTGTGCATGGCTCGTACGCTGCCGCTGCGAAGGCCGGGCCGTCGCAGCCTCCGGTCCCGGAGGTCGCGGGGCTGTTTCCGGGGACCTTGGCGGGCGGCTCGCCTGGGGCGCCACCTCGGCCGCTTCCGCCGCCGTCCGCATCGACGCCGCGTAGCGCTCGTTGTCCGGCTCGAGCTTGTGTGCCAGGCGCCACGCCTGCAGCGCCCCGTGCGGGTCCCCCAACAGCGTCAACGCTTCTGCGCGGCGCACGCGCGCCTTGGCCCACTCCGGCGACAGCTCGATCGCGCGGTCCGCGTCGAACAGCGCCTGCCGCGGCCACCCGCGAAGGCAGTACGCCGCGGCGCGGTTCGCGTACGTGACGGCGGCGTCGGGCCTGCGGCGTCGAATCGACGGAAGTGCGAAACGGGTGAGCTCCTGCACGCCGCACAAGGTCCGCATGCGATCGCCGACGAAGCAAAGAGCGATGCTGACCTGATTTGGATCGACCGTGTGTAGTGCCGCAGCGCTTCGTCAAGTTGACCCACCGACACGGCGTCGTTGCCTCTTTCTCGGGACGTGCCGGCCTCGTCGTCGACGTGATCGCTGTGCTGGCAGCGGCAACGGCTGCAGCGCGTGATGTCCGGATCGTTCTCCGGCACCACGCGCGACGTGTCTCCGAACTGCGCGCGGGAGAGCCCATGGATGCAATGATGCTGTGTTGGATGCCGCGTGCGGGCGGCGCGGTCCGTATTCGCTACCCTCGAGCACGGCCAGGTGCGCCGAACCGCCACTCATTGCGGTCGCGCGGAACGAATGGCGAAGAAAGCCATGCATGAGGTTCGACGCGCGCCAAAACGTCGCTGTTGAAACAGCAACATCGCTTCGAGCATTGACGTGGAGCCCCGGCGCTGCATCCCGGTCTCGCTACATCGTCTGCCTGTTCACGTCTTTTTCGTGCTAGGGCGCCCCGTCGAGGCATGCTGCTGAGCCTCATCCGGCCGTCGCAGCGCATGAGGTCGTTGAAGCTGCTCACCTTGACAGTGTACTCCTCCGTGTCCTTCCAATACGAGTCGCACCGTCCGCACTTGGTACATTTTCCTCGCACCGTCCCGAACAGGTCCCTTGCCGTGAACCGCGGCTGCGGGAGCCCCTGGTCCCTCGCAGTTGGCGCTGCCCGAGGGAACTCCGGCGCACGCTCTCGGGCCGTTCCACCGCCCGTCGCGGCCTGTCTTCTCATCGCCACCTAGCACTCTGAGCGTTCAGCGGCCTCGAGAACCGCGGCAAGCAGCACACGATGTGAAACGGTTCAAAACCGTCCCTGATGCTTGTCTCCTGACCGAGGCGATGTCTACGTCATCTCCGGGACTTTCCGACCCACTGTTCACCTTCTTATACCTCTGATCCTGCGTGGTTGTCTCCTCGAGTCGCCTGGTAGCACGGTCCGGCCTGACGCCGGACACCCGTATGAATCAACACATCCCCGGGTACTGACAGCCTCGCGGCGGCGCGCCCTGCAACGAGGTCCGTCCACGGCGCTCACACACGTCCGTGTCGGCCCACTCACCTACGCATGCTCCCAACCGCGCCCCGCAGCCGTCACGCGCCGGCCGCCTCCGCCTGCGCGGCCTTGCTGGCCTTGAGCGCCTGCCTCCGCGCGTCCGCGAACGTCCCCACGAGGCCCCCTCCCGGCTCGTAGAAGACCGCGTCCACCACGCCCCCGTCCCTCCGCCGCAGCTCCACCTCCCAGCCCCCCTGCAGTCTGTCCAGCTCCGCAAACCTCTCCTTCCGCGACTCAAACTCCTCCGGCAGACCCTGCACCGCCCCCCTGTACACCACGTCGCCCGCGAGAGCCTGCGCAGCGGGCCTCCGTCCGCGGGCCGCGCGGTCCGACGCGGCGCGCTGCGGCATGGGCGCCGCGAAGCCGGAGCGCGCCGCGTGCTGGCGGGCCTGCATCCGCGCCACCTGGTCCTGCGCTTGTCGATGCCGCTCCGCTTCTTCCGTCGCCGCCTGCACGTCCGTCGCCCCGTCGAGCGGGTTGGCCGCCGAGGGGGCCTGCGCCGCCGTGGCCGTCGGCGCCGCCGCGTTGCGGGACAGGATGTCGACGGCCCACTTCTTGCCCGCGAAGGACGAGACGGCGTCGTTGATGTCACGCAGGCGCGCAGGCTCGACGAGGAACGTGGCCCGGAACCGGCCCTGCGGCAGGTCCCAGTGTTCCAGGTGCCCCGCCATTTGGGAAATCATGTCTCGGAGCGGCTTCTCGCAGTCCTCGGGCACGTCGATCGCGATGCGCATCTGCGCGCGCACGATCGGCATCGTGGTCTGCAGCCGCGGCAGCACGGCCAGCGCCTGCGGCTTCGCGGGCTTCGTGACGTCCACTGCGAACCCAATCTCCTTCAGCGCGCGCTCAATCATCGTGTGCGTGTACGGCTTGCCCCTGCGGCTCGCGGGGCGGGCGGGCGCGCGAGTGAGCGTGTCTGGCGGCGGCGGCGCGGGCGGGCGGGCGGCGGGGGTCGCGGGGGCGCACGTGGTGGGGTTGATGGTCTTGTCGACGAGGACGCTGCACACGTCCTTGAACAGCGTCCCGATCTCGACCTTGCGCTCGCCCTCGGACACCTGCAGCTGACCCTTCTCGAGGATGATGAGGCAGACCGCGCGGGAGTCGGTGGTGCCGAACACCCTCTCCAGGTCCTCCTTCTTCGCCAGCACGCCCTTCGAGACGTTCTGGAAGACCGACTCCGACTGCAGGACCTCGTCGAGATCCCTCTCGACCCCCGACCTCCAGTTCAGGACCTGCGCGTGGTGCCACGAGAACAGCAGCGGTGCACGTATGCATCTTGCGCAGTCCCTGCCCAAAGCGAAGGCGTCTCGCGCGAACGAGGTGTCCCCGTACAAAATGCGCCAAGTGTGTAGCGGGAGGAACGGAAATTCCTACACGAGACTGCGTTTGAACGGCGGGAGGCGCCGCCGCCACGCAGGTTGCAGCGCACGAGGCCCCGCGCCAGCCGTTCGCGGTGTCCCGGGCGCGGGATGAGTTCCGCTTGGGGCGCTCAGGCTCTAGCATCGCACATGTCCGCGTCGCGCGGTCCGCTGGGGGGCTGCGCTTCCTGGTGACGCGTGCCGGCCGACGCAACCGGAATGCGCACCTTGTTCTTGTAGCACGCGACTTCGAAGCGCTTGCCGCCCTTCTTCATTCTAACGATGGCGACATTGGTCAGTCGCTTCTGTCCGACCGGTTGAAAGACCCCGCTCGACATCTCGCTCGGCCCTGCGAGCTGGCCGCTGTCGCCGGCCAGTGCTCACCGCGCAACGCGCCTCTGATGGACCTCTATTTCCACCCCGAAACCCGCCAACACGGCAGCGTCTGCAAAGTGATGCCGTCCCTCCCGCGGACGATGGAAATGTCCCTGGCTGGCGAGCCCGCGGAGGTGAATTCCACTGTGTCTGGAGTGCGCGCGGTGTTCCAGGTGGCTGGCCGTCCCTCGCAGCGTTCCCAGCACGCAGCAGACAAGGCGGACGCCGTCGTCGTTCGGCGGCCCAGTGCCGGGGCGGCTGGCACTCGCGATCAATGACATCCGACACTGTGTTCCGGTCTGACGGGCGCCCACGTGGGCGGCACAGCGCGCCGCGCGTCCGCTGCTGCGGCGGCCGCTACGCCGCAGGCTCGTTGCCGCGCACCGCCTCACACCGCGCTTGGTAGCGCATTCCGCGCCGCCAGCAACACGCCGCTCGTGCGAGGACTGCATGCGCGATGCGGTGGCGGGCGGACGCCAGCCGGCGTGCTGGGGTCACGGCACGCACTCCGCGTCGTCGGTGCCGACGAACGACCGGGCGGCGAGAAAGCCAGCCTCCCTCGAATATCGCCCGATGGCGCCGCCTGCGGGGCAGCAGGGCGCGAGAACCCGCGCGGACTGGTTCCGCCGTGGGCCAACCCGCGCGTCGATGACGACTCAGTGCAGGGTGCCGTGATGCCGCCGTCCATCTAGTCGGACGCGGCGCATCCCATCCGCCGCGGGCGTGCCCGGGGATGACGAGAGGCATGGTGCCGCTTCCAAGGCGACACCCCTGGCCGCATTTTGAGCTCCGTGCGGCGCGGTGCAGCGACACTTTGCGCCGGCCCGCATCTCCACTCCGGGCACATGCTATAGAGAGCACGCATTCGCAGCCTCATCGTTCCAAACCTCCGCATTCGCGCGGCCTCCTTTGCGGGAAGTTGGCGCGCACATCTCAGTCGCCGCGACGACCGCCGTCCCGACCTAGCGTCCGGTGGCCAGAACGCGGGCTGCCGCGTGCTTGCGTGAACCACCACCCGGCCGGCGCAGCCAGGTCGCGGCCTCTCTGGTCCCCCACTTGCTAGATTCGGCCACCATGGCAACTCCCGCTTCGAGCCTAGCGACGATCTGCTGGAGCGACCTGTGGGTCAGCACCGTCAACGGGAAGGGCGAGCGGAAGGACATCCTCAAGGGCGTAAGCGGGTGCGTCCGCGCGCGCTGCCCATGGATGAGCACATGCACTGGGCGCGATCACGAGAGGACGGTTTCTCGAACCCTGCCTTGACCAGCGGCGAGCTCCACCTGTTTCGGACAGCAGAGCGGCCCGTGATGCCTCGCGTACCGCGCAAGCAACGCCGGAGCGCACGGAACAACCACCCTCTTTGCTGCTTGCGCGGGGGGGGGCCTCGCGCGCCGCTTCAGCAGCCGATTGGGATCCCCCGTCTCGTGTGAGTGCAGATATGTGGAACCGCAGCACATGCTCGCCATCATGGGCCCGAGCGGCTGCGGCAAGACCACGTTGCTCGATACCCTTGCCGGCAGGCTGACGGGCAACGTGGACGTCACGGGCACAATGCTGGTCAACGGCGAGCCCGTTTCGCTCGCGTACGGCAAAGCGGCATACGTGACGCAGGTCAGACACGCCGCCGGAGGCACTGGGAGCGTCGTGTGCCTCACAGAGATGCCCCTCGCGTCGCCAGCATCCGCGCCCTGCTGCGCGGGCGACAGCGCTGTCTCACCGGCTGGCTCCTTGCTCCCCATGTGCAGGATGACGTCCTCATGGGCACGCTCACCGTCCGCGAGACGATGCTGTACGCGGCCCGCGTGCGGCTGCCCAGCTCCATCAGCAGCGCAGACAAGGAGAAGATCGTCGACGAGGTCCTCGCCGAGCTCGGGCTCACGGAGGCCGGCGCCACCTGGGTCGGCAACTGGTTCCTGCGCGGCATCTCGGGCGGCCAGCGGCGCCGCGTGTCGATCGGTGTCGAGCTCATCACGTCGCCGCGCATCCTGTTCCTCGACGAGGTGCGCGCCGCCCCGCGCCCTGCAGCGCCCACGCCGCCAAGCGCCACCCGTGCCCACCGTAGCGCTGCCCGCGCCCACAACCCTTCACGCTCGCGGCCCCGCCGCATCGCGATCGTGCGAGCGCTGTTTAAACACGATTCTTCCTCCTGGCGCTGCCTGCAGCCCACGTCGGGCCTGGACTCCGCGGCGGCGTACCACGTCATGGCGTGCATCCGGCGCCTGGCCCAGAAGGACCGGACGATCCTGTCCGTGATCCACCAGCCCTCCTCGGAGACGTTCGAGCTCTTCGACAAGCTCCTGCTGCTGTCTGCGGGAGACATGGTGCGGCCACCCCGCGCTGCCCGTCGCGCGACGGAGCTCGTCGCCGCCCCACGCGGTGCTGACGGGCTGCGCTTCCCGCGTCGCACTTGCAGGTGTACTTCGGCGACGCAGACAAGGCACTGGCGAGCTTCGAGGCGGCGGGCCTGCACATGCCGCGGGGGATGTCCGAGTGCGACTTCTTCCTCAAGTCGATCAACCGCGACTTCCAGAAGGTTGTCGAGGAGCTCGAGGGCAAGGCGGACAGCAGCATCGACGAGAACATCCAGAAGCTCAAGGCCTCGTTCGTCAAGTCGGAGCGCTGCGCCACCGTGAGCAAGAAGCTCGAGCGCATGAAGACGAACGCGACGGTCCCGAACGGCGGCGACGCGCCCCGCGGGTACAAGCCGGCGTTCGAGGGCTCGAGCTGGTTGACGCAGACGCTGGTGCTGACGCAGCGGTCGTTCGTGAACAACTACCGCAACATCGGGATCTTCGGGATCCGCCTCGGCATGTACACGATGCTCTGCCTGGTCATCGGGTGGATCTACTTCGACCTGGGGGACTCGTGGGAGGACATCCAGGCGCGGGCCGCCAGTCTCTTCTTCGTATTCGGGTTCTTGACCTTCATGAGCATCTCCGGGTTCCCCGCATTCATCGAGGACCTCAAGGTGTTCATCCGCGAGCGCCTCAACGGGTGGTATGGCGTCTCGGCGTTCGTCATGTCCAACACCATCAGCACCATCCCCTTCGTGTTCGGCATCGCGCTCTTCCCCGCGCTGTGCGTGTACTGGCTCGCGGGGCTCAACAGCGACGGGCAGGTCTTCATGCGATTCGTCTTCAACCTCTTCCTCGCGCTCTACACCGTCGAGTCCCTCATGATGTGCATCTCGCTCGTGGTGCCGCACTTCCTCATGGGCATCGCCGGCGGCGCGGGCATGCTCGGCATGTTCATGCTCGTGTGCGGGTTCTTCGCGCTGCGCAAGGAGCTCCCCCTCGCGGTGTGGCGCTACCCGATGCACTACCTGGCCTTCCACTCGTACTCGTTCCAGGCCGCGATGGTCGAAGAGTTCACGGGCGGCGACCGCGGCGGACAAGCCGTCTGGGGCTGCCCGTGCGCCGTCGACCCCACGATGCGCGCCACCGAGGCCTGCGCGTCCTGCAGCATGACGGGCGAGCAGGTGCTGTCGGCCTTCCAGATCACGGACATCGGATACGGCATCAACGTGCTCATCCTGATCGTCATGTGCGTCGTGTACCGCGTCGGGTTCCTGCTGCTCGCGAAACGCGCGGAAATGAAGCGCGCCGGCAAGAGCGTCATCATGAGCCCCGTGGCAGCGGGCAAGGTCGCAGCACAGGAGCCGTGACCTAGGACACCGGGACGTGTCGCCTGTGGGTCGTTCCGGGACGTTGGAGCACCAGGCTGCACACTGTGATGTCGAACGCGGTGGTTGCTGATGCGCTGTCAAGACTTCTGCGTTCTGGCGCGGGTGCCGCCCGCACGCGTCGGTGTCGAGGTATCTCTTTGGGACCGAGTGACTCGGACCGCCCGTGCGTGCGGGCTCGCCCTGGACCCGAATCCTGAGGTTGTGCATAAGGTGGTCGAGAGCTTCATCCCGGCGATGCGAATCTGAGGAGGTGGCGCATTCGACCCGGGAGCGCAGCGGTGCGACCCGCGCCGCTGCGGTGCTGGGTGCCACGGGCGGGGCGGGAGGGGGGTGTTGAGGGGATGTCAAGGAGGGCCCCACTCCGGCTCCGAGCCCGAGCAACGCGCGCGCGAGTGAAGTTGGGGCGGCCGTGCATGCACGTCCAAAATCACGGAGCACCGGCGACTAGCGAGGACCGTGTGCCCGCCTATCCGCGTGCGTAGCGCCGCCTTCACTTCTCTGCCAGGCATCAGAGATTCCGCGCCCCCGCTCCCACCGGGCTTCTCGGCTGCCCGCCTGGCAGGGGCCAGATGAGTTCCGTCAGTAGTACCCCCGCGCGCTGTGCGAACGCGCCTGCCACGCGGCGTCCACGCTCGCAACTCCTAGGGCAGGGAGGGCAGCCGGGGCGCTCACGGAGCGGCCGGTCCCTTCGTTGTAGAGCCCGGCCCGATGACCACGGCGACGGACGCGCAACAGGTTGTGCGTCCGGACGTCGTCAGGCGCTCTCCCTCGTAGCTGGGGCCGTCCTGGGCAGCTGCGTGCAACCGGCTGCGCAGGCAGGCCTGGTGCAGGACCTCCGCTTCCAATTCGCGGGGCAGCCAGAGCCAGTGATGTTCCCTCGCCGCAGCCTCGACCAGGTCTTCGCGGTGCTGCTGATGAGGTGAGAAAGCAAGAGAAAGAGAGAGGTATCATGTCTGTCCTGGGCTCATTGGCACATAGGCGGTTGCCTCTCGTGTCGCGCGCTGCTCGGGCAAGGCGGCGCACGGGCGGCGGCCCGCGAGATTGCGCACGGCCGTGACGACGGGCCGCCCCGCCTTTGGGCGCAGGTCGGGCTACGAGGCGGTCGCCGCGTTGAATTTCGTCCCCATCGATCAGTTCCAGGTTCAATTCTGGAAGTTCCGCGCGAGCGAGCAGGAGCCGTACAACCTGCTCTACTCCCCGCTCTCGCCGCGCCTGGGCGACCTCACCGACCCGCTGTACTTCGATTTTATCAGCTTCTCCCAGTGGGCCGCGGCATCGCAGGCCATGCGGCCGGGCGTCGCGCAGGCGTCCTTCAAAGAGCCCTGCGAGAGCTGCCCGGACATGACGTACGTCCCGGTGACGCGCAACCCCGCCTACCTCGACGACAGCAAGCTCCCGCAGTACCTCATGCGGATCTGCGGCGACCTCATCTACTCGGGGCTCCGGGACGGGTTCAGGGGCCAGACCTTCCCGAAGACCCCGCAGCCGCTGTCCTCGAAGAAGTTCAACGCGGCCGACCTCGAGGCCGGCCTGGCCGGGTGCCTCGGGACGTTCGAAGAGAAGGGCTTCTGCATCAAGGCGCGGGCGTCGGAGGTGGAGGCTGTGTCGGACGGCAGCTGCCGGGCGCGCTTCACGGTGACCACGGAGGGGCCCGCGAGCCTGTGGTCGGTGTCTGCGCTGCGGTCGCGCGGGGTGCAGATGCTGAACGCCTACGACGCGCTAGCAGTCGAGGGCTGGCTGCGTGCTGGCGGGCTCCAGTCCAAGTACACGCTAGACCTGACCAACGACGGATACGTTACACGCTGGGAGGTCCTGTGAGCTCGAGCGCCCAGAGACGCTCAGCCCTGCCCGTCGTACACGTTTGGCTTCCATCGCCGCTGCTTGCCCGATCCATTCACGTTCCCACCGGCCGCATCGTCGCCGTCCCCCAGTACGTCCGGACGATCCGTGCCTTGCTCGCCATCCTCCTCGTCCGTCGCGTCAGAGCCCTGCTCTGCGGGGCCCTGCTCCAGAGACGTGGCCCTTGCCATCGTCTCCGCGTCCATGTAGCCCTGCCCAGTGACGTAGACCTGCCCGCTCGGTCGGGGTCGCACCAGGTCGTCGTCGGACAGCACCGGCACGTCGTCAGGTATGTCCGCGGCGTCCGGCGCGGCCGTCCCTGCGCCCCCCCGCCGCTCGTAGAACTCCTTGTACGCACGCAGGTCCGCCCGCAGCTGGTCGATCTCCACGTTCGCGTCCCTCGCGAGCCGCAGCAGGTCCTGGCTGCCGTCCGACTTCTCCTTCGCGCGGAACATCCGCAGGAAGAACCGCACGTAGTTGACGTTCATTGGCTTCCCGTCCGGGCCCGTCGGCTGCAGGTTGTACGCGAACTCCAGGCCCTCCGCGGCCTCCGCGGCCTTCTCCGCCTTCTCCGCCTCCTCAACCTCCCTCGCCAGCTTCTGCCGCAGCTCCTCGTCGGCCCGCGCGACCTCCCGCATGTTCTCCGCGCGCTTCAACTCCTTCTCGTCGGGGAGGGCCCGCAGAACCGAGTACTCCGCACGGACGCCCATCGTCATGCACGACACCGCGATGCGGTTGTACGCCGCCCGCGTGACGCTCTCGAACGCCTCCGCCATCGCGACGTTGTACTCGTCCAGGGGCTTGAGGTTCCCGAAGGACCGCAGGCCGCTCGCGGCGCGCGTCGAGTCCGAGTGCGCGAGGACCACCTTCCACGCCTCCTCGAGCTCCTCCACGGCGCGCTGCAGCATCTCCGACTTGAGCGGCATGTACTCGCAGAACAGGGTCAGGATCCCCAGCCGCTGGATCATCAAAATGCAACAGATCTCGCCGAGCCAGTCCCGCAGGGCACGGACCTCCGCCGCGTACCGCCCGACCGGGACGGGCGGACGCGCGAACGTCGGCGCCCCGGCGAGGCCCTTGGCGTCCTTGCTGGCAGCAACGCGCGGGGCCGTTTTGGCGCCCGCCCCGGCCCACACGACGTCGTGCGGGCGCACGAGTGCGCGGCGCTTCATCAGCCACTCGTAACCGACCGGGGTCCTCGTCGCGAACGAGCCCGCGGGGATGGCAAGCTCCTCGTTGCGTGCCACCCGCCAAAACACGCCGCGCAGGCCCGCCGGCGAGAGCGCGAGGCACTCTGTCAGGAGGGACACTGCACCGGCGCGGCTTCGCTTCGCCACGTGGCGGAAGTACCCGCCACACTCGAAAACGGGCTCCCCACAGATGATGTCGTGCTTTGGGTCGGCCTCCGTCAGCGCGGCGAGTGCAGACGACAGGGCCTCGGCGTCCCACTCCGACGGCGGGCGCGAGGGGCTGCACGTGTTTCCGACTGCCGTGTCGACGTAGTACTGGATGCAAGCGTGCACAAAGGAGTGGACTTGCTCCTTCGTGCCTGACGTCAGGGACAGCCGCAGCCCGAAGTGCTGCTGGCGGAACACCTCGAGGATCCGGTCGTACTTGATGCTGTTTCGTCGCGACGCCTCGTCGCGCCCCTCGTATCTCTCCTGGGCCGAGTGAATGATCTTCCGCGCTTTTTCGTTACCAGTGAGGAGATTATATTCCTCTATGATCACCGTCTTTGGCATGAAGGCCTTCACGACAAGAATGTCCTCAGCTGCATACAGCAGCAAGTCCGGATCGTCCGCGCTGACCCACTGCATGGTCCTCCCAGGGTCGCCTTGGCGAGCACAGCGGCCAAGCAGCTGCTGCGTCGACCGCAGGTTGGGCTGCATGCCCACGTTGATCACGGTGAGGCCGCCCTTGGAAACAATGTACGCCTTCTCGAAGCCGCACACCGCGTCGTAGAGCAGCTCCATGGCTCCGAGCGCCTTCACTGCGGCGCTCACCATCTGCGCGTACGTCTCCGAAGGCTCCACGCCCGGGCTTCGCTCGCGCTGGACATCCAACGCCCGCTCCGGCAGCGCGTCCCACGGGTGCTTCTCATTGCCCCAAATGAGGCGGGCGCGCTTCTTGTCGAGGAGCGCCTGCCACGTGTCGAACCCAGCATACATCCGGTCGATCGAGCCCCTCCGCCTGACGACCCTGCCAGAAGAACGACCACGAAAACGCTCATATTGAGGCAGGACTCGCGACGATGAGGCAAGGTGCGATGATTGCGTGCAGAGCATCCACCGCACCTTGTGTGCCGCTGCCGACGCAGCACCGAAACCCTGCGCTGCGTCTCGGCCCAGAGATCCCGCACGTCGTCCTTGAGTGTATCGGGCGCGTCGATCAGCAGCAGCCCCCTCCGCGCCTCCATGTCGCGCAGCCCGGTCCCCAGCAGCGAAGCCTTGGCGAGCAGGTCGGACAAGGCCTGGGTGGCGTAGGGCAGGACGTTGTCGAACTCACTCTGGCACCGGTCCTGCTGTTCTCGCAGGCGCACCAGCTCCGTGGCGTTCACTCCGATCTCTTGATAGTACGAGGGGTCCTCGGCAATGTCCGCGTGCCGCACGAGGAGCTGCGGCTCCCAGTCAGCGATGTCCCTGGAAGTGGCGTCCTTGAGCAGCGTGAACCGAACGACGTCGTCGCGGTCGGCTGACGACTTCCAGTGGGACATGATTTTCAGCGCGTCTTCCCTGGTGGTGGTCAGGAGGCTGTCGATCACCCCGAACACAGTCCTCTCGGCCAGCCCGGCCGCGTTTCCACCGAGAAGGATGTCCGTGCCTCGCCCTGCGATGCTCGTCGCGATCGTCACGGCACTTGCGCGGCCCGCCTGCGCAATGATCTCCGCCTCCTTCGCCACGTTCTCCGGGCTCGCGTTCAGCACCTTGCACTCCGCGCAGTCCTGGAGCGCCTGTGCGATCGCGTAGGACTGGTTGATGCTCGCCGTGCCAATCAGCACGGGCAGCTTCTTCCCCTGCAGGTCTTGAACCTCACTGCGCGTGTACTTCGCTATGGGCGGCAAGAAACCGTCGTACTCCGGCATGTACTCCCGGAACAGCTCCGGAGGTTCGTCCACGCGTCGGCGCGGTCTGTTTGGCGGCACGGGAATGACGGGAAGCTTGTAGACGCTTTCGAACTCTCGTTCCGCGGGCAGGGCGGTGCCAGTCATGCCAGACAGCTGCTTGTAGTACCCAAAGTAGGTCTGGTAGGTGACCTGCGCGATGACTTCGCTGGACGACCCAATTTTTAGGCCTTCTTTGGCCTCGAGAGCCTGGTGCATGGACTGCATCAGTCGCGTGCGCGGTAGGACACGCCCGGTGTTCTGGTCAACGAGCATCGCGTGGCCCTCGCCGTCCTCGTCCATGATGATGTAGTCGCGGCCTTTGATGTACAGCTTCTGCGCCTTGAGGCTCGCAAGCAGGTATGTCGACCACGTCTCCACCGGAATGGCTGGATCGTCGTCGTCATCGTCGTTGCCGGTGCCATCAATGCGCTCGAACAGCCTCCCGCGGGTGATGCCGAGCATGTCCTCGCAGCGCTCGACGCCCTGCGGAGTCAGCCCGACCGTTTGGTCGCGCTCCACGACGTAGAAGTCTGTGTCGGGGGGGAGGTCCTTGGCGGCCACTGAGTTCTTCACCTTCTCGCCTTTCAGCTGCCGGGCCACCATCGTGACTTGCTGCCACCGTTCGATCGCCTCCTCAGACGGCACCGCTGGGTTCGACTGCACAGGAGTCGGGGGGGGGCGCACTCCCTCACGCAGCACCGACAGCAGTCTGCGTGAGTGTGCTCTCGTCGCGTCGCACGCGCGTTCGTCTCCTCACGAAGGGGTTCGCACCAGGATGCACGGAATGGAGGCCTGATCGAGGAGGACGGAGTCGGCTTCGTCGACGATGGCCATGCCGAGCGGCCGCGCGTTGAGCGTCACCCCGTACACCGCCTCCAAGTCCGAGCGGTCCCGCAGGTAGTCGAAGCACAGCTGACTCGCCGTCATGTACACGATGTCGCACGCGTACGCCTGCCTCTTCCGTTGCGGGTTGAACGAGTCAACGACGTAGTCGCAGGTCAGCCCCAGGGCAGCAAACACCTGCACGCATGTGGCAGCGCGTGCCCACGCACGTCTCGACGCCGTTCCCGCTCGACCCCACGGGGGGGCGGAGGCCTACCTCGCAGAAGGTAGCTCGCGTCTCACGCAAGGTCGCGCGTGCAGTGCGTGTGTTGCTGCGCACCTTGCCCATCTCCTTGGCGTCGCGCTTGGCCAGGTATTCGTTCACGGTCACGACGTGCACCGGCGTGCCGCTCAGCGCGTTCAGGTACGCGGGCAGCGTGGCCACGAGCGTCTTGCCCTCGCCGGTCCGCATCTCGGCTACGTTGCCGTCGTGCAGGCACAGGCCGCCCACCAACTGCACGGCGAAGTGGCGTTTGCCCAGCACGCGGTCTGCCGCCTCGCGCACGACCGCGAACGCATCCGGCAGCACGTCGTCCAGGGCGCGCTTCATCGCCCGGTCCGCTGCAGCACCAAAAGCGAGTGTTGCATCGGGTCAGTATCATTGCGCCCGTTGTTCGACCGCTCTTGCTCGGTTGCCGCGCGAGGCGCCGGAACAAGCGCGGCAGGGCGACGCATGGTGTCAGGCGTGTCGCGGCTGCGCGAGCCGCCGCGTCGTTGGCGCGCTAGCCCACCTGCGGCCTCCGACTGTGCGCCCGCGCAGGCCTTCTTGATGCGCGCCTTCAGGGTCTCGGTGACGGCCTTCAGCTCCTCGTCGCTCATGTCGGCGTACTTGTCCTCCCTGGCGTCGATGTCCTTTACAATGTCGAAGTACGCGCGCAGGAGGCGCCGCTTGGTCACCGGCTGCGCCTGGACCTCCATGGCTATGTGACGCGGGAGGTCAGACAGGTCGATCTCGCTCCCACCAACCTGCAGGAAGACCGCGGAAGCACGACGCTTGAGGCTCCGGGGGCGCCAGCGCGCCACGATACCTTGTAACACATTCGTCAACCATGTACACAAAAGACCCAAATGCAAGGCGACTCGCACGGTTTCAGTGCCGCGAGGCGTGGACATGGTCGAGCGGGATCGCTGGCAGTTTGCGCGCCAGATTCGCGCGGCACATCGTCGTTTCGGCGTGGTTGCACTCTAGATGTGGTTGCGCGCCGGGCGGGGCGGATGCGGCGCTTCCGCCGCTCCGCCCCCAGTCTGTGCTCCAGACTCAAGTTCAGCAGGCACGGGTTAAGCCGAATGGAAGCGAGTTTGAACGCGCTGGGGGACGGGACGGCTGCCGGCCACCGCTGAGAGAGCGACCAAGGGCGCGCGCCCTGAGATACTCGTTCATGCACCGCAATGCAGCGCGGCCAAGCTCTCTGCAGCCCGCGCGCAAGGCGTCGCTCTCTCAGGCACCGCGTGGCTTACCTTGGGCAACCTGTCCAGCGCCCACTCTAGTGCATCCCGCACCCTGCCCGCGCGCATGCGCAGCGAGCCACGGTGCCGCGGGCACGACGTCTGACCCGGTGTCCATGAGGAGCACGGCCTCTGTGGCGCGAAAGGGCGCGGTGGCCGGCGGATTGGGTGGCCCAGGCGCCTGCAGGAGCGGCCAGGGCAAGCAGCTTGCTCCGCCCGCCGCACTGTGGCGTTGTCGCACATCTGGAGTCCTCAAGCTGCCAGCACCATGATGGAGCAAGGCCGGGCTGGCCGGAGTTGGTGATGGGCGCTGCAGTGACGGTTGGTGTGGGCGGGCAGCCGCGACGCACTCTGCTATGTCACTGCTGGTCCCCGAGGGTGACATTGCACCGAACGCGCGCCAGTCGACGGCCAAGGCCCCCCTGTCCGAGCGCGCGTCGGGCCTGCGTCGGCGCGCCTCACGTGGGCTGCGCGTCAGGCGCTGCAGACCTCCGGAGGAGAACAGACCCCGGGTCGAGCGCGCAGGGGCCGTGGAGAGCAGGTGTGCGGCGCCCGCCTGCGCAGAGCGACGGTAGCGCGGAAGCGAGCGAAGCATCGAGGAATAATACAGAACTGGCTCGCGACTCGTCGACGCTGGTGTTGGTTGGCTGGTCGCAGCTCTGGCTGGCTGTGCGCTCTTCCTGGGGACACTCGCGCACCGGCTTCCGACAGTATGCCTGTGAGTATCCTCCCAGTCGCAGCCGGGGTGGCCGGGAGCGCGCTTGCCGTCGGAGCGGCGCGTCTAAGCGTGGCGAAGCGTGGCAAGGGCCCAGTGGACCTGGAGCCGCTCAGTCGCTGGGCAAGTCCGCTGGAAAGCCTGCGGTTCAAGCTCGGAGTGTGCAAGGACTGCGCGAACTCGAGGCAGCGCCGCTGTCCCTCGTGCGGCGGAATAGGCTGGTACATCGCGGCATCAGGCGACCGAGCCAATTGCTCGAGCTGCCAGGGACGCGGTGCAGTCATTTGCAGGTGCGTCCTATGAGCGTCCCGCGACGTCTGCAGAGCACGCAGCGCCCGCCCACTCGCAGGGGGCGTCGCAAGCGGTCCACATTCCTCGAGAGCTACTGACGGCCTGCTCACCCCACTCGTCGCAGGTCGTGCTTCCAGGGCGACCCATACGACATCACTGCGATTCGAAGGTTCATGGCGCGACAGAGGTCGTGACGCTCGGCCGCTGGCGTCCGCGGCGTCCCCCACTTGCTCGCATCATGACGTCTTCCTGCATGTGTTTTGAACCTGGCGCACTAGGATGCGCCCGGCACCCTCTCAGCTGCGGATCGAGAACGCACCGGCCTGCCAACGGTGCTCGCTGCGACGCGGAATCATTCCTCAAACAAGGTCTTCACTCACAAATGTGACTAATGTCCGGACGTGCAAGCCGCAAGCGAGACCCCCTCGAACTCGCAGCACGACGCCCGCGCGCTCAGCATCTCACGAGCGTTTTCGGTCGTCACGTCGGCACAGGAACATGGCGCCCCACTGCGGGGATTGTGCCGTCTCTCAACCCCCGCTAGCGCCGCCGCTCGCACAACACACACCGACGACCGTGAGACCAGCGCCGAACTAGCCTCCCGCCGCGCCGGTGGCGCCGCAGTGGCGCGCTACGCGGCAGAAACAGAGCTCCACAGACCCCTGGGAATCTTGCGGTCCGCGCACGTGGACAGCGAGGAAGCGCCGCCGTCGCGGTCCGGACGCCTCGACAGGGCGCGGGGAAGCGCTCCGGCCGTTCGTCGTGTGTGTGGATGGCCCGATGCGGACGGGAGCGAAAAGAGCCCCCTTTTCGCTCCCGCCCGACTTGCTCGTCGGCGGCAGCGACCGGGGCCGCGTGACGTGTGCCTGCGTGCGCGCGGGGGGCAGGTCACTTCGCAGGCGGTCCGCCTCGCACCGTAGCACACGACTCCAGGGTCCCGCTGGGCGTGTGGCTGCAGCATGAACACGACCTCGGCTGCCGTGCAGGGGTGCGCCCGCGCGGCGCAGCCCGCGCGAGTGGCGGCGCTGGCGTCCCGCCTGGATGGAACGCGGCTGGCTGCGCGCCCCGCCGGCGCCGCGTGCCGCATGGCGCGCGCCGCGAGCGTCGGATGCCGCGCAACGGCCGACGCTCCGCAGGGCGCGATGTCGGCCGAGGACCGAGGTGAGCGCGCCAAACTCCGCGCGAACGCAAGCACCTATTCGTCAATTCGCGCCCGCCGTCGCGACCGTCTGCGCGCGGGCGTCCTAGAGCGCCGCACGGCTCGGTCTCGCTGCATCCATGCTCCCTCTCTGCCCGCGCGGCTGTTCGTCGCCCACGCGCGACGCTGGCAGCGCCCCCGCGCCCAGCCCAGTCCGTTGGATTCCCGATTCCCCGCAGCCAAGGCGGCGCTGGGCATGGAGGACGAGGCGCAGTACCAGGGCGGCGACGACACCAAGCGCTTGCAGCTCCTGCGCACCTACCCGCTGGCGGCCGTCGTCGGGCAGGACCTCATCAAGAGCGCGCTCCTCCTCGGTGCGGTCGACACCAACCTCGGCGGCATCGCCATCGCGGGTCGGCGCGGCACCGCGAAGTCGATCATGGCCAGGTCCGCCCTCAATCCCACGCAAGCTGGCCCCGCGCCGCCCCAGCGCGCGTGGGCAGGGGCCCCGCGCCCCGCCCGCACCTCCGCTGGATCCAGGGGTCCGCCGCGGGGCGGTGCGCGGGGCGGCGCGCCGCGTCTGCGCGACGCAGCGGTTTGGATAGGGCTCGCGCTGCGGGAGCATCGGGATTCACGGGGGCTGCCGTTGCGTTTCGCGCCGTCCGCAGGGGCCTGCACAAGCTGCTGCCTCCCATCGAGTGCGCGAAGGCGTCCTTCTGCAACGCGGACCCCTACAAGCCCGAGGAGTGGGAGGACGGCCTGGCCGAGCAGATTGAGGCTGCAGGGGGCAAGGTGGAGCGGGTCATCAAGGACGCGCCCTTCGTCCAGATCCCGCTGGGCGTGACGGAGGACCGCCTCGTGGGCACTGTGGACATCGAGCAGTCCATGCTGCAGGGCAAGACGGTGTTCCAGCCCGGTCTCCTGGCCGAGGCACACCGAGGTGAGGCCCGCCGCCGCCGCACGCGCGCACACACGCGCCTCGCGCGCCGCCCCCGCCCCGTGGCCCAGCGCTGATGCCGGCGGCCGCGGAGCGCGGCCGGGCGCGCGGGCACGGGCCGTGGGCGGCGCGCGCAAGCACCCCGCGCAAGCACGGCTTGCGCGCCTGCTGCTCTTCGTGCGTGAGGCGGCCGATGATGACACGCAAACGAATTCCTTATCTACATTGTCTCGAGCCCCATGCGGGCGCTGAAGTCACTTCTATCGACCAACCGAGGCCGCCAGCACCTCTCCGCACAGCACGACCGCCCCGCCCGCCCAGTCCCGCGCGAGCGACGCACCGACCGCGCCCCGCACGCCGCGTTCCGTCGCAGGCATCCTGTACGTGGACGAGATCAACCTCCTCGACGACGGCATCTGCAACCTGCTCCTGTCGATTCTCTCGGACGGCCAGGTGGTCGTGGAGCGCGAGGGCATCTCGATCACGCACCCCTGCCGGCCGCTCCTCATCGCGACCTTCAACCCGGAGGAGGGCCCGCTCCGAGAGCACCTCCTCGACCGCATCGCCATCACGCTGTCGTGCGACGTGCCCCCGACCTTCGACGAGCGCGTCAAGGCCGTCGAGCAGGCCCAGCGCTTCCAGGACGAGCCCGAGGTGAGCCGAGCCCGCACCTGCGTCGCGCCGCGCACCAGACGCGCCGCCCGGCGCCGTCGGGCGCGCGTGGCAGTGCCCTGCGCGAGTACACGCGTGCGCGCGTTTGACGGGCCGCTGCGAGCGGGGCGCGCGGCGGCGCTGCGTGGGGTTGATGATAGCAAACGCTACACTTGAACTACGGGTCCACTAGGCCGGATCCGATGAAACAAAACCATCCTTTCATGAACGCTTGGCTTCTGACCCACGCAGCCGCCCGCGCCGCCCCGCACGCGCACGAACTCCACCCTCCCGCCGTCCTCGTATCCCACGCCAGTGAGCGCATCGTCACACAGCACCTCCTCCTCCTCACACCCCCCCCGCAGGAGCTGTTCAAGGAGGTGCAGCAGATCTCGGAGGACCTCGCGGGGCAGGTGCTGTTCGCGCGCGAGTATCTCCCCGACGTCACGATCGGCCCGAAGCAGATCGGGTACCTCGTCGCGGAGGCGCAGCGCGGCGGCGTGCAGGGCCACCGGGCGGAGCTGTACGCGGTCAACGTGGCGCGCGCGTCGGCGGCGCTCGAGGGCCGCGACGCGGTGTCCCCCGAGGACCTCCAGCGCGCGGTGAACCTCGTGATCCTCCCGCGGTCGATCATCCGCGACCAGCCCCCGCCGGAGGACGACCAGCAGCCGCCGCCGCCGCCGCCGCCGCCGCCGCCGCCGTCGGCCGAGGACCAGGGCGAGGACCAGGAGCAGGACAACGAGGACGAGCAGGACAAGGACGACGAGGACGGGGAGGAGGAGGACGAGGGCGACGGCGAGGACGAGCAGGACGAGGAGGACGACACGGACCCCGACCAGATCCCGCAGGAGTTCTTCTTCGACACGGAGGGCGTGATCATGGACGACGACGTGCTTCAGTTCGCGACGATGCAGCAGAAGAGCCAGGGGCGCTCCGGGCGCGCGAAGAACCTGATCTTCTCGGAGGACCGCGGGCGCTACATCAAGCCCATCCTCCCGCGCGGCAAGGTCCGGCGCCTCGCCGTGGACGCCACGCTGCGCGCCGCCGCGCCCTACCAGCGCGCGCGGCGAATGGAGAACGAGAAGTCCGGCAAGGCTCCTCGCAAGTGCGCCCCCCTCCCCGCCGACACCGCTTTGCCGCACCGCGCGCCCCCGAGCGCCCCTGCCGCGACGTACGTGTCCCGCGGGGGCTGACCAGCGCCGCCCTGCTTGTTCCGCAGGGTGTACGTGGAGGAGGTGGACATGCGGGCGAAGAAGCTGGCGCGGAAGGCGGGCGCGCTGATCCTCTTCGTTGTGGACGCGTCGGGGTCGATGGCGCTCAACCGGATGTCCTCGGCGAAGGGCGCGGTGATGCGGATGCTCGAGGAGTCGTACCAGACGCGCGACACCGTCGCGCTGATCCCGTTCTACGGCGAGAAGGCGGAGGTCCTCCTGCCGCCGTCGCGGTCCATCTCCATGGCCCGCAAGCGCCTGGACTCGCTGCCGTGCGGCGGCGGGTCCCCGCTCGCGCACGGCATGTCGCTGGCGATCCGCAACGGCATGTCGGCGCTGGAGTCCGGCGACGTCGGGCGCGCGATGGTGGTGCTGATCACCGACGGGCGCGCCAACGTGTGCCTCGCCAAGTCGAACGACGACCCCGCGACGCTCGAGCCGGAGTGGCAGAAGCCCGACGGGGAGGCGCTCAAGGACGAGGTTCGCGACATGGCCAAGAAGGTGGCGGCCGCGGGGCTGCAGCTGCTGGTGATCGACACCGAGAACAAGTTCGTGTCGACGGGCTTCGCGGAGGAGATCGCCAAGGCCGGGCAGGGCAAGTACTACTACCTGCCCAACGCCAACGACGCCGCGATCGCCGCGGCGACGCAGGACGCCATGGCGGAGATGCGCGGCGACTGAGCGCGAAGCGTTGGGAGCTGCCCAGCATTGTAGATCGTAGTGTGAGCCGAACCCTCCCAGCGCGCAGGCGTTCGCCTCGCCCCGTCGAACGATCACCCGCGCCTCAGAGACTCGATCGCATCGAGCAGGCGCTGGCGCCACTCCTGAGCGGGTGCGTGAGGGCCGACGGCGCGCGAACAGGCAGCGGCGGCCTCCGCGGGCCCTGCGCTCGCAGGCAGATGCGCGATCGCGTGCGCGAAGGCCACTGCGTAGACGCCGCAGTCGTCCCCGTTGGGCTGGCGCGGCACGTCCAGCTCCGTCACGCTCACGACGCCATCGGCTGCCAGCAGTCGCTGGGCGAGCTGGCGCGCCGGGGCGGCGTTGTAGCCCGGGAGGGAGTCGAAGTGGAAGCAGCGCCCGTGCTTTGCGGCAAGCAGGCTCCAGTGCGACCCCCCCATGGCTAGCGTAGGGTCGGCGTTGTTGTTCACCGCAGAGAGCACCCACTGCCCGCGCGCGCCGGCGGGCAGCGCTTGTGCGAGAACTGCTGCGCCGTCCGCCGCCGGCAGCATCGCTGCGAGGTACGAAACCGGTGGGGGCACCAGCACTGCATTGTCTACGTCTACCTGCGGGCCACGGGGGGTCGAAACGGCTCAAAACGCTCAGAAATAGCATGTACGTGCATGTAGCATGCGCATGGAGCACGTAGAGGCGTGAATGCGTTGCCGAGGCCTGACGCACATTGCTGGAGATCCACTCGAAGGCGAAGGCGATCGCCTGGTCGTTGAGCCAGCCCGACTTGATCAAGTCGACGTCCTCACGTCGAAGTACAACGTCCCCGTACGACAGCGCCACGTCCTCGGCCATCAGCGACGAGTCACCGCGCACAAGCAGCTGTGTGCTGGCCCAGTCCGCGAGACCGCCCACTGCCGGCGATGCAACACGTTTCCTCGATGACAGCACCGGCGAGCACGACCACGCGACTGGCTTCGGCGTGTGGGCGCCCGGGCGAAGTCGTCCGGGACAGGAAGCCCCGGCCCGGCCTCTCTCATACTTTGTGAGCCCCCGTCCCGTGCGTGGAGTAGGTCGACATCGGCTCCGGCTGCCCGCGACGCGGGCAGTCGTTCCGTGCGCAGCCGCTGCCCGCCAGCGAGGCCGCACAGAACACTGCCTCTCAGGGCGGCGCGGCTCGCGCGCTTCTGCTCGGGTGGCCGCGACGCCGAGGCCCCGGCGCGATGTCCAAGCGGAAGTCGCCCGGCCAGGACGCGGCTTCCAGCCCGGATCTACCGCTTGAGCGCGTCGTCGGGCTAACAGCTCTGTGTCCGCGGTCGCTGGCGTGCTCCCCGGTCTCAACCTCTCTCATTGCCTACACGGCAGGCAAGCTCCCCCCTGCGGCCGCTGCCCCGCGCGGAGCACTCCCGACCGCGATGTGCTTCGCCCGCTCGGGGCGCACCCGCATGTTCACGGCCGTTCGGCCCTGCGCGGCGCCCCGCGCGCGGGTGAGATTGAATTCTGTCTGTGAACCTCGCTCGACGCGAAGGCTGCGTGACTTACTGCCGGCGGTGCGCGCTTCGAACACCGCAGGATGCGTGGCGGTGCTGTACGACGCCCGGAAGGACCAGCAGCTGCACCTGCTGCGCGCACCAGGCTCTCCTCGAGCGCTCAGTGCACTGAGCTTCTCCCCTGACGGCGCGACGCTCGCTGTCGGAGAGCTCGGCGCGCACTCGACGGTGCTCTTGTACGATATCTCGACGGGGGCGCTCGCGCGGGTCCTCAAAGGCGCCCACACGCAGTCCATTCGGGACGTGCAGTTCTCCAGCGATGGCAGCACGCTCGCGTCCGTGGGCACGCGCCAAGACGGCATTCTCGCAGTCTGGCACGCACAATCAGGTCCGCTCCCCCTCCGACCCAGCCGCGCCGCCGGTTGTCCGCGCGTCGACCCGGCCGCGCAACTCCACTGGCGCCGCTCCACCTCCCGCGAACGCGCTGGTCCAGAGCCCGCCCGGTCCGCCTCGCAGGTGCGCTCCTCGCGAAGCACGAGCTCACGGATCCTGCTCGGGCGGTCGCCTTCTCGGAGGACGGCACGCACATCACGCTCGCGGGCCCCAGGTCGGTCCAGGTGTACCCGGCGCCCCCCGCGCCCACGCCCGGCGCGCCGCCGGCGCTGCACACGGCCACGCCGCGCCCCGCGCGCCTCGGCAACCTCAGGAGCTCGCGCGTCGCGGCCGTCGCGCCCGCCCGCGCGGCCAACGGCCCGGGCTCCTTCTTGGTGACGTCGGAGGGCGCGCTGATCGCCATGAAGCCGTCCGGGCTGCTGGTGAGCAAGTGGCTGAGCCTGAAGGTCCGCGCGGCCTTCTCCGTGGACGCGACGGCGCGGCACGTGGCGTGCGGGTGCAGCGACGGCGTCGTGCGCGTGTTCAGCGCCGCCACGCTGCAGCACGTGGCCAACATGCCGCGCCCGCACGCGGTCGGGCACGAGCCCGGGGGCGCGACGAAGAGCACGCTGCTCGCCGGGGCCGACCCCGCGGAGGAGGGCCTCGGGACGGAGCCGACGTACCCCGACGCGGTCGCGCTCAGCTTTGGCGGCGGCGGCGGCCAGCTGTCCGTGGTCTACTCGGACCGCTCCGTGTACGTGTACAAGACGTCGGAGCTGCCCAAGGTGACGAAGCTGCGGGTGATCGCCGGGCACGCGGCGTGCATCTGGGGCCTGTCTGCCGCGGGCCTCGGCATGAGCAGCGGCCTGACGTCGGCGTTCACCACGTGCTCGGCCGACGGCACGGTGCGGTTCTGGTCGCTCACGGGGCAGCGCGAGGAGGGCCCCGCGGCGCTGCACTGCAAGACGGTGACCATCTCCGCCGCCGCGGCCGTCGCGTGCTGCCGCCCCGTGCCCGTTGTCGCGGGCGAGGCGCGCCCCGCACCGGGCGCCGCCAGCGGCCTGCGCTCCGTGTGCGTGCACGAGGGCCTGGGCCACATGGCCGTCGGCGACCTCACGGGCAACGTCCACGTGATCGACATGGCCAAGCTCGAGCGCACGCACGTCCTCGAGGCACATGACGACGAGGTGCTGTCGCTGGGCTTCAGCGGGCGCAGCGACCGCAACCTGACCTCGAACGAGGCCGGCGGCGCGCGTGGCGTGCGGCTGGCGTCCGCGGGGCGCGACGGGCTCGTGCACCTGTACGACGCCGACGGCGCGTACGCGTCGGTCGGCACGCTGGACGCGCACGAGGGTCCGATTCCGTCGATCCGGTTCACGACGGACGGGGCGCGGATGGTGACGTGCGGCGCGGACGGGCGCGTGGCGTTCTGGCTGCTCGCGGACGAGGGCAGCCGCGACGCGGAGGCCGCGGTGCCGTACGCCGTGTCGGTGCCCGAGTGCGGCGGCGCGGCGTACGACGTGGACATCGAGCTGACCGGGCAGTTCGCGTACTCGGTCGGGGAGGCGCGGTCCGTCGGGGTGTGGGACCTCGCGTCGGGGGAGTGCATGGTGTGCCAGGAGGTCGTCGGGGCCACGGGTGCGGCGCTGCGGGTCGCGACGGACCCCTCGGGCATCATGGCGGCGTGCGCGGGGGCGGACCGCGCCGTGCGGATGCTCGACCTCAACACCGGCGAGACGCTCGCGTGCGGGACCGGCCACGGCGACATCGTCACGGGCGCGCTGGTCACGCAGGACTGCCGCCGCGTGGTGTCGTGCGGCGCGGACGGCCTGCTCATGGTCTGGCGCGTCCCGGACGAGCTGGCCGACATGGCGCGCACGCGCCTCGCCGACGCGCTGTCCGAGCGCATCGAGACCCGGTCCGCCGCGGCAGCGACCGCCTCGAACGGCGCGGGCGTCGACGTCTCGATAGACCTCGCAGGGCTGCAGGCGCGCGGCAGCCCCGGCGTGGCGGCGGGGGGGCGCCCGGGGGCGCGCGCGGCGGCTGCGCCAGACGCGTCCGTCGACCTGTCGATGGGGCTGGGCGCGCGCGCGGCGGACGCGACGATCGTGTCGCTGGAGAAGCTGCCCAAGTGGGCGCGGGGGGGCGCGGGCAGCGGGAGGTCCACGCCGGCGTCGAGCCGGCCCGGGACGCCCAAGATCGGCGGGGGCGCATCGACGGGCCCGAGCACGCCGCGCGGGAAGTGGGCCGGGCGCACGCAGCAGCAGGCGCTCGGGCCGTTGGGCGCCGCGGGCGAGGACGGCGGGGCGCCGGTCGCGCCGCTGTGGGGCCAGCTCATCGCGAGCAACGCGGAGACCGGGAGCGACGACGGCATGGTGACGTTCGACGAGGACGGCGGCGCGGACGAGAACTTCACGGTGGTGGACACGGTGGTGGGGCGCGCGGCGGTGGCGGCGGGGGCCGCGTCGCCGGAGCGCATGTCGGCGTCGTCGCAGAACCTCGAGGCCCTCGAGGACGCCGTCGAGGCGAACGCGGCGCCGGGCGTGCGCGGGTCCGTCGCGCTGGAGTCGATCCAGGCCATGGCGGGGGAGGCAGGCGGGCCGGGTGCGCGCGACGGGGACGCGGGACCGCCGTCGCCGTCGCCGGGGACGCCGCAGGCGGTGGGCGCGTCGCCTGGGAGCCCGACGCAGGCGGGCCGGCGCGTGGGCGGCAGCAGCGGGGGGAGTCCGCTGCGTCAGTCGGTGTCGGCCCAGTACCGCAGCGCGAACAGCAGGGGCCGGGCGAAGTGGGCGACCCCGGAGGGGTCGGAGTCGATCCGGGCTGCGCGGGAGCGGCTCGCGAGTGGCGCGGGCGGTCCGCTGCGGGCGCCGGGCTGGGCGGCGCGACCGGACGTGCAGCACATGCGGCGGCGCATGCAGGAGCTGAGCAGGGGGGGGAGTGTCGGGGACTCGCCGTCGAGCCGGACGGACGCGTCCGAGGCGAAGGTCGCGCGCACCACTGAGGCCCAGAGCGGCGTGCGGCCCGCGCAGGACGCGCGCACAGATGCGGCGGCCGGCGACGGCGCTGCCCCCTCGCACGAGGCGCCTTCGCCCAGCACGCCGCTTGACGTGCTTGCGCCGGACGCCACGTTCACGATGGGGTCCTCGCACGACCGCGGCTCGAAGACGCGGAGATCCGCGGGGCTCTCCGCGAGCGAGTCGAACGGCCTGCACGCAGCGCCGACCGCGGCCCCCCCCGCCACGCCACCGAAGACCGCGGCGCAGCGGCAGTCGGAGGGAGGCGCGTCGGACGCGATGGTGGAGCTCGGGGACACCGCGCCGGACATGCCGGAGGCCGCGTCGCCCGTGACGGGCGCGTCGCTGCCCCTGGTCAGCGAGCCCGCGCCCTCGCCGGAGAAGCAGCCCGCGGCGCGGTCCTCGGTGGGCATGGCCAAGATCCGCCAGGGTGCGCTCGGGGGCGGCGCAGAGCAGAAGAAGCCGAACATCATGTACACGCTGCCGTCGTCGCCAGCGCCACCGCCGGAGCCGCGCCCTGCGCCCGCGGCGCCCGCCCCGCGCGACGAGGCCCGGAACATGATGCAGCTCCTCGCGCCCGCGCCTGCGCCGGCCTCGCCGTCGCGGCCCGGGACCGCGCGCACGCCGCAGTCCCCGGGCAAGGACGAGTCCCCCCGCCCGACACGCGCCCCCAAGCTCAAGCCTTGGTCGCCCCGGAAGGAGGACCTGCCGCGGTCGTCGCTGTCGGGCAAGCAGGGGCGGGAGTCGGTGCGGCTGTCGCTCTCCCGCGTCCGCGCGGACGGCGCGGTGTCGGTCAGTCTGACGGTGGATTCGCTGTCCGAGTTGCGGCGCAGCTCGGGGCAGAACTCCGCGCCGGTGTCGCGCTCGGGGAGCCTCGCGGGGAGCCTGCGGATGTCCGGGAGCGGCGCGCCGAAGTCGCACGGGTGGTCGCCGAAGGACGAGGAGGCGCTGAACCCGCCCGCCCGCCACGGGAGCCTCCCGTCGCAGCCCGCACCGCTGGCAGCGCCGGCCCCCGCGGCGAAGGACGCCAACGCGCGGCCTTCGGCCGGCGCGGCGCTGAAGTCCCTCGCGGCACGGGCCTTCAACCGGCGCGCGGGGCGCAGCCGTGGCAGCGGCACGTGGCCCCCGCGGCAGGGCCCAGAGGTGCCGCAGACCGCCGCCGAGGTCGCCGCCCACGACGAGGCCGCCGCGGCGGGGCGGAAGGCGCCGTGGCTCGGCGCGACGCCGCTCTCGGCGCCGCTGAACGAGCCCCCGCCAACGCCTCCGGCGCGAGACTCGGGCGTCAGCGAGGGGCTCGACGAGCGGGAGACGTCGCAGCTGGAGTCAGCGGTGTCGCCCGCGACGGGCGCGGAGATCATGCTGGGGCCCCAGACGGACGCGGCGGAGAGCGCGCCGCCGCAGCCGGTCCCCTCCGCGCCGCCAGCGCAGGCCCTGCCGTCGCCGGCTTCGCGCACGGGGATGCTCGTCGCTGCGAGCGCCACGCTGCGCGACGCCACAGAGGCGCTCCGTGGGATCCAGTGGCTCTCGAGCGCGGACGGCGCGCCGCCTCCGGCCACGGAGGACCTGCAGCGCTCGCTCGCGGCTCTCGAGTTGGAAGCCAGGAAGATCCGAGAGGCCTTGGCCAGCCGCGGAGCCCCGCTGCGCGCCCCGGCCGCTGCGTCGCTCGAGGCGCTGGATCCGTTCGCGTCGGAGGCGGGCCTGGGCCTCGGGCTGGAGGCTCGCCTGGACCAGTCGATCGAGCGGCATAGCAACAAGTTGGCGCAGGTGCTGGAGGAGCGGCTCGCGAAGCGCCTCGAGGAGCGCATGGCGGAGATGCTGGGTAGCCTGGACTTGCACGGGAGTGGCAGGCAGGGGCAGGGAGGAGCGCGGGGACAGTGAGTGTGACGCTTCAGGCATCTGCATGCTGTCGCTGTTTCGAGATGACCGTGTGCGTCGCGTGTCTCAGCGACAGAGCGAGATCCAGGATGGATGTCGGCGCGCCACCGCTGTCCCTGGTCAGCATGACCTCAGGTGGGCAAGTCCGTCATACTGATTCTACGTTACAGGACGCGCCGGATGCTGATGTTTATTCGACAGCTGCGCATGTAGTTCGCGATATTATCGCCCGCAGGTCCCTCATTGGTGTCATCCGCAGGAGGTGCGCAGAGCTGCCGCCAGTCTGGGTCGTCTTCCGTCAGCACGCGCGGCACGCCGTGAAAGTGCTGCCGCGCGGGGCCCGCCATCACCACCACGTCTCCGCCCCGAAGGATCAGCGGCGTGGGTGGCTCCTCCTTCGTCGCGCCCCCCGACAGAAACACCGCTGCGCAGCCGAGCGAAACAGCAACGAGGGGCTGCGACTGGTCACGTTCGGCGTCGTCGCGATGCCCGCCCAGGGTGTCGCCCTTGCGGTAGTAGTTCACGAGCGCTGCGTCAGGCTCAAACCGAGGCGCCGCCCCGCACGTGGCTTCCACCGCAGCCTGTGCGAGCGCCTTGAGTTCGGCAGGAAGCGGCCGCCAAGGCTTGTCGTCGCGATACCGCCTCTCCGTCCAGTCGTACGTCGGGCCGATCGACGCCCAGCGCAGCCGCCGGAGCAACGCCGTCGCTTCCGGCGCACCAGCGTCCCCCTCGCGCACCCACGCGGGGCTCCCCGCGGGGTCGCGCCCGAGCCTGAGCCCTTGCTCCGCGGCATCCCAGAGCGCGGGCGGTAGGGTGCCGTGCGCGGCGTCGTGGTTGGTCGTCGCGGGGGGATCCGGCAGCGAGCACACTGCTAGCTTGAACAATTCATACTGGCGCTGCTTGGGGACCATCTGAGGCAGAACGTACAGCCCCGGCCGGTCGGCGACGGACACCACGTCCGCGCCGCATGGCCCGCGCGAAACCCTCACGTTCGGAAACGTTTGGTGCTGCGGAACACACACTTCCTCCGTATCGCGAGTGTTGTCGCCGCCGCTGGTTGGCGCGAGCGTGACGGATGGACAGACCGTGGATAGGTCGACGCAGGCGCTCAGGTCCGTCGGCACGTGCTCGTAGCCGACGACGGTGTTTCTGCCACGCTGCCGCTTCGTCACCTCCCTCGTCTTCCGCTGATACGTTTTTTCAGCGACGCGAAACGCCGTCAAGTCGCCCTGTCTCTCAGCCATTCACGCACCGCAAGCAGCTCGCGCCGGACTTCAGCTGCGCCTCTGTTCACGGCGGGCCAGCTGCAAAGCATCCAGGCCCCCCCCGCGCGGCTAGCATCGTGCGTTCGATAGTCGCCCGGATGATGCACTCCCTGCACACATGCCTCATCAGCGCGTTGACATCGACCGCAGCTGTACGGTTGATGCGGCGCTGAGCACGGCGATCGTCCTGCCGTGAGAGCACACACAGACCACCCAAATGCACGATGCACGATGCAGGCTGCTCTTCAAGTTTCATCACTTGGCGACAGTCCGCAACGTGCAAACGCTGCAGCGGCAACGAGCAGCCAGGGCGCTGACGCAGGCCTGTTCGAGACGTTCCTAGGGGTGTGAGGTGAAAGTCCCTCGAGCGCCGTGCGGGCTCTTGTTGATGGGCGGAACAGATAGGCCGTACTCGCAGGAGAAGACCGTGGGCAGCTAGCGACGCAGGTCGGCACGAGCTTGCCGCGGCACGCCAGCAAGGAACGTCCATGCAATTTGCGTCCCGTGCGTCGTCGCAATTGGTGACGCGGATGTCTTTCTGCGGCCCTCGGGCAGTGTCATCTCCCTCGAAGCACCTCAGCGTTCAGTCGACGCGCGCCCCGACCCGCCTCGTGGCCCCCAGCTCCCGAAACACCTCTGCCAAGGTCTGCCGCTCGGCGCCAACGAACCCGCGAATGCAAGCGGCCATGACGCGCTCTACGTCGCCACCAAGGTTCGAACGTCGCATTCCGATGACGGCGGACGCCCCCCGCGTGCCCTGCAGGCGTCGAGCACCATGGCCTCAGCTGCTACTATCGACCAGAAGATGGCCTTGCTGAGCACGGACGAGGCGCAGATCCCCGTCTGGCGGCACTTCTTCGCGTTCACCGACGTGCCCCGCCCGAGCGGCCACGAGGAGCGCGTCGTCCAGATGCTGAAGGACTTTGCTGACCAGCGCGGGCTGGTGTGGAAGCAGGACGCGATCGGAAACATCGTGATCAAGCGGCCAGGGAGCGGGGGCGGCGAGTCCGCGCCGTCCGTGGTCATTCAGAACCACGTCGACATGGTGACGGAGGCGAACTCGGACTCGACGCACGACTTTATGAAGGACCCTATCAAGGTGCCGGCGGCCTTCAAACGTCCGCGCGCTCCGTGAACGAGTCACCCGGCTTTGAGCACGACCCCTGTTCGCCCTCGACCTCGCCCGCGACGAGCTCGTTCCCGCTCTCGCGTGCGCGCAGCTGCTGCGAGATGGCGACTGGATCCATGCCGATGGCACCACGCTGGGCGCCGACAACGGAGTGGGCGCGGCAACGGCGCTCGCGCTGCTCGACATGCCGAAGGACGCGAAGCTGCCTCCGATCGAGGGCCTGTTCACCATCGACGAGGAGCGCGGGCTGACCGGGGCGTTTGAGCTCGACCCGTCGCTGATCGAGGGGCGGATGCTGCTGAACCTGGACACGGAGGACTGGGGCGTGATCTTCATCGGCTGCGCGGGCGGCGGCGACTCGAAGATCACGTTGCCTGTGACGCGCACGGCGCTGCCGTCTGGCGCCAAGTGCTGCGAGGTCGCGGTGACGGGCCTGCTCGGCGGGCACTCGGGCCTGAACATCCACGAGGGCCGGGGCAACGCGGTGCAGATGCTCGCGGAGGTCCTCGCCGCGATCTCCAGGACGGACGGAAACATGCGCGTCGCGTCGGTCGACGGCGGCGACAAGCGCAACGCCATCGCCCGCGAGGCCCGCGCCGTGATCGCGGTGGAAGACCCCGCAGCGGCCGCCAAGGTCGCGGAGAAGTGCATGAAGGACTTCCGGCTCGAGTACGGCACGCTGGAGGCGGGTCTGTCCATCGCGGCGACCGAGGTGCCGGCGCCAGACGTCCCCGCGCTGGACGTGGCGTCGACGGGCAAGATGCTCGCGCTGCTCCGCACGCTCCCGCACGGCGTCGCGAAGATGTCGCACTCCCTCCCGAACCTGGTGGAGACGTCAAACAACGTGGCCGCGGTCAAGGAGGACGCGCCGGGGGGATCGTCCCTGATCGTCACGTGCGCGACGCGGTCCTCCGTTGGGCCGGCGCTCGAGACGCTCCGCGGGAAGATCAAGGCGATCGCGGAGCTCTGCGGCGCCGAGTGCGTGCAGGAGGACGCCTACCCCGGGTGGCAGCCCAACCCCAACTCCACGCTGCTGAGCCTCGCCAAGTCGCAGTACCAGGAGCTCCTGGGGCGCGAGCCGGGCGTCGAGGCCATCCACGCGGGGCTGGAGTGCGGCATCATCGGCGAGAAGATCCCCGGCATCGAAATGATCTCGATGGGGCCCAGCATCACGGGCGCGCACTCGCCGGACGAGCGCGTGTGCGTGCCGACGGTCAAGCCGTTCTGGGACGTGACGCTCAAGCTGCTTGAGAAGCTGGCGGACGTCAAGGCGTAAGGTGACAACACCATGTGATTACACCTCGGGGATTTTGGGCTCGGAGGGCCCCTCGAGCGACGCTCGCCCGCCCGTGCGCACGCTCCTGCGCTCCGCCCGCGTCCGCGCGTCGCCCAGCCGCGCCACCATGTCCAGCCGCTGGGCCGCCTCGGTCACCTCCCTCAGGTTCTTCTCCACAGCCGCCTTGGACGTGGCGTCCAGCCCCTTGGCCTCCATCGCGGCCTCCTCCAGCTCCTCCACGACGCCCTGCAGCACGCTCGCGCGCGACAGGCCCCCGGACTGCCCGGCCATCGACCGGCGCATCATTGTGACGGATTTGCGCTGCGCCGTCATGCGCTGCGACATGCGCTCCAGGCCGGGGCTGGTGCGCGACAGGTTCTCCATCTCCTCCGCGGCGCTGTCGAGCCTGCGCTCGAGGAGCTTGTGCTCGACCATGGCGAGCGAGCTGCGCGCGAGCGGGTGGGCCTTGTCGTCGGGGTCGTGGGCGCTGCGGAGGTTGACCATGGCGCCCGTGCGGTACTGGAAGATGTCGTAGGTGTCGACGATCCAGTAGGTGAACACCTTGGCGGCGTCCTGGATGAACCACCACACGATGCAGTACAGCCACACCCACACAAACCACGCCTTGTAGCCCGAACCCATGGCCAGCCCGGTGACGGGGATGCCGTTGGTGCTGCCGTCCGGCCAGACAATGGCCAGGATCGTGGAGAGGGCCATGGAGAAGCAGGCAGCGAACATCATGAGCTTGCCTGGGCGCCGGCCCCAGAAGTAGGTCTCGTGCGTGCGTGCGCTGAACAGAGTCAAAAAGTCCGAGATGGACACCTTGAGGTAGATCATGGTGACGATCTTCCCGTACGGCATCGCCGGGAGCGACAGCGCGGCGAAGACGCCCGAGGGGTTGTGTGAGTCGAGCGCAGCCCAGAGGAGGATGAGCGACGACACGCAGGCGATGGAGCCGAGGACGGACGAGATGAGGAACAGCACGCGGAGGTTCCACTTCTCCGGGCGCTGGCTCGGAATGACGTTGTCGTAGCCGATCGAGATCAGAGTGCCGTCGTTCAGCAACGTGATGAGCATCAGCATGATGACGGGGAGCGAAAAGAACTCGGGGGCCTCCTGGCAGAAGGCCTCGTCGCGCGTGAGCGACTCTGTCGGGCGCTCCCCGCGCACCGTCTCCACGCTGCAGTCCGGGATGTACTCCTTCGGGTCGAACGCGAACACCGCGATGAAGAAGAAGAAGAGAAGCTGCAGCGTGGCGGCGATACGGTAGTTCAGGAAGTTCTTGATGCGGCAAAAGATCTCGCGGGCGATGCGGATGGCCTCGACCACCACCGACAGCCCCGGCGACGTCAGGACGATGTCCGCGGCCGCGCGCGCAGCGTCCGTGGCGTCCGCGACGGCGATGCCCACGTCCGCTCGCTTGAGCGCCGGCGCGTCGTTGACACCGTCGCCTGTCATCCCCACGCCGAAGCCCTGCTGCCGCAGCGCCTCCACGATGATGTACTTGTGCTCCGGGAACACCTGGGCGAACCCGTCCGTGTCGAGGATCAGCTGCCCGTAGCGGCGTCCTGCGGGGCGACCGGGGATGTTTACGCGGGCGGTCGCACCAAAGAACAACACCGGCGGGGCATTGCAACTGAATGTCACCGTTTCACCACGGGCGCGTGCCGCCCGGAAGGGACAGGCCGGTGTGCAAGTGCGGGATGGGTGCAGAGCGCGCTCATGGCTCACCTAGGTCGTCGGGGACCTTGCCGTCCGGCGGCAGCGTGGGGAGGCCCTCGGGCCCGAGCACCTGGTCGCCCATGGAGAGCATGCGGCACATCTCCTTGGCAATGAGGGTGTGGTCGCCCGTAATCATCTTGACGTCGACGCCGTACGCCATCGCGCGCTCGATGGTCTCCTTCGTGTCGTGGCGCGGGGGGTCCAGGAACGTGAGCACGCCCATGAGGTTCCACTTCCCGTCCGGGTCCGTCGCGGCCACGGTGAGCGAGCGGATCCCGCGCTGCCCCAGGTCCTGCACGATGGCCTGCACCAGCGGCGCGAGCTGCTCCTTCTTGTGGTCGATCATCGCGAGGATGACGTGCGGCGCGCCCTTTGTCACCTTGAATGTCGCGCCGTCGGGGCCCACGAGCGTGGCCTCCGTCCGCTTCGTCGTGGGGTCGAACGGCAGGAAGTCGATCTGCTTGTACTTGTCGCACCAGTCGAGGTTCGCGGCGCCCAGGACCATGGTGTCCAGAGCGTCGCGGGGCGGCTCGCGCCACTTGGCGGCCAGCGCGGCGTACTGCAGCACGTCGTCGCGCGAGGGCTTCTTCAGGTGCGGGATGTTGGTGTCGAACGTCGGGCACTCCTGCTGGATCTCCATCCGGTTGCAGGTGAGCGTCCCCGTCTTGTCCGAGCACAGGATGTTCATCCCGGCCATCTCCTCGATCGCCGTCAGGTTCGTCACGATCGCCTCGAACGCCGCGAGCTGCTTCGAGCCCAGGGCCAGCGTGGTGGTCACCACAATCTCGATCGCGATCGGGATGCTTGCCACGAGCACGACGACGGTGAACTCGACCGACTCCTCGAACGGGACGTCGCGCCCGGCCATGAGGTACCCGAACGCCGTGAAGCACATCACCAGCGAGAGCCCCACGAGGATGAACATGATCTTGAGCAGCAGCTTCTGCAGGTTGCCGAGGCCCTCGACGCCCTGGATCAGCGTGGCCGTCTTCCCGAAGAACGTGTTGCCGCCCGTGAACTCCACCGTCGCCTCCACTTCGCCCCGCACCACCGTGGAGCCCATCTTGGCCGAGTCGCCGCGGTAGAACGTCACGGGGAGGGACTCCCCCGTCAGCGCCGCCTGGTCCACGTCGATCTGCCCGTGGTTCACCAGGCAGTCCGCGGGCACCGCCGACCCCGCGCCCAGCAGCACGAGGTCGCCGGGCACCAGCTCCGCGGCGTCCATGTTCTGCCACGTGCCGTCGCGCTTCACCGTCGCCTTGGGCTTCAGCGACGCCTTCAGCGCCGCCACGGCGTCGCCGGCCTTGGTCGTCTCGTAGTACGCGATCGTCGCGTTGGTGAACTGGATGCCGAGGAGGATCGCGGCGTCTATGTAGGCCTGGATGGCAAACTCGATGATGATGGCGATCCAAATCATGATGGGCATCGGGCCGTACAGCTGCTCGGCGTAGATCAGCCACTTCGGCTTGGCCTTCTCCGACAGCTCGTTGCGGCCGTACTGCGACAGGAGCTCCGCAGCCTCTGCGCGCAGGGGCAGTGGGCGGCAGTCGTAGCACCGTCACCGTACGTGTAGGCGTGGCGGCGCAGCGCGAACTGCAATGTACGTGATAGCCGGCCCCGCGGGGTCGGGAGGGCGGCGCGGGTGATCGAGGTGCCGGGGCGCCTGGGGCGACTTAGGGTGCACTGAGCTGATGCCTCGCGTGGGGGGCCTGGGACGGGTGAGGTCGCCCGCGGGGTGCGCGCGGTGGGGGCTCGTCAGCAGGTTACCGCATCCATCTGTTGCAGGAGCGGAATGGATGTTTGCAGGGCCGAGGCAAGGTGTCGGGGGCCCACACAGGCGGCCCCCTGGGGCGGCAGCTCAGCAGCAGCGAATCGATCGTCGCGCACGCCGGCACATATGCACGAGCTCTGCTGCTTGTGAGGGGCGCGAAATGTCTCTGCGGCGGCGGCGGCGGCGGCGAGCTGGCGGGCGCCCCTGTCGACTCGGCATCGCTGGAACCCGCTCCGACTCCATGACGGCGCATTTGCGTAATTGGCGCAGGCTCACGATTACCCACGTATCAGAGAGCCCGTACGGTTGCGGAACGGCCCGTCAGCGGCCTGGAGCGCGGCTTGATGCTCTATTGCCGGCTACGTTAGGCTCGACGAAAATGCGCCCGCATCAGAGAATCGACCGGGACCTCGGGCACGGCACGTCGACAAAAGCCTCGAAGGGATGCTGTTCATCGGCCGAGTCGCCAGGGGAACGCCGACAAGGCTCGGGTCTCGAAGACCTCACGTGCAGGAAGAATGGCCACACGGCGCACTGCTTCCGCGCGCGGGGCACAAGCTCACCTCCGGAGGTCAGTCCCTCAGATGGCTTGAACTCGACATTCGCCTTCTCGTCCCCGGAACCGCCCTCCTTCGGGGCTACGTCGTCCTTGGACATGACTCCAGCTGGCTCTCCCCGCACGGGTCGACCGCCGCGGGCCTCAGCCAACAGAAAGGTCCTGCGCGTATGACTCGGTCGCGGTGCACCAGTGGCGCAAAGACCCCGCTGGGAGCGCCCTGCAGGCCGCCTCAGGCGGCAGCCGCTGAGCGCTGGGACCCCTCCACGGGCCCCGTGCCGGACCCACCCGGCCACCCCGCCGTCGTGGAGCGCGCGCCCGGCGCCGACAGAGTACTGCCGAGTAGCTCGACTGTCCAGAGATCGACGCGGTCCACCTCCCGTCGCGCCGAGAGAGGGCCTAGGCCTGGGCGCCGCACCACGGCTGAAAAGTGCCGCCTCCACAGCGCCCGTCCTGGATCTGCTTGGGACGCCGCGCAGCGCGAGGGACGATCGCGGTCAAATGGCGATGTTCTTGCAGCGCTGGCTCAGCCTAGTGGCGGCCTTGCGCATGCTGTCAGGTGAGGGTGCACCGGCAGAGCAGCAGCGCCTCCGGGGACCGTCAGACCTTCCCCTGCTCCTATGCGCACGGCCGCCGATCACCGGCCCGTCCTGACTTCGATCCCACCTGCCCGCTGGCCGCGGCAGAGTCTTGCGCCTGGAGCGGCGCCGGGACACGCTCGCGAGCGAATGCGGTGTTGCAGCCCGCAGCGCCGCGCGCGAGGGTCTGCTCGAGCACACGTGCTGTATCACGCATGTGTAAGATCTGGACATGCAGTTCGACGTGCCGGCCTGCGGCCGGCGGCTGCGAGGAGGGAGATGCAACGTTGCTAGATGTCTGCCGGGCAGTTCCGTCGGCCTGCTCGGCTGGGCGCGCGCTCAACGCTCGCCGCCTGGTGCTCGCCGTGTCGCAGTTTTCATCGGGATCCTAAATGTAGATAAGTTCAAGACGCAGCTCTTCGACCTGAAGCCCGAACAGGTGCTGACACACCGCACCTGGCCTTGGCCGTCTGCACGCGGACGCGCGCGCCGGTGCGAGCCGTGCGCGCGTCGCGGTCTCCCCGCGCCGTGCTCAGCGGCCCATGCATCTCGCCGATCCCGGCCGCGCGGCGGTGCGGGCGCAGGCCGTCTGGCGCGCCAGTGCCACGGCAGCCCCGACGCACGGCCGCCCGCCCCGCTGCACCCGCAGGTGACGCCGCTGTACGGCAGGACGTTCGCGGCGTGGACCGCGGTCACGTGCGTGCTGTGCGTGCTGTGCGCGAGGAACCCGACGGAGCCCTCCATCTACCACGCCACGATGGCGTCGTTCGGCGTCGCGCTGCTGCACTTCGCGGCCGAGTACTTCGTGTACGAGACCATGTCGCTGCGGACCGTCGCGAGCCCGGGCATCATCGCGTCGGTGTCCTTCCTGTGGATGTTCATGGGCCGAACATATTACCTCGAGGACGTCAAGACCGACTAGCGGCGGGCGCGCGCGCCGCGGGGCCGCGGCTGGTGCCCAGCAACGTGGGAGCGGACGGGCGCGGGCCGGCTCGTTGGGGGAGTTTCACAGGGGCGTGTGCGGGGCACGCCAGCTATTGGGTCGGGATTACCACGTCACGTGGGGCGCCTAGTTCAGGTTGCGGTCGCCGGGGGGGCGGCCGCTGAGGATGTGGTCCGCGACGTCGTTGAACGTGCGGGCGTCCGTGCCGTACAGGAGGCACGCGATGCCTGCGCCGCGCGCGCCCCACAGGTCGTTGCGCCGGTCGTCGCCGATGTGAATCACCTCCTCGGGCTCGCACCCGAGCCGCCGCAGCGCCTCCTGGAAAATCAACGGCGACGGCTTCTCCGCCTGCACCGCGCGGGCGCCCCCACCGCAGTCAGACAGCGTGCGTGGAGCGCGAGCCCCCGGGCGAGCAAGACACGCACACAGCCGTCCGTCCTGGGGTCCGCGGTGTGCTCACCTCGACCTCCGCGGAGCACACGACGGTGTCGAAGTAGTTGGCGAGTCCGACTGTTTCTAGGATCTTGCCCAGGCGGGTGTCGAAGTTGGACACCACCGCCAGCTTGAGACCCGCGTCTTTCAGCCGCTGGATGGCCTCGGGGGCGCCGGGGGCGACCATCCACGCCTCGCTCTTCTCGTAGTATCTGCACGGGGCGCGGGGACGTGTCGATCTGTGCGGCGCAGCGAGTCGGACCGATGACGACGATGATGGCACGCGCCGTGCGCGGAACGAGTGGGCGCGTGGGTCGCGGCGGCCGGGCGACGCGCGGGGCGACCCCCGCATCTCGCGCGCCGGCCTGTGCGCACCTGTAAATGTCTTCAAATATCGCCGGGTCGTCGCTCCCGATGGCTTCCGTGACGATGACCTGCCAAAAGTCCCTCGCGTCCCCGTTGAAGCGGAGGGGCCGAGGCCACGGCCGCTGGTAGGCGGCGCGATACCGCCGGAGGATGTCCTGCGCGGAGCAGCGGGGCGCGGCTCGTCGTCCCGGCCGGCGGCGACACGGGGCGAGGTGCAAGTACATCACGCCTGCCGGGCGAGCATTCGCGGCCGGGAGGTGCCCCCTGACGGGCGCGGCTCGCGACAGGCGACGGTGGCGTCTAGCAGGCGACTCCCACGGCCCCGCTCACCTTCTGCGACACGGTTAGCCCATGGCGCTTGGCATAGCGAGCGTAGACGGCCATGACCGTCTCGCTGGGGCTGATCAGGGTGCCGGCCGCATCGAAGGTGACTGCCTTGACTGCAGCTGACCGGCTCTCCTCGACAAGGTGCTTGAGGCCCTCCAGGCCCCTCTTGTCGGAGCTGCTCTCTCCACTTGATGAGGACAGGGCCCGCTCGCGCACCCCTTGGGGCTGGTCCTTTCGGCTGGACGCGCATCTCGTGACGTACCCCCGCTCGAGGGCTGAGCGGGGGTAGCGGCGCTCGCCGGTGAGCGTGCGGATGGCCCCTTGGCAGTTGCTCAGTAGGGCACGCCGCACAGACACTGTGCGCCACGCCATGCCGCGGGACATGGCTCGCTCGAATCCATGGGAGTACGACATGGTGGCAAGCCCTGCCAGCAAGGCCAAAAAGCGACCACTGGGAGCGGGAAAGCCGAACCTAGTCAGCTCGGCGCCCAACTGCCGCGTCCCTACCGCGTTCAACGCACGCGTGCCGGGTAGTCCGGGCAGGAGAAGAGCTGGGCGCCGCGGACTCGCAGCGGAACCCAGCGCTGGCGCCGCTACTGCAGCTCCTGAAGTGCTTGAGAAGGGCGCGCAGGACTGTCCTGGACAGCCGTCAGCAGCCCTAGCGTCAGGTGCTCGGGATGTGTGCCTCGACACAATACGAAATTATCGTCACGGCAGGCTCCATTGTAGGCCTTCTGGTGACCAGCCGAGTGACTCGCATCGAGTGCCCCATGTGGTGTCAGTTGGCACCCGCGCGACGAGTCAGTGCCCCCCCCGTCTCACGTCGACAGTGCGTTGGAAGGTCTCGTCGCGCGGCCGCTACGGCGCGTCGGTGCATCGCTCCCTTCATCGTGTCACATCACATACATGTTTGCATTACGACCCCCCGGCCGGGGGCAAACCGCGCAGACGAAGCTGCATGCGTGACATGTACGATCGCTAGATCACGCTTCGTCTGGTTGTGAGAGGAGGGGGATGGAAATTTGGGCAACATAATAAAGTGAATGCAAAATGTTTCTTCTCAACTTCGGCAAGCAAGTCTATCGGGATCAGATGGCTCGGGGACGACAAGGTGCGCCGATCGAACGGGCGCCCGTCTACACATCGGGCCGCGTGGTGTTGCTTCCTGGCACAGCAACGTCGTCACTCGACATCCTGGCCCAGGAGCGACTTGTCTTGGCCCCCCGTCGCCTTGCGGCCCAGCTCCGCGGGCGAATCCGGCCGGGACTGCCCCACGCGATCCATGGCCATCGTGAGCAGGTGGTCCTGCTCCGGCCTCCACACGTCGCGCATGTTTGCGCGCTTCCCGGCCCGCAGCAGCCTGTGCGCGGCGTCCCGCACCTCGGCCGCGCGCTCCGTGATTTCGGCACCGTCGAGCGGGGCCACGTCCGCACCGCTCTCGGACAGCTGCCCCCTCGGGGAGAGGTCGGTCAGCACCAGCTCCGCCACTGCCTCGACGACCTGCAGCATGTCGCCGTCGAAGGGCATCTCCGTGGTGGCCGCGACGTAGAGCAGCTCGCTGGTGCCGACGAGCAGCTCCGCGAGCTGCGCCGCCTTGCAGCGCGCCCGCATGACGTCCAACTGCATGGTGGCGCCCAGCGTGCTCCTCTGCTGCTCCGCGCGCAGCTCGTCGTGCTTGTCCAGCATCATCGCCTCCGCCGCCGCCTCGCGCGAGTACACCGCGCGCACCGGCTGCCGCCCGCCCCCGCAGCACAGCAGCAGGCCCCGCAGCCCCAGCCGCGGCACCTCGAGCTCGATGCCCGCGGCATCCAGGCCCAGGATCAGCGCGGCCTCCGCGCCGTCGATGTTGCGCACGCCCAGGTTCGCACGCGCGGCCATCTGGCTCCACAGCAGCAGCCGCGCCGGCGTCACCTTGAACACGTGCTCCTCCGCGCCCTCGCCCGCCGTCCGCCTCCCGCGGGAGCGCGAGAGCGAGCGCTGCCCGCGCGAGAGCGAGCGAGCGTAGTGGCTCGACGTGAACGAGCGCGTGTCGCGGTGCCGCGAGGGTCGGCGCGGGGTGACGGGGGGCTCCCCGCCCTCGTCGGAGAGCTCCGAGTCCCCAAACGAGGTGCGGAAGAGGTCCGGGGCGGCCACGGGGACGACCGGGAGCGCCGCGACGGCCTCGGCGCGGCCGAGGAAGCGCAGCGTCTCGGCGTGCGCGCCGGCGGCGAGCGCGAGCAGCGCGGCCTGCTCCCAGAGCAGCACGGCGTTCTCGAGTCGCTCGGCCAGGGAGGCCGACATCCATTCGAGGGAGCGCGAGAGATGGTGCGCGACGACCGAGGGCGGCACGCCGCCGCTCTCCTGCATGACGTGCGCCACGTCCGCGTGGATGCGCGCCTGCTGCGACACCGGGATGAGGCTGTAGGCCACCTGGCGCGACAGGTGCGTGGAGAACCGGAAGCACTTGGAGCCCCCCTCGCCGAGCATCGTGCCCGCGGAGCCGTCCTGCGGCACGAGCACCGTGCCGTCGAGGACGCCCCACTGCGCGGTGCCGCTCAGCGCCGGGTCGAGCGGGTGCACGATGCCTGCCTCGGTGAGGTGCGTCAGGTCTGCCAGGAGCTGCTCCTCGGACAGGCGGATCGGGTGCACGCGCTGCACGACCGACAGCGGGAACACCTCGCCCACGACGCTCGCGACCTTGATCGACAGCTGCACCGACGCCGGCAGCAGGTCGAGGCGCTGCGTGATCACCGACAGCATCAGGTCCTCCCCGCGCAGGTCCGCCGGGAGGCCCGTGACCGCGCGGAGCACCGCGGCCTCGTCGTTGCGGCCCAGGACGTGCAGGTATCGCACGAGCTGCTCCGTCAGCAGCGGGTGGCCGCCGGCGCGCGCGTGCACGGCGTCCACGTGGGACAGCACGGGACTGTTCGGGCCGCACAGGAACTCCGCGAGCTCGTACACTTGCTGCCGCGTGAGGGGCTCGAGCTGCACGACGTGCGAGTCCGGGCGGCGCTTCAGCACGGCGTACTGCACGTCGAGCTGCGCCTGCGCGATGAAGTCCGGGTCAATGCTCAGGATCGTCAGCGGGCCCTGCTTGCCGAGCGAGGTGATGCGCTGCAGGAGCTGCCAGGACGAGTCGTCCATGAGATGCGCGTCGTCGATCACGAGCACCACGCTCCCGCACGTCTCCGCGATGCCCTGCAGGATCTGTGCCATCAGCGACACCAGCGCCGTCTCCTCCGCCTCGCTCTTCGGCAGCGGCCGGGCTAGCGTGGCCATCCCCGTCAGCACGGGCGCAAGCGTGTCCGCCTCGCCCGCGCGCGTGGGGCTGCGCGGGTCCGCCATGGAGGACAGCGCCCGCAGCATGCTCGCCTGCTTGTTGAGCTCCGCGGCATCCGTCACCCCGACGTTGCCGCCCGGCGACGGGGCATCGTCCAGCGTCTGCAGCTCGGGCACCCCGCCGAGGCCGGCGTCGGGCTCGCCGCGGTTCTTCCCGAGCGTGGAGGCGGCCTTCATCATCATGGCCGCGCTGCGCTCGCGGTGCAGGTTGACGCGCGACATCGTGCGCGTCGCCCGCGGCACGCGCAGCGTCTTGACCTTGGTGTTCTTCGGCGTCTCCGGGACCTCCTGGTGCGGCTTCGGTAGGGCGAAGGGAAGCTGCGACGGGGGGATGCCGAGCGTGGAGGTCAGCAGTCCCACCGTCTCCGCCTGCTCGTGGAGGTGGATCGCGGCCCACCGGCTGAAGCGGTCCTGGTCCAGACGAGGTATGCAGCGGAGCCTCGCGAAGAGCTGCGCGAGCAGGCGGACCCAGGGCCCGAGCAGAGTGCCACGAGAAAGCGGCTCCACGGACGTGCGGGCGAGGAACGCGATTTCGCGGCCGTCCATGCTGCGTCGCGGTTCCCCTGGTATGATGGCGTCGGTCTTGTGCATCGGGCAATGCTCGTGCTTGCCGTTGGGCCGCTCCTCGCACGTGCAAATGGAGCCCTGCTCCGTGGCCTCTCGGAGCGCAAACTGCAGGCGGGAGGCTGGTTCGCAAGGTCAGGGCGCATCGCACAAAGCACTGCGGGCACGTCACGACTGAGCACGATGCGAGGAGCGTTGAGGCATCGTTTGCAAGCAGGGCGCCGCACGTTGAGGATTGCCGTCTTCCCGGCGCCCTTCTCCGCCTCGATGATGACCGTGTGTCCCCCCGTGCCTCCGACGTGCTGCTGCAGCAGCTGCTGCAGCCGGTCCTTGACGCCCTCGCGCCCAAACAGCGGCGTCGACGGCGCGAACCACCCCTCGCGGCCCTGCGCCTTGGTCTGCACGCCCGCTGTGTCTTCCTCCTCGGTGCCCTTGACGCCGACGAGCTCGAAGATCGGGATGGGCTCCGTGCGCCCCTTGACCTCGATCTCGCCCAGGGGCTGGAACGCGCCCGTGTCGCGCGCGCCCTCCGCGAGCGCACTGCAGCACATGATCTGGTCCGCGCCGCTCTTCTTCGCGCGGCACATCAGCCGGGCCGAGAGGTTGATGGCGTTCCCGAACACGGTGTACTCGCAGCGCCATCGGCTGCCCACGCGCCCGCAGAGCAGCTCCCCGCGGCTCATCCCCGCGACCGTCAGGAAGCCCTCCTCCTTCATCTTCCTGCGGATCTCCCACGCGGCCCGCACGGCGCGGCTCGCGTCCGTCGGGCGCGCGCGCCCAGGCAGCCCGAAGGCGCAGATGCAGAGATAGCCCTTCTCGTCGCACCGGATCTGCAGCAGGTCGCCGTTGTGCTTCGCCATCGCGTCCCTGACCACCTTGAAGTGCAGCTGGACGGCGCCGAGCGCCGACGACGCGTCAGGCCACGGCTGCGTGAGGCCGGGGAAGCCCAGGAAGAGCGTGGTGATCTCGCGGACCTCGGACAAAAACTCTCCCTGGTTGTGCTCGAGCCGCTCGCGGATGAACGGCAGCACGTGCCCGCCGACCATGTTGACCAGCTGCGTGCGCTGCAGCCCGTCCAGCTGCGCGATGTCGAGGTCGTGCAGCGCCGCCGACAGCAGCTGCGCCCCCATCTTGATGTTGCGCGGCGCCGCGGGCACGCCTGCGGGCAGGAACGAGCGCAGCGCCGCCGGGTAGTCCAGCAGCGTCTCCTGCAGCATGTGCGCTCCGCCGCTACCGCACTCCTCCGTGCGCAAGATGGACCCCACGCAGTCCACCACCTCCTGCGACAACACCACCTTCTCCGCCTGGGCCGACCCCTCAATGTTCGCGACCTGCAGCATCGCGCGCCGCCTGCCGAGGTCGTCGACGTCGAACGTGCCGGGCGCGTCGGCCAGGAACGCCTCCCACCGCGACCCCCCGCTGTGGTGGTAGCGCGAACCCACGTGGTAGGTGCACAGCGCGCCGCAGCCCACCATCAGCTTCATCGACAGCTTGTTGTAGCCGCTCGGCTGCGCTCGAGCCTCCGGTGCATCGCCGCTGCGCACGCCGGACGATTGCGCGTGTCCGGAGCCCGGCGCTGGGGCTACCTGGCCCGACCTGTTCCGCGCGGCGGTCTCCGCGTAAGACGACTTGCGGGCGCCGTTGACGAGCCGGAGGACGGAGTGCTTCGCCTGCTGGTCGCCCGAGCGGCCGTGCCCGGAGTCGGACGCGTTGGGTTGCCTCCCCTGCGAGCTGGCATGGGCCGACGTGTTCGGGCTGCCGTTCGCCAAGCTTGAAAGCACGGGAGCCTGCGCGACCTTGTTCGACTTCGTCCGGAAGATGCCGAAGAGTCCTTTCGACTTGGTCTCGGCGTCGGCCGAGGCCTCAGGGCGTTTGAACAGGGCTGAGAGCATGGAGGGCTGTTCCACGAGGCTCTGGCCCTGCTCGCCCTCTCTCCTGCTGTCTTCGCTCTTGCAAGTATAGGCGCTCCTTTGTGTGTGCATGCTCGTCCTGCTGCGGGGCTCCTGCAGGACGGCACGGGACGAGATAAACCACGTCAGACACGCGCGCGCAGTACGCCGCCCAACCTCGCGCGGACACGCACATGCCCGCGAGCTGCCACATGCACGTCATCTGTCGTACCGCTATTCCGGAGCCGGCGTGTTGCAGTGTGCCGCGGCTGGGCACCTCCGCGAGAGACGGCCCTATGGAGGCCGACCCCTGCCGGTGGCCGCCCGCGCCGCCCGGCACGTCCCTCGACATTCTCCTCAGATCAAGCCGGCTCTTCTGCATGCTCGCTCGCCGCCCGGAGTTCTGCGCCGTCTGCGGGCCCTGCGCGGACCCTAGCCCCTGCACCATGCTCTTGAGCATCATGCTGTCGGGGAGCGCCGAGTGCGCCGTGACGAGGACGCTGTCGTCCGCGATGGCCACGTGCCGCTCGGCGCGCTGGCGCAGCTTCGCCACCGTCCCGGTGGGCATCATGTACACCGTGCCCAGCCGCCGCGCGAGCTCGTGCGCGCAGAACACCGCGCGCACCACCGCGGAGCTGAGCCCCTGGTCGCGGTTGTTCTGCGCGCCCTCCTCCGGCGCGAACGCCACGACCATCGCGTCCCCCGCGAACTTGATCACCTCCCCGCGGTACCCGGTGACCACCGAAATCGCCTTGCCGAAGAGGTCGTTCAGGCACGCGATCAGCAGCTCGCCGCCCGCGCCGCCGTTCTTCGAGAGCTTCTCCGTCAGGCGCGTGAACCCCGTCACGTCGACCACCATCACCGCACCCTGGAAGACCTTGCACTCGGGCTCCAGCGCCACCGCCTGCCCGAAGCCGTGCGCGCGGCAGGCCTCCGTGGCCTGCGCGAAGCGCGGGATGAGAGACGGGGGCACGTACACGAGCAGCGCCTGCAGCAGCGCCGTGATCTCTGAGAGTGCGGCTGCCGAAAAGTCCTCTGCTTTGGACGACGGAACGGAAAGCGCGGCTTCAAGCGGGGCCTGCACGCGGCCGTGCGCCTGCCGCGGCTCCTTCTCCCTCTCCTTTTCTCGCTTGGACATCTCCCGTTTCGACGTGATCTTGCGCAGGAGCTTGTGCGGGTCCACCCGGTGGTGACCTGTAGCTCCCCGCTGCCCATCCGCTGTGACGGCGCCCCTCGCGCCCTCCCTTTGCGACGTCTGTGATTCCGCCTCGCTCCCGTTGCTGCAGGACGAGGGAACTTGAAGTCGCGGCTCAGCTCCGCACGGTGGACACGCAGTGTGCATGTGTTGGCATGCTGCGGTGCTGCCGTGCACTCACCCTGCAACTGTCATTCTGCTGCGCCGCCTCTCCCTTGCCCCGGCGGGCTCCGCGCTGACCCTGAGAGCAACCTGGCTCAGCGTCGCACGGTCCACACGGGGCCTCATCACCACCGTCTGACACTTGGCTGGATCCTTGCCCAGGTCCCCGCCCCCCGGCATCGCCACCCAGTGCGCTGAGTGGCTCGCTGACGGATCGTACGCTCTAGAATCGTCGCCCGGTGGCCGCCGCCGGGGCCCAGCAGACTGCAGCGAGGCACGGGATGCAACAACAATCAGAAGCCGTGCACCACCTCGGACGGCGCACGCGCGACGCACGCGGCCACACAAGCAAGCGCCGGGCGTCTGGGCCGCGCCGCAACGCACCCCCGAACGTGCAGTGGTGATTCGCCCCCATTTCTCCAGCAGGGCTGAGGCCTTCGCCTCCGCCTCCCCGTCGATGTCCGGCCTGGTCGTGGCGCCGCCCGCTGCCGTGCCGCGACCGCCCGGGCTAACGCCCTCCACGGCTTCGCGTCCGACCGGGGAACTGCCGCTCCCGGTGCCGCCCGTCGGCTCCCGCGCCTGGCGATGGGCACCATCCGGCTCCGCACCGTCGGTGGCAGCGGCCCACCTGCTCCCGTCTTTGCCGCCACCGGAGGCGCCCTTGGAGGGTCGCTGCGGCCCGGCCTGCCCTGCTACCCCGGACTCGAGGCGGCTCAAGTGCGAGAGCGGGGTCGCGTACAGCGCGCCATCAATGCGAGCGCGTCCTGTGAACCCCCCCGCGGCCTCGTACGTGGCTTGCTGCCGCCCTTGCAGCTGCAGCGGCGATCGGTGATGAGAGCCGCCCTCGGACCCGCGGACCCCGTCGTTCCCGGCAGACCTGCGCGTGCGTCGCCAGTCGCAGTGCGTGCGTCAACGGGCTGTCAGAGCGCGGCAGGCGGCGCGCGCGCGCAGCCGCGACGGCCGGCGATCGCTGCTCGCGGGGCGGTGCGTCGCGTCGGTGGTCCGGGCACGCACGTTCGCGGGGGCGCATCTAGGACGAGGGAATGAGCAGCGCGGGACCCGCTCTCTCCCTCCCCCGCGGCGGCGGGCAGCAGCTGGGCGCCCTCGAGGACGGCTTTCAGCGACCAGCTGCCGCCTTGCTTCAGGGCGCGCTTCTGCTTGGCCGACGCTGCCCGGCGGAGGAGCTCGGTTGCAGAGGCGCGCGACTGCCGCGAGCTGCTGCGCCGCGGAGAACTCGCCTCGTCGCCGCCCGACCCTGACACGAAGCCGTTGCCTGTGGAGGGAGAGCGCATGGGGTCTGCGCGGGCACGGTGGAGTGGGTACGACGTCGCAACGCGACCTGTCTGCGGCGCAGAGAACTCGGGCTCCGCGGGGGCGCGCCAGAGCGCTCTTGCGGGGGGCGGACGTCAGCCGCCGATCGCCCAGATCACGGACACGCAGGGACGGGCGCGGGGGCGGCGCTACATGGCGTGAGGCCTCGCGCCGCGGCGCGCGTACCGTCGGCCATGTGCCAAGAGTGGCCCAGGGCCTGCAGCGCGGTCCTCGCGCAGAGTGAGCAACCGAGGGCCCCAATGGCCGCCGTGAGAGCAGCGGTGTGCCATGTGCATGCGAGGCACTGTCCGCGCAGACTAGTCAGCTCGGTAGTGCCGCGTGAAACCCTGAGGGGGCACTTGCAGGCCGCAGCTCGCCGGCGTGCGTGAACACCCGGTTTCACGTAACGGACGAACGCGCCAGTGGCCAATGAGCATGGCTGAACGGCTCAAGCCGTGTCGGCTGGCCGTGCGGCCCCGCGGTGGCAGGGAACGTGCTCCCTTGCTGCCCCGCGACGGTCCAGCGCAACCCGCGCTGACGCTCAGACTGTCGGCGCCCGTTTGCGACCTCAGTAGGCGCTCGAGCGGCGTTTCGCGCGAAATTCGCCGTTGAGCGCAGGCCTGCTCGGTGCTTCAGAGGCCAAGAACAGGCAGCGCGCCAGGGTCGCACCTCTCGCCCCCATCCCGCCGCGCCCCGAGTCCCACTCCCCTGAGCGAGAAAGACAAGCCTTTCGGCTCCCCCGGGCCGGCCAGGTCAGCGAGTTGATGGCCTCGCGCGCATCTGATGTCCCTCTGCGCTGGCCTCACGCGTCAGGTAGTCTCGGAGAGGCCCGCCGCAAGGCGCCCCCCAGACGAGGACGAAGTAAGGAATCCACCGCGCGCCGCAGCGTCGTGATCCGAATCCGATCGTTTGTGCGACGCGAGGCGAAAGCTCACAGCGAGCTGTACAGCTGTCGAGACCGAACGCTGTCTCTGCGCGGCCGCGCGCTAGCCTGGCCTGGAATGGCGGCGACGGTGGCGGAGGCCGCGTAGTGACGGCAGAGCCATGCGCAGGGGGGGCGTGCCGCGGGGGGCACGATTACCTACCGGGGTCAGGGGCCGTGTCGGGCACGGGATGCCGGGTTCATCAAACCACCAAATTGCATCGGCGGCAAGTTCTTCGAGGTCACTTGAGCATTCGCGCGCACGTTTCCCACCGGGTCCTGCTCGCTGTGCGCGGTTGGAGCGCCGTGACCTCTCCAGACAGGTCGCTGTGAAGCACGCGCTCGTGGGCGTGGCCGTCGGGCGCGAACGTGCGGAGCGAGGCACCCGCAGATTGTACGGCCACCCACTGAATTCCGAGGCACCGAACGAATGCGTCGGTGAGCAAGCGCCTTTCCAACAGGCAAGAGAATCTGTCCGGGCGGCGCAGCGAGCCAACCGGAACCCGTGGCAGCCGCGCACGGCGGAAAGTTGCTGCGTCAAGCTGAAAGTGTCGTCCGCGAGCCGCATCCTCGCAGCGACAGGGGTTCGGTATAGGCACAATGTCTGAACCGCCCGGTGCCCAGGAGCCGCGTGCGACGAGTGCGGGCGCACCGAATGAACCACAGGTGAGCTGGACGTGCGCGCAATCTCGAAACGCTCGATTGGCCGAAACGTAGTCGCTGTGTGGTGCTGCGGTGGCTGGGTGCAGATGCCTGATCCGGCGTCGGTCATGGAGCCCGAATCGCTGTCCCAGGACGAGATCCACGAGGCGTTCACCAAGGCAGCCGCCCTAGCCGCGCGCGAGCAGACGCGCGGCGGCGACGGCGTCCCTCCCGACCATGACACGCCCACGACGCAGTCCGGCGCCAAGTGACCCCTGGCGGCCTCGTAGCGCGCAGGCTGTGACTGAAATGGCACCCACATCGTCGGCGTGGGGGATGCCGCGCAAGCGCTGAGCGGCCCCAGCGTTGTGCCACGACGGCAGGGCCAGCTGCCGTTTATTTTTATCGGAACGCGGGGTGGAACACCTGATCCGAGGCCTTCGCGCAGCCCCCAGGCAAGCTCGGAGACTTGAGGTCGCCCGCGCGGCAGGGCGATCAGGCGTCGTCAATGCGGGATGAACGATCGCACAAGCGTGGAAGCGTGTCACATTCGTTCGATATGAGATCGAGACGTGGGATTCGCGTTGTGTCGAGTCGTGCGGTGGCGTGCACCGGCGCCGCGTGGGCTGCCACGGGGCGCCGGCTCTGGCGAGCGGTCCTTTGCCTTCGGCCAAGGACGTGTGCGAGCCCGGTTTGTACATGTGAGGGGCCCGGAGACAGAACGTGGCGGAAGAGACGTGCGAGCGCTCCTGTCGCGAGGGCGTCCGCGGCCCTGGACCACGAGGGTCCGGCGCAGTCTGAGCCACGTGGCGGGCCGTGGTGCTCCGCGAGTAGCGTGCTGTGCGGCTACAGGCCAAAGTCAAGCCCCATCGAGCGCAGGACATCCTCCTCCGCATCCAGCTGCCCCGCGGCGCCGTCCAGCCCCTGCGCGATCGGATCCAGCGTCCTCTCGACGTCCGCCATCAGCCGGTGGCCCGACGCGTCCGCCATGGCGGTCCGCCGCTCCGAGCTCGCGATGCGCTGCATGTGTCCCGGCAGCACGGGGCCGCTGGACGCTCCCGACGGCGGCGCCCGGTTCGCGGCGTCCGACTGCTGCGGCGAGAGCACCTGCCGCCCGCCGCTTGGCTCCTGCGAACCTCGCTGGTCGCCGGACGCGGCCTGCTGCGACGAGTCCACCCTCGCAGCCCCCATCACCACGTCCTGCAGCGTCGGCTTCAGGCTCGGCACCATCCCCGCGGCGACCACCCCCTGCCGGCCCTGCGCCTGCATCGCCCCCCCCGCCATGGTCCAGCGCCGCGCCTTCAGCGTCTTTCCGTGCGGCGCCATCGCGAGCGGCGTGTGCGGCCCCGCGGCCTGCTCCTCCGCGTCCGCGGGCGCCGCGAACGCCCCCCACTCCGGGGTGATGGGCAGGCTGCCCGTCGCGCCCGCGCACCACGACTCGTCAATCGCTGAGCTGCGGGCGCGCGCCAGCGGGCCCATCCCCGCCGGCACTACCATGCCCATCGGCATCGACCGCCTGCGCTTGCTGTCCTGGCGCTCGGGCAGCACCGCGGACATCCGCTGGCTGCCCGGGCCCTGTGCCCCCGGTTGCTGCTGATACCACACCGCCGCCGACTCCCCCCCCTGCTCCTCGATGCCCAGTCTTGACAGGCGCTTGCGCCCCTGCGTCTCCTGCGTGTCGCCGCTGTCCGCACCCGACCCGTACGCGCCGGGCGGCGGCCCGGCCAGGCCGCCGAGCTGCGCGCTCGCGGCCAGGTCGCTCGTCGGCTGCGGCGACAGCAGCGGCGCGGGGGACTTGAGCGCGGAGGGCGACGCGCCCGCGTCCGCGGGCACGCCCTTGGAGGCGGCGCGCAGGGCGGTGATGAGCTGGTCGAGGGTGATGGCGGGGAGGTCCTCCGCGACGGGGTCGTACAGCGCGCGCTCGAAGTTGAGCTGCGCCTTGGCGCCGCGGCACTTGAGCGCCGCGATGTCGTGCGCCATGGCCGCCTGGCACTCCCCCCAGAACCCCCCCAGGTACCACTGCTTCCCCTCGAACCACAGGTGCCCCTCGAACCGCCCCGTGCGCGAGTGCTTCGTCACGCCGCGGCACTTGGCCGCCCCGGGCGGCCGCCCCTCCGCCGCCTTCCGCCCCAGCTCGGCCAGCGGCCCGCCCGTCCCGTCGAGCAGCGCACACACCGCGCCCTGCAGGTGGGTCAGCGCGCGCTGTTGCGCCTCCGCGCGCGGCCGCCCGCGCGAGCTCTTCCCGGACCCGCTCGGGCTGCTGTTCTCCGGCTCCGCCTCGACCGCGTGCCCCGGGTCCATGTTGCGGTTGCTCCGCGTCGCGTGCGCCGCGCCCGCCGCGGCCCCCCCGCCGTCGCCCTTGATGGCCTGCACGAGCAGCGTGCGCCCCTCGGGGGCCTGCCGCTGCAGGAGCGACCGGATCGCCAGCAGCAGGCCCTGCCGCGCGGCGGCCCGCAGCGCGGACGGCTGCGGCGCCGGGTCCCCGCCGCCGGGCTGCGCGCCCAGCGCCTGGCGCGCGTACACCTGCGCCGAGAGCAGCGTGTCCTGCACGGACGCGCGCGAGAGGCCGACGGTGCGCAGCCGCGACACGATCGGCTCGGCCTCCTGCGTGAGCACCTTGGTCAGGCCCGTGCCCTGCCGCGGCTGCGGCGCCGCGCGCTCGGGGTTGGGCAGCGCGCAGCCGAGCTCCTCGGGCAGGCTCGCGAGGAAGTCCGGGTCCGGCCCGACGCTGTACGGCGCGGGCTGGTACTGCGGCGGCGGCTGGTACTGCGCCGGCGCGCCGACGGGCACCTGCTGCGGCACTGGCTGTTGCATGGGCCACTGCGGCTGGGGCGGGGGCTGGTGCTGGGGCTGCCATGCGGGCGCGGTGTACGGGTCCGTGCTGCGCGGGAAGCCGTGCTCGGGGATGGAGCCCGCGCAGTCGTACGTGCTGGCGGGCGCGTGCGCCCCGCGCGCCTGCTGCGAGTTGGTCGTGCCGGTGCCGGGCGGCGTGGAGATGTCGTCCTGCATGATCTGCAGGTCCCCCATCATGGCCTCCATCTCGGCGGGGCTGTACAGGCCCAGCAGGTCGTCGGGGATGAGCAGCTCGTGGTCCTCGGGGAGCCGGGCCATGCTGTCTGCTCCGCCAACCGCCCCGCGCCAGCTGCGAGGGCCGGGCCGGGCCTGTCTGGCGGAGCGCGGGGCTGGAGCCCGCGAGGGAAGCTCAGCGACGCTCGTGAATGAACCTCGCCCCCTGCCTTGCACCGTCGCGCATCCTCGGCCTGCACTCCAGTCACGGACAGGAAACACCCAGATCAGGCCGGGGAGAGCGTGACTCGCAGGGTCCGAGCAACGCGCAGCGTAGTTCGATCCACGGAAAACACGGGAGGCGCTGTGTCGTGAAGGGCGGAGCGCAGAGAGTTCCGAAACCGCCATGCTACCCTGTGAAAGAGGCAGCGTGAAGACCGCGGCAGTGCGGAGGTCCACCGCCGGCCATGCGGGCTGTAACGCGAGGACGAGTATTCAGCACGACGGTCATGGCAGGCTCAGCCGGAATGGGTGCAGCTCGAAGGAGCCTTTCGGTCCCTGCCCCCGGCTCGGCCGAATGCATCGCGAATTTCCGGGGGCGGCCGCCGGCGTCGCAGCAGGCGCCGTGGTCATAATACTTCGGGTTGCTGGCATCAGTGAGGGAGGGCCGCCAGGGCCCACGCACGCGGGAGGGGCACGAACTCGCAGCTGGCTGTGTAGGTTCGTTTGCGCTCGGTGAGGGACCGCCGCCGCTCGCCGGCGGTGTACCGGCCGCGGTACCACGTGCGCGCTGGTCGCGGCCGAATGGGATGCCTGGCCGCCCGTGGCAGGGCGCGGCGCCTTGCGACGTGGGGATAACAGCCCAACTCTCAGACGCTCGCGCCGGCGAACGTCACGGCTGCGGCGAGCAGCCCGCGCGCGTGCAGGACGCGCCTGACTCGTGCGCGGGTCAACGGCGCTCGGCCGGTCGGGGGCGCTGCGGGGACGCACCTGGGAACGGCGAGCCCTTGCGGTGGTGAGCTGACCGTTGGCGGTTTCAACGCGAGGGGCCTGGCGGTCGCACCTCACGGTCACGTGCGAACACGACCGTCGAGAGTGTTCCGCGCCGCCCGCCGCGCAGGTCCGACGAGCCTGTCGGCCGAGCGGGCCTGACTGGGCCGCAGGTCACTGCCCCCCCGCAGCGGGCGTCCCTGCGCTCCTTTGCCGTGGCGCCGTGACGTGCGAGTCAGACGCGCGGTCGGGATCTCACCGTGGCACCATCAGGCGCGACGTTTGGAATCGGGAAGCCCCCTGACCGAGACGTGAAGGCACAGCGACATGAGTGCTCCAGCTGTGGCCTCCAAGGGCGCGTACGTCATGAGTAAGGTGGACGGCCTCATCAACTGGGCCCGTGTCTCAAGTCTCTGGCCGATGACGTTCGGCCTGGCGTGCTGTGCCGTGGAGATGATGCACGCGGGTGCGCACCGCCCCCTTGCCCGCCTTCCCCGTGCCTCCATGGCCGAAGCAGCGGCGCCCATCTGCAGCTTCGACGACACTGATCTTCAGTGACGGCAAACCCGCCGTCCGCCGGCCCCCTCCCCGCCCCGCGCGCGCTGAGCGCGAGCGGGCCTGTGTGCCTCAGGCCGGACGTTGCCCGCGCGGGGCTCGGGGGGCGGCGCCCTTGCGCTGCGCAGCGGACGGCGCGACTGCAAGTGCCGCCACGAGGCACACGGGGGCAGTTGCGCGTCAGTTTCGAGCACGTGCGGGACGCAGTGCAGCGTTTGCCCGCTGTGGTTGCATCCTCCGCGAGCCCCGCTCTCACACCGCCGCTTGGCGCTTCCCGCGCCGCGTCGCTCATGCAGGTGCCTCTCGCTACGATCTCGACCGCTACGGCATCCTGTTTCGGCCCTCGCCGCGGCAGTCGGACGTCATGATTGTGGCCGGCACCCTCACCAACAAGATGGCTCCCGCGCTGCGGAAGGTGTACGACCAGATGCCCGAGCCGCGCTGGGTCGTTTCGATGGGATCTTGCGCGAATGGCGGCGGGTACTACCACTACAGGTGAGGGCCACACGCCCGCGCACCTTGAGCCCGCAGCACCACGCGCCCCGCCGCCCGGGCGCGCGGCCGCGTCACGCCGTTTCGAACGCGCCTCGGTCGCGCCCGCGGCTGACTGGCTCCGCTCCCCCGCGGCTCGCAGCTACTCGGTGGTGCGCGGGTGCGACCGCATCGTGCCTGTGGACGTGTACGTGCCTGGGTGCCCGCCCACGGCCGAGGCGCTGCTGTACGGCATCATGTCGCTCCAGAAGAAGATCAAGCGCATGAACACGGCGGAGGCCTACTTCGAGAACGGCTCGTACAAGTGATCGGCCGCCTGTGTCGGCCTCGGACGCTGCGCTGTGCTTCCACGCACCGCGCACCGCGTCTGCGCAGAGACTCACGCCATCGACTGCCGGTGCAGAGGAACCACGGCATGGGCACTCTTTTTGTATAGTTTGTGACCTGCCGCACCGCACCAGCGGCCGCAGACTCACGTCATCGTTGTGTCATGGCGCGGAACAGCGATTCACTCCCTCGCACCGGACCCCCCGCCTGACCTCACCGCTCACGAGGCCACCGCCGGCCCGCGCCGCCGCGCTCGTCCCCCGCTCAGCCCCGCTCGACCCGCGAGCTCCCGCCCTGCTTCACCACGCGGTCGACGACGTCGAGGTCCTCCGTCGCGAACGACCGCTCCTGCGCGATCACGACGACCTGGTCGTGCGGGAGCGAACGCAGCACGGACGCCGCGCGCGCGCACCCCTCGGCGTCCACGTTCTGCAGCACCTCGTCCAACACCAGGAGGTTGCACGCCACGCGGCCGCGCCGCGCCATCAGGTCGACGAAGCCGAGCGCGAGCGCGAGCGCGAGCTTCCTGCGCTCTCCGCCGCTCAGCTGCGCCACGGCGCGCTGCTTCACGTCGCCCGTCGGCAGCGTCTTCAGAATGTGCTTCTCGATGCGCTCGATGGTGCCCGGGAGCGCGCGCGCCGAGCGCTCGTCGTCCTGGCCCGCGCGGCGCCGCCTCGGCGACGACGCGGGCGCGGCGCGGGCGCGATGTGCAGAGAAGTTCAGAACGAGGGATGGCTCGAGCTCCAGCATGAAGTTGCTTACGAGGCCCTGCAGCTCCGCCAGCGCACCCTCGAGCAGGAACGCGGGCACGCCGGTGGGGCCGAACGCGACGCGGGCCTGCGCCAGGGCGTCGGTGTCCGCGTCGAGTGCTGCCGCGTCGCGCTCTGCTCGCTGCAGGTCCGCCTGGATGTCGTCGAACTGCTGACGCAGGGCCTCCTCGGCCGCGACGTGCGGATTGGTGGCCATCCTGCTGTCGAGGAGGAAGCGGAGGTCCGAAGCTGCGCGGGACAGCCGCGACATCTCTCCCGCGGACTGCGCGGCACGCTCCCTTGCGAGGGCGTCCACAGCGCGCGCCGCCGCGAGGGCGTCTGCGAGTGCGAACGGATCTTCAACGTCTCGTCCGGGCACGTGCGCCCGTGCTGCTCGCATGGCGGCCTCTGCCGCGCTGATGGCTTGCGTCAGAGCAGACACGTCGTTGATCGGACGAGGGGCGTCTTCAGCATGGGATTCGCCCGGCCCCTCTGCTCCCTCGCGTTGTAGCGTGTCGCACAGCTGCCGTGCAGCGGCGCTGACGACCTGCAGGGCACCAATCGCAGCATCCGGCCCTGTGTCGGGGGCGTCACGCCGGTGCTCGGCCTCGCTGACGACGGCTTCGCAGGACGCCTGAAGCGCTTCCGCGGTCGTCAGTACCGGTCGCAGGGACTGCTGCAGCGCGGACCAGGACGCCCTGGACGAGAACGTCGAAGAGAAGGCATGTGCAGCTGCATCGAGCCTCGTCCAAGCCGCCGTCCGTGCGTGTGATTCTGCGACGAAGCAAACCGCGCAGCGGCTCGTCGATCAGGAGCAACGAGGAGCAACACCACGGCTGCGCAGCTGCAGAAGGGAGAGGGCAACACTCACCCCGCTCAGCCTGCAGAGCCCCCCTCACTGCGGCATCCAGCCGCGCCCGCGCCTCCGCGGTTCGCTCGGCCACTGCCGCCTCACGCCCGTGCCTCGCGCGGTCCGCCGCGGCTGCCGCTGCCCTTGCACGCTGGTCCACCTTGGCCAGAGATGCCAGCGCATCGTCCCTCGCCGCCCGCGCGAGCTCGGCCTCCTGCTCGGCCTCCCCGACGGCCGCGCGAAGCGACGGCAGGTTGCGCTCGAGGACTTCCTCCGTCACGGGCTGCAGGCACGCATGACAGACCGCGGGATCTGCAGAGTCATGCCCCCCCCAGGCGTCGACATACGCGTCCACCTGCGCCTGTGCGCTCGTCAAGCGGGCCTCGGCGGCCGCGCAGCGCGCGATGGCGTCCTGTGCCGCGGCCTTGGCCTCCTCGAGGTCGGCTGCTGCTGCGTCCCGCGCTGCGTCCAAACCCTCGCCTTCCTCACGCAGCTGCGCCCGCACTGCACTCTCGGCCTCGCGAAGCAGTCCGCGCAGAGACTCGACCTCGGCACTCCCCGGTTCCGTCAGCCCCTCGAACGGGACGACACCCCCCCTTGCCTTCTCAACAGCGGCTTGCAGGGCCTGCAGCCTGGTCTGCCCGCGATCGATCGTCGCGCGGGCCTCGTCAACCGCGCGTACCAGATCCTCGAGCGATCTTGACACGTCCGTGGCGAGCCGGAGCACGTCGAGCGCGGCAGCATCCAGCTGCTGGCTGCGCTGCGCCTCCCACTGTGCCCGAGCCTGCCGCTGCTCCTCAAGGCCCTGCAGCGCACGAGCCGCCGCGGGCCTTGCAGCTGCGACAGCGGCGTGCGCCTGTCCCGCCCGTTCCCGCGTGCTCTGCCAGCGCAGCGTCGCCTCTGCATGTGCGCCTTCCCATGCATGAAGATCAAACGCCTGGCCGAGAACGTCCCTGAACGCACGGTCCGTTGCCTCGAGCAGCGCCATACTCCCCGACTGCGTCAGGAAAATCGCGTTCCCGAGCAGGTCTGTGCGGAGAACGCTGTCGATCTCTGCCTGCGTCATGCGGATCTCCGCCTTGGTGCGGTCCTCGCCGCCGAGGACGAAAGTGAGCTTCGACCCGCGGGACCGCGTGCCCTCGCGCTCGACGACGAACGGGACACCGTCGGCGGTGCCTTCCAGGCGTGCGCGCGCCCGCGTGCAGTCGTCGTGGACCACGTCCGCGATCCTGACGCTCCCCGCCGCGCTGTCCGATGGCTGCATCTTCCCCGTCAGCGCCCAGAGCGCCGACATGACCAGCGCCGTCTTGCCCGAACCGTTGGACTCAGCCCCAACGTCGTCCAAGTTGCTGCCAGACAGCACCCGCACCCCGCCGCATGACAACCCGTACCTGCACGCCTCCAACAACGGCAATTGGCTTGAGGCAGGCGCACGTGGTGCCACTGAAAAGCGTGCGTGGGCCTGAAACGGGACCTCGGCGCCTGCACCTGGTTGCGTCGCGGAAGGGCCCGAACCCCTCGACCTCGACGCAGTGGAGGTCCAGATGCAGAGACGCAGCGCTGGATGCGTCCACCGCGTTGCCCCCAGCCCTCAGGACCGCCTGGGCCACGTCCAGCGCCTGTGGTGGCATGCTGCTGTGCTTCGCGTATTCGCGCAGCAGATCCGCCGGGGCCGCGCCCTCCGCCGCAGCCACTCGCGCCTGCACTGCTGGTGGCTGCACCGTCACCTGGACGTCCACGCCACGCCGCCTCAGCGCGCGAATCACCTTGGTGTCGTCCTTTGCCGGCCGCGACGTCAGCTGCACGCGCAGACGGTCGCCGCGCTGCAGTTCGCCCTCCGCGTCCTGCAGGGCCGTTACCGCGTCGTTCAGCGGCGGCGCAGGGCCCGATCCGTCCTCTTCCACCGAGGCCGCGGTGACGCGGAAGTGCCGTGGCCCAACAGCCAATGCCAACTCCGCCTCGCGCCGCCACGTGCCGGCCTCGAGCACGAGCAGGCGTTTGGTCTGCCCCGCCTCCGCCAGCGACGTCTGGTACGGGCTCCCCACGTACACCACGTTGTCGTGCCCGGGCACTGCATGCGGCGCGTGGTAGTGCCCGCTGTACACGCTGAGCGTCGAGGGGAAGTTCGACGGGTCCGCGCCGTCGCGCGCCTGCGACAGGGCGTTCAGGCGAGCGCCGACGACGTCGGCGTGGCAGAACACTGCGCGCAGAGGTAGGTTGTGGTCCTGCGAGGCAACATCAGGGCGCGAGGAGTCGCGCAGGGCGCGGAAGAGCGGCCCCTCCGCGCTGTGGTCCCTCCGGTACGGCAGGAAGAGCGCCCCCATGAAGCGCGTGGGCACGTCGATCACGCGTGCAAGCCCACGGGACGCCAGCTGCAGGGCGCGGAGCGCATGCTCGTCGCCGGAGTGGGAGACCTGGTCGTGGTTCCCGACCAGCCACAGGCTGGGGACCTGCGGGAACACGCGGGCGGCGCGGCGACGTCGTCGCGGTTGATTCGCGCGAGGTCGTTACAGTTCAGCGGTCATGGAGGAGCGGGGAGGTCGCGCGAGGGGCCGGTGACCAGCCGCACCTGCCACGAAGACACCTCCTCGAGCACGCGGTTCAGGGGCTCGACCGGCAGCGACCCGCGTTTGTCCCAGAAGTCGCCCAGGAAGAGCACGCCCGCGTCGTGCGCAAGGGCCGCCCTGTGAACCTCCCGTAGGACCTCCAGACAGACCGCCAGCGTCCCCGTCCCGACATGGAGGTCCGAGAACACCACCCAACGCCGCACAGCCTCCCACTGAGAGCCGTGAGGCGGGCGCGCAGCAGTGAGGCCAGTTTGGCCCTCTGAGGGCTCGCGGGTGGCGTCACCCGCGGACTCTCGATCTCTCTGAGCCGTCGCACCGCCGCTCAAGTTCCGCCACCGCGTGTTCGCGTGGGTGAGGTCGCCGAATTTCGCGTGCGCGGGCGGGGGCAGGCGATGACCCTGCAGGCGATGAAGTCTTGGCGCGGCAGCGTGCGTGTGCGCTCCGCACGTTCCGCGGCCGCAAAGCGCGAACAGCTGCATGGAGAGCCTGTTATGCACTCTCAAGCCTCGCATGCGCACATCCCTGCCCCCACGCCCGCGCGCGCAGTGCGTCTGCCAAGAGAGAGCTCGTGGGCTCAGGCAGGGAGCAGCAGGACGCGCACGAGTGGGCGCGGAGCAGGTCGGAGGGCCGGAACTGCAGCCACCAGCCGCTCAGTGACACTTTGGGCTGTCGGTTCGCGCAGAGGTGGCAGCTCGGGGGGGTCGGGCTGAAAGCCAACACTCGCGGATGGCGGCGTCGTCAGGGCGCCGCAGGGCGCTCGCGCGTCACTGCAGACTCCTCCTTGCCGTCGGGACCTCGCGCGTCTACTGTCGACGGTGGCACGGAAGCGTAGTCGCTGGCAGCCAGCCAGTCCTGTCTGTGTGCGAGTCCTGTCTCGTGGCTTTCGCAGTGCAGCTCGGGCTTCCGCAGTCAGGGGGTACATCTCATGCACGCTGGCGCCCCGGCAGCCGCGCCGATGTGCGCGGGGCGCGTGTGCGGGCGGGTGGCGCACCAGGCGGGGATGAGGGCACCAACCAGGGCAGCCGTGAGGACCGCCGCCGCAGTGTCGTCCAAGGGGTCTCCGATCACCGCGCGCATCCCTGCGGTCAGGTACGTGCCTCCGCGGCCCAGACGGGGCGCGCCCACGTCTCCCCGGCGCCCGCCCGCACCCCCCTGCGTCTCCTGGTCACCGAGGCAGCACGGCGGTGGCGCGCCGCCGCGCGTCGGAAGCCCCGAACACAGCGCGCCGGCGACTCGCTGTAGCGTGGGCTCTGCGCTCGGCGCGTTGGGCTGCGGCCGGAGCCCCGCACGGGCGCGTCCCGCCCGTGGGGTGGGTGTGGTTGCAGTGCTGGCTGCTCGCCGGGTGCGGTGGTGGCGACAGGCCGCGCGGCGCTGTTCCCGCCGGACTAGATGTCGAGGCCGCCGAGCGACCCGGAGAGTGGCTGTTCGAGGGCCGTTTGATGGCTGGACTCCGGCCGGTGTTTGAGTATGCGCCCTAACGCGCGCGTCCGCCCGTCGGCCTCCTTGTGCAGCCGTTTCGACGAGGAACAGTACGTGAAGGAGTTGGAGATGGAGATGGGCATGTGTCAGCTGCGCCGGTACTCGCCGGAGGGCGTTCAGGACGCGGTGATCAAGGCACGCTGCCCTGGCCAGCCCGCACGCCCGCGCACCGGCCCCCTCGCCCCCATCCGTGCACACCGCGCGCGCCCACGTGGCCAAACTATGCTGGGGCCGCGGCCCACGTGGGCGTCGGCGCCCTCACACCGCCGCGACCAGGTGGCCGCACCACTGCCTGCTCACCCTCACCGCCCCGCCCGCCGCTCATCCCGGACGTCCACGCCCGCGCGCCCGCCGCAGAACCCCAGTGACGTGCTGACGGTCGTCGCTCGCGGGTACGAGATGATCTCGTCGATCGTCGGGTACGCGGGCGCGCTGTGGCTGGACAGCCTGCGCGGCGAGGAGTACTCCGACACGCCCGAGGTGGTGAAGAAGCGGTCGGTGCAGCTGCGCGAGATGCTCGTCGCGCTGGGCCCGACGTTCATCAAGGCCGGGCAGGTCCTGGCGAACCGGCCGGACATCCTGCGCGCGGACTACATGAACGAGCTGTGCGTGCTGCAGGACGACGTGCCGCCGTTCCCGGACGAGGTGGCGTACCGCATCATCGAGGACCAGCTGGGGCGGCCGATGGGCGAGGTGTTCTCGAGCATCTCCGAGCGGCCCGTCGCGGCGGCCTCGCTGGGCCAGGTGTACAAGGCGCGCCTGCGGGAGACGGGCGAGGTGGTGGCGATCAAGGTGCAGCGCCCGAACGTGGGCCCGGACATCCTGCGCGACCTGGTGATCTTCCGCTGGATGGCCAAGTTCGTCAACTCGTGGGCCATCTCGCGGCTGGGGTGCAACGCGGAGCTGATCGTGGACGAGTTCGGGCAGAAGCTGATCGAGGAGCTGGACTACGAGCTCGAGGCGGCCAACATCATGGAGTTCGGGAACAACTTCGCGGGCGACGAGACGGTGAAGATCCCGTGGGTGCGGCGCGACCTGTGCGGGCCGCGCATGCTGGTGATGGAGTGGATCGACGGGATCCGGTGCACGGACCCGGACGGCATCCGGCGGAGCGGGATCGACGTGGCGCGCTTCATCAAGGTCGGGGTCGTCTCCGGGCTGCGGCAGCTGCTCGAGTTCGGCCTCTTCCATGGCGACCCGCACCCGGGCAACATCTTCGCCATGCGCGACGGGCGCATCGCCTACGTGGACTTCGGGAACGTCGCGCAGCTGTCGCAGAGCAACAAGCAGGTCCTGATCGACGCGGTCGTGCACGCGGTGAACGAGGACTACGAGGGCATGGCCGTGGACTTCATCAAGCTCGGCTTCCTGGCGCCGGGCACCGACACGCGCCCGCTCACGCCCGCGCTGGAGAAGATCTGGAAGGACTCGATGGGGCAGAGCCTGGAGGACTTCAACTTCCGCACGGTCACCGGCAAGTTCAACGAGCTGGTCTACCAGTACCCCATCCGCATCCCCGAGCGCTACTCCCTCGTCATCCGCTCCCTGCTCACCCAGGAGGGCATCTGCATGACGCTCGACCCCAAGTTCCACTTCCTCGAGGTCGCCTACCCCTACGTCGCGCGCCGCCTGCTCACCGACGAGGACCCCGCGCTGCGCGAACGCCTCCTCGAGGTGCTCTTCCAGAACGGGCGCTTCCAGTGGCACCGCCTCGAGAACCTCGTGACGCTCGCGCGCGAGGGCGGGCCGGGCGGCGGCGGAATCGACCTTTCGGACACGGCGCGCGACGCCGCCTCGCTGGTGCTCACCGACGGGCGCCTGCGCGCGCAGGTGCTGGGCGCGCTGACGGAGGACAACAGGCTGCACGTAGACGAGGTGATGCGCATTCTCGACCTCGTCCGCGAGGACATCGACCCGCAGCGGCTGCTGCAGGACACTGTCCAGGACCTCCCGCGGCTGTCGCGGAGGCTCGCGCTGGCGTGGTCGGACTCGGTGCTGTCGCGGTAGGCGTCGCATCGGCAGCGGAGTATCCTCTCGGACATGACGGCGGGGAACGCGAGGCGGACGCAGCACCGCACGCGTGCGAGCAGAGTGGTTGATATCTGTGACGGCACGAGCCGCGCGCCGTGCTCGGAGACTCGCGCAGGCAATTGGCTCACTCAAACTGCCGAAGGCGCGCTAGGCTAGTCACGTGCATGCTCCTACCACTTGAGCGCGCGCCGTGCCGACCTCGTTGGGCCGCCGGGGCGCACCGGGGGCCTGCACTCCGCCCGCCGCCACACCTGGAAGCGGTTCATAGGCGGGCTCACCGACGCGCTCATCAGCGGACCTTCGTATCCCGTCCACGGCCCCATCGTCGTGCGCCCCGCCGCCGGCCACGCCTGCTTGACCGGGGGCTCCAAGTGCGAGGGCGCGTCCCACGGCTTCGGCCCGTCCGCGGGCGCCCGCTGGCGCAGCGAACTGCTCCTGGTGGGCCGGGCGTAGGCGGGGGTGTTCCAGTCCTCCGCGGCCCTCGACACCGCGCTGCGGACCCGAGATGCCACGTGCGGCGGGTCCAGGGACGGCACGTTCCTGCGCGGGCGCGGCGAGCCGACCCGTGAGCGCGCGGCGCATCGGTTGCAGCAAGGCGAGCGGGCGCGTGCGGTGCGCTCACCTGTATCTGCTGTACGTGCGCTGTGAGTTCCGCGCTTTCTGTTGCCGACGCTGCGCCGCGTCCTGCTCGATCTCGGCCAGCACCTCCCGCATTCGCGACATCGGCACGGTCGGCACCTCGATCGTGGTGTGCGCGATGGTGGCGTCCGCGGCCCCGGCCTCACGCCGCGCCGCGCCTGCTGTCCGCGGTCTCATGTTCGGTGCGGGCTCGCCCGACGCGTCGCTGGGGAGGTCCGAGTCTCCCTCCCACCACGCGCTCCCCATCTCGTGCACGTTCGGCGACCCGGCCGCTCTCAGCGACCTGTCGTCTTCGCACGCCAGCTCGAGCGACTCCTGCGCCAGCCGAGAGTGCAACGTCGCCTCCCGAAGCGACAATACCCGCGGTGGGCCGTCGCGCTCGATGGCGCGCACCTCCCGAGGATGAACAGCACGGTCGATGCGACAGGGAGTCACGGCGACGCTGCGGTCCGGCGGGGCGGGCGCAGGGCTCCCCAGCGCGCCCCGGTGCCTCGCCTCGGTGAGAATGCTTGCCGCTCGACGCAACGCGGACGTAGCGCCGCCTGCCTGCGGCAGCTCGCTGGAAGCGGGACGATCCGTCGCTTCGTCGCGCTCTGCACGACGCAGGGCCAGGAGCCTGCTCATGGCCGAGGCCGAGGCGTTGTTGACGCGCTGAACCGCTGGAGCGAGCTTGGGCGTCGATACCGCGTGCGCATGCAGGCCGCCCCGTGTCTCTGCGCGGTATCCGTGCTGCGCTACAGTTCCGCCGAGGCCCTCTCGGTCCTGAGGGGCCATTGTTGCGCGCAGCGGGGAGGTGCCCAGCAGATGCTGAGGCTCGACGCCAGAGCGTGGTGGTGACGAGAGAAAGGCGCTGGGCCGCGACAGAATCTGTATCTCTTGTCTCTAAAGGGTCGCTCGCCGAACGCTTCCGGTTCGATATCCCCCCTCCCGTGCAGGTTCCCCTGCACAGCTGCTCCCGTGCAACACAGGCCCTCGTGAACGCCACCTGGTTCGCACGACGCGGTCGTCGCGGTGCGTGCAGTGTCGCGTGTGCTGCACCGGCGCTGCACCGATGATGCCGCGCCCCGGGAGCACCTTCTGACGGTGTCTGACGGGCAGGAGGTGGACTGACGCGGTGACTACCGGTGCCTGCCACGCGGCGCAAGAGCACTCGGCGCGATGCTACGTGTTCGACCTGCGGTCACGACGTCATCGCTGGCTGGCAGGGCGCGCCGGACGGTCGCCCTCGAGGGGCAAGTTGTGGTGCGCTTCACAAGCCAGGGCCAGGGCCGGAGGCATGCGTTCGGATCGGAAGTACAGGGTGAGTTGGTCGCCGAGCCTGCGCGGTGAAGCTTGAGGGTGTGCACTGCGGTGTAGTCGGCACGTCGGGCCTTGCTGCTAGGGTGGCAATGATAGGAGCTGTCTCGCCGCCGACGCACACGCCCAACGACGACGGGCTGGATGCCGGCGCAGCGTGCTGAGTCAGTGCAGTCCGCGGCTGGAGATCTTCTTGCTGAGGACGCGCCGCAGCGCGTCTCGCTGCTCCTGCACGCCGTCCGGGTCCGGTTTTACGCGGAACGACATGTTCCGCTGCGACGCCTTGGCCTGCATGGCGCTCTCCTCGTCCACGCGCGACAGCTCCTTCACCGGCGCAGGGTGCGGTTGCTCTGCGGGCACATCGGCGAGCGCGCGCGGTGGGAATCGCGCCGCCTCGACCACGGGCGGGTCCGCGGCGCGACAGCACGGAGCGCGAAGCGAGCGGCGTGAGGTCGGGCTCCGCACCAGCGGCGTGCGTCGCCCGGCGCCGCGGCGGCACCTGGTGCGCGGCCACCGTCTTCTTCTTCTGCGTGTAGTCCGCGGCGCCGACCGAGTAGACCGGGTTGCCGTCCGCGGGCTCCGCTGCGGAGGTGCGGCCGGGCGCGGTGGCCGCTTCCGACGCAGCCCGCGTGCGCCCTGTCGTCGCGGAGGGCGCCATGGCCTTGTCCTGCGAGTTGCCGGAACCCCCGCTCGCTCGCATCGACGCCGCGCGCGACAGTGGTTCGCCGTTCGACGGGACCTTGCCGCGCGCGAGGTTCTTGGAGCCCGTGCGCTGCAGCCCGCGCGCGGCCGCGGAGGACGTGGGCCGCGCGGCGTCCTCGGGGCGGTTGTTCATGGCGTACTCCTCCAGGCTGATCTTGGGCCGGTGCGAGGGCGGGACCATGCTCATGTACGTGTCCAGGTAGCTCAGCATCTCCTGCGGGGGGTCGCCGAGCGGCGACGCGTTGGTTCGGCGGCGCGGTGCGAGGCAGCGCCCAGCGCGTCGCAGAGCAGGCAGCAGCGCACCTCGAGCGACGTGACGCGGTTGCGGTGCAGCTCGCGGGCTTCCGTCATGCGGAGGAGGGACTGCCGCAGCTCCTCGGCCTTGCCCTCCGCCTGCGCGCGCCCCTGGACCGCCTCCTGGTGCGCCTCGTTCACGCGGGCCAACCTGGCTTGGAGGCTCGCCTCGTTCTCCACCGCAGCCTCCTTCTCTTGCAGGGCCACCGAGAGCTCGTACGTCATCTTGTCGAGCTGCTCCTTGAGCTTGTCCGCCGCTCCCCCGCCTCCCGGCTTGCTGTCCCTGCACATGCAAGTGTCGCGTGGGCATCTCAGTCGTCGCGGGGCGGTGAGGGGCCGCAAGGACGCAGCTCCGCGGTCGACCGCGCAGTTCCGCCCCCGCACCTCTGAATCTGCTGCTCGAGCACGCGGATCTTGGCCTGCGCGTCCGCGAGGGCAGCGTTGCGGCGCTGCAGCAACTTCTTCTCGTGCTCCAGGTCGTTGCCGAGCTGCTCGATGCGTAGGTCCTTGGCTCTGCGGACATGTTCGCACCGGACGGGCCGCCGGTCAGGCAGGTCGTCGTTCTGCCAGCGAGTCGCGGGCTGGTGGTTGGTCGCTGTCAGCACCGCGACGCAGGGCGCTCCGCGGTGCGCGGTGCGCGCCTCTGCAGTCGCGCGCTGCACAGGCAAAAGCCTGCGTGTTTACGGCGTCGCTTTCGCGGCGGGCGCAGCGGCCCCCCGAGCGGGTCACATGCGGTTGTGTGGGCATGGAGGGCACCTGTTGACAGACTCGAGCTGCGTGAGCTTGTTGGAGACCTCCTCCAGTTCTTTCGCACGTGCCTGCGATGAACATATCGCGGATGCATGGTTTGATGGTGCCCGGCCGTGCAGTCAGCGCAGGCGGCCAGAGCCCCACCAACTGCCTTCGTGGTGGGGCGTGCGGGCGCCAGCGTGGCGGCCAGGTGCCTCCGGGCATGCCCGGTCGCACTCTACCGTAGATGACGCATGGAACGGGGCGGGGCGCGAGGAGTCGGCCCCTCGCCGCTGCCCAGGCGACCCGTCACCATGCGCAGAGGCACAAGTGCGCGCACCCGCAACATGGAGTTCAGATCCCTCATGTCCTTCTCTTTCCCTGCACAGACGTACAAAGGCGCGATCGTCCGTCATCGGCTCGTCCAAACGCGATCGCACGGCCGCCGGCGCACGCGCTGATGCATGCAGGTGAAGTGAGGAATCGTGCAGGGCGACTTGCCTGCCAGCTCTTTCGACATCTGGTTCATCATGCGGTCGACCGCATCCAGGCCGCTGCTGGGCATCGCCTCGCCGTCGCCCGCGCTGCCAGACATGGCCCTTGTGTCCCGCGCCGTTCCCACGGAGTGAGTGAGTGCGAGGTGTCACGGAAACGCCGCCTCAGACAACTCGCTGGCCATGGGCGGCCACCTGCAGCCTCGGTGTCGCCGCATACCCGCCCCCACGGGCCCATTGTGCCCGCGAGGGCGGCCCGCAATCACTCTACTACTGGGCTGTCGGGGGTGTGAGGCACGACAGCAGTCTTTGCCCTGTCCCGCCGCGGCGTCGCGCCAGACACTGGGTTGGTTCGTGGCTCCGGCACGGTGTCCCCCAATGGCGCTGACCATCGCCTCACCCGTCTCCTGTCGCGCCCGCGTAGGTGCACAAGTCATGCGGGCGAGCGTGCGTGCTCAGGCCACCGAAGGCCGTCGCCCGATCCCAGGTATGCATGATGAGCGATACAGCCGCCCGTCAGCAGGATGGCGACTGCGAGAGTCGTGCGCTGCGGGGCATGTTCGGGATGTCGTGCATTCACCCAGCTGACCGCGCGATTCATGGTGAAACGGGCGGTCCGCGCCAACTCGACTCAACGCTTCGCGCTCTGGATTACTCCGCTGAGGGGGCCTCGCCGTCGCCGTAGTCGCGCGACACGCATGTGCCTCGCGACAGAGAGAGAGGTTCCCCAGGCAACCCTGGCACCCCCTGCGGCCATCCAGCCCGGCGGACTCGCGACATCACACGAGACCGACCTCAATTCCATCTCAGGCGCCGTACATCTCAGCCGCTGATACGAGCTACGAGTCCTTGGACGCCCCGCAATCGCGCTTCCCTTCCCGCGCCCTTGTGTGTGCGCAGCGGCCAAGCTCGACGAGTTCGACTGCCCTGAGGCGGAACGGGTGACTGTTGCCATCATGGGCGATCTCCACATCGACAAGGAAACGGAGGACATGTTCGTCGCGGCGCAGGGGCACCTGAACCGCATCTTGCAGGCAAGACCCCGTCGCGAACGCCGGCACGCGCCGCAGTCCCGCGCGATCACGATCAACAGCGAGCGCAGCGCGTGCGGAATGCGCGGCGCAGGAAGGAGAGGGCCGCGATGGCGGGGCGTCGCGAGTGGTGCAGCTGGGCGACCTTGGAGCGTACAGTGCGGACCCTGGCTCGCAGGCCTGCTTCGACTTCGCCAAGTAGGTCCCCGCCACCAGTGCCGCAGCCTGCTCGGGTCCTGAGCAGCGCTCGTTGCCCGCCGTGTACCTCTCTCGCATGACAAGAGTTGGGATGATGACGAATGAGGACATGACTTGTTCAAAAGGTCACAGTGCCTGGAGACTCTCACGACATGTGCGTAGGTCTTTCCTGGGAGGCTTCGCCGCGCCCTCCCTCCTGGTCACGGGCAACCACGACCTCGAGGGTTCGGAGTTCAACACGGACGAGGAGAACCTCGCCGCGTGGCAGCGGACGTTCGCCCAGCCGCACTTCTGGTGCTGCGACGTCGGCCCGGCGCTGATGGTGGGCATCAGCACTGTGCGGTTCCGCTCCAACGAGCACTCGGTGCATGAGGTGCACATCGATGACGAACAGGTCGCGTGGCTGCGCGAGGTGCTCGAGACGGCGGGCGACAAGCCCGTGGTGGTGTACAGCCACGCGCCGCCCCTCGGCTGCGGGCTCAAGGTCATCAACGAGGTGCACGTGAAGAACCGCTGCGCGTGGCTGAACCACTCGACCGACCCGTTCGCCTTCATCGACCTCGTGGAGAGCCACAGCAACGTGCGCCTATGGTTCAGCGGCCACTTCCACCTGTCGCACAACTACGCCGACTCCGTGTCCTCGCGGCACGGCACCGCCTTCGTCCAGACGGGCGTGATCGGGACCTGCAACCGCGACGGCATGCGGCAGTCGCGCGTGCTCGAGATGGACCGCGAAGGGTTCCGCGTGCTGACAGTGGACCACCACGACGACGGCAGGACGCGCGTGGACGTCGAGCACAGCTGGTCGGACCCGTCCGACCCCGTCCACGTGCTGCCGGACGACGAGCTCCTGTGCGACCCATCCGACGGTTTCCTGTGCGGCAGGTCGTCGTGCGCGATCGGCGAGGAGCTGGGGGGCGTGACGTGGTTGCCAGCGGGGGGCGACGTCATGCTGGCCGTGCAGGATGAACACCTCATCCAATACAGTGTGCGGGCGCAGGCGGCGGTCGGCGCCGTGAGCCTCGACGTGCGCGGCAGGACCGCACGTCTGCTCGACGAGAACGGCGCGGTGCTGGGGCCCGACGACGCCGGCGACAGTGCGGTTGCGGTGGAGCTGGTCGCGGAGGACGGCTCGGATCGAGAGACGTTCCCGCGGCACGAGGGCGGCTTCTATCTGATTCACCAGGCAAGGCGCTCACGAACGTGGCTGCTGTCATGCTCGAGCAGCGAAACGCGGAGTGATTTGTCGTCTGTTATTTCCTATGCGGTGAATAATGGAGCAGTGCCGTCGACTCCCCTTGAACGTGCAGCCGAACAAGTGGGAGAAGCGGATGCGCGAGCAGGGGCTCGAGGAACTCATTGAGATACAGCGTGCGCTGCGGGACGGGAAGCTTGATCCGACCACGCAAGTGGCTGTCTGAGGCGCTGGACCGCTCTGTGATCACACCATAACGTGCTTCCTCTCAAGCCACTTCCGTGGGCGTGACCTGCCCCCTGACCTTATCCCCATTCGTGGACCCCTTGTTCGGGCTTGGCGGGCGGATGGGCTGCAGCTGCCGCTTCACCGACATCCACCAGAGCACCGCGCCAAGGCACGTGACCGTCCACGCGACCGAGGCCGCCGTGGCCGCCAGCGTCAGGGACGTGAGGACGTCCTGCCTCTCGTCATCAGTGCACCGGAAGGGCGGGGCAGCGGTGATGGTGGTGCCACAGTGGCCACTCAGGTCGAGGATGCCCGCGTCGATGACCTCGAGGTACGCGGGCGTCGTGCCGATGCTCTGGTGATCGGTCCACGCGCCCGCTCCAGGGTTCCAACGCTTGATGATGTGCTCGTGCCGCACGCTGAACTCGTTGTTGGCGAGCGTCTGAGTGGCCACGTCGAACGCGCCCGAATCGCCCGCGTTCAGGTTGTTCTTGAACGCTTGCGGGATCGGCACCTCGCTGATACACGACACCGCCAGACCGGGGCGCAGTCGGAGCGGAATGGAGTAGCCCAGAATCACGTTGCCAGAGCCCCCCTCGTGGTCCCGCGTCGTCGGCTCGGGGTACACCAGCCACGCGTTGGTGTTGAGGTTCAAGTCGTTCCTGCACTGGGCCGCGCTCTCCCACACGAAGCTGTATTCCAGCGTGCACCGAGCGTCCCTGTTCTGTGTCTGGCCCTGAACCGAAACAGCCTGCACGGACAAGCCGGGCTCGTCATGCAGGTGGGGGATATTCTCGTCTAGGAACGCGAGCGCTGGCATCGGCGCCTGCGGTGCACCCCGCAGCGTGCCGTCGAGGCGGCGGGCCACGCACCCCTGGCCAGGAGAAGTCCACCGTGCCCTTGGTCAGCCCAACCGATCGGCAGTTGTCCTCCAGCGAATCCCCCCTGCACAACGCCACGTTTTGCACGTACGTCAGTGCGGCTGACGTGCGACTGCGTGGCGCAGTGGCAGTCCAGTCAAGAAGGCGCGCTGTTACGGAGCGGGGCGAGTGTTCGCGCCAAGTACCACGCACCAGTAGACAATCGTCGCCACTCGGGTCCAGTACCAGAAGAAGCTGCTGACGAAGACAGCTAGGCAAATGAAGTACTGAAGGTACGAGACCCTGCAGTGGACCGTAGACGGCGGTCGAGGAGCGTCTCAGGTGTTCTCGGGCGCCTCGTCCAGGCACATGCAGCGCGGGGCTTCGCGCCGCGGCCCTGTCTATCCGGGTGCGTGGAGCCGACCCGCGCGGAAATTTTCGGCGCCAGCATGGTGGGACACGACGCAGGGGCACCAGGCGCTCCTCGGCCCGTGCACAGGCGCAAAGCTCCCGGCAAGGGCAGAAGTTGTTGGCACCTAGCAGGCTAGCGCGCTGTTCAGCGGCTGGTGCCGGGGGCGCGGCCGCTCACCAGTTCCTCCACTTCTCTGCCCGCTGCGGGTACTGGATCTCCTCATAGTCCTGCACCACAGAGGGCCCGCTGGTTGCGCCCAGGTCAGCAGTTGTGCTACGAGGGCCGCGCTGCACGTGCGTGCTCGAGTACAAAGGACTCGGCCTACCTGCAGATGTCTGGGGGCTTTCAGAGGCATGGTTTCGGCCGCGAGGAGTTTTTTGATGCTTCCCCTCTCCGCAAGCCGAGAAGAGGATCACCTCCTGCTGAGGGAGCACCTGCCCTCGGATACACGAGCTCTGCGACTCTCGCGGCTTTGGTTTGTGCCCTCGGCGGAGAGATAGCATGTGATTGCGCGTGCACAGCGGCGCCGCGTGGCCTCGTCTCGCGGCCTCACCGCCAGAGAAACCTGTCCGACCTGTGTCCCGTTGGTTGGGGGTCTCCTGCCACGGCGACCGATCCGCCCCTGCGCCTTTCGGGCAGCCGCATCCCGCGGGCCACAGGTCCGCAGCTCGCATGGGCACGGCGTGGGACACTCCGCGGGCTGCGTCACACAGAAGCAGCGCATCTACAGCGGCGCGGCACACGCGGCGATCACCTCCCGCAGGACGACATCCACCTCCGCGCGATCCCTTCCGACCTCCTGACAGACTCTCGCCTGGTGCGCCCGGCTGAGATTCAGGAACCTTGCCACCAGGTCGCCGTCCACAATGCTGTCCGGACCCGGGTCGGGCACGTACGCGGTGCCCTGCATCATGCCTGTCACGCGGCCCGCAGCGCGTCCGCGGAACGAGCGCGGGTTGAGCCCCGCGGTGTGCACGAGCCCCGTGGCGAGGCGCTCCTGCAGGGACCGCAGAAGATCCGCTGCCTCCTGCGACAGGAACACCATGGTGACGAGCCCGCCGTCGAGGGTGCATCCCAGCGCGGCCGCGGTGGCCGTCGGCTGCGCCGCGCCCGGCGGGAGGGGCGGCGCAGGCAGCCACGCGTGCACGGTCTGTCCGACGTACACCTGGCCCTGACACAGCAGCTGCTGCCCGCCCCACTCCGCGGTGGGGGAGTGCCGCCACACCTGCACGCACTGCCCCGCGTCGCCGGACAGCGCGAGGCGCTCCCTGCCCTCCATGCGCACCAGCGCCACCCCGTGCGGCTGCATGACGCCCATGTTCATGCCCATCTGCTCCAGCCGCGGCTCCGGCGTGTCCTCGTACGCCATGAGCCGGATGCCGCGGTGGACGTCCGCCGCTGCGATATAGCCGGGCCCGAGCGTCGACAGCGACGCGGACAGCCACTGGCTGCGCTCGTAGAACGCGCGGCGGCGGAAGTGCAGCGGGCAATTGCTGCCGCCCCCCGCGAGCTGGTACACCTCGAGGACGTTCCCGACGCTCACCGCCACGTACCTGCCGAGCTGTCGCACGCTCGTGATGGCGCCGCTCAGCTCCTGCGCGACGGTGATGTTGGCGGCCCAGATGTGCCCCAGCATCTCCTCCTCTGCACTGACACCCTGCCGGCGCGAGACCTCCACGAGGATCAGGCGCCCGAACACCTGGAAGTCCTCGCCGAAGACGCGCGCCGTGCCGATCAGGATGTACGGCACCGGCGGCGGCGGCGGCGCCCCGGCGTACGGCGGGTCGCTGGACCCCAGGGTGACCGACTGCAGCGTGAGGATGCGCTCGCAGGGGTCGAGGTCCAGGCTGAACAGAGACTGCCGCAGGTCAGCCGTCATCAGCCGCACGCCGTGCACCTCCTGCCGCTGCCGACGGCGCGCCGTTTCCTCCGCGAGGGCGTACGCCGCCGACGCCATTGGATCACTTCCCTCCTTGCGCTCGTACGGGAGCCACCGCTGGGCGTACGGTACGACCCGCGAGAGGCCGACGGCGTACAGCCGCGCGGGCGCGTGGCAGCACACCGCGATGGGGTCGCCGCCCTTCGTCTGCACCTTCTCCAGCGTCCACTTGGTGCCCATGCGCAGCAGGCGCGGCACCTCGCACACCGACATGCCGCCCGGGCTCGTCACGATGAAGCCGTGGGGGCACGTGGAGCTGTGGAACGGCGCCATCGACAGCGCCGACCCGCCGCGGTAGCACCGCGCGACGGGGTGCGCGACCAGCTGCCCGCGCGAGGCAATCATCCACGTCGGCGCCGGACCGCACACGAACACCCCCGCACAACCTTGCACGGACCCAACGTCGTCGGTACGCACGAGACAGCGGCGCAGCTGCGCCTGCGCCCTCGTGCCCCCCGACGGCGGCGCTTGGCGCGGCACCTCAGCATGTACACGCCGGAACGCCAGCGTCCGCTTGGGCGCCTCGCTGTCCTCCACCGGCGCCATGAAGGCGCGGTAGATGAGGATCATGCCGTCCGACAGCGCTGCGACCAGGACGGGGTCTCGTGCCGCGGGGAGACGCGCTGCGTTGGTGTAGGCCCCCAGCTTCCCGGCCGCCAGGCGCCTGCACGGCCCGAACGACTCGAACAGCAGCTGCGCCGCGCAGCTCGGCGCACCCGCCTCCGCAGCTTGTCCCGCGTCCACCTTGTCGCGCGCGCCCGCCATCACGGTGTCCCCCTCGTGGATGCGGTCATGGTGCAACAGCAGCCTCCCGGATCGCGCCGCATATATGTCCAGCGAGCCCGACTGCCGGGAGAGTGCGACAAGCGCGGGGCCCGGCACCTGCTGCACTCCTTGCTCTTGTTCCAGCAACGTCGCGGCCCACCCGGTCTCGTCCTCGTACAGGCAGGCGGCCGTGATCCCGTCGTTGCGAGGAGCGAAGGCGTCCGCGAGGTCCCGCGGTACCTCCGCCATGACAAGGCTCGAGGCTTCGGGATCCGCGCGTACGAGTGCGCACCGCCCGTCTCCGAGCACGAGCAGCACGTGGCCCTGTTTGATCGACGCTGAGAGCACTTCGTCTTTCGGGCCTCCACCCAACTGCTCTACAGTCATGCTGGCCACGCCTCCGAGACCCTCCAGAAGCTCCAGTCCGCGTGTATGTACGATTACGGACGTTCGTTTCGAGCCGCCAGCGATCGCAGCTGCTGCGACCAGCGTGCCCACTTGGCCGCCGAATCGTAGCTCGCTCGTGGCGTCCCGCAGCCCTTTCGACGTTTCGAACGCTCGTATCCCCGTTGGAGTGCTCATCAGGAGCGCGGTGTCGTACGGCGGCTCGTCAACGCGCTCCGCACCACGGTGTCGCAGGGCCCACACTCCCTCGATGTTCTTCAGCTCGGCGGCGTCGAGGTTCGAGACGATGCGCGGCTCGAACGACTGGCGCAGGATCGCCAGCGCCCCAGAGCGCCCGTGCCCGACGCACGCCACGAGCTGCTGCCGCGCTTTGACCAGGTCGCGCGAGCTGCCCCCGCCAAGGTCCGGCCCAGGCCCGACGGCGGCGTCCTTGATGGGCCCGATGTTCACCAACGAGTCCAGCACGGTGACCTGGAAGTTCCCAGTCCCGTCAAGGCGCGCCCGCTTCCGCGCCGGCGCCTGGTCGCCTCGCGACGCGGCAGCTTCCGTCGTGCCTCCGAGCGACATCCCGTAGAGCTCCATCTCTTCATCCAGCGTGGACTGCTCCTGCCCCGGCGCGTCCTCCGGCGGCGGCGGCGGCGGCACGTCCCCGTGCGCCCCCTCCGCGGCCTTGTGAGAGGTGTCCTTGCGGCTGTAGCGGAGCAGGAGCGAGTCCCCCGACCGCGAGGCCAGGAACGCGAGGCAGCGCGAGGGCACCGTGCACGCCGCGGACACCACCGGCGCGGAGGCCACCTCGTGCGCGTCCAGCCCCCTGACTCGGCTGCCGTCGATGCGCATCGTGAGCGCCAGCAGCCGCCCGTCGCGCAGGGCGATCAGCGCGTCGCTGTCCGTCAGCCACGACCCCGTGCTGCCCCACATGTCGACGTCCAGCGCCGTCTTCGGCGGCGACGTGAACCGCGCGGAGATGGACGGCACCACGTCAGGGGGCACGTGTCCCGCGTGGGCGCGAACCTGCTGCGCCGCCACCGCAAAGTGCATCTCGGACGGCCCCGCCGCCATGGGCGCCGGCGACCCCGTCGCCACCGCCGCGGAGCTCAGGACGATGCCGTCCGGGGGCTGTCCCTGCAGCGCAGCACAAGAGCATTCTCCGTTGCATCGCGGACGCACCGCGGCGTTCGCGTTCCGCCCGGCGAGCTGCGGCGCGCACCTGTGACACGAAGAGCGCCATGGACTGGCACACCACGAGCGCGCCGCCGGAGGGTGTCGCCATGAGGTACTGTGCGTCGCTGGGGAGGCCCTTCTGCGACCACAGGCGCGGGTGGCTGCGGCGGCCCGTGTCGATCGACACCGCCACGACGCAGCACGTGTCGCGCGAGCGCGGCAGGAGCGCCGGCGCGGTGGCGTGCTCCTCGTACAGCACGAGGAGCGTCGGCTCGCTGTACTTGTGCAGGAACGCCACGTCGCGGACGTTGGTCACGCCCAGCCGGCCCAGGTCCAGCACGTACGAGCGGTCGCACATGACGGCGCCACGGTCGCCCGCGCGCGCGCCCGCGCCCTTCGCGTCGACCTGCGCGCCGCCCGCGAGACCCAGGACCAGGTCCTCGTCATCGCCCTCCTTGCCGAACGCCGGAACCAGAGCCTGCGGGGGCGTCGCGGGTGCGCGCGGTGGGCGGTGCGCTGGGCCCAGAGGCGAGGCGGGGCCGCGGGGCGGGGGCAGCGCACCAGTTGGGAGTCGAACATGATGACGGCAGCGCAGCGGCCGAGTGGGTCGCAGCGCACGCGCACGCCGTGGGGGAAGGCGGCCCGGGCTTGCTTGAGCGCAATGTTGCCGTCGAAACGGTGCAGTGACGTGGTCCGAAGGTTGGATTGCGCGACGCTCCACTCGAGCACAGAGAGCTGCAGTTGGTCTCAGGGGAACGTTGCTCGGTGTGGTCCCCTGCCTCGTGGCCAGCAAGCGCGGCCGCCAACACAAGCGGCTCTGACGGGCCTCACCTTCGCGTCAGCGAAGCACAAGAGCAGGGCTTCGCGGAATCCGGGCCGGGACGCTGGGAGCGCAGCCATGCTCTCCACCTTGCCCGACAAAGGCCATGACCCGATGAATTCCAGTGCCGCCCCCGCCGAATCACTGTCGGAGTCTGCATCAGGTCCTGCCGCTTCGGCGTCGCGCGGCAGCGTGACGATCCTGCAGGAGGTGCCAGCCGGTTCGCCGGTTGCGTTCCGCCGCGCCAGAGGCACCGGGTGGCGGGCGCTTGCGAGGCGACGGGTGCGGCCGCACTCGGATGAGGACATGCCATAACACGCATCCTCGTGCGATCTCAACCCGGCCAGGGGCTGCGTTCGTCACCACTGGGGCACTGCAACACGTCGCGTGGAACTCGCCTGTAGATCTCGAGGTTCGTGGCACTTGCGCACACGAGCTCCGGAACCGACGAACTCTCGCTTGGGGCGGTCAAAAACGCTGTGATGGCATGAGAAATGGCAGTAGGAGGATGCACTTGCTTGATCAAGGCGTCTGCCTTCAATTTCACGTACTCCTTGCCCGCCATCGCGCCTTGCTCGGGGGCGCCAGAGACACCTCGACAGGGTCCGCGGAATGCCAGGCCAAAAACGGGCCGCACGCGGCGCACGTCAAGACGAAGGGTGCATCTTGGCCAGCAGAACTAAGCAGGCCCTCGTAGACGCGACGCGCACCGCGTTGATGGACAGGGCTCCATCAAGCTACTGTGCAACGGGCTGCCGCTCGTGCCAGACCTTGTGCTACTGCGCCAACGATGTGTCTGACGGTTGGGGGGGGGGTTCCAGGAGAGGGATGTGTTCACCCCGCCGAGAGAGCAGGACATCTCGTGTGGATCGATGCCAGATCTCGTCTACTCCGTGTCAGGCGGGCCTCATGCGGAGCATGCCTGGCACGTCGGCAGAGGCCGCGTGCTGGTAGCATGCACTGTATGTACAACAGCGGACGAATTGGAGTGATTGCCGGCCCCATGGGGCGGTTTGTGTCGCAGCATGGGAAGCTCTGCCGCGAGACACGGGGGCCGGGCGCCGGCTGTTCCACCGAGCAGAACACTGATGCAGTGGTCAGGGGCATCAGAAAAGGAGCTGTGCCCGTGAGCACGCGCGACCCCGTGGCAGTCCTCGGGGACAGTGAGATCACAAGGACTGCGGCGTGATCGCCTGCCGCCTCTGGGTGCAGGGCGTCACCAGTGTTCAACGAAGACCGCACATGTCTGGCTGGGCACGTTCATGCGCCGCGACGCGTTGTTGCACGCCTGGGGGGCAGCAGCGCGGAGGACCGGGTCGGCAGTAGTTTCTTGAATGGGATGAAGCCGCATTCCGATGATGTGACTGGGGTACGGGGCGACGAACGCCTTGTCTCGCACATTGAAGACGACAAGCACGCGCCGGAACGGTCCCCAGTTCGCAGGCGGCCGTGCCGCTGGCACGCGCTCGGGTGCTGCAGCGAAAAGCAAACGGGGAGACGCAGTTGCGTGGGTGAGGTCGGGAGCCGTGCGGGGCGCGCAGATATCGGTGAGTGCAGTGTTTGCCAGGCATGGAATCCGTTCTCACCGTCGCTGTCCGTGCCGAGGCTGTTCGAGCTGTCGGCTCTGGTCATGGGCGGCGCGGGCGCGTCGGGGATGTTGAGGGCGTCGGACGAGATCTCCATTGCGATGACGCCGGGCACGACCTCGGCGCCCGGCGCGCTTTCCTCCTCGTCCGCCGGCGGAGCGCCAAGCTCGTGGAAGCGCACGGCGGCGCAGATCTCCTCCGCCGTCCGCAGTCGGAACAGCCGGCTCGACTTGCGGATGCGCAGGAACTCCTGCACCAGGTTCTTGAAGGTTTGGATCTGGTCCGCGGTGGGCGCGATGCCCTCGCGCGCGAGGATCGGCCCCATGAGCGCCCACTCTCCGCGGTTCTTCTCCGAGGGCGGGAGGCCCATGGGGAAGTGGTTGGTGCTGCCCGTCCAGTCGATGCGGTTGAACCAGTCCCCCGAGTTGTAGCTGTCGCGGTCGAGGGACTTGGAGCGCAGGAGCTCGTCGCCGGCGTGCAGGAACGGCACGCCCTGCGCGAGGATCGTCATGGCCTGGCACAGCGCCATCATGCGCAGCTTCACGTCCAGACCCAGGTCCAGCGGGGCCTTGAACAGGATCAGGTCGAACAGCGTGCGGTTGTCGTGGCAGCTGATGTAGTTCACCGTCTCCTGCGGGCACGCCGTGAAGCACGACAGCGCGGACGCCCCCGCACACCGGAATTCCTGCCCGCGCAGCACCTCGCCAGTCGCCGAGGACGTGACCTCGAACGGCAGCAGCGAGCCCGCGAGGCAGAACTTCATCCCGTCCATCATCCGCAGCAGCGCCGCCTCGCGGTCGCTCCGCGTGGTGTGCTTCTGCGTGTGCGGGTTGTCGAAGAACAGCAGCCCCGTGGCCAGCCCCTGCTCGCGCGGGTCCGAGAACGGGCCCCCGCCGAGCGCCTGGTCGCGCAGCCGGTCGTTGAAGGACCCGACCCCGGTCCCCACGAGGTTGCCCATGCACGCGTTCACCCCGCGCCGGTTGTGCACCATCTCCCCGAAGTCCCACCCCTCGCCGTACAGGTACAGGTTGCGCCCGTCCACGCCGTCGCGCGCCTCGGTCAGGTCCCGCAGCCGCTGCGCGACGCCGTGCACCGTCTTCTTCATCAGGTGGCCCATGATGTCGAACCGGAACCCGTCGACCTTGTAGTTGCGCGCCCAGTGCATCAGGTCGTCCTCGATCAGCCGCGCCACCATCCGGTTCTCGCACGCCACGTTGTTGCAGCACGTCGACGCCAGCACGTGCCCGTCCTCGTCGCGCCGGTGGTAGTACCCCGGCACCACCTTGTCCAGCACCGAGTACTGGCTCGTCGGCCCCGACTCGTACGTGTGGTTGTACACCACGTCCAGCACCACGCGCAGGCCCTTCGCGTGCAGCGCCTCCACCATCGCGCGGAACTCCCGGATGCGCGCGGGGCCGTCCGGGTCCGACGCGTACGAGCCCTCGGGCGTCGAGAAGTGCACCGGGTCGTACCCCCAGTTGTAGCTGTCGCGGTCCTTCACCTCCGCGAGGATGGCCTGGGGCATCTGCGACGCCGCCTCAAACTTCGCCATCTCCTCCAGGTCCGGGTCCTTGCGGTCGGCCTCGCGCTCCGGCACCGTCGCGAAGTCGTACGACGGCAGCAGGTGCACGTGGGTGATCCCCGCGGCCCGCATCTCGCTCAGGTGCCGCCCGCCGTTCGACTCGTGCAGCTTGAACGCCCCGTACTTGCCGCGCAGGCTGTCCGGCACCGTCGGGTCCGTCGCGCTGAAGTCCCGCACGTGCAGCTCGTACAGGACGATGTCCACCGGGTGCCCCACGGGCGGCAGCCGCGCCGTGCCCCAGCCCTCGGGGAACAGATCGTGGTCGGCGACGTCCACCACCTGCGTCGCGAGGCCGTCGCAGTTGGTGCTCCGCGCGTACGGGTCGCTGGCGATCATCTCCTCCACCGCCTGTGTCGCGGGGTGGTACGCCCGGATGCGGTACTGGTAGAACTTGCGGTCCCAGTCCACGCCCCCGCGCGCGTGCCACGCCCCGAACCGCGCCGACGTCATCGGCACCACCGTCGGCTCCTGCGCGGCCAGGTCGGCCGAGTCGTACAGCAGCAGCTCCACCGACTGCGCCGTCGGCGCCCACAGCGACACCGACACCTGCCCCGCCGCCCGGTCCACGTGCGCCCCCAGCGCGCCGTCGTAGTAGAACAGCTCGTCGAGCAGCCCCTGGATCTGCACGCCCGTGAAGTACCCCAGCTCGCCGTCCTCCGTGATGACGCTGACCGCCAGCTGCGCGCGCACCACGCGGTCCATCGCGCCCGTCAGCACGGGCGCCTGCGGCACCTCGAACAGCACGCAGCCCTCCAGCCACGGGAACTTGTGCACCACCTCCCCCTGCGCCAGCCCCTTGGGCTCCAGCTCCACCACGCACGGCAGCGGCGCCGCCCCGGACCTCGCGCCTGCAGCGACCGCACGGCGGGGCTGCTCGTCTGTTGCGGCGAGCGGGCGCGGGCGGGACCGGCACGGCGGGGTCGGCGCGTCGGTCGCACCTGAGGCGCCCAGGCGTTTGGACGACGGCTTGCGCGTCTCGCTCGACACCAGCCCGTTCTTCGTCGGGGTCAACGTCGCCGTCGGGGACACGTGCAGGTAGAACTTCGAGGCGCCCTGCGAGGAGCCGGCGCGGGGCCTGGTTGTTGCGCACCACAGCGCGCGGGGTGCAGCCGTGGGCGACGCGCGACTCGGTGCGACCGCGTCAGGGGCATGAGCGCGCTGACTCGTCCAGCGCGCGGCGCACCTGTCCGACGGGGAACCTCCACAGGATCTGCGACGGCGAGACCCAGTGCGCACTGCTCCGCGACAGAGAGCCCGTGCCGTTGTAAGTGAGCGGGGCGGATCTGTCGCCCTTCGAAGACGCGGCGGACGGACCCTGCAGCAGAGACACGGGAGCGGCGACGTCGTGGTCAGGTTCTTGCCGTGGAGGGCGTGACGGCCGGGCACATTGACCGGCAACCGAAGCAGGCGCCACGACGCAGCAGCTGCCAGCGCACGACGTGGACACACGTCTGCGGCGCGGCGGTGCACGCTCGTGTCGTCATGTGGGGATGTATGGCCGAACCAACGGAGCTGCGCCCCCCATGAGCCCCCGCAAGCAGCCCAAGCAGAGCGTGGCGGTTAACGGTTTGCGTCATCGGCCAGCCTCGAAAAGCGGCCAGCAGATTTCGAAAAATATCCGTTCATATCCGCGGGGCGACCTCGAGCGCCGCACTCGCAGCGAAACGACGCCGCGACGAAAGGCGACACTTTTCCTCGAGCGTAAGCGGATCGGCGCAGCTGCCTCCGCCCCCGAACGCAGCAATGCGCTATGCAGGCAGCTGCCCTGTGGCGAGAGGGACCCTGGCGTGCGTGCTCGAGCTCACCACGTCCTTGTCGCTCATGGACGCGCCCCTCCTCGCAGATGTCTGGCTCGCCCGCAGTGAGCCTCCGAGGGTGGGTGGAGGATCCAGCGAGCCCGCAGCAGCAGCATGCTTGTCCAAGTGCGGTTCCGCCTTCACCATCTGGGAGATCTTTGGGGGCGAGCGCGCGTACTGCCCCCGCTGGGCAGCGCTCCCGCTCGCCAGTGCGGCTCCACTGGCGGACGCAGGCTTCATCCTCGCCCCCTGCGAGCCGCCCAGGAACACCGGGATCTTGATCGTGCCAGCCGTGGAAGCGCCGCTCGGCGCTCGGAGCCCACTAGGCCGGAATGGTGGGAGGCGCCGCTTGCCGCGGTGATTCTCTCCCTCTCGCGGAGTGCGCGAATGCGGAACCGGCGCGGTCGTTGCGCGGCCAGTGGCGCAGCGATGCAATGGCGCGCGTGGCGGGGCCGCGCGCCCACTGACGCCGTGAGCGCCCGGCAGTGCCCGACCAGAGGGCACAACTACTTGACTGCTCCAGTGCAGGCTGGAGAGACCTCCGGCTGGCTGCGGCGGCCGATGGCCCGTGGCGCGCGCGCGCGCGTGTGAGATCCTCCGTCGTCCCGGGAGCGACATCGCTCGACGGTCAGACGACCCGCTCGGCGACGGCGCGTGGGTGGGTGGGCCGCGTGTGGGAAACGCACGCGGGGCAGTGCAGGCGCAGCATGTCCGACCTGGCGGCTCCCGCAGGGCTTGATCCCAAGCTCGTACGCAGGCTCACGACGTTGAAGACGACGATTGATGGCTTCATCCGGCAGCTTGAGGCGGTCGTTCAGGGCACCAAGGTAGGGACAACACCACAGTGCGTTGGCTACCCGCCGTTCGCGAACTTGCACTCGGCCCGAGTGCACCAGGGACAGGGCTCCAAGCATGCGGTCGCCCTGCTGTCGGGGCGGCTTCCCGCGGCGGAAACGAAGGTGCAGCAGCGAGCCTCCTTCCACGATGTGCCACGCTGCAGACCGCCCGACTGACGTCGTGGGACAACATCCTCGAACGATACGGCAGCATCATGTGGGCTTTGAGGACGACCATAGGGCGCATCGAGGAGCAGGCGGCCGGTACCTCGGTGCTGTCCTCGCAGGGGCTGTCGCTCGCGAACATCGCGGTAAGTGCCTGCAAGGCCGTCGCCTCCGTGATCCTGAATGTGCTGCCCGGGTTCCCACCGTGCTCGGCGCTCCACCCGCATCTCGGCGCGCAGGTGTTTCCGGGCGAGGTGAACACCAACAACCGGGAGGCGCTCCCAATGCTCACGTGCTCGCAAACGGCGCCGACGCTGCGCCAGAGGGACGAGGCGGATCTCGCCGTGGTGGAATCCCTGGTACGCCTCTTCGCCGCCGCAGCGGGCCACGCGGGCCTTCGGGCCAGCCCACCTTTCGCGCAAACCCCAAGCTACACCCGTGTGTCCGGCATGAAGACACCGGCTCCACTCCCGCGACCGGCGCCACCAGCGCAACATTCCCCGACGCGTACGACAATCTCCTCCACCCCGCAGGGCCTGCCCGAGAACCCTGTGGAGGCGTTGGACGCGATTCGCGAGGACATGCGGCTGCTCGGGCGCGCGGTCGACCACGTGGTCTCGCACGAGGCGCATCATCCGCGCATCCACCAGGGCGTGCTCTTCCTGCCGACGTACCAGAAGCAGACGGCGTCGCTGGTGGTGCCAACGCGGGCGAGTGGGGCGAGGGCGAACGGTCACGTGGGCAGCCTGTTGGAGGAGGTCCTCACCTTTGACATCACAGCACGAGATCAGTGACGCAGCGCACGAGCTCGGCTACGCGGCAGCCCCGCACTCGGCCCAGGTCCCAGTGCGACGCTGCAAATCCACGACTTCCCCCCGGGAACAACCCAGAGCCACGCAAACTGCACATCAGATATCGAGAGCACTCGGTGACCACCTCAGTGCCTCGCCCAGGTCACCAAACTTTGGTGCCGTGCGAGGCGCGCCTTGAAGGAGCCTGAAAAAATGCTTGCTCGTCGCGTGCGCGGCAACGCCCCAGCGGTGGCGCAGTCCTCACATGCGGGCTCAAGGGCTCTTTGATGCCTCCTCCGCGGGTGGACTCTTTGCGTCCGCCGGCTCCCCGGGGTCCTGTTCCGCCTGTGATTTCTCAGCAGCCATCTCGGCAGCGACTTCAAGGAGCGCCTCGCGCTCCACGGGGTCCGAGACTGCAGTGCTGAGGAGGCTCGCGGCGGATGGCTCGCCCTCGACGCCCTCGGCCTGCGAGGCACGCGCGGCGCTCTCAGCCTGGCTCGCGCGGGAGCCCTCCTGCTGCAGCTCCATCGCGGCCATGCGCTTCGCCGCGATCGCCTGCCGCGCCTTGGCCTTGAGCTTGGCCTTGCGCTTCTCGAGGAGCTCCGCCGCCTCCTGCTGCCGCAGATTAGAGTACTTGACGTACATGTCCGTCCCCTCCTGCATCTTCTGTTGCAGCTTCTGGACCTCGCTCTTGACGTTGTCCAAGGCCGGCCCCACCACGCGCATGATGGCCGACATCTCTGGCGCGCGCACGCGGCCGGACCCGGGCGGCGACGGCTTGAAGAGACGGTCATGTGCGGCCTCATGCTGCGTGCCTTCTCCCGAGGCCAGCCCGGCAAGCAGGGAGGCCTGCTGCGCTCCAGGGCCCCTGGTCGCGCTCGACGCGGGACGCTGGTCCCTCTCGACGTCCGACGCGTGCACGACGTCGGGCTCAGAGCGCACCGCGCCGATCACCCCCTCGTCAACGGCGACCTTGTCGGCGACGTTGCTCCTCGTGGCGCCGTCCTGTTCCTTGACGACGTCCGCCAGGGCCTCCTCCAGCTGCTTCACGAAGAGCTTCACGTCGAGCATGTGCAGCTGCATCGCCTCGAGCTGCTCCTTCTGCGCCGCCACGGTGTCCTCCAAGTCCTTCCGTGCGCGCTTGTTCGCCTTGGCCTCGGCCGACAGCGCCACGTCGAACGCCTTTTTCAGCTCGACGTGCTCCGCGTGCAGCTTGTCCTTCTCCTGCGTGATCGCGTTCTGCAGGTCCCGGTCCATCTCCTCCCGCCGGGCCAGGAGGCCCTCCACGCGGCCGTCTGCCGCCTTCAGCCGGTAGTTGAGCTCCGAGTTCGAGTCCTTGAGCACCGCGAGCTGCGCGCACCGGGCCGGGAACGATGCAGCGCTTCTCGCGATGCGCCGTGTGCGCTGTGACGCGGCCTGCTGATCCACCTGCGCTGCGGGGGGCCCGCGAGCGTGCTCGAGGGTCTCACCTGGCTGTCGATGACCGCACGCTCGTCCTTGAGCTCGCTCAGCTGCTTCTGCAGGTCCAGCACCGAGTCCTGCGCGTCCTTCATCAGCGCGCGCAGCTCCATCATCTCCGCGTCGCGCCCCTCGTGCTCCCGGATGGTCTTCCCCAGCGCATCGTCGCGCAGCTGCACCTCCTTCTCGAGGTGCGCCACGCGAGCCTTCAGGTCCTGCACCTCCGTGTCGCGGCCGTCGAGCTCGCTCTTGAAGCCCTTCTTGGCGTCCGCGAGCTTGTCCTGCAGCTCGGCGCACTTGGCCTCCTGCGCCTGCAGCTGCTCGTTCAGCCGCGCCTCGACCTCCGCCCGCTGCGCCTGCTCCTCGGCCAGCCGGTCCTCCAGGTCCTCGACCTGCTTCTCCTTCTCGACCAGCTTGGCCCTGAGCGGCGGGATCTTCTCGGTCAGCTCCGTCACCCGCGCCTCCAACTTGGTCTTCGCCGCCTCCAGCGAGCCCACGTGCCGCTTCGCGTCAGCCACGCTCGCCTCGAGGTTGTCGACGCGCGAACGCAGCGCCGTGATCTGCTGTTCCCGCTGCTGCAACGTCACCTGCTGGCTCTGGCACTTGTTCTGCAGCTGCTGCCGCTCGCGCGTGACGTCCGACAACGCCTTCTGCTTGCTGCCGAGGTCCATCAGGACCTCCTTCACCCGCTCCTCCAGCACCCCGATCTGCTCCCGCAGCGTGTGCTCCAGCGCATGCGCCTGCTGCAGCTCCTCGCGCAGCCGCTCCTCCGTCCCGACCTTGCGCGACAGTTTCGCCTGGACCTTCTGCGCCTCCGCCTGCGCCGCCGCCACCTGCCTCTCCGCCTCCTCCAGCTGCTGCGACAACTTCTTGTGCTCCTCCGTCTCGCGCGCCAGCTTGGCCTGGAACTGCGCCGTGACCTCGCGCTGCGCGCGCAGGTCCCTCTCAACCTTCTGCAACGACGCGTCCTTCGAGGCCTTCAGCTTCGCGAGCTGCTGGATGCGCTTCTGGAGGAACCGGCGCGCCGTGACGTTCGCCGTGAGGCACCGCATGGTGGTGGCCAGCGCCACCGACACGTTCCGGAGCTGCTCCACGGTGCGGACTTGGCCCGTCTCGGCCTTCTTCAGCTCCGCCGACAGGTTGTTCTTCGCCTTCTGCTCCGCTTGCAGCTTCTCCCTGTACGACCCCGCCTCGATCTTCGCCTGCACCCACGGCACGGTCATGCATCGCGCGGTTACGGCGGGCGCGGAGGGCACGCGCCGCTCGCGGAGCAGGGCGCGGGAGCGTCGCATGTCCCCGCAGCGTGGGGCGGCGCGCACCGTCTCCGCGATCGCCCGGGCGTGCGACAGCTGCTCCTTGTAGTTCCGCTTCTTGAACCTCTTGCGCTCGAGCTGCTGCCGCAGCAGGATGGCCTCCGCGCCCAGCTCCTCCTCGCCCTTCTTGTGCTGGTCCACCTGCCACTCCAGCTTCTCCACCTTGAGCTTCGCCTGCGTCAGCTCGCCCTCGAGCACCGCCGTCCCCTCCCGCGCCTCGCGGCTCTCCGCCATCGCATCCTGCAGCTTCCGTGCGAGGTCGGCCGCCCTCTCCCGCGCCTCCAGCACCTGCACGTCCAGGTCGTTGCGCCCGGACACCTCCTCCTGGTACCGCTGGTGCGTCACGTTCTGCTGCCACTTGACCACCGTCTGCGTCCCCTCCAGGTCGGCCGCGCGCTCCTCCGCCGCGGCCCGAAGCCCCTTCTCCAGAGTCAGGGCGGCCTCCAGCTCCGCGATCCGCTGGTCCGTGCCGTCGCCGCGCGCGTTCGCCTCCACCAGGCTCTTCTCCAGCTCGACGATCTTGGCCTGCAGCCCGTCCTGGCGCGCGGTGGCGTCGCGCGCTTCCCGCCGGCACGCCACCACCTCCGCCTCCATGTCGGCCATGTGCTGCGCCTCGCTCATGTACTGGAACTCCACGAGCGCGCGCTCCCGCTCCGACTCGGTCAGCTTGGCGCGTTCCTGCAACAGCGCAGGGCTCGGCAGCGCGGCCCTGGGCGGGCGGCGCGGGCAACGCAGGGCTCGGCGCGGCGCAGTCGATGCATGGCGACAGGCGCACCTCGGCGAGCACCGTCCGCAGCGCGGCCACCTTGGACGTCTCCTCGTGGTGGGCAGCCATGAGCTGCGCTGTGGTGCGCTGCAGCGTGAGGTTGTCCTCGTAGGCCGCCGTCAGCTTCTCCAGCCGGTCCACGAGCTCCGCCTCCTGGAGGCGGTTGTTGTGCGCCAGCGCCAGGACGTCGGGCAGGACCTCGCGCCTGAAGAGCACCCCCGCCAGCGCCAGGAAGCCGCCAATCAGCGCGTGCCCGACCGCCGCCCGCGCACCCTGTCCGCCCTGCCCTGGCTGCGCCGCCGCCACCGCCTCGCGCATGCTCTGCGTGAAGCCGACCGTGTGGACGTACAGCGACCGGTGGGCCCTCTCCACTGCCTCGCCCGACAACCCCGCTGCCTGCAGGGCCGCGCGGTCGATGCCGAGGGCCTCCAGGCGCGGCACGCGGCTGGTGTCCGGGCCGATCGTCGGCTGCTGCGGCGTGCCCGCGAGGATCGCGTCGAGCGCGAACTCGAGCCCCCTCCCGTGGCGCTCCCGCGTGGCCATGAAACTGCATCACGAGCGGCACGCGGCGAGGGCGTCAGGATCGCGCGCGCTCGGGAACGCGGAGGCCGCGTCCTGCGCCGCGGGGGCGTGCGTGCGTGCTGCGCGTGTGCTCGCCTGGGCGCAGGGCCGACGCCCGGGCCTGAAATCTCGCATGCGGACATGAACGAGTCCAACGTCGCCGCGTCCACGACGAACGTGGCGCGCTGCCTCATTTGCGCGTCGACCCCTCCCTTCGTCATCGCGCCCGCCGCCCCGGCCGCGTGCCGCGCCGATATCGGCGGGAGCGACATGGTGTGAGCAAGATCCTTCGCGTCCTTCAGCGCGGGCAGCGCGGTGGCGGCGTGGTCGTCGCCCGCCGCCTGGCCGTTGGAGAACTTCTCCAGTAGAGCGCGCGCCAGCGGTGGAAGCGCCGCATGCGGCGACTTGCCCTTGCCAGGTCTCCCTGCACGCACGCCCACGCGCCGACAGCCGAACCGTGAGTCGCCACGAGCGGAGACGCGCCGTCGTCATACAGGTGCAAGCTCACGGGCAACCTTTCTTTCCAGCCTTGGCCCCTCGCGCGCAGCAGCCGGGAACGGGGGCATCCTGGAACATGCACATGGCCTCGTACTTCAGCATTCGGGCTCGTCGTCCCGGCTCGCTCATCCGAGCTTCCAGGGAACAGCATACGGCACTCTCCCACCGAGCCGCGCGTGCCCCGGAGGCCCTGAACGGCCAGCTCACCGAGCGGGTGGCCAGGCATGTGTGGGACCCCCGCGAAACCCGTGCCCGCGTCGGTGTAGCAGCGTAGCTCCAAGGCAGGTGAACGTTTTGCGCAATATCTCGTCGCGCCCGAGACTGCGGGTCTCTTTGGTCCCCGAGCAGGATGAACGGGCGCTCCGTAGTGCACTTGCCTGTCGCGCGCTCCGCTTCCATGCTGGCTAAGGCGGGCTCGCACTACACTGCATGAACGCCGACCCGTATGTCCGTCGCGCGGACGGCGTGCTCGGTGCTAGCGGGGACCTCCCGGCTCGTCGGGCTGCGGAATGTTGCTGGCGGATGGTCCCTGTCGCCCGCTGCCTGCGATCGGAGCGATGTCTCGCACACGGGCGTCCGCGTCCTGATCACCTCCGACAGAGGTTCGCTTGCGGTCTAGTACTTCCGTCAACTTCGAGGAGGGCCGAACAAGCCTCCAGTGCGTAAATAAGACTTCCTCACGGCTCGTGAATCACTCGTGTAGTCCGCAGCGTCAAAGTTCGCGCTGCACGGTGCATGGGGCATGTCTGCGCTCCACTCAGACCCAATGTGCAGGCAGCCAGCCCTTCCGCATCACAGCCCCACGACGGGGTAGAAGCGCTGTTGAGCGCGCAGCGCTTCGGGGCTTGAAATGAGGGACTTGGGGGACCGCAGTGCACTTCTCCTGCGCCACTCCGCGAGTGACGTCTGCATCATCGCTGTCTAGTCATCTCACAGACGGCGCAGCGGGGCTACGTGCGCCCGGAACTTGGACGAACCTGCTACACCACTGGAGGGGGAATTTCGTGCGTACACGCGGCCACGTGCGCGCTCATGCGAGCCATGCGGGTGCGCTAATGTTCCGTCGGGCGCATCAGTCAGGAGACGGGGAGCGTCGCCTGAGTGAACCATGAGCGCTGCGGTGCAGCCCGTCGGGCCAACAGGACAGCCCCCGCGGCAGCCTCTCGGGTTTGGCCTCTATTTTGTCGCGCTTCGCGGACTCTGTGCGCTGTACGGGCTGCTCGGGATCGGGATCGCGGGGGCCGGCGCATCGCTCGGACTGTACCTGCTCCTCACCACCGTCCTCGCGCCGGACCAGCGCGTCGTGATCACACCCGTCAACTTCGACTACACCGGCGGCAACCCCGTGGCAGTTGTGGCCCTCGGGTCGCGCGAGGCCCTCAGGCGCTCGCGCGCCAACCTGCTCGCGGGGCCACTGCAACTGCCGGATGCGCAACCGGACGTCGTCGGGAATGTCCGGGCCGACCGTGCCATGGCGCCCGGCGAGAAGTTCTCGGTCGTGCTGGAGATGGAGCTCGCGGACGACTTGCAGTCGAGCACGGACCTGTTCGTTGTCGCAGCTGATCTCCTCACGTTGCCACCACCGTGCGAATCCTCGCGTGACGCGGCGCCGGATGAGCAACAGCAGACATGCAGGAGCAACCTGTTAGCACGAACCGTCAGGTGGGACCCTGGACACCGCGCGCGCGGCATCCTTGTGCCATGAAGAGCATTTGTTGCGCTTCAAGTTCTGGACTCTCGCCGATTGAAAGACAGACATCCACAGGGAGCCCGCGTCGCTGCCCCCTCGCAGGACGGCGGTGGTCCCGCTGCGCAGCCGGGCGCTGCGAGCGATGTCCGCCTTCATCCGCCTGCCGTTCCTGTTGACCGGCATCGCTGCCGAGAGCCAGCACGTCCGCGTGGAGCTGGCCCACGGGGCGGTCGAGCAGAAGGACCCGCTCGCCGCGGTGCGGCTGCAGCTGCTCCCGCGAGGGGACAGCGCGTCGGCGGGGCTCCCGGTGGTGAGGCGGGCGGACCTGGTGCTGGTGTTGGAGCTCACCCCCCTGCGCACCCTGGCCTACTGGGTGCGACCGCCCGGGTGGGCCACGCTGCCCATGTGGGCCGGCGCGGTCGGCACGTGGTCGCTCGGAGTCGCGTGGCTCGCCGTCGTCTACGTCGCGTACTCGTGGGGCGCGTCGGCTGCCCCGCACGTCGTCGACGGTGTGCAGCAGATGTTGGTGCACGTGCTGCTGGCCGTCGCGGGTTCGCTCAGGCGAGTACAGGGCGCCGCGCTGCTGGACGCGGAGGTGCGCGACGGCGGCGGCGACGCCGGGGGGAGCGCTACCAGCGGCGGGCAACAGTCCGGGCAAGATGCTACGCAGCAGTACGGCAAAGCGGGTGCGGCGGCGGAGAGGGGCGGTCCGAGTCGAGAGCGCGACTCGACGACCCAGTCCGACTCACAGTAGTCACAATGTGCTTCGTGACCGACTTGTCTGTCAGCCTTAGGAAGCACCGATGCAAGCTTCAGGAAGCATGTCGCGTCGTTGCCAACAGGTCAGGCACGCGCGGCCTCAGAGGCGGGAGGTCGCAGCGCCACCGCCGAGCTTCGCGCCGCTGCGCGCGCAGCGCAGCAGGAAGTCGCATGGCTTCCAGAATCCTGCCGTCTCGGGATACGCCTCCGCCCACTGCTGCAGGGCCGCAGCGATCGCGGCCGCGCCTATGGAGTCGGCCCAGTGGATCACTCCCCCGCGGTACGCCGGGAACCCCATCGCCATGACGGCGGACACGTCCAAGTCTGAGGGTTTGTCCACGATGCCCTGCACGCACGTGAACGCAACGTCAAGCTCGGGGGGGCTCGTCCGCGGGAGCAGCGTGCGTGCGGGGAGGGGGGCGCGGGGGGCGGCCGGGGCGCACCTCGTCGATGATCCTGCAGGCCTCGTTGACCACGGGGAAGAACACCATGGAGACCAGCTGCTCCTTGGTGGGCTGCAGGCGCTTCCCGTCCCTGCGCGCGATGAGGCCCGCCTCGCGCCGAGACGTCTCCACGACGGGCGAGATGGTCGCCTCCGGGAACCCCTGGCGCGAGAGCTTGTAATTGTAGAAGCCCCCCTTCGTCTTCTCACCGAGCCGGCCAAGGTCGTGCATCAGCTGGATCAGCTTCGATTGATAGACCCTGCGGAACACAGCGACCACGTCGGCGCACGTCGGACACTGGTGCGCACGCGCGCGGAGAGTGCATGTGGCGGCTCAAGTGGGGGCTCACCTTTCAGGGAAATCGTCGACGAAGTTGGCCCCGACGTGCACGCTGATGTCCACGCCGACGAGATCCGCGAGGCGGAAGGGGCCCATCGGCATTCCGAAGCCCATGATGGCGAAGTCGAGGGTGTAGGGATCGACGCCCAGGTCAACGAGCAGACACGCCGCCATCGTGTACGGGAAGAACATGCGGTTCACGGCGAATCCTGCGCGGCACGGTAAGGTTCAAGGGGGTCGTGCGAGGCCATCACCGGTGATCGCCGCGAGGGCAGGACATCGTGCAGTTCAGGCTGTGCCAGCGCACCCGTGCAGTTCCCGACGATGACGGGCGTCTTCTTGATCTTCGTCGCGTATGCGAGTGTGTCCACCAAGACCTGCTTCGACGTCTCGTCCGTCTTGACGATCTCGAGCAGCGGCATGACGTGTGCGGGTGAGAAGAAATGCACTCCCAGGATCCTTGCACTCGCCTTCGTCTTCGCGCCGACCTTGGAGATGTTGATCGTGGACGTGTTCGTGGAGAGGATGCAGTCGGGCCGGCACGCCTTCTCCAGGTCAGCGAAGATCGCCTGTTTCAAGTCCACTCTCTCCAGCGCCGCCTCAATGACCAGGTCAGCAGAACGGAACGCAGAGTAGTCGAGGCAACCTCGCACCCGCCCCGCGACCTCCTTCGCCTTGGCCTCCGTCATCGCGCCCTTCTTGACTCTGCTGGCCAGGTTGGCGTGGATGCGCCCCATGCCCGCCTCCAGCATCTTCTGGTTGATCTCCTTCAGAAGCACGGTGTAGCCCGCCAACGCAGACGCCGTCGCGATCCCCGAGCCCATCAAGCCCCCGCCGACCACCGCGATCGTCTTGAGCTCGCGCGGCGCAACGCCGGCGTCAGTGACCCCGCACACCCGCTTCGTGGCGCGCGACGCGAAGAAGACGTGCACGAGCGCCTTGTGGGCCGGGGCGGCCTGCGCCTGACTGAAACACTGCCGCTCCACCTCCAGCCCGGCCAGCCCGCCTTTCTCGAGCCCCGCGCGCACCGCCGCGATGCACAGGCCAGGGAACTCCACGTTGGGCTGAGCCTTCCGCGCGCGCTTTTCAGCCACCTGCGCAGGCCATCAGGGGGCGCCCGGACGGCTCATGTCGCAGGCCGCGGGCTCGCCGAATCGCAAGCACGCGCGGTTGCGTTCGTGGACCTACCTTGAGCACCTCCTGCACCACTGCGGCGTCCTCCAGGCGGTCCGTCCGGGACAGCGTCTCGGACCTCGCGCGGGACCCGCTGGCGATGTCGCCAGCCATCTGGCACGCCTTGGAAACGAGAACGTTCCCGGGCGGGCACACTTCGTCGAGGAGCCCGAGCTCCAGTGCCTTTGTGGCAGGGACTTGCTTGCTGGTGAGCATCATGTCCATCGCGGTCTTCACGCCGACGAGCCGTGGGAGCCGCTGGGTGCCGCCGAAGCCGGGAATGATCCCCAGCTTGAGTTCCGGCAGTCCAAGGCGCGCGGAGGGGGCGGCGACGCGGCCCGCACAGGCCATGGCCAGCTCGAGACCCCCACCGAGGCAGATGCCGTCGATCGCCGCCACGACTGGCTTCGGCCCGGACTCTACAAGCCTGCGACCTCGTGGAAGTGTTGCGGTTGAGTGTCGCGTGTGGCGTCCGGCCAGGTGCGTCAGGCTGCCAGCATGTCAGGTATCGGCCGCCTGCGACGGCGCGCACCTGCAGAAAGCGGCATTGATACCGCGTGCGTCGACGACCTCGCCGTCCCCCGGCCCGGAGCGCGCCTTGCTGGCGAACACCGCCACATCGAAACCGGCAGAGAAATTCTGGCCCTCCCCAGTGATGACGATCGCCGACACGGACGAGTCCGACTGGGCGCGCTGCAACGCGACGACTGGTTGAGGCGCGTCGGTGCACGAGACGGCAGGGTCGATGCGTCCGTGCTGGAGCGCTGGGTCCGTGCCAGTGTGTCGCAGAGGTGGCGGACGCGCATGCAGTGGCGTCGGATTGACCCAGCGCTGAGATACATGGAGGCAATGCGAGGGGGGTCCAGTGCGGCGACGCGAGGCTCGCGGAGCCGGGTACGTTCGCACCTGCAAGTGACTCGCCAGATCTGCTAGCACGTCCGGGTGCAGGGCGTTCATGGGGCCGTTGCTGATGGTCAGCACGGCCACTGTCGACGAACCTGCATGCAGCTGGGTCCCTGCTCCGGATCACGCTGGCGCACGCGCCGTTCGGGCAGGTGGTGCTGACTTAGAGACAGGCCGCACTCATCATTGCCGCGACGTCACGAACGGCCCGTGGTCGCGCAGACTTGAATACAGACGTTCTAGCTCCTGGGCGTGCTCTGAATGTCTGAACGAGGTCTGTGGTCGCGGCAGGGGACAAAGCCGTTACTCACCTAAGCGCCGCGTCTGGCGCGAAACGCCTGGCTTCGACATGGTGCGTGGGATGACTGCAGCACGGTCGGTGTGACGTCACGTCTGACGGCCCAATAGGCGCACTTCAGCGTCGACACCTCTGCCCTGGTGGTCGTTGAATGCACTGCCACCTAGGGAGCACTCTATCTACCGCGCGAGGGCTCCACGATGAACGATCTTGGACGTTTCGCGCCACGCGGAGTTACAGGGACGCCTCGCGCGCAGAGGCAGTCGACGCGGGGCCGACGGAGGGGTTGTGCAGGGCCCACCCGGAGACGGCCCCGATGCATGTCGGGCAGACTCCCTGAACCCGGCGTCGCCGGGCGATTGGGAGCAGGTGCGGTGTCATGGGAAGCGCCAACACGCAGCCGTCCCCATATCGGCCCGGGAGGCAACAGTACGTCCGATCGCAGCAGGCGTGGCTGCTAATATGGCCGTTCAGGGCAGTGGGAGCCCCGTGAATCGATCGCTCGAGGCGGAGCTGCGAGGCATTGACAGCGGCCTACAGCGCCTGCTCCTTGCCATTGCAGAATCAGTTGCATCAGTGTCCCAGCTCTTTCAGACCAGCTCGGCCGACAAACTCACAGGAGGCGTGAACCCCAGCGGTGACAAGCAGCTGCTCGCTGACTTGCAAGCAGACGAAGTCATTTTCCGGTGAGCTGGTCGCCAGCGCAAGGCCCTCGCAGAAGCCGTCAGAACGCGCTTGCAGCGCGGGTCGCGGGCAGTCGCAGCGCATCCCGTGCCCGACCTGCACAGTCTCCGTCCGCGCTGTGCTCGCAGGAACCTGAAGGAGAGCGGCGTGGTCAGCCTGGCATGCAGCGAGGAGCAGCCTGATGTCGTTCACACCGGCGGCTCCGGATATTGTGTGGCGTTCGACCCCCTCGGTGCGTCCATGCCCCGGAGGCTACCCTGCCCCAAGCGGCGAGCGCGAGAGCGCGCCACGGTGGCGTTGCTCGCCGTTGCATTGTCCCGCTCGACCGCATCATGCAGGTGCAAGAGAGTCGTCCCCTGGGATTCTGGTCTCGCGAGGGCGAGATTTCGCTCAGCCATCAACCAGGTGCCGTCAACTACGGTCACTCGTTCACGCAGACGGGAGCAGCATATACGGAGCGAACTGGGCCGTGGGAAGCATCTTCGGCGTGTGGCCGGGCGACCACTTGATCGGGCGCACGGGGAGGGAGCAGTCCGCCGCAGCATATGCCCTGTATGGTCCGAAAACATTGCTGGTCGTTGCCAGGCCCGACACGTCAGGAGGCGCGACCGCACCGCTGCACGCGCATGGGAGGAATTTCGTGGCGCAGGTGAGAGGCACCTTGTGCAGGGCGTGAGCCGAAGCTGCGGTCTTTCGATCACTTGCCCCGGAGGTAGGCGGGGGATAAATCAATCAGTCGCGAGGGCACGCGGTGATCGCAGGAGTTTGTGTTGTGTCGCGGCAAGGACGGGGCGCCGCACGAGTGGGTCCTGTCCAAGGAGAGGTTGTCGGTGAAGGAGCGGAAAGTCTTTGCCCCAGCGAACATGCGCTGCGCCGCCGACAACGAGCAGTACCGACAGCTGCTGGCACACTGGATCGAGAGCAGGTACACACTGCGTTATTCAGGTAAGGATCGCGCCGTGCCGGGGCCCGCCACACTCGAGAGGAACGCCGACCCACACACGCTCATCTCCCTGCCCCTCGACCCTTCCCTGGGTGCCCGCGGCATCGCATCGCTGGCGGCCCTTTCCTCAGGGTAGCGAGCCGCCCCATCGTCCTCGCCGCAGGCGGCATGGTGCCGGACGTCCACCATGTGCTGATCAAGGGCGGTGTGTTCTGTTCTCCGTCGTCGCCAAGCGCGGCAGCCAAGCTGCGACTGCTGTTCGAGTGTGCGCCCATGTCTCTCATCGTGGAGGCCGCAGGGGGGCGCGCGATCTGCGAGTCCGGGCCGTTGCTCGACAAGATCGTCGAGGACACTGACCAGCGCACCACAATCTGCGTCGGATCCGGCAGCGAGGTGGACAAGTGCCGCGCGGCGATGGGCGCCCCCGCCCAGTGACGCAGCGCAGCGTTTGCACTTCGCTGACCTACAAGCACCCTCACCGCGAGGATGATGCTTCTTTTCACAATCAATATTGCGTGTGGTTCTAAAGAGTCTTGTGGCGGTCCATTCCCGAGGGTGAGGTGTGAGACAGCGACAGTGAGATGGGGCGTTTCTTGATTGGTTGCGGGGCACGAGCGATTCGCGTCAAGTTGGGGCTGTGGACAGCATGTCCAAGAGCCCGAGCGCGAGCAAAAGGCCGAGGGGGAGCATAGCCCGGGGGGTGCTCCTGGAAGTGAGTTTCGGCACGGTCTGATTCAATGGCTAAGCAATTGTGTGCCACTTGCGGGGCCGCTCATGCGAGACAAATCAATGATGGCCACTCAAGGGGCCGCCGGCGGATTCCGGATCCTGCCGGACACCGTTGCGGCCAGCTCGGGAGCGAACCCGCTTCCGCTCGCGCCACGCGCCCGACTCTGCGCTCCCAACTGCAGAGACCCAGCGCCGACAGCGCTGCTCGCGGCCCGGCGCAGACCGCGCGCAAGCTGCCTTGCCCGACGGTCGCCGAGGTCCGAGTGGCGCGGCAGAGCACTGCGATGCAGCGGGGGTGCGGTTGACCTGTGGGGCGGGTCGTGGCTGGCTAGCGCCAGTGCCCGGCAGGACACTGTTGCGAGGGTAGATGAGTCGAGTGCATGCACGTGGGGCGCGGGACGCGCACCTGCCCGGTGTCGAGGTGTCCGTGGACAGCCGCTTGTGCACGACGGTGCCGGTGAGCCGGCGGTGCGAGGTCGTGGCCTGCGAGTCCGCCCCGCTGGCAAGCGAGCCGTGCGCCGTCCAGTTCATGCTGTGCGGCAGCGTCCGCTCCGAGTCGCGCACCGAGTCGTTGCCGGACCCGGAGCCGGACGCGCTGCTGCCGACGCGGGAGCGGGCCTTCATGAGCGACCTGGCGCGCCTTTCGGCCGCGGCGGCCTCCGTGCGGCTCCGCAACTGGCGAGTCTCGTGCGCGAGCTGCTGCGCCAGGCGTATCTTCTCCTCCACGATCTCCGGCATGTCCATGCGCTCGTCGAACGTCATCAGCCGCGACGAGGACGCGCACGAGCGCCGCGCCTCAGTCTGTTGCAGGGAACCGAGGGACGCGCGCCTCGGTGCGCTGTCGCCGACGCCGGGCTGCTCGCTGTCCAGCTGCTGCGACCCGCTGCGGGACTCCCGCCGCGTGGCGTCGTTCTGTGCGCGCGGGGGCGCCTCGAACATTGCCAGGGAGTCGAACTTCCGCGCGCTGTCCAAGCTGCTCCGGGACCCGCTCGCGGACCACCGGCGCATCAGCGCATGATGCAGCTGGCCCGCGGGATGGCTGTCCAGCCTGCGCAACACGCACGGGCGGAGGACGTCAGGTCAGAGCTACACACAAAAGTGCAGCGCGCAGTGCGAAGCCAGCGGGACGTACCCCACGCCGAGGTCGCCCGGCCACTCGAGCACATCTCCATCTTCGCGACTGTGCTGCGGGACGCGCACAAGGCCCTCGTCGACGGCCGCAATTCGGACGCTACTGCTGGCGTCCTGAGCCGGCTGCACGGGCGGCTCGTACTCGCATTCCTCCTCCTCTCGTATCGTAGTCAAGTTAAGTTGATTCGCGTCCTCGCGATTGCCGTGCTGTTCGCCTGTGGGCCACCCAGCTGTCGCAGGTGCCACGGTCGACGCTCGATCGGTTTGGGTCGCGCCCTCCTGGTGTCCTCCCACCCCATGGTGCTTCACCCGGAAGCATGCGAAAAACTTCATTCTTGAGGCAGCCGCTCGCCGCAAACTTGGCTCCGGCGCACCGTCGGGCTCGTCGCGCCGCGAAACGGAGGCGTGTGCTGCACAGGTGCGGCCTTTTCGCCCTGTTGGTTGCACGCAGGCATCCACCGCTGACGCAGGTGGTGTGTGCGCCCTCGGCGCCGCGTCCGGGCATCGTTCCGAGGTCGCCAGCCGCGCGCCCGGTGACGTGTCCTGAGCCTCACTGAGTGGCTTCAGGGGGGGCCTCTCGGAGCCGTCACGAACTAGCGGCACTTTACTGCGAGGGGAGGCACGTTCCATCAAGAATCGCTGCTGCGCCGCCCCAGCCGCATTATGAAGCGTGGGGCGGGGACCGCGCACTCGAGGACGCACTGAGCGCCGTGCTGCGCACCCGTCGCCATGTCCACGGACACGGAAATCGCCCAGGCGGCCAATGACTGGGTGGAAACCAGACTGACGGGGAACTCCGTCAACGACGCCTTCGCGAGGTGCGGTTCTCCCGCCAAGAGGAACGCGCGGAAACGGCAGCGAACAAGAGCACTGCCTCCCGCGCCCGGGCACGGGCGTCGCCGTCAAACTCGGGCTGTCCCGGCATGGATTCATCGATGTTGGCGCTGTGCCATTGGTTCTTGCCACTTGCGTGACTTCTGCGCGCGCGTGGCTGGCTGCAGAGAGATGGAAACCGCGTTCGGGGACGCCGAGTGCGACATCGCCGACGCCGGGACGCAGCTGGGACCGACGATCTCGAGGGCTGCTGGAGGACTCGAGGAGATGTGCAGGCTCGCGGAGGGATTCGCGGCCGCGTGTCTGAGGCAAGCATGCTCCCTGCACCTGCGCTGCGTCCCCTGGCACCCCTGAGTCTGCGCCCTCGCGCCCCCGAGCCGACGACGGCGTTGCGGGGCCGCGCGATGCGCTGAGGTGCGTGCTCAGGCCGACCCGCCCGCACAACGCTTGCCCCCCGCAGATGCGCTGCGGACCTGAAGCACAGCGCCGCGCTGCGGGTGAACCAGGCGGCGGTGGGAATGGACATGCAGCGAAGGGCGGGCGAGATGGAGCAGGAGAGTGCATCTTGGCGCCTGCTCGCCTTCATGGAGTTGGGGGTGATCGACCATGGCTCAGGTGGGCAGCGTCCTCCCGCCAGCTGCCCGGTCTCGCGGTTCAGCTTGCCTTGTGCCGCAGCGGCGCGCGGTGCGCATACGCGGGCCACGTCGCGCCGCCGCGCCGCCCCCTCCCACGCGGCCTAGCCGCACGCCAATGCCAAGAACACCTCGCAGGGTCGGGCGACGAGACGTTCCACACTCAGCCGCATCAGCCGGTTGACTTCGCGAGCGTTCTCGGTCGGGCTGTCGGCGGGAAGGGTAGCTGGCGGTTGATACGGCAGGAGGTCGCGGAGATGTTGGAGACCAACTCGGAGGTGTACGGGGCGTGGTCCGCGGCGCTGGAGCGGTGCGCGCGCATCGTGTCGTGGCTCGAAGCGACGGCGGGGGAGCGGCTGGCGCTCGAGGAGGGCACACAGCTGCGCGACGCAGTCTGGAGGTGGACCCGGGCGCAGCGGCCCGTGGACCGCACGACGGCCAGCGAGTTCCGGGCGCTGGAGGAGGCGGAGGGGCGCGGCCTGGTCAAGGAGCTGGACCCGGACGCACCGTCGCGCGAGGGGCGCGCCATCGCGGGGGAGGACGCGCGCAACGAGGCGGCGATGCTCCGGGTGGTGCTGGAGAGGATGATGGCGGGGCGCTGGGACCAGGTGCGGGGGGGCGGCGCCGCGCGTGGATGGCCCGCAGCGGCGGCGCTCGCGCCGATGACTGAGCCTTCTCGCGCGCGTGGTGTGTGCGCAGGCCATGACCGCCTTGGGCGAGTGCCGACAGCCGTGGCGCGCTGCCGCTATGCAAGGCTGTCTCGTGACTCTCGGGGGCGCCGCGTTCCACCTGGCGCGCATGTGCAACTCTCAGGTATGCGCGCCCCATTGAGAACACGCACCCGCATCCCGACAGCGAGCAGCAACCATCTCGGGGCCTCACCTGTTGGAGGCAGCAAGCCGTGCTCTTGCAGGACGCCGAGACCGTGGCCCAGCTGTCGGAGGAGCTGTTCGCGGAGATCGAGTCGAGCCTGTCCGCGGCGAGCAGTCCGTCGTACCAGTCGAGGGACGGGAAGAGCATCGGCCTCGGCCAACATTTCCTGCGACGGTGGGCGTTCCACCAGGCAGCGGCGGCTGCATCCTCGACGGGAGGCGACCTCGGAGCGCTCGAAGCGGCCTTCTTCGGCACGCTCGCTGGGTGCATGCAGTACGTGCACCCCGTGTGCACCAGCTGGGAGGGTGCTGCTTGGAGCACGTTCCGCTGCTGGCTGGAGCTCGCGGTCGACCAGGCCCTGGTGACGGGTCAGGACACCCTCGTGGACATCATGGTGCAGGTGAGTCCATCTCTTGCGTTCAGCGCCCACGGCTCCCATCCGTCACACTTGCAGGCGTGCCGATGTGCTCCCTCGCATACCCTCCCTTGTGCAGAGGCCGGCGCGGATCGCGGGTTCGCTCGAGGAGCAGGCGACAGCGGCGGCGTGCACCGAAGGGTCGTGGCCGCCGCAGGACGCGTTCGAGGGGCTGCCGCATTTCGATGCACAACCACAGGATGTCGTGCGCAGGCTGCTGGACAAGGTGGCCAGCATCGCGGGGCGCAGGGACGACATGTTCGGCGAGTACAGAGAGCTGCAGAGCACGCTGATGCTGGATGGAACCCTCGACCTGATCAGCGGCCTGGCAGAGGACAACACCCAGCAGCCCGAGTGGCTGCTGAGGTTCGGAGCGCACGCAGCTGTGGTGCTCTGCGGCACCCGCTACGCGAGCGACGGCGATCTTGACCTCCAGGCAAGCACAGACTGGCGCTTGCGCGCCCGACGAGGGCTTGTGCAGTTCGCTGTCCCTCGTGCTGAAACGGCGGAGCCTTCCCGACGCCCGGTCCCGTGCTCGCAGGTGCTTGAACGGCTCAGGGACACGCTGCTGCGTCGCTGGCTCCTCCATCTCAGGTCCCAGGGCGAGGCGTCCCTGGACCTGCTCCCCATCTACGCGCGGCACTTGAACTACTCGGCCAGCGGCGACACCAGGCGACCGGGCGACGACGCGCGGGAGTTCTACCGGAACCTCTTTCTGCACGTCGAGCTATCTGCGGACGAGGAGCGGCGCCTCTTCCTCCGTGGCTGTCACTGGGTGGGCCATGAGCGCATTCAGGGCGCTGTGCGCGACGCCCTCCTCACCACGCAGGCCGCCCCCGAGGTCGACCACCCCGGCTATCCCCGGCCCAAGATGTGCTACGGGGACCGTCCTCCGGCCTACTACGGCGTGTTTACGCCGGCGCAGCGCGTCAAGGCCCTCTCGTGGGGGGCGTACACCAGTCCAGCGTTCCGGCGCACGCATTTGCTGCCGGAGACCGTTCAAACGCTGCGACTGCTGGCGATGACGCGGAGTCGTCACGCGCACAGGGTGAGATGCTGCCAAACTAGCGCGAGCTGCCCTGCTGGAGTCCACTGTGCGTGTCCTTGAGGGGAAAGCCCGGGGTGCCGACTGCAGGCGTACTTGGCGGGGAGGGAACGCGAGATCGCGATGACGCTGAGCCAGCTCCGACAGGACTCGGACGACTTGTTCCGCGACGACGATCAGGCGGGCGTCCGAGAGACGCTCTCCGAGTTCCTGGACTGGGACAAGTTCTTCCTCCTGCAGGGCGACTACCACGCCCTGCTCGACCTGCTGAACGGGCGCCAGGATGAGAGCAGCGTGCTCGCGGCGCATGCCTCCAGGGCGCGTGAGTTCGTCAACGGGGTCTGCGAACGCCTGCAAAGCCTCGTGTGGCCAACCAGGTGGAGCGACCCCATGGCCATCACGGCTTCCCCAGGACCGCTCCCCGCGCCTGTCTCCTCAGACGAAGCGGTGGACGTGCTGATCGGCCCCACGTCCCTTGCGTGCGGCCAGCAAGGATGGACCGAAGACGAGGCACGGGATGCAGCTCTGGAGCTGAAACGGTTCGCGATTGAACTGGGCGCGAGCTTCCTGACGCGCTTACCGGCGCGCAGTGCTGTTGCCGTTCACGAGTCGGGCGGCTCTGGCGCGCAGACAGACTCAGTCTTTGCGGTCCAAACAGAGCACGTGCCTCTCCTCTCGGATCGCTCCCAATGGGTCGTTCGCATGCGCGCACGCGTGATCGAAGGCCAAGGCCAGAGCGTCGGCTTGTCCGCGGACGAGCGGCGTCTTGCGCTGGCGTACGCCACGGCGGGTGCCACGCGCCTGTGCCCCCCTGCATCAGGTGAGAACAGGGATTGCTGGCGGCGGCGGACGCGCCCTGACACGCACTGGCGGCCGCAAAGTGACTTTCAACGCGCGCTCGCATCTCGTTGCACGTCGCAGGCGAAGCTCGTCGCGGGGAGCCGGCCGTCGAGGGGCACCTCAGCATCTTGTGTGCCATGGACGGCAGCGCCGACCTCCGCCCCGGGCCTGTGCAGCGCGATCTGGCGTGGTGCTTTGCTGTCCCGCAGCTCGTCGTTCAGGTGCGCGTCCGCTCGCGACCGGTGTCTCGCTGTGCGGCCGACGAGAGTCCTGCGTTGATTCTCCTTGCGCGCGAGTGTGCCCCCCTTGGTCCGCGCAGGCGTCCCACGTCCGGGCCATCTTCAAAGACGTTGCGTCCCGCGGCGGCTCGGAGTCTTCGCCCGGCCATCAGCAGGGCCAAGGGCCTCAGGACATGCTCAGCCCCGTGCGTTCAAGCGCGGCCCGGAACGAGACGTTCGGAATCGGGGTCCTCGACGTCCTGCTACCGACGGAAGCCTCGTTCGTCCTGCGTTCCGAGGCCGCGGTGCTGCAGCATGGCATGGTTGCAACGGGGGCCTCGCTACGCATTGGACAACCAACACCGTGACGGCTCGGGGGCCGAAGACCAGGGACGGTCGACGGGGTCGCGAAACGCCGAGCCAGTGCAGGCTGCGGCGCCGCTGTGAGCTGGAAGGCTGGGTCATGGTTCGGCGGGGTTGCAGCTGGAGGACGCTGAGTCGCGCGGGTGGGCTATGACCGTCGGGAACCGTGACGGGCCCGGCCGAGGGCCAGCGCGGCTTGCTTTGGCGAGCAGCAGGCCTACAACCCGACAGAAGTAGGACTGGCCGCCCGTCACTGCCCTAGGAGACCAATTTTACCGCGACCCGCGACAGCAGGGGTCGCACTGCATGAGCCATGTTGCGGGCGCCGGGCGTCGCTCCTGGGGCTGCGGGCACCCGAGCAGGGAAGGCATGAAGTACTGATCGAGTTCGTTGGCATCGGAGCGCGATGACTGCGCCGCACGTGGACGGTTCGAAGGCAAATGGTGCCCGAGAGCCATGGTGAGCTTTGGGCTGCTTGTCTCCACAAGCCCCGACCCCGTCCCACATGCTGTCTTTCGCTTTAGGTCGACACTTTCGTTCTCCCCTCGTTTCCCTCGACGATGGGCGAGTTGTCGACCACGAGCAACTCCACGACCCTGGGCAGGGAGCAACTGCCTGTCACTCGCGCTTAGCTTTGCCAACGGTCGAGGCCAGCTGTCGTGAGCCGCGCGTGTCTAGGACTGGCATGAAAATGGTTATGTCGCGACGCCCACGGGTCGGCTTCCGCTCGCGGACGAGCAATTGCGAGTTGCTGGTCAAGCAGCAGTGCTGACGTCGCCCCGTGACGCTTGCGATCGACCGCAGCAAGGGAGACGAGGCGCACGAGGCAGCGCGCAGCGGAAAGTTCGTCGGGTGGCGCAACTTTACGGCGGAACCTCGTCCGTCTCGAGGCGTCATGTTGCTGTTGACAGCAAGAACCAGGTCGCCCCAGAAGAGGGCTCGGAGGCGGGTCCGAATGACAGCGCAGGCCCGAACCCTCAGGTGCGAATCGCGAGGTCTGCGGAACACGCCTCGTTGATCCAGGGTACGCGGCGGATTTGCCGGCCGGCCTGCCGTTTGTCCGATGCAGGCGCAGCAGTCTCACGTCCGTCGCCCCGCGTGCCGACGGCGGAATGCAGGCGGAAGCGGCCGCACACTTCAGACGTGCGCATGTCCACTTCCTTCGGGAGCTCTCCGAGCGAAACAAGCGCCTCAAGCAAGACGCCCATGCCAAGGCCCAGAAGATGGCCAGCAAGTCGAGCCGCATCCGCAACAAGGTGCGAACATCGCCATGCGGCGCAGGATTGAGAATATGTCGGGTTCGAAGCGTTGCGCGAGAGCCTGCCGCGCGTGGTGGTGCGCGCAGGTGCTGGCACACTGCCGGGAGGTGCTGTCGTTCAAGGAGCCGGAAGCTGGCGCGCTTCCGGCGATAGCGGGGCGCGTGTCGTCCGACCGCGCCCGGGGCCCTGACGCGGATCACTCTCAGCCAGCGGGGGCGGTGGAGCTACCAAACCTGTCCAAGCCCTCGGAGACTGTGGGCGAGGACGAAGCGGCCACCACCAAACTCGCCCCGGTGGCCGGCCAGCCCGTCAAGAGCGCGTCCATGGTCGCCTCGCGCGGGAAGGCCGAGGCGACCAAGGAGGGCGCGCTGATGCGCAGGTCCACGGGGACTTGGACGCACAGCTGTGGCGGCAAGGTTCACACCGTCACCCACTCAATAGGTGCGGCGCGCGCGGCGACGTCGCCCGCACATGTCTGTCGCGTGCCCGGTGGCATCTGGTCGACGCTGCGCACACGCGGCTGTCCACAAACAAGACCGACTTTTCTGCCAATGCTTGCACGCAGGACTGCCCAACTCCGGGCTTGGCAGGCTGTCCGTCTACGCAGCCAGTCCGCGCAGTAAGAGGGTCGACGAGGGCTGTTTCCGTGCGGCATTCAACTCGTGGCTGAAGAGCAAGCGCCTGCCTCAAAACTCCATGGTGTTCTCCATGGGCGGTTCGAACCACTCCAACGGCATCAAAACGTGCGAACCCTGACCGCGCGCATGTGCGCAAGCCCGGCCAGAATCGCGTCTGAAGCAGTGCGTTGCACCGTGCGAGGTCACCCGAGCACGACACCGGCCATCACCTTGCAGGGCTCTGCTTGAGCGCGGCTGGGTCGAGAACACGGACCCCTGCAGCGCTTTCTACCACTTGTGCTGGTCCATGAAGAGCTCCGCGATCAACTACGACCACCTACAGCCGTTCCAGATTGTCAATCACTTCAAGGACGCTGGGACGATCACCACCAAGGCCGGACTGATCCACACCCTCCGAGACTCGTCTTGGTATGCGTCAAAGCCATCGTCATCATATTTTCCGAGGGCGTACGACCTCTCCGACGAGTCGGACGCCGCAGCATTCACGGTTGATTTCCGCCTGACAGGTACATCTCCGTGCTACTAGCACGTGCGCTGCTGCCTGCGTCGTGCGACATGCTGCACCGCCTCCGTTCTGCGACTGCGTCTGGTGGTTGCTCAGGCCTGTGCGTTCTGGCCTGCGGTTGCAGCGGCGGAGGGTTTGTTGAAAAGAGCCTGCGAGGAAGGGGTCGACGTCGTGGGCTGGGAGGCACTAGAGCTTTGCAAGGCAGTGGCGCAAGCCCGAATCGACGAGCACAAGCACATGAGGGAGGTGGATTTCGAGGACAACCCCCCTGGGATACCGGATTTCACCCAAGCAGAGTGGGAGATCATCACGCGCCACCCTGCGCTGGCGGCGCCGCCGGGCATGGCACCCAGGGTGATCCCGCCGTGCACCTCTCTGCCCGGACCGGCTGGCAGGCTGCGGCTGGCGAAGGATGTCGGCGAGCAGCTTTACAACAGGATGCAGCGCACGATGTCCGCCGCCCTCCATCGCATGGAGGAGGACCGGAACGCCGCTGCAGAGGCACTGCCGCCCGGGGACACCGCGAGGGTTCTGTCGGAGTACTGCATGGAGACTGTGGCGACGGGCTGCTTCGGGATGCTCGCGGAGCTCAAACGCATCTTCCGCCAGACGGGCATCAACGGCACGAACAACGTCTGGATCGTCAAGCCCGCGGGCAAGAGCCGCGGTCGCGGCATCAGGCTGTTCAACCGGATGGAGGACCTGCTGGGGTACACCAAGGCGGATCCCAAGGAGCAGAAATGGGTCGCGCAGAAGTACATCGAACGCCCGCTCACCGCACACCGACGGAAGTTCGACGTCCGGCAGTGGGTCCTCGTGCTGGACTGGAGCCCGATGACCGTGTATTTCTATAACGCTTGCTATGTGCGATTTGCTGCGGCGGACTTCAGCCTGTCGAACCTGGACGTCTTCGCACACCTGTCGAACAACTGCATCGTCAAAACGCACGCCAGCTACGGCGCGGGGGGGAGCAGCTCCGGGCGCGCCTGGCCCGCGATACCTGCTCACGGGATGTGGAGTGTTGCCACCATGCAGCAGTTCCTGGCGGCGAACTTCCGGGAGGCACGACCCGATCCGTCGTCCTGCGCGTATGCTTGTCCTTCGCGCCGTGCTGCGACTGCTCGGTCGACAGCGATGCGATTCGCGGGTCCATTCGGCCACATGATACGCAGGGCGACGTGTGGGACACGAAGGTGGTGCCGGCGATGCGCGAAGCCGTGGTAGCCTCGCTGCGGTGCGCACAGCCGAACGTCCTTCCTCGGAAAGGGTCCTGCCAGCTGTTTGGCTACGACTTCATGCTCGACGCAGACTGCAATGTCTGGCTGATCGAAATCAACTCAAGTCCAACAATGGAGGCGTCCACCCCCATCACGGAGCTGCTCTGCCACAACGTCCAGGTACGGCGCGCACTATCGGTGAATACATCAGGGTGGCGGTTCTTTCGCAACTTCCACGCAACAAGATGCGCCCTGTTGTGTTCCCTCCGCAGCGGGACACTCTGAAAGTCGTCCTGCAAACGCCACGACCGACCCAGCCACAGACCAGCTCTGCGAAATCCCCCTGCAAGAAAGCGTCCCGCAAGGCCGCCAAACAAGCTGCTGCCGTCACAACAGATGCGCGAACTGGACCAGATGTTTCGGACGGCTCGAGGTCGACACAGGACGCCGCAGATCTGGTGCATGATGATGTAGACGCGGCTACGGATTCGGAGGGCGGTGCCTCGTCACGTGTTTCCGGCAGGTGCTCGTTGAGCGAGGACGAGGATCAGGAAGATCATCGCGAGCGGCCGGGACCAGACGACACGTGCAGCCCGGAACACGACACAGGTGAGGCACGCACAGCTGCGTGCACAGCGCGTCGCGCAAGCAGGCCGGGCGCCCGCAGACCCCCCGCGACCCGCCAACGTTCTCGCAGGAGGCTGGGAGCTGCTGTACTCCGAGCCCGCGATGCCCGCCGTCAGGTACGTCGGGCTGCATATATCCGTCCTGGGCCGTCGGTTGAAGCACCCCAGGGGCGAGGCGAGCAAGCGGACCGCAAGTATCGTGCTGTAATGTTATGCTCCCTGACCGGACGACAAGCGGGACTTGACCGGGCGTAGATCTCACGGCCCCTGGCCCTCGCGGCGGGCCGCGCCTTACACGCCGCCGCGTGCCAGTTCCTGGCCGCCACCCTAGTGCTGTTAGTACGAGAGCTCCCTCTGCGCCGTGTCGTCCGGCGCGGCGGGGTACAGCTCGGGCGCGATACGCCGGAGGGCTGTCATGACGGGGGCGCGGCCCTCCGGCAGCACGCGGCGCACGAACTGCTCCCACTCGCGCTGGCACTCCTCCATCGAGCACCCAGGGACGTTGTAGTGGTACAGCAGCTGGAGCAGGTCGTCCACGTACACGTCGCCGTCGCCGTCCGCCCGCTCCCGAGTCCGCACGCGCAGCCACCACAGCGCGTGGTGCGCACCGCCCGCGCGCTCCTCTATCTTGTCCCTGCAGGCCTCGCGCAGCCACGTCCGTCGGCGAGGCGTCCGCTGCCGTTAGCGCACGACGGCGCGGCGCTCCCAGAGCACGGTCCAGAGGCGAGTACAGCCAGGAGGGGGGCAGCGGGCCGCAGCCGACGCCACGCCCGCAAGGCTCTCACCTCAGAATCTCCCTCAGGGGAATGCCGGTGGCCGGTGCGCTCCCCATGCCGGGTGTTCCCCGGTTTGACGGATGACGGAAGCTTCCCCCATATTCCGACCGCACGCCCGTGAAGGTGCCCTGCGCACGGGCGGGGAGGCTCGCTGTTCAGGCGCACGGTGTTACACAGTGGTGTACACCGCCGCGCGTTCGCACGTGAACGCCGGGCGTGGAACCTGAGGCGGGCGTCACAGCGCCTCGAACATGTTGGGTCGCGGGAGCATGTTGAAGGGATCCCATCGTGCCGCACGGCCGGGTGCTCCGAACCGTGCACGTCCAAATGGAGGTCACCTTTTTGCGCTCGTCTCCTAGTTTCACGAAGTGCTCGTTAGCGTACAAGAGATTGTTGGCCATCTTGCAGCGGCCCGACTGTGCCCAGGCCCGTCTCTCCGCGCCCTGGAGGAAATCAGCACCCTCCGCCTTGCAGTGCGCCTACGGAGTGCCTTGGATGGCAGCCGGTACAAGTACTGCGGACGCTCACGGGCGTGGAAATGTGCAGTACATGCCCTGGAACGCTGGGGTCGCGGCGACATGGCTTCAGGCCAGCTCGGCTCGTCAGGCGGGCCGCGTCCGAGTCGGCGGAGTTGTGCCCAGCCTGACGCGGCTCCGCTTCCGCGATCGCAGGCTCGATGGCGCTGCCCCCCCGCCGCACAGCGCACTACCTGCGCACTGGCCCAGACGAGGTCCTTGACCACGTATCCGTTCGTGGAGAGCGCTTCTTCTCCGGAGGCACACCAGCAGGCAAGTGAATATTGACTGGCGATCCTGCGCGGCGCAGCGCACGCGTCGTACCGCGGCCCGAGCGCGACGCGATCAGACCATGACGTACTGCGAGCTTGCGCCCCGCCGGCCCGACGCGCGTGCCTGCTCCCGGCGGGGACGTGCACCCGCGAGCAGTTGCACAGCGACCTTGCCGTCGAACCGCCTCGTCGAGCCCCTCGGCCGCCGTATCCGCTGGAGCTCGGGACTAACAGATTTGTATAGCCGTGACCGCAGGCTCTTGGCAGCCGAAAAGGCGGCATTCCGCAAGCGCCGGCCTGATCCTTTGGTCAGCGAGGCCGCCCATTCAGCGGAAAAGGCGCGCCGCCCGAGGCCGCGCGACCTACACCCCCTGTCGAACGGTGAGGTCCTGTCGGGCGCACTGCGAGCTTCTTCAAGCATGCAGCGAGCCGCTTACAGCAAGCACCCTGCAACTGGCTCCTCCTCAGCGCGCCGGGCTGCCTGAGCCCTTGTCGGCCGATGAGGGTGGCCCCACGCGTGTACACTCACTCCAAGGACTGCGTTCATGCGGGTTCGTGGCTGACTCTGGCGATGACCGGGCGGATGCGTGCTGGTTTGACCATTGCTACGCAGGGGAGCAGTGCGCCGTCGGCGTGTCCGCACGAGCGCTCCAGGGAGCACCTACGACTGCACCAGAGCTGCTTGTCTAGCCGGCGGCAGCGATTCGTCAAAGGGCCCCCCCGAGTGCAACGAAAAGCGCTCGCAAGGAGGACCAGCTGCTGACCCACCTAGTCGACGCCACCTCCGCCTCTGGTTGACCTAGACTGGGCGAGATGCAAGGCACGGCGCGCCCGACGAAGGAGACGGAGATACCGAGCTGGTGGCAGGGGCAGAACGGCGGTGGGGTTAGCCAAGCGGCGGCGACACCCACCCGCCGGAACTCAGATGCCGGTACGCACGACCGAACGGGGCTCATCGCCGACCGTGGCGCGCGTGCATACCTCGAGCGCCATAGACGCGGCAAGCACGCGTGCGCGGAGTTTGCAGGGGGCATTACGGGGCGCCGGGCGTCCATGGAGGGCCGGCGGTCTCTCGACGCCCGGCGGCTGTCGTTGCAAATCGACGGCAACAGCGCCGCGTCGATCAGATGGAAGGAAGCGTTCCACAAGGTGAAGCTGATGAGGCGCGCCTCAAGTGGCTTCAACACGCTGCGGGACATGTTCAGGTATGCCGGCGCCCCCCTGCGCCCGCCCGCCCGGTGGGGTGAGGCGCTCGCAGCGTAGACGGCGCGTTTGCTCGGTGGCAGAGCAGCAGATGCGCGACTTCGCGTCCAGGGGCCCGCCGCGTCTTTGAATGACACACAAGCGCTGTGTACGCTGTTGCATCACAGTGACTTCATTTTGGACACCTCGAAGCTGCGGCCTGTTCGCGTGCTCGGAAAAGGTGGGTTCGGATCCGTCGAACTGATGGAGTACCAGGTCAACGACGAGTCCGTCGTCCCCCTGGCGATCAAAATGCTGCGGCCTGAGACGCTGTCTCGCATCGCCATTCAGGTGCGCAGCACGCCGTGCCCCGCACGATACGCATGTCCCCCTGCACTAGCCGCGTCGCCGACCCGCGCTCCCCGGTGCGACGTGCGCCGCAGGACTTCCTCAACGAGCTGTCGCTGCTGAAGAAGTTGTACCACCCCAAGATCGTGTGCTTCCGCGGCATCGGCACCGTCACGGGGCAGCCGCTCAATCTGATGGACCTGTCGGACGTGCGCATCGACGAGATCTTCCTCGCGCAAGAGTTCTGCGGCGGCGGGACGATCAAGAAGCTGCTCATCCACCAGATGGACTTTGGGCAGGACCGCGAGTTCTACACCATCGCCGACGCTCTGCGGTGGATGCTCGACATCGCCGAGGGCCTGGCCTACCTGCACAACGTCTCGCCCGCGGTGATCCACCGCGACCTGAAGGTGCGCGGGGAGATGTGCAGGCGCTTGACGAATGAATCGCGGCAGCGAGGCGCGTTCCGTGGTCGAAACGAGCTGGAGCGCGCTGTTTATGTGCGTGCAGCCGGAGAACGTCCTTCTGGACACCAGGAAGGCCTCGGAGGCGACGGCGAAGCTCGTCGACTTTGGGCTGGCCAAGATGTACAACCGCCAGGTGCGCCGCTTTGCTCGCCGTGCCCGACGCGAGCCGGCCGCACGCGCTGCCTCCTGCATGTAAGAGCGCGGACGCACGCGCCCGCGGCGACGTGCAGGCGTTGATGGACTCGGTTGCGCGGGCCCTTGCAACCCACGGTGTCGACATCAAGGAGAAGAGTCCCAAGGAGGTCGACCGTGTGCTCCGGAGGCTCTCGCAACAGTCAAATCGCGCGTCGGGCGAGAGTGCCCGCGAGGGGAGCGACTCGGGCCCGCACGTGCGGCTGAGGCCGATCAAGCAGGACTCGAAGCCGTACATCCCGATGGACCTCACTGGACAGACAGGTGCGCGCCCGACACGCGCGCAATGCTGCCTCCCAGCTCGATGGAGTGCCCCCGGGCCGCCGCATCACCTCCCCACTCGACGGACGTGCTCGCAGGATCGATGTTGTACATGGCACCGGAAGTGTTCTTGTCACAGCCCTACAACGAGAAGGTGGACGTCTTCTCGTTCGCGATGGTGTCGTTCGAGATGCTCTGGCGGCAACTGATGTGCGTCGCGTACGACCTGAAGACCCGCCAGGACTACCAGATGCATGCGTGCAAGGTGTCGCAGGGCTGGCGGCCTGAGATCCCCCCGACCTGGCCGAAGCCGGTTGCACAGCTCTTCACCGAGTGCTGGGCTCAGGGGGCGTCCGAGCGGCCGTCGGCCAACCACCTGGTGGAGATGATGCAGCAGCTGCTGACCAACAAGCAGGTGTGCACTGCAGCGACATCTCTCGCCTCTCGATGGACCTGACCCCCGGTGGTCCAACTGCACGTGCGTCGGGACCCCACGGTTCGAGCGCCCGCGATGACCTCTGTTGTGCGCCTCCTTCGCGGGACGCAGGTGTGCAAGTGGGCCGACATCGACATCAGGAAAGCGAAGAACAAGAGGTGCAACGTCCAGTGATCCTTCGTGGTGCCGGGGAATCCTTCGTGGACACGCATCGGAGTTACGAAGGCCAGCAGCAATGCTGCCACATGCATGTGCTCTGCTCGCATCACCATCATGGCGTTCATCCGTTTTTCACCATCGGTGCCTTCAGATTTCTCAGTGCCGCGGCCCATCATTCCAGTTGCGGCATTCCTCTACAGCCTAGAGCAGGACCGCACACCCCAATAGGAGCGACCTGGGTGCAGACATATCTATCGTGCCCCGTCACACTAGCCAGCGATCGGTCGAAACACGCTGTGAATACGAACGCGACGCGCACCGCTGTTCGTGGCGTATGACGGCTTTTCGCCTGACAGGCCACGCGAGGGACGACGGTGACAAGGAGAGCTGAGTAGCGGTCGGCACACTCCGGCATCCTCGCGGTGAGGGTGCTCGTAGGTCAGCGAAGAACTAACACAACGCGGACAACGCCGCAGAGTCAGTCATCGCTGTCACCCAGCCGGCTGCCGACACCCCCTGGTACAAGCAGATTGCAGGTCAGAGTCTTCCCTTGGCATATCATGACATGCTCACATGGCATTTCGCGCGAGTACTCCTAGCACGCTGCCGCCTTGATCGGGACGACAGCACACCCGCATTTCGTTTCGTGCGCGGGTGGTCAATTAACACTTTGTGGCGCGCTGAGCGTGGCTGCTGCCTAGGCTTGCAGTTCCTCAAGCTCCGCCACCCAGTCTTCCCCGAGGCACGCGCACAGCCTCCTTACGCCTTCGTCACAGTCTCCCAGGAACAGCGCATCCCTGCGTGCAGCGGAATGTGGTCTGCTGTTCAGCCCGCCCTGTGTGGTGCATGGAACGCATCGAACGCAACAACAACACTGCGTGTTGGGCTCCCACCTGTGATTCCTGTCCCCCCACCAGAACCCCCCCTTGACTCCGGCAGCGTGCTGGACGACTGAGAGCTCTGCCGCCTTCTCTCGGTTGATCAGCAGCCGTGGACAGGTGTCGATGTTGGCATGACCTATCAGAGAGGCAAATGGATGCACCACGAGAGACGTGCCCATCACGATGAGCAAGTCGCACGCCGGCATGTCCTGCTGTGCCAGCTGAAAGAACCGTCGGGGAAGGTCTTCGCCGAAGAACACGATGCATGGTTTCACGAGCCCCTCGCACTCGGAGCAGTGCATGGGCCTCTGCTCTTCCACGTACTTCCGCACCTCCTCCGTCGCGTATGATTTGCGACAGTCGATGCAGGCAGCTGAGTCGAAGTTGCCGTGAGCGGCAACCTGCGCGCGGGCAACACGACGGGGAAGCGACTGTCGCAGCCCGCCATGTCGATAGCAATGTTGTTACGGCCATGGCCGGCCTGGAACGCGCACTCACCAGCTTCTCCTTCGGCAGCCCGGCCTCCACTTCCAGCGAGTCAATGTTCTGGGTGAAGCAGCGCCTGAGGAGCCCTCTTTCGTGCAGCAGGCGGATGAAGTAGTGCGTCGCCGTTGGCTTGTACTGCCCGGGGAACAGTTCTTTTGCCAGCATGTAGAACGGCTGGGGGTGCTTGCGGAAGTAGTCGATCTCAAAAACGGCAGTGGGACGTGGAAGATCGTACTTCTGGAGATTGTCATACAGTCCGGTTCCCGGTGATCGAAAGTCCGGTATCCCGGCAGCAACACTGATGCCTGCCCCAACCATCACCACTATGTTTTTGGCCTTTCCCGCCGCGATGTACGATGCAACGCCCTGCAGCAAGCGAGTAACGTCGGTGCAAGCACGTTCAAGGCGCTGCATCGCGTTGATCTCTAGCAGTCGACTGATGCTCGTCAAGGTACGCAGCAAAATGATGGCGCCGAATGATGGCTGAAGGGGTCGGAGCCACGCAGGGGCCTGTTGCCGGTGTCGGTGCGTCACTCGAAGAGGACGCACACACCTCGAGGTCGAAGGACTCCAGCAACGGTTCCCGCTCGGGAGGCCCGGTCAGTCCGAGCGCAGCCAGCTGCGCCGCAATTTCCTCGGCGTCTAGAGAGTCCGCGCTCGACGATGACGCGCTCGTGTTCTGCCTGCTCTCAGGGGCGCCCTCCGCGGCCGAGTCGCGCGCCGCTGCACTCGACCCCGCGTCACGCGCGGCGTGTAACACCTTGGAGTCATCTGCACCGCGTATAAGGGCGTAACGAATTGGCTGGACGTGGGGCGGGAAGATACAAGAGGATGCCCGCTCACGGCACGGACAGGGGGACATCCATGGCATGGGCCAGACTCAACGTAAGGGCCGAACAGCGATGATGAGCGCGCAAGCGTTATCGTCGCGAGCCCGTGCGAGGGCAAGGCAGCACCTTCGCGGCTCTCTCTCTCTGGGCGTTCAGCATGACTGGCATCTGGCCGCTCAGCGCCCGCGTCGTCGGCTGCACTTGCCGAGCTCTTGCCTACGTCCGACATGACTGCGCGTTGACCTGCTGACGGTATGAATCCGAACGTTTGTGCTTCCCTTTCGTTGCACGAAGCCGAAGGGCAAGCACTCTGCTAGCGTCAACGAAGCGGAAATACTGGGCGTGTAAGTGTTGCCTTGACGCGACCTGTGTGCTCTGAAGCAACCGAGCGTGGCCCCGCACCAAAGGGCGAGGCCAGCGTAGCGCTCTGTCACACAGTGTGGACGGTGTTCGCTCGCTGCCGTGCTCAGTCAGTCATGCTGTGCCCCTCCTAGCAGGTGGTGCCATCCAAGCTGGCGGCGGTGAGAAGTGCGTGCGTCCACCTCATCACCGCCATAGATGGAGGTGCCCGTGACAAACCTCGGCATCGGTCGGGCTCGCGGACAGGTTGTCTTCTTGTCGCGAGCTCCAAAGAGTCGCTCGATTCAAGGGGCGCGGCCGACATCGGCGAGCGGACTCGACCGTCAAACAATCTGAGACAGGCGTGGCGAAGAGCGTGTCGGTCCGTCGCGAAAGGACACTTCGTGGCGTGGAGGTCCTCCAGACCAGGTCGTGCATGATGGCCGAGCAAGTGGTGGCTTCAGTGATCGACAACAAGGTAATCCCACATGAAATTCCCTCGTTGCATTTTTCTCCAATGCCAAGTAGCGAGTGATTGCTGCAGCGCGGCGCGATGGCAGACGGGACGTGCCCTCTTGCGGTTGCTACCATTCAGGCGAAAGACGTCGGCCTCGCCTGGGTCACTGTGCTTGGAGCCGCGACGGAGCTCGGACAGACATCAATGTGTCTTCACCAAGCGACCGAACAGCGCTCAAAGTACTCTAGCGCGGCGAGCCTACTCAGGGCCATAAACCCAGACACATTGCTCGTGTCAAGCGGCCGTTCGACAAGTCATGGCATGATGGAGCTCTTGAAGGAGGTGCCACCGCACACCCGCATCGTCGAGACGTCGCGGACGGCGTTCAGCGACGGTCGCAGGAAGCTTCTCGATGCTGTCGCCGGGGGCTCAGATCACCTCAGCGAGCGGTCGAACTACCTTGCTGTCGCCGCGGCGGCGAGCGTCCTCGATCACTGCGAAAACCAGCTCGGGGTCAGGTTCAGGGCCGGGTCTGTGCTCGTGCGGCCTGTGCTGAGCGACGAGTTCGTCCAAATTGACGCAGCGACGGCGGAGAGCCTTGGCCTCACGAAGACGCGCGCGGGCAGCACAGGCGGTGCTAGCCTCCTTGAGCTCATGGATCGCACAACGACAAGGCAGGGATCCAGGCTCTTGCGAACGTTTCTGCTCGCACCCTCCTGCGATCGCAGCACCATCGCAGCCCGCCATGATGCAGTTCAGTGTCTCCGCGAGGATTCGTCAGCCGCGGACCTTCGAAGGGCCATGACAGGCCTTCCAGATCTTGCGGCTATCGAGCTACCGCGCGGGGACGATCGGGCCAACCCGAAGCGCGTCCAGACAATCGCCATGGCTCTGTCGACGCTTCGAAAAGTCATCCGCACGCTCCCGGCCATCACTTCGGCTCTACCAGAACTGTCTGAGCTTTTGTGCACCATCAAGTCGGCACTGTCGGACCAGTGCTGGCCGGAGATCGATGCGCACCTCTCCAGGACGCTCGAGGACGACCAGGTTCCGCAGGGTGGCTTTCTGAGCGCCCTGAACGCCGCGTACATGGTCAGGGCTCCGCCGGGCTCGCAGCTCGCCCTGACGAGGGATACCATTGCATCCCTGACCAGACAGGTGCAGGATACAGCCGCTGAGTTTGCCGCGCGCTCGGTGGATGCGAGGCTCGACCTGCGCTACTCTGCAAAGCACGGCTGGTGCTTCGCGGGATGGCCGCGCGGCCGTCAAGTTCCCGAAGGTCTGCGCGTGGTGCCTGGCAGCGACCGTTCGAGCAGTGCGGCGAAAGGCACGGTAGCACTGACTTGCGATGCGCTCATGGCGCTGTCCGCCCGCCTGAGGGACTGCCAACACGACGCGTTGCAGCTGAGCCAAAAGGTGCTGGCAGAGACGCTGTCAGAGCTCATCGAAGTTTCATCCGGGATGCTCGCGACGCTGTTCGACAACCTTGCTTATCTGGATGTGCTGCTCGCGTTCGCCGAGGTGGCCCGCGAACAGGCCTGGACGGCACCGACGATCGCCGACCAGCCACACAGTCCGCTGGTCCTTCGGGGTGGCCGCAGTCCGTTCTTGCCTGCAGACAGCGTCGTCGCGCAAGCCGTGCATTTCATGGGCGGGGGTGCTCTGATATTTGGTTCGAACGACGTGGGCAAGACGACGCTTCTGCACCTGATCGGCGTGAGCGTTGTTCTTGCGCTAGCTGGTTCGTTTGTGCCGGCTTCCATGGCCTTGGTTCCAATCGTCGACAGACTTGTTTTTCAGGGCATCCAGGCCGACAGCATCGAGACGTGTGCCTCAACACTCGCGGCAGAGATCGCTTCGCTGCGCCGGACACTTGACACGGCGACTGCGAGGTCCCTCGTCCTGGTTGACGAGCTCGCGGCGGGCGCTACGGGCTCCAGGGACGCCGTCGCACTCTCATGGGCGGCCCTCGAGGCACTGATGGCACGCGGCGGCCGCGTCATCGCCTCGACCCATGACAGGGCGTTTCTGAAGTTTGCACGTGCGCACGCGGACTCCGTGGAGGTATGGTCGGTGCAGGAAGGCTACATCGCGGCCCCAAGCACGAACCTGCGCAGCGCCCAGTACGGCCGAGATCTCGCAATGCGCACCGGCACCTTCACCGGGCTCCTCGTCGGCAATGTGGAGCTTGCGGGCATCATCAACCAGGCCGCCGTGGCTATTGCAAACCATCAGGTAAGATGGCGTTCCGACGACGGCGATGCACTCTGCACCTGCCCATATCGAGCAATCTGGTAGAAAGTGCGTACATCCCGCGCGTGCAGGGCGAGAGCGGTGAGGAAGCGATCCGTCCTGACTTCTTATCCGAGCAAAATCTCGTGGCGTGCACGCTCCTGGACCTGGAAGAGATCAAGGATGCTGGGCCCGCCAGGACGTAGCGAGTGTACCGCACGCAGAGAGAAGGTGAATCGGCATACCCGAGGACTGTCGAAGCAGAGACGCGCTGTGGTGGGGTGTAAAACGCTGCAGAACCACGCGCCGCAGCACCCGGGGGGGCCTAGCGTCGACGTTGGGCCGCCCAGTCTACCCGACTGTCGGGTGAGCTCAGACGGGGCTGCCGCGTGATGCAGCTGTCGTAGCGCTGCATAGGTCATGCTGCACAACACCTCATGGCGCTCTGCGGGTGCTCGGTTCGCCATCGGCGTTACATTGCAATTTCTGGTAGCCGATCAATTGCGTCGCGGGTGTGGCGGAGACCTGTCGTTCAAGCACGATTTCTCCGTTCACTCCAGTCTGCCAGGCCCGGGCACGCGTGTTGATATAGATCGAATGAACGGATATCCGACGACTCGCGTGGCAGAAGGCACTCCCAAGTTCACGGAGTTGCCATGAAGCAGAGCACGATCCGCAGGCCGACCGAGACTCCTTGTCTGGGTGCGCCACTGGTGCGCACTGAGCCGCGGCGGCGCAGAACCCTGCGCCGCGGCGTCCAGGATGACAGTCGGGAGGCGCGGTTCCTCGACGAGCCCCTTGGTTTGGGACCGTGCCCCACGAGGCAGAGACAGTGCACGCGCTGCGCTGCGCTGGCGAGGCGTGGCTTTTGCTTCAGATGTCCGCGTTGGCGCTGGTTTTTGGGTCCGGGCTGCGATCACGGTGGGGCAGGCCTCGGGGTCGGGGCGCGTGATGGGCTGGGAGCGAGAAGCAGACGCAGAGGTTCCGAAACGCACCCTTGCTTTGCCCCGGCTTCCGCGTGCCGTGCGCTCGTCCCGTTCGCGCACGGGTCTTGGATATCAGCCACGTCTGTAGCAGAATATTCTCGTAGCGCTTGGTCTCAAACAGTTCCTGGTGGCGTCCTGGTTCGTCGTCCCTGGGGAACGCGCGGATGAACCTGCGCCGGTACAGCGTGGAGCACGCACGTTCATCGCAACGCTAGGGACACTCGGCGCAGGCACCACCAACCGGGTCCGCGAGCCCCTCACCTGCCTCGCCTCTGATCCTCAGCCTCCATCTCCAGCACGCTCTCCGGTAGAAGCTCGGTCGGCGTGTCCGTGAAGTCGAACGCCGCGGCGTCCTGAACGCGGCGCCCGGACCTGCGACTGGGCGCGCGCTCCGACGCCATGCTGGTCCGTGAGGAGGAGGCGCTGGGGAACCTGTGATTGTCGCTCGTGCCTGGCCGCGACGGGGGACCGGTTCCCGGCTCCGACGAGTCCGCCCCGAATTGCGAGCGCCGAGAGTCGGGCCGCGAAGCAGTACGTGCGAGGCCGGACAGGCGTGCCTCGCGCTCAACTTTCATCTGCACTTTCATCCGCACTCGCACGCACAGCGCTCAGACCGTGCGATGACGGCGGTTGCGTCGCGGCTGCAAAAGGAGGGCAGGCCCCGCGCACAGGCCGCGCATCGTCTTCCGCACCTGACGGACGAACACCCCCTTCTGGATCACGGGCACGCCGACGAGGTGCATGAGGTCCCGCACCATGGGAGTCTTCACCTCCCTGTCCACTGCAGACCCTGTCGCGAGCGACGGTCCCGTGTTGACCTCGATCAGCCAGCCACGCAGCCGGTCGTCGAACATGATGTCGAAGCCATACACTTCGAAGCAATTCAGATGATGCGGTACGTTGACCTTCGATAGGGCGCTCATCCGGCCCTCCACTGCACAGCAGCGGGATGGTGGCTCCGGGGAAGACGTCAGCGCCGAGCAGATACCGAGGTCTGCAACACATCGACCGTGGCAAATCAGGCGCACCTGCGATCACTGTCCTGGCGACAATGTCCAGCATCTGGTCCCACAAAGTCTTCCACGGGATGCCCTGCGCCTTGAGGTGCTCGCGCAGACGTCGAAACGTCCACTTGAGCTGTGAGCTGTCCAGGATTCTCGATCGGTCTTCAGGGGAACCCGGGTCCCGTCCCGCGGCAACAAATCGTTGCTCACCGTGCGCACTCTCCCCGTCAGCCTCGTAGGCCTCGGTCTCGACGTCGGCCGACGCAGCTGATGCTGGGCCGCTCTCCTGCCTGGCAAGGTGCGCTGCGAAGAGCCCTTCTTCGCCGTCGAGGGACGCGCTGCTCGCACGCCGGTTTGGCGATGGCTTGCGGCTCTCGTGCGACTCCGGGCGGCGGGCCTCAGGGCCGGGAGCGCCCCCATCAGCGTTGACAGCACCAGACATGGTGGCGCTGTCCTGGTTTGCCTGCCGCTGCCGGTTCGCCGCGAGCTTCTTCTGCACCGTGTAGTTGGTGATGTGAACCGCCTTCTTCCGCGAGTCCGTCGAATAAGCGGTCGACGCGAACCGCACGAGCCCCTCTTCGTACACGTACACCCTGAGCGGGTCCAGGCAAGTCACCACCACGTAGAGCCTGCGGGGAGGGACTCGGGCCACCATGGTGTGTCGGCGATGCAGTCGAAGATTCACGGCGCGCAGGTGCCTCGTTCGCGGCGTCCTACCTCAGGTCGAACTTGCGCCCATCCACGAGGAGAGGGTTCTCTATGTACCGCTGAACCATGAACTCCTTGTTCCTCGGAAGCTTGTTCGGGTTGACGACCATCCGGACGCCGCGCCCCCTGCGGTCGTGGCCAGCAGGCGGTCCATCACCGTGCGCAGGCCAACAACATGGCAGGCACTTGTCGCACACCGTCTCTTTCCGCACCTGGAGCTCGCGACGGGCTTCCGGATATACATCGCCTTGGGGTTGCGGCTCATGTACGATCGGAACTCCGTCCACTCGTCTGGCAGAACGTAAAAGGGGGGCACGAAGTCAAATGCCGCTCCCTTCAACCGCCGCATGCGGGCGATCGACCTGTACAGCCTGTCCTTTCGGCCGAGCTCCCACGTCCCTGCACAGGTGGCACACAAGGTCGTTGTCGAGAGCTCGCATAGTGGCGTGGCGGGCACGCGAAGCGCGTGGAGTGAGATGACTGGCCAACCTGGGAAGTGGTTGATGCGCTGAAACGGCAGCAGCGACTTGTACTCCTCGGGTGACTTCGCCGCACCTGCGGGCGGGACGCGGGACGCGAGGCGCGGGCGTCGCACACACAACGATGCGGCGTTCAATGAAGCCACTGCAGCGAGCACCTCTGCTGGCGTCGGGGTCGCGTGCGTCTTACCCCACATGACGTTCCAAGCGCTGCCCTTCGTGAGTTGGAAGCCGGCTTCGCGGAAGGCATTGCGCACGACCCTGTTCGCGACGCCGTCGTAGCGGACGAGTGGCCGGAAGCTGGTGATTTCCTTGAACCCGAGCGCAGCGTGCACGTCGGGGTCGCCTCGGAAACAAATCGTCATGTTTCCCCCCGCGAACGCTGGCGGAGCCTTGAAAGCTGCGAGGTGCGCCTGCCCCTCGACCGCATGCCTATCAACTGCGAGCGCCAAGAGCCGTAGCTGTTCATGAAGTGCCTCCCCGCTGTTCGCGGGAACGAACAACGCACGAACACGGCGATGCGGCCGATATGCACTTTCGTACGCTGGATGGGCGCGCTGCGAGCTGCAGAACGAGCCGCACGAGCAACGCAGCTGCACAGGCGAGGCGCCGGGCAAGACATGCAGTGACCAGCTCGCGAGCGCCCGGAGAGCGAGCTCGCGGGCCAGCCAGGCCGGCTCCGGGCTGGCTCCCGCGACACCCGACGGCCCGTCAGCGGCGGCGGCGGGGCGAGCGGGCGTCGCCGCAGCGTAGTCGCGCCCCCGCGCGCCGTGTGCTGTTACCCCTCATGCAGGCCGCACCTTCAGTGCCCTGCTGCTCCACCCGCGGGACGTGGAGCGGAGGCCGTGCCTCCATCTGGTCCTGGTCCTTGTCGCGGGCTCGGGACCGCCTTTCACCGCATGCCGCCGTGCCCGGTCGCCCTGCTGCAACAACGAAGGTTGCGGCCGCGCGAGGCCTCCGACAACTGCGCGCGCGGGATGTACAGCCTGGTCTCGCGGCTCTGATGCAGTATGGTTGGGTGCGCGGCGAAGCCGCAAACGCGACGACGTGCGGGGGATGAGATCAAAACTTCCTCTGGCGCAGCTGCGCCAGTCTGTGTCGCGTGGAAGAGCACGCCTGGCACCGTGAGCGCGGTTGCGAGAGCCACTCAACGATGTCGCTCGTGCTCGCAGCGTCGTGCGGCCTTGCACTCGTTGGCGCCCGCGGCTGCCGGGCAGCACTGCCCGGGGCAGTGCTGAGCCAGACGGACTGTCGTACTCCTACGGGGAGTCCGCCGGACTGCGCGGCGCAGGCGCCCCCCCCACCTCTCGGCGGGCCCGCGATGGGGCGTGCCGCGGTGACAACGGCGGACGTTGGCCGCGAGGCAGTCTTCCCGCAATCAGCCTTCGCATCGCTCGGCAGTTTCGAGGCCATGCGCCACACAAGACGCTGCCCGGCGCCCTGCCGCCGAGGACAGCAAAGCTAGGATGCGTCGGCGCGGTCATGCACTTGTGCCGCGCACGCAGGAGCCACGACCTCGACGCAGTGCCACTTGCGCTTCGTCGCGCGTCACCGTAGCGCGTCACATGTGCCATTAGCCCTGGACGGCCTCGCGCAGACGGCGGATCGTCGAGCGCACGGTGATGCTAGCAGCAGTGCGCATGACGTACGCGCCGCCGGCGACGGTCTTGCGGCACCCCTTGCACTTCCAGATGCCCACGGCCTGCCGCTTGACGGCAGTCTGCGTACCAGGAAGGGGGGGCGTCGAAATCACCGTCGGACGTACTGCGATGCCAGATCGCGCCGTGCCACGTCCCCGGCGGCCCCCCAGCAGCGGGGGAGCCACCCACCACTGCTGGCAGGACAGCCGCCGTGCGCCATGCAAGACGGCAGCCCGGGCAAAGTCCAGGCGTGCTCGCGATATCGGACGTCGAGCTGCGAAGACCGTCGCTGGCGGACTCACCTTGCCGCAGGAGTCGCAAGTGTACTTGCTGTGCTGGCTCACTTCCATCTTCTTGATCACCTTGCGCAGCGAGGCACCGTAGCGGGTACCATACTTGCCCACGATTCCAACCTTGCGGGTACGCTTCGCCTGCGGGGCCAGCGGGGCAGCTTGAGCGGTGAGACCGTTTCCAGGAGCGGCGCAATGGAGGCTGCCGGGGCGCCGCCCGCACGGCAGGGCCCAAGGAAAGGGGGAATCGCCCGGCTGCAACTGCGCCCGAGGAGCGTTCAGGGGCAAGCAGTGGACGGTTGCGTCCCCCAAGCGCCAACGCACACATGGCCAGCGGGCCTGAAGAGGGCAAGCGTGCGCCTCCAGGCGCACCCCGGGACAGGAAATGTGGCCTGGAAGGCCTGCGACGACGAAGAAGACGCCTGACCACCACCCTCGCGGAGAGGGGGGTCAAGGAGCGTCGCCAGTGCGATGCGAGGCAGAGAGCAGCTTCTGGCCGCCCTCTACACGCACGCACGGCTCCGTCGCACGGCGCGCTAGTCCAGGCGGAACATCATTAATCAAGCTACAAGGGGGTGCGACCCGCCGCCGCTCGTGGCGCATGCGCGCAGCGTGGCGGGGCCGCAACAGCAGCGCCTGGAGGGGCCGGCGGAGGCGCTCACCATCTTGCTCACCCACTCCCGTACGAATGCCTCAGGCCAGGAAAGGGCGGGCACCAGCGCGGGCGCCACGCCTTGAGCAGCCGTGACGGCCCGTTGCGGTCCGACCCGGTCGGCGGGAGGTATGAGGGTGTGCTCGCGACACGGAGGCTGATTGGCCCGACGCGGACCTGTCACTGACGCAATTGTGCGGCAGCTTGCGGTCATGACTAGCTTCGCGGCGGGCTCCACCAGGTGCGCTGCGGCAGCACTGCCTTCGCCGTTGCCCCTGCCATGGTCGGGCTGCGTGATCGAGCGCCTTCGGCGCACATTTTTGGTCGCGTGCAACCCTGTCCGTGCTTTCGCGCCGCGGCATTCGTCACGCGTGACCATCGCGGCCCCCACGGTGTGGATGATCGATACGAGTCCCTTGCGGGCTCGCGAGGTCATCGCCGTGCAGCCTCGATGGCCGACACGAAGGCTCCAAATGCGTCATCGTGATGTGCAGGATCGCGGGTGTCCCGCTGGTTCAGCGGCGGGCGGGACGGCCGGTGTCCACCAGGGGCTGCCTCCAGGTGCGTCGTCGCGGTGCCTTCGAGGCGCGGGTGGCACGCCACGCCACCCCCGCGTCCGCCACGCGCGTCCCGATGGCCGTCGGGGCACTCACGACAGCCCCCCCGCCGCGCTCCAGCGTCGCGCGCCGGAGTGCGGGTACCACTTCCTGTGGCCCAGGCTCATCCATGAGCTGCGGCGGGCGCCGTGCACGCCGAGGGGGCCGTTCGCGCGCACGCGGCCGCATCGCGTGTCGCCCCATGCAGCGCCATCGTCGCATTGCCTCCCGCGCAACTCGTGCGCACGCCGATGCGCCATCGACGGGGCCATGGAGTGGGAGAGGGGGAGAGCGCGCGCCGATCGCGCGGCTCCCGGCACGCCAATGAGCCGCCTCCTTGCAACGCACGCACACGAGGGTGTCGTCACTTCCCTTGCCCACCGATCGCCGCGAAGCCACGCGTGCCTGCAGGTGTCGTGCGCTGTCTCGCGTGCCCAGAAGGAGGCCACCGTCGAGAGCCTCACGGAGCTGTTCAACTCGTCCGCGGCCGTCATGGGCGTGTCGTACAAGGTACGGCCGCTCGCCAACGCCAGCGCCCCGACCCGCGCACCCGCGTCCTCGCCCCCTCGCGACGGCACAACAACCTCCCTCGAAGCCTGCGAGTCCTTTGGTCTTCGGGTGGTCTCGGGGGCAAGGAAGCTGCCAAGAACAAAGCCGACACGTGGCAGCATTCGTTGCTCATCGTGCCGGTGAAAAGCTTGTTGAAGATGTCGGCCTGAACCCCGATGAGGCTGCCGATATAAACACAAGCTACACCCCAGCTGCGGCGCTGACACACGCCGCCGCGCGTCGTGCGTCCGCAGGGTCTGACGGTGCGGGAGATCACGGACCTCCGGCGCTCGCTCCCCGCGGGCGCCCGGCTCGTGGTGGCCAAGAACAACCTGGTCAAGCTCGCGGCCGAGAAGGCCGTCGCCGACGGCCGGGAGGACTGGAAGGCGCTGGCGGAGACCCGGTACACGGGCGACAACGCGTGGTTCTTTGCCGACGAGGAGGTGATCGGGAAGGCGTTCAAGGCGTTCAACAAGCAGAGCAAGGACTTGCAGAAGGAGAAGAAGGAGGTCCTGTCGCCGAACGTCATCGTGTTCGGCGGCGACGTGTGCTCGCCGGACGACCTGAAGCGCCTCGAGAAGGTCCCGTCGCGGGAGGAGATCTACACCAAGATCGCCCTGCTCGTCAAGGCGATGCCGACCAAGGTCGCCCGACTGGTCAAGGCCGTCCCGACCAAGGTTGGCCGCGCCGTCCACTTGGTTGCGGAGCTGGATGAGGACAAGTCGAAGCTTGTGTCTGACGTCGCGAAGAGTGACTAGATTGAGTCGCATAAATACGTGTGACGCGCCGGCAGAGAGAGAGAGACAGAGAGAGAGAGTCCGGGAAGATGTGTCGACAGCCGTCGCATGGCGCACGCGGGGTGCATCAGTCGTTCCTTGCCCGCACCACGCCATAAAACCATGTGTGCGGGTGATCGCGGTAATGTCCATTACACGTCGTCGGGGGCGCCTTGCTGGATGATCTGATGCAAGGCCGAAAGATTCGACGAGCGAATTGCGGACCGGCACGCCGACACCACAGCTGCCTTAGGCTGACCGGCTCGCAAGCGCGCAGCCTTCTGTATCATGCCGTTGACCTCCTGCGCAAAGGAGAGGCCGAGGTACCGTCAAACACGCCGTCATTTGCGCTTCGGCGGCAGGCTGTCCCACGCACTCGATAGCGGCAACGCACCTTGAGCGAATCGAGCAGCTGCTGATGATTTGTGGCCCGCTTCTCATGCTCCATCAGCAGATCCCTGTTGACGTCCATGAGTGACCTGCAGGAGCAAGATGTGAGCGATGCATGCGTGAGGCGTGCCTTTGGGACGCATGACGGCGCGCGGCAGCGGTGCGTACGTGCTATGCGCAAGGGAGCCCCACCTGTACGAGCGAGTCATTCCCTCCATGTCCCACAGGATGCGGCTGTCCTCGGCCCTGATCACGAGAGACTTGACCAGGTTACTGTTGTCCGCAGCTTCAGCCTGCACTTGCATTCATCGCAGGGATGGGACCTTGCAACTCAAGCCTGTTGCGCAACACCCTAGAACATTATGAGAATCCGCCGCCATGGGAGCAACCTGGAACTTGATTCGATTGGCGTTGCAGTCCGACACGATGTCGAGCGTGCGCTGCAGCGCAGACATCTCATGTGGGAAAACTGCAGTCGACTTCAGATCCCCAATGGCCAGCGCTTGACACATGTCCTGAACGATGTCACCCGCGAGCGCCATGTCGTCTGTTCTGATCGTCACCTGTGGAGAAGGACACGGGTCGAAGGACACCGATGGATTCGGGAAAGCCGTGTTGCCTGCAGACGGGCACCACAACCACGCCTTCGGGGCACCTCACCTGATTCGCAAGACCATCGGCAGTCGGTTGGACTTCGAGGATGGTGCCTTGACCTGTTCGGATGGAGAGGAACGCGGCGTCCAGGGACGCGGACTTCTGCAAGTTCGAAGTATCTGCATTGAACGCCTGCTCGATCCACAGCGCGACCCGCTGCACCCGCTCGTTGATCTTGAACTGCGCGTCCACGAAAGACACACATCGCGGGATTGGAGATGATCTCGGCGGAGGCCGCGCGTCGGGGAAGGCGCACAGGAGGGACCTGGCGGCCTGTGTGGCTCGTCTCACCTGAACGTACGCGCTGGGCTCGTGTTGCAGGTGGCTGCGAGGCACCACGTAGTGCATGGCGAAACGCGGCAGCACCAAGTCGCTCTCGTAGAGGTGAGTGACGCTCGAGCCCAGCGACGAACAGACGAGGACCTTGATGTGGACCGTGCACGCCATGTCCTTCTCCGTGACCACCGGCACCCTGCGAGCGCGGGACGACATGCTGCGTGTAAGCGTCGATGCACGTCGCCGGCCCGTCCAACATGGTGCCTCGCCGTGCTGATAGCGCCATCGCACCTGCAGCACCGAGTTGGAGTGTCGAACATGTGCCCGAGCGACTCCGTTCCCTTGAAAATGCCCTCCGCTAGCAGGACGCATCCCCTGATCCAGCACTCGGTGTCCACTTCCGCAACGATATCCACGTGCTTCTGGGATGGCGCAATTTCCCATCGCATGGTGACCTGCGGGGCGAGGACGCCACGATCGGCAGGGGGAGAGTCTGAGCCCGGGCCAGAACTCGACGGTGCTTCACGATGATTGGTCGTTGCGCAAGACGAGCCGGCAGCCCCGTGATGTCGCGGAACATACATACCTTGGTGTCACCCGGCAGCATGTCTCCCGCGCCACCTCGCGTGTCGTCTTTGGGCTTGTTCCGCTTCTCAATGAGCAGCTGGCGGGCGGAAGCCAGCTGGGCGACCACCTCGTCGCGCTGGTTCGACAGCTCCATCAGGACGCGCTGATTTGCAACCTGGGCGACACGAGTGTCGTCGACGGCTGCCTGATACCCGCGCAGCTGTCCCTCTGTGCCGCACACGACAAGCTCCTCTCCGTGCCCACGAATGTTGGCCCGCAGCAGCCCCGCGACACCGCTCCCGATGACGTCTTTGAAAACCACCTGACCACTTGCCTCGTCACGCACCTGCACGAGGCGAAGGGCATCGTCTCGGGAGCGCGGACATTCATCTCGCTGATCACCCGGCCAGTGGGGGTCTGAATCGGGCTTTGCACCGGGAATGCGGCCTGTTGGAGCGCACCTCAACTTTCCCGCTGCTCCAGCCGCTGATCAGTTCCGGTACACCGTCCCCGTCCAAGTCGAACGCTTGCAGCGCAGTCGGCTTGTGACGCGATTTCACCCGCCAAGCGCGCTTGTCAAGGGAGTACACTCCGACCGTTCCGTTCGCCAGTGCATACCTGCATATCGCGTTGCACGCCGGGTCTGCAACTGCGGAGCCGCATCCGATCGTGGCCCACTCGCAGAACGTGCATGTCGCGCGCACCCGTAACGTTGCGAATGTATCGGCGTCAGGTCCGTGACGGCGTCCGTTTCAGTCGTCTCCAGCAGGCACTCCTCGTGCTGGAACACCCTGACCTGGAAATCCTCACTTCCCACTAGAATTTCATTGTACCTGCACGCCGGACCATACGGCGAAATTCTCAACGTGGGATCGGCACGCCCGGGCGGCAGGTGAGCAAGCGCACGGGTGGAGAGACGGTTGCGCTGCTGTGTGTCTCGGGTGCGCACCCGTCCCCATCGACGTCCGCGAGCGCCAGCGCAGAGACATTGTCGCCCGTGACGGACCAGTAGACTTCCTGCCCCTCGCCGTTTTCGTCGACGGCGAAGCCCTGGATCGAGCAGTTCCCACCCACCACTGCAACAGGTTGTTCGAAGATGCCCAGGTTTCCCACGACGACTCTGGACGCGCCGTCGGCCACCTCGCGATGGAACACCTCCCTGTTCGCCTCTGCGTCATACGCTTGCACGGACGACTGCGTCCCAACCACCAGTACGTCATGTGCAATCGACCTGCAGCACGGACCGAAAGTCAGACGGTCACTCGCCTGCGCACTCACGCGACGTCGCCGGACGGGACCATATCACGTGCATGCACACCTGTCCAGAGGGCCGCAATCGACGCAGGACACATCTCTGTTGATGTTGAGGAATTGCGTTGCGTTCACGCCGCTGCCCGCCTTCTCGTGAGGGTTGTGCACAAGAACCTTGCCACCAAGGGTGGCCCCGGCCACGCAAGAGCTGTCGTCGTAAAGATGCCCGGCGCAGACCTTCCCCTGCTGGAGCGGCTCTGCACGAGGCAAACAGAAGAAGGGAGAAGCGTCTCTCGCTGGCCCGCGCGCTCTTTCCCCGCTTTCTGACGCTCTGCGCGCTGCGCCAATCTCTCAGGGCGGCCCGGGCACGATGTGTGTGGGCACAGCTGCGCCCGCTGCCGCACAGGCCACGTCCAAACGTGGCCTTGCGAATGCCCCGACGGCAGCATCAGCCCCGCCCGGAGCGAGCGTTTTTGCACCGGCGAAGCGTCAACTATGCCAAAACGAAGCCGCGCCGTCCTGCGCCAGCTTTGGTGCTCGCAAGCCACGGAGGGATGACGGGAAAAAGCACAGCCATATTTGGCACTGCGTGCCCACGTCGCCTCTGTCCCGCAGAGTCAGGAGACAACGACAGGTTCTTCGTGCACTTCGATTCGAGCGTCATGGTGCCGCACCAGGCACCTGTGACTCGACGACGTGCGGGATATCGAGGGCGCACCTTGCAGGTTGAGCTGAAAGGACGGAATCAGCATGGCTGCTGACTTGCAACTGCCTCAACCTCAGACATACGAATGTCAACGTCGTGGTCGGTCGACAAACGAGGATATCAGCAGGGTGGCGCCGCAGAAGCTGCGCTGCCGAGAAGGCTTGGCTGTGACCCGAGCACCGGCAATGCTTCTAGTCTAGCGCGTGGGCAGCGGGAGTGCCTCGTCCCCGTGGGCGCACGTATCTGCGCTGTGGCCGCAAGCCGTGTCATCGAGGCCGCGACAGCCGGGGAGGTCCTCCGAGGTGGAAATTCGTCAGTCGCACAGCAGGTACCCCGTGTCCACCAAAACAGCCTTTGTCGTTCGCTTTGAGCAGCGCGCTCGGCGTGGAACGCAGGCATTTGCAGATGGTCATGACACAGACGTGCTAGAAGCCGAACCTGGCTGCCAGGTGACCGTGTGCACACAAGGCCGCAGCGACCAAAGAAGTAGACGCCGTGGCGGGCTCGCCCCTACAGTGGCTTGTGGGATCAGTGGCCTGACGTGGCTGCTCAGAGGACCCCGGATAGACTGCTTCGTGCCTCTGTTCGCCTGCCTGGCCCCGAGGCGCGGGGCAAGAGTGAGATCTCAGGCCTGCTCGCTGGTTCGACGCGTTCTCAGCCCGGCGGAGCTCGGAAGCGCCCGACGATGTTGGTCTTGTGCGTCGGAGCTGGAGATGGGTTCGGGGGGAGCTTGAGGGACCTCCCGTCACAGTTTCGGGAGCTGTTGGTTGCCGGGAGGATTGACACGGTCTGCTGCACTGACCACGTCGGAGAAGACAGCCTTGACTACCTCAGCACGCTGTCTCCGAACGTACACAGCACACCAGGACGCGGCGACATCGAAGCGGCCGACACGTCAGCTGTGCGCACGGGGAATGGGGTGGGCATCGTGATGGTCGCTGGGCGCGCGATCCCACCCAGCACGCGCAGCCTGCGGTCTCTCGCGATGCGGCATGGCGCGAGCATCATCGTGTCGAGCTCCGGAGCCCCTGACGTGTGCGACGTTGGCGGTGTTCTTGTGGTGCGCGTCGGTTCCCTGCTGGGCAACAAGCCATCGTCGCCGGGCAGTTCATCGCAGGGACCGTACTCCTTCCAGCTGCTGGACATCGGTGCGCGCACGACCCCCTGCCCGCGCCCTGCCCCGAACGACGTTCAAACGTGCCAGTCACTTCGGCATGCAATGCGTACCTCCTGGTGCACGCAGTCTGCAGGCCACGCGTACACAGAGCGGCGAGCCCTCATCGCAGCCAACTAGCGCGGCCGCTGGGGGAGCTGGCCTCTTGCGTCTCAGTCGCAGCCCTGCGGCGACGCATGGCAATGGTGTGCCGCTGTTGTTTTCTCCGCTACGCTGTGACCGGCCTCACGCCCCACCCTCGAATCTGCAGGGCAGGAGGGCAGGTGTGTGTGCTACACGTACCGGCTGACGGACCTCTCAGGGCAGGTGGACATCGCCAAGAAGGTATTCTCTCTGCAGCAAGTCTGACGGCCCCCGGCGCACCGGTGGCACAGGCGCATCGTTCTGTCCGTCGCAATCGCTCCCGCACGTTGGCCGCGTGCTCTTGGTGGTCTGTACAATCGGTCCGACTCGGTCGGCACACCTGAGCTGGCAATATAAAAACAGGGCTGCGCCAGCCCGAAGGCCGGCCGGGGTGATCTCGGTGCGGGGCACCGCGTCTGTAAAGTAGTATTCGTGGTGCATACTGCGAAATCGTCGGATCACCGGCGCACGCGGATAGACCCAGCCGTCTGTGTTCGCGAGTGAGAGACTACTGCATGGCCCGTGTTCTGCCCAGCCGCTGCGCCGCTCTGGTCTCGTCCGGCCGGGCCTTGAGTGGCGACCGACGTGCAAACGGGGCTCGCTCGACGCAGTCACGCCCAATTGCTCGCCCTGAGACCGCGCTTCTTCGTCGTGCGACCCGAGGTGACGGGCCCAGACTGATCGGTCGAAGCGCGGCGATGGACGCATCCACCGGACTTGCAGGATACATACAGCGTTGCAGAGAGGTGAACAACGTGATTGATGCTAAAAGCGAGGTGAGGCTCTCCACGAGGCGGGACCATGCCAGCGCTCAAGCTGAAGCCGCAGCAGCTGGGCGTTCACTTGCGTTTATTTCTGTGCATGGTTGTCGCAGATCCTTGCCTCGCTCATCAGCTTCCGTGTCGACGGGCATGAGGTAGGACACATGCGGAAGGATTTCGCCGACGCGGTGTCCCAGCGAGCGCCCGACGTGTTTGTCAAGGAGGGCGCTGAGGTCGTCACCCTGCACAACGGCCTCGGAACCGCACAGGAGCGGACGGAGGCCGTCAACAGGGTCATGCAGGATCTGCGGGGGACGTTCATCACTGGCTGGCGGTCGGAGATGTTTCCTGTGTCGCTCGGGTAGGCAACAGGAAGTGGCTCGAGAACACTGGCTGACTGACCGCCCGCGACGGGAACGATGCACGCTGAAAAGCCGATGTTCGCGTGTGGTTGTTGCGCCAGGTTCGGGCAGGAACCATTGTTCCTCGTGGAGCGGGCAGCAGCGGCATGGTTTGGCATCAAGGCGTATGGAGTGCACGTGAACGGGTTTGTCCGGGACAGCGAAGGCGGCATGCACGTGTGGGTCGCTCGCAGGAGCAAGACGAAGCCGACCTGGCCAGGTTCGCCCAACGTGCCAGCGCTGCACGCTGACAGGCTGCATGCAAGCGTGTGTTTTCTTGCGATCTGGGAGGTCGCGATCAACCCTGCGTTGCGCTTGCCTCGCGGACGTGCAGGCATGCTGGACCATATCGTTGCCGGCGGACAGCCGTATGGGATCAGCCCGCGCGAAAACGTGATCAAGGAGTGCCAGGAGGAAGCTGGTATTCCCCAGGACTTGGCCGCCACCGCGCGGCCAGCAGGTGAGCAGCAACATGCGTCCCGGTTGCGCTGAGAGTACCGTGGACGTGTGCATGATCGCATGTCCGCCCGCGCAAGGTGCTTCCAGGCTGCGTGACATACGAAATGAGTGTGGACGAAGGATTGAAGCGTGATGCTCTCTTCGTGTACGACTTGGAGCTGCCTGCGTCGTTTCAGCCAATCCCCACCGACGGCGAGGTCGAGGCGTTTGAGCTGTGGCCAGTGGAGAAGGTCGCAGAGGTCGTGCGCACGACGAAGGTGCGTAGTTGTCAGATTGCAGCCGCTCATCATCGCCATTCCCGCTGCTTCCGTAAGACCTTCCGTGCGATCGCTCCACGCAGGAATACAAGCCGAACTGTTGTCTCGTCATCATCGACTTCCTGGTACGGCATGGCTACATCACGCCAGAAGCTGGTCCAGGATACGTCGAGCTGATCTCCTTGCTCCATGCCTGAGAGCGCCGTGCGTGCAGCGCCTGAACGTGGCACCTCGACCGACTGCAGTCAAGTCGCTCGCTCTGCGCGACTGCACAGCCCGACTCCACTCAGTGTGAGAGCTGACGTCCCATCGGCCGCGATGCCCGGTGCTTGAACAGGGCGGCGCTCCCTTCAACCGATCGGCGTGCCCCACGAGTGCCGTGACCGCTGTTCGGTGAACCTCTGATGCTGCATGCGCTGCATTTCTTGTGCCACGCCCAAACGCTTTTGCCGTGCACGCCCAGGAATGTACCGTTGACTCGTTGTGGAACTCTCCGATACTGACGTCGTAGCCCTGTCAAGCACGACCTGACATGATGAAAACATGCCAAGATGCTAGCTCAACGCCATGACACCGCCGAGACGCTGTCAACGAGCTGGCGGGCGAAGCCTGAGCAAGGCTGACGTTGATGCCGAGCAAGCTCGGTGAGGATCGATCGGGCGCGCAAGGATTCCTTCAGGCCTGTCGACAGTCCCGGGGGGGGGCGTCTCAGCGGGACGCCCCGGGCGCCCTGCGCCGCCGTCGCGTCGGTAGCGACGGGGATCAAGCGCGCTTGACCCCGCTGCATGACTGCACATGCTGGCAGGGTGCGCCACAGGGGTCAGGATCGCCTGCTGCATTCCCGTCGCCTGCAAGCCGAAGCGGAAACAACAGATGGCGAGATGCAAGGAGGAATCGAGGGCGCAGGCATCGCGTATGCCCTTGTGCGCGAGTATCTGAAGCTGAACGGTTGTCACCGTGCTCTCGACGCGTTCATGGAGGAGCAGCAGGTGCGAGCGCACCACGGGGACGAGGGCGAGCTGAGCAGCAGTAGCCTGCCATGCGCCCGCTAATATTAAGCGTCAAACACGGCCGTCGCAGGCGCCCGCCCACAGTATCACTAGTCGGAACAAGTTGCGCGAGCTGACGGGTGTCATGGACCTCGCGAAGGGTTGGAAACGAGACCACCCTGGAACCAGCAGTGCCGAGGTGCCCTCCTGCCTGAACCTCTGGTGCGACGGTCTGGCTCGGAACCTTGGCGGTTCGGGATCGCAGCGTCAGTCCACCGGACCTGTACGCAGCGGACACTCTCGTCATCACGGCCACGAGCAACGACAGGCCTCCACCGCGGAGCTGCAGCACACCAACATCGTCCACCGTGCAAGCGGGCGCGCGACTGGCAGGTGAGCACCGTCACGAGATCCCGATCATGCCGAGCGCTCGCGCTTGCACGCCCTGTTCCCTTTCGCGTCCCTTGTCTCTTTGGCGGTTTCCTGCATAGTTGTTGGTTGAAGTTCAACGTCACAACAGGTCCACCCTCGCGCAGCCGGATGAGTCGGGACGCGCTCGAGGAGCTAACGTTGAGGTTGGGCCAGAGTACTATCAGCGGTGCACCGCAAGCCCCGCAAGGCCGCACAGCGACAAAGACGCGAAACACATGGAAGGATGTCGAGCTCGCCGCCCAACCTGCGACGAGGGACGAACACCCAGCAGCCGGGAGCTTCATCAAGCCAGCGCTGCGCGCAGAAGCTGCGAACGTCGTCCGGAAGGCGGACGTGCCCGTTGGTCGGGGTTCCACGATGGACGTGCGCCCTGACAGCGAGGCGGCCCCCGGCGACGGGTTCGGCGAGATGATTCTGGAAGATTTCGAGGACAGCAGGTCCACGCTCCCGAGCAGCATGGCTGTCAGGTACCCGCGCGGCCCGGCCTTGGACGAGCGTCAAGTTTCGAGTGGTCGTCGCATTGCAGCGCGGGACGCTGGCGCCATCGTGAGCCGCGTGCTCCGAGACACCGGACAGCCGTCTTCGTTCCCAGATGCATGGATCCAGGTACTTTCCGCGCTCGAGCTCGCGTGAGAGAAGGCATGTCGTGTTGCCCTCCTCCTGGCTGATCCGCTCCTACGCAACCGCTGCAGGGCTTCTTCTTCAACTCGGCCCCTCGACTGTCGTGGGGCCTCGTACAGAAAGACGGCGGACCGTGTGGGGTCATCGCAGCCGTGCAGGCGCACATGCTCGCGTTTGTGTGCAGGAAGAGGGGCTCCTTCCCAACCTCCATGTCTGCGTCTGAACAAGTGGAGGCCATGACGGACACCCTGGCACACATTATATGGCAGTGTCGCAGCCCATCGGCCTCGCACGCAGCGCTGGCGGTCCCAGCCAGCGGCTCTGCCGCAGACAATCGCCATGCTCAAGTGCTGGTGTCCAGTTTTTCGGTCTCCAGCCCGTCCACTCTGGGCGAACTTCGCGACGGCATCAAGAGGTCGATCGGACTTTTCATGGCACCGCGTGGCTGCGGAATTCTCGCGCTGGTAGCGAGCATGCTGCTCACCCGAGGCATTGATCAGGTGCGGAGTGAGGGCCAGAACGTGTGCGAGCAGGGACGACGCCTCCGCAGCAACAGGTGCACCTCCGCGCAACACGCCCCTGTCCCGTGCGCAGGTCGTTGCTGACATGGATGACGATGCCAAGTCGCGAGGCCTTATTTCAAAGCACAATTACTGCACACAAGAGTTGGTCAACCTGTGCCTGGTGGGACAGGCGTGCTCCAATGTTTTTGATGGCTCCAAAGACGTCGGAGGAATGCAACTGCACGGCATACCAAGTCCGAGCCGCGTCGGGTTTTTGATGCTCTACGAGTGGTACCTGCAGGTGCGCGTTTACCGACCCTCTGCAGGCTTCCAAACTCGACGTCGCGATGACGCGCTGTCCGTCGAGTCCTGGCTGCCACTTTACTGCAGGGGGAAGTGGGCTCACGACTGAAGTACCCGGAAAGCCCTGTTTGGGTGGTTTGTTCTGAGAGCCACTACACGGTGCTCCTTTCTGCGAACTCCTTCAACCAAGATGCTCTTCCCAAGGATCTCATATATTACGACCAACTAGGACAGTCTGAGCCGATCGTGCTGACGCTCTCGAAGTGTGCGGACGGCGGTCACAACGCACGGGCAGGTGGGGAACGCCACAGGGCAGCGTCGCTGGCGTGTGCTCAGCCCTGGCCACACGAGGCTTTTGACCGAACATCATTCTGTTGGAACGCAGGGTCGAGAATGGGCGATCGCATCCAGAGCGAAAAATGGAACGTACCGCCGCTGGAGTTCGTTTTGTCAACCAGATGGCCCGGAGTGCAGGTGGACTGGAACGGCACCGAACCTCTCATGTAGCTGGGCTCGGCGGGCCACCGAGCGGCCTTTTTGTGTGACGCGAGCGGCACTACCGGGAGCAGGAGCGATGTGCGAGCCGTTGCGCGGGCACATGGACGATGACTTAGACACACGGATTTTCGCCCTGTGCGTGCCGTGACTGCTCTCGAGCCCGCGCCGAGGGCATCAACCCACCGCTGGCAAGCGCACGGACCCGGGTGGGCTCATGTCCCCACTCGCATGATGCACTCAAGATGGAGTCTGACTGCCGCGACAGCTGTCTACGTGGCCAGGGACAGTCCAGGACGGCGGCAACCTCCCGCATGTAGGGGGTGCGCCCGCGCATGCTGGCGCGCACAACGTCCAGGAACTGCCGTTCGAGGTCTTGCGGGGTAGCTAAGCGACCTGCTGTCACATGCAGCGCTGAAGGCATCCACATGTTGAGACCCGTTCGTGCGGACGCAGGCCCCTCCCCCGCCCCGCACCGCAGATCATCAAAGGATCGCAACCTCGCTTCACGCGCGCGTGGAGCCTTTGACAGGCCGGCGGCGCGGAACGTAGTCACAAACACATCGATGACAGATGCGCGAGCGAGCCCGCAGAAGGCGGGGCACAGCACGCACGTGAATCTGCAGCCCAGCAACTATTCTGCGGCGCGTCGCAAGGACTGCATCCTGTTTTACCACCCGGACACTCTGCCTCTGGCACAGAGGATTGCTGAGCAATCGCCAAACGTCAGCCTCGGGGATATCCGGTGGTCGTAAGTGCCCCGAATCGACAATCATGCTGCTGCGTTGCCAGAGCGACCCTGTGCGCCGGCGGTTGCGCGACGTGCGGCCGCAACGACCGGCGGCACACTTCACGCGACTGCAAACAGCGGCGCTTCGCGACCGACCGAGGGTTCGAGGGCTCGTTTCAGGAAGCGCGTAGCACTACTCCATGTTTCGGCGATCTGCTGTCATATGCACATCACGTAATGTGCGCTCGGCAGCTACGGTGGGCGCGCGTGTAGCAAGAGGCAGGCACTCCGGCGTGCTTGCAGGTCATTCGCGGACGGCTTTCCAAACCTGTTCGTCAAAGATGCGCTCGACATAAGGAACCAGCACGTGGCATACCTTGCGTCGTTCCACGACCCTGCCGTGATCTTCGAGCAGCTGTCTGTCATCTATGCACTGCCGCGGCTGTTCGTCAGCTCCTTTACATTGGTCCTTCCATTCTTCCCGACAGGTAAGAGCTTCAGTGGTGCACGAGTCAGTCACGTCGTCCTGCATTCCGCCGTCTCCACGGCTCACGATGGTTGATCTGACGCAAGCTCTTGGCGACGCGTGACGCAGGGACGGCCGAGCGCATGGAGCAGGAAGGCGACGTCGCTACCGCAGTGACCCTGGCACGGATGCTGTCGAACATACCGATGTCGAGGGGCGGGCCGACGTCTCTCGTGATCTTTGACATTCACGCTCTGCAGGCACGGAATCCGTGGGCAACTCGATGTTCGCGGACACGACGCTTGATCTGCTCGCGCCCTCCGACCATGCCTGATGAGAACGTTTGTCTCGGCCCCGTACTACAGGAGCGATTCTATTTCGGGGACACGGTTCTGCCGCTGTTCGAATCCGGCATTCCTCTCCTCCGCGACGAGCTCCGGGCACTGCCTGACGCCGATCACATCACGATTGCATACCCTGACGAGGGTGCATGGAAGCGCTTCCACACGTTCTTTGACGATTACCCCGAGGTGTGTGCCCGTTGTGTGCCGCCACGCACGCCCGTCCTTCTTGAAGCAACCTGCTGCTCACGGTGCCCACTTCGAAGCGGCCATGCGCAGGTCATCTGCACCAAGGTTCGCGACGGCGACAAACGCATCGTCCGGCTGAAGGAGGGGGACCCGAAAGGACGGCACGTTGTCATCGTGGACGACTTGATCCAGTCCGGCGGAACGCTGATTCAGTGTCAGCGCATGTTGTCCACGCTCGGAGCTGCCCACGTCTCTGCGTATGCCACACACGGAGTGTTCCCATCGAAGTCCTACGAGAAGTTTCAGGTGCGTGCCATGTGCCTTGACCGGCTGTGTCACCCTCGCCAGCCCGCGGCTCAACTGTGGTACGCGGTGACAGGACCAGTGACAGCGGCCGACGTGGACAGCTGCACGACACGCTCGCAGGAGGAGAAGGACGGAGGCTTCAAGCATGTCTGGATCACCGACTCGAACCCCGTCATCGCCAAGGCCTTGGAAGGACGGGCGCCCTTCTCCGTCATCACCCTGGCACGCCCGATCGCAGACGCCCTGCAGATCTGATTCTGTGAGCAAGCGCGTGCACCCACCCGCGGAAGGCGCCAAGTGCAACACACAGCCCCTCCGACTCGACGTCGGACCGGAGCACCGAACGGACCATACTGCCGCGGTGAAGCCTTAACGCGCCTGGTGCGTCGGCTGCGTGGGTTTGCTCCACGTTTTGAAGTTGACGTCGCTGAGTCTTTACGGGAGCGCGTGCATCAACCGCAGCGATGCGGCCATCCGCGTCACTGGCAGAAACCTGCCGTGACGGCTCTGTTCGGCTGCGACAAAAGTGGCCTCCAACACCCACCTGTTTTCTTCTGAAGAAAGAAGACGTAGATGTCTTCTTTCTACCGGGTAGTACCCCAGGGCCAGGCAGGCGCCCATGTGCATGTTGGCGTGAGCAGGCCTCTTCGACGCACTCCGTTGCACTAGCCTGAATCGGCACAACCATTGCCACGCGATCGGAGTATTTGACGCCGCTGAGGCCCGCAAAAACGAGCGCAAATGTCGTAGTTGTAGTGCAGCCTGCCCGCCTGAGAGGGCACCCGGCAGAGCGCCTTCCCAGGAGGGCGCTCCGGACACGTTGTCTCACAGTGCCCACCACGTGCGGAGTGAGATGCTGCTGTGCAGCCCGCGTGTGTGATGAATCCGAGCAGGCTGGTGGTGCATGCTGGTTTCGCCTTCGCTCCAGGCGCAGCTGTGTGGGATGTCGCCGATCACGCATTCCAGGACGAACTCCGTCTGACATCTGGTCTCGGATGGGATGCTCGGAGAACGAATGGCGGGGTGGAGTTCCTGTGGGGCGCAGCGGGCAATGGTGAAATGAGCGGAGCGACCAGCGACGGCGCACCTGGGGCCTTCGCAAGCACTGACTCACACGTGATTCTCGTCGCTGGTCAGCAAGGGTCGACGTCTCGGGACGGTGGTGTCGCGGTATGGATGAGGACGGCTGCGGGACCGAGGCCGCCTCTTCTGCGAACAGTCCTGCCCGCGGTTGTCGTGGAGAACGTCGCGGCGGGAGACGGCCATGCCCTGTTCCACATCTCTGGGGGCATGGTGCTCGGCCTGGGTCAGAATGAGTGGCAAGCGCCCTCGCCGCACGCTGGTGCTTGGTTGTTTTCCCCTAGCCGCGGTCAAAGCCGTCCACGTACGCGCTCCGCGCAGGCGGTGATCAGGGCGCCGTTCCGAGCAACTGTGGTGCGCACGCGGATCTTGGAAGTTTCGATCATTGCTTTTCTGCTCGTGCAGTTGTCAACTTGGCACCCGTGACAGTACGGTCAGCTCGCCCATCCAGATCTGGCCGCGCCCGAGCCGAAGCTGCGCGCCGGCTGAATCGTGCGGGACCGGTGCGCGACACTCTTTCGTCGTCACGACTGCGGGCGAGCTTCTCATGTTCGGGTGGAACGCTCACGGCCAGTGCGCAGCAAGTGATGTTCAATTTGTCGAGGAGCCTCGTGTTGTTCGGGAACTTGCTGGCCTGCGCGTCCGCCGAGTATCTGCTGGCGTGTCCCACACGGTGGCCCACGTTGACGGGGGAGCGCTGTACTCGTGGGGCCTCAACTCGCGCGGGCAGCTGGGCCTCCCGAGGACCGTCATGTCTACTGAAGTGCCGCAGCTCTGCGAGTCCGTATTGGACCACGGCAACATGCCCGCGGTGCACGTCATGCCACAAGAGCCCATCTCCCTCGCTTGTGGGGGCAGTCACACTGTTGTAGCCTTCCAGGTGAGTGACATCTCGATGATGCAGCCAACCGACGAGACGGGGAAGCGGAACATGGCTATTGCAGATGATCCTCCGAGTTGGGCCCGCGAGCACGAGCACAGCTGTGCGCCGTTCCTGCAGGATTGCGTCGTCGCTTTTGGATGCAACAGATTCGGTCAGTGCCTCACGAGCTCACTGAGTGCCCACGACAGGCTGCGAGGCACCGCGGGCGGTGAGCACGACACCGCGTACACAGTCACGGTTCTGACGCCCAAAAAAATCATGGCTGGAATCACAAACCAACCGGACGAACACGAAGCTTTGCATGTATCGGGAGTTGTTGCGGGACGGTGTCACACGACGATCACGCTGGAATTGGCGCAAGTCCAGCGCGCTTCTGCTTAGCTGCGCGCGACGGACCAGAACTGAGGCTCTCCTCGAGGAGTGCTACTGTAGAGGACGCAGTCGGCCGCGGCCCCAGGTGCAGCGCCCTGTGTCTGGCGAGCTTCCAGGGCGCATGCAAGAAGTTCTGCGCTTGCTTTCCCGAAGCGGTTTCCCCACATCTTGACGCTCAGAAGGTTTGGCATCTCTTGCACCACCTGCACATTCGGGAGTTGTGATTCTCGATGAATGCACAGGCGAGAGACACAGACCTGCATCTGCAGGGGCGATGCGCGGCGCAGTGTGCACCTGTGCGACTGCAGAAAGCCCTGGATCCCCCAGGCGGTTCGAAGACAGATCTACAGCCTTCAGATTTGCGTTTGCTGTCGCCGACGAGAGCATGACCTCAGCAAGGGCGACACCGCCTTCGTCCCCGATCCAGTTTGCGGACATATCTAGCACCTCGAGGCCAGGGCACATCTCGAACATGCGCTGCAGCGCCGGTCCGCACCCATCGCTGATGCGATTCGAGGAGAGCACGACATGCGACAATGCGGTTGGCTTCGTCAGATCCTGACCGAACAGTCGGAGCAAGGAGTCCTGGTCGACGTGGAACTGCGCGAGCGACAGCTCCCGCAGTGCAGGTGCGCTGTTGATGGCTTTGCAGAGGTATGAAATAGCCGCCTCGCTTTCGCTCGGCCCCGTGAAAATCGGAGAGTCGAGACGAAGAACCTGCGTGCGTGTACCGGGCAGGGGGCATCGTCGCGATGATGGGCCGACAGGCGGCCCGGAATCCTCTCGGTCGGGTTATCCCATGTTTTTTAGCCTGGTTGGATGCGAGCACGGTTCGACAGGCTCCCCGCACCTCTAGACTATTCTGTCCTTCAACCATGGCTGCACAGATGGCCATGATGCCCTTCAGGCCCATGTAGGTGTGTCCAAGGTCGAGGGCGCGAAGGAACGTGTTGGAGCGCAAGCTCTTGCCAATTCTCATCACGGAGACGTCCGTCACGCCTCGGTTAGCGCGCAGCACGAGCTCCCTGACGCCTTCTCCTGGCCTTCTATCCATGGCTGTGAGCAGCGCGTCCTGCGAGCAGAAACACAACGCTGTGGTGTGGCACAGTGCTGAAGGTGCCTCTCGTTGTTGGGAGCAGCGCGTGAGGAGCGCAACCACGCACCACGCCTTGATCGCCGATAAGGTTGCACGTCAGAAGCAAGCGGACCAGAGAGGTGTTGGCCCGCACAGCCTCAGCGAGATACTCCAGGCCCTCGTCGTCAATGCGATTCCATGATACGTCCAGCGTCTGCGTTCCGACAGAGCTGGGTGAAGGGTCACGCCATCGATTCTGTATGCTTGAACACGCACACACGCACACAAGCCAGACAAACGTGCGGAAACATTCATTGGCTCGTCCCGCAGGCGCCACGCCCACAGCAAAACATCTGCGCACGTTGATATGTTCGTCATCTTTCAGCGCGAACGCCAAAGCCTTCGCCTGCGCCGAGCCAATCCTTGAATTGAACAGCTCCTTGCTGCCGCCCCTGAGCCTGAACTCGTGGAGGACAGTGCTGCACAACAAGACAAGGGCGATCACGGCTTGAGCGCGCACGGGGACCATCTTCCGGCTCGTTCGCTGCGCGCCTGCCATGTGTGAGGTACATATTGCCGATGGTGACTCATCACGAGGGCGCAGCGAGGTCGCAGGAGCGTGCATCCATCGCAGATGCTTCGTGTGAGCGACAGATCGTCGACAACCTGCTCTTCAGGAACGCTGCCGGGGCTTACCCGGCGTCGATCACTGCCTGCAGCTCTCGTATCAGCGACTGCACCGGGGCCACGTTGCTTCGGGAGCAACCTTCCCGATAGGACGCCAGAAGGCTCTCCATGTGCCCTGCGGTGTGGCAGTTGGTGCCAACTACGCCACGGTCACGCAAAAAGGGGCCCGCACAATGGTGGACGGCTGCACTGTGGCCATGCCAGTCGATCCCGTGCGCGAATGGAGTGCCACAGACGGCATTGCTCGAAAGCTTTGTCGCATGTTGGCAACAGCATGCCAGGGCCGTGCACGCTCGAATGCGAGGCAACCTTGAGGTTCCTGCCCCGTCTCACGAACGAACATGATCTCAGTTGCCCATTGCGCGATATGAGACGCGCGCAGTCCCCCGGGGGGGCCACACAGCCGTCCAGGGCACACCCACCTTGCTAGCAACAGCCGGGCAAACCTGCCGTCCGCTGCGACCTTACGCGGCCCTCAGGGTATCCGCCGTGTAACGACCTGTCGCCTGAAGATCGTCTCGAGTCGCCGCTGACCAGATACGCACCGCCAGTGGCGATTGCCACCATCCAACGTCGAACGCGAGCAACCCCTGCTGTCGCGGCCGCTTACACGTAGACGGGGCCGAGCTGCACCGTGCAGGCCTCCCCTTTTCTGTGGATGGTGCGCGCAGACGTCGAGGCGCACTGTCCGTGCATCCAGGGGGGCACCGGACGGGCCTCGCAGTGTTGAGTGCTTCGCGTGCAAAACCTCGCGGAACTCTGGTCTGGATTGCGTTGTGACTCGTGCCGCGGAAGCTGCAAGGCCCTGTGCTCGCCGGCGAAGACGACGACGCAGACCATGTCGGACGCGGGACGGTCCGACATGAAGTACACGCTCCCCCGCCATCGGGCCGTCGGCGGACCTCTCGGCGCCACTGGGAGGGCCGCCGCGCGTCGTTCCAGACTCGTCGGCGATCGCCGCTTCAGCCAAGCCGTGCGGTCGGCCCCGCTTCAGCCGCGGCGTTCGCGCGATGCCTGCGGCCCACGAGCCGAGCTCAGCGGAATGAGAGGGTGCAGGTTGGTCCGCACACGGCCGACAACGACCGCGCGGCGTCCAAGGTCACATGTGTCGCATCAAAATGGTGTCAGGGCATGTACGTCCAAGGCGCGGGTCGCACAGATGTCAATGCGAGCAAGCAGAGCGCTCCCAAGCTCTGGTCAGCGCGATGGAGTTCGGGTGCACGCGCGCGACGGAGCAGGATGGGCCCTCGGGGCGCCGGCCGCCCTGACGCCATCGACCATGGTCGCGCTGCCCTTCAACTTCGAAAATCTCCAGGCGCTGCTCGCCGTCTCGGAATACGGCAGCTGCGCCAATGCAGGTGAGCAAGTGAAATCGTGGTGTAAGTTTCGTCCCCTGCCCAGCTTGCGGGTGGCGGCCTCAACATGTCATCGCACCGTTCTCGGTATTTGCAGCTGCTCATATCGGGCTTTCCCAGCAAAATGCGGTTACTGTGAGGATTGAAGCCTTGGAGATGTCCTTGGGGAAGAAGTTGCTCGTCACGCCCGCTGGTGCGTTGATGTCGACAGCGCGCACTTGTTTCCGTGAATCTATGAGTCGCTGTGTCCAAGAGCGCAGTGTGCGGTTCTCTGCCACGAGCCGGTGCCTGTACATCCAAGACCCAGACTCGCTTGGACGCTTTCGTGAATCCTGGCTCTGCGCGGCTTTGTTTTCCGATTTCACTGCTTTTTGTGGCCACGCCATGCGATTCCTGGGACTTCCATGCAGATGAGGCGGAGAGCGACCCCCAGGGCCTCGGCCCATGGGCAGCGACGCAGAAGGATCAGCCTAGAGAGCAGCTGTCACGGGGCGGCGCGCTTCTCGTGTCCGAGGCTGTTGACATTGCGAGGTGCGTGCGTGCAAGTATCAGCTTGCGTGATCGCCAACTGTATTTTGCTGTGTGTGTGGGCCACCCAACGAACGCACATGACACCGATATCCGTTGCCAGCTGGCCAAGCGCGGCGAGCTGCGGCCTGCTTTGTCCGTGCACGGCATCGCCGTGTTCCCACCTACGTTCGGGGTGATCGGCTGTGCGAGAAGGTGGATCAGATCTTGACTTGCGAATGAAGGTACTACTCCGAAAGGATCCTGGCGGTGGCATGCGACGCGGTGCTAGCGTTGCAGGACATGGCAGAGCTCGAGACCGGATGTGTACGGCTTGGCGGTTCGCAAACCATCGGGACGTACCTTATGCCGAAGCTGATACGTGACTTCAAGACCGCCTTCCCGCGTGTAGCTGTTCAGTTGAGGTGAGAACTGTGCCGACGACTCCACGCAGCCGCGCTGCAGCATCAGCTCACTCGTGTGCGACCGCTTCTCGACACCGTTGATGACCAGGTCGATTTGCTTGCGCAGGATTGAGCCCACACGGCAGGTATGCCAAGCAGTGGCGGCCGGAGACCTGGACATCGCGATCGTTGGCGGCGAGATACCTCCTGCGTTCAGATCGCATCTGCAAGTGCGTGGTGCCCCTGGACTTTTTTGTTTAAACGCCCGCGATGCTTTTTTTCAGCGCCGGATCTGCCGAAACCAACTGACAATGCATTTTCGACGGGATGCCATTTCGTCGACGAAAAGAACGCTGTTGATGAATGCCATTGTTTTCGGAGAGCCGATCGCAACTTACACATGCATCGACGCAGGTGCGGACTTTCAAGTGGGACGAGCTCGTGCTAGTCGTCGCTGCATCGCATCCGCTAGCGAGCTCTGGGCGAATAGAACGTGAGGCCCTACAAAAGCTTGCAATGGTGTCTATCAACAGTTGTTCCACGGTTTACGCGATGCAAGAGGCGGCTCTTCTGCAGCATGGGATCAGACTTGCGTCCATGCGTCCCGACGTCGAGGCAAACTCGGTCGAGGCTGTCAAGAGCGTCGTGCGGGAAGGACTCGGGGCTGCATTCCTCTCTCGAACCGCCGTGGAGCGAGAACTTGAGGAAGGTTCTCTCGCCATTGTGCGAATAGACGGCATCACCATCGAGAGGCCGCTGCGCATCGTCACAAATCAGCGAAGATACATGTCAGTGGCAACGAAGGCAATCTACGGTCAACTCCTGAGGGCCGCCACAGGTTCGGAGGCTGATGGCGACGGGACAAGAGATGGCACCGGCACACAGCTCTTGGCTGCATCGCCCACATCGATGAATCAGGCAGACGCGCTCGACGGTGGCGATACATCGATCAGCACAGCGCGCATCATCGCGAAGAATGAGCGCAGAGACCAGACGTCAGCTCGGGACAGCACAGCAGAAATAGTGCCTGGGATGGGTGTCAACACTGGAAGGTCGACCGACCCCCGGGTGCTGGCCATGACTACAACAGACACTGGTGCGGCTCCAGGCAAGACCTTCAATCATTTGACGATCAATGTCCGTGGAATTTCAGGCCTTCGTTGCACATGCTATACAGCGACTTCCTGGCTATGTATGTTTCGGTCGCAGGAAGTGACGAGAGCACGGAGGCAGGCGGCGCACCTGTGTACGCCACTCCGCCTTCCGAGAAGCTGCCAAACATCGATTTGCGTTTGCTGCAGAAGCTACCCTTCTCCCTCGTGCAGCTCAGCGCTTTCAGACTCGTTGCTACCCTTGGGAGCTTCAACTCCGCGGCAGAGGCCATGTTTGTGTCACAGCCATTTATATCTAGTTGTGTATCGAAACTGGAGAGATCGCTGGGCGTGAAGGTCATCGAGCGACAGGCCGGGCGTGGCGCGTGCAGGGTGACCGGTGCGTGACATGCGATGCATCACATCACATGATCTGCAGCTGACCAGCTCTGGCAACCCACAGTGTTCTCAACGCCGATTATTCTGCTTTTTGCTGCAGAAGAAGGTTCGCTGCTGCTGCGATACACTCAAGCCATCTTCAGCCTCGGTGCCGAGTGTCTCGGAGCTCTCGCTGATGTGGACAATGTCGAGGGCGGTACCGTGTGCCTGGGGGCGTCCCAGACAACAGGGACATACTTGATGCCCCGGCTTATCTCGATGTTCTCCAGCAGGTGCGACGTCAAGCACCATGCCTGTCGAACTCAACATGCGTGAATTCCTCGATTGCTGACTCGGGTCGATTCCCTCCTGCAAGCGCAGGTACCCAACCGTGAATGTGCAGCTTCGCGTTGACATTTCAAGACGCGTGTGTCGTGCAGTGGCCGGAGGCGACCTCGATGCGGCCATAATCGGTGGCGAAGTGCCCGCAGAACTCGCGCCGTACCTCCAGGTGACGCATTTTTCGTGTTGCATGCCGCATTGAGCTGTGTCGCGCGCTTTCATTCGTTCCGATACCTATCTTCTGTTCAGGCGTGACAAGTTGTTAGCATGACGCACCGTGCAGGTCATTCCATATAGTCAGGACGAGCTTGTGCTTGTCGTCTCTCCCCAACACCCTATAGCGCGTCAGAAACGTGCAATCATAGACATTGAGGACTTATATGATCTAACATTCATTTCCCCTGACGAGAACTCGTCCGTTCGTCAGGTTCAGGAATCGCTCCTCATGAAGGCAGGAATACAGTGGCAGGTAGCAGCTCCCACTCGCGCCTGGTCAGTCGCGCAAGAATCGCGTATCAGCAATCTGCATATCACGCTGCAGTTCGTCATCGCGGCGTCTGCAGGACTTACACATGGGCATGTGCTTGAACTCAGTGGAGGCTATCAAAAGCGCCGTTGAGCATGACCTTGGAGCGGCATTTCTGTCGGTCATGGCCATAAACAAGGAATGCGATCTCGGCCTTCTTTGGAAGACGCGGATCAGGGGTCTCAGGTGCCAGAGCCACGGATGCCGTGCGGAATCGCTCCTTGACTTCGTCGATGCTGTTTCTTGACATCTGCACAACTTTTGCTCGCGCAGGTTAGCACGCCGGCTCGTACTTGTCACGGACCCGCGACGATACCAGACAAAAGCCGCGCGGCGGTTCTTACGAGACATCTTCCTCATCGCGATGGATGCTGTTCCAGCGAATACCCGGGAGGGCACGAAAACTGAGAGCAGCGGCCCTTCTGGCCTCCGTCATTTGACTGCGCGGCCTTGGGAGGTGAGAACGATGGCTGGCTCACACAAGGCCCGGCGTTAGCTGCCGCATGCAACAGATCCCATCATGCATGGTCCCTGGCGTTTCCTGCTGCAGGGGCCTGCGAGAAACATCGGGCTCGGGAATCAGACTGACTTCGGAACTCGACGGAGCCCGCAATGATTGGCACGGGGCGGTGGATGACACGTTAGAGCAGGTTGATGCGGACGTTCCGACGCCGCCTCCGCCGAAGTACGCATCTGAAGGTTCGGTACTAATGGCGCTTGCGGAGCATGTCGAGGAGCGGTCAGATCGATACCCGGAGCATCGGCGCAGCACCTGTCGACCACTGTACGTGGGCGACCACTGCGGTTGGATCGCTGTCTCAGATGGCGCGCAGCCCGAACTGGCCGTGAGATTCGGACCTTGCTCGATATCGGAGGTTTGCAGCTACAAACTCACAGCGGCGCCGTCGGCAGACCTGAGTTGACGTACCTGACCTGTGACATTCGGGCCTCACCCAGGACGTGTGTCTCAGCACCCCTGTGATGAGCCGAAAAGTTCTGGACGCCTTTCCCGGGGCACATCCAGGAATCAAGTCCGAATAGTGTACTCGCCAGATGACGTCACTTTGCGCACCCACTGCTGGACTTCGTACCCAGTCTTCTCCCATGCGCGCAGATATTGTACCAGCAGACCCGATGCAGCGAACATCGGCACATCGAAACGCATCTGCAGGAAGACTCACGCGGAACAAGCACGTGAAACGATGTGCAGTCACTGCCATGCACTCAATATTGCGAGGCACGCATCTAACCTGCACTGGAGGTCGCTTCCACCTCTCTCTCTCGCCGAGCACGCCCATCAGCTCCACGTCTGCTGACAAATTGTGCTCTTGCTCGCCCACGAACCGTTTGATTTTCCACACGAGACACTGCTTAGACAGATCGTACTTCACCTGCGCGAGGGACCGTCAACGTGAGGGGCCGTCAAACTTCGGCGGGACGCGGATGAAGACCGAAATCCGTTCTGGGCGACCATGCGGTGCCCATGAGCGACCATGCGGTGCCCATGAGACACGTGCGGACGGGTTCGCACCTTGCCGATCGATGCCTCCATCGTGGTCCTTGCAGTGTCTTTCGGCACTGGAATGTGAATGGCCACGTTGATTGCCCAGAGCTTCGGGTTGAACACGCTCTTCACCTTGATCATCACCTCGAGTCTGTTCCGCCCGCGTTCGGTGATGACCGGGATGACCTGCAACGCCATGGGGCGCCATCATCGCTCTCTTGATCACGCTGCAATGTGCTGACGTGAGCGCGCATAGCACTCCGCGCGCAGTGGCGCGCAAGTGCTTCTCCACAAAGCTCAACCAGAAACGCACCTTGAACGGCAAGGAGATGCCCTCCGTCGCCCTGTACCGCATGAGTTCAAACTCGCCGTCCGGCGGGACGCATGAAACCACCCGATCAACGTTGAACTTGCTAAGATTGACACACGGGTGAAACGTCACGTCAGACGCCTTGTCGTTGAGGCCGATCTTCACCTCCGGCATGCCTGCGAGACGGAGCCCGATCCAGTTCTTTCGGGGCAGCTGTGCGGCACAGAAGCCTGCCGGAAGCGGCAGAAGGCACCTCTCGCAGTTACTGCCGCACCTGACATGAAACACTTGACAACAATCCTGCCATTCACGTCGGCTCGAAGGACCTGGCCTTTGCTGCTCGTCACGAGATTGACGCTTTCGATGATGTCGAGATAAATCTCGTTGTTTTTGTACTTGATGCCATCCCGACGCCACCCAACCGCACCCGTGACCTGCAGGGGGAACAGCCAACGGAACGCTGCGGGCTGATTATGAAGCAAAGACGTGTGCGGTGCATGATGTCCGTTGTCTGTTTCCATCGCCGTGCAAGCCCGCGAAGCGACGATCCTGTGCCGTTGGCCGACCTGCATCCTTGCGTGATTTGCCTTGTCCTGTTGTTCGGCCTCTTTGCGCTTGGACGATAGGAGGTCGGCGAGCACGTTTTTCTGCAAGATGTAACCTTTCAAAACCGACGGATCCACGACCTGCAGTCGATGGGTGTCCAGAACTGCTCAGTCACAGACATGACGATGTCATGATCAACATTCCGGCTGGGGCGCACGACGTATGTATGGACAGCATGCCCATTGCGTGCGATCAGACACCGCACCACACACCTGGGGGTATCCGAAGTCGCTCATCTCATCCATCAGCTCGTAGATCAAGAGAAAGCCCGCTTCAACGTGGCGTTGGCAGAAGCTGTCACCGAAGTACGACCTGCACGGTGGTCGCGGAAATCACGGAGAGGGCGACGGCTGTGAGGCGACGTGAACGATTGTCTCTCGAGGTGGGGACGCGAAACAACGCGCTTCTCAACGATCCGTCGTGAGGTTGCCGTACCTGAGTACGTCGCACAAGCCGCGCATGAAACGGAAGGACAACATGGCATTCGAGTTCGTCTTCGTCGCGCACATGATGTAGACGTCGTTGATCCGCGTGTGCATGAAGGTGGTGTCACGCACGATCGAGACGGGGGGAGCAGTAGACACCTGCACATAAAACCCGCAAGCGTACAGATGGTCTGGACAAGTGGAAGCAAAACGTGCTGCAAGGCATCGAGTATTGTGGAGCGGCTCGCTGGCGCGCCGGATCTGACAAGCGCTCGCCGCTCACGGCGCTGCTGGAGCCACACCTGGCGCCGTGAATTCAGGACCGACGTCCGGAAGATGTTGACGGCATCTGGCGGGAGTTCATCGCGGTAGATGCGCGAGATGAGGACGTCTCCCCTGAGATTCAGGAAATAGACGGCATAGCAAGCACAGGACGTCATCCTCGCGGAGTTTTCTCAACCAACTCTGACCCTTAGCTGACAAGTTCCAGGTGACTGGTGGCCGTCCCGGTGGCGCAGATGTCGCGCTCGAGACAATTGCACGAATTCCGACACGGGGCGGGGACAGTTCAACTCGACGTCCACCCGCTGTGGCCGGGGACACAGCAACGCTCTAGGTGCGGGCCGCGGATCGTTGCCGCGTCCACCAGGCCAGGTCGCCGGAGCCCCGCGTGGCTTCCACGGGATCCGCGACAAGCCAGGGGGCAGACCGACGCCTGTTCAGCCACAGGGACGCCCCGCTCGGTGGGGACACCGCTAACGAAAGGAACGGAAAATGTGCCCGTCGTGCCGCGAAATTGCTACCGTTCCGATTTGCGCCGAGCTGGCATGTGGCGATTGCCTGCAGACCTGGCCGCCGCTGTGACCGGCGCCTGCCCAGACTGGCTCGTGTCACCTGAGGTGGGGCAACTAGCTCAGGCCGGGCGTGGTGCCGCAATGGGACCGGGCTCTGCGCCGCCGCGGGCAGTAGTCGCTGGAACTCCTGCGGCGAGGCGCGGCATCGTCGACAGAAACTCGAACGCGATCGCGACGTGCTGCACAAAGTGTGCCACGGAACTAAAGCTAGCAGGCTTGGTTGATGCACCACAGGTGGACACAGCCCGCGCTTGTTCGGTTGTGCGTGCCCTGCGACCATTTCCGCGGTCCTCAAGCTGCTTGAAGCTGCCGGACGAGGTGGCACTCGAGAGGGAAGCCTCGGCCGAGCGCGGCTCGTCGCCTCTGCAGTGTCCTGGTGAGTGACTCGACACAGACGCCTCGGGACGGGAATCAGCACCCGTGGTGGCTGATCAGTCGCTCAAGAATGCCATGCTGCGGGTGGTGACTGGAACGGTCCATTTGATGCACCTCCGTGACCCGAACGGGAGTTGCAGAGCGAATCTCACGCCAGAACCTGGTGTTCCCGAGCGCCATCGCAGCCGTCAGCCCGCTTGAGCGCGTCTGTTCATCATGTCGGACGAATTTCCTCTGCGCTTCGAGGATTACGAGCTCATGGGAGAGTGCGGGAAAGGGTTCTCGGCCACCGTCTTCCGCGGCATCTGCAAGCCGCTCAATGTCGAGGTTGCGGTCAAGCGATTCGATCTCGAGAACAAAGAAATCAACCTCGAGCACATTATGTCCGAGGCCAAGACCATGAAGAGCGCCAAGCACCCGAACATCCTGAGAGTGAGTGACGCCAGATCTGTTTGTGCACGGCACCCGCGTCTACAAGCGTGCGGGACGCGACCGCGCGGCCGAAGTTGCGCAGTCGTGCTGGGATCCGAGCGGCTGCTTGCGCGCACTTCGGTTCGAAACGGCGCAAGACGCGCGCAGGGGATGGTCTCTCACTCCAAGCCTGTTCCCCCGCACCGATGCAGCTGTACGCCTCGTTTTCTCACGAGAAGTACTTGTACATGATCGAGCCATACATCGCTGGAGGATCGGTGCTGAACGTGATGAAATACGCGTACTCGAATGGATTGGAGGAGCCACAAATCGCATGCAAGTTCCCTGTCGTACCTACACGGCGCCGCGCGCTTGCATCGCCGAGATACCGGTCGCAATCATCGACGCGAGTTTTCCTCTCTCTCTGCCTGTCCCTGCAGCCATCATGCGCGATGTCCTTCAAGGTCTGAAGTACATGCATGGCAACAACATGATCCATCGTGACGTCAAGGCAGGGAACGTCCTCCTCGACACGGTGGAAGGGAACGTGAAGCTCGCAGATTTCGGGGTTGCTGCGACACTCGAGAGGCAGGGGTCCTGGGGTCACGATTATGGCGGGCGGAACACGCTGGTGAGCTCCGCATGCCGCACATGTGCGCAACGTGTGGGTTGACGCGCGTATCCCCACCCCTGTCTGATCGAGGTCCCTGTCGCAGGTCGGAACGCCGTGCTGGATGGCGCCTGAGGTGCTCCAGGCTGATCAGGGCATTATCGATGCATACAAGCCGCAAGCAGACATCTGGTCGTTCGGCATCACGCTGTTCGAGGTCGCGCATGGCCACGCGCCCTTCCAGAAGCTGTCACCACTACAGGTTGGCCCCTGAGACGATCGACTGGTGTGCCGTGGCGCGGCCCGACCTTCCCTCACGCGTCGAGCATGGCCTCGAGTCGGTGCAGGTGATGATGCGCATTTTGAACGACAGCACGTGCATCGATCTCGAGGCTGGGGACAACACCTCGAACGACAAGCCGAAGAACTTCTCCAAGCTCTTCAAGGAGGTCGTCTTCTTGTGCCTGCAGGTGGGTGTTCAAGTGGCTGTTTGCGGCAAGCATGCTGTACGAGTGCTGAGCACCTCTGGCCTGCGTTGCTGCGACCCTCACGTTGTCCAGCGCTTCGCCTACCATGCAGAGGGATCCGGCGAAGCGTCCATCTGCGGAGAAGCTGCTGAAACACCCGTTCTTCCGAAATGCAAAGCCGTCAGGACAGACGATCAAGAAGCTTCTGGAAAACGTTCCGTCGCTCACTGACCGGGTCCAGGTGCGGTCTGCTGCGCCGCGCATGATGACGAACGCGGCAATCTTGGTTCAGGGCTGCACTGACGTCGCATGGACCTGTTCCCGGGCGATTCGCAGGAAATGCTCAGTCGCGATGACGGGAAGGCGTTCGCTACGAATCAAGGGAGGGCGATGCGGTCCGGCACAAACTATCTTGCTGGCGTCAGTACGTGGAACTTCGACCTTGCCGCCATCAAAGCTCAAGCTGCCGAACTCGATCTCGACGGTGCGGCCCTGAATCCATGACAGCGCAGGCACATGCGGCACGTGACGGGCGAGCCGCCGAAACGTGCTCCTCGGTGCAAAGTCGTATGTGTTTGCCGTCGTTTCGCAGCAATTATCGAGGGGGATGACGAAGCTGAAGAGACGGCCAATCTCGCCCCGCCCGACCAATCCCTGCCGCCGGACACTCCCACGCTCTCGACTGCCGTCTCTGCTGCTGTGGCACCTGGCACATCCCCGGATGCGACGGTCAGCATCGGTCAACGCATCAACAGCGAGGGACTGGCCGCGCAAGGCAGCGAGAGTGTTGCTCGCGACCACCCCAGTGAGCATGGAGCCGATAGTGCTAGCACGGTAGGGCACAGGGCTGCCCACAGCCAGTCAGTGCCGGACCTCGCGGAAGGCGTCCAGCACCTGCCTCGGGTGCCCTCACAGCCCGTGGCGATCCAAACTGCGGGCAGCGCGCGCACCGACGCAGTGGCGCACACGGACGCTGCGGATCCTCGCCAGGCAGCAGCGAGCGGTGCTGGAGATCAGGAGGATGCCCCTGCAACCGGGGCATCGCCGGCACCCAGTCCTGGCACCGGGCGGCCACCGAGGCCAGGAGAGAAACGAGACCGCAAAAAGGCCGGGCGTTTCACAGTTGTGCAGCAGCTGGACGAAGTTCCGAACTCGCCCGAGATGTCGCAAGGCGCGGCGTACATGGAACATGCCCTGCGCTCTCGCGCGCCCTCCTCGCGCAGCCTTGCCGACGTCGCGAGACACGGCACCGACGGCCGGCATGCGCACGATGCAGAGGACGCGGAACACACCGCGCACGAGGCCCAGCCCCCGTCGCCGGGGATGGACGGCCGCGATCAGAGCGTGGAGAGGGCGCACGAGGGCGGCTTGCCACCGCGACCTCGCGACGGCTCCGGGACCGCAACGCCACACAGCGGGAGAGCGGGGGGACACGGTACCTCTCGTTGGACGGATGGGCTGGACGACGAAGGGCTCGTTGGGGCTGACGGCCGCGAGCACGGCCGCGAAACTCCCCCGCCTCGTGACGTCGACCGGGCGCCGTCCGGAGGAGCGCGAGGCGGCGCGGCGCCCCCGCAGAAGCGCGGCCGTGGCAGGTTCAAGCTGCTTCCGGTGAGCGTTTGGCCTCACGCGCTTCCCACCGTGCAGCTCCGAGAGCATTCATGTGGCGCAGCCTTGCATGCAACATCGTCGTGTGCGTTGGCCCGATGTTCCACAGGACGACAACCCGCAGCCGGGTCGGGACAGGGGCGGGAGTATCAACAGGTCGATGTCCGCCGCTGTATTGGCGCGAAACGGTTCGGCTGTCCCACAGGATGGTTCGGCAAGTGGAATGTCGCAAAGCAGCACACCCCATGCTGCACACAGGGTCGACATGGCTTCCTACCAAGCTGGTGTGCGCGACGCATGCAATCGCTTCCAGCCGCTGCTCCAGGATCTCCTGGCCAAGGTGGGCGTCATCGTTTCGTAAACAGCTATGAATCATCAGCCTCTGATGCGGACTGTCTGTCGGGACGATCGGGCTGCTCCGCTTCCCCCAGTCTGCCTCGCCCGCTTTCCGACTGACTCGCAGGTTGAAGAAATCACCTCGGTGGCCAAGCTCTTCGAAAGCCAGCTCGCGGAGGCACAAACGTCAGGGCGTTTGCCCGGTCACTGGACAGACACGGGCACGGGCACGGGCACTTCGAATCGACCACACTCGTTTGCAAGTGGAAACGCCAGCAACGACGACTCGCGACCCCCGAGCCCGGGCCACATACCCCACGCTGGGCAGGAAGCCCAGCATGCAGCAGCCATGGCGCACTTGAAGCACCACCAACACAGGTGAGGCAGTCGTGTGCTGAAGCGTTCCCCGACAGTGCGTCGTCAAGTGCACTGACGAGAAAGAACGCCCCGCCTGCGCAGGTCCCGTGCGGAGAGTCACAGCCACCTTGGCATTTCCAACATGAGCGAGGGTGCTGCCGGCTCACCGCACGCACGCTCTGCTGCGGTCTCGATCATGGCCAGCGACCCAATGCCCAACGGTGGTAGGCAGCATGGCACGAGCCCCTCAGTCTCGGAGCGCCCAACTCGCACGGTGCCGTCTCCGGTGCCCACCCAACCCAACTTGCCACTCAACTGAGGGCGTCCCGCACATACTCCACCAGTGGTCGACGCTGCCGCACGCTGAGAGTGGCTGGCACCGCCAGCTGCCATCGTCGTGAAGCTTGCAGCATGGTAGCCGCCCATCAGGTCATCTGCACGTCTTGAGCTGCGATGTGATGCTGGCCGTCATCCTCGTTCGCGGCGAAGGTGCCGTTCAGACATGTACCTCGCAGCGCTTGCATGGCACCTCGGACTCCTGAGATCTCACCAGGCGCCGGACTCGTCACTTTATCTGATGGCATCCGCCGTCGGCGGCGAGGGGCGTGTGTGTAGAGATCGCAAGAACAGGGCCCTTGAGAGCCACGACCCGCGTTGCTCGTGCCTCGTCGCGCAGTACCGGACCTGAGGACGAGCCCCCCACCAGGGTCAGGCATCGTCACGCCGCTCGATCTGCTTCCCGATTCTCAGCCGTACGAGGCCCTCGAACGAGCCATCATCTGTGCACAAGCTGTTTGTCGTGCTCATATCTCGTGTCTTAGCTGTGTATACCGTGGGAGAGCAGTGGGTCGAGCCGCGAGAGATACCGCGCCCTGCGTTGCATCTCCGCTCCCGAAGCGCCTTTTCGAGCTGCGCGTGCAATCCAACCGAACTCAAGTGCATCCAGGCACTGCTGGCGCCGTCGGTGCTGGCGGACAACAACAGCGCTCCTTCAGTGCCGAGTCACACCGGGCCGTAGCAGCACGTCTGGCTCCGAGCGTGTTCGCGCTGGGTTGTCCGACCGCTCGTATACGACTCTTTGAACCCTCTTCTGCGAGGAACCCAGTCTGACGGCCGGGGCGGCGAAGCGCGCAGAGGCAAAGATGACTTCAACGAGCACGAGGCCCACGCAGGATGCGCAAGGGGCCGATCCCTGGATGCTGCAGTACGAGTCCGTGAAGCGGTCAGCAGATCAGATTCTTGCCGCAATACAGGTAGGCCAGCTCGTGCCGCCCGCCTTGGCACCAACGGCCAGCTTCTTGGGCAGCCCTGCAGGGCTTACTTGCGGGTCATCGCGTCGTCGCTGCAGGATCGGCGGGAGTTAATGCGGCAAGGAGCGCAAGTTTCGCGGCAGACGGCGGCGATTCGAAGGAAATTGGGGGCGTTCGGAGCAAGCCTTGATGACCTCTTCGAACAGATTCACACCACCGACGGAATGTGCGTGCTCGACCCTGGTGTTCTATCCCGCAACGTACCAGCACTCTGGCTGGCAGGACACTTCGACGTGCTTTCGAGGGCTTGAAAGTTCGACGTGTGCTCTTCTGCCACTTTTGCATGCCAGTCGGCTCTCTGGCGTTTTTGGCCCCCGCATCGGTCTCGGCCATGCGGTACGCGCTTACGTCGTGCCTGCAGATCCGCCCAAGAGCTCCACAGGCGACGCGACATGGTGTCCGTGCTGCGTGCTAGAGCAGCCCAGCTCGGCTCTGTTCTCGGGCATGGCGGTCGGAACGCGAAAGCTGAACTTCTGAAGGCGAGTTGCCATCGCGCGTCCTCGCCATGCACGTGGTCGCGGAGGGCCGGACATGCCGATCACCGCGCCTTCACACGTGTGCAGGGGGAAACAAGCGCGGGCGCATCACACGCAGGCGAGACAGAGGACACCGCGGCCCTGGATGCACAAGGTATTTTACAGCTGCAGCAGCAGGTCATTGAGCGCCAGGATGACGACTTGCAGCACCTGCACGACAACGTCCAGAGAACAAAGGAGGTGGCCTTGACCATCAATGAGGAGCTCGGCCTACAGGTACACATATCCTCATCGCCATTCGTCATGGCTGACGCGCTGTCGGCCGATCGCTTTCCCCCGATCGCGCGACGTGGGTGCCTGCATTCGTTGTGTCATGCAGAACAGGCTGTTGTCAGATTTGGACGATGAAGTGGACGTCACACACAGCCGCATGCGGGCGGCGAAGCGCAAAGTGAGAGAAATATTGCGGAGATCGAAGCAGCCCAAGTCGATGTGTCTGATGCTGGGCCTGATTGCACTCCTCGTCTTCCTTGTCGTGCTGGTCTTGAAATAGCAGCGTCCGATGCGTGCAGCGGTCCCTCACGACAGAGGTTTTGCGCGGCGCAGCTGCCCGTGGCGGATTGACTGCCTACCGACGCGGCGCAGGTGCGCGACGTCGCGTTGTGAGGGAACGCACGCACAGGCTTTGTGCTGAGGCGCGGAGCGCCGGAGTGTCTGGTACTTGTGCATTTGGTCACTGCACGACTTTCGAAGGTCGCGCCCGACAAGTACCTCCGGCCAACGAGCGCTCGAGGCCGACGCTCGAACATGCACACAGATGCTGGATCGGTCATCGACAGCAGGTGGGGCTGCATCAGCGTGCCCGTGGCTTGTCCCGCGCGCCTTCGTAGAGGCCCCAGCGCGAGCAACGTGCATGGTCGCCCAAATCGCTGTCTGCCTCAGCCTGCGCGAAGATGCAAAAGATAGCTTAGTGCACAAACTGCACCAATCAAGACGTTTCTGTCTCTGGCATCAAGCACACTGGCAGCGCCTGTTTGCCCGAAGGGTCGCAAGAGAAGATCGAACATGGCACGCAACATCCTCAACGCTGCCCCCTCGGTCGACAGTGCCTGCTTCTCCTCGTCGGTTGCTCCCAACCGTTCCTTGCCCGGATCAGAGGTCAGGCAGCGGACAGTCACACTATGCGAGCTCGTTGCAGCTGTCGTGGGCCGGACGGCATCTCGTGCATGATGCTAGATGTCAGCACCCCCCCCCAGGTGATAATCTTTCATCTCTTTGACCCACCCCCAACCCCGCCGAGCCGCCCCTTCGCACTCTTCGTCGTCTTACTCGCGAGGCCGCCCCGCCCCTTCTTTCCCTTCGATGCTTGCAGCTGCTCTGCTTTCCTCTTCCCCGTGTCTGATTTCTTGACTGTGACCGCTCCGAAGAAGCTGTCGAGGCGCCCTTGCGAACCCTTGCCCTGCACGAGGGGTCGGCAATTGATTCCTGTGGGGCACCAGTACAGCACAAGCCGGATGTCTGAACGCTGTGAGTCGCACCCACCTTGGATTCTCTGATCTTCTTCACCCCGTTGCGCACGCGGTCCTCGCTGAAGTTTTTCTCCCCACACAAAAAACTGACGATACCTTCCTCGTCAGGCTGTCCCCACTTCAGCTGATCGGCAAGTTCAGTCGCCGGTGTGACGTCAGGCTTCAAGAACAGCTCTCGAACCTCCTGCACCAAGTCGTCGCGGCGCACAACGTCTAGTCGGCGACCATCGCTCGTGCGGATGATGCTGTCCGATTCTGACAGGCGAGCAGTCATTCGCCTCCCCCTGGGTGCACAAACCTTGAACGGATAGTCTTCTGGAACGGGAAACTTGTCCCGGTCGATCACTTCGAGGATTTCTTCGAGGCTCTTGTACTTCTGAACGAGCTCGAGGGCCCTTTTCGGCCCGATGCCTTTGATGGTCCCCATGTAGTCGCAGCCACACAGAATGCACAAATCAACGAATGACTCGTGCGTGATCCCGAACTCCTCAAGCACCTGCGAGCGACGACCGCGCATTGACCCTGGGTCGGTGTTTCCGTTCGGGCCTCGTGCCGCGGGCAGCCAGGAGAGCATCGCGGGAGGCCAACCTTGTCGTGCGAGTACTCCACAACGGCTTGCTGCTTCGATGCCGGCGCCATCATGTAGCGCGACTGCTTGGGGCAGGCGAACGTGAGAATGTCCATGTCCTCGGTCGCTGCCGAATGCACCAGGCCTGCCTTGCAGAGCTCGGCACACTGCGCCTCCGCCTCGCACGGAGCCTCGATGCACGGCACGCCCATGAGCCGCAACAGACGCTTGCACTCCTCGTTGTGCTCTTGCGTGACCCGGACGGTGCGTTTGCTGAACTTCTCGATCGCTTCCTGATCGCCTGAAGCAGAAGAGCCCAAGGGGACAGCTGGTGTGGCGTCGAGCTTGCGTGGGACCTCGCCAGGTCGAGTGCGATCGTGCTCGGCCCCGCGGGGTCATACCTGTCTCCACAGCCTGCTTCAGAGCTTCTTGCGCCTCGTCTCTCTTTGCCTTGCGCTTCGCAAGTTCGCCCGATTTGAACTGAGGTGGCTTGCCGTCAAACACGTAGACGGGCTTGATGCCCGCTTCCAGCATCCGGATGGTCCTGCAGCTCGATGACCGCGCGCCTACAATCTCAGGCAAGCCGGGTGGCTGAGATCGCCTGCGCTGCATGCACCCCTTGCAAACAACTAGGGCACCCGCCCCAGGTCTGCACGCAGGCTCACTCTCCGCGAGCAGCGCTGTTCCCGCCCCGTCTATGCATCTTGTCGCAATTGCGGGCGCCCTGCCTGAAATAAAGGCCTTGCAAGTGCGCCGTGACGTTTCCCGCTTCATCTGTTAGCACCTGGTCCCCCACACGCCCGACGACGATCATGAACTGGTATATATGCATCGACGCATCGATAACGACCTTGCGACCGAAGTAGTTTTCGAATTTCGTCTCAGAAGTGGCGGAAGGAGCGCTCTCCGCGATGAGCTTTGCCAAGCCATGGATGCCCATTGCGCGCGACACACTCGTGCGTCCGGCGCACCACTTCCCGCCCCCTGCACGCGTCCGCGGCAACTGCGCGAGCGTTGTCCCGCCGGTCGCCCGTGGCCAGGACGGGGATAGCGAGGGTCGTTTCTGGGCACGAACAGGAGCAGCCGCGAGTGCGCACCTGAGAGCTTCCTGCTGTCCCGCCCCGGTCCAGCTGTGCCGAGAGGCGTGGAAAGTACCGCGCGGCTCGCGAGCGCGGCGCTTAGGACGGCCTCGTCCGGCAGCCGGGCTCTTTGGACTAGGACTCCTCCCCTGCAGGTGCTTTCCGCTCTTGTGTCGCTCGCAGCGCGCCTACGCGCACAGTATCGCGTTCGTGCAAGGGTGTACATCCTGGGATCACAGCGCAGCGATCTCGGTAGTCAGGCGGCGGACAGGCTGATTCGACGTCTCGAGTGATGAGCCTTGGAGTGCGTAACTGTTGCTAGGCCTCCAGGCTGCGTGAGGGCGCGCGGGGTCGGCCGTCATGCCCGCCAACAGCGGTCCCTTCGCTGTTCCGTGCGGTTGCAGCCGCGCCCGCGCCACTGCCCGCGGTGGCCGCGCCGCGCCGCTGGGTGGAGTTGCTAGGCTGTGCCACAGGCCCAACGCCGCGGCCACCCGGGCAGCGCCCACCGTCCACGGTGGCCGTCCGCACGTGGCGCCGTTTCCGAGCGTTCTCGGGCGGGGGGCGGTATCGTGCCGTTCTTCCCGCGCTCCGGCACGGGTCGCGGGCGGCCACCCTGTGGCCTTGGGCTCGGGCGCGTCGGTGCGGTCCGTGGACGGCGACATCGAAGGTGCAGTGCGCGACAGGCGGTTTCGGGACGGTGCACGGTTGGCAATCCGGGCGATTGAGGCGGGCGAGAACCCGGACCACAGAGCGATTGGCGGAATCATTCAGGGGCTAGCGGCCTCAGGGCAGCACAAACTGGTGGTGGAGCTCTTCGAAAGCTGCCGCTCAGGTACCGGCGCGCCACACCCTCCGTCGTGCGCGCGCCCGCCGCGTCCGGGCGCCTCGACGCGGCCCCTGCTCGCGCGCTGGGAGAGGGCACCACCCAGTGGTGGACACCCGCCTCGCCTCTCCACCTCGCGAAGAGCATTTCCGCGGCATCGCACCGGACCCATCGATGGAGATGCTCGCACAAGGCCCACCCGCGCCCGCGCCGTTCCTCCACGCCCCGCAGGACCGGAGTTTCGACCAACCTACAACATGTGCCACACGACGTGCCTCGCCATGGTGCACTGCGGCCGCGTCCAGCCTGCGTGCGACCTGCTGCGCGGCATGGGCGCTCTGCTCGGTACGGAGCCGTCGGTCATCACGGTCACCGCCGTCATCACCGCCCTGTGCAAGCAGGCCAGGCGGCGAGGCCTGCGCACCGCACAGGCGGCCTACTCGCTGTGGAGGGACCTGCACGGCCGCTGCGAGCGCCCCGGCGACGCCGCGCACGCCGGCGAGGGGCCGGCTCACCTCGATGCTCCGGCGATGCGGGCGGGCATGCAGGCTTGTGCGCTGGCGGGGCGCATGCGCGAGGCGGAGGAGGTCCTGTTGCAGCTCAGGGCAGCCGGGGGGGTAGACGTCCGGGCCTTCAACATCCTGTGCAGCGGGTACGCCGGTCTCAGGGACCTCGAGGCGGTTCAGGGCATGCTGGCGCGCATGGCGGAGGCGGGAGTGGAGCCGTCGGACGTGACATTCAACACGCTTGTTGCGGCCTACACGCGGCTGGGGCGCATGGACCTGGCGCGGGAGTCCTTGCAGCGGCTGAAGGAATCGGCGGGCGGCAAGTTGTCGCGGCAGCACTGCTGGGCGTACTCTGCGCTCATCAAGGGCCACGTCGAGCAGGGCGACATGGAGGGGGTGGAGGCGACACTGGAGGAAATGCGGAGCTGTGGCGTGGCGCCGGGCCGCGTGACGTACGGCACGCTGGTCGACGGATACGTCAAGGCGAGGGACCTGTCGCGGGCGGAGGCCGTCGTGCGCGAGGCTCACGAGCAGGGCGTCAAGCTCACTGCTAGGGAGTACAACCCACTGCTCTGGGGGCACTGCCAGCCGAACGCCATCGGCGACGACAGCGGCGAGGTTCGGGCGCACGGAGGGGTCGAGAAGGCGCTGCGGCTGCTGCAGGAGATGCAGGACCAGGGCGTGGAGGCGACGGCGGAGACGTACAACATTCTGATGCACGGCTTCATGAAGGTGCGCCCGGCGCGGCCAGTGTGGCGACGCTCGACCCTCACGCACCCTGGCACGCCGCACATGTCGAAGCAGTTCCTCGCGTCCGCCCGCTGCTCGCAGGACGGGGACCCCCACGGCAGCATCTCCTTGTTCGAGTCCATGTGCCGCGTGCGCATCCAGCCGGACGCGATCAGCTACACTTGCGCAGTGCGGGCACTGACTGAGAGCGGGGACTACCAGGGCGCGGAGGCCATGTTCAAGCGCGCCCTCGAGGACGCCACGATCGAGGTCGACGAGCGCCTCCTGTGCACAATGATGCACTGCTACGCCCGGGCAGGCGCCATGTCCCGCGCCGAGAAGCTCATGGGCCGCCTGGACGACCTGGATGCGCGCCGCCGCCCCAGCGGCGCTGCGTGGCAGCGAACGAAGTTGAAGGCCTTCGCCATCCTCATCGGCGGGTACTGCAACGTGCAGGTGAGCGCCGCTGCGGCTCACTGCCTGCCCCCCGGACCTGATTGCGCTGCGTAGGCGCGTTGATCGCGAGCGATCCGTGCTGCGTCCCGCTCGTCGCGCAGGACGTGGACAAGGCGCTCGACGCCACGAAGCGGCTGTACGAAGACGGCCTGGAGCCTGACGACGCGATTTTCTCACAGCTAATGGACCTTTTCGTGCGTACGGGGGAGTGGCGGAGAGCGCTGCAGGTGCGCAGCGGAACCGGCCTGCGACTGGTGTGCGTGGCAAGGCCTTGGTGGCAGCACGCAGCAAGGCGAGATCGCCGCCGCTGATTGGCTTTCGGTGCAGGTCGTGGGCGCCATGGAGAGGGTGGGCGTCGCCGCGGACAAGAAACGTATTCGGGAGCTGTTTTTGCGCATACATACACGGGAGGAGCACGAGCGGCGCAGGACGGGCGAGCTGATTCGGGACGGCGATGCCGGTGGCGCAAGGAGCAAGTGCCGGGAGCTGGAGCGTTTCAAATTCTGGCTAGGCATGCCCAATGACTACTACGAAACCGACTGGGCGTGGTGAACGGAGCACAGCTGTTGCGGTGAATGGAGCGGGGGTCGCGGGTCGCGGAGCGCCGCGGCATCAGTGTCCGCACAATGTGAAGCCGCGCTGGCACGCTTGCCCGAGGGACAGAGCGTCTCTGCGGCGCCTCGTCGTGGCCAACGAGCCTCAGGAGCACGGAACGACCGGTATGGCGGGCGGCGCAGGTGTGCGAGGAGCGCGGCCCGTCACGTGCCACGCTCCTAGTCGAGCTCCGCCGGCGAGCCCGAATGCGTGCGTCCGAGCGCTCAGCGTCGGCCAGCGCGCCGTCTTCAACCACGCATCAGCTCGAACAATACTCGTGGTTCGGCCCTCGCGACGCATTCACGCGGCAGTGGGAGGCCCCAGTGTTGACGGCAGTACGTGCGCGCGCTCAGCCGCTTCTCTGGCCTCGCGGCGCGGCTGCTCCGTGCAAGTCGTGGCTCGGAATAAGCTTCTCCGCTGTGGTCTGTTGTCTGTAGCTGGCGAGTGGGAGTAGGAAGGTGATGGGGGACCAGGGCGACGAGCTCTGGGCGCAGGTGCGTCCGATTGGCGCCCCTCGCTCGCGAAAGCTTTGTCTCCGTCCAATTTCCGTCTTTTCATACCCCCATCCGTCGTCACGCCGGGCCACGGAGCCGACCGCACGCGACAGGAACTTTGCACAGCTCCTGCTCCCGACGCCTGCGCGACCTTGTCGGGCGCTGACGCCGCGGCGGTGCCACCGCGATTCATGTGGCCTGTCGAAGGCAGTGTGCGCGGCGGGGCGCGTGGCGAATGCGAGAGCGGCGAGAGCGCGCAATCACGCGTTGTCATCTCCACCCATGCTGGGCCGTGGCCTCCTCCTTTGACATCCGAGGGCGTCGCTGCCGCGGGCGTGCCAGGAGCAGCGTCGAAGCCGAGCAGCGCAGCTGCCGCGCTGTTCCGGCGCTTGAGCTGCACATTTGCTCCCGCTTTTTGATCTTGGCGGGTTCAGCCACGGCCCCTTGCACTCACCTCTGCCCCGCTCCTCCGGCCGTCCTTGCAGTGCGAACGCTGCGATAAGTGGAGGAGGCTGCCAAGCGGGACCCGTATAGATGAAAACGCGCCATGGTACTGCGAGGTGAGCGGCACTGAACCTCAGGCTCGAAACCTGGCGCCGGGCAGAGCTGGCAGGCACACACCGCGCGTAGATGCGCGCCGTCATCAACCTTCGTGCGCGGCGCGTTGCCGAGAAGCGGACGTGCCGGCGAGGACGTCCAGGAGGGAGGCCCGTGTTGCAGTGCATCCTGAGCACCTCGCGAGGGTCGTACGCACAGCACGGCCGCTTCCGGGCGCCGCCCGATGATTGACGTTGTGTCATCGTCCCCGGGATGCGCGCATCGCCGCGTGCACGGCCGATTCGCTGCCAGTCCCCCCGTGCTGGCCAGTGGCCTCCCGGCCCCCCCCTGCCCTGCGGGCCAACGGCTTTGCGGCCCGCGCCGACGTCGCGTGGACATGAGCGCGCGGTACACTCGCTCGCAACGCAGATGAATCCCGATCGGGCACGAGGGGCGTGCAACATTCCAGAGGAGAAGTGGGATGAAGCAGAGGAGAGCAAGTACGTGTACAACGCGCACGCCGCGGGGCAGGCGAACGCCGCCACGGCACAGAACATGACAGCGACCCAGCAGGTGAGCCATGACGCCCCCTGGCGGCCCTCGCCCGACACTGCGACCTGCATGCGGTGTGGCGTGACCACCCTCGTGCTCTAGCTGCGCATGCGGGACATCTCGGCGCACCGGCTCGCCGTTCTCGCAGGCTCAGATGCAACAGATGCAGCAGATGTACCAGCAATACAGACACTTCCCGAGGGTACAGTACGGCAACATGACGTACATTCAGACGCCGCAGGGTCTCATCCCTCTGCCCACCGAGGGCTCCCAGCAAGGAATGCCCCAGATGCCCAATCCGGGCATGGGAGGTGGACAGCACTGAATGTCGTGCATGTGATATGTTCGGTCGGGAACGGGGCCACCTCTCCCCTGCGACATGGTGCTTTTGCTTTTCAGAACAACCAGAAGACAAATGCGCCTGCTAGGCCCAGTGACCGAGACAGGTTGCCGAGCAGCAACGACGGTGGAGTATCTGCGGCGTGACACGTAAGCTTGGTGCGCTCTGTTCGCCCCGCAAGGATTCCCTCCGCCAGCGCACGAAACGGAAGGAATCTCCGCCCTCCGCCGGCTTAGCGGTGTGGAGTGCCGTAAACGCACGTGTGGGTCTGCAAGGAAGGGCACTGCTGACGTGTGCGACGTGCATGGCGCTCTGAAACACGCATTCGCGCGCAGCGAATCTCGCGACGATGGGCGACGCAAGGGCGCGGTGCTACCCTGGACACGAGCCGCGAAACACAAGTGGCTACACTGGCAGCTGCAGCCTGCTACAAGGAATGCGCAGGGCAGCGTCGTGCCATCCCGGCGGCGAGCTGCCTGTGTTGGAGGAGAGGAAGCCTAGCCAGCTGGGGAGCAGAGTGGCCGTCCGCGGCACCAGGCTGATGCGTCTCACAAACCCATCCCGAGAAGACACGTCGCACGCGTATACTGCGTGAGATTACGCAACGCGCCCTTCATGCGTCACCGCGGCGCCTCGTAAGACAAGCTGCCCCGCCGTGGCCCGTTCCCTCACTTGGTGGGCTTGCGGAAAAGCAGAATGTGCATTGGCGAGAAGATCCCCGTGACGCCGCCCTCGACGAGAGACTCGCCAACGTCCACGAGCATGTCGTGCACCTCCTGCATGCCACGTGTGGCTCTGGCGCGCGCGTGGGTCGGGGAACATGCACGGGCATGCGTGAGACTCGCAGCATCAGCACGCGGGCCAGCGGCCCCGATCGGCTTTCTGACGCGCACCTTCACGCCGCGGGGGAGCAGCCCGATGGCGTTCAGGGTGTTGACGAAGCCACGGTTGATGATCTTGATCTGAGGACCGTTCAGCGTCTGCAGCCTGGCATACCAGGGCTTGCAGACCGGCGAGGCGACCGCGAAGTCGATCGACTTCACCAGCTCGAAACCAGCGCGCTTGCCCGCCTCCTCGCACTGCACGCAAGGGGGTGAGTGGAAGGTCATTCGCAACAGGTGTGCCTGATCGGCCGGTGCACAGCACACACACGCGCGGAGGCGCTGGTCGGACCTCCTTGTACGAGCGCATCTCCGGCAGGCCGTTGCCCTTGTTGATCTCGTCGATGATCCGCACGTGCTCGGGGTTGGACTGGTCGAACTCCTTCGTGGTCACCCACTCGTACGAAAAGAAGTGCGAGCCGGGCTTGATCACGCGGAAGATCTCGGCGTACACCGCCTGGATGTCCGGGGAGTGGCAAGTCGCTGCGGGACACTCGCGGGGAGGTGGGCGGACGTCAGTCACCGCATGTGTCGCTTCACCACGGGGCACGGAGACGGGCGGTGTTGCAGGGCGAGCGCGCTGCACGCACCTTCCACCGCGTAAGCACCGTCGAAGGTGTTGTCGTCGAACGGCATTTCCAAGAAGTTCCCGCACACGACGTCGGTGAGCTTGTCCACCCCGAGCGCCTTGTTGTGCGCGATGGCGCGCTGCACCTGGTAGTCGTTGATCGTGATGCCCGTCACGTGCGCACCGGAGCGCGACGCCACGCGCCTCATGGGGCCGCCGACACCGCAGCCGCAGTCGAGGATGCGGTCGCCCGGGCCGACGTGCAGCATGGCCGGGATGTAGACCTCGTGCGCCACTTCCGAGCACCTGCAGCCGGGACAGAGGGCACAGAAGTGGGCACGACGCATCGAGCGTAGGCAGGGCGCGATCGCGGGATGTCGGCGCGCCACGAGCGCCCTTGAGCGGGCACTCACAGATCGGTCTGGCCCGGGAGGACAGGAGAGAAGTGGAACGACTGGCCCCAGCCCCACTCGTAAATGTCGGTGACGAGGGAGTAGAACGTGTCCACCAGGCTTGGAGTCTCATCCCTGCGACGCGCGAACCAGGGGCGCCAAAGAAGTGCTAGGTTTCCCGCGCTGCGTCGGCTCGTGCGGCACAATCTGGCCGGCAGGAGCAGCGCCAGCCTCCGGGCGGGCAGCTTGCGTGAGGCAGAGCAGCTGGAAGAGCGTTTGCGCCGGGGCGGCAGGCATGCGCGCCCTGAACCAGGTCGCCCATCATGAATGGCCCGTCCGGGGTCGATTCAACCGCGTCATCGTCACGGCCGCGGTAGCTGAGTGAGGTATTCATCCGAGCTATGCAACGGATCCTGCGCGCATGGACGTCGCGCCCGGTTCAGCGTACCTCTTCTCGGAGACGATGCCCTCGCCGGCGCCCTGACCGAACGACCCCCAGTACTCGTCGAACTTCCCGCGCACCTGCCCCTTCTCAATCGAACCACCCGACAGCTGGTACGTGCTCGGCTTCGAGCGGCCGCCGACGACAGCCTTGACCAGGTACCCTGCACGAACTTAGGGCGCGGCCTCCACGCTGTCGATCGTGCGCCCGTTGCGCTTCGTATCGGCCTCGATGGCCACACGGATAGCTGTGTGCGGCCGTGACCATGCACGGAGCGCACGGGCAGGTCGGGGGGCGGCTGGGACCCGGTGTTGTGTAAGGCACGGCGCTGTGATGAGCGCACGCCGCGCGCCGATCAACGCGGGCCCCTGGGCTGCACGTGGCGGACATGGCGGACGGCTGCGCGGCTGTGCTGTCACACGCGGGGCGCGCACTCACCGGCCGTCAGCGCCGACGCCACACCGCCGGCAGCCAGCGCCGCGCGGTCCAAGTTGGTGCCGCCCCTCCAGCGGTCCACGACCGCGTCCGTGGCGCGAACGACGGAGTCACTCACCGACGCCAACATTCTGCAACTCGATGTTGTGCCGCCACGCGGCAGCCCGCGCGCATCATGACCAGCCGCGCCCGCCCCAGGCTCAGGTCATCCCGGCGGGAGTCCACCTTTTTCGCCCCCCCCTGGCCCGGGGAGCGCGGCTCAACGGCGCTCTGCGCCGCGCGACGCGCGCAATACGGCGTCGCGCATCGCCCCCGATGAGCGAGGCCGGGTTCGCACGCGACCCGCGCGACCACTCGGGGTTTCGCGGCAGGAGACCAGCGCTCTCCGCAGCCCCCGAGCGAGACCGAACCTCCAAACTAGGGCTTGTCCTTGCGGGCATGCCAGATGTGAAGACGCGGTCGAACGTGCCGAACGCGTCCGAGAAGGCCAGCGATGCGCGCGATCCCCGCCGAAAGGCCACCGGACCCATGTTGGCATCAAGTTCGCGCAAGTTTACGCCGTCCGAGACCCGCACTGGGGACGCGGGGGGCACCTTGACGCATCATCCGCAAGGCGCGTGCACGCAGACGCCCGCGCCGCGCAGACAGGCCACTGCGCGCACGGAAGGGCAGCCCGGGAAAGCGCTCCCTCCTGCCGCGACAACGACGCGCACCCGCGTCGTGCGCACGCGTGCGTGCTCTCGGGGCGGCTCAGAAGTGAGATGCGCAAGCCGCGTCGAACAACCTGCCCTCGCGGTCATCGTTGCGCAGGTGGCCGCGCCCGCGCGCTAGACTTGGACGCGACCGAGGGAGACCTGCCCGTCGGTCTGCACAACATACCGAGGCAGGTGCTCCTGAGAGCGAGGGCATCCATGGAGCGACTCATCTCGCCGAACACGTCGCCCCTCACGCAGTTGCCCGCGTTACTCGAGGTGAACGGCTGCTTCCTAGAGGTGCGTGCTGTTCGATGTGCCCAGGGCGGCGCTGCGACAGCCTGGCCTGCCGGGCCGCCGCCACGCCGCCGCGTCGACCGCAGCTGTATCGACGGTCGATGTGCGCGTGTCCGGCCAATGTTGCGAGGGGGTCGAGTTTCCCTGTTGGCTGCAGCTCGCTTCGGCAGACCAGTGCCGCGCCATGGCGGCCCACCTATGGAGCCGGCGTCTTGCGGTCGTGATACTGAAGATTCTGCAAGAAGGCGACATGAGACTTGTCGCAGCGATGGACACCCTGCAACTGTTCCTGATTGTGCCACAAGCTGTCAGCACCTGCGTCTCCTCCGGTTTTCTACCCGTTCTAGCAGGTCCGCATCCGCGTGCCGCTCAGTGCCCACATCGGTCGTCGAGCCCAGCCGCACCTGCGCAAGTGGTTGGTCAGCTCAAGTGGTTCGATCCCGCAAGGCATGCAGGAATCCTCAGATCGCGATGTATCACGCCCAGGCTGGCGCTGCGTTCGGCGCTGCTGCTCGTACAAGCACTGTGTTCAACGGCCGCCGGCCGTGAGGGCGTTGCTTCTTGCTCGTCGCTGGTGGCGCTGTTGCCCGATTTTCTCCGGCTCGACGACAGCGCTTCAGACCTCGGGCTGCAAACGCTGGCGGCCGACATCGTATGGTACGCACCCGCCAGTGCGCGCGGCGCTGATTCTTTGTACAACGCGCACAGCGACACGCGCGAAACGTCCCTGCCCTGCGCGCAGCTCGCTGATGGACGAAAGCGACGGGCGCAAGCTTCTCGTGAGTCACGAAGTGGCGGAGGCGCTGCATGAAATAGCACTGACTGCGCCCGAGCCGGAGAGGCGCATGCGCGCTGGAGACGCTGAGTACGTCCGCCTCATCTGCGAGGCCAGAGACAAGCGCAGAAGGCCCCGCGCCGCCGTGTAGGGCCTGCGCCTTGCGCGCGCTGGCTGTCCCTCACATAGGCCGCCCCGCGCGCAGCCCACGCGAACCACCTCGTGCGCGGCCCTTGGATGCCGCGGAGAGCAGTCCTTCCGGCAAGTCAAAATTGAAACCCAATCGAGGGCCTTTCGTCGTCGTCGGCGTCGGGGTCGGCAGCCGGGATCTCGAACTTTTGCGCAAACACCGAGCCCACAGTGTCGATGACGTCGCCTGCAGCAAGTGTTGAGTTTCACCGTCGGGCCATGTTTGTCTGCCATCACGCTGGCAGTCGCGCGCCGAATCCAGACTCGCGCTGCAAGGGGCTTCGTCAACCACGCATGATGTGAAAGCAATTCATCGTCCGTTTTCCTCACCTGCTAGCATCGACCGCTTCCTCACGCGGAAAGTCTGCCTTGCCGACACCCGCGTGAGAGCACATGCTGCGTATGCCGCGAGGAGGAGGTTGTTCCCGCCGCACGCATCCAGAGCGCTCGTCTGCTTGCTGTCGTCTGCTTGAGCGCCGTCTGCCCACGACACGAACGTCGCCGTGCTCCCGGACAGGATGTCTCCCAGGCCCCCACACCTCCGGGGCACACCCAGCTGTCGACACTCGAAGCAGTGCTCCCCGTCCGTAATCGTGTCCACGTAACCCTTCTGTAAGCGGCATCAGGCCCGCGGGGGTCGCGTCGCTGCAGCGGTTCCCAGATGCGACCTGTCGACAGTTTGCTGCAAGCCAAGGACGCACCTGGACGACGACGGGGCCATCAAGAGCTGCGGCCAGACGCATGGCTGCCGTCCGATTGGCCTCCGCGCTGCTCCCGTTGTCGCTGGTTAGCTCAACGCCCAGGGCCGCCGCCAACCGCTTGAATTCCACAGCGTTTGGCGTAACGACTGCCTTTTTGTAACCCTGCACACAGCGGACTGGTTCCGTGGCGGTCTCGTGACAAGCTGTGGCGTGCGAGCAGGGTGTCGTGCGCGCGGTGCGTGAGATCGGCTTGCCTTGACGAGCTCTGGGTGCTGGTTGAGGATCCACAGCCCGTCAGCATCAATGACCAGCGGGATGTTCGCCCGCCGCGCCTCGCGGACAACGCCCTGGACGACGGCAGCGGCGACCGGATCGCGACCGAGCCCAGGCCCGACCACGATGCACGTGAACCTCTTGAGCCACGAAGTGATCTGCGGATGTGCGAGCTCTTCATGTCAGCCGGCAGCGCCGCGCAGCGGTGCGGGGCTGCGCAATGCCACGCACGACTCGCCTGCTCTGTTGCCTTCTTCTCTTCCGCGCCTCCGACGGCGCTGCCCTCCGGCGGCAAGTACGGATGCACAATCAGTTCGGGACTGCACCAAGGGCGTAGATGGGGGCAGCCGAGCTTGAGAAACGCCGTGCGACGGCGCTCAGCTACGTTGCACATCGCAGCCCCGGCGGACGAGCCTACCTATAGCTCTTGATCGCTTGCGCTGCTCCCTGGGTGCAGAAAACCTGCGATCGAGCACGGGGCCCTGAAGAACCGTCAGGGTGCCTCTCCACACGGGGTCGTCCGGGGGGACAACGATACATCCACATTCAGCGGGAAGAACGAGCGCATGCGGCGCGCCCGGCGCGGTACACGCGGAGGGAACTTGCATGGGCCAGGTCCGCTCCAGCCCTGAGGGCCGACAAACCAGCGAAAAATGGGGCTCCGGTGTATTCTTGGCTACCACCGATGATTCCTATCTTCCCAGACTGGCCCTTGTGGGTCTTGAACCCCAAGGGCGGGATGAAGGCCCGGACGCCCTCCATCAGTTCCAGATGCGAGGGCTGCTGGTGTGCCGACATCGCGAGTCTCGAGGCACCACGGCCACCGCCGCGCCGACCACCTGTCCGCAGCGTGCCAGCATAGCAGCGACAACGGGACGCCACGGCAGCGACACCTTGCTGGCCGCCGCTGCAGGTGAGACGACAGTGGGCAAGCATCCGCAGCCAGAGACTGCGCTTGCCAGAGATCGCCCTCGAGCAGCGCGTCGGCGGGGGGGAAAGTGCGGCGATGTCGTCTGCGCCACCTCCAGCGAGACCGAGGGGCATGCAGCTGGACGCAGTGCGCGGGACGACCCCCCCGACCGACTCCACCGCAAAGCTGCTGACTCGGTAACTCTCCCTCCTCCGGCGGCCGTGGCGGCGCGGGGGGCTGGACATTGCTGCACGGGAGGGCGCGCCGCACGAGTTGTGCGGTTTGATTCACTACGCGTGTGCCAGAAGCGCACCGCGAGCTCCTGGCAACTTGGCTCCTGCAAGGGTTCGTGCTTCCGCGGGGCCCTGGGGCGGAAGCGGCCGTCGCGATGCAAGCAATCATGCCGAGGCCGATCGGCAAGGTGTGCCAGACCCTGTGTGCCCTCGTTCGGCCCGCAGCAAGGCGGCATTGCCCGGAACTTTGATTCTGTTGCCACGCGTGACGCGCTCTCCAGGAGCGACCTACTAGCCAGCCGCATGGCCATGGAACGTTCGGCTGCTGCCGTGTCACGCGATCACGCTCGTCCAAGCCGCGGTTCCTGGCGCAGGTGCAGGGTATCCGCGGCTACAACACGCGCCGGGCTTGCATTTGCCTCGCTGCTGGGGACTCCCACAAATGCCGTTTCAAGATCCCCGTCAAGGTCAATTTCGGTGAGGCCCTGCAGGGGCGGTCTGCATTGCCCGCGACCGCACGCCCTCGCACGGCGGGAAGGGCGCTGGGGATTGGCTGGAAGGCGGGAAGTAGGGCACGTCGGGGCCTGCCTCGCATTCGCCGTCAAACGGTCCGCCACACGTGCGTGCTGCGCAGGACAATCCGTCCGCATCGTGGGGAACTGCCGAGAGCTCGGTTCGTGGGACATTGACAAGGCCGCGCGTCTGAAGTGGACTGATGGGGATCACTGGACTGCGCAGGTGGAGCTCCCCGCGGGCGCGGACGTCGCGTACAAGTATGTCGTCACGACCGAAGCTGGCGAGGTGGTCAAGGTATGCCGCGCCACGCGAGTGTCACGGCTGGGCGGCAATCGCGTGCTGCCAGCCAGGCTGCAGTCAAAACGCGTTGCGAGGCTCGTGAGCGCCGCACCTGCGCTGTTTCCCTGGGGGCTGTGTTCTGTTGGTGCGAAACATGATCGAGCGAACGAATGCGGCGCGTTTCGGGCATTTTGCGTTGCAGTGGATGAAGGGCGACAACATCAAGATCAAAGTCAGCGGCGACATGGCGGTGGAGGACACCATGGAAGGCGGCCACCACGTCCTCGGGCCTGCGGAGGAGTCCCCTGCAAAGAGCGACAGCAAGGGCGCCGACCGCGCGCCGTCACCTGCCGGCAAGTCGGCTGACCCACCAGCCCCCAAGGCACAGCAGGAGGAGAAGACCGAGGTGGCCGGCGAGGCTCGCGAGGAGGAGGTGCGTTCCAGTGCGATGGACCATGTCACCCGCCACTGCTCCCGTCCCGAAGACTCACGAGCGTCCGGCGCCGGTGCGGACTGCCTGCCCGTGCAGAGCGTCTCGACTGCGGCGCCGCCCGCCGCCGCGGAGCCGGCCGCCGCCGCGGAGCCACCCGCCGCCGCGGAGCCGCCCGCCGCCGCGGAGCCGCCCGCCGCCGCGGAGCCGCCCGCCGCTGCGGAGCCACCCGCGGCTGCGGTGTCGCCTGCGGAGCAGCAGGAGAAGGCCCCCGAGGGCGAGGTATCTGAGGAGGTTGCGGCGCTGGTGGCGGCTATCCTTGAGGACGCAAGAGTGGTGGACCTGCGAGGCGCTGCGAAGAAATTGGGGATGAAGGGCTACTCTCGCCTGAAGAAAGCCGAACTCATTGAAGCGCTGTCCAAGTTCGCTCCAGACGAGATCGCCAACGCGCTGCCCCCGGCCCCCTGAGGCGGCGGTCGCGCCGTGAGTGAAACGTCGATGCCGCCACGTCCTGGTCGACCGCGTCAGGATTGCTGCAGCGCCGGACGTCAGTGTGGTTGTGACCGATATCGTTGACGTGGCGACATGTGCCGGCACGTGTGATGTGGCGGATCGAATGCGTGTGCGCAGTGACCGGAGCGCATTGAGTTCGAGATGAGCCCTCAGCGAGTGTCGTGCGCCATGCATGTCTTGTGCGCCAACGCAAGGTCTCCCAGCAGCCGTTCGCGCTATGCAACCAGCAGCGCGAGCAGAGCGCGCAAGAGAGTCGCGTCGCATGAAGTAACGTAGCAAAGCAGTATTCCCGAGAGACTGTCTCACAGCCATCTTTTTGCTCATTTCCTACCCCCCTCAGCAGGCTCGTTCGCCTTGCTGAGACTTCCTCGCAGACACAAGTTTTTTCGCGGCAATTCGTGCGTCCCCGGTCACGCACGAAGAGCAGTTGACTTGCCTGAACGCCATGTCAAGTCCATCGAATCGGCCTGCATCGCGCCGACAACGTTGCCTCGACGGACGCAACACGTGATGGAGTGTTTAGAAGGCGCCGAAGGTGTACGGCATATCTAGTCGATTATCGAAGTGAAAGTTCAAGTCTCAATTAAATTGTGCAGGCAGCTCTCCTTCAGAAGCACCTTAGCGTAGGAAACTTGAGGCGGCCCGTGCGTTGGATTGCTCTGGCGGATGAGGGAGGTTGTTCGCCCGGGCAGGCGTCTCCCAAACGTCACGTGCGAAGGCCGCAGCTGAACCTTGGGCAGCATTGGGGCACCTTGAAAACACAGTCACAATCAGTGGTCACGATCGGCAAGGCGAGCGGCTCCCGCCACTTCCGCGACCTGCCACGCGCACATGCACACCGCTCTGAACTGGCAGCCGAACGCCCCAACAGCAGTCGGCGGCCTGCACTGCCCCGCGGCTAGGTTGTGGTCCGAGCAAAGAATCTGGCAAGGCGGCCACCAGGCAGAGCAGAGACGACGCGAGGTCCCCTACATGCCACCGGCAATGGATCTGGAGAGCCTCCGCAAAGTCTGCAGAAGCGGTCGGCAGAGTTCTCGGAGGGTTCGGACATCAAGTCTGAGTTTGGGCAACCTCCAGCAATAAGTCGGAATGGTGCGCTGCGACAAGGATCCTCTCCAGCGCTTCGCATCGGGTAGGGCACGGACCTGCATGACGTCCTCTTCCCCCATGAGCCTGACGAAAGGCAGCACTTGAGCATAGTGTTCCATTGCAAAGTTGAGTGTTGCTGCTTTCGGGCCCCGGCACTGCAGAGCCATGACGTCATGCGCTGCAAAGCATGCAGTCGATGTCGAACAAAAACGATGAGATTCGGTCGCGCACCGATGGGGTTCGGTGTGCCCCGGCTGGCAATGTGGGGATGGCGGAGTGCACACACCTCTTGCAGCGTGGACCTCCTGGTGGTACCCGCCCAGGTACAACTGCTTGCCTTCGTGCCAGACGTGGCCCTCGTATCGACCTGCAGATAGCAGACGTGCCCGGTCACGTGTGAGATGCGAGGTTTCCCTGATGAAGTGGCAGCGTGCGGGCTTGTGCACGACACCTGTGCGCCTGTGCTTCGTGACGCCCCGATATTTCGAAGAGTGTCGCGGGACACGATGATGGGGATCGCGCGGGGGTGTCTCCGTGTTCGCCATCAGCAGCTCCACCTTCTGCATGTCAGTGCGAAACCTGCGCACCTCGTTCAATATCAAGCTGGGCAGCCTCATTCGCGCTCGTCACGTCACGCGGGGTCATGTCGTGCCTGAAACAGCTTGTTCATGAGCTCTTCGTTCGAAGCGCTGCGCCCTTGGGCTTCAGGCACGCTGTGTGCCACTGCAAGTTGTTGCTGAGCAGCCCCGGGCGGGCAAACCGCCTCCTGAGGCGCCGCTTGCTCCGCCATCGTGGCCTGGTAGCACTCATGGCTCACTTCTGCCGGGGCCCACCGCCTTGTCGCGCATTTGTGAACGACGTCGACGTCCATGCTGTGCTGTTGTGGCGATTGTGCATGCACCTGCTCTGGAGCGCTTTCACGTCGCCACGCGGCACGGCCCTGCTCCATCTGCACAGCTCGTGCGCTTCCGTCGGGCGGCGGCGGCAGCATCCTGGTGGGATCGCCCCCATCGCATGCCAGACAGCTTGCGTTCTCGTCGTCCAGAACCGCTGTCTCTCTTCCGGCTAGATGATCGGAAGTTTCTGCAGCGGCATTCGAATCATTCCTTCGGCATGGGCCGAGGCCTCCGCATCGGACGCAGACAAAAATAGCATGTCGCAGGGTCGCAACTCGCCTCCTGATAGCCGCAGGTCGGCGCGGCCAACCGGAGACCGCGCGATGCCCAGCGGCGCACCAGCGTTCGGGGCGAGCTCGAGCGTCGGGCCGTCCCATTCCTGCGCGTGCTCGGAACTCGGGGGGGCGCAAGGAGTGAGCTAGCCAACCCAAGAGGGGTTCAAACAAGTCCCAAGGTTGCAGAAGCGTGAGGGACGGCCCCGAGGCGCGCCATGAGTCGCCACTTACGCGTTCATTGCACCCTCTCGAGCTTGCAGTGCCCGTCCGTCCGGGCACCGTGGCGCCCGCGTTGGCGCGAGGAACAACAAGTGCAGAACCTTGTCCGAACTCGGTGATGTCGTACTCGCGCCGCTTCCCGAGCGCAGAGTGCGCCACGTACGCGAGAATCTGCGCGTCGGCGGCACGGGGCGCTGCACGTCGTATCGCAACCCGAGGCACCGGCGCTGCTCGCTGGTGACTTGATCGCGTGTCGCCGGCTCGACCTCGCTGGGGCTGTAGCCTGCAGCGTGCGGTGGCTGGCCGCACGAGGCGCACCTCATCGTCGGACGGTTGTGCGTAGTGTGTGCGCCCGGCCCAGGCCCCTTGTGACGGTCCCCGTCCGTTGCACGCACCACCTTGTCCTCTGCCACCGACCATGGCGCCAGCGGCGTCGTGGATCGCAGCGGACGACACCGCGCGCGCTCTCAGGGTCTGCATGTCGCCGTCGTCCCCGAACACCGTAGGCGGTCGGGGCGGCATCCCGTGCTGGAGGTCCGGCGACGCTGGGAAGCCCGGTGCCTGCAACGTGCGCACGGAGGCGAGCATGCCGCGCCGTGGTCGGCACGCGGAGCACGCGCATTCTGCGCAGCAACCTGTGGCTATCGGCGAGCTGGGCCAGCGGCGCGCACGGACGAACTGCGGGGGCCGCGTCGTGCGTTTCGGTTGCCCTGCAGCTCGTGGCTGTTTGGCCGCGCCGGGGCGGCCTCAACGCACGGTGGTGTGTCACTCGGGAGTGCGGCTTCGCCTCCTCCGTCGCAACACATACCTGTACAGGGCCCGAGCCCGCGCGAACGCCGATGGTAGGCAGCGAGACCCGGCCTGCTAGACGTCGGTGAGCTTCAGCCAACGAGTCGGCCATCTCACGGGCATGTCGCGCCGCGGTGGCGGAGCTCACGTGCTCTTTGGCGACAAACTTGACTCTTCCGCACGTTTCCTGCGTCTCAGCGCGTTGCAAGTGTCTGCGCGGCTGAGGTCGGGGTCCGGCGAGCCTGAGCGGTTATGGGCCGAACAGAAACGGGGTGCGATGTCGCGCGGGCGCTCGACAGGCCCCAGACCGGGATGCCCCCGGCCTTGATGCGGAACAGTCCTTGCGCCGTGCGCGTCGCGGGGCGCGCGCGTCGCCCCAGCGAGCGGAAGCGCCGAGCCCGTACGTGATGGCCCGAGGGCAGGGCGGGCGCATCAATGCAGCTCCGCGCGCGCGTCGACACGCAACGCAGTGAATGTGAGAAACGCAGTCCGGCCATCAGGCGGCGGGTTCGTTGGCCGCGGTGCCGATGAGCGGTGTGCTAGGCCGAGACGAGCCCACTCGCACCTGTTGCGCTCGCTGCGCGGCGAAGCTGCAGTCTGTCCCTGTACGTATCTATCAATCCATTCGGGCGACCCCGTCGCACGCAATGACGCCCCGCGCACCACCAGGAGGTGTGTCACCGCGGCAGAAAAGTGCCCGACTTGAAGTCGCTGGCTTTCCAGTTGAAGGGAGGGATCGCTGTCCGCGCGACGCCGCGTGGAACCGGGTGACCAGACGTCGGTCGGCGCACGTTGCCTTGACTCCGGCAGTCAGCGCTGCTGACGCAGCAGCCACGGGCGGCCAACCACGACCGCTGTGCGACACAAAAACTGGTCGGGATGTCAACTCAGGCCGCGATTCTCGACTGACTGCCCAGCGTCAGGACCGCCCGCCACGTGGCCAGCAGGTCGTACGCGCCACCTCCCAGTGCGGCGGTGTTGGGCTGCTTCGAGTTGCTGGAAGCTGCCGCAGGTGTGGTATGCTCCGACTTTGTAGGCAAGGCGGCGGAGAGGCGCGACAGCAAAAGCGCTGCCGGAGCGGCCCTAGGTGGGTTCAGGTGCTGGTCGCGCGGGGGCAAGATCATGCAGCCGTCGGCAGGCCGCGGGCACTGGCTGGCTGGCGCAACACCCGCGCAAAGGGCGCGGCGTCGGTGCCCAACCGTCGCAGGGTGGGGCCGCATGCGAAGACGCAGGACGCCGTTCACCAGCTCCGTCGGGCCTACTCCGCGCCGTCGATCTCAGCCTGTGGCAGCGGTCGACACACACACGAGGACGAGCAACCGAGTGCCGCTCGAGGTGAAATGTAACACGTGCCTGAGATCCACGGATCTGTGCGGACATGCAGGCTACACGCGCCCGCCACGCGCGCCGCATCAGGCGGGATGGCCCACAGACTGATCGCCCACTCGCACCCCCGCTCCCGCACTGTCTTCGCACGCATCGATCTCCGATGAAAGCGCGCGCAGATCCCAGGATGTGAAGACGTCGTCTCGTGGTCCGCGCCCGCAAGGCTCTGCAGTGGACCCCGGCACGAAGGGCCGCAGCACAAGCGTTGGCAAACAGGCTGGGCTCGAAGCGAGGGGCGTCGGCGAGCAGCCGGAGCGCCAGGCCGGTGAACGGATGCAGCAGTGTGATTCCGTGAGCAGACGCGCCACGATGATCCGCGGGCACACGACGGGTGGGACGGCAAACCTTCAGCTTCGCTCCCAGAGACTCCGGTACCGCTCATCGCGGACCCTCAGCTTCTTGTCCCAACCATCCTCGCCCGTCTGCCTAGGCTTCCCGTCCGCCGGTCCCAGGAACTTCCAAATGATCTCTTGCGCCCCCGAGGACGCGGCCACGGCGCCCGCGACGATGATGAAGGGCGCAAGCGTTGGTGCCGTGTGGCGCACGCGCTCCCACACGCGCCCGAGCATTGTTGTCGCGCCTCCTCCTCGTGGTCGGCACAGACTACGAAGGTTGCAGGGGCGCCGTCACTGTGGCCACAGCTTCGCAGCGTCGTATGGTTCTAAGTGAGGCCGTTCCCGGACGCTTTCAGGCGGACACTCGGAGTCAAAGTTCGGATTCCTGCGGTGGAGGAGTGTCACGGCGACGGTGGATCCCCGCGCTGAAGTGCGGGCCCTGCGGAGGGCGACACTCAGGGATCGGGGCACTCCCATGGGACATGCTCATGGGGGTCAGCGGCCGCCGGGTGACGCGCGCGGTGATGGCGTCCGCAGAGCGAGCCCACGGCGCAGGTTCGCCCTGGAGAGCACCTGCGGCGCTCGGTCCGTACACTGGGCGGGAGCGGCGCGTGGCACGTTGCGGTTGATACTGCCAGGCGGTGAAGCGACAACCTCCTCCCACGCGTCTCTCTTGGAGTGCTCGCGACGCAGAACTTGAAAGATACGGCAGCTCGCAGATCGGCAGGCGAGCGCCGGACGGATCTAGTGCGGGGACCATCCGGTTTTGGCAGCGCAAAGCCCAGGAGGCAGTGCGTCGTGCACGCCGCTGGACGACGGGCAAAGCGACGGTCGCGGACGAACAGCGAAGCTTGCGTCAAGTGACGGGTTCCTGCTTCGAAGGCGCCGCCCAGAGAACAAGCTCGAGGTCAGGGCGGAACGCGGCCCTGAGGAATCTGGCCAGTGTCGCTTGTTGTCGCCTGGCGCCGCAGGCGAAGTCGGCGCCCTCCTGCTCGACTATCAATTCGAACAGCAGTGAAGAGCAGTCCGTGGACGACGCAGAATGGACAAGCTCAAGCACACATTCCACGGCTTGTACAAGCAGGCTGCTGAGAGCGTCATGGCGCCTCTCGCGGACAGCCGGTTCCACGAGCGAGGGGTGCGCAACCCGGCCGATCCGGCGCGGTGCTCGTGTTGCGGCCCCAGGATCAATCGCCCGGTTCGCGCGCTCGGCCATGAGACGTCAACCAGTATGTTCCGTGCACCCTTGCCAGCGCGCTCGCTACTGCGACGCCCACGGCAATGTCCCGCGAACCGTCGTGCGCAGGTTCTGACGCCTGGCGAGTTCGTGCAGGCGGGCGACTACCTGACGCAGGCCTGTCCGACGTGGTCGTGGGAGGCTGGTGAGGAGAAGAATCGGCGGTCGTTCCTGCCAGGGAAGAAGCAGTTCCTGGTGACCCGAGGTGCGCCACGGCGACAGGGCGACACCGCCGCGCACGTCGGTCGCAACTGCGCTCGCGGCAGGAGGCCGCTGGCACCACCTTCCCCACGGCCCGTTCGCCCTGGTGCAGGTGTGCCGTGCCTGAAGAGGGCGCAGGCGATACAGGAGAACGTGGCGGAGCGCGAAGTGTCGGAGGGCGGCGAGGACGGCGGGTGGGTCGAGACATGCGCAGGTGTGCTCGGAGTGCTGCGCACACGATTGAAACAGGATGCAGGGGAAACACCCCGCGACAACTTGCGCTGTCGCCGACGTGACTGCTGAGCGCCTGGCTCTGGCTCCGACCGCAGTGGTCAGCGAAGAGAGGGCGGCGGACATCGACATCAGCGGCCCGCCTGCTCGCTGCTCTCAAAAAGGATCGCCTGCTCCCTCGGAGGACGCCCCAGACATTGACGATGTACCGGATATCGCGGACATCTCTCTGGATGATCCGGGGGCGCAGGGCGTGCTCGTGGCAGCTGCTGCCGCCCCCGCCCAGCCCGGCTCCAACATCGTGCGCACCCGCACGTACGACTTGTCCATCACGTACGACAAATACTACCAGGTGGGCGCCCCTCCACGCCCTGGAGCATCGTCGCCTCCGACAAGCTCTCCGCGGCGCAATAGCACCGGCGTTAGTACGCGGCCTTCACCTGTCCCGCTCACACTCTGCATGGTGCGATCTCCGCCCGCGTTGCGCGCCAACACCCTCTGCACAGACGCCGAGATTCTGGCTCACTGGATACGACGAAGCGGGTCAGGCCCTCCCTCCGAAGGCCGTTTATGAGGACGTCAGCGCCGAGCACGCGCACAAGACAATCACGATCGAGTCTCACCCACACACCGCAGTACAAGTGCGTCCCGGTGTCCTGACGACCCATGTATGATACGTCGCGCCTTCGAGGCCGACTCGCCTCGATCACACCCCGAAGAACCGAGCAGCGATCGGAGATGCTCCCGATCCGTGTGCTGCAGGCTGCGTCGATCCACCCCTGCAAACACGCAGACACCATGAAGCGCCTGTCGGAGGCAGCCGCTGCGGCTGGGAAGGACGTGACGGTCGAGACATATTTGGTGCTCTTCTTGAAGTTCATCGCGTCGATTTGTCCGACAATAGAGTACGACTACACGATGAGTGCATGATCAGTGCCGTTGCTGCCTTGATTGCCGATGGCCGCGAGCGCGGAGACTATCGAGGCGGCGGCGAAGGACGCCGCGAAGCCGGCGGCTGCGGAGGAGGCTGTCACGGCGCAAGCGCAGATGGCAGATGACATCGTCGTCGTTCTCCGCCCGGCCTGTCGAGCCGACCGCTTCCAGCACCCCTGTGTCACGGGCGGCGGCACTGCGTAGCATCGGCGACACGGCGTAGCACCTGGCAATGTGACACGCCGTCGTCGCGCCAGCGCGGAGGTGCAGGGGCCGGTCGCTCTGTCGGCTGCTCCCCAACAGCTCAGCCGAGGTGGCGGCTGCGCCCCTGCTCGAGCTGCGACAGTTTCGCGTCGGGACCTAGCGCATGTGTCGTGCGTCAGGCGGTCGGACTGGGGTCCGTGGGGCCTATCTCCACGCCCACCTCGGAAGGGTCCGGGGCCCGGCTGTCTCCGGCCGGCGCCCTCCCCCGGCTCCGTCACAACATCACAGCTCACAGCCGAACAGTCAGCAGACTATACTGAGAAGAGCGGGAACAAGATGCCGACGACGGGGAGCGAAAACCCCATGCAGTCTTGGTTTGCAACCAACACAGGCATGTCGAAATCCGACAGCGAGGCGGCGTTTCAGGAGATCCTCCGCCGTATTCCATCCGCGTCAGAGGGCCTGGGCTCGATTCAAGAGTACCAGCTTCTCAATTCGGTGCGTTCGTGCGCCCCCTGGTTGGTTGGCAGCGTCTGTGCCCGCGCGCCGACCTCGCGCGGCGCCACGACGCCCGGAATCCGGCCACCTTGAGCAATTTCGAGGAACGCGCTATGAATCTCGGGCCACGCGTCCTCGTTCGCAGGGACACGGGGGGGCGAGCATGCAGCGCGTCGCCAGCTTGGAGCTGCTGAGGTCGCTCGTGTCCGCGAACGGCGGCAACGATACATGGGTGTCGCCTGGTAAAGATGTCAGCCCTCGCACCGGCCCGGAAGGTCAGTCGAGCGAGCTGGTCGCGTTCATGCGACCGGGCGCATGACGCCTTCGCGAGCCGTCCGTTGCCGATTCCGCGCTAGCCCTTCTTCATGACCGCGGCAGAATGCACGAACGCGCCGCGTGAATTTGCACGAGAGCCCCTGAGTCTGCTGAATTTCACACGCGACGTTGGAGCATCTCCTCTCTCGCGCGGCCAGCATGCATGGCGCTATTCTGCGCCGGTTCTCGGCGTCCGTGCCATCTGTTACGACGTGTGCCCCGAGTCTGGGGGGCGCCCCGAACTTTCACGGCCACCGTCGTCGGCTCCCGCTGGAATGTGCTGCAGGTCTACAGGGTGCGATGCAGGCGACGGAGCGCGACGTTGCGAGACCCTTTATAGCGCAGCAAGCTCCAGCAATCCCGGTTCCTCCAGCCATGCCCGCACCAGCGCTGACGAGTGTCCAGCGGCCGCTCTTCGAGCGCCCTGTGGCACGCGTGCAGACAGGTTTCCCAACCGCCAGCTCACCCGAGCAGCCTCCGTTCGAGCCCCGTCGCGGTGTGTCAACGGCCTCCGAGGGCCCGTCCGTGGGCGGAGATGGCGCGTCAGATGCGCTGGACAAGGCGGAGTTCCGAAGGCACGCCCTCGCACCCAGGCGGAGCTTGCACGGTGTCAGAGAGCGGCGCGCTCCGCTCAGTGGCCTGACGCCGAACTTGGATCGGATGCGCTTGCAGGCAGAGACGGATGCTGTCGAACCGCGAGTCCGCCAGGCGGTCCCGGAGGAGGAAGCAGGAGCACCTCCAGAAGATGGAGGATGAGCTCAGACGTGCACACGACGAACGCGACGCCGCGAACAAACGAGTCGAGCAGCTGCAGAAGCAGCTCGACGCCAAGAGGATGAAGTGCGAGGTCAGTGCCGATCCTTGCCGTCGTTGCAACCCCCTTGACTTGGGCAATCGAACAGTGTTCGTGCAATATCATCCTTGCGCTCCCCTCCCGCCGTGGTCGCAGGAGCTCGAGAGCGAGAACGCCCGCCTCGTGCAGCACCTGCAAGCGCTGGGCGCTCTGCCACAGAAGCGCCCGGCGCCTGGCCTCGAGCAGGCGGATGCACGCGCGAAGAAAGCGCGTCGATCCAAGCAGTCGACCCCGGAGGTGCAGCAGGACGACGGGACTGTGCAGGTGTAATTAATGCCAGACAACGAGCAGTCACCGCTGCAACGATGTCCGTGGGAACCCCGACCACACGGGGTTGAGCAGACGTGAGAAATGCTGCTTGCGGGGCCGACGACGAGATCCGCGTGCGTGTGAAGCGCCCGCGCGTCTGGCAGATGCCGTATGGCTTCACATCACGAGCTCGCTGCCTCGGGGCCGCATGCGCAGGGCTGAGCATTCAATCCTCAAAGTCGCTGCTCTCGTCCTCCACGTCGGCCGCGTCGAAGGTGTTGCCTTTCCGGATGTTGGTGTTCTGCTCCGGCTCTGGGTCCTCGGTCGCCGCCTGAGGGACCAGCACTCCGGCCTGCACACACCGCAGCAGACAGCATGTTGTGCGCAGCTGTGCAGACAGCACCCTGCCCGCGCACTCCGCCTGCGCGACAAGCGCGCACCTCTAGCAGCCTCGCCTCCAGAACGCTGGTTGGGAAGTCGTCCTTGCCGAGCCCGTCGAAGCCCACCACCCGCTCCACGGTGATGCCGTCCTTCAGGAGGACCACGCAGGGCAGCACCTGGACCTGGAGCTTCTCCACGAAGAACGGCGCGTCCTGCAGGCCGTGAAGCGCGCAGTGCGGCGCGTGACGTCGCGGGCTCAGCGGCGCGGGACGGCGGGGGCCGCAGCACGCCACGGGGTCACTCACTGGAGCGGAGATCTTGACGAACAACGTGTCGAAGTAACCCTTGGCCAGCTTCGCGAGGTGCGCGTCCATGATCTTGCAGCGCTCGAACTCGCGGTGGAAAAAGTGCGCCACGACCCGCTTGGTCTTGGTCACTGCCTGCGGGCGTCGGCGAGATGGAGCGGGGACCTGAGGACCGCCCCCGGACGGCGCCACGTGCGGGTCCGGCGCTGCGGCCTGCGACGCTGGCGGCGCGGGCGCAGAGCGCGCTCGTGCGGGCGCCTGCACGTGCCTCGAGGAAGTCCTTCTCGTGGATCTCATTCAGCGACCCATGGCCCTTCTGCTGCATGAGCTGCCGCTTCTCCTGCTCCTCCTTGATCTTGGCGATGCGGTCCTCGTACAGCTTCTGCAGGTCCTCGTCGTCCTGCGATGCCGAACCCGGCACGCGGGGCGTTTGGTGTGATCCCCTGATGCAACGGAACGAGAGAGCGGGGAGGCGAAAACGCGACCGACGCGTCCCAGCGCTCCCCGCCGCGCCCACGCCGGCGGCGTGCGCACGGCGCGCGCACCTGCAGGTCCTGCATGTCGAGCGTCACGCCGCGTCGCGCTGCTCGCTGGGCTTCCTCCTCTTGCTGCTTCAGCTCGCGCTTGTAGTCGTTCGCCGCCGCTATCATCGCCTCGCCCATCGCGAAGGAGTGCATCATGCCCTTCGTCTTCTGGATGTTCTGCGCGTCCTGCAAGAAACCCGCCCGCGAGGCCGCACATGTGCAGCTGCCCAGGCCGCGTCGCTCGGCGAGTCGGCCTCGCGAGCGCAGCGCCCCTCGGGCAATGGCGACGCGTCCACCGCGCTCAGCGACCGTCTGGCGGCGCGGTCTTGCCCGTTGTGCGCCACGTCCTGAGGGGAATGCCCCAGCGCGCTGCCAGCTCGATGTGCTGCGCCCGCACGGCTGCGCCGCCCGCACTCCGCGGCTCGACGCGGTTGCCTTTGGGTCATTCATCGAGGAGGCACACGTTGCGAGCTTCGCCGCCACGAACCGCCCTTGACGGGGCCGCGGAGCGCTTGACTGGAGGCGCTGGGAGGGCACGCGGGACATGTACAGCCGCGCAGAGGGGCGGACTCGGATCGCCAACCACGCACCATGATGGCAGAAACGGTCCAGACGTGCTCGGCGAGCGGGTGCCTCTATGCGGCGAACGACGATCCAGCGGTGCGTCGCGTCCTCGTGCTCCAAAGGCCTGAGCTCCCGCTTCCCAGTTTCCACGTCCACGAGCGATCCGCCAGCGAAATGGCGCCGCTGCGGCACGAGGAAGCGCCTTGCGCCGACCCAGCCCTCCTCGGGCCGCCCGGGGACGGACTGTGGGGGCCTGACGCCGCCAGTCATGCTCAGCAGCGGACCTCCCGGAGGCTCCGCGGCGCGGAGCACGGCCGGCGCGGCGTCGTGCAGGCAGCGGGCGCCGCGGCACCGGCACTCACGGCGGCCGAGGCCACGTCCCTTGGCAATAGACTAGTGTGGCATCGCAGGCGGTGCGCAGCTCGTGAAAAGGACCAGCCCGAGTGCCTGGTCGGATTCCACACCATGGATCAGTACGAGAAGCTCGAGAAGATTGGGGAGGGCACGTATGGGAAGGTGTACAAGGCCCGCGACATTCGCACGGGCAAAATCGTCGCCCTGAAGAAGACGCGGCTGGAGGTGCGGTCTGTTGTTGCACAGGCTTCGTTTGTCGAGTTTCTCGCCTGAGCGGGGCCGCGTCGCCTGCGCGCCCGCTCGCTTCGAATCTTGTGTGCATCGAAACCTCGTTTGCGGGATGCACGGGGGCCTGCGTGGGGCGTCCCTCGCGAACGAGAGCCTCGACCGGGAGCGTCCGGCGCGCATGCTCGTGGCTCCGTTCGCCCGCGGACGCCAGCCGGCCCGGCGCGCTCGAGCGTCGACATGGATTGCATGGCACGGAGGGACTCGCGCGAGTTCGTCGTGCCCGCTAGAGAGCGAGCGCGGTGGCCCACTCTCCGTCCCGCGCGCCTCGGCCACCTACGCGTCCTCAACGCAGTCCGTGCGCCTGACCCGGCTATCCTGCAGATGGAGGAGGAGGGCGTGCCGTCCACGGCTCTCCGCGAGGTGTCCCTGCTGCAGATGCTGAGCGACTCCAACCACGTCGTCAAGTGAGCGCGCCCTTGACGCCCGCTGGCCGCACTTGCTCGCCATCGGCACCGCGCTGGGAAAGCCCGCGCGAGGACAGATTGCTTTTCCGGCTCCACGCGAACACAGCGCCTGCGGGCTCGGAGAGCTTTCGAACGCCATCCTGTCAGCTCTTCAGAGTGCGCTAGCGGCGCGTGCAGATCAGCTCAGAAGTGCCTTGCACGTCGCATACAGAAGACATTCGATCCTCCCGCGTCGGCGGGCGAGACTCTTTCCCGTTCTCGGTCCGGGACGCCGCGCGGGACCTGCAGCCCCCAGTCCAGGGCGCGGCGAGTGCGCGGCAGCCGTCCCCCGGCGCTTCACGGCGCGCGCGGACGTGTCACGTCCAACGAACGCCCCTGACGCGTCCCCTCGCGACCGCAGGCTGCTGAAGGTCGAGCACTGCGAGGAGAACGGGAAGCCTGTGCTGTACCTTGTGTTTGAGTACCTCACGACGGACCTCAAGAAGTACATGGACCGCAACGGGAAGGGGCCGCAGTACCCGCTGGACCCCAAGGTCGTCAAGTCGCTGACGTACCAGATCATCAAGGGCGTCGCGCACTGCCACAGGCGCGGGCCACGCGCCGCTGCACCACGCCGCCCCCGCCGGCGCTCCGGCTGCCACGTCTCACCGCGGCGACAGCGGTGCCCGATGGTTGCAGGCACGGCGTGATGCACCGCGACCTGAAGCCGCAGAACATGCTGATCGACGAGCACGCGGGACCGCACGTGGTGTGCAAGGTGGCCGACCTCGGCCTGGGCCGGGCGTTCTCGATCCCGATCAAGTCGTACACCCACGAGGTCAGCGCCGCCCGCCCGCCCGCTCACTTTCACGCGCCCGTGGTGGGGCGTCGATGTTTGCACCTCGCAACCTGCACCTGACGCAGCCCTGCGGCGGACGTGCGGCTGCAGATCGTCACGCTGTGGTACCGCGCCCCGGAGGTGCTCCTGGGCGCGACGCACTACGGCTGCGCGGTCGACATGTGGTCGGTGGGCTGCATGATGGCCGAGCTGGTGCGCAAGACACCGCTCTTCCCGGGCGACTGCGAGTGGCAGCAGCTCCTGCACATTTTCAAGATGCTGGGCACGCCCGCGGAGGTGCGACCACCCCGACCGCGCGCGGCCCGCGCGCGGGCCCAGAGCGCCCCACATGTGTCCACCTTCCACTGCACTGCACTGCACTGCACTGCACCCTCGGCGCCCCCCGCACGCGGCGCAGGGGATGTGGCCGGGGGTCACCAGGCTGCGCGACTGGCACGAGTGTCCGAAGTGGAGGCCCCAGCCGCTGGAGAAGTTCTTCCCCACGCTGGAGAAGTCGGGCATCAACCTGCTCGAGGTGCGCCGCACACGCCCACGCACGCACGCACACGTCCACGCACGCACGCACGCACGCCGCCCGCCGGTGCCCAGGGCGTGCTCACCACGCCGGTCCCCTGCCACGTTCGCAGCGCCTCCTGACGTACGACCCGGCGAAGCGTCTCAGCGCCAAGGAGGCCCTGTCGCACCCGTGGTTCGACGACCTGGACAAGGCCACCGTGGACGCCCTCGAGAACCCCGAGCTCGCGTAGGCCATGGATCGCGCGTAACACGGCGAGGAGCGAGCTGCCGCCCTGCATTCAGCTTGCCCAGCATCATGCTCCGGCGAAACCTGGCCGCTCGCCCGCCTCGCAGCGGGGAGCGTCCTTTGCACCCAGCGCCGCCGTGGCGCTCGGCGAGGGGGACGTCCGGTGCAATGAGAGATGTGTGATGTGAGTATGCCTTGCAACGTCGGGCAGCAACGCGCCCACGGCCACGGCCACCAACACGACGTGTTGTCGGCCCTGCGCGACGGCTGCCGGCTGTTCCCGCCCAACCGCTCCTCACGGACGGCGGGCGCCCCTGTCAACTCGGGCCTGAGCACCTGCGGGCTGTCTCCTCGAGAGACCCCTCGGCACGTCCACGGCCATCTGAGTGCTCTTTGCTCCCGCGTGCACACATGTCCTTGCGCTGCAGCCCGCGACACAGACTTGCACACGAGAGGACTCTCCGTGGCATCACCAGCGCGCGCCTGGCTCCTGGGCAACAGACCTTGCTGAAACCAGTCTGCGAAAGGACAATGCGGGCAGTCTCGTGCGGGTTTAGCGCGCGGCCGGCTCTGAAGTGTGGAAGGGCTACCCGGCAGCGGCATGTTGTGGCGGCTGCGGGCGGCGGGGAGGTGATCCTGGAGGTGAAGGGCCTCGAGGCTCGCGTTGTAGGTGCGTGCTGTCAAGCCGGCTGCGTTGCGCTGCGACCCGCGGCGCCCAGCAGCATTCCCTCGTTTCGACGGCGTGTGTGCGAGCCACGCCGCGGCGAGGCCCGCTCTCGCCCTTTTCCCGGCATACCCGGAGTGACGTTCCCCTTGGATAGAGCCCGGCCGCATTGTGCGCGTCGCGCGGTGGCGACCTCGGCCCACGTGCGTTCCGCGGCCTTGTTGCCATGGCGAGACGCACCCTCGCCGTGCTCGCCGGCACGCCCCCGCGGAGCCGGGACTGGCCTCGCGCAGCAGCCGCCCCACCTGGTAGGGTCCGGCCGGGTCGACGTCGGCCACGCTGGCCCACGGGCGGGACGCGTGCACAGCTTCGTCACATTCATCGAGTGGCGCGACGGGCGCGTCGAACCGCGGTCCCCTGACGCCCACCTCCTCGGCACCCTCCGTGCAGAGTCGGAGAAGCAAATCCTCCACGGCGTGGACCTGACCATCCGCCAGGGCGAGGTGCACGCCATCATGGGCAAGAACGGCAGCGGGAAGTCCACGCTGTCCAAGGTGATCGTCGGGCACCCGGATTACGAGGTGACGGCAGGGCAGGTCACCTTCAAGGGCCAGGACGTCCTCGCCATGGAGCCAGAGGTACCGACCCTGCCCGGGGCGAGCATGAAACGCATGAACGTGGCGTGTCGGCGGGGCGGAGCGTTCCGAACACGCTCTGAGGCCGCGCTCTGGAGTGACCTGGCTGCAGGAGCGGTCACACGCCGGCATCTTCCTGTCGTTCCAGTCCCCCATCGAGGTGCCCGGCGTTTCCAACGTCGACTTCCTGCGCATGTCGTACAACGCGAGCCGGAAGGCCAAGGGCGAGGACGAGCTGGACCCGTTGGAGTTCTACAGCTATCTGATGCCCAAGCTCGAGATGCTCAACATGGACGTTGCGTTCCTGAACCGCAATGTCAATGAAGGCTTCTCTGGCGGCGAGAAGAAGCGGAACGAGATCCTCCAGCTCGCGGTCTTGCAAAGCGAGCTCTCGATTTTGGACGAAATCGACTCTGGTCTTGACATCGACGCACTGCGCGACGTCTCGAAGGCGGTCAACGCCCTGAAGACCGAGGACAGCGCTGTGCTGATGATCACGCACTACCGGTAAGAGCTGCTGACTGCGGTCCATGTCCACCTGTGCGTCCAAGTGCCTGACAGCCAACCAACATAAGCGCACCGCCCCCGTCCACGCAGACGCCTGCTGGATCAGATCAAGCCGGACGTGGTGCACGTCATGGAGAACGGGCGCATCGTGCAGACTGGAGGGTTCGAGATCGTCGAGGCTCTCGAGGGTGGTGGCTACGCGGCCCTGAGCTCGTGAACGGGACTCCGTTGACTGTACTTCGCTGACCTACAGGCACCCTCACCGCGAGGATGCTTGAGCGACCGAAATGGTACGGCAGGCGAGACTGGCGGCACCCTGCCGTATGCAGACGAGTCTGCCTTGCGTTCTGCTGAGGGTGCAATTTGCTGTGACTCGAGCAGCTGTCGTTTCCCCCGCTGTGCGTCCGGGGGGAACATTTACAACACGCAGCATCTATTCTGCGAAAATCCAGCCCAGTTTCGCCGCCGCCACCCGCGAGGCTTCCTGGACGGACTTGACCTTGTCCTTGGCCAGGGTTCGCAGCGCAGGCCGCACCAGCTCGCCGTACGCCGTGACGTTCATGCTGCCGCGCATGCCGGTCATGTTTGACAAGATCAGGCACAGCAGCTGCCGTTGCTTGTAGTCGGGGTCTTTGCACATCGCCAAGCACTCGAGCAATGCGCTCCTCGGGTCCAGCCGCTTCATGCGGCTTCGCCCGCCGTCGTGGCCTGCAGGCACCACCGAAAGCGGTCGCCATGTCATCGCGCAGGCATGCACCGTGTGTGACCACGCCATCGGTGACACGTGAGAAATAGCAGGCAGCTTGGCGAACCAAACTCACCAGATGCGTGGCTCGAGGCAGGCCGTGGGGCGTCACCACTCGCGGAGTGCGCGTGGTGCCGGTGGCGCAGGTCGACGGCGCTGATGGGCCTTGGAACTCGGTGTTGTGCCTGCGGCCCGTCTCGCCCCGCGCACATGCCAATCTCCGAGCCCGACTCACCATGGTGCCCCATCAAGTGATGCAAGCCCGGAGACGCACTCCTCTCGGCCGAGACCTGCGACGGCTCGATCGAGCGGGCGGTCCGTTCGGACCGCATCGCGAGGTAGCGAGGTGCGTTTGGGCGCAGGTTGGTGGGCTGTCGTGCCTGCAGCATCATCCTCTTGAAGGCCGTCATGGGACCAGGCATTTCCTCGACCATGCGCTCAACCTCGACGAGCTCCTCGCTGACCTCGGCTGACAGCGCTGAGATATCGGCATCGCCTACCTCCGAGCCGTCCCTGCGCAGCATCAAGGCACCACTTGCAGCCGGCATTGCAGCCACGTGCGCCCCACATTCGGGGACACGATGAGACGAGTGCGGGCGGCGATCTCACCTGCTGGAGTCGCTGTGCGCACTGCGCCAGTGGTGGTGTCGGTCGTCGCTTCCAGAGTCGCTGTCGTTGCCGGAGCCGGTCCCAACGGAGGACCGCGCGTGGTCCCGATCGTCCGCAAACGTGTCGAGGAGGGTCTGGTGCCGAGAGAAAAACGCCTCCGCTTGGATGTCGCCGAGATCGAGATCCCGTGGCGACCGCAGGGGCGCCTGGGGATCGTCCATCACTCTGCACGCATGGCAAGCAGCTTCCGTCGCTCTGTCAGCACAGTACGCAGCGAGAGGTAGTGCCCGTGTGCATGTACGAGTGGCCGTCACCCACCCTTCCGCGTCGTCTCTCAAGTCGCTGTCTCTCCGCGGGGTTGCTGCATTCTGCTGACTTGGCTGCTCCTCCTTGTGACGTTGCGCGTCCGCTACGTTCTCATCGCGCTCGGCCAGTTCCGGTACGCCCTGTGGAATCGCGAGAGGCGTGTCGCGGCCGAGCACGTTGTCTGCAACGCTCACGTGCGCACTGTCGAGGTGCGGGCCGGCCGGCAGAGCTGGGCCCAAGGCACCAGAAGGCTGCACGTCGGTCGCCGGATCGCGCGTCTGTGGCGCCACCGGTCGTGCTGGGGCGTCCATGTTGTCCGACATGCGCTCTAGGCGCGCGACGGCAGAGGCCTTGAGGCTCCTGTGCGACGCAAGGCCATTGTTCGCGGGAGCGGGGCGCTCGATTCCGACGCCTTCGCTGTGGCTCGCGGGGTGGCTTGCCGGCTCGTGCGTAGGGCGTGACAGTCGACTGGGGATGACTGGATGCGAGTCGTGAAGTAACCAACTGCGCCCCCCGAGGCCGTCGCTCGCTCGCCCACGTGGCCGCGGCGCGCGGCCCTGGGGCGGCGCCTCCGGCTGTCGATCTTCCTGCGACCGGAATTTGAGTTTCCGACCAGACGTGTCGTGCGTCGGCGGCCCGTTCCCGTTCCACGGGCTGTCTGTTGGCGCGCCCTGCCCATGCGAGTCCGCCGACAGGGCGCCGTGCGATCCCCGCGACACGGGCAGCGGCTGCTCGCCGCAGCTCCCTTCGTCAGCTGAGCTCGATCGCCTGCAAAGGAGGCGACGCACACCGTCAAGTCAGACGCGGCGCAACACTCCCCCTAGGAACACGGGACGGACTAGCTTGGCGTGTGGGGTGCGTGCACGGCTCAATGACTCGTACCCAGAGATGGTGAACATCGCCATTCCGACCGACGCACTGCGGCGGTGACCATCAAATCCAGCAGTGGCAGGTTGTGTTTGCCTGGCGCCCTGCGATTTGTCGCCGAGCTGCGCCGCAGGGATCCGCAACTCACGGAAAAGGCGCTCGCTTTCCTGCAGAAGACGGACACGGGGTCGCATGCTCCGTGGACACGAGGCCTTGAGGACAGCTTGTTGCGTGGCCGTAGAACAGCAGCACATGACGACGCGCGCCCGACCTTGTCTATAACTGCCGGATCCGCCCTGTCAATGGACGTGAACTCGGCACAGCTGCATGACAGGTTCACGAGCGCCGCTGTGGACTGCACGGGGCCCGAGACGTTGCCATGACGGGTTGCGTGCTCGTCCGACCTGCACAGCCAGGCGGACGCTGACGATGAGCCACGCCGCCAAACGATCGCGGGAAGAGCGAGGGTGCAGGACAAGTAAGTGTCCAAGCGACCGCACTGCCGCCGTCACGCACCTGTGTGCCTGTGGTTTGCGAGGCAATGGAGCGGGGTGGTTCCCGCCCGTCCCACAGAGAGCCCGGCCGAGCGCAAGGCCCATTTGTCCGGCAGCCATTTGCCGCACGGACGAGACAGGATCCTTGCACATTGTGAGGAAGAACGGGAAGACCGCTGCAAGCCACCAGGGCAGCACAGACACTCGTTGGCGAACCACAGCCGCGGCGCGGCCCGTGGGCGTCGATGCGTGGCTCGCCAGCTCCAGCGCGGCTGGTGCGCCCGGGGAGGACGAAGCGTGCCGCGGCGGGGCGTCGCACCTGAGGACAGGGACTTGGGTGGCAGGGCCGGCCACAACTTGCCGAGCTCGCGGACAACGGCTTCCCTCAGACGCCACGAGCCACACAAGGCGCCCTCGGGGACGTTTTGAAACGCCAGGAACAGCAGCTGTCTGGTCAGAGGGAGCCGCATGTCATGTGGAAGAGCCGTGATCAGGTCCGCCGCGGACTCGGCGAGGGTCAGCAGCACCTCCTCGCAGTCGTCGTCCAGCAGTTGGGCTGCACGGCACCGTGGCAGGACCCGGAGGTGTCGGGCCAGTCGGAGGCGGCGGGTTCGAGCACACAGCCCGGGCGAGCCGCGTGCGCACCTGCTGACGACCGCACGTCCTCGAGATCCTCGTGCTTGCTGAACAGCGTGACGAGGCGCGGGAGGCTCCGCGCCACCTGACGGCGAACCTCTTGATGCGGACTCGCGGTGAGCAAACTCAGTGCCTCCCGGAGCTCTGACCACCTGCCTGGACCGATGCACAGGGCGATCGTGGCGATGTCGCGCGCGCACGCCTCGCACACCTCGGGGTCGCCCAGCACCTGCGTCCGCCGAGCGACTTGTGAGACGTGGGCGGCGGGTCCTGCGTCGGGGACGCAGGTGGCGCAGCTGGACATACGCTCGACTACGCACCTGTGTGGCCATGGAGCAGAAGTCGTCCACGAGCTCCTGGGATATGTCAGACGATCTCAGCGTCTGGGCGTATCCGACGAGCTGCGCCAGCGCTTCCTGCTTCACCCAGTGCGACATGTCGTCGATCAGGCAACGGAACAACTGCATCACCTTGGTCACGCGCGTGTCGTAGGACACGCAGCGGGCCACCTTCGGGATGGCCGTCGCGGCTGATTTGCGCACAGACCACACCATGTCGTCGCAGAGCCGCGAGAGCAGCGGGAGAACATCCAGCTCGACGCGCGAGGGGTTCATCAGCTGACACAGCGCCGGGACGCCGTCGGCCGCCGCCTGCAGCGCACGTGAGAGCTCCGTCAGGGTCACCTGCGGGGCGCGCGAGGGTGCGGCGGCGGGCGGCGCGCGGGGAGACGCACCAGGCGCACCGCCAGGAAAGGGTCCTGGCTGAAGTCCGACACCAGCGAGCTCAGGACGTCCAGCAGCCCTGCCTGCTCCATCTGACCGGACATGCTGAAGAGCACCTTCCCAGCCACGGCGCGCACTTCGGGGTCCTCGTCCCGACACAGCTCCAGCAGGGGCTGCACAACACAGCCTCTCGCCGCGGTGAGCAGCAGGCGCAAGCACGAGCAGCGGGTGCGCGGGTGCGGGCGTGCGCGCTCACCTCGACGACGTGGTTCTGCACGTCGAACGACGAGAGCAGCGACGCGAGCGACCCCACGGTGTCCATCGCAGCGTCCTGCACCGCCTGCTCCGGGTCCTTGAGCATCTCGATCGAGCGTCGCAGGAGCCCGAGCACCACATCCTGGGGCTCCGGCACACTCTCGTCGCCTGCCTCCTCCAGCTCCGCAAGCTGAGCGCTCGCCTGCGCACACGCGCGCACGAACGAGCCGGTCGCGTCCGCGGTGCCTCTGCCGCCCGCAGCCGGCGCCCCGCTCCCCGCCTGTGCAGCCGTGCCGCGCGCGAGGTGCAGGCGGGCGTGTCGGCGGCGACGCACCTGCTCCTCCTGGGACCAGATGAACTCGGCGACGGGCAGCAGAGCTTGAGCGCACTCTTGACGGATTTCGGGGTCAGCATCCACCGAAAGGTCCAGCAGAAGCGGCGCGATGATGAGCGCGTTCGACGCGTAATCTGCAGCCACGGCACGGCGCATGGACAGGTTGCCCCAGCACGTTGGAGGCCCTGCCGGCTATCCGCGTGCCGCGGAGGGCGCTAGCTGGACCGTGCCTGGTATGAACTTCCACGCGGTACAGGGCTGCACGAGGAGCCACCGCGAGCGGCGGGCAAAAGCGCTCGGGAGTGCAAGGCAGGAACTCCATCCTGCCGAGCGGCAGCACGTGCAGGCGATCCTCACCGGCGTTCCGCGCTGAAGGGAGGATTGACCGCACATAAACCAGCCGGAGTGGATGCGAGGGGTCCCTCCCGCAGCGGTCCAAGGCGAGGAGGTGGCCCTGCTCCGTCTCGATCTCCGCGAGCTGCGAGACGGCCGGCGGCACGCTTTGGCATCTCTCAAGCAGTGCAACTGTCGGTCGAGGCTCACGGGCAGGCGAGGGCGCGCGGCGCAGACCCTATATGCCTGCGGTGCCCTGTGCCGGGCGGTGCGCACTGCCGCGATCGCTGCAGTGCGGCACAGACACCCGCTCGCTGGCCGCGCTGCGGCTTGTCCGGCGATGCGAGCGCCCATGTTGCCAAGGCGGTGAGACACGGGTCCCGTGGCACTTGCCTCGAGGAGCGCGGGGTCCAGCGCTGTCCACTTCTCCGTCGTCTCCATTGCTCCTAAGCCCTAGTGCGCGTCGCCAGGCGTTGAGGCGAGGAGATCATTCGCCAGCGCGGTGCCGCATCGAACGGCCGGGTGCAGCAGTGGCTCGCTGCCGCTGCAGCTACAGCCACTGCTGCCAAGAGAGCTAGAAGCGCGTGCTCTTGAGCGAGACTTGCGAGGCTGAGAGGTGCCGCACGGAATGGCGGCGAGCGTGCGAGCGTGCCCGTCGTCGGACAAGTGCGGTGCACGGGGTGGCGAGGCCGCAACGAGCTGTTGCAACACGGGGCGTCTGGCAGACGGGTCCGGCACTGCGTCACGGCTCCGCTCGCGTTTGTGCCCATTGCCACCTCGCGAACGCCTCGTGCGGCTAGACGTGGTGTTCGTGAGGAGTCGGTTGAGCCGTCCTGTGTGACGCAACGCACGCAGCCGCGCGGCCAAAGATCTCAGTGCGTTTACTGTACTGTTCCGTCAGCGCTGCGTGGTGGCAGAGAGCGCACGCGGGGAGGAAGAGGGGGCGAGGGGCCGTAGAATGTTTCGCAGACGATGCAGGAAGTACAGCTTGATCGGTCTGGCCGCCGTGGGCATCGGGGCAGCTGGGTTCTGGTACTGGTACAGAAAGGATGCGGCCGAGACGGCGGGCGGCGCGACCGAGCCCTGCAGCGTGCAGGCGAACGGGCACAGTAGGTCGAAAGGTGAGGCGCAGCTCTCGTTGCTCGTTTCTGGGCCGTGCAAGCCAAGACAGGTGGCTACGCGCGACTGCTTGCCGTGGCTCTCTCTCGGCGGCTTGTCGTGGATCCGCGCCGGCGCCGGTCCGAGAGAGTTGTTCTATGTATCTGCTACCTGACTTGCCACCCGGCACTACTGCTGCGTCGCAGGGGACGCGGGCCGGCATAGCAACGAACATGAGAAGGCTGATGCGATGTGCGCGGTGGTTCAGCGCGTCGCGGACACGACGACCATGCCTTCCCTGATGCCACGACTGGAGCAGAGGATCCTGGAGGCGCTGGACGTCGAGGTGTTCGCCGCGAACCTGCAGCAAGAGCGAGCGAACATGACGGTTGCTGATCGACGGGCGGGTCTGCGCACCGTGACGCTGCGGTCCTTCGCCAGAGCTGGCGCAGGCGAGGCGCCCCCCCGCAGTGGTCGCGCAGCCGCAGCGCCTCGACATGCAGCCCCCCCGCTGGGAGTGACCCGTGGCACGTGTTTCGCTGACTTGTCGCGCCCACGTCCCCAACCGAGATGCAGTGTGCTGGGCGCTGCCTCTGGTGCACTCGCTGGTCAAGGTGCAGCTGGCGATCGTCGGGAGTCTCATCGCAGCGGAGAGCCGCGGATCGGGAGCGGGGCCCTCTCAGGAGATGCAGCGGAAATTCCTGTCCCTGTCCGAGCACCTCCTGCACGACGGGGTGGATGCCATCGCCGGACAGGCCGTTGAAGCAGGTCCGATCCGCCGCGTTCTCGCATGTTTACAGTGCAGAGCCGCCACACAGCTGTGCACTTCGTAATTCGCACAGCATCATCCTTTGCTGTGCAGTCGAGGCCATCTTCGCCGATGGACAATGCGACCTCGAGCAGAAGCTTGGCGAGGCGCAGATCGTCAGCGTCCTCGTTCACATCGTGTCCGGCATCGAGGCGAAGCTGCGCGAGGGCAACATGTGGGTGGACTTGCTGCTCCCAGCACAGGGGCTGCGTGACGTCCTGGACGCCCCCGCGGACTCGCAAAACCTTCAAATGCTGCTCAGCGTCACGAAAGCAGCTCGCCTGAGCGAGAGCGTGGATTCGTTCCTCACAGCACAGGTGGGGAGCAGGGCGCGTTGCACAATGGTCTACCCGTACCGTCTACTTCGGACCGGCGTTGTTTGTGGTTTCTCGGCTAGCGCGTCAGTAGCAGCCGTCAATGCAGCCGGCTTCTGATGATTTGCTTGCAGGACATGGTGCGGTTACGAGGGTGTCTGGGCGCGCTGCTGGAGTGCGCAAGCGAACCCACCTTTCTCCATGCGGCCCACGGCGCAGCCCTGCAGACCGCTAGGTGCATCGCGCGGGACGTGTCGAACGCGGCGTTGAAAGCCACCTCGGAGCCTCTGCCGGCGGCAAGGCTCGCACCGCATGTCTGCCGCTCGGTGAAGGATCTCCTGAACCAACCTGCGAAAATCCTCGAACAGCTTTCCGCCGGCGCCCTGAATGACCTCGCGATAGCCTCGTTCAAGCGCGCGGCAGATACGGTTGGTCGCGTGGAACGCTGACGGGCGACATGACTGTGAGTCGGGGAGCGGTGAAGGGAGCCTCGAGGTTGAGATGACGTCAAGCTCGGGGCGAGCCCCGCACAGGCGTGGTCAACATGCTGCGCGCAGGGGCGCCAACGCAGCCCGGCTACGCCGAGCATGAACCTCGCCGTCGTGTGCAAACAAGTGGTGAGGTGAGGTGTCAAGTGGTGATACAGCTGCACGAGCAGATCACAGCATACGAATGATATCACCTCAGCAGTCATGAGCTCGTGCGACCCTGCGAATCCGCCATCCGACGGCGTCGTTGTCCCCGCGCGTGACGCGTACTAGAGAGACAGGGCACCTGGTGAAATGCGTCGATGAGTCGAACGCAGCTGCATCACCGAGCGGCACCAAGTAATCGAATCTCCACCTCGTCACGTGTTCTGTACCGAGGACTGAGCGTATCATACAGACGAAAAGCTACGTTTGAGTGCATCTGCACCTCTCAGGGTGGGTTGGCGGCCTGAATCCGAGTCTGTTTGCTCGCAGTGCGCAGAATCGCGTCAGAGCTGTCGCCACGCGCCTGCGGGTGGGGGCGCGGCGGTGGCAGGTGCTGCAGCGCGCTGTGGGCTCCCGGCAGCGCCTCGAATAGGGGATGTCCCGCCGGCCTGCCATGCTCGCGAGTGAGGGGACGCTGCCCGATTCTGCAGGCTGGCGGCCCGGTCTGCCTGGGGTGAACCCGCGCGCTGGTTCGAGGAACCCCTGTTGCCCCACATGGCCCCAGGTGGAGGGGGACTGCCAAAAACTTTGGGTGCGGCCTGAGTTGCCCAGCGCGCGTCGTGCGGGTTCGACACACGCGAGTCCTGTCGCACGGGCGCCGCGGAAGACCAGACCCGTGGCGAAACCGGCGCTGCCCCCGACATGGGCACTGAGCCCGCGGGTCGTAGCAGGGTGCCCGCGGCCACAGGGGGTGCCTGCTTCCAACTCCCGGCCTTGACGGGCATCGCCTTCCGCTGGGGGACGATGACGGGAGCTGTTTGAAACAGCGACGACGGCACGTCCGGCGTGGCCCTTTTCTTCTTCGCCGACTCCCTCTTGGACAAAATCGAACGCGACGGTATCAGTTGCCGATGTTGCGGCTTCTTCGCGTGCTTGCCACTGATGACAGTCACGTGCTTGAAGCGGACGCGCTTGGGCTCCGCCGGGGCGCTGGACGCGGCAGCAACAGCGTTGGCCAGCACCTGCGTCTGTGAGGCGATTTTCCGCCGCAGCCAGCTCTGAGGGTCGGGCTTCCACCCGCCATCAGGTGATCCGACAACGCTCGGACCAGCGGGAGGCTGCTGCCCGACCCCGACCTTCGTTGACATCCATGCTGGCTTCGCGCCCGTGTCGCGCACCGGCGCGACACTGCGAACACCTGTGTCGCTCATGGAGTGCCCTTGACGCGACCCAGAGGTGCCCCACCGGGCCGTGCCCGTTTCGTGCGCCACGACCTGGTTCGGGTAGTCCGCCGCTCTGCTGGCATCCTTGCTGTTGCGGTCTTTCCCTTCCTCCGCTGTCGACGTGGACGCTCTGTCCTCCTCTTCCTTGATCTCCGGGAGCGGCTTGGAGCCGGCCGAGGGCGCACAGCCCATGGATCGGCGACGCATGGCAGCTCTGTTGACTTTGAATGAGTCGCCCTTGCTAGGCAGACGACTGACGGAGAGACTGGCCCGCCCGGTGGCCGTCATGTGGGGAACGTCGTTCGGATCCACGATTTCGTCGTCTCCACTGTCCGCCCCTGGCCCGCCATCGTCGCCACTGCACTCGATCAAGTGGAGAGGCGTGCTGTCTGAAGAGGCTTGCAGCGAACAGCGGCGCGTGCCCCGCGATGCGGCAGGACATGGGAGGCTACCTTTGCGACTGGTCAACCGCCGGCCCTGGGTCCCCGCTGCTGTACATCAAGTCGCCCACCAACTCTGCAGGCACGAAAAGCAACGCGGAAGGGTTCGTCCTCCATACGCAGCACCTTGCGCGACGTGTGTTGCTGCCGCTCCAGATTCTTCCACCTCTTACCTTCGTGGTCATTCGAAGTGTGCCTGCGCAGCATGTGGTCTTTCGTGACCTTCATGCTGTTATGATGCGACAGGAGCGTCCGGCTGGAGCGAGGCAAGGCATCCGTGCTCCGGTCCTCCTCTGACGTTGCGCTGTCCGCACCGTCGCGTCCGGTGCTCCGGTCAGTGTCAGCTCCGGAGCCCGTGTCATGGTTGGATGGCACATTCTCGCTCCCTTCGCTCTGCGGGGCGCCGTGGAGTGCAGCTCCGCGGCCGATCAGGTCGAACGCCTGCGGAAAGTCGAGATCACGAGTTGGTCCCGTTCGAGGGTGGCAGCGTGCGTCTCGACAGTCGGTCGGCACCTGCCAGCCAAATGCTTGTTGCACCGGTCGGCCGCTCAGCAAGAGCCCACAGCCGCGCGGGCAGGGGACGCACCGGCTGAGCACCCTCCGGCTCTCGGTCGAATCCTGCGCCAGGCGGCACGGAGCGGCCACCTGCGAGCGGTATTTGCAGAAGAGGGGTGTTGAACACAAACATGCTACCGTGTCGCACCGTCGCACGCAGCACATCAAGCACACCAGGGAACGCGCCGCGGAATCGAAAGCGCATCCTTCTTCCGCGAACGATGTCGACACAGTGGCTTGCCGCACAGCAACATGGTGCGCGCAGCACCACGGCGCGGGACAGGGCCGCTCACCTGCGAATCCCGCCTCAGCTGCACGTTCCTCAGCCACGGGGGCGCCGGCAGCCTTGCTGTCGGGCCCCGCCTCGAAAGCACCAGGGGCTGCCAATTGGTACCCTGCTGCTGACCGTGCGCTGGCCACAGAACCGCCATCGAGGTCGTCAGACAGGCGGTGCCCAGGCTCGAACTCAGCAGTCTCTCGCTCGGAGGCGAAGTGGCTCACGCGGTCCTCCTCATCGTCGTCGCCGTCGCGCCCCAGCCTGCAGGAACTCGTGGCGCGCGCGCTCCACGAGGTGGGCGGCGAAGTTGCATCACAAGAAGCTCCTGCACCGCCGTCATGTGAGTGTGAGCTCGACTAGCGACCCTTGAGAGGTGTGCAGCGCCTCGCCGGCCTGGGATTGCCTGGACGAGGGCAAGTGTGTGTGTCCCAGCTACTACCGCCGTGCGCCCTTCTCTCACCTTGCCACGGCCCTCACGAGCCGCACACCTACCGCAGTACCGACTATGATGCCCCACAACGCCATTTCAGGGCCGTCGCGTCATTCCTGGACCCCGCGTGCGTCCCACCTATCTGTGGGGCAAGAAAAACAGCGGCAGCGGAAGCGCTGCGGCGGACGAGGGGGGCGGTCGTCGCACCACTCGAGACGAGCTGTCGCACGCGGCGGAGGCCGGACGTCTTGAAGCAGGGACTGCGTCGGGATCGCCTGAGCCCAGTCCGGAACCCTGGTCAAGTGTGACCCACAGACCCCTGGCTCCACCGTCGACTCGACGGCTGCCGGCGGTGGCGAGCTCGACGAGTCCGCGAGCACGTCCTGGCCGTCCCCAGCGTCACGTTCGGAGTATCGCAGTGCTGCGGACCGAGCGGCTGTGCTGCGTGGATGCAAGCTTTCGTTGCGCAGGCCTCGTCGCTGGGGGACGCTGCGTCCCTCGTGAGACTCGCGACGGACGCGACCTCGCACCCAGATGTGTTCGGATTTGGCGAGCTCTTGGACGTGCCTCGCGTGCGACAGGTGCCGGCAGCGCGTCTCGCGACACACCCGACTGATTGCACCCTCCTGCAGCACTGCGTGACAGCATGCGCTGCCAGAGCGTTCGGCAGCGCAGGGAGACCGCACAGCTGAATCGGTCTCCGGCAGGATCCGAGCTCCAAACGCGTTACATTCGTCGCTTGTTGCCTCTCTTGCAGCTAGCTACCTCGGCCGAAGCTCAGCCCGCGCTGCGCCTCCTGGAGCTCTTCGCGTACGGAACGCTGGCGGACTACCGCGCAGGCAAAGGTCTGCCGCCGCTGTCAGATGCGCAACTCCTGAAGCTGCGGCAGCTCACGCTAGCGTCCGTCGCGAGAGGCCAGCACACCTTGGACTACCAGTCTCTCCTTGCGGCGCTGGAGCTCGCGTCAGTGGAGGATCTTGAGCGGTTTCTGATCAGTGAATGTATATACAAGGGCGTCGTGCGCGGCTTCATGGACAACCGGCAGGGCAGGTTCCAGGTGACGTCGTGTGTGGGGCGAGACGTGCGTGCGGCCGACATTCCCAACATGATCGAGGTGCGCTCCCCGTTCCGAGCCGCCAGTGCCCGCCGAGCGCGCTCGCGTCCTGTCGGCGGGCGGCCCGCGTGGAGCAGCGGTCCTTTCGTGCGCACGGGATGCAGTCCATGGAGCGGTGGATGCACACGATCACGCGAGTGATCGAGAACATCGACACCAGCGCGGCCGCCGCGGACTCGCAGTGCTCGGCCGCGGCGGCACGGGCCAACGACATGGCGGCGAAGCGGGAGGCGGCGCTGAAGGAGGTGGCCAAGGTGGGCGCGCTCCCCACCCACACAACCCCGTCGCAGGTGCCGGGGCTGCGTGCCGCGAGCCTCGCGAACCACGGCCGCGACCGGCCGCCGCTCGTGCACGCTGTGTGCGCGCAGGAGGCGTGTCGGATCTCCGCGGAGATGAAGGGGGAGGCGGGGGGTCTGTTTGGTGGGGAAGTCGGACCAGGGGCGGACACGCGCGGCGCGAACCGGCAGGCCTCCAAGAGGCACAGGGGCGGCGAGCGGAGGTGACGCTTCTCGCCAGGACCCGTCCCCGGGGCCCGACACCACGCTCCCGCACGCCCAGTGGCAGCACATGCACCTCAAGGCCAGCGAGGCGCCAGGGACGCGCGCACGCACTCGCAGACCCACGGCCGCCTGGAGGACGCTCGGCGCAGCAAGCAGCGCCCTGTATCCAACGCTGAGCAGACTCGCGGCTGGACGGCTCGCCCCATTGGCGACCCACAGAACGAGCCGCACCGAAAAGACTCGGCATGTCGACGGGCCGCAAGCATATGCGGTCATGTGACAGCTCGGCGTCGTTTCTTGCAGCCGCGCCCGCGTCCGAGACCGCTCTCGCGTCCGGCACCACACTTCACATCCCTCTTCACTCGCACGGACGCGCCGCGCTCGGTGAGTCACGACGGTGCGCGCAGCTCCGAGCTCGCCTTGACCAGGTTGCTGAACTCCCCCAGAGACAGCCTCCCGTCCTTGTCCGCGTCGAAGACCTCTATGAGCGCCCGACACACCCGCTCCAGCTCGCCGGCCGCGACGCGCTTGGTGGTGGCGACCTGCGAGCGAGCGGCGACGCGCTGCGGGAGCCGTGGGGCCGGAAGGACGGGGCCGGCAAGCTGCGGCCAGCTGCGTCGTGGGAACAATGACTGCGCACCTGCAGCATTGACAGCAGGTCGTCGAAACCGATGAACTGGTCCTGGTCCCGGTCGTACACCTGCGCGTGGGGACGTGGCGTTGCATGTCGCGTCGCTGACCGCGGTAGATGCGCGGCGTGCTTGCGTGGGGCGACGCAGCGCCATACCTCGAACATCAGTTTCATTTGTTGTCTCGGGTCGCGGGACCGAACTATGCTCTCTATCGCCGCGACGCAAGTGTCTGCCTCAAATATCTCCTTCTGGTTGCCAGCTGCGTAGATTGAGCGCGTTGTGTGGTTCGGCGCGCAGCAATCAGGCACGCGCGCTGCTCGCACGAGCATTGGGATTCGCGCAACGAGGCAGACCATGCTAGCATACATCCCAACCTGCACGTATCACTCGCTCCCCCGGGGGCGCGAGTCCCAGCTCCTTCGCAAGCTCGGCCGTTGAAAGCTGCCCATCTCTGGCGAGCCTGCTGAACCTGCATCCGCGGCTCGGCGAATCGAGCGGATTGGAATGATGACGACAAGTGGCGTGAGCTGCTTGCCTCGTAGAACCTTGGCGGACACCAGGCGGTGGCGCACCTTCGCTGCACTCTCTTCACCTCTTCTGCCGAAAGCCGACCGCCCCCGCGCTGGGGCAGGCTTATATCGCTGCCCATGCGTTACTGCTAGATCTAGCTGACAGGAGCGAGCAGTCGCGGGCAGCTGCGGCCGCTGAGGGCGTGAAACCTGCTGGGCCTTCAGGGCCTGTGTTCCAGCTGTTCGCCAGCCGCACAGCCGTGTGCGCGATTGACCGGGACGAAACGCGTGTGTTGGTTGGAAATCTGACGAGTTTCGAAATGGCGTGGGGAACGCGAGTCCGCCGTTGGCCTCGGGTGACCCACAGGTTCACGTCGTGCCGCGGCGTCCGGCCCCGGCTCCTGTGTGTGGCGTTCCCGTGAGAGCGTGCAGCACGTGCAACTGGCACAACACGTGCTGCTGCCCCCTACATGCCGTGGAGCAGTCACCAGCACAAGTGACCGACTGAGTCAACACAAGGTGAGGTTGGTCAACTTGGCGCGAATAGCCATCACCGCGGGCAAGGCCAGGGCGTGGCGACCGTGATGCTCCCTTGCTGGTCGGGGGCTCGCAGCGTGCGCTCGGGCGCATCACATGGGGTCAGCTGAAGTTCTCTCTGCAGTCGTACGACACGAAGGTGTGCACGTCGCACAGCATCCCGACCACCAGCGGGCCAGCTCCACACCGCGCAAGGTCGTCGAGGGTGATGTGCAAAGGATCCTTCGGCCGCACCATGTCAAATATCTGCGCAGCAGTCGGGCACGGGCACAGGGGGGGGTCGTGCAGCAGCAGTGCTCGTGGCCGTCGCCTCCGGTGCTCTGGTGCTCGGAGGTCGCGGCTCACCTCGTCCTTGACGTCCTCCTCGCGGTACTCGCCCGAGTCCTGCCACGACTCCATCACCATCGTCTTGACCGCCTTGAAGAGGTGGCACACCTCAACCTGTGTCAGGAAGCCCCGGTCCTTGAGGTCCATGCACTGGAAGAAGTACGTCAGGCCCAGGTGGTGGAAGCGCGACTCCCACGCGATGATGAGGTCCATGAAGTCCTCGAGCGACACCCCGGGCCGCGCTGCCTGGGGCGCTGCGGACTCGTACTGGCGCGCCACCTTCATGTGCCGGCCGCTGTGCACCTCGAACACGCGCTGGACGAACAGCGGCGTCAGGCGACACACGGGCAGCTGCACGAGCTCCTCCGGCGTCAGGAACCCGTCCTTGTCCTTGTCGAGGTCGCTGAACATGCCGTGCAGCCAGCGGGACTTCTCCAAGCTAAACCAGTTCTCGAGCAAGCGCCCGCTCGGACCGCCGGCGGGCGCCTCTCTGAGCTGGAAGAATTCCGACATGGCCTGCACAGCACGGGGCGGCACGCAGCGCATCGGCACCGGGGTTGCAGCCCCCAGCACAGTGCAACACACGGCGCGTCGCCGAGGGGAGCTGCGACGAGGGGCGGCCCGCTGCGCACGTGCGATGTCAGCAGACGCTTGATCGGCGCCTTTCCGAGGCGGCCGTGGAAGAAAAAGAACTTGTGGACCGCCATCCGCGCCCACGTCGTCCGGAACTTGACCAGGGATGCCCGACCGCCCGACTTGCCCTCCTGCCCGCACAGCGCCGCGAGGGGGAGCAGGTCCGGCACCTGGCTGTCGAGCCACCCCATGAGCTCCTGCGAGTCCGCGGGTGGGGCCGGTCGTGGGGGCGGAACCTCGCGCAGCGTTCGGACAGATGGCACCGTGCAAGGCGCGCCCCGCACCTCGCGAGTGACGAAGCCGTCGCCGTCGGAGTCGGCCGCCTCGAGGCCCGCCTGCGCCTGCGCGAGCATTGACCGGTGCAGGCAGTACTCGAAGAAGGGCAGCGCGGATATCCTCCCGTGCTGGTCCTTGGGGAGGCGCGCAAACACCGACGGCCGGAACAACCGGTGCATCGACGGGCCCCACAAGTCCCCGCACTTCTCCCCAGCCTGCGGCAGCCAAGCGAGGGGCGCTCATCGTCGGGGCTCCGGGGTGTGCGCGCCGGGCGCTGCCAGACATCTCGCACTGCTCTGTGCGAGGCATCACGCGCGTCCGCACCGAGAAGAACGCGTCGTAGTTCAGCATTTCCTGGTCCAGCTTCGGTGGCGACGCGTGCTGCTTCAGCAGGAACCAGAGCTCGTCGGCCTGCTCCCGCGACAGGAGCACGTTGGTGGCACTCCGGCGCCTGTGCTTCACCGCCCTGGCGACCTGCGCGGGGCGTCCGAAGACGACGCCACGGCAGGCGTCGGCAAATGGCAGACGAGGCGGCAGGCATGGCCTGCTGCGGCGCTCTCCGCCGCTGCCAGCTGTCTGACGCCCGCGCGTATGTGTGGAGCAAGAGCGTCAATGCAGAGCATGCAAGAGTGGGCATGCGTCCGGCTGCGCGCACCATTGCTGCGAGGGAGCCCGTGTCAGTCTTAGGCATGTAGAAGCGCGGCAGGCCCCCGGCGTCGCCACTCCTGCCGTCTCCATGCCCCCTGAGCAAGGCAGCGAAATGCTGCCGTGACTCTCCCGCTGCACCATCCGCGACCGATGCGCCATCATTCTTTGCGACTGTTCCGCCCCTCGCAACGCCCTCGGTCCCGTTTGCGGCGGTCATGGCGCGCTGTTTGGCCCCCCGAGGTCAACGTCAGCAAGGCTACGTGTCGGCCCGCCGGGCGGCGCGTTGGGGCGTGTAAAAGCACCGCGGGCAGTGCCTTTCAGTTCGTCATGCGCATATGCACATCTAAGGACCCAGCCGCCGCGCGAGGACCACGTGTGGTGAGCCAGGCTTGAAAATCCTCGCTCCCGGCACTCGAGCGGCCCTCGGCAGCGTCCGGCGCTCGGTGGTGCGACCGCTCAGTACGCGGACACTGCGCCCTCAGAGCAAGACGTTATCCGTGTCGGCGCACGATCGAATCGAGCAGATCGAGACGCGCACAGAGACGCCTTGCCTCGCCGCGCCCCACTGAACGGCTGTGGCGGGGATGTGGACCGTGAGCGAGACGCGCGGACGGGACAGTTGGCCCGCAGTCACTTCGCCTAGTTGGTGCGCGTCGTCACCGCGCGGCCCCATCGGCTGCGACCGACGGGGGGCGTTCAACGCCCCCGACAACAGTTGTCCGGCACCCCAGGCTGACCGTGGGAGGCTGACTGCGTGCACAGCGCCTGGTGCGGGGCGGCGCGAAACCATGGGGACTGCCGGCAGCTGACGTTTGGCACTCCGTGCAAGCACTCCAGCGAGGCGTCACGATCCTCGGCAGCGCTGCAACTCTGTTGCGCTTCACAGGGCCGAGTCGGCTGCGGCGAGTGGCGCATGTGGCGCGCGGACACTGCGCCCGTGCGCTCTTGAGGAGGCCATCTTGCGGAGCTAGGCGTAGAACGGCCAGGGGCGTTGCGCACCGCTGGCTGGACGAGTCGCTCCTGGTGCAGCGAGCAGCTGCTGCCCGCGGCAGGATCGGTCCGGTAGGGCGCGGCGGGTGGACTTCGTCTGATCATCGCCACGTCTGCGAGACAACATGCGCGCGGACCACGTCTCCCCAGCGTGCTGCCGCGTCGCAAACCTGGAGCTGAGCATCTCGAGAGACACCCAGGCCACATGCGCGACCGCGGTGGCCATGTGCCCGTCGACAGGAACGTTTCGTTGCGATCCATCCAGCCTTTGCGGTACAATACCTGAAATCGAGCTCCTGCCAACTTGTTGGGCCCTTGCACCTCGGTTGTGTTGTTGCAGGCTTGGTCGCCACCGCCACGTCGTCCGCCGGCGCGCTCAGAGCGGACATCGTCGACGTCACCGGGCAGATGCGGCGGGAGACGGCCAGGATCGAAGCGCCCGGGGCGCACCCGCCGGCTGAAGGCCAAGTCAGCGCCTGTTGGGTTTCGACCGACACGGGCGACTCGCCGGCGCTTGCGATCGCATGTGGACGCACGGTGTGGTGCCTCGTGCCGGACACGCACGCAAGTGCGGCAACCGGGGCGACGAGGCCGACGGGCTCGAGTTGGGCGGCGTTGAAACTTGCGACGTTTCCTGCGCCAGTCGTGACCCTGAGAGCCCTGGGCTCCGCTAACGAATGGATCTACCCCGGCGACGCCACGATGCGCGCACGTGCCAGCAAGGTCCCGCCGCAACAACTGTGCTTTGCGGGCGCAAAGAATGCAAGCAAGTGCCGCTCCAGCTGTGTCATCGTCGTCTGCACCACACGCCAGGTTGGGAGCCGCCCGCCCCCTCGCCCTGCGAACAGACAAGCGTCGCACTCGCGCCGGTCCGTTCGCGCTCGCGCCCGCTGGGGCCGCACTGACGTACATGTCTGCTGCTGCGCCCGCAGGTCGCACTGTTCCACGGCAGGGCGGACGCCCTGCACAACATTCAGCGCACCGAGCTACGTGCGCCGTGGGGGGAGGGCGAGGTCGCAGCGTTCGACGCCTGCTTCGACGCGAATGGCGGCCTGCTCCTGGCCTGGGCGACTGCTGATGCTGCGACAGTCGTGCGCACGGCGACCATCGAGCCGGCGCAGGTCGCGTCGCTACATCGGACGGGCAGGTTCGGGCTGCTGAAGGCCGCCGCCCCGTCACTTTCCGAGGAATCCGCTGACAAGGTGAACAAGAAGCGGAAGGTGAACAAAGACGAGGACAAACCCAGCGTAGACGCTCCTGGAGAAGCTCCTGCGAAGTGTGCGTCGGCGAATCCGGTCCTGGAGGCGCGAGAGCAAGAGCAACCGGCGGATCTGACAAGTCGCATCCTGGCACTGCGCTGCGTTCGGAGGTTCGACGGCGAGAGGCCGGCGTCCCAGGTCTCGACGGGCACCGAAGTAGCGCGCCCTCTCTGGCGTTCGGCGTCGAGCGTGCTCGCCGTCACGACGTGTGGAGGCAACTCGTTTTCGTTCCTCGAGGTGCGGGGACACTACGCACGCTGATGCGCGTTCGCACGCCAGCGCGCTGCTGTCTGAGCCGACGTGGGGCCCACTCGAGGCGGCCCGGCCTCCGCGGTGCAGGTCCGTCCGGGAGCGGAGTCACCGCGGCGACTGCACACGTGCACAACCAGCAGTCCACCCCTCTGTGCCCGCCTGCATGTGTCGGAAACTGCCGACACGTTCCCGATCGAGGTGGATCTTCCCAGTGAGAACGGGGCTGCGACAGCGCTCACGTGGCTGAGGGTGCAGTGGGGCGCCGCGGACCCCCAGGCCAGTGTGCTGCACGAAGAACCTCAAGCAAGCGGCCGCGTCGCCATCACCAGCTCGCCAGCGGGCACCGCCGCCCTCCTCTACCGCGGTGCGAGAGTTCTCGACGTGATCAGGTGCCGAGACGGGATCGGTGCTCGGACCTTGTTTGGCCTGATCTCAGGTAGGCGTGATGGGCAGCCGCACACGTCTGAGTCGCTCTCGCTAGCGCTCAACCTCGACCGACGCCGAACGACCGGCCTTGTCCACGAGTGGCTCGCAGGTCGGAGCTTCCTGGATGGCATGCTGGCCCTGCACTGCGCCCGGGACGCAGATGATCGCGCTGCTGCGATGAAGCAGTGCTTCAACGAGCTCGATGAACTGATGACTGGGCTGCACGGCGGCGATGCCCTGTTGGTGCGCTGCGCCCCAAGACATGCAGTGCAAATGCTTCCCGAGTGCCACGACGTGAGACCGAGACGGTGCGTTCCGCTTTGCTGTGTTGCTGCGCAGGTGTGGGTGGACGCGTTCAAGCGCAGGGCTGCTTTGGTGCAATGCGAGAGGCGGCGCGATCCGGAGGCCGAGGCAGCGTTTGGCGACCTGACGTCGCGAACTCTCTTGCGGTTCGCAGCTCGCTGCGCAGCGCCCGGCGAAGGCATTGTGGACGGCGCTGATTCGTCGGGCGCAGATCAAGCGCCTTTCAAAGGGCTGTTGTCGTACGTGCAGAAAATCGCCTCTCTGCTTGCAAGGTGCGACACCCTTCCCCGGCACTTGCACGAAGACCGCCCCGACACCCGTGCGAAACGTCGCGCGGCATCCATCGCGGGCCTTACCTACAGGGGCATACGGCGCTGGGACGGCTCGGAGGGCGATGCTGCGACTTGTCTCGGAGTGCGCATGTTGTTCGACCCCCAGTTAGCAGAGCTCATGAAGATCGCGAGCTCTCAATCGCAAACCGTGCGTCCACACCGCCACTCCGACCTGCCTGCGCAGCCGGCCGCGTCCCCCGGCGCGACGCAGTGCCCGACGGGGGGCATCACGTGCACAGCTTTGTGCAGGTGCGGACTGCCTTCAGCCGCCTGGCAGATTACGCGGAGGCCGCGCAGGGGGGGCAGGCGAGGCGATCGTGGGACGTTCGAGCGGCGCTGACAGCCCCTGTCGCCGGCTCGATCACGTACCATTCCTTCGTCCCAGCGGGCGGGGAAAGGTCAGTGCCTGTCGCCGGGGTCCACGAGCGGGTGAGGGCTAGCGACGTCTACGCCAAGACTACCGTTGTTTCCGCGACTGACTTGGAGAAGCACTCGAAGGTTCTCGGGATACACCCGCAAAGCTTCTTGTCAAACGAGCACCCAGCAGGTGAACACTGCTCGAGCGGCATATCTGCGCCTGGCTGCGGCATGTTTCGTCGTGTCGGCGCCCAGTCATTGCGCCACGTGCTTTCCATGCAGGCGGCCTGGTGGACGCGCACGACATGATACGCACAGGGCATTCGAGCGGCAAGGTGCACCTGGCGCACGTCCCCGACGTGCGGTCGGCGGACGTGCTTCGCATCGGGGGCCTCGCCTTTGGCGAAAAGGCGTTTGTTCCGACGAAGCGCGCGCTCCAGTCGACGTTGTCCGGCGCTCACGTTGTGGGCTGGGAACTTGCTCGTCCGGTGCAAGTCCAACCGCGCGGGTCCAACGCTTCAGAAAGGCGAGAAGCCTTGCCTCAGGACACTGACCTCGATCGGTACTGGGGCGACGAGCGCGGCGAGGGCCGTTTGAAGCGCCAGAAGATCGCCACCAAGGACATAGGGTGCAGCACTTGCTCTGCAGAAACCACCTTTCAGACGCTGCTGTCGCTGAGCAACAAGAACAGCTGGGGCTCTTGGTTTCCGCAAGCAACCGATCTCACGTGGGGGTATTGCCCCGTGTGCGGCACGGCGTGGCAGGCGCTGGACGGGGGCCAGGAGGACGTGGTGCTAATCACACAGTGACAGTCCGCCCGCTGACGAGGTGACGCATGTGGCCTCGGCGGACACGACGCTTCGGGACCTGGAGGGATCAGACTAAGTGGCAGGGCATGATGTGACAGTGCTGCCATCACCCGATCGTCTCAAGAGACTGCTCAGCGATTGACAGCTCCTCGTCCGTGGGCACCACCATGACCTTGATCTTCGAGGCCGCGTCGCTGATGACGCCAGCCTCGCCGACCGTCTTCAAGTTGGTGCACGTGTCCAGGCTCACTCCAAGCGGCTCCAGGCCGTGCACGATCGCCTGCCTGACCGCAGCGGCGTTCTCCCCGATCCCTGCGCGAATCAAGACTTCGTAAAGTTTCAGTTACCGGCGATTTGATCGCTGCGTCCGTCACCCGCGGGAGCCGCGACGGCATGCATGGACGGATGGGCTTGCCTGCGGTGAAGACGATTGCATCCACCCTGCCTCCGAGTTGCACCATGTAGGAACCGAGATATTTCCTGACCCTGCAATCTCCATGCCGCGATATCCGAGGTCAGCGCTTGTTCGTCAACACATCAGAACAGGTCGAGCAGGAACATTGTTGTCGCACCTGTGCACGAAGACGTTGAACGCGAGCTCGGACCTCCGCGCCTCCTCACTTCCGGGCTTCTCCTTGATCGTCTCCAGGATGGAGCGGAAGTCCTGTAGACGCGAGGCAGGATGTGGCCGACGTTCCTGGTCGGGTCTTCAGCGGGTCCGCAGCGTGCACCTCATGTCCGTGGCAGGTCGGGCGCACCTTGTTCCCGCAGATACCAAGCAGGCCGGATTTCTTGTTGAGGAGCGTGTCGATGTCCGCGTTGGACATGCCGGCGTTGTTGTGCAGGTACATGACAATCGCAGGATCGATGTCCCCGCTCCTCGAAGCCATCACCAGACCCTCCAGAGGCGTCAGCCCCATGCTCGTGTCGATCGAAACACCGTTCTGCAGGGCGCACGTTGGTGCACTCGCCCGGCGTGAACGTCGCGCGAACACGTGAAAGCCCAGGCAGTCTGCGTGGGTGCTCCGCAGCGGCCAGAATTCCAGGTCGCGCACCTGAATGCAGCAGATGCTGGAGCCTGCTCCCAGGTGGCAGACGATCAGGTTCACGTCCGAGATCGGCCGGCCGAGCATCTGAGCGGCGCGCGCTGACACGTACTTGTACGACGTGCCGTGGAACCCGTAGCGACGAATCGCGTGCTCCTCGCACAGGGCACGCGGCAAAGCGTACGTGTACGCGGGCGGCGGCATCGTCATGTGGAACGCAGTGTCGAACACCGCCACCTGCAGGAGCGACGCAAGCAGCCGGTCGCGTCGGGGTCGGGCACGGGGGCCGCCGCCGTAGATCGGGTCGCTCAGCGCCAGCGGCGTGCACTCATCGCACCTGGGGGCAGTGGAAGATGCCCGTGGCGGCGTGGATCCCGGTGAGGTTGGGGGGGTTGTGGAGGGGCGCCAGGGACGCGGCCCTCTCGATGGTCTTGATGACCTTCTCCGTGACGATCTCCGGCTTGCCCAGGGAGCCGCCGTGCACGACTCTGCAGCACACCTCGCGCCGCGGCGCCGTGTCAGCCGCGGCGACCAGGCACGTCGCGTCAGCTCAGAGTAGGCGGGGGGCGGCACCTGTGCCCGACCACCTTGACGTCGTCGGCGATCGAGGCGCTGAAGCGCGACCGGAGGAGGTCCAGCACCGCGGTGAGCGCCACCCCGTGGTCGGGCATCGGCTGGCTCACCTCCACCTTCTCAGGCGGCTTGCCCTCCGTGGCGATCTGCGCCGCGGTGAGCAGAAACGCCCCCGGCACCTCAGCGCGCGGCGGCAAGGGCGGGGCGGGGTCCGGCGCGAGCACGGCGCGGGGCGAGGCTCGCCTTGGTGACCATGTGTGTCTGCGACTCCCCGATGCGCTCCACCAGGCCGCTCGCCACCGCAAGGAGCTTCTTTCCCCCGGCTCCGAGGGACGAGAAGAGCTTGTACTTCAGGGACGAACTCCCGGAGTTCAGAACCAGGACCTGCAGCGCGCAAATTCATCGGGTAGGTCGACAGCAAGCCTCCCGCCACCGCGGCCATCCACGCGTGTGGCGCGCCCGGGGGCTGACCTTGTCCGCCATCGTGACGCGAGTCCCGGTCGATGTGGGGGATCGGGGGGCGAGGAATCACGCTGCGCCCCAGCGGCGGGAGCTGCGGAGACGGTTGCTCTCTGACCGCAAACCAGCAAGCCGTGTTGCAGCCTACTCGAACAGTACCCTGACCCTCGCGCGGACTGCAGTGCCCACATTTCCCGCCCCGACACGCACTACACGGCCGGGCGTCCGTTTGGCGGACAGGGGGGCTGACGGCGAAGGCCCCTCCTGCGGGGCGGTTGACAGCTGTCCGCACCCCGCCGATCTGGCGAGCGCACACGCATCGCGCGCGCCCCTTGGGTCTCGGGGGCGACTGACGGACGCACTCGCATGCACGTAACACCGGAAACTGCCGGGGGGGGGGGCAGTTCGTGATCGATCTGCCAACGTAGCCTGGACAGCAAGGCGGCGAACACGCCCACGGAAGCGCCCAGGGCCGCGATGGGGCTGCTCAGCGCCGCCTGCGCGGGTGCACCGAGCCTCCTCAACGCCGGGGCGCTCGCGTCGTCGGTGCTCCCCGCTGCATTCCTCGGAATGAATCGGTTCCTGCACCGGTGCGCCCACGACGCATGATGCGGCCCCGCCCACTGTACCCGTGCTCCCCGGCAGTGCCCGCCCGGTTCGCCACTCCCGAATACACAGCGGCGGCGACGTTGCGCGGTGATTGCGTCCCGGAGACGACAGCCCGCGCAGTCTGTGCACCCGCGGAGCTTGCCGTCGGGAACCTGCGTGCGCTCGGGGGTTTTGATCGCAGGCACTATGCGACGGCGAATGACCGGCGTTCCCAGAGCATCTACGTCGTCGAGGCAACCCGGGGCCAGGGCGGGGGCGCGTCCCCGGTGCTGCTCGGTCTCTTCAACATGCTCTCGCGGCAGGTCGAGACCGGGTTCTTCGGTACGGTCCCCGCGAAGCCGTACAACAACTCCAAAACCGGACTCCCGAGACACGTCGAGCTGATCCAGTCCAGGTGATGCGCGCGGCCGCCGGTGTTGCGATTTCACCCACTAGGGGACCCGCGGCAGGACCCGCGTGGCCGGCGACCGAGACGCCGTCCGCCGGCCCGCGAGCGCACTGCAGGTTCCAGCTGCAGGGCCCCGCCAAGGACATGATCGGGTGTCCGCTCGACGAGGCACAGACCCTGATTGGGCTTGGCAAGAAGGACGAGCTGATCGACCGGATCGTGCACGGCTACTCCACCTACAAGTCAGTCCGACGCCCTGCCCCCCTCCCCCCGACTGGCGCGGGCGCCGCGGTGCGCGTGGCGAGCCAGCGACATGAGTTGACACGGCGCAAGTGTGTGTGCCCCCACGCAGGGCTCGCAACGCGTTCGTCCTGCTGTACGGAGGGTCCCGGATCTCGACGCTGGACTTCGACGCGCAGATCGCGTCCGCGGTGCAGGCCCCCATGCTGCTGCTCGTGCACGCTGTGGAGGGCGACAACTACAGGGACATCCTGAACGTGCGGCCCCGGCCTCGTTGCGGCGCCTGCAGAGGGCCCCGCACCCGCGCAGCCAGGCCACGCACGCAGGGCGGGACGCAGCGTGCGTCCACGGTCCCAACCTCGCTTCGAGCTCGCACTCCCCTCCCACCTGCAGGAAATCATGCGTTGTCGCGCACGCATCAAGGAGCAGAAGGCCAGCCTGATGGGCGTCATCGTCAACAAGGTGGAGAAGGCCTCGCTGGCGAGCATGAACTCCACGCTGAAGCACGCCCTCGAGGACGAGGGCATTCCCTTCTTCGGCTGCATCCCGCTGTCGCCGACACTGAGGTGCGGCGGCCGGCCCCGCGGGAAGCCCCCACTGCCGCAGTGGTGGATCGCGGCGCGCTGCCTGGTCGCGTCTCGTGCCGGCGCCGGGCGCCGGGCGCCGGGCCACGGGCGCGTGTTGTTGTTGCGGCATGATGGTGCAACGGGTGCTGGTGGCCGTGTCCAACCGCAGGGAGCTTCGGGTGGACGAAGTGGTGCAATCGACCGGTGCGGAGTGTCTCGCGGGCGATCCCTCCGCGGACATGGACAAGCAGGTGTCGCGCGTGGTGATGGGGTGCGAGAACGTGTCGGAGCTCCTGGACGTCCTGCGCGTGTACGAGCTGCAGTCGCCCGGCCAGGGCTCCCCGATCGTCCTGACCTCGGGCGACAGGTGCGTGCAGGCCGGCCAACACTCGCCTCGCGCGACTGGCTGCACACCTTCCCACTGTCGTCGCTCCCCGAACGGTGCCCGCGGTGCTGCTGACCCCATCTCGCGCAACGCTGCCATTGACGTGGTTCCACGGTCCCGCCAACACGCAGGTCCGACACGCTGCTGTCGCTGCTTGCCGCGCACATCTCTCCCGCGGGGCCCCACATCTCCGCGATTCTGGCTGCCGGGCATCACTCGGGTGAGCGTCGTCTGCACGCCTGCGCGCAGACCCCAGTCGCTCGAACCACGACCTTCGTCCCGTGCTGGCCCACCGTGACACGCTGCGCCCCCGTCGCGTTGCACCGTCCCCTGCAGTTGACCCAGCCGTGACCAACATCTTCCAAGGACTGGCGGAGCGATCTCACCTGCCTCTCTTCCAGGTGAGTTGGCGATCTTTCGCGAGAACTGCGCCTGCCCGGCTGGTTCCCTTGGACGAGAGCGAGCGCCCCACCCCGTGTTTCGACTCGTCACATCCCCACGTCGTTCTGGACGTCGCAGGCTTCCGCGCCGCTGCTCAAGGTCGCCGGCGACATCGCGAGGAGCGAGGGTGCGATTCTCCCGACCAGTACGCAGAAGACCACGGAGAGCATCTTGACCTTCGACCGCTACATTGACCAGGTCCGCCCCGCCGCGAGGTTCGACGCCTGGTGACGCCGTGCGGGTCGACGTCGCCCCACGCGTGCTGCCCGCGCCCGCGCTCACGCAGGACGAGATCTTCGCCAAGATCAGCGAGCCCCCCAAGTCTGACTACGTCACCTCCAAGATGTTCCAGTACAACCTGTTCTCCAAGTGCAAGGCCAACCTGCAGCGCATCGTCCTGCCCGAGGCGAACGACGCCCGCGTGCTGCGCGCCGCGAGCCAGGTCAAGGCGCAGGGCCTCTGCGTCCCCGTCCTGCTGGGCAAGGAGTGAGCCCCCGCCCCCCACCCTTGCACGCGCGCCCGCGCACCGCGTCGTCACTGCTCGACTCGCCGACGCGATGACCGGTGCGTCCTCGCAGGCAAACGATCATCGCCAAGGCGAAGCAGCTTGCTATCGACCTGGACGGCGTCGAGATCATCGATCACGAGGCCAACAACGTGCTGCGCGAGCGGTACGTCGAGGCGCTGGTGGAGGCGCGCAAGCACAAGGGAATGAACGCGGAGACCGCGAGGGACCTGCTGCGTTCGGTGAACACGTACGGCGTGATGATGGTCCGCGAGGGGGACGCGGACGGCATGGTGTCGGGCGCGGCGCACACGACCGCGGACACTGTCAGGCCGGCGCTCCAGGTGAGCGGCCGGCGCTCTGAACGCGCAGCTGAGTCTCGTCCGCGCAGCCGTTGCCAACCCTTTCCCGCCCGCACTGCGCTCTGCAGCTCCTGACGGCGAAGGGCACCGACGGGCTGCCGTCGCTGGTGTCGTCCATCTTCTTCATGCTCCTGCCGGACAAGGTCCTCGTCTACGGCGACTGCGCGGTCAACGTGAACCCCACCAGCGAGCAGCTCGCGCAGATCGGCATCTGCAGCGCCGACACCGCGAAGGCGTTCGGCATCGACCCGCGGGTCGCGATGCTCTCGTACGCCACGATGGGGTCCAACTCGGGCCCGCAGGTGTCGAAGGTCATCGATGCCGTCGAGCTGATCCACAAGCTGCGGCCCGACGTGCACGCGGAGGGGCCATTCCAGGTGCCTGCTCCCCGCCACTTGCCATGCGGTGCGCTGCGCAGATGAGACGCGTCCCTGACCCACGACGCGGGGCGCTGTCTGCAGTACGACGCGGCGGTCGATCCGTCGATCGCCGCCATGAAGATCAAGGGAGAGTCGAAGGTGGCGGGCCGGGCAACAGTCCTCACCTTCCCGGACCTCCAGTCCGGCAACATCGGGTACAAGTCTGTCCAGCAGTCCAACCCCGAGGGTGCGCTCGACGCGACGTCATGCTGCCCCCTCGCATCTCCGTGGCCTGCAGCTGAGCACGTCTTGAATGGCTGACAGACGCCGTCCGCCGGCCAAACGCTCCGCAGGTATCATCGCGATGGGGCCCGTCCTACAGGTGAAAAGGCCGTCCGCCCTTGCGTGTCGTTCTGTCTCAAATCGTGCCGCTTGCAGTCCTGCCTAGTTCTGTCTCAAGGGCTTACAGCGGCGCGGCTCTCCCAGATCGTCCGTGGTTGTTTGTTGTTTTGCAGGGCCTATCGAAGCCAGTGAACGATCTTTCGCGCGGATGCACGGTGCGGGACATCATCAACACAATTTGCGTAACTGCTGTACAAGCCATCGACGCCAAGGCGAGGGCATAAGGACGCAGCCAAGCACTGCTTCGGCCGGACCATGACACGTACGGCCACTGCGCAAGGTGTGGGTGATTGCCGTCACCTGCGGGCAACCCATCTCCTTGAGCGATTTAGGACCTTGGCCCATCAACATCCCGCGACCGATGCAAGGAGGTCACGGAGGTGCCTCCTAGCGTCCAGCTGCATTCTGGCGGGCTCGGGGGCGTGTGATCTGGATCCGTGACTTCCAAGGCCCGGCCTGGACCTCATCTCAACAGTGCTGCAAGCTCCGAACGAGCACATCTCAACATCAGCACCGACCGTTCGTGTCCGAACCCTCGTCGCGCCCCAGGGGGCGTGCCTTGCGAGCGATGTCGCAGAATCCTTCAAGAATGTCACATCTTCTGCGTCCACCGGCGCCGCACGGAGGCCCGGGTGGATCTAATCGAGGGTGAAGGTGGGTGCCTGCTTGCCAGTGCGGGTCTCGTACACGAGGCGGCGCACCGTGTCCCTGTATGGGTCGTCCTCTCGCCGCTGCAGCAGGTACGAGATCCCGTCCGCCACCTCCGCCTTGACCGTGCTGTACACTTGCTGCGTGTACTCCTTGTCATCCAAGTCGGACGGCTTCATCTTGATCGGGCGGTGGAACTTGAAGTAGAACCGCGACGGGACCCTGGGCGTCGGGATGGGAGGCACGAAGTCGCCCTCGTCGTAGTCGTTGGCACTGACCCCGCGGCGCGCCCTCGGAATATCATCCAGTCCCTGCCGCACACTGTTGCCAAAGAGGGGGCTGTCGAGGAGCTCCGACGAGTCCAAGAAGATGTCAACCGAATCCTCTGCAGCACACTTTACGCCGTGAGCCTTGTCAGGGGATTGCGGGCACTGCGGGGCAGCGTTCGAGCGTTCCCGCTCCTGCGATCTAGAGGAACAGCGAACGCAAAGCGCAGTCTACGCCAACACGGGAGGCTCATGCTTGCCTGCTCCGATAGCACTGAAAGGCACGATGGTCGCTCCGTGGCGGGCACACATGCGAACGAACTCGGCGCGCTCTGGCCAGAACAGCTGGTACTTTTCCCCACGCCGCTTGTACGCCTCCCGCACCCCGCCCGGGAACAGCAGGCCCACCTGCGATGCTCATGCAGGCACACAGATATCACGCAATTGTCGTGCGTCGCACCAGGCAGCCGAGCGCGCGGTGCTACGGTTGAAGCGGGCAGTCGACGTCCGCACCTCCTTCGCTTTCATGAGCTTGAACAGGTTCGTTGGACTGACGGGCACGGCGCCGTAGCGCGAGAACAGGGCACCGAGGCCTCCGGCCCCTCCGCCAGGCGAACGAGCCGGAGCTTGACCGAACCGGGACTTGAACCACGCATCGTCATCGTCAGTCTCGCCGTCGTCCGAAAGGTAGCTGCTCCCGGGGTTGGAGAAGATGACCGGGTGCGCGAGACCGCGAGGTAGAATCCCGCGCTCGATGGCGAACGCCTGCACCGTCAGGAAGATCGTGTTAGGCGTCGCGCCGTTCGCCTCGCAGTCTGTGTCCTCTGTGTCAGCGCGTGCACGTCAAGAACGCGGTTGCTCACCTGGATGATGACGCCGAGGTCCGGCGCGAAGAGTTGGTGGTTCCCGACAAGAAGGATCGGGCCCTGATCCGGGACGCGGTCCAAGCCGAATCCCACGGTACCGTCCTCTGCAAGCGTCAATGCAGGCGAGCCGTCGTCCAGTTCGGGCGGTGACCGGTGCTGCCGAAACAATCGAGCACCTCTCTCTACGGCGCTCTGGTCGATGCGCATGAGGCGGACCGCGGACACGTGACATGTGCGATCGACGCCTCAGTTGCCCGATGTTTGGTAACTACGACTTCCGCGCAAAAACGCTGGACTCTACAGCGGGGGGCGCGAATAATCGAACCGCGAACGCAGGGTGCCAACCAGTGGCTGGTCGGGACACGAACCTGCCGTGCTGAGGAAGATTGGGGAACAGACCCGCTGCAACAACTCGATGTTGAGTTCCTTGCAGTCCGCAACGACGTCGCCCTTCGTGGGGATTTCGAGCGGCGCCACCGTACCAGGCTTCGGGTTCGATGGCCGCGGTTTGTTGCCTGCAGAAGAAGTGGATGCGCTGCGACTGAGCGACTGATCGACCAAGCTGTAGTGGCCCGAGAGCGACAAGCAGGCCTGGGCGGTGCACGCACCTGCGGGCGATGTGAACCTCCGTCTCGTGATGTAGAAGTCTTGCTCGACGAGGATGCTCGTCAGGCAGATTCCAGACTCTTGCAACAGCGCATGCGAGCGCCCCTCCAGCAGCACCGACCTGGCACATGGCATCAAGCGCGCCAAACGCTCCCCCTCCTCCTGCATCGTACGGAGCCGCGTGTGCCACAGTGCGTCAAGGGACCGCGCACGGCAGGTGTCCGCTCGCCTGCGCGCCTGTTGTTTCGCACACATGCCCTGACGCGTCGTGATCGATAGTGGCGCGACAGGGGGGAGTGTGGACGGCCCACGCGAGGTCGGGCCACTCACGTCTGAAGGGAGGAGGAGGTCATTGGCTCCCGTGACGACGAGCACGCGCTGTCGAACTCGTTTCAACCGCGCATCATTGTTTGCCTCCATGTACTCGCATCCCTGCCCGAGCAACTTCAGTTTGTGCAGAAGCGTGCCGCGCGGCAAGATCTCTGCACCAGCCAGCAGTGGAAGCACGGCGTGAGTATGGTTCGTTTCGGACCCAGGTGGAACCTTGCCAGCCGTGCTGCTGCGCAGACAACGTCGCGACCAGTTCAGCGAGAGAAAACGCCGTGGAATCACCTGAGAGGCTGCCGAGCGTTGGTAGGAGGTCGACGATCGCGGCCACGAAGCGCTGCGCCAGCTCGGGCGGTGACATGTTGTCAAGGCCGTTAGGACGCCGCCCGAGCGCATCCTGCAGCGTGGCGGGCAGTTCGATGCCGGCTCCAGCCGCGGCCATCTGCAGACGCAGCGCGATCGTGGTCGTGAGAGAGGTGAGCGACGAGTGGTAGTTGCAGCGCAGTGACACATCGCCAGCCTGGCGCGTCGTCGGACCTGCAGCGGGTTCCCGAGCACGGGAGAGAGCGCGAACGGGAGCGCTGCGTACGCCTGGTCCGGCACCGCGCCCAGCAGCGGCCCCACCGTCTGCCAGTTCGTCCGAGAAAACGACGTTGCCGGATTCACCTGCGCAGGCGCACAACGCAGCCCCGTGAGCACCAGAGCGCGCGGACACACGGCGCACCGCGCGGCGGGTCTCGCACGCCTCGCTTCCGTCCGCGCGCACGCACCATGACGACGCGGTGCACTAGGTCGGGCAGCGCCTCGGCGACCGCAGCCCCGAGCAGACCGCCGAAGGACTCGCCGAGGATGTACACGGGGCGGTGGATGTCTGCGCCCGCGCACTCGGCCTCGATGTACCGGATGACTGTCCGCACCAGCTCCCGGAACCCGCTCCTGTTCTGCAGACAGATGGCAGCCACAGGGTCGGGGTGGCGCGGCGGGCGCGTCGGTGCCGCGGTGGCGGGCTCCGGCGGACGCTGCGTCGTACCTGTGGTGGAATGGTCATCGCACGCAGGTCGAACTTCTCCATCAGGCGCGGGAACTGCCGTGCGGCGGCCAGGCCAGTGCCGTCGATGCCTGGCAAGTACACCATGAGCGGCAGCGCGGACGGGTCGCGGCCAGGGACGTCGGCGATCGGCGAGACGAAGCGCGGCCGGCTGTCCCCCGAGCTCTCCTGGAGCATGTCCGTCAGCGTCACCGCCGGCCCGTCGCCCTGCAGTTCGGTGCCAGGCAAGAGGCCCGTGCGCGCCCCCGCCGCGTCTCCCTCCGCCATCAACCGCCATTCCCGCGGACGCGCTGGGGCCTGGACCGTCGACCGGCGCCCCTGCGCCCTGGCCCATGTCGGGCGCGGCGCACCGTGCGCGAGGAGAGAGCGCGAGTTCATGGACCAAGCTCAAGGACCTGAGGCACACGCCTCCGCTCCGCAGGCCGCGGCGAGGAATGTCGACAGAGCGGCGCCCAGCCACGCTCGAGTACCTGTGTCGCCCGGCGCTCATGCAAACAAGGCTCCGCGAGGCGCCCGCCCACCGCAAACAAGCGACCGGGGGCGTGTGCCCTGGGCATCCAGGCGGACAGGCCAGGATGGTGGCCACGAGGCGATTGCCGCGCGCAGCACGAGCGCGCTGGATGTGCCCTCGTCCCGGGTTCTGGCAGGGACGGCTAATACCTCCGGCGGTCGACGGCCCTTTGGAAGTGCCTGGCAGTTGCTTCGAGCAGCCCGCGTCGCACCTGCGTTCGACGCACCGTGTTCCCTCTCTCGGCCCTTGATCTTCTGGGACACAATGAGCAAGCGCAAGGCCGCCGCCGGCCTGGTCGTGATGGGGGAGGGCGCGGACGAGTGCGAGATCATCCCGCTGGGAGCGGGCCAGGAGGTGCGGGGCGGTGCCGCGCGCGGGGGCGACGCAGCCCGCGACGGCGGCGCCCTCACGCCGTCGCCATGCTCCGGCGCCGGTGCAACGTGCGTGTTGGAGACGCCCGAACCTGCGAGGGCGCGTTCAGGGTGCCCGCCAGGGGAAGGCTCGGGCAGCGCTGCGGCGGGAGGGCTGTACACATCGTGTTCGCGGGCTGTGTTGACTGGTGTTGGCTGGCTGCGCGCAGGTGGGGCGGTCGTGCGTCGTGCTGCGGTACCGCGACCACAGCGTCATGCTGGACTGTGGGATCCACCCCGGGTTCCGCGGGATGGAGTCCCTGCCGGTGTTTGAGGAGGTCGACATCGCCTCGATCGACGCCTGCTTGGTCACGCACTTCCACCTCGACCACTGCGCCGCCGTTCCGCACCTGGTAGGGAAGCTCGACTTCAAGGGGCGGCTCCTCATGACGCACCCCACCAAGGCCATCTACTACACCCTGCTCCAGGTGCGCACCGCGCGAGACCGCCCGCCTCGAGCGCCCAGGGCGGCCGTGCGCTTCCCTCCGCGCGGTGCGAGGCGCCCTCGAGTGTTGTGTGTGCAGGACCTGATCAAGCTGAACAGAGACAGCGGCGAGGACGCGCTCTTCACGGACGAGGACCTCGAGAAGTCGATGCAGCTCGCGGAGGTCGTCGACTTCCACCAGGCACGCCGCGCGCGCCGCCGCGCCCCTGCTATTTGCGCTGGCTGCGCGCGCGGCCCGCGACCGACGCCGCCGCGCTCCGACGACGTCCGCGCAGGAGGTGGACATCGGCGGCATCAAGGTGGTGGCGTACAAGGCCGGGCACGTGTTGGGCGCGGCGATGTTCATGGTGGACATCCTGGGGCTGCGCGTGCTCTACACAGGGGACTACTCGCGCATCCCGGACCGGCACATGGCCGCGGCGGAGATCCCGCCCGTGCGCCCGCACGTGGTGATCGTCGAGTCGACGTACGGCGTGTCGTCGCACACCCCGCGCGAGGAGCGCGAGCGCCAGTTCACCTCCATGGTCGAGAACGTCGTCAAGCGCGGCGGGCGCGTGCTCATCCCCGTCGTCGCGCTCGGACGCGCGCAGGAGCTCCTTCTCATCCTCGAGCACCACTGGGAACAGAACCCCCAGATACAAAAAGTTCCCATCTACCAGGTGCGCACTCCTGGTACATGCCTCACTCGAACGCATGCCTCACAGGCCGCCACGCCGGCGCCCGCAGACGGCCACCGCGCCCAGGCGCTGTGCGCTCGCGACCGACGCCCGTTCGCCGCTTGCCGCGCGCGCAGGCGTCCCACCTCGCGAAGCGCGGTCTGGGGGTGTACCAGACGTACGTGGAGATGATGAACGACGACATCCGCAGGGCCTTCGCGCACTCCAACCCGTTCAAGTTCAGCCACGTCAACGTCCTCTCCGGCCCGTCCGCCCTGGACGACACGGGCCCGTGCGTCGTCCTGGCCACGCCGTCGATGCTGCAGTCGGGCTTCTCGCGGTGCGCACCCGCCCGGACGCCGCTCGCCGCTCGCCGCGCGTGCCCACCGCCGCCTACGCACCCGTCGCCACCGTGCGCGTGTCGCTGTCGCTCGCAGGCGCCTCCTCGAGACGTGGTGCGAGGACAGCCGCAACGGCGTCATCATCGCAGACTTCGCCGTCCAGGGGACGCTGGCGCGTGAGATCCTGGGGCACCCGAAGGAGATCCCGTCCGTTGTCGCGGCCCCGGGCCACAAGCTGGCGCTGCGGTGCACCGTGGAGGCCATTTCGTTCAGTGCGCACGCGGACTTCCCCAGCACGCGCGGGTTCCTGGAGACGCTGCTGCCGGACCACGTCGTGCTGGTCCACGGGGAGAAGGAGGGCATGATGCGCCTCAAGGGCGCGCTCGAACGCCGCGCGGGGGCCAAGGACAAAGACCACTCCTGGTAAGCACCCACGCCCTCATCCCAGCAGCGCGCCCGGCACATTCCGCGCAGCCGCCTGAAGCGCTGCGGCGGCGCTCCGTGTCGCACGCAGGACTGTCCACACCCCCGCGCTCGGCGAGGCCGTGCGCTTCCCCTGGCGCGGCGAGGTGCGCGCCCGGATTGTCGGCCACGCTGCGTCCGACGGCCTCGTCGAGGGGCACACGGTGTCGGGCGTGCTCGTGAAGCCGCCCGTCGGGCTGCCGACGGTGATGCACCCCGAGGACCTCCCCGCCTTCACCAAGCTCGCCCAGGGGACGGTGTTGCAGCGGCAAGCGATTGCAACTACCAAGGCACGCCCACATCTCCCTCCACCCCCGGCGCCGTGCTCGAGCCACTGTCCGCCCGCCACATGCATCATGCTCTTGCCATCCGAGCCGCTGCTACCTGCAGGGCTGGCCGCTGATCCGCCTGTCGCTCGAGGCGATGTTGCAAGAGGTGCACAGTGTGGGGGCCGAGGACTTGCAGGTCCGCGACGCAGCCACCCGCACGCGAGCGGCGCCCTCGAGCTCGCGGCGATGACGGCGCACGCGCACGCGCACACGGCGGGGCGCGCTGAGCTGCCGCGCGTCCGGTCCCGCTCGCAGGTCAAGGGGATGCCCCCCACTGCAAAGGGGGAGGAGCGCATCCAGATCGGGGACGGTCACACCCTGACGTACGTGCCAGGGAGCCAGACGGGCAAGGCGCCGGCGCAGGTCGTTCTGGAGTGGGTGGGCGGCGCGCGCGGCGACCTGCTGGCCGACGTGGTGGTTGCCATCCTGCTGGGGGCCGAGGGGCAGCCGCACGGCATGGGAGAGGCGGAGACCGCCCGGCGGAAGGCGCTGGAGAGCGGCGACGAGGACAGCGCGCGGCGGCAGGAGGAGCGCATGGTGGCCTGCCTCTTGCAGGCGCAGTTTGGGGACTGTGTGGTCCTGCCGGACGACCTGCAGAAGAAGCCAGGCGGCTACAACAGGCTGCTCGTGACGGGAGGGCCCGGGCTGAAGGCCGAGGTCGATCTCGCGACGCAGGACGTCGAGCCAGCGGCGGACGCGGGGCCGCACGCCAAGCAGTTTGTCGAGCGAGTCGCAAAGGCGGCGACGCGAATCTTCGAGGCGCTCGGACCCCTCTCGACGTCGTAGGGGGCGTACGTGTGGGACGTTCTGTGGCGCTCGGCCGCGGCAGCGCGACAGCGAGCTGCTTCCTCTGGCAGGACCGTGGTCACTCGCAGCTGACCAGCAGCAAGTGATGCACGCGCGCGAGACAAGGCCGAAGGGTGCCGCGTGTGACCACAGGACATCGGTGGCACGATCGAGTCTCACAAAGTCGTTCAGCGGCCGTCGGCGCGGCTGCTGCGCCGGAGCCGGCCTTCTGACTCGCAGTACACTGCCGAGGGGCACGACATGTCCGGGAAGATGCCCGCCACGCGCATGCGCTGCACGAGCGACGCGCCAGAGACGCGGTGCACCGTGTCCGCCAGCCACGGCCGGACCTGCTGGTCCTGGACGTGGACGCGCGCGGCGACGAGAGCTGCACAGCACAGCGCATTGCACCAGCAGGGTGACCGCTGCGCCCCTGGGAAGCGGACGCTGGCACGGAGAGTCCAGCGCAGCGCTGCGATGAAGCAGGCGCGGGTCGGGGCGCTCACCTGCCATCCATGCCGGGAGGAGGTACAGCGAGTGCCTGAACAGCCCCCTGGCGGCCTGGAACTCGGGCTTGCGCCAGAACGCGGCCGCGGCCACCGTCATCGGCGCGGCCGCGGCCACGGCGAAGGGCGCGAACCAGTCGTCCGCGACGCCGAGCGCGACGGTGGCCACGCCGAGCGGCAGCATGTAGAACGAGTTGCGCAGGGCGCACGCGGCGGTGCGGCGGCCGGTCGCGTCGAGCAGCGACAGCATGCGGTACCCGCCCGCGCGGTAGTCCTCCTTGCACATCCACGCGAGCGCCATGAAGTGCGGCATCTGCCAGAAGTAGAGCGCCGCCGCCAGCGGGAAGGCGCCCGCCGACAGCGAGCCCGTCGCGGCCGCCCAGCCCATGAGCGGCGGGATCGCGCCCACGACCGCGCCGACCCACGTGTTGACGGGCGACCGGACCTGCGGCGCACGCGCGGGCAGCGGAGATGCCGTGATGCTCTGCAGGGGCGGGCGGGCGCGGCGGGGCGCGCGGCGGGCGAGCGAGCGCACCTTGAGCGGCGTGTAGACGAGGGTGTACAGGCCGATGTTCGCGGCGCCGAGCACCGCGGCGAGCTCGCTGCACTGCGTCGCGAGCACGGCGAGCCCGGTGGCACCCGTGATGGTTGCGAACGCCGCCGCGTGGGCGCGGGATATCGCCGCGCTGGGAAGCGGCCGCCCCCGCGTTCGCTTCATGAGCGAGTCGTTCGCGACCTCTATGACCTGGTTCCACGCGTTCGCTGAGAACGCGGCGGCGCTCGTGCCCGCCGCAGTCCATGCCATGCCCGCCCAGTCGATGTGTTTCGGGCTCCCCAGCGCGTAGCCGGCGCATGCTGTCGACACGACCAGCATACTGAGACGGAACTTGGAGAGCTTCATGTAGACCTGGAGCAAACCGGGCTTGGCCCCTGCCTCTGCAATCTCAGCGGGAACGGAAGCGCCATGAGGAGGCGCAGAGGGATTTCGATCGTTGAAGCGCTCGTCGTCTGCGGTGAGCTTCCCAGGACGCGCGACGGGCCTCTCGGGGGGACCTGCCGCGCCACGGGACGCGGAGGCAAGAGCGCAAGGTCATGGGCAGCGCAAGGGTCCCGACCGTGCGCATCAAGACCGGGACTCCGATCTGGGGCCTCACCAGTCGCTTGGAGGGGCGGCGCGGTCGCGTGCGACACGGCGCCCGCGCCCTGTCCCGCAGCCGAGCTGAACCCCCTGCGGGCTGGGCGCCAGGGGAGCCTGCCGCCACATGCGACGTGCCCGAGGTCCGCGCTCTCGCACAGACGACGCTGCAATCTAACTAAGTCGGAGCCAGCCCGCCGCGTGGACATGCCTGGCCCCGCAACCCCAGAACTGGCGGAGAGGAGGATTCAGTAGCAGTGGCTCGTCCACGCCGGCCAGGGGCCGGGGGCTCTGCTCAGCGCGCCGGCGTCGGGGCTCTCGAGAACAACCGTGCTATCGACTGCGGCGACGGCCCGCGACAGGCGCAGCTTGCGCGCGAGCGAAACGTGCAGAAAGTGTGAGCTCTGCCCTCAACGGTGCTGCGACGGTGGTAAAGCGTTGAGACCCGAGCACTCGCGGTGCGCGGACGACTCGAGAACTTGTGACGTTCGTGGCGCGAGCTCGTCTGCCTACGTTGCGCTAGCAGGGGCCCGGTACGGAACCAGGGTGCAACAAAAAATCAGACTGTGTGGCTGTTCGTCCGACGCCTTCCCAGCTCAACTGCTGGTGCCCAGCGGCCCACTGTTTGCCACGGAGCGGTCCCTGCGGAGGTTCCAGACCACTCGATGGCGCGGCGAGCATCACGGCGAGCTGCTGCGGCCCGCCGTGGGCGTTCGATGCGCGCGCAACCCCCTCGAGCAGGCGACACGGCATGCTTCTCTCAACATCACAGCAAACCCTACTTCATCAGCGTGCGCCACGTCAGCACGCATCCCCGGACCCGAGCAGGTCCGACAGACTCAGGTGGAGGTCGTGCACGTGTGCGTTGATGTCAGGCCCCCTTGCGCGCGCTGCCCGCCCCGAGTTGCTGTTGGCGACCGCGGCGCTGGCCACCTGCGGGCTCGGAGCCCGCGCCGACGTGCGCGAAGGCGGCCGCGGCGACGCCGCCGACCCAGACTTGCGCTGCGTGTCCGCGTAGGCGCCTGGCGAGTACTGGCTCGAGGTCCGCCGCACGGGCAGCACTGCCGCAGCGCTGCTTGTTCCCGCAGACGCCTCGGCGCGGGGGGTCGCTTGCAGCCGTGGAGGGGGCTGCCTGGCCTTCTGCGCCTGCCCCGACGCGCTCCCGCGCTGCGACGTGCGCGGCGCCTGCGCCGTCTTCCCCGGCCCGGGGGCGCGCGCCCGCCCGCGCGACGTGGACGTCGCGGGCTTCGAGTGCCCGGACGCGGCAGCGAGGCCCGCGTAGCTCGGCGGGTTGCGCTGCGACGCCGACGAGTCCCTCTGCTGTTTCGCCGGCGCGCGCGGCTTCTTCGCCGCGGGCGCTGTGCGCGGGCGGTCCTGCATGGGCGGCGCGACGCTCTCCAAGTCCCTGCTGGCGTGGACGTGCTGCTCGCGGGGCGGCGGGGGCGGCGGGGACAGCAGCCCGCGCGGCACCGACGGGCGCCTCGCCGGCGCGGGCCGCGCGTCGCGTGCTTGCGGAACGTCACCGGCGCTCCCGGCGCTGCTCGACCCGTCGGGTTCCGAGTCCGAGAACGCGATGTTGTGCGACGCGAGCGCCACGGTGAGGCCGAGGGACTCGTGCCCCCGCGACGACGCGCGGTTGATGGCCCCCAGCGAGGCCACGTCCTTCTCCGTGAGGCCCGCGCTGGGCAGCCGCGGCGGCACGTCCGCGGCGGGGAAAGTCTGCACCAGGCGGCCTGGATCGGCGAGCCGGAACACGCTGCGCGCCTCGGGCGCGGCGTCGTCGTCGGCCGCCGCGCTGGGGGCCGTGCCGAGCCGCGGGGTCTCCACAGGGCTGTTGTCGTTGGCGCCGGCGCGGCTGCTGTCGCGCGCCGGCGTGGAGGACAGGGACACGCGCGAGGAGTTTCCCGCGATGGACGCGCGCTGGTCCGGCGTGGCCGAGGACTGCGGGCGCTCCTGCATCGACGTCCTGCTCATGCGCGTGCCCTCCTTGCCGTCCACCAGGCCCAGGAAGTGCACCTCCATCGACTCCATCCGCATCGCAAGCGCCTCGCGCTGCCGCGTCCTGCAACGGCCAAGCAAAGCGGGACGCCCTGTCTGGCAACTGGGCCCTCCGCGCGCAGGATGTTGGCGCGCACCACGCATGCAATGACGTCGTGACCGGGGCTGCCTGCGCACCTGTCGTCCCTGATCTGCCTGATCCGCGACGAGTTCGGTCGCCCGTGCTCCGCCAGGGCCTCCTGGCCGCCGGGCTGCGGCTGCACGCTCTGCGCCCTCCGCTTGGGCTCTTCCCGGGGCTGCTGGCTGCTCGCGCGGCTCTGCACCGAGGCCAGCGGTGGACGTGTGGCGCTCGGCGACCGCTCCGGCCGCCATGCGTCCGGCGGGCTCGCGCTAAACGCCGGCGGCGGCTGCGTGGGCTGAGAGGTGGCGTCGTCCAGCTCGTCGCCCGGCCGGCCCGGCGCGCCGTCCCTGCTGGCGCGGCTCGCGCCCGTCGCCGAGACGTGCGAGCGGGCGCGCTCCAGCTGCGACCGCCGCAGGTTCGCGAGGGCCTGTTTCGACGTGAGACTCTTGGAGCGCGGGTCCACCTGGGACCGGGCCTCGCTCTGCGACCTGTCGCCGTCCTCCCACCCAGCAGCCTTCGACGTGGACGTCCGGGTGAGCTGGGAGCGACGGAGCGCCGCCAGGGCCTGGCCGCGCGCCCCGGACGGCTGCGAGCGCAGGTGTGCGGTTTCTGGCGACGGCGGGGGGGGTGACTGACTCGCGGGGGAGCTCATCATCGACGTGCGGAGGTTGGGGGGCGGGCTCGCGGTGCCGACCTCGATGGGAATGGGCGCGACGGACTCCGGCGTGGTCGTCGGCGCCTCTGCACGGCTGGGCATCTTTGCCGAGGCCTGCCGCTTCACGCGCGCGGGGGGCTCGTCTGCCGCCTGCTTGGCGAGCTTCGGCGGTGCCGTGCGGGGCGTGCGCCGCGAGAAGAGGCGGGAGAACATTGACGCGTACCCGCCCTTCTTGGAGGTCTTGGCGCGCTCCGTGGCAGGGGTCGCCGGGGACGCGTGCGCCACGGAGGCCGGCGTCCCCGTCTGCTCGCGCGACGACGATTTCACTGCAGCGGCGGACAGAACGTGGCGACGCGGTTCGCCGCGGGAGCAGGCGGCGAAAGTCACCATGCGCGGACACAACAAGGAGGCATCCACGTGGCACAGGCGCTCACCTGCCGACGGCCGCGCAGGCGGCGTCGCGTCCTGCACCGCACCGGCGGCCTGCGGCGCCGTCTGCTCCGGCGTCGCCACGCTCGCGCCGGCGCCCTCGTCCCGGCCCTCGAGGCCGCCGAGCGGCCGGCCCAGCTGCGTGTTGAGCTGCACGAGCTCCGCCTCGGCCTCCTCGAGCTCCCGGTCGATGCGCCGCTGCGCGAGCGCCGCGTGCCCCGCGCCCCCCTGCAGCCGCCGCAGCTCCTCCTCCTCCCTCCGCAGCTGCACGTCCATGTCCGCAAGGTCGTCGTCCGCGCGCCGCCGCGCCGGAGCGGTCGGGGGCGTCGTCCCGCGGCTGTACGAGCCGCCGGCGGGGCCCGCGCGCCCGTTCTCGGCGGGGCCGTTCTGCGGCGCCGTGGCGGGGCGCTGGCGCTGGCGCTGGGGGCTGGCGGCGCTCGAGGCGGTGCCCGGGGTGGTGCGCAAGTGCGGCGGGAGCTGCATCGCGGGCGGCGTGTTCGACGGCGTCGTGGCGACGGCCTGCGAGAGCCGGTTCCACACCTCGGGCGGCAGCTTGCCGTCCTGCTGCAGCTGCAGCACCTGGTCGACGAGTTGCGCGGGGTCGCTGGGGCGTCCGCGCCCGCGCGGGTCTTTCCGGTCCGCCGCGGGGTCCTTCGCGGCGGGGGACTGCCCGGTGTGCCCCGCGGTGTACCGCAGCGCGGCCCCGCGGTCCATGGTGAGGGCCTGGGCGCGCGTGCGCTGCGACATGCGCACGGCCTGCAGCCGCTTGCCCTTCTCCTTGGCGACCTCGGCCTTGTGCACCGCGATCTCGTCGAGCAGCTCCTGCTCGCGCTCGTGCTGCAGGACCGCCTTGCTCTTCGCGCGGTCGGCCAGCTTGCGCAGCTTGAGCAGCATGCCCCACAGCACGTCGTGCCCGAACCCGCTCAGGTCGGGCACCGCGCCGGGGCCGATGTCGTCCGCGTGGTCGAGGTACTGCTGGAGGTGCCGCATGGACGCCATGAAGTGCTCGGGCTTGCCGTTGAGCAAAAAGTCGCCCTTGACGGCGCGGTTCTTGATCTGCTTGGCGCGCGTGGCGTACTTGAGCGTGTTGACCGTCTCGCTGAGGGCGAGCATCGACGTGCTGACGCACGCGAGGACCAGCGTGCGGGAGTTGCCGCCCAGCGAGTCCTGCAGGAGGCGCGTGAGCTTCGAGGCGCGGTAGGGCACATGCTGGTGCCGCCGCGCGTCCGCGGGGCCGACGTGGCTCTCGTCCGAGAGCGCGCTGATCACGTTGCCCAGCGCCAGCAGCCCCTGGTTGATGCTGATGCCCTCCTTCAGCCGCCGCCCGTGCGTCTGCGCCACCTTTTGCCGCTCGCTCCCGGCCAGGTCCACCAGGTGCAGCTTCGAGACGGTGCGGCTGTTGATGACCGGGTCGATGCGCTCGAGCGCGAGCGTGAAGATCGCGTGCGAGCGCGACGACGTGTCGTTCACCGACGTCGCGCTCGTCGCGCGGTTGGCCACGCCGTGCACAAAGATGCGCACCGCGGCCTCCAGGTTCGCCGCCTCGACCTCGCTCGCGCCCGCCACCACGATCGCGCCGTCGCCGTCCTCCTTGATGGACAGCGCCGCCCCCGCGGCCCCGCCCCGCGACGGCCCGTCCGCCACCAGCAGGTCGCGGATCTCCTCGTTGTAGATCTCCAGGAACTGACACGTCAGGCGGTGGTACACCGGCTTGCCCGCGCGCTCGCCCTCCGCCTGCTTCGTGTGCAGCTCGGCGAAGATCGCGCTCAGGGCGCGCGGCAAGATCCCCACCGCGGAGTCCTCGCCCGCAGAGACCGCCGCCAGGCTGCGATCCTCCGCCGCGAGCCCTGCACGAAGCGGTGGAGGCCGCGCGTGGTCGCCGACCGGCCGGCCGCACCGTTGAGGCGACGCGCGCCTAGGGCGGTGCCGCGCGGTTCGTGGCGCGGGCGCCGCACCTGTGCCCATGGTGTACGTCTTGCCGCTGCCCGTTTGTCCGTACGCGATGACCGTCACGTTGAAGCCCTTCACGTACTCCGACAGCAGGGGCGCCACGCTCCCGAAATACAGCTCCTGCTGCGTGCTCGCCGGCCCGTACACCTTGTCAAACCGATACATCTTTCCCTGTCCCTCTCCTGCAACAACGCGCGCCGCGCGTCTCAGGTTCGCAACGCGCGCCAGCAGCGCACACAGAGCGGGGCGCGCGGCGGCGGGCGTCGCGGCGCAGTCGCACCTGCGAGGACGAAGTTGTTCGCCTCCTGCATGTTGGCGTGCACGCCCACCGCGCTGTCCTTCCTCAGCTCCTGCGCGATCAGCGGACGCAGGCGCACCGCGACCTGCACCGACATCTCCGACACCTGCTGGCGCGGCGGCAGGCGCGGGATGTGCGGCAGCTGGCTCATCTGGTTGCGCTGCATGCTGTTGGCCCCAAAGTGCGCCTCCAGGGCCTCGTGCGACAAGAAGTTCTTCCGCGCGAGCCCGTCGTTCTCCCACAGCCGCTCCAGCGAGGGCCCGCTCCGCCGCCGCAGCGGCGTGGGCCCGTCCGCGGTCGCCGGCGCGTCCTGCGCCCCGGCAAAGGGCCGCTCGACGCCCGCCGAGGCAGACCGCGTCAGGCTCGGCCGCACCCAGTTCCGCGGCACCCGCTCCGGGGAGCCCGCGATGAGGCGCGGGCGGGGCAGTGCCGCCGTGGGGCGCGGCGCGCCGTCCGTGGCCAGCGGTGCGCTGGTGGTTGGGTGCGCCAGTGCGGGGCTCGCAGCCGACGAGGCCGCCTTCGTCGCTCCAGGGCTCGTGGAGGACGCCACGGTGTCCGGACTGGCGCCCTGCGCGCCGCCCACGGCCTGCGGCGACGTCGCCGGCGACTTCGACGCAGGTCTGTGTTCCGGCGTCGCAAGCGCAGGCTGCTGCTGCGCTGCCGGCGGCGGAGGGGTGGCGGGTGCGGCCAGCATCTGCGTCAGCGACGGCAGCGTGGCCCTCGCCGGCGCGCTGTCAGCGGAGGTCGCCGTCAGCGAGCCAGGCTGCGCTGCGCTGCGCGACGCAGCGGCGTCGCTGCTGCTGGGCATCGCTGTCACTCGCAGCGGCGTCGCCCTCGGGGGGCTGGCGCCTCCTCGCGGGGGCGGGGGCGCAGCAGCGGCCGGGACGCCTGCCCGGCCCGCGTCCCGCTGCGCCGCGGGCTCCGCGGGCGGCCGCGCGTTGCTTGCTGGCGCGAAAACGGGGAGGTTGGCAGCATCGACCTGCTGCGCCGGCGCCCTGGGCGGGGCGGACTCCGCGGCGTCCGCGCGCTTGCTGTCGCGCGTCCGCTCCGGGGAGGCGACCGCCTTGGTGGCCGCGCTGCTGGACCGCGGCTCCACGGAGGGCGGCGCGGGCGCGGGCGCGGGCGGGAGGGCGGCGGCGGGGAGGGAGGCTTTGAAGGCCGGCCCGCGCGGTTCCTTCGGGGCGGTGCTCTTGCTGGCCGCGGAGGACGTCCGTTCGTGCTTGCTCGCGGTGCTGTGTTTCGAGCGACCCTTGGCGGCGCGCTGGTCATGGATCTTCTGGAGGTTGAGCCGCGGGACGAAGGCCTTCGGAGGGGTGGCCGCGGGGCGCTTGCGGTTGAAGGAGAGGTCCGCGCCGATCAGGCCCGTGGAGCGGTAGGACTCCGCGCCCGAGTCGTCCGAGCTCAGGTCGTCCAGGGGCATGCTGCGGAGCGGCATGGCTGCGAACCCCGCGCGCCGTCCGCCGCCCACCAGCGTGCACGCGGGCCCTCAGTGGAGCACGTACGCGACCGCCCTGCGTCCTTGGCTTCGGGTTGCGCCTCCCGCACTGCCAGACCAGGCTTGAGGGAGCCTCTTCAGCACATCGACGGCTGCAGCGCACGCGGCGAAGAAAACGGCGTCAAAGGCGGCGTGCAACAGCCGTGGGAGGCTCGTGTGCGTGGCGCATCTGTCGCAGAGCCCTGGGGGCCGGCCACAGCGCCGCAGGACCTGGTAGCGGAGGTGAGCACCGGCCGGCGCGCGGCCTCCGGTGGAGCACATCGGCAAGGGATGGCCCCGGGGGGGCGGTATTGGCGCTCTGCGGGGGGGGGGCCGCGGCAGAGCCGCCCCCGGCAGCTGCTGTGGCCCCCGCGCCCGCCTCATCTCCCACATGGAGGAGAACGTGGCAAGCACTGCAGGCCCTCGCTGGGCCGGGACCGGGCCGCCAGGAGCGTACCTATGCACGGGAGGTTCGCCCGGTGAGGCGGGCAGCGCGGCCGCGCGGACGTCCTCGCGTGCTGCGGCCAGCGCCAGAGCCTTGGAAAGCTCGAGGGCGCACCGAGCGGACCACAGGTCTCAGTTGCGACCGTGGTGCGGTCAGGATCGAGAGGCACGCCGGCCAGGTGTGCGGTCGCACTGCGGAGCCCGCGGCTGCCGGAGGGGCCACTGCCGGGCTGGTTTTTGCGTCCACCTGGCACAAACTAGAGGTTGATGCCGCTTTGCGACGAAGAAGTTCCAGGAGAATTGCGCGAGGCAAGCTCTGCGCCTGTCGGTGCGCCCCCGCCGCCCAACGCCCGCCCGGGCCGCGGGGGCGCTGCGGGGAGCGCTGTGGTCCTCCCCCGGTCGCATCCCCGCGGTCTCACAGGCCCGACAACCGCGGGGAGGCATGCGTGGGGCTCCATGGGCCGGCCCGGGCGCGCGACGCGGCGCAGTCCGTGGCAAGGAAAGGGCGGATAGTGGCGGCGATGCGGCGTGCTTGCGCAGCTGCTCTTCGGAGCTCCAGCCTGCTCAGGCAAGGGGAGGCCGCTCCTGCCTTCCAGGCGGTGCCTGCAGCGTGAGTCTCCCGACACTGATAACGACGGCCGCGGATTCCGGGCCGTGCGCGCGCAGCAAGTCTTTTCGCGCGGCCCGGGGCGGTGATGGTTGCTCTCGGTGCGGCGTGGACGGCATGGGAGCCGCAACCGACGAATGTCGGGCCTAGGGGTACATCGCCATTTATATGGGCGACCGTCCCGAGGGCGTACGAGCGCCGGGGAGCTCCCGAGCCGCACGGCTTCCCGCCCGAGTCGTCTCGTTGCGCGAGTCCCGGCACGCAGAGGCCCTGCCCGGGCAGGGTGGCGCGTTGACGACGCGTGGGATAGATGCTCCATGCGAAGGGTACCGGCGAGATCGCCGGTGGGCCTCCCACGGTGCGGAGAGGCGCCCTTGAGCTGCACAGAAGCTTTCGTCGCACCCCGCCCTCTGTTGAGCGCCTGCAGGGAGCCAGCAAGCGGCGTTCGCTATGCATCTGGACTGGAGGCCGTGAAGGCGCGCATCAAGACGGTCAAGAACATCAAGAAGATCACGTCGGCCATGAAGCTTGTTGCTGCCTCCAAGCTCCGCGTTGCACAGACGGCCACGGAGGCCTCGCGGGGACTCGCGACGCCGCTCACGAAGCTCATCGGGGACCACCCTTCGCTAGAGTCGTCGAAGTGGTGCGCGGCCCGCCTCTGCCGCCGCGAACGGGCGCTTGCCTTGCGCTGTTGTGCTCGCCGCCCGGCCTGCGCGTGCCTGCGCGCAGACGCGCGTCCCTCGCGTCCCGCAGCATCCCCTCGGCGCCACGGGGCGCGTCCCTGCCGCGCCGCTCACCCCGTGCGCCGCCCGCGGAGCTGGGTGCAGTTTGACGATGGCGGTGACCTCCGACCGCGGCCTGTGCGGCGGCATCAACAGCACCGTGTCCAAGTACACCCGCGCGGTATCTAAGATGGATGGGATGGGCGAGGACCACCGGCTGGTCGTTGTCGGCGAGAAGGGCCGCAGTCAGCTGCAGCGCGACCTCGGCAAGCAGTTTGCCATGAGCATCACCGACACCGCCAAGACCAAGTGCGGCCCCGCCCGCGCCGCGCGCACCGCGCCCCCCGGCGCCGCGCGCCGCACCGTCGCGCTCACCCCCATGCGGCTGTGCGCGCAGGCTGACGTTTGCGTCCGCGGCGATGATCGCGGAGGAGGTGCTCAAGGAGGAGCCGGAGGTCGTGCGGATGATCTTCAACCGCTTCGTGTCCGCGATCTCGTACAAGCCCACGGTCGCCACCGCCCTCGGCCCCGTGCAGATGCAAGAGGTGCGCCCGCCCGGCCCGCCGCCCGCCCGCCCCTGCGCCGCGCCCCGCCCGACGAAGCGCGACGCCCCCGCCCCCCCCCGGCGTGTCCGCAGGCGCTGGCCGCCACGGGCAAGATCCAGCAGTACGAGATGGAGGGCCCGGAGACGGAGGAGGAGCTGTGCCGGGACCTGGCCGAGTTCCAGATGGCGACGCTGGTGTTCAACTCGCTGCTGGAGAACAACTGCAGCGAGAACGCGTCGCGCATGTCGGCCATGGAGTCGTCTACGAAGAACGCGTCCGAGATGATTGACAAGCTGTCGCTGTCGTACAACCGGGCGCGTCAGGCCGCCATCACCACCGAGCTCATCGAGATCATCTCCGGTGCCGCCGCGCTCGAGGGCTAGACACGGCGCCCCGTGTGAGACTGTGCATCGGTGGAACACACACACAGGCCTCCTCGTGCCCCGGCGCGCCCCTTGCTGCGGTGGCGAGGCCGGCCCCGCGCAGCAGCCCTCACACGCGCGCGAGGACGACGCGGTTGGTGCGCATCGTCGCCTCCATCGTCGTCGCCTCGCGCCACCGTGACCATGGTGCTGCGGCATTGCCGTCGGCAGCCGCTTGCGGGCCCCATAGCGACGCCGGTGGATCGCCCGCGCACCCTCCAGCCACGTGCTGCTCGCCCGTCGCCGGGTCGGCCGGCTGCGGCTGGTTGACCGCGCACCAACGTTTGCACAGCCTCCACCGCGTCGAGGCCGGGGCTACCTGCGCGGGGGCGCGCCGAACGCGCAGCGCAGACGCAGCCGGAGTGACGGGGCGTCCACAGGTCCGGCACGCGGGCACATCTCCGCCAAGACCCACTCGCAAAGAACTCCACAGGAGGGGGGGCGCTTTTTGTCGCACAGCCCGCTCCAACGGCGTCACCGCCCTGCCGACCGCGAAGGACCGATGCCTGGGCCTTGGCAACCGACTTACGGCGGACGGTGCACGCGAGACGCGACGTGCGCAGCCGCCACGCCTGAGTGGAACACCGCGTGTGCGCGGCAAACTCGGACGAGTTCCAGGGGGCGCGAGACATCCGCGCACGTGCACCGAGCTGTCCAGAGCCGCGCTGCTCAGGTCAGGCACGCCGCCGCCCGTGTGGGACTCTGTGTCGCTCGCAAGGGGAGGACGCGCAGCTGCGAACAGGTTGCTAGGCACTCCACTTTAAGCACTTCCCGCACGTCGCCAGCACGGTGTGGGTCCGGCGAGATCGCCCGCGCACCCCCCAGCCGTGCACCGTGCGCGCCCGGAGAGCATGCTCCATGTCGCGGGGGGCGCCGCACGGAGCCGTGGGAGGCGAGCTCACCTGAGTCGGGCGTGGGGTGGCGCGAGGTCCCCGACGCCGCGTCACGCGAGGAGGCCGCATCGGCGCGCGCGGACGACATGGGACGACACTTTTGCGACTCCTTCGAGGCGAAACGACAGGTGAGGCCTCGCCGCGAGCCGAGTGTGCCAAGCGTGCGAGGGCCCCCTCACGTCGACGATCGACGCCAGAGGAGGCTCGCGCTGCCGGTACCGGCGTCCCTTGGCCTGCTTTTGCGCACTGCGCTGGCCGTCGCCTGCCGGTGCTGATCGTGCGGGCGCACTGGCACCGTGATGCGCGGCCGGTAGAGCAGGCGGGCGTGCGCCTTGCGCGCTGGCCCATTGCCCGGTCTCGTGGAATAGTTGCGCTCTCTAGTCCATTTGTATCACACGCGCCGCGCGGCCCTCGCCGACGCGCGCTGCAACCGAGGCGGCAGCCTATTGTAGCCTGCAAGGCTGGATCTAACGCGGGCACGGCGCGACCGGGCGCTCGCCCGCCTTTCCGTCCGCGCGAAACAGTGCTCGAGTTACCCAGGCCCCCGTCGCTTTGCTATTTCGGCCCGTGAAACCAGTCAGTGGCGCGCGCCGGGCCGGGGTGCGCTTCGGGCAGTTGTGCCCCCCGAGCGGCCCCCGCTGCCCATCCGGGCCCCGCCGACGGTGGCCCCGAGGGCAACGCGGACCGTTGGCCCGGTCCGGGCCACTTGATTGCCGTTCGCTCGGGCATTCCAGCTGCTTTCGGCTAGGTACCCAGCGGGCGCGATCGCGTGCCGCCCGCACGGGCTGCGATTCGGGCGCGATGCAGCGGGAGACCCTTTCGTTTGAGCTCGTGTGCGCGGGAGCGCTGCGCATTGTCGCGATGCGGGCGCCAATACGAGGGCGGCGCGAGTGGCCCACAGTCTCCTCGACCCACGCCGGGCTTTTTGCGGCCGAGCACGCTCCGACGAATTCACGCCACTTTTTCGGCCGAACCCAACCCACTCGTCCCGCATCCCAGCCGCAGTGCGGCCGCGGGACCTCCACGGCCCCTCGCGCACCGTGTCTCCTGGCAAGGTCTAGGCTCACCGCCGCGCGGCTCGCGCCCCACACTGAGCCCGCCCGCGCCCGCCGCGGCCCCTCTGCAGGTCGAGCAACAATCCGCGCCACGCACGGCGGCCCGCACGGACACACGCGCTGCCGGACCGACACCATGGTCTGCAGCGAACACCACTCGCATTCCACGCGGCCGAGCAACGGCGCGTGCCACGGCCTGGTGCGCTGCCGCCAGTTCTTCCAGCAGTGCGAGAGCTGCCCGCCCGGATCGTGCGCCAAGGCCCAGGACCTCCTCCTGAAGTACTACTGCCTGGACTGCCGCGTGCCCCTGTGCTGCGGGTGCCGCAGCCAGCACGCGACGCACGACGTGCTCCAGGTGCGCCGCGACGCCGCCGCAGTCGCACGCGGCACGCACTCGCCCGGCGCGCCCCGCCGCCCAGCTCCGCGCACGGGCCGCCCCGCCCAACCGACACGCCAACATGCCCGCCGGCGGCTCCCGCTCCCGTTCCCGCGCAGGTGCGGCGCTCGTCCTACCGCGAGGTGATCAAGGCCAAGGAGCTGGCCCGCGTGACGGACACGTCGGGCATCCAGACGTACGTGATCAACAGCAACAAGGTCATCTTCATCCACTTCCGCCACCAGGCCCACCCGCCCAAGGGCCTCAAGCCGCCCGCCAACTGCGTCAACTGCTCGCGGCAGCTCCTGGACGCCCAGGCCCAGTTTTGCTCCCTGCAGTGCTGCATGGACGCCCGCAGGTGAGCGCCCGCACCCCTCCCACGCCGCGACCGTGACGTGCCTCCCGCTGCTGCGCCCCCGAGAGGCGCCCCGAGCTCACGCCGCCCCCGCGCCCGTCCGCGCCCTCGCAGCGACGGCGACGAGAAGCCGCGCGGGACGCTCCCGGGCAGCCCCGTGTCGGACAACGAGCGCGGGCACTCGAGCATGAACGAGACGTGCACCGTGTCCGAGGAGGTGTCGCGGGACGTCTCGTACGCCGCGCTCCCCATCGACGGAGCCGCGCACCTCGAGACGAAGTTCGAGGCGCTCCCCACCCCCAAGCGGCGCTCGCGCGCCGACAAGTACTCGGCGTCCCCCTCGCCCAAGCGCCGCAAGGCCTCGGCGCCCATGCGCGCCATCATCTAGAGAGACACGCGCATCAGCAGAGAGATTCAGAGAGCGAGACGTCGGGAACCATCCTCGAGACCACGTCGCGGCATGATCGCTGCCGCACGAGCCCCTTGAACCATCCAGTCGAGCCGAGTGCCCCCTCCCCCCCCCGGACAACCCCCCTTTGCCCCCCTCCCCCCCGGCCCCTTTCCGCTCGCTCGATCCTATCGATGCCCTGCGAATAGACTGTCCGAGCGTGGCAGGCGAATTCGCCGAAGAGAACGAGCGGCCCACGGCCGGCTTTTCCAACAGTCTCCAAACGGCCTTTCCCCCTCTTACCTCCCAGACGAGTCCACGCCCGCCCCGACTCGTGGTGCGCTACAATCAGCTCCCCTGCACAGCCCCCCCCCTCTTTCCCCCCCGCTCTTTTCCCTTCCCCCGTGCACGCAACGTCCTCCATCCGCCTTTTTTGTCCTTCCCTTCCCCGTTCTCGGCACGTTCACCGTCGCGCACTGCACGTTGACAAACGCCTCCCGACGCCCCAACGAGCCACGTTTTCCTGCACGGTGCGAGCACGTCTGCTCGCTCCCCGCGCGCGAAGCACTCTATGCTCCCCCTACCGGAGCAACGGTCGAAAGTCAGACGCGGGCGTAGGCGACCCGCCTCCCGCGTCATTTTTAATGGAGCCCCCCTCGCGTGCTTTCCAAGCGCGGTCGATGGTACAAGAGCTAATGGGTTGCAGCCCTGGTCGCGTTCGACCTCCCGGCGCCCGTGCACTCTGATCCGACGCACTACAACCACCGTGGCCCGTAGATAACCATCCAGTCCACACCGCCGCCCGCAGAACAACACGTGTGCCCACGACTTTCGCTCCGTAGGTCCCAGTTTTGTACCACCCTCTTCCTGCACCTCCTCCTCCTCCTCAGTCAGCGGATTCCGCGTGTACTTGTTGTGTAGCGCCAGTGGGCGGCATCAATGAAGCAGCGAGCCACCTCCACCCACGTTCCGCTCAAGCCAACACTGGCTCCACCTGCACCACCCGACCTCTGCACAGCCGTCCGTTCCACGGTGACGACGCTGCGATGCTCCATTTCAACATACACCCCGCTTCTGCTGACACCGCACGCGCACCCCTACCCACGGGCCTGCGCCGCCCTGAGAATCTTGAAAGACAGATAGAAGTCGGCTTGTAACGTGACGTAGACGCCCCCGCGGTTCACCCGCGGACGCCGACCTCGCCCCTGCCGCTCCCGCGCCGCACGCGCCCATCGGCCAGCCGCAAGACCGCCAACGCACTCCGGCGCGACGAGGGTTGAGCCGCGTCGTCGTCGCGCGCCCTGGCACGTGCTGCGGTGCCGACTCCGCGCGCCGCAGGCGAGCAAGTGATGCAGCGATGCAACTCCCGTGCCATCGCGCCGCCTGCGCGTGGGCGAGCAGCGCATCGGGCCCGTGGTTGGTGCCGCTCATGTGCAGGAGGAATCGCCGCTGTGCTCGCGCCACGCGGGACAAACTCGGCTGCGGTCGCTGCACATGCGCGTGGTGCATCTTTATCCTCCCCGCGACCGGATAATTCGTGCATTCCACCTACGGAGCCCGACTCGTTGGCCTCGAGACACCCCCGACTCGACAGTTGCGGCCACCGTCGTCAATATGGGGATCGCACGCGGCCGCCGACGGCCATGTTGATTTCTTTGGACCAAACGTGATACGTGCGGAGGGTGCCGACCACCATCCATCCCGCTACCGAGACGCCGAAGAGCCCGAGTCGTGAGACCCCGTTCACGGCGTGTGTGCGGCGTGTCCCAGACACATTTCTCCCAATCGCGACGAGTACGAACTCGGAGCATCGCAAGCGTGAAGCGATAGCGCGGTTCGTATCTTCATCGAGCGCGCGCTGAGGAAAATAGGCTTCAGCCTAGTCGACAGAGCTCCCTGCAACCCACGACCCACCTCCAACATGGGCAAGTCCAGCCAGTACAAGGGAGTTACTCTCTTCCGCCCCACGAACAAGTGGAGGGCGCAGGTAGCCACCCCACGAGCCGCGTCGTCGAAAGTTTCCGAAGGGCTCGACCCACGCCCTGCGCGCCTCCTGCGCGCCTCCGCCCGCTTCTCGACGGCCCGAACCCGTTTTCACGATGTCGATGTGCCCAGAGATGCGTCGATTTGTCCGCTTAGTTCCCGCACCGAGCGGGCGGCGACCGGGCACATTCTGGATCGGCTGCACCTCGCGTGCGAGCGGCGAAGTGGCCAAGCTCGCCGCGCGCACACGCTCTTGTGTCATGAAATAGCTTGAACGCGCTCGAAAATTTTCGCGGCGGTGGCGTTGACTGCAGATTTCCGTGCTGGGCAAGACGACCTCTCTCGGCGACCACAGCAGCGAGGTCGACGCCGCGCGGACCTTCGACATGGCCATGATCCACCGTCAGGGAGGACCCGGCGCGGCGAAGCTGAACTTCCCGGTCGCGGACTACGAGCCCGTGCTTCCGTTGCTCTCTGGTGCGTGCTTGCGCCGACCGGCCGAGCCTCTGCCTATGCGCGGCACGCGGCGCCCTGCATGCGCTCCCATGATCACCTTCAGCGAGACGACGTTGCGCGCGCCCTTCGTGCGCGACGTATTACGCGCTTCGGCGCGGCTTGGACCTGCCGTGCGATCAAGCGGCCGCCCAGGGCGGGGGGCGCCGCAGGGATCGCGCAAGCTGCGTCGTCGCGACGAACTCCAACTCGCGACATCCTCTCGATCGTGCGATACAGAGAAGCTGAGCTGGAACGAGGCAGTCGCAGTGCTGCGCGCTCGGGCCAAGCGCGTGAACCTGTCGCGCCGCGGCAGCAGCGCGCACTCGAACGCCTCGCTCGAGGGATCTTGCGCCGAGACTCCCACCGTGTCGGGAACGCCCGCCAGCGTCAGCACGGCGGCGGCCGACCATGTGCAGCCCGACCTTTCGGACGTCGACTCTGCAGGCATGCTCCCGCCCTGCGCCACCCGCATCTGCTCGGCATCGATCGCATGCGAACTGCAGCTTGCTACGGACGCGCGCCTGCGCCCGTGGCTGGCGGGAGCGCGAGGTCCCGGCGGTGCAGTGTGCGCCGCAAGCCACGTCGGCCTGTCGGGGAGCCCGACGCACCATGGCGACGGATGGCCGCCGCCGAAGCATAGTTGCCTCCCCGACCGCGTCCCGACCGTGTTCCGCGCCGTCTCTGCCGCTGCAGACGTTGTTGAGCCTGCGCTCCTGAGCGGCGACGACCTCGACACCCTGCGCGACGGCAAGGGGCGCCTCATGGTCGACGTCGTGGCCAGCTCCCTGTTCAGCAAGTCGACGACGCGCTCCCCGCTCGGTACCGCGAACAAGAAGGTGAGACACCGTCCCCTCGGAGTCGCGGTGTTCGTGTCGCACCTCCACTCGCCTCCCCGACCCCCCTTCCGCAGCGCAATGAGCGAGTCCGACTCGCCCCCGTCTCCGCAGATCGCCGGCAAGCGCCGCTCTCGCCGCGCGCCCTGCCGCGCCCTGGCCATGGACCCCCTGGCCGTCCTGGAGGCCTTCGCGGCGTGCAGCACCGCCACGCCCCGTGCCAGCGGGCCCTTCGCGCCTCTCGTGTGCCCTGTCGCGTTCCACAGGCAGATGGCATGAGCTGCAACGACGCCCCCGGGTCGTCTCACGCGCAGCTGGACGGCATCGACCAACGGTGCTCGAACGTCCGTCCCCCCCCACCAAATGCACAGCCTGGCATCGCGCGGAGACCGCGCGCCCCCTCGCCCCAACTCGGGACGCCCCGAACTATCCTAGCAGCCCCCCCCTCCCCCCCCGCCCTCCCTTCCACGGCCTCGCTTCCCCAGCCTTGCTGTGGTCGCCGCCGCCCCAATCGAAGTCGTGCGACGACGTTCGTTTCCGTCGATCCCAGTCGCGCCGCTGGCCAAGAGAAACCCGCGACTGCCTGCTTAGAGGAACTCACCGCCGCTATGCGTTCCGCTCGTCGCGCCGGACAACACAACGAACAACCCCAAGCAGCTGACCGCGTGAGGCGTCCTCGCCTCACACCCAGCCCGCCCGGATGCACCGAACCGCGCGTGTCACGGTACCAGTAGCGCGCTGCTGTCAGAATAGATCGACGACCTGGCCATACGTTGCATGCACCTCCCATGAGCGCACCACCCCGCCGGCCTCTCCGTGCCCCGCACCCACCCCGCGTCCTCGGTCCCCGCGAACCGATCCCTTACCATCCCCCGTACCTTCAGCGATGACGGGCCGTCCTGCCTCGTCCGCTGACGTTGCCTTGACCTCCAAACCGTAGTCCCACCCATCCAATCAAGCCTGCATCCTGGCGGTGGCGAGCAACGATTCCCCCGCACCCCCCCTCTCTCCCTAACTCCGCTCCGAACATCTCGTTCTTCTAGGGGCCTTCCCTCCCTCCCTTCCCCTACGCTTCCCCACCCCTCGACCCCCACGAATACTGGGTGCCCCCCTCCCTCAGCCCTGTTCCCTCATCGGGAAAGGGTCCCCTGCAGCCTTGTGGAAACACCAGGCGTTTGTGCCCGACTTGATCCGGCACGGCGTCGCACGCATCTGAATGTGTCGGGGCTCCCGGCCCCTACCCTCCCCTGCGCGGCCCGCCATCCCAGCACGACCAGATTGCGGTCACCTCTGTCCGTTCGCTGTCACCCCTCCGACCCCACCGCCACCCCTCGCCCCCTCCGTGCTCCCCCCCCTGCATCTTCCGGAAACGTTTGTCAGTGTCGGTGCCACCAGTGTCTGTCCACCCAAGTGAACTGCAGGCTCTCGCCACGAGGCAGAGCGAGGCCCGCCCGTCATAGTTGCAACCATGGCTCCCACTCAGCCGCACCGTACAAAAAGCACTTCCGTTTTTGTCTTTCAACACCCCTAAAGCCGACCGACTCCGATGCCAGAAAAACGAGACCCCTCACGAACACTTGCACGCTGGGCTCGCGTATCGACATGAAGCGAGCAGCGCCCGCTTCGGATCCGACAGAGCCAACCACCACCACCTGCAGCGATGAAGCCGCACGAACCACTGCGCGCGGGCCCAACAGCGCAACGTTAAGTAATGCTCCGTACCCGTGGTAGGCCGCCCCTGGGCCAGCTCCAAGCTGGTACGCAACTCGCGCTCGCTTGCGAGAGCAAGCCGCGAGACACCCGACGCGAGACTCGCAAAATTGTGAGTGAGAGTTAGAAGACACCCGATGCGAGCGACGTCTCACGACAGCAGAGCCCGCCGGACCTCACCCGCTGACGGGGCGCCTCACATGGCAAGCGCGGACATTCCACCATCGTCGTTGCTCGCTGCCGCCCGTGGAACACACTGTCCACAGGCACCTCGCGAGCCCTTGCTGCATCGCGAGTCTCGTCGCCGGTGCAAAGGACGGAACGCCTGGGGCCGCGATAACCTCACAGGAAGTACTCCGGCTCCTTGCCTTCGTCGTCCTTCTTCTCAGTGTCTTGCGACATATCAGGCGCAGGCACGTATTTCCTCGGCTGGGAGAACTTGCGCATGACCGACGTCGCGATTCTGCACTCAACACTGGAGGGCCTGGAAAGGGTGAGGTCGCGCGTCCAACGAGCGTTCGCCGGGAGAACAGACGGCGGCCGCTGCTGGGAGTGCGGTCCTCTTGCGGTGCGATGTGCACGGCACACTGATCTGAGCGAAGCGGTGTGCGAATGAGGGCGAGTGGGACCGCGCCTGTCCCACGGAGGCTGGGAGGTGATGATGGCGGAGGTGTCGGGGCGGAGGCGTTTTGCCATGGAGTACGCAAACACCCCCCCGAGCGCGAGGGTCGTCCCGATGATGTTCAGGGTCGACGCCGGCGTCTTAAAGAACAGGATCGAGGCGGCGATCACGACGACGCGCTTGACGCAGTTGCCGACCGAGTGCGTGACGGGGGTGACGCGCTGCAGGATGGCGAACGATGCCAGGACATCCACGAACCGGCACACCCCGGCCAGCACCGCCTTGATCAGCACGTCGGACGTCAGCGTCGACGTGCCCTGCACGCACGCAGCGAGCGTCGCCACGTCAGGGCCGGAACGCGCACGCACGTGCACGTCGTGCTCCGGCGCCTGGCGCGCCGGGCCGTACCTGCGCGATGGCGCCGAGGGCTGGCCCGTCCAGGTAGCACACGAGCGGCGTGATGAAGACGAGCGCGCCGATCGTGATCGCGGCGAAGATGTTGGTCTCGTCGAGGGACTGCATGTCCTGCTGCGACGAGTCCATCGTCTCCAACGAGTCCAGCGAGGACTGCACCATCGTCTTCTTCGACAGCACGTTGCGGCCCTGCACAGCAGCACCGGCCCAGGGCGGCGCGGGTCGGCGCGGGCCGTCGCGCGAGCATGGCGGAGCGTGCGGGCTCGCGGGCGCGGCGGGCGTGCGTGCCTGGAAGCAGAGGTTGGACGCCATGGCGGACAGGAAGCCCGGCCAGGTGAAGGAGATGTCGGTGAGGCTGGCGATGATGACGCCGGCGACGATGGGCGTGAGCGTGACCAGCACGGGGAGGGTTGGGGCCGACCCTAGGAAGAACCACGAGAGCATCACGGTGAAGAAGGGCTCGAGGGACTTGATCGTGTGCGTGAGCGACACGGCCACGGAGCCCAGCGACAGGTTCGTCGTCAGGAAGCCTGCGGGTCGGGGGGCGCGCGGCGCAGGAGTGGTGGCTGGCCGCGGGCGTTGGCGTGTGTGTGTGTGTGCGTGGCAGACGCGGACGAGGCGGGCGGCTCACCCGCCATGTGGAGGACGGAGAGGGGGAGGACGATGGAGATGACGCGCTTGGTGAGGATGATTGGTCGCTTGAGTCGCGTGGCCCACAGGGCTGACATGATGATGCTGCCGACCGCCAGGTGGATGGCCGTGGCGATCGCGGGGTGCGGGTAGGCGTTCAGCATTTGCTTGTTGAATATGTTGAAGTATATATTGGCTGCGTACCACGCGCCGAACAGGCCAGCGAGGAAGCATGCGCCCAGGAGATCCTTTGCCAGCCCTGCCAAGGACCGCGGTTGCAAGGCCGAACCCCCAGTCTTCTTCGCGCCCAGCACCGTCACCTTGATCGTCCGCTTCACCTCGTCCGCCTTCCCGTCCGACACGTCCTTCTCCTGCACGCAAACGCTCGCGCGGGAGTGCAGCAGTCACTGCAGCTGCGGTCGCCCGCGGGTCGTCATGCTGCGACGGCCGCGCTCGGAAGGCGCAGGACCAGTGGCCGGAATGGACAGTCCAGCTCACCTGCTCCTTCCCGTACTCCTGCCCATCGCCCTTCGCCCGCAGACGTCGCGTCCTGTGCCGGTGGTGCAGTTGCGCGCCTTGCCGCACCGAACCCGTGCCGGCGCAACCGCCTCTGCCCGTGGTACCGACACTATGGTGCTTGACCGTGCAAGCAGCAGCCGGGCGCAATGCGCGCGCTCCCAGCGCGGTGCGCGGCGCGCACGTCTGGGCTGCGGCCGCGCACACTCCTGCGCGCATGTTCTCTCCACGGCACACACAGCCCACGCACGCGTCGACAACCCCCGCTCTGAGAACTGCCGCTGCCGCCGCGCACGCGCCCCTTCGCGGGCGCCGCCAACGCACCGTCCGGGACGGTCCATGCTCAACGTCACTCCCCCCCGAACACTACCGTAGTGTTGGGTGACCCCCTGCGGCGACGCCGCGCATCCGCGCGCACGCACATCCCAGCCCAGCTGCGCGGCACAGCTCCGAGCCCGCACACAGAACCGCACCCGGTTCCCCCCAGCGCAGCACAGCTCACACCACCGCCGCCGACGGCGACCCGCCCGCGCGCCCTCACGCCCCCTCGCCCCCGCCCTCCCCCTCGCCCCCGCCCGCGCCGTCCCCCCGCAGCGCCGCCAGCCGCCTCTTCACCTCCTCTGGCATTTCCTCCTCCTCCTCCTCCTCGCGGGGGCGCTTCGACCCAGCCGCAGCGCCCCCCGCAGGCCCCCACGTCATTCTGTGGGCACCCTCCGCCTGCGAACGAGCGCGGACGGCCGCGCAAGGTTGCCGCGCGGTGCGAGGCTGCAGTGGCACGCGGGGGCGGCGCAGGGCAGGGGCGCGCGGGCGGGGCGGGGCGGGGCACCTCCGGGGCCTCTTCGTCGTCCATGGGGGTGTTCCACCAGATCGGTCCGCCGAACTTGCCGTCGCCGCTGACGCAGCTGATGCAGCCAGTGTTGACGTTGGGACTGATGCGCTGCTGGCCGGTGCGCTTCCGGAGGGGCACGCGGCACAGGGCCACGCCGCCGAAGTTGTGATTGCTCTTCTGGATCGCCAGGATGGAACACAGGTTCTCGTACCCGGGCTTGCGCCTGCAGCGGTCGCGCGAGGGGCATGGTGCGTCAGGGGCCGGGGGGAGGTGCGCCGCGGGCCGGCGGCCGCATCCGCACGTGGCAGCGCGCCGCGACGGTGCGAGTGCGCGGGGCTGGATGCCGGCGGCGCGGGGGGCGGTGCGCTTGCCACTTGGCTATGAGGGCGGCGTCGATGATCTTGTTCCGCGCGAGCCAGTCGTACAGCTCCTTCGACATGACCTTGCGCCGGTACATCAGGTCGAAGATGAAGCGGTTCTTCTCCCAGTGGATGCGGTGGATCTTCCAGGACAGCTCCGCCCGGCGCTTGCCCGCGTGGTCCTCGTTCACTGCGAAGGCAACGGCAGACGGGGCGGCGAACACGCTGAGGCTGCGTCATCACGTACACGTTGCGGTGCCCGCCGCGTCGTCGGCGCGCGTGCCGCCGGGGCTCGCGCCGCGTGAGCTTGCCTGCCTCCTTCAACTGGGCCTCGAACTCGTACAGTGCATCCTCAATCAGCTCCCAGCCCTTCGGCGCCTTCTTTCCCTTGATACGCGCCCTCCAGGACATCGCGCTGGAACCCACCGAAGAGGCTCCCCGTACCCGCGGCGCAGAAGCCGGTGTGGCTCTTGGAACGATGGCGCGGCCCGTCCCAGGCGCCTGCTGCGACGCTTGCCCCGCGCGGAGTCCCTCGAGGCAAAGTGATCCGCGACAGGTGTCGCGCTGCGGCAGGCGGGCTGTATTGGGCGCGCAGCCGGTGTCTGGAGCCTGAGCAGTGCTCCTGCGCGCTCTCGTTGTCGCCCGAAGATTCCCTACGACCTCACGACGACACAAACAGACGACGGACGGCGCCACGCTCCCTCTGCGCCCACCCGCGCCGCTCGGCGACCCCTCGAGCCCCGGGGAAGCGGGCCAGACTGCGCCCTGCTTCAGGAAAGTGGAGGCTCCCACCCCGCGGTGCACGCCGCTGGGGGGCAAGGGGGCGCGCGCGCGCCTCCTCGAACCTCTTCGTGCCCGTTGATCCCCTCGGGAGGCACGTTCTTGGAGTTGCAGCCGGGCTTGCATCGCTGAGGAGCATTGGTGCTGCTAGAGAGGTGCGTGCGGAGCTCTGACGGGCTTCGGCGACGGCCCGGAGGCGCCGTGTGCGTCCACGTTGGCCTGATCATCGCGCGGAGCACCCGCACGCGGCGACGCGTGCACGCGGCCGCCGGGTTTGCGGCCTCGGCGCAAAAGAGCGGCTTGGCGTCCGGCCCACGCGTGACGGGCCGTGCCGCGCGCCCACTGCCAGCGGGCGTCGTTTCATGGCTGCGGCGATAGAGCAGCACGCTCGGCGCGCATTGGCGCTGAATTGCGCGCTTACACTGCGCCCGGCGGCTCCCCCCTGCTGGCTGGCCCAGGCCGGCCTGCGCGCGCAACAGGTGTCGCGAACGCCTAGCTGATCGGCACCTGGGCACGACGTTCGATCTGTCCTGCCGCGCTGCTCCCGGGTGTCGCGACATTCGTCGTGTGCAGCGCCCCCGCCCCCCCGCCCTGGGCGGCGTGCACGGTGCCCCCGCGCGGGCTGCCGCCGCGGCCGTTCGCGCGTCCATCGCGCACGCCATGTCGGTATGTTGCCTGCCCCGGCGGCCGCGACGTTTCGGGCCTCCACGTCCGCCCACCAGAGCGCTGGAGCGCATGTGTCACTGCAGGACAAGCACCGCTTCCGCGCGGCTGGGAGGAGTCCAAGATGGCGGACGCCGACGAGAACAATGAGCAGGCCGTCGAGATCTGGAAGGTGAAGCGGCTGATCAAGGGGCTCAACGAGGCGCGCGGCAACGGCACGTCGATGATCTCGCTCATCGCGCCGCCTAAGACGGAAATCCCCAAACTGACCGCGATGCTCACGACCGAGTACGGCACCGCCTCGAACATCAAGTCCAGGGTCAACAGGTCCGTCGCCCCGAGCTGCAGCAACCCCCCCGCGAGCGCGCCCGCTGTGCGCGACTGCCCCGCTGCCGCCCCCCACCGCCGCCCCGCGCCCCCCCGCGACGCAGGCAGTCCGTGCTGGCCGCCATCACGTCGGCGCAGCAGCGCCTCAAGCTGTACAACCGCTGCCCGCCCAACGGCCTCGTCATCTACACGGGCACGGTGGTCACGGACGTGCGCCCCCGCACCGCGACGCCGCGACGCCGCGCGCCCGCCCCTCCCGCGCACGCCGCGGCCCCGCCGCTCACCGCCCCGCGCGCGCCGCCTCCGCGCAGGACGGGAAGGAGAAGAAGGTCAACATCGACTTTGAGCCCTTCAAACCAATCAACACATCCCTGTACCTGTGCGACAACAAGTTCCACTGCGAGGCGCTCGCGGAGCTGCTCACGAGCGACCAGCGGTACGGCTTCATCGTCATGGACGGCAACGGCACGCTGTTCGGCGCCGTGTCGGGCAACAACCGCGAAGTGCTGCACAAGTTCCAGGTGCGCCGCGCAGCCGCCCCGCGCGCAGAGCGCCCGCCCCGCGTGCCGCGGCCGGCGCGGCGACGGCCCCGCCCCCCCCCGCCGCGCAGGTGGACCTCCCGAAGAAGCACGGGCGCGGTGGGCAGTCGGCGATGCGTTTCGCGCGCATCCGTCTCGAGAAGCGGCACAACTACGTGCGGCGCGTGGCGGAGGAGTCCGTGCGCATGTTCATCACGAACGACCGCCCGAACGTCGCGGGGCTCATCCTCGCGGGGTCGGCCGAGTTCAAGAATGACCTGCAGACCTCCGAGCTGCTGGACCCGCGCCTCTCGGCCGTCATCCTCACCACGGTCGACGTGTCGTACGGCGGCGAGAACGGCTTCAACCAGGCCATCGAGCTCGCGTCGGACGCCATGGCCAACGTCAAGTTCGTGCAGGAGAGGTGCGTTGTTGCGCGGCGCCCGCCCACCTCCCCGCGCCGGTGCCCGCGGACCCGGGGCGCGGTGCACAGGGTGGGAGACGCGCGTCGCCGCCTCGCGGCTGCGCGCGGCCCACCTCCCAGTCCACGAAAGGTTCTCTTTCGGCCCCCTGTGCACGCGGTGTTGCCACCCGCGCCCGAGAGGAAGCTGACAGGTCCATAGTACAGGCCGCGCCGTGCCTCGCGGCACCGCCACGCGCGGCTTGCCTCCAGCACCTGGCACACCCCGCGCTCGTCGCCGGCGCCCCACGACGGCGCCGTGCCTGCTCCCGCCCGCGCTGCCCCACAGGAAGCTGATCGGCAAGTTCTTCGAGGAGATTTCCCTGGACAGCGGCAAGTACGTGTTCGGCGTGAAGGACACGCTCACGTGTCTGGAGATGGGCGCGGTGGAGACGCTGATTGTGTGGGAGGAGCTGTCGGTGCAGCGGTTCACTCTGATGACGCCCGAGGGCGACATCACGCACAAGATCCTGACGGAGGAGCAGGCGAAGGACAGCTCGCACTTCCAGGACCGCGCGACGGGGCAGAAGCTGGAGGTGCAGGAGCAGCAGGCGCTGCTGGAGTGGCTGGCGCAGGAGTACAAGAAGTTTGGGTGCCAGCTGGAGTTCATCACGAACAAGTCGCAGGAGGGCAGCCAGTTCTGCCGCGGGTTCGGCGGCATCGGCGGCCTCCTGCGCTACCAGGTCGACCTCACCGCGCTGGAGGCCGCCAACGACGACGCGGACGAGTTCGACGACACCGAGGACGACCACGACGACAGCAGCGCGTGGGACTCCGACGTGGACTTCATGTGAGCGCGCACGGGGCGGGGCGCGCGGCGGCGTGGCGCCGGGGACGTACATGAGCGACTCACATGAGCGGCGGGTCTGCGGCAGCGAATGTGGTCTGCCACGCGCCGGACTGCGCGTCACCGCGGGCGCCGAGCTGCGGCTTTACTGGCCGAACGGCCTGCGGGGAGGGGCGGCGGCTCGCGGGGGTCAGACCGGCGCGCGCGGGGGGTGGTTGGGCGCAGGATGATGGTGGTGCAGCGGTGCGGAGCGGTGCGGCGCGGCTGGGGGGGGGTGCGCACCCGTTGTAGGTGTTGCTGGCAGCCGCGAGCAGGGCGTAGCCGAACACGTGGCCCAGCGCGCCCCACGCCATCACGTCGACGATGGTGAAGCCTGCAGGTCAGTGTGACAAGCTGGCCGCGTGAGCGCGGCCGGGCGCAGCACTGGCACCTCGCTCCCGCACTGCGCGCGCGGGCACCTACCGGCGGGGTCGTTCGAGGAGCCCACGAAGGACGCCTGCTGCGCCAGGCGGTCGCCAGCCTCGATGTAGGTCTTGCCGTTCTGCTTCGGGAGGCCGGCCTGCGCGCGCGGGGGCGGGCGGGCGCGTTCGGCGGGCTGGGCGACATGGCGGGTCGGCGGACGTGCGAATGCGCTGCGTGGCGCCGCGTGGTGCGCGCTGTGGGGGGCGGGAGCGGCGAGGACCAATGAACCGCCTGGGTGCAGCGCGGCGGGGCGCGGGGCGCGTGGCGCACCTTCGAGACCTGGCGGCGCTGGTACGGGAGGACGATGAAGCTGCGGGGGGACGGGGGGGGCGGTGCGGAGTGGGCGGCGGGCGCCAGGGTCGCGTGGCGCGGGCGACAGAGCTGGGGATCCACCGGCGGTTGCGCCGCGCGCTGGGGCGTCGGGAGCTCCGCGGACACGTGGTCGCGTGGCCGCAATACACTGCGCCGGCGGCGCTGGGCCGCGGCGGCGCGATGCAGCGGTCGAGCCGCGGATCGCCCCTCGGATGCGGAAGCGATTCGTTGCTCCCAATTGCTCGGCGTGGGCGAGAAGACTCACCGCCCGAGGCCCAGCATGGCAGCCGTCGCGCCCGAAATGAGCAGGTTCGTGTCCGACAGGGCGCGGGTGACCTGGCGCGAGCGCGCCACCGGGGCCGAGGCCTTGCGAGGGGCGCTCGCCCGGAGCTGGGCGCCCGTGAACGCGGAGTTGGCCAGAGTCTTCGCCTGCATCTTGTCGTCTACGTGGCTAATTTCGTGTGCGCGGCGCACGCGTCCGTGTCGGGCCCGTCAAGGCGGGAACGCGCGCGCTCAGCGAGGGGGGAACCAGCCCAGACACCTCCTCCGGGCGCCACAGGGGCGCTGCGGGCTATTCGCCCGCGCGACGCGCACGCGCGGTCACTTCGCAGTCTATCTCTTCCGAGTTCTCCTTCCGCTAGTCGCTTCCGGTCAAGATGCAGGCCTCGTTCGTCGGCACCACCCTCCGCGTCGCGGCGCCCGCCAAGTGAGTCCTGCCGCCGCCCCGCCGCGCACCGTGCACCCCCCGGGTGCACGTCTGCCGAAATCGATCACTGCACGGCCGCAGTTTCGCGCTGTCGAGGCGCGGGGTCGTGGGAGAGCAGGGCCTGGTTCCAGTGCCCCGTCTCGCTCTACCCTGCGCGACAGGCCGACGCAGCGATCATTTTTCCGCTCATTCACTTCGTTCACGCCCAACCGCGGCGCTATCTCTGTTCGGTGCGGCCTCGACGCGACGTTTGGGCCGTGCGTGGTAGCGATCGGCCCGAATCCCAGAGGCTCGGCTCGGACGGCCCTAACCGCAGCAACACATCGATGCCATTCTCGCCCCTCAATACCGTCGTGCAACCTGCGCGTCCGTTTCGGCCGTCGCCGTCCGCGATCGCGACGCTCTGCCGAATCACCTCGGCACCTCGAGTCGCTTCCCACAGATTCACACCCACCCCGGCCTCGATACTCGCCGTGGACGTCGCCGCCCGAATAATTGCACTCGGTTGCGGCCGTCGCGGCCCCGCGCGGGGCCGCGCCCGGTCGCGTTTCCGGCCAGGGGCTGATCCCTAGGCCTCTGTCACCTGCTCGCAGGCGTGCGGAGCGCGGGCAGCTCCAGGTGGTGGCTAACGCGCCGAAGAAGATCGACATCACGAAGCGCGGTCTGGAGACGGTGGCGGACGACACGATCCGCAACAACCTGAAGGGCACGTCGCGCTTCATGGACAAGAAGGACTGGGTGGACTCGTCGGGGCGCAAGGGCAAGGGCTACGGCGTGTTCCGCTTCGCCGACAAGTACGGCGCGAACGTGGATGGCTACTCGCCGATCTACACCCCGGACACCTGGTCGGAGTCGGGCGACACGTACAAGCTGGGCACCAAGGGCCTCCTCGCCTGGGCCGGCCTCATCGTGGTGCTGCTCGGCGTCGGCATCAACCTGATCGTCTCGACCTCGCAGCTCGGCAACTAAGCACGACGCGGTGCGCGCTGCTAGACTGTGAATAAGAGAACCCACTCAGCGACCCGCAGCAACCATGACGCGGCGAGCCGGCAGAGGCACGGCGGCGCCCGCGGTCTGCTTCGCGCGTCACGGATCACAGAGAGGCGCCGCCTGCTGGCACAGGCCACTGCCCGGGCGTCGCCTCGATGCGTCCTCGCCAAGCGAACCGCCATTCATGCAACGGCGACGAGCGAGTTCTGCGCGCCACGAGGGCGACGTGCGCTCACAGCGGCGCCCGCCCCGCCTCCCCCGCGGCCCGCCGCACGCCCGCCCTCGTCACCGGAAGCGCGACGTGAACTTTTTGGGCGTGTCGGGCCGGAACGCCAGCGACCGCCCGTACAGGCTCTCCTCGGGCTCGTTCAGGTACGACCCCGGAATGAAGCTCCCGGGCGTCCCGGTGGCCCCGGGCGTCCCGTGCGCGCCCCGCCCGTCCGCCCGCCGCGCGATGTCGATGCCCGGCGACGGCGCGGGGTGCCCGCCCTCGGCCCCGCTATAGCCCTCGGCCGCGGCGGCAGCGCGGATCGGGCTCGCCGCGAGCGGGCTGGTGCCCGCCCGCGCCCCGGGCGGCAGCGGCGGCAGCGGGCGCCCCGGGCTGCGTGCGGCGTACTGCATGGTGCCCTTGCTCGCGCCGGAGGACGCCGCAGCGGCGGCCTGGACGGGCATGGCCTCGGCGGGGCGCGGCGCGGCTTCACGCGCGGCCTCGACGGCGGCGGCGGTCTGGCGCGAGACCTTGACGCGCCAGGGCTTGGCACAGCGGGTGTACCGCCGCGCGACGTAGGCGTAGACGAGCGTGTTGAGGAACACGAGGCCCGCGAGGAAGACGAAGTAGAGGTCGAGGCGGCCGCGGTTGAGGTCCCGCGGGATCCACCCCCCGCCGCGCCCGTCGTCGGTGAGGCGCTGCACGGCCCAGATGATGAACCCGGCGAGGTACGACCCGAGCGCGGTGCTGAGGAGCTCGAGCGCCATCATGCACGACCGCATCACCGCGGGGGCCTCCTCGTAGAAGAACTCCATCTGCCCGATGGCGGTCAGGACCTCAGTCAGTCCGACCAGGAGGTACATGGGGACCTGCCACAGCACGCTCAGCTCGGGGCCCTCGCGCGCGGCCATCAGGCGGCGGTTCTCGACCAGCCCCGCGACGAGCATGGTCACGACGGACACCACGAGGCCCGCGCCCATGCGCTGCAGCTGCGTGGGCTTGCGGCCGATGCGGCCGAGGAAGGGCAGGACGAGCTGGTCGTAGATCGGGATGAGGACGATGATCGAGATGGTGTCGACCGCGGACATCGACGCGGCGGGGAACTTGAGGTCGAGCCCGCCCACGCGCACCCGCCGGTCCATCTGCTCGCCCTGGATGACGAACAGCGACCCCATCTGCGCGTACATCGTCCAGTACGCGATCATCGTGACGAACACGGGCAGCAGGCGCATCACGCGCTTCACCTCCTCGACCTGACGCAGGCTGAACGACTCGGCGCGCTCCCCGACCGGCGCGCCCGCCGCCCGCGCCCGCGACGCCGGGCGCAGCACGGCCTTCTCGAGCCACATGTGCGAGCGCGTGCGGTGCAGGTTCCGCCCGCGCGCGTTCCGCGCGAGCGCCTCCTTGTCCACCACGACCTCGACGTCGCGCGCGTCCAGCCCGCGGTTGTGCCACGCGGCGTGGAGCACGCGCACCACGCGCTGCAGCGGGCTCTCCGTCGGCCGGTTGTGCTTGTACCGCCCGTGGCCCAGCCAGAACGTCAGCACCGCCAGCGCCATCGCCACCGCGGGAATCGCAAACCCAATGGTCCAGCTGACCTCCTCCTGGACGTACACGATCACGAGCGACGCGATGAGCGACCCGATGTTGACGGAGAAGTAGAACCAGTTGAAGAAGCTCTCCTTGTCGCGCTTGTCCTGCGGGTCCGCGTGGTCGAACTGGTCCGCGCCAAACGCGGACACGTTGGGCTTGATGCCGCCCGTGCCCACCGCGACGATGTACAGCGACAGGAACAGCACGCCCAGCTGCGGGCACGGCGGGGACGGGCGCCGCGGGGTGAGCGGCGCGGCTGGGCGGCCGGGCGCGTGCCGTGGCGGCGGCGCGAGCCTGCCCTGGATGCGTGGCGCGGGGCCGCCGCCGTGTGGGGACGGCGCGCGGCGCCCGGTCCGGTGTGCTGGGGGCGCGCAGGGCGTCGGCGCTGTGCGTGGCGGCGCGTGCGGGCCCCACGGGCGCGCGGACGAGCGCAGGTGTGGGTGCACGGCGCGGGTGCAGCGCGGGCGCGCCGCGCGGGGGCCGCACCTGGAGCGGATCTGCGACGTCGTATCGCGAGGGCGTGAGGGCGGGGATGAAGGCGGACGCGGAGAGCATGAGCATGCCGACCAGGTAGATGATGGAGAAGAACAGAATCGTGTAGTACCGGCCCCAGACCGAGTCGGCGAGGTACGCCCCGAGGAGGGGCGTGATGTAGCAGGTGCCGCCCCATAGGTTGACCTGGAACGCCGCGTCGCCCGTGTCCAGCCCCATCATGCGCGTCAGGTAGACCACCAGGTTGGTTGCCAGACCGTAGTACGCCAAACGCTCGCAAAACTCGTTGCCTGCGGAGCCGGAACACGCGGCGCGGAGAGATCTTCCCCCAGGCCCAGGTTGGCCGGCGCTCGCGCGCGCCCCGTGCTCCCCGGCGCCCCGTTTCCCGGGGGGGCCTGCGAGGCCGTGCCACGGCGACTCGAGCGGCACCGGCGGCGGGGTGCCCGCGCCAGGCGCGTTCCGGGCAGTGCAGATGCTCCGCGCGCGCGGGGCGGGGCGCGGGCGGCCCGCGACGGGCCGAGCGCGCGCTCGGCGGCGGTAACTGCAGGGGCGCTCACCCAGGATGAACGGGCAGACCGACGTCAGCGTCCGTTTGGTCGGCACCGCGGGCGGCACCACGTGCGGCCCATCCTCCGCGCCCCCCGTCGGCTGCGCCACCAGCGGCAGCCGCGGGTCGTCCTCCATGGCCGGGGCGGGAACCTTTGGCCCCACACAGCCGCACAGGACCCTGCCGCGGCTCCTACAATCAACTCGAGGGCGTGCGAACCGAGACAGACGCGGCACGGACGCGCCGCGGGCCCATGCGCCGCCCGCCGCGGCCCGCAGCGGGTACCGGCCCGCGGTCAGCCAGGTGCGTCTGGCGCAGCCTGAGCGGGGTCGTCCCCGCCGTGCCGCGCGCTACATTGGCGCTCTGGGCCGGCGCTGCGTGGCCGCCATGCGCGCGGAGCGCTGTCTGAGCGCGGATGTGATCGCGTCGAGCGCTGGGACGGCAGGAAAGAAGGCTCGGTGGTTTCTTCATGCAGCGTGGCGAGCCATGGAGGTGGGCCCGTGTCCGGGCTGCGGCGCCGAGGACGTGGCCCGCGACAACGTAACTGGCGTTATCGCGTGCACCGCCTGCGGCCTCGTCCTCGACGAGGAGCACTTCGCGCCCGAGGGCGCTGCAGGGGAGGGCGCGGGCTGCGCGCGTGGCGGCATCGTTGTGCGCGGAGAGGGGCCGTCGCAGTACTCGAACAAGGTAGCTCTACGTCCACCGTCCGAACCGACCAGTCCGCCTGACGTCCGCGACCGCACGCGCCACTCCCAGGAATGACCTTCTCCGGCCCGCCGCGACGCAGGCGGCGTGGCGTCGGCGGCCGCGGGGCGCCTCCGCGCAGGACCGCGCCCAGAGGGCCCTGTGGAGGCTGTCCAACACCCTGCAGCTGCCCCCCGGCGCGTCTCAGGCTGCCATCGCCTACCACTGCGAACACGTGGAGAAGCAGCCGTCCGCCAACACCTGGGTGCACGCCGCCGCGTGCTGCTACCTCGCCGCCGCGCAGGACAGCCTCCCCGTCACCCTCGCAGGTGCGACCGTCCGGCACCTGTGTCGCTCCGCCAACACGTTCAGCGCGCCCGGGCCCCACGGCGTGTCGCTCCCCGTCCCCCGAGCGCAGACGCTGCGGACGCCGCGCGCACGGGCAAGCGCAAGTTCGCGCGCGTGTGCCGCAGGGTGGCGGCGGCGCTGGACATCCAGTCTCCGTACCGCGACCCGGCAGTGCACCTCGCGCGCGTGGTGCGCGAGCTCACGTCCGCGAGCGGCCCGCAGCAGCGCGCCCAGGTCCGTCCCGTCGTCGAGTGGCTCATGGCCTTCGCGACGCACCACGCGATGCTCGCGACGGGCCGCAGCCCACTCGCGGTGGCCGCGGCGTGCGGGACGGTGGCGTGCCGCTCCCTCAACATCCCCGCGACGCCCGCGGACGCCGCCGCCGCGATGCCCGTCGCGGCGAGCACCGTCGCGGTCCGAGAGCGGGAGATCCTCGAGTGCCTGCTGGAGGCGGCGCAGGTGCTGCCGTGGGGACGCGACCTCACGGTGAGCACGGTGCTCGACGACCTGCCGGCGATCATGGCCGCCGTGGACGCCGGCGCGGGTCCGGGCGGCGACAGCAGCGACGGGGAGGGGGCGGGGGATGCGGGGCTGCCGCCAGCGGTGCGGCGCGAGCGGCGCGCGCAGCGGGATGCGGCGAGCGCTGTGCAGGACGCGACGGAGGGGCTGGAGGGCGGGCGGCGGGCGGGGAAGCGGCGGGCGCGCGGCGCGCTGCTTGCTGCGCGGCTGGAGCTGGACGGCGAGGGGCAGGAGGACATCGTGGCGGCGGTGGCGCGCGGCGGGCGCGGGGAGCTCGCGGCCACGTTCGGCGGGCGCGGAGCGCGGACGCGGCGCGCCAGGGGCCGCAGGGACGACGAGCCAGGCTGACGGAGGAGGAGGGGGAATCCCCCTCCTCCTGACGGCCCGCGGGGTGTGACGCGACGGCACGACGTGGTTCAAAGCGCCTTGTGCCCCGACCGGCCCCACTCGGTCCGCCGCTTCTTCTCGCCCTGCTCCCGCGCGCTGAACGTCCGCTTCTTGCCCCCGCGCTCAAACTTGCCCCGCATGCCCTCCAGGGGATCGAACACTTCCAGCGACTCTGGGTCGTTCCGCGCGTCCATGTCGCCCTTCGTCTTCACGAACGCGAGCTTGTGCTGCCGCAGCGCCGCCACGTCGACGTCGCCGTCGCCGTCCTCGTCCTCGTTCAGGTAGTCGTCCACCCGCCACGGCGCAGGCATGTCCAGGCGCTGCACGTCCGCTGGCGCGTCCGCAGCCGCGGCCCCCGCACGCTCCGCGCCGGCCCCGCTGCCATGCAACCGCGACGTGAAGCGGCTCAGCCGCGCCAGCGTGTCCTTCTCGCGCCCGGCTCCCTTCGACTGCACAGCGCACCACGACCCCACGCATGCTGAGCTGCCACGCAACGCGGCGCACCGCCCCACGCACCCCGCCGCAGCGAGGGCCGCACCTTCTTGCGCCTCAGGAACTCCTTCCTCGCTCGCTGACTCGTGTTGAGCAGCTCGTCCACGTCCCCCGCCCGCCTGCTGCCGCCGCCCTCTGCCCGCCCCCGCTCCTCCACAGGCACCGCAGGCGCCGCCTCGCGCGCCCCCGCGTCCTCCGCGGCGGCATCCGCGGCCTCCGCCCGCACGCGGCTCGGCGGCGGCGGTGCCCCTGCCCGCGCCCCCCCCGCTTTCGCCAACTTGGCACGTATGCTCGCTCGCAGCTTCTCGTCGTACGTCATCTCGCGCGCCTCCCCGTCGCCGGCGTCCTCCGACCGCACGGGCTCCGCCGCGGGCGCCTCGCGCGCCTCGGAGCCGCGGGGACGCACCGGCCGCGCTTTCGGCGCCGGCGCTGCTCCGTCGTCGTCCATCTGCAGCCCACACACCGGCCAGGACACCGCACGCGTTGCTCAGCGCGCCGCACCACCTGCGCACGCGTACAGCGCGTTCGCTGCCGGCGCGCGGCGCACCTCGTCGCCGAACGACACGAGCGCTGTGTTGACGCCGCGCCTCCTCGCCTTCTGCTTGAGCTCCCGCACGACCGCCTCCTTCTCCTCGCGCTCGCGCCGCTCGTCCTCCTCGCGCACCTGCGCCATGTCGATCCGCGGCTTGATGTCCGGAAACGGGTTCCAGAGCACCTCCGCGCCAGTGATCTTGGGCGGGTGCACCGGGCGGTCGCCCTCGCCGATCTCGACCTCGCCCATCGCGGCCACGTTGTAGATCGTGTCGCCCGCGACCTTGCCGAAGATGGTGTGCTTGCGGTCGAGCCACGGGCACTTGTCGAGCGTGAAGAAGAACTGCGACCCGTTCGTGTCCGGCTCGTTCAGGTTCGCGCACGCGACCAGGCCGCGCCGCGTGAAGCGCAGGCGGGAGTGCAGCTCGTCGCGGAACGGCGCGCCGTACACCGACGCGCCGCCCTCGCCCGTGCCCGTCGGATCCCCCCCCTGCGAATGCGCGCGCGCACGACGCAGCTCGGCCCGGCGACGCAGCGGCGCATGGCCCGCCTCGTCGCAGTGCGTGACGGCGCACCGTCTCCGGTGCGCGCGGGCGGCGGCCGCGACGGTGCGGGCGCAGGGAGCTACCAGAAGCGCTGCGCGGGCCCCGCACACCGCTGTCGTCGCGTCATCGCCGGCCGCGGTACGCGAGCCCAGGCACAGGAGGCATGTCACGCGATCGGCGCGGCGCGGGCCCGCCCACCTGGACCATGAATCCCGGAATGACGCGGTGGAAGATCACGCCATCGTAGTACCCCTCCATGCACAGCTGGACGAAATTCCTGCGGCCAACGCGCGAGCGCAGCGGGGTCGTCACGTGCGCCGCGGCGACGCGCGCCCGACCGCTGCGGTCCGCCCGCGCAGCGGATGGTGACGGGGTGGTGGCGCCGTGCGCACCGGACCGCCTTGGGCGCCTCCCTCGCCCACAGCTCGATCTCCACGTCGCCCGCGGTGGTGCGGAGCAGCACCTTGCCCTCCGTGGGCGGCTCGAGGCTATAGATGTTCGACATGGAGGCGACGCGATGCACTCGCGCTGCCCAGGCGCGCAGCCGCTCGCAGACCGGCCGCCCGAGCGCGGCGACGAACGACGGGCTGACGGACGAGGCCCGAGCACTGCGCGCGCCGGCGGCCGCGCCCGGCCCGTCGTAGTCGCCGCGGCGACCCCCCGCGAGTGAGTCCCGGGGGGTTCCCACTCAACTTCGCGCGCGCCGGGCTTCGAGGGCGGCTGCGAGTCGCAGCGCGGGCACACCGCGGAGACAGCCACACCACGCGCCCAGCTTGAGATGCTGCGACAGTGACGTGGCGATGCACAGGATGCAGAGCGGCCCGGCGAAGTGGGCAGTTGCAGCGTTTGTGCTGCTCTGCGCGCTCGCGGGCCTGGATAGCGCGTCAGCGGCCACGTTCTCGCTGGTGGAGGACCAAGAGACCTTCCGGAACCAAGTGCTGCTGACCGCTCCCGCCGAGAGCTACGAGTGAGTGGCCGTGCCTCCTCCCCTGTGAGGCGTCACCGCCGCAGCGGGACGCGCTGCGCTCGAAATCGCCGTCGTGCGCCGTGCTCGCCACAGAGGCTTTACTTGCCCGCGCACCGGCAGGCAGTGTGCCGCACAGCCGTCTCTGGGAGCCGCACGACGACCTGGTGCCCCTAGGCGGGTCCACGCGAGCTGCGCCCCGCTCCGGGGCTACGCACTCGAAGCGCGCGCCTCATCGCGTCCCATATCATCTGTTGCGGGAACCCGAGCCACGGAACGCCGCTGGGAGGGCACGGGCGCGGCCCGCCACGGGCGATGCGTTCGTGAGCCCAGCGGCTACCCCTCCGCGCGGGCTCCTGCGCCCACACCGCCGGCCCTGCCTGCGGTCAGCCGCGCCTCCACCGCCCCAGCTGTCCAGGCGGCGCACGGTCTCGCCCGCCTCGAGCACCCGCTGCACCCTGCACGGAGGCACCTCGACCTGTTTTTCCCCCCGCCCCGCAGGAGCGTCTGCTTGCCCAAGAAAGCCGAGGTCTTCAAGTTCTATGCGAATGGAACCTTTGACTACAAGCCGGCGCGGGACGCCTACACCATCGAGGGCGAGCCGGACGTGTTCAGTTGGGTGGGCTACAATGTCACGGTCGACAGCTCCGGGACGCCGGTGAGACCGCCGGCCCCCGCGCGAAACAGCCTGTTTCGACCGCAGCGAGCGCTGGTTCGCGCCGGCAACGCCCGCGGCGACCGCGGACAGCCAGCGTGCAGTCCTGGCTGCGTCCCGCGCGCCCGCACGCCCCCCCCCCCCGCCCGCCGGGCGCGCGCGGCTGCCGGGTGTCGCGCCGGTCCGCGTCCGGGGCGCACGCGAGCGCCGCCGCCCCCCTCCGCGTGCGTTGCAGATCAAGCAATTCGTGACCACCGTCCAGTCGGTGAACATGAATATTGCGCCGAAGAACGACCCACCGCGCGTCCGCGAGGGCCTGGACACGTTCGGGTACTCGTACCTCTTCCTGAAGACGGGCACGGAGGTCGTCAGCGCGAACGGCGGGCTCGAGGGGTACCTGCGGGGCTTCGACCCCGACAGCGACGCCGAAACGGCGCGACTGACCTACACCATCACGTACGCACGCCCCCGCCGCCCCGTCGCGCGCGTGGACGGCCGGCCCCGCTGCGTCCGTGAGCGGCGCTGACTCCAGCCCGCCTGTGCGTCGCCGCGACTGCAGGAGACAGCCGGCGAACGGGACGGTGACGGTGTCCAACCAGCGGGCGTTCCGGCTGGTGATGGACCCGAACAGCCTGACCGAGGGGTACACGTCGTTCGAGTACATGGTGGACGACCGGCAGGGCGACGGGCTGGGCAAGGACAACTGCTCCCCCGCAAACAACTACGACAACCCCACGTGCCGGTACCCCAACGTGCTCAACGCCACCGCCACGGTCTTCCTACAGGTGCGCCGCACCGCCCCGCCCGCGACGCCGCCCCCGCCCCGCGCCGCGCCCCGCCCCCGCCTCACCGCTGTCGTCTGCGCCCACCCGCCCCCCGCAGACGCAATCCTTCCTCAACGTGCCGAAGATGTACCCGCTGCGGATCCAGGCCCTCGAGGATATCTCCCTCACGCTGCCCATCCAGCGCACGGGCCTCGAGAACGCCACCAACGCCGTGGCGCTGCGGTACAACATCACGCGCAACCCCCGGTTCGGGTTCGCGCGGATCCTGTGCCTCGGGCAGGAGGTGCACTCGCTGTCGTCGTGCTCGTATAGCGACCAGCTCACGCGCAACGGCGCGGAGTCGCGCGCGTACCTGCAGTTCCTCCCCCTGCCCGACGTCGACACGGTCGACTCGCTGGAGATTATGGTGTCGGACGTGAACACGGGCGAGGCGCGCACGATCACGTACGACATCGACGTCGTCTCGCAGCCGGACCCGCCCGTGGTGTCGGACCTCTTCCTGAACGCGCCGCTCAACTACAACAAGGACGGCGTGAACAAGACCGGCTTCCTGACGGTCGACTTCCAGGTCTCGGACAGCGACTACGTCGAGATGACGGCCATCTTCACCGTCAGCTCCCTCCAGGACCTCATCGGCTCGATGTACTTCCGCCTCAACAGCGACGGCACCCTCGACGAGTCGTCCAAGGTCGACCCCTCCAAGGAGCTCCGCGTGCCGCTGCAGCCCGTCCCGGGCTCGAAGCGCATGCAGCGCCGCCTCAGCGTGCCCAAGGGCTGGCCCGAGCACGAGCCGCTCCCGCGGATGCTGCAGCAGGCGCAGAGTCAGACCCAGCAGTTCTCCGGGCAGCTCTTCTACGTGCCGCCCGACACCCTCGGCGGCAACATGGGCAACCTGGAGTTCAACGTCGAGGACGGCATGGGCGGGCGGTCCACGAACGCCGGGCGCCTGCGCATCGACGTGCAGTGCGAGCCCGGGTTCTTCGTGTCGGAGACGGCCATCCAGTTCGGCGCGCAGACGCTGCAGACGTTCCAGTGCGTGGCGTGCCCCGCCGGCACGCGCATCGCGACGGCGAACCAGGCCGGGTGCACGCCGTGCGAGCCCGGGACGTACTCGCCCGGCGCGCTCGCGCAGTGCCTGCCGTGCGAGATTGGCACGTACAACCCGCTGCAGGGGCAGCCGGACTGCTTCAAGTGCCCGCAGTACAGCTCGTCGCAGCGGTACGCGACGAGCCTGGACGGGTGCTTCTGCGTGCGCGGGTACTACGGGCAGGGCGGCGTGTGCGCGCCCTGCCTGGACCAGAACGAGGTGGTGACGTGCAACAACGACGGGCAGCGGCTGCCGTACCCGACGTTCGGGCACTGGGTCGACAAGTGGGCCACGTGGCAGTCGGTGAACCAGACGGTGCAGGCGTGCGTGCCGCCCGAGGCCTGCAAGGACTCGGTCGAGCTCACGGACGCGCAGGTGTGGAACGAGGACACGTGCGTGGCGGGCTACACGGGCCGCGCGTGCGCGCACTGCGAGGAGGACTACTACCGCACGGGCGGGCTGTGCAAGAAGTGCCCGTCGACGACCGTGGTGATCCTGGTCTACTGGCTGCTGGCGGCGGCGGTGATGCTGGTGCCCATCATGTCGCGCGTGTTCGGCGGGCCGGGCGAGTGGGCGGCCATCCACGTCGCGCTGCTCTTCATGCAGTTCAACGGCCTTCTGCAGAAGCTCCGCGTGGACTACCCGGCCTCGCTCCGCGGCCTGATGGAGGTGCAGTCGGTCTTCTTCCTCGACATCGAGAGCCTGCACCTCGAGTGCGTGTTCGGCGTCGAGCGCGCGGACCCCAAGTTCAAGCTCCAGATCGCCGCGCTCATCCCCGTGTTCGCCGTCGGCATGTGCGTCGTCGGCATCATCGCCAAGTACTCGTGGGTGCGCGCCATGCGCTACCGCGCCAAGGCCCGGGAGTACAAGCTGGGCCTGGGGAACATCCTGAAGACGATCCAGACGCGCACGAACCGCTCGGGCGAGAGTCCGACGGAGTACCCCAACGTCGTCGCGCTGTTCGTGTCGCTCTACACCAAGTACATCCAGCTCTTCTACATGGGGGTGGCGCGCACGGCCATCTCGCCGTTCGACTGCGTGGAGGACACGCAGACGGGGCTCAAGTTCATGGAGTCGGCGCCGTGGCTGCGCTGCGAGACGGACCCCTCCGTCGTGGGCGTGCAGGGCCTGGGCGGCTTCGGGGCGTTCTCCAGCAGCGACAGCTACTGGGGCGACATCAGCCGGACGTCCCTCATCCTGACGATCGTGTACCTCGTCGGCCTGCCGATGATGGTGCTGCTGCTGTACGTCGTCGGGAACTACCTCGAGGACACGCCGTTCAAGAAGGCCCTGTTCGGACACCACCAGGGGGCGTACCGGCGCAAGTTCAAGTGGATGTACGTGCTGACGCTGTTCCTGCAGGGCGGGACGATCGCCACGCAGACGGTGAACAACTCGCTCGGCCCCGAGGGCACGACGCTGCAGATCCTGGCCATGTTCTTCGTCGGCGTGTTCCCGTACTTCATCATCAACGCCGTGGGCGACCCCTTCCTGCAAATGCTGCTGGAGAACCTGATGCAGTTCTTCAACTTCACCAACGCGCTCATGGTGTGGAACGCCATCGCGCTCGTGTCGAACAACCCCGCGACGACCAACAACACGGCCAACAACACGGCCAACAAGGTCAACACCGACTTCATCAGCACGCTCGCGTTCGTCGAGCTCACCGCCGCGTTCTGCGTGGCGTGCTTTGCGGTCTACGCCATGCTCTCGGAGCGCGCCGTCAACGCCATCCGCGTGGCGTGGAAGAAGGTCAAGCTCTACATGCGCCTGCGCGCGGCCGTCATGCGCTCGCGCCTGGCGCGCAAGAAGCCCATCCCCGTGCAGCGCTGGCTGGCGGTGGGGTCGAAGGTCCGCTTCATGGTGCGCGTGCACATGGCGCAGGAGCGCGCGCAGCTCAACGTGACCAAGATGGAGACGAACCTGAACACCACCTTCAAGGCCACCGACGTGGTCACGCCCGGGATGGCCTTCACGCCCGCGCGCGGCGTCGGCGGCACGATCTCGAAGCAGATGCTGCTCGGGCAGGACCAGGGGATGACGGCGGAGGAGCAGATCGCGATGCTGCAGGCGGAGACGGGCGCGATCACGCAGGCCGCCGACGCGGAGGAGGTGGTGTCGAGCGTGTCGAGCAACATCTTCGACATCGTGCAGCTCTTCATGATGCCCAAGGTCGCGGACTCGATGAAGGACCTGCTGGAGAAGCCCAAGCTCGTGGACACGTGGTCGAACTACGGCGTGAAGGTCAACAAGGCGTGGGTGGCTAAGATCTTCATGAAGGTGTACAAGTTCAGCGAGTACAAGGCGCTGGTGGACTTCCAGGAGCCCGACGTGACGTCGTTCGAGTCGAAGCTCAAGCCCGGGCTGCGGTCGATGATGCTGCGGTCCATGGTGGAGCGCGAGGCGCGCGCGGACAACGTGGAGATGGCCAAGGTCCTGGAGATGATCGACGACCTGCTGGGCGTGACGCTGGACCCGGAGCTGTGGAACTACGGCGAGGCGATCCGCGAGGTGGCCGCGGGCGCGCCGGTGACGACGTCGGAGGACCTCCGGCGGCCCGCGCCGCAGACGGAGGAGGAGATGGAGGAGCAGATGGTGGCGCAGGACGCCAAGATGGCCGAGACGGAGCTCAAGGGGTTCCTCACGCGGTTCCGCGTGCAGAAGATGGCCGAGCAGATGGGGCAGCGCGAGGCCGAGGAGGCCGAGGCCGCGGACGAGGGGTCGGTGGACCTGGACGACTTCGACATCGACGTGGACGACTTCGACGGCGTCGACGACGAGTACTCGGGCGAGGGCGAGCCCGACCCGTACAGCCCGATCGGGCAGTTCCTCGACGCGGACGACCCGGGCGCGGGCAGCGGGAGCGGCGGGTCGTTCACCGCGTCGGACGAGGACGCCTCGTACCGCCGCGGGGGGGCGTCGGGCGCGCGCGGCGGCGGGGCGACGGCGCGGTCGGGGAGCAGCAGCAACACGTCGGGCGCGCCCGGGCGCTGGACAAAGCGGCGCAACGAGCTCTCGGACGAGGAGGAGTGAGAGAGCGGGGTGAGGCGGGGCAGCGCCGATGTATGAGCAAAGCGGCGGCCAGATCCGCCGTCTAAGATGCTGTTACGTTTAATCGTTGGTGCGCCTGAGATGAGGTGTCACATGTGATTCAGATCCAAGAAGGTGAACGCACGGCGCATCACCTGAGCGCGCCACCTCACTTGCCGGCACCGAGGACCTTGGTGCGGTACTCCCCGAGCGCCCAGATCGGGAAATAGTACCGGTAGGTCGAGTAGCTGATCATGGCGTTGCGGTTGAAGACGCCGCTGATCTGCTGCTGGGGCCACCCGCCATCAGCGTCCTGCGCCTTGAGCAGGTACGCCGCGGCGCGGTCGAGCACGGCGCGGTCCTTCTCGTGGTACCCCGCTGCGAGAAGGGCCAGCATGGCCCACGACGTGTTGACCACGTGCGACGCGCCGTCCGGGAGGTGCGTGTACACCTTGTCCTGACACGACAGGTACGACTCCCCCCACCCGCCGTTCTCCCGCTGCTTCGACACGAGGAACTCGCACGCCTTCCGCAGCACCGCGCTGCCCTCGAGCGTGTCCCCGACGGCCGCGAGCGCCTTGCACCCGAACCAGCTCGCGTACGTGAAGCACACGGCCCACGACCCGTACCACGACCCGTCCTCGCGCTGCTCGCGGCAGATGAAGTCGCGCCCCTGCTTGAGCGCGCTCTTCACGTCGCGCGGCCGGTAGTCCGGGAAGCGCGCCGCCAGCATGGACAGCGCGGTCATGCACGCCGACGAGCACTCCACGTAGCTGTAGTCCACGATGATGTCGCCGAACGTCTCCGCGGGGTTGAGCAGCTCGAGGAACTCGAACGACCGCGTGTTCTCGTACGACGCCCAGCCCTTGCCCTGGTTCTGGTACGACAGGATCACGTCGCCGCACAGCCGCAGGCGCTCCTCCGAGATGTGCCGCCCCACGGCGCTCTCCGGGAGGTTCATCAGCATCAGCGAGGCCTTGAGGCCCTCGGACGAGCAGTCGCTGATCGGCCAGCCGTGGTCCGACGTCGAGAAGGGCCACGCGCCGCGCGAGCGGTGGCGGTAGTACTCGTCCAGGTCCCCCTCCGCCTCCTTCATGACCTGCGCGCGCTCGATGTACGCGTTGGCCTTCCGCAGGCACGCGTGGAAGTGCGGGAGGAGGTCGGCGCCGGCGGCCGCGTAGGCCTGCACGCTGAAGGCCGTGTCCCAGAGCTGCACGCCGTTGTACCCCTGCATCTTCATGCCGTCCTCCGCGACCCAGAGGTAGTCGTGCAGGCGCGGGAGGTGCTTCCGGAAGGCCTCGCAGTCCGGCCCGCCCTCGAAGTAGCAGCAGAGCATGTTGATGACCTTGTTCACGGGCCCGATGTCGATGTAGCGGGTGTTGCGGTCCTCGTAGTGCACGTGCTTCATCACCTCGCGCATCGCGCGCTCCCGGAGCCACGTGCCGGGGAGCACGTTCTCGCACTTGTACAGCGCCCACCACAGCGCGTCCTGCACCGCCGGGTGCGGGTAGTACAGGTCCTCGGCCGCGCACTTGTTCCGCGCGGCGTTCCAGTCCACGCGCTCGTACGGCTCGACGAAGAGCTCCTTGCGCAGCGACAGCACCACGTCCGTCAGCGGGCCCGTCGCGCGCTTCGCGTAGATGTAGCACATCGGCAGGTACACCATGCGGCAGTGGCACCAGAAGCGCCCCGGGTGGAAGTACCCGATTCCCGTCCACTTCGAGTAGGGCAGGAGCCACATCTCCGGCGGGAGCGGGTTCTGCCCCATCCAGTCGTAGCAGCCCAGCACCGACAGCCAGAACTTGCCCCACGACGTGATGTGCGTGGCGCCGCCGTGCGCCAGGATCCACTCGCGCGCGCGCACCATGCGCAGCTCCATCGCCGGCACGCCCAGGAGCCGCAGCGCGACGTAGTTCAGCGCGGTCCCGAACATCGTCGAGTGCCCCTCGATGTGCAGCCCCCACCCGCCGTCCCTTTCGTTCTGGTGGTTGCGCAGGTAGCGAATCATCTCCGCCTTGTGCTGCGGCGTGAGCACCTCGTCCATCGTGCCCGTCACGTACACCGCGATCACCAGGCCCGGCATCAGGAACATCGGCCCGCCGTAGTCAGCCGGCCAGTGCCCGTCGTCCTGCTGCAGCCCCTCGTGGAAGCGCCCGCCCGCGAGGATCGACCGCCGCACCTGCGCGTCCGTCGGCGCCGCGCCCGGCCGGACGTCGGAGTGGTCCACGCCCTGGTGCTTCAGCAGCCCGCGCCGCGCCATCTGCAGCCGCAGCAGCTCGTCCCCCGAGTGCTTCTGGCTCTGCTTGTTGGCGACGAAGTGCCGCCGCTTCTCCTCCACGGCCTCGCGGTCCGCGTCCGTCCCCACAGACTCGTCATAGTGCCAGATCTGGCGGCCCGCGAAGTCGCACACCGTCTCGAGCGGCGCCTGCACGTGCGCGAGTGCACACAACACACAATCATCGACGTGGCATCTCAACAGGAAGTATTGCGGCGAGCGAGCCGCAGAGCCGTGCGGGGCGCGCTCGGAGCATGTGTGCGTGGGCGGAAGAGTGCGTCTCGCGCACGGGGGGGCAACGGAGGTGCTCCTTGCCTGTCCTGGCGCTTTCGCGGTCTCGCCCGCCGAGAGGAGCACCCACATGCCGCCGAAGGGGACCTGCACACGCGATGGGTTCGGTGCTCCGACGCCGTCGGGCTGCCGCACGCAGGCCGCAGGAGCTCTCTCTCGGCGACAGCGAGCGAGTGCAGTCGCCGCCGCGGGAGCGCCGAGGTCGACGCTCGAATGGCGAGTGGAACTCCAGCAGATTGCTCCTGCGTAGGGCGCAGTCGCACTTGCCTGTCTTGCCCCGACCGAGCGCAACGAGGGCCCACGCGCCCCGCTGGACCGCCCCCTCGCGATGCCGTGCAGCCGCGCTCCCGGGGCGAAAAGAACGTCTGCTGGGACACCGCGAACGTCTCGCTGCCGACAGAAGCCTCCAACGGGCGGCTCGATCACGATCGCGCTCCTCAGCAGCAGCACCCCGGCGGCAGCAGGGTGGGGCTCTGTGCGGCCGATCCGCGCACGTGCCGTCGGTACAGGGCTCGCGGGAAGGTGGTATCGGGCCGTCGTTCGGGCGCGGGGCCGCTGCGCCGCGCGAACATGAAGGCCCCGTCACCAGGCCGTGGTGTAACCTGAGCGCACCATGTCTGTCCGGCGTTGCCGGCCGTCCCCGCGGCGGCCGGGCGTCTCTGGCCCCGGCCGGGAGCACAAGCGCGCACTGTGCTCGCTCAGCCACGGGTTGCAGCGGAAGGGGCGACGTTCACGCGGCACGGGCCTCGGGAAAAGCATCAGGCGAGCCTCTGCATGTACGCTTGCAGTCCCGATGCTGTTCGCGCCGCGCGGCCGCGCCCACGTCGGCCCGCTCGACGCGCCCAACGCTTTCTCGTCTCCGCCCGCGACGTGGCAAGGCAGCGCGCCCGCGCGCCATTCGCGCGGCGTCCCCCTTGCCGACCTAGAGCCTTGCAGCTCGGCGTTCCGCGCCCGCCACGCTGCGTTTCCGCTCGGCATCGACTGCGAAGATGTCGTTCTCACGTTCGGTGACGCGCGGCTGCGCCTCCGAGGCCAGCTCAGGCGACATGACGCGATGTGTCCTCGGTTCGGCTTTCAGCCCTGCAGTCCGCGCGCCCGCAGGGCACGGGATCGAGCGCCGCGACCCGCGACAGGGCAGCTCGTTTCCTCAACATGCCTGACCGTAGGGTCCACCCGCATCACGCGCCGCGACGGGCGCGCACGGGCAGATACCCTCCCGCAGCCTTCATGGCCCCGCGGCGTCGCACACGCAGCCCGCGCCGCCTCCATTTCGATCCCGCACGAACCTGCGTTTGGGTCGCCACCGCACGCTGCGATAGGCAACGCCGCACAGTCCCCCGATCCTGCCACCCCGGCACTTGCACCGTTGCCCGGCGCTGCAGCGTCGCCCCGCCCTTTCGGCGCGATCCAACGCGGACCCTCCGTCTGACGCGCGCCCCGCGCCCCTCCTCTGTCCCTCGCAGAGCGTCGTTCCCCCCGGGCGGGCCCGCTCAGCTTCCGCCGGCGGCTCCCACGATGCCGGCGCCCTCGACCCTGGCGGGCGCGGCGCTGCCCGCGTGGGCGCAGGACGCCCTGCGGTCCGCGGCGCAGGCGCTGTCGTCGGTCAACCTGACGGCGGCGACCGTCGCGCAGTGCGTGCTCGCGGGTCTGGTCCTGTTCGTGGTCCTGGAGCAGTGGCGCTTCAAGCACAAGGCGCGGTTCGGGAAGGGCAGCGTCCCGACGACGGCGGCGGGCGGGACGCCGGTGCCGGTCGTGGGCGGCCTGATCGAGATGATCTACGACCCGTTCCGGTTCTGGGACAACATCATCTCGACCGCGATGCAGACGGGCGGGCTGTGCTGGCACTCGATCTTCGGGGTGTACACGCTGCTGCTCGCGGACATCGACGACATCCGGCAGTCGTTCAGCCGCAACAACGACAAGGAGTTCATGATGGCCATCCACCCGAACGCGCACTGGATCCTCGGGCCGAAGAACATCGCCTTCCTGCACGGACCCATGCACAAGGAGCTCCGCCGCTCCTTCGTCGGGCTCTTCACGCGCAAGGCGCTCGAGCAGTACGTCGCGAAGCAGGACGGCATCATCCGCGACTGGATCCGCCCCTGGGCGCGCGACACCGCGGCCGCGCCCACCGAGGTGCGCATGTGGATCCGCGACATGAACGCGTGGACCAGCCAGGAGGTCTTCGCGGGGCCCTACCTCGGCGACCACGCCGCGCGCGAGAAGTTCTCCCACGCCTACATCGCCATGACCGAGGGCTTCCTCGCCTTCCCCGTGTGCCTCCCGGGCACCGCCGTCTGGCGCGGCCGCCAGGGCCGCTACCACATCCTCGACGTGCTCGAGAAGGCCGCCGCGGCGGCGCGCGAGCGCGACCTCAGGGGCGAGCCGCCCGTGTGCCTGATGGACTACTGGGCGCACGAGGTCAACCGCATCGTCGCCGACGCAGAGAAGAGCGGGAGCCCGCTGCCCGAGTTCGCCAACAACCACCGGTGCGCCCGAGAGACCTCCAGACGCCTGCGCGCACGTCGCTGCTCTCAGTCAGCGCACGGACGCACGCCCCGCGGGCCCGTTGCTTCCGCAACCCCCCCGTTTCCTGATTCCCGACTGCGGCCCTGCGCAGACACGCACTCGGCGTTGGTTGGCTGCTGCAGGATGGCGGACGTGGTGATGGACTTTTTGTTTGCGAGCCAGGACGCGTCGACGGCGTCGCTGGTGTGGGTGCTCGCGCTGATGGCCGACCACCCGGACGTGTACCAGCGCGTGCGCGAGGAGCAGCTGCGCGTGCGCGGCGCGGACGCCGCGAGCCTGGAGAAGCCCATCACCGGCGAGGTGCTGGAGAAGATGACGTACACGCGGCAGGTGGTGAAGGAGATCCTCCGGTTCCGCCCCGCCGCGCCCATGGTGCCGCAGTGGTCCATGTCGGACCAGACGATGAACGGCACGGGCTACACGTGCCCCAAGGGCGCCCTGGTGATGCCGTCGCTGATCGCCGCGTGCCACACGGGCTTCCCGAACCCGGAGAAGTTCGACCCCGACCGCTTCGACGTGAACGGCCGCAACGAGGGCGACAAGTACGGAAAGCACTGGCTGCCGTTCGGGCTGGGCGCGCACTACTGCGTCGGGCGCGAGTACGCGCAGAACCACCTCGCGGCGTTCCTGGCGATCCTGTCGACGACCTACGACATCGAGCGCGAGCGCACGCCCAAGTCGGACGAGTACATCTACTTGCCAACAATCTACCCCGCCGACTCGCGCATCCGGTTCAAGAGCGCCACCGTCGCGTGAACTGCCCTACTGTGAGCTTGCGTTGCCGTGCGGCTCGCTAGTGCCGCTGTTGTGCCAGCCCACGTCGCCGTCACGCCTCTACTGCTCCTACTGCCTGCCCGCCACGTGCGCCCGACCTCTGCTTCGCGCTTTGCTGCCTCGCGCGTGGGCGTGCCGCTGGACTGCTCTTGCTCGACCCCGCGCTGTACTGCTCAGCGTGAATGTTACATCGGCGCAGCGTTCGTCACTGAACGTCTTGTGTCGGGCTTTCTATGAACAGTGCGCCCCTCGTGCATTTTTCTAGCAGCTACCACAGCGTGATGTTCTGGCTCGGACGGGCCCGTTTCTGCCCGGGCTGTTCGTCGTCAGGTCCCGGGGGGGCATTCTGGTCTACGGGCGCGAGGGAGCGCGGCCGCGGCGCCGGTGTGTGCGTCGGGGCGTCCACGGAGCCAAGAGACTGGCTGGTGCGCTGCAGGCTCGCCTGCGACGCCCGCATCAGCTCCAAGAACGTCATCGGCGCGCGCCCCCCCGACGCGCACAAGGAAGGCACCGGCGTCCCGCCGTCGGGAGTCGGCTGCGTGCGTGGCAGCGGCGCCGGATGCTGCGACGCCTCCACAGCGCCGCCCGGCGCGCTCGCCGCAACCGGCTCCTCTGCTGCCGCGCGTGTGCCGACCACGTTGATGTTGTCCGGCTGCGCCGCCGTGCCGGCACGAGCGGGTGACGGGACCGCCGGCAGCGCCTCCGGCGGCAAGTGCGGGTCCGCGACGGGCGGCGGGGACTCGTAGTAGTCGTCGGCGAACCCGACGTCCTGCGACGCGCCGAGCATTGGCATGTCGGCGGGGATGTGGAGGAAGTCGAACGGCTGATGGGGCGGAGACGGCGGCGGAGACTCGCTCTGCGTGCCCGGATACTCAGAGAGATCGCTCCGGCCGCCGCCGATGTCCTGCGCCATCGTGTCCGCGCCAGTGGGCGCATCCCCATCCGAGCTCTGTGCGCCGTCCGATGACGGCTGCGCGGGCGGCGGAGCGTCGGCGGCAAGCACGCGCCCGAGCTGCGCTATCCGCGACCGCACGGGTAGGCTCGCCATCCGCTCGGCGAACGTCCCCGCTGTGCCTGCGGCCGCGAATGTGCAACCCCCCCCGGTCGCGTTCCCCTGCAGGAGCGCGAGGAACGTGTGCGTCTTCCGCGAGTGCCCGATGCTCACCGCCACCGCCCCCGCGCCCAGCTGCCTGTCGATGTACGTCTCCAGCTGCGCACGCGGCCACGCCCGCTGCCGGTCCGCAAGCCCGAGGCCATACTGCCGCGTCAGCGCGGCCTCCTCCTCCGCCGACAGCCGGCACTTCCCTCCGCCCGCGCGCCTCTTCCCGCCCTGCCTCCCACGCCCCCCCTCCTCCCGCGCCACCTCCCCGCCCACCACCACCCCCGTTCCCGCCACTGCCCCCGCTGCGCCGCCCACGCCGCTCACGCGCACGAACGCGCCCTGCATCGCGTCCCGCAGCTCCCGCGGCACCATCCCCGGGGCGCGGTCGAACAGCACCCCCGCGAACGCCGCCTCCGGGTCGCGCAGCATCGCCGCCACGTGCGCGTCCACCTCGCTCATGCTGTCCAGCGCCGCGGCCTCGTCCTGCGACAGCAAGTACACCACGCGCCCCGCCGCGTGCCGCCCCGTGCGCCCCGCCCGCTGTGCGCGCCGCGTCCCGCTCGACGCCGTGTCGTAACACACGACGAGGTCCACGTTCGGAATGTCGAGCCCCTCCTCGGCGACGCACGTCGCGACGAGGACGTTGCACCGGCCGGCACGGAACGCGTCGAGCGCGGCCGCCTGCTCGGCGCGCGACATGCCCTTCTGCGCGAGGCGCGCGCTGCCGTCGCCCTGCCCTATGAAGCCCTGGGGGAGCAGCACGCCGCGACCCTCGCGCTCGAGGAGCGCGCACAGCTCCGCGACGCTCTCGCGGAAGCTCGTGAAGACGAGCGCCCTGTTCGGGACGTCGCCGGCCGCCCGGTGCGTCGCGAGGTGCTCCAGTAGAACCTCGATCAAGACACGCCCCTTGGGGATGTCCGCGTTGCTGAGCGTGAGCTCGGACAGCGCGCGGTGGACCTCCTGGTAGTCCGCGTCGCGGCCGAGCTCCGTGCGCACCGCGCTCCCATGCACGCCGGACTCCAGGGCCTTGAGCGCTTGGCTGCACACAACCACAACACATGATGGCAGAACGAGATGACTATGACATAAGACGCGGCGCAGACCTTCGCGGGCACACACGTGCGCGCGGTGACCGAACCACGCACCCGAACGAGAAGCTCCCGAGGATGTCGTACGCGTTGCACAGCGCGCGGATGCCCCCGAGCCGCCTCTCCAGCCTGGCACGCTCCACAGGCGGCAGCTCCGCGCCGTCCATGCTCCGCTTCACCCTCTGCACGCACGGCACGGACACGCAGCTCGTCACCGTCGCGCCGCACGCACGCACTCGCACTCGCAGTGCCCCGCAGAGCTCTCTTTCTCTCTCCACAGGGCGCGTACCGAGATGTTGCACTGCGGCACTGCGCCGCCGCCGTCCGGGCCGAGGTCCGCGAACAGCTCCGTCCCGGCGTCCCTGTTGAACGCCTGGCACTGCCGCGCGACCACGCGCCCCAGCAGCGCCTTGAGCGGCCCGCGCTGGTCCGTGTCCTCGACGACCACCTTCTCATGCGACTTCTCGTGGAAGTACTGCCGGACGTCCGCGTCGCCCTCGGACCGGAACTCCACGCGCGAGATGCGCAGGTGGCTGATCACCGCGCGCACCGCCGCGTGCGTGTCGCCGGGCGTCGCGGTCAGGCCCAGCACGCGCACCTTGGGGTTGAAGCGCAGGAGCTGGCCGAGGCCCTTGACGCCCGGCGCCTTCGCCCTGCGTCGGACGGAGGCGGGGGAGCATCGGGGGCGTCGCGGCGGACGGAAGAGAGCTCCCCGGCGCGGTTGTCGTGTTTGTGAGCAGCGTGGGAGGCGGGCGGGGGGTGGAGGGCGTACGTGGTGCAGCGGTGGCACTCGTCGACGACGACGCAGACGACCTCGTCGGTGGGGCACACGGCGCACTCGCAGTCGTTGTCGAACGTCTGCGGCGTCAGGAACAGCACGCGGCTGCTGCGCCACAGCTGGACGCGCTCGCTCTTCGACACCGCGCCCGTGAGCTCCCGCATGGCGCTCTCGGGGATCCCCGTGCTCGCGCGGCACGCCTGCATCTGCTGCGCGACCAGCGGCTTCGTCGGCGCCAGGAAGACCACCTTGCCCCCCGGGAACCAACGGTAGAAGTTATACATCACCGCCGCCGCGACGTGCGTCTTGCCGAGGCCCGTGGGGAGGCACACGAGCGTGTTCTGGAACAGCGCCTCGCGGACCAGCGCCACCTGGTACTCTCGCGGGGGCGCGCGATCCGACACGGGCATCACCCAGTGCCGCGCGCGCCCGCGGTGGATGCGCAGGCGGTCCGAGAAGGACGCGGGATGCCGCATCAGGCTGCTCGCGTCGCCGGCGTCGCCGCGGAGGTCCTCGGGGGGGAGTGTGGGCATCGCAGTCGCCCCCGTGGCGGGGGTGTGGGGCGCCCCGCCGCGCTCGGCGTTGTCCCGCCCCGGTGGCGCCGCTGCGACGCTGGCGGCGCGCGCAGGACCGCTGCCGGGCGTCGGCACGGGCCGTGCGGCGGCGACCGGGGCGGGTCGAGCTAGCTGACCCATCGCAGGAGCGGCCCACCGCGCGGCGGCTGCGGGGCGCGGCGGCATCGCGGCGGGTCCCGCAGCGAGCGCAGCGGGCCTGGCCTGTCCCTGGGGCGGCCACGCGTCCGTCCGTGTCGGCGGCGGCGCGCCCTGCGCTGCTTGCGCCCCCGCGAGCCTCTGGTCCAACTCGTCCATGCACGCGAGGATGTCGTCGTCCTCGATGTCGTCCCAGCCCGCCGTCGGCGCGGGCGCGCAGCGCGGTGCGGGCGGGCGCGGCTCGTGCTGGGGCGCGACGCCGCGTGCGGATGCGTAGTGGCGGCGGTGCGGTGGGGGGCGGGCGGGCGCCGCCGTGCAGCGCAGGTCGGTGCTGGGGCGGCGGCGGGCCCCAGGACGCGTGCGGGCGCTGCGGCGGCGCCGCCCAGGTGGACTGCGGGGGCGCTGCTCGCGTTGGGGGCGCTGCAGGTGCCCGGGCTGCGACGTGGAGTGGCGGCGCCGCTTGCTGGTGGAGGGGGCGCGGAGCCTGCAGCGAGGTGATGGCGGAGCGCTCGTCGCGTGTGTGCACGATCGATTCGTCTCACCGCCGTCGGCAGGGAGGCCTCGCGGTGCCAGGCGCACGCTGCGCGTGCCGGCGCGCTGCTGGGCTATTCACGTGATCGTACCGCGTGTGAAGACCATGGTTGACGGTTGACAGGCTGAGCTAGCGGGTGCTGGACGCGAGAGGCCGCCTGGACCTGTTCCGGGGCCTGAGGGGCACAGTGGCCGTAGCCGGAGGCGACGGGCGCTTGTGGCGGGCCGGGGGGGCCTGTCTGGGCCGTCGACTGCGTGACTTGATTCCCTCTCGGCGCGAATCCGTGCGATGTGCCCGGGTTGAACGCCGCGTGATGGTTCGAGGCGGGGTGGACTGGCAGGAGCTGGTTTGCAGCGCCTGGGCGGGGCACGCCTCGAGGGCCCCCGGCGCCGCCTCCCGCCGTGTTCCACCCGCCCGGAACACCGTGTTCCTCCCCTCCAGCGAAGGGTCCGCCGGGCGAGGGCTGGCCGCGACGGGGCCACGTTTGCGGGCCACCGTTTGGCTGCTGAGCCGTGGTCGTCTGGGCTGCCTGCGGCCACGGGCTGCGCTGAGGCTGTAGCTGGGCGCTCGGCACCCCCTGGGTGTCATACTGTGTGCCGTAGAACCCCTCCATCAGGACAGCGGTGTTTGACACGCCGTCATGTGGCCGTGTCGCCCTCCTGGGTTTTCAGTCTGAAGTGGCGCGGTTCTGCAGTCGCAGCGCAGGCACTTCGCGCTAGAAAGGCAGTGCCGGTGATGACCGCGGATGGAGTCTCGAGCAGGGACGTGCCGCGGATCCAATGGTGTCGGCCGCAGCCGGTCTGTCGGGCGCGGTGGGACGTTCCCCGCGTCCGACCCACGCGCTGACAGCGGGCGAGGGCGCCCGGGGGACATCTGCTGGGGACGCGGCCAGGCAGGTGTAAGTGCGAGCGACGTAGCCTCGTCGCAGCCCCCCTCGACTCGGCTGCGACAACAGCACAAGCCGAGGCAGGCCCGCCTCGGTCGCAGGCATCCAGGTCCTAGGAGCGGCGGGAAGCGGCTGGCAGGAACCGTCAGATGCCGAGACACCTGGGACGCGATTGAACCTTCGGCAGCGCGGTCTGGCAAGCCCCGCGGGGCCTGCGTAGGGTTCGCCGGGCACCATGGGGCAAAGCGGCGCGGGCAGCGCCATGGAGACGCTGGAGCGTGTGCAGCAGGCCGCGCTCGACAACTGGCAGCTCGTGCTCGGGGGCGCCCTGCTGGTGTCGTACCGCAGGGAGCTCCTTCGGATGCCGGGAGCCACCTTCCGCCTAGTGACCAGGCACCTCCCTGACGCCGTCCGGCGACGAAACGAGATCTGCGTCGACGTACGCAGCCCCCTTGATAGTGCCATGCTCGGTGCGGGCGGTTCGCGCCCCGCGCGCTCCACGCGATCCGCGCCGTGCCGCGCACCCTGACGTTGCCGCCACAAGTGCCGGTTCGCCGCGTTCCGGCCACGATGCAGGAGACCGCGTACTGGCGATCGCACGGGGCGGACCCGAGGGACATGCTCAAGCAGTGGGAGATCGCGCGCGGCCCCCCCAAGGGCGTCATCCAGGCACGCACATGACAGCAGCGCGACGACCCCGAGCCGGCCCGACGACGCACGTGCGCCCCCGCGCTCCCAGCTCCCACGCCACTCGCGCTCCGCCCGCGCTTCCGCAGGGCGTCAAGGAGCACATCGACTGGGTGGTGTATGAGCTGAAGAAGACTGACGACCCCGCGAAGCGTGCGCAGCGGCGGCTGATGGAGAAGTACAACATCAAGGACCCGCTCGCGGAGGAGCTCGCGCGGGACCGGGAGCGCCAGGCGCGCGAGCTCAGCGGCGTCCGGCACGGCAAGGTCGCGGCCTACCTGGCGCGCGTTGCCGTCGGCGTCAAGCCCACGGACGCTCGCGGCGGGCCGGACGCGGCCGACCGCGCGGACAGCGAAGCCGCCGGCGGCGCGGCGCAGCGTGCGCGGGGCGCGGCGTCTCCGGGGCCGCATGCAGGGGCTCCTGAGGCGGGGGAGGAGAGCGGGGGGGCCGTGCGGGGTGCCAGGGCGGCGCGGACGGGGCGGCCGCTGACGCTCGGGGAGCTGATGGCGCAGGGGCGGTTCGGGGGCGCGTCGGGCGGCGGCGGAGAGGAGGCGCCGTCGCTGGGCTCGGAGGACGAGGGGCGGCGGATGGCGGCGTTCGTGTACTCGCACCCGCTGCTGGGGAAGCGGGTGAGTGTAGACGTGGGCTCCGGTGCCGTGCGGGGGTGGTGTCGCGGTCTGGCGGCCTCATGTTGCCTTGTTGTGTTCGTTTTGTGGTGTGAGCTGCAGGTGCAGGAGTCGGGGATGCCGGAGGAGGAGGCACGGTCGCTCGTGGAGGAGATGAAGCGCGTGCGGCAGCTGATGCGCAGCGCGGAGGCGGGGGCCGCGCCGGGGAAGGACACGGGTGCCAATGGAGGTGGGGCTGGCAGCGCGGGTGGGGGTGGTGCGGCGGTGCGCAAGTGAGGTGTGCTGGGGACCCGAGGAGAGCAGCGCCGCTGTGACGGAGCCATGGATGGCCGCGGGTGCGCCCGACCTGGTCGGACCAGGGGGGGAGGGGGTCTTTTGCAGTAGAACTGCAGTAAGAGGCTTCGAATGCGGCCTGCGCGCGGGGAACATGGGCGCGGCGCGGCGTCTGGCGGGTGAATTCTGCGGAGTCGGCGGCGGCCCTCGGGCGATCTGCGTCATCGCGGCGGCAGCTGCGTCGCTAGCGTCGAGGTTGCGCCCGGCAGCGAGACACTGCGGGCGTGGCAGGCCTGCTGCGCGCGGACCGCGCGCGAGGAGCGCGGAATCGAGAGAAGGCCCCACCGCACAGCGGCAGTCGGCGTAGATCCACGGACGATGCGGGCCGGCAGCGCCACCGTCGCTTCCCCCCTTGCAGGCAAGCACAGGCTCCAACTCGGCCGCGTTTCGCCCTCGCGGCGGCATTTCTTGCGCTCCGTGGACGCATTCGCTGCCCCACCATGTCCGGGTCGAGACGCGCCGCCGCATCGCGCGTGCGCCGCGGCGCGCCACCGCGGCCGCGCTGCCCGGCCAATGATGCCGCCCCACACTTGGGGCGCGGAATCTCCGCGCACACTGACCCAGACCGCCGCAGCCGCGCCCGCCGCAGGTCGCAAGGCTGGTCCCGTGCGCTCGGGCGCGCGGCTACCCCAGGCTCCGCGCGTGCCGGGCAGGCCGCCCGCACGCCTCGTGCTGGCGCACCCGGATGGTGCCTTCGCCGGAGCGGGCGGGGGGGTGTTCTCCGCGCCCGACCAGCCCGCTGCCACGGACCCGGCGGTCGTGAACATTCTGAAAAGCCACCCCGCGGCTCCGCGCCGGATCTGCATTTTCGTGGAGCCCACGCCTTTTTACTACGTGTGCGGCTACAAGAACCGGTTCTGCAACCTGATCAAATTCCTCCGGGACATGGGCTGCGACGTCCTCGTCATCACCACCGGCCGGGTGCGCCCCCGCGCCCCCCCTCGCCGCCCCCCGCGACGCTATATCGGCCGCGATCCACGCACAGATTCCTGCAGCGCACCTGGGCGCGCGGCGCGGACCCCCTGCGCGCTCACAACGCACTGCGGTCAGCGCGATGCGTCCTCCGGTCCCGCGAGGCGCTCTCGCCGGTGCAGGGACGCCGTGAGACGCCCGTCGCCCGCGGCTGCAAGGGGCAGCGCAGTGCAGCCAGGCAGCCGCGCGTCACTCACAGGCCGCACGTGGCTCCTGCAGGGTGTTTCCGGGCCCGGTGAGCCCTTCGAGGCCGGGAGGGACCCTCCGAAGGAGTACTACGGCGCCAAGTGCGTTGGCGCGTATAGTTTCGGCCTGCCCCTCTACTGGCAGCTGCCGCTGACGTTCGCCCTCTCGCCCAGGATCTTCCGGGAGGTCCGCGCGTTCAACCCCGACATCATCCACTGCACCTCCCCAGGTGCGCGACCCTCCGACGCTCCCCGCGGCCCCACATGATGCCTCCCACGCCGCCTCTCACACAGCCCGCCCCCGCGCCCGCCCCGCAGGCTTCATGCCGTTCGCGTGCTGGCTGTACTCGCGCCTCCTGCGCGTCCCCCTCGTGATGTCGTACCACACGCACCTCCCGGCGTACCTGCCCAAGTACAACATCACCTTCATGATGGGCGTGCTGTGGACGCTCCTGCGCCTCGTCCACTCCAAGGCCTGCCAGCTCACGCTCGTCACATCCCCGCAGATGAAGGTGCGCGCCCCGGCCGCGCGCCACGCGCCCGCCGCGCCCGCGTGCGCGCCGTTGCAGCGTTGCCGCCAACACCGCACCGCTGCGGCCCGCCCGCGCCCGCAGAAGGAGCTCGACGAGCAGAAGGTGCACCCGAACATCGAGGTGTGGAAGAAGGGCGTCGACTCAGACCTCTTCCACCCGCGGTTCAAGTCGGACGCCATGCGCGCGCGCCTGACAGCGGGCCACCTGGGGGACTTCGTGATGGTCTACGTGGGGCGGCTGGGCCACGAGAAGAACCTGGACGCGCTGAAGCACGTCCTCGACGCGCTCCCGCACGCGCGGCTCGCGCTCGTCGGCGACGGCCCCGCGCGCAGGGACCTGGAGCGACACTTCCGGGGGACTCGCACCGAGTTCCTCGGCATGCTGCACGGCGAGGACCTGTCCGCGGCGTACGCGTCCGCGGACCTGTTCGTGATGCCGAGCGAGTCCGAGACGCTCGGGTTCGTCGTGCTGGAGGCGATGGCGTCGGGCGTGCCTGCGGTGTGCGTCAGGGCGGGGGGTATTCCTGACATCATCGCCGAGGAGGGGGACGGCGGCGTCGGGTATTTGTACGACAAGGGGGACATCAAGGGCGCCATCGCGACGATCGACAAGCTCAGCAAGGACCCTGCGCTGCGGGAGCGCGTCGGCGCTCGCGCCCGGCAGGAGGTGTCGCGGTGGGACTGGAAGGCGGCGACCGAGTTCCTCCTCACGAAGCAGTACCCGATCGCCATCGCGGCCGCACAGGTGGGGCGCGGCCGCCGGTTCGCACCGCCTCCGCACCGCTCTTGTTTTTTGCCCACGTCGTGCGTCACCGCACGAGTCCGCTGGCGCCTTCCTCGCAGGCGTACTGGGGACCGAAGTACCGCAAGCCGCTCCTGTCGCCAGTCCCGGGAGGGAGCGGAGACGGCAGCGCCGGCGCGCCACCGGTCTCCCCTGCGCCCGTCCCCGCGTGACAGGGACCGTCGCGCGCAGATCATCTCGCCCGCGGGTCTATGCCCGGCCCTCGTTTTTGTATAGCACAGCACGTGCGCTTCCGGTTCTGTGAGGGTCCAGAGTGTCTGTCTGATCGCTCCGACGTGTTCGTGGAAGCTCGACCAGCTCATTGGAAACAAGCGGTGAGGAATCCACGTGCCCGGACCGGGGTGCACCGCGGGCGCCAGTGCAGCGGCGCTGCTACCAATGCCCGTCGCGGATGCTCTTGCCGCTTCTAGGCGGGCCTGAGTCATGTCTGTCGCGTGTCGGCTGCTTGGTGGCAGGGCTGCATGGGCGCCTGCGTTGCCCGTCCGCGTACAGTATTGCCGCTCGTCAGAGGACTTCGGTGTTTAGAGGTAGAGCCGCGTACGGTAGTCGGTTCTGTCCGCGGACACGGGCGAGCGGCGCGTAGTTAGGGGGCGGCGCAAGACTCGTCGCAAAGCCGCGGTCGTGGGTCCCGCTTGGCAGTCCGGCCATGACCGCCAAGGCGCGGAATCCACTCGTGTGCCATGGCCACTCTCGACCGATCGTGGAACTGTTCTTCAGGTGCGCAATTCCCGCAGCCCGAACCCCTCAGGGCCGCGGCGCCAGCAGCGCCCCAACGGCGCCAGTCCGCGCAGCACTGCCGCAAGCAGCTCAACACACACCGCTCTCAGGCCGCGACATCGCGCCTTCGCCTCCCACGTCGCCTCGGCCTTTCCCGAGCCAGCAGTTGCTGCTGCAGTCGCACACCGCCGATGTCGCCGTCTCGCGCTGCCCGGCGCTTGCCTCGATGCTGACGCGCGGTGACGTCGTCGGCAACCTCGACGCCGCCACCGGCCGCGCCGCTGCCGGCCGCCAGCCCCGCCGGCAATCTGTCCAGCTCCGTGCCCTGCGCCCGCTGCCGCTCAGCACTGCGGTCGGGTGTGTTCGTGGGCGGCAGCACGAGCGCCAACGACGAGCTGCACAGCAGCGCAGGAACGCGCGCGTGCGGCGTCGCGGGGGCGGCGGTGCGCGCGGCGCACCATGCCCTTGCCACCATGAGACATCGTCGCGACCCCGTGCGGCGCCGGCTGCAGCCCCGAGACCCCCGACGGCGTGTTCTTGATCTCAGCGAGCAAGGACGGGAAGCCGATGCTGCGCAACGGCACGACGGGGGACTGGATCGGCACCTTTGAGGGGCACCAGGGTGCGGTGTGGGACGTGTCGCTGAACCAGACCGCGCTGCTCGCGGCCACGGGCTCGGCCGACTTCACGGCCAAGGTCTGGGACGCGTGCACGGGCGACGAGCTGCACTCGTTCGACCACAAGCACATCGTGCGCTCGGTGTCGTTTGCGCGGGACTCGCGGCGCGTGGCCACGGGCGGCATGGAGAAGAAGATCCGCGTGTTCGACGTGAACAGCCCGGGCTCGGACCCACTAGAGATCCCGGCGCTGCCCGGGTCGATCCGGTCGCTCGCGTGGTGTCAGGACGACAACCTGCTGCTGGCGACGCTGAGCGACACGCCCGGGATCCGCGCGTACGACGTGCGGACGCAGCAGCTCGCGTGCACGCTCGAGACGGAGAAGCCCGTGACGTCGCTGGACGTGTGCGACGGCGGGCGCACGCTGTGCACGGCGGAGGCGGGGCACGTGCGGCTGTGGGACCTGGCGACGCTCCGGGCGACGGACGTGCTCGACGTCGAGGGCTTCGGGTGCGAGGCGGCGAGCTACCACGCGGGCGCGGGGCGGATAGTGGCGGGCGGGCAGGACATGTGGGTGCACATTTTCGACTGCAAGTCGAAGCAGGAGGTGGACGTGTGCAAGGGGCACCACGGGCCGGTGCGGACGGTGCGGTTCGACCCGACGGGCGCGTCGTTCGCGTCCGGCAGCGAAGACGGGACCATCCGGATCTGGGAGGTGTGACGCCGCGCGAGGGGCGCCCGCGGACGGTGTCGAGTCAGCGCTGTCAGGGGGACTCCGGTGGCTGGCAGGCGCGGGCTCTCGCTGGGGGCGGCGCTGCTCGACGGCCAGCATTATTGCCGCTGCGTGCTCGTTCCGCAGGCGACGCTGCGACCCCTTGCGTGCGCCGCCGTCGCAGATCCCGCTGCACCTGTGTGCTTGTGGCTTTTGTGCGCGGCCGCTCCATGCGCCGCGAGGCAGCCGCCCGCTGACTGCCGCGCCCTTTCTTGTCGAGCCAATACCCTCACGGTGGGCGACGCCCGAAGCGGGCGTGACGGCTTGCAGTGCGTGCACGGCCTCGTGTTACCGCGTGCACCCTCGGCCGCAGTCCGCCGCGAAGCGCGGTTTGAAGCCAAGGGAGCGACCATGGATAGCGTCGCACTCTTTGCCACGGGGGGGAATGCGTGGGCCGCGGGCGCCCTCCGCCACGGCATCAGCCTAGCCGCGGTGGTGTTGATGGCGAGCGCTCTGTGCGTCTTGGCGGACAAGTGCTTGACGTTTGCGAAGTTCGCCTACCTCAGGGTGAGTGAAATCAGCCTGTCTCGGGCCGCGAGGCATCAATGCTCGCCAACTCCCCCGCGATCGTGATCGCCGCGGGCGACAGCTCATGTGTGTACAAATCCTAGGACAGCAACGCGCGGCGGATCGCGCGACCGCTCGTGCCTTTCCTTGCCCCCGCCGCAACTCCTGTTATCATGGCAAGCCGTCTGCTCGCTCCGACTCCCACCGGGCCGCGCCCCGCTGCAGCTGCGGAGGGTCGCCCCCGAGGCACGGTACAACTTCTACGCGCTGCCCTCGCCGGTGGACTTCCCGGGCGAATTCCCCGCGGTCGCCGTCCAGCTCCCGATGTTCAACGAGACGGCCGTCTGCGAGGACGCGATCGCGTGCGCGTGTTCGATGGAGTGGCCGCCCTCGCGCCTGATCGTGCAAGTGCTCGACGACAGCACGGACGCGCAGACGCGCCGCCTCGTCGACGAGGCGAGTGCCCCTCGAGTATCAGACGCACGCACCGACCGCGCAAGGCTCCTCAGAAAGGAACAAGAAGAATGACGCACAACCAATTGCAAAGCCATCGGTGCAGGCCGCGAGCTACTGGAGAGGCAAGGGCATACAGTGCGAGGTCCTCCGCCGGCAGGACCGCAAGGGGTACAAGGCGGGCGCGCTCAAGGAGGGTCTCGAGCTCCTGCGGCACGTGGAGTACATCGCCGTCTTCGACGCCGACTTCCGCCCGGAACCGTCCTTCCTCGCGCAGCTCGTGCCGTACCTGCACGCCAACCCCGCGCTCGGATACGTCCAGGTGCGTGCGGGCTCGATGGTGGCCGCGAGCCTGCGTCGCTCGGCGGTCGCCACTGCAATGTTGCATGTTGGAAACGCCGTCCGCGACGTGGCGACGCACGCAGGCGCGGTGGACGTTCGTGAACGCGGAGGAGAGCTACCTCACGCGCGTCCAGGAGGTGGCGCTGAACTTCCACATGAAGTGCGAGCAATACTCCAACTGCGCGGGGCGCTCGTTCTTCAACTTCAACGGCACCGCGGGCGTCTGGCGGCACTCGTGCATCCACGACGTGGGCGGGTGGTCCGGCCGCACCACGGTCGAGGACATGGACCTCTCCCTGCGCGCCTACCTCGCGGGCTGGGAGGCTCTGTTCCTCGCTGACGTCGAGTGCCCGTCCGAGCTGCCGTCGTGCCTCTCCGCCTACCGCAAGCAGCAGCACCGCTGGACCGCGGGGCCCGCGCAGCTGATGAAGGCGACCGCGGGGCCGATCTGGCGCTCCCGGCTGCCGCTGCTGAGGAAGCTCGAGCTCATCGTCGTGTTCTTCGGCGTCCGGAAGGTCCTGACTCATGTCGCCAGCCTGGGGTTCTTTTGCATGATGGTCCCGCTGTCGATGCTCGTGCCGTCGCTCGTCGCGCCGCTCTGGCTCGTGCTGCACCTGCCGCTGTGCGTGACGCTGCTCGTCGCGTCGCTCAGCCGCCGCGGCTGGGCCAACGCCGTCACGTACGTGCTGTACGAGAACGCCATGGGCGTCGTCAAGGCGTGGGCGCTGCTGTCCGGCCTCCTGAACCTGAAGCGGGCCACAGAGTGGGTCGTCACGCAGAAGACGGGCGCAGGTGACGCACGCGCCGCGGCAGGCCCTGCGCCTAAGCAGATCGCTGGCTACTGGGTGAACGCAGGGCTGATTTGCCGCTCGCATTGTGTGTCTCGCCTTGCAGGCCATGGCGAGCCGGGAGCCCCGCTGCAGCACGCGAACTGGAGTCTGCACCCCGCAGAGCTGCTGATGTCGGCCTTCATGATTGGCAGCGCGGGCACGGCGCTCGTGCTCTCCCACGGCACCACCGTGTCCATCTGCGTCTTCGTCTGCCTCCAGGGGCTGGCGTTCCTGGCCTTCGGATCCTCGATGGTCGACGCCAACGGGCTGCTGGGGCGGTCCCGCCTGCACAAGCTGCAGGCCAAACAACAGCGCGTCACCGCGCAGGTGGGCGCGCAGGCGGCGGCGATCGCAGCACCCCACGACGGACCAGAGGTGCGTGCACCGTCGCGATGCTCGCCTCAGGCTCTCGCCGCGCGCACCGCACACAACAACGGGTCCGTGCTCCGCGTCGCGCTGTCCTCGCAGCTCGCGCACTCCGCGTCGTCGTCCACGCTGGCCATCAGCCAGGCGGGGCGGCGCTCGTCCAGCTTCGGCCTCGAGCCCCCGATCCTCACGGTGTCCACGATGCCCTACTCCAGCCCCAAGCGGGACGCCAGCGCGGACGCGTACGACGACCCCGAGGTCGACCTCGCCCAGCTGTCGCCTGCGCGGGCAAAGGCGTCCCACGCCGCGCTGCGGCCTTCGCTCTGGTCGTCCGCGAATGGGCGGCCGCGGGTGTCGGCGGGGGTCGCTCAGTTCGCCGGCGCGTCGGCGGGCAGGACGACGCGCATCTGGTGACGCCGGGTGGGAGGGCGGGGCTTGCTGACCCCGCGTACTTGGAGCCACAGGCGCAGTTGCAACATGTCATGCGGGCTCGCTGTTGACGTTGTGAGCTTCTCGCGCGTTGACGAAAGCTGCGCTTCGCGCTGGAGGTGGCGCAGTGCACGATGCTGCTTGCGGCCGGAGGGGGGCTCGTGCGACGCGGCTTTGACTGACGAGCACTTGTCAGGGGGGGGTCGTCCACCAACGACCGTCGGACTGCGGACGCTGAACTGCTCAACCGCGCGTTATTTCTGGGCGCCGGCCTAGCTCATAGCCACAGGGCTCGCAGGGTGCGTCAGGCAGCAGGATGGTTCCTCGCTAGCCCATGCTCGAAGCGTCGTTTGCCCCACTTGGTCGTTTTCTCCACGCCGCGTGCCCCCGGGGGACCGAAGTCTCTCCATCCTGCGCAACGTCGTGCATGGATGTGATCTGCGCTGCACGATGTCTTTTGCGGGGCTGTTTGCGCGAGGAGCGATCGCGGGGGCGGCGCTTCTGGCTGCTCTCGGCGTGCTCCGAGAGCTCACGCCCCTGGCCGACGTCGGCATGAGCTACATGTACCCGAATTACACCAACATGGAAGGCTTCTGTCCAGACGTTCCACGGGGGCCCGCGGGCGGATACGCCATGTGGAGGTACCACGAAATGCAGCTGGGTCTGGACACCTTGCTCGATGGTCTCCCTGTGATGCCCGGCCTCTTCATTCCGGGCAACGCTGGCGACGAGAAGCAGGTGCGCCCGACGGGCCGCACCCAGGCACCAGGGACACGCGCCACCGCACTGCACGCACCCGGGCAGCTATGCACACCTCGGACATTGTTTGTTTGTTTGTGTTTATGTTCTGACTGACGAGCGTTCGGCAAACTACTTCCCCCGCACGTTGCGCAGGTGCGTTCGATAGCGTCGCACTCCGACACCGTGCTGGCGGACATGGTCCGGTCCGGGGAGTGCGGTCCGTCTGACAAGAAAGGGTCGGCCAAGTCAGACTTCCAGTGCGTCAGGATCGCCTGGCACGCGCTGTCGACGAACGAGGAGCTCTCCGCGTTCGACTCGCGCGTGCTCAAGCGCCACGCGGCGCTGGCGAGGAGAGCGCTGTCCTGTCTGACCGAGATGTACTGCCTGGATGGCCGAGAGGTCCCCGGGGGGGTCCTGGACGTGGACTGCCCCGCGGGCCCGCGCAAGATCGTGCTTGCCGGCCACTCGATGGGCGGCGTGATCGTGCAGATGCTGCTCGCCGAGGCGCAGCGAGCCGGTGGGGGGAGCGCCGCCCCGCTGCCTGCATCTGCTGTCAGCGCAGTGCTGCTGCTGTCGGCGCCGAACGCATCGCCTCCTCTCGGGCTGCAGCCGTCGATGTGGGACACGTACGGGGACATCGCGAGCGGGGCCGCGCTGTCGCTGGCGCAGGCAGGGGGGGTGTCGCTGTCAGGGGGCTCTCTCGACTGGATGGTGCGACCGAGAGCCACACGCCTGCCGAGCGCGCCGGCGGCGATCGTCCACGTGGATACGCGCGCCATGCCGGGCGTCTGGGCCAGCGTCGGGCACCAGCAGATCGTGTGGGCACAACAGCTGTGCGAGAGGCTGGCTCGCGGCCTGCTCCGCGCAGTCGCCGGCCACGGCGCCCGGGCCTTCTCTAATCTACGTGCGAGCTCCGCGTCTGCGCTGGCTTCGTGCGCTGGCGAGAGGGCGGCACAGAAGAGCGCTGCAGCTGCGCAGCACACGTCGTCGTCGCTCCGCGTGACCATGCGGGCGAGGCCCGGCGAGAGACGATCCGGTGCGATGGAGTGGGATGTAGGCAAGATGCGCGAGCGGCTCGGGGCCGGCGATGAGCTGTCCGTGCTGGTGACGGCGACAGGTTTGGAGCCATGCCTCGACTTCGTTGTCGAGGTAGGCACGGCGGGGTGGGGGTTCCAGGACGTGACGCGCGAGGCCGTGTCCGTGCCGCCGGCGTGGTCGACGAGCGTCGCGGAGAAGCAGCGCGCGCAGGACGCCACGAAGGCCGATTGGACGCGCCACCGCATCACGGGGGGTGTCGGGTGGCGCGAGGGGATGTTCGCACGGGGCAAGCAGGCGCCGCCTGGCTCGCTCGCCGTCGTCCTCGGCCGCAGCCTTCTCGCGAACGCGTCGCGGGTGCGCGTCGTGCCCATGCACGTGGACGAATGGGAGGTGGGGGGGGAGCTCGTCGTGCAGTGGTCGGTGCCGAGTGCCCTGCGCGTCCTCCCACGCAGCGCGGCGTTCAGCTTCGGCGCTCCCTCGGACCTCGTGCCCGAGAGGCACGCGATCCCGGGCGGAGTCGGGGGCGTTCACGTCCTGACAGGGGGAGGGGGAGAATTGTGGGGGCGTCTCAACGCGGCGCGGCTGCTCCTGCGCGCGCGGCGGATCGTCGTGGCGGTGCCCGAGGACGCCACGTGTCACGCACCATACGTCATCGCGGGGGGCGGCGCTGCGGCCTCTGGGCCTCTCGCGCTGCGTCTGACGCCGCACTTCGATGCCCTACAGGTCGCGCTGCAGGTCTCGCGGCGCGCGCTCGGCGTGCTCGACGAGGCGCTGACGGCCGTGGGAGTCCCGACAGCGGTCGTTCAGAGGCACGTGGGCGCGTGGGTGCGTGGGACAAGCGAGGCGGAGCATGCGTCGTGGCTGCAGGCCGCGGCGCTGCGTCCCGGCGGGGGGCTGTACTCGCTCCCGCTGATCGACGTCGAAGAGACGATGGCGTCGATGATGCAGCGTGCGGATGCGAGAGACCCGCACATTCTGCTCGTGACGGACGGCGCGGAGGGCTGCAAAGCAACACCGGCAATTGCGTGGGACCCCGTTGGGGCCCTCGCCGCGTTCGTCCTGGACCACCCCGCCTTCTTCGTCGCAGTATTCGGGTGCGGGTGCTGGCTGGGTCTCCTGCGCGGCACGTTCAGCGCGGGCGGGGGCATCGGGGGTCTCCCAAGCCTGCGCGCGGGGGGGGTGTTTGCCAGCGCGTTCGCGCACCCCTCCGTGGCGCTCCTCCTCGGAACGATCGCCATCTGGCCGCGGTGCCGCTCCGACATGTTCGTGCAGCGGCCGATGGCGCGGGCGCTGCGCACGGCGCAAGTCTGGGCGCTGGGCGTCACGGCGCCGTCCCTGGTGGCGGTCGTGCGCGCGCGGGAGCTGTCGGTGGTGCCGTGGCGGGACGCGTGGGGCCCGGGGCTGCTCGCAGCGTCCGCGGTGTCCCTGGCGACGGGTCGCGTGGACAGGGGCCCGGGGCATTCCGTGGGGTTGGTGCTGTGCGCTGCAGGGCTGTCGCTGGCCTGGCTGGCTTACGACGCCATCGACGGAGGCGCGCTCCCGCACGAGAGCCCCGCGGGCGTCCTCGACAGCATTGCGCTGCTCGCAGCAACGGTGCCGCTGGGCGCCCTAATTCGGGGCTGGTGATGACTGAAACACAGCACCGACCAAAGAAGATGTGGGAGAACTCACCCCGCAGCATCCCCGGGGATCACGCCCACGCGCTCGCGGCGGCCATGCTGCAACCCACCGAGTCATCGCGCCGGTCGGGGCATATTCATATTCACGCCGAGCGCCCTCTTCAATCAGGACATCACACCGGACCCAGTTTTTCAAATACACGCGGCCCACGACGGTCGCGCCGGGCCCGACCCCTGCGCACCGTGTGCACCGCCGCTCCTCGCGCGCCTCCGTCGCCCCCTCACTGCGCCTCCCCCACCTCGGGGAAGATGTTTGCAAAGTAGGTCGTGCCTTCGAGCCCGTCGTCGCGGCACAGCAGCCCCTGCGCCTCCGCGTGCTCCAGCAGCCTCCGCGCCACCTCCTGCCCCACGGACAGCGCCGCCGCCACCGCCGGCGCCCCCACCCCGCGCGGCTTCCCCTCGCGCCCTGCCCACGCGTCCAGCGCCATGTTCGCCGCCCGCTCGCTCAGCGCGCCGTGCGTCACGCCCCCGCCCTCCACCATCAGCACGCCCCCCTCGAACCGCACCAGCCGCGCGTCCAAGTTCAGCTTCGCCATCGCACGAAACGCATCCTTCATGTCCTGGGGGGACACCATCTCTTGCCCGCGCGCCCTGCGAGCACTCGAGCGAGCACACCGCGCCGCCGTTGGGTCATGTGCGTGGGGCGTGCGGTGCGCGGTCGTTGCGCCGGGGGGGTGTGTTGGTCGACGTCCCACCTGTTGAAGTAGTACCATGCTTCTGTCAACGGCACGAGCCCGCCGGCCTGCCGGAGGAGCCCCCCGCGCGCCCCGCCGTCCCCGCAGAGGAAGTCGTACAGCTCCCGCGCGAGCTGCTGCTCGAAGAGCGCCCCGGCGGCCTCGCGCGTCACCGGTGACACAATGCCCATTTCGACGACGGCCGACCGCATGACCTCATGCTCGCCCGCGCTGAGGCCCTCGCCGCCGGCGCTGGGCCCGACCGCCTTGCTCAGGGACTCGACGATGCCCACGATGTCGCGCGCGCGCGCCATCAGGGCGTTGAGATCGGTCATTGCCGCACCCAGCGCCTGCGACGTTTCCCGCCGCTGCTGCTCCTCGCGCGCACGCAGCCGCTCGAGACCGGTCGGCATTGGACCTGCGGAGCCAGTGGAGTGCAGGACGTTGCTGTTCACCGACTCAGGACGGGCACCGAGCCTGCGATCGCGGCGGGAGAGGGCAGCGCGCACCTGCAGGCGTGGACCGTGGAGGGGCTGGTGGCGCGGCCTCCTGGTTCAGAAGCAGGTCCACTGCCTTGTCGACGGTGCCCGCTCGCGCGAGCGCGGACGCAGCTGCCGCCCGGGGGAACCCCATGGCCGCTAGAGCGTCGACTTCGGGGCCGCGGGCCTCTGGCTTGGCCGGCCCGTCCTGCGCCGCCTCGGCCTTCCAGGCGCCGTTCTCCAGCGCTCGAGTTAGGTTGTTTGCGAGGGCGTCGGCGGACCGCCACGTTCGCGTCAACACCCGCACCTTGGCCATGTCAGCGCCCGGGAGCAGCGAGCTGCTGGGCAACAGCTCCACCTTGACCTTGCCGCCGAGCCCGAGGACGCGGGCGTACGTGCACGCCGCGACGTGCTTGAGATCGATTGCAGCGGACCGCGGCGGGGACTCGCGGCCCACCCAGACGAGGCGGTGCGACGTCGCGTACGCAGTTCCCTTGGCGTAGGTGCTGCTCGGTTTGCTCGCGCCGCCGAGGGCGACGGTGAGATCGGCCTCGGCGATGTACAGCTCGGTCTCGCCGGAGAGGAAGATCGGGCGCCCGGAGCTCGAGACCTCGCACGGGGGCAGCGCCGCAGCGCACATTCTCGCGTCACGTCAGTCCGCTGCGGCTAGCGCGACGACGCGCCGCCGCGGCTCGCACGGCCAGCCCGCAGTCGGCGCTCGCGCCTCCCTTCCAATGCGGCAGTCCCCGCTGAGACGCGCCCTGGGCCTATGACCACCGCAACTAAGTTCCCCTACGGTGACGCCACGCCGGTGTAACCCCCCCCAGCCCTCTTTTGTGAGTCTCCCGGCGCTCGGGCGCTTCGGACAAATGTAAGGGCTCGTCCGCTCGGCCTCCCCGGTGGCCGCAACGCGTGCCAGCGGCAGTCGGCCCCTCCGAAGAGGGGTCGAGCGCTGGAGGCTGACTGGTGGCCTTGTACCCGGCACGGCGACGCGCAGGGCCGTCGGGCCCCGTCGCCGCGGGGTCTGGGCATCTTGAACCCCGCCGCACTGAGACATCGTCCAGCAAAGCAGCGTCCGGGCCTTGGCATGGCCTGAGAGGGAACATGCAGCACCAAACGTCGATCAACCCGACGCCCGGCCACCAGGCGCCGTCGCCGACCGCCCGCGCGGGCCTCGCGCGTAGCCAGACGACCCCTGCACCTATCAAACAAGGTGCCGCACCCGCCACCTCGCCGCTGTGCGCTGCAGGAGCATCTGCCTTCTGCAGCCGCGACTGCTCGTGCCGCCGACCGGCGACGAGCTGCACGTGCTGTGAGCCTCTCTCCACGAGGAACGCTCTGCGTGCACCTTCGAGGCCTTTCGGTCCTCTGCAAAGGCCGCTCACGCCCCAAAAGCTCCATGTGCCCGCTCGCAGACAACACCGTGTACATTAGCAACCTCGAGTACTACTGCACCACCGAGCTCATCTCGCAATTCCTCGAGGAGTGCGCGGGCGATGATTCCGTGAACCAGGTCCAGGTGAGCGCTGCCTCCCAGCTCTGCAGCCATGATGCACCTCAGCGCCGCAACGCGAGGCACACGGGCCGAACTTTGCTGCAAGGCAGCCCACGCGGCAGCTGCGGAGGGCACGAGCTCCCCAGGGCGGCCCGGGCGGCTGTCGTGCCGTGAGGTCGCGCGGCGCCGACGTCTGCCGTGTGTGCGGTTGGCAGGCGGGAGGAGGTCCCGGGCCCGTAAACTCAGCTGAAAGCGGCAGCCGGCGGGCGACGCTGCGTGTTCAATAGCTTCGCGGAGCGGCACGCTCACGGAAACGGCGTGTGCGGGCTGTGGTGGTTGCAGCTGATCACCCGAGGCGGGAGTGCGCGCTCAGGAAGCGCCGGACTCGCGCTTGCGGAGATGAAGGACCCGGACACCGCCCGTCGCGTCATTCAGGAGCTCAACGGACAGTCGTTCATGGGCCGCGAGGTGCGCCGCGCCCCACCAACCTCCGCACCTTACACACCGCCGGATCGCGCCCACACGCGTCGACGCGGCGCTCCGCACCGCACGTCATGCACAGACCGCAACTCGCGCAACCGTGGATCGGTCGGACCACGGCAGCCGGCGCCCTGGCCCATGTCGACAGGTGCCTGAGCCCCCCTGTGTGCCGCGACGCGCAGGTCAAGCTGAGCACCGACAAGTTCATGGGCTGACTCCCCGCACCGCGACGCCCCTGTCGACCCCCCTTCCGCGCTCCGAGAAACGCTGGCTGCCGCACCACTCTCATTGCTATTTTCACAGACCTAGTGTCATATCTAGTTGTGAACCCCTGATCCGTCACGCACGCGCCCCGCACGCGCGCCGTCACCGCTTGATCCCGAGCCACAGCAGGCCCGCCTTCGCGCGGTCCGACGCCTCCTGCAGCAGCGCCTCGTGCTGCCACCGTGCTGGCAGGCCCTCCTGGCCCTCCTCGATCCGCCGCTTGAGCCGGTCCAGCTGCCGCACGATGCTCGTGTCGCCGAACGGGCTCCACACGACGAGCAGCGACCCCGCCGGCAGCGCCGCGTGCACCTCCGCCACACGTGCGTCCGTTTTGCCTGCACGCCGCGCACGCGCACACCTGTTGTCGCCGAACACGGCGAGCGCCGCACGCACGTGTCCGAGATGATAGCAACGTCTGGGAACTCACGTGCAGCGGCGGCCACGAGCGCCGCGTCTTCGTCCGCCAGCACACCCACCTCCCCAGTCTCCGCCGCCACACACACCTCCGCGCACTGCGCGTGCACCTTCGCGAGCCCCATCAGCTGCCCGAACACCACCTCGAACGCCGGCCCCGCGCCCCCCTGCTTCCGCACCACGTGCACCAGCTCCTTGACCATCTCCCCGTCAGACTGCACCACGCGCGTCTCGGCGCGCAGCTCGTGCGCGCGGATGACGCGCGAGACGTTCTCCGAGCGGTCCACGATGGCCACGCGCCGCCCCGCGCCCTCTAGGAGCGCCGAGAGGGACAGCTTGTCGCGCCACGCCGCGGTGCCGTACGTGCGTCCGTTCTTCATCTTCAGCTGCGCGAGCTGCATCGCCGTGGACGCGTCCTCCACCGAGTCGTGGCCCTTCCGTCCCTGCGAGAACGACGCAGAACACGCGGCGCGTGACCCCCGCGGCGCTGTCCTGGAACACCATGCCTGCCATGTGCCTCAATGCGGCAATCCTATCCCGGAACGCTGCGCGGCACCGCAATTAGCTCGCGTCCGGCCCCTGCGAGAGATGGACCGATCGCCGGCGACCCCTGGGGCCGAGCGGGGGAGTGAGGGGGGGTGTGTTGGCCCACCTTCTGGATGGCCTTCTTGAGGTGGTGCCACGCAAGCCTCCGCAGCGCGAACTTCTTCGCGGCGTCCGGGTGCGGGTACGCGACCGACGTGTCCAGCACGCGCTCGTGCACGATCCGCGTTGCGCGCAAGTCGTTCTCCAGTGAGTGCCCCACCAACACCGTCTCGCGCGCCACCTCCTTCAGAATGCGCTCCCGCGCCTGCGCCGACGCACGAACACGCAAGCCGTCGCGCCCACGCCCCACGACAGCGACGCCCAGCTGCCGGGGCGACGGGGGTCGGTTTCGGTGCGCACCTGCTCCAGCGTGGTCGTGGCCTTGGAGAGCATTTGTGCCGTTATCCCCGAGTACTGAGTCAGGTGGTCGGTGACGGCCGCGGCGGGCTTGACGATCTCGTCCACGATCACGCCGCCGTCCTCGCCCACGAGCGTGTACCGCGCCAGGGTGTGCCCGCCCGCTGTCAGGACCATCTCGCAGTCGATCGCCACCAGGGCGCGCGCCGAAGCGTCCGACCGGGGCCGGGTCGCGAGGTAGCCGTCCGGGCAGCAGCCGGAGTCGTCTGGCAGCGGGTACCCGTGCTCTTCCATCTCTTTCCTGCACAGACGAACAGGGAGGCGAAAACACGCGCGTGGCGTCAGGGGTGGTGGCGGTTCTTGGTTCTGGGGCTGGCGCGGTGCGTGGCGGAGCGGGCCGAGCGGGGGCGGGCGCGGGTCGCGGTGCGGGCCGTGCCTGGTCAGGCAGAGCTCGAGCGCGGTGGCGGGGCCCTTGTCTTTTGTGGAGACGCCGGGCGCGTGCGGGACCGCGGCCGCGGGGACGTTGTGCAGCGCGTTCAGGGCGAAGAAGTGGTCCACGCTGCATCGACGCAGGAGCGGGTGGGTGTGAGCGCGCGCGGGCGCTGCGGTGCACGGAGGCGGGGAGCACGCCGCGCGGAGACGCACCCGCACGGCGTCTTGTTCATCATGCAGGCGCACGGTTCGCCGAGGAGCCTCTGCGTGGCCTGCATGAGCGGCGGAACGACGTCGTTCATGGCCTGTGAGACCCCCGGGGCCGTCAGCACCACCACTTGTTGCAAGGCGTCCGCCGCCCGCACGTAGAACTTGTTCGAAGGCGCCGGCTCGATCTTCGCCATGTGGAGGAGAAGCCGCTGGATGTCGCGGGCGACGAGCGCGGGCCGGGAGCGCTGGAGCGCCACGGCGGGCACAGGCGCCTGCTGCGGCTTGCCCCCGGCCGGCCTCTTCGCCGCTGGAGACGCCTGCCCGCCCTGCTCGTGCTCCCGGCACTCGGCCTCGACGTCCGTCGTCGCGGTGATGGCCGCGAGCTTCCGCTTCAGGCCGGCCCCGTCGTTGGGCTGTGCCATCGTGGACGGACGCCCCTTGCGCATGACACAGCGAAGCGGAGCCGGGCGGAGCTCCGCCGGGGCGACTGCGCACAGCCACGGCGCGTTCGCGTCCCTCGGCCTCCCGAGCGCCCGACTTCCCAGTGTCAGCTAGACCCCCCCTGTAGCAACCCTCTGCGTCCTGGACGGCCAGGAGAGGACGTTGGGCCGCGAATACATCGTGCACGGCAGTGCATACCTTCGTTCAACGTTGGAGCGTTCGTGAGCCGCCCAGACAGCTGATCTCCGCGGCCCATTGGCCCTGCTAACGAGGCGTGATCTCTGAGCGCAGTGCCGCCGGCGTCGAGCGTCCCTGCGGCTGCAGCGTTTCCGAGCCAGTCGATTTCGGACATTGGCGTGTTCCGACTCGCAGGCCCCGGAGTTCAGCGCGCCGGTTCGCCGGCAAGCCTGGCCCAGTTGTTGAGCTGTCGCTGCGCGTGACTCCCGCGCGAATTTCGAGGCACCTGGGCGTCTGCTGGGACCCTGGTCTCGGCCCTCGTCCCTGGGCACCACCCCGCGACCGCGTCATGGCCTCGTGAGGCGGCGCGAGCGGCGCTGGGCAGGAAGTTGAGCCTTGCTGCGCGGGAGGCCCTCGCCCGGGCGAGCGGAGGCGCCGGCCGAGCCCGCTGGCCAGCATGTCGGAGCTCACCGCGGTGCCGCGCGCGACCGGCAGCTCGGGCGGCAGCGACGGCGCGTCCAGGGGCGGGGCAACGGAGCAGAGCACGCCCGGCGGGACGCAAGCCGCGCGGCCCCTGGTCACGAGCGACTCTTCCAAGGAGACCACGCCGGACCAGAGCGCGTCCGCCGGGCTCGGCCCAGGCCCAGGCCCAGGCCGGCCCGCGCCCGCGAGTAGCTTCTCCCGCCCCAGCGACGCAGGTCGCCCGGCGTTCGGTGACCTCAAGGCGGGCCTGCCGATGCCCACGAAGAAGTCCAGCTCGCTGGCCGTGACGAGGACCCGCTGGGACGACGAGAAGACGATCCTGGCGGTCATCCCCGGGCACGGTTCGCGCGAGGTGACCATTTCGGGCTGGACGCACATCGACATCGCGCTCGACATCTCCAAGGGTGAGCGCGCCCGAGCGCCTGCGGGGTCCCGCTGCTCCGAACGGCCCCCGCCAGCGCGCGCCCCGCGTGCGAGGCCGCCCCCCCGGGCCAGACGCGGCGTCCAGGCACTGACGGGACCTTCGCGCCCCGCCCTGCCCGCGCTGCTGGCGCCCGGGCGCCCGTCGGCCTCGCGGGAGGTCGATTTGTGCGTGGAGTGCTTTCTCGCGCGCCGCAGACCCTCGCGTCGCCCGCGAGCACGCCGCTCACCGCCTCAGCGCCATCCCCGGGCACTGCAGCGTTCGGTTTGACGCAACAGGACTTCAGGCAGGTGACGCAGACGGCCGCCGAGCAGTCGTTGATGCTCATGGACCCGGACTACAACGTTCCATATCAAGGTTTCGCCGTGAAGGACGTGGTCGAGGTGGGCTCCCCGCGCCACCCTGCACCTCGCGCGACGCGCCGGCCGCGAGGCTCATTCCCGGCACCGACTGCCCGCCCCGTGGTCCTCGCAGGGGTCTACATTGTATTTCTTGCCGCACCGGCTCAACGATCGGTCGGAGGAGGGGCGCCGGCTCGTCACCCGCCTCATGACCAGGCATTTGGAGGAAGAAATCGCCATCATGAAGCGCGAGGGCCTCATTCCGGCCCCCGGCGAGGTGCTGGTGAGCAGCCCTGGCCGCCCGCCTCGCGCGGGACCGTCACGCGCCTGCCCGCCGCGCACGTGCTCGCCGGCACGGTCTCACTGTCACGCGCTGCTTCCTTGGGCGCAGGTCGCGCACCGCGAGTTGGAGGGCGACGCCGCGGACGAGGTCCCGCGGATGGGGGACGCGGACGCCGGCGCGGGGGGCGTCGCGTACGGCGAGGCCAGGAACGCGCGCAACAGCGTCGCGGACGCCGCAGCGCTGGCGGAGGCGCGCCGCGCCGCGGGCCGCGTCAACTTCGACGTCCCGGAGGGCGAGGGCGAGGGCGGGCGCGAGGGGACGGGCGACCGCCGGCCGTCGGGCAACTCGATGGGGAAGCTGAGCCTGCAGAGGAGCCTGGCGTACCTGACGTCAGCGATTCGGAACCGCGGGCTGCCGGTCGGGTACGACTGGCGCGTGTTCGGGCCGCGGCGGGCGTTCCAGGACCGCGTGTGGGCGTTCGTGGACGACAGCGGCTCGTCGGCGCTGGCCATGTGGTTTGCGCTCTTCATGGCGGCGCTCATCATCCTGTCCACGATCGCCATGGTGGTGGAGACGATGCACAAGTACTACAACGACGAGCAGGACTACACCTCGGCCTTCTTCGGCATCGAGGCGTTCTGCATCGGGTGCTTCACGCTGGAGCTGCTCCTGCGGCTGGTGTCGTGCCCGACGGTCTACGGCTACCTGTCCGACTGGCTCAACTGGATCGACATCGTCGCGGTGCTGCCGTTCTACCTCGAGCTGTTCCTCGCCAACGCCGTCCCGGGCCTGCAGGTGGTGCGTGTGCTCCGGCTGTCGCGCACGCTGCGCCTGGCCAAGGTCTCGAAGAACTCCATGCGCGTGCTGACCAGCGCGCTGCTCGCGTCTACCAGCCCGCTCGTGACGCTCGTGACGCTGCTCGTCGTCGCGATGATCGTCTTCGCCAGCGTTATCTTCTTCCTGGAGCGCGGGCGCTGGAACGCGCAGCTGCAAGTCTGGGAGGTGCGCCGCCGCGGTGCACGCAGTGGGCGCGACCCGCCGCCCGACCCGTCTGCCGCGTGGGTCTGCGTGTGCGATGCGATGCTCAAGCCCGCGGCTGGTGCGTTGCTTTGTGTGCAGGCCGTGCGCGACTTTTACTGCGAGGTCACGGCGACGCGGGCGGAGGCCATCGATGCGAACACCTTCAACGTGGAGGCAGAGCTCTCCAAGGGGTGCACGTTCCTGCGCCACACCGCGCCAGACAACACCACCGCCGTCTTCGGGTGCTACGAGCCGCACAAGATGTTCCAAAGTGCGCCCCCGCCGCTGCAAACGCGCTCCTGCACGGCCCCCGCCGCGCCTGTGCCCTCACTCGCGCGGCTCGCCTTCCTCTCCACACCCCCCCCTCACGACCCCCTGTGTTTTCGGTCGTCCCGTGCAGACTGCCAGGCGCGGTACGAGGTGCACCAGTTCCAGTCGATCCCGGACGCGATGTGGTTCTGCATCGTCACGCAGACGACGGTGGGCTACGGCGACTCGTTCCCCAAGTCGTGGCTGGCGCAGATCGTGGCCGGGCTCCTGCAGCTGTCGGGCGTGCTCACCATCGCGCTGCCGGTCACCGTCATCTCCGGGAACTTCGAGGCCGTGTACTCGGAGATGCGCGCGGAGAAGCAGCGCCAGCGCCTCATCGACAAGAAGCTGCGCCTCCTCCAGGAGGGGAAACACATAGAGGAGGAGGAGCGCAAGCGCGCGCAGGAGGACAAGTCGTCCGGGGCGTTCGGCAAGGCGATGAAGCGGTGGGCCACGACAGCGCCGTCCAAGGGGATGTCCCGGCTGCGCACCTTTGCCACGAAGCACTCAATGCTGCGGCGGGCCAAGAAGGAGCCGAGCGACGCGCAGGGCAAGGACGGCTCGCTGAGCAGGACGACGACGCAGGCGAAGCAGAACTCGTCGGTGCTGGAGGCGCAGGGGACGGTGGAGGACGCCCCGCAGATGGGCTTGGCGGAGATGGCGCGGCTGCACGCGTCGCTGCAGAGGATGCGGAAGAAGCAGCTCAGGGGGGCCTCGAACCGGACGATCGGCCGCGACCGGACGACGTCGAGCGTTGCGCGCCGGGGCGCGGACGCGGACGAGAGCGGAGGGGGACCTGTCATGGTGGAGCGCCCCAGGTTCCAGTCGATGGCCGCGCCCGCGACGAAAGACTTCGACTGACGCGCGAACGGCCGCGCCGTGTGACGCAGCAGCACGCGTCGGATGTGCGTGCCCCTGCGACCAGTCGTGGGGCGGCCGAGAGGCACGCAAGTGCATTTGCTCATTGACCCTCGTGTCAGGGCCGCACGTGCGGTCGCCCGTGCCCCAGCCCTCCTGCTCCCTCACAACACTACTACTACTGCGCGCCCGCAAACACCCCCAGAACCGCTCCCCGCACTGCGTCAGGCTTCTTCGCCAGCAGACCCTTCACGTCCACGGCGAGCGGCGCGAACCGAGCGTAGTGCAGCGACACGAGCGACGCCAGACACAGCAGCACCTGCCGCGCCACCCGCGCGGACCTCTCCTTGCCGGAGATGCCCGCGGGCTCCGCCTCGCCGTCCACAGCCATGGCGCCGCTGCCCTCCTCCGTGCGGCCCTCCGCCGCCGCGGCGGCGGCTTTCTCGTCCGCGACGACGCGCGCCGGGCGGAGATCGTGCGCCGACGGCATCGCAGGCAGCGGGTCCGGCAGCAGTCCGGCCAAGGAGCGCACGGCCAACAACAGTGCGCGGCGCTCCTCCTCCGCCGCTTCTTGCGCCGTGACCTCCGCGGCCTCGAGCTCCTCCTGTGTGCGAAACAATAAACGTGGCTGTGAGCGACGTGGCTGTCCAGGGAAACGCATGGCAGACACAGATGTATCGAAACAAATATCAATTCCACATTCAGGGTGCGCGTGTGACTCTGAAGGAGCTCGGAGCGTACCTTGGCTTTCTCGACGGCCCTCGCCGCCTCCTCGACCGCGTTTCCAGCCTTGTCGTCCGGCGCCCCGCCCGGTCCCGGCCCCCCCGTGTCCTCGTCCATCTTGTCAGGGGGGGGGTCCTTCGCAGCCTCCTCCTTCGCAGCACCCGCGTCCTCGGCGGCCCTCTGCGCGCCCTGGAGGCGCATCTGCGCGGCCGCAAGCTCCGCCTTCGCCGCCGCGAGCTCCCCGCGCGCGTCGGACTCGCGCGAGATCGCCCGAGACACCCCCATGCAAAACACCTCCCACGTCGACACGAACGCCACCTCATCCTGCGCAGCACCCGCACGCGCGCCAGCACACCTCGCGACAAGCGCCACACGCGCGACGTTCGCACCACAGCGTCGGGTCAGACATGCGCGCACGCAGCCTCCCACACCCCCTTGGTCTCACCTCAATTGCGACCAGGCCGTCCTCGGCCGCAGCCCACGTGATGAGCGTCTCCGGCGTGACCAGTCGCATCGACATCGCCTTCCCGACGACCATCGCGAACCGCTGCCGGTGCCCCGCCCACACCGCCGCCGCCGCCTGCACCGCCGCCACCCGCCCTGGCTCTCCCGCGTTCATGATCAGGCCCTCCAGCACCTCCGTGTAGCGCTCCAGCATCGCGAGCGTGTGCGCGAAGCTCTTCGCGCCCGCCAAGAGCACCGCCCGCGCCACGACCCCCACCAGCGCCGACACCCCCCCCACGTCCTGCAACACCCCCTCCGCTTCAACCCACGCCTTCACCTCCTCCGTCGACGCCTTGGCCTTGAGCTTCGGCAGCAGATCGCGCGTCCGTCGCACGGCGGCGGCATCGTCGTCCGCTTCCGGGGGCAGCATCTGCGCCGCGGGCTCGGGCTGCAGCAACACGTGCATGCTCTCCGGCAGCGTCTCCTTGACCTTCGAGTGGTAGGACGCGCGCAGCAGCCGGAACAGCACGTGCTGGCAGAAGCGCCGCTGCGGGTCGTGCGCGGGGGCGTCCACGACGTGCGCCCAGCGCTCCCACGGCCAAAACATCCCGTGGGTACACAGGTGGTAGGCCAAATACTCCCCCACGCGGGCGAACACGTCCGGCAGGAGCACGCCTGCGAGCACCACGGACAGACGCAAGCGGCGTCAGGCGCGCGGAGCCCGAACCCCTCGCGTGGTGGCGGTCGCGCTGCTTGATGAGTGGGCGCGGGAACGACAACGGCCGCACCTGACAGACGGAAGAGCTCCTTCATGCAGCCCGACATCGGGCGCGCGAAGCTCACGTTCTTCAGCCCCGCGAGGTCGGTCATGATGTTGAAGTACGCGATGGGCCGGTGCCGCGGCGCAGGGAGCCGCAGCAGCTGCCCAAAGAGCGTCTCGGCCAGCACCATGCCCAGGTTGAGCTTCGTGTTGATCGTCGCCAGCCGCTTCACGCACAGCACCCTGCGGAGCACGCGCACGGTCGCGACGATGGGCCCGGGCGCCGCACAAGCCAGCCGCGCGCAGGCAGCGGGGGCACACTGCAGCACGCGCCTTTGACCGTGCAGCTGCACGAGCGTCTCGATGATGAGATCGTCCGTCATGATGCGCTCCAGGTTCGGCGCCCCGCCGTTCACCGCGTCCCGCGGCAGCAAGTTGATACCCCCCCGGGGACCATACTGCGCCAGCACCCGCGCAGCCACCTCCGCGGGCGACCCCGCGTCCGAGATACCCGGCACAATCCACGGCACCGTGATCTGCACAGGCGCACGCAAGAACACAGCGGTCATATCGCACCGACCGCGCGCAGACATCACGCAGGGACGCCACTGCGCGCGGCGCCTCACGGGTCGCTTTGCGCGAGCTGGGCCGCGCACCTGCAGGCCGGATTCGTCCAGCGGCCGCGCCCAGCCCTGCAGCGGCTCGTCCACGTCGACGCCCGCCTCCTTGCGCCACGCACACACCGCGTCTGGCGGGCGCACTACCACCAGCTCCGGCCAGCGCGCCCCGCCGTCGGCCTCGCACTCCTGGAGCGCGTCCCAGAGTGCCGTCAGGTGGCTCGCCGCGCCGCTGTCCGGCGGGGGCGCGTCGCCGGCCTCGGCGGGCACAGTTGGCGAAAAGCGCAGGTCGCAGCGGGGCGTCGCGCGCAGCGTCATGTACTCCTTGGCCAGGTCGAGCACGGCCGCGACATCCTTTGGCTCCGACGCAGCCATCGCCTGGCGGCAGTAGGGCAGGCAGGACAGCGAGGCGGTGGCCAGGGAGTCGCTGTAGAGTTGCCAGGCGGGCGCCGGGCGCCGCTGCTCTATGCTCGACCGCGCGCACTTGATCGCGGCCGTGAGGAGCGACTGGAGGACGCGGCTGGCGGTGGCGGAGCTGAGAACCTGCGCGGGGGCGTGGGAACGCGGCGTGGAAGTGTTGAGAGTGGCAACACGCGCGCGCGCGGCTGCTCGACCGTGGCTGGCCGCTACGTCGCGCAGGATCGCACGTCGGTGATGCATGCATGGGATCTGGCCCGTCGCGGGTAGAGTTCCGCGCCGGCCCACGCGTTCTGGCGGCTCGGTGTGAGAGAGCACGGACGAGCTTGCCTTTGCGTCAGTCATCGCGCACAGCAGCCGCAGCACCGGGACTGCGGACTGGTGACGTCCGTCCCTGAGGGAGTCTTCGAGCGACGCGGCGCATTGCCGGATCACGGCCTGCCCGATCGGCACGCCCCCGGACCGAATGACGTGCGCGAGCAGCGAGACGTAGACGGTCGTTTTCGGACTCAGCTCGGACACGCAGTCGATGAAGAGCTCGGCGAGCCTTTCGTGCTCGATGCTGGGATGGTCGAGCATGCGGCTCGCCAGCGACTTCATCTGTTCTGCGATGGGGACGTCCTTGCTGGGCTGCAGCGGCACCACGCGGGCGCTCACCACGTTGGTTGGGGACAAGATGGCGCGCCTTCGGGCCGGCAACGTCGCTCACGCATTGCGAGCATCCGCGACGGGGCCGCCGCGCGACCGGGCGTCGTCTCGCGCGCCCGGCAGAGGCCGCGAGCGACAGAGCAGGTGCGATCGCGCGGCGCGCACAGGCAGGTCGCACGCACCCCGAATCGGTCGCCCAGCTCGACGAGACCCTTCAACGTCGCCAGCAGCCCCTCCGTGAGGGGCGGCGGCGCCACCGCCATTGCAACTGGCACCGGTGAGCAACTGGCAGCAAGCTCTGAGCGTCACGCACGCGCCGTCTCCATCGCTGTTCGGCACTGTGTCGCGATACGCTCTGTGCGCACCATGCACCACGCGCTCGCAATCAAGGGAGGCGTTGCACGCCGCGCGACAGCCCCGGTCAGACTGCGTCACAACGGGACAGTCAGACGGGACGCCGCCTCCGAGACCGAGCGGCCCGCGGTGCAGGAAACGCTGCGAGCGGGCGTCGCGAGGCTGTTCTGGGCGCCAGCGCTTCCGGTGCCGCACGCGCTGCGCGAGCGCCCGAACCAGGCTGCAACAACTGCCACCGGAGACCACATCCTATACTCCCCCGAACCGGCTGCCATGCATGCCGTGGACGGCGAGTTCCTGTGCGCCGCTCACTGCGCACCACGTCACCTGCCTGCCAGGCCCCCCCACGACCATCTCCGGAGTCCCCCCCTGCTCCCCTGACGTCAGCGCCAGCGACATGCGCGAGTCGGACGCCTGGTCGAGGTCGCGGGCGGCGCGGGCCCCCGAGAGGTCTACTGCGCGCACCTGTCGTTCTCGCACGCCCGCCGCCGTGCTCCACACCCTCACGCACACCCCCTCGCTGCTGGCCGTGAACTCCCCGCATGGCGACACCGCCGGCGCCTGCCAGCTCTGCGGGGCGCTGCCGCCCGCCGCGAGCTCCGCGAGGCGTCGGCCCGTGCGGGTGTCGCACACGTCGATGCCGCCTCCGCGCCGCGCGACCATCACGCGCTGGGGCAAACAGCCTGCACAACAGCCCGCGCGCAACGCCTCCGGCATCGTCACGCAGGCGCACTCCCGCGCGCGATGATCAATGTGCGCGCGACGAGAGGGACCCTCACCTTGCGGTTCGGCGCCAGCTCCGAGGAAGTGCGTTGCGGTGATGACGGAGCCCGGCTCCACGCCCGGCAGCGTGGAGAGACTGGGGCTGCGCACGTCTCCCAGGAACACGTCGCCGCGCTGCGACGCCGTCACGAAGTAGCGCCCGCACGTCGTACAGTCCACGCAGACGGCGTCGCGCCGCATGCTCCACGTGGCCAGCGCCGACACCCCTGCGACGCATCGCGAGAGCAGCAGAGTGAGACAGAGCTACGCGGGGCGCGCGGACGGAGCCTCCCCCGCGGAGAAGGCACTCGCGGCGGCAGGTGTTGCAGGCTACCTGGGTAGTCCACCAAGCTGACGACGCCGCCCCTCGGTGTTCCGCCGGCCAGGAAGACGTGCACCGGGGCGTGTTCGGCGCCTGCGCCGCACGACGCAAACGCTGCGGAGTCCCGGAAGAAGCCCGGCTGCTTGTTGGCGCGCAGCGGCGCCCCGGTGCTCGGAGGGACGAGCTCGAGCGCCCAGCGGCCATGGTGTGCGTCCCAGCGCGCACGTGCGGCGGCGAGCGTCGCGCACGGGGCGTCGGTCTCTCGCCGCGACAGCACTGTGGCCCAGTGCGCCTCTGGGTCGCGTGCGTCCCGCACCACGTTGCAGGCCACCGCCGTGCCCGCGCTCGGCTCGTGAACGCCGATGCTGTCGTAGGCCTTGATATGGTACGGGTACGGAGCCGCGGCGCCGCGGGGAAGCATGCCCGGTCGCCGTGATGGCGCGACACAGCCAAGGACCACGCGGCAGTCAACGCCGCACGTCAAGAAGTGGCCGGCGCGGAGGATGTGGCACGCGACGGTCGCGTCGGTCGGCCACGGATCGGCATGCGCGCACGGGCTCAACCGCCGCATCGCCACTGTCCTGCCGTGGCACATGGTGCGGTCGCCTGCTCCGTGCGTGTGGCTCGAGCCCAGGGTCTCGCGGTGCCGCAGGGAAGCTGCGACGCCGGCACGCGGCGGCCGTGGCTCGACTTGTGCGGGCGGGGGCGCGACCTGCTCCTGCGCCCCTGCTTCCCTGCGCCTCTTGTTGCCGCGCCCGCCCCTGCACGGACAGGGGGACGGTCCCTTGCGTGAGTGCGCGCCGGAACGGATGGCGCGCGGCCGGGCGGATGGCGAGTGCGTGAGGAGGGAGGCGCGCTTGCCTGGACTGTCGCCGCTGGCTCCCCGCGCGCCCGCCGGCTGCATTGCGCTGGGCATGCTTGTCCCGCTCGAGCTTGCGCCGCGCTTCCGGGGTCAGCCGGAAGTACCGCTGCGTCGTCGGGTCCCAGTAGAATCCAGGTAGCTCAGGAGGGCCCGCGCTGGACGACATGGCGGCACCGCGCGCGCCGGACCGCTCGTGGCCAGACGGTCATGCTCTATGGGAGCAGACCTGGTCTGCAGGGGCGCGCGTTGACAGCGCGACGAGGCGCTGGCGACGCAACGAGCAGCGGAGTCAAGAACAACGGCGTCTGCGCCTCGGCTGGATGCGCGCCGTCCCCACGGAAGGCTGTGCCGCGAGTGAAATCACGCTGAGAATTGCCCACGCGCAGTATCTTCCCGACGTTCCTCGGTGTTGTCCAGGCTTACGATGTGCGAGTACTACGCGAAGCAACACACGCGGCGTCTCGAAGGGGTGCAGCGGAGGCAGAAACGGCGGGGGGGAGACAGAGTGTGGAGTCCCCGGCGTGGCTCACAGCGTGCTTATCGGCCCCAGGTGCGGGCGCATCAGGCCATGTCCCAGGAAGCACGTTGCACTGGCGCGGTTGCCTCGAGCTGCGCCCTGGTGATTCCTCGGCTAGGGCGACGGCCCCGCATCTAGCTTGGCGACGGCTCCAACAGCGCGCTGCAGGTACGGACTCGCCGCCCCTCGCGTCCTCAGAGCCAGACCTACAGCAAGCGTCCGCGCGCGGACGTCCACGCGCCCCTGCTTGCGGACACGTTGGCGCGACCTAAGTGCGGCAGGGCCTAGCCCTTGCCCTGCGCGCACCAGCACGTCCAGCTGGACGCGATGGACCCGTCCGTGAGCTGTGCAGGCGCCGTGCCCACCATGGCCACCATGGACGCTTCGAGCGCCCTGTGGGAGGCGATGAAGGCAGCTGGCAAGATTCCGTCCCGCACAGAAGGGGCGCACTCCGTCGTCGAGGACTTCGTGTTCTTCAAGCAGGCGACGGCCCGGGTGTTCTCCGAGATGTTCGGCGACGCAAACCCCGACCCCAGCGAGATCAAAGGTGTGCTCGGCTTCCACGTTGCCTCACCTCACGTCACGCAGTCTGTGCGTCGCACGCTCTCCGAAACCGCGCCCTCTCCCTCCGACTTGTTGTTGCAGTGGATGAGGACATGTTCCCGCGGTTGTTGTACGTCTGGAGCCGCTGTTCGACGCGACGAGAAATGCCCGACCTACAGACACCCAAGGGGCAGCTGAAGCTTTTCAAGGCACTCGACAGCATCGAGAAGCTCGGCTACCTGTCCGAGCGCCACATTGTCACAGCAGGTCAGACCTCCGCACCACGGATCCTCCAATCATGGCCCTTCCGCGCCGTGCCGCCCTTGTGTACATGTGCGACGGCAGCCCCTCGGACGCCCCCTCCCGCCCCCGCGCGACGCAGAGATGTACGTCTCCGGCCACCTCGAGCGCACGTTCCGCACGTGGGGCACGGGCAAGTCGACCGTCACCGGCGCTGTCTACGAGATGTCGCAGCGCCAGTTTGCGGCACTCATGCGGCGCTGCGGCCTCGTCGACGAGAGCACGCCGGACGCCGTCGTCCCGCAGGTCGACCTCTCCGTCATCAACGCGAAGAAGTGGCGCACGCACATGGGCCTCCGCCTGGACCGGTCCAAAACCATCGACTACTTGGAATTCTGCCTCGCCGTGTGCCACTTCTCCCTCGCGCTGCGCGAGCCGACCGAGTACATCTTCGGGCTCATCCGGCGCACCGGGGACCCCGGCCACAAGCAGCGCGCGCAGCAGGCCAAGCGCGTCAACGCCGACAAGCGCTTTGCCGCGCCGCTCCTGCGCACCCAAACATCGCCGTGGCTGGTCAAGGAGTACCGCGAACGCAGGCGGGAGAGCGACACGGAGTCCGACGACGAGCTCGGACACACCTGGGAGGCCGACGGCGCGCCCGCGCCCGCCCCCAAGCTGTCCGGGTGGGGAAGCGTGCGCGCGGCGATGATCAAGCGCAGGCCGTCCGACCTCGCCTGCGCCGACGCCGGGTCCGCGCTGGACACGGTGTGGCGCGCCTACCGGAAGAAGCCGCACAAGCACAGCGAGGTATACCGCACCATTTGGATTTACCACCTCTCCCTGTGCACCCTGGTGTCGGCCAACGCGGAGCCTCTCATGCGGTACTGGGCGTTCAAGCAGTTCTGCATGGACGCCAACATCCTGGCGTCCGAGGACCACATTTCGCGGATCTTCGAACAGAGCGTGGCGCTGCACCGCGGAGAGGCGCGAGAGCGCGCCACGCTCGACGGCGCGGACGGGCTGTCGTTCAAGCAGTGCTGCGCCGCGCTCGAGCTCATCGGCAAGCTCTCGCACCCGCCGCGCACCCTCGCGGACACCGTGAAGACCGTCTGCGAGGAGCTCGGGGGTCCGACTGCGCTCGACGAAGGCCCAGAGGATCCGCAGGACGACCCCCAGTTTCGGGCGAGGCTGCGCAACAGCTTCACCCGCGCGGACGAAGCGTCGTCGCTGGCTGGCAGCGCGTCGCCGAGCCGTGCCGTATCGCGGGTGGCGTCCTTCAAGGACGGACGGCCCATGCTCGGCGCCGGCCCCTCGTTCAAGGCCGGGCGGCCGGCAGCGCTCCCCGCGTCGTCGTCGTCGTTCCGCCACCCCGGGGCGTCCGTGAGCAGCGGCTCAACGCTGCCCATGCGGGCTGTCTCGCTGCGTGGGCCCGCCTCGATGTCGTTGCGGTCGCTGTCCAGGTTCGACAGCACGGCGGAACGCTTCGGGGCGCGGGCGAGGGTGTACAACACGGACAAGGAGGGCCCCATCGCTAGCACGGCGCAGGTGAGCCGCAGCAGGACCAGCGAGCCCAGGGACCGCCTGATGCAGCTGTTCGAGGAGTACGACGCGCTGTACGACAAGATACCGGGGAAGCTGTCGCAGCGCGCGTTCGCGAAGTTCGTCACGGACCAGGTGCGCACCGGTGAACGTGTCGGCTGCGAGAGTTGCGGCGCCTGCGACGTGCCCGGGGTGCCCGACGGTCGGGACGCGCGTGGCGTTGCGTCGCTGCAGGTGCCGAGTGTGGGCGATGACACGGACCTGGCGCACAGGCTGTGGGAGCAGGCGATGGAGGGCGGCAGGAGCGTCGCAATGGACTTCCAGACGTTGCGCAAGGTGCTGGAGGACTTGGCGGCGGAGCGCGGGCTGAGCTCGGCGGAGGACGTGCTCGTGCAGTCATAGCGGGTAGCGGAGACCTTTTGCGGGGCCACACGTCCCATCAATACAATATCATGTTTGCACGAGTGAAGCTCCGTGAAGGCCTGCATCTACAGACGGGCGCGAGCAGTGGCGGGGACAGCCCACGTGCGTGCGCAGCGTCGTATCTTGCACGCGGGCCGCATGTGTCATCCGTGACGTCGTTGCAGCGGCTCCACGATCGCCAGCACCGCACGACCACGCGACTCCCCGCGAAGTCGCACGCGGCCCCGGAGCCCCACGAGCAGCGGCGCGAAGTGTCCGAGCTCACATCAGCGCAGTCTGCGACCGTCCAGCGCTGCCGGCCTCGGGACGCGTCGCAGCCCCCGTAGAACAACACATGGAGAACCGTCGCGAACGGCGACAAGGCGGGCTGCAGACGCAGGAGCCGAGGACGCGTGCGCGTGCGGCGTCGTGCTGACTCCGATGCCACCCCGCGCACCGCTTCCTCGGATGTGGACGGGGCGCTGTGCGCAAGTTCTTGCCACGGCCTTTGGACGTGCGTGCGGGGTGCCTGCGTCGTGCGTGGAGCCTGCCGGACGACGGGGCCTATCGCGCTCGCTTGTTCAGCGGCGTCACGATGCCGTCTCCCAGGCAGGTGAAGCACTTGTGCTGTCCGCGCCCCTTGCACCCAGGACACAGCACCCGCCGCTTCTCCTGCGGCCAAACACAGGAGTGCAGGCCGTCAAGGGGTGGTTGCGCGCTGTCGTCGCTGCAGCAGAGGCAGCAGGCCGCGCGACAGCACGCGGGGGTCGGCGCACCAGTGGCCCCATGTCAAACGGGCTCCACTGGATCGTGTATCGCCCTCCGCAGGCCTCGCATTGCACCCATCCGACGCCCTCGCACGGCAAACACGTCACGCCGGACTGTAGCTTCCGTTTCCTGCGTCGGTGAGGCGGCGCGGAGCACGGTGAGATCCTGCCGCGACGCGGCCAGGCGCCTCGCACACCGCGTGAGACCCACCTCACGATCGCCTTCGCCGTTCCCATGACCACCGTCGAGCAGAGCAGCGCGGCGCCCCCGACGACGGCGGCCCCTGTCGCGAAACTCAGCGCCCCCCGAAACGCGCCGCGCACTAGCGACGGCGGCCTCGCCATCGCGCAACGCACCCCCGATTCCTTGCTCCGCCGCCAACCCAGCCCGCGTGATGTGAGGTTCCGCGCCTCGGCCGCCCGTTTCAATGCAGCCAAGCTCGCCGGTGCCCCCCCCCAGAGACGGTGCGTCGCTCTCAGCAGTGAATGTCACGTGTGAGCGAAATGTGCGCTGCTCGCCTGTCGCGGTCGCGGCGCGTCTGCGCGCGGGCGGGTGCAGGAGCGGTCCTTGGGTCGCCGGCCGTCCAAGCACCTGGGTCGGACGGCGACCGTGTGTCCGTCTCACCCGTCTCACCCGGCGCTTGGACGCCCCGCGGCCCATCTGCGCACCGGCCGGCTCGTCGCTGCACAACACGCATTCGAGCAGCCTCCAGCGGTGTACATATTCGGCCCATCGCCGCCGATCGAGCAGCACGGGCGCTGAGGCACAGCAACTCACGTGAAGGGCCCTGCACGGCACTCGGGGCGATCGCTGGCACGTTCGAGCGGTATTCCTTCAGACCATCAATCAAGGGTCGCATCAGCGTCGCGCAAGCTGCAATGTCTCACGAGGGCGAGCGCGGCGCGAGGGGCGGGGCTCGTGTGGTGCGGCTCTCCATGCCGCTCGGTCCCGTGGAGCCGGTGAACAAGGACAAGGAGACCGTCCTCGTGAAATACTTCGACACCAACGTGAGTCGACGGCGGGCCCATTGCTCTCACGGAGCGGCCACAGCGAGGTGCTCAATCTCGAGCTAGGCCTCCTCGGACGCGGCACGCGGCACCTCGGGGCCTCGCGACCCCCTAGAAATGCTGTCGCGCGTGATAAGAAGACGCCGACGACGTATCCACATCCGTTACAGCCGCGCACGACTTCCTGCCGCGGCTCGTTTCTGTGCCTAGCACCGGCGGACTGCGCCGAATGTCGCTCACGCGGTCCTCCCGCGCCCCCGCACGCGCAGACGAAGACGCAGACCGTACGGAGGCGGCTGATTCTGCCCCTCGACATGGCCATCGGCGGCGGACAGATGCCCACGTCCCCGACGTCCTACAGCAACGTACGCGGGTTCAACGCCCCGTCGCCGACGCCCACCCAGTCGTCCATGGCCAGGTCAGGCCGGTCGCGAACCGCTCCCCGTATGATTCTCTCGCCTTCGATGTCCCTCGGCACGCCGTCTAGACACCGAGCGATCCGCGCGCCGCAGCACGTTGAACCTGGCTTGTGGCCTCCCCTCGCGCAGTTCCACGGGACGCATGACCATCCTGTCGTGCTCGGGGACCGGCGACGCGGTCAACATGACCACCACGACCCGCACTCAGTTCCAAGACCCGCACGGCGGCATTGACCGCTGCGGATCGACGACACCCACCCACGGTGCGCAACACCACGGCCCCCCGCCACGCAACGCCGAATTAAGCACTTCGCGGCCGCCGGACGCGTCAACACAGCCCCTGGCGCACCACGAACGGCGGCGCGCGCCCGGCGCGGCCTGCCAGCGCGCCGTCGTGGGCGCCCTCGAACTCTGCGCCTGCGTGCGTCCGTGGTGCAGGTCGGAGGAGCATGAATGTGTCGAACTGGGTGTCGCCGAGCGGAGGGGCGCGCGCGGGCGCGGCCTTCATGCGCGACGCGAAGATGATGGCCGCGCCGGCGATGTACCACCGCAAGAGCTGCGCCGCGTGGTTTTGACACGCTGGAGGGGTCCCCTCCCAAGACAGGTCGCCTGCCCGTCGCCAACCAAGACGTCACGGTCCCGGAGAGATGTGCCCGCGCGCACGCGTGCTCCGGCGACCGCGAGACAGTCACGCAGGATGAGCGGCCTTGACCTGCGTTGGACCGGGCCGCCTGAGCCCTCGCAAGCGCGCCAACCGCACCGCTCCGCACCGCGGCGCGCTCGGCCAGGCGGACCTCGGTCATTTTTCACACACGCCCCTCCCAGCTAGCGCAGCGCTCCCGCCTGGGAAAACGACACCCCCCCCGGGCTGCTGGCGTCGCACCAATGCGCCCGTCCAGCCCCCTCCTCCCCTACAACCCTCTCCTAACCTCCTAATCTTTTCCGTATTACCACGTACCTCCGCGGCGGAGCAGTGGAAACGAGCCCCGGCTCAGTCCCTGAGCGCCCGCCAGACACATCAACCAGCCTAGTGAGGCCCACGTCGAATGAATCGACCGTAATCGAATGTTTCCGGCCACACAGCCGGCAGTGTGATAGCCGCGTCTTCGAGCTCCGGAACGCGTTGCGCCCGCCACAGGTCTCGCCATAGGTCGCTCAGGCATCCTCGCGGTGAGGGTGCTTGTACGTCGAGCGAAGTACAAAAACCGTGCTGTCCTGCATGATCAAGCGATGTGCCGAACGTTGCCCACCGTAGCGACCACGCGCATGACCGGTGCCCGCGAGTCAACAACCAGACAGCTGTGTTGTGCGGCGCTCCGCCATGTTTTGATCCCTAACCTCGTTGCAAACAGTAAACGCCTCGCTTGAGCGGTGTGCCGATCCATCCCACCTCTCCCGAGCGGCGGTGAGGCCACCATGAGTCTCTATCAGTCACGACACTGCTCCTGAATCCCCTGGCCGCGCACGTCGTCCTCCGCGGCACCACGCGTACCGAGCAAATGCCTACCACAACTTCACACATCAAGAGGTGGTCCCCTCCAGCATCGCCACCTCCGGCCCGCCCAACTCGGCGAGCGGGCGCGGCGAAGTGGGCGCCGACGCGTCCGGCGTGACGCACCGCGAGGCCACGGGCGTCGTGATCCTGTGGCTCGACAGCGGCGTCTCCACCTTGACGACCCCCCCGGGGCGCGCTGACACCGGCGCCGACTCCTCCCCCGCGCCCCCCGCCTCCGTCGCGCCCTCCGAGTCCTCTGACGCCGACCCATGCGCGCTTGCAGACGGCGCGCCTCCCCGAACGGCCGGCGGTGTCCCGCCGCGGCCGTCCAGCGCCGCCCGCAGCCGCCGCACCTCCTCCTTCAGCCTGCTGTTCTCCTCGCACACGCGCTCGTGCACGTGGATCCGCTGCCGCGGGTTGTGGTGCCCCGCGAGCCGCGCCGCCTCCGCCACCGCCCCGTCCCGCTCCCTCCGCACCTCCACTAGCTCGCCCTCGAGCTCCGCCGCGCGCGCCCGCAGCTCCTCCACCGACGCACGCGGGCTCCCCGCGCGCGCCGGCGTCGCCCGCCCCCGGCTCGGCGTCCGTGGCGGCGGCGCCCGCGCGCCCTTGGCCGGCGTCACGATGATCGTCTCCCGCGGGGTCCAGCGCGGCATCGCCTCGAACGCCTCGCGCGCCGCCGCGAGCTCCGCCTTCGCCGCCGCGAGCTCCGCCTTCGCCGCCGCGGCCGCCTCCTCCGCCGCCTCGCGCGCCCGCTTCTCCGCGCGCAGCACGTGCTCCATCCCGCGCTGCTCCGCCGTGTGCTTCGCGCGCTCGTCCTCCAGCGCCGCGCGCAGGGCCTCGCGGCCCCCGCCGCTGCACCGGTCCATGCGCTCCGCCTCCGCGGCGTCCGCCTCACGCCGCGCGGCCTCTGCGCGCTCGCGCTCAAGTTCGGCCATCGCGCCCCGCAGCCGCTCCTCGACGCCCTCTGCCCGCCGCTCCGCCTCCGCAGCGTCCGCCTCGCGCCGCGCCGCCTCTGCACGCTCGCGCTCCAGCGCCGCCGTCGCGTCCCTCAGCCGCTCCTCGACGCCCGCGGCCCGCCGCGCCGCCTCCACCCGCTCGCGCTCCAGGACCTCGCTCGCGTCCCGCAGCCGCTCCTCGACGTGCGTCGCGCGCCGCGCTGCCTCCTCGAGCTCCGCACGCAGCGCGCCCTCGCGCACCTCGCTCGCCGCCACGCGCTCTGCCGCGTCCGCGCACTCCCGCTCGAGGTCGCGCACGGCCTCCTGCGCGGCAAGCAGCTCCTCCTCGAGCCCCTGCGCCTGCCCGCGTGCCTCCTCGCCCGCCGCACGCGCCGCATCCACGTCCGCCAGCGCCTCGCGCAGCGACGACTCCAGGCCCTCCGCGCGCCGGCGCTCCGACGCGGCGTCCTCGCGCGCCGCCACGACGCCCCCGCGCGCCTGGTCGAGCTCCGCAGCCAGCCGCTGCAGCCGCGTCGCCTGCGACCGCGCCGTCTCCTGCGCCTCCGCGTCCGACGCCTCCACGCTGCCCAGGCGGGCCTTGAGCGTCACCACCTCCCCTCGCGCCTCCGCGAGCGCCTGCCGCGCCTGCACGAGCTCCGCCGTCGCGCGCTCGAACGCGTCGTGCAGCTCGCACGCCCGCCGCTCCGACTCCTCCGCCACCGCCTGGTCGCGGAATTGCTCCACCATGGCCTGCGCCAGCGCCGCGGACTTCTCGCCCAGCTCGGCGCGCAGCGCGTCGACCTCGACCTGCAGCGCCTCGCCGCGCCGCGCCGCCTCGCCCGCGTCCTCGGGCGCCGCCTCGCTCGCGCCGTCGCCGTCCACGTCCATGTCGCCGGCGCCGTCGCTGGCGCGGCCCTCGCTGCGCGGCGGCGTCGCGGCCTTCCCGGCGGACCGGAACGGCGTAGAGAGGTGCCGGAAGCGATGCAGCTGCCGCGCGAGGGCCTCCTTGTCCTCGAGGGCCGTGCGCGCGCGGTCGCTCAGCGTGGCAATCTCCTCCTGGAGCCGCTCGCGCGCCCCGGGCTCGCTGAACGCCTCGATCTCCGCCAGCCGCGCCCGCAGACCCTGCAGCTCGACGTTCAGCGCCACCGCCTCAGGCGGCACCTGCAGCACCTTGCGCAGCGATGCCAGCTCGTCCTGCAGCACGCGCACGCGCTCGTCCGTGCTCGCGTCGCCGCGGCGCTGCAGGCTCGCCTCGCGGAGCTTGAGCGCCATCCGCGTGTGCTGCAGCTCGGACGTGCGCGCCGCCACCAGCGCGCGGAGCTCCTCGCGCTCCGCAGCGACGCGCTCCGCTGCGGACCGCGCCTCCGCCTCGCGACGCAGCGCGTGCAGGAGCGCGCGGTCGCGCACCGACGGCGACGCCGGCGTGGCCGTCGCAGGCGTGAGCGCTCGCCCGGGCGCGGGCGTCGCCGCCGGCAGCGGCGACCCGCTGAGCCCGCGCCGCGCGAGCAGGTCCTTGTACTCGGCCATCTGCTGCCGGAGCCGCGCGACCTCGGCGCGCAGCGCGCGCGCGTCGCCCGCGGCGTCCTCGTTGACGACGGCCCGCGTACGGACGCACTTGGCGCTGGCCGCGAACCGCAGCGTCGACAGCGTCTCGCCGAGGTTGCAAGACGCCGGCGAGACGCACGCGATCATCACGGTGCGCGAGTTGCCGCCAAGGGAGTCCTGGAGGAGGAACGTGAGCCGCGAGCCACGGTACGGGATGTGCCGGACCTTGCCCTTTGCCACCTCCGCCAGGGTCATGATGACGTGTCCGAGGGCGGAGAGGGACTTGTTGATGCTGCACGCCTCGCGGAGGCGCTCGTCGCGCGCGTGCGTGTCCTTCTGGCGCTCGGACCCGGCCAGGTCGACCAGGTTGAGGCGCGAGGACAGGCGGTGCGTGACGCCGTCGGGGGTGGTGTGGGAGCTCTCGAGGTAGCAGATGAAGACGGTGTGGGAGCGGGAGGACTCCTTGTTCATCTCGGTGGAGCCCACGCGGCGGTTCGCCGAGCCCTGCGTGATCAGCCGCGCCACGTCGTGCGCGTTGCGCACCGTCTCCTCCGACAGCCCCTCCACGCGCACGCCCCTCGTGAAATCCTGCACGGCAGCCGCAGCGAAAGCACAGCCGTCAGTGGCCCGCGCGCCCGGCACTGCAAACATGGCATGCCAGCTGCGCGCACGTCCACCGCACAGGCCGCGACGCCGTCGCCAGGGCGGCGCGCCGCGCACCTCGCGGATCTGCAGCGGCGCGGCCCCGGGCGCGAGCAGGTCGGTCAGGCCCTCGTTGTAGATCTCGACGTAGCTGCACGTGACGGAGAACCGGCGCCCCTCGGAGCGCTCCTTGGCCTTGATTCGCTGGAAGAGGTGCTCGAACACGCGCGGCGTGAGGCCCCGGTCTGGGTGCTGGTGCGGCGACAGGGGGGTGTCTTGGAAGAAGTCCTCCCCCTCGCTCGCGGGGCCGAGCATGGTGTACGTCTTGCCGGACCCCGTCTGTCCGTACGCGAAGATGCAGCTGTTGTACCCGATCAAGCTGTTCTCCACCACCGGCCGCCCCGCCACGCGGAACATCCTGTCCTGGCCGGTCTCCGCGCCCAGGACATGGTCAAACGCAAACGGGTGCGGCGGCGCCGCGCCCGACGGCTGCAGGACGATGTCCGTGCCGCTCTGGCCGATCTGAAGGCAGTTCCGGAAGCCTATCTCGCGCTCCCGTCCGTTGGGCGGCCTGGCGCGGATGCATACTTGGATCCGGTCCTCCGCCGCGGCGGGGCCGGTCGGGGATCCGAGCGGCGACGGCCCGACGCTGGGGTTCGGGGATAGCTCGATCTTCGGGGCGCTGGCGGCCAGAGGGGTGCGCGGGGAGGAGGGAGCGCCCGCGGCCTGTGCCCGGACCAGTTGAGGCGCTCCCGCGCGGAAGGTGACGTCCCCCGGCGCCTCTTCTTGCGCCCCCTGCTGGTTGAGGCTGGATGTCATGCTTCAGGGATGGCGAACGACCTGCGGGGGGCCACGAGTGGGCGTGAAGACGGATCGTTCGATGGGAAAACCAACGGGCGACGTACGTAGCGCGCCTGCCGGCTCCCTCGTCGGAACGACGCGCGACGTAGCGCGCTGACTCGTTCCTGCCACCGTCGGTCCGTGCGGATGGATGGACGGCGTAGGCGCGGCGGGGCCGAATTCGAGCACGGAGGCGACGGATGCGACCAGAGCAACAACAGGGCGAGCGGCGCGCCCGGCAGCCTGGGGACGCGCACACGCCCCAGTTCACGGGGAAGCGGCTCACCCGAGACGTGACGCAGGGCTCCGTCGCGAGTGCAGGCCAGCCGCGCGTGATCGGCGTGCGCGGCCGTGCGAGTTGGCGTAGCGCAGGCCCACGAGCTGTCGCTTGCCTGTCCGAACCACGGGGTGCGAGGCCCGCAGTTCTGGCATCAGCGGAGTACGATGCGGCGAGGATGAGGCGCCCCCATGCACCACAGGGCCGGCGGTCCCCCAGCGAGCGCACGCGGTGCGTCTGTCATAGAGCAGGAGACTCCGCGCCCTGCGTCGTGCCGGGAGGGGGGCCCTGGACCATGGGCCGTCGCTCTTGACTGCGCAGGTGCACTCTCTCAGTCGAGGGCCCTACGCCTGCACGCGTTGCGCTGGCAAGCTGCGCAGTGGCCTGGACACGAGCACTGCTTGTCCGCTCCCCGCAACCTCTGGGGTTGCTTGCTTCGAGGCGACGTTCATCGGGCCGAGAAGAGTGTGAGTTTGCAGCCTGGGACGTCGTGCGTGAAATGCAGCGGCCTGCGGCCACGGTACACTGCGAAACCAGACTCCAGTAGGCTCGGGGGCCGTGAGCCGAGGCCTAGCACCGACACCACAGCCGATGGCCGCCGAGCCACACAAGTAGACATAGATATCTAGTGGACCTGGCGTTTTTCGGACGATATGGTCTGCACGAAGTGCGAGAAGAAGCTGAGGAAGTGAGAACCAAGTCCCGCTTGCGTCGTCGCACGCACGACGACACTCGGCTCCCGCGCAGCCGCTGCCCCGAATCCCTCGAACAGAGCGACGCGCCACCTCGCAGCGAGCGTGCAGCGTCCAACACGCGCGCGCGCTGACATTCCCTCCTAGCTGGGCACTCCCTCCGCAGGCTCGGCTGCCAGGACGTCTGGAAGGCGGGCGCGCAGAACACCGTGAAAAGCGGCGGCGTCAAGCTCGGTGCGGCACCCACCGCCGCCCCGTGCTCCCCCCCCCATCAACTCCCCCCTCGCAGCGTGTGCCGCCCCACCCACCGCGCCCAGCCCACCGCACGCACCCAACTCGACACCCAGCGCCCCGCCGCGAGCACACCGCGCACCAGCCGCGCCCTCTCCCCCCCCCCTCCAGGCGCCAACAAGCTCCTGAAACCCAAGCACACCAAGATTTCAAAAAAAGGCGACCTCGACACCGTCAAGTGCGCTCCCGGCCGGTTCCGCCCGCTCCCGCGCGCGCAGGCCCCCGCCGTGCCCGCGCGTCCCCTGACGGCTGCGTCGCGCGGCGCTGCAGGTGCGAGACGTGCAAGAAGGGGCTGCTGGACAGGAACTACAAGTTCTGCAACGGGTGCGCGTACAGGAAGGGCGTCTGCGCGATGTGCGGGAAGAAGATCCTCGACACCGCGCTGTACAACCAGTCGACGACCTGAGGGACGTCGGGCGGTGCTCTGTTGCGCACCCACGCCTTGCTGTGTGACGCACGTGTCCGACCACCGCACTCGTCGTCGGCGTGAGGGGAGCTGAGCGCCGGTGGAGTCGCGGCAGTGAGGACGGCGCGCAGCATCGCCGGAAACACTTCCGCAGTTAAAACACACACACGCGTTCGTACATCCGGAGTGTTATTGCACGTGGGTGCGGGGCGCGCCGCGTTCGGCGACCTCGCTGCGGCGTGGCGGGTCGGCTGGGGTGGCCGTGCGAGGTCTGCATGTCACGCGCCGTGCCAGGACGTTCCACGGGCGGGGGGGGGACTGTGAGTGGTGTGGTCGGGCAGCCCTCGGCATACTCTCGAAGCGCTACATGGCGTCGCACGCAGGCGGTCGCCGCGCAGCTTGCCGGTGGTGGTGCCTGACAGATAGGCAGAGATCCAGGGCGGCACGACTGCGAAGAGGCGCAGCAGGTCTCAGGGTGCAACCGTTCCCGGCGCCCCCGTTCCCCGCGAGGCTCCTAGCGCGTATTCGCGCCGAAAACGGCAACTTCGTCCGTTCGGTGGCCTCGTCATCTGGGTTATCGGCGCCGTCATTGTCGGAGTGCGGCACCGGCTGGGGGCTTGCTGACGACTGCCTGCATCCAAGCTGGCTGACCTCGCGCCCGCGTGGCCCGCGTAAGTCAGCCGGTTGTTCGTCCATCTAGAAATAACCCGAAGCGCACCTTGACTGGATAGGCGGGCCTCGGTCGTCGACGAGAGAGCCAGGCGTCGTCGTAGCCCCAGCCCTGGCCACGCATCTGGCGGCTTGGCCCCTGCAACACACAGCGCGCCCCCCCGCAGCACATCCGCCTCCCAGAGAACGGCCGCGACGCACACCGGCCGCCCGGCGGCGACGGAGCTGCTCTGGCGCGGGCGTGAGGGATGCCGGGCAGGGGTGGGAACAGCGGGCGCCCGGGGGGCTCGCGGGCGGACGACCACCGCGGACAGCGGTGGGACAACGCAGGCGGGCGGGGCGGGCAGGAGAAATACCATGCGATCGTGAGTTCCTGTGGCAGCGCTGACCCCGAGGCTGGCTCGGCCTCCTTCCCCGTCGGATCGCCGGTGCTCTCGATCCACCCCCCGCCCCCGGGGGCGGCGGACCAGACGCAGCTGCGGCTCGTGGCCGCGGTGCCGTGCGAGGAGGGCCTCACGGACCCCATCCTCACACGAGAGCCCACCCCGCCACCGCGGCCGGAAACACCGCTGCCGCCGATGCCGTCATGGGAGGTGCCGCGCGTCCGGGATTACTACCGCTACTATCGGTATTACCGGCCTTACGCAGCAAGAGTGAGCGCTCTGTCCACGCCGCACCGCGCCGCGCCACTCCGCTGCGCCTGCACCGGTCGCCACCTCCGCGCCCGCCCGCCCGCGCGCAGGAGCTCGTCGCGGGCCCCCCGCGCCGCGACGCGGAGGAGGGCCACCGCGACGAGGCGGACGGCCTCCTCGGCGGCCGCAAGTACGAGGACGACGTCGAGGAGGTGGAGGGCGGCGTCGCCAAGAAGAGCGGGCTGTTCAAGACGCTGAGCAACATCTTCATCTCGTTCGTGGGCAGCGGCATCCTCGGGCTGCCGTTCGCGTTCGCGCAGAGCGGCTGGCTGACGGGCGTGGCCATGATGGCGGCCGTCGCGGTCGTGGGCTACCACTGCATGATGATGCTGGTGTGGTGCAAGAAGCACGCGAACCGGCCGTCGGTGCAGACGTTCGCGGAGCTCGCGCGGTTCTCGCACGGCCCGTGGGCGCAGCGCCTCGTCGAGACGCTCCTCGTCATGAGCCAGGCCGGGTTCTGCGTGGCCTACATGATCTTCATCGGGCAAAACATGGGCCGCGTGCTCTCCGTGTCCACGCACCTGCCCATCGCGCTCGCGACGCCCTTCGAGATGGCGCTCGCGCTCCTGCGGTCGCTCACCGCGCTCGCGCCGTTCTCGATCGTCGCGGACGTCGCGAACGCCAGCGGGATCCTGACGGTGCTCTCGCAGGCCTGGGGCGACGTCGGCACCGGACCGGTGCGCCCCCCCGCCCCCCCGCACGCGCGGAGGTGCCCTCGCCCCCGCGCCGCGCCCCGGTGCGCGTCACGCGCCGGCGCCCTCACGTCGCCGCGGCGTGGCTCGTCGCTGTGCAGAACATCGCGCCCGTCACGGGGCTGGCGGCGCTGCCGTTCATGTTCGGGGTCGCGGTGTACTGTTTCGAGGGGATGTGCATGGTGCTCCCGCTCGAGGCGTCGACGCGCGACCGCAAGAACTTCCCCAAGGTGCTGGGCGTGGGCATGACGTTCGTGACCGCGCTCTACATTGGGTTCGCGCTCGCGGGGTACCTCGCGTTCGGGGACGCGACGGAGGAGATCGTGACGCTCAACCTCAAGCAGGGCCTCGTCACCGGTGCGCGCCGCAACACGTGGCATCCCGCGATCGCGCAGCGGCAGTCGCGCAACTGCCGTGCGGGCTCGACGTCGAGCGCACCGGCGCGGACGCACCTCACGGCGCCCTGGCACACCCTGAGCAACCAGAACTCCCCCCCGCTCCCTCGCAGAGTCGGTCAAGGTGTGTTTGTGCGTGGGTTTGTTCTTCACCTTCCCGGTGATGATGGTCCCGGTGTACGAGATCTTCGAGCGCAACCTGAGCGCGAGCACCGCGTTCCGGTCCCGCCTGGACATGCGCTACTGGCCGATGGTCTTCCGCGGCATCCGCGGGCTCACGGTGATTGGCGTGGCCCTGGTGGCGCTGGTCATCCCGTCGTTCGGGGCGTTCATCTCGCTCGTGGGGTCGCTGTGCTGCTGCACGCTCGCGCTGGTGATGCCGCCGCTCATCCACCTCAGGCTCTTCGGCGCGGAGCTCTCGCTGGGGGCGCGGTGCCTTGACTACCTGTACGTGGTGCTGGGCGTGGTGGGCGCGGTCGTGGGGACGACGAACTCCGTGATAGATATCCTCGAGGGGAAGCAGAGCGTGCACTGAGGCGCGCGCTGTGAGGAACGCTCAGACGGACACGCGCGAGCGCGCATCCGCGCTGCATGCAGCGGCCGAACGCAGCGGTGTTGAACGTCGCAGCAGCTACCGTCGCGCACGCGCGGCCGAGGACACGTGCGAGGCTGTCGGGGCGCTGAGTCGGTCCCGGGGCAGCCGGGCCCTCCCCTGCACCCCAGGCGGCGCGCACTGTGCCAGCTACTTCGCACACAACCTGTGGGCGTCCCAGCCAAGCGCTTTGCTCGCAGATTCCGTTGGTTACACTGTGCGCTAGCAGGGCGGACACGTGTCCCCTGCGCAGCATGTGCCACGTCGTCGCACGATGCAGCGTGCATGCAAGCCCCCTCACGCACGGCGGTCCGCGGTCGCAGCGCCCTCTGTGGGCACCACACTCACGCCGCCGGCCTGATCTGCGCCAGCCCCGCCAGAGCCTTCTCCACGACCTCCTCCTCCCCGGCGCTGCCACCCGCCAGCAAGCGCCGCGCCTCAGCAAGCACAGCTTTCCGGCTCGCGTTGAACGCCTCGACCGCGTCCTTCAGGTCCCGCCCGCGCACCCCCGCGGCCGACGCCTCGCGCGCCGCGCGCGACACCGCACGCCTGGCCTCGACGTCCAGGGAGTGCAGCACGCTGGCCGCGGGCGCGCCGGCGCGGGTCCCGCGCGGGCACGGCGGTGGCACGCGGCGCGCCGCGGGCCCCCACGCGCCGAGGACCGCGGAGACCGCGTTGCGCACCGGCGCGGCGGCCGGTCCCGCGGTGGCGTGAGCGAGATCCACGGTGGTGGTGTTGGCCTCGAACGCGAATCGCTCGGGCTGCGGAGGCTGGAAGATGGAGGCGACGTGCTGGAGGATGTGGTCCGGGACGCGGTCGCGGCCGGTTCTGTGCGCGTTGGCGCGCAGTGCGGCGTCGGCGGGGGTGGAGACATGCAGGATGTGGAATGCGGCGCTGCCGTCGCAGGCGAGGCGGTGCACTTCTTGCCGCATGCTGCGGTAGTGCATGGTGTCGTCGACGAGGAGCAGGAGGTGCGGCGCGTCCTCGTGCTCGGAAACCACGCGCACGTGCGCTTCCAAGTGGCCAGACACCACTTGCAGCGCCCGCTCCCGCGCGTTCTGCGTTGAACGGGTGCGAGGGGCGATCGGACAGGTAGTACAACGAGCAGCGAGGTCGCGACGGGCTGGCAGGTGCGTTGCAGGGGGCTGCGCTGCGGGGCGCTTCGAACACGCTGCAAGGCGCACCTTCCACGCAGCGGGGCTGAACTCGTGCCCGGCCCCTTCGCCAGGTTCAGGTAGGAAGTCGTCGAATCGAATGTGGTGAATGATGAGGTCCTGCAGGTTCGAAGCTCTGCAGGCGGCCGCGAATGCGCGGCACATAGAGCTCTTGCCGGCCGCTGGCAGCCCGCAGAGGCAGATGAGGAGGGCGTTCGCGGCGCCCTGGTGGGGCGGCCAAGGGGGGGATGTCGACATGGTGGCGCGCCAGTGCGGCACCCGTTCCGGGGCCTGACACCGGCACGCGAGGCCCTGATCGCGCCCCGGTCCCGGCAAACGTCACGGAAGGTGCTAGGACGTGCGCATGTGGGGCGAAACGATCGCCATGGCTGCGCCAGGCATGCGGGAATAGCGGCGGGCTCAGAATGCGCCCGTTGACCGCGCAGCCGCGGCAACGTGGGGCTCGCGCCGCGTGATTGGTCGCAGGGATTTCAAGGCCCCTCAAAAGGGCCCCCGGGTCGCCCGGGAGGGCCCGGCGGGCGCCAGCGCGCGTGATGAGCGTCGGCCGCGCGGCTGCGTGTCCTCTCGCGACACTGATGGTCGAGGGGAGCTGACATCGGCGGCTGGCAGCGGGTGTAGCATGGAGTGCCTGGGCTTCCGCGCGCCCGCCAGAGGCGTTGGCTGCGGCGCCCCCGGCGCGCGCAGGCCGGCGCAAGCGCAGAGCGTCCGGGTGCGGCACTGCACCCTGGCCGGCGCCCCCTGCCGCGGCGCTGGCGGCGCCCTGTCCCATCATGATTTGCGAGGTCGGATGCGGGCGCGACAGTCCGAGTCGGTCCGGACGCGGTCGGGAACGTCCTTGCCGGAGATCCTGTACACGGACGAAATGCTCCGAGGGAACGGGTGCGCACCGGCGACGCTTGCGATGCCGCGACGCGGCCCCTGAGCCCCCCGCGCGTCGCACCCACTTGGCCGGCGCTCCCGCGCGCACATGTGGACCGCTCGACGGAACGGCGACGGAGAGCGGCGTTTTCGGGAGCTCATCACATGCTCCGACGGTCGAGCGCCGCATGAGGGCCGGCATCGGCACGCTGTTGTCCTCTCAACCTTTGACATGCTGCGGCCTCACGGCGGGGCTTGCACCGCCGTTTCCCGCGGCCAACGTCCACGGCACGATAGGCCGGCCGTAGCCCAGCAACGCGCGCTGAGCTCGGGCATCGCAGGGCCGTCGTCGTCCCCGCCAGGGACAGGAGGCAGGAGTACGGGGCGTTCACGGACAAGCTGGTGCAACTGGCGAACCTCCCCTTCCTCTTCCTCTGCGTGCCACAGGTGCGCCGCCATGCTGTCGGCCCGGCGGCGCCGCGGACGTCGCGCGTGCCTCCTGGAACGATCAGATACGCGCGCCCCGGACACAGCGCCGCGCGTGAGTCGCGCACCGCGGCGGCGCCCTGAGCGCCATGGGCGTCGCCGCACGCCCGTGAGATGCGCGCGCCCGTGCCGACCTGCGCGCCGCAGATTCTGAAGAACATGAGCTTCCTGCGCAGCGGCGACACAGCGGCAATGTTCGTCCTGTCCTGGGTCGGGTGCTCCACGGCGTGGCTTGGGAACGCGCTCCTGCTCTCGTACTTCGCGTCGCGCTCCGAGAAGAGCGCCATGGGCGTCCAGGCCATCGGGATGGTGTCCAACGCGGCAGTGATGGCCCAGCTCTACGCAGGCGGCGTCATGCCCGGCCCCCATATGGCCGCTGGTACGCTCCCGTCCGCCCGCACGCTGCTCCTCGCCGCAGCCGGCCGTGCTGGGTCGACACCGACCACCCCGCTGCGCGTGAGGGGGCCTCACTGTGCGTGCGTTGATCCCAACGACTCCTGCAGTTCTGGCGGTGACTGCGGTGTCGCTCGTCGTCGCGCTGCCGTACTTCATTGCGCAGCGAGTGCCGCAGTGGCTCGCGGCTGTGTCCAAGGCCTACAACGTCGCCGTCGGCCTCGCTGGCCTGTATGTCATTCCCCAGGTGCGCCTCGCGTCCCCCGCCGCGCCGCCCCGCGCCAGAACGGACCAGAACTCGGAGCAGAGACAGGTCGCGGCGCGGAGCGACTCGCTTCCCGCGGGGCTGCCCGCACGGGCCGTCCAGGCACGTGCAAGGTGACGGCAACACTCCAACACATCTATGCATCTGTCTGTGGTCGCAGGCCCTCATGAAGTCGCTGTCGTCCGTGTTCCCGAGCATGTCCATCGCCCCGCCCGTCGCGCTCCCGGCCGCCGTCCCGCCCGAGGCCCTGCCTGGCGTCGCTGGGGTCCTAGTGGGCCTGGCGGCAGTGGGCATGCGCGGACCCAAGACGTCCCGGGCGGCCGCGTGGGCGGGGGTGTCGGGGGTGGTGGCGACGCTGCTGTTCGGCCTGCAGGGCTTCGCGCAGGTCCTGAACAACTTCCAGAAACCTGAGCTCCTGGTGGGGGTGTCGGTGGCGGGCGTCCTCCTCTGCATCACGGGCAACATGATGATGGTGCGGGCGCAGACGACGCGACTGGCTGACGCACGCGCGGGCGCGGGGGTGCACCCGGCCGCCCGCAGGTCCGTGACGCGGCCCCTGTTGTTTTGTGCGTTGCAGTTGCCGCGTGCGTATTTCACCAAGGACGCGGTGTGGGCGACGGGGGCCACGTGGGGCGCGCTCGTGACGGGCTGGGGGCAGCTGCTGTCCATGCACTGGGCCAACATCAAGCACGGCCTCCTCGTGCTGTCCCCCCTGGCCTTCTTCGGACTCTCCACCGTGGTGTTCGGCGCCCTGGCCGCGATCCTGGCGGCCACGTGGGCCACGCGCGGCGTCGACGAGCAGGCGTCGAAGCTGCCGGCCTGAGCGGCGCATGTTAGCCTGTCGTTCCCGTGCGCCGTGTGTGTCTGACGACAGCCCGTCGCACAAGTGAACGAGAAGCGGCAGTGGTTCGCAGTATTCGGAAGAAAGCGACGGTGGACCTGCCCGACGCGTGGCTGGGTCACACGAGCCCCTCTGCGCGAGCGCCGCCGCTGCAGAGGCGGGCTCCTACGGGCTGCGCGTGCCCACAAACACCACTAGGCGACAGAGGGCCGCTGCCGGTAGCTTCGGGCATGCACTTGTATGTACGGTTGAGTCTTGAGCGAAAGTAGAGGCCCCGAGGCGCGTCCTCGCGGGGCAGGCCGTCATTCTCGGCGGGCACGGCCCCCCGGGTCGCGGCAACACTCACGCGTGCGCAGGCTGGCCGTGGCACGGGCCGCCGTTGCGCGCCGTCACCGCCGCCATGCCGAGCTGCACGCCGATCTGTCCTGGCGCCGCCGGGTTCGTCATGAGCGCCATGCGCATCCCTGCGACGTCGAGAGGGACGCGCTGCAAGGTCAACGCAGCACCAACCGCTGCGGGCCCGCGCCGCCGGTGCAGCGCGAATCACGGCCGCCCGACTGGCGCGCTCCGCTCCAGCTCTCCGGTCTTGGCAATCGCGCGCGTCTCGCGGGGCGCCGCGGCCCGCACGCGCGGCACCACGGCGGCATGGCACTGCCGCAACTGCAGACGCACCTTCCGCGAACCGGACCCAGGGCGACGCGCGCGGGTAGCTGCCCTGGTGGTACCGCGACTTGCGGTGGCGCTTGTGGTGCCTGTGCGCGGCGTGCTCCCGCGGCGCCCCCGCGCGCTCGGCCTCCTGCGCGAGGTGCTCCAGATAAGATTCGCTCGTGGCCCCCAGCGCGGGCTCCTCCTCCGCGGCCGACGCGTCCGCGTGGAGCTTCAGCCCGCTCGGCGCGAAGTGCGCCGGCTTGCCGGCCGCGGCCTCCGCGCCCACGGCGGCCGCGGAGCCGTTGGCGTGGGCGTCGTCGTGGGCGCCGTCCGAGCTCCGGCGGCGGCTCACGGAGGCGTGGTCGTGCGCAATCGGCGCGCGAAGGGCCACGGCGGACACGCTCATCGTCGAGGCGATCGCGGCGGAGAACGCCGGCCACCAGGAGTGGAAGTCTGCACTGAACGCCTCGGTCGCCTGCTCGCGGCGTGCGCGGGCCGCGCGCTCCTGGGCCCAGTCGGGCCACTCGTACTGCACACGGGCAGGCGGGCGCGACGGTCGGGCGTGAGAAGTGCGCCGCCTGTGGGGAGCTCGCGCGGACGGCAACGGTGGCAGGCGGTTGCCAGCGAGCGGCGGGGCGCTGTCGAGCGGAGGGCGCGGCAGGGGGGCGCGAGGCGCGCTCCGTCGACGGGCAGCCGGGGGTGCGGCGCGGGGCGGGGCGTTGCGCGGCCGGCGCGGCGCGGTGCGTGCGGGCGCGCTCGTTCGGTTGGTCTGCTGGGCTGGGTGGTTTCGCGCACCCCGACGACGGACTCGGCCTGGGCGTTCTGGGCGATGCGCTCGACGGTGATGGCCATGTCCCTGTAGTACTTCCTGCGCTCTCCGGCTGCGCGCCGCGAGGACGAGAGCGCGACGTTGTCTGCTCCCCGCACGGGGTGGAGGTTTGTGGGCTTCAACATGATCGTAAAGGGGCGGAATGCGGTTCGTTCGACCGGTTTTTGTGCAGGTTCCACGCGCAACATGGGCGCCATGGTGCGGAGGGAGGCGCCGCACGTCTCGGAGAGTCTCGGAGACTACACCCCGCGTCAGGGCGCTTCGCCTCGCGCTCCCGATGCGCTGCGGTGCGCGCGCCGCAGGTCAGTCATACTAACGAACTGCCAGGAACGCTATATCTGCGAATTCACAGCGTCCCAGGCCCGTGCGGGATCGAGAGTCTTTCTCAGACGCAAGTGAGCTTCTCTAAGCAGCTCAAAGTCAGTCGGCGCTCGCGGTCCGGGCCGCCGGACTCCCTACGCAACAATGACGACCGCGGCGGCGCAGGTGCCCCGGGCGAAATTCATCGAGGATGTGAACTCGTACATGAAGGGTAAGCAGACAACCTCGGCGCCCCCCGCGCCGCCTGGCCACCAGCGACGCCGCGCACGCCCCCACCCCGGAGCTCTGTCCTGCGCCGCGAGGAGGGCGCCCCGGCGGCCGCGCCACCCCGTCACCTGCGCGGCTCGCGTGCCACGGCCCTGCTCGGCATGTTTCGCAGTGGGCGCGGCCGCCCGCGCAGACCAGCCGACCACCCTCGTGCCCTCCGGGCGATCGCCCACGATCACTCATCCGCCACGCGCCCTCCAGCCGCACCCATACGGCCCATGCGTGCCCGCGGGCCTCGCGCCGCGGCTGCGGCGGGCTCCTGGCGCGCTTGCTGCCCGTCCGCCTCGCGGGCGGCACCACGGCGGACCCCGCCTCGCGCCCGCGCCCTGCCTCGACGCCCCTCGCGTCCCCGCGAACGACCCGCGCGCGGGCGCGCCGCCGCACGCCGCTTTCGCGTCGCCCGCGGCCCGGCCGCGCCAAGACCGTCCGGGCCGCCCCGCGGCGCCCTCGGCCGCGTTCCCGCCCGCTCCGCGCGGGCGCCGATCCCCGACCGCGCGCGCCACGTCCGCGCTGCCCGTTGCAGGCAAGGAGGTGGACCAGGTGCTGATGCAGATGCAGTCACAGCTGCGGGAGTACAAGGTGATGGAAAGCAAGGTGCTCATGGAGGTCCGGCGCCTGTCCACGAAGCTCCCGGACCTGCAGCGGAACCTCGACATGGTCAAGCTCCTCATGGACAAGAACGGCGAGGAGGTGCGCGCCCGCCGTGCTGCGTCGCCGGGCGCGCGTGTGGCCCTTCCCGCGGCGGCCGGCCCACGCGCCCGCTCGCGCGCCGCGTCGCGGTGCAGGTCAAGGCGGACTTCCAGCTCGCGGACCACGTGTTCGCGAAGTCGTCGATCCAGGACCCGCAGGGCGTGATGCTGTGGCTGGGGGCTGACGTGATGCTGGAGTACCCCCTCGCGGAGGCCAAGGAGCTGCTGGAGGCGCAGGTGGCCAAGTGCAAGGAGCAGATGGAGGAGATGCGCGCGGCGCTGGACGTGGTGAAGGACCAGGTCACCACGACGGAGGTGGCCATTGCGCGTATCTACAACTACGACGTCGAGGCGCGGCGGGCCGCGAAGGAGAAGGAGGGCGAGGCGTCGTGACGCGGGGCCGCCGCGGGCGGGAGACGCGTGTGAGGCGGGTCACAGCCCGGGTGCGACGTGGCGGGGGGGCTCACTGACGCTCGCGCGCGTTGTAGTGACCGGGTGCGGGCGGAGGATCGCGGGGTCGCGGAAGGTAGGGCGGAACGGAGAGTGGTGATGCGGTACAGGGCGGGCGGGCGGTGCCCGCCCTTTGGAACGAAAGGCGCGTGCGCTGGGCCGTGGTTGAGTCATGGCAGGTTGATGGCGGCAGACTCCTGCTCGACGTTGACGGTCACTGCCGACATGTTGTCCCGAGCCCACGTGACGGGCGAGACGGGGTGACGGACGGAGGGGGCGAGGGTGGAGGGAAGAGGGGGGGAGTCGGAGAGCGAAACACTGAAAGGGGGGTTGGAAGCTTTTCCGGACGCACGCCATCGCAGGGACCACACGCCGCCGCCCCCTCCTCGCATCGCCCGCACCTTCCCGCGCGACCGCCGCCAGATCGTCTGCTCTGGCACACGCGCTGCCTCACACAGGACACCCCGGAGGTCGCTCCCCGCTGCAGAGTTGCGTGTTCAAGTCAACGCAGTCTCTCCTGACGCGGCAATCGGCTCCGGGACGGCCGCGGACGACGCCGCAACGGCCCCGGCGCCCTGCCCCGCCGCGCGCCCAAACACCACGCACTCCAGCAGACTATTGCCCCCGAGGCGGTTCGCGCCGTGCACCCCGCCGGTCGCCTCCCCCGCCGCGAACAGCCCGTGCGCGGCCCGCGACCCGTCCAGGCGCAGGGCCCTCGCGCTCGCGTCGATCGAGACCCCCCCCATGCAGTAGTGGACCACCGGCGTCACCATCATCACCGCGCACGGCGCGTCGAAGTCGATCTTGCAGGGGAACGTCTTCTTGCCGAACACGTCCGGGGCGCCCCCGCCGTCGCCCCGGGCTGCGTCGACGGCGGAGTTGTACTGCGCTGCCATCGTCGCCAAGCTCCCAGGGTCCACGCCCAGCTGCTCCGCGATGTCGCTGGCCCCAGGACCTGCCATCTTCATCATGCCCTGCGCGTCGCACGCGAACGGGGACCAGGAGCCGTCGATTCAGGCACTCGTGGGCGTGGCTGACCGCCCCCGGGGCTGCGCGTGAAGGGGGGAAGGGGTTCGAGGTACCTTACTGCAGTAGAACTTGATCTTCGCGGGGCCGAAGCTCTCGATCGCGGCCTGTGGCAGCAGCAGCCGCGCCACCGGCGGCCCCTGCCCCGCGCGGCAGCACCGCTTGATGGCGTTGGTCACCACATCGCGGCGCCCCAGCTCGTCGCAGAATCTCCGGCCGTACGGGTCGAGCAGGACGCCCCCAGCGCCGCGCAGCCGCTCAGGACCGAGCCAGAGCTGTCCTGCGCCCGGGCCGTCCGGCCCCACGAGGCCCGTTGGATGCACCTGCACGTCGCGGAGGCGCGTCAGGTGGCACCCCGCGCCCTGCGCGAGCGCGATGGCGTCGCCCGTGGCCTGCGGGCCGTTCGACGTCGCGAGGCCGGCGATTCCGGCGAACTTCTCGAGCAGGGTGGCGCTGGCGCCAAACCCCCCCCCCGCGATGACGACGGCGCGTGTGGGCAGGCGCTCGGTGGCGGGCTGGTCACCCGCGGTGCTCGATACCACGACGGCACAGACCTTCGCGTCGCGCACTTCGATCGATTCCACCTGCGGAGGGCGCACCGCGTCGGAACTGCGGTGTGATGTTGTTGTGGCAAAGGGTGGCTCGCGCTGCGTGCTGGACAGCTCGGTGCGCGGGCTCACCTTCGTGCTGCACCGGACCTTGATGCGGGCGTCCTGTTCGATGGCCGCGCGGGCGTGCTGCACCAGGAACAGGCCCACGTTGGGGCCCTCTTGGTTGAACCACGTGCGCGGCACACTGTGCCCGCCGAGCTGCGACACGCCGTCGAACCGGCAGCCGATGCTCTCGAGAAAGCTCCGCGCTGGCGCACTGCCGTCCACGAGCACATCGACGAGCGCCTCGTCGCAGCTGCAGGGGCGCGGGGAGGGCGCGCCGTGCTGGGGTCGTCGGGGACGCGGGCGCTCTGAGCCGGTCCGCCGGGCACACCATTGATATCGGCGAGCAGGTGCCGTGGCTGGAGGAGGAAAACACTGCCGCGGTGTTTCGGGGCTGTGCCTGGATTGCCCAGTTTGCTCAGTGACCGTGTTGGTCGTTCGCGGGCATCGGAGACGCATTGCGTGCCGTCAAAGGGTCGACCCTCACCTTCCCTGACCCGACCGGATCGTATCCTGGATGAACGTGTCCCTGCTGTCGCCTGCGCCAGGGTTCACGAAGTTGATGCCGGAGCTGGCCTTTTGGCTGTTCCCGCCAATCTTCTCCTCCTTCTCAATCACGACCACCTCGCACGCTCCCCTGCAAATTGTTCCCGCGAGCAGCATGCCCAAGCCGTTTTGCGGGGCCGAGGGGCGCTGGCGACGGCAAACGGCGGCACCCTAGGTGCAGCAAGCAACCGCCAGGCGGCGCCGTGGGTCCACGCGGGCCTCACCCCTGGTCCGGAAGCGTACGGCTGGCCTCAATCGCTGCCACAAGTCCGGCAAGACCCGATCCTACCACGACGACGCGGCAGCCGTCCGCCTGCGAGGGAAGGCCCGGCATTTCTCACCAGCGCAGCAGACCTAAGACCTCTGTATGTGCGCGCGGGCGGCACAAGAAGGCTTCTGAAGAGACGCTCCTCAAGATATGACCAATGTGCGTGAGGTGACCGCCAGACACCGCTACTGAGGCGGCGCCACTGCTTTTGGCAGACTGGGTCAGACCTGGTGTGGTCTGACGCCCCCACCTCCGCACCAGGCGTACGCAACAGTCACACGGACTGCAAGACCAGGCGACGGGCGGCACCGCTCGCGGCCCGGGCGGCGCCTTTCGAAAGTTCCCTGGGACGCCCGCGCACTTGTATGTTCGCATGCAAGCGAGCGGCGGGCCGCGGCTCGCAGGCCCATGCGGAGCCTCGCGCACGTGCGTTGCCCGAACACGTTGATCTGCGCGTGCAGTGCGCGGACCATGCCTGGCCGCGCCTATCGCACATCCTTAACATCCCTAACTGCGCGTCCGCAACAGCCCGGGTTGCTGACCCGCGTCACGCCCTGCGCACCACGAGACTGCGTGCAGTGGCGGCACCACTTCATTCAGTCTTCGGGCTCCCGCGGAGGCAGCACCCGGGCGTGCGCCAGTGTCAGGAGGAGAACGGTGAGTCCCCCCTCTTGTCGTCAACATCGACCCGCCATAGCCGGGTCACACGCACCGCGCCCTCACCGCCGCCCGCGCCGCGCCCCGCGCCCCGCCGGCGGCGCCGACCGCCCCGCGCCCCGCCCACCCCTCGCACCGCCCGCGCCCGCGCCCACCGCCCGCCGCCTCCTCCCGCGCCGCCCCGCGCTTCCCGCGGTTCGCGTGCCGCGCCGCCGCCGCCTCCCGCCTCCTCCGCTCCAGCGTCTCCTGCTTCGGCCGCGCCGACGCCGGCAGCTTGGCCCTGTCCGCCGAGAGCTCATCCAACGGGTCCCCGTTCTTCAGCGCCTGCTCTATCCGCGCCGCGAGCACGCGGTCCGGCTTCGCCACGAGCGACGTGACCCGCCCGCGCGACCCCGCCCGCGCCGTCCGCCCCGTCCGGTGCAGGTAGTCCACTGGCGTCAGCGGAAAGTCGAAGTTCACGACGTGGTCCACGCGCGCGGGGAAGTCCAGCCCGCGCGCCGCGAGGTCGCTGCACACCATCACGGGCGGCCCCCCCGCGGACGCGGCGAGCGCCCGCCGCAGCGGCACGTCGTCGGCGCCGAGCGCGGCGGTGTCGCTGTCGCCGGCGTCCGCCATGAAGGCCGCGAGGGAGTCGCGGCGCTGCTGCTTCGAGAGCTCGCCGTGGTAGTTGACGGACGCAAGGCCGCGCTCCGCGAGCGCGTGCTCGATCGCGCGCGCGCTCTGCAGCGTGTTGCAGAACACCATGGTGCGCTCGCCGCGCGACGCGCCCTGCCCGAGCGCGTCCGACAGCAGCGCGATCTTGTTGCCCCCCGGCGGCACCGCGAGGAACTCGTGCACCGACCCGGGCACCGCGCGGTGCAGCGACGACGTCGCCACCTCGCGCGCCCGCGGCAGCCGCTCCTCGACCGTGCCGCGCACCGCCTTGGTCATCGTCGCCGACACCAGCACCACCTGCGCCGCCTCGGGCTTCGACTTGCACGGGCCCAGCACGCGCTCCACCTCCGGCCCGAACCCCCTGTCGAACATCGTGTCCGCCTCGTCCAGCACCAGCCAGCGCACGTCGCCAATGAACAGGTCCCCGGCCTCCATGCGCTTGATGACCGCGGAGGGCGTGCCCACGAGGACGTCGAGCGGGCGCGCGAGCGTGTCGCGCTGCGCGCGCACCGGGCGCCCCGCGTTCGCGAGCCCGGAGCGGAACGCGGCGCCGCCGGCAGCAAGGGCGCGCGCGACGGAGAAGATCTGGTCCGTGAGCTCGCGCGTCGGGCCGAGCACGATCGCGAGGGGGCGCCTGGGCCGCGCGGGGGGCGCGCCGGCCGCCTCGGCGTCGCGGATGGCCTTGACGATGGGCAGGAGGTAGGCCAGGGTCTTCCCTGAGCCCGTGTGCGACGCGATGATGGCGTCAGAGCCCGAGAGGACGACGGGGTAGGCGCGGGCCTGGATCTCCGTGGGCGTGGCGATCGTCATGGACGCCAGCGCGTCCTGGAACTCCTGCGGGAGGCCCATCGCGTCGAAGGAGGCCGGGGGAGCGTCGCGGGCGGCCGCGGCCGACCTGCGCGCACAACGGGGGAATCTCGGGCGTCGCGGCGCGGCCGGTGAAGTCGGCAGGGCGCTGGAGTGGCGCTGGCCGTGTTCGGGGCGGCGTGCTGCTGCTGACGGCCACAAGCAACAGCACCGCTGGCAGCAATGAAACACCCGCGAACCATGCATCAAGTGCGCGTTTTCACGGACGTCTGGCGAGACGTGGACAGGACCACTGAGATTTGCCGCGCGAACGCCCTGTCAGACCGGGGTGACGCGGGACGCGCGAGGTCGTTGGCCGGCGCGCGGCGGCCGCACCTCACAGCGACGCGCATCCGCGGCGGAATGACGGGCGTCCCCCGCGCGTTGAACGTGAGCGACGACGAGCCTGTCCAGGGGGGCCGTGGATGCGCCGCTGAGCCCCCCCGGCTGCGCACGACCGAGCCCGTCGCACCGCGCACTGCCTGCTGCCGCCCCGCATTGCGCGCCCGCGCCCCCGACGCGAGCCGCGCGGCGACGCCGGGCTGCTGCAGCAGCGCAACAATCATCATACTCCGGGGCAGCGCGCGGCCTCCACCCAACATGCCCCGCAGGGCGGTGGTCTGTAGAGGATGCAATTGCTCGCCGGGTGCCCCACGAACCAAGAACTGGTGGCCCTGGACGCGCGGCAACTCACGCAAGTGCCCGGGCCGTCGCGGCCGCCCGCGCCCTCCAGGCCCCGCCGCGCCTCGCCGCGACCCTCGCATGACGCGCCTGACATCAGCACGGCAGCCCCGCGGCGCTCGTTGCACGCGCCCGCAACGCACGCCGACCACCGTGATGGAGATCAACTGCGCGGGAGGTGGGGTCGGCCGCGCGAGACCCCCTTTCCAATCACGAGTCCCCCCCTGCCGCCTGTGCTCGCGGCAGATCCCTAGTCCTGGCAAGCAGTGGATTCGCCTGGTTCCTGGACCTACGCGGGCCTCTCCAACCGCGCGAGCGCGTCTACCTACCGCAAGGATGGCATCCGGCTCCCTAGCTGCGGCCCAGATGGCTCCGGTTGCGCTGCCCGGCAGGCTGCCCTCGTTTGCGGCCCCAGGACACTGTGGCGCTCCCGGGGCCGTGAGGCCGCTGCGGCGATCTCTGCGGCCGGCTGTCCGCCACTACACGAATGGCAGGGCCCCGCCGAACGGCTGCGGGCGCTTTAACGCGATTGGAGACGTGAGGGTGCGGGCAGAGCAGCGGACGCGCTCAGCCTCGCCTACGGAACGCGAGAAATCAGGCGACGCGGACCTGCGGGAGCTGCAGCCGCGGGGGGCCTCGGACACAGCGGTGCCGTACGAGGGCGGCGCTGTGGCAGACGTGCAGGCCGGCGGCGGCAGCGTGCTAGGTGCTGCTTCGCTGGTGGCAGGCACCACCGTGGGCGCGGGGGCGCTCGCGCTGCCGGCGGTGACGGAGGCGTCCGGGTTCCTGCCTAGCTCTCTCGCTCTGGGGCTGACGGCGGTGTTCAGCGCGATGACAGGTGCGAGCTCTTCGCGGAGTGCGCTGCGCGTCGCAACCAGTAGGGACGCGCGCGGGGGCGCAGATCGGACGGGTCCCACCCGGATCTCGCGCTCGCTGCGGTCGCCTACCCCGGCGCGCGACGTCGCACCGTTCTTGCGACGTGCAGCGCGCCTTCCGCGCGAGCAGCGGTCATCAACACACGTCGCACCACTTTCGCCGCGGCGCAGGGCTGATGATCGCGGAGGTCAACATGCGCGCGAGGGAGGACACCGGGGAAAGCGTGTCGCTCAACGAAATGGTACGCACTGCACCGCGCCTCCGGGCGCTCCCCCACCGCGCCATTTCTCCACCCCCCCAGCACCTGACGTGCCACGCCGCTCCGGTCGCGCTGCAGACGAAACTCACGCTGGGGAGCGGCGGGGCCGCTGTCTCGTCCACGGCGTACGTCTTCCTGCACTACTGTCTCCTGGTGGCCTACCTCGGGAAGGGCGGCGAGCTCGTCGCGCCCCTCTTGGGCCTGCCCGCGGACGGGGACCCGCTCGTCCCGGAGGCGGTCTTCACGCTGCTCTGGGGCGCGACCTGCTACGTCGCGAGCGACGCGGTGCGCAGCACACGCGCCAGGGCACTGCACTGCTCTTCTGTTTCTGCCTGCACTAGCACAGCGCCGGCAACACGCTGGCCCAACGATGTCTCCGGCCCCGCTCCGCAGGCCATGGAGGGAATCAACTCTGCGCTGGTCGCGGGTGTGGTGGCGGCCTTCCTCGCGCTGGTGGTCTCGGTGGCCGGCGGGGTGGACGTCTCCCGGCTCGCCGCGGGCGACTGGTCCGCAGTCCCCGACGCGCTGCCCGTCATCGCGCTGGCGTTCGTGTACCAGAACGTGGTGCCGGTGATATCGGATTCCCTCAACAACGACCCCAAGAAAGTCCGACAGGCGATCCTCATCGGTGAGCCCCACGACGCAACAGCTGCCTTGTTTCGCCGCGCCCGCGCCCTGGACGAAAAGAACAAGGGCGCCGAGGACGAGATCACAGGGGAACTAAGCGGTCCTGGGCGCTCGTGCTTGCTCCGCAGGCTCCGCGGTGCCGCTCGCGATGTTCGTGCTGTGGGACGGCGCCGTGCTCGGCACGCCGTCGGAGGGCGGGGACCCCCTGGTGGCCCTGTTGAACCAGCCGGGCCTCGCCGGACAAGCAGCGGCGGCGTTCTCCCTCCTGTCGCTCGTCACGTCCTTCATCGGCTTCGTTCTCGGGCTCACGGACTTTGCCGCGGGCATCCTCAACGTGCCCGAGGAGGACCGCAAACGCCCCTCGGCGCCCGGCCGCGCCCTGACGTTCGCGGCGACGCTCGTGCCCCCTTTCGTCGCGTCTTTGTTCCTCAGGGACGTGTTCGTTAAGGCGCTGGACTACGCGGGCACGTATGGCGTGCTGATGCTCTTCGGCGTGCTGCCGCCGGCGATGCTGTGGCGCAGCCGGTACGGCGGCGTGTTCAAGGACGCTGCCGGGCAGGAGGAGCTCACGCCCGGCGGGCCAGCCGCGCTGGTGGCGGTGGGCGCCGTTGCCGCGGCGATCATTGGTCGCGAAGTGGTGCAGACCATCTCGGGCGCGTAGAAAACCTGTGCGGTGTGACTCTGCGGACTTCACTGAGGTCCAGCCATGGAATGCGGAGTGCGAGCGAAGCGTGCTCGCCTCAGGCGGTTCGCGTGACGTGAAGGCATGTGGGGGGGGGAGTCTCGCCGGGCCGCCCGCGCAGGTCCCGCACCCGGAGCGCGCTCCTTTGGCCCTGCGTGCACTGCGGAGCGCCCGTTGCCGCGAAGCTGTCGCAGCGAGACAGGAAGAGGCGGCTGGACGCTGTGACGTGGAGGAGTCGTGTGTGGCACTGTGGCCCAACTGCGGTGAACAACATGCGGGCGAGGGCGGCGCTCAAGGCTGCGGAGGCCAGCCGCCCGGTGGCCCGCCGGTCGCGCCGGACGCGGCACGGAATCGTTCCGCGAACGCACGTCTTCGCGGGCAGGGCCCTGCCACTGCTTGGCAGCGCTTGCACCCCCTGCACACTCCATTCATCGCTTTGGACAGCTAAACAGCTCGCACGTCCATCACTGATATGTCAGGGTGTGACTATTCATGGCGAGCTCATCGAAAATGATGACAGCGGCCCGTCTTTGCTCACCATCCCTCTCTTTCAAGGGACCAGGATGCTGCTGCCCACGGGAGACGGCATCCTCCACATCTACGAGAGGCGGTACCTGGACATGTTTAGAAACGTACAGGCGCGTTTTCGGCCTTATTCTTTCGCTGGATGCGCCGTGTCCAGCGTGTCTCAACCTCCAAGGTGGAGCCCGCAGGCGGGCGCGCGGGCGGTGCGAGGCCTCGAGTCGCGCGCGGTATCGGTGCTCAGTCATGGCTTCGTGATGACGCACCAATACTTCCGATTCGTTCCCGCAGATGAACACGCCGGAGGGCTCGCCACTGCTGTTTGGTCATGTGCTCACGGCGCACGCGGTCCCGGCCCAGGTGCGCGACAGGGTCGGTCCGGGGATCCCGCGCATCGCCTGTGCGGCGCGCGTCCTCTCGATGGAGCCCGCTGGTGAGCGCGGCGACGGCATGCTGGTGCGGTACGAGGCCCTGCGTCGCATCAAGATCGCGCACGTGGAGGAGGTACAGGGCGAGGACGGGGAGGGGTACCTGTCGGCGGCGTGCGAGTGGATGGACGACGCCCGCGTGGACCCAGGGCCCGCGCAGGGCGTCTCCGTTGACACCGGCTTCAAGCGCCTGACAGCAGGTGGGGCCCCCGTCGCGAGCGCGGACGATCGCAGCCCGTCAGACTCGACGGTGGGGTCGCCCACGCGCTTCTTTTCCCGCCCCGCGCGCGTGCAGATGAGCAGCAGCGTACCGACCTGCTGGAGGCGCAGCTGTGGGCGAACTTGCAGCACCTGCGGCGGCTGTCGGCGCAGTCGGGCTCGGAAGACGCGTCGCTGCCCCTGGCGGTGCAGCGCTTCGCCCCGCCCGCGACCGTGTCTGGCGACGCCGGCGAGCGCATCGCCAATGCACTCGAGGCCAAGGGCAACATGGGAGCGGCCTTCGCGATCCGCACGTGGCGGCGCGCGAGCGGCATCGACGCCGGCAACGGTGCAGAGAAGCCGCGGGAAGTCGCCAACCCGTACTCAGCGGTGATCCCCCCCCCACCCCTACGTGGCTGCAGCCTGCGCATCCTCGTTGCTCCCCGTAACGTACCCGTGCGCGGGGCGAAGCGTGATCGTGGAGGCCGACGGAGAGGGCGCCCTCCTCATTGTCCGGCGCAGGCGGTCGAGGTGACGCCGATGGCGAAGGGTCGGAGGCAGGAGCTGTTTTCGTTCGCCTCCGCCCAGATGGTTGACATCGGGGCGGAGGAGAGGAGCCTGCTGCTGCACCTGCAGTCGACGGCGCAGCGGCTGGAGTGGGCGCTGGAGGCCGTCGTGCCGCACGTCAGCGACTTGGAGCGGCGGGCGGCGGCTCGAAAGGCCGTTGACAGTTAGAGTATGGGGGCGCTGTGAGGACGGCGTCGCTCGGCGCGTGAGAACGACGCTTGGTGCCGCGGGTCGGTGGAAACTGACCGCTCGGCGTCGCGCGTGTCAGCGTGCACAACTCCCGCACAAGTGTGTAGAACAACCCCAGACGTACTGACGTGAGGGATCGGGCGCTTTCGCGCGACGGCGCCCTTCGATGAGTCCACGTGCGCGTCGTGCGTGGTACTCTCCGCTCAAGACTGCCACGGAATGGCAGAGTCTGTCCTTTGACGCCCCGCAGCGGTGCAATGGAAGGAGGGTGCAACGCTGTGGTTCTCTGTCCGCATCGGCGTCTCTTACGAGTCTCCCGGCTGTCCGACATCTTCACTTGACGAGGTTCTCCCAGATCCTGGTCGGGATGGCGGAGATGGGCGGCCAGGGCACCGACGCGAAGGACTGGAGCTCCCTTCCACGTGACGTCCTTTCACACGTCGTGAAGCTGCTCGCTGAGGGCGAAAATCACAGCGCGATCGCAAACATGCGTCTTGCGTGCAAGGAATGGCACGCGGTCACCAGCTCGAGCGTGGTGAGGCTGCACCCAAGGGGAATGCCTGCGGGGCGGAGCGGAGAGAACGGGAACGCGCCGGTGTTCCCCTGCCTCAAGGCGCTCGACTTCTCGCACCTCCACTTCCTCCGCTCGGACCCGTACAGGGAGCTCCATGCGGGCTGGCCGATCGACTGGTCTGCGCTGACGGAGGTCACCCTGGACGGGAACTGCCCCTTCGTCACCGAATGGGCGCTCTCCGCTGCGCTCCAGGGCCTCTCGAGCCTCCAGGTGCGAGCACTGGACCGTGACAGGGAGAGACTGCCGCACGCGCTGAACGCTGTTTCATTTTTCTCCGGCGCCCCACTGACGGCTCCGTCGCCGTGTGGCCACAACGTTGCGCCGCCGTATTCGTCCGTGGACGCACCCCGCGTCGCTCGCACACATGCTGCCGCGACACGCTAGTACGAGCTCCGCCGGTGGATGCAGAAGCTGGTTCTGGACGGCAGCTACGCGGTCACAGCGATGACGCTGCACCAAATCGCCGGCATGTCCACGCTGCGCAGCCTGAGCCTCGCCGAGTGCCCGAGGGTGGACGACATCGCGCTCGCCGCCCTCGGAGGCACGGGGCCGGAGCTCCTGGCGTACGAAATCGTGCACACCATCCTCGCAACACAGGGAAGCGCCGGCTGGTACGTTCCCGGACGCAACACGCCGGAACTGTGCTGCGCGGGGCTGCCGCCCTCGGCTGCTCGTTCGACGAGGCTGCGCGGCGTGTCGACGTTGCAGGTTTTCTGAAGAACCTTCGGTGAGGGGAGTCGTCGCGTGGCTCCCGACTGTGAGGGTTCTCAACGAGATCTGGGCCGATGGGCACGCCCGGAAGCTTCCCCAGACGCACGTCACGGAGGCGCGGGCCATCGCTGCGTCGCGCGCCGGCGGCGTCGCCGCCACCCGGGAAGAAGCCATGGCTGCGGGTGCGGCGCTGCTCGACATCTGCGCAGATACGTTCCGCGGGCACATGGAGGACGAAATGGAAGAGAGCGACATCGAGGAGTTCTATGGCGAGCCCACGGGGCTGTCCGCTGAGCAAGTCCGGCCAGCAATGGAGCACGTAGCAACTCTCAGCCACTGCAAGCCCAAGGACCTGATCGAGCTGTGCGCCGCACTCCTCGATATCAGGCCTCCGAAGGCGCCGCCTGTCGCAAGGGTGCGCAGCCCCGCCAGCCACGTCGCATGCAGCGTGACCGTCAAAACACACGCACGCACTCATCGTCTCCCCTCCCGCGCCCCGCACGAGACGCAGCTGCGCGACACGTGGGCCAAGACTGTGTCGGAGCCGCCGTGCTGCAGCGGCCTCGTCGACCTGAACTTGCGCGACACGTACGGCACCGACGTGGCCCCGTACGTCCTGGCGCGTCTCACCGCGCTCACGCGGCTGGCCGCGCCCGTGCTCAACGTAGCCAGCCCGTACTCGGTCGAGGCTCTCGCGGAGCGGCTCCCTGACCTGCGCAGCCTCTTCACCGACATCGTCCAGACGTGGGACGCGGCCCCTGCGCCCATCAGTCAGACCTGGCCTGACGAGGCATGGACGTACGTCCCCGGGCACACCCGGCCGCTGCTGCCGCACCTCGAGAGCATCGAGATCGAGCAGCCGTCGCGCCTGACCGGGCGGGCGCTGCAGCGGCTCCTGCGCGGCGCTTCGAACTTCACCAGCCTCTGCATCCAAGGCTGCCCGTCGTCGCTGAGCTTCGCGGACATACGCGGCGCGCTGGCGGACGCGAGCGCCGTCACGTCGCTCGTGCTGAAGGACATGCACGCGCCTGACGCAGGGGGCGACCTGCGGGACCTGCTGTTGGCGCCGCAGCTCGAGCACCTGCGAGTACTGGACCTGGGGCGCGCGTTCGCGCTGGAGGACCACGTTCCGGACTCCTGGGAGGCGCACCTGGGAGCGGCGCTGTCGTACCTGACGCAGCTGACGCGCCTGAGCCTCCGCGGGTGCCACTGGCTGCGCGGGAGCTGCTTTGCGAACCTCCGGGCGGGGCAGCTGCCGCACCTGCGCGAGCTGCTCCTGGACGGCGTCTCCGTGGCCACGGCGAGCGACGAGGGCATGCTGTGCCTGGCCCGCGCGACGCCGGGCCTGCACGTCCTCAGCATCAAGCACGGGGCCACTGGCGATGGCTTCTGGCAGCACGTGTCGGAGCTGTGGGGCGACCTGCGCGAACTCGACGTCTCGCACTGCTACGGGATGCGCAGTGCGGGCGGCGCGGCCCTCGCGCGGCTGCCCAAGCTGCGCTACCTGAACATCGACATGCACGACGGCAATCACACCCCCTACGAGCCTCGAACCCTCTCGGCCCTCCTCGCGCACCCCACCCTGACCTGCCTCGTCGCACTGTGCGGCGCGGGCACGCACGGGCCGCTCCAGCCAGGCGTGGTTCCGCCCGTGCCGAGCCCCTGGATCTCCGAACTGAACTTGCAAGGGTTCGGGAACCTAGGGGCGGAGGACGGGCGCCGCATCGGCACGTCAATGCGCTCGCTGCGGTCGCTGACGTTCAGCGCGCAGTCCACGGACGTCGCCTTCGTCGACGCGCTCCTGGACAGCCCCGGGATCGATCGGCTGCGCAAGCTGTGCCGCGTGCGCGACGCCACGTTCACCGCGACCGCCGAGCTCACCGGCGCGGTAGAGATCCTGTCACCGCTGGAGCCGACGATGATGAAGCTCGCGCGGCTGACGCGTCTCACCCACCTCGAGCTGCACGACTGCACCGGGCTGTCGGACGCGGTCATGGCCGCGGTCGCAGCGCACTGCCCGCGCCTGGGCGTGCTGGACATCTCGGGGTGCGACTGCGTGACAGACGCGGGGCTGCAGGCGCTGGCGCGCGCACAGGTGAGGATATCGCGCGACCCACGCGCGGCGAGTCGGTCGTTGCATGCGTGGATCACTGCATTTGTGCGCTGAAGAGTAGGTCAGGTCTCACAGTCTGCATTCCAGTATTTCATGTGCGAGTATTTCATGTGCGCTGCCGTCTGAGCCCCGACGCGCGCGCGCTGCCCTCGCAGCCCGCGCTGACGATGCTCGCGATCAACGGCTGCGACTTCTGCATCGAGGAGGAGGCCGGGGCGGCGATGCAAGCCAGCGCAGACGCAGGTGACTCCTCCGATGCAGAGCTAGGCGGGGGCGAGGGCGGGGGGCCGGAGGCGACGCTCGGGCTGCAGGGGCTGCGTGACCTGCTCTACTGGTGCAGCGACGGGCTCGGAAGCGTGTCTGCGCGGGGCTGTCCACCGTGGGTGGTGCAGGTTGTGGAACAGACGCTCAACTCCCGCGATTCGGAGTCGCGCGCGCCGCCGCTGATGATCCTGTGAGGTGGACGTCGATGCTGCGCATGTGCGGCGCCGCCGTGAAGCACAGCAGCAAGCGCGTGCGCCCACCAGGGCTCTCTCTCTCGTGAACCAGTATCTTGACTTGCGAGGTCGAGCGGCGCCGTGCTGGCCGCGGGGAGCCTCCACCCGCCCTACCCGCGCATCAGGCTGGTGGCATGGCCGCCGCCGAGCCGCAGAGCCAGAGTGTACGTGCCGGACGCGTCGGCGGGTTTACATCGCTGGTGCCACTGCGAGCCTTGGTTGTCGTGTCTCATCAGGGAGGTGAGGTGCGGGGCAGACGGTCACGGTGCGCGGTCCCTCACTTCTTCGACCGCATGCGGCGCTCTGCCTCCATCCTGTCCCGCAGGTCGTGCCAGGCGTTCTCAGCGGCGATCACCGCAGCTTGTGCCGCCCTGCGACGGTCGTTGTCGTACTTCGCGGGCGTCGACCCCAGCGGCCCTGGCTCCATCACTTCCACGATCTCCTGCGCGTGCATCGCGGAACGCAGCGCGCGGTCGGGCGCGAGGAGGCCGCCGCGAATCGATTCTTCTGTTACGAGTGGCGGGGAACGCCCTCGGCAGCCGCGCACGCCCACCTGGATCTCCTTTTGAGCTCCCCTGACGAACTTCTTGACCGCTCGGACCGTCCCGGAGCCCCCGCACGCGCGAGAGCTCCCCGAGGAAGCCCGCGAGGAGGCGTGGTCCTTCTCAGCGGCACCTGCGTCCCCACGCCGCTCCCCGTCTCCCCCGGGCCCGTGCGAGCCCGAGGGGTCGGCCCTCGCGGCAGTCACGGTCGAGAGGTACGCCGCGCGCGCGTGCACGCACGGCTCCGCCTCGACGAGCCGCGCGAAGGAACGGCGCAACATCCTACGTGGAGAGCGCGCTTGACGGCGAGGTGCTCCTCGAACGGTGCTCCGTCGATCGGCGGGCTACACACCAGGATACCGGGGTGCCCGTTCGTGCGGGTCGACGTCCCGAAGACGCCCCAGGGGCGGCCGCGAGCGCGTTTAGGTCCCAGTACCCGCCCAACTGTCTCGTCAGGCTGACCGCCGCAGCGCCGGGAACGAAGCCCATCGCCGGCCCGCGCGCGCTCCTATGCGTCTCAGGCGTGCCGGGCGCGGCCGTACATCGACAGCTACGCTCGCGACTCTCTGCGCGCGGGGCAACTTTGGCGCGCGTTGCAGTCGTGCGACCAGCGGTCGCCTGGCACTGGGCCGTCGGGTCGGATCACTCACTCACTCACCATGGATATTCACGGGACGCATTTGAGCGTCGGCATTGGGCCGGACGACGAGCCGACGCTGCACTTGGCTGGTGCTCATCACCATCCACCGGGAGTGCAGCTGGCGGACGAAGCGACGTGGAACCCCGTCGCCCATGATCAGGTCAGACGCGCGTGCCCGCCGAGCTCTGCTCTTACACGCCCTCACACGTCGCGAGACACAGCCTTGCTGCCTGCCAAGCTCTGCGTCGAAGAACCGCCGGGGACAGCGCGGCGACGGCGTCACGACACCGCCGCTGAGCACTGTGATGATCGTCACGCCGTTTCCGTGACCGCGGCGATCCATCTGCGACGCAGGCGGCGGCGCTGGCGGAGGTGTATGCCAAGTACCTCTCCGTTGGCCTCTCCCGCGACCACCCGCGGGACTTGCCGCACACGGCGCAGACCATCGACTGCGTGTTCGAAGGAGACCACGCCTGGCATGCGCCCTCGCGCGCACTCAAGACGCTGATGCCTCTGCCGGCGGAACACGACGCTCCCGGCGCGGTGGCGTTCACGCTCGAGGACGTCGACGAGACCTCGGACGACTACCACTCCGTGCAGATCCTGCCCCCGCCGTACCGCCCGGCGCCCGAGAGCACCAGCAACGCCGGGCAGGCCACCGGGCAGATCGCCCAAAGCATGAAGAAGCTGCGCACGATGGTCGGGGAGGTGATGCCCGGGAAGGAGCCGGAGGCGTCGGCGACGGACAAGGCGCGCTTGGTGAGTGCGAGGCCGGGACGGCGTCGCGCCGGCCGACCCGCCAGCCACGAGGCTGCCAGGTCCGTTGTTGTTGCAACTGCTGCCGCGCGGCAATTGTGCTCGAGGCCCGGTCGTGCGCCGCGAGTGCGTGCAGGAGGCTGCGTCGGGTGCGTGGCTGGACCAATTCGAGGCGGGGGTGTTCGGGGAGGTGCCCCCGGCATTCCCCCCCGGGACGCTGCCGGCGTTCAGCGAGCGGCCGGCCGCGCCCGACGCGGCGGCGAGCGAGACAACCGGCGCCGAGCCAGCCGGGACGGCGGAGGAGGACGGCAAGGGCGAGGAGGTGACCGCGACGACGCTGTTCGAGGGGGTGTGGGCTGCTCAGTCCGACTGGGAGGTCCTGGAGGGCAGGTGCGACAACACACCCCCCGCTGCCTGCCTGCCGCCTTCATGCGCCTCTCCAGCACCTGCCGCCCCCTCGCCGGACATGACTTCGGTCGCCTCACCTAGTGCTTTCGTACGTCGTTTGCACGGGTGCAGGGACGCCGGCGGCGAGAACGACGCGGCCGCGGACGGCGAATTCGGCGCGGTGGGTCGCAGCGCGCCTGGGAGCGAGGCTGGCGACGAGGCCGCTGCGGAGGGCGACGCGGATGACGAGGACCTGGGGGAGGAGACGGAGGTGGTGGAGGGGGCGGGGGGCGGTCCGGGGGGCCGCGGGGGCGTGGACAGCGCGGCGGCGTCGCGGAGGGTGGAGGAGGAGGCGGAGGAGGGGCTCGTGGCGCTGCTGGGCGACTTGCGTGCCGCGACGAAGAAGGAGGAGCAGAAGCGGTGGGCGGTGCTGAAGCACGCGGACTTCGACGTGGAGGAGGAGTTCGACCGGCTCAGGTGCGGGCCGGGGGGCAGAGCCTGTTTGAGTGAGACGCCGGCGGAGCGCAGGCGGCGGATGTGTGGAGTGGGCGGCTGATGTGTGCGCTGCTGTGTTTTCGCGGTGCAGGAGCAACCTAGCGATCACGTATCCGTTCGAGCTGGACGGGTTCCAGAAGGAGGCGGTGATCCGGATGGAGCGCGGGCAGTCGGTGTTCGTGGCGGCGCACACCTCGGCGGGGAAGACGGTGGCGGCGGAGTACGCGCTGGCGCTGGCGACGAAGCACCGCACGCGCGCGGTGTACACGTCCCCGATCAAGACCATCTCGAACCAGAAGTTCCGCGACTTCTCCGCCCGGTTCGACACCGGCCTGCTCACCGGCGACGTCTCGATCCGCCCCGAGTCGAGCTGCCTGATCATGACGACTGAGATCCTGCGGTCGATGCTGTACCGCGGGTCGGAGATGATCCGCGACATCGAGTGGGTGGTGTTCGACGAGGTGCACTACGTGAACGACGAGGAGCGCGGCGTCGTCTGGGAGGAGGTCATCATCCTGCTTCCGCGCCACATCAACATCGTCATGCTCTCCGCGACGGTGCCCAACGTGGCGGAGTTCGCGGACTGGGTCGGGCGGACCAAGCGGAAGCCGATCTACGTCACGGGCACCAAGAAGCGCCCCGTGCCGCTCGAACACAGCATCTATCTGAACGGCCAGACGTACCTCGTGGCGAGGGGGGAGCAGGGGTTCCTGTCGGACGGGTACAAGAAGGCCAAGGCGAGCGCGACGCCGGACCTGCCGCAGACCAAGAAGGCCGCGCAGCAGGCGCTCCCGACGGGCCGCGGCCCGGGCGGCCGCGGCGGGGGGCGCAACCAAGGCGGGCGGGCGCGGGCGCGGGGGCCGTGGGGGCGGGCGCAGCGACGGGTCGGTGGGCGGGCGCAGCACCGGCGCAGCGTTTGCGGCGCGTGAGGGCAAGGCGCCGCTGCCCGTGAGCGCGCAGGGCAAGAACGCGCGGCACGTGCAGACGGCGCTAAAGCAAGGGATGCGTGGCGGGGGCGGCGGCGGCGGGGGCGGCGGCGGCGGCGGGGGGGGGCCGAATCGCAGTGGCACGCCGGGGGGGTCGAACGCGTACATCACGATGGTGAACACGCTGAAGAAGCGCGACATGCTTCCGGTGGTGGTGTTTTGTTTCAGCAAGAAGTGGTGCGACCACCTGGGGGGCTCGCTCGCGTCCCAGGACCTCAACACCGGGGAGGAGAAGGCGCAGGTGCATCGGTTCTGCGACAAGGCGCTCTCGCGGCTGCGTGCGCCGGACCGCGCACTGCCGCAGATCCTGCGTCTCCGGCGGCTGCTGGAGCGCGGCATCGGCGTGCACCACGCGGGGCTGTTGCCCATTTTGAAGGAGGTGGTCGAGATGCTCTTCTGCCGCGGGCTGGTCAAGGTGCTTTTCTCGACGGAGACGTTCGCCATGGGCGTCAACGCGCCCGCGCGCACCGTGCTGTTCCAGGACACGAAGAAGCACGATGGGAAGAGCCGGCGCTTCCTGATGCCCGGCGAGTACACGCAGATGGCTGGCCGCGCGGGGCGGCGCGGGCTCGACACCGTAGGCTCAGTGCTGATTGGGTGCTTCGAGGGGCAGCTCCCCGCGGAGAGCGACATCAAACGCATGATCAGGTGAGCACGCGGGAAAATCCGTGCGGCCTGGTTCACAGAACCGCATTGCTTCTGAGCGCCCGCTTCTGACGTCCAGCCCCGTGGTTCATGTCGCAAGGCTCTCACTTTTGCGCCCGGTCCCCGCGCCCCCTTGTCCCGTGCAGGGGCCAGGCGACGCAGCTGACGTCGCAGTTCCGGCTCACGTACGTCATGATCCTGCGCTTGCTGCGCGTGGAGGACCTCAAGGTCGAAGACATGATGAAACGCTCCTTCGCCGAGGTGCACGCGCAGCGCCTGCAGCCGGAGCAGCAGGCCCTGCTCGTCAAGGGCCGCCGCATGCTCGACGTCCTCAGCGCCAGCTGGGCGCAAACGGCGCCCCCGGGCGCGCGCGACGGGGTGCTGGAGTACGCACGCAGGACCGCGCAGCTGGAACTGAACGCGGCGGAGATCCTGCGGCTCGCCGGGGCGAACCAGCTCGCGAGGGCGTTCACGTCGACAGCACAGGCGCGCGTCGTGGTGTACAGCGACCCGCGCACCGGCGTGGACGACCTGGCGCTGGTGGTGCAGGAGGTGCGCAGCACGACTGGGGGAGTGCCGGCGGTGCTGGTGAAGGGCGCAGAGAAGCGGTTCCACCTGCTGTGTCTGAGGCACGACGTGCCGGGGGACCTCGTCAGGGAGGGCGCGGAGGGGGGAGTGGGAGGGGGCAAGGAGGCGGCAAGCGGGAGCAAAGCGCCAGACGGCGGCGCGAGGGACGCGTTCGCGGGCCTGAAGCCGTTGTCGTCGAAGAAGGGCGGCGATGACGACCTCGTCGTGCTGGTGCCGATTGGGAAGAAGAAGGGCGGCAAGGACATGAGTTCGGTGCCTCAGAAGAACCACGGAGGAGGATATGTCGACCCAGGCCCGGTGAGTGGCGCCCCGCCTGCACGCGACGTAGGGGCGTCGACGCTCCTCCAGTGGCTGCTCGCGGCACCCTCGGCTAGGCTGACGCAGTCATGTTCGTGCTGCTGAGATGACCGGCGCACACACCCGTGGTTTCCTGCCGCGCCCTGCTGCGTGCAGCTGCCGCGCGACGGCGAGACGGACGGCGTGAAGTGGTCGATCGTCGAGGCCGGGCTGTCCGACATGCTGGCGATCCTCAACCACCGCCTCCCCGTCAAGGCAAGCACCGTGCTGGCTGCCGAGGGCAACAGCGCGGGCGGCGGCGGGCGCCACGCGAACTCGTTCGACCTGGCCGGGGCGGTCAAGGCGCTCGCGGAGCTGTCCAGGGGCCCGTGGCCGGAGGCGGCGAGCGCCACGGACCTGAAACTGGACGCCAGCATCCAGGTGGTGGACCTGATGGAGGCGCAGTACCGCATGCTGCTGGCGCGGAACGAGCTGCCCGTGCGGACGCACCCGGATCTGCACACCCTGCTGGCCAAGGGCCGCAGCCTCGAGCGCCTGGAGCGGCGCATCCGCGCGCTGGACCACCAGCTGTCAGGTGCGGCGTATGCAACGCCAGGAGTCGCCCGAACCTGACTCTCATGATTGCCGCAGCGGCGGCACGTACACTTTCCTGGTGCCAGCGTGCTCAAAGGGCCCTTGCCGCCCACGACGCGCTCTCTCCGTTGCAAACAAGCTCGAGAGAAGCCAGCTCGCCCCATCACACGCCTTGTCAGCCCCGCGCACGTCGCCCCCAACCAGCCCGCGCCAGTCAACCACGTTCTCTCCGCAGATGCGTCCCTGCGGCAGCTACCGGAGTTCCACCAGCGCTTGGAGGTCCTGGCGGAGCTCGGGTACGTCTCCAGCGACCACGCGACGGTCGAGCTCAAGGGCCGCGTGGCCTGCGAGCTCTCCGAGGACGGCCTCATCGGCACCGAGATCCTCTTCCAGGGCATCCTGACGGACCTCGAGCCCGAGGAGGCAGTGGCCCTGCTGTCGGCTCTTGTGTTCCAGGAAAAGACCGACCTCGAGATCCCGCAGCCGACACCGGCGCTGGCGGACGCGCAGCGGGCGGTGGACGCGATCGCGATCCGGCTGGGCGAGGTGCAGCGGGAGCGCGGGCTGCAGATCGACCCGGAGGAGTTCCGCAAGGAGCTCCTCAAGTGGGGGATGCTGGAGGTGGTGTACGAGTGGGCGAGCGGGACGAGCTTCGCGGACGTGGCGCGGCTGACGCCCGTGATGGAGGGGACGATCGTGCGCACGGTGATGCGGCTCGACGAGAAGTGCCGGGAGATCCGCAGCGCGGCGCGCGTCATGGGCGACACGGCGCTCTACGAGAAGATGGAGCGCGCGTCGCAGCTCATCAAGCGCGACGTCATCTTCGCGGCGTCGCTCTACGTGCAGTAGACGACCAGCGGTGCGTGGAATGACGACAAAGGCCTTGATTGCCGTCAACTGCCAAGGGCCGAGCCGTCCAGGAAGTCAGCGTGAGGGCCGGGACGGCGTGTAAGTGCGGTGCGAAGCTGTAGCATGCGTGCAGGTCCCGTGGAACACGCAGATCTATCAAGATCATCGCCGTCCAATGTCACAACAGTCCCGGAGCGCCTGTGCGCCCGCAGGCCCGCGTCAGAACCGCGTGCGCTTGGCCGCCACGCTCGGCCCGGCGGTCGCGGGCCGCTTCTTCGTCCCGCTCGGCGCCTCGTCGTCCGTCCCCGCCGCCGCCGGCACCGTCGTCATGCTGCGCTTGGCCCCCCCGCGCGCCCCCGTCTCGCACGTGTTGACGCGCGACGCGAACCGCATCGAGCACAGCGTCTCGTGCGCGCTCTCCGGGTCCGGGTTCACGTTCACGAACATGAGCGTCTTCCCGTCGCCGCCCAGGCACGGCTGCAGCAGCTGAGTCAGCTTTGAGTTGCGGTAGGGAATGTGGCTGTTCTTGGCCGCGAGGCCCGCGAACACGTCCCCGAGCGCGGAGAGCGACTTGTTGATCGCGCACGCCTCCTTCTGCCGCGCCCCCTCGGCCTTGCTTTTGTCGAGCCGCTCGGACCCGGCCAGGTCGACCAGGTTGAGTGCGCCCGTCAGACGGAGCCCCGTGGCCTCGTGCGCGCCGGTGATGTACAGCATGAACACCGAGTGGCTCCGCGACGACACCGCGTTCATCGCCGTCGCGCTCGTCTCGCGCGTCTCCGCCGCGCGCGCAATCAGCGCCAGCGCGTCCTCGAAGCACGCAATCTCCTCGCGGCGGGCGCCCTCGACGATGGTGTGCGTGTCGTGCTTGATCGGCTGGTGCTTGTTGTCGATCTTGCTCTGCCCCTTGGGCGCCAGGAGATCCCGCAGCGCCTCGTTGTAGATCTCCACGAACGACGCTTGGAACGTGTAGGCCCACCCCTGCGCCCGCATGCGCTGCGCGCTATCGAGGATCTTCTCGACCGCGCGCGGGATGATGCCCTTCGCGCTCGGGCTCTCCGGCACCCCGAGCATCGTGTGCGTCTTCCCCGCCCCCGTCTGACCGTACGAGAACAGGCAGACCTTGTAGCCGTCCAGCGCCGACTGCACCAGCTCCGACACCTCCGCGAACACCGCGTCCTGGCTCGTCGCCTCCCCGAACACCCTGTCGTACGCGAACGCGTGCTCCTTGCCCTGCTGCCGCACCTTGATGCCCACACCGTCGGGCAGGCACGTCGTCGACGCCCCGCGCGCCGTGCTCGGCCGCACGCGGCAGAACACCCGGATGTTGCCCTTCAGCTCGATCACCTCGTTCTGCAGCTTCCGCCGCTTCCCCTCGTTCTCCGCCGCCGCCGCCTCCAGCTCCGCCACGCGCCCAATCAGCATCGACACCACATCGCCGCCGTCCTCCTGACACCCCGCCACCTCCTTCAGCGTCTCCAGCTCCGCCTCCAGCCGCTCCAGCCGCTCCTCCGCCCCCACCGCGCGCCCCTTCCACCCGTCCAGCGCCCCCACCGCCTCCGACGCGTCCGCCTGCGCCACCCCCAGCGCCTTCTCCGCACTCTCCAGCGCCGCCCGCGCCCCCGCCAGCTCCGCCGACGTCCCCTCCAGCGCCCCCTCGAGCTCCGCGACGCGCGCCTCCGCCGTGCTCGCCCGCCCCTCCAGGCCCTCCTTCTCGCCGCGCAGGCACGCCAGCGCCGCGTCCAGCGAGGCCGCGCCCTCCCTCAGCGCCGCCGCCTCCGCGCGCGCGTCCGCGGCCTCGGCCCGCGCCGCCTCCAGCGCCTGCGTCGCGCTCTCCCGCGCGATGTCCGCGCGCTCCCGCAGCGCCCGACTCTCCTCGCGCTCCCTTGACAGACCTGACTCAAGCTCCTCCACACGCCCCCCCAGCTCCTCCCGCACGCCGTCCAGCTGCTCCCGCAGCACGCGCTCCGTCTCCGCCGCCGTCTTCTGCGCCGCCGCCAGCGCCCGCAGCGCCTCCGCCGCCCGCTCCTGCTCCGTCGCCAGCGCACCCTCCAGCTCGCTCGCCCGCCGCGCCGCCGCCGCCCCCTCGCCCTGCGCCGCCCCGAGCGCCTCCTCCAGCTCCGCCGCGCGCGCCGCCAGCCCGTCGCGCTCCGCCGCCAGCCCCGCCACCTCCTCGCCCAGCCCGTCCATCTCCCGCCCCAGCTCCCGCAACCGCCCTTCCAGCGCGTCCCCGCGCTCCTTCGCCGCCGCCAGCCGCGTCTCGAGACTCTCGGCGTGCGCGCGCGCCTCCCGCTCCGCCGCCGCCGCCCGCCGCGTCGCCTCGTCCAGCTCCCGCTGCACCGCCTCGCGCTCCGCCTCCGCCTTCCGCACCTGGTCCTTGCAGTCCTTCTTCATCGCCCGAATGTCCGACTCCGCCTGCGCACGCACCCGCACCGCCGCCCTCGTCAGCGCACAGCATTCAAACGCAAACACCATCATGCGCCAGGAACTATAATATGATATCATGATGATGAGCCGAATGCGGGAGACACGGGGGCACTTGCCTGCTGGCGGGCTCCCTCCGCGCGGCGCTGCATCTCGCGGGCCATCTCGCGCTCCTGGTGCATGCGCTCGCCCTCGCGCTCCGCGCGCCGCACGTCGGCCCGCAGGCGGTCCGCCTCCGCCGCGTGCACGAGCTCCCTCTGCTTGGCCTCCGCCTGCGCCTGCGCGAGGTCCGCGCGCAGCCGCGCCATCTCCGCGCGCATCTCGTGCGTCCCGGCGGTCGACGCGCACGCGGGCGCCTGCGCCTGCTGCTGCGCAGCGCGGCGCGCGGTCTCGGCAGCCGCCTCCACGACGGACACCGTGGCGTCCTCGTACGCCCTGCAGAGCTCCAGGAACCTCTCCTTGCGCTGCCACATGTCCTGCACGCCGCACGGGGCCCGCACGCGCCGCGCTCGGCTGGAGACACACTATGATGCCGCCATGACGACTTGCTCGGCGGGGCGGGTGCGGGGCTGCGTGCGGGGGGGTGGCGCTCACGTCCATGGCCCTGCGGTGCTCCTTGACCATCTTCGCGAGCTCCTGGATGCGCGAGTCCTTCGTGGCCTTGCCCTCTTGAATGCTGGTGAGCTGTCGCTTCCGCGCCCCTTGCCACTTCTCCAAGAACTGCGGATCGTCCCAGATGGCAGCTGCAGGAGACCAGGGGCCGGGGACGGTCGCAGCGGAGAGCGCCAGCAGCGCAGCGGGCGCTGTGTCGGCGCGGGAGGTGCCGCGGTGCCGTGCAGCTGCGACAGTGCGTCGTTCGCGGGGATGTGTGGGCCGGGCAGGGCGCGCACCTCCGAGTTCACGCAGCGACTTGTCGTTCGCGTTCGAGTTCAGGGAGTCGATCCTGCAGGCGGACACGGCGCGGGCACGGCTGGCGATCGTGGTTTCGTGCGCGAGGCTGGAGGGCAGCGCGGCCGGGCCGACACAGGCAGCCGCTCGCAGCGGAGCGGCACGTCGAGCGGACGAGCGTGCGCATCCTCCTTCGTTGGGGCGCGTGCCGGCGCACAGACGGGAGGGGCGAAACTCGCTGTGCAGGGCGTGCTGCTGGCCGTCGCGGTGCGACGCAGGCGCCGCGCTCACCTGGACTGCAGCGCGTCGAGGTTGCTCGCTCGGTCGTTGTCATGGGACATGGATATTCCGTGGCTCACGTTCGGCGAGGGCGGAGCTCCAGGCCTCGCAAGCCTCAGGTGGGCCTCTGGGCGGTGCGCTGGCTGCTCAGCGCCCTGGCCCTCGACCTCGCCACGCGCACGCTTCGCTGCGGCGTCAGAGTCGGCGCGCGCGTGGCCGTTCGGGGCGGAGACCGCCTCCTGCGCGCCTCTGGCGGGGGCCATCCTGGCTCCACGCTTGCGTGCAGCAGGCGACGCGTCCGCGGCATTGTGGTCCCCCAAAGGTTTCCTGACGGGCGACGCCCGCTCGTTCATTCCCGAATTCTCCATGGCGTGCGTCCAACCGCCCGCACGCCCAACGTCGAGCGAGCTCGGCGCGCTGTTGTTGACTCGCTAGGAAGACAGGTGGCTCCCGCGACTCCGGCCGCGTCCCCCCGACGCTCTCGAACGCTCGAACCGTCTCGCAGAGACAGGCGCGAGGCCGGGTACTGCCCCCCGGGGCCGCGCAGCGCGGGCAACGAGACGACCGCGCCCCCCCGGGCCAGCTGGCAGCTGGACGACTGAACGCAGGCGAGCGGGGGGGCGCCAGGAGCGCGCGGTGCGGCCCGATCGGAGCGCCGCCGCGCGTCGCCGGTGCACTCTGCGCAGACAGCAACCGGCCAGCACAACGCACAGCGCCGTCCCGTGCGGAGACTCGCGCGAGGGGCACGCGAAGAGGGTAGCGGACGCTTCCTGCGTCGGTGCGCTGGACCGCGGGCGCGACATGGAGCTTGACTGACGGTTTCCGACGGTATCGACAGCGTTGACGTAGAACCGGGGACTGGCTGGGCTTTCACGCCACCGCCCACGGCAGTTCGCCGCCCGAGAGCACCCGGCAGCACTCGGGCGCTGCGTGCGGCGGAACCGGCCTTCCGAGGCCGCCTGAAGCTGGCCGCGCATAGCTGAGGGACCGAGCGGTATGCTGCGGATAACCAGGATGGGCCTTGCGGCCCTGGCTGCGCTGTGTTTCCAGCTAACTGCCACAGCGCTGGCCATGCGCGCGCAGCAAAAGGTGGGCGCGGAGAACACCTTCATCCCGGCCGCCGCCGTCGTCGTCGGGGAGGCCATCAAGGCCGTCATGTCCGTCGTCGGCCTGTTCCTGTTCGAGGCCCAGCAGTACGTCCCCGCGGCCAAGGGGAAGCCCCAGCGGTCCACGGCCTACAAGGTCGCCCGCACCGCGCGGGTCCTCGCGAGCACCGCCCGGGACATGCTGATCCCCTCCTGCAGCTACACGCTCCAGAACATCCTCATCACGACCGCCTACACCACCCTCCCGCCGCTCCTCGCGCTCTCCACGCTCCAGGTGCGCCGGCGTCGCCCCGCCAGAGCTCCCGCCGCCCGCGCCGTGCGCACACACGCACACACACGTCGCGGACCCCCTCATCACGGCCCCGCAGATGAAGGTGATCAGCACGGCGTTCTTCGCGCGGCTGATGCTCAACCGGCGGTTGTCGTGGATGCAACTCCTGTCGCTCCCGATGGTCATGTCCGGCGTGATCCTCATGACGCTCGGGTCGCAGCGCGAGTCCGCGCACAAGGGCAGCGCCACCGTGTCGGGTGCGGCGCCCCGCACCATCACCGCGCCACGCACCGACGCAAGTTACGTCGCACCTGCTCGCCGCGACGAGAGCCCGGCCCCGCCCGTCCGCGCAGAGCTCGTGGTGGCGGAGGTGGCGATGGTGGCCGGCACGGCGCTGTCGGGCTTCGGCGGCACGTACGTCGAGCGGCAGGTGAAGGTGTACGGGCAGCGGGCGGGGATGTGGGTGCGCAACGTGCAGCTGTCCGTGCTCGGGACCGTGGCCGCGACCGCGGGGATGTACCTCAAGGACGGGGCGCGGGTCAGGGCCGGCGGGATGCTGCAGGGCTTCAGCATGTGGGCGTGGGCGGGCGTGGCGCTGTACGCCTGCAGCGGGATCATCACGAGCATGTGCGTCAAGCACGCCGACAACATCCTGAAGATCTTCGCGACCAGCTCGTCCATGGTGATCACAGGTGCGCATCGGGCCCTGGACGTCGCCCAGTCGCACCTATTCTGTCCCGCCAGTGCGCACCGCGGAGCAGCAGTGGCGGCGCCAAACGCGCCGGGCTGCGGCTGACGCGACCCCCCCCGAGTGCCGCTGCTCGCAGGGGTCCTCGCCTCGATGCTGTTCGGGGACGAGGTGGGCTCGCAGGGGTTGTTTGGGGGTCTATTGATCGTGTCAGCCATCACGCTGTACTCGAGCTTCCCGATCGCGCAGCCGGGCGCGGTCGACGACGCGAAGAAAGAGTCGTAGGCGGGAGCCGCGCGTCGCGGACCGCGCAGCGATCGTGTGAACGCGGTGGGCCATGACGTCGCCAAGGTGGAGGCTCGCCACGACTGCGCCCCGCGCTCACCTGTGGGGCATGACGATCTCGTCGCGCAGATGCGTGCGCTCGAGGCATGCCGCCCTTCGACCGGCATCGACGGTACCTGCGCACGGTATCTAGTCAACCCCCCCTACCCCCCCGCCCGAGCGCTGCAGCCTGAGGATGATCCCAGCGTCCCTCGGCTGCTCCACGTCGCGTGATGTGCGGACATGGTGGCCTTCTGCGCGACCGACGCGAGCTCGTGTTTATACCGTTGAATGCTGAAGGCATCTGATTCAGGACGGGTTGAGCGCAGCACCGAGCACACTGAGTGAGGCAGTCGTGGCGCGCTCTCACATGGTCTCCGCGATGGACCAGGTCGCCGCCTCTGTTGCGGGGTCCGTTTGCCCTAGCTCCCTGCTGTTGGGTCGTTGTGTTCTTGGCACGGTTCGTATGATGGCCCCCGTTCTGCTCCCGACCAGGGCATGTTCGCGCTCGCGCCGACCTAGTTCTCACGCACGTGGATCCGCGGGTAGCTTCGGCTGTTCGCCCGGACCAACGTATCCGTCCACATCTGCCCGTCGTTGCGCTGGACACGGACGTGCAAGTGCTCCAGCACCCTGTTCGTCTGCAGTGCCTCCTTCATGCATCGCGCGGTCTCGCTGCTGTTCTCCTGGGCGATGTCGAGACTCAGAATCAGGAGGTCCCTGTTGCTCTTCAGCGCGAGTGCTAGAAGGGAAGCGCCGTCGTCGTCAAGGCCAATGCGCTCCAATCTCAGGTACCTCAGAGCCCGATTGATGCGTAGGGCACCCGCGAGGACGCCGGCTCGGCACCTCAAAGCGGAAATGTTGAGGACGCGCAGCGTGGTGTTGCGTGCGAGCCCCGCTGCGAAGGACTGCATCCCGCGGAGCTCCACAGAGGTCAACCCATCCCCACCGAGCTCCAAGACCCTGAGTGTGGTGCTCCTCGAGAGCTCCTCGCAGATGGTCACGACTCCAGCGGAAGGAAACCTGTTCCACTCCATCTTGAAGAACTGCAGCTTGCTTCCCGCGACAGCCTGCAGCAGCCTCTCGACGGCCCGCGTCCCGAAGTCGGTTCCGGACACAAGGAAGATGCGCAGGGACGTGCTTCTCGCCAAGCCCTGCCCTAGATGCTCGGCTGCCGCATCCGACAGTCCTGCGCCGAGCAACCGGAGGTCCACCAGCGTGCTGCTCGCCGCCAGCATCGAAGAAATCGCTTCTGATCCGTTGTACATCTCTGCATTGAATATCCACAGCCGCTCCAGGGGCAGCGACGGATTGTTGGCGACAGCGAGGAAGACATCGGGTCCCAACAGCCTACAGTACTCGGAACTGCAGGAATCCATAACGAGCCGTCGCAGACTGTTGCTCTCTGCAACGAGGGACGCCAAGAACGGCTGGCCTGGAAATGCTGCGCCAGACGCTGTTGTTTCCGCATCGCACAATGCCGCATCGCAAAATGTCAGCTCGACGAGCTCGCTTCCGAAGGCAGCAAGAGCAAGCTTGGAGAGCGCTGCCTCAGACAAGCCGCGGCCCAGGTCCAAGCGCTCCACAGCGCCGCTCCCGTACGCAGCAAGCGCATCCACCGCACGTTCGCCGAGCACGTCGTCCAGTTCCAGCACCTTGACCGTCCCGCTCTGGCACACCGCCTTAGAGATGGCAACAGTGCCTCTCTTGGAACTGCCAGTCTCGAACATGCGAAGCTCTCGCAGGCTCGCTGAGCCATGCACTAGCCGCGCCACGGCCAGGTCGCCTTGCAGTCCGACCTTGCAGCCGCAGATGTCCAGCACCCGCAGCGAGCCCGCGTTGGCGGCGAGCGCGTCCAGCGCGCGCGTTGTAGCTGCCTCATCCAGACCGCAGCCGTGGAGGCAGATCTCCTCGATGTTGACACACACCGCTGGTATCTCGAGGGCAGACCAAAGGTCAGAGAATGACGCCAGTTGCTCAAGATGACGGGAGCCGGCGGTGGCACGCAGCCGGCGGATTCGCAACGGCGTCATGCCCGGGTACGTGGACGCCTCCAGCACGCTTGCGAGACCGCTGCACGAGGTCCGCATGTCCTCGTCGTCCGCGATCGCCTCCACTGCCGCATCGTACAGCGCCCGCACGTCCTGGACATCGATGAGCATGCTGCACCTGGAGTCGTCAATCATGACCGCCTGCACCTGGAGCTTCCCGACGTACGACGTCCCAGCGCGGACACGCCGTGCCAGACCACGCATCAGACCGTCGACGCTTTTGAGCTTCAGGACGGGTGCCACGATCCGCTCCTCTTCCACACAAATCCGATGTTCGTACAGGGCCTCTGCCCAATCATCCGCGTCAAGCGAGCCTCCAGAACCAGCACGTACCCACTTCACGTCTGCGCGGGTACCAGCGCGTTCCCACTCCACGTCGCCCCGCACCACTCGCCATCCGTGCCTCAGCAGCGTCAGCAGCCCCGCCCAGCACGTCGCGGCCACATTGATCGCCGACCGCTGCGGGAGCCGGTCGAGGATCTGAGGGCCCACTTGGAGCAGCACCGCCTGGAACAGTACATGTGACGACACCCGCGCCGGCCTCGCGGCCGCCTGCGAGACGCCCGCGCCGAGGTCGACCTGCGCCTGCGACGGCTTCCGCCCGAACACGCGCCCGCACCACGACCGCATCCACGCCAGCATCCCGCGGTTACCAGCTAAGACCTGCGCGCATGGACATCAGATCCCACATGTCTGGGCCTCGTCGCAGGCGACCAAAGCTTCGGGACAGATCACGAGCTCCTCGACACAGCCGCGCGACCCCGGCGTTGCTCCCGCATGATCGCACGCGTCGATCGTATATCGGTCGTCAGAGCAGCGGACACCACGTCAAGCAGCGCGAGAGCGTCAGGATCCCGCTGTCAAGTCTAGGCAAGGAAACGCGTCGTCGCCGCCGACCGCAACGTCGGGCGCTTGACAGAGGCTTCGTCAGCACGCGGTCTGCGTGCCGTCGTTCAGGCTTTCGGTGGCTGTGCTCACCTCGCCACGCGGCGCTCCGATGCCCGACGTGGGCGCGTCCTTGATCATGATGGCTGGGAGGTATTGTGCCCCGCGGCGGCCGCTTAGGGGCGCGAAAGCGGCACCCGCGCGCTCGCTGGACCGCCCGAGCGGCCGACATTGGAGGTTTCGAAAACACCTCCCGCCCGCTGACGCTGGGGGGATGGGCGCGGTCTTCGCGTGTATTGCGACGACGACGCCACGCTCGAGGTCCTGAGCACCTCGAACATCTTGTCAAGGCCAAGCATCCGCGCTGCTCACGCACATGCAAGTTCGCGCGGTGTGTGTTCCCCTGTCGACGTGCGTCGGCCGCAGAGAGCTGCTGGGGTGCTACGCGACTGTGTAGTGGATGCGGACGTACAGCGAGCAGCTCCCGCACTGCACGAGCAGGTTGCTCGCGTCGGGCTGCAGGTCGCTCTCCGCCACCTCGAAACAGTCGCCGCACCGGCACGGACTGCGCCACACGGCCGCCCCGCCCTCCACCGCCTCGTCCATCTCGTCCAGGTCCAGCTCGTCGGAAACTGCGCGCGCGACGCGGTCGTGCTGTGCGCTGTGCAGTTGTGATTCCTCGACTGGGAAAACCACACAATCTGTCGCGTCTGTCGGGGAACGAGCCGCCGGCGCGGGGTGCGTACCTGCGACGTCTTCCCTCCTCCGTTCGGACCTGAGCTCCTTGTCGTACGCGGCCCTCCTGTCCGCGTCCCGGAGCACTTCGTACGCCGCCTGTGCAGAAAGGAACCGCGCGGCCACGTCCTCGTCGGCCCCCGCCTTGTCCGGATGGCACCTGAGGGCGATGTCCTGAAAGGCTCTCCGTATCTCGTCAGCACTGGCTGTCTCGGGCACCTGGAGCGCGGCGTAGTGGCTCATTCGGCCCCCAACAAGATGCGCCGCCCTGCAGGCTGCATGTGCCTATCACCACGGCCCGTTGACCGCAGTCGATGCCGCGAGACGTAGGGACCAAGTTTCAGCCCTCGTCACTCGCAGCGCGCCCCGCAACTCGCTGGTGCGTCGCTGTCGAGTATCACTCCTCGGCCAAGCCGGCGTCTGTCGATGTGTGACGGTGACGAGAAGACATGTAGCCTGGGAAGAGACGAGACGTCGACAGTGGGGCCACGCGGGTTCGGGCCGACCCTACGGTGCCCGGACCAGCCTGCGGCGCGGACGCAAGAGGCGTGTTTGGGGTAGTCCCGCGCAGCGGCGTTCGCGGTCTCCTGCTCCTACTCTTCTGGGCCGGACGCGATGCCACACGCTCACTGTTGGCGGCGCCTTGCCTGAATCGGCGCGGGAACCACCGGTGTTCACGCAGAGGGCGAGCGTGCTAGCAACGGAGCAGCCGGCAGCGCCGTGCGCGTCTATACACGTGTTGCGCCGAATCAACTATTCCGTACATTGATTCTTCATATCACGCAACGTCGTTTTCTGCGCCAAGGAGCGCTCCTCTTCACAAGGAGGCGGCGGGGACCGGGCGTCCCCCTCTTGTGCACCTGGGCTCGTCCCGGAGGCTGGGGCTCGCGCGGCATGGCGCTGAAGCTGCAGGCCGCCGACGGCGTCAAGGTCTATTGCGTGTCGGGCGGAAAAAAGCTTCCGGACTGGGTCAACGAGAAGAAACGACAGGTCCGTTTGGCACCAGCGCCGCTGCCCCTCGCTCCCGCCGCGCCGCTCCGAGATTCTCCCCCGTCGGCCCATCCGCCGCGGTCCACGCTGTAGCGTCCCGGGAGCGTGTCTGCGTCCCAGCGTTTCCGCCCCGCAGAAGACCGTGAAGAAGGATGAGGAGCTGCGGCGTCGCATCGACCTCATTCAGGACCTCAGCTTCCCGGCGAGCTGCCAGCGCGTCAAGGCCTCGCGCGACGGGGACTACCTCGCCGCCGCGGGCGTCCACCCGCCGCAGCTCAAGGTGTACGAGCTCGGCCAGCTGTCGATGAAGTTCAAGAGGCACCTGGACTCGGAAATCGTCGACTTCCAGCTCCTCGAAGACGACTACGGGAAAATGGCCATCCTCTGCGCCGACCGCTCCGTCCAGTTCCACGCCAAGTACGGCAAGCACTACGCCACGCGCTTCCCCCGCCAGGGACGCGATCTCACCTACCTCCCCTTCTTAGCAGGTGCGAACAACAAAAACAAAAACAAACAAACAAACAAACACATCAAACATCACCCCCCCCGCCCCGCTTCTCCCCGCCCGGGCGCCCGTGAGACCGGCGAGGCACTCTTCGCGCGCCGTGCAGACCTCGTCGTCGTCGGGAGCGCCCCCGAGGTGTACCGGCTGTCGCTCTCCGAGGGGCGGTTCCTCACTCCGCTGCCGTCGCGGTCGCCGGCGATCAACGCGTGCGGCTGGTCGGGCGCGCACGGCCTCCTGGCGTGCGCGGGCGAGGACGGCGCGCTCGAGTGCTTCGACCCGCGCGCGCCCCGCGCCGTGGGCTGCCTGGACGCGGCGGCGGCGAGCGGCGCATCGGGCGCGCAGCTGACCGCGCTGCGGTTCGACGCGTCCGGCATGCGCGTGGCGACGGGCACGTCGACGGGCCTGGTGTCGGTGTTCGACCTGCGTTCGAGCAAGCCCGTGGTCACCCGCGACCACATGTACGGCGAGCCAATCATAGACATCAAGTGGCACGAGCACGGCGCGGACGACGAGCGCGGCGCGGTCGGCAGCGGGCGGCGCATCGTGTCGACCGACGCGCGCATCTGCAAGATCTGGGACGCCTCGGACGGGTCCCCGTTCACCAGCATTCAGCCCGCGGACAAGTCCGGCGACGTGCAGGACTGCTGCGTGTTCGCGCGGAGCGGCCTGGTGATGCTCGCGTGCGACTCCTCGCTCGTGCAGTCGTTCTTCGTCCCGTCGCTCGGCCCCGCGCCGCCGTGGTGCAGCTTCCTGGAGGCGCTCACCGAGGAGCTCGAGGAGACCGCGGCGCCGACGCTGTACGACGACTACCGCTTCGTGACGCGCGCCGAGGTCAAGCGGCTCGGGCTCGCGCACCTCGTGGGCACGTCGCTCCTCCGGGCGTACCTGCACGGGTTCTTCGTCGACAACCGCCTGTACCACAAAGCGACCAACCTCGCCAACCCATTCGCGTACGAAGAGTACAGGCAAGCGCCCCACGCGATGACTCTCGGATGCGCGGAGGGGCCGTCCCGGCCCGGGAAACGGTCTCGCCTCCCGTTTTTGTTGTTGATCTCTCTGGTTCAGCTGACAGGCGTCCGTGGCGTGTCCCTGTGCAGGAAGAAGCGGGTGCAGGAGAAGCTGGACGCCGAGCGCAAGAGCCGCATCTCGGTGGTGCGCAAGCTGCCGAAGGTCAACGCCAAGGTGGCGGCGCGCGCCATGGCCGCGCAGGGCAAGCAGCGCGCGGAGGGCGACGCGGCGGAGGGCGCGGCGCCGAACGTGCTGGAGGACGACCGGTTCGCGGCGATGTTCCAGGACCCCGACTTCGCGGTGGACGAGGAGTCGAAGGAGTACCAACTGCTGCACCCTGGAAAGAAGGGGTCTGCGCGCGCGGAGGCGGAGGACGCGCTGCTGGAGGAGCACTTCCAGGAGCTGTCGAGCGAGGAAGACGCACCGGAGGACGAGCGACGCTGGGCGAAGGAACGCAAGGTGCGCGCGTGGAAGAGCACGTGCCAGTTGCTACGTTGTTGGCTGCTTTCGTCCATCACGATTCTTGGTTGGTTGTTCTTGCGCCGACCGACTCGGTCGGCGCGCGCGCTCGTACGTGGTGCAGAGCGGCGTGCCGCGGATGCTCGTGGCGAAGGAGGACGCGAACGTGGACGCGTTCCGCGCGGGCCGGTCGCTGGCGGCGGAGCGGGAGGTGGCGCTGGAGGACAGGTTGGCTCAGGAGGGACGGGACGTGCAGCGGCGGGTGGCGCGCGGCGGGGCGCAGGAGATGACGTTCACCATCGGGGGGAAGGGCGAGGGTGCGGACGGCGCTGGCGGGGCGGCCGCGAAGCGCGCAGGGGGCAAGAAGAAGTCGCGGAGAGGGCGATGACGCGCAGCTGGCGTGCTTGTGACCGCGCAGGTGCTGGCGCGTGTCGATGTGCGCATGCTCACAGGGCTTGGAGTCGTGCTGCGCGGTTCCTCAACAAACAAAGTAGAGACGGTGAGCTTTCCGTCGTGATTCTTGTGTACAAAAGGAGCGCTCGAGCTGGGCGTTGTCCGTAGCCGTGGCCTCACAGCCAGCCTTCGTAGTCCATGGAGAAGCCGGGGTCGTGCTCGCCGATCTCGGGCGGAGCGCGGTTCCTGCGACGGCTGCCGCCGTGCGCTGCCGAGCTGCCCGCCGCTTGCGCCACGACGCGCTCAACCTCCTGCTGAGAGACGCCGAAGCCCTCCGCGGCGGGGTCGTGCGGGTCGAGCACCACGCCGGGGCCCGCGGCGACCTGCGGCGCGGCCGCTTGCTGCGGCGCGGCCGTCTGCTCGCTCAGGCGGTGCGCGTGCGCCGCGGCGCGGCGCCGGTCCCGGCCGGCGATGCGGCGCGCAGACACCGGGTCCAGGTCCGCCCAGAGCGGAACGTCGCCGGCCTCGGCGCGCAGAGTCGCCTCGTCAGGCTGCAGGAGAAGGAGGGGGAGCAAAAACCAACGGACATGAGCAACGCCTGTTGGATGACGACATACCGGGACGCGCTCGCGCGCACGATCTCTCGCACCTCGTCGAACTTGATCGGGGGCACCTGGCTGCCCTGCAGGACCTTGCCGCCCATCTGCGCCACCACGTTGTGGTCCTCGCGCCCCTTCGCGCCGTTCCTCTCGATCTTGTTGCACGGCCGCAGCACCACCTGCCCGCCCAAGCACGCCTCCACGCCCGCCTCCCCGTTGTGGCGCACCTCCGCCCCGATCAAGTCCACCGCAGACCCGTTCCCCGTGGCCTGCGCGCCGAACGTCGAGTTGGCGTACAGCGCGCCGCCCTCGATGAGCGCCTCGGCGCCGTTCGCGGCCACCACCCCGGCCTCGTTGCCGTCCACCGCCACGTCGGTCAGACGCACGATGCTCCCCGTGCCGTGCGCCAGCACCGCCGCCCCCGTCGTGCGCGTGACGCGGCTCAGGACCATGTACGCCGCGGCGCCCCCCGCGGCCTCCACGCCGTGCCACGCGGTCTGCGCGCCGTCGATGCAGGTCCGGTGCAGCGTCACCACCGACCCCGGCTCGACGTACACGGCGACGGGGCCGCCCTCGTCGCCGCCGGCCTCCACGCACGCCTCCATGGGGTAGTCGATGGTGACGTTGTCGAACACGGCGCCGGCACCCTCGCGCGTGACGTGCACGGCGGCGATCTTCGGCCCGATGCTCGCGGGGCGCTCCGGGATGGCGAGCACGCCGCCGAAGCCGCGGAGGGTCCCGTTCTTGATGACGCACGGCTTGGTGATCTGCACGCGGGCGGGCGCGGCGGCGTGGCCGTGGCTCGGGTCCGACGCACCGTGCGCGGGAGGTTGTGCGTGCAAAGAGGTTGGGGTTGGAAACACGCACCTTGAGAACGGGTCCCAGGGCGCAAGGGTTGCCGCCGTAGAACGAGATGTTCTCGGACTCCTTCTCGCACTGGCCGTCCACGACGCGGCCGTCGAGGTCGATGACGCTCCTGCACACACACAGCAGTGAGAGCACTCACGGCCCGTGGTTTGCGGATGCGGCCGGCGGTGCAGCCCCTGGAGCATCAGTCAGGCGAGGCGCTGGAACGCAGGTGTCGACCGCCGCCGTCTGCGCGCCTATGCCAGCGCGGAGGTCGGTCGAGCCACAGGCGGTTGGCAGGCCAGCCGGAGGCCCACCTCCCGCACCAGCGAGGCGCCGACGGCCGCTGGTCGCGTCCCCAATGCACTTGTGACTACAACTCGAGTGCAGCGCGACGCAGGAGGCGCGTTCATCGGGCGCTGACCGTGCGCGAGCTGCGTCCGTTCGTCCTCTCTAGCACGGGGATAGCAGGGCGCGCGGAGGGGTCGTCTGACAGGGGTTACCTCGACCGAGCACCACTCACCTCCCAGCAGACGGCTCGAGGGCCTCGTCGACCAGACGTTGGAGGTCCTCCACCATCATCATGCCCTTGGGGACGTCAGCGCTGCCTCGGGTGCGGTACCGCGCCGCGACGTTCCGGCGCTGCGCTCCCGACCGCGCCAGTGCCCGCGTCGACCGATAGCCTTTGCGCCCATCGCGCTGGCAGGTCGCCGGCCTCCGGCACGCCGTAGACGCTGCGATCATCCTGCGAGGGGCGATGCTTGGCAAGAAGCGACCCGCGTGCTCAGGTACCTGGCGGCGAGTAGCGGCCAAACTGGACGCGTTCGACGCAGTTGCCGGTCCTCCTCCGGCCGCGGGCCCTCGAGGCGTCCCAGGCCCGCCGCGCGGCACCAGGCACCCCCCGCCACCCGCACCACATCAACCGACAGCCAGATCCCGCCCTGCGGCCGCCCGAGCCCCTCCGGACCACACACCCGACGCCCGCGCACGAGCACGGCACCACACAGCTCCAACCACGGCGTCACAAGCACGTCGCAACTTTTCGCGCACGTCAAGTTGGGCAGCAACCAACGGCTTACGTGCAGCGTCCCCTCACTCTGGGGGCTCGCCGACGTGCCGGCTGGTCGGCGTCGGGGGATCGCCGTACGTGTGCGAGTCGTACTGCGCCGGCCGCGACCCGATGGACTCGCTCGGCGCCTGCACGTGCCTCCCGACGGTTTCGCGCGTGGCCTCCGTCGCCGGCGACGCCGACATCTCAGACGCGGCCGGCTGCACGTGCGCGTACGGCGTGTGGCCCGGGGGGCCCGCCTGCATCGTGGGCGTGCTGTCGCCGACCCCCGACGGGCCCGCAACGTCCTCCCGGTACGTCGTAGGAAACCCCGGCGTCTGGGGCAGGACGGGCGTGGCCATGTCCGACACGGTCCGCGTCGCCCCGCCTTGCGGCGCTGCGCGGGGAGGGGCGGAGCAGGGCGGTCGGCGCGGCGCGTCGCGGGGCGAGGCGGGCCGCTGCGCAGGCAGAGAGGCGGCGTGGTGGGGCGATGGCTGGCGTGCTGTGGCTCTCTCACCTTGGCCTGGAGTGCGGAAGTAGTTGGACCGGGCGTCGTCGTACATCGGGTTGGACACCGCCGACATCTGCTGCGTCAGGTCGTCCACGCGCCCCGTCAGCGTGTCCTGCTGGTCCTTGAGCCGCCGCACCAGACGCATGGTGTTCATCGCGTCCCCGATGATCGTGCCGCGGTCCGCCTCCGGGACCTGGTCCACGAAGTGCTTGGCTTGCATCGCGGGCGCCTCGACGGCCTTCAGGCGCTTCTTGAGCTCCCCAAACTTCGTCGCCAAGCTTGCGACGTTCCTCGTGGCCCGCTCGGCCTCCGTCCTCGCCCTGTCGACGTCCTCCGCCCTGGCCGACGCATCGGCGCGTTCCCGCAGCGCGCGCACGCTCACCTCCAGCCTGGCGAAGTCGTCCCGCGTGACGGCGTGAGGACTGCCCTCCAGCGTGCCGCGGAGCGCGTCCAGGTCCCGCCGCAACGCCGCGACGTCGTCCGCCACGCCCGCCGACCCCTCCGCCACTTGCATCGCCCCCTCCACGCCCTCGCGCATGTCGGCCACGGTCCCCGACACCTGACTCAGCTCCCCCTGCAGTCCCTCCACCAGCCCGCGCAGCTCCGCGACCTCCTCCGCCCCCGCAGCCGCGGACGCGCCGCGCTCCAGCTCCTGCAGACGCCCGTCCAGGCGCGCCTCGGCCGCCCGCAGCGCCCCGCCGATTTGCGACACCTGCGCTGCAGCCCGGTCCGCAGCATCGCGCGCCCCCAGCACCTGCTGCAGCGCCCCGCCCGCGATGTCCTTGGCCTCCTTGAGCTCCCTCCCGACCTCCTTCGTCCACTCCTCGGTCGCGCGGTGCGCCTCCGCCACCGCCGTCCGCACCTCCCCGCGCATCGCGTCACGCAGACGCGTCTCGACGCCCTCCGCGGCCGCCTGCGCCTCGGCCGCCACACGCGCGAGCTTCTCGCCCTCGCCCTGCAGCGCGCTGCTCACCTCCCGCGCCACCAACGCCGACACCTCCTCGCGGGACGGCGCCGCCGCCGCCTGTTCCGCCAACTCGCGGAGCTTCGTCTCGAGCGCGCCGATCGCGTCCGCCGCCCCCTTCGCCCGGTCCTCCACCTCGCGCATCACCGCGTCCTTCAGCGCGCCGTTCCCAGCCTCCGCGTCAACGCCCGCCTGCTGGATCTTCCCCTCCAGCTCCGTCCTCAGCGAGGCGACCGCTGCGCGCACCTCCTCCGACGAGGCCGCCGCCCCGAGCTCCAGGTCCAGCCTGCCCTTGAGCGCGTCGAGGTCCGCACGCAGCGCACCCTCTGCCGCCGGGTCGCCGGCCTTGGCGGCCTCGCGCACGGCCTGCTCGAGCGCCTCCTTCGCCTCCGCACGCAGCGCCTCCCCGAGCTTATTGGTTGCGTCGGACGCCTCCTTCTTCGCGCTGGCGACCGCGGCGTCGAGCTCCTCCCTCAGCGCCTTCGTATTCTCCGATGCCTCCTTCTTCGCGTCGGCGACCGCAGCTTCAAGCTCCATCTTCTGCTCCTTCATGGCGTCCGCCGCCTCCTTCTTCGCGCCCTCGATGGCGGCGTCGACGCTCTCCTTCTGCTCCTTCATGGCGTCCGCCGCCTCCTTCTTCGCGCCCTCGATGGCGGCGTCGACGCTCTCCTTCTGCTCCTTCATGGCGTCCGCCGCCTCCTTCTTCGCGCCCTCGATCGCGGCGTCGACGCTCTCCTTCTGCTCCTTCATGGCGTCCGCCGCCTCCTTCTTCGCGCCCTCGATCGCGGCGTCGACGCTCTCCTTCTGCGTCTTCGCCTCCTCACGCAGCGCGTCGCCGAGCGCCTCGGTCGCGTCCGCCGCCTCCTTCCTCGCGCCCTCGATGGCGGCGTCGACGTTCTCCTTCTGCGTCTTCGCCTCCTCACGCAGGGCCTTCCCGAGCGCCTCGGTCGCGTCCGCCGCCTCCTTCTTCGCGCCCTCGATCGCGGCGTCGACGCTCTCCTTCTGCGTCTTCGCCTCCTCACGCAGGGCCTTCCCGAGCGCCTCGGTCGCGTCCGCCGCCTCCTTCTTCGCGTCGGCGATCGCGGCGTCCACCTCCGCCCTCTGCGTCTTCGCCTCCCCACGCAGCGCGTCGCCGAGCGCCTCGGTGGCGTCCGCCGCCTCCTTCTTCGCGCCCTCGATGCTCTCCTTGAGCTCCGCGCGCAGGGCCTCCTCGAGCGCCTTGATGGCGTCTCGCGCCGCCGCCAGTTGGTCCCCCATGTCGCTGAGCTGCGCCCTGCACACCGACACGCGACAGGCGCGCAGGAGCGGTGACGAAGAGAGTGCGGGAGGCGGGCCCGGTCCGGCGCCCGCCGGCCACCGGCGCGTGCTGACCAGCGATGGCGGTGTGGGGGCGCTGGCCGACGGTCGCTCCTGACGCGACGTGCCGCAGGTCTGGGGCGACGCGTGCGGCGCTGTGTTCCGTCTCCATCGTTCCGGCGGGCTGCGCGCACCTGTTGTTGTGGATTTCGTCGCGCACGGCCTGCTTGGTCTCCCTGGTCATGCGAGCTGCGTCGTTGTTGGCGTTGCGGATCTCGCCCGCGAGATCCTCGAGGTTAAAGAGCGCTTCGGCAAGGTGGGCGTCCTGCCTGCGGGGTCGTCGCGGCACGGAACGCCCGCGTCAGGAAGCCTCGCGCGCACCCTTCTCAAGCAGCAGGCTGGCTGGCTGGCCGTGCGCTGCGGCGCCTTCGCGGCCACATTGCATCGTGCAGGCGCCGCATACGTACGAGCAACACGTTGGGGCGGCCCGCACCCCGTGAGACGGCCGTTGATCGCCGTATGGATGCTCTCCTGCGCCCGGGTCAGTTCCGCGCCCAGCCAGTCCTTCAGCCACGCAGGGTCCGCCCCGGCCTGCGCCAGCACCTGCCGGACGCTCCTCGGGCTCCTGCCGACGGAGCTCGGCGTGGGCTGCGCGGGCGGCGGCGAGGGCCGCTCCTCGCTGAGGACGCGCCGCACGATCTCGCGCACGCGCTCCTCCGCGACGCCCGGCGGCGCGGGCGTGACGGGCGTGACGCTCGCGGCCCGCCCGATCGCCGCGCCGCGCGCTCCGTCCGGCCCGGTCTCCAGGTGCCGGCAAAACTGCTCGAGGCTGCTCCTCAGCGCCGACGGTGCCCGGGCCGCGACGGCGTTGCACAGGAAGGCCAGCAGCTTCGGCTCGACGAACAGGACCGCGACGAACGAGGCCGCGACGAGCAGCACGGAGGCCAGGCACAGCGCCGGGAGCAGCGCGAGGAACGCGGCGCTCGGCCGCACCAGAGCGGCGAGCCACACGCCCATGGCCCCGAACGCCCCCAGCGTGAACGCGAGGCCGCTCACGCCCACCGACTGCGTTCACGACACAAACGTCGAGCGGCTCAGACGGCTCCGCGGACGATTCTGCGCACACAGACGACCCCCGCGCGAATCGCTGGCGGTGAGCGGGGAGGGCGCGGGACGCTCACCGCGTCGCCCGGGGCGGGGGTCATGCCCGGGCGCGGCGTGACGAAGGACGCCTGTGTCGGCGTGCGATGGTCCATGGTCCGCGCGCCCGTCTCGTCGTCGCGCCGGCGGAGCAAGCACGCAGCGTGTGCACTCACCAACCCCCACGGATGGGCGCTGCAGCCTCTACGCCGCGGGCGCCGCTGACAGGACAGCACCGGATCAGTGCATGCGTGCGCGCGTCGCGCTGCGACCCCATGAGGCCCGGGACGGGGCACGAATCGCAACACACAACCATCGCAACTCCCCCCCCCTCCCCCTCGAGTCAGCACCTGCCACCTTGCCCGGACACCACGGCGCCGCGATGCCAGAGTCGCCGCCGGGCGCGTGTGCTCCGCGGCGCGACGCGCGGGCGACGCCCCTGCCGCCGTAGCCGCGGCGACCCTGTCACAGCACAGTCCGGAACGAGCAGTGGCCGACTAGTTGCAGCGTCGCGAACAGGCGCCCTCTCTCGTGCGGGACGGCGCGCCGGGTGCGTGCCGCGCGACGGCGCCCGTGGGACGGCGGTGACACATGATGGTGAGCAAGGAGGCAAAGATCGCGGGCACGTGGCGCGCGCTGCTGATCCCGCGCCCGCGCGCGAGGAGCGAATCCACTCGCGCAGGTTTGCGGCTGACGCCTTGGGCCTGCTGCGTGCGGACGACTCACCGGTGCTGCTACAGCCAGACGCCCAACTAAAACTCTCCCCCGGCTCGCTGGCGGGCCGCCTGAGGCGCCCGGCCTCTCATGGGGGCGGCGGGCCGTCTTACAAGCGCTACTTTGTTGCGGTGACGGAGACGAAGACGCACTAGGTACGCGTTCGCGCGCTGCCGGCCCGGCACCGAGCGCCCTGCAGCGCACGTTCGCGCCGTCCATCTTTTCGGATCGACCGCCAAGGCCGCTCGTCCGACATGCGCATGCCGCTACGTGCGACGCCGGGCCGCGGCGGGCCGCGGCGTGCCCGCTGGAGCGGAGGCGCCCCAAGGGCACCTGGCGCGTCATGCCCGTCCAGCGGCGCCGCAGCCCGCTGGCCTCTCGATCCCCCGCCACCGATCGACCCCCTGGCTCGATTACCAGGAGAATTCGCGCGCTGCGGGGCGCACCAGCGCGCACCCAGCCCGTAGCGGGGCAACCGCTGTCTCCGCCTGCGCCCCAACCTGCCGGCGCGTGCGCCGCCCTTAGTTGTGCGCCTCCTCGCCGCCCGCGGCTCTCTGATGATCTGATTTCGGCCCCGGGGGACGAGCCCTCGCCGGTACCGTGCCGGCGGCGCCGATGCGGCGATCAAACCTCCGAAGGCCTGCCACGTCGCCCTGCGCGCACGCGGGCACTTTCGAGGCGTTCCCGTGCGGTCTGCTGCGTTTTCAGCTATGCGGCCGCTCGCCGGCGCGCACACCACGACGCCTTTCGCGCCTGACGCGCGGCGTCGAGACCAACCGCTCGACCCTGCCTAGCCGGCGATTCCCAACAGCGCGTCACCCCTCCGTTCCCACGGCCTTGCTGTTGCGCAGACATCATGGCGGCGATTGCGTACCTGTGCCCCTCGGGCCTCGGCACCGCCGGTGTCGGCAAGTACTGCGAGAACACCCTGGACTGCCTCAAGAACCTGTGCAGCTCCGACCAGGGCGGCGACTGGGAGTCGGGCCTGTGCGGCTGCTTCAACGACATCGGCATCTGCTGCTGCGTCTACCTGTGCGGCCCGTGCACCTACTGCCACACCGCGGCCGACGCCCACGGTGAGTTTGAGAGCGCGGACTGCCAGGCCCTCTGCATGGCGCGTTCGCAACCCCGCCGGAGGGCTCCCGCGACCCCGCGTGCGCTCAAAGAACGCTCGGACGCCCGTGCGGTGCAGACATCACGTGCGGCGAGGCCTGCCTGGGCCTCTGCGTGTGCTCGTTCATTGGGTGCACGTTCTGCGCGGCGGTGGCCGATCGCCGCAAGCTGCGTCAGAAGTACAACATCAAGGGCTCTACGATTGCTGACTGCCTGGCGGTCGCCTGCTGTCCGATCTGCGCGTGAGTGATCCCGGCGATTCGCCCCCCCTGCACCTGGAACTCCATCGCGCCCTGCAACACCTGCTTTGAACGCCCCGACTGCTTTCTGATGCAGGCCCCCGCTCCCACTGCAGCCCGCTCCGCAGCATCCTTCAGACCGCCGATTCGCATTTGTTTTTGTTCGCTGTGCAGTCAGTGCCAGGAGGCCTACCAGACGGTGCACAAGGGCTCGCACGAGTGCCCGTGCTCCGGCGCCAAGACGTCCGCCCCGGGTGGCCAGGCCATGAAGTAAGCGGCACGCGCATCCTGGACCAGGGCGACCCGGCTCTCATTGATGCCGCTGGCGGCGACTAGCACTGCGCCTTGCACGATCCGTACGTCGCACGTGTGTGATAACATGACGTACCGCGCGACGTTGTGCCGGCGGCCGCTGTCATGGCCGCTCCCGCTCGCTGCCCGATGCCCGCGCCCACGCGTGCGTCCAGCTCGTCGCTCGCATCGGGGAACTGCGCCGTCCTCTTGCCGGTGCAACGACAGCCCCTGCACTGCAAGTTTAGGCGAGACCTGCACGAGCATGCGCGGCACACCGCAGCGCTGCGACAGGGGTAGCAGAGGCAGTTGCAGGTGCGCGGAGTGGCCGATCGCAAGCGCGCAGGAAATGATGTGTGTGGCACGTGTCCATGCTCGGGCGCGGGACTAGGTCGACCCCATCCCGGAGCACGAGCGCAACAGCCTTGCCGCGAGCCGCGACACCGCGGCCGCGCTGAGCCGCGCCCTCGGCGGGCACGCCACGCCCGAAAGATGCGACAGTGGCGGGCGCGGGTCGCCGAGGGCGCGCTCCGGCGCGGGCGCGTCCAGCAGCAGGTCCGCTGTACGTGCCGTGGTCGAGCAGGGCTGCGAGTCGGACGAGAGCTTGGCGCTCGGCAGCGTTTGGAGCTGGCACAGTGGAAAGCATTCCGCCGCACCCACGCGCAGCGCCACCTCGCCTCGCTTCTCGGCCGGCAGCCCCTGCGTGCAACTGAGCGGCCCCGTCCGCCCCGCGCGCCCTATCCGGCCCGCTCCGCCCCGTCCTCCAGCCCGCCGCCCTGCAACACCCTACACACGTCAGTCGGGCGCCCCGCCACGCCTGTCTGCACCGCCGCCGAGCGCGTCGCCGATGCCGGGCAGCTCTCGGCCTGCGCTGGCTCGGCGGTGGAGGGCGGTGTCGCCCTTCACGGCGTGCTGTGCCTGAGGTATAACATACCTCGCCTGTGCAGCCCCTGCACCTCCTCGCTGGCGTGCCGCCGCGAACCACCGCCACCGTGCTGTCTCTTGTCCCGCCTCGGCGCGACCGCTGAGCGGCCGAGTTGGGCGCCGTCCCGTATGGCTGACTGACTCAGGCCTCAGGCCGATCGACCGTGTCTGACACCGAGCTAAGCTCAGCTCGCTTCGAGCGGCGTGGTGGACGTTGGGCGGCGCGGGCACGTGCGGGTGGTCAGTATGCGCGTCGCGGTGCAGCGGCGCAACCGCGTTGATCCCTCGAACACCTCTGTGCTGAGGAGCAGTGTGCTTTGCGGACGGAGGGGGCGGTCGCAGCGAGGCGTGCGGTGGTGTGACGGATCTTGTGAGTGCTGAAGGTGCGTGCCATTGTACAACGGTGTGTGCGTACGAGCGGCGGTGTACGGGGCGGGGGGCGCCGGGCGCCGGGCGGCGTGGCAACACCTTCCCAGCCCGCGATGGGAGGGGCGGTGAAGCGATGTTTTGATGTCCAAAGCACTGATAGATGTTGGAGAGATCGAACCGCGACGTTTCGTGAGCAGGGAGGCGCTGTGCGCGGGCTCACGAGGCGGTCCCTGGCAGTTGCCCAGAGGGGCGCGCGGTGGGCCGTTGCGCTTGCGTCGTTGCGTTGTGCTAGCAGCCGCGTCGGCGGCGGGCGCGAGGCGGAGGTGATGATCGTGTGCGACGGTGGCGTGCGACGCAGGAAGCGGGAGTGTTCGCGGCAGGAAGGCCAGAAAACATAATATTATATATTATATATTCACCACATGAATAATGGGGGCCAACACACGAAGCGACACCAGGTGCGCACAACACTCCAGCTGACCGCACACGCTGCGGTATGTCAGGCTCCGGCTGCGGGCGGGGCGGCCTGAGCACGCTGAGGCATCGGTCCCGTCACGGGTCGGCTGTGCAGGTACCCGGTGAGCCTGTCGCTGTTGAACTGTGATGTGCTATCAAGAATAGTGACGCGGTACCTGGACAACGCGGGGCGCGCGGCGCTGGCGGCGACGTCGTCGGCGTGGATGGCACAGGTGATGGAGGCTGCGGACGAAGCCACATGGAAGCCAGAGAGCGTCTGTGTCGCTCGCAGTGTGGCGGAGCGGCTGTGCGCGCAGAGCATCAGCGGGGCGACGCGGTCGACGGTGGAGTGGGTGGATGGAGCGGTCAGAAAATGGACGCGGGCGGGCGCTGCGCTGGACGATGCGTCGGCGGTGGTTGCAGTGCGTTGTTGCGACGACAGGCATGACGCATCGAACGTCGTCACTGCGGAGATGACGGGGCTGGAGCGCGTCTCGATCGAACGTCATTGGTCGTGCCGCGTCGGGCCCAATCTCATGTCTGACGCGTGGCTGCCAGAGAGTGCTCGACCACGGCTGCGGCAACTGACAGTTAGCGGCAACAACCTGAAGCGCATACCGTCCGGGCTGATATCGCTCGAGCAGCTGGACGTCAGCGGATGTCGGCAACTCGCGACGGGCGACACGTGGCTGCCGGTCAGCTCGGCGGCCATGCTCAAGGAGCTGGACGCCTTACGTACGAACGTGACGCGCTTCCCTCCGGACATGGCCTGCCTCGAGAAGCTGCACGCACCACACATCGGCGGCGAGGAGTGGCTGCCGGCGAGCTCGGCGAGGAGCATCACGGTGCTGCGGATGGGGGCGCTCAACAAGCTGCCGCAAGGCCTGGACGCACTTGAGGAGCTGTTGGTTCACTATGGCACACCTGAGCCCTTTTCGGGCGGCGGAGGGACGCATCTGGACGAGGCATATTTCGCGCCGCTGGCCGGCGATCGGCTGAAAGTCCTCGACCTGGAGAAAACCCGGGTGAGCGTCAATCGCATCCCGGGTAGATTCGAGCAGCTGACAGAGCTGAGCGTGCCCTGGTGCTCGCTGTCGGAGTCGGACACTTGGCTGGACGCGCGTGCTGCGGTGAATCTTCGATGGCTCGACGTCGGGGCGACAAACGTGCAGCGAATCCCGCGCGTGCCAAATCTGGAGCACCTGGACGTGCACGGCTGCCACGAGCTGGGGGATGAGTTCCTGGACGAGGACTCGCGGGGAAACCTGACCGCGCTGATCGCGCACCAGAGCAGCATCAGGCGCGTCCTGCCGGGGATGTACGCGCTGACCAAGCTCGACGTCCTGGGCTGCAACAATCTGACGGAGGGCTTCCTGGACGACAGCTCTGCGGGACACATCGAGGAGCTGTCGTACTCTGCGGAGCTGGCGTGGCTGCCGGCGAGCCTGACGTCTCTGGAGCGGCTGGACCTTGCCAATTGCTCGGGGTGGGTGTGTGCGGAGGTGGCAGGGCGCGTGCGTGAGCTGTACGTGTGGGGAATGGTGATGGACTCGACGGCGGGGATGTGCGCGCTGGAGGAGCTGTGGCTGGATCACTGCGAGCTGGTTGGGGAAGCGTGGGTGAGCGAGGAGTCGAAGTCAACGCTGCGGAAGCTGACGGTGAAAAGCTGCGTGGCTGAGGGGCTGCCGGCAGGGATGGGTGGACTACAGGAGCTCCACTTCAATGAACGACGGTAGTGCGTGCTGGAGCTGCCGGCCACGTCGGCGGCGTGGCCGGCAAGCTGAGGTGTGTGAAGCTCGGTGCCATCACCTTGTCACGTCTGCTGCCCGACTCGACCCGACTCGGATACATCCCGGACACCGGGGCGCACCGCCAAGGCAGATGTCACTCCACCCTATAGCGGCGCTTGTTTGTTAGAAACACCGAGGACGAGTGCCCATCTCCCGCCGACAGCATCAAGGGAAGTGGCGGACAGCCCGCGCAGGGGGGTAGCGGACGCGGCGTGGGCCGCCGCGGTGAAACGTGGGGTGGGGGGTGAGGTGAGGTGAGGTGTCACATTCTTCGCGTCGTCAGCCATAAGGCTTTGGGACCTGAAAAGATCATTCGACTAGGTGGCGAGTCATGCTAACCCCCCACCGTTATGGTAGCAACAGGTTCGGCAGCTGTGACAGAGTCAGCCCGGAGCAGATCCTCGATGCCACGAGCGAAGATCGCCATGCCTCGCTGATTCGGCAGGTTCAGAAGATAACGCACTGCAGCGTTGGCAGCGGCTTCCGAGTCGAGTGTTGCAGCGCCGTGCAGGTCCTCGACGTGCTGGCGTAGCCGGCGGTTGAGAGCGAAGCGGCGGCGCTGTCCAGTGTAACGACAGTCGACGTGCAAGCATGTTTTTCTTGCAGGCACTCGACAGCTTGTGTTGGTAGAGCTCCGCAGCACACACAGCCTGGACGCCGCAGTGACGGGACACGCGCGTGCCGGCCGAGCCCTGCCCAGGGCTCACCACACCGCATTAGCACGCATGACGGGGTTGGCGTTGTGTGCGCATGACATAAGATTTTGCCACCAGGCCGAGGCGAGGGGGCATCGGACGGCTGAAACCGCCAGGACCTGGCAGAAAGCATGTGGGCATGTACTTCGGCCTGCGCAGACACGCTGCGCACGGTCGAGCGCGCCCCGTGGGCGCTGCGTGTGTCCCAGCTTCGACTCGGGCCCGCGAGGTGCGCGCGGAGGAAGACTCGGCGGTCCGAGACTCGGCGTGAGTCGCGGTGCGACAGGATGCCGGGCTCCGCATGGGGGCTCGGCGGCGCTGGCGGCTCCGTGATCTCCAGGTCTTCGTGGCGCTCGCAAGCGCCTGCGGCCATCTCCGACTTGGTGGCGTTCGAGCACGCCGGGCCGCGTCAAGTCGTCTGCGGGTCAAAGGGGGTAGTCTGTCCGAGCGTAGCGCCGCGCAGCATGGTCGAGTTGCGGGTGAGAACGATGCTGTCGACGAAAAGGCGTTCCACTGTTGCTCCTGGCAGACAGACAGAGTTGGCCGTTTACTGCTGTCCGCTATGCTCGTAAGCCCCGGGGCCGCGGCGATTCGCCCCCCCTGCACCTGGAACTCCAGCGCGCCAACCCGCAACACCTGCCTTGAACGCCGCGACTGCATTCTGATGCACCCCCCCACTGCAGCCCGCTCCGCAGCATCCTTCAGACCGCCGATTCGCATTTGTGTTCGTTCGCTGTGCAGTCAGTGCCAGGCCTACCAGACGGTGCACAAGGGCTCGCACGAGTGCCCGTGCTCGAGCGCCAAGACGTCCGCCCCCGGTGGCCAGGCCATGAAGTAAGCGGCACGCGCATCCTGGACCAGGGCGACCCGGCTCTCATCGAGACCCGTCACCATGGTGGGCCGTTCACGGCGACAACCACTGCGCATTGCACGACCACGTACGTCGCACGTGTGATGGCATGATGACCCGCGCGACGTTGTGCCGTCGGCCGCTGTCGTGGCCGCTTCCCGCTCGCTGCCCGATGTCCGCGCCCACACGTGCGTCCAGCTCGTCGCTCGCATCGGGGAACTGCGCCGTCCTCTTGCCGCTGCAACGACAGCTCCTGCACTGCAAGTTTCCAGGCGAGACCTGCACGAGCATGCGCGGCACACGGCAGCACTGCGACAAGGGTAGTCGAGGCAGTTGCAGGTGCGCGGAGTGGCGGATCGCGAGCGCGCAGGAAGGCCCGCAGCTCGCATGCGTCTGCACACGTGTGGCACGTGCCCATGCTCGGACGCGGGACTAGGTCGACCCCATCCCGGAGCACGAGCGCGACAGCCTCGCCGCGAGCCACGACACCGCGGCGCCGCACTGTGCCGCGCCCTCGACGGGCACGCCACGCCCGAAAGACGCTACGTTGGCGGCGGGTGCGGTCCGGCGCAGGCGTGTCCAGCAGATTCGCGGGCCGTGCGCGCGGGCCGTCGTGGTCGAGGACAGCAGCGAGTCGGACGAGAGCTAGCCGCTCCGCGGGGAGGAGGAGGAGCGAGAGGGTGCAGTTTGGAACAAGAGGCAACGACGAGTGAACAAGGAGATCTCAAGACCTGCGCGAGAGTCGGTGGCGACCGTACGCGCCAGGCAGCTGCGTGACAGCTCGACGGGGCCGTCGACTCGCGCAGGTGTCGCTCACGACGCAACAGACCGTGTGCCACCGTCGCGCAAGCGAGAGACGGGAGCGCGGTGCACCGATTGGTGGGGCCTGTCAGGCGGATGCAAGCGCCCGCCGTGATTCATCATCTCGTGCCATGCGTCGTGGCGTGCGGGAGCGCCGGAATCGTGCGAGTCCCGCGCGTACAGGCGCAGGAAGGCAGCAGAAGAAGGGGAGGGGGTGCGACGTGATGATGGGGGAGGAACATGCCGTGACGGCGGTGTCGCCGACCGGCTCACATCTCTGTGCGCACACGACACGTCTTCGTCGGCCCTCCAGGCCCCGCTAGCCATCGAGCTGCTGCTTCGCTTCAGCTGGGATCAAGGGACGCTGGGCACCACGAAGCTTGCGTGAATGAGACCCTCGCCCTCGCGCCGCATGTCCTGCGTACACGTACAGTGCAGCAGGCGACAGCAGCGCCTCGCCAGCGCCGCGACAGCACCACCAGCGAGGCTTGGTTCACTGCGGATGCTGGGACAGCGCCCCGCCGCACCCACGCGCAGCGCCACCTCGCCTCGCTTCTCGGCCGGCAGTCCTTGCGTGCAACTGAGCGGCTCCGTCCCCCCGCGCGCCCTATCCGGCCCGCTCCGCCCCGTCCTCCAGCCCGCCGCCCTGCAACACCACACACACGTCAGTCGGGCGCCCCGCGCCTGTCTGCACCGCCGCCGAGCGCGTCGCCGATCGCCGCGCGCCAGTGCGGGCCGCGTGCACTTCCTGTGCTCGGCGTCGCGGTGCGGCACCTTCGTGTCCGCCCCGGACACCACATTTTCTGGTTTGAGCGTCCACTCGCCCGCTGTGGACCACGCTCCAGCTCCGCGGGGCGCACGCTCGTCGCCTGCATATGTCCACCATGGACGCCCCCCCGGACGCGCAGCCCGGAGGCTCGAGATCCTCGCAGCAACACGACCAGGTGCGAACCTACTTGAACAGCCGCCGCTGCGTGTTAGTGCGGCTTTGCGGACGCGCGGACGGCCACCGTCGTGCTGCCGCCGCACGGGCCGCGAGATCACACAGTGGAGCTTGTGCTTGGCCTGCTTCGTGCCCCGCAACGCCCCGTGGCGCTGCGGCACGGGCCCCGGTCTCAGCCGCCATCGTGCTCGGCGTCGCCGTCGTCGCGTCGGGACTGGCGACGGCTGTTGCGCGCGCGAGAGCTGCTGACTGATATCTTGCACGCGTCCACCTCGCACGTGCAGGCTGGTCCCAGCCTCGTCGACCTCCTCAGGGAAGTGCCGACGATCGGGGACCTCCTGCCCGCCGCCTCCGCGCTGTGCGCGGCGCTGACGTGCTGGGAGGCCCTCATCGCGCTGCTGGTGCACGGCAGGCGGACGAGGGTCGGCGACGTCGAGTGGCGGCGCTTGCCGGGCGCGGCGGAGGAGAGCCTGGTGCTGGTTCGACAGGACCAGCTCCAGGGTCTTGTCCTGCACCTGGGCGTCAAGCCGCGCGGAGCGCTGCTGCGCGGCATCGCCCAGCGCCTGTGCGACGGTGCGTGCGTCGTCGGGGAGGTGGAGTTCGCCGGCGCCCGCCTCGGCGCCGAGCAAGCACGCGCGCTGCACCACGCAGCGTGCTGCGCGGTGCTGCGGGACGAAGACCTCGCCACGGAGGCGGGACGCGTGGCGGCGCTCGACCGCATCCTGCGGACGCCCCACGGCGCCGCGCTGCGCGTCCACGCGCTGACGGTCCCGCCCGCGCACTTGCGCGAGGGCCCGCCTGCGCTCCGGGGCGAGCGAGCGAGCGTGCTGCGCTCCGTGCTGGGCAGCGCGGCAGTGCGCGGGCACGTGCGGAAGCTCGTGCTCGCCGGCGTCGACATGCGGGAGGAGTCGGGGCCCATCTTCGCGACCCTCATGGACGCGCAGCACCTGCGCGTCCTCAACGTCTCTGACAGCAACGTCGACACAGCGGGCGCGCTGGCGCTCGCGAGGCTGGTCGCGCAGTCGTCGACGCTGCGCGAGCTGGAGATGAAGGGCGTCAAGGGCGCAGACGAGGAGGACGTGGCGGCTATCGCGGAGGCAGCTGTCACGCAGAGCAGCGTGACGGCGCTGAGCTGCGACCTCTCCGCGGCTCGCGTCGACGCAATCGACGACCACAGCTGCGGGCCTACGGAGCGTCTCTCCATGACCGCCAGCTGCCTCGACTTGGAGGAGTTTGAGTCTGCAGGCAACGCGGTCAAACTTCTGACAGACTTGCGTCTGTCCAGGATTTCGGGCGACGACATCGGCCGTCTCGCCGACATGGTCGAGCGAACCACAAAGCTGCAGACGCTGCACGTGTCAGACAGCAGTTGCGCAGGGGATCCAGTCAACTTTATTATAATGGCGCTCCAGGTGTTGCACACGTTCCTGCTGACGCATGACAAAGGCATGGGACACCGCGCCCTGTCCATGCTTCTGGCGACCCTCGGACACAATTTGGACTGGATGGCGGACGCATTCTTCTCGCACGGCAGCGCCCCGGCGATGCTGGCACTGGCGCCGTCGCTGCGGGAGCTCCACCTGATCGCGCTCCATCTGAACGACGATGCCGCGCGGCATCTCGCCGTCGCGCTCACGGGGAACACCACCCTCCGCGAGCTCGACATCTCGGACAACTGGCTCGGGACGCCGGGCGTGCAGGTCCTCCTATGCGCAGCCGGGCGCAGCAGGCTGGAGACGTTCGCCATGGAAGCGAACGTCTTCCCGTTCGCCGGCGCCGCGGCGACGCTCAGCGACGTCCTGGAGAGCGCGACGCTGCGCTCGCTAAAGCTCGGCGCCCGCCTGGCGAAATGCAAGGGGACGGAGGGCCCGCGACGCATCGATCTCGTGGGCGTCGCCGCGTTCGCCCACTGCCTGTCCAGCCACCCGGCGCTGGGCATCCTCGTGCTCACGGGCCTCGCCTGCAGCGACGCCGACGGCATTGCGCTCGCTGGCGCCCTGAGCGTCAACACCGCCCTCCGCTCCGTGGCGCTGGACCACGCGCAGCTGAGCGACAACTGCAGGGCGCAGCTTGCGGACGCGCTGTCCCGCAACGCCAATCTGCAGCACGTGTCGCTGAGAGGCGACGAGAGCATGGGCGACGCGGCGGCGGCCGAGCTCTGAAGAGGGCGGCTGGTGGGGGAGTCTCAAATTGAGACTAAGATGCTGGCCGGCACAGCGCAGCCCAGGCGCAGAGTGTGAGCATCGCGCACCACCCCTGCTGACTCTACCGCAGCACACCGCGCCGCCGCTCGTCCGTCCCTCACGCACTGCTCTGCTACACACCTGTGCCTCTGTCGTGAATGACGCACGTGAGCGGTCGGCGGGCGCCGCGAGCAGCGCTGGGGCGTCGCGCACGAGGGCACGCGCACCACACCCACCGGCACGCCCGCGGCGCGCCGCTGGGACGGGAGCATGCGTCAGGGGGGGGTGTGGAGTCTCAGTCTGACGTGTGACACGGCCGGGCGCAGGGGCGCGAAGGCGGTCGGCGGGGGGCGCGTGCGTCCAGAGAGCATTTTCGCAGGGCCGCTGCGACGATCTCAAGATCGCGAGAGCCTGGGCGATTGGTGCGGTGAGCCGGGGGTTGGAGCTGGGAGCCGGCCCAGGGGGCTGCGGAGCGTCAGCGAAGCACAGCCGTGATATACGCAGGAGAGACATTGCGGGATCGATCCTGTTCAGAGCGATCTGCGTCGCTGTTCGGCGTCCAGCGCCACAGCTTCCATGGCGGTGGCGGGGTGGTCCGCCGTTGCGGACAAGGCGTGCTCGCTCCGCGCGTCGAAATCGTCTGGCCGCAACGTCCAGTGTCGTGCCATCAAGTTCCGGCCGTGCATCGACATTCACGAGGGCAAGGTGAAGCAAATCGTCGGGTCGTCCCTGAAGGACTTGGACAAGTGCGCAACCCCGCCGCAGAGCCGCGAGAACGCACATGTGGAGGATCGCGACGCAATGATGTAGTATCACACTATCGTGTCGTCTGGGACGACCGGTCAGACCGGCGCGCGTGACCTGTCGACGGCTGTGCGGCACCCGTGGGCGCAGGGACAAGAGCGGCGACCTCGTGACGAACTTCGAGTCCGAGATCTCCGCGGGGGAGTATGCGAACATGTACAGAGAAGATGACCTGAAAGGTGCGCAACGGATGCCAGCGTCGCGCGCCCTTTGCTCGCATCGCCCACCCCTGGGGACCTGCCGCCCACTTGCGCCGCTCTCTCGGCCCCACAAGCGCGCAGGAGGCCACGTCATTATGTTGAACCCCGGGACAGACAGTCGTAGAGCCGCGTTCGAGGCGCTCGAGGCGTACCCCGGCGGGCTGCACGTCGGCGGCGGCGTGAACGCGGACAACGCTGCCGAGTACATCCAGGTCGGCCCCCGCGACGCGCACGGCGACGCGGACCCAATCCGCTGCTCGCTCGCACGTCTGCGCCGGCGCACCGACCCCGCATCGCCCCCTCGCCCCCGTGCGTGCAGAAGGGAGCCTCACACGTCATCGTGACATCCTTTGTGTTCCGGGAGGGCAAGCTGGACGCCGCCAGGCTCGAGGCGCTCACCGAGGCCGTCGGGGGCCCCGACAAGGTGGTGCTGGACCTGTCGTGCCGGCGGCGTCCCGACGGGGGCGACGCGGGGGGGTATTTCGTGGTGACGGACCGGTGGCAGCGGTTCAGCGACATGGAGATCTCCCCCGAGACGCTGGAGGCGCTGTCGACCAAGTGCGACGAGTTCCTCGTGCACGGCGTGGACGTCGAGGGCAAGAAGATGGGCGTCGACGAGAATCTGATCGCGCTGCTGGGCAAGTGGAGCCCCATCCCCGTGACGTACGCCGGCGGCGCGACGACCTTCGAGGACCTCGAGCGCGTGCGCGTCGCGGGGGACGACCGGGTCGACATCACCGTCGGCTCGGCGCTGGACATCTTCGGGGGCAGTCTGCCGTACCGCGCGGTCGTCGACTGGCACAAGGCGCAGCAGGCCGCGTGACGCGCTCGCGACGCACTGTGAGAGGACTCCGAACTCGTGCGTCACAGATCTACACCGCAGGCGCGGCCGCGGCCCGGTCCCGCACCGCCCGGCTACACCTCTGCGATCGCGCCGAGGCCGTCCGCCACGTTGGGCACCTTGGGCTTGGACTTGAGCTTGAGCATGTCCTTGGCGGTGCGCGTCCCGGCCGAGATCTCCGCCTCCCTCCGCGCCTGCTCGAGCTTGCTGGCCACGTGGAAGCCGTTGTACAGGTACAGCACCCACTTGCGGATGAAGGCCAGCGCCGGGGACGCCCGCTGCGCGTCGCGGTGCTCCACGCCGTCGATGAGGCGGAAGCAGGCCTCCACGAGCTGCGCCTTGTGCGTGCTGCGCATCTCCGTCTTGAGCCCCATGCTGATGCCCGCCATGGACGTCAGCAGGTTGGACTCCTCCGCGGGGTCGAACGTCAGGTTCGACTTGAGGAACGACCACGCCCCCTCCTTGTCCGCGGTATCCGCGTTCGTGAGGTCGAACGCCACGACCTTCTTGAGGTCGGACGGGTTCACCATGACGTGCAGCGCGGCCATGACCTTGACCACGTTCATCGTCGGCTCGCGGTACGTCTTGATCTCCACCAGCAGCCGCAGCATCTCCTCGAGCTTCTGCTCCACGTCCCCGATCAGCCGCCCCAGCGCGTAGCACCGGTGCCGCAGCCCCTTGAGGTCCTCCGGCACCGACAGCTTCCCCGTCGGCGAGCTCTCGAACTCCGCCTCCGTCTCCTTGATGAAGTCCAGTTCCGCCGTCTGCTTGTAGATCCAGTCCCCCATCTGGTCCGCGAGCTGCTGCGCGAGCCGGATCACCGCCGGGTTCCGGTGCATGCACACCCCGATGCCCACTGTGGGGTCCAGCGGCGTCATCCCGCACAGCTCGCAGTCCTTCCCGGGCGCCCACCCGGACATCGCGACCATGCCGAGGACGTAGTCCTTCTCGTCCTTGTGCCGCCGCGGGTGCAGGATGGGCACGCCGATCATGGAGTCCACCACCTCGACGTTGAAGCTGCGCGCGCACTTCTTGAACAGCGCCATGCACCCGTTCGTGCGCTCGAGCGCGCCCATCACCGTCGTGTTGTCGACCAGCCGCGTGACCACGCGCTCCGGCAGCTTGAGGCTCTGCGACCCGTCGCTGCCCTGCGCGGTGGCAATCTGCCCCAGCGGGAGCGACGGGCGCGCGGTGCGCTCCACGGGCGCGCCCTGCGACTCGCGCCGCCGCCGGCCCGTGCTCTCGACGGGCGCCGGCGGGTGCCCGCTGTCGCCGCCCTCCGCGAGCAGGTCGTCCTTCTCCATGGCGATGTTGGGGGCCAGCGGCCAGTCGAGCTCGCTCGAGTAGACCACGTCGAGGTCCGCCGAGACCGGGACGACGTCGCACGGGTTGAGCGACCCGATGCCGTGCACGTGCATGAGCGCGGTGACCTCGCGGATGCTCCGGGGCGTCGGGACGGTGTTCTTGGTGTGGAAGGACGTGGCGTTGTTGCGCACGACCTGCACGACGGTCGTGCGCACGTTGTACACGCGGCGGAGCGCCTCCGCGATGAACTCGAGGTGCTTCCGGCACTCGGCCGCGAACAGCGTCTCCTGGACCTCGCCGATGACCTCCGACACGCGCCAGTAGGGCGCCTCGGGCGCCATCGAGTTCCAGTACGCCTGTACGTGCTCGTTGATCGCGCCCACGTGCGCGTACACGCCGGTCACGACCGGCGTCGGGAGGCGGTGCAGGCACGTCAGCGCGAGGTCGGCGCGCGACCGCATCAGCACGTCGGCCACCACGGGGGGCTCCATCGACGCCAGGTGCCGCACGGCCTCGTTGCACAGCGAGTCCAGCTTCTCCTCCGCCGTCTGCGTGTCCTCGCCCACCAGCGCGTCCTCCATCGCGTCCGCGCCCATCGACCCCGCCCCGCGCACCACCGACCCCGACCGCCCCAGCTGCACCACCTCCGCGTGGTGCACCTCGTCCAGCTCCGACGCCAGCTTCAGCGCGGACCCCATGTTCCCGATCTTGATCAGCTCCCGCACCGCCAGGTCCGGCGAGTCCAGGCACTGGTTCACCGACACCGACCCCTGCCGCAGGATGTTGTTGATCGTCGCCGTGCGGCCCAGCGCGCCGGGCGCGGGCGGCATGCTCTGCGACGACGGCGTCCGCCCCGCCGCCGCCGCGATCTGCTGGATGATGCTCTGCCGCGGGCCCGAGGTCTGCGCCTCCTTGCGCCGCTCCTTGGGCGACATCCAGTACTCCTCAAACATGGGGTCGTTCTGCCGGCCCGCGGCGAGGATGCCCTGCACCCAGCGGCTGCGCTTCTGGTTCGTCTCCGGAATGTGCTCCGCGTCCTTCAGGCAGCGCTTCGCGTCCTGGTAGTGCAGCTGGTGCTCCTCGACGGCGTTGACGTCCACGTGGCGGTGCGCGACGTACAGGACCTCGCGGATCGACGCGGAGACCTGCAGCGGCATCTCCGTGATCACCGCGGCGATGTGGCCCTCGCTGCACGTCGCCAGCAGCGCCGCGCCGCGCTCGTGGCCCATGCCGAGCAGCATGTTGGCGGCGTCGCGCACGCGCGCCACGCGGATGACCGCCGCGGCCATGTCGACGGGCATCGACGCCAGCGCCGTCGAGAACGCGCTCCCCTGCACCGACCGGAACGCGTACATCGCCGGCACCGCGCCGTTCTGCAAGATCCACGACGTGATCTGCACCGGGTTCATCCGCGCCAGCGCCCCCTGGAACTTGAGCGCCGCGTCCGTCTCGTGCCGCAGGACGGTCTCCAGGAACGCGTCCGAGCTCACCGTCGACCGCAGGTACCGCACCTTGGGCTGGTTCCGCAGCTGGTCGCCCTCGAACAGCCCGGCCAGCTCGTCCAGCCGCCGCTGGTGCAGCCCCGTGAACAGGCCCTTCCGCGCGTAGTGGTACTCCGACAGCGCGCGGAACACCCGCGTCAGGTTCAGCGCCGGGCCCACGTCCGGCGCCGGCGCCGCCTCCTCGCCCTCCGCGGGCGGCGGCGCGGCCTTCGCCGCCTCCACCGCCGCCATGTGCGCCTCCTGCTGCGCGATGAGCGCCTTCAGGACGCCGCCCACGGACGCCTCCGGCAGCTCCGCGATCGTGTGCCCCGCGAGCGTGGGGTCCATCGCGCCCAGCACCGCCGCCGCGCGGTCGATGGGCAGCCGCGCCAGGATGAGCCCGCGGGTCTGCGCGGGGACCGCCTCCAGGATGTGCGCCGCGGTGAGGGGCTCGCAGTTCTTGATCGCGTTCTGGCACGCCACGGTGTGCTGCGTCTTCATCGCCGCGAGCGCGAACACCGCGGCCCGGTTGACCTCGCTGTCGTAGGCCTTCTTGTTCTCCAGCCACTTGAGGGCCGCCTTCAAGTTGACCCCCCCCGCCACGTCCGCGACCAGCTTCGTCGCCTGCGACAGCGCCGCGACGTTCCCGCTCACGTTGCCGCCCTCGCCGCCCGACGACGCCGACGACGCGAGCTTGCGGTCCATGAGCGTGTAGATCTGCTGGTCGGTGGTCAAAAAGGCCGTGGCGAGGCTCTCGCCCGACATGTTGCTGACGAGGTCCTCGAAGGAGGCGCGGTCGAGCCCGAGGAGCACGCGCGCCATCACCGCCGGGTCCGCCTGTCCCAGGACGCGCGCGCCGAGCCGCGGGGGCAGCGCCACCAGCAGGTTGCGCAGCTGCCCCTGCGTGAGCTCCGAGTAGTCGAAGTCCACGGACGCCGGGTGGAACTCCACGATCCAGTCCGAGAGCTCCTTCTCGCCGATCTTCTTCAGCGCGAAGGCCACGCTCACGTCGTCCTGGTCGGCCAGCTTGCGCAGCCGCGCCACCTGGTCCTCGAGCTGCTCCACGCGGCCCGTGAGGACGTTGTTCGACCGCTGCGCCTCCGCCAGCTCCTCCTCGCGCAGCCCCTTGAGCTTCTCCGCCACCGCGACCTGCGCCTCGAGCACCTCGCGCGCCTTGGCCAGCTCGTCCGCGCGCCGCTTCTCCTCGCGCAGCATCCCCTGCATCGTCGCGATGCGCTTCTGCAGCTCCTTCGTGTCCAGCTTCTCCTTCCACGCCTCCAGGTCTGCGCGCTCCCGCCCGCTCTTGTTCGACTTCTGCTCCGCCTGCTCGAACCGCGTCAGGTCCTCCAGCGCCTTCTCCATGTCCTCCAGCACGTCCGCCGCGTCGAACCCGGCGTGCCGGGACATCCGCCGCTGCCTGTGCACCACGTCGATGCCCCGCGCCCCCGACACCCGCCGCGACCGCGGCTGCCGGAACGAGCCCCCCTCGCTGCCCACCATGTCCATCGCCCCGGCCAGAGGCGGGGGGGCCTCCGCCTCCGCGGCCTCCTCGTCCTCGTCCGCGGCGTCCTCGTCGCCCTCGTCGTCCTCCTCCCCGGACTGCCACTCGTGGCGGATGCGCGACTCCATCTTCTTCAGGTTGCGTTTGAGCTTGTCGCCGAGTTTGTGCGCGCGCTCCTTCCACTCGTCGACCTCCTGCGACAGCCGCACATTCTCCTCCTCGTACGTCTTGATGCGGTTGTCCAGCAGCATCCGCAGGAGGCCCTGCGTGAGGGCCAGCATCGGCTTGCAGTCGTGCAGCGTGCGCGGGTGCGCGTTCGCCGCGAACTCCGCGAGCTCGCGCACGTTCACCAGGTCGTCCACGCGGATCGAGTTCCACCGCTTGAACGCCTCGCTGTCCGGGGAGAAGGCGCTCGACGGCAGCGCCGCCACCGACGCCTGGGCTGCAACGCACCGAACACGCAACGCGCGCAGCCGCGTCGGAACGCGGCTCTGCAAGCGAGACGGCAGCACGCACGCACGCACGCACGCACGCACACACGCACGCACGCACGCACGCACATCGCCCAGCCCCAGCACGCACGCGCGCGCGGAAGCACGCACCGTAGAGCGACCCCGACGACATCTCGGCAAACAGCTCCTCGGTGTTCTCCTTGACCAGCTCGCTCGTCGTGGGCCCTCCGCCCTGGCCCGAGTAGAGCATGGCGAGGCGCAGGCGGTGGAAGGCGCCGTGCTTGTCCTCGAGCGCCGGGCTGTCGTAGTCCCACGACGGCACCACGTCGATGTGGCCGTACGACGGGAGCGCGTCGTCGGGGCGGATGCGCCCGTGGGAGTCCTCGCGGCCCATCAGGCGCGCGAAGGGCAGGCTCGGGAGCGACACCTCCGGAATGAAGTCGCGCCGGCCAATCGTGTCGGGCATGGCCGCGACGCGCTGCCGGTGCTTGGCGCCCGCGGACGCGAAGATGTCCTCCTCGTCGCCTGCGAGCACGTGCATGTCGGAGGAAGGGAGGGGCTCGCGATCCGGACGGCGGGAGCGGCGCACGCGGCGCTCTCGGGGTTGCGCAGGCACAGACTTGGACCAGGCGTGCGGGGTCCCGGGAGGGAGGCCGCGGGGCATGCACGCCCTCTCGGGGCCGACTCGCTGCCAGCACACGCGTTGGCGCCGGCCTCGGGCCCGGCGCGCGCGGCACCGCGGCGAGGCGGCCGCACTCGCCCCGCATGCGCGGCAGGCGGCTCCGGGGCGCCCGGGGCGGCTCGCAGGCGGCGCGACGTCGCGGGGCCCACCTGATTCATCCTCGTTGTCGGCGAACCGGATGCCCGTGCGCTGCTGCCTGATGAGGTCCTCCGGCCGCACCGCCTTGAGCTCTACATGCAACCACCCGCCGAGACCGACGCGCGTGGTCATCTGGACGGCCGCGGTGCGCGACGGCGAGAGGGTCCGCTCGGCCGCTGGTCCATCCGGCTCGCCGGACGCCGCGCGCGCGAGCGGCGGGAGCGCGTTGCCCCGCTTGCCTGGCGGCGGGCCCTCGAGGGCCGGGTGCGGGTCGGACTGCTCCGGCGGGACGGGCGTTGGGAGGCCGTTCTTGGCGAACTTGAACTTCACGGGGGAGAAGAAGCCAGGTCGGCTGCCTCGCACCGGGAAGAAGTACCGCAGCATCCTGCGCGGGGCGTGGCGGGTGCCAGACGAATGTGCTCGGTGCTGCGGGCTCTGGGCGGCAGCAGCGCCCCGGTCCTCTCCCGCGAAACACGCAACGTGATCCCGGGAGATCGCGGGGCCGCAAAGGTGGGCGCCAGGTCCCCTACGCGCGGCGCTGCGGGTCGATTGATGCTGGCCTTGCTCATGTGCGCGGCCAAACCGCCTCGTTGCGGTGGTTTGAGACGGGTGTGCGCCCGCGCCGATGTACGGCACCTGAGGCCCTCCTGCGGGCGCGCTCGCCGGGCTCCAGGGCGCCGCACGCCCGCCCGTGGACGTGCAACGCAGGGACATGTTCGCCGCGACGCGAGCGCCCCCGCACCGCGACGGCCCGGTGTCCCCCGTCCCGGCGGCGAACGAGCGAAATTCGAGGCCCGTATCCGCGAGCGCCGGGGACCGTTGCGTCCGTGGCGAGCCTCGCGCCGGTGGTTGCGAGTCGAGACGCACCTGTCCTGCATGCTGACGCTCATCTTCGAGCCCCTGACAGCGCTCCATGACGACTCCTGCGCGGCAGGCGGCCCCTGGGCGTCGCCCGACATCGTAGCCAGCTGTGCGCGCCCTCCTTCACCGCCCGATAGACCTAAGGTCTACCACTGAGGCACGACACACACTCCGAACGCGGGTCCTGCTCGCGCAACACACGTGAGGGCCTTGCCTGCCGACTCGCCACTGCGGCGGCGATGCGGGGCCGCAGGCAGCGAAGCCGGGCGCCGCGAGCGGGGGCGGGGGGAGGTGGCGCCTGGCCGGCCGTCTGACGGGCGTGGCGCGCAGCTGCGGCGCTGGGGCGCAGAGGGCCGCGGCGCGCGGTGATGCCGAGGCCGTTTGCGACAGGGGTGGGCTGGAAAGGTGACGCGAAGGCATCAGGGCCGCGAGAGCGCGACGTTCGGGCTGGCGGGAGCTGGTGGCGTGGGAATTCGATGAGAGGGCGTTGAGCGGTGGTTTTCGTGAGACCCGCGGGCGGACAGTGAGAAGCGCGCGTCCGGTCCGGAACACGGAGTCCGGCCTCACCCGAGCGCTGGTCGGCGGCGGCTGACTGCCAAAGTGCGTGGGTCGACCACGCTGCCCGGGCGGTGCCGGGACGATGGCGTCCAGGACGCAGGAGGACCTCGCAGCCCTGCAGAAGGCCGTGCTGGCGTGGGACTACTACGCGCTGATCAAGGTGCGCCAGGCCCTCTCCGCGGAGCAAACAGACTGACCTCTTTCACCTCGGTCAACTGCCTTCCGGGCACGCGTCGTGGCGCGTCATGTCCGCCTGCGTCGTTCACATTGTCGAGAACATCCGACTGGAACCGCGCGACGGCGCGCATCGCGCCGCGACGACCAGCGCCAGGCGGCGAGCACTGGACGCCTGCACGCAGTCGCCAGCGACGCCGCGTCGACGTCCCGCACGCCCTCGCCCCGGCACGCGCCACGTGGGACGCTCAACTGGCGCCCATTCCGCGCCCCAGCACCTCCCCCCCCGCGTCGCTCGCAGGGCCGGAGCGAGCCCCCACACCGCGCGGGCATGCGAAACGTGCCCGACGTCTTCGATGACGAGCGGGAATACATCGACACCTTCGTGCCCCTCCTCCTCGAGGAAGCCCTCGCTCAGGCCCAGCAGGGCGGTGCGAACCCCCCCAACACCCCCCAAAACACACCTCACCACAGGCCCCGCAGGGGCCCTCGCGCGCCGTCGCCCCCGCCGAACCGTGCCCGGCGCGCCCGTGCGCTGCGTCGCAGGCGAGGACACGGACAAGGTGCCTCACCGGTGCGTCGTCGCGGAGGCGACACCCCTGGGGGACTTCGTGGAGGTCACCGTGGGCCTCGAGGACGGCGCGCTGTCGAGCTTCGCGCAGAACGACCTCGTGCTTCTCACCAAGGACGACCCCGGCGACGCCGGGCCGGACAACCTCGCCCTGCACGCGCTCGCGCAGGTCGAGGGCGTCATTGGCGCGCAGCGCGCCCGGCTGCGCTTCTACCTCCCGTCCGCCCCGCCGCCCGCGCCGGCCGCCAAGGCCGGGAAGAAGAAGGCGCAGGGCTCGCCCGCGCGGCTGCGCGTCATGGCGCAGAGCCTGCAGGTGGTCGGGACGGCGTGGTTCGTGATGGGCCTGTGCAACCTGTCCACGATCATGCGGGAGTGGACGGCCACGCACAGCGTCGTCGAGGTACGTGCGCGCGCGCTGCGCTCGCTGCCTGTCCCCGGCGAACGGGGCGCGATGGCACGGAACATGCGCAGCGGTGCGGTGGCGTTTGCACTGCAGGTGCCGTTCAAGGACGTCCTGCTGCGCGGGAAGCCCGGGCCGGGGTCGTCGCTGACGCGCCGCCCGCGGATGGAGATTCCGCGTGCGATGGAGGAGGCGATGCGGCCGCAGTACAACACCCCCCAGATGGAGGCTGTCAGGTCGGGCCTGGACGGGTCCCCGCTGGTGCTCATTCAGGGGCCGCCGGGCACGGGAAAGACCTCGACGATCCTCGGCCTGCTGTCGCTCGTGCTGCACTCGTCGCCCGCCGGCGACAAGGTGAACGGCCAGGGCGGGCCCACAGGGCAGCGGGGCGCGAACGGCGACGCGAGGACGCGGCTGTGGCGGCGGGCGTCGCCGTGGCTCAACGGCGGGTTCAAGGACCTGCGCGACGAGCTGCCGTCGCCCGACGAGCTCCAGCGGTGCGGCAATGACACGTACGGCATGGTGCAGCCCGTCACGAGGCGCGTCCTCGCGCCCGGCGGCCCGCGCGCGCGCGTCCTCGTCTGCGCGCCCTCGAACAGCGCCCTCGACGAGATCGTCCTCCGCATCATGTCGAAAGGTGAGCGCTGCGCCGCACGCGCGCCGCGCCGTTCCTGTGCGTCCCGGCTAGGGGGTGCATCGCTCACAGGCGCGTCCGCGTGTGTTTGCAGGGCTCCTGGGCGCCGACGGGGAGTTGTACCACCCGTCGATCGTGCGCGTCGGCGTCAACGTGCACCACGCCGCGGTGCCCGTCCACGTGGACACCCTCGTCGCGCACCGCATCGGCGCCACCAACGAGCGCGCGCAGGCCGGGCAGCGGCACAGCCTGGGGCTCTCGCGGGCCGAGAAGGACCGTATCCGCATGCAGGTCCTCGAGGAGGCCTCCATCGTCTGCTCGACGCTGTCCTTTTCCGGCTCGGGCATCTTTGAACGCATCGCGCGCAGGTTCGACGTGGTGATCATCGACGAGGCCGCGCAGGCCGTGGAGCCCTCCACGATGGTCCCGCTCTCCGTCGGCGCGCGCCAGGTGTACCTCGTCGGCGACCCGAACCAGCTGCCCGCCACCGTCATCTCGCAGCAGGCGCTGGCCCGCGGATACCACCAGTCGCTCTTCCGGCGGCTGCAGTCCGTCGGGTACCCCGTGCGCCTCCTCACGACGCAGTACCGCATGCACCCCAAGATCCGCGCGTTCCCGTCGAAGCAGTTCTACGGGGGCTCTCTGGTGGACGCTGACGGCATCGAGGCGGCCACCAGGCGGCCGTGGCACGACCCGCCGTCGGGCGGCGCGGCGGCGTGCTGCTTCGGCCCCCTCGCGTTCTTCGACGTCCAGGGCGAGGAAGTCGTGCCCGGTGCGGGGTCCGGATCCTCCGTCAGCAATCCCGCGGAGGTGGCGCTCATCATCGCGCTCTACCGGGCGGTCGTGCAGCTGCACCCGGAGCTCGCGGACTCCGGGCGCGTCGGCGTGATCTCGCCGTACAAGGCGCAGGTCCGCGCGGTGCGCAGCAAGCTGGCGGAGGCGCTTGGCGAGGAGGCAGCGGCAAAGGTCGACGTGAACACGATCGACGGGTTCCAGGGGCGCGAGAAGGACATCGTGCTGTTCAGCACGGTGCGCTCGCAGCCCGGGCGGCACATCGGGTTCGTGTCGGACGAGCGGCGCATCAACGTCGGTCTGACGAGAGCGCGGTCGAGTCTCCTGGTCGTGGGGAACGCGCGCGCGCTCCTGGTGGACAGCAACTGGCGGGGACTCGTCGAGCACGCCGTCAGCGAGGGATGCCTGTTCCGGTGCGCCGCGAGACCCCCCCCCCATCATTCGATCCGTCTATCGGCACACACGCCCTCACTCTCGCGCATCAACGACTCCAAATCGTTCGCTTCGCGGCCTCATCGATCGACGCCGCGAGTGTGCCGTGCAGGCTTCCGGACCAGGGCGCTGCGGCTCTCCCGCGCGTGCTGTCGGGCGACCTGCAGCCTGTTGTCGCAGGCAGCAAGGCCGCAGCGGAGCTTCTGGAGGAGGTGACGGTGCAGGGAGGCAAGGGGCGCGGGAAGGGCAAGGGGCACAAGAAGCGCGGGGCGGAGGACGCGTCCGAGGAGGGCAAGGGCGCGGCGGCGGAGGACATGGATGTGGACGGGGAGGCACCGCGCCCAGCAGAGGCGGAGAAGAAGCCGGCGGCGCGGAAGAAACGGAAGGCTTGAGAGCACGGCATGTGACTGCTTCGAGCGATAGAAGGCGGGCGTGCGTCGAGGCGGCGGCGGGCGCGGGCCGCAAGGAAGACGGAGGTGTTGGGGGCTTGCCGGCTGTGCACCGGCGGAAGCGCGTGTGCGTCGGACGCGGTTCCATGAGTGCGCGGTTCCGTCAGCGTCGCTTGTCACGCACTATGGAGGGCCGGCGCGCAGGAGTCTCGAGTCGCTTCTCTGTCGACAGGCCCGCAGGCGAGCACGTGGGCCCTCTAGGGGGAACACGAGAGCCTCCGAAAATCGAGGAGTCACATGCTCGGGCGTGGAGGGCACCTGAGCGCCAGTCCACCGCCCCTATGTACCGGGCAACTGCACAGCGCGCGTGTGCGTGTGCGCGTGTCTATTTCGGTCGCCAGCCCTAAATGATGTAGTCGTACATGAACCCGCACTGCGCCATGTCGTCCACGGGCTCGCGCTTCTGGTCGACGCGGATCACGCGCGCCGGGATCCCCACCGCCACCGAGTGGTGCGGGATGTCCGACACCACCACCGACCCTGCGCCAACGCGCGCGCCGTCCCCCACGCGCACGGGCCCGAGCACGTTCGCGCCGGCGCCCAGCAGCACGCCGTGCCCGATCTTCGGGTGCCGGCAGCCCTTGCCCGTCCCGGACCCGCCCAGCGTCACGTGGTGCAGCATCGACACGTTGTCGCCGACCACGGCTGTCTCGCCGATGACGACGCCCGTGGCGTGGTCGAGGAGCATGCCCTTCCCGATCTTCGCCGCGGGGTGGATGTCGACGTGGAAGACCTCGGACACGCGCGACTGCAGCGCGAGCGCCAGCGGGCGGCGGTCCGTCTCCCACAGGTGGTGCGCGATGCGGTGCGCGGTCACGGCCTGGAACCCCTTGAAGAAGAGCAGGATCTGGATGTAGGCCTCGCACGCGGGGTCGCGGTCCATGACGGCCTGGAGGTCGGCGCGGATCGAGTCGATGATGTTGGGGTCCTGTTCTAGGACCTCGCAGAAGACCGACAGGAGCTGCACGGGCATCAGCGTCTGGTTCCCGAGCTTGTTCGCGAGGACGAACGACACGGCGCGCTCGAGCGACGAGTGCGCCATGATGGACGAGTGCAGGAAGGACGCCAGCGCCGGCTCGTCGATCGACGCCTCCTCCGCCTCCCGCCGGATCTCCTGCCACATCGCCAGCGGGCTCGGGTGGTGCGAACGCCACCCCCAGCACTTCGCGGGCCGGTGGACCTGCGGGCGCCGGGCGCCGGGGGGCGAGCGCGTCGGTTCCCTGTCGAAGGCGGAGCAGGGGCGCGACACGCCGGACCGCGGCGCTCCGGGGGCCAGGGGGGGGGGGCGCCGAGGCTCAACACGGATAGATGAGCCCAGGATCGCTGTGACGAGGGCTCCCAGGGAGCCGCTGGCGCGCAGGGCAGCCGCGCTTTGCTTGCCGTGGGCAACTCGGGCGCTTCGCGTGGCCCCGTGAGGCTCGTCGCGCGCGAGGGTCGGCGAGGTGCTTGCCCGGGCGGCGGTGGGTCCGCACCTGGATGCTCGGGTCCGACACGGGGTCGTCCGGCTGCTCGCCGCACATCCGTTCGCCGGTGAGCGGCAGGCCAACGGGGTCGGTGCGCTTCGGCGGGGCGCGCTGCTCCAACTGGCGCGCCCACTTCTCCATCTGCGGGCTCAGCGTCTCGAAGACCTCCTGGTTCGCGGACACCTGCTTCCCCGTGCTGCCGCTGCGGTCGAAAGTGGCAGCGTGGCGTCGGCAGGCGGTCCGTGACGAGGCCTGCGCGAGCCGCAGGAGCCTGCTCGGCGCTCGGTACATCTGGAGGCCTGCGGCGGGCGTCGTGGGGCGCGGGTGCGGCGCGCGTCGGCGCGTGGAGAGCGCACGCTGCGCGGCGGGTGCTCAGCAACACACATGAGCTAAGGGCGGAGCACGGCTCCGTGGCGGGGCTCTGGCCCGCGCGACGCTCGGAGGAGGTCGCTGTGTGCACGGGGCGACGTGTGGGCGCCGTGGTGACGCTCGGTGGCGCCGGGCAGAGCCGCGGCACTGTCCGGTCGCTGCGACAGGACACCGCCGCGCAGCCGCGCGGGGGACGAGAGGGCGCATTCGCGCACGAGTCGCCGTACGAACGAAGTGTTGTTCGCGGGACGACGTCCAAGAATACGGACGGTACGGCCCGAGCGGGCCCGCAGAGCGCGGTCGAGATGCGCGTGCCGTCCTGCCGCGCAGGCGTCGGTCGTCGTGGGGAACCCCACCTGCGGAGCTGCTCGAGCGACGCGTGAGCTTGTCGCGGATGGCCGCGACGCGGGCCTCCGAGAACGAGACAACCGAGGACATCGGCACGACGACCTGCACAGCCGTCCCGAGGAGTCCCTGACGGCAGACTACGTCTGTACGTATGCACAAGCGTGCAGCTCGAAAGAGGGCGCGGGAGGGGAGCGCGCGCGGGCCTCGTAGTGGGCGGGGGGGCGCGGATTCCCCGCCCTTCTACCGGAGCCAGCACTCACCTAAGTCCGCCGTGCTTTCCAGGCCACCTTACTAAGTCGCCCATCTTGCATTTGATCCCCATCGCCCACAGCTTCCGTGAACATGCAGACCCACGGGGGACACGCCGTGTGGAGCGGCTCCGAGGCCAGCCCGGCCGCAAAAGTGCACTGCGGTGGTTCGTCACATGCTCAGCCCGGTCTCCGTTCGACCGCCGGCTGCTGCCTGCCGCACGCGCTGCCCGCGGGCCGTCACCCGCGCGTGAGGTGGTGCATCGCGATGCCGGCGGCCACCGACACGTTCAGGGAGTCGACCTCGAACCCCTCCACGGACTCCCCCGACGCCTCCACGCCTCCGTCGATGCGCACGAACGCCGAGCACGCGCGGCGGACGAGCGGCCGCAGCCCGAAGCCCTCGGACCCCAGCACGAGCACGGTGGGGGACTCTACCGACACCTCCCTGATGTCAACAGAGTCCTCCCCCGCCTCGGCGCCCAGGACCTCCCAGCCCTCCTCCTGGCAGCGGTGCAGCCAGCGCATGAGGTTCCCCACCGCGTGCACGGGCATCACCTCGAGCGCGCCCGCGCTGGCCTTGGACACCACCGGCGACAGCGGTGCGGAGTTCTTCGCGCAGATGACGACGCCGTCGACGCCCAGGAAGTGCGCCGACCGCAGCACCGCGCCCAGGTTCTGCGGGTCCGTCACCTCGTCGAGCGCCACCCACACCGGCGCCCGCGTCGCCCCCGCCGCCCTCTCTGCAGTTCATCACGCAGTGCCACAACACACGTCGACGCCGCTCAGCCAGGTCGACAGAGAACGGCGCCGTGCGGCGTGCCAGAACGTGCGCTCGCGGCGGCAGTCGCGGCCCCGGACGTCCCAGGCAGGCAGCTATCATGAGAGATGCAGGGCTGGGTCAGGCTATCATCGCAGATAGGTATCTTCAACTGAATCGTTGCAAGGAATATCGATCGATTGACTAGCGCACTTTCCCGCGACACGAGCGGGGCGCGAGGGTGCGCGATCGTCCCGTGCGTCGCACCTGCGGGCGGCGGCGTCTCGAGGTTCGTGGGCTCGATTGGCGACGCGTCAATGGCCAGGCCCTGGTGCGGCCGGTTGTCCGACAGGAGGTTCAGGTCGTGCTTCGAGACGTAGTCCACGGGCACGCCGCGCTCCTCCGCCGCCGCGAGCGCCGCCTGCAGCGCCGAACGGTCCCTGCGACGCCCCTGCCCCGAGCCCAGCCCGTCCTGCACAAAGAGCTTGTACAGCTCGCGCCGCCCTGCGACCGCGGACGCAGGCCCCCGGTCAGTGCGGGAACGGGCGTGTCCGAGCGAGGGCCGTGCGTCGTCTGCGCGCCGCGGCTGTGCGGTGACGAGACGCACCTGACCGCATGGCGGCGATGACTGGAGACACCCCCCACACCACCTCGCCGCTCAGGTCGGCGAGGATCGGCGCCGGGCCGCCTCCGCGCAGCTCGCGCCGCGTCCGCCACTGCGGCCCGCTGTCTCCGTCGTCGTAGTCGCCCCCCCGTCGAAACTCCCCGCGGTCCCTCTCGTGACCCCCCCTCCCGCGCCCCCGCGCCCGGTCGGCCCCCGGCCGGCCCCCGCGGAAGCCCCCGTCGTCCCCGTACGACCCGCGGTCCCTGCGGAACCCCGAGTCGCGCCCGCGTGAGCCTCCACGCCGCGGCGACTCGTCCCGCCAACCGCCCGTGCGCTCGCGCCGCGCGCCCCGGCCACCGCGCCCACCTCTCTCGCGCTCAAGCGTGTCTCCGAAGTCGTCGAAGCCTCTGCGAGTGAGAAACACGAGCGTCGGGCCCGTGAGCGAGCTGGCACGCGCGCTGGAGGCGCAGGATGCACCACCAGCGCTTCACCGACATCCCACGCACTCTCACGGTGAATGTGATGCGAGTTGGCGCTGGAGCGGACGTGTCAGTTGTCTCTGCGTCCGACCGACATGCTGAAATCACGCCGGAAGCCGTGAGAGACGCGGGATGTGCGTGAGACTGCGCCTACGCACCCGGGACGGTCGAACTTCCGCGATTTCTCCCACTCGCCCCATCCCTCGGGCGGCGCGTCCCACTTGCCGCTCACCGCCCTCGAAACGGTCCTCGTCGCGCCCCGTTTCACTCGCGCGAACGCGCACTGGAAGGGTGCGGGGCTGCAGCCGGCCGCGCGGCACACTGCCCGAGCCGGCCCCGCCAGCAAGCTGCGGGTCGACAGCCTCATTATGCCGACCGGAGCGATGCCCTTGCACTGGGCTTCCACACGCGGACCAATGCACACGGTCGTCTGACACGCGGGGGCAGCAGCGGGGGAGGACAGTGACGCACTTTGGAGAGTTGGCACTCGGGGGCCTGTGTCACGACACCTGAGCACGCTTGGCGTGTCGTCGCCGCAATGTTGGCACGCCGCTGTCCGGGGCAGCGCCGGGTCCGACAGCAAGGCGGGGGTGTGTCGTAACACACCCCGCTGGGGCCCAATCGGGCGAGAGCCGAATGGCGTGTCTCGCGCACTCGCAGACGTATGTTGGCATCCTCCCCGTGACACCTCTCCCCCGCGCGGGACCTGGCTGTGCGACATTTCCCAGAGATGGAGGCCCTGCGCCACCGGACCATCCGTGGCGCTCCTCTCCGCCTGGCTGCCGCTGGTTTGATCGTCCTCGTTGCATGGATGTTGTTCAGCGGGTCGGGAACGCAGCCGGCCGCGGTGCCGCCCCAGACCGCGGACGCTGCGGACACCCGTCCGCTCGCGTGCGCTCCAGAGAGCCCTGCGCCCTGGCTCCACCTGGACGCCTACGCTCTTCTCTCCGCGAGTGGGGCCGAGATCGAGGACGGACATCCCTGGAACGGAGCCAACGTGCGCGTCCGCGGGAGCTCTGCGTCAGCGCGGGTCAAGAAGGGCCGGCGCGGGTACCCGTACCTCAGCCTCAGCGGGGCGCAGCGCAGCCCGGACGGCGAGGCGGCGGACGGCGCGTGGGTGCAGTTGCCGGCGGGCCGCAGCCTCACGAACGGCGGCGCGACCTTCGTCGGGCTCGTGCGGCTCAACTCCAACCTCGGGTGCGCACGCACGCGCACCGGACCCTCGAGGACGGTCTGCCGGCGCCCGCTGCACACCGACGGTGTCGCAAGGGTCGCCCGCGGCCTCTCGTTGCTGCGGTGCACCGAGCGGGAGTGCGTTCGTGCGGTTACGGTTGTGCAGGTGGGACCGGGTGTTCGAGCTGCGCACGGAGGGCGCGCAGGCGGCGTTCGAGATCCACCGCGACGACGCGACCGACGGGATGTTCTTCGTGTACTACCGCGCCGACGGCGACGTGGCCGCGCGGCCGACGTTCAGCATGCCGGGCGCCGCAGCGGCCTCCGCGGGGTGGCAGGTCGTCGCGATGGTCGTCACGCCTGAGGAGCTGCGCGGCTGGGCGATGCCCGCGGGGGAGTGGACGGCCATGACGGGCGCGAACGGCCTGCGCATGGCCGACGGCGAGCACATTGCAACCGCGCGGCTCGGGGCGTCGGCGAGCGTCAGCGCGGGCGACGGGCCGTCGGACCTCGACGTGCGCGAGGCGCTCTTCTTTGACGTCGCGCTCGACGAGGCCGAGGTCGTCGCGCTGCGGGACTGCCTGCTTAAAAAGTGGGAGGAGCGCTGAGTCAGGTGGCATCGATTTGGGGGGACTCGCGGCACCCGGGGGCGCGACAGGCGACGGCGGACGCAGCGCTGGCGTGTGCGGGTGAGCTGCCGCGCCCGCGGAGTGCGCTGCGGCCTCGCGTGGGGGGGCGAGATTGCGTGTGCCTGCGCTCTCCACGCCCGTCGTGCCGCGGTTGCGTCCGCGATTCTCGCCTGTGTCGCGCGGCACCGATATCTTCGTGGACTGCGGGCGCCGATTCCGTCTGTCGCGGCGGGAACGCATGACACGTTCCGCAGGTGAAATGAGCGCCTAAGGCATTACGATGGTCGGCCGACGAGACACCCCGCGGCGGCCTGCGGGGCTTCTTGAGGCCGAGCGGGCGACCCTGGTGCGCAATTGATTCCTCGAACCCTCGGACTATGCTGCCGAAGAGTGTATCACTGATTTCGGGACTCGCTAGGCCAACCATCGCTGCAAGCTTTGCCTCCCGCGCCTCTGCCCGCACGGTAAGAGCCCGAATGTTCGTAGTGACGCGCATGACTTGAACTCAATCAAGCATTTGTCGCTTTTCCAGCGTCAGAACACGCGTCAAACCGCAGATTTCGCACGAAGCCGTTCGGCACTTGCCACGGCGGGGCGCGACACCACATGCGTCATTTCCGCGTCCGAGCCAGCTCCGCGGATGTTTCCTTGCAATGTACCGCGCGTTTTGCGTTTCGCCGAAACCATGCGCGACCGAAGCAACGCGCAGGCACGGCCCTCGAGGATGGTGGCTGTACAGGCCTCCCAGGCGGAGGACGCGATGTCGGGGAAGCGCGTTCTGATCGTCGGAGGCGTTGCAGGCGGCGCATCTTGCGCAGGTGAGCGCCGCGAGCCCCGAGCGAGCCACAGCCGGGATTACGCGCCGCATCACGTCATGTCACTGACGTGTGGGCCGCGACCGGCCCTCGCGCCGCGGCGTCGATCCCCCGCGAGCGAATCCCTCGCGGCCGCTCGACACCACGCCCTCCCCGACCTGCCTGCGCGCGCCCCGTCGCAACACCGCGCGCCACGTCCAGAAGCCCAGCTCAGTGCCTGCCGCACCACAACCGCCCCCCACAGCGCGCGCGCGGCGGAACTCGGAGGGCGCGGAGATCGTGATGTTCGAGCGCGGGCCGCACGTGTCGTTCGCGAACTGCGGGCTGCCGTACTACATCGGCGGCACCATCGCCGAGGAGGCCAAGCTGCTGGTGTCCAACCCGGGGGTGTTCGCGAGGCGGTTCAACGTCGAGGCGCGCACGCGGCAGGAGGTCGTCGCCGTCGACCGCGCGGCGCACGAGATCGTCGTGCGCGACCTGGACTCCGGGAAGGAGTACCGCGAGAAGTATGACAAGCTGGTGCTGGCGCCCGGGTCCGTGCCGATCTGGCCGCGCTCGCTGCCGGGCATCGACCTGCCGGGGATCTTCTCCCTGCGCGACATCCCGGACGCCAACCGCATCAAGCAGCACATCCAGCAGCACAACGTCAAGGTAGGGACACAACCACGCGACACACAAACAACTCCGCCTTTCGTAGCCGAACAGCGCGTGGAACACACAGACACACACCGCGCCGCCGCCCGCGACCGCATCTTCGCGCCGCCGGTGTGTCACCTGGCCCCTCCGCCGCCTCTGCCGTCGCAGTCGGCCGTGCTCGTCGGCGCCGGGTTCATCGGCGTGGAGGTCGCGGAGAACATGAGGGAGCTCGGGCTCGAGGTGACCGTGGTGGAGGGGTCGTCGCAGATCCTGCCCCCGCTCGACCCGGAGATCGCGCGGCCCATGCAGCGCGCCATGGAGGCGCACGGGTGCAAGGTGGCCTGCGGGGAGATGGTGAGCGGGTTCGAGCAGCGCGGCACCGGCCTCGCGGTGCGCACGTCCACCGGCGCCGAGCACGTGGGCGACATCGTCGTGCTGGGCATCGGCGTCGCGCCCAACTCCGCGCTGGCCAAGGACGCCGGGCTGGGCGTCGGCGCGCGGGGGTCGATCGTCGTGGACGACTTCATGCGCACCGACGACCCGGACATCTACGCCGTGGGCGACGCGGTGCAGACGACGAACGTGGTCACCGGCGCGACCGGCATGTTCCCCATGGCGGGCCCTGCCAACCGCCAGGGCCGCATCGCCGCCGACGCCCTGACGGGCCGGCCCGGCGCGCGGCCGTTCCGCGGCGTGCAGGGCACGGCGATCTGCGGCGGCTTCGGCGCCGTCGCGGCGTGCACGGGCGCGAGCGAGAAGGTGCTGCGCGCCGCGGGGACGCCGTACCAGAAGGTCCACCCGCACCCCGCCAACCACGTGGGGTACTACCCGGGTGCGCAGCAGATGTCGCTCAAGCTGCTCTTCGCGCCCGACACGGGCAAGCTCCTCGGCGCGCAGGCGGTCGGCAGCGACGGCGTCGACCGCCGCATCGACGTCCTGGCCATGGCGCTGCAGGGCGGCATGACGGTGTTCGACCTCGAGGAGGCGGAGCTGTGCTACGCGCCGCAGTTCGGCGCGGCGAAGGACCCCGTGAACATGGCGGGCTTCATCGCCGCCAACGCGCTCCGGGGGGACTCTCCGCTGGCGTACTGGGAGGACGTGCTGTCGACTGACCTGACGCGGTTCGCGCCGAAGGAGGGCGGCGTGCTCGTGGACGTGCGCGAGCCGTCGGAGTGGGACGCCGGCCACGTGGAGGGCGCCGTCAACATGCCGCTGGGCGACGTGCGGAGGCGCGCGGGCGAGCTGCCGCGTGACGCGCCCGTGTACGTGCACTGCCAGGTGGGCCTGCGCGGACACAACGCGACGCGGATCCTGCGCAACCTGGGCTACGACGCGCGCAACGTCACGGGCGGCTGGAAGACGCTGACCGCGATGGAGGCGCCCGCGGGGGCCGTGCCGGCCGCCAAGGCCGCGCTGTAGCCGCGCCTCGGACAGGAGGAGAAAGGTGCTGGGCGGGCGCGGAGCGCGGCCACATCGGGAGCAGTTGACGCCTCCTGCTCGCTCGTGGACTCCTACTGGGGTGGGGGAGTGATGAGTTGTACTCATGGTGCAGGATTATCCTGGGTAGCAGTGCCGCACGGCCTTGTGAGACCGTGACTCGCACGGTGCTGCGTCACAACGCGTTCTGCAGTTGCGTCGCCTGCCACATCGTCGCGCGTCGATCTTCGATCGTCCCTCGACTCCCCAGGAAACGCGAAACCGAATGGCTGCGGTGGCAGTGCAGTGCGGGGCCCCCGCAGCGCGCCTGCAGTGCGCCAGGGCCCCCCCGCCACGCGTAACTCCCATCACTCATCGGCAACCTTGCGCGCTCAAGCACCGCGGGCTGCGGAACGTCCTCGCCAGGCGCGTCGCGTGTTGCGAGGCCCTCTCTTGTTCGCCCGGGCCTGCCCGACAGAGCCCGTCTCCGCGCTGTCCCGCTGTCTGACACGACGGAAGAGCATCAGAGCGACCCAACTCATGCTCGTTGGTCCGTTCCTGGCGTCGCAGGGCCGAGCGGCAGCCCATCATCGATGCGCCGCGCGAGGGCGAGGACTTGAAGGAGCCGTTGCCCGCGGGGCTGATCTCGGCGCAGGTCCGGAAGCCCCTGGGCATCGTGCTGGGCGAGCGCGGGCGCGGCGGCGAGGTCTTCGTTGAGGAGATCACTCCGGGCGGCAATGCGGAGAAGAACGGCGTGCTCAAGGAGGGCGACGTGCTGGTGCGGGTGTCCGCGACGATCCTGAAGAAGGACGGGGACCCGACGCTGGAGGAGGGGTACGGCGTGCGGCCGTACACGAACTGGCAGCGCGTGATGTTCGACTGCCGCGGCGTGGACTTCAACACGGTGATGTCGGCCATCGGGTCGAACAACGAGCGCTGGGGCATCAACGACGTGTACATGGAGGTGGTCCGGGGCAGCGCGGGCGCGGAGAAGAAGGAGGAGTGAGCGGGGGCGGCGTGCGTGGCGTGGGGGACCCCCGCACCGCTGCAAAGCAGCACCGCGCTGACGCAGGGGTGTGAGAGCTGCCGCGAACACGTAGCACCGCGTCATTCGGCTCGGAGGTGGCGCCTCGCCGTCGTGCCCTGGTGCGGCGAGGGGGCTGTCGTCGGGGAGCGGCGGGGGGCTTTCGCAGGCTACCCCCCCGGGAGGAGTGTTGCTTTGTTGCTGTTTCACGCCTTCGAGGGGCTCCCGCTGGCTCTACGCTGTGCATGCGGCATGCGCCAGGCGCTGTATCTGCATGGTGGGCGAGCAGGCCGCCTGGTTGGAGGGGTCTGTGCGAGGGCTGTCGCCATGACGAGTGGCGCAGCTGGTGCCGGTGCCGAGGACGCCCAGCACGTGCTTAAGAAGCGCCGTTTGAGCGCCTCGGGCGAAGCACCGGCTCAGGATCCGCGCGCGAAGATGTGGCTGCCGCGTGCGGTCCCTACGCGCGGCCCCGGGACCAGCGCTGCGGTTCCCCGCTCTGGGCCGTACGCGTTCGAGCAAGGCGGGACGGGCAGGCTTGAAATCAGCGAGGGATCGTGGGTGATCTACAAGTGAGCCCGATCACGCCCCGTGGCGAAATCAGCGAAGAATGACGTCGGCCTCCGCGTCCAGCGACGTGGCTCTCCGCCACCACTCGACTCGTGGATTGCACCGCTGTTCGCAGGCCGGGGTTCTTCCCGCCGGACGAGTGCAGGGAGGCGTTTGAAACGTTGCGGAAGGAGGTCAACTGGCAGCAGCGAGAGCTCACCATCGTCGGCAGGAAGGTGATGCAGCCTCGCCTGGTTGCGCTGGCCGCGGACGACCCGGACTTCCGCTACACGTATAGCGGCATGACGCTGGTCCCAGACGCCTTCCATCCCGAGGTTGACAGGCTGCGCCGTGCCGCGGAGGAGGCGTCGGGCGCGAAGTATAACTCCGTGTTGCTCAACTTCTACAGATCGGGGAAAGACCACAACAGCTGGCACGCCGACGACGAGTCGCTGTACGGAGAGAGCCCAACGATCGGTGCGCGCCGCCTCGACGTCAAGCACCTCCGCTTGCTTCGGCGCTAGCACTGAGGCAGCAGGCGCAGTGCAGAGCACATGAGTGCGCTGCCCGCGCAACCATGCCACGTGCCACATGCGGGCGTCGTCAACAGCGCCACGCCCGCTGTCTCTATGCAGCGAGCATCTCCCTGGGCATCCCTCGTGAGTTTCAGATGAAGCGGCGGGCCTCGCGGGGAGCGGCGGGCGACGTGAGCGGCCCGGGCACCCGCCTGACGTGGACCCTCGGCCCCGGCGACCTCCTCGTGATGGGCGGGCGCTGCCAGACGGACTGGCTGCACCGCATCCCGCAGCGCAAGCAGCTCGAGGGCGAGCGCATTAACCTCACGTTCCGCCTCGTCGTGGACCGGTAGCACAGCGCGGTACTCACAGCAAGACACCTGATTTCGGCTCAGCGCCGCAGCTGTGAGGTCTCAAGGCCGAAGACCACTCGTGTGATCGCCAGAAAGTGCGGGCAATCAGTGTATTAGTAGTGCGGTCTGTTCGGCATGCTGAAGTTCGTGTTGCCGATCCGGTCGGACGGGCACCCCGGGATCATGTGGTCGAACTTCTCCATGGCGCGCGCCTGCATCCCCGCGCCCTTCTCGCCCGGGAACGGCGGGTGCGTCGCCTCGCGCACGTCGTTCGGCGCCCCGAGCTGCGTCGCGAGCAGCGCGATCATCGCGGCCAAGCACGGGTCGTGCCCGTCGCGCGTGATCACGTCCGAGCAGTCCCCGGCGAACCACCCGCGGCCCTTGTCGACCTCCGCGACGAACATCGGCGACTCCCAAATCAGGTGGTAGTCGTTCTTCGTGCGGCTGTACCCGGCGTTCGGGTCCCCGCGCAGGCCCAGGGGCGTCTCGACCGCGCCCTGCCCGCCGTTCTCGTGCGGGCTGCCGCCCACCCACAGCCTGTACTTGAACGTCTTCATTTCGTGGTACACGGGGCCGTGGACGATGCGGGTGTCCACGCTGCCGTCGTTCGGATCGCGGTGCACCTCGCGCCGGTCCGTGCGGTAGCAGAGGCCCTTGGCCTTGACCTCGAGGTACGCCACTGCGACGAGGGGGGGTGTTTCGTCCCATCAGATTGGCGTGGCGCGGCGTGCAGTCGCTTTGCGCCTAGCTAGCCGAGCAGAGCGGCCCTGAGTCGCTGTGACAGCGATCCTGCGCGCTGCGTGCACGGGCGCGTGCTGCGGAGCGGGCGCGACGCTGTGGGGGAGCTCACGCGTGGTCATCTCGGAGATGGTGTTCTGCTCGTTGCTGCCGGCCTGCTCCTCGAAGCCGTAGAAGAACGGGCACGCCGCGCCGGCCTTGTTCTTCGGGCCCTTGATGACGGCGCGGTTCTTCAACACAAACTTGCACTTGTGGTGCAGATCGTCCACGTGCATGTCGCCGAAGTGCATCTCGCCGTCGCTGTCGTAGCACGGGTCGCGATAGTTGAAGAAGTGCACCTCCGGCTTGTACATGAACGCCCGCAGCAACAGCCTGCGCGGGAGGAGGAGGGGAAACAACGTGTGAGAGTATCGCGTTGCGGCGGGACGACGGGAACGGGGCATTGACACGCAGGCCTGGCACAGTGACTGCGTGACGGCCCAAGTCTGCGCCCCGCCCTCGGGGGTCTGTGGGTTGCGAGGGATGTAGAGTCAGGGCACGCACTTATACTCCATCTTGGGGTCGGCGGATGGGGGCAGGTCCGCCCTCGGAACTTGCTCGAACGTCCGCAGGGCATATCTGCGCGCGCGGGCGAAGTTTCGGGCGTGACGTCGCGGTCGACGTGGCAGCGAGACGCGATGGTTGCGGGCGGCGGTGGTTGCGCGTCGGACCTGGTGAACTCCCTCCATGATCCGTCCTTGTTGACTTGCAGCCAGAGAGGGTACTCTTCGGGGTTTCCTTGCAGATCACCGCGGCCCTTGAGCACCTGCACGCAGCGACGTGGCGGTGTAACTGCAAGTGGCAACAAACCGGCTCGGTGCACCGGTTCCGGCGCTCGTCTGTGCATACTCATGCATCATTGGCAACAATCATATGTAAACGACACCTTCGTACGACACGAGGCCCTCTAGCTGCGCGTTATGCCCTGGAAACTAATATGCATCAGGGAGCATCTCTCTACGCAGCGGCGGGTCGACCGAGGTCCCTGCGCGCCTCGCACTCCGCGCCCGTGCTCCTTCGGCCATGCTTGGTCGCGCAATCACGCGCAGTCCGCCTCCGCGGCGCGCCAACACCCCACACGTGAGACGCATGTCCTGGCCAGGCGCACCTTGAAGGCCTTGCCCTTGGGCTGGAAGTAGAAGTGCTGCGCCTGAACGCCCTGCGGCTCTGGGATGATCTCGTCCGGAGCATCGATCGTGCTGCTGCAGCACCCCATGGCGACACAGAGTAGTAATTGACCACCCGCGCACGAAACGAAATGCGGGTGTGCTTTTTCGACACCGCGCGGGCTGCAGCGAGGCAGCCAGACCTAGCGGCGAGAAAGCGAGCCGGCTGCCCGTGAAGGGTCGTTTCGAGCCTAGTGGTGCGCGTTGATCGTTGTTGCTGGACTGAGCAGCGACAGGGGCCCGTCACGCCTACGTCACCGCCACACGCGCGTCGCCGCGGACACCCCCCCGGACCTCGACACTGTCCAAGTGTGCAGCACACACAAGGAGGCACTGATACATCCGCGCAAGACGCGCAGCTCCGACGCAGCCACGGGGTCGCTCACAGCAGCGGGCCGCGCCGCACGCGCGTCTTCGGCCCGTCCTGGAGCAGCACAAAGAGGTTGCCCTTGTCGCCACGGCTGATCCGCATTTCCTCGTCGAGATAGGTCGTCTTCAGGAACCCCTTGGCTGACTCGGGCGCCTTGATGGGAATCAGAGCTGCACGGCGGGCCCCGCGACGGCAAGGCGTGTCAGGCTGCGCAAGGCGGCGCAGCGCAGGGCGTCCGCGCTCCCAGCACGAGCGGCGGGGTGGGGGGCGCACCGGCGATCTTGAACCACGTGAACTGCACGTCGACCGTGGCGGCGTCGTCGCGCGGGGTCAGGTCGGCCTTGACTTCGGAAAAGAAGGGGGGTCCTTCCAGGTTCTGCGCTAGCAGCTGTTCGCCGTCGATGATCTGATACGTCGGGCCTGCAGGGGTGGGGCGCGGGGGGGGGCACGGTGACGCGGGCGCGTGGCTGCGCGGTCTGCCACGTGCATGCGGGTTGTTTTGTTTCACTTTGGCATCTGGGGTTCAGAATCATACCTTTCGGGCGCAGGATTTCCGGGCGGTTCGCGCCGAGGATGGACTGGGACGTGGTGAAGACGAGCTTCCACTTGCCGCTGATGAGAGGGCTCTCCAGCGGCTTGGGCGTCGGGTTGATCTTCTCGAGGCGTTGCACCGCTGCCTCGACGCTGTCCAGGACCTCGGGCTGCAGCCGCGGCCCGACTCGAGCGCTCGAGTCAGTTGGAAACCGCGAAGCGATCGAACGATCTGAGATATGCGGCATCGCGCCGCGGCGGAGGGACTGCGAAAGCCAAGCTGCTTTTTCATCGCGCGTTCCACGCAATTACGCGAGCATCGTTCAGCTTCAGCGCGCTCATGGCCATAGAATGACTGTGTGACGAGGAACATGCGCGAGATACGCCGCGAGTCGCCCCGGGTGCTCGTTGCGGCGCCACAAGGCGTTGATCAATCGGAGGAGCTCCTCTCACCGGGCACTTGTATCCACGCTCGGTGTCTGCTAGCACCGCGAGGAGCTTAGCCTTGGCCTCGCATCGGGCTCCGGGCGTGGCCGCTGCGCGCACGACAGGGCGGGCCGCGCTCGGGTTTCGCGGCCCCGAGGGGCGCACGACGAAAGCGGCGCGCCCGGTGCCTCGCGACGGCGCGGACGCCCTGCCGCGCTGCACCAGCTGCAAGGCCTGCATCGCGCCTGGCACGTCTGGCAACACCGACGCCCTGACAGGGAAAACGGCACAAAGTGGGAGCTCTGGACTTTGCTAGCGGCCGCAGATGCCGTCTCCTGCGCAACTTTTCCCCCTTTCCTATCGTCCTGGAGCAATCTGTTGGCACTGGCGTCCCGAACGTGCCCACAGTAGCAGGCCTCCGTCACAGGCAGCGCCGGCGGGGGCCCAACTCCCCCCGTCATACCGTCCGTCCGTCACACCCCTCCCGGTCCCGCCTCCGCCCGCGCCTCCCGCCTCCACCCGCTCGCCACCTGCCGCCACGCCGCCGGCCCCAGCCGCGGCCACTGCCGCACCTCAAGCGCGCCCACCGTCACCCCACACGCCATGGCCGCGCCCCAGCGCGCGCCCGACACGCCCGTGACCCACAGCGCACCCAGCAGCACCGCCACGCCCAAGAACCGCGCCTGCGACGCCAGCAGCGCAGCCACGTGCCCCCGCGCGGCACTCCCGTCCCCCTTGACGCTCGTGTGTGCCGCGGGCAGCATCAGGGATCCGGCGAGCAGGACGGCGAGCAGCGGGATGGAGGAGACGAGCAGGATGGTCGACAGCGCCACGCCCGACAGCGCGTCCGCCGCCACGGTCGTCGTGCCGGCTGTCGCCGTGCCCGCGACCGCGGTGATGGTTGCCGTCGCCGACTCCTTGGCCTCCGCCAGCGCAAGCGCGTCCGGGAGGAGCTCCTCCAGGAAGCCCTGCGTGCCCCTCACGCCCGCTGCAGTACATCGACACGGAGACACGTCCGTCGTCAGCTTGCATCAGTGCATCTGATGCACTGATGTCGAATCGACAACACGCGCACTGCAGGGGGTGCATGTGCGGGCCCGCTCGCGGGAAACCGGCGCGCGGTTCGGGGCCGCACCCTTGATTGCCAGCCACATCGTCGACGCGGCGTCCCGGATGCCGCCGCCCGGGACGTCGAGCGCCACGAAGCCCACCCGCAGGAGCAGCATTGCGGCGGCGATCGCCATGGGCTGCGCGACGAATGCTCCCACCGCCCACTGCGGCCGCCGCGCCGCGCCTCGAAGGCCGCCCCGCCACAGGAACGACGCCCGCAGCCCGCCGATCCCCGCCGTCGCCGCGGCCAGCCACATCCGCAGCATCGACGCCCACCACGGGCCCACGTCGTACATGGCCAGCAGCGGCACGATCAGCGCCGCGGAGCCGAACACCACCGCGCCTACGATCCACCCCGTGCCGACCGTCCGCAGCGCGTGCGCCGCCTGAGACTCCCGGAGGAGTATCCACGTGCCGGACAGGACCTCGCGGACGCCCCCGACGGCCCCGCGGGTCTGCCCCGCGACCACGCACGCAATCGCGTACCCACGCAGGGCGTCCAGCACGCCCGCGACCGCCGCGATCGGCCGCCGCCCCGCCACACCTGTCAGGTACCGCCACAAGTTGCCCATCCGCAGCGCCAGAGGCGGCGAGCGCGCGCCCTCCTCGTCCGCGCCGCCGCGAATGCGCTCTATCGCTGCGAGCGCGCGGTACTGCACGGCGTGCGGCCAGCCGTCCGCCGCGAGCGCAGCAGCGCGCCGCTCTTGCATGACGGGGTGGTGTGGGTTCACGACGACCTCCGGCGCCGGACGCGTCACCAGCGCCCTCCGCAGGATCTCTGGCATCCGGGGCGCGCGGTACGCGGCGGTGTGCAGCGGGGGATCCATCACGCCCGTCGCGGGCAGGATGCGCTGCAAGACATACGGCCACGACGGCGGGCCGACCTGCGCCGCGTACCACGCGAGCGCCTGCGTGGCCTTCAGGGGCGGGACGCCGTCGCGGATGGCGTGGCGCTCGGCGGCCTCGAGCTGCTGCAGCCCCAGGTCTAGCGCGCTCTCACCCAACCGCCTCTCTAGCACCTCCAGCGCCGGGATCTCGCGCGCGACCCTGCAAGCCGCTCCAAAATGTCAGCACAATTGTGTTCTCGGAGCGGTGGCGTGTCGGTGCGACGTTCACGTGTGGAAATGCGCGCAGCGACGTGCGTGTTGGGCGGCAAGGCGCACCGTCTCCGGACCTCCGAGTCCGGCAGCCCGAGCTCCGCGAGGAAGTTCCACCGCCGCTGCGCCGACCTCGGCTGCCACCCGTCGGGCCGCAGGTCCGTCAGCTCCGCGGACGCGTGCACTGCCAGGCGCACGTAGTCCTGGTTCGTGCACCGGCTGCAGCGCAGCACGTGCTCGTACTCCTCCACGAGCTGCGCGTACGCGCACCCGCCGCCGTCCTCCGCCCCGTTGTGCGCCCTCACCGTCGCGGCGAACGCGGCGCCCACCTCGGGGCCGGCGCTGTCCTGCGCTGGCCCGTCCGAATCCGCCCCCGACAGCGAGGACGCGATCGAGCGGCGGTGCTTCGCGCCGAACTCGCTCCCGCGGAGGCGCCTCCACACCGCCGCCGCCTCGCGCCGCGGCGCCGGGTGCAGCAGCAGCCCTGCGGTGGCCAGCGGAAGCAGCGCCTGCGCCGTCGCCTGGATCGCGGGGACCGTCTGGGCGGCCCAGGCCATGAGGATCGACGTCGTCCAGGCTTCGGCGCGCGCCAGCACCAGCGAGAGGTCCCCGAGGAGGTCCATTTTGATCGACGTGATCAACATGACCGCGACGTCGCTCGGCTCCTTGTCCGCGACGTCGACGCCGGAGAGCGCCGAGATCTTGCCGGCGAGGGAGGCCTTGAGCATCGAGCGCAGGAGCGTCGCGGCGGACCAGCGCTTCCACCACTCCAGGACGCCGTCGACGACCGCCAGTGCGCTGAACAGCGTGGCGTCGGCGCCGAAGATGACCGCGGGCAGGAAGAGGAGCGCGAGGTACCGGCCTGAGCCGCGGGCTGCAGAGGGCGGCGGTGGGGGGCGGCCGACGTGTCACGGGCGGCGGCGAACCACGTAGCTGTGAGGCAGGAGGGCCGGGCTGGGAGTGCAGGGCGTTGGGTTTCCGTGAAAACGAACCTTTCGATGCGAACGGGTCGTTGTGGATATGTAGACGATCGTGGGACCGCAGCATCAAGCGTCTGCGGCGGTCGCTGAGCGTGGGCCCGGGCCTTTGATACACGAGGCCTTGGGAACTCGATCTATCAGGTTTCCCGGGCCGCTGGCCAGAAATTGCTCCGTTGGCTCCGTTCCCTGTATACTGTGCCTCCTTCGGGCCGTAGTTTCGGTCGCGGTTCTGCGTCGACGTCCTCTCGCTCACCGAAGTCTTGCCTCGGCGCCTAGCCCGGGCGACGCCGTGCGCGCCTCCCCGGGCGTCCCCGCCAGATGCGTGGCCCAACCGCTGGGCAATCATCGGACGGAGCGACCGCGGGCCGCGTGACGCCACGCCCGCCGTCGAGGGCGCCAGCGGCCGTCGATGATGCACCACAGTGGACTGCTGCTGAAGGGGGAACCAGCGGGAAGCCCGGCAAACGCACGCGTCAGATGACGCGCCGGCGCCGTGGGCGCGGGCACAGTGCGTGTGCCGCGCGGCAGTGTGCATGCTGTTGCGCGTCCCTGGCTGCCTGCAGGACCTGCGAGTCCTTGGCCGGAGCTAGTGCGCGCTCCCGACGACTAGCGACCGTGTTACCACCTAGATGTAACGAAGCTCATGGTGGATGTGCGTATTCGCGGCTGATTTGGTCGCCCAATTCGATGGTGCGCCGCGCCCTGCTGCAGGAAGGGGTCTAGCTCTCTCTGCTTCCCTTTTGCTCGCACGTCTCCACCTCGCTGTCGTCACCGCAGCCTTCTACCGGCCGCCAAGCTTGCCACCAGGACCCGCCATCCTCCCCCCATCTCGCCGCTCGCACCTCCGCCGCCTCTGTCGGCGACACCACCCACATTGATGATGGAATCATCAATTCACAGCCCCCCCCCCCCAAAAAAAAGGCTCGACGCCCGCTCACCGCACCATCCGCTTCTCCATCGCCGCCGCCGCGTCCCTCAGCAGCGCCTTCTTCTCCCGCCGCGCCCGCACCGCGAGCACCGCCCGGTCTTGCAGCGCCTCGCTGTCCGACACCCCCCGCAGCAACGCGTCGTCCTCCTCCAGCGTCGTGCCCATCGCCTCCAGCTCCGCGCGCACCGCCCCGACCAGCGCCTCCCCCAGCACGCGCTCCTGCTCCCTGCTCCCCTTCTGCACAACTGCCTCCGCGCCCTCTGACGCAAGCCGCGCCTCGTCGCACGTGAGGATGCGCGCGACCTGCAGCGCCGGCCGCTGGAAGCCGCTGCGTGCGATCTCCGCGCGGGCGGCCGCGTCGGCCAGGCCGGCTTGCTCGATGGCTTGCATGCGGGCCGGGGTGGCGGCGTGCCCCTGGGCGGCGAGGCGGTCGGCGAGCGACGTCATCGTGTACAGGTCCGCGGGGTTGCCCTCCTCGAGGAAGCCGTAGAAGAGCATCAGCTGGTCGTTCGTCTTCTCGCCGTAGGAGATCTGCGCACCGTCAGACGAGAATTCCTATCTATCTGTGAGCAAATGCCTCATGTAATCGCCGCCCGACTGCTGCCGCCGCCCGAGCCTCGCGGGCCGGCACGGAGGCAGCATGTCGGCACGACGCGCTGCCCGGGCGAGGCCGTTGCGTGTCGCGTCGGTGCTGGCGCGCACCATGAGTTGCTGTCCCGGCGGCGGGACGTCGCCCACTTCGAGGGTGAACGAGTCGGTGAAGTACTGGTACGCGACGTCCGACTGCGCGCCCGTCACGTGGTTCGCCAGGTCGATCATCGGGCACATCGCGTACCACTTGAGGCGCGACGAGAGCGAGTAATCGTAAATCAAGTTGAACACAAGAGCAGAAAGGAAGCCGTTCAGGGCCTCCTGCAGCCCCACGCCGGCCAGCACGGCGCCCAGGGCGAGGAAGCTCAGCACGCCCGCGAGCTGGGCCCGCTCCTGCAGCGAGCGCCCGCTGTACGGCCCGCTGAACAGCCGCGACTGCACTGCCTGCATGGCCCACTGCACCTCCGACAGCGACGCCGCCGCGCCGTGCGGCGACAGGTCGTCGAACATCCTGCGCGGCGGGGGCGCGTGCACGGGGGAGCTCGTCGGGACGGCCGGGCCGGCGAGGTCGCGGACAGGCGCGACGACATGAACGGGAGACGTGAATTTACTTCTTCCAACTTGTCGCCATCTTGCGACTCTCCGCGACCAGGTAGGGGCACTGGAGGCGCTTGAGGTCCTGCTCGGACCAGGTCGCGGTGGAGTCGTACGTCTCGGGGAGGTTCTCGATGTACGCGTGGAGCCGCGACTCCGCCCCGCGCCGCTTCTCGTGCAACAGCACCACCGCCATCTTGCCTTCAGGACTCAGGGCTTTCCAGACGTCCTGCGACGTGTTGAGACCCGTTCTGTTCTACCGGAGGACGGAGCCTGTTGGTATGCGCCGGGACACGAGCGCAGGAAGCCGATGGCGTCTCCGTCGACGGAGACGGGGCAAGTGCAGCGCTCACCTTGGGCAGATCAGGCACCGGGCATTTCGCGAAGGGAACGACGGTCAGGGCGCTCTGGAACGGCACCGTCACGATGTCTACGCCGTCTGTGACGGGATCCTTCACCCCGAGGCCTCTCAAGCCCGCGAAGTTCGCCGGCGCGACGGCAGGGGCCTTGATCCCTGCCGCTGCGCACCATTCGAGGAACCTCGACGTCTTCGCATCCGACAGGTACGCAGCCTTCGGGCTCTCCTGGCTCGGTCTGACCGGCGGCCGGGTCGCGGCCCGCGCCCGCCCCGCTCTCCCGCCGCGCTTGCCCGCCTGGCGCCCCGCGCACAGCGGGCAGCGCGAAACCTGCATCGTGCGACCGAGACGACGCACAACTGCGGTCGCGGCCGACTCTCCTGCAGCGATGCCCGCGTCAGCCGCAGCTCCACCGAGAAATCCCCCCCGGTCGGCGCACTCAGGTACAACGGCAAGGCCCTGCCACTCAGAGTAGTAATTGACCAGCCACTCCCCGGGGGGTCTCTCGCTTGCTCCACGAGTCTCACAGGGCCAGGCGCGGCTCGCCAGGCGGTCTCAGCTGGACATGGCCATCTCGATCTGCTCGAGCGACTTGCCCTTGGTCTCGATGACGAAGGCGCGCACGTACGCAGCCCCGGCCGCGCACACCGTCGCGAAGAACATGTACACGGCCGGGACGCCGAACGCCTGCACCGCCGCGAGGAAGAACTGCCCGATCGCGAAGTTCGTCACCCAGTGCACCCCCATGCACCACGCCACGCCCGACCCCCGCACCCGCGCAGGGAAAATCTCCGACGACAGCAGCGCGGGGCACGGCCCGGCGCCCAGCGCGAACGCCAGGACGTACCCCAGCGTGCCCACGAGCGCGATCGGCGCCGCGAGCGGCGCCAGCGCCGGCACCTGCATCGACAGCGCCTGGAGGATCATGCACGCAGACATGCCGAGGAGCGACCCGGAGAGGAGCTGCACGCGCCCGGCCTTGTCCATCAGGCCGCCCGCGACGACCGTGCCGAGCACGTTCACGAGCCCCACGGCCGCGGACGCCGCCGTCGCCGACGCCACGCCGGCCTTGCTGAACACCGCGGACGAGAAGTACACGATCGCGTTGATGCCGCCGAACTGCTGGATGAGGAACAGCATGCCGCCGATGACCGTCGCCTTGCGGTACTTGGCGAACAGCTCGAAGAACGACCCGGACGACGAGTCCGACCCCGCGCCGGACTCCCCCCCCTGCAGCGCTGCGTCCGAGCCCCACAGCTTCTCCGCGGCCTGCGCCGCCTCCGCGGCGCGGCCCTTGCGCTGCAGCCACCGCGGCGACTCCGGCGAGAGCAGGAGCATGCCGAGGCCGAGCACCGCGGCGGGCACCATCGCCGCGCCCATCATGGTGCGCCACGCCGTCGCGGGGAGCACGACGTTGATGACGAGCGCGCCGAGGATGCCGAGGCAGATGGAGAGCTGGTTCGTGCTGCCCAGGGCGCCGCGGATGGACGGCGGGGACACCTCCGAGATGAAGAGCGGCACGAGGGCCGACGCAATGCCAATGCCGAGGCCGGCGATGGCGCGCCCGGCGAGCATGACGTTGAGCGACGTCGCGGTGGCGCAGAGGAACGCGCCGAGGAAGAGCGGCACGCTGTTGGCGATCAGCGCCCTCTTGCGGCCCAGGGAGTCGGCGAGAGACCCGCCTGCGCAGCGAGGGTTGGGCCGGGGGGGGGTCGTTGGGGGGTGTTCTGCCGGGGGGCGTCGCGAGGGGCGGAGGGTGGGTAGGGGGCGGGTTGTGTTGGGGGTTGGGTGGGTTGCCGCACCGGTGAAGCTGCCGATCGCGGCCCCGGCAAGGACCGTGGAGACGATGCTGCCCGTTTTGGCCGCGTCGCCCGCGATCCCGAGGTCCGCTGCGAGCACCTGCGTTGAGGAGTGCGTGAGGGTGGCGTGACCGGTCGGTGGGAGCCTGCGAGCCGCGGGGCTGCGCGGCGCCCGCTGCCCTAGCACTCGCAACCGAATGTGGGAAATGCGACGACGTCCCGGGGTCAAGCGCGGCCAGATCGCTGAGAACGATTCCCCTAAGATAGCACGACCGAGCAGCGGGAAGAACAGCGCGGCGATGCGCAGCCAGGGCCGGTGCCGGAGCCGGAAGCCATCGTGCGGCATCTCAAGCACCGCAAAAGCACCAAGCGCCGGTCGAGACGGGCTTGTGCGTGGGTCCGGGGAGTGACACAAGCACTGCCGCGAGGGAGAACGGCGCAGACGCGTCGGTCGCACCTCCAGGGGTCCGTTGATGACGCCCAGATGGTAACCGAAGGCGAACGCGCCCATCGCGCTGATGATGATGGGCACGATGACCCCCGCGAGACCCTTGTCCGGGACCTCGCCGCCCTCGGCCGGCGATGCTGCCGCTCGCGCCGCGAGGAGGGCGCCGCGTTCCTCCAGATCGCCACTGCTGCTTCTCTGCGAACCCATCTGCGACTAACCAGGGACACCGCGCCTCGCCCGTGTGCGCCGTACCTCTGCTCCCAAGTGCGACTCCTCCGCGCTCCAGTTCCTCGTGTACGCAATTCGGGGCCGGAACCGGCGAACGCTTCCGCCCAGGACGCGGAAACCGGGCGAGGGAGCAGCGCGGTGGAAGTTGCAGCTTGCCTGGGGGGTCCCGGAGCCAGGGACGCGCTTCCGCGGCCCCGATTGGAACATGCGGGTGTTGGCGTGTCCGGGCGCCGGCTGACTGGCGCGCGAAACGGCTGCAGCGCGGCGTTGCGTCGCGCCCACTGCCCGGTTGGTGCGCGTCGTCGGTCGTGCGAGCATCGTCCTCGTCGCCGAGTGCCGCGCAACCGCCTGTCTGTGCGAGGTTCGAACAGCGCGATCCAGGACGCTCCTCTGTTCCGCAGCGCAACGCGCGCACCAGCCAACGTGCCGTGTCGGTGTCATCATGGGGGGAGGACTGAATCGTAGATCCCCCCGGGGGACACGGTGCCGGCGGGCGAGGCCGTGCATCTTCGAGGGCGGCCCAGTCTCCTCGAGACACTTCCGCTGACGCCCCGAGACGCCGTTCTTCGACCAGCAACAACGCAGAGTGTCTTGACAGTGCCATGTTCGCCACACAGCGCAGGATGACGACGCGGTGCCTGCCGCTCTTGCTCGCAGCCGTGCTGCTGCTGGCGTCGTCGGTGCACGGCCGAGGTGAGGGGCGGCGCTGGTCGCTCTCACGTCCGCGGCGGCGCCGTGCTGTGCACCACGTGGCTGCAGCAACACGTCACAGCGTGTGCCGCGGTTGCAGAGACGCGGGCGCGGGGGATGGCGGTGGACATCGGCGAGGTTGTCGTCAAGAACGTGCGGCGCGGCAGCGTTACGATCGAGGTGCGCGCCAACACGGCAACTGCGCTCACAGCCTCGCCATGTGCACAACCGCGGGGGACGCGACCGCGCTGCGAGCCGGCGCTGTGCGCAGGGCGGGGACGACAAGAAGATCGTCATCGAGGACGACGGCTGGTCCGTGAACATCGAGGGCGGGAGCCTGCTCGCGGACTGGGGGGCGCGCGAGCGCGGCATCGGGGTGATCAACGTCGCGTTCCCGGAGGGCGTCCTCTACATCGACGAGGACGGCGCCGGGAAGCTGAAGGTCGGGGGCGAGGAGTGGACGTGGACGCTCGACGCGCGCGGCGAGGTTGTTCTCAGCACGCTGCCCGCCATGGACCCGCTGCCGTAACACGCCTGGTGCGGGGCGAGCCGAGTGCCTGTTGCGGTTGCGTGCTCACATGCGCGCCGCGCGGAGCGCTGGCTGTGGCTGCCGGCGCCCAGGCGCGGCCAACCTTGGTCAAAGTAGATAGATGTGGGAAGTCACGACGGGTCGCGCAGGGCGGTGCCGCGGTTCGCGCGCAATGTACAATCGAAGCGTGTGAGCGGTCGGAGGCCCTCGCCCGCCGAGGTGGGGTAGTTGCGTGTAGGAGTGGGGTACCTGTCCGGGCTGGTGCCTCGGCGCACCCAGGGCGGCCAACGCGCGCTGCTCGCTGGTCAGAGCGTGACGACGACCAAGAAGTAGGTCAACAAGATAGACAGCACGCTCCCGATCAGTTCGTACGTCACGGGAATATGCCCGATATAGATCCCGGTTGCGCGCTCGTTGATGGTCGCCGCGAACATGATGACCTCCGTCATCGACTTGAGCGTCGTGTGCTCCGCCACCTCGTCCTGCGCGCCGGATGCCAGACCCAGCAGCTCCTGCGCGGAGACAACGGGCACGGAGGACGCGGACACGTCGTGCGGAGGGGATCGTTGCGGCGCAGGGGACGTCTCCGGGCAGTGCAACGTGCTCGCACCTGGATGCGGGGATCCATGAGCTCTCGCAGCACGCTCCGGCTCGCCTCGGAGAGCCTTCCGGCCTTGTAGGCGACCCACGTGAGGATGAAGACCCCCGACGCGAGCCAGAAGAGCGTGAGGAGGAGCGCGGGCACCGTGAACAGCGCGGCGAGCTGCAGCACGTTGAACATGAGGAACACGCCGAGAGGGAGATGGAATCCGAAGACAGCCGCCGTGTAGAGGTGCACCTGTTTGGCGAACTTCTCGGTGATGATGCTGCAGACGTGTGTGGGCAGCGCGCATGGCGTGGGGCGGTTTCCGTGCAGAGCCGGCGGTCGCTCTGCACGCCCTCTACCTCGAGCGCGGCGCAGGCTTGTCGATCATGCCTTCGCGGCTGCAAGGAACGGCAACGAGTGGACGCCCCGTGGGGACGTGGCTGCGGCACCGTGAGGAGCTGCCCGCACCTGACGTCGGCGTGGCGCAGCTTGATGTCGTGCACGGATATCTTGGGCCCGGGCGCCGGAACTGCGTCCCCCGCGGCCGCCGCGGACGCCCGCGCGAGCGCCGCGATGCGCCACCTTGCGAACACCACGAAGCGCTTGGCCATGCCCTCGAACTCGTCGGCGAGGGCCTCGGCGGCGATGGACACGGGGACGAGCGGGAAGATCCACGCCGCCGTGTTGATGGCGAAAATCGGCATGAAAATGATGGCCCACATCCACAGGCTCGTGAGCGAGTCAGTACACCCCTTGATGCCCGGACAGACCAAAACACGGACGTACTGCGCGCAGAGGCGTCGCGGGGGATTACGTGTCGGTTCTTGCACGCGTTTGCATTCCAGCGCGCTCGGCCCCGGCGCAGTGCGTGTTGGTGTGCCGGCCAGCCCGCTGGCGTGCAAGCAGGGCGCGAGAGGCGGTCACCTCGAGCGTGTCGGCCTCGGGGTCCTCTCCGTTGGCGGTGGCGATGACGAGCAGCGCCACCGACAGCATGATGTTGAACAGCCAGAAAAACACCGCAAGCGCGATGCCCACCCGAAGCCGCAACCTGACGCGCCGCGCAGACCGCCGGGGGCTCTCGAGGAGCGTGAACAGTTCCTCGAGGTCGCCTGGGCCCCAGTTGATCGCGAACACGGGGAGCGCGACGACACAGAAGGTCATCCACAGACACGCCACCACAGCGGACTGCCACGACACGCGGAGGTCGCCCTCGAGCTCCCGAGACCAGCCCACAATGCACCGGAGCAGGTTGGCTGCCTGCGCAACGGAGAGGCGCTGCCACCTCGGTTGTTCGCGGCATGTACTGCAGCGAGGTGGGGGGGGGGCTCAGCAGGCGAGGACGTGCGCGGTGCCCTCGCGAACCAACGCGAAAGGAAGCCCGCCGCTTGGTTCGTCTGAGACTGAAACTGCACGCAGGGCTTGGCGAAGCACGGTGTGCCTGTGCTGTCGGGCACACATCTGACGTTGCGGGGCGTACGCACCAGCACCAGCGTCAACACGGTGGTCAGTCGCCCGGTCCCGATCTTGTCCCAGAACGTCGCGCCCCTGCGCCGCGAGCGCGAGACGGTCTTCGTCAGGGCGCCGACGGTGATGCGCGCTCAACGAAGGCAACGGCACCGGGGGGGCTCAGGGCTGACCTGGCTGTGCAGAGGCACCCTCCGTGGCGCGGCCGATCGTCGGTAACGAGCCCTCGCAGCTCCCACGACCGAAGTCCCTGCGCCAGCGTCTCTTGCACGGTTTTCCGGCCTGACGTTGTCATGTGTGTCAGTCCGAAAGCTGGCCGGGCGCTCGCGGACGGCCCGCCGCCGTCGCTGCTGTCCGACGGTCGGTCCGCCGTGTCGTTCAGCACCCGGCGAATGACCCCGCGGACCACGTCCAGCGGTCCTTGTCCCTGCTCTTCCTCCCCATCACACTCGCCCGCCCCACGCTTCTTCTTGCACGCCTTCTCCGCGCATTTTCGCCTCCTGCGGTGGATTGCGAGCTCGTGCGTCCGTGAGGCCGGCCCTGTCACCGGCTCATGAAGGCGCAAGGTTGTCGCGGGGGCGTTGAGACACTGTGAAGGGAATCAGGGTCTCCACGCTCCTCACCTCTGCTTAGCCTGCCAGCAGAGACACCGGTGGTCGGTCAACAGACCAAAGAACGCTAAGAGACGCTCCAACTTGTTGAGCGTCCCCCGCAGCATCGCCCAGTCGCTTTCCAAGCCCTTGATGCTGTTGCTGCGCGCCACCTGGTTCGCCGTGAGTCCAAGGCTAGGGCCGTGCGCGCGCACCATCTCCGCCGCCTCCTCCGGCAGGTCCGCGAGGACACCTTCATGGTGCGCCGCCTGCAGCACCACGTCTGCAAAGCGCGACCCTGCGGGCATTGGCAGTGGGGCGCGAGCCTGGGCCCGGGTGCGCGGCTCATGCGGGGAAGAACCGCTCGCCCGGAGATGACGGCGACACTGAGTTTCTCAGCCTGGGCGTCGGCCGCGCGCAACGGTCCGCGTCGAGCGGCGCTAGCGGTCTGTCTGGATGCCCAGACAGTCCCACGCCTGATTCAGGCGGAAACGAATACCACATGTCCCGAAGCCGCCACACGCCCTCAGGAGACCGGACACCGCCTTTCCCGACGCGCCCGACTCGCGTTCTCCTGTTGCTGTGTCGTCATCATGCCTTCCGTGGCCTTCTCCGGCGCCCGCGTGCCCCTCGCGGGGTCGCGGCACGCGTCGCGCCGCGCGATGCGCACCACTGTTCGCGCAGAAGGTGCCAGCATGGAGGTGAGCGCGAACGCGCCGCGGGGCACTCCCCGTTTCCGCAGCTCGCTTGCTCCACCGCACCTTCTCTCCTCCTCCCGCCGCTGCAGCAGGCGCCACATCTCGAACGATTCGCGGCGCCTCCCGCGTCACCGTGCTCGCAGAAGGCGCCCTCGATGCCGCTCGCGGGCAACAAGTACGCCCCGTTCACGGTCGGGGAGGGCCAGATGGGCAGCGTGGGGTCCGCCGCGCTCATGCCGGCGTTCCGCCTCGGGTCCGGCCTCTTCTGCATGGGGTACAAGAGCGAGCTCGTGGACGACGACCCGACGCAGTACGCGGTCGCGCGCCCCAGCGGCAAGATGGTGAAGGAGACGTCCATCGTGGGCACCTTCCCACGCCCCGCGCAGCCCCTCGTCATCTACGAGGTGCGTCCAAGCGCCCCGCACGCGAACACCCTACCAATACCTTCACACTGCCGGCGTCACGCGTCCACGCCAGCCCCCGCACTTGCCGTTTCGGCACGGGCTGTGGCGCCGCGACGTTGCTTGCGCGCGCTTTCAATCCCCCCACGCGCTCGCGCCGGCCCGCCCGCTCCTCCGCAGTTCGAGACGTGCCCGTTCTGCCGCCGCGTCCGCGAGGCCTGTTCGATGCTCGACCTCGACGTCATTTTCTACCCCTGCCCAAAGGAGGGCCCGACGTTCCGCCCCGAGTGCGTCGAGAAGGGCGGCAAGTCGATGTTCCCGTACCTGGAGGACCCCAACACGGGCGTCGCGATGTACGAGTCGGCCGACATCGTCGACTACCTCTTTGAGAAGTACGGCGGGGGCAAGGGGACGGCGCCGGGGGGCCTCAACTCCGGCCTGATGCCCTTCTCCGCGATGCTCGGGCTCTCGGCGCGCGGCGGCAAGGGCGGCTCGTACGACTCCGCGGCGGCCGGCCCGGACCGCAAGACCATGAAGCCCGTGGTGTTCTACGGGTACGAGGCCAGCCCGTTCGTCAAGGTGGTGCGCGAGCGGCTCAACGAGCTCGAGATCCCGCACCTGTACAAGCACGCCGCGCGCGGGAGCCCCAAGCGGCAGCAGATCTTCGAAGGTGCGCGCACGCAGCTGCGCCCGCTGCCCACGGGGCGCTGAACCGAACTGAAGTGACCGCCGCGAGGCGGGGGCGTGCACACTGCGCCGCAGCGGCTGGCACCTCGCATGCCCGACGCTTCCGCCGCGGCTGCGCAAGACAGCGCAAAGCCGCTGTCGAACACTGTGGGTGTTCGTTCTGCGCTCTCGTGGCCCCCGTCGCGGCGAAACCGACGGGTTCGTCGCGTGATGTTGTGCAGAGTACGGTGCGTTCCAGGTGCCGTTCATCCAGGACCCCAACACGAACACCGCTATGTTTGAGAGCACCGACATCCTGGCCTACCTGGACGCCACCTACGGCCCCGGCGCGAAGAAGCAGGAGTGATGGCGGCGCTCACATGGCTAGCATTGTGAGGCACACGCGCACGGCAGTGCAGGCGCGTCACACCCCGTACCAGAAGTGCGCTACGAGCACCACGCCAGCCGCGAAGATGGGCACCGCCGCGACCAGCAGCAGGGGCTCCGCCGCCTGGCGGATCACGTGCCCGAAGTGGTCCGTCATCAGCAGCCCGAGCAACACAACCACCGCGATCGTCGTCCTGCAAGCACGGCCACCCGACCCGGCAGCGCCACGATGTGAGGGAACGCTGGCCTCCTGCAGCGGCGGGAGAGGCCCGCGCGCACGCAGCAGCAGCGCCGCGGCGCAGCGTGCGGCTCACCAGATCAGGATGTCCTCCACCAGCTGCTTGTCCTGCCGCTCGCGTCCCTTCCGGATCCTGCGCACCATCTTCTTCGCCGGCCCCACGTGCCCGCACTCCTCCTCCAAGTGCCACTCCATGTCGTCGCGCAGCACCGGCCCGCAGTCCTCGCCTCCTGCGGGGCGCGAAGAGACACAACTCGGGAACGAGTAGCAAGTAGGTGCACAAGCACTGCCGCTTCCGTGCCAGCGGCGGGCCGCACCGCGCGCGCGACGCACAGCCGCCGCGGCGCCTCCTGTGGCAGGGGCGGCCGCGCCCTGGGCACGAGCGGACGGGCGCGCCACGCGCGTCGAGCGCACCTAGGGGGCACACGGTGGGCGCGGAGCCGCAGGTGCGCAGGTGCGGGCGTCTCATGCCGAAGCGCAGGACCTCGGGGCAGCCGTCGGGGTCCTCCTCCCATCCGTCGTCGCCCAGCTTCACGCCGTACGGGCACAGCACCTCGAGCTCGTCGACCATGGAGCGCGCCAGGAGGTTGGAGCTCAGCTGGGCCTCCGTCAGAGGTTTCCGGGCCGCGGGGTCCGTGCCCGACTTCCTTATCTCGGTTAAAATGCACTCGAAACAGAAGGTGTTCCCGTGGGCCGTCACCGTTGCGTCGCGGAGGATGTCGCGGCACAGGGGACACAGGAGGTCGTCCGGGGGCGGCTGGGCGAAGACGTAGACCATCGCTTCGCCCGTCTCGTCGTTCTCGATGTGGACGTGCGTCGCCACGCGCCCCTTGTCGTCCGGAGCGGGCGCGCCCGACCAGCTGGACGGCTTGCTAGCCCCGGAGCCTTGGGCGCCCTCATCGACCCTCCTGCGGACCTTGTAGGCCCCCCGCTTCGGCGGCATCGAATGAACAAGAGCGTCCTCAGAGAACGGCGGGGCCGTCTGAAGTGAGTGGCGCCGCGTCAGCTGTCGGCGTGTCGGTTTCAACCTCCCTTGTCAAAGAGGCAACACACAGCCCGAACCGCGGGGATCGCCATTGGGCAGGCTAAGCAGAAAGTCCCTACGTTCTCAGCAAGCGCGTCCGCCCGCGCGCTAGAGCCGCGAACCCTCGTACATGACTCACGGGCCGTGTATCACCGCAGGCTACTTCCCGCAACACGCGCCAGGCTGTGCGCTGAAAAGCTACGTATACTTGCTCAACGAGTTACCATATGATACTTGCGTCACGCGCCCTCTGCGAGCGCCCCCCATGATCCGTGTGCGCGCGGCCCCTGAGTCATTCCAAGACATCTCTCTGAGCCTCGCCCCCACTGGGGTTGCGCTCATCGGCCCGAGGCGCTGAGGTGGGAGCGGACAGCCTCTTGGAGGATTCTCGAGGGGTCTCGGAACGCTTCAGCTCGAATCATGGACGTTCCAACGCAGGCACTGTGCTCGTGGCAAGGACGGTCGGTGGTTCTCACGGGCGTCGAGGTCGCACAGGACGTTGCGCGCCGCGTGGCCGGTCCTCTCTCTACGGGCGATGTGGTGAGTGGCCTTCCACGTCCCGGGAGCGTTCGGACGCGACTCGCGCGGGGCGTGAAGTTTCCAGGGGCACCTCGCGCCGTCGTGACCTGCGCGGGCGGCCAGCGACGCACTGCTGCGGGTTCCACGTACCATCATTCGGACCTCGGGCCCGTGGGCGTCACACGCGCGCACTGCGCTCATCAGCCGTGGCGCCTGCAGCACCCTTCACCCTCCTCGGTCCGTGTCGCTGCGCACACAGGTGGTCTACCAGCGCGGGCGCGCGCTGTGCCCCGAGGACGCCCTCATGTTCGACGCCGACGGCCTCGCCAACGTCGAGGTCGTCGGCCGGCTGCGTGGCGGGGGAGGCGACGGTGGCACGACAGGGGCGGAGTCGCGCTCGTCCTACCTGGCCATGTACAAGAACAAGAAAGTGGGCGAAACGGACAAGAACGAAGAGAGGATCGCACGCTGGACGAGGTTCGTCCCGCCCGCGCGGCCCCGCTGCAGCTGCACACACGCGAGCTTCCCACACCCAGCGCCCCCACCCGGCCCCCTCGCCCGCGACGTCGCAGGTGCCAGCTCAGCCACGAGGAGCTCTCGGAGCCGGTCGTGTGCGACGACATCGGCTCGCTGTACAACAAGGACGCGGTCATCCGCGCGCTGCTGGCCAAGGCGGTGCCGCCGCACCTCGCGCACCTGTCGCTGAAGACGATCTTCGACGTGAAGCTCACGCGCGGGGGCGCGGCGCGGGGCGACGGCGCGCGCGTCCAGGGCGAGGCGGGGGCGGCGGAGGCGGGCCGCTCGCCGTTCGTGTGCCCCGTGTCGGGCGTGGAGATGAACGGGCGCGTGCGGTTCGTGGCGGAGCGGGGGAGCGGCGTGGTGGTGAGCGAGCGCGCGCTCAAGCAGGAGGGCCTGTCCGGGATCGTGGAGGAGCTCGTCGGGGGCCGGAAGGTCGCGGACTGCGAGTGGGTGCCCATCAACGGCAGCGCGGAGGAGGTGCGGGCGCTCAAGGAGGCGATGGCGCTCAGGGTCGCGGCCGCGAAGAAGAAGAAGAGCAAGAAGGGGAAGGCGAAGGGGGAGGCGGAGAAGGCGGAGGGCGCGCTAGGCGTGCGGTGCGGCGCGGTGGCCAAGAAGTACCTGGCGCGCGACCACGTGCCGGAGGGGGCGTCGAAGGAGGTGTGGGCCAGCCTGTTCACGGGGGACAAGAAGGAGGACGAGTGGCACAAGGAAACGTACCTGAGCCGCGGCGGGGCGCGCCGCATGATTTGATCGCGCCTACGCGGCGTCGCAGCCGCCAGAGAGGGGCCGACGGGGGTTCCTGCGCGGCAGCGTGTGAGCGGGGCCGCCTCCAAGTCGAGGAATCGCGGGGCTGGCTCGGGCCCGGACGGGGCACGTTGACAGCGGCAACGCGGGCGTGTGCGCCGTGTGTTCGGCAGCGGCACGCGGGGACGGCCGGCCCGGTGGGCAGCTGACTGATGCGGTCGCCGGTCAAGGGCACCCGCGCATCGGACCGTCTGTGCAAGCGACACACTTTCATTCTGCGGCAAACATGCTTTTGTAAGAACATTTTTTTCCGATGTTTCTCCTGACACGAACGGAGCGCTGCGCGCCGAGAAGTGCGCGGGCCATCGCCTGGCGTGTCCGGCTCGCGCAGACCACCACCTGCCGACACTGCCGCCCCACGCATGCCCCAATGCAAAGTCGGAGTCGATTCGGTCCCGGGCGCGAATCGCGCGGGACGGCTTCCAGAGGTGGACATGCTGAAAACGGTGTTGCGTCTCGCGGCGCCATGCGCTCTAGACTCCGCGTCGCGCGCCGGTGTCGAGCTCGGACTGGAGAGTCCGCCTTGACTCGCCGCGGCGGTGCGCCCGCTCGCCAGCTTGGCGGGCCGCGCAGCGCGTACGCGGCAATCTTTCGGCCAACGGGCGTCGAAACATCGAGCATTTGACGAAGAACTGAGGCGTGGGTCGCTGGAACACGATGCGCACCTTCAACGCGCAAAGGGTCGCCGGCTAGCCGCGTGGGCGATCTGAGTCGCGGGCATCGCCTTGTTCGAAACCATGGTCGCGAAGCGCGATGCGTCCCGAAACAGCGAGGGCAGGCTGCGGAAGCCTGCGGTTGATGGGAGGCGGAGGTTGCAGGCTTGCTGGCGCGGCTTGCACGAGGTGAGCCCCCGCCAGCGCTTCGCGACGTCGTTCACGAGTGCTGGCGCGCGCGGCGCTGGCGCCATCCCAACAGGGCGCCCGAGCGACTGGTTTTGACCCCTGGCACTCATGCAGGTGCTCGCCTCTCGCACGTACCTGGTGGCGGTCGTACTGGCCTGGATGCTGGTCTGTTTCCTCGATGCGATACTCGACTCCACGCACGAGCCGTTCGCGCCCCGATCCGTCGTCTGGGGCGTCGCAGCGGGCGCAGCGTCCGTAATGGCAATCGACACGCTCCTTCACCTCGCCCTCGGCGTATGGGGGGACGCACCGGAGCTGAGAAGCCCCCTGCCGTACGTGTTGGACGTCATCCCGGTCGTTTCGGTGCTCCTGGTATGGCCGAACCTGTATGACAGGACGTACCGGACGACGGAGCCCTGGGATCCGGTTGAAGGCTCCGACTTGCTGGAGTTCTTCCGAGGAGTGTCCGACTCCCGCGCCATCGTGTCGTTCCTGGTGCTGCCCGTCGCGTTCTTGAAGGTCGTGGTCGCAGCATGGCGCCACGACGTCCTCGCCTCCCACCGCTCCTCCCAGCGGGCCCAGGGGCCGGGCGCCAGCCAGCGCATGGCAGGGGGGAACTGGACGCAGGTACGACAGCTCGCAGCAGTGATGGCGCCGAAAACACCCTTGACGCGCGCAACGGTGCCGCGACCGGCCCGCTGCGCGCATACCTGCTGCCCTTGGTGCGTTGTCGGCGCGTCCGTCCCGGCACATGCGCGGTGGCCCCACATCCAAGGTGCAAGGTGCCCCACATCCACACCTCCGCCCCGCTGACCCGCAGTGGCTGATGCTCTTGACGGCGTCCAGCTGTCTGGCGGTGCTCGTGGTGACCACGTTGGTAGTCATCATGCCCCAGCGGTTCTCGGCCGAGGCGGACACCCTCAGCGGAATCCCCAACGGCTTGGAGAATGCAGTCAAGACCTCGCCCTTGCCCGCTCGGCAAGCTCTCGCTCCCTTCCGCTGTACGTTCCCCGCGCCAACCCACATGACTCGCAACCTCGACGCTGACCGCGCGCGGTCCTCCGGGCTCCACCCACCAGCGCCGCCCCCCCCTGCTCACTCGTCCGCAGTCATCTTCGCGGAAGCGGAGGAGGTCGGCGCCCCCGTCAAGGTCGTCACGCACCAGTTCCTGCGCGGGGAGCTCACGTGGAAAAAGGAGGGCGTGCCCGACGGGGACGCCCTCACGGAGTTCCCGCCCGCGCTGTGGGTCGAGTCGCGCCCCGACGGCCTGATCCTGCTCCGGATGGACTGGCGGCGGCTCTTCTTGGAGCGCCTGGGCAACGACACCCTCCGCAAGTCGGTCCCCCTCATGGTGTGCGTCGTGCTGCTGGTCCTGGAGTTCTACCTCGCCTCGCTGCTCATGCTCCGCCCCATGGAGCGCCTGCTCGAGTCCCTGGTCGCGTCCGCGACGACGCTGGACGAGAAGGGGCGGTTCCATGACGACAGCGACGGGCGCCCGGTCGGCCACAAGAACATGCGGACGCTCGAGTGCGCCCTCGAGCGCGTCGACGGATTCCTCTGCATGATGCAGAAGGCCTTCGAGGTGCGCGTCCGACCGCGGCGACGCCCGCGCCCCGTGCTGCGTGCCCTGCTGGAGGTCTGACGAGCGCCGGCGCGAGCGGTTCCGTTGCGCGCAGGGCGGTGGGGTCGTGATGCAGCGGCTCCTGACGCAGGTCGCGGGCGGCGAGAGTGGCGAGGGTCAGCGCGCGTGGGCGGACTTCTATTACAACCCCCCCCTCGCGCTGGCTCCGCGCTCCACCACCGCAGCCCGGCACTCCAGGGGGGCGGGCCCGGCCATGTCCGGCTCCGAGGCCAACTCCTTGGCAGAGGGCAGGCGCACCACCGGCGACGCGAAACGCTCCAGCGCGGCGAGCGGCAAGCGCAGGGGGCCAGCACGCGCGGCTGCTGTGTCGGCCTCGGCCAGCGGCGACGTCCGGAGCGGCGATGGCGGGCGGCCGAGGATCTCGGGCATGAGCAGCGATGACGGGATGCTGGAGCCCTCCCGGTCGAGCGTGCCCCACGAGGCCCCCAAGTCGTGGGACTGGAGCTCGTTGCTGGTTGCCCACGAGGGGTCGCTCGGCTCGCTCGTCGTGGAGATGTTCCGCGACCTCGGGCTGTGCAACGACGGCAACGTCGCGCACCACGGCACGGTGCCGCTGAAGCGCCTGCGGGTGCTGGTGGGGCTGCTGGAGGGGGCGTACCGCGCGGACAACCCGTACCACAACTGGGAGCACGCGGTGGACGTGACGCACGGGATGTACATGATGCTGCGGTCGACGGCGGAGGCGCGCGGGCTGATGCGGACGTGGGACAGCGTGGCGCTGATGGTGGCGGCGCTGGCGCACGACGTGGGCCACCGGGGGACGAACAACGCGTTCCTGGTGGCGACGCGCGACGAGCTGGCGCTGCGGTACAACGACGTGTCGGTGCAGGAGAACATGCACGCGGCGACGCTGTACGAGCTGATGGTGGCGCACCCGGAGGCGGACGTGTTTGCGGGGCTGGACCAGGCGACGTGGACGGAGGTGCGCGCGACGGTGGTGACGGCCGTGATGGGGACGGACATGGCGGTGCACTTTGACATGATCGCCAAGGTGGAGACGGCGGCGGAGGCGGCGGACTGGGCGCGGCGCGGGTCGGAGACGGGCGGCGGCGGCGGCGGGGAGGCGGCGCAGCGGACGCTGGGCGTGGCGGAGCGGAAGCTGCTGCTGCAGGTGCTGCTGCACACGGCGGACCTGTCGTCGCTGTTCAAGGGGCCGGAGATGGTGGTGGAGTGGACGCGGCGGGTGGTGCGGGAGTTTTTCGACCAGGGCGCGATGGAGAAGGAGCTGGGGATGGTGCCGCAGGCGCTGATGGTGGAGGGGGCGACGTACGTGCCGGGGTCGCAGATGGAGTTTTACGAGGTGATCATGCGGCCGTACGTGTCGGCGGTGGCGACGTGGCTGCCGTCGGTGGGGCGGACGCTGGCGGCGCGGCTGGCGCGGAGCTACGCCTTCTGGGGCAGCATCGTCGAGGCCGACCAGGCGGGGCTGAGCGCCCCCGCCCCCGGTGCAGAGCAGGCCACGGACGGCTGGCACGGCTGCGGAGCTCCGATTTCGTCGTCCCCGAAGTACAGCACGATGAATGTCAAGGAGCGCGTGGCGAACTTCAACGCCGCACTCGGCGTTTCCGCGGACGACGCCAAGCAGCTGCACATGACGAGCCTCGCCGAGCCGCTGCCGTCGGTCATGGAGACCCCCGTGGAGGACGCGGAGTTCGCCAAGCGGCTCCAGCTGGACCTGGACCCCCCCGGGTGCGCGGGCGCAACTGCCCGCAGCAGGCGCTGGCTCGAGCGCGCGAGCTGCCGCCTCGCCCCCGCGATGGCTTCCTGGTACTGGTTCGGCGGCGTTCTGGTCGTGTCGCTGTTCATCCCGTTCCTGGACATCTGCCTCGAGACGAGCTACGACCCGTGGCCGCCGCAGCACGTGGTGTGGGCCGTCGCGGCCGCCGCCGCCGCGGTGCTGGCTGGCGAGGCAGCGCTGCAGTTCCTCGTCGGGGTCATGCAGGATGTCAACGAGCTCAGGGAGCCGTACTCGTACGCCCTGGACACTCTCGCGGTTGGCTCAGTCATCACCTGGGCAGCCATGACGCACCTCGTCTACAAGGCAGTCAGCCCCGACAACCCGCTCCTGGGCAAGGAAACGACCATGGACTACGTCAACGGCGTCGTCCGGAACCGAGGCATCGTGACCTACCTCGTCATGCCCCTGGTCTTCCTGAAGGCTGTCTCTGCGGCGTGGCGGCACAAGTCGCTGCGGCAGGCCCTGCGCTCGGCGCGCCACAATCGGCGCTCGGAGAAGCAGCGTGCCGTCGGCGACAGATCGCACGGCTGGACGATGGCGCTGATGCTCATGACGGCAGCGAGCTGCCTCTGCCTGTTGCTGATGATGATGGCGGTGGAAGTGCTGCCGGACCCGTACAAGGGGTCGGCGTTCATCATATGGCGGTTCCCGAACGTCGTCGCGAACAGCGCGAGGCGCAGCCCGAACGGCCCCGTCCGTGGAAGCCCCCTGTTTGTCACGCTGGGTACGTCCACAGCGCCCCGCGTGCCACCCTCGCTCGCCCCGCACATCTAGCTGCATGCGGGCGAACCTCGCCGTTCTGTCGCGAAACCCCGGTCCCTTTTCCGCCCGCAGCCGCACTCGAGAGGACTCACCAGGAGCAGAGGCAGCGGCTCAACCCTCAGCTGGCGACCTCCCACATGTGGGTCCGGCCCCGCTTGGACCCCGACCTGCCGCTGGAGCTGGTCTGGTCGAGCGAGGAGCGTTCCCGCACCACGGGCGACCCGCGTCTCGACGACAGCTTTGGGGTGTACGCGTATTCGCCCTCCCCGCCGGGCGCCGTCTTGCAACGGTGGGATTTCGGCCGCTTGTTCCTCGCCGACAACGCCGACGACGCGCTCCGCAAGTCGATGCCGCTCATCCTGTGCGTCGTGCTGCTGCTCGTCAACTTCTACTTTGCGTGCGAGATGCTGGTGCGGCCGGTCCGCGACCTGCTGCAAGCAATCGTCGCGCGCGCCCCCGCGCTGGACAGCAAGGGCCTGATGGCGGGCATCGGCGCCACGAACGACAGCGCGCCCCTCACGCTGCCTGACGCGCTGGCGCGAATCGAGGCGTTCATCGTGCTGATGCACAAGGCCAACCAGGGCGGCGCCGTCGTGATGAAGCGGCTTTTGAAGCAGGTCGCGTCGGAGGACGGCAGCGTCACCAGCGCGACCAACGACAAGCGCGCGTGGGCCAAGATGTACGCTGCTGCGCCGGCGGCCAGGGACCCGGAAACGGACCGGAGGCCCTCCGTGATGCGCCTGCCCCAGGTTCTGCGGCGCGAGAAGTCCCGGGCGGCGATGGTGCGGAGCGAGCACGCGCGCAGGACCGCGTCCATGCCGTTTGCGCCGGCGACAGGCAAGCCTGCCATCGGGGGCGAACAGGACGTCGTGCATCAGCTGATGAAGCTCCGAAGCTGGACGTGGTCGTCGCTGTCCTGCGAGCACCGCGACGTTCTCGGCTCGCTCGTCGTGGAGATGTTCCGCGACCTCGGGCTGTGCAACGACGGCAACGTCGCGCAGCACGGCACGGTGCCGCTGAAGCGCCTGCGGGTGCTGGTGGGGCTGCTGGAGGGGGCGTACCGCGCGGACAACCCGTACCACAACTGGGAGCACGCGGTGGACGTGACGCACGGGATGTACATGATGCTGCGGTCGACGGCGGAGGCGCGCGGGCTGATGCGGACGTGGGACAGCGTGGCGCTGATGGTGGCGGCGCTGGCGCACGACGTGGGCCACCGGGGGACGAACAACGCGTTCCTGGTGGCGACGCGCGACGAGCTGGCGCTGCGGTACAACGACGTGTCGGTGCAGGAGAACATGCACGCGGCGACGCTGTACGAGCTGATGGTGGCGCACCCGGAGGCGGACGTGTTTGCGGGGCTGGACCAGGCGACGTGGACGGAGGTGCGCGCGACGGTGGTGACGGCCGTGATGGGGACGGACATGGCGGTGCACTTTGACATGATCGCCAAGGTGGAGACGGCGGCGGAGGCGGCGGACTGGGCGCGGCGCGGGTCGGAGACGGGCGGCGGCGGCGGCGGGGAGGCGGCGCAGCGGACGCTGGGCGTGGCGGAGCGGAAGCTGCTGCTGCAGGTGCTGCTGCACACGGCGGACCTGTCGTCGCTGTTCAAGGGGCCGGAGATGGTGGTGGAGTGGACGCGGCGCGTGGTGCGGGAGTTTTTCGACCAGGGCGCGATGGAGAAGGAGCTGGGGATGGTGCCGCAGGCGCTGATGGTGGAGGGGGCGACGTACGTGCCGGGGTCGCAGATGGAGTTTTACGAGGTGATCATGCGGCCGTACGTGTCGGCGGTGGCGACGTGGCTGCCGTCGGTGGGGCGGACGCTGGCGGCGCGGCTGGCGCGGAGCTACGCCTTCTGGGGCAGCATCGTCGAGGCCGACCAGGCCGCTGCCGCAGGAACGCCAGTGCCCTCGCCGTTCGCCCACGCGCTGGAGGCGTGCGGCGCCCGCATCACGGAGGTGCCCAAGTATCTCACAATGCGCGTCCAGGAGCGCATCGAGGCGTTCCGCTTCGCGCTGGAACCTGCCGCTGCGCCAGGACAGTCGGGGTCGGAGTCGACGGATACTGACGACCTGACGAATGTGGTCGTCGAGGACAGGCGCTGCAGCCAGCCGCGAACGATCGCGGACTTGAAGCCATTCGTGCCGGACACGGGCGCGGATCTCCGACCGTCTGTCAGCACGATCACGCCCACACACAGGGCCTAAGCAAACGGTCCATGGACCTTGGCCAACGCCCCCCCCCCATCCCCCCTCATCCCCCCTCCCTTCCTTCCCACCCCGCTCCCTCACTGAATGGCGCAGGTGCGGACCCTGTTCGCGCCTGCTTTGTCACCCCCTCACGCACTACTTTGTCAGCATCACAATGCGCGACGCAGAACATGTTTGCTTCCGCCCACCGTTGAATGCCCGGCAGATCCACAACGCATGGGATCTTATCTCGCGTACGCAGCTCGGCCATCAGCCTCCCTTGTCTCCAGCTTCGGTCTCCAGCTTCCGTCACTTGGCGCGACCCGTGTTTCCGCCCACATGCAAGGAGGACACGTCCCTCCTGCGTCGTCCCAGGGCCTAGTTTCCACTAGAGCCTACATACCCAACCCCAATGCAAACCTCTCAAGAGTCTGCGCGCACCCCGCGCGCGCCTAAGCTCGCCCTCTCCGACTCTCCTCCTTCCCTCACTCCCCCACTTGCGCTTTGTTGGCCCACCTGGTTCGATGCAACCACCGGCCCTGCGCTGCGCCACTCCGCGCTCGCAAGCTACTGTCTCCTGAGTACCGAGGTTGCAGGCACCCTGTCACCAACCACCTCGCTAGTGCAGACCGGGCAAATCCGCGCAATGCGAACAACGCCGAGAGCACCCCAACTCGCAATCACCATGTCGCTGACCACGCTCCCAAGGCCCGTGTCGTCGGGCCCTCGCGTGGAGGGTCTTGTCGCAGGCTTGTCTGCGCGTCGTGCCGGATCAGGGCGGGCGGCCTTTGGCGCGCCGCCGACGCGCATACAGGCTCGCAGTGAACGGCGGGCGACCACGCCTCGCTTGGGACCGCGTCTGACTTGCCTGGTCATGAGCGCCACGAGCTCCGTCTCCATCTTGCTGATCGCGTTTTCGAGGCCCTTGATGAGCTCGCTGCACGCCTCGGCCCGCGCCTGGTTCCGGTGGGCCTTGCTGCGCACCACTGCCTTCTGTTTCAGCACCTCCCGCGCCCCCGCCTCGTCCCCCGCCTGCGCGCGCGTACGCATGCAAAATCAGAGGTCCTCGACCTGGCGTGCGTAGCGCGAGCGCGCCTGTTACGCCGGAACGACGCTGCACGGCCCCTCTGGTGCTCCCTCCTCTCAGAGCCGTGATGTCTCGAACATGATGCGGAGAATGCGGTAGAACTATGCTCAGCAGGCTAGTACGCGCACGTACCTTGAGCTTGCGCACCGCGTCCTGCTCGAGCTCCTGACAGTGGTCTAGGAGTCGTCCAGCCGTGGATATCAGTTTCCGGGCCTGCTTGACTGTGTCCTGCTGCTCCGTCTTGAGCAGCTCGATCTCCGCCTCGATCCGCGTCGCCTCCTCCTCGTACCGCAGCTTCTCCACGTCCGGCTCGCCCGCGCCCGCGTCCCCTGACGCAGCCCTCGCGACGAGGCAAGGAGAGGCCCGGAGGGGGGCCCGGCTAGGGTGCGCGGCGCGCCGAAGCCCGGGCTGCGCGCTGCGGGAGCGGAGGAGCGAGCATGGGGGGCTGGAAGCGCCCGCGCCGCAAACGGCGCCGGGCGGACGAGCCGCGGGGGCGCGGAAGGGGCAGAAGTGCGCCATTCGCCGAGGGTGCGAACGGCGCGGAGATGCGATCGAAGTTTCGCTGCCGATCGGGATGCAATAGATCGTTCAATGGGTCACGGCTCTGGCCATGCGCGGGGCGCCGATGGGGCCCTTGCAGCCCGCCGGGCGTCAGTCGGCCAGGCTGACAGCAGCGGCAACACACCCCCCCTCTCCCGCGTCGCTCTGTCCGCTCGTGACGCGACGAGAGCGACCCTCTAGCGCCCGGCCGCAGCCCCGCTCCGCACGGCCGCTTGGAGCCCAGCCACGCCCAGAGCAAGCAACACGACTTGTATGACGAACGTTCCCAGCGCAATTTAGTTATACTCGTATATTTGCGGAAGTTCAACGTCGCACTCCCAGGTCACATCGGTCCGCTACGCCTCCGCACATCCCCTGCCCCACACCACACCTCGCACACGCAGCGCACCCGATCAACCTGTACACACACCAACTGAAGTCTCTCTTCTCATACCATGGCATGCCTTGTCTTAAGGTGACTGCGCGATCACCGGCGGGGCCCGTCATGGACCAGTGGGCTGACTGATTCAGCATTCGGCACGACATTGACAGCGGGAGGCACAGACAGCGGGCAAACAATTGTGCGCCATTTGTGCCTGGTACCTGCTTCACTCGGGCGTGGCGGCACTGCGCATCGTCCATGCGGTGTTCGCGTCGTCATGGGCTAGGAAGCGGTGATGCACAATGAGGTGGGCAGTGATCGTCGCGGGACGGATGTGCTGCGAGGGAAACGGTGAAGTAGCGGGTCGGGTTTAGGACGTGCCGCCCCCGCTCCCTCGCACCGCGCCGCCCCGTTTGTGCGACTGTCGCTTTGGCGCCCGTGCGCCCTCGAGCCCCCGGTCGCGTGCTTGGGGACCTGGGCGCTACCTTGCGCCTGCATCCCAACATTGGGCTTTTGATGATCATCCCCCCCGATCACCCTGCCGCCGCTGCCTGGTCTTCTGCTAGCCCGGATGCGGGTAGTGGTCAAAGTGTGGCGCCTCCGTGGAACGCGGACTGAATTTTAAATTGGTTCACATGCTACCGTCGACGCCGCTCTTATTCGGTGTTGACGGTGCCCTGCTGGATGTCACCTTAACTGGAGGCGTGCTGTCAAGCCGAGCAGTGTCTCTGTTTATTCAACATGATGACTATTACCATTATGGTTACTGAATACTTCTTGCTCCATCTCACTGCAATTCTGTCTGACTCTCGACGTCCACCGCCGAGCTGGAATGCCTGTGCACACTGCTGGTCGCTTCACTAGGACCCGAGGGGGGAGTGACGTAATTGTTGAACAGCTTGAACGGTGAAGAGACACCTTCGCGCCCGCTGCCGCCCCTCCTCGAATGCTGTGGCAACAGAGTCTCCTTCGCGGGCAATTTCGACGTCGCGTGCGCGGATGTTCCCCAGCGATCAGGCGTCGCAGCAAGCGCGCCGATCAGGCCGGATGGGACCTTCCTCAAGGCCTCCGCGCGGTACGCAGCTCGCTGCATCGCCTCCCGTTGCTTCGCCGCCCGTTTGGCCGACGCCTGCAGTGCCCGCCTTGCTGCAGTGAGCTCTCTTGCGGCGTCCTGCTGCTCGCCCCCGCCCCCGCCAGTGCCCAGCTGGCGAAGAGACGCAACGGTCAGCCAAGAGCGCGTTTTGGCTTTCAGCCTCCTTTTGACACGATGTTCCGCGATGACTCCATGGACATAGTCCTCGTCTTCGGCGCTCAGCGGGCCCAGGCGGGGCCAGCGCTTCACGGGCCGGTCGCAAACGCTGAGCAGCCATCTGTTGGCATACTTCTTCATCAGGATTGTCAGCCGCACCTCCTGCCACCCGCCGTCCTCCTCGGTGACGGCTGGCGGCGACGTGTCCTTCTTGCGGCGGAGCGTTTCCCTCACGAAGGAGATGAGGTCCAGCACCTCGCAGCCAGCAGAGTACAGCTGCGACACGACGTTGACGGCGAGGCCGAGGGCGAGCACGATCATCAAGATGTCTCCGATGAGCTTGGCGGCGTCGGCGCGGTCGGTCGGGTCCTCGATCGTGCGGGTGGCGATGATGAGCCCGAGCATCAGCCACATTGCAGTGAACTCGCATGTCGCCTGCAGCGTGTCGATGAACTGGTCGCTGGCGAGGCCGTACGGCTGGAAGAACGCCAGGAGGAGGACGTTGAACGACATCAGGACGATGAAGCCGGCGAGCTGGCCGTCGCCTTCCGTAGGTTGCGCCACTGCCGATACAAAGGCGAGCAGGAAGAGGAACAGGACCCGCAGCGGCGCGTTGAACGACATGCCGTATGTCCAGATGACGTGACGCAAGCTGTACTTGTCGTTCGGGTACCAAGTCTCGAGATACCCGCGGTTGAAGCGCTGCAGCGTGTCGTCGTACTCCCACGTGCAGTTTTGCCGGACGACGTAGGGCCCCCGGTAATCCTCGAAGACCACGCAGGTGCGCAAGAACACGCTCTTGTCGAAGGCCGACCGGGCCTTCCACTCGCCGGGCGGGACTGTGCGCCAGAGACCAAAGCAGGTCCACGGTCCCGCGCGGCGCGTCCGCCAAGCGCGGTCGGCCGCCTCCTTGTCGACCTCATAGTAGACGCCGCGACTGTACGAGTCAACCGCAACCTGGGACGAGTACACCATCCACGCACAGTACAGGAGCAGCGGAATGGGGATGATGACAACGAGTGTCCAGCCAAGCACCTGTTGTTCAGGGCTGCCGGCCCTGGTCAAGGCCGCGGCGGTCTCCGCGACAGCAGGGACGAAGAAGTACGACGTGTAGATCTGGAGACGCGGGAAAAGGAGCGCTGACGGGTAGCTCGGCGAAGCCCCGCGCAATGAGCGCACAGCCGACGCTGTCGCAGCGATTATCTGCAGCAGCGTCACGGCGCCGATGAGGATCGCCAAGACAACGATCTGCTCCGCCGCGGTGAGGTACAAGCGGGACGCTACGTCCGATTCGCTGCTTGTGCCCGTTGTCGACGTAGCGTTAGCACCACCACCCGCACCCCCCGCGCCCGCGCCTCCCCCTGCGATGCCGGAGGTCTGAAGCCTGCGGCGATGCTCCTCTGTCAAAGCGCGCCCCGGGAGCAGCTCCCACGTGACTTGCGCGGCCGAAATCCCCCCCCCATGGTACGAGTCCGACCAGGCCTCGACGGCGTACCGCGGCGGCCGGCCGAACAGCTCGGTGTGCACACGACCCCACAGCTCGATCGCTGCGACACGGTACAGCGTCTCAAGTAGCCCCGGGGACGCGCCAGCTGCGGTCGTGGTGCGTCCCCGTGCAGCATCCCTGATCTCCGTGCATGGGAGGCGGTCGCGCCGCGCGACGTGCGCCGGGTAGTAGTTGCAGATGGTCTCGAGCCCGGTCAGCGCCTGTGCGGGCTGCTTGGGCTTCCGAAGGGCCATTCGGACGTCGGCCTCGGTCAGACCCAGCAGGTTGAGTTGCCACGCACCATCTCGCTCTCTCGCCAGAGCGAAGCGACGCGCGAGCTTCGCGTCACTCGTCGTCGCGTTTGCTCGAGTCCCATTTGACCCTCCGCTGCGGGAGATGCAGTGCGGCGCTTTCGTCTTGTCCCCGAACAAGATGCCTTTGCCCATGAAGATCTCTGTGGCACAGCCAGCCGCGGTCAGCATCGGGGGGGTGTTCGGCTCCTGAGTGTTCGAAGCCGCCTTGATCTTCTGCAGCGCGCCCACCATCAGCGCCATGCCAGCTCCGCCTCCTATGCTGACCTGCTGCGCACCTGCCCGAATCCCCCCCCCACTCCCCCCAGCCCCCCCAGCCCCACCTGCTCCGCCCCCAGCTGCACCTCCTGCGCCACCGGCTGCGCCACCGGCTGCGCCACCGGCTGCGCCACCAGCCGCACCACCAGCTCCAGCAGCTGCGCCGCCAGCGGCAGCGGAAGAAGAAGCAGCCGCGGCCGTGGCACTTGTGGCTGCCGCTGCGGCACTTGCACCTGTGCCGGCTGCCGACGCCGACGTCACGGCGCTCACCGTCTGCGCCCGCGAAATGACCGGCCGCTTGTACACCGTGGTGCCGCTGATGTCCTCCTGGTTGGTGTTGCCCGCAACGTCCACCACCGCCCCCTTCGGGATGGTGAACGTGAACGTGCCCGCCGCGGCTGGTGTGAAGACCACGCGGAGTGTCGTCGCCGACCTGAACGAAACAGCCAGACTCTCCACCGCCCCGCCTTCTACGAGGATCTTGCCCTCGAAGGACTGCCGGACCAGCGGACCGCCCGCGACGACCAGGTCGAACTCCAGCTCCTCCTCGGTGAAGTAGGTCGGCAGAAGGGCGAATGACACTGTGGGAGGGGTGCGGTCGACCAGGATGGTGAACGAGGTCCCGCGCTCGTTCTTGCGGCCGTCGCTGGCCGTGAGCGCACCGGCCCTCACCGCGAGCTGCGCTTCGCCCTCAAACGTACTGTCGAGCCTCGCGACGACAACGAATGTGGTTGCGGACCTGCGCTCGATCTTCTCGATTGTTGCGCCAACTGTTTCGAATGCACTGGCGTCGGGCACGACGTCTGCGTCCGCCTGGACGGTCAGCAGCACTGAGAACACGTCCGACCCTCGCATCCATCGGTACTCGGTGCTCTCTTGCGCCGCCAGTGTGCTGACAGTGCTTCCAACGAATTCACCGGTCTCGTCGTTGAAGACCAGCTGCCGGCCGCCTATCGGTAGCATACTGAGTGTGAAAGCACCAGGGTCGGCTGCCACCTGTGCAGGCGGCGGGGCGGGCCGCGGCGGCAAGAAGCTTGCGTCAAAGCCGCTGAGAAGAACGAACGACTGCTGAACGGTGAAGAAGACCCCTCCGTCACCGCTTATACCGGGGAGTGGGCTGTCCGACATCGCCCTGACCATCGCAGCACGAAAGTTCTCCGCTCCGATCTCGCCGTTGCGGTACACATCACTGCCGACAAATGAGATGGCGACCAGCGACCCTACCGGATCGGCTGCCTGCAGCACGCTCCTGCCGCGGCGGCGCTGCGCTGCAGCAAGGATCGATGGATCGTA